AAAAAAGAAACAACAAAAAACCAGATTTAATCCTGCCCCTTTTTACTACATGAAGGTTGTGTTTTCATATGGATGGATCTCTTCTGATCTGTATCAAAAGCATTGCCGGTATTCCGTAAAGTGATGCTCTGCTTTTATCTCGGATGTTGATATTGGCGATAACTTCATTATGGAGTACGGTAGTAGTAGTCTCCAGCCCCCTTTTTCGCTGACCAACTGCAGCTCGGTATTTTCATCCAGCCTGTGGACCATTGAAGGGGGAATTGAATTCGAGGATTTATCTTTTATTCTATTTTTTATCTTGTCATCCTCTGGGACTCATCAGTTGATACCACATGATTAGTATCCGTAATTTTATTGATACCATGTTATGTTTGTGGAGCTGGATGTAATTCTGTCTGTACAACATCTCATCCAATACTATGCACTCCAACTTGGTGATGAGGAAGAATAGGGCAATTCAACACGAGTGCGCGACAAAGTCAATCTGTGCTCGTCTAAGTAGCTTAATGGTTAATACTAGACGATTGACTGTCAATCTGTACATCTGGCTGTACCTCCGTACATAGTCTGTACTCGATGGTCAACCCTCCAGATGACATCGATTGGGTCGTTCCCTCGTGTTCTCCACTTGCGCGTTCCTGACTTCCATGCGCGGTGGATGTATGCAGTACAGATTACCACATACCGACTTGGTCCCAGCAAAGAAATCAAAGGGAAATGAGGTGAAGAAATGAAGGTTTAGATCCTGCATCCTTGGAACATGGATCGAACCTCCTGATCCAGATATCATAATGAAATCATCTTGCATTGGAAGCTCATGGAGTACAGAGTAGGGTGCCAGGTGCCAGGTGAGGTGCCTCAGGTTGCATACAGCCCGTACAGTACAGTACGGTACAGACAGCTAGGTGGCGCGCACATTCTCCCTTTTTTTTTTCCACTGTAAGAATCATAGTGACCTTTCCTTTAGCATCTTAGCATTTAGCAACTCTCGAATAAAATCATCTCAACATCCTGCTCAGACCTGCGATTATTATCCATCGGCATCAACCGACGTTGTTTTTCGCAACCTTTTCTCGAATTGAATTTTACACTATCGCAGACACAAACAACATTCTCGTGGATTGCTCTCCACCGTCCACTTTCCCACCAACCCCTGCACGCGGTCCATCGCTTCCCGACCTACGCTACACCTTCTTCTACACTAGGGCCGCGCTATCTCACGCTCTTAACCCAAACCGTCCAAGTCGTTCCTCGGGCACGCCATCTTTAGTCGGTTTAGCCCATCTGTGTTGTTTTGATATTACTATCATTTTTAATTTCTGGCTTGTCTCCCACGCTCAAGAAAGCGTTGACTTGGCAAGCGATCTTGGATGCGTTACCCACGGGCGCAACACGCTAGGTTCACGACAGTCTCCCTGCGGCCAAACACTCGACAGACACGCGCACCAGTCCGTCCCGAGCTGCGGGTAGACTATCCCAAGCTCTAAATCTCTATTCACCCATCTGTCCTACCATCAAGCATTCCCGACTCCATCTTTCTAAAAAAGACGCGTTCTTAGTCTATCATCACCACAACTTGATACCTGATATCTCTCAAGTCTTCAAGGCAGACTACAAAGTCTACAAACAGAGTGAACAGACGGATTAAAAAAAAAGGGGCGGGTTGAATAGGAACCTTGCCACCCTGTCGCGGAGAGTTCCGCTTTTTTTTTTTCTTTCTCGTTTCCTTTTTTTTCTCAAGAGAAGAAGAAAAAAAAAAAAATATAATAAACAAAAATTACAATTTACAACCCCCCATCATACAGACAGGGAAAACTTACCTAGCCGGAGAAAGCGCTCTCAAATACGGAGTACAAAAGACAATACAAAGCCCGTACAAACAACACCCTCCATACAGCTGAGGGGAAGGGGCCAAAAGAAATACTAATTAAAAGAAAAATATCAGGGCTCTCTCAAGATTTTTTTTTTTTTGCTCTTTTTTCTCTTTTTTTCCTGTCCACCCAAGTGGGTCGCTGGTCGAGTTACTGGCAACGGACCCGTCACCGCAAAGCGACAGCACTCCGCTCCAGGGACGGAAAGAACAAATCAGAATATTCCTCCGGTCCCCCCCCCAGTCGGTATAATACCGTGACCGTACATTACCAACCTAACCGTCCCCCTCCTGAACCTTTCTCTCCTCCCCATTGCCCGTTCGCCTCCCTTCAACAGAGCAGCAAAAAATTACGGGCTCCACATCGTGCTCCACCGCACCCTCGGATCCCACGAGGTGCTCTAAACCTGCGTTTTTCCTCCTGCCGAAAAGCCTCCTGCTCGTCCGTCTGAAGCCTTTTAGGCCGCCTCCTCTCACTTTTTCCGCGAGTCGAACCATTTTTTCCCTCCGTCTCGATTTTAGGGTCGCTCGTTCTCCCCTAGTAACCGCGCTGCCACGATCGAGAGGCATCGTCTCCGGCGCTATCACCGTTTGAGAGAGCTGGGAACTTTCTTAATCTTTTTTATTCTATTTTATTTTTTTGGGGGGCTTGGCTCTGTTGGTCCCGCCAGGCACTAAACCCGCCTACCTTACATACGTGACCGGCCCTGGTTGCTTTCTAAACCCTCACCCCTCCTCCCGATCAAGGACCGTCTTTTTTTTTCCCGCTGGTTCCTCGTGCTGTTGTGCCTACTACCACACACTACCGCCACACACCACCTGCAAGGCATCTTCCGTCCACCCTAAGAGGCGACTAAGGCGATTAAGCATCGTGGTCCAGCATCACGTATCGCCAACCAAAAAGAAAAATATAACCATCTTGGTTCAATCGTCTTCTTGCTTTTTATCTTTTTTTTTTTTTTATTGTGTCGCGTTGGGGTTTCCAGCTTCGGCAGAATAAATACGCGCCGATCTCTTTCTTTCCCCCCATCTCCTCCTTTGACCAAAGCGTGCAAGCGTCGATTAAAGTCCGTTCTGTGATACGGTGCTTTTGACTGTCTTGCCTCTTCACCTACCTAGTACGTTTCAAGAACAAAAAAGAAAAGAAGACCAAGACGAACTTCATCTGTTTGCCACAAGGTTCTTTTGAACAAGTCTCTTGTGTCAACTCCAAAAAAACCTCCCCTCTGCTTCATCGCTGTCAATTCGGCACGTCCTCCACGGAAGCTCATTGTGTCCTTCGACGCGTCTCTGTACAGGTACGCGGTATTTTTTTCTTTTTGGAGGAACATCAGGGATATTTGACCCCCCGCTAGCGGCGACATTTCCATTATATGGACAACAGACCTGCCTCGGAGTACGCGCAGTCAGGTTTGCATTTTCCGTATTCACCGTCTGCCGCGACGCATTCTGAACCCTCAGTTGCAGACCAGGCTTCTGCTGCTGCCACTGCTCAATACACGCCACAACCTGAGGTTCGCCCGGCTCCTCAATACACACCGCAATCCGACGTTCGTCCCGCCGCCAATATTTCGTCGTCCAACACTCCGCAGTCAGACTACGGTCTGAACCAGCCGCCTACCGCGCGCTCTCCTTATCCGGAATACCTTGCCCGTCCACCTCAGTACCACCACGCTCCGAACACCCAAGCTGGTGGCGCGGCAGGTATGGCTCAAGCATCAAGTCCGTCTATGACCACCCTCAATGGGCAACATGACCCTCGCAATCTCTCCAGCATCAAGTCTGACGCGGACGTTCCTATAGATCCCTCCATCGCGGCAAACAGCCCCACCTACCCTCCTCCCTACTCGCCCTATCAACCTCAGGGCCACGATATGACCCAGTACCAAGGTCACCCTCACCCGCCGCCTCCTCAGATGTATGCGCATCCGCGCCCAGACTGGGGACATCAATATGGTCAGCACCAGCATGGTCTGCCTGGGCCTTATAGTACCCCTGCAACAACGGTTGGTTCCGCCTCTCCTGCTGCGACCGCAGGGCCGCGCCCTGGTCAGGTATGTTTTTGGTGATTCTTGGTGTCTGTTTCCAAAGGCTGCGCATATCTTGCGCTATATCGTTGTCTTGGGCGTCTCCGAATGTCGGGGTCTTTTTATTTGCCTGCAGGCTGGCCTTTTCGGAGACGTGAAAAACAGCGCTATTTTTCATCTGATTTTTTTTGACATTGGTTCATAAGCTCATTAACCGAATCTATAGGTCTACTCTTTCGTTCCCATTCCTGGCGCGCAACAGCACAAGCGACCGCGCCGCCGCTATGAGGAGATTGAGCGTATGTACAAATGTGGATGGAATGGCTGTGAAAAGGCCTACGGCACACTGAACCACTTGAACGCACATGTTACAATGCAGTCCCACGGAGCCAAGCGAACTCCAGAAGGTATGTTTCGATTTTTTTTTTGGTCGCGTTCGCGGATGCAATTGTATTCGATTAGGCCATTTTTTGGTTGCAGATGCATCGGTCAGACTAGTGCGGGCCGTGCGCTAGTCGAGTTACACCGCTTTGGCGCGCCGGTCCGCAGTAGCGTATGAGCCGGCGCCGAGGTTAATGCGTTTCCATCCATTGCATCCCATGGATGGTTGCCGCCCATCCTTGCCCCATCGCATGTTGATCGACATATCTTTTTTGAATGTTGTCATGACTGATTTGTTTTTGCTTTATAGAATTCAAGGAGATCCGCAAGGAATGGAAGGCCCGGAAGAAGGAGGAAGAAGCCCAGCGCAAGGCTGCTGAGGAGCGCGAGCGTGCTGCTGCTGCTCAGGCGGCTCAGGCCAACCAGGTTGAAGCTCCCGGTCCTGCTGATCCATCTCAGGCAGCTCAGCCTCCTGCCTACGCTGGTGGTGTTCGTCCTCAATTGCCGCCGATTGGGTACCAGCCCGCTGACGGTCAGGTACCTGGTCAGTATGGTGCTCCCGGAGCCGGTGGTATGGTTTACCAGGGCAATGGCCAGATGGCATACCCTCCAAACTACCCCCACTCGCCTTACGGACAGAGTGGCCAAGTGTATCAGCAACGTAAGTAGTCAGCCCTTTGTTATATTTGCGTGGTCAGGACCAGGGTATCGCAGTTTTGCAACACAACACCAACAACAAAGTGGGAGTTCCTTGGGTCTATTGCTTTCAAGGATCCATGACTGATCAACGCTGGATTCCTGCAGAAAACCAACCGGCCGGCTACCCGCAATAGATATCCATCTTCCCTCAGTTCTTTCAGGCTGCATATTCTAATAACAACTTCTCCTAATCCTGTATCGCCATCCCGGATCTAATGCTCAAGTCTTTTTCCACACATGATACCACCTGGCCTCGATTACTGCAATCCAAGAGTGGCTTACCACTTATTCTTCTCTTCCAGTTCTTTATTTTTGAATTAGACCGCGCGAGAAAAGAAAAACAACACCCTTAATACCTGGAAACCTCTGGGGTTTCCTGCGGATGTCGACTACAGGATTACGACATGAGATGTTTGGTGGGGATTTTTGCATTAGCAGAGCATTTCCTTTGTGATTTATGCCATATTTGTCTCCATTAAGCCTCTTTTACTTGTTTCTACTTTATTTTCTTCATGTTTTTCATCTATTTTCATGTTACCCTGGGTTTATCTTTGACACTGTGCATTATTTGACCATAATGGTCTGGTGGCTCAATCTCCATTTTCGACTTCGGTTCACAATTTTTTTTTCTTCTCCCCTCATGTCCATCATGACTGTACCCAAATATTTTTGTTTTTTCTTTGCTCCTTATAGGAGGATATGGATAGGATTTGGTACGATAGCTGTAGACAGCTGAATGATAGGCATGAAGGCCATATGGCAGGTTGATTTATTCCACAGTGTTGTAGACGAAGACAACGTATTTTTGGTACAACACAAAAATGCGAAGAAATTAGGTATAAATAGACTATACACAAAAATTGTCAACAACAGAATTGATTACTATTATGATTATTATCAGATGCAATAATACAGCTTGTATGAAGTACTAGTAATGGTGGCTTCAATCTTAACTACGGCCCTTGCTTTTTAGTGACCGAAGCCACGAGGATAGTCCAAGTATTAGTTGGGAGCTTTTCTATTTATTTATTGATTTAAGTTATCTATGGTTTGGCGCGTTATTTAGATCCCGCGAGGCTGTGTATTTTGGACAGGTTCCAAGCAGAAGTTTAGTTGGACTACATGGAAACTAGCAGGCGCGACTAACTGTCCGTCCGTAGGGCTGCCCATCCCTTACTAGTAATCATGGCCTGAGTAATGTGGCAGAAATTAAAACTATGCCTGAGGTGTCTATCTTATCGGAGACGGAATTACTATCTGAATAGGTAAGGATGGAGCTAAGCCTGATTGGGATTAAGAGGATCGATGGTTTCCTGGTTAGCTCAGCTTTTTAGTTTACAGGTTGGATAGAACAACTTGCGGCGCAAAAGTGTCGATTTGTTGGTTTTCTTTTTTCTTTCTTTTTCTTTTCTTCCTTTGGATATTGTATGATTATTATTTTCTCGTGGTTATAATTGATTCATGGTCCCGGGTTGTTTTTGGGCTGGTTGATATTTTCTTGATTGTTTCGAAGTTCCTTCGTTGATACATACGTCCGTCCGGAGCTGAAGTTTTTTCTTTCTCTTTCTTTCTACGATTAATTTACAGAGAGCAGAGAAAACGAAACGAGCCTCTTATTCTTATTACCGTCGAGTTTCGATTATTTCCTCCGAACGATACCTAGCGCATAATCTTATCCTCGTCGCGTGCGAAGAAAAAAACCAGACAAGACAAGATTGGCGGACCCGGTTTGCCACAACGCGATCTCTGAATGCTTCGCTGCAGCAATGTCGGTGCTCTGCGGACGGGAGTCGAAAGCAGCAGTATGGCAATGAGACTACAGTCACGCATGAATTGGGCTGGTAGGGCAACGATTGCTGTCCGGGGTGGATATGGTGGTGTGGCTAGTCGGTTGGCTTCGATCCCGCAGAATGTCTCCGGACAAGGTCAGAGTCTCTATGGGGCTGGGAGGCTCGATTTTGGTGTGAGGAGGATGTATTCTACGGGAAATGTGCACGATGTGACAAGTGAAGATGGCCATGCCTCGGGAGAAACGGAATTACAGCCAGAGAATGGAGGAGGAGAAGAGGCCCCCGTGCCCGTTCGGACCGTTTGGCCGAAGAAGCAGCTCGACAATAGCAGACCCCAAAACCGCACTATTCCGTTTAACCAGCTCGCTCGGAGTGACCAGCTGTTGGACATTGCTACAAATGGGGCCAAGGTGAACAGGAGGAAACTCGCCGAGGAATTGAAATGGCTTCCTGATCCGCTGTCGTTGGCGCATCGTGTTGGCCTGTTGTTGAAGGATCATGAAGTGGGGTTTGCTGCTGAGTTGATTCGCGAAGCGCAGAAGAATCAAATGAATTGTTTGGTGGCGTGGAATCATCTCTTGGAATACTGTATGGAGAAGGATGCGCAGCGGGCTGCATTCAGGTTTTACAATGATGTGAGTACTTTTCTTTGCCTCTTTCACTCCTTTCATTCTTAATCGGATCCTTACTGACTTGGCTCTGCAGATGAAAAAAAGAGGACTGAGACCTAATAGAGCGACATATACGATTATGCTGCATGGTTTGAGCAAAACCGGAAAGCCCATGGGACTTGACCCTGTCAAGACCGCGGTATCCATTTACAGATCCATCTCCGCTCCGGGCTCCAAAGTCGAACCGAATATCATCCACCACAATGCTATGCTCGTTCTATGCAGCCGTCATGGTAACATGGACATGTTGTGGCAGATTGCTGGTGAACTTCCGGAAGATGGGGCGACTTCTCCGGATGCAACTACCTATACTATCATTTTGGATGCTATCAGAGGCGCAATCCAGAGAGATGTGGAAAAAATGGAGCCACATGAAGTTGATAGAGCCTATGAAAGAAAGACCCAGGGTATCCAGGAGGGTAAAAGGGTATGGTTTGATGTTGTTCATCTGTGGAAGAATGGACAGTTCACAATTGACAACCATCTTGTTGGTGCAATGTGCAAGCTTCTCATGGAGCGTGGAAGCGAGATGGACTACTATGAGGTGTTTGCCTTGTTTAACCAAACCGCCGGCATACCGATTCTGGCTAGGAAGCCCTTGACGGACACATATAACAAGCAGGGTCGCTTCCAAGAAAACCAAGAAGAGGTGGAAGACGTGCCATTTGTGGACGAGGGTGACCGATTGCTCAGACGGCCGGACGAGGAGGCTGAGGTGCCCAAAGAAGAGGAAGCAGAAGAAAACTTTGATAACCTTTTCGACCCAATCACTACGGAAGACGCCCCTCTGAAACGGAAGAGCTTCGCACCTGAAGCCGATGGAATAAAAAGTCATGACCTCTTTGGGGCGATGTGGATTCCGGTTGGTAACACGGACCTCACAATGATCTTGAACGCCTGCGTTGATATGAATCAAGGGCTAGGGTCTGGAAAAGCCTACTGGCAAAATATCACCCAAGAGGATCACGGATACAAAGTAGAACCGGATCATATCTCTGCTAACACCTATCTGCGACTTCTACGAAGGGGCCGTTCCAGTCGCATTGCACTTGAACTGGTGCGTGACCAGTTGTTGCCTATCGGACAAGTGACGGGAAAGACCATCCACATTGCTTTAAGCTGCTGTCGCCGTGACCGCAAGAACATCAATGTTTTCAAGATCTCCAATGAGCTCCTTGCACTCATGGACACTGCTCTTGCTCTTCCCGACCCACGGGCATTAGAAGGCTACCTTTCAATGATTCAAATCCTGGAGGAAAACCCCCAGTCCCTGATATCGCTGAACGGCCTCGAAGTGGAAGGACGCCGATCGAACAATCTAGCAATCTTGGGCCAGAAATTGCAAGTCACCTTGCAGACCACTGCCATTGGTCTATTGCGCCCTCATATTGCCAAACTTCACGAGGCCATCACCAAAAGTACAGCGATGCCCGGCGCAAGCAGAGGCCGGTTGCCAAAGGCTACCCAAGCACATGCCGTCCAGGGTAATCTTGCCTTGAAGGTTATGGTCCGCACAAGAGGCCTGATAGACGCGATATTGAAGCCGGAGAATGCTTCTTTTATCTCCAAGACCGACCGCAAGCAGTATGAGAAGGAGTCTCAGCAACTGAGGGTTTACTCGAACAAAGAGTCGTTCAGACATCTCCAAGACAAGATGTCAAGGTTGATTCCCACCCCGGAGCAAATCCTCGAATTCCATGAAAAGAATCCGCTAGAAATGGAGGCGCCAGAAGAAAAGAAACCGGAAGATGAAAAGGAATAAGACGAGTCTCACCTCTGCATCATTTAAACGGTCTTGGACTTGGTGGTCTTGAATCTGTACAGTCTGTATAACACATCATCTCACGACTCCTCTCTTGGGTCATACAGCACTCTCATTTCCTTGCATATACAGGCGTTGGATACTCTTTTGTTTACATACGTGTACGATTATAGATGTGTGATATTACTGGCCTTGTGATTTGTTTGTATGTACATACATCTCAACATTGCATCTTTTAGATAGGTGTAGGTTTTGAGATCGGGTTGGCATAACATTTTACCCCTAAATATATTGAATCATTAATTTGTCGCAATCTGCTCTTCCTGATTGTGGTTGTGTCTATACTGATGTAGCTTGGTGATGGCCCAGAAACTGCCAACGTAACTTGCTATGAGAAAATTGACCATAACCACCACTTCTCTCCACTTCAATTCCATACTCAATCGATTTATGACCTGTAAACCCATCTTCAACTTGATCTCCAAATAATGCGAAACTCGACCGTTTGTTTCAGCCTGTCAGGCCTGCACGTTCCGCCTGCCTCTTTCAGCCCGTGCGCGTGCGTAATGCCACTCTAGCCTCTCCGGGACAGCTGCAGTCCACCAGCACATTCACATCATCATTTGCCAGCTATCACCATCCCTACTCGACCAGAACCACCACTTTATTATCTGGTGGCCATATTCAGTTTCGCTGCAACCTTGCGATAAATCTCCGGCCTAAAAGGCAATGCTCCTGTGGACGTGATCTATTCCGCGACTAGACTAGACCCGTTACTACCTGAATATACGTGCCTAGCATGGCTTCCGCAGCACCGAGCCATCACGCCCACGTCGATGACCACGACGATGAGTCGATTCTTGATGACGATCTGATTGACGCTGATGATGGTGGGTTTGGCTATTACATGTCTTTGACTTTGGTTTTGGGGGGTTGATGATTGATCGCTAACCGTCGCTCCGCTCATAGCCATCGAAGCCGATGACCCCCTACACAATGACTCCGATAGGACCCCATTAAGAGGAAACATCCAACCCAGTTCCTCTGGATCTAGAGGCGACAATATCTCCGGCAACTACCTCACGTCGACAATCCCCGGGGAGGACCGCCGCGCGACTCAGAATACCATCGACGAGACAGTCTGGCAGACACTGTCGCGCGATCTACTAGCTGTTTGGGAGAAAATGCGACAGGTTCTGTACCCCAAGTATTTGATGGGGGGCATTATGCAGCGCAGTGGTGGGGGAATTGGCGCCGCGGAGCGAGGGGAGGCTACTGGGTTTGGCGGTGGTTTGAGGAATATCGTGGGGCGCTGGCCGGATGCCGATGTCGTCTTGCAAGGTGGAATGAGTGAAGGATTGCGGGATTGGGATCTTTGGTAAGTTGGATGCTGGTACTGTTGGAGCTCTGTGCTTGTATGCTGACTATTCTGCTTCATTAGGGGCCCGCTTATTTTCTGCTTGCTTTTGAGTATGTTCTTGTCGATGCGCGCGAGCGAGGACCAGTCTTCAATTGTCTTCTCTGGGGTCTTCTCTATTGTATGGATTGGAGAAGCGGTTGTGACGCTACAGATTAAACTATTGGGTGGAAATATGTATGTCATCTCTTATGGCAGTCTTGATGGAGTCTGGTTCAATGTACTAATGCATGCAATACAGTTCATTCTTCCAATCAGTCTGCATCATCGGATACACGCTCTTTCCTCTGGTCATTGCCGCCCTTCTCAGCGCACTCCGTCTCCCGACCATCGCCCGGATACCGGTGTATTTGGTCCTGATCGCCTGGTCTCTGGCTGCGGGGATCAGCATTCTAGGTGGCTCGGGTGTTGTGAAGAACCGAGTCGGCATCGCAGTATTCCCGTTGTTCGTGTTCTACATTGCTATTGGGTGTCTCTGTTTCATCAGCTGAAGGAGATAAGAGAAGCGATGAATGGTGGCTCTATGGAATCGCAGGCGAATGGACTCCCGTCCTTCCTGGCCGCCTTATGGAACAGAGCGAGATAGTATGGTGATGTGTGTTGTGATTAAAATGATTACTTTTCTTTTGCCTCTGCCATGCCGAATGCTTGTATTAGATTCTAGTCGTGTCAAGATATCCAACGGATTCCTCGTTTTGTTTCATCTTTGCCTCCTTGTAGCCCGTAATTAACATGAAAGCGGCCTGAGGATGTGCTGCGGGGTGGAGCGAGCGGTGACCGGGCGACAGGCCGACAGACAACAAAGCAGTTCGTCACCTCTGCTCACGCTCTTGGGATCGGACGCCAATCTCGACCCTCATTCATAACTCACTACAATCACTCTCATTTGGGCCTCTTCCAACACTCACCACACCTACGGCCTCTTTCTTGAGGCTATTTTTTACTGCCATTCTTGCCAGCAACCTTCTTAATCCGCCGACCGAGCTTGCTACGTTGTCTGTCGCCCCGAGTTAGCCGGCTTGATAGCGCCCCCCAACGTTTGCGATTTCCAATCCGTTCAGACTCTTACGAGCTCAAAGCCCTATTCAGCTGTTAGTCTTCCTCCGTTTGAATATCACCTCTGCCCATCTCGATGGTCAAAACAGCTCCGCTCCATCCCACGTGTTTTGCAAACCTTCATATTCGCACAGTGAGTTGAGTGGGGCTCACCCCATTCTCTGACTTGCGCTGTCTCCTTTGCAACTTGCAGGATGCATCGGAGGGACCACTGTTTTGTATCACGGTGACTTTTGCTTTGTTTGGAACCCATAGGACTGACGACTTTTTTTCTTCCTACGTCATATTACAGGGGCGGAACTTTTAGGGAATCGACCGATTTATTTGACCGTTCGTTCTTTTTACTCACGACATTTTTACAAGTGTGTTGCGTCGTCGAATTGGCTTGATTTCCCAGGTCATTTACAATGGCGTCAGATTCGCGACAAAGTGGTGGGTTGGAAGGTATATTACACACAAACAATGTTGGTTTTCGGGGAGGATTTTCTCGCCCGAATCATGGTCTAAGGCAGGAACTGACATTTTGGGTTGAAATTAGATGATGCGCGCAAGGATACAATGGACACCAAAGGTACGAGAGACCTCCCTCAATCTCCTATATCGGTAGCCCTTGGTGTTCTGAATTTCCTGTCGCCTTTTGTGTGTTATGATATGTATGCTGACTGATTTTGCTCCTTTGTAGTAGCCCCCACGGAAGACTCTCAGACCTCCGACAATGATGGCGGCGAGCGCCCTGTTCGAAGAAAGCTGAAGGAAACGTCTATTACCTCTGTACCACAAAACCTGACAGGAGATGATTCCACCAACACCGCCCAACAGGAACCGGAAGGTGGAAATAGCAGAAGTAGCAGCAGGGGCAGAAAGCGGTCCTTCGATGAAGAAGATGAGGAGATGGAGAAGAACGACGATGAGAATGGTCACAGGAGGAAGAGGTCGCGCGACTCGAATTATGAAGATGAGAACCAAGCTGAACAGTCGGAGCAGCCGGAGAAGCAGCAGAACGCCGACAGCGCCGAGAGGAAAATCCTGAGCCCGAAGAAGAAGCGAAGCAGAGATCAACTTGATAAGGAGGAACCTAAAGCCGGAGGTGTTGCTGAAAAGTCGGACAACAAGGTTCCTACTGAGAATGGAGCTTCGGAGAAATCTCCCACAGAAGGAGAGCCCGAGAAGAAGCGGCATCGCGATGATTCTCAGGAAAGAGATTCTGTAAGTAGACTGGTGCAAGCCGGGGTGTTGCTAGAGGACTTGACTAACATGACCTCTCAGGCTCCCATTAAAAGCGCATTCACAAACACTTCTGCCGTTTCCCCGTTTGGCTCAATCGGGTCTTCGAAAGCAAAGGAGGACGAGTCGAAGAAACCTGTCACCTCCAAGTCTGCCTTTGCCGCATCCAGTCTGGCCGCCTTCTCTGGTTCTGAGCAATCCCCATTTGGCTCTATCGGAGGTTCCACTACATCTGTTTTTAAATCCCCAGCTGCCACAGAATCCGGCAAACCTGCGACAACCGGTTTCGCGGCTGCAGAGGGCGCTTCGCCCTTCGCTTCGAAAGGATCCTCTGGATTTGCATCTTTGGGATCAGGATTCTCGGCCTTCAGCAGTGGTTTTGGTGCGGCAAGTGCCAAACCCACAGGGGGCTTGACCAGTTTTGCTTCTCCGGGACCCAGCTCTCTCACCAGCACTAGTAAGGTAAAGCCATTTGGAGCTGCGGAAGAGGAGGATGAGAATGAAGAGGATGAAGGCGAAACTGGTCCTAAGCAATTTGAAGAGGACAAGACTGATGAGAGATTCTTTGCACGGGAGAGTATGTGCTTACTGTCCCCCATTTTTCGTAGTTGCTCAAGCTAACGTGACAATAGTTCAAACGGGAGAGGAGGAAGAGAAAACATACTTCTCCTGCAAAGCCAAACTCTTCCAATTTTCAGACAAGGAATGGAGGGAACGCGGAATTGGCACGTTCAAGGTCAACGTCAGTGTCAAGGATGGCAAAGAAGACAAGAAGGCCGTCCGTTTGATTATGCGGGCTGACGGTGTCCTCCGAGTTATGCTGAACACGCCCATCTTCAAGGGCATGACAGTTGGAGACCCCTCGGGCAATGAGCCGAAATCGACCAAACAGATCCACTTGGCCAGTCTTGAGAATGGCCGCTCTGTCCCTATTTTGCTTCGAGTAAGTTATCCAGCACGTTCAGGATTGGGTCATAGTTACTAACAATTATACAGACGGGAAGCGAAGACCAGGCAAAGGAGCTTTACCACGTTGTCCGTGACCTCCTGGAGGAGCAATAAAAGCCACATCTGAGCACTAAATCTTGAAGACAATATACCACAGTCAAGGGTACCAGGTTTCCACCCCGGGGAAACATCCTACAGCCAGCTTCCTAACGGCAGAGCACTTGGTATTCCATCTAGATTACTTGGAGAGATGGAGCATTGAAGCTCTAGTGGGAATTCCCCCGTCTTCGTGTATTCCAATACTCAAGATTATCTACCAGCATTCCTTTTGCCTGAGCGAAAGGGTGTACCGATCTTTTACTTGGAGACAGAACCCATTGAGATTTGCCTATTGTGGCATCTCGGGAACATAACATACGGCAGGGATTGAGATGTGACTGGATTTCTTTTGTTTTTTTTGTATGGGAGGTATACAGTACTGCCTATGGGGGTATGGGTGGCATTTCTCTACAGTTGATTTGATTGTTTTCTTGATTACCACTATTCAATACATAATTTCATTGGAAGTCATAGTCATGTGCCTGTACAAATCCACCTCAATGCTACTGATACCATACCACAGCCTCGCGACGTGCAGGGGTTAGGACTAAGTGTTTTGTGTAGCCGCCAAACAATGATCTTGCCATCTGGATAAGGGCTGTCTAGTGTTTGCTGCGAGGCATCAGTTGAATGTCTTGAAAGCGCTTGTCGTGTATTGCTATTTGACAGCATATGCTAAAAATGATTGATAAGAGGGAAGATAAAAGTGGTATTCCAACTTGACAATATCTACATCATCACACTCATGATGGATCTCTTGATCTTCGCCCAACTCGTAGCAGTACAGGATTGCATATCCGATAGCAATGAGAGTATATTTCAAGAAGAAATCAAGTGTTGTGATCTTCCGTATGGCAGATTTAAATTCATCTCCCACACCCTGGCCTATTATGGTCAAACAACCTCTTTGTATGTATGTCTTTACAGACAGAGAATATTCACAAACGTGGAAACATGATGGAAATATAGATTGGAGAAGAGACTAACCGTATATGGCAATATTGAAATTATCACGTGATCCCGCGTTCTCTAGCCTTCCGAGATTCTCAATTCAATCCAAGACAATCTTTCTATCCCAACGACTTCATCATCACTATGGAGAATCGACATGGCTGGTCCAATGTCGAAGCAAGCATCAGATACTTCTATGTTAAAACGAAAGAGATGCCACGATGAAGAGTCTAGCGAGAGCAAGCCCGCGGACGTCTCCAGTCAAGACACCGCGTCACATTCAGACATTATAGAACCAGCACAACCTGAGAAGACAGACAATCAATCTCAGCTAACAGAAAAAAAACCCCGAGGAAGACCTAAAAAATCTCAACCCAAGAAGCCTCAGTCCGTGTCACAGAATGCCAATAATGGCAATTCCAAGCGCACCAAGAAGACCGTGCCGAAAAAGAGATCCCCGTCTGGGCCCTGGCCGGATCAATTAAAAAGTGTTTCGCGGATTCATCGTGCTTTGAATATCGTTTATACATTCTGCTGTACGAGGAAGCACTTTGCTACGACTTTTGATAATATTAAGCAGGCCGTTCAAGCGCAGTTGGGAGGCCAGGAACTTACCATCGAAGATGTTGCGAGGGTGAGGGTTCTCATGCCTCGGGCTGTGCGATTTGAATATGTCGATGATGCGAAATTGGAGGTTATGACGACTGGGGAAAAGGACACGGTAGATTATAGTTTACACGGGGATATGGGCATCCAAGTCCAACACAGTTTGTTGTTCGAATTCCTCGACGGCGATCTGAAGCGGCAGGTTTCACACCCCCAAACCGGGGAACCGACCAAGCCAATGCGCAGGATGAAGGACGAGGATCTGAAAATGCCGGTCTACAGCCAGAAGCAGATGCTGGCGTTGATCGAGAAGCGGAATACCAAGTTTTCCGACGCTGTCGACGCTTTCTTGGTCCTGTGTGAGGATGACCGCTTAGATCCAGTGGCGAGGCTGGAGCAAGAGAAGGATGCATTCGTGCCTACCCTTCCGGACAGTGAGGCAAACACGCCCGCTGTGTTGGCTGCGCCGCGTGAAATCCCCAAAGAACGCAAGACCATCTCTGAGATAATAACTGAGATTCGGGAGATGGATTGGTACTCGGCGCAGATTGTTCCAGATGGTCACCGTGTTTTTGACGCGCAGCCTTCAGTTTATGGGGACTTGACGTTTCAGCTTTCTCAGAATTTAGTTAACGCATTGTATAACACCAAAGGCATCACGCAGCTCTACTCCCACCAGACAGAAGCGATCAATCACCTGTACGATGGTCATAACGTCATTGTTTCCACTTCCACCAGTTCTGGAAAATCACTGATCTACCAAGTTCCAATGCTACATGAGCTCGAAAGAGACCCTAGTAGCCGAGGGATGTACATATTCCCCACCAAAGCCTTGGCTCAAGATCAGAGACGCAGCCTGAAGGATCTACTACAGTATATTGAAGGCTTGCAGGATACCATGATTGAGACTTTTGATGGAGACACGCCCATGGAAATTCGCAATCTTATCCGTGACGAGGCACGCATCATTTTCACAAACCCAGATATGCTGCACATTACAATCTTACCACAAGAAAGTTCCTGGCGTACCTTTTTGAAGAACCTGAAGTTCGTTGTGGTTGATGAACTACATGTCTACAACGGGCTATTTGGATCTCATGTTGCCTTCGTCATGAGACGGCTACGCAGGATCTGTGCGGCAGTAGGAAACCGACACGTCAAGTTTATATCTTGTTCAGCTACCGTGGCAAACCCGGAAGACCATATGAAGGCGGTATTTGGCATTGATGATGTGCGGTTAATCGATTTCGACGGCTCCCCGTCTGGCCGCAAGGAGTTTATCTGTTGGAATACGCCTTTCAAAGACCCCGGAGACCCAACATCAGGGCGTGGAGACAGCGTAGCAGAAACTGCACGGCTATTTTGTCAGTTGATCCTCAGAGGGGTAAGAGTGATTGCATTTTGCAGAATCAGAAAATTGTGCGAGATTCTCCTTCAGGCCGTGAGGAATGAGTTTCACAATCTTAACTGGACGGAAATTGGTAGGCTTGTTATGGGATATCGGGGTGGTTACAGTCCTCAAGACCGGCGACGGATTGAGAGAGAAATGTTTGAGGGAAAGCTCATGGGAATTGTCGCAACCAACGCTCTCGAACTTGGCGTTGATATCGGCTCTCTTGATGCTGTCATCACGCTTGGATTCCCTTATTCGATTTCAAACCTGCGCCAGCAAAGTGGTCGAGCTGGACGCAGAAATAAAGATTCCCTCTCCATTCTTGTTGGCGATAAGTTCCCGACAGACCAACACTACATGCAAAATCCAGATGAACTATTCACCAAGCCAAACTGCGAGCTGCAGGTAGATCTTTCGAACGAACTCATTTTGGAGGGACATGTTCAATGTGCAGCATTCGAAATGCCCATTCGACCGGATGAGGATAGCATTTACTTTGGCGAGCAACTTTCAGAATTTGCGGCAACGAGACTAATGAAAGACGACTTCGGGTTCTATCACTGCCACGAGAGATTTCGACCACAGCCTTCCCGATGCGTTTCAATACGAGATACTGAAGAACAGCATTTTGCAGTTATAGACACCACCAACGCACGAAATATGGTTTTGGAGGAGGTCGAAGCCTCGCGTGCAACCTTCACGATCTATGAAGGGGGCATATTTCTCCACCAGGGTCAAACATACCTAGTGAAGGAGCTCAACACGGACCGGCAATTTGCTCGTGTTGTTCGCGTGCAAGTTGACTGGAATACGATGCAACGAGATTTCACCGACATTGACCCTATCGAAACCGATAACATGCGCCTGATAAGTGTTACGTCAGATTCGCGCGCTTTCTTCGGTTCTGTCCAGATTCATGCCGTTGTTTACGGTTTCTTCAAAGTCGACAAGCGTGGCCGCGTGCTAGATGCTGTGTCGGTGGATAACCCACCCATTGACATCCTCACCAAAGGCATGTGGCTCGATGTGCCCAAACGGGCTCTCGAGATTCTTGAGTCACGACATCTCAACATTGCTGCCGCCATCCATGCAGCCGAGCACGCCATTCTTTCTTTGATGCCTACCTTTGTCATTTCATCCCCCGGGGATGTCCGAACAGAGTGCAAAGTAGCCAAAAAGGAATTAGGGAGGAACCTTAAGCTTGCGAATGGGGCATCAGAAGGCATAAATAAGCTTCAGCCACCTGCGCGGCAACGGCCAGCGCGGTTAACCTTCTATGATGCGAAGGGTGGCCCGTGTGGCTCCGGAATTGCCGGCAAAGCATTTGAATTTATTGACGTTCTTCTCCGCCGTGCGGTTGCGCGCATCGAGGCCTGTGATTGCATTACCCCTAACGGTTGCATTGAATGTGTCTGCGACGAACGGTGCAAAGAGATGAACGTGGTGATGAGCAAGGTAGGCGCTGGTGTTGTATTGAGATGCCTGCTCGGTTGGGAGGTAGACGTCGACTCTTTGCCCTGGGGTGAAGACTTTGATGGCGAAGAGGGAATAGGCGAGCTGGCTGGTGGGTTAGAGACTGTGGTTGCAGCGACTGAAATTCCCTGGGGGAACCGGCGCGCACCTTGACATATCATAATGGTAATGAGCCCATATACTCTGTACAAATACTTTCAAAACATCAATAGACCTTTTTGTAAGATCATAGGAGATATATAGTACATATTCTCGTACATCAGATCTGTGGATATAGAATATCCAAAATAATACTAAATGATAAGATAATAAAAGGGTTAATAAGGCCAATCCTGGTCGAGCTCTATATATAAACCGTACAATGACCAAGAAATTCAACCGAAAACAATGTGGTATAATATGCAAGAAAAAAATGTTGACCAGAATGCCGACCCAAAAAATATACAGCAGAGAAAACAAAAATTGGGTATTCGCTTTTCCATGCCCATGTATGTATGTACTGTACTTTCCATATTTACTCATCCATAATGATGAGCAAGAAAGACAAAAAATAAAAGTCATCAATCCCTAATGAGCTCATGAAGGGGTATATGAACGAATGATAAAGAAGAAAAAGTCAGAAAGAGCTCATGGTGATATGACTGATCTATTCATCGAGATTCGAGACGACACCGAAGTTGGAGAGCAGGAATTAAATAAATGTAGATAACCGAGGCATGGGTGCCTAAGATTGTGTCCACCAGAACAAGAGTGACAGGAAAGACAGCATGTCTATTGTCTATCCTTGCTGTAGTGGATACGAGCTACCCCAAAAGGGTTGGAAAAGTGGGGTGTGACGCATGACAAGTCCCTTTTCCGAGGCAAGAACGAATATATCCATCTGTGCCACCAAGGATTGATTTGTTCGCAGACGTTGGCTATTCATTGAGTGGAATCAAGGATGACCATGACGGATAGGAAGGCCGGCAGAAACAGGGCTTTTGTCGCTTTCAGTATCATCCAGGTTGATCTTCCAAAACAAGGTCTTCATATCTCGAACACTTTGCCGGAAGTCATCGCGTGGGTTATTGATCCTTTCGTCGGTCATTGCGCGGATTTCTCGGATGATTTCAGGGCATCCTTCGTCGTTTGGTAGCCACCAGTGGTTGAGCTCTGGCATCTGCCAGAGTGTGGCCAATACAGTTCGAAATTTGGGGGGCAAAACGTATCTATACGAGGGAAAAAACATTATCAGCCTCGTATCATAACAATTGAGTTACCCGTGGCAGTGGCACTCTAACGAAAGGCAAAATTAGATCTTACCCAGCTTGCTCCATAAACGCTAATTTCCTTCGGCTCCACATTGCGTATTTGTGACCCTTGGGGAGGAACATACTGGCGATTCCAATACTGTTTTTGAAAGCGAAAATATACCCGTTTTCTTTCTCCGGCCAGCGCACCATGGTCTCTATCAGTCGACATTGTTCCAACGCCAAACTTTCCAGATCTGATAACGGAGGTTGCTGTAAAGTGAGAAACGATTGGTACTGAAACATGGTTTTGGTGCTAAGATAGTCGATCCAGGCATAATTCACTTCCCACAAAGGGCCGTAGTGCAGACCACCAGGAATGTAAGGATCGACAATGTCATCGTCGGATAGCGGGGTCTTGTGGGGATAGGCCTTGATAGTGCATTCTGAATCATTAAATCTAACCAGGATCGCCTTGATTCTCTCCAATGTTTGCGAGAGCTTTTCATTCTCAGCAACGAATTCTTCGATTGGGATCAGGCCCCGTGATAATTTGGCATATAAGGATGCCATATCCAGCCCGAACCGACGGTTGATCGACGCACTCAGTACAAGTTGTTTATCTGGATCATTCGGATACAAGGCGGCTTGGTGGGCGTCGTATTCCTCTTTGGCAGTGTACCATTCACGACCAAGAACCGTCTCATTACCAGCCAAAATGCCCGCCACAACGTCGAATCGTGCATACCAAAGGAATATATGGGAGTGGAGTTCGTTCATGTTCGTCGACTCGGGTGTCAAAAGCTCACGCATTAGGGCATGGGCAGCCTGATGGTGGTCGATGAGATTGACCCAATCACCTATAAATTCCTGGAAAATTATGAGCAAGAGGTTCAGATACAAAAAAGTAGAGCCAAAAGCATAAGGAATAAACTGGAAAAGAATCGATCCATACCTCGAATGTTGTAAGCACGAGCACAGTTATCAACGTCGCTTCACTATGCCCCATCCCCGAACCCAAGGACTTTCGCAACAAGACCAAGGCTTTGTTGTAATATTTGAGAAATGTATACATCTTTCCATTGGCGGTTTGTAGGGAATGATGGTATGCGGAAAAGCCGACCACTGCATAGAGAAGAGGTTCGTATTGTAAAGCAAACTCGATGATACTCTGATGAACGAAGCGATCACTGTTTGGTTTCAGGAAATAATGTCGATATGTAAGGAATTCCTGGTGAAAGGCAAGATAGAACCGCACATCCTCAGGCAACTGGGCTGTACCAGGGAAAGCAAAGGGCTCCTGCGAGAAAAGACCGACACTGACCGACCGTGCACTCATCGACTCGGTCGACGGTGAACTTCCCGGACTGTATTCTTTACGGGAGACAGTCGTGTCTTGTTTTGTTCTGCGCCTCCTCAGGGACTGAGTACTGTGTCGTTTCGGGAGACCAGGTCTAGACCTGGTCGTAGCCGCGGACGGCGACAATCGATACCCAGACCCGACACTTCCCTCTTCGTCCTCATCTTCATCGGCGATGGGCTGAAGCGCACGACTTTCTTCATGTTCGGCCCTATCGGATGAGTCACTGCCCTGAGACTGAGGACGAGATCCCTTGGATTTGGGCCCTGAGCGGAAACCCGACTTGGATGACGATGGCGATGGATAGACACAGTCCCGACTTCCTTTTCTGCATCTGTCGCAAATGGGCCGAGTCTCGTCGCACTTGATGCGGCGGGATCGACAAGTGAAGCAACCGCTTCTGGTGCGTTTGTGCTTTTTCTGATCCGGAACGGGTTGCAGCAAGGGCTGCTGCTGTTGCTGTTGCTGCTGCTGTTCTTGAGAAGATGGGTAAGACCCGGTTGGGATAGGCAGGCCAGTAGATTGCTGAGGATGAGTAGCCCCTGGAGAATTATGCCAAAAGGCCCCACTCTCGGGGTAATGGCTCTGACCGAAGAGGGAGTGGCTGGAGAGTTGAGCTGGTTCCTGGAGATGCAAACCCGAATCCTGAAGATATCCTGTCAAGGTGGCTTGGGACGGGGGGTATGAGTGCGCCATGGTCGTCGCCAGCCGAATTGCATCCAAGGAGCAACGCGGGTTCGAGTCCAAAGGGCCGGCATAAGCTGGAGAGATCAGCTTGACGCTTGAACGAACGACTGGATGAGGACCCAGGCAACTCGCATCATCCGAGGAGGGAGGGGAAGAGGGGTCGATCGTGATGTAGTGGAACGCTTTGTCTAGTTGAGAAGGAGAAAAGAGGAGGAAGGAGGGGGACAAGAAAGAGAGACTAGAGGGAGATGAGATAACAGTTGGGATGGGGAATAATGTCCGTCGGTCCGTCTAGTAGTCGTAGTAAGAGTAGTAGGAAGAGTAGAAGAAGAAAACAACAGCCAAGCAGAAAAAAAGACCAAAAGGAAGACTCTAAGAAGAGAAGAAGAACTGCTTGTCACTAAAGCACAAGCTAAGGCTGTAGTTAATAATAATATTAATCAAATAAAAAAAATAATGGAGACGGGGAACAGGTCCGGATGTCGGTTTTGTCGGGGACCACCATGTGAGGGCATTCTTGGGTAAATGAGAGCCCTCGTCCCCGGTTGTGGCATTTCCTATCAATCTTTCTAGCATCGTCTAGTTTCGTCGACCCCAAACGCATCCATGATTTCTTTTTTACTTCCTTTTTGCTCATCGTCATACTGTGATGGCAATAATCGTTCTCATATGATCGGCCGACCGAGTACCTCGCCAGTCAACCAGTTCGCCCCCAAGTCCGAAGGCGAAAAAGAAACCACCAGCACAGAAAAAAAAAATAATAATAATAAAACATAATTTAATCAATGGTTCTTGAATCTCTCCCAATAAAATTAACTTTGGATATATGAGATGCCAATTACTGATATGTATTATTAGTATCCAGTAGTGTTTAGTGTCAAATGTCGACAATTATTGCCTGATCGAATCACTACATGCTACTATTTGGTGGAGTTGCTTTTCCGTCTTCCCCATCCCATGATATCCCATACCAGACTGCCATCATCACACTAAAAGTCCGGGGCACTAGGACTCATCATGTCCCGATAAAAAAGATACTACCTAGGCTCATGGGTTTCAGCCCGGCGCATCTGCCCCGGGTTAATCTCCAGGCGCTGGCCGCAAAAGCCAAGATGGGTCGGCGGCTCCAATGCCATCTAATGAGTTAGCCTGCCAGACCTTTTAGTGCCACTACTCACTAGTATGTTATTACCCACGATCTTTGTCATTTCCCAACCCCACTCGGCCATTCCCCAGGGAATTGGAGGTTCAGCTGCAGGGCAAAAAAGGTACGGGAAAACCGGGTACCCAGAATTCCATGGAACGAGATAGACTCTGCACTGGAAGTATCATCAGTTGATCAGGAAAACTTCTGCGTAGCAACAAGAAGTGATGGCTTTCCGTCGGATGCGAGCGATGAGGGCTTGAGCGGCATGGTTGGCCGATCCGCGGTGCTAGACCAGTCAATCAAGAGTTGCTGGATGCTACATGGCATTGTTAAGTGGGCCCCAACCACAGCTTGTGAAGTTTGAGCCTTTGAGGTGACGGTCCCGGGGGAAAGGTCGGATTTCAGAACTATGCTGCATAAACACAGCCATGTCATTTACTTTCCGTTATGCAGTGGAATCTGATTCAGGTACCTTTTGGAACGTAGTCAATCCCTGTGCAAATCGGACCATTGAGAGGCCAAGCCATGAGTATCCATAAACGGTCGATGATGCAGCCTGCGCCTCTCAAAAGGGGTGAATATCGCGTCGCGGCGCCGATATAACTCTCTTTCTGGCATTCTGGTTGATTGAACTGGGTTGATTGTGTTTCGTCGGCAAACCCGAAACTTCGACTAGCACTGGCGCAGGCAAAATTGCCGAAACGTTTATCCCAGGGTGGACCCGGAAAATGGCTGAGGCGTTCCACGAGCCCACTGGGAGACGCCTCCCCCATTTAGCTCGCCCTTGGGGAAAGACAGACGAACTGCTCAGGTGCCATCAGGTCTTGTGTACTGGTAATTTCTTCATGGTTCGTCATCTCATTCATCCCTTGTTTGACCGCTGTTCGGCCGCCAGATTGCCACCGTAGATAATGGCCTGTGCTGCTTCTGGTTGAACAATAATGCCCAGAAATATAAATGCTTTCCAGCGATTATCTGCCTGCCTCCGGAGTGCGGCGACTGCCACTGGTTATTTCCGTGCAGGGCTCGGCCTTGTCTTCGCCCTTGTCTTCGCCGAACGAGCTCCGCATTTGCAGTACAATATCCACTACCCACTACTCGGCATTGTCGGATGTCTCTGAGGGCTGCACTCCTGATCGACAACAATGAGGGTTTGACTATGACAGTTTGACAGCAGGACCAGTGTCGAATGCCTTTGGCCCAGAGAAGATCTAGGTTATATTTTAGAATAAAAGTTTAGGGCGGAAAAGACGGCACTACTCCATCCACTAAGTAGTTAGTGATCCAATATCTCAGATGGCTGGGGCCGGGAAAAGACTTAGTAGTGTGTCTCTCTCGTATCAACTGTCGTATAGAATGTCGTATTTGCATACCTCATCCAGCGAAGAGCGAACCCACAGTGTCGATTGATATTAGATGAGCGAGTGAACGGATCAGCGGAGTTGTAACCCGTATGTATGTTTTTCCCGTCTTTTTCGTCATGACCCTAGAACCAAAGCTTGAATATGATGCATGACTGATCCTGCTGAGAGTTTTCCTAGGATGCCGAGTCAGAGTGGAGTTTTCAGGTGGATATGGATTGAAGATTAGCCATAATACCTGATAACTGTATGATGAAATCTGCCTCTTCCGCATTCTCTGCCGGTGAGGAGGAGAGCTGATTGATCCTACCAAACAACGGCAATTAAGGGTGAAGAGGAGGGCCACAGTCAGCCATGCAGTAAGTCCGGCTTACCTCCCAGACTATTTGCTGAGCCAGCACGATGATCCCTGCAAGTTCCAATTTCCCTGGATGTGGAAAGAAATGGAGGATTTCAGGATTCTCCACAAGCTACATGCCCATAGTGGCTAAGGACCACATCATTCATTATTCTGATGCCCCGTTATTGTTGTACTGGGTACCCTGAGTCACTGGCTGGATGGATAGTTTGCTTTGTCCGTCTCTTTGGTGTACCTGGACTGTCAGGTCAACAACAAGGACCTTGGTTTAATTTGGTGACACCCTCCAACCCTAACTCTATCGATGGCCGTGATCATGGCTACAAACTCCCTGGACAAAAAAGGTAGCAATGTGAAATGAGATGGACCATGGTTGTGTATCAGCACTAGCACGTAGAGTCGTAGTTGGACAGCGGGAGTAAAGTGGACTGTTGAAGGATGGAGACAGCAAGGTACAACTGCTATCCCCACTGCTATCAGCAAATGGTCCACCAGGTAGAATTAGATTGATTGAATAATTTGACAGATCCTTACTTTAGTTGAAGAGGTCCAAGTCTTTGGCCATAGATATCCACAAATAGTTGGTCTGAGCCTGACTCATTTCTCTCGGGGAAATGGTCAACGGTGATGGCTATAACAGTCACGGCAATGCCTTCTTGGACTTTCAGAAAAGAAGCCACAACACAAGGGTTGTGAGTCCAGCGATGGAATGGTGCATAAGTCTGACAGGATAAGGTGGGGGAGAGTAACAGGGCAGAGGAGGCTTTGCGTCAATACAAAGCTAATATAAGGCCTAAGATGTTTATAGGAATAAGTTGGATACAGGCGGAAAATTCCGTGCGTGGGAAGGGAGTCATCGCTGCCGAAACAGACCAGAGTGGAAAGGCACCTTGCCTAATGCCTACCTACGTACAGTCGGTCCCATCGAACCGTTTTTCGCCCAGCCCTCTAGATTGCCCATATCAATCTTACGGTTTAGTCAAGCTTTACAAATGGTCTCGTAGGTAGGGAGATTCTCGAAAGAGGACGATTTGGATTTCTATTCGATCAATATGCCTCCAACCCATGGCCCGCCGGACTTGTCAACAACTGAAATCTGATATAGATTTTTAACTATACGATGGTTTAAATTGCATAATTTAGTTTTTCTAAAGACATGGTGACAGCCATATTGCCTACTGTCTTGATGGTATCTTCGTGTGTACATACGCAAGATGAAAATCGTAAGTCATATCAACCACCGTCATGGAAGCCCCCATACCAAATGCATTTCTCACATGCATCATTTGAGCCTTTAAATTTTTTTTCTGTGCTTGTAACACCATCTGATGCTAGATCCCACGTACCCGTTTCTCATTGTTTTTCGTTCCTCAGCTCCTGGATCGCAAGTTGTATTCCTTCAATAACAACCCCCCACTCAACCTCGTGGACCTTCTGTGCAAATTTTTGTAGATCCTCGTCTTCTCCCTTGACGAAAGGAATCTCTCGGACAAGGATCGGAGTACCCATATCAACTTCAGAAATTACCTTGTGGATCATAACACCGGTCTTGTCGATCTTGCCTTCCAACCAAGCAGCATGGGCGCGCTCAATGGCATTCTGGATAGTCAATTAGCATTAAACCTTCAAATACCATACCATAAAGTCTCAAAAGCGGCAGGTAGAAAGTATCTGGAAAAAGAAGGATAACTCACAGCTCCATTAAAAGCTCCCGGTAGCGCGGGATGCAAGTTGATAATGCTAACACGGGCTGCCTCCAACGGTTCTAGGAACTTGGGGGACAGCACATGCATGAAGCCTAAGCAAGCCACCATATCCGGGGAGTCAGCAAGGACCAGCCTTGCCAGCTCTGCATCGTACTCTTCGCGCGCAGCCTGCACTCCCTCCGGGGTCGCAGGGTGTTGCTTCTTGTATTTCACCAGATTGTGGTAGTGTGTAGGTATATCTGCCCGTCTTGCTCGTTCAAGACCGAAAGCATCCTTGCGGTTTGACAGGACTCGGACTATTTTTGTGGGGAGCGCGCCTGCGTTGGTCTGGTCGATCACTGCTTGCAGATTGGAGCCGCTGCCTGATATCAGGACCGTGAGACGGACTGGGGTTTCCATGGCGTTTCTTATTTAGGATCCAGCAGTAACTCGATAGCAGTATATGAGTGGTATGGTAACTAGGTGGCAGGTCACTTTCGTGATGCGGGAAAATTTTCGTTCCCCGCTTTGAATCAACCGGACGTGTGCAATTGAGTAGGGTTTCGAGGCTTGTATATAAAACCGCTATGGCAAGAAGGAACAATGATGGAATCAGTCAAGATAATCAAAGCTTCGATTCCAAAAAATTGCGCCTTTCTCTGTAGAGATCAAGTCGTGATGGAGCGCGGGGTTCGAAAAACGACGTGGGCTGGATGAGTCAGCGTGGTCGATAGAGGGGCGGAGATGCGGGGCATGTGATTTGTCCCTCTCCGCCCCTCCGCCTCCGCTAGGATCTATATCTGTGTTTCAGATCGTATATCCACCACAATCTTCAGGGCTACAAAGTACAATGGCTTCTTTGTTAAGTAGAAATAGGCAGACATCAGTGATGGTTCTTTGTTGGGTGTAGAGGCCATCATTTTCCAATTTTCTAGACGCCATGCTTCTCTTTTAGCATTGCTGTTGCACCAAGGTTTCATACAATCTACTCATACCCCCAAAACAATCGTCAACCAAGACGGCCAAAATGGCCGTGACTAATAGCATGCGGCTTCGGGAGGCTTTTCGGATACAAAAAGGACTTCATCAACCTCAAACCATGAAGGATGGCCCTTTCCGGGCCGCCGTCCCCATAACGTGTGGGTATTTGGTAGGCCCTGCATTGGATGTCCGCATATACCCTGGTAGCAGTGATTGGATATTCGTATGCATAGTGACTCCTAAATATATACTTCGTTGAAACAAAACTGCTGATCATATTATTCAAGATTGACCCTGTTACCAATACAGCACACCATGACTTCCGTGCCCATGCTCAAACAGGGGATGAGGGCTACGCTTGCACCATTCATTTTAAAGATACCCTGAAACTGGACGACAAGGCCAAAAAGGTACTGGAATGGGTATCTGATGCGGAGTCAACCAAATATGACGATCATGAATGGTTCATTACACCGGTTTTTGAGACCAGTGATCCACACGCCAAATGGTTGGAAGAGTTCTTGTTAATTGGATAGGGGCGTTTCACACTCAAAGAAGAGAAATAATTCGCCGTGGATTATGAGTTTTACAAGGTGGTCAGCAACTACGAGCCCCATGAACGCCCATGTCAAGCTTAGCCATCTGTACATGTCAGGCATTGGTCTATAGAGAACAGGCGAAACGTATCATCGTCGCAAAGTAGGAGCAGAAAATCAAAAGCAAAAGATGATTAGGGTACAAAAAGGTTTCGTTAAATCAAATACAACAGCAGAAGAAAAATGGGTAAAGAAAAGGATGGGAACCCCTTAGGTAACCGAAATAATGACGCCGGCATTTGTTGAAAACAGAAGCAGGCCCTACTATCCCAGAAACAAGAAGTCTAAGCACTATCCAGATAGGGAATTCGTTCAATCCTCAAAATAAAAACATCACATAGAAAGGTACAGGAGCCTGCCTGGTCGTGCAAAAAAACATCCAAAAAAAAACATCCAACCCCAAGTTCAGCTGCAACAGGATTCTTTGTTCCTAACCAGTCGCATTGGGGGAACCATTGCGCATCTGTCCACGAATATCATGTACAATTGACGACACTCAATAATATTCCTCGAGGCTTCATGAGGGTGAGAAACAAAAAGGGATATGAGAATAGAAAGGGTGGAGGGGAAAAAAAAAGCACATTGGGTAATTCGACACGAAGAAAACATATTGCAAATGGATATCCATAAAATAAGAAACCAATGAGGGGAAACAATTCGTTAGGCTATCAAACAAACGCTTCATGCTAATACTCGGGTGACAATCAACTTAAGGTCTAGAAAGGTATTGAGGTATGTCCTTGCAGAAGAGATAGAGACTGAATATTTCATGACATCAGGCTGTAGCGCCCTGCATGCCTGGTGTTGGGTTAGTGTTGGACGTTTCAGCTACGCCCTGGCCTCGGCAGAGCGGGCAAGAGTTACGCCCCGTTGTCAACCACTGCGAAATCAATCAGTACATGAGCCTTGTGTTATAACGTTTTTTGACGTTGGGTATATCAACGAACCTGGTCTATGCAATCTCTGTGGAAGATATGCTTGCATTTGTCCAGTTCTCTCAACTCCTCGGCCGGTTCATAGTCACTTAAACAAATCAGACAACGATCGCCATCGGGAATCTGAATGGCGCCAGCACCATCCAAAGACTCCGCGACCAATGATCCAGCGTATTCCACGAGACGGAATAAGCCACCGGCAGTACTGACGTCCTCCTGAGTGGCAACAGGCGGCTTCGCTGGGCCTAGGAGTGACGAAAGCAAAATCATATCTTCGTAGGTTGGGTTCTAAATTCTAAGTCAGCTACAGTTTTAAAGCGGATTGCACTGTCCTTACATCAGTGAAGAGGCTTGGGGTTGCAAAAGCAGGGTGGTTCTCCGAAAGATTTGTTCCGACAACGTAAATTAGCCAACTTCGGCCTGCAGGGGGAGTTGAGTTGTCAGGCTCAACAACACCGTTGCGCCTGACCGCGCCTGACCCAAGATCACGATGGCGAGCAAATTCAGAATCACTGCGTCGGCGTTGGCGGGCCGTATTCAACGGAACACTGTCTTCAGTGGGCTCAACACTGGGTTGCAAAGATTGATTTTCGTGGAGCTGGGGCAAAGTATTGGGTGACATTGCAGATGCAGATGACGGTCTGCGGTTCGGGGTTGAAGCGCCTGAGGAAACCGCTGAAAGGCCCGGTTCAGCAGGCGTTGAAGGGGGAGGATGAGGCCCCGGAGGACTTTCAGACAAAGAAGTAGGAAGCGACGAAACTGGGCTGCGAACCCCAGCATCAGAAAGCCTGCGGGCTGTGCTTGGAAGCCCATGCTGGTGAGTAGTGTCGTTACTAGCAGCTAAGGAACTAGGGCCCCCAACTTGAGGGCGGTGGGGAGCTAATCTGGATCGGCCATCAGGACGCGGAGGCAAGCCTGTGGCATTGTCGTGGTTCCGTGGTGCATTTCCCGGCGACAAAAATGGCAATCGTAATAAAGCGTCTAGACCAGGACCTGGTGTAGCGGGCTGTTCGCTGCCGGATCCAGGGCTTGATGGGACAGATCTCACACCTACTACAACCAGAGTGACAGTGCGTCCTTCAGGGCCATCCATGGGATTGTCGACATCCATTCCATCTGGCTGGCTGCCCTGATTATCGGAATCTGTTGCAGGGCGATTTGGTGTGGCAGGGGCTCTCGGGGATTCGGAGTTAGCAAAGCGGAAAACTCGCAAAAAGTTCACCGGAGGCGATGGTCCATTATCCCCTGGGGAGTTTGGAGGATCATTCGGCGTTGTAGAATTAGTCTGTGTCGATGTGGCGTGCTGCAGGCTCTGTATGAAGTTTTCCAATGAGCCATCCAGCCCATCGTTTCCTAAAGCCTGGATGTTGGGTAGGACTGGGCCAGTAGTACCGGAAAGTTGGGCGGCTATGGCAGCGGCAGCCAGCTGGAGGACACGCGACAAAGGTGTTTGTTCCTCTCGCCGCAAAACCCGGGAAGGCCGTGCTCGTAAAATACCCGGGAAAGGTCGAATTCCAGAAGGTCCATGTGCAGATTGCGATGAGATGGGAGACGTCGGGCGAGTGCTTCCAATTGCTGGCTCAACGGAATCTAGTTCATGAGGTTCATCAAAATCCATACTGGTGTCCATGGATCTTGGGTGGGGAAGAAATGGATCAGAATCGGCACTGGATAATGAGTGCGTGGGTGCATAAGGCGGCGCACTTCCAGTGGTTTGACCTGAGATGCTATTTGACGGTTGGCCAAACATATGAGAGATCGGGGTTGATATTGAGTTCCGAACACGATTTAATCGAACGCTTCGACGCCAGGATCCTCTGCCAGAATCAGGGGCGCGCTCAGTGGAAGACTCAAAATGAGTAGGATTCAAAGGTGGGTCAGATCCCAGGGCCGGATCACTACGCGGAATGAAATAAGGCCCACGAATCGAGCGTCGTCTCGTGATGCCTCTCGAACCAAGCGAGCTGAAAGGACTGAAACGGCTACTGCTATGAGTAGTTTCGGACCTCGGGATGGTTCTCGATACGATGCCATGGCGATGAGCGTGACCCTCGGCGGGCGTTTCCTCTTCGCTGCTAAGAAGGCCACGTATTACTGAGTTTGGGAGAATCCTGGATCCAAGCCTTGACATAGTGGACTGCCTTCTAGCAGCCATGCGGGCAATTGCTGAGCGATATTCCCGTTGGCCAATTTCAGCCTGCGATCCGTCTTCTTCTCGAATGCTTCTCATTTGTCCTGGTCCTGCCGATCCGCCGTTTAGGGTTGTTGATGGCTGCCATGTCTCCGATCCTAATTCCGACGATCCCGGCGGGAAGTTCGGCATGCCATCGTTATTGAGTTCTGTCCCCGGGGAGCTGAATTCCCCAGCTTGCTCAAAGTTCTGTCTATTGTTCATCTCTTCATCCCTATTTTCCTGGCGACGTTGTGATTGAAATGGTACAAAGTAATCGTGAGGGCTAGTGTGGCGTTGGTCTCTTTGCGTAGAGGAAGACTGTCCCATAGTAACAGAGTACAGGAAAGGGACGTAGGGTGGAACTTCAGAAACCGCCTGTTGCCATGGAAAACGCGAATGACTAAAATATACAGGAAAATTTAGTTAGTTGGGAGCCATGGGAGCAGTCTGCAGTTTGATTAAGACAACAGAGGTGATGAAGGGACGGTGGGCGCCAAAGCAAACGCTGCAGGAGATAGCCGGTAATGCGAGGAGGCGAGTATCAAAAACAGTTGAACGTTGGGGGTTTTTGACAGCAGGACATCTATACTTACCATTGGAGGAATTAAAATGGATCACACAATTTTCAATTTTCAAGCGAGAATTTATCCAGGTGATGTTGGGAGTTGATATAGTCTTGTCGGCGTAATGTGGGGAGCGAAGTGTCCACGCCGCGGTCTTCCAGTGTCGTCAAGAGGTTCCTAGGTAATAACAACGAAGGACAATAAAATACGAGGCTTTTCAAATGTCGAGGAAATATGCGAAGGTACTCTCAAGGCAAGGGACAATCGAGATGCAGAGGAGAGTCGTGGGGGATTCACACCGGGGTACGTGGTGATTTCGAGTCCGAATGGGTTAATAAATTAAGAGGATGATCGACCCCACGACAGCCAGGTCTGAAGGGGAAGAAGAATTGCAGATGAACTGGAGGGAGAAACCCCTACCAAGTAGAGTGATGAAGCGAGTGTGGAGGAGCTGGCGTGTCGACGACAGCGGCCAGACGGTGATGGAGATGGTGGTGGTGATGATGATGATAACGGACAGAGCGAGAGGGTAAGATCGGGCTGCTGCTTACCTAGGCCCTCTAAAGCTCACCCGCGCTAGTTGGGTGACTAATTCACAAGTGCGGTTTCGGCGTTTTTGATTAGTCAACGTGTTCGACATCCTTGTCCGCCGGCCCGAGTGGCAGGCTGTGATAGGTCGGGCCGGAAGTCGGAAACGGAGCTTGTGGGCCTGAGGCCTGCAACTTTAGAGCCTTGCGCTTCTAGATGATTGATACAAGTATCTGGCTTTATTTTTTGGTTGGTTAGATTCTTTCTTATCATCTTGCTGGTGATATTATATTGCCCCTCACTACCTCTCACTAATCTGATATAGGTGGTGATTGGTGATTTATTTCTACGAAGCAGAGAAAGAGGGAAAAAAAAAAAAAAAGAAAGAGAAAAAAGTCCATGTTTTTCTAGGCCCAGATAACTCAACTCTCATATCAGTTGCCGATCTCCATGGGCACTCGACTTCTGCTGTCAAGGGACAAGCCATTCGCTTCCTGACCATTGAGGTCTTCATGGATTCTGCTTCTTTTCCTTCGGCATCGGTGTTCTCCTTGCCACTTCCACCATGGCAACAACCCCTCAGCGCGCGTGTAGCTCGATACGAGCCTAGGAAACGCAAGAAGGACTCTGATGACTGGGGCGATGATGATGAAGATCTCGAGGGCGAAACCACAGACGCTGTCTCTGAGGCTACGCCTGCTCCCTCGCTGATATTGTCACCGGATGAAGCCCACCAATATCGCGTTGCCGGCCTGTCTTTCGATAAGGAATTGCCAGGAGGACAATTTCCACATGCAGCACCCAGAGACGAAAATTCTAAAAGGGAAATGCCCGGTGATGTTTTGAAAGGCCTGTCCTCTTTGTCGCCTCCAATATTCCCCCCACAGTCAGCTGCTCACCGGGGAAATCTACGTCTCCAACATTTCGCCGTTATCACGGCTATTCTACACCGCTCTCTTCTCAAAGGCGATTATATCCGCGCGGGACGAGCATGGGGACTGATTCTCCGCGAAGAGTTTGGTGGTTCTCCAATTGATGTGCGAACAGAGGGCAGGTGGGGCATAGGCGCGGAAATTCTGCTTCGACGAGGTCGTCAAATATCAAGCATTTCATCTGGATCTGGAAGGACAGCCGAAGAAATAAACCAACCAGAAAATACGCCCAAGCTGTGTTTTACCAGGAAAGGATTCGAAGATGCCAGGCAGTATTATGAGACACTCGTCATTCAGCATCCGTATCGGAAGGCCGCCCCTGATGCCATAAGTCCTTTGCACTTCTATCCAGCCATGTTTGGTCTTTGGGTGTATGTTACGCAAGAGGAAAGTAACGTTGCCCGAGAAGACCTACAGCGTCACCATGAAGAGCTATCCGAAGAGTCTTCGGAGGATGAAGATGCAGCGTCAGAATTTGAAAATCGTCCTGGTTCTGGGCGCAGAAGAAAATATTTTATTGCAGAGATAAGAGCGAAAGAGTTGGAACAGGCACAGCAGATTGCGGCCCGGATGGATGAGGTCATGGTATCCCCTCCATATTCAGACTCGCCCGAATTACTGGAACTCAGGGGCATGGTTTCACTTTGGATAGCCGATCTTCTTGTCTCTTGCCTGCCACAGGAAGAGAGAGATGAACATGATTTTGAAAATGGAGCTTCTTCACCCAATGAAGACTTATCAGGTTCAATCCAGGCCAGACGCGAACAAAGATTTGCAAGAGAGAAGAGACAATTGGAGGTACAAAAGTCAAAAGAGTTCTTGGAGAAGGCAAACCAACGGGGCAGGGGAGTGTCTTATAGCCTTGAGAATTTCCATATCGATGATGGTTCCACATTATTGGAATGAGAACGTGAATGTCTGGTGTTTACATCTTGTTGAACGTGGAAGAAGATTATATTATGCTGGATATCTAGTTAAAATAAACCACGGTGGCCCTTTGGTTATAATACAAAATTGACTGGCATTCAACAAATTTCCCAACTATCTAGAGACAATATCATCTTTCCTTTATGCTTTGCTATTCAGGCCCTGACGCTCATACTGCTCTGAGGCTTTGGATATGAGGGTGTTGATGCTTAAAGATGGGATCCATGATTGATTTAAGCCTAATAGATTTTTTTGTATCCGATTAATAGTATGCCACGAAGAGTCAATCCAAACAAGTCCATTCTTCGTGTCAATGATTTCTTCTAAAGCGTATGGCTCCTTTGTGATAAACACGTGACTTCGTGGCTGGTGCGCGTGTCGACCGAATAAATCATCGCGTCTCAAGCCACCCTTTGGGCATTCGGCATCAGCCATCAGTGATGGTCACCGGCTTCTCCTTCTGCATCGGCGTTCAGATTATATCTATTATGAGCAGAGGATTAGAAAATTCATGAACCGGAAATTTTCAGGTTCCATTTTCTTCCCGACTCAATTCCCGCTTGGTCGTCTGGATTAAGCATAACAATGGGGGTTGGGGATTATATCCACTCCAAGGAGGCTGGCCAGCTTCGCTCGGCCACTGCCGATGCACTCAATAAACAACGGAGAACTTTGGCCGAACAGGCAAGGGTCGAAGTGCCCGCAACGAAATTGGTTGCACCTGTTCCCCTGGGGCTAAATGGGAGAGCACCAATGGACCAGTATGGCACTGTGGCTTTCTCTGACATGCCGCATGCACCACATGAGAATTCCATGCAGAAGAACATGTTTGACACGGATGTGGAAGGTGTAGATGATTCAACTATTGCTGGGACAAGTGTGATGGATGTCGAAGAAATTCAACACCAAATACCGCGTCCAGTTTCGAGCATTAAGCATCCGAATGTTGAGGTTCAGGATTTTCAGCAGTCACAAGCCCCACAGAACCCCATAGACACAAGACCTGTGTACCAGTTCCGTAATACACGTCGGCCATATGAATCGAACTGGTATGAGAATCTTGGAGATAAAGCCGCCAAAACAGCAGGATTCGAATCAGATGATGCTGATGCCGATGCCGACGATGATGAAAGTCAGCTCACATCTCTTGGTGGAGGAGAAGATGAACGAGCTGAGGCAGCAAGCGACTGGTACTTTTCCCACAAACACCGTCCCACTGAAGAACCTCTGAGCAGACGCTTAGAAAGCTTTTGGTCAGCTAGCAAGAGGAAGTCTATAAACCCGGGGCGCGTCGAGTCGAAGCCTCCAGCGGGTCCGTCAGTTCCGGATACCAGGAGACCTGCCTCAATGCTGCCTGTGAGCGGAGGCAGGAAGATTACTCTTCCCCGCAGCATGACTGCGACGCCCAGAACCAGATTCAGTCCACCAAAGCCCTCTCTTCTTGAGCAGTTGGATATATCACCTACCCATCGTACTACCGGTCCGCGAGCACTGCCTAATAAGAAGACAGGCACGACATCTTTCCCCCCGCCTGATTATGGAGACGATGCAAATATATTTTCCAGCGACAACGAAAGAAGGGACAGCATACTCACTGCATTCGACATGACGAACATCGACGCCCTTGACGATGATGAGACGATACGAGATCCTTTCTCCAAGCGTCGCTCTTCTGTCAGACGAATTACCTCTGACCCTCCCGAATCGAAGAAGCGACACTTTGAACCGGACTACCCCCCAGAAATACTATATCAAAAATCGTTCAAGGATCTACAAGCTGAGCCCTTCGATCATGTCCCCGCCGCACCAACGAAACCACCGCCCAATCCGTCACAAGAGATAGATCCAGAAGACAAGGTCTCGCACCTTCTGGAGCTCTCCGATGAAGACCGCCGTAGCTACCTCTCGAATTTGTCCATGGATGAATGGGAAGACTGCGGAGATCAGTTAATTGACCGGTTCAGCAACTTGCTCACTCAAATGAAGGACCTACGCCACGCCCGTCGAAAGACTGCTGCTGTATTCGAGGCTGAAATCAGAAGGAGACACGAGACTGTTGAAGAGCAAGCATCCGATATTTCAACGAAGCTTGACGCAATGAGGACAGGGGGCGCTGAAGTCCTGCGGGGTCGTACTCCCTGAAAGCCTCTTTTCTCTGATAAGGTATACTACGAATACCACCTGAACCCCAGTGGTATAATGATACGGGCTGCAGGTGCAGGTTCCGCCAAAACCCTTAATTCCATACTTCTCTCTTCCACGTTTCTACATTATATCTTAATGTACTTTCCAATTTTCTTCGAGAAATGTTGTTATGCTTTGACATGAAATTGGGCTTATGTTGTTGACATGATTTGTTTCTGAGGCTTTCATCAGAATGTCATGATTGTTTCTTTTCGGTGTTTATTATCTTTAGCAGCATCACATATACCCCGGTTTAAATTATATCCGTTGCATGATTTTGCTATTTTCAAAGGTAATCTTTAAATGATAAACCATTAAATGTTCAAAAGTTGCATTCATAAACTCCTAAAGATGCTCTTTACTTCCTTGGCTCAGATTGATATGAAACATAGAAATGTAGTCGATCCACTCCAGCAACCTAGAAGTAAGCATTTATTGACAATGTCCTTCAGAGCACTCCGAGCATGTATCCATGGGCTTGCCCATGTGACAGAATATCCTAACGTATAACGCCACAGCAATCTATATTTCAGATGGAGATCGTAATAAGTCTTTAGAAAAGACTCAAAGCAAATAAAAGCTGGGAATAACTGGCTTCAAAGAGTGAAATAAGTTTTAATTGGAACCTACACCTGGCTTGAAAAGCGTCGTGGCAAGTCTCTTATAATCCTCAAGTAATGTGGCGATGTCTCCGATAGTTAGGTCGTTTGCGTGCTTGGTTTCTAGGAAACGCTGGATGGGGGGATCGATCTTTGGAGAACTGCTAGAGGTACTTGGAGGTCTCTCTGCTGGAGCGGGAGAGGTCTTGAGCCTTTCCGATGCAGCTGGTGATGATACCGGGCCTCCGGGTGCAGGTGTGTCGGGGGCGTTTCGACCAAAGCTTTTGATCATCCCTGGAATATGGTTGAGTGGGTTAAGAGTGTTTCCAAAGTTCCTCACGGACTCTAGCGGTGTGGGTGTCGATGATGGCGGTATCGAAGGTGAAGCCTGAGAATGGCCCGGTGAGGAGCCGTCTTTGAACAAACTCGATCCAGCAATAGACTTCTTGGAACTTCCCTGAGTCCTAACGCTATCGGCACTCCTGTCACGGGAGCGCCTACCTGCGAATAGATCTTCGGCTCTCGAGGTAGCGTGTCTCATCAAAGGTCTTTCTAGCAATGTGGGCTCTTTGGTCGCATTATCCTCTGCGTCCAGGCTTTTATTGTCACTAGTAGATGGAGAAGTGACCAGACGACGAGCCTCTGCCAAGGTCTTAGGCAATACTGGACTACCTCCTTCGCCACCCGGTCCTTGTAATTCCTTGAGACGACCGAAGAAGAAGTTGAGACTGCTATCTAGTGATGCCCCAATATTTTTCAATCCTTGATCGGCGGTGTTACGAACTGCATCATTGGCCGCGCCAAGAACCTTCGAGGGGGGTTGGAACAGATTGTTCAGTCGTCGCTGTTGCAACGATGCAGGTTGCTGGGGCCTGGACAATGAGTCTGAAGCGGTCTCATTGCCGTTTGGCTTTAGTATTTCTGACGAGGCTGAGACCGTTGTTAGAGAAGCCTGTGCCGCTTCCTTTGTAGGTGGGAATGGGTCATTATGTTCAGTCGAGGGTGTTGAAGTATTGCTGGCAGACTTTGTTTGGCCATCCTGCGATTCCTCCCCACGCAGACTGGAGAGATCTACATTTTCCAGGAAACAGATTGCGGCTTCGAGGTTAGTCAAACAATATGCGGTCTCGCCATCCATTTTGCTTGAAGATCGGAACCGTTGTATGAAAAGGAGATTGCTTATGATGTTGATGCCCTCGGGTGGACAGGTGATCAGGGAATATATCAATGTAGGCAGAATTTCGTCAGCAGACGAAGTTGAAGGGAGCAGCTTTGTTAAGGCATCGACGATAGCTTTATGCGCGGCTGCAAGGTGCTGGAGCTTCCCCAGAGGATATTTTTCATCATTCATTTTCGCAAGACATTCTCGGGCGACAGAGAGACAGTCGTCAGCCTCTTTTTGTTTCTGTTCATCGATTGCGTTGTGGTCGAGGTCGATACCAAGATCTTTCAGATTAATACCGACCAACATGAATGCTGCTGTTTTGGAGCGCAGTTTCTCGTCCCTAACTTCATCCAATGTAGCTTTGTGCCGCCATATCTTGTCGTATATACCTTCACAAGCTTTCCGTTCCACGGCTTCTTCTAAGGCGACACGCTTATAAGCAAGGAATTTCCTTGCCTTTCTTTTCTCGGCAACTTCTGAGGCCGTCAACATTTGACGGCCTGAGATGGCCTTTTCTGTGCCATCTTGAGTGCCCTTGTTATTGGTGCTTCCGCGTAGTTTTGGGAGAGGCTGAGGTGAGGGATCACGGTTTATTCGGGATGCAAGGGCCGAGATATGTGTGGCTATATGCGATTCTGCGCGGACATAGAAATCCTGGAAGAGCATCGATATCTTATCGATAGTCGGAGGGGAAGAATGTGTCTTGGCGCTCAGGGAGTTAACAAACCTAGCAAATAAATCCACGATGTTAGCAAAAGACGTTATCTACAAACATAGGTCAAACCAAACTGGATTACACTTACCGATCAGTTAAGCTAGCCAGTTCAATTGGAAGCTCTTCCGGCTGATCCTGAACGCCCCGGGAGAGCATGGAGACTTCATCACCCTGCTGCCCATCGTCTCCGACGCCAGAATCCGAAGAGTCTCTCTTTTCAAACACATCAGGGCCAGTATTCTCCTCTTCATCCACCAACGATATTGGATGCGCATCCGGGCTGACAATTTCTGGGGTTGCCATGGATTGGACGGTTTTAGCCCTGGTGCGGGCGAAAGGGTTCATATCTGACGTTTCCATCCTGGTGAACGATCGAGTTTGATGTAGACGAGGCTTGTCGGAGCCATTTCCGGAAGGACTGGAAGCCATGGCTCTTTTAAGAGAAGCAAAAATGGGCCTATTCAGGCTACAACTCTAGCTTGTGACACTGCGCAGCAGTTCAGCTGATAGGCGCATGCAGATCGCGTATAGCGTAATGTACATATGTCGACAGGTGGTCATTCGACGAGGTTTGGTTGAGTCGCTGGGGCAATTTACTCGCCAGAAGTAAGCGTTTTTTTAAAAGAATCTAGCCTTGCAATCAAACGACAAGAGTGGCTTATGGTTTCGTCTTAGGATAGAGATTATCTGTTATCTCTTCGTCGTGGTGGAGTAATACGCGTTTACCGGGAATCACGTGAAACAATCCCCCCATCTCGCCATCTCCGCACTGCGTCACCGCCCATCCCTAGACGCACTGGTCTGACAGTCGAAGGACGGCTCTCTCGTCCAGTCATTCTTGATCATTTCGCATAGACTCACTGGTTTCACCATGGCAGGCTTTAACCGGCCACTCAAGCAACGCTCTTTGCGTGACCTAAGTGTTTTGAGGCTTCTATCCTCCATCACATTGCTATCGAGCTTTGTCTCCGCTTATCAGCCCGTATACTTTGATTCTCCTGTTATTGCTCCACAGATTCCTTTGGCCGAACCTCCATCTCTCTCAGGCACACATGAATTCGTGAGCTTAACTTTCTTTATATCCGGACCTTTTTCTTTATCTCTTTATGGGCCCTTTCGACCTATAGGAAGTTTTGCACTAATTAGCCAACTATCTAGACTCTCCGCCACATCGTCCACCGAGGAACCGAACATCCCGATGTCCATAAGAGGCTCGACATCAAACCAGATACCCGTCTTCGAGAAATCTCAGAGGATGGGATTGAAACTGAGGCCAGCTTTGATTTACCCCTCGTTGTCTCGTCGAATCCGGTCACTATCGAACGACTTGCGGATCGACGTCTCTCGGTTATTGAGGGACATTTGATGGCTGCAAGATCCCGTGGCTCAGTATCTGCTCTGTCACCATCGGACTGGGTTATGGATGAACTGGCTGGCCCAAACATTACCGATAAAAATACCGTACTCTCGCTAGCGAGAATGACGGCAAATGATTATATTGAACAACCAGGCACCGAGGATTGGCGCGATGTCTCCGCACCTTTCAACTATTCTTCGAGCTTCGGATGGGCAGGTGACGGGCTGAGAGGTCATATATACGCGGATAAGACGAACAGTACCATTGTTATCTCGATCAAAGGTACTTCAGCAGCTCTTTTCGATGGTTACGGCACGACCACCAACGACAAAGAAAACGATAATCTGCTATTCAGCTGTTGCTGTGGAGAGGGAGGCTCATACCTCTGGAGACAGGTCTGCGATTGTCAGACGTCTGCATACACGGCCAACTTGACGTGTATTGTCGACGCTATGACTGGCGAAAACCGATATTACCGAGCCTCTATCGATCTCTACTCTAACGTTACACAATTGTATCCTGGTGCAAGTGTTTGGTTAACAGGCCATTCTCTGGGTGGTGCTCTATCCAGTCTTCTTGGGTTGACCTTTGGACTACCTGTTGTAACCTTTGAAGCTGTCCCGGAAGCGCTGCCTGCAGCCCGCTTAGGTCTTCCAAGCCCCCCTGGCACTGACCCGCTCCTGCCACAGAAAAGAAAATATACCGGAGCTTACCACTTTGGAAACACTGCAGACCCTGTTTATATGGGAACCTGCAATGGTCTCACTTCGGTGTGCACATGGGGCGGCTATGCTATGGAATCTGCATGCCACTCCGGTCAAATGTGTGTGTACGACACTGTTGGAGATAAAGGTTGGAGCGTGGGGATTGGATCCCACCGCATCAAATCGGTAATTCCAAATGTTATAGAGGCTTATGATGATGTCCCTCCTTGTGTGCCTGAAGAGGAATGTTACGACTGTGCGCTATGGAAATTCTTCCGAAGCAATGGCTCTGACAGCACACCGACAACGACAACCTCTGCAACCAGCTCCCCCACTTGGACAAGGACATCGATATGCCAGACGCCCGGATGGTGGGGATGTCTGGATGAAAGCACCACCGGCGTGACTACCACAACTTCGAGCTCGAGCTCAACCTCGACTTGCCACACCCCAGGTTGGTTTGGCTGCAAGGACCCAACAACCACCACTACTGCCACAGCCACACAGACTTCTGAGACTTCAACTACTACGACTTGCCATACCCCGGGCTGGTTTGGCTGCAAGGACCCTACTACAACTTCCTCAGTCTCTAGCACGCTCGCACCTACACAGACTACCACAACATGCACTGATCCTGGCATGTTCTGGGGTTGCCGTGACCCTGTAGCACTAAATGCTCACCCCATCACCGCGGCCCCCACTACTACCCCCAACTGATTCATCTAGCATATACTAGGTCTTACATGCCTTGACCCTCCACACCAACCTTAAGAAAAACAGAGAGCAATGCCCAGTCACCAAGACTGAGGGCTTTAGATACTCATTGTTCTTCCACAGCATACCCAGACATGAAGTCCATGAAGAGCGTTCAATATATTATCTGCTTTTTGTAAACTGGCGCAGTTATTAAATACTTAAGACGGGCTTGCTTTGTTTTTTTCTTGCCACTTTTTTTCTGGCGTCTGGAATTTATTGGTTAATTGTCGATTCGTTATTTGAATTCAACCATTGGCGCAGAGGTGAAATACTTCTTATCCTATGGTTGGAAGAATTGTAGAGAGGTTAATGAGATACCTGAGTGTCATGTGCCATATAGAAACCGTCAATGTTAGATCCTTTTAATTTTCAGTTATCATTAGTATTCAGTCCGATTTCTACAAAATGATCGAGTCCGATGAAGAATGAAAAATATTGATTCGTAAGTCATAAGATGGTACTTATCAAGCTGATTATGCTTAGTCCAAAACACAATAGAAACTACACATCAAATATACAACTAAGCGCCGTGCCGTACCATGTAAAAATTACCCAGCTGATGTTTCCCCCCTATTTACAGACGCGAACGAGTGTTGGTGACGTTGGCCTCGGTGGCTTTTTCAATGCGAGCACCCAAGTCGGGGTTCACGCGACGGAACATACCGTAGGTCTGCTTGCGAACGCGCTCGTGAGCACCGCAGAGATGACCGGAGATGTTGCTGACGAAGTTCTCCTGCTGGCCGGGGGTGCGGCCGAGGACCTGCCAGAGGCCGTTGGCTTGGACGTAGTCCTCGTCGGTGACGGGGTATTGCTCGGCGATGACGGCACCGGACCACTTCTCGTGCTCCTGGGAGGCCTTGACGGGCTTGTACTGGAGGGGGCGGAAGGTGGAGGGGTAGTTGGGGTTTGCGCCGTAGTTGCCGTGGACGTTCATGGCGCCGTCGCGGTGCCATGGGCTGAAGGCGCGCATGGGGCAGTTGACGGGGATCTGCTCGTAGTTGCCGCCGAGGCGGTGGCGGTGGGTGTCGGGGTAGGAGAAGAGGCGGGACTGGAGGACGGGGTCGGCGGAGGGCTCAACGCCGGGGACCATGTGGGAGGGGGAGAAGGCGGCCTGCTCGACCTCTGCGAAGTAGTTCTCGGGGTTCTTGTTGAGAGTGAACTTTCCGAAGCGGCGGAGGGGCACCTGGGACTGCGGCCAGACCTTGGTAAGGTCAAAGACGTTCCAGCGGAACTTCTCGGCTTGCTCGGGGCTCAGGGTCTGGACGTAGCAGGTCCACGAGGGGTTCTCTCCGCGCTGGATGGCGTTGAAGAGATCCTGGGTGTGCCAGTCGGGGTTCTCGGCGGCCAACTTGGTAGCCTCGTCGTTGGTGAAGGTCTTGTTGCCCTGGTCGGTCTTGCAGTGGATCTGAACGTAGTTGAAGGTACCGTCGGGCTTCACCCACTTGTAGGTGTGGCCAGAGTAGCCGTTCATGTGGCGGTAAGAGTAGGGGGTACCGCGGTCACTGAAGAGGTGCATGACCTGGTGGACAGCCTCCTGGTGGGTGGAGAGGTAGTCCCAGAACATGGTGGCATCCTTGAGGTTGGTCTGGGGGTTGCGCTTCTGGGTGTGGATGAAGATAGGGAACTTGGCGGGGTCACGGAGAAAGAAGACGGGGGTGTTGTTGAAGACCCAGTCCCAGTTACCCTCCTCAGTGTAGAACTTGATGGCGAATCCACGGGGGTCACGAGCACTGTCGGGGGAGCCTTTCTCACCACCAACGGTGGAGAAACGAGTGAAGAGCTTGGTCTTCTTGCCGATACCCTTAAGCATGTCTACGGTAGTCTAAATCAATTAGTTATCCGCTTTAATCGCCATATAGCCAGTGTTCAACATACAATGTCGCTAATGTCATCGGTGACCTCGAACTCGCCATACGCACCAGCACCCTTGGCGTGGACAACACGCTCGGGGATTCTCTCACGGTCAAAGTGCGACAGCAGATCGATCAAGTGAAAGTCCTGGAGCAAGAGAGGTCCATTGGGACCAACCCGCTGGGAGGATTCGGGGTCCATAACCTTGAAACAAGTCAACAACCATATCTATTATCAGGGAGGTATCATCAAACGAACCGGACAGCCATTGGAGGCCGTGTAGACCGGAGTCTCATTGTAACGGTAGGTTCCTAATAGCAAGAGATTAGCATCCAGACGGCAAGAAAGAGCTTGGGAATAAGCAAGCAGGAAGACATACTAGGCTCGTCGTCTTTACCCATGATGGCGTTACGAAGATATCAAAACACGAGAAAGAAGCAGGCACAAGAGGAGAAGAAAAAGATGAAACCAGAAAGACGAGAGAAGAGAAGAAAAAAGGTGGGGTTTATATAAGTTAAGAATGGAAGCGATCCAGGTTCCTTTAATTATTCTCAAAGTCCGCGCTGTGGGGAAGCAGGAATTCCTGACCAGAAAACACGGCGTCTCCCATTGGGCCAATGGAGTGGCTCGAACGGCGATGACGTCCACGGAAACGAAGCCCAAACGGGGCAAAAGATAGTAAAAATTTTTAGTTTGGGGTATTCGGGTTCCTTGCCGGGTATGGTAAAATACAATTAATTACGATGTCTATCTCTTAATAGGCAACCGAGGTGATATCAGAATACAAGAATGCGACATTCTCAAACGCAGTACGTGGATTTGCAGAATGATTATATATAAAAAAAAAAGAGAGCTTGCAGCTTACCCCGCACAACTGAGCAGGCAAGGAGGAGCTGCCAGGGCCAATCAGGAACCGCCGAATGTCAGACGGGGCCCAATCGCATCGACTGCTCGAGCACTTTGCAATATTTTATCCCAGACAGGCAAGTCGATGAATGGGCCCGGGGGGAGATGAGGAGAAGTACGGGGTTAATTGCAGCGTGCTGGGATGGGAGGAAGGCCAAGTGTATCAGGTAGGTCATCCCGACTGCAGAGGTTAGTCAGTGGACCGGGCCAGATGGGGTCGATTAGAAGGGCGATTCTGATGCCCTGCGCATGTTTGCCTTGTTCAGGAATGGATGTTCTTCTGTTGCAGCAGATCAGGTACAGCAGAAGATCTCGTCCTTGGTTTCTTCTAAGCAGGATGCAATAATTACGAATCCTGGATTCATCGAGGTACATCTGTTAGGCCCCCACAGCTCCAACATGACCCGAGACACTCAGCTTTGAAACACTGAATATTGAATACAGAATAGATGCGAATAATGAGTGTCAATAACAGAAATTACGATCAACAAGTCCTCACTCATAATAACAATGAATATTCTATCGATTGCATGATGGTCGGCAGATCCCCTGACGGAAAGCTCCGTGCTCCGACGCGGAATTTCCATCGCTCGGAATGCTTCCACTGCTTCCGTTTAGTAGAGCTTCAAATTATCAGAATAATATGACTGGTGGATATTATGGTAGGAATATCAAGACAGAAGATGGATAATAATCGTCAAAGAAGATCAACAGAAACACAGTGAACAGACAAATAATGATGAACCAACCCCTCATCCAACTAGTTCTTCTTCCCCAGACCGCTGAATGTATCCCCCGCAGACTTGCCCACCCCCTTGGCGGTATTGCCCAGTCCTTCGCTGGCATTCGTGACCGTCTTCCCAAGGCCCTCGGTTGCCCCGCCCACTGTCTTGCCCAGATCGCCCACGGCAGTGCCCACCACGCCTGTCACGCCGCCCACTGTCTTGCCAACAGTGTTGCCGATGCCTCCGAAGAAGCCGGCTAGATGATGTTAGTTGGGATTTGGTGGGATTTGATGGGATATTGTGTAGGACGGGATAAATGAGGTACAGGCCGGAAGTGAAGAAACTTACGGCTTTTGTTGTCATTGTTTCCAAACATTGTATTGATTGTATCGATGGTATTGTATGGTATGCTTTGGTTTGATGATGATTAATGGAGATGGTTAGATCTTCAGATCTAGTGGGTGAAGTGTTTCCTTGATGTTGAAGTGTTTTATCAGATGTTGTGCTCAAGTTTATACGCTGTCCTTTAGACTCGGTCCACCGATGATATCATATTCCGCTTTCATCAATTGTCCAGGTACCATTTGACAGCAATCATCACAGGTGCTGCTTATATCTTTCGTGTAGTATGTAATATCGACTGCTGATAGAAATCATAGAGTACAGCCAACTCAGTTGAGTGTATCAGACATCCTCTCACCAAGGCCTCAGTCCTTAACCTGTCCATCTTCCTGTAACCCGTCAGTAAGTATCATCAACAAAGAAGAAAACGAACCAAATCCCTCCCGATACCAACGACAGCCCGAAACTCCAAATCCTGCATCTCTTTCCCCACAAACACAACCTCTCCCTTCAATTCAACCGTCCGAGCTCGATCAAAATCAATCCACAAAACCCTCTCACTCTCAGGGCACACCATGACATTATGAGAATCAGTAGCATCCTCATGTACCACGCCCGCCTGGTGGATCATCTTGAGTATATCGAGCGCCACCGCCCATCGTCCCTTTGTATAAGTGGCCATGTCCAACTCGCGCATGCCAGGAACATATTCGATGAGGACCGCAGACGGGCGAAGCTTGTCCGCGATGAAATGGGATAGAGACTGTGGGTGGATGGCTGGATTGAGGCTTTCAATCGCACCGTAAAAGCACGGGATACATCCCCTATCGCAGAGGCCGTGGAATTGCAATCGTTGGTAGGCTGTGGCTTCGTTTCTGTATAGCGAAAAGTCGATTTCTACTTCGTCTTCGAAGGTGTGATACTATACAACATACAACCAGGTTATTTGGCTTTTTTTTGCTGATGGTTGTCACATGAGGCTTGTCAGAGTGAGGGGAAGTAAGACACATACCACCTTCATCACATACTGCTGACCTCGAACTGAGACGTGCCAGGTGACAATGGAGTCGCTTTCCTTGAGGATATCGAGAAACTCGATCTCGGCGACTGAGACTGTGGTATTGTTTAGTTTGAAGTTGTCTCCTTGGCTCTCTTCCATGGCTGTGTGATTTTGGTAGAGGGTGGTGAAGATGTTGTTGATGGAAAGGTCTGGACGTCCATGGATCGAGGCGGGTGTTCCTGTGTCTAACCAGGTGACTTGATTGTGCGACACCAACAATTACACTGTGTGTCTATCCGTTGGAAATGCTCAAGTGAGCTATACTAGAATAATTATATGTAAATCTCAATTAGGAATATGCAGACGAACTGTTTGCCTTGCCCTTGTCTGGGTAGTATCACGCAAACATAAGAAAGACTTTTTATAGTATACTATAATTCCAATGAATGTGTTCTTAATCATATGCATTTTTTGGTAAGTCTTCCAAGGCTATCGGTAGATTGGGAAATATATTTGACAAGCCGTAATATATAAGGGTTTTATATGAGAAGCATCATGTGAAAGTCACCATAGAGTAAGAGTCCCTAGATTGAAGGAATTCAAAGGGAATAGTCCAGCATCCTGAGCAGAGTTCCCGTGCTTTCAGCCTCTTCAAGTAGCACCAAGAGAGGATCTATGTGTCTTTCATGTAACCAAAGACTTAAATCCTTGTGGGGAATATCTTTGGAGCCTCATCAAGTAAGACGGTTGTATAACAAACAATCCGCTGTGAACTGCCTCATCTCAACAAATGTCATCACACATACATACCTAATGTTTGGCTGAGAGTGTCTTTGTATAACACGATTCTGAACACCGGGTAAATCGGAAGTGACATCCTCAATATCCTGTCATACTCAGTATTCTTGTTTCCCTGCTTCGATGTGGGAGGCCAATTGCACTTTTATAACCCAGGTCCAGAGGTGGATAGAAGAGGATAAAAATATAAGACCTCCCCCCCCGTCAAAGGGAATCATTCAGTCCAAACCAATTTGTCAGTGATCCTCAACAATTCAACACAAATCAACAAAAACATCATGTTCTTCCAGGCAAAGACCCTCCTTACCCTCATCACCTTTGGAAGGCTCCTTTCCACCGCTGCTGGCGTCAACCTGTCGCAATTCACCCGTCCCAACTGCAGGGGTAATCGCGCTTCCTGCACTAACATAGGCTCCAGAGTCTGCTGCCAAAGCAATCAGCGTGTCTTCGCGTCCGGCTCCTGCCAGGGTTGCACCTCGACCGACTTCCACTCGACCTGGACACGACAGGGACGGAACAGCTGCGGTCGAAATGCAGCGAGTACCAATGGTGGCCGGTGTATCTCGGGCAGTTCGAATTTGCGCGGTCACTCATGGTGTCGACTTTGCCGTACGAAGCGAGAAGAAGGGGAGGAACCCACCTGCACCGAAAGCGTGGAGCCTAATGTTCTTGAGATTGACGGTAAATGGTTCCACTTGAAGGACGAGATGCCCGGGAACGAACGGGACGCGCTTTGGGATCTCTGGAACAACGAAGCTGTGATTGCGGATATGCCGGCTGAGATGCTCAAGTATGAGGAAGAGATGCCTGAAGGCATTGAGGACTCTATGTAATCGAGCAGCATGAAGTGATCAGTTCTGTCTGGTGAGGGATGTTCTGACTGCATGATAGTGAGTCAAGGTGGGTTTGAATGGGCTGTGGTCATGTTGCAATAATTGAGAATTTTGGTAGGTAGCTAGGAAATGTAACTGTCACGAGTTTCCCAGAAGACCGATTCAGAGAAACCAAAGGTCATTCAATCCAAGTAAGCGTAGATCGAAAAGACGTGAGATTAAGGCTTGGAAAGATCCATGATGGAGATCATAGCACTTGACGAATCAGTATTCAGATGTCAACATACGATCGACTTCTTGGACATGCAAGGCAGAGGATTATGCCAAGTCATTCTCGAAGATAATCATAAACTTGATGAAACTTTCCTTTCACAAGCATAGCCGCTGCAGAGATCACATGAACAGTCTCGGCTTCAATATAATTGATAAATTGCTTTTGATTAGTGAAAAACCCAAAGTCATGGAAGTCCTGTTTAGGCAATTCCGTCTGCTGGGCACATGACAGCCATTGGTCCATGTGGCAAGCCAATCTTGCATAGACTTGAGTCTATCTGGTTAAATCTCCGGCGACAAGTATCTGACAGCTCGTATTCGCCCGCAGGTTATATTATCAACCAGGCAATCAGAGGAGTCGATTATATTATTTTCTGTCGTGCACGGGAGCAGAGAATGTGGTGGTGTGATTTGAGTTCTGTCTAGAACGTGGCAGACAGGAATGTTGCTCAGATGCTGTGCTTCTCTGCTTCTGCGGGGAATGACAGTGCAGGCTTCACTGCATCTTGAGAATCACTAAAATCTACAGTATTCACTGTTATTTCAAGATGGAAATAACCGCCAACATGGTCTCAACCAAGGGTCCAAGTGACTCTTTGCCGTCTTTGGATGTCGACGAAGACAGCCGCCAAGACCAAAAAGACTGTGTACTTCGTTCCCCGCAACTGGACGGCCTCGAGGGTCTTTCTTTGCGGTTCTTTGGGGCTGCAATTTGCCTCAGAATAATATTACAGTGGATGGTGTGATTGCATTATGATCCTTTTTATGCCCAACTCTTGTTCCTGAGCCTGTTCCAATGACTTGTTGGGTGGGGACCCTCTTTTTTTTTTTTTTCCTCCGCTCCCCTCCGGACCTTCACCACCGCTATCACGGCCTAAGTAAGTCCCGTTAATCGCCCAAGCGACGGTGTCCCACTCCGTCTAGAGCGTTCGTCTTTCCCTCTGATCAGAAGAGATGACCCCATCCGTCCTTTAATCCTCCTTTCTTTCTTCCTCCCCAACCTTCTCTCTCTCTTCATTTCTCTCCTCTACCCCCCACCTCTGTGCCTTGCCATTGCATTAATTTCAGCATGGATCAAACCAAGGCGCCGGACGCCATTGCGCCTGCGGAGCAGCAGTCACATGGATTGCCCGCCAACGGCCGTCGAGATTCGACAACGTCCATGTCCAAAATCATCGAAGATGCCAAAAATGCAACGGATAAGGAACGCAAGATGACCCTGTTGCAGGGCATTAAGACCTACCCCAAGGCCGTTGCTTGGAGTGTCATTATCTCGACCTGTATCGCCATGGAGGCCTACGATATCAGTTTGGTTAACAACTTCTACGCCTTTCCTCAGTTCAACCGCAAATACGGTGAATTAATGGCAGATGGAACGTATCAGGTACCGGCCAGGGTAAGTCAGAGTTTTTATTATTTTATTTTTTTTTTTTTTCATCTTGAATTCTAGCGGTGTGGAACGGTTGTTGACGAGAATCCTTCAATTACAGTGGCAAGCAGGTCTTAGCAACGGTGCGTACGTTGGTGAAATTATCGGTCTCTTCTTCAATGGCTGGGCCTCCGAACGAATTGGTTATCGCTACACAATCATGGCTTGTCTCCTTTTGCTCAGTGCCTTTACAACTATCTTCTTCACCGCACCAAATGTTAAAGCTCTTCTGGCCGCCGAGATCCTATGCGGTATCCCATGGGGTGTTTTCCAGACCTTGACCATCACCTACGCTTCCGAGGTGTGCCCTGTTGCGTTGCGAGGCTACCTTACAACCTATGTCAATTTTTGCTGGGGTCTAGGACAACTTATCGGTGTCGGTGTGATAAAATCAATGTTGAAACGGGACGATCAATGGGCCTACCGAATTCCCTATTCACTGCAATGGATGTGGCCGGCTCCGCTGCTCATAGGGATCTTTTTAGCTCCCGAATCGCCATGGTGGCTGGTCAGAAGGGGCCGGATTGAGGATGCCAAGCGATCGCTTTATCGCTTGACCAGTGTCAACAGAGAAACGGATTTTGACGCAGATGAAACTATCGCCATGATGGTCCATACAACCGCCTTGGAGGAGAAGATCACAAAGGGAGCCAGCTACATGGACTGTTTCAGAGGAACGGATCTACGCCGGACGGAGATTGTCTGTATGGCTTGGGCTATGCAGAATTTAAGCGGCAACTCTTTCTCGAATTATTCTACCTACTTTCTGGAGCAAGCAGGATTGAGCTCTTCCTCCTCCTACTCCTTTGCAATGGGCCAGTACGGCATCAACATGGTTGCTGTGTTTGGCTCATGGTTCCTTATGACCTTGGGTTGTGGCCGAAGGTCTCTTTATCTGTACGGTCTGTGTGGTCTCTGCGCCATGTTGCTCGTGATGGGATTCCTCGGGCTTGTTCCCGACCAACACAGAGACCAAGCATCCCTCGCCACGGGCTGCATGATGATTATCTGGGCCCTATTTTACCAATTGACTGTCGGAACCGTGGCCTACTCAATCGTGGCTGAAGTATCCACCCGCCGCCTCCAGATCAAGACAGTCGTCCTAGGCCGCAACCTGTACAACGTCGTCGCCATCATCTCTGGTGTTCTAACTCCCTACATGCTCAACCCCAGCGCCTGGAACTGGGGCAACTATGCCGGCTTTTTCTGGGGAGGTCTCTGCTTCCTTTGTATCATCTACACCTACTTCCGGCTTCCTGAACCCAACGGCCGCTCCTTCGCCGAGCTCGACGTCCTCTTCGAACGTGGAGTCAGTGCCCGCAAATTCGCCAGTACCGAGGTCAACGTCTTCGAAGAAACCATTGAGGGCCGAGTTATTGACGACTTCCAAACCAAGAAGGCGACGGCAGACGTAACGCAGGTGGAAAAAGATGCTGCCGGTTCGACGTGATGTGTCCATGACTTTCCACGACTATGAGACCAAACTTTTCATGTTCTCTCTTCTACATCATATATTATTTAATAATGTACATATTCATTTTAATCATGCAATACGATTGACGCCTTGATGATGATGATGTGATGCTGTCTGGCTTTTGCTGTTGTCCTGTAATATATGCAGCATGTTTGACTGGTTTACTGACTGTTTGTTGCTCTTACTTCTTACCGATAGCAGGGGGTTTCTTATTTGACTATTCGCATACGATGTCAACGCTGGCTTTCATCAGGTCAAAGCAATGCTCTCAATTGGTCATTATCGGATCTATATATGCAAGATCGGTTGTATTATATGATCTTCCCTTACTCGTGCGACCACTCGGGCTTCTTCTTCTCGGCAAAGGCAGTCATTCCTGGGGGTTCATCAGCACTTATCCGGCTTACTTTACAGTGTAATACAAGAGGTATGGGTACTTACCAATCTTCTGATCCTTGCTTCCGAACAGACCATGGAACAAGCGCCTCTCATATTCAACACCCTCACGAAGGGAGAGCTCCTGGCTCTTGTTCACAGCCTCCTTACCAGCAAGCACGGCAACGCGGCTGTAGCCCGCAATCGTCTCCGCGGTCTTGAAAGCCTCTTCCAAAAGCTCATCCCTGCCTCCATCAACAACCTTGGAGGCAACACCCCATTCCGCAGCCTCCTTGCCGCTGAAGTTCTTACCGGTCAGAATCAATTCCATCGCTCTGCTCTTGCCGATGGCATGGGTGAGACGCTGGGAACCGCCTGCACCGGGAATAACACCCAGCTTGATCTCAGGCTGACCGAATGTAGCGTTCGAGGAGCAGTAAATGATGTCGCACATGAGGGCTAGCTCGCAGCCACCGCCCAGGGCGTAACCAGAAACAGCGGCGATGACAGGCTTACGGATGGCGTTGGCGAGGTGGGACCAGGGAGCGATGAAGTTGTTGGTGTATGCGGAAGCGAAAGTCAAGGGTGCCATTTCTTTGATGTCGGCTCCGGCTGTGGGTGATTGAATTGTAAGTATTTGCATTGGAATTGTCGACGTAAAGAGTATTCGATATATTAAACATACCAGCAAATGCCTTCTCGCTACCTGTGATGACGATAGCTCCAATGCTCTTGTCTTCGTCATATTTCGACAGAGCTTCATTCAGCTCCTTGAAAAGAGGGCTGGAGAGTGCATTGAGAGCTTTGGGGCGGTTCAAAGTAACTTTTCAGAGTAAGCTACGGTTCACATGCTTAAACGGTCCTCAAGGGACATACTCAATCCAACACCAGGTTTGGGGGTTGAGGTGAGGATGTTTTTATAGGCTGGAGCAGCAGCAGAGTAAGGCCGGGCAACTCGGGTAAGGTAAGAAGTCAAGGGGATAGATGTTCTGGACGCAACCAGTCGCGAGCACCGCTGAGAGAACATGATGATTATATAGTAGATTAATTAAGAGAGAGGTACAGAAGGGATGGGAATAGTGTCAATTGTGGTGGATGGGAAAAGCAGTTCAACAGCTAGCTAATAAGTAGCACCGAAGCTATGATGCCACCACAGAACAGCCGCGGATGCTGCTGCGTTTCCTCCCCGCAGTGTCGCCGACGGGAGCCGTTCCCCCGAGGCAACCCGTGCACGTGAACAGACCCTTATGCTGAGATAAGCGAAACTGTTCACTAGCCACAGTCTGAGGCGCAGCAGAGTCCGTGCCCGGCTGTGGCTGGTGCAAATTGATGGTGACAGCTTTTGCGGCTAATAATAATAACCAACTTAAGTGGACACTTTTCTCTGCCTCCCGGTTCCTGATTATTGTTTCTCACGTCCCCCCGGAGTTTCAAGGCGCCCCTCCACTTACGTTAACAATCGGAGGTTTTGCATAAGCTGCAGGCAAAGGATTCGTCTTGTTTTGATCCGATTTTGTTTCCTCATTCTCTTTCGCGATGGATGTCCCCGAGCCAGAGCAGACGCCGTTTACGGCTGTGACGGCGCAGACATCGAAACTTACTAGAGTGAGTTGACCCTTTTGATCCATTTATTGAGCACAAAATGGGGAGCCTGGAGAGGCTCTGTGAAAGATAGTAGTTGAGAATCCGTGCTAATCGCATTCGGAATAGCAATATCAATCCTATCTCGATGCTTCGACACCCTTCACCACTTATCGCTGGGTCGGCACTGTCGTTCTTCTCCTTGTCTTCTTTTTGAGAATCGTCCTGGCTCAAGGATGGTACATTGGTATGCGATCCATCCTATATAATCAATTTTATCCTACGTTCACCGGGTCCACGACATAGCTAACAACCACTCTCCAATACAGTCGCATACACTTTGGGCATCTACCTCCTGAACCTCTTCCTCCTCTTCTTGCAACCCAAGTTCGACCCCTCTCTCACCCAAGACGAAGGCCTTGAAGATGGCGACGCCGCCGCCAGTCTCCCTACTAAGCAAGACGACGAGTTCCGACCTTTCATCCGCCGTCTTCCTGAGTTCAAGTTCTGGCACGCGGCCACCCGGGCTATCGCCATTGGTTTCGTCTGCAGTTGGTTCAGCGTCTTTGATATCCCGGTTTTCTGGCCCGTGCTGGTCGTTTACTGGATTATCCTCTTTGTCTTGACGAGTAGGCCCTCCCTTCTTTTGACATTTGTTAGTGAACAATGGTACTAATTCGGTCTTTTCTCCAGTGCGACGACAAATCCAGCATATGATCAAGTACCGTTACGTCCCATTCTCTTTCGGAAAGGCAAGATACGGTCGATCATAAACTACCTAATGACTCCGATTATGGTGATACGGTGAACACGGTGTCTGTGTGGGATTGGTCCGTCAGGCCTTCTGTTTGTGCTTCTGTAATGAAAAGCGGTAGGCACTGGTCCTTGTTATGGGTTGGAAATCGCGGAAAGGAAAAGCAACTGAGAGCGATCCTGGCGGATTAATCCCACCCTTTTTCTTTTTTTATCTCTCGATTTGATGATGACCATTCGTGATCTGAATTCATGAACTTTTTTGTCTTGTATAGAGCTTTAGTTGATCTTGTTTCACCCCCCTTTTTTCATTTCTCGATGTACTCATGTACTAATAAGATAAACCATGTATGGATATGTATGTCTATGCCCAGTTGTTCTCAGCTATGCAGTAGTATCAGATAGCTGAAGAAAAGAGATGAAGAGTATTCAAGTGCTCTCTTTACTATACCATATACGCTGGAATTCGAAAAGCCGGAGAAACTTTTATTTGTACCGTAGTCATCATGAAAATCTAGTAGATGAAAAGAAGTTTTCCCAGACATACTGGCCCAACTCCAGCGTCACAACATCCAGTTCTAAAAGTATTCAAAATCCAATCTAAATCCCCTGTAATGGCGAAGAGGTATATAATGTCGAAACCGCACGAGTCGAAGAAAATTTATAATAGTAGACAGGCTAAATGGCATATAACAAAAACGAAAGGAAAACATATCATCCGGTCTCCAAATTGACGGACGTAACTCAGATTTGGAGATCTTCCACACTGTTCGATCGTTTGCTCCCTCCGAGAGACAGTGAGGAAATTGTGCGACCCGGAGTTGTTGGTTCAACTTCCTGGGTCTTTGTGCAAATCCAGGTAGAGGCATACATGTTGACACTATTTTCGTCAGCAAAAAGGTCCAGATTACCTGGTACAAAGTAATAAAAGGGACTTACCGGTCAATGCATGTGCCTGGGAATCGTGCTCCTACGCGACGAGCCGTGAAACCGTTCTCCTCGAATTGTTTCATATACCAGGGCTCAATGCTGGCAGAACGAAGCAGGATGCGGCCACCAATCTTCAGGGCTTGGTTTAGCGTTTGACATTGGGCTCCTGCGTCGTTGCCTTCAGGGTCAAACCAGTCCATTGAATCCATGACCTAAGAAAAGTAAGTATACCACCCAAGCGAGGGACTTGAAAATGTACGAGCACTTACAACGGCGATTGTAAGACTCCTGGGAGTGATTCGTTTAATCACTTCATTAATCTCGTCGGTGTGGATCCGAAGACCATCGAAAGCACCCGGCGAAGACAATTTCACATGAGCCTTGGGGGACAAGTATGTAGGATGGCATCTGATATCAGGTTAGCGTTATTTTTAGGGGTCTGCCATAATTTGAACTTACTTTCTGGAGAATTGTCCCTGTAGACACAGGAAGTAGAAGTAGTTGTCGTTACTGATCATAGTGTCCTTGACCACCGGATCTAATGTGTCGACAACATATTCCCAAATGGACTGGCCGCTCACGTCTTTAGACTTCTTCATGTCTTCGGTCAAGCCGTTCCTCTTGAAGAAGTCTTCCACGATCATGTTGCGTTGGTTTCGAGGAACACCAGCAGCCTTCCATGCAAACCATTCAGTGCCAACCACAGCCCAGTAAAGAGGCTTGCTCATCAAAACACTGCGGATGCGTGGCCAGATCTCCCGCTGTTCACTGAGGGTTTGGGCATCACATAACTTCCGCACCTGGCCTTCGAGGCCGAAAATCTTGAAGAGATATCGGACCATCTTGATTGCGTGGCGGGATCCTCCGGTTTCGTACAGTCCTTTGCCAGAAGATGATGTAAAGACATGAGTGTGCTCGAGCCAGTACTGGAATGCCTGGCTAGACAAATGTGGACTCAGCCGAGAGATGAGAAGCTGGCGGAATTCAGGATGCTTTCCCTCTCCAAAGATCTTCCAAACATCACGGTGTCCCAAGGCACAAAAGCTTGCAACCTTGAGCTCAAGAAGATGGTTTTGGTTCGGGTTCAAGTCAACTGCATGCACCCTTCGTGGGCTATTTTGGAGGTAGTCCAAAATGTTGTCTCCTGCGCTTGTAATGGCTAGAATAACATCATCGCGCTTGATGTTCAGTAGTCGGTGATCCACACGGGGATCTTCCCAGTTGAAGGCATAGATGTACTCGTTTTGGAATTGTGTGTGTTTCGGGAGCAGGTCGTTGTAGAAAATGCGGTAGTGGTGATTTTGGTAGAAAGAACATGGAAGGGGCAGATTCGATCCCAGGTTAATCACGGCTGATTCATACGCCTTGGAATGAATCTCAACTCTGCTCTCTTCGACAGCGTTCTCCATCTCCTTGCGATGGTTGGCGGGCGACAAATAGGGCGACTCGGTAAAAGTAGCATCCAACTTCTCAATAGCCTCATGGCTCGAAGGGCTGGAAGCAATGTCCTTTTGGCAACCAATGAAGATGTAGTAGGGGATGCCTCCAAGAAGATAGTTTCTTTCACTGGCAGAGATGACCGTACCGAAGCGGTACTCCAAATAGTCTCTGCGGGCAGCTTCAAGGTTGACACGGTCTGCATCAAACCAAGCACGCCAAAATGCACGTCCAAGCCAGTTAACATGGCGGTTAAATGCACCACCAATATAGTTGCGAGAGGAGACATCGACGATACTCTGGACTGTTTTTCTTGCTTAGTATTCTTTCAGATAGGTCTAGGCTCACTTGCGACTTACCATAGAAATCACAGACACCAAGAATTCCAGTCGGCTTCATCAAGGAGGTGAGGGAGTCAACGACGCTGTAATAGTCTGTCTCTGGTAAGCTCCTGATTTCAGCACCCGTTGTCTGGCAAAGCTGACCTGGAATCATAGACAAGCTGTAGCTCATGGTTACCACATCTGCTCCTGTGTTGAGGTTCGCGGCCTTGGTTCGGGGGTCCACTTGATCGAGCTCTGGAAGACGGAAAGACCGTACATCCTGACACACAACTGTGACGTTCTTCCATCCCAATCGTTCGAACCGCTGACGAGCAACTTCGCAGAGGGAAGGTGAGAGATCGACCAAATAGACGTGCGAGAAGAACGAGTCAACAGGCAGAAACTTTGCCATGGCTTCGATGTTGTAGCTGATTTCACGGTTAGAAACGGTGCTATGCATAGTAAACTATTGAGAGCGCTTACCCAGTGCCTCCGCCCATCTAATCAGTTAGCAATAGTGTCTATCGGGATGTAGAGAGAGGTTCGCAACTTACATCAACCCAGATGGCCTTTTTGGCTTGAAGCTCTTTGTTCTCCACCTTGTACTTCAATTGAGCGGCAGCGAGGCCTAACATGTCCTCTCGACCACACAGAAGACGCTTCCGGGTGGCATCATACACGGTGGCCTAGCTAGTGGTTAGAAGGGGAGTTGGAAGCTGCGTTCAAGTTTTGAGTCATACCTGTGTCTTGTAAAAGCTTTCCAGCGCATCCTGCTGGCCATCACCACTCTTGTCATGGGGCTTAAGGAACGATGCGTAGATGAACTTCAAGTAGCTAAATATGCCGCTGTTGTAATCGATTTTGCGATTCTGAGAGGAAACGGAGAGCACGACGACAACAAGCGCACAGACAGAAAAGGCAGCACCTCCAATGTACAGATGGGTCCAATCCATCTTGTTGAGAAAGGAATCAACAGGACCACTGCTGACGGAATTCATGGTGAAGAAAGAGTCGAGGATTGGGGACAGGGAGGGGATTGAATTTCCTGTCTCTGGCTAAGAAAGCAGCACAGAATATGAGAAATAGAGACAAAAGAGTCTCAAGAGAGAGCGAGAAACGGCGGGTTCTTCAATCAAAGCTGCCCCGTCTCCTCAACAAGCTGCACCGTAAATTGGGTCGCACGTCTTCACGAGACCCCCCACCATACCCCTCCTATCCAGAAAGGTTCAATGGCTCCAAATGTCGGACCAGCATCGTGATGTCCTATCAGGGGGACACATGGGCCCGAGAGTGATAAGATGCATTGCCTCCAAGTGGGCTGCATGGGTTGACGGTTGCGGGAAGAAGGATCGACCTCTTTTACCCTAGGGAAGAGCTCTGGGTCTGTGGCGAAAGAAGGCATAGTAGTATGCACTGATAATGCCGGCGAGAGGAGAGCAGATGAGGAGATCCAACCGGTGAAGTCTGCAGGTGGATTGGAGTACACACCACGCTGTCAGGGCCATGTACACCTCTTTCCTCATTAGGTCTAGCTCTAGTCACGGTACAGCCCTAGGTAAAGACAAGGGGGGAAATTGCCAGTCCACCCCTGAAACAGCCTGTGAAGTAGTCCCAGAACTCCTGGAAAGCACCCTTAAGCATCCCTAAAACACCTCTAAGGCAGGCGGCCTAAGGTAGCCCTAAAGCGGCCCGTAAAGTAGTACACATATGTATGAAAGAGATACTATGATTTTAATTTAAGTACAATGCATCATGAAATAGTACTTGAATTGTCATTTTATGAGGATATTCTAACTAATCTGAAATGATATAATAGTACCTTCTCATTAACAAAGAGCCCTTTGGGGTTGTAGCAGTAAAGCAGGACTTTCTAGGTAGACTGAGATGCTACATGCTTAAACTAAGCCTATTGTAATAATAATTATGGACTAGACTTCTACATTAGCTCTACTATGGCAACCATTGGGGTACACGAAACAAAGTGGTGCATATCAACCAAACGAGGCTACTCAGTATTAAAACGGCGATCTGGTCGACCCATATGCGGATGCTCTCCACAGGATCCTCTGGGCGATCGGGACAGGATCCACGAGGGCAAGTAGGAGAGCTCCAGGACAGCATGTGCAGACATCGAGAGAGGCTCGTGGGGAGGTTGACTGGCGTTGAGTGTTGTGAGTCTATTTGGTCCGGGGAGCCAATCAGAGGGCTGGCTGGCGGCACACTTGGGCTTCGGGGATTCTGTAGGGAGAACGCTCTGAGACGGTTTCATCCATGGGTGGACGAGGTATGATCCTCAAATGGTTCATTCAATTAATGTTCGATTTAGTAATGAGGTCGATAATTATTATCGTTGTTATTTGATTAATCAATGGACGGGGTATACCGGGTTATATTCGTAGGTGTACAATCAGCCACTCTACCTAGTATATCACCATGGAGAAAGGAGCAACTAGAAGACTACCTTATGGATAAGCGTATGAGTTCCACCCGGATATTTATCGTCATGGATGGTATTTCACCTATCACTCTGGAATCCTCACAACAGCTCGTCCATCAATCTCAGCTCGCTCTAACCTGTCCAACACATCATTGATACAATCCAATTCAAAACATTCAACATGTGCTCGAATATCTCCTTCCACAGCCATCTTTAACAATTCATCCATCTCTTTCGCAGTTCCGGCAGAGTTACCAACAATTGTAAGCCCTATTGTCCTGGTCAGTTGATCGCTTTCCTTTCTCAGATCATATATCTCTTACCCTTGACAATCATGTCGAATGGGGTCGCCGGTAGTCTAAACGGTACACTCGGTATACCCACACAGACTAGAACCCCCATCCTGCGGAGAAGATGCATACTCTGTGTATAGGCTGGTTCACCATTAGCCGTGCATATTACTGCATGAGCACCTAAACCGGAAGTGAGGGACTTGACTCCCTGTTCAACGTTGTCGATCTTGTAGTCGAAGAAGCTTGTTGCTCCCAGGGCGAGACAGAGTTGCTTCTTTTTTTCGCCGCTAGAAATAGAACCCGTCAGTCAACCAGTGGCCAAGTGGGTATAGCCACAGCCAATATACCTATCAATTGCAATCACTTTCAATCCTTTTTTGACTGCGATTTGTATTCCCCTGGAACAAGTGGACCATTGTTAGCACAGAGGATCTCCAATCAGGGCTAGCTGGAATCTGACATATGCCCTAAACCCCCTCCAGCCCCAGGAAGGACGAGCCAGTCTCCTGGGCGTGTTTTAGTCTTCAAGATCGAGGAGTACATTGCAATTCCAGCTGGAAACAAATCAGCAAAAGCCGCTCATCTTCTCTCATATAAAAACTCACCGCATAGAAGAGGAGCAGCTGTGTCTGGCGAAAGCCCAGGAGGAATTATCGTTACATGGTTTGCAGGGCTGACAATGTACTCTAGACCCAATCGGCATTTATGCATGAACAAGGACCGACAAATTCACTGACGCTGAAATGTTCCCGGGACATTCTGCAGCTTGTTAGATAAATCATTTCCTCTCGACTATGACGATAGACTTACTGCACCGGCGTTTCTCTGATATGGACATGCTGTATTGTTTACAGCGCATATTTCACAACTCAGACAAGAGCTGTATAGCCATCTTTTGCATACATTAAGCTAGCCAACCTTGAAGCTTCAGCACGCACTGACTGACCTTATACCAACCCTTCTCCCAACCCATTCCTGTTCATGGACATTGCCACCAACTGAAATCAAGTCAGAAAGAAATCCCTAGCCAAGGAAAATGAAGGATCTTTTTTTACCTGAAACCACTTTCCCAACTCCCTCGTGACCCGCCACATCCGTCAACATGGGTGTCTCCCCACGAATACTGTGCACATCGGAATGACACACCCCGGAGAATTCGAGCTTGATGAGCAACTCTCCTTCTCCGGGGACTGGGACGAGGTGATTGGTGCTTATCTGCACCCTTGCGTCTGGGGATGCTCCAGATGGAGGAAGCACTGCTGCGATCTGGGTTTGGGGGATAGTCATATTGGATCAATCTCGAGTGGAATATTTATGGCGATAAAAAGGATTTGGGGATACGCAGACTGGATTTCTGCTATGCGAGTCATCAGCCAGTATGTCAAGTCTGCTGGAGGTGATGTTTACCGCCATAATTAACGGAGATATGGTGGAGAGGGGTATTCGCCTGTCCCTCATGCGGGGTTAATTATCAGCAACCTGAAAGCTTGCCATGGCTCAGTATCTGATAAAATGCTGCTACTTGATAGGTGCATTGAGATAATGGATATGACTGTAGATAAGCATACTGAACAGGCTTTGTGTACAACATCATGACTAGCAGAAATTGCAACACATGATTCAATTTGTTCTATCTCTGTATGGAACAACTAATTGAAATAAACATCCATAATATCACTGAATACAGGACATAGACCGCAACTATCATCAAGTCTATGTCCATTGAGATTTCTGCTGAACAGATCAGCGTCCAATGCTTCCACACAATGCCAGATACCAGCGAGAATCAAACAAGTTCCACCACCGAAACAATTAGGATATTATCTTAAGGTTTTGGAATCAAAAAAGTGTACCGATATAAGGACATGGACTCTGCATATTCCGGCAGAGTCAGGAAGGAAAAGAGGGGGAAGAGGCACCCCAAATGCAAAAACGCACTACCGAGTCATTCGGAGGGAATCGAGAGAGTATATCAAGAACCAAATTTATAGCACGACACAAAGACGCCAGCGCTTATGCGTTTTCCGATTGAAGGGTTTGCTATAGTAAAAAACGTCAGCATGTTGGAAATAAACCAAAACAGTGCGGCTGCGCAAGGGTCAACTAACCACCAACCAATCCATGCCCTCATCGAGACCTTTGCCATCGATGGCAGAGCAGGCCACAATACTCCAGTTTCGATCCCGGAGTTCTCCCAGTTTCAGGGCCTCTGAGATCTCACCCGCACCCTTGGCACCAGGCTGGTCTTGCTTGTTTGCAAACACCAGTAGGTTGGCATCACGGAGTTCCTCCTCATTCAGCATGGCTGCCAACTCATCGGCAGCTGTTCCCAGTCGCTCAATATCAGTGGAATCGATGACGAATATGACGGCGGCGGTGTTGGCGTAGTAGCACCGCCAGTACGGACGAATCGATGTTTGGCCTCCCAAATCCTGTATAAGAAGACATTGTATTAGTTTGTCTCCAGTCGTCTATTTCGCATTCTAGACAGCACTTCTGAAACATACCCAAACGTTAAAGTTCAGATTTCGATACGTCACCGACTCGACATTGAATCCAATGGTAGGTATCGTGGTAACAACTTCGCCGATCTGTTGAAGCAGTATACAAGTCAGCGTACTGATGCCCCACATCCATATCCCAAAACAACATACCTTCAATCTGTAGAGGAGTGTGGTCTTTCCGGCATTGTCCTAAATTGTTCAAACAAATGCATTAGCCCCCAGACCCGTCGACACTTATCGCCTAGTGTTATGTATAGCATACGAGTCCCAGGATAAGGATCCGAATCTCCTTCTTAGTCCAGATCAAGGACCATAACCGCGATAACGAGGCTCCCATGATGTGCTGTTGGTGACGAAGGGGTGGTTCTTTCGTCGGTGAGTGAGTGACAGATGGATGGTGTTGCGGAGATCGCAGACGCGATGACAGGAAGCGGTGGGATGGAGGCGAATGAGTGCCAAGAAGGTCAGCCAGTGAGCTTACACAGGATGTCCTCGAGAAGATGACGAATTCAAAATTGAAGTTTTTTAATTACTTATTGAAGGTATAATGTGAAACGGCAAACGCATCATCAAATAATCAATCGCTGACTAAACGCGATATTTGGTGGCAATCACACTGGACTGTTGCTGTTCTGCGCCGATCGGCCTGGCCCAAGCTGGGATGGCCCTAAAGTAGGAGAGTCTCAGGTTTAACTTGACTGTAGAAGGATTGCGCCGCGGCCTCTTTTGTCGCCATTATCATTAGCTGCTGCGGTATCGTGTTCAGCGTCTACTACTGTCTTCTCTAAAGCGTCGTGTATGCTGTCACTTTGATCGCCAGTGTTTATGGTATTCCTCATTTGAACCAACCAGTCTCCCGCTTCGTTTGAGCGCATCTTTGCGATCCGCCATCTTCGCCGCACTCCTCCGTACCGAGCTTCTCCTAGAAACCTCCGCACTCCGTTTTATCCAGCTCACTGGCATCTCTGCCAACTGATACACCATGGTTGGCAAGAAGTCTGGAAAGGCTCTCCTTCGGGATGAGGGTAAGCTCTCTTGGGATACTTTTTGTTGCCCTGCTAGGACCAGGCCACTGATCTTCATAGGCCTTGAACGAACCGATAACAATATGGATCTATCGAGCTGGCCTCAGATACCTGCGATCAACCAGAAAAACTACTACACGTATGTTTCTGCATCTGTCTCCACGCTTACTATCCCTCCCTCGAATCGAACCTCTATTCTTGTCACAACTTTGATCGCTGACCGTTGATTCTCTTATAGCGATTACCTGAAGAGAGACGACCAGTATTTGGCTTTTAGGTTGCAAAATGAAGAGAATAGAAATCGGATGGCCAAAACAGCCAAGGACCGAGACCGTGCTCTTGCGATGGAAAAAGCGAATGACCTGGGAATTCCCGAACCGGACGCAGATGATGGCGATACAAACATGGAGGATGAAGAGAGTGAAGTTGAGACAGTTGGCTCCAAGGTCATTGTCATACATCTTGGCAGTCAAAATCTTCGAATCGGGCTGGCCAGCGATGCTTTACCAAAGACTGTTCCTATGGTAATTGCAAGGAAGTCTTCTACCAGCGAATCCGAGGACAGGGAAGAACCCAACCCTAAAAGGTTGAAGCTGGACGATGATTCTGCGATGGAGCCAGAGAAGATGTTTGGTTCTGAGGTTTGTTCCAATTGGTGTACAAGGCTAAAATTGCGATGTGCTGGATCTAATTCTTGTCATAGTTTTCCTCCCAATATTCCACGATGGTCGCGGACCTTAAGGTACACATGCGCCAGAACAAACGCAGGACCCTGCCGAACTCGAAAGAAATGGTCGTCAATTATAATCGGAGAACGGTACCAGAGACGATTTCTGAACACAACGATCCCATGCGTGTGGACTGGACAGAAATCCCGGATGCACCAGCTTCGGCGCCCGAATACATTGTCGGGCAAGAAGCTTTGAGAATACCCGATGCTTCAAATCCTCGTTATAAGCTATATTGGCCAATGAGATATGGATGGTGTAATGAGAAGGACTATAACAGCAAGAGACTTATGTTCTTGGACATTTCATTGATTCTCGAAGAAGCGATCAAGAACCAATTGGGCCTTACAAGCAAGAAGGAATGGCCTCAATATTCATGCGTATTCGTCATTCCGGATCTCTACGAGAAGTCGTACGTGTCACAAGTTCTAGAGATGCTGATGCGAGAGTTCGCATTTGCCCGCGTTTGTTTTATCCAGGAGAGTCTTGCTGCTACCTTTGGCGCGGGATTCACCTCGGCCTGTGTTGTTGACATTGGTGCGCAAAAGACATCTATATGTTGCGTCGAAGAGGGCATGTGTATTGAAAACTCCCGGGTCAATCTGAAATACGGAGGAGCAGACGTGACCGAGACTTTCATCAAAATGATGCTTTACGACCACTTTCCTTATGCCGAGATAAACCTGTGGCGCAGGTATGATTTCTTGTTGGCCGAGGAGCTGAAGAAAAACATTTGCACCATGAATGAAGCCAGTGTTTCTGTTCAGGTTTATGATTTTCACCTCCGTGTCGCCGGCCAAGATACCCGAAAGTACACTTTCAAGGCATACGACGAAGTGCATCTGGCTCCCATGGGCTACTTTCAACCATCTATCTTCGAGAATTCAGACAAAATCAACGGACGGAGGACTCTGATTGAACGCTCGGTTGATATTTATGACGGCCAACCAAACGACCCGGTGTCTGCGGCTCAGTCCGAGATCCTGACCACCATTGCTCCCCCACAGGCTAATGGACAAGTCAATGGTGAGACTCACTCAAACACTTTGGACGTGCAATCAACACCGAGTCGTTCCCAACAAGTCAATGCACTCAGTCGCGTGCAAGAACTTGATGCTACTCCTCGATCTTCAGTTGCTGGCTCTCCTGCACCGGAGGCCCTGGGTACTCCTCAGGCAGGTGGAGCGGCGACTCCAGCCGTCGGAGGACAAGCTCAAGCCCCGCAACAGCCTCGTGCGCCTACTGTTGAAGAACGAGATGACATACCCCCTGTGTTCCCACTGGACACTGCCATCCTTACTTCTATTGCACACGCTACCCGCGGAGAGGAACGTAAAATGCGAGACTTCCTTGGAGGAATCATGATCGTTGGAGGCGGAAGCCAGATCAACGGCTTTCATTCCTTCCTCGAGGAGCGATTACAGTACCTTCGCCCAGGATTCGCCAAGGAGATCATGATTGGTACGCCTCCAAGAGATCTCGACCCGCAAGTCGTTGTATGGAAGGGCGCAAGTGTATTCGGGAAGCTGAGTGGAACTAATGACAGCTGGATCGGTCAGTTGGAATATGATAGATTGGGCCACAGACTCATGGCGTACAAGTGCATGTGGGCTTATTGATTCGATGCTACTTTATTTATTCTATTTCCCTTTTCTTATTTACTTTTATGAAGGATGGCATTTGAGATATCTTATTGATTTTATGGGTTCTCTTGTATCAAAATAGTATGGCTTATAACCAATTGGTTGAATTCTGAAGCAGGATAGCAGAATATTAAACTATCTAAATGATATTAAAGGATTGACTCCCACCAAAAACAAGTAATCAGTTTACATTCATTCACTAATTCTTTATCACTGGAAATATGACACCATTCACTATGTGATTACTAAGCTCCTCCGATTTCCCGGTAATCACGGAACAATATTCCTCCCTCCTCGGAATCATCTTCACACGCTAACTTGAAGAATCAGGCGGTCAAGAACTGCAGAATGGTGTCTCCAACCCCAAGTAAGTTTGCCCTCAATTCAAGCTGTCTCAGTTGGTCGGGCTCTCCTACTCATTTTATATACTCTTATCAGTTCTCTCACCCGTTGACTCGAGTGGTAGGGATCCATCTGTGCCTCTTGTCCCTGACTCTGAGGTTCCCCCGATATTTCTCCCCAGCCCCCGTAAGTCTGAAAAAGAGCTGTCGCATCACGAATTCGAGAACGTCCGCTAATCGACCTCAAAAGAATACACGCCGTCCCACTCCGATACCCCGACTCCAGAGCCAGCGACAGACGCAGCATACACCATGTCGAAATCGAAGTCCAAGGAAAGCAGCTCCTCCGGGGGTTTTCACCAGGAATATATAGCCTCTTTGCGCTATCGAAATGACCTCCCTCCCCCGGACATGCCCCCGAAGTTTCTTGACATCCCGCATGAGGGTCTAGACCGTTTTCTTACTCCTGGATTTGCGTCGAACTTGGCTCGACGGGAGGAACCGAATATTGATGTTGACGCTGAAGGTGGTATGCCAATTGACCTGGTAGGTATTCCGGGGCTTCACCTCGGTGATGAAAGCGGTATGTTTGCTTCTCTCATGGAATTGTATGAAAGGAAGAACTAATCAATTTTGCGCAGCTATCATGGCACCGGAGAATCCTCAGCCAATCGACCCTGCCGATCTCCCTCTTCTTATGAATTTGGACCAACTGAAAAACCCCGCACCCAAGAACACCAATGTCAGCTTCCTGCGTCGTACGCAATATATCTCGGCCGGTCTTCGCGCACCAGACGGCGGAAAGGCTATTCCTACTAGAGCAAGACCTCGTCAGGATAAAAACAAGGTGTCCCAGGACGACCCGGCTTATATAAAGCGGTATATCCAGAAAGGATTTGACATTGCACACCCAGAGAGCAAACATTCCGGTGAAGATACTTCAAGCAGAATCAAAGGCCACACCCCGACCAAGGTGGAACTCGATGCTTGGGCCAAACCGGTTCATCCTGACAACCCGAAGCTGAAACCTGTTGGTTTCTTTCCTCTCCTGCCTGACCTGCAAGGATTCCCGGACCCTGGAGGCTTTGTCCAGTTTAAGTTCGATAAGGCACCTGTTCAGGGTGTTTCTGGGAAGCGGGACAAACGCATGGATGTTTCTGTCCTGCTTCCATCTGCACCTGAGGAGCGTGTGTGCCAGGAACATGCGACAAAGGCCGCCCTACACAAAACGAACCCCAACATCTATCCCGACCCTGGCCCGGTTCCATGGGATTACGATCTTTTCTTACCGGAGAAGGACTCTACCAAGGCCGTCATCTCAAGTCTACATCTTTCGAACCCCGACCGCGATAACCAGGAACTCTACCGTCATGAAGGGTCCGACAACACAAAATTCCATCGTTTCGATCGTGTTCGCACATATGCTACTAGTGCCCAAACTCTGGGTAACGATGTGAAGCAGAAGGATGTCGCTGTGACTTTGTTTGATCCCTCGGATGTGAAGGACGACCAAGGCGAAAATGCCTCCAAGCAAAAGGGTGCCTATTATTACCCAATTCTGGGCAAGACTCGTCTCAAGCCGGAGCGAGCCCGTACCATTGCTCAGGCTGGTCTAGCACCTACTCGTCCCAAGACGAAGGAAGACCAAGTCGACCAGCTTCAGGTTGCGGTTCGCGATCCCGATGAGGCAGAGGTCTACAAACGTTCTCTACACAGAGCAGCTATCGATCCCAAGTTTGCAGAGACCATGCCTCCCCCTCCAGAGGGCCCAGGTGACGAACCCGAATCACCCAAAGAGCAGAACGAAGGGGGCAGAGAAGGGAGTGTTGATGATGCCCAAGATGCGGAAGACGATGACAGAATGAGTGACGAGTAGTCATCCATACTTCCAACTTTTTTCCTTTTTTCCTTTTTTCCTTTTTTCCTTTTTTCAAGTCACACGGCTGCATACTCATAGTGCTTCTCTTCTCTTATTGAGCAGCATTTGTTTCTTTTTGTCACTTCAAAGACTACATACCCATATCTTGTCATCATGCTTTGGTAATCTTGCCGTGTCGCCTCAGATTTCTTTACCTGATATTTTTCAGAACGTTGTCCCTAGCCGCAAAGAGTCCGTCACGATAGGCTTCGCATTGGTGTCGAGGGCAGCAAAAGTGATTGGCGTTAACTGGCACAAATGGAATCAATCGGTTTTTTCTTGCGAATTGGATGGAAATTGTTTACTTTGTTTCCCTCCTCTTCAGGAGCCCAGCTTGGAGGTTTATTGTATGTACTTTTTTTTAAGAATCTTTGGAGATAATTCAGTCCATAGCAACGAATCAATGTCAAATGCAATCTAATCTACAGGCTTTCGCTATGATGCCATGATAACGAACAAGCCGTACACCGCCCGGGATACAAGGTACATTCTGCCGGTAATAATAACTGACCGCCCGCTACTTCCGGATTTCGTTTTGGCGCAAGAGAAACACCGGGAGAAAATCGTCGTTCTCGAATTCCATCCCTCTGTGGATAGGCTTGCTTTGTAAACGACTGGGAATTCTTGCTGGTTTTTGGTTTTTCCCTCAATTCCGACGCAGCAGGTCTGAATAAATAGATTCTGCATTTTGATTGTGAGTTTTGCCCTATTCAATGTTCTTCTCTTTAATTCCGCTGTCGGCGCCATGTCGGGCTCGGGATCTCGGATCGGAGCACTTGAGCAGTTCCTCTTCTCAGATATCATGTTGGAAAGCTTCTATGTTGCAACGTCATCATCTTCCAAACATACCAGTCTGAACAATTGATCTAGTACAACAATGCTGACTACCATCCAGATCTATTGCTTGGTACTTGGTACTTTGCGCATGGTTTTGACATAGAATCAAGAAAGTAAATCTACTCTTGTCAAGATGGCTGCCAGTTCCGCCGCTCTCGCTTGGAGGTCTGCGGGCTTGAGGGCTCGCGTTGCGTCTCCCCGTTGCATTCAGCGACCTTCGGTCCTACACAAGCGTGCAGTGCAGCCCCAGGGTACCGTGAGGTACGCCACGGACGCTGCTGCTGCTACAGAGAATGCTGCCGCCGAGGCTGCTAAGGAGATCCCAAAGGAGGCCCCAAAGGCTATGAAAGAGGCTCCCAAGAAGGCGGGTCGCAGGTTTAGAAGAACTGTGCTCGGCACATCTTTGGCTCTCACTCTCTTTGTTGGATACGTTTACGGAACAGACACCAGAGCTAGCTTCCACCGCTATGGCGTGGTTCCTCTCATTAGATTGTTGTACCCCGATGCTGAGGATGCTCACCATTTGGGAGTGGATACTCTGAAGCAACTCTACAAATTTGGGCTTCACCCCAGAGAGCGGGGTAACCCAGATGGCGATGGGGCCCTGACGACTGAGGTAAGTTTCTTATCATCGATGATCTATAGATGTACATACTTAGCAACCATTAATTGCTAGGTCTTCGGGTATACGCTCTCCAACCCTATCGGTATCTCCGGTGGCCTTGACAAGCACGCTGAGATTCCGGACCCATTGTTTGCGATCGGGCCGGCAATTGTCGAAGTTGGAGGAACGACCCCATTGCCGCAAGATGGCAACCCTCGGCCTCGTGTGTTCCGACTTCCCTCCCAGAAGGCCATGATCAATCGCTACGGTCTCAACTCCAAAGGTGCAGACCATATGGCCGCCATCCTGGAACAGCGAGTCCGTGACTTTGCGTATGCGAACGGCTTTGGCTTGCACGAACTGGCTGAGAAGCGAGTTTTGGATGGCGAAGCCGACGTTCCCCCGGGAAGTCTTCTGCCCGGAAAGCTCCTCGCCGTTCAAGTCGCCAAGAACAAGACAACACCCGACTCCGACATCGAAGCCGTCAAAGGAGACTATGTGTACTGCGTCGACCGCTTGGCCAAGTACGCTGATATCCTTGTCGTCAATGTGTCGAGTCCCAACACCCCCGGTCTGCGCGATCTCCAGGCAACCGCACCTCTGACTGCCATCCTATCCGCTGTCGTCGGAGCAGCAAAGGGCATTGACCGCAAGACGAAGCCTTTCGTAATGGTCAAGGTCAGTCCAGACGAAGACTCAGACGAGCAGGTTCAGGGCGTCTGCGACGCAGTCCGCGGCTCAGGAGTCGACGGCATCATTGTCGGAAACACCACCAACCAACGCCCCGACCCACTCCCCAAGGGCACCGCACTCCCAGCCAAGGAGCAGACCACAATCAAGGAAACCGGAGGATACTCCGGTCCCCAGCTTTTCGACCGCACAGTTGCCCTTGTAGCCCGGTACAGGGCTCATCTCGACGAAGCCCCCGCCGAGCCCAACTCTGAAGCCGTTGCCGCTAGCAGCCCGCGCAAGGTTCTCTTCGCCTCTGGTGGCATCACGAACGGCGCCCAGGCCCGCGCCGTGCTGGATGCCGGTGCCTCTGTGGCTATGATGTACACCGGTATTGTGTATGGCGGAACTGGCACTGTGACTCGTGTCAAGCAGGAACTGCGCGAGGAAAAGAAGAAGGAGTAAAAAGTTGAAAGAGACGATTGTATATATGTTTGAATGACAGTTGATTTATCTTTATTCTACTTTTCCCACAAAAATAGACTTGTTACTAAATCCAAAACCCAGAGTGAAGAAATAATAAACACAATTACCCATCTATCAATAACACCATAATCACCTACGAATTGAAAATGCTTGCTTCCACGAAACAAAATTAATGACATCCTTGTAAAGTGGGTGAGATCTGCAATTTCACCCCGCTTTTGAGCGCTGCAAGGATGTAGATATGTACAATGTAAGCCAGTATAAAACAACGCAGTATCAAACAACGAAGAGCGATATTATTATTTTCATAAAGCGTCGCCCATCACATGCTATACTATACTATTATACTATGTAATTCGTATCACGTAACACATACCTCTTATCTGTTCATATCAAACACCCAGAGTTTCCCCAACTTCCTTGACGACTTTCTGGACACCAGGAATTTCGTGCGCGAATCGGCCTAAGAACATACCATCGACGGCCTTTCCAAGACCTCCCTGACCCCATAGCCCGGGCCCCGCGCTTCCCCCATACAAGACACGGACATCACCCTCGTGTTTCCCAATTACCGCTCTGATGCCATCCACGACGGCCGAGACGTGGTCGACGCCCGCGGGGGCGGGTTTCCCAATTGCCCAGACAGGTTCGTAGGCGAAGATGACGGGTGCGTCGGCGGGGATGGCGCTTAAGACGGCGCGAACTTGGACTTCGCATTCACTTACTGCACGGCCGACGGCTTCTGATGCGACGGGGCCCGGGGCGGTGATTTCCCCGATGCATACGAGGGGTATCATGCCGTGTGCCGAGGTGGCAGCGGCCTTGCGGGCGGTTTCGTCGTCTGTCTCGTGGAAGATGGAGCGGCGTTCGGCGTGGCCCAGTTCCACGATGGAGGCGCCGACGGAGCGCAGGGCGAGGGGAGAAACCTCACCGGTGTAGGCACCCAACGACTCCCAGAAACAGTCCTGAGCGCCTAGTAGGACGGGGGGTGGGAGGGTGGTATCATCAGATTGAGCGATTAGTTTAGACTCGTAGTCTTGGATAATTTGAGCGCAGGGGTAGACAGTTAGGAAGTCGGGTATCAAGGCCAGCAGGAGTTTAGCCCTGTTTTCCGGCCGGACGATTTCATTCTTTGGGTCGAGCAATGCGTGGAGATAGTCGAGAGTCCGAGAGGGGGTGAAGTACATTTTCAAGGAAATGATGAGCAAGGTTTGCGGGAGAACAGGGTATACAGGTTTTGAGGCCATTTTGATACTGGTGATAAGATTAGCACTGATGCCATTGTGGCTGTTGTGGTTGCTGAGTCTAATTTTTTGATCCATTCATCCTTGTTTTGGTATCATCTTCGGATTGAAGCTCGGAAATTAACTGTCCCATCTCCGCCGTGTGGTCCGACTTGATTGCGTTGGTTGCAGGTTCAAGACACCGAGTCGGAAAATCGGACCAGGGAGCGGAGGTCGAGAGATACTCAATTTGGAGTGTATGAGGCTAAAAAAAGGAACAAAACGAAAGAAACGCGGATAGACTCACGTTGATTGCCCGACGATGATGTCACGTCACCGCCGATATTCCCTGTTTGGGCGAGAGTTGAGGTTGTTGAGCGGGACTGAGATAGGCAGAATGAATCGGGTGGTTATCGTCTGGTATTGCAAGGTCAGTTCTGTTCAGTCGATCATTCTGGTAGAATACTATGGTACTCACTTTCTGGGTCCTATTTCGATATGGCCTGTATTATCTTGGATAGACACGGGAAGGTTGAAGCAATGAGGGGCAAGAGGGGTCGGACCAAATCAAGATTCTGGGAAGGTGAGTTGAGATGAAGCCATGGAAAGCGAGAGAATCGCATCGAGCAGAGGCACGTACCTGAGTCTATTCCGACGATCCGTGAGCAAACGATAGCCTCGTAAGTGGGACAAGGTTGGATGTCTTGATGAAACCGGGAAAGCTGAAAGTTGCCTGATTCGGCTGTCACGTTCAAGCCAGCGGCCAATCAGAGGCAGATGTACAATCACCACAGTATTGTAAAATATTGTGTATAGTCGTCTGGATAAGTATCTGTTCAAGAAGATAATATCAAAATATTTGGATTACCAAATATTGCAATCCGATATAATGCAGATGGGTAGCTACATCCAGTATCTCCGTGATGAAGGCTTTCCCCATAATAGTTAACCGGTAAAAGTGGAACCGGCCGAACCCCAGAATGGGCATTCCGGGGTAGCTGCCATAGTATGATTAGTACTATGTATAGGTCAACTGATTCTCAGATTTTTCTCTGCTTCTCTGCATGATGCAGGAGATACGGTGAATATCATATTCAGATGGCATTAGATGGTATAATGTATTGGTACTGTTCTAGGCCTACTTCCAGGTTGTCTTCTATTAGCTACTATAATCACGCAGATAGAACCAGGATATCTCTAATTCTATTCCCCATTCCTAAATAATCCGATAGATTAACTAATATACATAATAATAACCTGGATAAATTCATAAATGAAATAAAACAAATCATTGTGACGCACTGCGGGGCTCGTCCGAAACCAGCCATCGACTCTCATTGATCGAGCCGTTCGATTGTCTGGATCCGGTCTGGCTGGACAACAGAATGGATGATGGCTTCAGCTGTGGCTGACCGGCTGTGCGACAATCCAGCATGGCTGGATATAAAAGGGCCTTGAATTCCTCTCTCCTTGCTGTCCAATTCAATCATCCAGAATCTATTCTCCCTAACATTCTATTTGCCATCTCTATCCACAGCAACCTATCTTGACCTACCTTAAATCTCCCTCACCTCTATCTCACAATGTCTGACCTTCAGCCCCTCCGTATCGTCATGGCCTGCGATGAGGCCGGTGTTCCTTACAAGGAAACCATCAAGGCTTTCCTGGAGAAGTCCCCCCTTGTCTCCGACATCATCGACGTCGGCGTCAACTCCACCTCCGACAAAACGGCCTATCCTCACCCAGCCGTCGATGGCGCGAAGCTCATCCGAGAAGGCAAGGCCGACCGTGGTCTCTTCATCTGCGGCACTGGCCTGGGTGTCGCCATCTCGGCTAACAAAGTGCCTGGCATCCGCGCGGTCACCGCACACGACTCCTTCTCCGTCGAACGATCCATCCTGAGCAACGACGCTCAGGTCCTTTGCTTCGGACAGCGTGTCATCGGCATCGAACTGGCGAAGAAACTCGCTGGCGAGTGGCTCACCTACCGCTTCGATACCAAGAGTGGCTCTGCCGCGAAGGTGCAGGCCATCTGCGACTATGAAGCCCAGTTCGCTGGTGTTGTCTAAGCCAACATACCAATCAACAATATTATACCCTCGATGATATCCGATTCGGGAACATCTGCATACCACAGCCAACGAATTGGATCTCGTCATGGGATGTCACCACCTGACCGGGTCACGATTCGTCCTTCCCCGTGCGTTCTCTTCAATTTGTCTATATTCGAGAGAAAGACCCTATATTTTTCTATTATTTATCAGCATCATCTGATTATTGAAACGAGTCAATGATACCACGATTCTCACGGAATGGAATTTGGCTGGCCGAATTGTCGTTCTTCTTTTTGTTCGCCCATTTTCGCTTCCTGGTTTGGGTCTCTTAGATAGTATCACACAGGATAGACAGAAAATATATATACCATCTTGAATAACTCACCTGAACATGATCTGTCCTTGCTGCATGTCGTAGATCTATATAATGAGATATAGCTGTCTATACTCCAGCCATTGCTGAGTCATGGCCGATCATCCGTATCGTCGATTCTGCGGGGATCGATCAGCTTCGATTGCAAAAGTGGGCTTCAGTCATCGTGCCAGACAATCAGAAGGCTGCTTCATGATGCTTTCTGAATCTCATCATCAAGTCCTCCGGCTTGAGAACCATTCCAGGTTTTCGGAACTTGAGTCTTGCTGTTTCTGTTTGATTGAAGCTGATTAGAACTGATACAACTGATTGCTCCGCAGTCACAGTTAGTCGGCTTGGTGGGATTAAGTACACACTGCCAGCCTTGTATCGTGGATTAATTCTATCCAGACTTATCATCTGTATCATCCTCGCAATTGATAGTTGACACTCTTTTGATCCTTTTCCCCTCGGTCTGACCGTCAGGAACGCTGCCGGTGGATCTTCAAACACACTTGCCCCACCGCTGACTGATTGTCCCCCGACTGTATTCCTAATCAACTCACAAAAAAGTGCGACCAAGTCTTCCCAGTCTCCAGGTTCATCCGCCCCATTCCGAAAGATGTCCTTCGAATTGAAAGATAAAGGCAATCGCCTCTTCAAGGATGGCGATTACAATGGCGCTGAGGATCTATACTCCCAAGCGTGAGTTCAAACCAACTCAAAAAAAAAAAACAACAAAGCTATCCAGCTATTTCAGGAGTAAACTGACAGAACTACGCATCAAGCATCCAGAAGAACCCCAGCGAACCTACCTTTTTCACGAACCGCGCCCTGACCCGGATAAAACTGGCGAAATGGGCCGGTGTGGAACACGATGCGCGCGCCGCGATCGACCTCTACGGCCCCAAGAACCCCACCAGCATCAAGAGCTCCTACTACCTAGCGCAGGCGTTGCTGGGTCTCCAGAAGCCGCAGGAGGCGTACGATGTAGCCATTGACGCATACCAGGCGAGTCTGGCGAGCAAGAACGTCCAGACCGAGAATCTGTCCAAGACCGTCCTCCGCGCGAAACAGCAGATCTGGGCTGCCAAGGAGACGTCCCGACTGCGGGAGATGAACGAGACACTGGGCAGTGTGGAGCAATTGATCGAGAATGACCTCCACCAGGCTCTGGCTGAGTTACAGGCCAAGTTGGAGAAAGAGGAGATCGGACAGACTGGGTTTGCTGAAGACGAGAAGGCGCTTCGCGGGGATGCGGAGAAGAACGTGCATAATGTTCGTGAGGCATTCCGCATTGCGTCGAATGGTGATATCCAAGAAAGAGTATGTCCATTCACCCTTATCCTCTGCTCTCATATTCATATCTTTCAGGTTGTCCCAGATTATCTCGTCGACGGCATCACGTTCGAAATCATGCACGATCCCGTCATCACCCCCTCGGGCAGCAGTTTCGATCGCATAGGAATTACCAAGTACGTCGAGCAATCCGGCGTTGACCCCATCACCCGGGTATCTATGTCCATCAACGATTTGCGCTCAAACTATGCCCTCAAGGCTGCCTGTGAAGAATTCCTCAATAAGAATGGATGGGCTGTGGACTGGTGATTGCCAGCTTGATTTTCTTCTTCTTCTTTTTATCTTGTTTTTCTTCCATTCTTGTTTATTCCTTTTTTGTCTCCGACAGTGATTGTAATTCTTGGTTTGTCAAAAGCGAGGAATACCCGTCACTGATTCTTGCCTTTTGCATAATATCGGCGTCTTGGGTTGTGTGATAGAATTTGATGTCTTTGATTCTTGTAGATATTGTCTAATAACCTTTTTGTCTTTCATGTCGACATTTTGATCGAGTCATGGTTACGTTGAATGAACAATGACATACATACCATCCAACTCCAACAATAATCCATCCCCCATCCTCCCCCCAAAATTCATACACTTATAAAATCAACCCTCCAAAATGCCAACCCCAAACTACTTCCAAGCCCTCGACTCCGCCACCTCCAGAACAAAATTCACCACCGAAGTCCAAACCGCCGCATCGGGCATCAACAAAGAAACCCTCCAGACAGCCGTGGAAATAGCACTGTCAGCAGACGATAAAACGGCCTCGTTGGACGAGGAGCAGGCTGCTGCTCTTGAGGCCGGATTCACGTTTGCCACGGCTTTGGTGAAGATGCTTGGTAGGGAGCCGGTGTCGGATGAGAAGTTGGTTGTATGTCCTTCTTTCCTTGGGGTTTTAATGGGGGAGCGGGGTGTTTTTGCTGATTTTGGATGTAGCTTTATGGGTATTTCAAGCGCGCGAGGAATGAAGAGCCGGTTAAGCCTGCTGGGTATCAGTTTGAGGTATGCGGTTTCTTCGTTTTATGGGTTGGCGGTATCTTTTTTATTGATCTGATGGATTGACAGGCAAAATTCAAATACGCTGCTTGGAAGAAAGTGGGCCATATAACCGAGCAAAAGGCTCAGGTGGAGTATATCAAGCAGGTGGATATTCTTATCGACAAGTACGGGACCAGGTCGTAGGATTGGGATTAGGATTTATGGATGAGGACGATGATATATTTATGATATGAATTAAGGAATATACCAGGTTCTTGAGCAGATTTATTCGAGCCATGTCTGTCCTAGCCAGTCGGGCTCGGTGTGGTTGGCTGTTGCGCACCATGGGATATCGTCTGGGCTGTAGGGTGTCAAGGGGAGATCGTATGGCATTCTGAACCCGATGAGAGTAGAAGTAGATGCGCCATCGCCGTCCTCATCAGTGTGGCAGACAGTAGGAGTATCTCGTTTAAAGCAAGGGACCATCGCAATCTCTTGGTTCTCAGATGTAGCAAATAGCTGCGGCCAGACCACAACCCCAATCTCCCAGCTGCATATTCTTACCTCCCCATTATTATTGACAGCCGCTCCCCACGCCTGCGTGGAGAGGTTAGAAGACGTAACCATCGCCCAGTCAATCGAGTCCATGGTTTTCGTATCTGAGAACCGGATATACGTTTTGATATGTGGAGCAGCGCGACGACGACCTGCCTCGCGTTTCAGGTCCGGAATACTGCTACCCGTAGTCGTGTCGCTACTATCACCCGCCCAATGACACAGATAAGGACGCATGTATTGTAGTTGTTTCTGCTGCGGAGCACTTTGCAGTTTCATGTGGATTGACCCGCCGGAGCTATATCCGTTCAGAGACCGGCGGATTTCATCAGGTGTAGGGAAGATAATGGAGTATTTCGGTTTGGTGGTTGGTTCTGGTGCTTTTAAGAGACAATTTGGAGCGAGAGATTTAAAAAAGACGTCTTTGAGCCATTTATCAGTCTGGCCAAGTGAGGCGATTGAGGATATCTATCCAGTCAGTATTTGCCATGATAGCTTAGGAAACAGGACTTGGGATATCTACCTGTGTCACAATATGTGGTGTAGCAGCATCTTTGCTTTTACTCAACGGCACATGGCGTAGAATATCTCTCAAAGCTGGCCATCCCCACAAGGTGTGTTTTTGCGAGTCCATCGAGTTGATCTTTTGCTTCGAAGGTACGCTTGCTATCAACGCAGCACGAACAGCCCCAAAATCGTAACTGGAAAGCTGTCTAATCAGGGGCCCTGTCTTGCTATTACCGTAAGCGTTCAGGTATGACAATAGATCCCTCTTGAACCGTGCACCGTTTCCAATTGTTATATCTTGTTTTGGAGGATCGGTATGTTTCAGTAAAGGCAGCAAAGGAGAACGCCAGACAGCTTGGCTCATATTTGTCCAATCCATCGGGATCATATTAGACGTATGAATGATAACTCTATATATCATCAGCCAAAAGCAAAGGGTCAGTAGGATGGCAGACAAACATACTGTGCAAGATTATCATGGCGAAGCAAAATCATCATCTTGGAGTGATGGGTACCAAATGGCTCGGGCATGTAAGCCACCACAGCCTCTGTATTTGGATATCGAGAGCATGCTTCCTGGTATATTATTAATGATTGTCTCTTAATATCAAATCCGAACCGGGACTTACATCAATATGAATCCGATTCGGCGCCTCTCTCTTCCATGATCCATGCACGATCTTGACCTGCACCAAATTCTTGACATCTTCATCAAACTGATTCATTAAAAAGTCCACGTCAAAGAGATAATTAAACTGCCAGCATTCACGAATCATCGGATCCCCTAGGATATCCCGTAGTCGGACAGTATCAACATTGTTGCCCGAGGACGCAGGCAGATCTCGGATGTGGGTGAGTTGGATTGGCGATGGAAGCAGCTGCGGGACCGTAGAAGATGCAGCACTTTTGCCATCCCGATTTAAATAATTTTTAGGGGATTTCTGGACAGAAGGCTGATGAGAGGTCTGTCGGGAGCGTGATAGTGGTGGAGTAATGGACCTGTGCAGTGATGCCAAGGTCGCATTACCATTACTTGTCGCTGATGGAGAGTCATCTGCATCGATTTTTGGGCTATCTGACGATACTTTGGCTCTTTTCGCAGGTCGATCCATCGTTGTTGATGTCTGCGTCCTGGAAAAGGCGTGGAATAAGGGAGGTTGATGTTGGAGAGGAAAAGAAGTCGCTCCGTCCGCTGAAATGTCAACCACGGCGTGGTCGGTTTCATGGGCCAGATTGACACGATTAAATTATTCATATGCGAGTAGCTCCAAATGATAAATTGTTGAATTTCAGAATTTGATTTTATTCCATAATCAGACCAAGTTTTGCATGTCACCAGTATGAATTCTTTGTTTAGACAGCGTTATATATCGTGGACAACGTCGCTTCAATTACATACCACGAAGCTAATTTTCTATAGAGAATCATGTTTCTTCTTAATGTATTGAGCGAATTCAGCTGGAGCTCATTTCATATAGCAATGTTTTGATAATATGTACAGACAAATACTAATACAGGTGCCAGCAAGCTAGATAGTAACACAAATAGCGAATAGTAAGGTAATATTTTGAAGAAAATATCCAGTGGTATATTACCACATAAATCTCTGAACCTTTCCTGGTTCCTGTGGCCATTCAAAGCCTTTGTACAGGAAAACATACCCTGTCACAGCGCTGATAACCACGAACCACACGGTTTCCAAAAACAGAGGGAAGTTAGTAGACAGCTTTGCGCGGAGAATCTCCTTGTCACCCCGAGGACGCTGTTGACGATAGATAGCGGGTGTTGGCTGTGGAGGTAGATGTAGCCTCCACATGACCCATGGGATGATAAAGTATCGAGGCTCAACCAAAGGTGCAGTGACGAGGGAGAGGGCCGTTGCAGCAAGCCAGACAAGCACAAAACTAACCCGAATTCCTCCCTGCTGCTCCTTTTGACGTGTAATTAGATGCGCCTTGATTTTGGCAAGCGCCTCTGGAGAGATAGGCTGGGGCTGAGGCGGGGGAGGTTGGCTAGCCTTTTTGGAGGACCCCTTCTTGGAGGCTGTTTTTGGCTTTTTCACAGTTTCCTTTGACTGCTTCTTTTTAGGGGCTTGTTGAGCAGACGGTTTCTGTGGTACCTGAATGACTTCACGGACTTTCCCGGTAGCTGTGTAACCAAAGGCCGAAAGTACTGCCCAACCGCAGATGAAATAGACTAGGACAGCAGCGTATTTTACGGCTGGGTGATATCTGAGCAGAATGCGGAAGGCGTAAAAGACATAATGGCGGTTATCAGCGAGGGTAAAGGGGTGGACAATAGTGTTGAAGTGGACAACAGCCAGCATAGCTGGGATGACGAGAAGGACTGCCAGCACTGTAGGGAGACGTCTCTGTTTATCCGAGAAGCCATAGTCCAAGAACTTGGGGAGGTATTTCCTTGGAATAAGCACATTCAAAACCGGAGGAAGAAGGATGGGCCAAGAAAAGAATGCGAAATAAGGCCAAATATAAAGCATCTGAGCCAGATGGATACCCGCAGTGTGGAATTCTTTATGACCTAGTAGACAATGAACTCATGTGCCAGCATTATGGTTTTTGAGAATGGGACTTACCCAAAACGACACCATTGTTCCAGAGCACAAAGCCACCAAAGGCCGCCAGAATGGTCAGGTAGGGAATCACAGAAACAAGAATAGGGAAGGTATTCTTCAGTCCAGTGGTGGCTAATGATACGGATGCCTTGAAATAGTCTTGATTCCCATGTCAGCAATGCAATATGTCTGGCGGGAGACAGGGACACTCACCTCCAATGGAAGCCCCCGACACAAAAGGATCATAGAGCTCATTTTGGAAGCCCCTTTTCACAATCTCGACAAAACTCAAAGATCCACAAGTCTTGGAAGACTGGTGCAATGTCCGTATCACCTGCAACCCACCCAAAAACACCGAGACCCAGAAGATATTGGTCTGTCTGAAAGCAAGAGCAGCCACTCCACACCCGACAAACGCAAGAGATTTAATAGGCGAGAATCCCTTTCCAGAAGCGCGTTTCAGATCCCAGTTGTAAGCTTCAACCACCACCAGAAGAGCCAAGATATCGGTATAGTAAAGCCCCGAGAAGAAGAAAATGGGCGGGAAAAGACAGATGTTCAGCACGGTATGGCTGACCCTGGCCCCCGCCGGGCGTGTGTTCAGCTCCCGTCGCAAGGTATCCAATAATTTCTGCAGTCTCCAGGGAAGAAAGATAGACGTTGCAGCAACATTCGTGGTGCGTAGAGCTTCCGTGTCGAGCTCCGTCGGAGAGCCGCGGAGTGCGAGGGCGCAGGCGCAAAGGACGTACGACCAGATATACAGGCCCGGCGGAGTTGTTATCTTCGGATCCCAGTGCGTCCACTTGTGAGCCCAATACGCCTGAGCTTGAGGGACGTGGAAGACCTCATCGAGATAGGGCTCTGGAACGACAGCATTGACTTGGGACCTCCAGACAGGAATCAGTAGTAGCGCAAAGGGGACAGCATAACGAGCCGCGCGGGTCAGGTCAGAGGAGCCGGGCTGAGTGGCGCTCATGGTGACCAGATCTCAATTGTATTGATAGAATTGGCCACTTTGCTATCAGCATTGAAGAAAGGAGAAGGGGAGAAAAAGAAAGTAATTGACCGGTGGACGACGCCGTGATGATCGAGTCCACCGCTGCAAACAAGCCAAACACAGCAATTGATGCCGCAGAGAAGAAGCAGACGCAGCAGTACAAAGAAGCCATTCATCTTGATTTCTCTACTTTGAAGATTCCAGCTATATCTACACGGGAGACAGAAAGGCCATCCTAGAGCTATTCCGACTCCAGCATAACTCAATTACGCAGAACCTCAACGTCTTGAACCGCCCATGGCCTTTCCCCTCCCGCGGGGCATCACGCCCCCGGAGATCGCCTTTCTCGCTGAGATGGAGATGGTCACGATTGTTCCTCGTCAGCATTTGGAAGGACTCGAGCTGTTAGGTGTAAGTTTAAGTCGACTTTTACATTCTGTCTGAAGCCGTTAGAAGTGCTTTTATACTCATGGCCTTAATTCGTGGCGTGTGCGGAGAGAAGAAGCAAAATGCAAACAATTCAAGATCATTCCAACAGCTCAATTGCTCTATATCTATTTGGAAATTCCCATATCTGTATATCCAATTGACATATTTCATTTGCAACCATAGGGCCCCGTCGAACGACTCATCCCTGCACGCCGCACATCCCTTCCATTATGGCTCGCCCTCCTCCTCAAACGCCAACGTCGCGCACATATTCTTCCACCTCCATGGCTACATCCAGAACCCCTCTCTCTCATTCTCGACATCGAGACCCAACATCACGACCACCAGAATGCCTTTTCCCCACCGCCCCCGCTCCCCGGACAGCCAGCCCTTCGAGATCGCGGGCAGAGAGCAGTCGCCATACCACGTCATACCCCAGACGGTGACCGGTATTTCCCTTCATCGCCGTTCCTCCCGCAGAATGTCGCGCAGGATTATATACCCCCAGGCGAACCGCCGTGCCTGCCGTTTCATTGGTTGGAAGTAGGGAATATGCTGCTGGAGGCGGCGAGTGATGATCTCGTGGACCCGGATCAAATTCGACGGATGCTGAAGGAGCTACGAGAAGTACGCATGGCCAAGGTCAGATCTGGTGTGGATGTTTTGGATGCTGCTGCAACGGGAGGAGGAGGGGTCGCGCTAACAGGCGTTGGTGCCATGGAAGTTGGTGAGGCCAGAGGGTTTGTCACTGGGGTTGTGGATGGGCTAAGGTATGTTCTGCGTCTTGGTGGCAGTACAATGCGCCATGCTAATGCATATCAGGAAAATCGGTGCGTCGAAAGAACAAGCACGGAGGGAACAAATGGCCGAGGAAATGGCCAATGGTGGATATGATGCCACACAGGATGACGACGACGATGAAATGGAGTTTTAAGCGCACATTTCCTTCTTTTCGGTCTGATATTTATCTCCTTTTCGATGTTGGGAGTTACGGAAGGAAAATCTATGCCATCCAACGAATCTTTATGTATATATACCCGAACTCCATTTTATAATCACAGGTATTCCGATTCCACCAAACACCATAAGCATGCGACGCTTTGTTCTAGAATAAGAGCCCAAAGAGGTAAAAGAAGATCCGAACTGGAAAGACAGAGAAAACTCAACAGAAGGCGACAGACACAAACGAAAGACCGAGGGTTTCTTTTTTTCCCTGGGAGAAAATCAATCTTTACATAACCAAACCGCTAAGAATAGATGAAACGTGCGACAGCACAAAGCGGGAAACACCCTCCTACGGGTGAGAGAAGTGCGCAAAGAATAAAACGGAAGAATAAAGATTGGAAAAAGTGTGTCAAAAGCCAAGCTGAGACCCGTTCAAGCGGCCTGCTGGTTCTTCTGCATCATCTTCTTGCGAGCTGCCAGAATCATATCATCTCTTCGCTTCTGCAAAAGACGCTGACGCTCATCTTTGCTCTGCGACCACCCACGCGGCGCAGGTGATGTCCCGGTAGATTCGGTATTGCTGTCATCGGTGACCCGCGAGCTGAGGTTGTAGCGGGAAATCAAATCTTGGCCATCTGCCTTGGAAGGTGCAGATGCTGGTGCAGGCCGAGTCGGGGCGCTGGCGGAGGGTATGGCAATCTGAGGCTGGAATGATGGTGGAGGCTACAGAGAACTACTAGTTAGATGTATGATACTTTTAGGGTGCTTTGTTGCCTCGGGATCGGCAACTCGCGGTATGATGAGAGCGACGAAGTCCAGGAACTCACCACTTCGAGTGTCCGTCCGGTCAAGATCCGTTCCGTAGTGGCTGCAACGCTTCCTCCATTACGCTGGAGATCCCACATGATCTCTCGGGTGCTCAGCTGTGGGAACATCTGCGATATTTGCTCCACCTGCGCTGGGTCGATATTATTCCCACGCGAACGACTCCGGCCGCCTCCTGTTCCAGGTTCGCCATCACGGTTCATAAACCATCGAATGACAAAGAAAGATACGACTGCCAGGGTGAGCAGCGAAGGAATGTTGAGCGACGGCTCTTCGTCCATTGTGTCGGACCGGTGACGTGGGACTGACTGATAACCGTTTGTCGCGAGGTATCGAAGACCGTGGACGAAAAAGTATCCGCGAAGATATGGCCTGCGTGTTCTATGCAGACGAAGTCTAGATAAGACGGTGATTAATGTACGTGGACTCGCTGAAGAAAGAACGGGGGCGGAATAGTGGCCGTCCTGAAGTCGGTCTGCAGTGAGATCCGCGGCAAGCAGGCGATGTGGCGGGTAGTCGGGGATGGCATGTACTCACGTGCAGATAGCAGGCGACAGGCGGTGAGGCAACGCAGGACAGCAAATGGTTGCGTCGATGAGGGGTAAACTGGACACCGTTGGGCACGCACTTTTGGATGGAGTATATTAAGCAAAGAAAAGTGAAATTGATGAAGAAGAAATGTTAGATAAATGGGTGCCTGGATTGATGTTGTCCTGTGGGGCCGAGGGCAGTGCCGAACCATTTTTGGGGTATATATCGAGTTGACGTACTCCATATCGTTGAGGTTTGATCGATACCATTTTTGCAATTATAGTTCTGGCATCGCTGCTAAGACAGCAATATATTCATTACGCATATATCATGACAGAAAACAAGTCATTCCGATCCAAAAAAGCAGTGCACATCATCAACCTAGAAACACCATCTCCAATGGTCGACCGTGACCAGATATAGATAACGCTTTCCATCCCACAAAGCCCTAGAAACAATGATAGAGGACAATAATATATGAAAAAAACAAAAAGTATTGACAATAAGAATCAAATCATTACGCAGACCGATGCGCTTATTTCATATCGGCAGGAGTCAGAGCTTGAACGACACTGGTTCCCTCACTGAACCTCGTTCGGAAGATACGGTTTGCGTTCTGGAACATGCCGTCCTTCAGAGAGACAATGATGAATTGAGATCCCTTGAAGCGTGTCTTGATCAAGCGTCCGATGTTTTGAGTGTGTGACAGATCGAGAGCAGCGTCGACTTCGTCCAGAATGTACATGGGAGCCGGCTTGAATTGCAGGAGCGCCATGATCAACGACAGGGCAATGAGAGACCTGTATAAGCACCGTGATTAGCCATGTTGGAAAAAAAGGTTGACCAGAGGTTAACACATACCGTTGTCCACCACTCAACTCTGCCAGACTCTGCTTCCAAACCTTACCCAGAGACACCTTGACTTCCAAACCATCGGTGATGTCTTTGCCCTCGGGGGGATCCAGCTTGGCGAAACTGCCTGGCAGAAGCTCCGCGAAGATCTGTCCAAAGTCGCCGTTGACCTTGACCCACGTCTTGTGAAGAGCTTCTTTCTTGTATTCGTTCAGGTTGATGATGGTTTCCTCAATCTTGCGCTTGTCACGAATAACAGTCTTCATCATATTCTTCAGCGCTGCCTCCTTTTTCTCAACACTGTCGATCATGTTCATAACCTTGGGGTTAATCTTCTTCTTCATGCCTTGGAACCGCTCAGTGAGGTTTCGTAGAGTGGATTTGCACTCGGCGATATTCTGATTCTTAAAGTCGTAGGGGGTGTTTGAACGTCCGAAGTTGTCCTTTTCATCTTCAATCCATTCATGCTCCCCTTCCATGTGAGCGACGGCTTGAGCAGCGGCTTGTTGGTCTTTCTGTAACTTTTCGAGTTGATGCCCAAGCTTCTGCATTTCTAGACCCTCTTCCGTAATCCGTGAGGATTTTGTGTGCATAGCTTCCTCGAGCTCACGAAGCTCATCGTCAAACCCAGTCAGTTTAGCTCGTTCATCATCCAGCTGGGCCTGGGCGACGTCATGTGCATCCTGTCGACAAGCGTTAATTTACTGCGGCAAATAGTTGGGGTGAACAGGCTTCATACCTTGATTCGAGTCTGCTCTCTCTTCAAGGACTCAATTTCGTCCTTTTGGGCCTTTAGTGTATTTTCAGATTCAGCACTCTGTTCTTCGGCAGCCGAGAGATCGCCGCCAACTTGCTCAGATTCAAGGCGGGAGTTTTGAAGTTCTTTTTGTAGGGTTTTGACTGAGTTGGAGTTCTTGCTAAGGCTTTTCTTGAGGGAATCGAGCGACTTTTGCAGTTCCGCTAACTTATCATCTTTGTTATCGTTAAATTCGCTCATATCCTTCTCGATTCGCTTAATATCCTTGGATGCTTCGCTCTGGCGTGTCTTCGCGTCGGAGATATCTTTCTTCAGTTGCTCAATGTTTGCTTTCATCTCCTCGACAGCGTGAATAATCTGCAAGTCAATTAGCATCGATTACATCCAAGTTATTTCTAAAAGAGAAGAGGCAAAGATGTCTTACCGATGAGGAGGAATTGTTGCTGATTTGTTCCTCAGTCAGCTTGATCTCATGGGATTTGAGGTCCAAATCCTGCTTGATTCCGCGGACCGCATCGAGCTTCCTCTTTTCCTTCCTCATTGTCTCTTCCAGTGTAGCCAGAAGCCGTTCCTTACTTCTCATTTCCCTTGTGATCTCATTCAATTTCTGCAAGGTGACGAGGACACCACTGGAGTTTGGTGAACTACCACCAGACAGGGTTCCGGACGGATCGTAGACATCACCATCAAGAGTGACACTCTTCATTCGAACAGAGGGGTCGAAAGTCACTCGTTTGGCTGTGTCTGCATCATTGCAGACCAATGTGTTGCCGAATACATAATTCATTGCCGCTGTCACTTCCTCGTCATATCCGATCAACGACAGCGCCAAATCCACCTTTCCAGGTGCAATATTTTGCGCCGCTCCGATCTTTTCTGCGGATGCTTTAAAAGCTGAGATCTTATTCAAGGGGATAATGGTCACACGTTTGCGTAGTTTACCCTTCTGAAGCAGCTGTGTACCGATTTCCGCTGTATCGACAACCACGTTGTACAAACGACCACCGGCACAAATCTCCAGTGCTGTTGCAGCTGGCGTCTTTTCTTTGTCCAAGGTAAACAGCTGAGCCACCAATCCCTTAACCTTAGAACGGTCGAAATTTGGGTGGGGATCTGCGTAGTTGAAATCGATGTTTGCCACTTTCCTCTTGAGGTCGTCGCCTCTCGCACGCAGCTCACGGATATCCCTTTGCAAGGTGGCCTGCTCTTGGTATAGCTGCTCTTCTTTACCGGGCTCGAAACCAAGCCGGGTCAGTTCGGATTCAAGTTTCTTAGCCTGAGACTTGAGCCCTTCTAGTTCCTCCAAAAGACCAGAGTTCTGCTGCTTTGCTTTCTTGGCTCGAGGCTCTTCCTCCTTGACCCGTTTTTCCAAGTGTGCAATTTTGAGCTTTGCCTGTTCTTGTTCTGTGGCAGCGTTATTGGCACGGCTCCGGGCATCCTGTAGCTGGCCTTGATAACCGCTTTCCTGGCCCTCTTTTGATGCGACACCAGTTTGCAGTGTCTGCAACAGCTCCTCCTTTTGCTCAACCTCCGCGGTTTGGGCGTCAAGTTCTGCCTTTGCGGCATCATATTGTTCTTGAAGCTTATCATAGATATTCTTCTTCTCCTTGAGAAGCTTTTCGAGGTCTTTGACAGTCTTTTGGATGCTCTTCTGCTTTTCCTTCTCTTCGACCACACTGGCATTTTTGAGATCAAAAACAGTGGTTAATCGAACCAGTTCATGAGAGTGGCTTTTGACTTCATCCTCAAGGGCCTGGAATTTGCCTCCTTTTCGCAACTCTTTGTCCCGGGCTGTCCTCACACGCTTGACATCCTCTTCCAGGTGAGCTATTTCGCTTTTCAGTTTGGTCGCATTGTCTTCAAGTTCCTGCACTTTGCGCCTCTTGTTTTCGCACTCCTCGCCTGCAACTCGTAATCGTTCACCACCCCGGAGGTAATCGTGGGCAACAACGAGTCGAGTCAACCGCTCTAGATCGTTTTGGGTCTGCTGAAAATCGAGGAAAGCTCGCTTTTCGGACCTGAGCTTCTCCAGTTTTGGTTCAATTTCCTCCTTAAGTAAGCCTTCAATCTCGCGCAGCTTCATTTCCTTCTTTCCCATGGTCTTGCCCGCTTTCTCTCGTCTATCTTCGAACATTCGCGTACCCGCGGCTTCTTCAATCATCGATAGAATTTCCACGGGTTTCATGTTGAGGACCTTGGTGATTCGACCTTGCATAATAAGGAAATTCGGGTTGTTGATGTTCAGTTGAACACTCTGGAACAGGTTCTGCACTGTCTGCTGTTGCGCACGGTGGCCGTTGATCAAGTATTTGCTTGTACCTCCCAGGACAATCTGTCGGGTAACTGAGATTGTCGCATACTCCTCGAAACCAATTGGCGACTTAGCGGTATCCCGGTTGTCGAAAACAATAGTCACACTAGCCTTGGTCACACCAGCCTGTCCACGTTTGTAGATGAGATCTTGCAGGTTCTGCGCTCGGACGGTGGTCATATTCGTAATTCCCAGCACGAAACAAATGGCATCAAGGATGTTGGATTTACCACTACCGTTAAGGCCAGTGATGGAGTTGAAGGATTCGTCCCTAAGAAGAAACCGTCAGCGCACTGTGCGATAAGAACAAACCCAATTCATATCGAAAGATCGAAGACCGCTCATAACAGATGCTAGACAGAGCATATAATGAGATAATCTTACCATCCTGAGACCACCGTTCGCACGGCGTACGATTTGAAGCCCTGTCAATCCCACGTTAGCGCATTTGTGTCGGTTTTCCAAGACCGCAAAAGATCAAACTCACGTCGATAACAATCTCGGTAATCCTCATGGTTGCGATTGTGGGACAGCTCCGTCCGCCTGCCTACTTCAGCTTCAGTACATGGGACGGAGAGAGTTGGGAGACGGAAGAGGGTCGACAATGCCGCTTGCTCGGATGGTGGACTGTTTTGGCGGGCGCGGTGTTTTGCCGGCGGAGATCATGTGTTTATGGATTACTGTTTTGGGGTTGGCGCAATTGTGGTGACATAATCAATGAGGGGTCGCCTGTTTGAAGAATCACATGACCATTTTCTATCTACAACGAAAGAAGAGGCATTTGTAGACTCAGTGTCTTGTCTTGTCTTTTCGAGGAAATGCTTCATTATCTTGATCAAATAACTTGAGGGTCTTGAATATTGCAATTGACAAAGCATTCACCACATATATGATTCATCATCGTCTTGAACGGCTAACTACTATTGACTGCTATATCAGGGTCATAGCTAACCTCAAATATTCCTGGAATTTCTCTATCTAGTCATTTTAAGGCAGGCCATCCTTATAGAGAAGGATCGTGCCAGTATACACTATCTGCTTTGCCAAATCATCTTCCTTCAAGGTGCCCCGGAGACATTTCGGATACATTATGGTTACTATTGATAGACTTACGCCTCACGAACCATTTTTGGGAAAATCCCATTCCTTCAAGGTGTTAACGGAGAGATATCGGAGACTTCTTAACAGGGCATGATACTATGAGAATGGGGGCTAATTCTATCTGATCCAGGCGAGGGCAGCAACATAAAAGGCTCATCGAAGAACCGAGATTTTGTGTTCCACAAGATCTTCATTCTCTCTATTATACCAAAGAACCTTTGAACACACACTCTAACCCAAGCCCCCTGTCAAGATGGCCACAGGACAAGACTTTGAGAAGCTCTTCAAAGACGATGCATTTGTTTCCAAATACAAAATCGGCGAAAAGATCACCGGAGAGTTCGCAAAGGTATTGATCGAACAATCTGGTATAGCCAACTCGACGCAGAGACCGCTTGTTATCTTTGACAATGCCTGTGGAACGGGAATCATCTCCAGCACTCTCCACGATACCCTCAGCGTTAGTGCTAGGGAAACCTGGAAACTGACCTGTGGTGACATCTCCGAGGGCATGCTCGAGTATACCAAACAAAGAATCGAGCATGAGCATTGGCACAATGCTGAAACAAAGATCGTGGATGCACAGAATACTGGCTTGCCCAGCACTCACTATACTCATGTTTTCGCAGCATTTGGTAAGTGGACGCAATGTGTATGACATAAGACAAGTCACTGATACATTTGATTCACTTCCAGTCTTTACGACTGTCCCTAATTACCAAGCTGCACTTGACGGTATGTTGCTATTCTACTTGATCTACTCTCGAGAATCATAGATCTAACTTATCATTCTACTTCAGAAAGCTTCAGAATACTTCAACCAGGAGGCACGATCGCTATATCCACATGGGAGAAACGTAAGTTTAGATCGACTCGATTGGCCTTGGGATACATTGCTAATTCTCTCATCTATAACACAGCCGGCTGGATACCTATTGTGAAATCTGCCGTTGAAACTATGCCTGGAAACCTTCCCTTTCCCACAACAGAAGAATTTCTGAAAACCAACACTGGTCAATGGAATAGTGGCAGCTGGGTAGAGTCTCAGCTCAGAAAAGGAGGTTTCGAAAACGTCCAGATCACTGCAGTTTCAAGATCTGTCCGGTTTGACATACATGAATTCGTTAGCATGGCCATGGCAATACTGCCAATGCTATTGCAGAAGTTTTGGACACAAGAGCAGCGAGATCAAAGTGAAGCCAATGTCCAACCTACACTGCTAAGGTACCTGGAAGAAAAGTATGGACCACATGGACAAGTTCCGGCGGAATTCGTTGCTGTCATTGCCACGGGCCATAAACCGTGACTACTGAGGGTTTTTCATGTTGTATGAGTTGGCATGTCTTTAAGATTGGAGTTTTTTATTATAGCAACCATGTGTTTGACTGTTTTTCAAATACCACTTATCACGTGTAATACCAAGTATACTGTAATGGCACTGCCTGGTATCCAATACTTGCGTGCACCTACGATATTAATGGCCATTGGCGAGATCATGTAGGTCATTGATTTCAAAAATAGATATCGTAGTTTCCATGGAGATCACTCAATTAAGAGAATCGCCCTGTTCCTGGGCAGTACTGCGCTACCGGCACACCTGAATAATATCACAGAAACCGGAAACTGTCAGTCAACCCAACGCCACTGCTGATTGATTAATTTGTCTCTCATGGAAACTCATGAAGCGTGAGGTGGGAATCCAGCTGGGCGGGCAGCGAGGTTCCTGTTGGGATCAAGTCTGTTGTCCAAATCCTCGTATCGAAGAATAAACTCGCGCTACACACGAACATAAGATCAGCACAAGTTAATGATCACAGTTGGCAAGAGCATGACTTACCCTGATCTTTTTCCAGCTTGCGGGATCCCACAGTAGATAAACACCTCGCTCACTAACGCCTCGCTCAACATCAACCGGGCCAGGGTAGGTCTCGTCACGAGTCAGCCAGCATCGTTCAAGCTTGTGATATCTCCATTTACGACCCATCAACTCCTCGGCCACAAGTTCTTGCATAATATCCCGGGGCATGCTATAGAAGATGTAGAAGAGTGTCTCATCGCTGAAGCTCGGGATACGAGATTGGAGAGGTTGGATGTTGGCAACGTTATAGCAAGACGGCAAAGAGAAGTCTTGTTCCAACGGCACTGCCGACATGGAAGAGACAAAGGGCGAGGCGAAGGATGTATGTAGAGGTCTAAGAGGCAGAATTAGAATATCAAAGCTTGCGACACCCTTCAAGACAGCGGCGCGAGACATACTCAGGTTGATTGAGGTCCAAGCCCAACGTCATCAGGTCCTGGCCTACTGCGAGGCTCGCGACATCTGGACTTTCGCTATGAATCATTCTTAATAACCCTGCGAGTCCAAACCGGTCAAGCTCGCTCATCTGAGCCAATGGTGGCTGCTCGGAGCTTTGATTAGCGCCAGGCTCCTGTCCCTCGCCAGCAACAGCTTGCTGCTGCCTTTGAATTTGCTCCTGTTCGGTGAAATTGCGTTGGGCAGACAATATGGCACCGCTCAATTCCTGCAATTCTTATTAGCAAACCAGAATGAAAAACGATGAGGAGCAATCTTCCTTACATCTTTTTCTTGCCCAGGAACTCCATTAGTTCCCTGATTTACTGGGGATCGTGAAGTTGCGATACCTAGAAGGCGGGGTCAATAATCTGTTCCAGACTGATCATCTCATTAGCATACCTCCTGACCCCGCATTTGCAGGCGACATCATCCTGGCAGTTTCCTGTCCGTTGATTGAAGCGGCGATCATATTGCGATTTTGTGCAGATTGGGCCTGGTTCACGCCAGAAAATGCCATTCCGGCGTTGTAATTGCCAAATCCTGCATTTTGCATCAGAGATCCTCGGCGGTCCTGGCCCAGCTCTGCAGCGACATTGCGTCCGAGGGGCGGAAACTCGTCGATATTGCCTGTCTGAGGCTGACCGCCCCCTCCTAATTGACCACTAATGCCTTGCCCGCCATTCCTAAAGTCATCAAGACGATTGGCAAACTGAGCACCGGAGGGGAATATATCATCGTGCGGCGGTTGAGATTGTTGGGGGTGAGATGGTGTTTGGGATGCTCGTGAAGGTGGTTGTGAGGTCTGGGGGTGTTGCTGTCTCTGCACGGGGGTATGCTGAGCGGCACGTTGGCTAGCGTTCGCCCACACTAATTGACTCGGGTTCTGAGATTGTGATTGCTGGGGCGCTCCGGATAAAGAAGGGAACTCCCTGGTAGAAGAACTACTCTTAGTCCTGAAGTCCAATTCGAGCTGAGATAGAAACGGCGGGGACTATCTGGAAGATTATACTCACGATAGATCCAAAGGTGTAGCAGGCTGCGACCCGCTAATGCTTTGTGCAAAAGTCCCCATGGCTCCGATTGCACGCTGTTGATTCCCTTGTATTCCTGGTGTACCGCTCACAGGCAAGTTGAAATTCCAATTCGCACCGGTTCCTATTTGTCCACCATTGTCGTTAGCGTTTTGAACCTTGAATTGCATTACAAAACACAAATGTATATGAGCCACGTCATGAGGATCGCACCAAGCTTTCCGTTTGGCAAGCGCGCCGAGGCTAATGTCGCATTTCGAGCTTGAGCTTGTTGTTGCGCGGGGAACCCGGGCATGCCTCTTAGAGGCTGTGGACTTGGTCCTGATGGATCGTAGTAGCTGTCAGCGACGTAGTCGAAAGACGATAACCATGAAACCTGCTAAATATCCGGACGAACACTGGGATCAGGGTCGTAAGGGTTTCTTGGCGAGGCGTTGCGAAGGTGTCTCGGTCGCAGGCGAAGGAACCGTCTGTGGGAATGTGCGAATGGAGCGAGAAAGACCCAGAAAGAGCAGGGCTAGCTGATCGCCCCAAAGCGTTTCAAGAAAGTCCAACCACGAATTGTATGCCGACATTGCAACCCTCCACAGAGCGACCCTCATTCGTGGCGGCGGCAGGAACAGGCCACAAATGACATGACTTGGGGGAAACGGAGCAAGAAAAGAAAACGACGAACCTGGTCTATTCATAATAGGGGAGTAGCTTTGATAAGCAAGCCCCGGACGAGTTGAGTACTTGGCGAAAACACAGAAAATATTCCCAAATGGGCAGTGAAAGACGATTGAAGAGCAGCAGTGACTTCGACGATGGGGATCTTTTGATCACACCCAATGCGGCGTTGCTCCTCCACTGGAGGCGGAGTGGTGCAAGCGCGCGCTTATCAGAGTGTGCACGGGCCATCCACAGCCGCTTTGATGGAGTTCGAATTACTACGAATATTTCATTTTATTATGATACTTGAAAGTACTAGCTATATTCTAATAGAGAAATTAATGACAGAGCAAGACTCTTCATTATCTTTAATAAATATTCCTGACCCTGGTCTCACATTGGCCTCTGGAATGAATCCGCACGTACTGCGGTGAACAGTCACGTGACCTGACCAAGGCTCGCCAGCTTTTGATCGGAGTTCGCAAAGGACAGTCCAACGAGCTTCACCTCGTCGAGTGTCCAACCCGTCACCATGCATCGACAATCGGTCACCCGGCTTGCTCGCCAGTCTGGGAGCCTCCCGCTGGTCGAATTACCTCCGCCATACCTCGCACCGTCCCTCCATTTCTCCAAGATCCGGTCCCCCGTTCAGTCCTCAAGCTTTTCTTCCACCGCAGTCGCCGCTGCTCATGGGCGTGACTTGAACAAAACCCGCGGTGTTTCTGCCATTCACCGTACCGGTCCGAGGTTCAAGTTGGGTGCCTCCAAGTACCCATTGCCCAAGCCTGTGTCTCCGGAAGCTATTGAGAAGCGTGATCCTTCTCCCAACCATGGACTCTGGGGTTTCTTCCCCAAGAATAGAGAAGCATTGAGCACACCGGAATATGATGTCTCCCATGGTTAGTTGGCTATCCATTGGTGGAATACATGTTGGATCTATACTTACTGTTGGTCTTTTTAGGCCGTTCTTGGTCTATCCAGGAGCTCCGTGAGAAGTCCTGGGATGATCTCCATGCTCTTTGGTGGGTCTGCATCAAGGAGCGCAATCGCATAGCCACATCCGATTTGGAAAGAGTGCGATTGAGGGCAGGTTATGGCGAATGGGAATCGACCGAACGTGACAGAGTGGTAAGTTTAAGTTCTTCGATCCTGCTTTTCTTTGCCCTTTATGGCTGCGATCGATATCTACGTCCACGCAGAGTGTTTTTCTTTCAATTCCTCGAAACGATGCTAATGCAATGGTGCTTATAGATTCGCGTTACTCAAAAGAGCATCAAGCACGTTCTCCGAGAGAGATGGTACGCCTGGGAAGACGCCCAAACACTCTACAAGAACGGTTACCGGCCTCAGGAGGAGGACAGCCAGGAGGCTGCATAAACAGGATAATACCGTGACTCCGATTTCCCAGCCTCCCGTGTCAATGTAGCAACATCATTCGGATATTATTGTCTCTATTATTTCGCTGTTATTTTGCGTTGAAACTGGACATGTATGTAGACTAGTCAATCATAAAAACATTAACTATTTGCCTCTGTAACTATTGGAGACTGTATTTTGACGCAATATGGATGCAGGTGTCATTAAGATGACATTGATAGAGGTCTATTTATCAGAAGATGTGTCTACCAGAGCCTTGTGGAACCCAACTCATGTGACGGGTTAGCTATTACTTGCAGTAGTTAACTGTTATCCCACATGCCTATCTTTGTTTTAACGATTTTCATGATGTTATTTCTAGTCAGACATGTGGACCTCTACTCATGGCGTCTCATGTTGATCTCTTAGCTCCTACAGTATACGCTCTTCATGTCCCAAGTAACTCAGTCATACCTTTGTTCCAAGTTGTATAGATGCGTATAACTAATACTTATGGTCTTCAACAGGTCCTCATTCCCTTGCTCAATCCATATGACCTCACGTGTGGCCGAGGAATAGCAAATCTGGGATTTACTACTGAGAAAGTCTTGAAGCCACCCTTTATCAGCTGCAAAGGTGGACCCCAGTCCAAGGGACACGGAAAGAGCCATATATAGTTTTGCGTCTCAGCGGACAGGCTAGTTAATATGCCAGGTATGCTCTGAGATCCAGAAAGTATGAGTACATATCTCTGACAGTGAAGATGGTCATGATATCAAATAATAAAAGGGGTAAATCCTTTGAAATCTCTCAGCCACTCAAGAATAAGGAGAAAGTGAAGCAATAATAGAGGGCAATTTTATAGAATATACAGCAGGTAGTGCCAAATAGCAGGGTGATTCTTTGCCCAAATAGGAGCAGTGCACCGTATCCAGTAATTCGCCGTCAATTATTAGTTACTACAAACAAGACTGGACTCAATATCAGGGGCTGATTTCTTTCCAGAATCCAGATACCTTGGTCTGATGATCTCGATCTCGATCAGGAGTCTTTCCAAGGCTTGTGTTTTCCACTCTGCGAAGCTGCCCCAAATTACTCCTTATGCCATTATCAATGAAACTCGGCACCAACACAGAAGAGGGGCAGCGAAAAGGGGGATGCTCAGGAGATTTAAGACTTTCCTGGTAGACAAAATATTTAATTAACAACTGCCCCTGGACGTGCTTTTCATCATTTATCCCAGAGCAATCTAGCAATTAGTGACTATTTCCCTGGTGGACCCTGGGCTGGCGTCAAATAATCTGGTCGATGATCCGCGGGGGGCCCAGCGACTACTCGACGGACTACTGACAGGAGCCGTCGACCACCAGACACCTCACCGCAATCACAACAGTCTCCGCATCCCTCTATTTTTCTCGACCTGATTTTCATTCTCTCTCAGCTCTGCTGTTTCTGATTGTTTTGGCTTCATCACTTGCATTTGATTCGATATCCCACCATGGAAGACATCGCCCCAGAGTATGATGTTGTTGTGCTCGGCACTGGTAGGTGCTGCTTGCTACCCCGCCGCTCGACTCCTGGCTAACACCCCCTCGCAGGCCTGACTGAGTGTGTTCTTTCGGGGTATGCATCACCTGCAGAGCTACCGATTAGATCTCGTTGCTTATTGATTCTGCATACAGTGTTCTGAGTGTCAAGGGAAACAAGGTGCTTCACATTGACCGTAACGACCACTATGGAGGGTAAGTACCCGAGCTCTGGCTGGTACCGCGTCACCACCCCGCAAATCCACTGACCACAAAGTACAGAGAGGCTGCTTCTGTCAACATCGAAACGGTTCGTTCTGCTACCCTTATAATCGTGTATTTTGGCTGATTTTCTATTCTTTCCACTGCAGCTGTTCAAAAAGTACGGCAACGTCAAGGACGGCGAAGAGCCCTGGAAGAAGTATGGCCGTGCCAACGACTGGAACATTGACCTGGTCCCGAAATTGTTGATGGCAAACGGCGAGTTGACAAACATTCTGGTCTCCACCGATGTTACGAGATACCTCGAGTTCAAGCAGATTGCTGGCAGCTATGTCCAGCAAGGAAAGGGCCCCAAGGCCACTGTTGCCAAGGTCCCCTCGGACGCTGGCGAAGCTCTGCGCTCATCTCTGATGGGCATGTTTGAGAAGAGACGGGCCAAGAAGTTCTTGGAGTGGGTTGGCGAGTTCAAGGGGGAAGACCCTGCTACTCATTCTGGTATGTCTTGAGCTATCGACCTTGGAGTTAAATGTAAATGGCTAACACCTACCAGGCTTGGACATTGGCAACTGCACAATGAAGGAAGTCTACGACAAGTTCAGTCTCGAAGACAACACTCGTGACTTCATCGGTCACTCCATGGCCCTGTACCCATCCGATGACTACATCACAAAGCCGGGCAACGCTACTGAGACTATCGACCGTATCCGCTTGTATGTGAACTCCATGGCCCGGTACGGTAAGTCGCCGTACATCTACCCCCTGTACGGTCTCGGCGAGCTTCCTCAGGGCTTCGCTCGTCTCTCCGCCATCTACGGTGGTACCTACATGCTTAACACCAGCATCGACGAGGTTCTCTACGACGGTGGCAAGGTTTCTGGAATTAAGGCGACCATGAAGGACCGTGACGACAACGGCGAGACCATGAAGTTCTCCACCAAGACAAAGAAGATCATTGCAGACCCCTCTTACTTCCCCGACAAGGTCAAGACGACCGGCTACCTGCTGAAGGCTATCTGTATCCTGAAGCACCCCATCGACAAGACCGATGGCAGCGACTCGCTGCAGCTGATCATCCCCCAGTCTCAGGTTGGAAGGAAGCATGGTAAGTGAACAAATGCTGGGGAGAGTCGATCAATGCTAATAATAACAGACATCTACATCGCCGTCGTTTCGTCGGCACACAACGTTTGCCCCAAGGGTTACTACATCGCCATTGTCTCGACCATTGCCGAGACCAGTGCCAACCACCACTTGGAGCTCGAGCCCGGATTCGAGCGTCTGGGTGAGATTGAGGAGAAGTTCTTCGGTCCTCCCTTGCCGATCTACGAGCCTCTTGAGACCGGTGAGGCGGACAACATCTACATTTCCAAGAGCTACGACTCCACATCACATTTCGAGTCCACGACTGGTAAGAAAGCACCCTGTTCCATATGCCAAATGTGGCTAACCCCGAGTCTAGATGATGTCAAGGACCTTTACAAGCGTGCTGCTGGCGAAGAGTTGGTTGTTGAGGGACTTCGGGAGGACCAGAAGCTTGCTCAGGAGTAAATGCATCCACCATAATTGGATGAGATTGAGATAATATATTGTGGCTTAGATGTCTGCTCACTTGAACTGCGATTCTTTTGAACTTTTCTTTGGATCCCCTCTTGACATTTTTAAGTATAGGCATGGTAGGACAGCACGTTCTCTTTACAAGATCCAGCAAAGGGCAGGTCATTGATTCGAGGGTCGAGTGGAAGCTATTTTTACATGGCTCTTCCCTTGATACTGTATAGCTTTCCGGCTTCATACCTGTTGATTATTAGCTATTCAAATCACTTTCATGACTATAATAAGGCCCTCGGTGCGGAGTATTAGTCTATCGTTTATTCCTCTATCTTGATTCCACATCACTTTGCCAAGTCATCTTGAACAACTGGCCAGAAAGCATCTCAAGCATATACATAGATAGTTTATACGCCATATGGCAAGCCACTCGCGTGTAACGTGTATGTACAAATATAAACCCCACCACACCATACAATCACAACTTCCCATCCACCTCTGGATCCGTATTCGCCTTCTCATGCTCACCCAGCAAGCACAAATTCCCCGTATCAGTCCTGAAAATCTCCGTCTTGAGAAGCGCCATACGCCGCCCCGTATGCACCACCGAACACACTACCCGAATCTCCGAATCCACCGGCACAGGACGCAGATAAGTGACCTTGAGATTGCGACTGACCCCGCCCATGGCGAAGTGGCCCGGTTTCGAGATACCTAGGAGGATAGCGGTGGAGAGCATATCGACAAGAGTCGCACTGCAGCCGCCGTGGAGGTTTCCGGAGAAATTGCACATGCTTGGGGCGACGGTGAGGAGATACGAGACTTGGGCGGGGGGGCCTTGGGTTGCGGATTCGAAGCGGAAATTACATTCGTTGGGATCGATGGTCCATGCCTATTTTTATCGAGGAGTTAGGATTAGTATGCAGGTCATTGTTTATACTGAGTTTGAGGTGAGATTCCAAAGAGAGATAGATGTGTATGCGAACCTCGTTATTGCCGTTCACCATTCCTACTCGTGAACTGTACTCGTAGACCATGTCTTCGAATTCATCCAGTTTCCTGGACGGAGCACGGATGGTTGACATGATGTTTGTTTAAATGAAGGTAGAAGTTCAATATCTGTGTAGAAAAGGACTGACGAAAGAATAAGCAGTCGATTTGCTTTCTTTAACTGGTATCATTCCATATGGGTTAACCGACATCACCACAAGCCGACCCCATGATTTCGAAACACAGGATTATGTTCAGTTACTTACCTGTATCTCTGGAATTTAGATGGTATAATAGCCTGTTTAATCACAGCAACGATATATGGATAAATATAGTGGGAAATGGAAGAACATAGCATGCGATAGCTTCTAATATCAAGAAGGGGGATATCGACAACCGAGGTTGAAGACGGTAACTTCGATAGTACTTGGGTGTCGTCTGAGATGTCATATGCCGGCCTCCCTGGATGCTTTGTAGTCTTGGAGTGCATCTCATACGCTTAGATGGACGCAATGATGAAGCTATTTTTCTCATTCCTTTCCTGCCGGTCTGCTTTGGACTTGATCATGGTAGCCATTGCTGTAGTTGTATAGAAGGAGTATTCACATCCAGGCATGACAACAACATGACAATGGCAGTTCTTTTATAATATCTTAGAATCGAATACAGTTTATATTCCCTGCAATAGCAATATTATAAGCAATTACCATATGGTTATATATCCCTTCCCCAAAGTGGCATTATCGATCTCCACAAAGCTTCACCTGACTTCGTGTCACGCGTTTTGTCCGCGGAAATCATCCTCTGTCGAAGCTCCAGACAACCAGAGCCTTGCTATTCGCGGCACCTTTCGAGGTCATACCTCATTGATTCAAGAGACTCTTGTTTTCAATTCCATTCATATTCATTCTGAATTTTGTTCGTGTCCAATTGTAAGCAGAACTCACTGTTGATCTCTCCGGTCGCAAACTCGAAAATATTTGCTCTCCCGCAGCTGTCCATCGCCTGGAATTGCAGACGCTCAATGGCTAATATGACTATCGCTGAAATTCAGTTATAAAATTATCTAATTTCGCTTCGGAATCCCTTGCTATTGCAGCAATTGCGACCCAGTGTGCTCGCCTAGTCCTGCGGAAATCCCACCCCTACATCTCTACGCCATCTCGAAGGCCTTCAAACAATCGAACCATCATGAAGGATCCACGCGCAGCCAAGCGAAGAAAGGTGGACGAAGATGGAGACGTAACAATGGGCGACAACGATCAAGACATCTACTCGGTTCCATCATCCCCGACAAGACAAGACAAGAACGGCCATCAAGAAGATACTTCTGCGGTCGAAGAATCCGAGGACAGAGAAAAGTCTCCTACACCTACCCCGAAAGCGAAAGCGGCTTCACGGCGTCGAACTTCACGGGCAAGTCAAAAGGACGAACATGCGGATGACAAGGGGGACAACAACGCTGCGGAAACCCCTTCGAGAGTTGGGGTACGGTCAAGTGGTCGACAAAGGAAACCGCCACAGAGATTCGAGGATGAGTCTACGGGGACTCCGTCTCGGAGGAGGGTGGATGCACCTGATACTGCAACCTCTGCGAGAAAGTCTCGCACCCCGAGAAGCACACGGAAGGCTAGACAAGTTTCGGAGACGGAGGATGGAAATGGCGATGGCGGAGACGACGACGAAGAGGAGGTGCAGGAGGAGGACGATGACGAGGATGAAGAAGAAACACCGCCACCTCCGAGGAGTGCACTTGCAAGGACAAGGTCGAAGCGAGCCAATGTCAGGTTCAGTACAGCGGACACGGGTTCCAATAAAAGGTCGACCAGGGGACAGGAAGCATCGAAACAATCCCCTACCCCGGATGATGACCAGGATGGATTCGATGATCTTGTTTCAATGCAGCTTCAGCAAGATCTCGTGCATCAAGATTTGGATGCAAAGGACAATGATACAGTCCCGGCCGATCCACTTCCTGACTACGCCGAGCAGTTCCAGGCTCTGTCTCAAAAAGGCCTCCTCAACGAGCTGAACTCCCTGACCAAGATTGTACTCGAGAAGCTGAATGGCAAGAGACTAACTCCCCTTAAAGGGCTGGAAAGCGAATATCACAAAGTCCATCAACTTGTCGAGCAGACCGTCACAGCTGGAGAGGGTAACTCGATGTTGCTTCTCGGATCACGAGGGAGCGGAAAGACCGCTATATTAGAGACGATTATCTCGTCTCTGAGAAAGGAACACAATGATGAATTCCACGTTGTCCAGCTCAATGGATTCCTGCACACAGATGATCGATTGGCTCTTCGCGAGATGTGGCGCCAGCTTGGCCGGGAGATGAATACTGAAGATGAAGTGGGCAAAGTCAACAGCTATGCCGATACGATGGCGACTCTCCTTACCCTCCTCTCGCACCCGGATGAGTTGTCTGGCTCTTCAAATAATCATAACGCCATGACGGCCGCCAAATCTATTGTCATCGTCTTGGACGAATTCGACCTGTTTGTCTCTCACCCACGACAGACGCTGCTATACAATCTTTTCGACATCGCGCAGGCGCGGAAAGCCCCGATTGCAGTTATTGGAGTTACCACCAAGGTTGACGTGACTGAGATGCTGGAGAAGCGTGTCAAGAGTCGATTCAGCCACCGATATGTCTTTGTTCCGCTCCCGAGAACATTTGACGTTTTCTCTGAAATCTGCTTTGCCGGGTTGAATCTGGACGAGGAGGAGAGTTCTGAGTTGAATGCACTGGCTAAGTCTTCAAGTTGGCCGACGTTGGTCGAAGCATGGCGAGACTACTTGCAGGTATGACATCTAAACACCATACCATCTTGATCTAACCCTCCCCAGTCCCTCTGGAATGACGAAGCCTTCCAAACCCACTTGCAAAGAATCTACCACACCACAAAATCCGTCAAGGAATTCTTCACCAGCTCCCTCCTCGCCATCACAGACCTCCACTACAGCACCTACCCAACCGACTCCACCACCACAACTCCCCTCCAAGTCCCAACCCCCAAATCCTTCACCAGCACAGCCAACTCCCTCACCTGCCCAGACCCCGCCCCGCTCCCCTTCTCAATCGCCACAACCGCCTCCTCGAGCCCCTCCTCCCTCCCCCTCTCCCTCCTCCTCGCCGCAACCCGCCTAACAGCCCTCTACGACCCCGGCCCGGACTCAGCCTCCCAGCCCCAATCCCTCGCCCCGCTCGCCCTCTCCTTCCCGGCCGCCTACGCAGAGTACGTGCGTCTCCTCACCTCCGCAAAGGTCTCGGCCTCTGTCTCCGGTGCCGCGGCTACCCCCGGCCGTGTCTGGGGTCGGGACGTCGCGCGCGAAGCCTGGGAGAAGCTCGTCGGCTGGGGCCTTGTTAGCCCCGTCGGTGGCGGTACGGGGACTGCTGACGGGCGTATGTTTCGTGTGGAGATTAGTTTCGAGGAGGTCGTCGAGATGGCCGGGTCGGGTGGTTCGTTGGGGAGATGGTGGAGGGATGGTTGATCAACACCCAAAGCCTTTATTATTTTTCATTTACCTTTTATTATTAACTTTTTATTTATTTATTTATTATTTTTTACACTTTTTATACTCCTGCAGAAAGATATGTCATATGTTCATGTCTGTGTTGTTGCATCATGTCTTGCATAGCATTTACTGAGTTTATCTGGTTTAAGCACACCTGTCAGTTCAGGGATGCCGATGCATTGGGCATTATGCATTAGATAGTTAGCTAACTTAACCCTACTTAAATCCTAAATAACCTAAATGATCAAGCAATCGACTCTAAATTTTAACCTATCGGCATGGTTTTCTATTGGTTACCGGATTCATGGTTCAGTAGCTCCATGACTTGCATGATGATACATCTATAGCTGCAATATTGCCTATTACTGTATTAAAAAGGGTGGACAAACTTCCTGTCAATAGTTCTGCATTTCTCAATAACTAATAAAACAAATCATATTCGCTGTATCCTCAATGAAAATGCAACTGTGCAGAAAAACAAAGCTGAATGCAGGGGCAATGACAACATGTACATGAAGATCTGTCTGGAGGCAGGAAATGTAGAAAAATATAAGGAAAGGCTGTGGGATGAAAATGATCATGCATGCAAGAAACGCCTTTCTAATGCTCGAAGACTGATGTTTCGGCCTCCTTTCCTTTTGACCAAAGGAAAGAAAAATAGAAGAAGAAAGGAAAACCAATTATAAATACCCCCAAATACCGGCCATCTCTATCACATGATCCATAGATCGTAACATCTTTCATCTGTCGTGGTGACTTGATTACAAAGGGAATACCGTGCCGGCTGAACAGAGACGCTTGGCAATGTGACAAGCGTCTAAAAGGAATAAAATATGAAGTTCGTGTTCGGAAGCGTAACAGAGGTGTGGTGGTCATGTCGTGTCAAGAATCCTGCGGATGCAGGTTTCCAATTCTCAGTGATGTCCAATTCAACGATAAATGGTCAGACCACATATAAGCCATCCAAGGCCATGTAACAAGCCAAATTCGATTAACAGCTCCAAAATGCTAGGAGCTGTATGGACTGAGATATCTCACACAAGATCCGCATAAGCGGCCTCGTGGTGGTTAGGAATCACATTGCGTCACGAAAAGTGGATGATGTCCTCATGTCATGCACGAGCCGAACGGCTCATAGAGCGTTCTGGAAGCGGAGCGGCGGTAGGCGAGTAAGATCTTGAGGCACCAATCAGGTCCACATCGTGTTCTTGAAGGACGACGGCGTATTTGGGATCACGCATGAACTTGGGAACGGAATCCTGTGGATATGTTAGAATGAGACGATAGCAATACTATTGTGCAAAACTTACACTAGACATCAACTTGAAAACAGAGGTTTGTGCCATCTCAAACAGAGACACAACCTCCTGAAGACTCTTGAACATGGAGTCATCGTCTCCAACGGCCTTGGTCATACGGCTGGCCAGACTGTTGCGCAGCGCGTGATCAATGTTAAGCTCGCAAGGGGAGCCAGGGGCCAAAAAGGCGTTGTACAGGCCTGTTATAGCGGTTAGCGAATGAAGGAGAACGTGATGACAAGATTACTGACCATAAGCGGCGGCAAGAGTTTCACGGACTGCATCAGCCTTCTTGAAGATGCCAACCTTGTCGGCCTTGTGGTAGTTGGATGTGAATTCGGAGACGTCGAGGTAGAAAGACAAGTTCTCTTCACACAGGGAGAAACGAAGGAATTCACGGAAGAGCAGACGCAGGGCGGGGTCGTGGAGGATGTGGTTCAACCGAGCGTTGTTCGAGTCCTTCGGGATACCCCGACTGTCGTAGGTGATGGTGTCGCGGGACTTTTCCCGTGCGATCCACCCACATACGCGCTGTCCTCGGTCTGTGATACCGTAGATGGCGTGCTTGGATGGCTGGAAGGCGGCAATGGCTGTGTCTGGTTGAGGATACGACTTGTCGTCTTGCTGCATGGTGATCAATCCGTACTTGACGAAAAGTTCGGCGATAAGGACGGTTTCCCGACGCTCAATTGTGGTGGAGCAATCCATGAGCCAGTCGACCGCGGCCTTACCGGTGAAAGTGTTCATGACGATCTTCTCATTAACCTTGCGCTCCTTGGCCATCTTGACACCAACCAGGCCGTTGGAGTAATCACTCAGGGAGTCAGAATCCGAAGTGGAGATGCTAGTCTTGACATTGGGGCCATCCTGGCCGGCAAACCGGCGGAAGATGACCTCGATGGTGGCCCGATCGTGCGACAGCTTGTCCGAGTCAGAGTCACGCTCCAAATTGACCAGTTGCATAGTGTTGCGGGGCGACTCCAACACGTCAATTACGTGGCGGGCGGTAATTCCGTTTCTCTGGCAGAACCGTTGCAAGATGTTAATACCTTTCGGGGTGAGCTGAAACAAGGCACCCTTGAGAGGAAAGATCGGCAGGGCCTTGCCGTCAACCGGCTCGATGAAACGAGCATCAACGAAACGCTGGCACACAGAGCGGGCCATTTCCTTAGCCATGGAGAAGGTGGTAGTGGTAGTTGTGGTGACGATACGAGATGGGTCCTTGGGGTCAGGCATACGGTTGGATTGGGAGAATTTGAGCGAGCCGAGGTTGTTGATGGCTTCTTCGGAGGTGAACGAATGATCATACTTGGTGAATCGTACCCGATGCGAGTCCAACTTTAAACTGACCATCAAGGTTGAAAACAGATCCATGAAATCCTAATACTGTTAGTTAATTCCACCTTCTTCCTTTTCCCTCATTCTTCCCGAATTCCTTCAATTCAATTCCCCCAGAAATTCTTACCTTTGTAAAAGGACGATCATCTTCCGTCATACGCAACAATCTCGAAGAAGTTTGATGCATCTTGGGCGGTATAGCGGACCCAGCGTCCGATTGCTGTTCAGGCAAAGAAGGAATCCGCTGGAGGGTAGAGCGACGTCTATCGACCAGACTGGGTTGCTGGCAGTCGGCCACGGCCGGGGAAGAGGAGCGAGGGGGAAAGTCCACGGGAGCGGGGCTCAATTGCTCGCTGCTGGTACTACCGTCGGACAATGGCGGAGTCAAGGGGGAGAGAGTGGTGGTGGGTTCGCTGGCGCTGAGCTGAGAAGCCTTGCGCGAATGCTTGGAGAGACTTCCGGAGGAGGCAGAGGAGCGAAGACCGTAGGTTGTGGGACCTCCAATGGAAGAAAGACTGGCAATGGCACTCGAGGTCTTTTCACGGGCCAAAGCAGCAAAGGAACGACGATTGCGTCGGGAGATCGAACCTATGACGGAACCTAGAGGGTTTGGGGGATTTGCAGAAGTGGTCGCAGTGGTGGGAGTGGTGGTGGTGAAGTCGACAGGATCGGGTTGCTGATTGGGAGGGGAAGCAGCGGAGGCGGAGGGTGTGATAGACGAGGTGGAACAGGCAGTGGCAGGGCGTGGAAGTTGAACCAGGGGGGGAGAGACTGGAACAGGAACAGGAGGAGGGGGGATGCTGATATTATCAGGAGAGGAAGAGGAGGAAGAAGAAGAGAGATGGTGATGATGGTGATGATGAGGAGAGGGAGGAGATCCTTGGTCGAGGGGTTCGGAAGATATGGTTGGCATTGAATAGTGCGAACCAAAGAGAGAGAGGGAAAGGGAGGGAAAATAATATGAAGGAGGGGAAAAGTAGGAATAATAATAATAATACTAAAATAATAATAATAAAATAAAATAAAATAAAATAAAAAATGGGTAAAAAATATTTTAATTTATTGTATTTTAGTATTTTTCTGATTTAAAATAAGAGAGAGAAAAAAGAAAAAAGGCAGGAGTTGAGAGAGAGAGAAAAGGTGGAGAGGAGAGCGGGTAAGGGAGAGAAAAAAAAAAAAAAAAAAAAAAAAAAAAAAAAAAAAAAAGAAAGAAAGAAAAAAAGGAAAATAACAAAAAGAGGGAGAGTTTGATTCTGGTAGTGCAGGACAGTCTTAGTGGGCATAGTGGTAAACTACCAGAGCCACGTTACTGCCTAACTCGATTTGGTCTGCCTGCTCTGGATCCCGCTCTCTGATTTGTTGGAAAAAAGATGAAATAAAAACGCAGCAGGAAAAAAGGCAAAAAAAAAGAGGAGAAAGAAGCCAATCCCCAGGGGAGAAGGTGAAGAATCCGGCCTGTCAACAGGGCCCCACTGTGCACGCGGACGGTTTCATGCACCAGACAACGTGGGCCAAGGCAGCGAAGGATCGGCCTGATCACCCTGCAGTACCGTACACTCAGTACAGACTACAGAGTAGGTAAATAGAGTCTATTCATATTTATTTTTATTCTATCTATTCTATTCTATGATGATGATTACTACAGAGTATATTTTATTATCCAGATACTCAGGGGTCTGCAGAGTCTGTCTGCAACAGATACTGTATTGTAAAGTGGGACGTTCGACTGCAAGCGTCGTCGGATGATCAGCGGAATCTGCGCCCGGGGAGAGTTTCGGCCAGATCGCCCAGGTTTTTCCCCAACCGAATGAAATCACATAGCAGTCCAGATACCAGATAGGTAAGAACTCCGTCAGGTATGTCTGTCATACTTTCTGTATCCTGTACTCAACTCGTATCATTTCCACAGGTCACCTTCTGGAAGCTCCGATAGAAATCCTTTTAAACAGTGAGCCATAGAAGACATGTTCGGTCGTCGGGGTTTGGAAAAAATAAAATAAAATGATAAAGAAAAGCAAAGAAAAAAAAGAAAAAGAAAAAAAAAACCTTGCACTAACCAAGGACAGCGAGGACCCTAGAACCAACCGGCGAGGCCGATCCAACCAACCAGAAGCGAGGATAAGACCGACCATCACCCAGTGCGACCTCACCTTCCATTTCGAGCAGCCAGAAAATTCAGTTCTCCACCTCGATCCATTGATGATTGGCATTGTATTGAGTCATTGCCTGGGAAAACCCCCAATTTTCCCCCCCACCAGCCAATCACCAGTCCACACAGCCGATATTCCCCCCCGCTCCTGACTCTTACCAGATCGGGTTTAATGGCCAACTCTCTACCTAGCCCACCCCCCCTTGGCGGGGTTTGCCTCAGGTACGGTGTGCGGCCAAACGGACTCTGCATTTCTCATGATCCATGGAACCAGACAGCGTGAAAGTTTGGGTCCTGGAATTACGCTCGTCTTGAAGTCATTCCACCATCATCGCAACCGTCCTTCGCAACCGTCCACCACGTGGAAATGATTTTGGACCCCCGGCCGAGTCAAAGTTAATGAATATTATCAGAGGGCTAAGCATCGCTGCTGCAGATCTATCGGCCTCAGGCAGCTACAATTTACAGTTATGAGTTAACTCCGGACCGTATCTCCATCTTTTACGCTCAATATTGGATCATTTGTCGTCACTATCGCTCTTGACCGGCCAGAGCCGCCACAACAGCCATTTGACTTTTACCATTCAATCAATAGCCTGTCTTTCTTTCTTCTTTTTGTCTCTGTCTTTCTACTGTTAAGACAGTCCCGTGCGGCGGAGTCACTCGAAACATGATGATAATAAGGATAATAAGAAGAATATAATATAATAGTGATATAATAATTTCTGATAACAAATAATAATACATCCTTCCATCCTTCTAGGTGCCTTCTTTCCTAGCCGAGATCCACGCAGTTCCACGTGGACACACGTGGGAAGGGCAAATTGCTTGGCTGGCTTACCGTTCGTATTCTTTACCACAGACTTTCTGAACTCTGTTGAAGCGAGAGATGATGTATTCAAGCGAGATTATCTGACGACGCTGATAGTCATGTGCGATGCTGTCAGATGGGATGATACAGTATTGATATATTTATTTCTGTTGACTGAGAAGAGATAGCTGAATTTCCCGCGTGGCGCGGCTAAAAAGCACCATATCACACCATTGCCCCAATCGGACGTATCATCGGCCACAGGTCGGATCAGTCACTTTGGACTACAACCACTAGTCCAGCCTTTCTGCGCATGTCATCTTGATCACTCTGTCGCTGTCACTTTGATCGTCCTCATCCATGCTACCTACCTACTCTGCAATCTACATCCTCTACTCCTCTACCTACTACATCCTACATCCTCTACTACACACTATGTACTATGTAAACATGAGCGAACAACTCCGATCGCCAATCTGACACGAGGCTCCGACAGTTAACCGCATCCGGTCTAGCGGCGACCAAAGCTCTCGCGGTCCAACTTTACTTGTCTGTCAATAACTGCTCAATTTGTCAATTTCCTGTTCCTTGATTTTTTCTGTAGTATCAGGTGGATACTACATATGAGCGGTGAGAAACGTATTCTAATTGACTTTAATTAAGATTGGCTTGACTTGCGGTCAGCCTTCATATGATACAGCATTTAGACCTACACAACATGGTTGATTCACAGACAGGCGACAGAATTATCCCTGACCGCCACGCGAAATAAAATTCATGGACAACAGGGATAATCCATGTCAGCAGAGGAGGATGACAAGGCTGAGTTGAGCCCCCAACTGCTGCGTAACGAGTCAAGAAGGTTCAGGATCAGTCACATTTAATAATAGCACACTATCAAAGAAATAAGGAGCCAGTAGCCTGTCTTTGTACCACCATGATAGTCAGTAGATATGCAAACACCCGACAAAGAAAGGATTAGTCTGATATGCAGCTATCCATGACAGCCAGTCCCAAATAGACTAAGCCCCCTTGGGCTCACTTCGATAGATGATGCCTAATCGGGCTACCTGCAAAGGCAGAAAAGTGGGTCACGGAGGATTAGTGAGTGGAGAGTGGGTGGAGATACGGTCTTTCGGCTGAAACGAGACTAGTGAGACTGTATGACCCATGGGCGGTCTGGATGTGGGGCGCCACAAAAACAGGGCAAACCGCCACGTGGTGTACTTTACAGTAAGATACGTACTTACGAAGTATGTATCTATCTACAGTATCTACGTAGGTACTTACACTGGACAGAAGGGAGATACATACAGGTACTTGTACATAGAAGAGTACCAGTAGTAGAAAAATGATAAGTGAGCTGGACTACAATATCAGATAGGCTGATCACCAAATAATATAGCACAAGATATCAATAGTCCAGCACGAACCACACCCAACGGCCATCCCATCCACCATATTCATCCACCACATCCCATCCACCACACACTAGAAAACTTCTCGAAGAATCCAAAATCCAATTTGCCACCTGTACCCTGCAACCTTCGCAGTTTATCTCCTTTTACAATCTCGAAACTATTGAGCCATCCCATTCCCCACCGATGGATGGATCATGCAATCATGGAACTTTCCTCCAAGGTCTATGGAGAAGGTATCCGTAGTTCAACCTCCTGATGATACGATACTATTAGTCCCTGAACCAGAAAATCACGTTCCGAAGCCGGCCAAATCACAATAAGAGCTGAAAAAGTCAAGTTCCCACCATAATCTCATTTGTCATGGTTATTGTTGAATGATCAACAGCGAAAAACCTCCGAGCCATGTGTTTTTTTGTTTCGTCCTGTGGAGAGGAAAGTGGAGGATCTACCTTGCCTTGCTTTACTCTCGACATACTACATGCTACATGGAGTACTCCGGAGATACCTACAGTCTACATACTACATAGCATACTACATAGAGTGTATAGTGTATTATGTATTATGAACGCCTATGCAACATTCTCCTTCATAATGTACGCCAAGACTGCATCTGCACGACAAAGGGATCAAGCGAATAAAATACAGTACTGTGTATAGAATACGCTGATCCTTGCCAGTCCACGCGAAATCAACAACTCCACGTTTGGTTTCTTCAGCCTCTATCGTCTATAATATCCTCTATTATAGTACTATACTATCTGACGATTATCGTGATAACTATGATAAGTAGTAGTGTTATCAGTACTTCGATATCTACTATACTTTATTTATTCAACTCTGCTGATAGCTGATAAGTGCGTAGATGAACTCCTATACAGATCGGCCGGCTTATCCGAGGGTATACAAAAGTACCTACATACCCAGCATCCTCCTCCGTATTCTACGTTATGCAACTAGACAAAGATGAAACATGCATGGATCCTGGTCTGGTGTCTAGATTCGCATCCTTTCTTTGTCGGTCACACGAAAATAATCATATGTTGTTGCACCGCAGCAAGTCGATCTTAATTGCCCTCCAACGGAAATAGAAATGGATCCTTCTCTGTCTGTCGATTATTCTAGACTGCCAGGAAAAAAAAGGAGAATTCTTCCGCTCTCCACTTGCAGTCTGTTGGATGACCGTTATGTTTCAGATTATTCTTCTACTAGTTCTGCTCACTGTCCAGTAAGTCATCTGTTGTATGTTCAATATCCATAATCTAGTAACCTAACGCCTTCACGCCCAGCAAAAATCCACAAGACTACACTTCAATTGTCCGTTGATACCCAAGGATAGAAACTGGTATCAACGCGATTACATATCCTCCCCCTTATGATTACTTACTCCCCCATCCCCTCAGCCTCATTCCTTCTTCAATAGCTGTCCAAATGCCCTCCACCACCTCCCGGTCCCGCCATCGTCCTGCCCCTTGCACTCCGCCCTTCTCGTCCCATCGTTCCACCGCAAATCGCTGCACGCCTCGTCCCCAGCCTTTCACTTCGCGAGGCGCTTCCTCCCCCCGCCAGCCTACGTAGACTCCCGTAGCGTGCTTGAATAGTTCCGGCGGTGACGACCACTTGTACGACTTGAACTGCCACGTCTGACCCGTCGTAAACACCGCGACCAGCCGTTGCCAGTAGTCGGGCCGGAAGTTCGCCGTGCTGTCCACCAGGATGAACTTGGTCGTCTTCCGCGCCGCGTTCTGCGAGCCCACGCCCCGGCCGCTCGAGGCAGTTGCCCCGTTGACGCGCATCGGTCGCGCGATCTTCATGATATTCGACGAGGTCGTGTTGCTGAGTGTGGGATGGTCAGGCGGCACAAACACACCGTCTTCCAAAAACGACTTGACATTCGACAACCGAATCAGTGACGATGCCGAGGGCGACAGAAGGATAATCGGCTCGATATTCGAGCTGGATTTCTTCGGCACAGGAAGTCCCGCCGAAGGCGCTGGTACCAGCGGCTGCTTGCTGCCCGGTTTGCTGCCAGGAGGATATTGACCGGTCCGCGAGCGATGTCGTCCCAAAAACGTCTCGGCCGTTTTGCGAACATGCGAGAAATCCTAATCCAACGTTAGTCTTGTAAAACCACCTCCTCCCCATACCCTAACACTCACCGTCGGTTTAATCCCCCGTAGCACACTATTCCGATCTCCCATCTTTCGCTCCCCATTGTAAATCTCCTGCAATCGAGGATCAATCACCTTGGGAGCCTTCCCCTGCTGAGCCCCAGCGGCAGGCGCCGCAGCTCCCGCCGCACCGCTAGGAACAGACGAAACACCACCCGTCGCCCCAGAGGCAATGATGGCCGAAGCCTCCGCCGGAGAAGTAGTAGCCGCGACAGCAGCTGCTGCCGCAGCGCCCTCCAACGGCTTAATATATTCACTCTCGTCAGAGGCACCCTCCAACCAAGTGATGAGATCCAACCGCTCCACGAAAACCAAATTCTGCACCTTCTCCTCCGCCTCGCCTTCCTTGTGCTCCTTCTGCTTGAGCGACTCGTTCAGCTCCTGCGCGGACGCAATGTACTCGGGAATCGCGACATCCTTTTTCTGCCAGGCGAAGAAGATACTGCGGAGGTCGACCGCCGAGTCCGACGAGACGGAGACGAAACGCGTCGGCGCCGTCAGCGCGATAGTCTGCGGAATCGGGTGCACAAAGTAGAGATGCGAGGCCTTAGCTAGGTCGTCTGTCGCATTTTGGTCCGAGAGTTCGGACGAGGTGGTCGGGGTGGGAAGGTTGCCGGCGGCGATGGCACGGCGAAGGGAGAGAAGGGGATCTTGGAGGGAGGGGTCGACAGAAGCCATTGTGGATGGCGGCCAGGTTCTGCTGGCAGGTTTCTGCTATTCGGGGAGGGTTTTTGGGCGCGAATTGCGTGGGTGTTGAGGTGTTGGAGCTGGTGGTGGTGAAGGGAAGTCGAACTGTTGAAGATCCGGAGATGCACGTGATTTGAGCTCAGCTTACTGTAGCTTCACTATCATTCAACATAACCATTCGATAACCGACACTCAGAATCGATGAAAGTATTTTTTAATGAAGCTCATCTTAATTCAAATATAGTATTGATATGAAATCTCTTTTCTGTTTGACTGCTCTCACATTCACCTCACTGCGATGATTGACATATATATCTGTTTGACAGAAAGACAAAGTCCAATTCAATATCTACCTCAAACCCGGATCAAAGCCAAATACCTCCACAACCAACTCCACGCCCCCAGAAAAGCCGTAATGCCCGTAAACAGAATCAATGTCCCATATTCCGTCTCATAGCCATTCCCATTCCCATTCCCACCCCCTAGTCCCCCATACTGAATCAACGCCGTACTCAACGGTCCACTGATAACATTCCCAATTCCCCTCCCCCCAGCCAAAAGTCCAAAAACCAGCCCGGTTTCCAACGATGGCGAGTCACGTTTAATCTGCGTCAAGACGCCGGACCAGGTAGAGCTGAAGCCACCAGCGAAGAAACCATACGTGGTTGAGAAGAGGACAAGGAGGGCGATTGCAGAAGATGACGACGAGGACGAGGATGATAGACCCCAGAACAGGAAGACGGGAACGGCGGAGCCAATGGAGGATAAGAGCATGATATTTGTGACGGCGAAGCGATCGCAGAGGGAACCGAGGATGATGCCGCCGAAGACGGAGGTTGCGTTGAAGAGAGCTACCAGGAGGGTGCCTGTTGTTTGGGACAGACCCATGGCGGTTGTGGTGTAGGAGGGGAGGTAGGTTGTTGGGAGGAAGTATCCGAAGCTCTGGATGATGTTGCCCAGCTGGAGCATCCAGAAGGTGGCGAGTTTCAGGAAACTGAGGTCCAGGCGACGTGCTGAGGTGGATGAAGCTGGTGGGATACGGGGTTTGACAAAGGGTAGTGCGAGGAGGGTGGTGACGAGCTTGTCCACCTGATTAGACATTGTATTCAAGGAATCTGTAAAGAAACGAAATGCCCACCGTTGTCACAGCCCACGCCCTCAATGTAGTCCTAGACCCAAACCGCTCAAGACAAGCACTGGCAATAAAAGGAAGAGCAACACCCGAGATGCTCTTAGCAGCCCACATAATGCCATACGCAAGACCTTTCTTCTGCACGAACCACTGGTCGAGATATAAAGTGGTTGGGCTGAAGAGCAGCCCATTCCCAATGGCACACAGCACCCCCTGTGTCGCTATCAAGTGCCAGACACAGACAGAAAAGGACGAAAGCACAGATCCAGCGACAGTCAAGACGAGGCCGACTGGAACGCAGTATCGAAGCAGATGTGGATAGCGGGTGAGAAGTGTGAAAGTGACTGGGGAGAGAAGATAAAGGATTCCCTACACGAGTCAGTGGGTTGATCCGGTTAAGAGATATTCTATACCGTTGATGTGGTTCCCACGATAGCCAAATCATTCTTACTGCCCTTCAGTACATCATGACTGGAGAGATTCTCCTGGAAAATACCCGACACGAGAGAGAAGCCCGCACCATCATCGTTAGAGAAGGATTACGATGGTGTAGTGGACGACATACCCCAGACAGGGAGCTGGATTAGACAGCATGACGCCAGCATCAACCAGGCATCTCTGCCTCGATCGGTAGGAGGCAGAGATGCTTGTTCAATCTCAATCAAGGAAATAGCTGTTGACATGGTAAGAAAGCCGGAGAGAAGGAAGAGAGAAGAAGGGAGCAAGAGAAGATCTACCCCGCATAAACAGGACGAAGCACATGACTCACTGATAGATCGATCAACTACATCTAGACTCAGTATTCGTCGTGAAGATCATGAATCATCTGGACATTGAATATCCTACTCAAGCGTCAAGCAGAAGTTCAGTCATTGCTACTCTGCGGCATATCCATCATGTACTACACAGGGAGCATCGTCAGAAGAAGAGAATGAAATGAAAATCACAGATACTAAGGACATATCATCAAGTAGATCCTGTCCTTGAGCGACATGTTTCTGGTCCACCTGAACCCAGCCCAAATCCAGCCCCAGAGTATTTTCCTTGAAACCCTTCCCAATCCACGCCTGGTACGCCATTTCGTCGTAAATCACAAGATACACGAAGTCACGGCTAGAACGCCTATTCCCATCGTTTACAAATCGAATAATAATAGTAATAATAAAAAGAAAAAAAAAGAAGAAGAAGAATAAAGGGGGCATCACAAAATCTTCCACAAAAAGAAAAAAAAAAAAAAAAAAAAAAAAAAAAAAAAAGAAGAAAACAAAAGTCGAAAGGCTCTAAAGGATTTTTCAACCAACTCCACATAACCCATATTAAAGGATGAAAACACAATTAGGAGGTGACAGACGAGATGTGAGAAGAATGCGTCGATTCAGGGACATCCTTCATCGCGACATCCGGCGAGCTCGGACTTTCGGGCTTGCTAGGTTCAGCGTCCCCGGAGGGTTTGGTAGGTGTGCGTGAGCTGTCGACGGCTGCTGATTCACCATTAGCCGGGGATTGTGCTGAGGGCGACTTTGGCGGAGGAAGCATCGCTGTGGCCTGCGCTTGTGGTTTCTCCGATGTGGGTGTCGCCTTAGAGCCTCTGCGGATGAGATAATCGCCCAGACTGAGTTTCTTCTTGACCGGACTAGGGGCGGTGATACCTGACCCAGGAGCTGGTACACTGAGCTGCGAGGAATGATCCACGGTCGACGGAGGTGACATACTCGATGCAGTGCCTGATCCAGGGCTGACAGCAGCAAGAGGTGCAAATTTGTTGGTAGGAGTGGGTGGGGCGAGAAGGTTGATACCATGACCGTTCAGAGGAAGTCGCGCATTATGGGCTGCTGTGGATGGCCATGGTGGAGGTAGAAGAGGTCTGGATGAATCTCGCACCGATCGAGGTGACCCTGCATCCAAATCCGGATTCGTAGAAGTATCATCACGTAAGTCCATCTCGCGCTGTGGTTGGCGCACGGAGACATTTGGCGTGGGTGAATCAAGGTCCTTCATTTCCACATCACCCTTGTCGATCGAGCTGCTTGGAGGGGTGGGATGTCGAATTCGTCGTGTACTAGATGTGGGGGAGCTCAGCATGGCCACACTATCTGATTTAAACGGTGTCGAAACGGACACCTTCTCTTCGAACTTCAACCGATCGGCATGACATCGCTTCAGTAGACGTTGTGTGAGTGGTACAAAGCTAGGCCGACGAGGAGACGGGAGTGGAGATGTGGGGGGAGCGTCATCCGCATCAGGTTCGGTTTGGATGGCTGAATCAACATATCGGGCGCGTCCTAATGGAGAGCGCACCGGAGGAGTACTGGAGCCAGATACTTTCCTGGGCGACCCATGACGAGGCGGGCCCGGGGAGATTGCGGATGGAGGCGAGCGAGACGGATTCCCAGATCCAGTATCCAGATGAAGTGGCTTTATTGACGTGGCCTGGTGGGTGAAATACCCTGCTTGCGCAGAGCTCCCAACAGTGGGCGTTGTTGCCTGGCCACTGGGACGCTTCTTCTTTCGATGGGTTGATGCATGTTGATCCAGTTCCAGCTGCTGGAACTTTTTCTCTGCCGCGGCGATTTTGCGTTTTTCCCGGGCCGAAAGCTCGGATTCACCAAAGCCAGAATGTTCATTGGCCAGTGTGGGAGTGAGGTCACGACTGCGAGTCTGCCCCCGCGCGGAGCCAGACGCGGACCGACTGTCAGCCTGGTCATCGTCATCCGGGTTCTTGTTAACCTCACTACCAGCGCGGCTGTTGGTGGACGGCGGGGTGATGTTTGGCCTGCTCTTGGTCTTTTTACGCTTGCCATTGGCTTGCTTCATCCCCGGATCGAATGATTTAGGGTGCCGCCGCCGATCCACACTGGATAGGAGACACGTGGGCGGTGGGTCGCAAGCGCAGCCACCAAAATGGGCGAGCACATTGCTAATGCAGATGGCAGCTGCATCCTGGGTGTTGTTGTCACTAGACTCCTGCTTGACGAGACCGTTGGTTGACTCGAAAAGCTGGGGATCCAAGTACCACATGGCGGTGATTTCCGAGTTGGCTGGAATGTCCTCTTTGGCGACGAAGCAAAAATGATACTCAACTTCGTTTGTGATGTAGGTCTTCATGGTGACATTAGGGCGACATGAGCGTCGTACGTAGCGGAGCATGCTGCCCTCATGCCGGCTGTCAACGTAGAGTGGGAGTTGGGGATGGAAGAAGACAAAAGGCTCTGGATGGCGCAGTTCCTGCCATCGATTGATGGGATCCAAACAGTAGTCCCTCAAGAGCCCAATCTTGCCTGTGATTTCACCCACGATCTCATCTTTGGCTACCGTATCGCGAGTTGTGAGGATCTTCCAGGTTGGATGTTTGCCATCCACATCGATCGTGGAATCGGTGATCGACTCGGTTGACAGAACGGGCCAGTTGGATCGATCGAGTTCTGTGTCTGTCCAGGTAAAGATGTCTTGAGCAGACCGCCCGTTGGTAACGCGCGCAAGCGCACTTGGTTCTGTCACCCATGATGCCAGGTCTGCCGCCAGGGGCAAGTTGACAAAAAGATTACTATCCATGTCGGCATGGCCTTGGTCACGCTCGTAAAGGTTCATAAACTCATTCGAATACAAGGGGATAGATGGTCCCAGGGATTTTGTGGGGCTCATAGAAGTCGCAGCACGTTTTCGGACATCTGGTGGAAGAGCAGGAGCCCCAGAGATAGAGCTGATAGAACCAGACGAGCGATGGTGGTTGGTTTTGGCTTTTTTAGCCGGCGGCTGGTCGCGAGCGCCCGGCTCGGTACGGTTATGAAAGCCATTCACCTGCTCACCATGCTCCCTGGTCTTCTTCTTGTGGGTTTTCGCACCCGACCGTTTGGTCTTCCGGTCACCGCCATCGCCCTGTTCCCTGAGGCGCCGTTGCCGCTCGGTGGCGCGCCGGCCATCCAGAGAGCGAGGCTCGCAGTCCACGCAGTTGTGGACATCTGGCACACCCCGAGCGTGGTAGTAGCATTCGATATGCTGCCACGTCTCGCACCCTTCACAGAAAACCGTGTTGCCATCATCATCTTCAAACGCGCAGATGCATTTGATGGTGTACGGTTCCTCCTCGTCGGGAGCGATGGAGTCGGAAACGGCGCCGTTGAGGGCGGGCGAGTTCAGAGGGACGGTGACCGGATACTGCTCCGTGGTCGAATGCGTGATGGCGACTGAGGAGGTATCTGTCATAATCCGACAGGATACCCCCTCTGGAATCGGATAGACGCGCGTTTCTCGAGGGATGGAGGGAATGAGGGCTTCAGGTAACCCGTCAAGGCCCAACAGGCATGTCAGCTGCCACGCAAAGGAGAATCACCTTTTGATCACCCTTCACACGACAAACACGAGGGGATCCACCAAGAGAAACCTGTTATTCCCCACAGCAAACTACACTGTGTCCTCTGGAAATGGGTCTAGGTGAACCTGAAGATGATCGCACCAAGGAGGGATGAATGTAAAACGGGATTCGTTAACGTCGTAGAAGCGGTAGAATCGGATCGAGGTTGTGGGATCGAGCGAGCAGGCGACCAGAGAGGAAGGATCGAAGGATTAAAGTCGTCGACCTCTATCGCGCGTGCGACCGTGAGAAAGCAGGCTGGAATCGAAAGGACGAAGATGAAGAGACGGACGGACCACGAATCGCATCGAGGGAGGAAGAGCCAGGAGGTGAGAAGATAGAAGACTGAGGATGGAAAGGTGAGGATAATAAGAAGGGAAAAAGAAGACAAGATAGAAACCAGAAGAAGAAGGGAGGGGAAGACGGATGGAAGGTGAATGAGAAGGGGAGGGAGAAACGAAAACGAGAGTAGGAGAGAGAGAGGGTGAAGGAGGGAGAGGAGGGAATGGAGGGAAGGGAAGAAGAGCTCGGGAAGAGGCGAGAGTGAACCAAGCGAAGAGAAGAAGAGGAGAGGAGGAGAAAGGAGAGCAGCAGCGCAGAACCTCAACCGCAGCAGCAGAGGAGCAGCAGCAGAGCAGAGCAGTTGGAACGGACAAGAAAGAAGAACTGGACTGCGGCTACTGCCACGGCGTGGCCAGTTGCAGCGCGTCTGAAACGCAGGATGGAAGCGGAATAGCGTGGGAGGGAAAGCGGCCTTTTTTTTTCAAGGAAGTCGAAGGAACAAAAGGGAACCTCAGGCCAAGATCTTATTGCCACGGCCGGATCAGAGGGAAAAAAAAGAAAAAAAGAATCTCGAGGCTGGCCGGAAACGAACGCCAAACCGGGGATGGATGGGAGGCGCTGATTGGCGGACCAGCGAGTGGGACACGACGCTTGGCCAGTTCCGGCAGGTGGAGGACAGGCTAAGCCCAGAGAGGAATGGTCAGGGCCAAGATCCAGATTGGGGATAGCGGGGGTGTAGATTGGGAATGGGGGCATGTCAGAAAGAGTAGAGAGATAGAACGAGGATAGGAGAAAGAGAGAGAGAGAGAGATGAAAAGGGAGAGAAAGAAAGAGGGATAGAATTAAGATGGAGCGATAGAGGGGAAAAAGAATACTTGACCTCGAGGCATCTTGGATAAACGATAGACTGTCATGTCAGTTCATCAACACAACACACCACCACAGACGAAAGAGAAAGACAGCATCAACAATGAAAAGAAAGTCAGCATCTGTTCATCAGTGGGAGAGCAAAGTTGAGCAAAGAGTATAGAGTCCAAAAGTCTCTTTCAGTATCGCAACCCCTCGGTCAGGAGGACAAGGTCACAAGGCCAGGCTGACGGCATCATGTCACGGCCAAAACAACCAGGAAAGAAGACATGGATAGCACAGTAGAAACCCGTCTCTGTAGAAAGAACATGACAAGTTGTGATGTGATGATGATGTCCTTTGGTGGTTTTTATGTCTGGTCCTGATATTCGACCAGACCACGGAAACGCAAGGGCGGGAAACCTGGGAAATAGACGATTGAGAAATGATTGAATATAGATTGGATCATTTGCTGTATTCGCCTAGAAGGGAATCTTCAGGGGGTAGGGAGCGAGAAGAGTGGGTGAGCGAGTTGGGAATAATAGGAAAATACCCAGAATAGTACTCTGGATAAAGTAGCGGATAGAAAGAAGTGAAGATTGGGTGGAAGTGACAGCTTGGGGAAGAAAGTCATCTGGGTGGCACGGAGAGAGGCAAGGGGAAGGAGGAGATGCGATGGAGATGAGATGGAGCGGAAAGGGAGAAGAGAAGGGGAAATTGCAGGATCGAACGGAGAGACAGAAACAACAAAATAGAGGCACGAAGAAGGGCGAGAGAAAAGATGAAAGGAAGATGAAGCGAAACGACGGGCGACAGACGGACTAGACGATGCTGGCCCAAAGCTCAGGCACTGCCAAAAGCGGTCGAGATGGAGAAATTATTCGGATTCCCTCTGCTTCCTGGTTCACGCTTGTTGTGTCCCTTTCGCCTTGGTTTTTTTGCTTTTGCCACGCTTTTTTCTTTTTCCCAACTGTATGTAAGTAATAAATCCTCTCCAAATATTAACATCGACTGTCGATCATTGCAAGTGGATCGCCCGCCGTCAACTGATCGCTCGACACGCGCTTTGCGGCCGCCCTCTCAAGCACAACGGCCAGCTGGCATTGGGTACCAGGTGATGCAGTACGCTTTGTGTTTTGTGAATTATCAACCCAGATGAACGGATGAATACAGCATGAATATCATATACATAATGCTAGTGATTGTTTTCTAAGAATATTCTAGGTCTATCGTCGCATCGGATCAACTCTCACCCCAAGAGAAACAATCACCACTCTCATCAGGAAATACATCTCACGTCCTGCCTTTTCTTGTCGAGCCAGGTCGTCGAGGTTCAGCGTCAAAGTCTGGGAGACCAAGATTCGGGAGATCCAAGTCCAGAGGGAAAAAGGTCGGAAGTTCGATTTCAAATTTGCCCTCGTCCTGTCGAGATGGCTCCTCCACTACATTCCCACCCTGTTCGATACTGACCTCCTTGGTTTTCACGTTGCGTCGAGTAATAGCATCCCTCGCTTGGTGTCCAAAGTACAAGAGCAGATACGTAGGAATCCCGAGATATGCTGGAATCAACTTGCTCGCGGTTAACTGGGAGGGTGCTGCGACAATGATTCCATTGATCAGAGGCAACAAAGTACAGCTCGCGATACCAAAGTATGCCCCATATGGCTGAATTCGGGCCCGATAGACAGGAGCAAAGCCTTGTGTTTCGGTCGCCCGACGGAACTGAAGATACGAAACGCAGGCGCCCAGCCATGAAATGTACCCAGAGGTTGTGATAAAGTGCATCAGCCAATTGAAAACGACTGAGCTTGATGTAGCCAGAGATAGATACGCAAATCCGGAGAACAGCGCCGATGTGATGACGGCCACGTACGGCACTCCCCATCTTGTGCGGGCTTGAAACAAGGCAGGGGCATGCCCCGACTCCGACAGTGTACACAGAGTTCGCGAAGAGAGATAGAGAAAAGAGCGACCCGAGGCCACGGATGAGAGCAGTATCGTTATAGTCGCGACGATGGGTAGGACTGGGAGCTGGGAGTTCCTTATACCGATCATGTATGGTGAGAAACCAGCACCAAGGCCGCTATTCGTCAGGGATGGCTCGGTGAAAGGACTCATCAAGCCGACGGACACGGCACTAATGATGTACATGAAGACGAGTTGGATATTATCGATTCGTGCCACGCTGAAGATGCTTGGGCGAACTTTTGAGTCGACCTCTTCAGCTCTATGGACCGTCAACTCGGGCTGGAAGATAAAGGAAACGGCGCTGTAGAGTAGGCACTGTAATAAGCCCAAGAAGCGTCCTGCAGGGCCGCTGATCAGGTACTCGTTCATGGCACCGGGATTATTCCAATATGAAAACCCTCGTATTCCGGTTCCAGGGACCCCGCGAATGGCTAGAGCGACTGAGACAATTGCCAATCCACCAGTCGTGACATATTTCAGGCCAGAAAAAAAGGCTTCCGATCGCTTGAATGCTCTTTCAGGAAGAAGGTTGAAGAGGAAGATAATTGCTGTGATTATACTGACTCGAATCGCAACGGCAGGTCCGGGAATCCACATCCCGACGTGGACAATAGCGTTGGTGATCTCGAAAGGTACCAGCATTGCTAGGGAATACCACCGAAGGTAGCCCATTGAGAACGCCATATGGTTCGAAGAGTATCGATAGGCATGAGTCACCAGTGTTCCACCCTTCTCAGGCATATGCGCTGAAATCTCCGCAACAGCTGTCGTTAAGCAATAGACCAATACGGATATGAAAGAAAAAGAGAGCAGCAACGAGGCAGGACCACCGGCGGCCAAAGCCTGGCCTGAGCCGATAAATAAGCCAGTTCCAAGAGTCGGATTAAGTACCATGATGGCGAGTTAAGAATAATGACCCTTGATAGGGTTATGGATTCATTAGAAGAACGAATAGGTAGCGTGGATAGGTAGCGAACGAACGGAAGAGCCAGCTACACGTAGATACACTCGAATAGACTACCAGCAGGGTAGGTTCCGGTCGCAACCGCCCTGCTAGACATTGATCCTGTGTGAGATCGTTGGGAAACCACGAAGAGCATGAATTAAGTTCTCTTGGTCGGCGAAAATCCCATGTCTATAGACATTTGACCATATAAGCTCAGTTATCTGAGTTCCAAGAATGCAGAGGCGAAGAATAATTAAATAGAATCAGACATGGAGACATGCCATGATTGAATGGGTATCACAGTTTATCAAATGCAGACATGAGGCAAAAGGGGTAATCACAGAAAAGGAAGTAGTCGAGAAGGCCGCAGCAAAGAGAAAGAGCATCCCATCCCATCCTCTTCAACACGCAGAAATTAAACACAGCAGGCATGGAAACATAGTTTCGAGAAGAAAAGCAAGCTACTGATATGCCATGTTGGTTTCGGCATACTCTAGCCATTCACCTAACAAGGACTTTTTCCAAAATCGAACAGTTCCGTCATCACCAGACGAGATGAGACAGTCACCTATAACAGTTAATCAAGGAATACTATGCAGGGATATAAAACTTACCAGCATACGAAAACTCGACTTGCCACACGTCGAGATGCTTGCTATCAATACATGCGACTTCTCTGTAGGAATGCTCGAATTGCGAGTCACCGGTCGCTGGGCGGTTAGACATGGATGCAGGGGGGCGATTTGCAAGAGCAGAGCCAATGCCGGATTGTGTTGTTGCGCGCATCGATGGCGACTGGGTGAGTGCACCATGACGGCCATTCGACTTCTGAGTGCCATTGCTGGATATTGAGGTATAAACTTCGTAAACACGAACAAAGCCATCCTTGCAAGCACTAGCGATAAGGTCGTATCCTCGAACTGAGCCATTGGCCCAGGAGATATCTCGCACAAGACCGCCGTGTCCGCTCAATTCAATGGCGTGATAGAACCGGCGATTGGAGTCTGTGCGATACACCTTGACTGTATCCATGGCGGCCACCACGAGGGAGAGGCTCTTACGATCCGAGTTGGGTAGAACCGAATGCGTTCTATCCGACGGATCATGGTGAAATTGGACTTTGAAACTGGTCTCCTCGCCTCGCTGTGGCACGGCGCAGACCCGGAATTGATCGAGAGGCTGCCAGTCAGCGAGCGTGTCCGGGGTCACAGGCTCCATGACCATAAGATAGCCATCGCGAGTGATGACAGCAAGCCATGACTCCAGGTCGATATTACGGAAGTCCAGAGAAACAAACGGATGGCGATGGGGAGCCGTCATGCGAAAAATAGGCCTGAACCGTCGGCCCGAATTGGGCGGCTGCGTGACATCTTCTTGCCATATCTTACATTTCATGTCTTCTCCCACACTGCCAATATGCTGACCTGAAAACGGGCCATTCCAAGTAGCCTACAGAAGGAGCGTGAGACGAGCACCGCGCCAGACGCGAGGGAAGAAAGCTTACATCGCGGATTTCAGCGTCGTGAGCACGCCAGGTGTCTGTCAACTGCCATTCGCCATCTTTTTGGTCCCAGACCTTGATCCGATGATCAGACGAGGCTGTGACGATGCGATTGCCGTAGAAATTGAACTTGGTGACGGTAACTAGGTCACGATGGCCCGCGTCGAAGTCGGCGAATCCAGACGACATATCGGGCCGATCCGGTAGCTCGTTTTCAACAAAGCCAAGTTCAACCTCGGTCAATCCTTCTGACTGAGTGAATACAGACAGCAGGGAAGCAGGGATGAACAGCTGGGCGAGAGGCTCTAGAGTAGCCGTAGTTCAGTGGTGAAGCTGCCGCATGCATGGATTCGAGCTGGACGTGCATCAGCATGTGAAGCGCAACATAAACGGATTAGTCATATTGCGCTAGCTGACATAGGGAAGGCTGGTTGAGACTAGTGTTTCGCTTAGATAACCAAAAGGGGCAGATGGTCTGCTCCCCGCCTGCGAGCGGTCAGAGATCGCAGGCAGAATGGGGCTTGAAGCCAGATTGCGTCAGCTGCATTCGTGGCTTCGAGGACATTTAAATTCTCCGTTGGAATTATTGAGGAGAGATATCTGATATGGTGACGATCTGCTGCACGCCATGAGTTCTGCAAGTGCCCTCTCCAATGGGGAGACCTGGCGTCTCCTGGTTCTGGTGGGAGTCTGCGTAGGCGTCATGATCAACACGTTCCAGGGCGAAGGGGCGCCTTTGGTGGCATCAATTGCGTTTAGCGGAATTGCTTTTGCCATTACATTCAGTATGATCCGATGGCTGGGGCCAGTTTTTATGAAAGCTGGATTGAAAGGGAAGGATATGGCAAAGCCGAAGAAACCTGAAATGTATGTTCAATCCATTGAAGAGGGCTAGTACTGATACGAACAGACCAGAGACAATGGGGGCGGTTTGCGCGATTGTATATCTGCTAGCGCTTATCTTCTTCATTCCGTTTGCATTCTACAAGGATATTGTGGCGGCTACGTCTGGAGGAGGAAACCGAGATGTGGTTGTGGAAGTTGACCATGTCGAGAATGGTCGATTTCTGCATAGATTTCCGCATGGAAAGGTTAGCACTAATTTGATTGTTTGTTATGCTCAATGCTGACAGTCTAGCTTGCATCTTATCTTTCTGGCCTCCTGTCTCTACAATGTATTGTCATTCTCGGAATTGGAGATGATCTTCTCGACATCCGATGGAGACACAAAGTCCTGATTCCCGCATTCGGTGCAATTCCCATGTTGATCGTGTACTTTGTCGACTTTGGTGTGACGCAGGTTGTTGTCCCAGTGCCATTACAGGACTATCTGGGTACTATCGTTGACCTCGGCTGGTTATACTATGCGTACATGGCCGCCGTGGCCATCTTCTGCCCGAACGCCATCAACATGTTGGCAGGCGTGAACGGAGTGGAAGTCGCCCAGTCACTGGTGATTGCAGTGTTGTTGATTGCAAACGATCTTCTATACCTCGCGCCTTTTGCACCATTCCCGCATCCTGCCGTGGACTCGCATCTGTTTTCCATGTACTTCCTGCTTCCATTCGTGGGCGTGTCCCTGGCACTGCTATCTCACAATTGGTACCCATCCCAGGTGTTTGTCGGTGACACATACTGCTACTTTGCAGGAATGGTATTCGCAGTTGTCGGTATCCTGGGCCACTTTAGCAAAACCCTGCTCCTCCTCTTCATCCCTCAGATTTTCAACTTCCTCTACTCAACTCCCCAGCTCTTCAAACTAATCCCGTGCCCGCGCCACCGCTTACCAAAATTCAACGCCAGAACCGGCCTCCTCGAACCATCCGTGACAGTGTGGGATGTACCCCCGTCCAGGCTGATCGGGATTGGTCTGGAAATTCTGCACATGCTGAGACTAGTCCGGGTAACGAGGAACGAAAAGGGAAAGATAGTCGAGTCGACGAATCTGACTATTCTCAATCTGTGGCTGGTGTGGATGGGGCCGATGAGAGAGGATAGACTTGCGTTGAGTATGGTGTTTGTGCAAACGGTGTGTGGGTTGCTGGGGCTGTTTGTACGTCACCAGCTTGCGTTGTTGGTTTTTAGGGAGGATAATCTTTCTTTGGCTTGATTGGCAGTCTTTGTATATATAGATAGAGTTGAGTTTAACATGTTCACGTCCAGATCAACATACTCTTGGTAATGGCATAGACAACCCGAACTTTTCAATTCACTAGAACTACCTCTTATATATCCACTACACTATGGTATATATCACCTAGCTCTAATATCTACTAGACAAAATTACTCACTGCCCCCAACCCATATCAACTAATATCATCACCAACTCCAATTACTATTCCTGTAAGTACACGTGACTTACTCTCCGCTCTTTGCTGTGGGTTGGAATGTGCACTTGCAATTGAGCATAATTTCTAAATCAGCTGGACGAAAGGACAGAATGAAACCTCCGGTTCCATATGTGACGGGCTGGCAGTTCACCGTTCAAAAACATCTTCCTCCTCCTCCCACCAAAGTTACCCCCGATTGCTGCATAAATGACGATACTGGTGAGATGGAAAGCAGAGAGATTGACCGCGTGGAACGATGTCTACTTCATCCTCCGTTACAAGGGTCCTACGACTCCTCTCGCGTTGATCTTCACATTTATGACACCTTGCGTGTTGGAGACAACCATAACGCCCAGTTGGTCGTGGTTGATGTTCTTGCAGCAGACCGTCCCTTAGAAAGTCTAGAAGGAAAGCGCGTCGTTGCTAAGATATATGACCCTTTATATTTTGACGATGATGAAGGATACATCAACCCTTTTGCTAGTGTTGACAAGCACTACACACACGAAGCTGAGCTATATAAGGCATTTTCAGATCTTCAGGGCTCTATGATTCCAGGATACTATGGGGCTTTTTCATTGGATATCTTTGTCAATTCATCAACTAAGCGCTGCGTCCGCCTTATTCTGATAGAATTTGTACCTGGATTGCCAATGCGAGACTGTCAGCCCCGCACACTGCCACGCCAATGTCGCCAAAGTATCATGAAGTCAGTGGTGGATTTTGAGACGCTGAGTTATACCAGAGATATCCTTCTTACGGATATTCATCCGAGAAACATCATCCTGGTCAATACTGGTGAACAGAAGCACACTGTTTTTATTGATTTTGGGGATGCTCTTTTTGGCCGGGCAGGTCGTTACACCAACCATTCAGACTCTGGACAATTTTCAGGGATATACATCTCCCCTTTACTGCGGTGGCATAAGGTTCACCGTCGTACTTTTGATTTTGATTCTTGGATTGACTGGGATTGGCAACACTGGCTTGAAGCTGAATATCAGCACACCGCTGAGTCAATAACGCAAGAGATGCGAGACAAGTTTCTTCCAAAATTCCTTCTGGGGCTATGAAGTGACGAGATATCGGTGAAGAGGGGTTGATATTTAGAGCTAGAGCATCGTCTTGAAAATGGTTCCGGCGAATGATACCTTGCCGATGTTCTGATGACGAGCTGAACTGTAATTCAATTGATGAAGAGAATGTTCTTCGAGCAGCATCAATGATCACCTGTATATGTCGAAACAAAGCGCTTGAAATTACTCAGGTGTTCATAAGGCCTTTGTTATCTTTAGTAGTGGCAGATGTTCCCTTCAATAGTTAACGCTGTTCAGCTCAGCTCTCTCTCTATCCATCTTCATGTCTATCTCATTAATCTCATCATCATGAAACAACCCCGTCGCATCATTCTCTGCCTCGATGGCACTGGCAACCAATTCCAAGGCAATGAATCAGACACCAACGTTGTCAAGATCTACAGATGCTGGATCGGTATTCCCCTGGTAAATTCCATATTACCCGCATATGTCTTCTTCCTCTGTCTATCTGTATAGTTTCAACTGAACTAACCCCTCAGCTGGCATTGGCACATATGTCAACGCCCCAGCCTCCAGAGTCACTTACTACAACCCCTGGCCCAAAATTACACCCCAAGTCGTCAAAACGGTCGACCAAGGAGTGGAATTCGACTATTCGACCTCGTGGATAGTGTCGGCCAGTTTGAAATCCCTTTTATCTCACTTCATACAGAGCCATCGCCAGTCCTTCGGCATGGTATATCCGTCATGCTGTGTCTATCCACGAGCGACGGCTCAAGTTCAAGCCTGTCCTGTTGATCCCAGACCCAGATGGTCCACCAGTCAATCTCAAAGAAGTCTGGTTTGCAGGCAACCACAGTGATATTAGAGGGTTTATCCTCTTGACCCAGGCCAGAAGCATCTCCTGCCCGATGCACCGCTGAACTGGATGATTCAGGTGGTGTTGAATATCGAGGGATCAGAGAGCAAAGTGTCCTTTCAGACGCTAAGTCGTCGAAGATGTGGCACAAGCAGAGAATGAATTCCTTGCGTTTCTTGTTCGATGACAGGCGAACCAGCCTCATGACACGCTGCGCTTTGGATGTGCATGTGTTTGATGGTCTTGCTGTAGTGGATTCTTGGTGAGCTCCTCTTCTCCACTCTGTATATCCATATCAGATATCACTGACAGAAAAGAAATTCTCCCCATCTTCACTCGTCTCGAACAACACCACGGCAGATGGATGCCCCAACATGGGCACACCTCGCGATCTCCCTTCCGATGCAGCAATCCACAGCAGCGTCAACGAAATGATCCATGGAAGCGGGCATTCTAAACCAGGAATCCATTCCCCGGCGAGGTGGAGATAACACCAACTGGCCTGATGTGGCGAGACTACCCTGATCATTCTGATTCTTCCTTAACATAATTATTCTCCATTCTTGTTCTTTATGTTGTTGTACAGCTGACTTCCGCTTTCGTCCTAGCGTCAGCCGGAGATAACTCCTCAGCTCCCCTCCCTCTTCTCTTCTCTTCTCTCTTTTTCCCCTTTGCATCTTTCATAATCTCAGTCAATTCAATTGATTATCCCATCCATTTCATCTCATCCAACTGACCGACGTCATGTCATTTGACCATCCGACTCGGAACCACCATAACTACCCATCCGAAAGTTGTCAGCAGTCAGCACCGTTAACTCCGTTCCTGACTCCATGCGGTCCCCGGTAGATCATCAGATCATTACCAAACTCAGCCCATCCCCGTCCTGCGTCCTGCCTATGCACCTTATGTCCGTTTGGTCATCCATTTGCATAAACCCCACAATATGATGCCTGGAGCATATTCACCGACTGTGGCTATCCTTCTCTCTTCAGACCCACGGGTGGAGTGGAGTGAGCCCGGAGTTAAGACAACGCCATGAAGTCATCGAGTCACCTTGTGGCTGCACTCCAGAATATAAATTAGCTTCCATCTGCTGAGTCGGGTTGTCAATTGTCTATTCTAAATCTGACTGACTCTTTAACAATCCCTTTCAACACTTCAATCTCAAGATGAATGAACTCTTCGCACCCGCCCCTGAGCCTACGACCGAACTCGGTCGATACCGGGTGCTCTCCTCCACGGCGGGCATTCGTGTATCGCCCCTCCAGCTGGGCGCCATGTCCATTGGCGACGCATGGTCTCAATTCATGGGATCAATGGACAAAGAACAGTCGTTCAAACTCCTGGATGCCTTCTTCGAGGCAGGCGGCAACTTTATCGACACCGCAAACAACTACCAAGCGGAACAATCCGAGGAATGGCTCGGCGAATGGATGGCATCGCGAAAGAACCGTGACCAAGTGGTGTTGGCGACCAAGTTCACCACCGACTACCGATCCTACGCTTTGGGCAAGGGTAAAGCTCCCAACAGCTGCGGAAACCACCGACGCAGTCTTCACATGAGTGTGCGTGACTCGCTGCGCAAGTTGCAGACCGACTGGATTGATATCTTGTATCTTCACTGGTGGGACCACACTACTTCGATTGAGGAGATCATGGACAGTTTGCACATTCTGGTTGAGCAAGGAAAGGTTTTGTATCTGGGAATCTCCGACTCTCCTGCGTGGGTTGTCAGCGCAGCCAACACCTATGCCCGTGCTCATGGAAAGACCCCATTCAGTGTCTACCAAGGTCGGTGGAATGTGATGCTGCGTGACTTTGAACGCGAGATTATCCCTATGGCTCGTCATTTTGGCATGGCTCTCGCTCCTTGGGATGTTCTGGGCAGCGGCAAATTCCAGACCAAGAAGGCCCTTGAAGAGAGAAAGAAGAACGGCGAGGGATTGCGCAGCATGTTTGGCCCAGACCAGACTGAAGACGAAATCCGAATGAGCGAGGCCTTGGCCAAGGTTGCCTCGGAACATGGCATTGAATCAGTGACAGCGATTGCCATTGCATACGTCATGTCCAAGGCGCCGAATGTGTTCCCTCTGGTTGGAGGCCGAAAGATTGAACACCTCCACGACAACATCCAAGCTCTCAAGATCAATTTGACTCCGGAACAGATTGAATATTTGGAAAGCGTCAAGCCGTTGGACGTTGGATTCCCCAACACCTTTATCGGACCGGACCCTAAGGTCACAGGGAAGGCAAGTTTACTGTTGGGGTCTAATGCTCCTTTTGCTTTTGTGCAGTCGTCCAAGGCAATTGGCCAATGATAGTTATTGTATATATTTAATTTAATCGTTCAATGTGATGACTCTCGCTCCACCTTTTTATCTCCCAGCGTCACGCCAATCTCTTTGACAACAAGCCAAGCAGGATAGAGGGCGATGGCCCAGAGACCGAAATTGAGATACGTACCTCCAACTGACGCCATGATGGAGATACTGCTGAGGCCATACTGACTTGTTAGCTGAAGTAGATAGAGTATGGAAGAATACTTACACTAACTGCCTGGGCAGCAGATTCCGTCCCTCGCAAGAGTCCAGCAATGCGAATAACCTCTTCTTCATCACGAGCCAGATTGCCCACAACAAAGTACCTAAACTGTTAGCAATCATCAAAACCAGCAGAGGGAGGACATACAAAAACATATAATTCAACTGGAACCCAGCAACCAGAAACAAAAACAGGGCAAATCCCCTCCCAAAACCCGGGTCACTCCAATCATACACCGGCTGCGACGCCCGAAATTCGGTCACGATGACCGTCCCCCAGATCCACCACGCACCCTGCAGTCCCAGCACGACGAAAAAGGCAATCCGAGATCGTTTCTTGAGCGAAATGGACCGGTTATCGATGAATGCGCCGAGCAGGTTCCCGACTGTCAGCGCCACGATACCGGAGAGGAATGAACCCAGAGCTCTAGCACGGACAGAGAACCAGAGATCTTCAAACGTGAACATGACTGCCTCCGAATATGCAGCCTGACAAATAAGAGGAATGATAAGCACAAAGTCCTTCCGGATGAACAACTTCGCCATCGCCTTGAACTCGGTCAACCCGCCATGCGTCAAGCCCAACTTCACAGCAACCCCATCAGACCTCTGCACTTTCTCCGGTTTATTCAGCAACAACCCAGCAAACGGGCCCAACGCTTGTAGTGCGATAAACACAATAAACACCGCATACGAGACACTCCCCGCCGTCGCCCGATGCGCATTAACGCCGAGATTAATCGCGCCTCCCAAAATCTGCCCTCCCACACGGAAACTCAACCAGAACCCCAAAAACCGTCCCTGGTTATACGGTTCCGGATAGGATAGTGCTACTGCCGCCTCTGCCATCCAGAATATCCCCGCGGAGAGCCCGCACAGCGCCGCGCCGAGGAGGATAAGCCACGATACGCCGTAGCGGTTATTCACGTACAGGCCCGCCGCGAAGGGGGCGTACCCCATTGTGCCGAGGATGAGGGTGTATTTTATGCCTATTGTGCGGACGAGCGGGCCGGAGAAGAAGAAACAGGATACCACCATTAGACCGAAGGTGAGGGCGTTCGCGGCGTTGACGAGGTAGGGCGATTCACTGCCCCCGCCGCCGAGGGAGTTCATGGCGCCCCAGATTCCGGGGGCGAGGAGGTTGCATATCCCGAGGATGAGGGCGTTGTAGAAGGTTGAGCGGTACCATTTTACTGCTTCATTAATATGGATGAGGTGAGGGATGGAAATGTGAGGGAGTACCTGGATAGGTGGTGTCGACAGGGGTAACCTCTTGATTGATAGATTTCGACATGTTGTCTGTCATGTCTGTCAATGCAAGATTAAACTGTCTGTCACTGCAGCTGTCAGAAATAAATAGTATCAATCCCCGATCTAAGAGGAAATACTCCGCCGTGATGCCTTTTCGACTATGATTACGTGCTCGCACGGCATCGCGTGCAGAATAGCATAATCAACTAATCTATATTAATTAATATTAAATCTAGATCTATATAGGCTAAGATAAGAGGAATGCTAGATAGCTTCATATCGCACAATCCTCGTGGTTAACCGCCCATCCACCTCTTCTGCCTTTTCTGTTAATACGTATCCACCGATTCTGGGGAGGACGACGGTCCATATAAACCAGTATAACACTCCAAGGAGAATACTATCATCATTAGCATCATCAAAACATAAAAAAGAAAAAGGAATAACATACACTCCAACCCCAACAACCGCATAAGCAACACCCCCCCAACCCGCATTCCTCGGCCCAAAAAACGGCGCTCCCAACAACGCCACACAAATCAGTCCTCGCAGACACACAGCAGGCAACCACGCCTTGAACGGACGATGGCGATCGGGCTGCTTATACCGGAGAAGAAGCAGACCGAGTGTGATGGCCAACGCGTAGAGCTGCGCCGGGTAGCCCTCTACGTCGAGGATAAAGTTGTACACATCGTGTGGGGGGAGGGTTATGACGAGGAGCGAGGGGATGTAGTGCACGATGAGGCCGCCGAGGGGCGAGTTGAAGGGACGAGAGGAGGAGAGCAGCGAGGAGAAGGGGAGGAAGCCGGAGCGGGCGATTTCTTGGTTCACGCGGGACTATCTGATTAGCATCTTGATGATTTGGAGATGAGGAGAAGGTACCAGAGCAAAAGTGACGACCATGACATTGCCAGCAGCGGAAATGGCAATGGCAAGAGGGAAGAAGACGCGCCCCGAGACGCCAAAGATACGCTCAAAGAAGAGCGCAGCAACGAGCTCACCACTCTTCTTGATCTCGTCAATCGGGATGACCAGGAAATACGCCAGATTGGCCAGGAGATACAACGCAGCAGCTGTAATGAGTGCAGCCGGGCCGACCACCTTGAGCGTCTGCACCGGCCGATGCACCTCGTTTAGGACATTGTTGACGTTATCCAGACCGGCGTAGGAATAGAGCACTTTAAACAACGCTGTGGAGAGAATACCCCAGTTCCAGTTGGACCCTTCCCAGATACCATCCCAGGTGAGGCTGTTCAGATGGTCTGGCGAGTGGAAAAGAATCACCCAGAGACCAGTCAGTGCCATGGCGACTATGAGGACGATCTTCGTCCATCCCAGCGCGTTCTGGATATATATCCCCGACTTGACAAACACTGCATGAATCACCGTGATCGCAGTGAGCAACAACACAGCCAACACTTTCGATTTGACCGTCGTCGGTTCAACAGCCAGCGCATACAGCGTGTACTTTGCAAACACGATGCAATTACTCGCCGTGAACCCCAGCAGGATCGCATGCGTGGCCACCAGCGTCGATGTCAGAAACCGTGGCCGTGGATACGTATACTCGAGATACACCTTGTCGCCGCCAGACCACGGCAGCATGCAGCCGTATTCCATGGACACGGCCAGGGCGCAGCCGGCGAGGATCGAGCCGGCGATCCATGAGGTTAAAGTCAGGCCGATGCTGCCAGTGGCTGTGACGATGGCGCCGGGGGTGGCGAAGATACCGCTGCCCAGGACGCGGGAGATGATGAGGATGAAGGAACTTGAGGGGGAGAGTTTGATTGTTTCTGGATTTTCCATTCTATTTTCTATCTATTGATTTGAGTTTGGTGTAGTTGTGGTTGAGGCTACGTTGAAGCTACTCGGTTCGGTTATAAGGACGGAGATGATGCTATACAACAACAATATCACGACGATCCGATGACCCGAGATGATCATTAATAAACAATCCCCAGAGAGATAAGCCCAAAAATAAATCCAGCACAGGCCAAACAGAGAATGCAAATCACTACTCCATCCCTCTAACTTTCTGAGCTCATTCTCTCCAAAATCACTCCATTCATCACGCCATCCTCCCCCGCCATGAGCAATCCCCGGCTATCATCGCCAGGGTCATGGGCCATATCACCTCCTCTGAGCATAAAGATCATCCATAGACAGACAGACACATCACTGTACATAGACACATCATAAGATTACAGCCCGTACCGCCATGGCCACTGCAACATATACCCTCGAATCACCGCTGGTTATCGACAAGCATGTTGTCACCCAGCCGCAGCCTTCCCCCCGACAGAGCGTTCTTATGCTGAATGGCTTCAAACAGCCTTATTCCCTCGTCGATGATCATACCATTCCTTCCATCTTTCACTCGGACGAGATTCTCGTCAAGGTTGTTTCCATCGGTTTGAATCCGATTGATTGGAAAGCACCGTATGCCCATACCCCTTGCATATCCTGAGCCACTATCCATATTAATGCAATATAGAGCCTTCAAATTCGGCATCCCCAGTCTCCCCTGGATCAACGGTCGAGATCTCGCTGGCATAGTCGTCAAGACATCATCATCATCATCCTCTCGTCTCAAAGTCGGGGACACAGTCCTCGTTCCCTCAACAGACTACCGTGATATCCGGAAAGCTGCATTCCAAGAATATGCCATCACGACGCACTTTAACGCAGCCCGTATCCCATCATCCACATCGACTGCCGGTGCTGCCAGTCTAGGAGTCGCTTTCGTGGCTGCCTCCTTGGCACTGGGTGTTTCCCTTGGATTGGATCTGTCCAAGTTGACCGTCCCCGGACCGGATTTGGTGGATGTTCTCCGTTATGCGAGTGATATCCCTGAAAATGTCAAGAGCGAGTGTTTTCCTTCTGAGCGGGTCAAGGCCGGAGAGTGGATTGTCATCTGGGGTGGTAAGCATCCTCTTCCATCTCTTTATATCATACATCATACTAACGATATCAGGCTCAACAACAACCGGCCTCATAACCCTTCAACTCGCCAAACTCGCCGGCCTAAAAGTCATCACCGTCGTCGACGCAGCCCGCCACGGCCAGAGACTCCTCGCAGCAGGAACAGACCTTCTCGTCGACCGGCACGACCCCCAGCGCGCAATCGAGATCATCCGCGGCCTGACAGGCTCCAATCTGCGGTACGCCATCGACATCGTCGGCCGCGACACGGCCACTCTTCTTCAGCAAACACTCAAAGTCGATCCAGCCCGTCCCTCGCATTTACTCGGACTAACGGGGCTCCCGAAGGAGCAGGTCGAGGGGATCCAGTATCATACTGTGCCGATTAAGGTGTTCCATGCGTGTCCGGCTGTGGGTGAGGGGTTGGTAAGGTGGCTGGAGGGGCTGTTGGAGAGAGAAGTGCTCACGCTGCCTGAGGTGGTGAGGGTGAGTGGAGGGTTAGGGGCGATTAATGAGGCGTTGGAGAGGTTGAGGGATGGGACGGTATCAGGGAAGAGGATTGTGGTTGATTTGGATTGATTGAGACGATTATTTTTGTCATGATAGAATGAATTAGATGTAGATAGATAAAACAACGATGTTATGGTATCTGACTGGGACGATCTGATGCAATTCGACTCCAAATCACGTCTTATTCACTACTTATACCCCTCACCCCTCATCAACAAACAACACCAGAAACACCAAAGAATTCAAGAATTCAACAATTGATTGAGAATCAACCAGAAAAAAAAAATAAACAGAATGCCCAAAAACCTCATCCTCAATGCATTCGCAATGCACTCCCCCTCCCACCTCAACCCCGGCCTAACCCGCTATCCCAACGACACCGGCCGCTCCTACAAATCCATCCACCACTGGATCGCCATCGCCAAAAAGCTCGAGGCCGCCAAATTCCACGCCATCTTCTTCGCAGACGTTCTCGGCGGGTACGACGTCTACAAGGGGCCTCACAATCTCGCGCCCGCCATCCCAGCCGGAGCCCAGTATCCCATCAACGACCCGCTGTATGCGATATCCGCCATGGCGGCTGCGACGGAGAGCTTGTCATTTGGCGTCACCGCGTCAACGACGTATGATAGCCCGTATGCGCTGGCAAGACGGTTCTCGACAGTCGACCATCTGAGTAACGGGCGAGTGGGCTGGAACATAGTAACGAGTTACCTCGAGTCCGCGGCGCGGAATTTCGGGCTCAACACACAAGTCGAGCATGATGAGCGGCATCGCATCGCGGACGAGTATTTGGAGGTTGTGTATAAACTCTGGGAGGGGTCGTGGAGGGATGATGCCGTCAACGCGCCTGGCGAGGGGAATGGGTATGCGGATCCGAATGGCGTCAGGGAGATTAACCACCAGGGCAAGTATTTCACTGTCCCCGGTCCGCATCTGTGTGAGCCTAGTCCGCAGCGTACGCCGTTCCTGTTACAGGCTGGGACGTCGTCGGCGGGAAAGGCGTTTGCGGCGAAACATGCCGAGGCGATATTCGTGCATGGTCAGCAGCCTGAGCTCATCAAGCCGTCGATTGAGAGTGTGAGGGCACAGGCGGCTGAGTTTGGACGGGATCCAGCTGATATCAAAGTCGTGGCTGGGGTGTTGGTGATTGTGGCAGAAACCGACGCTGCAGCACAGGAGAAATTCAACCATCTTGCTTCGTTTGGCGATCGTGAAGGTGCCCTTGCTCTATTCGGCGGATGGTCGGGCTACGATCTCTCCACGTACGATGACGATCAGGATTTCAGATTCGTCGAGCTCCCCGCTGTGCGGAGTATGGTGAATCACTGGGCGAGCACAGTCCCTGGCACGGAGGGCAAGAAGTGGGATAAGAAGACTATCGCTGAGTATCTGGTGCTTGGAGGGAACGGGGCGAAGATCATCGGGAGCGTACAGACTGTGGCTGATGAGTTGGAGCGATGGGTGGACGTTGCAGGTATTGATGGGTTCAATCTGAGTTATGCGAGTATCCCCGAGACATTTGATGATATTATCGAGTTGTTGTTGCCCGAGTTGAGGCGACGGGGACTATTCTGGGATGATTATGCAGTCAAAGGAGGGACATTCAGAGAGAATGTATATGGACAAGGACAGAATCGGCTGAAAGAGTCGCATCCAGGGTCGAAATATGTGTGGAAACAGGGAGAGGAAGTCCCTTCATATGCGAAATAATGTTCATTGTATATAGAAGTATAAATATGAATATCGAGAAGTGCTTTTACGCCCGAACAATAGGAAGATTAATCCTCTCCTTCAACTCTTCTCTCTCCAAATCCTCCTCGACCATCCCCCGAAACACGCCATCTGAAATCTGCATCAAATCCCTCGGACGCCCAAACTCGACCATCTTTCCTCCGTCCAGCACCAGGATCCGATCGAAATCAGCAACTGTCCGCAGCCGGTGCGCAATCACCAACATCGTTGACTTGGTGCTATGCAGGGCGTTGCGGATCTTTGCATCGGTCATATTGTCCATCGACGAGGTAGCTTCATCCAGTACGAGGATCTTCGCGGGGGAAACCATGGCGCGTGCGAGACAGAGAAGTTGGCGCTGGCCTTGAGAGATGTTTTGGCCACCGTCTGCAATGAGGGTATCCAAAGCAGAGGGTGTTCTCTTTTGCTCGCGGCCGAGGAAGGTGTTGAATGTGTTGACCATGTCGTCTGCCGCTGCGGACATTTGGTTGGCAGTCGCAGTGATGTCGTTGACGATACCTTCAATTCCATTTCTCTCTGCCTCTGGATCTTCATCCTTCTTGTCATTCGGAATCCACTGCACGCGCTTCAGAGCATTCAACAACACCTCATCCTTGTGCTCGCCAAATGGATCCAGATTCGACCGCACAGTACCCGCAAACAAAGTCGGGTTCTGCGGGATAATCGCCATTCGACTGCGCAGTTCAGATAGTCTGATTTGCGAAATATCCATACCATCAACCCAGATATGTCCTTCCATGGCCTCCAAAAAGCGGAACAGAGATAGAGCCAGAGTAGACTTTCCAGCTCCGCTTCTTCCAACAATACCAATGCGTTCGTTGCGTTCAGCTTGGAAAGTCACTCCGCTCAGGGCAGCGGGTTGACCAGGTGCGTATTGGACCGCGAGGTCGGATACTTCGAGTTTGCCTTCGGTCGGCCAGGCCTCTGGTGCGTCCTCGCCGTTTTCATAATTTTCCGTGCCGACTTTCGCGTACTCAAGCACTCGCTCTACGCTGTTGACGTCTTGTTCAAAATTGGCGTAGGACTTGACACCCATCGTCATGGCGGTGCTGAGCTGCAATGTGAGACAGAGAGCAAACCCAGCCAACGGTGCACTGATGTACGGCTGCATCACGGCAATGAGGGCTGAGATGACTGCGAATAGAGCAGCGCCAGCGTTCAACCGGAAAGTTAACCAGCGGTTGACAAGACAAAGATGCCAGCATGCCCGTGCATGTCGGTCAATGTTCTCGTGCATCTTGTCCATGTAGACATCCGTCCTTCTGTAGGTACGGATAGTCGACAAACCCATACTAGACGAGTCGAATAGTTCGTATACCGGGATCCGGGTGACGCTTTCCACGCGTTTCAAAGCTCGAGATGCTGAGAGATACCAGCGAGCGTACGGTGTGCATGTTGAAACTAGGAAGAAAACTCCAACCAGGGAGAGCGGGCTCGCAGCCACGCCTGCAACCAAGACACCCACAACCTGCATAGCGTAGCATGCCATAAAAGTCAGATCCATTCCCAGCCGCGAGTCAATCACGCTCAAGTCAGCGGAGAGTCGGCTTAGGATACGGCCCAGCGGAACAGTGTCGAGCCAGCGTAGCGGGGTGCGAAAGACAATTGGCATGGTCTGGTGGAAGAGTCGACGGGAAGCCTGCATCGAGGCTGTAAGAGCAAAGAAACATCCCACAGTACCGGCAATCACTGCCGCAGTAGACAAACTACCATAGATACCCAGATAGATTTGCATTTCCCGCGACAATCCTGATGGCGAGTGTGGCTGGCTACTCCACAATTTGATCACCCAGTTCTATGCAATGTCAATATCAAGTCGGCATGAAAGAATCAGCAAACATACCTCTCCAAGAATAATTCCTATATAAGCCGGAAAAGCCACAGCGACCGGCAACCAGAGATACCATCCACCACACTCTCTGATATAGCGACGGAACGCCCCCCAGGTGACGCTGCTGCTTCCAACTTCGGCTTCAACAAAGTTTGCAGGTTTTCCATTCGCAAGCGATGGTCTTGTAGTAGCCACCGCCGAAGATACCGCCGCCGCTGCTGATGGCGATGCACGTCCCAAGGCATCCGTTGCAGCTGTAGCTATACGGCCAATCATCGGGTCCATTTCGTTCGCGCGCTCGATCGCACGTTCGACCAAAGGATCGACTACACGATCATGGACTTGCTTGTTCACGAAATTGAACATTGATCGGGTAAATGAAACGTTATTCTTCACGGACTCCGTTTGCGCAACGTCGCATTCACGACCGATCAGCTCGTCCAACAGGGCATGGTCTACGTATCCAGCGGAACGCATCAAACCCTTGTTCAAGTATACCAAGTAGTCCAATCGAGGCAAGCAGAGTTTGACGTGGTTTGTGGCGAGGATTCTGGTACGGCCTGTTGCCAGATCACCCGTAAGGGCATGCTTGTACAAATGACGGGCTGTGTGGACGTCGACAGCGCCAAAGATATCATCAAGAATGAGTACGCCCGCGCGAGAGTACAAGGCACGGGCAAGTGAGATTCGCATTTTCTGGCCACTGCTCAGGTTTACCCCGTTCGGTCCGAGCTCAGTCAGGTCTTTGTCTTGTAGGGTCTCGAAATCGCGAGTCAAAGCACAGGCAGCGAGAACCTTTTCATAGCGTCCCTCAATGAAGGGAAGTCCAAATACAATGTTTTCTTTGATGGTAGATGCTTCGATCAACGGGGATTGTGCGACATACGCCATGGCAGAGTCAAGAATCCATTCATTCGCGGCACTGGCAGCGCTGTAGATATCCTCTTCGTCAGACAGTGCCGGGGTCTTGACCTTTCCAGTGACGATTTCACTTTCACCTAGGATTGCAGCAAGCAAAAGGCTCTTGCCGGAACCTGTTGGGCCATGAACGATGCTCAACCCATTCTTGGGGAACTCTGCGTTCAGCCCACCCAGCGTAAACGGAGGCTTGTACGGTGTTTCTTCTTCAGAGGATGAGTCGTCGGCCTGGGGCTGAGATGGCGCGTCCTCTGCTTGAGGCACAGAGGCTTGGTGGTTAAAAGCACTAATTGGGCCGGATGCGATACTTAAGCCACGTTTGAGGACTCGGGTCTTGATACCATTCACGGTCCTGATAGCCTGCCTTTTGATTCCCTTGATCGTAGCGATAACTCGCCTTTTCACTCCAAGAACAGTTGCCTTGACTCCGCGCACTGTAGCCTTAGCAGCACGAATCGGCGCCTTGACTGCACGTATCGCAGATGAAATTTTGGGTGGTGGACCGTTGCCCCGGCCGAATGAATCACCAGACTCTGTATCAGAATGCGCCTCTTGGCTGAGGGTTGCAGATGAATCATCGTCCTCGGTTGAAGACGAAGCCTTGCTCTCGACCGTTCCGGGCCATGCGATGGTAGCCTTCTCAAATGCGACAATATCAGACGGTGTAGTCTTCGACACCTTCTCAGGGGCATCGAGGAACTTGCTAACGTGGCCCAGACTAGTCCATGCATCCAAAACCTGAGTGAGCAAGTCTGGAACAGCAGACACGGACGACTCCAATGTTGTCAGAGTAGCGATTGCAGTAAATGCAACGGACGGGGGTAATTCTCCATTATAGGTCGCGTATACGGGGAGAGCAGCCAGCGATGCAGAGATCGGGGTGAAGATCCAAAGAGAAAACGAGGCGACCTTCCATCCAGAAGCGATTCCTTGAGCGAGTAATTCGAGATTGCGAAGCTGGTTCAGCTTGGATTCCCAGCGACCTTCCAAGGCGGCAAATTTGATATGTCGGACTCCCTGGAGAGCCTCAGTCAATGCCGCGGTCTTTTCCTCGCGACGAGCTCTCAGCTTCGCATCTGCCTCTTTTGACTTTTCCATGAACTTGTGGTGTACAGGCGCGAGGGCAGACAAAGCTGCAACACCCGCCAGCATACTCTTCCATCCAAGCAGACGCTGCAGGATCACAAAAGCAAGTGCAAGTTTGGCTGGCGCTACAAGGACATTATACAAAAGGCCCGCTGCCTGTACAATGCGTGATACATCGACTGCAACGAGATTAATGGCGTTCTGCGTGCGGAACGGAGCCTTGTCCTTGTTCTTTTCCTTGCTGGTGTCTCTGTTGAGAGATCCGTCCAGTCGCATGGCCTTGCCATAAGCGACAGCAGACAACTGCTCGTAGACACGGAGAGAGATCTTGTTTTGGGCAATCCAAAAGTTCCAGTTCTCAAAGAGTGAAGACAATCCAATCGACAAGCCGAGTCCTGCGACCCAGGGTAGAACACGCAGGAAGACTGCCGCTTCCTCAGCGCGCAATTCGAGCAATCGCAGGATTTGAAGAAGACAGAGATGGGGCGCGAATGTCAACAGGCATTGGGGGACCGACACAAGGACTTGGGTGGTTATTTGGGGAACGTTGGACAGCAGCAATATCCTCCAGAGTGGTGGTTTACCCATACCGGGCAGGGTGAATGATTGATCGAGAGCAGACAAACCTGGCAAGCTAGACAGACCGGGCAAGTTGAATCCTTTACCTGGTAGCTGTGGCACCCCCACTGTTTTGTCCGACTTGAACATATTCATCTTCTCTTCGATCCAGGTGAACGTATCATGCTGACTCTTCGCACGAGTCTCCAGATCCAACTCGGCAAGCTGCTCCACCTCGATGAAGTTGCTGCGTGTCGCCACCCCAACCAGCGGAGCAGCCCAGCTGAATGTCAGACGGCCCAGGACAGAAGTGGTGTATTCCTGGTCGACAACGGTTCCATTCCTAAAGACATCAGGACGTCGCTGGAAGGAGAAGCTGAGCAACATGGCAGCAGCAGCCAAGCCGACCTGTAGAGAAATGAGATAGACCTGGACATCATCCCACCGACCAAAATACCATCGATTGAATGTCTCAAATGCCAGGGCGATGATGGAAATCAAGCAACTCAATCCTTTCATCAACCCCAGGAAAAACCGAGCGGTGTAATGGTTTTTCGTGAGGACGGCGGTCGATTGAACCACCAGAAAGAGCTGTAGACATGTTAGCATCAATTCAACGTGACGATCTGGTCTTTCTTACCCATAATCCGAACTGAAGCCAGGTCTCGATAAGGAACGGTTGTTTGTACACGACTATCAGCACCGCCCGCGTGAGTGCGGTGGAGCAGCCGAGCACAACAAAGATCACGTTGAAAATCGCATAAGTCTTCTTGGAGACTTGAGCGATGGATTCCTTGGTGGCTTCTCCATCTTTATCCTGATAGAAGTTGGCAGCGTACTGTTCGCCGGTGGGATTCCGGCGACGGGCGGATTTGACAATGGCAATTAGTGCGGGGATAGCGAGAAGCGAGACGAGGAGCAAAGTGGTGATGTTGACCGCCAGGCTGATGGCAGCCGGGGACAAGTCCAAGTCGACGTGGAGCATGATGCAGCCGATGCCATGCAGGTGCTCCAGCGATGGAGGAGGGAAGAGTTGTTGCAAGACATTCTGGGGGTTAAAAAAGACGAGGGAAAAGATGACGATGGCTGAACTGCGCTGGCTGGCTGAGCAGCTGAACTGGACAAGAGCTGGAAAGATGGAGCTGGAGCCGACGATCGCTGGAGTTGTTGTATTTTACGTTCCCATACCGGAACTGTATCATACATGATTGGCTGAGGCAGGGAATAGCGCTGTCAATCCATGGGTCGGGCCCACTGGGGATCCACCTTGGCTGTGATGAACGCCTGTTCAGCGCAGGAGGAACCGAGGACCCACTCTGTGGACTAAGCTGTGTTACCTTACGGCTGGGATGGGATGTCATGGAGATTTTCATACTTTAAACAATGTGGTTATAGCAGTGTTATCATGGAATCATATATAGATTTAATCGACATTTAAACATCTGACAATCCTTGGTTGGGTTACGGCCCGGCGGGAGAGAACCGGATTACGACAACACAGATCGAGTCTGAAGAAAGTGGAAATTCAAGCCGGTAATTTACGGACGAATGATATCGATCAGCCCGTCAGATTTGGATACACTAGTCCTCGATTGAAATGAACTAGCAACAGAACAGGTTTAGTGGCTGCACATCGTGGGGTTGGCGGCAGAAAGAATGGCTGTCAGCTCCGAAATCAGGTGGTCTACACTCAGATTGCCGACTTGGGGTACATCTACTGAAAGAACCTGATCGACGATCTACAGGTTCATGGCTAGAAGATTATAAAAAAGGGTGAATGACATCTTTCAGTAGCTAGCTGGACAGTGCGTGATCGATTTTTCAATTTATTCTGCCTGATAAGTTCAGAGCAAGCAGAAAACAACTTAACAGGACCAGAATCAATACCAGGAGAGACTTCAAAGGAATTGTCGCCGTATCTCTTGACAATATAGGTTTTGTAGTCGGTCGAGAGAAACCCATAGGTGCACCTCAATTCGTCCATGTAAGAAACTAGCTTGCCTCCAATGAAATCATCAGCATATAGCAAGCACAGTATAAGATATGAAAAGAGTTTGTCGCCTAGTTTAAAAGCAAGAAAATTTAGGAAGTTTCCATCTTCCGCCACATAGCGAGGCCAACTCGCGCGTAAAGGCAAAAACCACCTCAGACCAGTCATCTTCAGCCTGGAGGCCCTGGAGCAGATTGATCCCTCATTTGATCCTTCATCCGATCCCTCCGATCCCTTCTTCCATCCGAGCACGGACTTGGTAGCTGCCTCAAAGTATTAAATATCCTAGACATAATGATCGTTCTTCTTGGTTCTCTCGTATATCGGATATCTCGCAACATGGCATCCTCCTTCGCTCCATTTACTCTCAGCCCGTTCGACCATCAATTCGCAGATGCCTACATCTCCTTTCTCATATCATTCGCGCCCAAGGAGCCATCAAGCTGTGCAGCTATCTTGGAGTCTGCAGCCAGGTCCCTCGTTGAACGGTTTCCCTTTTTAGCAGGGGAAATCGTCACTCACCCCCACCTCGATGGAAAAGACAATGTCGCACGGATTCAGCCGATACAAAGCAACACAGATCCCATCCAGCTTCTTCGATTTCGCCACTTCGACGCCTCGATTGCGTCTGTCCCTCTGCTGTCTCAGGGTTCCGTTCGAAATGGGCTCGAATCAGTGTACCACAACCAAGCCCTCTGTCCGTTGCCAGTGATGATTCCCCCCGACCAAAGACGGCCTCCTGTGGCTTTTCAAGCAAACATCTTCACCGACGGGGTAGTTCTCGGGGTAAACTTTACGCATCTCGTTTTCGATGCGACTGGCGTCGGGAAAATCCTCGAGGCGCTGGCTGAATACTGCAACTCCCCGGCTGTCACCTGCACGCCATCCAAACCAGACCATCCAAAGCGGATCACCGCCATCTTCATGAACCCACCCGATCCGAACAGCACAGCCAGTCTGCCGGGTGGGATTGATTACCTGCAGGGGCCGCTCGGTGTGCCCCGAGAGCAAATTCCCCTTGAACAAACGTTCGCGGCACCCTCCTCCCTGAGCACGCGTCGGTTGACCTTTTCCGCGGCGAACGTCCTCCGTCTGCAGGAAGAATGCAACCGATTGTTACAGAGCCAAGGGTCTCCGGACAAGCCCCCCTCCGTATCGCGCAATGACGTGTTATCCTGCCTTCTCGGGCTTTGCATCCAAAAGGTTCGAGGCAAGACAGCGCAGCCCGGCACAAAGCAAGACCCCCTTGAACTCGCCATCGGCGTGAACATGCGGCCCCGGCTGGCCTCCTCCATCGCAGCAGACTACATGGGCAACATGGCAATGCCCCTAATCCTAACCACAGACATCAACCATGCCGCCCTGGACACCCCCCAGCCAAACCTACCACTACTCACCCAGCTCGCTCTGCGAATGCGTGAAAAGCTCCAATCCTACGAGAGTCGCTTCTTCAACAGGGTCATGTCCCTTGCACGGAAGCAGAGCGATTGGAGCCGCTCGCAGATCAGATTCACAAAGACCACCGTGACCAGCTGGCGGCACTTGAACATTTACAGCCTGGATTTTGGTGCAGCCCTCGGTCCGGTGACGAATTTTGATACTCCGTTTGCCTTTTTTGGGGGGTGGTCTGTTGTTCTGCCGAGGTATTCGAGTGAGGGTGAGAAAGAGGCACGATGGGATGTGGATCTGACGCTTGAATCGGACCTTCTTGAGCTGCTGGTCGAGGATGATTGGCTTTCGGGGGTTTTGGAGTTGTGACACCCTCAAAGATACACATGGTGGAAATGTATATATAATAATTCAACTGAATTCTCGTATATTACCATACTACTATATTTGATATATAGGATTACTAGATTAGAAAGGGTCTTTAGAGTCATAACCAGGCTATAGATTAAATACCTAGCTACTATAGCATCAGGGGTTATATGACCTAGTTACTTATAACTCCACACATACAAATCCTCTTTATAATATCCCCATACACATGAAGCTATACAGAAGGTATCACATACATTGGTTCTCTACAGACTCAAGGGATCACCTGCAATTCCACAAAGGGTCATATTGAACAAACATCACTATTCCATTCAGACATCCCACCAGCCCTCCATGTATGATTTCAAATCAATCTCCTCGGGCAGCTTCAGATGAGGCGTCAATTCGGCATCTTCACTCAACTCCCTCGTCGTCCACCCATTGCCAAAAAATGCAAACCGATTGCCACTGGGGTTGACGTACGTATATTCAAAATCCTCCCATCGTGGATCTCGTCGAATATAGTTGACATGCGACGCACTCCCAGGGAATAACCCGTGCACTCGACCTCCCGGCTTCCCGCCGTTATACCACGACCGACAGTTCTTCTTGCCCGGCGTCGAGTCGTCGTTGGCGGTCCACACCGTCCGGGGATAGAACCTGTCGCAATACTCGACAAAGTCATTGGTCGCTTGTCGAGATGGGACAATGGTTTTGATTCCTTGGCTGCGGACCTTGCGCAGAATTTTGGCGATATAGGTGACTTGGTTCTCAATGCTGTTTGGCACGGTCCCGCTATGGCCACTGGAATATGGACCTCCCAGCCAAAGAAGATTGGGGAACCCGGGTACTCCCACCCCGAGATAGGTGTAGGGGAATCCAATCGAACCATCTGCCTTCCAGGCATACCGGAGGTCAAGACCGTCTGCGATGACGGAGAATGGGGGTGCATGGTCTACATTGGCACCCGTCGAGCAGATAACCACGTCCACTTCTCTTTCTATGCCATCCTGGGTAATGATCCCCGTCTCTGTAAACCGCTGGATGGGTGTCTGGATATAGCTGACGTTCTCCTTGGTCAAGGCCTCTAAATACCCCGGCCCTGGTGTGGGACGACGGCAGTTGGGAGGAAAGTCGGGAATGATCTTGTCCTTTAGGTCCGGTTGATCAGATACTCGTTTCAACATCAGCTCCGTCCATTGATCCCGCAAGGCTTGGTTCTCTGGAGAATCCTTGAAGATAGCTCCAAACCGTTGGAAATAACCCTTTTCGACCCCCTTTCGATACTGCCTATAAACCTCGGGGTCCTGGAATGAGTCCCGCTGTTCTTGAGGAATGATGTTCGGCTCCAATCGACGGACTCCGGTGGTGCCAAAGGAGTCAGCAACCCAGGTTCGGTTGCGGGCATAATGATCTACATGCTGGGCCAGAGGCTGGATTGAAGGAAGAACCTGCAACCCCGAGGCGCCGTTGCCGATCAAGGCGACTCGTTTTCCTTGAAGATCAACGTCGTGCTGCCAATTCGACGAGTGGAAGAGCACTCCTTTGTACTGATCGATGCCCTCATAGTCTGGAAGCTTCCAGGCATTGAAATGACCGGTGGCGTTGATCACAATGTCTAACCTCTCTTCATAAACCTATCAAAGCCTGATGAGCTCTCGAACAAAAAGACCACTGACTATTTCTTACCTGGTTTGAATTCAAATCTTCCAGAGTGACTTTCCACTTGCCATCTTCTGGAAGCCACTCTACCTTTTCCACTCGTTGCTTTTGGCGCAAATACTTGTATACGTCGTATTTCTTCGCGACGCTTTGCCAATAGTCTCGGATTTCAGCACCCTGGGCAAACTCCTCTGTCCATTGAGTATTGGGCGAGAAACCGGATTGGTAGGCATGGGCCGGAATGTCGCATCTGACACCGGGATATGTGTTTTCAAACCTTGAAAATGAGTAAAGGTGATCATCAAAAACCAGATCAACTTACCAAGTACCGCCCTGGGGATATCAGTCAAGCTCACAAGGGTCTGGAAGAAGCAAAACATACCACGTCTGCATTTTTATCGTAGATGCGTAGATCAAGGCCTGGTAATTTTGCAGGAAGGAGAGCACCTGCAGTGACACCAGAGAGTCCAGCTCCGATGATGCCAACCTTGATGGGCCTCACCACGTCGATGGGGTGATCTTCCAGTTCAAACGTCGGGTTTGCGGCAGGATACTCGGTGGTATCATCTTTTACACTCTGAATGGTCGTGCTTGGTGTATCTTTGACATGAGCCGCAACGTCCACTGGAGGTGAATACTTGGTGCCCCCCAATGGGGCTTGCAGATCGGGAATAATAGGTCCTTGTACAGCTGCCATGATTTTGGTATCAGTTGATCCTATCTTCCGGCAGCAAGGTGCCTATTTTTATATTTGACATTGCATAACAGACCCTCTAAGCGAGGAGAGCCGTATTTTTGCACGCCATTATGGTGACAGCGAGCGTCAGTGATGGTCCTGAGGAGCAATTGTCTCGATTGGTTGTTTCCGAGGTTGAATGCTGGGATTCCCGGCTCACACCATCGTGGATCGGGATGGTGCAAAAGAGGGGATGCTTCTTATCAACCAACCCCTCCACGTTGGGGTAAGCAATTGGAGAAAAGCATTATGGTTATCAGGATTTCCAGGTGATGCCTTTGGGGATAGAATTTCTCCACTCGAAGCTCTGGTCTGGATTATCTACACTTGGCAAGTCGGATAACCGGCGACAAGAGTGCATCTGAGGCCTGCATAAAATATCAGATTCACAATTACCTGAGATCTAACTCCATCTAGGGCGAGGATTTAATGGTCAATTAAATGCCCGAATGAGTTGAACTGTACTTTCCAACCTGTATTCAATATTCTCCAATACATACTGCTGGTGAGCTTCGACCTTTTCACCAAAGCCAGACAACCAATGCCCTCCAACATAAAAACTGGGAAATGCATTATATAAGTTGGCCTTTATATTATATCCAAGGGCACACCGGAATATACAAACAATGAGGCTCGTGTGCTTGCATGGCATTCTAACCAACGTATCGATCTCTGAAGCGCAATTCCAAGAACGAACTAGGAGCTAGCCATGAATTTGTCTTTTTACAGGGAGAGATTCATGCAGATCCAAGGTCATCATAATACATCGTCATGGAAGGCACTTTTTATGGCATCATCTGTTCCTCTCGAGGCGCAAGTGTGACAGAATCATATCATATCGCAGCAAGCAAGGGGTATTCCCGATTCCGTAATTCAAATGTGCTGTATCCTATTATATGTACTTTCAATGCCGAAAGGGTTGATCGAAATCCCAGCAGAACACAAACTATATGGTACACATTATGGATATTTCGAGCAGTTTTTGCAACTAAAAATTGTTCTTTGGGCCAGCTGGACAGGATTCACTCGGCACCAAGGTCATTTCATCCTGACAGGCCCACGTACAGGTAGACAGCGGTCGGTTTAACCACAAAAGTCGGCGCTTCTTCCGTTCGACTGATCGACATGAGTTTATCTTGAATTGATTTGAGAGTGAAGAAGAAAAAGAAGACCTGCCAGCGAGATAGGTTTTTCCCAATCAGAGGGAGTTGATCAACATCTAGCATTCAACAGATCCTGTGCAGGCTTCAGAATAGCCGGCAATGGCTCAATTGTCGACCCGTCTGAAATCTCCGCAAAAGCAAAGCGATTTGCTTTCGTACTGATCGAATGAAGCGTTTTTCAACAATTTCCACAACTAACCTATCCCCCCATCGAAGATAATACGACCAACTCTATCTATTATTCTGGTTCGGGTCTTCTTATCATCAGTGACGGCTAAACCATGAGTTCTGCCAAAAATATCGTTTCTCACATGAGACATATCCCAGCCAGCGATAAAGAAACCGACGCAGTTCAAATTGAAAATTGCATCGGCTTCACCAAAGTCCCTCTAGGAATCGCGGGCCCTCTACAGGTCAAAAGCAACGGGGGTACTGCGGAGATATTCCATGCTCCTCTAGCCACCTGTTAAGCCGCTCTAATCGCCAGCTGTTCCCGAGGATGCAAAGTGCTCAATCTCTGTGGAGGGCTTGGATATAAAGTCTCTGATTCTATGTCCCGAGCTCCGGTGTTTTGGTTTCCCAGCGGCGCCAAAGCGGCATCCTTTTTCGACCGTGTCCCCGATCTGTATGCCGATATCAAGACCGTGGCTGAATCGACAAGTCGACATGCTCGTACCCAACGACTGAAACCTCATATAATTGGCTCGACTGTCCATGTTCTGTTCGAGTATACATGTGGGTCTGTGATGCCTTTATGCCCTCATCGATGGCACAAGAATTGGAGCTCAACCGAATTACGATGGAAGGTCAGATGACAGCCGAAAAGAACCTTTCGTGGGGGGACATCCTGCGGACCCGTGGTGTTCGGGTGATAGTCTGGGGGAGCATCTTCGACCAGGAGTGCCAGAAGATCCTAGGATGCACGACACACTCTCTCTACCAAATTATCATCAACAGTAAAGAGCCAGCGACTCGAAACGGGCAGTCTGGATACAACATCGACTGTGCAAATATCATCGCTGCCAGTGTCGCGGAGGGGTCTGCAAGCCAAATGATGATCGAATATGACTGAAGACGAAAGAGCTCAAACTCTCCAGTTATATTCCATCACTGCCTGTGGGAACAGTGGGTGGTGGAACTGCGTATGGCTCTCAACGAGAGGCATTGGAGCTGCTGCGATGCACCGGGCCAGGGAGTAAACATCGTCTAGCTGGGTTGATTTCGGCTTTCGCGTTAGCATTGGGTGTCAGCACGCTGCTGTTGTCACGGCTGGTACTTTTACCGATAGCCATCAGAAATACGCCAGGGGTGGGGGGTAAGAATAGTGGCAGTCGACTGTACTATGTAGTCTTCTCGTCGATCATGAGGCACTAGTGATTGATGAAGCGTCCTTTTTCAACCATGAGACATTCGAAATCAATAGAACAAATTAGACGGGCCAATCAGAACCAGGCAATTATCCGACTCCGGAATACGTCATGACCCTGCATATCTCCGTACACAGCGTGCATATTTTGACACTCAACTTGTCCACTCCCAGCTGGATATCTGAATCATTCCAAATATACCCTGCAACATGCAACGCTAATCACAATCTGCAGCCTATGACATCGCCCTCTCCATCTGTCAATCACAGATTCGTATTTGATTTTGCCTCCTTCTGATTGCCGCAAAGAAGCGCCTTTAAGCGCTTTCCCCAGTCGCCGATGTCGGCCCTGCATGCCCCCCGCTGACTCGTGTCTCTCGGCCAATCAGCAGCCGCCCATTGCCCGCTGACCAGCCGAGATCGGGGCTGCCCCTCGCCCCTGCGACTGCGACATCGCCTGCTGTTAAATATTATATTCGGAGCTGCGATCATCCAATATCATTTTTGTCTTCACTCATCAATTCATCCTCGCTCTCTTCCTTCTCTTCATCCTCCTCTCATCCTATTCTCAGTCTTCTCGTCCTCTCTCTTCATCATGCCCTCCGCCGACAAGAAGCCCAAGACCTTGTATGACAAGGTTGTCGACCAACACATTGTCAACGAGCAGGAAGATGGCACCCTTCTGCTGTATATCGGTGAGTACAGTCAATGGCTTTAGTGGGAACATCATCTAACCCCCCATTAGACAGACATCTCGTCCACGAGGTGACTTCACCACAAGCCTTCGAGGGCCTCAAGAATGCCAGCCGCAAAGTCCGCAGGCCGGACTGCACTCTTGTCACCGTCGATCACGTATGTCCAAATACATCCTGCTTGAATCTGTCATCGACTGACCAAATCTAGAACATCCCTACCTCCTCCCGCAAAAACTTCAAGAATGTCGACGAGTTTATCGAAGAAAACGACTCCCGTCTCCAGTGCTCCACCCTCGAAGAAAACGTAAAAGACTTCGGCCTCACATACTTTGGCATGGGCGACAAGCGCCAGGGAATTGTCCACATCATTGGTCCCGAGCAGGGATTCACCCTCCCCGGTACTACCGTTGTCTGCGGTGACAGTCACACTTCCACCCACGGTGCCTTCGGCGCCCTCGCTTTCGGTATCGGTACCAGTGAGGTCGAGCACGTCCTGGCCACCCAGACCCTGATCAGCCGTCGGAGTAAGAACATGCGCATTCAGGTCGACGGCGAGCTGCCCGCCGGTGTCACCAGTAAGGATGTTGTCCTCCACATTATTGGTATCATCGGTACCGCTGGTGGTACTGGTGCCGTTATTGAGTTCTGCGGTTCCGTCATCCGTGGACTGAGTATGGAGGCTCGTATGTCCATGTGCAACATGTCCATCGAGGCCGGTGCGCGTGCTGGCATGATCGCACCCGACGAGACCACCTTCGAGTACCTCAAGGGCCGTCCTCTTGCCCCCCGCTACGGGAGTGCACAGTGGAACAAGGCTGTCGAGTTCTGGAAGAGCCTCGCGTCTGATGAGGGTGCCGTTTACGACTCGACCGTTGTCTTGGACGGCAAGGATATCATCCCTACTATCTCGTGGGGTACCTCGCCCCAGGATGTCGCCCCTATCAATGGTGTCGTTCCCGGCCCCGATGATTTCGAGGACGAGAGCCGCAAATTGGCTTGCAAGCGTGCCCTTGAATACATGGGTCTCACTGCCGGTACTCCTCTGAAGGACGTTGTGGTCGACAAGGTTTTCATCGGTTCCTGCACCAACGCCCGTATTGAGGACTTGCGCGCCGCCGCCAAGGTCGTTAACGGCAAGAAGATCGCATCCAACATCAAGCGTGCAATGATCGTCCCTGGTTCCGGTTTGGTCAAGGAGCAGGCTGAGGCTGAAGGTCTGGACAAGATCTTCGTCGATGCTGGTTTCGAATGGCGTGAGGCCGGATGCTCCATGTGTCTGGGTATGAACCCTGACATTCTCTCGCCCCGCGAGCGCTGTGCCAGTACCTCCAACCGTAACTTTGAGGGTCGCCAGGGTGCCGCTGGCCGTACTCACTTGATGTCGCCCGCCATGGCCGCCACTGCTGCTCTTGTTGGCAAGCTCGCCGATGTCCGTGAGCACGTCGTCACCAGCCCTGTCCTGGCCAAGGTGCAGCCCAAGGTCGATATCCAGCCGGAAGCCGAGGAGCCCGAGACTGAGGACGAGCTTGATCGTGTCCTGGACCAGCCCGCCGACAACGAGCCCCACACCAACACCTCCGCTGGTGGATCTAGCGCTGGTCTTGCCAAGTTCACCACCCTCAAGGGTATCGCTGCCCCCATGGACCGCTCCAACGTGGACACCGACGCCATTATCCCCAAGCAGTTCCTGAAGACCATCAAGCGTACCGGTCTCGGCAGCGCCCTGTTCTACGAACTCCGTTACAAGGACGGCGTCGAGATCCCCGAGTTCATTCTGAACCAGGGCATCTACCGTAACTCCAAGGTTCTGGTCGTCACTGGCCCTAACTTCGGATGTGGTAGCTCTCGTGAGCACGCCCCCTGGGCTCTCCTCGACTTTGGTATCAAGTGTATCATTGCTCCCTCCTTTGCCGATATCTTCTTCAACAACACCTTCAAGAACGGTATGCTTCCCGTCGTGATCTCCGACGAGGCTGCTCTGCAGAAGATCGCCGCGGAGGCCAGCGCCGGCCGCGAAATCGAAGTCGACCTCATCAACCAGGAGGTCAAGGACGCCGAGGGCAACAAGCTTGCTGGCTTCGAGGTCGACGGTTTCCGCCGCCACTGCCTGATCAACGGTCTGGATGACATTGGTCTGACTCTCCAGATGGAGAACAAGATCCGCACCTTCGAGACCAAGCGTACCCTCGAGACCCCCTGGTTGGACGGCAGCGGTTTCTTGAAGCGTGGTAAGAACGGTGGCGCCACCATGGTCGAGGCCGCGCCCCTCCCCAAGACCAACCGCGGAGACGTCAAGAACGAGCCTCTGGAGTGGTAAGGTCTTTGTGCATCTTCCTTTTCTCGATACAGACACGACCGCACACGCTTTGTTTATGTTGTTTCAAAAAGAATCATTTCCTCCATCTCGGGTTTTTTGGGGTATTAGCCGCTTCGCGCTGGGTTTGCATTTCGGTATCTTTTCCAAGTATTATACCTTGTTATACAAGCGTTGGTTAGAACGCTTTAGGATTAATAATAAATATTTTTTCTATCGAATATCTTCTTAACATCAATATGAGTACATAGTACGGAGTAAAATAGACCTGGGGAGAATCCTTCGGGCGTATGCACATTGCACATCCCGGTCAAAATCGGATATTATCTCCATCCAGCTTAGATTCCGCATCTCAATTGCTATGCCTTTTCAAAAATGACCGTTTTATAACGATAGCTTGGTAAGCCAGTCTTCACCTATACTGGAAGAGGTTTAGACTCTACCGGTAGATCGAGGATTGAAGCAGAAAACATACAGTAAGTAGACTGTAGAAGTAGATACTCGGACAGATGTAGTAACATTGCATAGATAAACCAGAGAATCACCTCTGCTGCCTCTTAAGACTACGTATCTATCCTATCCTATCCTATTTTCGAAATGGAAATCCACCTTATCGTGCTTCTCCAATTCAAGCCCGAAACCAGCCCTACCGTTCAACATGACGTATGTTCTATTCTACAAAAAATCTTTACTTAATCGTACGGAATGAATCAATGAAATAGAAGGCTAAAGTTGAAACTGTATAAAGGTCGCTGCTGGATTCAAAGCATTAAAGGAGAACTGCATACATCCTGGAACCCAGAAACCATATATTCTTTCTATGAAAGGCGTTGTTGATAAATAAGTCTATTGAGGGGGCTCAGGTATTCACATTAAAATTAACTCCCCTGTTATTAATGAGAGAGGGAAAGAAAGGGTGATTCTGATGTGTTAATAGAATGGAATCAGTCATGCTTTCGTTTCATCGTTTGCCAGTTTCGAGGATCGAGATTACTTTGTCAAGAGCGACCCAGCGCATATAGAGTTGGTGCAGAATGCCAAGGGGTATTTGGATAAGGTCCTGGTTATTGATTTTACCAATGGTGTGCTTATTAAGAAATTATAAGATGGATTGGTTTATTTCAACTCATCGAGGATATTATGTATTGCCTGCAAACTCCTTCGATAAAAAAAGACCCCTACATACACCAAGTTAAGATAGCCAGAAAAAAAAGGAATGTGACGATGTCGAGTTCATCAACAATGCAACCCAGGAACAAACATATGACCGAAAAAATGAAAAAATGAAAAATATGCAATGAAATAATAGGTTACCCCCTCCAGGCTCTTCAGACAGAAAAAAAAAAAGAAAAGAAACAAAACACCTTCCCACATGAAAAGCTGGGCAAGAATGGAATGTTAATATACAATACCTCCTGGCATCCCCCTTTCGATTAAGAATCCTGGGATAATATAAGAACAAAGAACAAAAGAGTTTCCACATAAACTGATTATAAACCACGCTTCATGCATATAAATGTGAGAATATATCGAAAAGAAACGAAAAGCATCAATGGGGCAGTCGGGGGTATCAAATCATTAGATCTGCTCCCGTGGCATAGATAAGTAAGAGAGAACTCGTTGACGCTTAAGGTTTGGAGAGTTGTTCTCTCCGGAAGAACAGCAAGAATCCAGCACTAATTGACATTTTAGTAGTGTTCAAATATAGAAGTTTGTACAGAGTACTCACCATATCAACAGTTGGAAGAAGAGGGCAATCCAGAACCAAGCATTTGCAAGGGAGCTAGAGCCAGCTGTGACATCTGGAGAAATTGGCCCGGGTCCAAGATTATTGGGAGCGAACGCTCTTGCGCAGATAGTCGCAATGGAACCGAGGACTTGGGACACAATCAATGTGAAGCAGATGTGCATGCGCGTCAATGTCTGCAGAAGAATCATACCAAATCCGAGACCTTGTAGCGAATCCAAGACACCTAGCCATAGCCAGAGACATCTGGATATGAGCGCTCCACCTGTCGCGCCGCCAGCAGTCCAAGGAAGGTAGTAGCCAATTCCAGATATACCCCACCAGATCTGTGCCCATCGCGGTGCTCCAAGACCACAAGCAAAGACGGGTAAGATCCAGCTATGAGATTTGGATAGATGGCTGAGTATGAAGAGGAATAATGCCCATACGAAACCGAAGAAAAAGGCACACAGAATTCCAACCTGCCAGTCTTTGGCGTGGCTTGAGCTCCAGAGGACTAGAAAAGAATATGTCAGATTTTGTTTCAACATGAAGACATTAGATGAATGGGATATACTCACAACTCCAGTTTCGGCCATACGGGGCACTGAGGAAGAAGTTCTGCAAGATGACAACAACAAAGTTCCAGAGAACAATCTTACGGCGGAACACCGACTTGTAGAACGAAGGAACCTTTCCAGGAGTCTGTCGGTAGTAATTGGGGAGACCGAAAAACAAGAGCAGACCAACAACCCAGAGGAAGGCGGCAATTGGCAAACAGATGGCACTATATATCAATTAGCAAATTTTCCAAAGGGGAAGATAATAAAACTTCACATACCTCATTTTCCAGCTGTTCACGATGCCATTCTGAGCGGTTGTGAGACCCTCGCTGGATGCTTGGGATAGGGTTGATCCCCAGTACCACAATCCAATGATATACGCCTGTTGAGTTCCTTGAATGACACATGCACGGAAAACCCAGTCCTTGACCGGAGCACCACCCTCGTCACCAAAGTTGAGAGCAAAGAAGATGGATCCACTAGACGAGGCCGCAGCATACACACCACTGCCGACATTCTGGATCCATCCACGACTGAACTGGTTGCCCTCCCAATGGGCGACACCGATGAGGATGAAAGCGAGACCGTAGAAGAACCAAGGGAGAGAAAGGACAACAACCGACTTGAAGTACCGGAAGACAAACCACCAAATGATGGAAGTCACCAAATACACCGTTGCGATACCGTACAGCTTCTCAGCAGTTTCACCAACTTCGCCCGTGAGCAAGGTGATCTGGTAGGAATTGGCCGCAATGATCTGTCCCAAACCGAGAAGGAACGAATACAAAGGCCAGTCACCGACGCGAAGCTGCATCCATTTCCGGAGACCAGTAGGAGGAACGTAATCATTTCCAAGAAGGAACTCATCACCAGCCTTGCGCTCATCGCTACCACGCGAAGCAGTGTCGTCGTTGGAGAAGGAGCCGACAGGTGATGCACCACGCTTGTCACGGTAAATCGAAGGAGCAGGGGATTGGTTACGTCCAAGTCTCGCGTCACGGAATTTGTCAAACCATTTCTTTTCACTCTTGACCAGGTACTCCTCGATACACAATTGCGATTCAGAGTTCGAGCCATTGAGATCCTCCAGTCGCGTTTCGAACGCCTTGTAGTATTCGCCGTTACTATCCGTGAAGAATGGGTCAACTTTTTGCAGCTTGAAATCCTTCTTATCACCAACAACCGAGTCAACAGAAAGTTCAGATGCGCTGCTAAGACGATTGCCAGGTTCAGCAAAAGGCCTTGCGGGAGGAAGAAGACTGTCATCGGCCATCGGACTGGTTGGGGATTGCAAAGGTCTGGTCTGGAAAGATCCTTGGCTCATGTGTCTCGGGCTCAGGAGGTCTCTGTGTCCGGGTGTAAGAGTGTTCTGTTGCTGAGATGCCTCCAGGCGCCGTCCTTCTTCGATCTGCTCAGGGGTGAGGGTGTACTCATCATCTCCGTAGTAGCTGGCGACAATGTCATCTTCACTGTCCTCTTCGATATCCGTAACAGCAACGCCAACATTTTCATCGGATTCCTGGTTGTTACTGCCCTTTCTCAACTTGTTACGGCCACGACGCTCCAGATGACCAGGTCCGGATCGAACACCAAGAGAGAGTTGACGGCTGAGTCCAGATTTAGGTTTCTCGTTTCCACCAGGGCTTGGGTCTCGGCTGTAGACAATGGTGTTTCTTTGCTGAGGTCCAACGACACTAAGGCGACTGGGGTTCGAGTAGCTGCTTTCTCTTGAGTGAGCGACAGGGGGGGTCTGCAATCCGCTAGGAGCAAGGAGTCCAGAAGATGCAACGGGAGGCGTCATCATTCCACTGGGAGTGTTGTATCCTGATGGCGTGAAAGGCTGACCATGAGACTTGACGAGTTCCTTGTTGTGAATCCGGATAGCAGTGGACTGCAAGATTTCCAAGTCCTCGACCCACTGAGCAACAGGGAAACGCTGCTTAGCAGATCGTGCACGCATCATAGCTCGAGTACTAGTCTTAGAGGTCAAAGCACTGTCAATAGCGAGTTTGAACTGGTGCAGAAGGTGGGATGTGGTTGTAGATTCGACGTTGTACCACCAACCAGGCATTTGACCAAGACCACCAACACGGGCACCAATACCCAGGGCTCCCTTACGACCGAACTCGACAGCAACAAGACCGAAGGGCTCGTCACGAGAAGGAATCAAGGCGAATTCAGCACCGGAGAAGATGTAAGGAGGAAGCGCGGTGAATTCAGGTTTCGAGAACACACGTCCAGGGTAAAGCTTCATCATCCGATCAAGCTTAAGAGCAGCGAATTTACCGTAAAGATCAATGACAGGGCCAACACAGATCAACTGGACGTTGGGACGAGCTTCAAGAACAGCAGGCATAACATCGGCGATAAGGTCAACACCCTTTTGCATCGACCATCTTCCAACAAACACCAGGAGATCGGCTTCAGGATTCTGTTCGAGACCTGCCCATTCCTGGGCCTGACGTCGGAGCTCTCCTCTGTCGGCTTCATAACTGGGGTCAACGTGGATATCACTGTCCTTGGGCAATTCCTTGTTCCATTCACCAGTATCCGAGGGATCAGGGTTTGGCAGATTTCCAACCTTCTTGAGACCCCAGAAGATGGGGTAACGAGCGTAAGACCGTTTACCATATTTCTTGGACACACCTACAGCACCAAATCCTTGCTGCTGGACACGCAGGTAACTGGCACCTGCGTGGAGCAAGTTAAACACTTCACCAAACTGGACATAGCGGCTGACGACGTCGAGATCAAGATTGAAAACAGAGCAGACTTCATCCTTCTCCTTCTGAGTACGCATAGGCCACAGACCCTGGAACTCAGCGTTGTGAAGTGAGAGGCAGACGGGAATAGTCTGAGGAAGGAGGTAAAGCGGAGCGATAGAGCCGTGGTAATCGTTGATGTGGTACAGGTCAATGGGGAACCGGTTGATTGCCTGTGCGATACACTGGTTCCAGGCCGAGTAGTAAATCGCACTGTCGAGGTCGTCCATACGGGCCGGGTAGGGCTCGGACTTTGATTGTTGACGGAAGACAGGTGCATCCAGGAGAACATAGGTGATGTTATTCAGCACGTGGTACTGTACCTTGACTTCGTAGGAGTTTCCAAGCACATTCACAAACATAGGCTCGCCCCGTTGATCTTCAGGGTAATCGATTCCACCAACACATGGAACGACCCAGATAAGATCCTGGTGTCCAAGGTTCTTACCCATGAGCTGAGCCATGACACCAAGACCACCGATCTTAATCTTGATGGCCCAGTCCTCAATGTCGTATTCCATGGTGGCAATGAGAACCATGCGTCTCTTTGCTGCACCGGTACCAAAGGCAGAAGTACTCTGAAGGAATCCAGACTTGTTTGCAAGACGCATGAGGGGATTCATCGCCTCTCCATCTTCAAGATTACGTCTTCTCATCTTTCTTCTGAGAGCGAGGGGAATGAGCGATTTCTTCTCACTGACACCAATCTGGTTGAACTTGACTTGGTAGAACGACTTCATGAAGACATAGATGCAAGCAGCGGCTGTCACAAGCGGGACGATCCAGAAAAGGAAGAACATGGCCATTTGGACTTTTTGGTCACCAACAGGAGTGAAAGAGTATCGCAATGTTGCATCGTTGATGTGAATATTCCAGGCCAAGTAGCCAGCGGGCGGGAAATCGGTGATGTTGATCAGGGTCGCAGAAAGAGAAGACGGGGGCATACGATCCAGGACTTTATCATCATCTGCATCACCCAACACATAGCTCTCATCAGGCTTGCCATTTGGATCCATGCCCCAGACGTTGAGCTGAGCCTGAGCGGGCCATTCCGCCACGAACCTGTATTTCCAGGTTCCATCTTCTGTCTGGCGCACGACGTTGTCCAAACCAGCATCGTATCCATACTGGTTATAAGGTCCGTTGAAAAAGAGATGCGGGAAACGTCGTTGGTAGTTTTTATCCCAGCCGGAATCGCCCTCCTGAACGTAGGAACTGCTACCGGTCCATCTGCTCCAGTACTCGACGCGCACGTGTTTGCCGTCCCACTTTTGTTTCTTGGTCCCTGACCATTCCAATTCATCAATGGTGTCGTTACCACCCGTGTAGGTCATCCAGTTGGAAAATGTAGTTCCCCAGTTCGTGGAGTAGCGGTACTTGTCAGCACCCGCCGCATGGTGTTGGATGTAAAGCGATCCATTGCCATGGTCGTGGAGCAAACTACTGGAATAATTGGCGCCAGTGAAAATCATCGGATTATCCTGTTGGCCAAGACGGAAGAGGAAGTGATCCGTAGCCTGGGTTGTTGCCTTTCCATCGCTGTTCGAAGCGTTCTTGACGGTCAGTCGATGGATACCGTTGTAAACACCGGTCAATGTCGCAGTCCACACCCAAGCGCTCGGCAGTTGTCCTGTATAATCAGTATCGGTAGAGTTGACTGTCTTGCAGCTGATGCTATCTTTGTCGATAGAGGGCGTCTTATCGGCTTCCGTGGATGAGTTCATCGAAATCGCCTTGGTCACGGAATCACAGTCCATTTTCTCCGAGAAGTAAAGCTCAATGTCCACACTTTCTTCAGCGTTGGGTGCCACAGTAGAGCGAATAGGGAAGTCATGACCAGGTGAGAACTTGGTAATCATAGGCCGAGGCGAGGTGAATCGGTTCTTGGGGACATATGCCTGAAACTCGTATGCTTTCAAAGTCATACTGTCCAGACAGCCATTGTACTCGGAAGATCCGTTCAGGCCAAGCTTCTTGGGACCATCTTTCAATTTAAGCTCTTGGTGGGGATAGAACAGGTTCTTCACGGTGGTGCCACCAGCAAATGGAGCGATCAACGCGGTGTCGTTGTTGCTGCAGTCAAAGTCGTACGTGATTGAACGGTTGGTGTTTTGGTATACCAGCCAGACCGGTTGGTTGTCTTCATCAGATCCAAGATCTTGAGTTGTCGCATCGACGTCTCGCAATACTGACCACATACCGGTTTCGGTTGGTGTGTCCTTGGAACCAGGGTAGTAAACATCCTCTGTTTGCTTAGACAACTTCTGGATCGAGTATCCATCGTTCAACACGGGGTACTCCTCTCGCATTTGATACATGTGTTTAATGATGTTTCGTACGGGATGCGAAGGATCCCGATGGTCGTACGTGACTGAATCGTCATGGCAGCCCTGTCGGCCTGCCTCGATGGGCCACTGGTAATATTGCGACGACTCGAGGGTGAAGCAACCGTGGGTTCTCCATGCGGTCGCAGGCGACATCGCCTGACGTCCGTAGATATAGTTAGATGCCGTGGCATCCAAGATATAAAAAGCCTGTTCTTCGCCCCACAGCAAAAGCGGGATACCAGGGAGCTCTAGCGTGGTGATGAACAGGGCAAGCAGCTGTCTCTCAATACCATTAGAAATGGTAGGCCACCGGAAAACATCCTGGTTTGTTGCGCCAAACATGTGCCGGGGGTCGAATTTGTCGGTATTGGGGTTAACCAGGTCATTGGATGTCATCATCAAGTTCCAGGCATCGACCCAGTCCACGGGTGTATCGTAACCCGCGGCCAGGTTACCATCCATACCCAGGAATCGAGTGAGCGAACGATAGATTGAATAGTGAAAAGCAGCCGAATCAAGGGCACCGTGTCCCTCTTCACGCAGGAAGTATTGTTCATCAGCGCTTGTCAAGTTCATCGCATCCTCCACGGTTTCGGGATACTGGTTCGGCTGTCTACCACGGCCGAGATAAACGGAACCGAATGTGTTTCCACCAGTAATTTCACCAGTGATGAAGAAGTTCTTTTTACCCACTTTGCGAGCACACTCTCGGTAGGCAGCGGACATGTCACCCAGAGCGTCCACGGTAGCCTGTGTAGCCTTGTCGTATCGAAAACCGTCGATATCAAGAGAAGCGATAATCATGCAAGAGTGACGGATCAACCTCTCTCTAACGCTAGGCTGCCATTCACGAAGACGATCTTGGACGGAAGCGAATTTTGCCAACTGACGCTCCCAGTCAGGGAAAACACCGAAAGCCTCGACATCACCATACTGGTCAAAATCACTGTCATAACATCCGGTCAGTGAATCGGTCACTGACTGGTCAACCGGATAACCAGTCTCGTTCCAGAATCGCGGGTAGTCGCAAGTCTTGTTGTATTCGTTTCCGAAGTCAAAGTCGACATAGCGACGATTGGATTTCCAGACTGCCTTGTGCTCCTTGGTCGAGAACGGGGTTGTGTCATTCAGATGGCCTTCGAAACCGATCAAATCTCCCATACTATGCGCGCCGTCAGCCGACCTTGTCCTCATTGTAAAACCACATCTGTTCAAAAGCACTTACGTCGCGATGGTATTGTCAAAAATGACATACATGCCCCGCTTATGGATTTCCGTAATCGCTTCTCGCCATTTTGCGAGAGTTCCATAATGTTGGTCGAGCAGTGTAGTATCTAAAGCCGAGTAACCATCCGCACCCCAAGGCTGGTTCATCAAAACAGTTCCCGCGAGATAGAGACCCTAAGAGAGATATTGTGTCAGCCATGGTATTATTCCCAATACTCAGAACCGAGTAACCAACCTTGATGCCCATTCCTTGCAGATAATCCAAAGTATCAACCAAACCATCCACATCACCACCATGACGCATCTGGTTCGAGTTCAAATCATGCTCAAACATCGACCCATTGATATTATCGTTCGTCGGATCTCCATTCACAAATCGGTCCAGAAAGAGTGTATATACAGGGAACCGCCAGTTATCGGGAGACGGGAAATAATCGCCGGAATGGTCAGGCCATTCGCCCCAGTAATCGGCCGGGTTTGTTGCGGTCTTGTTTGTGTTGAAATTATAATCGACCAGGGATTCGTCATAAGGCCAGGATGTTGCGGTTGTTGCGAAGAACGCAAGCAACGCACCTGAAAACCCCCACTTCATCATCGGCGGCCACTTGAATGAACCGTTCTTCTTTTATATACGTAACATGTGTCGTAGGATAGAGGTAACGATCGATGGGAGGGGCAGGGATTAAAGAGAGGAAGCTGAAGGCAAGAGAGGATAGGGTAGATATACCACAAGCTCTCTCTGGCTGTCTCTCTCAGTTTGCCAATCTGCAAGTCTGCGAATGTCGATCGATATTTTTCTTTTTTCTCAAATGTCGGGATTAGCGATAACGAGCGATATGCACGAGATAACGAGGGGAAAGGATCCAAAAAGAGAACAAGCAAGATCGGGGACAAACGAGGGCCTCGAAAGAGAAAAAAGAAAAGAAAGAAATGCAGAAAGAGTACGCAAATGGCTTGCAGGAGTGACGAGGCTGGCAGATGGGAAGGAGGAATTAACGACGATGTGCAGGAGTGGAAACGAGGGAATGAGATGAAGTTAGAGAAGAGGAAGAAGACAGAGAGAAAAGGGAAAAGACAAAAAAGAAGCTACTGCTGGATATCGACACTACTGCTGTACATATTATTCCAATGCTAATTTACTATTACGGATACCACTCCAGTAGTCCTCGGCCAAATCCCAGAAGTAATTTTTTTTTAAACTTCTTGTCTCTCGGCGCAGTGGAGTTTTGCCCCCTTGAGAAACACCAGCCATTTTCCATCGGTTCCATTATTATTATTATGAGTGCATCAACAGCCCAAAAGGACGAGAACAGCAAAACCGCCGTGTGGTCGAAGAGAAGCTGGGGATGTTCCAGAGGAAAGACGAAGCGAGGATAGACCCTTTCTTCCTAGTCGGGTACTATTTACGGGAGTGGGTCTGGTTTTTTTCGTATCCGTCTTGGTAATACGGTATGTACCGTCACAGTGGCTTGCCCAATTTGGATACATCATATCTTTTTTTTTCCAGCTTCATGCTCTTGGATAAGACTATATAAACCTAAGGTACTCTGTATATGCGGCTCTTGAGATGTTGAAGGAATTACGCAAGATGCTTGAGCATGCACCCACTGAATAATGCAGAATAACGCACTGGAGATTTCCTCATCAGATGCTAAGAAAAGAATGTATGAGAAAGGACAGGCCAAATAAAGAGCCGATTCCACGCTATTTGCGGGGTTCTTGTCCATTAGAGCGTCCAACAAAGCCGTTGTGTCTAACATTAGACGGGGCTTCCTGCTTGATATTTATATTCGGCATACAGACCATGTACTATGGAAATGCTGACTGTGGCTATCTACGATGCCCGACCATGACCGATTATCTGTATCCAATTCCAATCACACCTATCACTCAAAAGGTGTACACCGTTGCTGCTGCTCTCCAGTGCATGGTATCTCATATACCGAGTACAGATGGTTTGATTCTGACGTGGCGTTGAACTGCAGGTCGCATGCCAGTTCAATCCCGCTGACGGCCAATGAAAAGACAGGCCTGTTTCAATGTAGATATCATTGAGGCTATTATTATGCACTGTGTGAAACCCAGCAAGTCAGTGGCGCCATCACATTGACTACTGGTGGCTAGTGGTGAAACAAGGTGTCACTTGTTTCTGCCTTATCATTACAAATTACTCCGCGGTATGGCACCATGTATTTATCCGACACCTACCTGCTGTAGCTGAGGTAGGCTATTATTGATCTCAATCTCATTTATTCAAGACCTCCAACTCGTCAAATCCACCCACAGCATAAAGACTGCACAATAAACTGAGTGGAAAGAAGACCATGTGTTTGTCTATTTTAAGACCGACCCACTATCGATATTCCAGCGGATCAACCAGTGAAAAAAAATTCTGTCTTGAAGTTCAACCACGGCTCTCCAATTTGGAACAGGCGAGAACTAGCCCTATCCACCAATCGGGCGCTCCGAACTAAATTGGTGTTGAAGCCCCGGGCAAGGGTCCTTGGACATAGATTACCGTACACACTTACCGTTTTCATTACACCCACGATGTTGCAATCTTACGGGCTTGTTTAGTCCCCCTTGCTTTGTGTCTGAGGAGAAGAAGTGGGATGGCTGGGGATAGGTAAGGATTTGACTAATTTCTGGTGATGGTGAGAAATTGGGTGTCTCACTGACTGTGGACGTGGTGTTGTGTTGTGTTGTTGGGTTTAATTGTTTGACTCGGACGATCGATCTCTCGGAGACTCGGAGGATTGTTTGGATCTCATGGCTTTGAATGGCAGAGATCGGATGATAGGACATTCATGCAAGGCTTCGGAGTAATTCTTTTCCCACTCACTGATGGTGTACAGTGTACTGGAGTTTTTTCCATCTCCCATCGTGTAGGAAGAGAGATAAGATATACGAGAGAAAGGTAGGTAGGTAAGGTAGAGAAGCACCTGGGTTATTATCGAGTCATCGTACGGGTACAGAATAGGTACACAGTGGATCACTGTCACACAAGAAATGACCGAGTCAGACAATCGAAAATCAACATCAGAAAGGGAAATGAATCGACCTGGCGATCTGGGGATGAGGTCAACTTTATAGTCCTGTCGTCGCTGGGGTTTTCATATGATATTGACGATCATGGGCGATCCAGCGGATCCTTGAGGCTTGCGACACAACTTTCACCTTCTGTCCAGGCAAAACAAACCCCCTTGCGTTGCCTCGACATCCAGACTGCATATGACAGACATCGACGCACAAAAGGTTTGTCGATTGCAGGTATAAGCACTGAGAATAAGTTTTTTTTTTTTTTTTTCCCCTCGTGTAGACATACACCGACAGATTCTCGGCTACACAGCCTGTTCTGCGCCATGTATCAAGGCAATACCGATACGGTATGAAAAACTCTGTACAATACAACTTAATTTAGTGGGTCCCTTATCTACAAGGCCAGCCAATTATATATCATATTAAGCTAGACCCACCGCTTATCGATCCTCCGAATCTCAGCCAGGGCGAGACATCAGCGGTAGCGTCCGCCGAGAGCGGGGCCAATCGACCGCTTGTTGCTCGGTTCCTGAAAGTCCCTGACAGCTGGCGTTGGGATCTTCCTTGCCTAATCATGATCATCATGGAGACTGACCATCTCCCGTTCACGGTTCACCAGAATTAATGGACATGCTATACTACTATACCGACTCTGATCTTCAAATGCATTTATCAAAGGTTATTCTGGATGAGAGCCACGGACACGGATAAGAATTTTTTTCATTTAAGGTATTCAAGTTTCTAGCCATGGCCTGTCGGTTCGTGCCGGCCGAAATATCGCCCATTTCGCTATTTCCAGCACCAAATCAAGGCGGATGGAAAGTTGAGAATCTTCCACACAGTGGGGCTTTCCTGCTAAAGTGAGACTTGGTCTCGTGTCTCGACCCGCTCTCGGACGTGATCCAGCCACTGGGATGCCGGCGGGCGCCGGTAACTGGAAACGGTTTCGTACACGGCCAATTGAAGCGCCGGTATTTCTGGCATTTTCAGGCATTTTTAGAATTGGAAATAATAAACTGGAAATAATAATAATAATAATAATCCGGTTGATCTGGTTGAAAACAGCAAAGACCATGGCAAGTTGTCAGGAATTCAGTCCGGAATACTAAGGTCCCGAACGGCTTGTACGAGTCAGATAGGTTCTATCTCAGCTCACTATCTGGGATATTTATTAACCGAAGTTTTGCATTCGACCCGAGGTATCCTGTACACCTATTTTTATGTATGGAGCACGTAGGAAAATAAACTCTTACAACGCGACAGAGATGCAGGTCTGTATAGAGTAGATATAGACGAACTGGCTTGGCTGACAGCCGCAGCTGGTCGTGGCCTATTTTTATTTTTGGTAAATCCCCCGCAATGCATCGTGCATATATCAAATCCATATCATATCATATTCTTGATAGAACGGCAATAAAAAAAAATGAACACTTCATTTCATTCTACAGTTCATCGCCACATTCCCAAGGGGAGAAAAAAAAACCTTGTTTCCAGACCCAGATATCTTGCTCTTGTTACGTGTGATAGATCGTCATTGATGTAGTGATTAAATAGTTCCATCGCCATTTGCATAGCACCAGCACCAAGGTTCGTTTTCGCTTCGTCATCAAGGTTAACTCGATAGATGCGGATGTGATAGCTCTTACTCAGGTTACGCGGCGCTGATAACAAAGCATTCCGGGGCTGATATATCAGATAATATCACATCCCCAGATATAAGCTGTTTAGTCGGTGTAGATTGAGGAAGCCCACGTTCCATGGCGAGTGGATGAAAAGCTATCCAGGTACTTGGGGTGGCGAGATTGAGTTCTCGTGGAATGTGTCTCTACATCTGTCCTAAAGGGGTAATATCCCTATATTCAATCTGTTCCATGGCATATCGTGCATAGACACTTCAATATGTGATTCCACTGCTATCTTCTGTATACTGTAGAACCTGGAAGCTGTACCTTAGATATACTGTACTCTGGTATTATAAACAAAGAAAAATACAACAATAGTATTTTACTCTCAAATCCACTACTCTATACCAAAGAAATTGCAATGCCAAGCACATTGTCTGACACCAATATACACATTATTTGAAACATTCCTAGCATCTACCGAAATACTAACACGAATAGAAACTCTCATACCCACTCCATTATCTCGTATGGATATTATCATTACTATATTACCCTCCCCAGTACGGCAATACTCTATACCCAAGTGGTACTAGACAAATGCCCCCCTCCCAAGCCACACACCGGACAGATTGGACAAGTCTTATCATCATCACACTATCACTATAAGTTTTAAACTATTCATTTATCGTCCATGCGATGCTGACCTCGTTTCTGCTGCTCGTGTTCTCGCGCTATGACCTTGTGTGACTCTTGATGATCAATCTTTGCTCGCCTTCAGCGGCTTGAGTAAAATAGAAATGAGAGAAATGGCGACAGAAAACAATATGCAATATGTTTGAGGCTCAAACTCACTCGCTCGCTCTAGTACGAGCTTGAATACTAATACTACAAAAATAGTTACTCCACGGCGAAGATATTCGGTAAAGCCGTTATCCATAATATTAATAGCCGGGGCATAGAGATTATTCCTGGAACGGGCTGGGATAATACCCCACGATATCCACTTGGCTTGGTACTATGTAATAGCGAGTACAATGTTTAAGACATGTGTTTAATTAGATTGTTCTATTTATTTTCTATTGTTGTGGCTAGTGGCTAGTTGTAAGTGCTTAGTTGGGAAGGCTTCATTTCGAGTCTTTGTATATGCCTTAGGTATACAATCTGTGTAGTAATATTTCTCCTTCATATATAAGATAGTGTATGAAATATATAATAATATAAAATATCTATGTTTTAGGGTTTAGGCACAGGATTCTATCCCATCAATCTGTCTACATGCCTGTCCCCTTGTTGGATTCCACATGGTGACATCGCATGGTTTTGTGATGAAGACCCAAGACAGTTTCTTCACAAATAGTCTAGATTAAAAGCAGAAATGAAACTAGAGTAGCTGTTGGATAGCGAAGAAGCAGAAAGTATTACATGAATAGATGCAGAACATCACACGAAAGTGCGGATATAAGTATGCGGACAGGGAATATATATCGACAACAGCTTGTCATATTAAACCCTCCTAGTGCCCGTCCAGATCGTTAGCCACATGATATAGAACTAACAGATTACTGTATAAGATGTATAAGATGCTAGCAATCTATCAAGAGCTGCTGTATGCACAACATGGCACTTCGGGTGTTCATCTAAGAAGCAAGCATGTCAGAAGAACAAGAATGCAAAACATTGAGAATCATTTGGTATCATTTCCATCAGTCATTTTGTGCTATATACTCAAAAGTACCGAGTACTTCCGAATCTATTCAGCTCCGTAGCGGGCCCGGTAGTCCTTCAACCGTTGGACCTCGCCCTCTCCGATCTTAGGGCCCAACGTCTCAATCAAGTCGTGGAGGCCAATGACGGCCCGAATGGGGATGTTCTCTCCGAGGTCTCTCTGTGCAACACCGATGGCGCTCTTGGACTCGGCGTCGCTGACTCGCTCTTCACGGTCGAGCAGGACGACCACTCCGGAGACGATGCCGCCCTCCTTCTCAATGATGCCGACGGCCTCACGCAGGGCGGTTCCCGCGGTAATGACATCATCCACGATCACGACACGCTTGCCCTTCAGCGAGGCACCAACAATGTTTCCGCCCTCGCCGTGTGCCTTGGCCTCCTTGCGGTTGAACGAGTAGCTGACGTTGTCCCAGGTACCCTTGCCAGAGAGGGAGTCGCGCACGGCAAGCTCATTGGTGACGGCAGCGCAGATGGGAATTCCCTTGTAGGCCGGGCCAAAGATGATGTCAAAGTTGGGGGTGGTGGTGCCGTCGGCCGCGGTGGTGACAAAAGGCGGGGCGGACAAGACGCTGGCATAGGCGGCGGAGGTGGCGCGGAGCAAGGGAGCGGTATGAAGGAGGGATGAGGTGAAGAAGTAAGGCGATTCACGGCCGGATTTCAGGATATAGGAGCCAAAAGACAGGACACTGTTGGACATGAGAAGAGGCAGCAGAGTCGCCTTGTAGTCCTGATCGGCGGCGGGAGGAGGGATGTTGGCGGCCGACATGGTGGTTGATTTCGGTGGTTTAATTGATAAAAGTTATAGAAGTGAGTAGAGGGGTGAATGGGTCAAGAGTGGTAGTATGGTGCTGGGATTAGGAGTTCCCTCGAGGTTGTCAATGTTGCTGGAGCAAGATCCACGATTCGGTTGCGTTTTGAAGTTTTTTTTTTTCCCATGATTTTTTTCTGATCTTGGAGGGGCAGCGGAACAAGTGAGGGGTCCTCCGCCATGGGATAAACCTACCATCATCACCTTAATTATGCCCGCTGACAGTGCCTACATATTTTCTAATCTCATTATAGACTTTGGAATGTGCCAGAATCTTATTTCATTTCATTTCTATCTGATTACCTGGAGCTGTCGACATTTTTCTGTTGCGGCTGGGGAAAAGAAAGCGATTCCGGCCTGCCATTGGTCGATCAGCTACAGTAAAAAGGGAGAACACGTGCCACCCCCAACTGTCCCTCCGAAATCCGGCCTTCGCGGCATTTGTTCCTCAACGTCAACTTTCCCCCCGGATTGAACACCAGAAAATCCTCATCTCCGCTGCTTTTCTTCTTTGCAGCGATATTTTCTCTCTTTTTTCCTTCCCTTTTTTCTCCTTTGTCTTTTGCTGGGCAATCCTTGTCCAGGAGCTCGAGGCTTGAGTGACCTATAATAGCCATTGTGTCCCTCACGAAGCGGAGTCGGTGAGGAAAAAGAAACCAACCACAAGAGGTGGAAGGGTCAGCTAGAGTAGTACAGGTCATCGTGTACTATCACAGCTTTTTATCATCAGAATATTGTTGAATTGTTCGAATTTTTTCCATCCTCGAGTTTGAGTAAGTCGATTTCTTCACCTTCAAGTAGCTTTGCCGCTATATATGCCCCGCAACGATACCGGAGCCAATCGACCCCAGCTAACTTTTTCAACTCCTTCTCTCAGTTTAACCCATCAAAATGCATATCAAAGACAAGCTCGCCCAAAATGATGCCGCCGCAAGGACAGGGGTCTCTTTCGAGTTCTTCCCCCCCAAAACTGCACAGGGTGTGCAGAACCTTTACGACAGAATGGACCGCATGCACTCCCTGGGACCCTCGTTCATCGATGTGACCTGGGGTGCTGGAGGTCGTCTTTCGGATTTGACTTGTGAGATGGTGAATGTCGCCCAATCTGTCTATGGTCTGGAAACCTGCATGCACTTGACCTGCACGGACATGCCCCGGGAAAAGGTCGATGCTGCTCTTTCGGCTGCCTATAAGGCTGGATGTACCAATATCTTGGCGCTCCGTGGTGACCCTCCTCGTGAAAAGGAAACTTGGGAAGTCGTTGATGGAGGATTCCGCTACGCCAAGGATCTGGTCAAGTACATTCGGGAAAAGTACGGAAACCACTTTGACATTGGTGTTGGAGGTTACCCCGAAGGTGCAGACGACAACCCGGATGTGGACCTTTTGATCGATCACTTGAAGGAGAAGGTTGATGCGGGTAGTTCTTTCGTCATCACACAGATGTTCTACGACACAGACAATTTTGTTTCCTGGCTCAAAAAGTGCCGGGCCAAGGGTATCACCATCCCCATCATCCCGGGTATCATGCCTATCCAAACATATGCTGCATTCCTACGACGCGCGAACTGGACCAAGGCCAAGATCCCTGATTCTTGGATGGAGGCTTTGGAGCCTGTGAAGAACGATGACGCTGCCGTGAGAGAAGTCGGAAGACACTTGGTCGCAGACATGTGCAGAACACTTCTCGCCAATGGCATCAACCATTTGCACTTGTAAGTTTTCCCTCTATCCGCACAGGGCTAGCAGAATCTAACCAGTACTAGCTACACCATGAACCTTGCGCAAGCGACAAAAGGAGTTCTCGAAGAATTGAACCTTACACCATCTGAAGAATCGCCGCTGCAAAAGCCCCTGCCATGGCGGCCATCGCTTGGTCTCAACCGCAGAGGAGAGGACGTTCGCCCCATTTTCTGGCGAAACAGAAACTCCTCTTATGTGGCACGCACGCAGACTTGGGACGAATACCCCAACGGTCGCTGGACCGACTCCCGGTCTCCTGCCTTTGGTGAACTTGATGCTTATGGTGTAGGCCTCAAGGGTACTAATGAGCAGAACATTAAGCTGTGGGGAGAGCCCAAGTCTGTGAAGGATCTCACTGAGATGTTTGTCCGGTTCTTGGAAGGCAAATTGGATCGATTGCCCTGGAGCGACAGCCCCATCACCCAAGAAGCAGACGATATCAAGACAAACCTGGTTGCATTGAACAGCAAGGGTTTCCTTACAATCAACTCCCAGCCAGCTGTGAATGGTGCCCGATCATCCCACGCTGTCTACGGATGGGGTCCCAAGAATGGATTTGTCTACCAGAAGGCGTACCTCGAACTTCTCGTCCCCCCTTACCTGATCGATGAACTTGTCGCGCGCATCGAGAAGAACGAAGACCTCACATACCATGCCGTCCAAAAGAACGGTGAACTGAAGACCAACACCGAGGATAGCCCGAACGCTCTTACTTGGGGTATCTTCGCAGGAAGAGAGATCATTCAGCCAACTATCGTGGAAACGATCAGTTTCCTGGCCTGGAAGGATGAGGCATACCGTCTTGGTGAGGACTGGGCCAAGTGTCACGACGCTGCAAGCCCCAGCAGAAAGTTGATTCAGGGTGTCATGGACAACTGGTACCTTGTTAACATCGTCAACAACGACTTCCACAACACCTATGATCTCTTCGAGCTGTTCAAGGACTTGGAGGTGAAGGACCTCGAAACCGAAGTTCCCGCGGACAGTGTTCCCGAGCAGCCTGTTGCTCAGAACTAAACCCGACCAGCATCAACCCGATCATCGCGTCTTATGGAGCACGATTCTTAACAATTTCTCCTTCGATATGTCAACATTTTATTTCAACCATTACTACCTCTACTAATTCAACATCTACTCTCAACGATACCTGCCTGGATGAATTTCCCAGGCACTGACATGTTTTTTATGGCGATACGAAGACCTCAACGATTTCTTCTTCCCCCTGAGCGTTATTTTATTTCAACATATTTCTTAACCCTTCAAGCATATACCCCTTCTTTGCTTTTCTCATCGAACACGAGAAGATTCAAATTCAACATAATAATTTGGGAAAACACAACAATTTTCCCAAAAGAAACCAAAGCCCCTTCTTTAGGGCTTTTACGACTAATTCAACACTTACGAATGACGGGAGTTGGCGGCTAAGAGAAAGACGAAGCTAAAAAATTAAACAACATTAGCTTAAAAAGTGATTCATCCTTTTCAACACGGGATATACGGAGTTTTCTCTAGGCTCTGCACTGTTTTGGCATATTTCTTGGATATCTTTTACATCTGTTTCGGATTCTGTTGCCGTTAACTATGACGTACTGCGGCTAGATAGAGACAGATACATACCCTCGATTTTTCAAAATAAGAAGAATAGAGACATGTTTCTTTAGATTACTCAATTCTTGTAGAGAATTTGTCAAGGCCTTGGTCTTATCAGTGCATAACATCTGGGCCATCTATGCCAAATATATAAAGATTAGACTTGAAGTAAATTGAGCCATGGCACAACACTAAGGATGAGTTATCGACAAAAGACTGGCAGCATAGCAAACAATAAAGTAAGGATACACGAATGTTAGTACATGATGGTATAGTGAAAGAAGGGCGAAAAAGGAAATCCCCAGATGCAGCAAGGCTAATAATGAGTCGTAGAGAAAAAAGAGGCCATTGTAGGGTTTAGACCTGGAGAAGTCGTCCTACTGCCCCAAACACCCAACCGAACGGCCTTGCAAACCAAACGATCCAGCTCCCAACGAAGACAACATATCCTGCTGCCCGCCCAACAAGCATAATGATGAATCCCAAAGTGACAAGGTAAACGAAAGTCTGACTGAGATCTGCTAAGACTCGCCCAACATCCTGATGGCTTGGCCAAGGCCAGGAGCCTGTGGTCCTATAGATGGTGAGAGCGTTCCAGGCACGACTGAGAACATGAAAGCAATGTTCGGCCATATTGAGAACAATATCAAAGGCAATTTTGGGATATCGATTTGTCGAAAGCTTGATGAGAAGCCTCTGCATGTATGCAATCGACAGCACTAATATGTGGAAGATGAGAGAAAGGGTCAATGGATCCAGCTGGTGCTTGTCGTCATGTCCTTCAGTTTGCTGTGAATCAGCGCTAGCGCCGGTCGTATTGAAACGAAAATCTCCTCTTTGTCTGTCTTTAACTTGCTGCCCATCAAGCTCGGCCACTTCCATAGCCTGAGATTGCTCTTTTCTTCCTACCTTGCCCCTGGCCCTCAGTGGAGGAGATAGAGATATGGCTGGCTGGGGTGAGACTTTTCCAGGGGGTGATGTTTCCGAAACCGTTCTTGATGGGACAGCATCATGGTCTTCCGACGTAACGCTTACACAAAGTGGCTTTCGAGGATCATTGTGCTTTGGTTGGTTAAGGTTTTCTGTTATGGATTTTACCGTTCCGGACGTACGGATGAACCCACGAATACCTTTTGTGCTTTCTCCGCCGGTCAGCTTGGGGCTTATTCTGCCTTTGCTGGATTGGATATTTGTGGGAGAAGCAGCCTGCGAGGACGTTGTGGAAGGGGGATCTGATTTCTTCTGCGACAGCTGAACGGCTGGTCGCAATCCCAACGGGATGGAAGTCGTTGAATGCCTCGATTGAGAAACTGGTTGCTTGGGGTCGGGGGTTTTCTGGGTGTCTCTTTTTGTACCTTCTGTGCCGACCATAGTGTTCGTGGTAGTGGGTGTGGTAATGAATGCATCGCCCCCCTTCCGATTCTCGACTTGGCCCTTGGGAGAAGTGTTCGAACTGCTCGCAGGCTTTGTATTTTCCTTTGATGCAGGCTGGGTTGGGATTCTGGACTTCTCTGGTCGTTGACACTGGGTCTCTTGGCACATCGTTTTTGGCAACGGCTTCGGGGATTGGACATGCTTCAAGTTCTGAGTAACTGATTTCCATTCCTCTTGGACGATGTGCTTCTCCGCTGCGGAAGCCTTTGGGTGGGCTGTGGACTTCTGGGCTGGCTTCTTTGGGGCCGGGGCTGGGACGTTGACTACTTTTGGGCGCTCTGGCACAGTGCAAAACAGCAATATCTCGTCCGGGTTCTTGTCCGTAGGCCCGTTGATTTCCTTGCACCCTAAAAAAGACCCGTCTGAGTTGACATTGCAAGGCTTTTTCTTTGTTTTCCTAGCCGATTCTTCCCAGATAGTGCTACATCGCTGTTTCCCGATTTCTTCGGGGCAAAAATAGTACCTGCCGTGGTTGGGATCCAGGGGGGTTGATTGCGCCTCGCCTTCATCAACAGAGCCTGACTGTCCATCATATCCTGTGCAGGCATGCTGTTTCTTTGTGGTGTCTTTCGGGAGACTGTCTTTTGTTTCTGGTGACAGACTGCGTGGGCTGGGTAAAGTTTCAGGGTCAAGCATATCTTCCCCAGCTCGGTGAACCTTTTCAATACTGGTTTGAAACTGGGCTATTTGTTGACTGGTCATGGTCGGAGGGTTGGGCTCCCTTGCCGATGGCATGTGGACGACGAACTTGTCCTCCCAATCTGTCATTGAACTTCCAGGCCCCGATACAGGCGATAAAGAAAAATTGGAATTAACCGACGAGTCTGTGTTGTTGTCAGTTCTACCAGACTTCTGGCGCCAGGTTTCATCGACACCCTGTCTTTTCACGCCCCTGCTGTTCACACGACGGCGAACTGGTTGACCTCTAGAGCTGTTTACAGAGCTTTGTGGACTCTGGGAGGTAGGAGTGGGTATCCCAGTCTTGGAGTTGAGTCCTTCGCCATTTTTCAGCTTGTATTTGGCGATTTCCTGTCTGGGAGAATTGGCGAGAGACATGATCTTTCGGTAAGCCCCCTGATAGTAGCCCTTTGGCCTGTCTCGGGTCTTGGACGGCAAAGGTGACTCCTTCTCAAACCTCTCTCGGACTTTTTTCCAGTATTGCTCTCGGTCTTTTCCCGCAGATCTGGGTTCGGATGGCGGTGGTGAAGCATATGCCTGAGCATCTCCCGCCTCGGTCTCGTCCTCATCTTCGATTTCTACTTTCCTCCAATTGCCATTTCTTCTGTCTGTATGCGACCTAGGCACCGGCAGTTTCGTAGCTTTAGTTTTCTGCATGGCGTATTGCGGCGGACTTCCCAGGCCCCTTTCTTGCGGAGATCCTGATTCCTGGTCCCCTTCGGTATCGTGTTCTGGTGTTTGGGACCTTCGTGTTCCCTGGCTTCTAAAGGCGTCTCCCGTAGGCTTGAAGTGACGTGGTCGTGGGTTCAAGTTCAAAAGGTGACCATTGGGCAACTGAATGCGCTCTTCCATCGCCGTTTGATGTTGAGAAAGGTGTTTATTCGCGGCTTTGTATCTCAACCCAGTAGGGGTTCTTAATTTGGCCCATGCCGTCAGGAAAGGATGTTGCTTTCTTCTTTTTCTGGAACCAGGCCGCAGATATCGCGTAAATCGATGGCGTCGTGGACGTGTTAAAGTTGGATCGTCGGGGGCTTGCGAGTAGATCGCAGAGTAACTTTGGGAAAACATTGGCCTAACTGGACAAGGGGCTGGCTACCTCTCTCTTCTTGATAATAATGTGACGCGAAGTGATATTATTGGAATGTAAATGTGCTTGCTGGCCATGCCGAAGAATGTACGAGCTGAGGGGTAGGAATAGAGGGGTGTGCTAGGAATGCGTGTGGGAGACCATTGGCTTGGAACGGTATGAGCATAACAAATGCGATCAGCGATAGGAATGACTATGATGTATGTTCCTGGATATCGACCTGGAACAATTGCACATGGTAGGAAGTTGCGAGAGACATGTTGAGTCTCACAGCAAGCACGACAGGAGAATCAAACACTCCGAAATCACATAACGTCATGACAAAACAAGAACATGGACATTTTTATCCAAATACAAGGTTCCATATAGGATATGCAGGACAGCATTTGAATCACTGATCACTGATGATTGTCGCATGTGTAAAGTGGTGCACACACCAAAATATAATACAGTGGCTAGCCGCGGTCAACACCGAGCATACATTCCTGGTTTTGGGAAAGCCCTGAACTAAACATAAACAGCGCCAAAAAACAGGTAATAACCATAAAGGTGGAGCTCCCAAACGCCTGATCCAATGCTGAATAAAATCACAAGATATAAGCACAGGAAACCTGTGACCATTTCAAGAAGTTAGGCGCTCCGTCAAGCAGTGCAAGGGAAAGAACATATGTAAATCGATGCGTATAATCTTTATGCGTCAAGTTGTACTAGAATCGGCCGGTGTCACGACGAGAGCTATACTGACTTAGTCTCGGTGTTGAAGAAGAACTCGTAAGACTTGAGCCTCCGGGCACACTACTTCGTTTTAAGGGACTTGACTGTCGCTTCATCGGGCTCAAGCCGTTATTCTGAACGCGACGATCAATATTTGTCGAAACAGATTTCCTCAATGGAGAATTAGCGTGGGAGAAAACCCCAAGACTGCCCCCATCGCCTGGAGCGCTTGGTGTAGGTCGGAATTGCGGCTGGCGCATGGAAGTAGGGGCACGGACAACTGGAGAAGCATCGCGCAAATGACTCGGTGTGTGCATGGAAGCTTGCTGGTAGCCTGGAGCACTTGGTGTAGTCATTGGTTGCCGGCGGGGCGATATGCCTTCGGGATCAACATGGCCGACATAGTTTGGGTTGGGACTTGTGGTAAATCCCCGGCGAATAACATGCGTTGGAGTACCGGGATCAACTCTATTGTACTTGGCATCAGAGCCAGGTTGAGATGCATTGGTCTCAGAGAACTGAGTGCCAACATCTCTCATCAAAGGTTGAGTCCGAGGATGCACGTATTTGGTGTCATATTCCTTGAGCACTTCCTTATGCACGAGTGTAGAATCCTTTGCCTGCTGTTTAAAGGATGTACAGAGGAACGACATCTGGATCGATAGCAGAGCCGTCAGGAACATGGTCGTCACAATCGTAACACTAGGTCTAGGATCGGACAGTTGCGTGGGAAGGAAGAGCCAGTAAACCAGAACATGCCCTGGGCTGAACATGCAGAAAATCCGCAGACAAATGGGCAGAGGATCCCAGACTGCAATCTCCCAAACATCTCGGTGCGCATCAGGGTGTACTTTAGACTCAGTCGATCTCGAAATCGCATTCGCAAAGTATCGTAATGGTGAGCCCGCCATAGGCGTCGAATCGACTCGTACACGCTGGGCAGACGGTGTTGCAGGAGCCTGGTTAATAGACGCCTCAAACATGCGATAATGTCGTTTGCGATGGAACGCGTAAAAACTATTGGATGCCGAGAAGAGGACAAGAAGATGAACGACGAAAGAGGCCTGCAGTTTCCATGGAGCTTGAATTAGCACTTGAATCGCATTTACACATCCCCAGGCAGAAAGGAGTTATCACAACGTACAAACCAGCTTAGCCAAGGTACACCTCCATCATCACCGAAGACGTCATCAACAGCTTTGCTGCCATTTGGCCGACTATTTGCCCTCGCGATGAGGAAAATGACGTTCAGAGCCAAACCAAGAGTAAACGACCAGTCCTTCTCAAACTGATCCCAATCATTGGTATCAATCTCTTCCGACAGCCAAAGGAGAAAGTCCAACGGATTCAAGTAGGATTTGATGCGCTCCCCCAACGGTCGACGGCGTACAAGCCGGGGCATGGTGAAAGAATAGGGGGACCCTGTTGGGGTCGGACAGAAGGGATATGGTAGCTGAAGCAAGTCAGAATAAACCGTCAAAGACAAAGAAAATGCCAAAAGAAGAGTTGAGGGCTAACCCAGCCTGATTACGAAGAGCGACCGAAGACAAGTTTTGTTTGCCGCCCCGTAAACAACAAAAAAGTGTACAAATGGAGAAGACGCTTAGATAAGCAAAAGACCCGCGGAGCCGTTATGACGAGGTCCGATCAAGTGAGGTTATCGGATTTGAGAACTGTTCAACTGTCGATCATCTCTGGTGCTCTGTTGGAATCGTATCTGAAGGCGTGGGAGAATTCGCAAGCTTCTCGGAACGAATTCCTATTCTCATCGAAGCCCGCTGTCAACATCCCACCTCTGCTCTCATCATGGCGGCCGCGGCCAAGGTACACCGATCAACTTCCCCTCACTGCTGGATACAATATGGAGCATTGTTCTGATTGTGCATTTCAAACATATAGGACAGACAGTTCCTTGCTGTCATTGGAGATGAAGAGTAACTTACTCCCTTGACGACTCTCCAAAGCATAGATGTACCTGTGCTAACCCCTCCTGCTCAGCTCCGTAACTGGTCTCCTCCTTGCGGGCATCGGCGTAAGTACCAGAGTATCCCAACTGGTCTGCTCCAAAGATAGGCTAACATATTACTTTCTTACCATAGCATGTCACCGATGGTCCAGACGCCCAGCGAAATTTTCTTGTGGTAGACTCTAAGACCGAAACCTCCACGATTGAGAAAGCGTTCGAGAGCTTCACCCAGGAACGGAAGGATATTGCTGTGCTCCTTATCAACCAACACGTTCGTCTCCCATTATATCACCTACACTCGCATGGATAGTAGGATGAATGCTTACACCCATGGATTGAAAATAGGTCGCAGAACGTATCCGCCATAGCGTCGATTCCTATTCCGCAGCATTTCCGGCCGTACTCGAGATCCCAAGCAAAGACCACCCATACGACCCTGAAAAGGACAGTGTATTGAAGCGTGTGAGACGGTTGTTTGGAGAATAGATCGAAAGCGTCTGACTGCTTGTTCTTCGTTGTTATTCTTGGGGCAAGGATACTCAACAGCCAAGGTGGTATAGCATACTATGGTCTATCATGTTTAGGAGATGCTATTCCTAGTACCTACTACTAGGATGGCAACCTGGGAATAACTGAGCTACGAGGGAAGATACCCAAATTTATCTGAGAATGTTATGCATCTACATTTCTTATACTCATGAGTTAGTAAAGCTGCTGCTCTGCGATACACCCGAAGAATTTGCGGCAACCACTCTAAGATTTTGAACTAGACATGGTGGCTGTTAAAAGGATGATTTCATCTTGGCCAAACACGATAGACCCATGGACATTGGCTTTGTTTAAATAGCGATACATACATGTATATGACTGTGCTGAGATAGCATGGAAATAGAGGACGAGTTTGAATGCGAAGAAAGAGCTCCGAACGCCACTAGAGGCACAGCACATCAAGTATTGAACAAAAAGCATCACGATAAACATGCAACCTGATTAACAACCACATCAAGTGTGGGAAAGCATTGAACGCGAGCATAATAACATGGGGCATGCATACAAGAGAGTGAAAAACAGCAGCTAATGAAGATAGACAATCAGGACATCGTAGACATATGATAAGAATCGATACCCCAGAGGATCAAGGAAGTTATTGAAACGTAATAGGGCATCGACTTCCGAAACCATGGTATGTGGAAACAGAAAGAATTACTGTCCGATCTTAAACTGAATGTTGTGGGCATCAAGGCAGGTAATGCGCTTTGATTCCTTGCTGACAACATCGGCGTGGACGTTGTAGGTTCCCTGTTGATAAGTGTATTAGAATTCGTCATGTTCTCAAATGTGTATCACACAACCGCAGGATTGACTCACCGGAGGAATCGCCTTGGGCAAGTCGACCTGCTTCGTCAAAGTCATTTCGCCCTTCTCCAATGGACACTCGAGGTCTACATTCCCGAGCTGTTCACAGAGGTCGATGCTCTGGTTGATGAGAGTGATCAAGCCATATTTGACCTCAACAAGAACTCTCGCCCCAGGCTCAACTCTTTCCTTCAAGTTACCGCTGGCTTTGATAGTAAGGGTCTGCCCACTGCATGAAGACAATTTTTAGTGGAAAGAAGAAAGGTATGAAATAAGAGGTCTATTATTTGTACGTACGGTGCAGGGGGGTTGGGCGACAGGTCGACCGACTTGATCTCCAGAGTGTTTGGAGAAGGATCCGCACAGTATTCCAAGGGGTTGTCCCCTGGCACAGGGTCTCCCAGGATCTGGATAGGTGACTGGGCGTTGAAGAAAGAGGAGACAGCTCGAGCTGAAGCGGGGAGAGGGGAGAGGAGAGCCAGACAGGCAGCGGTGGTTGATAAGAACTTCATGGTCACAGATCAGGGAGTTGCGGAGTAACGTGCTCAGGTGTAGATGGAGTATCGTCCTATCGGTTAAGAAACAGCAGACACTGAAGCAAACAAAGATGATGTACCAGAACGAAGGTGTAGTCGTAAGTTGCCATGCGCCCTGGAGAGGCGGTGACTCCATCGTGATAGCGCCTGCTTTGGCCGCTGGATGACGATTGGTGCACGTGATGCGCAAGGCGCGGGAACTCGCATTGTTCCTTGGAGACGGGCCGGGTTGTCTGATGTTTCCTGTTGGCAGGATGATGATGTTATCTTAACTGATGCTTTCTACATTATATCTCAAAAACATGATCTGAAATTCCCTTTGTTGTCTTTGTCTATCTACTAGCCACTCTATCTACAGTATCTGCGATTTAGTATCTGCACGGCATGTGGAGATGACCCACTCTCTTCGCTCCGCTGTCTCACGGATAATAGTACTCAGATTTAAGGGGAGGGGAATCATAGCTGTCCATTTCATCGCAAATATATATACATGTTTATAATTCCATCAAATAAATTACTAGCTGTCAATTTTAGTGCTCAGAGACGAAGACACCCGCCATACCCATTCCCTAATGTACAAGTCAGTATGAGAAATATGTAGAGGCTGGAGGTGAAACTTACTGTTCCAACACACATCGAAGTAACAGCAATTCTCTTATTTTGACGACGCAGCTCAGAGAGAGCAGTGACAACCTGGCGTGCTCCTGTACATCCCAATGGGTGACCAATGGCACTATAGATGATCAGTTGAATTCTTGGATAGACTGACGGGGGAGATTCCTCCTTACATTGCACCACCACGAGGGTTCACTTTTTTTTCATCGAGACCCAGCTTACTGACACAGTAAACACCCTAAAAATCAGTTAGCCAACCTTTCGTGACCTAGGGGCTCGGATTATCTACCATGGATGCAAAGGCTTCGTTGATCTCAAAGATGTCAATTTCATCCTTGGTCAAGCCAACCTTTGACAAAATCTTGGGGATGGCGATCGAAGGACCAATGCCCATGATTCTGGGCTCAAGGCCTGCGACAGTAGCACCACAGAACTTGGCGACAATGGGCTGTCCGAGCTCCTGCGCGCGCGATCGCTTCATAAGGACGATACCAGCAGCACCATCGGTGATTTGACTGGCGTTTCCACCGGTTGTAGCACTAGGCTTCCACTGGGGGAACGCAGCGCGGACTTTGCCGAGCGACTCGGGTGTAGTACCGTAGCGGATACCATCGTCACGGTCAACCACAACTTCCTTTACTTCACCAGTCTTGGGATCCTTGATAATGGTCTGAACAGGAACGATCTCATCGTTAAGCCAGCCAGCCTTCTGGGCGTGCTCTGCTTTCTGGAAACTCTTTGCGGCGAACTGGTCGTGTCTTTCGCGGGAAATGCTGAATTGACCCGCAACGTTCTCTGAGGTCTGGCCCATAGGCTGCTTGTTCTGCGAGGCAAGGGGGTGTGACATGATTTTGTCCGACATTTCTGGGGCACCACCGTCGGGGTTGGTGCTCATGCTCTCCGCTCCCACCGCAATACCGACATCGATCGAGCCAGCGATGATCTGGTTTGCAATGTTTTGGACAGCCAGCAAGCCAGAGGAGCAGAACCGGTTAGCGACTGATGCGGCGGCTGTGGCCGGGAATCCTGCAGCCAGGACTGCAGAGCGGGCGACATAGGCGGAGCCGGGGGCAAGAACGTTGCCGACGCAGACATCCTCAACAAGGTTGGGGTCGAGGTTAGACTTTTCCCGCACGGTCTGATATTCGGTTAGACATGGAAAGGCATTTCATTGACGAGGGAAATATACAGTCAATAGCGAAACCAGAAGATTGTCGATCGTGGTATCCTTCAATCCACCCTTTCTAGCTTTTGTGAGAGGCGTTCGCACGGCGAGTGTGATTACCTATAACAGCAGTTAGCATCACGCAAGGCATATGGTGAGAGAACATCAAAATATCAGCTGGACGATACGTACGACATCATCAGGGTTCTTAGACAGAAGTCTGTCCCTAGCCGATGCTGCACCAGGGCCAGAGAACTGGTTTGCGATGGAGGATAGTCGTTGCTGTGGTGTGGACATGATGTAGGTTTATTCTTTTGCCAAAGTTAAAACCTGGGGGTAGTTGAAGGAGGGAAAGAAAGAAGAAGAATCTGGAGAGAAGACCAGCTTCTCCACGACTCCAGACACCAGTATATTATAGTCCAAGCCAAAAAACGGCGCTGCAGAGATACCGCGGCTCATCTGCGACGCAGCGAAATTGACCGACGCATGGAACAGCTGGTAAGGCCGAACCGAAGAAACCAAAGATACCGTAATATTGAGGTTCTCGGAGCAAAAGAAAGTGGGCTGCGAGACCGGGAAAAGAGAGCCGAGATGCGCTGCCGCCGTTTTGTGTAAAATACCGTCACAGTGGACGCCTCGGCTGCTCGGCGAGTGTCAGAAATTAAGATGAATTGACTCAAGGGAGAATGCATACTCCACCACAGAGAGGAAGTGGACCATCGAGAGGGAACAGAGATGATGCCCCCGTATTGATGTGCTCGTTGGTGGGACAGATGAAACATGTTGACAGCATTGGTGAGCATTGGATTAATTCCATGCTGAGACAGTCAAGGATCATGGGAGGTCTCCCACGTTACGTATCGTACAACCCAGGCCAGACAGATACCTGTCTAGTGGGTTTTCCTTCTGTGATCAATCATCTATCAATTCCTTAACCCCCTCCTATCACGATGCTGGGGAGAAAGAAAAATCACCATCCACGATTCCACGGTGGGGGTGACCCGGTATCGATCAATTAAGGTATGTACCTATTTCTTACTGCCCAGGAATCCTGGGGGACCAGCCGAAGCCCGCGGGGAAAGCAACCAGAACAAAAAGGCCTGTCGTGGTCGGTTCGCAATCCGTCCGTTGACTGCCGGTTCTGTCGCGAGGAACTGTCATCGCCAATGTGCGTCATGGACGGCAGATTTCGTACCTGTCAGGTCCCGTCTCTAAACTCCGAGTCGGGCCTCTTCTTAGCCATTGATTCTGGCCTTTTTATAACTATGCTTCTCCCCGGATCCTGCTCCAGGAGATCCTCCACGGGCTGTTCGAGTGCGGGTCTCATTCTACGGCTTAACCTGGGGTATCTATCTGGAAATTGACACCATTGCTAACTTCGATCATTCCAAGCAACCAGGCTGGATACCATCAATTAGTTGAGTGATTGGCAATATCACCGTTATGGATTTCTTTTCTGAACTCTCTGGGCCTTCGATTGCCCTGGCATCCGCGGCGACTGCCACTGCGGCTGCCTATTTGAATGCGAAGCTTTCTATTTCAACGGATCTTTCCGCAATCAGTCTGGATCGTGCTTTTGACAAGCGGCTAGGGCAGCGGATTGCTCAATTGGGGGAGTCGACCACTACTTATAAGATGCTGGAGCGGCTGGTTAATGTCGACCATCGTGGTTCGGCAGAGGCGCTTTGGTTCGAGAACAAGACATGGACCTATAGCCAATTGAAGGATCGTAAGTCTCCAGATTGCTGATGAACTTGGATATGATAGCTAATTTGCCATTCGATAGTTGTCGACAGATTTGCTGCTCTGCTTCGTGAGAGAGACATCAACACAGGAGACTTTGTTGGTGTTTACATGACAAATTCCCCCGAGATGGTGGTGACGATCTACGCACTCGCCAAGTTGGGCGTCGTGGCTGCCCTCATCAACACTAATCTACGTGACGATACCTTTATTCATTGTCTTAACGTCTCTGGCGCCAAATCGATCATCTCGACTCCAGATTTGTCAAAGTTTGTCTGCGCCGATCTTCCTCATCTTGCATTCAGCATTTCATCATTTGATGGAATCTCTACTGAAGATGTAGAGCTTGTCACACCAACAGATTTACAACAATATTCTCCCTCGGGATTGGCTGCTGCCAAGAGGGCTCCTAACGACCTGGCCGCGCTCATCTACACATCGGGGACAACAGGAAAGCCCAAGGCGTGTGCTGTTCGCAACATAATGGCCCTTGTTACTTCCAATCCCAACAGCGTCGATGTCAAAAACCCATCCAAATACTACCCACTTCGCACCTATTCCTCCCTTCCTTTGTTCCATGGTACTGCATACTTTACGGGTCTTTGCTATTCTCTTGGCAATGCGGGTACCCTCTGTCTACGCCGCAAGTTCTCTGCATCTCAGTTCTGGAAAGACGTTCACGACTCAAAAGCCACCCGCATTCTGTATATTGGTGAATTGTGTCGTTATTTGTTGGCAACACCGCCATCCCCCTATGACCGGGATCATGCGTGCATTGTGGCGACAGGCAATGGACTACGAGAAGAAATCTGGGAGCGATTCCGTCAACGATTTGGAGTTCCTGAGATTCGGGAATTCTATCGGTCAACCGAAGGTGTGGCTAAATTTGACAACCATGGCGAGACCGCCTGGGGTGTAGGAAAGATTGGATTCTCCGGTCCCATCCGACGATTCCTCGAAGACGATGTGTTTATCGTCAAGTATGACAACGACACAGAGATGCCTTACCGGGACCCAAGTACAGGTTTCTGTGTTAAGGCCAGACTAGGAGAGGAAGGAGAGGCAATCGGAAGGGTCCGAAACCGTGGTCTACTGACTGAGTATCTCCACAACGAAGATGCAACCGAGAAAAAACTGCTTCGAGACGTGTTCCAAAAAGGTGACTTATTCCAGCGCACAGGTGATCTTGTTGTCCGAGACTATTCCGGTTGGGTGAAGTTCCAGGATCGCGTTGGAGATACGTTCCGTTGGAAGGGAGAGAATGTGAGTGCGGGAGAAATCAGAGATCATATCTGCAAGATCCCTGCGGTTCATGATGCAGTTGTATATGGCGTGAAGCTGAGCGGGTATGGTGTCCCTTGAAATTGTCGAGCCCACACACTAACATTAACTTTTAGATACGATGGTCAAGCTGGTGCCGCTGGTATCACCCTTGAAGACCAGTCTTCTGCAACAGAAAGTGAATTCATGTCCAACCTTTACCGTGAACTCAAGAAGAAGGGTGTTCCATCATACGCATTTCCGCAACTCGTCCGACTGACTGAGAAGTAAGCTCAACCGACTTGCGAAAACAATAGATCTGTCGCTAACAAATACTCTTAATAGGGTGGACACAGGTGTAACCTTCAAGCAAGCCAAGGGTGACCTGGTGAAGAAGGGATGGGATCCTCGTGTCGACACAGGGGACAAGTTGTTTTGGTTGAATGGAACACAGTATGAGAAACTCGATCAGTCAGACTGGTCATCGATAGAAAGTGGGCAGGCAAAGCTGTGACATCTGTTAGACCTGTTTGTATATTAGCGAGAGTGGGCATATTATATATTTCCATTAGACAAGACAATATATTGATCATTTCGGATTTTCTTTGCAGCGAAATCAAATCATCTTGATCATAACGAAAGTCTTGACTCTATGTAGAGTACTAATGGTCAACACGAATTTCTTCTTGCGGGGTAGCTGATGGACTCCTTCAGCTGTCAACAACTTCCCCTCCACCATCGTCAGAACACGCCATTTCTTCCCAATAAAACCGGCTCCATAGCCTTGCATCTGCATCGAATATTGCTTGCATCCATTATCAACATCCAGTTATATTCAACCAATACATCCCTGCAACAGAGATAATACTAGTCGGTAAGCCACACAGCCAAATCAAGATTCACCTTACCCTGCGATCAACATCCCTCATCCCACCAAGCCTGCCAAATGACAATTTCCACCCATCCACTATCTCGCTAAAGTAACTTCGTATCAAGGCTAACATTCGCCTAATCCGGCGGTAGATCGAGCGGGGTTACATTTTCCTGAGATAATGAGATTTTCTTTTTCCCCCGATATGACAGACAAAAGAGCCAATCCTCGCGTTCGTATAACCAAGGACTTCCAAGCCAGCTTTGAAGGATTTATTCTTTGAATAGCAGCCATGGTAGCTGCAGAAACCCAACCCGATGGGCAAAATGCCTCAAAATCTTCGATTCACGAAGAAATCCAAGACGCGCCGCTCGATAAGAACACGGATCAGCCAATTGCGCCGGATCAGTTTGACGAGAAATACCACACCACTAAATGGGAGATATGGGCTTACTACTCGTGCGTAATGGATTAACTCGCACAGAATGGTGGTGGCTAAATTTGTTGGCTTTAGTTACTACATTGGAAACAACGGGTTGTCTTTATTCAGTGGGTTTATTTTCCGCTCAAATGACAGGAGCAGAAACGGTATTGACTGATCCTGGTAGACTTTGCTCCAACCGCATTTCAAAATCTGCTTTCTCAAGCTGCTGGAGATGCAGGCACACTCGCGTTTGCTGGGAAAAGCCGTTCGATTAACAGTATTGTTCTACTGTGTAATGGAATTTCCTTTGCCATTCAGATTGTCGTCTTCTTGGTAATTGGAAGCTTTGCAGACTTTGGCGATTGGAGACCTAATATTCTCATTGTCCTTTCCATCATCGCCTATGCTATTGGATTTGGTTGGCTTGGTGTACACACCGAAGACAAATGGCGAGTTGGCGTGGGATTGTACATTGTTGGACTCATCGCCTACCAGACAACTTTGACCTTCTGGACCGCGGCATTCCCAGGGCTGGCTCGGAATACGATTGAGATGAAGGAGAACGCAGATGCATACGCTAGTGGTATCATCTCGCGCGATGAGTACGACTATGCCGACACGATGAAGCGTAGCCAGCTGGCCAATATTGCGTTTTACATACAGTCAGTTGGGGAGATATTTATCCTCGCCATAATCGTTGGGATTATGTTTGGACTTCGTGTTGATGCGAGCGAAGCAAATAATAATTGGGGCTTGAGTGTGCTGATTGCTTTCGCTACTGGTGTCTGGCTGCTCGTCTCGTTGCCGTGGTTCTTTCTTGAAAAGCGACGACCGGGTCAAGACCCTGGGAGGAATATCATTATCGCTGGGTTATCGCAAATCTACCATGCCATCAGACAGATATGGAAATTGAAGCAGAGCCTGGTATATCTGATTGGTAGGTTTTGAATGGCTGTTCTTGCGCGAAAGACAACTCATCGGGCTATAGGTTATTTCCTCCTCGGTGACTCTTTGAATACAACCGTGACTGTGATTAGCACTCTGCAAAATGGCATTGTCGCCTATAATACCCTGCAGTTGACCTATATCCTGATTGTCGGTATTGCTGCTCAGGTGCGTTGACCAGAGCTATCAAATCCCCATACAAGTGATATTAACAAAGCGTCACAGGCAGTTGGCATCTACACCTTTTGGTTCACCCAACAGCGATACAAACTCGACACCAAAACCATGTTCAACGCCATCGCATTCGCAATCATCCTCCTAGACGGCTGGGGTATGATTGGTATCTGGACGAACAAGTTCGGATTCCACCACGAATGGGAATTTTGGGTAAGTCTTCATTTTACACACACCGCACCGTACCGTAGTAAACACCAATTAACACGAACCAGGTCTACCAAGCCTTCTACGGTCTCTTCGTCTGCCCCTGGTACAGTTACTCCCAGATCATGATCTCAGAGGTCACGCCCCGCGGCCACGAATTCCTCTTCTTCAGTCTCTTCAGCATCATCGGCAAGACATCTTCGTTTATCGGTCCGATTGTTTCGAGTGCTATCATCGATGCGACGCCATCGAGGAATGCGTCTACCCCGTTTTACTTTCTGTTTGCGTTGAGTGTGGTTAGTTTTGGGATTTTGGTGATTGGGGTTGATCTGAAGAAAAGTCGAAAGGAACAAGAAGTGTTCCTGCAAGATAAAGTGCGGCGTCTTGCAGAGGATAGATCATCATTATCGGGGTGAGTATGTAAATGGCCGTGGCTAGTATATACCATTGTTAAGCAATCACTACATGCTTTTCATACTTCAGCGTCTTGAATGCTAGCGGGGTACTTCTATGCATTATCATATCGTCATATATCATCAGTAAAGATTTGAAACCCAATAGACCAAGTGGTACTCCAAGATTTATATATCCCGTCCAGCCATCCGTACGACCACCATGTCAACACTTTTTATATACCTGAAAGAATTACAAGAACCAGGATGGAAACTAAACCCGAAGACTTGCAGAGGGCTGACCGATTAAAACTCAAATGCCCCAAGTTCCGCTGCATGACTCTTCTCCCAAGGAAATTCCTTCTCAACCGAACGAATCAGCTCTTCATGCACCTGACTCCGGGGCTTGATGTCCATGTCAAACGGCACGGGGTGGCTGATAGCCCCCGGTCGGAACTCTACTGTGGGTCCGACCTCTTTACCATCTTTTATAGCCGGGGCGATGTCGAATACAGCCAAAGACATGGCAATGCTAAGATAGATGTTTGAGTCTGCTAGTGTTCGGCCTGGGCAGACACGACGTCCGAAGCCGAAAGAAAGGAGATGTGGATCGCGTTCGGGGATGTGGTTTTCGGTATTGAGGAACCGTTCTGGTTTGAAGGCCATTGGATCGGGGTATATATCGGGATCGTGGGTAAAGGCCCTACGTAGTCTATTAGCCATAGAGAGAAAGGAGGAGGAGGGGGCGTGGTTGGACAAGTGTACCAGATATTTGAGATAACGATTGCACCCTTTGGAATGTAGTATCCCTCGCAGATATCCTCTTCAATGGACTGGTGTGCCACCCCTGATGGCACGACTGGGTGCCACCTGAGTACCTCCTTCACCATGGCGTTGATGTAAGGGAGATGATCACGGTCTTGGTAGCCAGGTAAGCGGTTGGTTCCCACCACACGGTCAATTTCCTCTTGTGCCCTCCGCTGTGCGTGTGGATTCAAAGCCATGACCATGAAGAAGCTTGTCATCGAGGAGACAGTCTGTAGAATTGTAAGAATTACGAATTCAAATCCAAGGCTAACAACTCACGGTATCGGCTCCTCCAGCATAAAGGGATCCTGCAGACCCCTTTAATATAAGTTCCTCTTCGGAACCTGGTTGCAAATGACCCTGCTCTTGCAGTAAGTGGGACAAGAATGATGGCTCAAATGTATTCTGGGCCAATTTTCGTTTCACAAATTCATATGGCAAGTCGGTAAAAGCCGTGGCTGTTTTCTTAAACTTGCTTGCAATCTTCGTGAAAGCCACTCCTGGTACCCATGTAGGCAGGTACCTCAAGAAAGGAATAAAGTCCACCAGCCACGTTCCAGGCTGGAGAGCTAGGGAAAATTCGGCCATGCCCCGGTCGCCCAGATCAACCAGGGGATCACGACCATGTGGTTCGATGGTATACCCATAGCCAACTTTCAGGATAATAGCACCAGCTTCTTTGCGGATATGATGGATAACATCTTCGGGGCTATTTAGAACACGCAGGAGGAAGCGACGGGCCTCTGTTTCTTGGACGTGATTGAATCGGGAAACGGACAGGTTCGAGCCAATCTGTTGGTGAAGTATTTTGCGGTAACTACGGAAGCGGTCTGAATATGGTAGTGTTCCCAGGATGAGATTCCAGCCTGAGAGTTCAGAGAAGACACCTGGAGGTCGATCTGAGTGTATAGCTGATCTCTTTTCCAAGAGCTCTACCGCAAGTCGGGCTTCATTGAGGACGACGATAGTTTGTCCGAATGCGGTGACAGAGGATATGGGGCCTGAACAATGTAGAATTAACAAGTGAGAGATTTTTTGTGGCAAGGTGATACTAAGGAAATACCATAGAGATCTTTGTGTTTGTACCAATGCTTCCAGTCCTGATCACCGACTGATGGCAAGTCCTGTAGGTTGCCGATGAAAGGTTTTGGTCGAGGGCCTGGAGGAAGAGGTGGGTGATGTTTCTGGGGAGTGAGGAAAGACTTGACAATGTAGAGGCCAATGAGGGCAACAATGAGACTCGCTATGAAGAAAGACATTGTGTTATTAGCAGATGGTTGATACGTAGAGGAGGAAGGAGAGAGACAGCAGACAGACCATATTAAATAACATCAGCAGCGAGGACAGCCCTAACCCCCGGAAAGATCGAGCAGATATCATGGCGGTAGAGAAAGAGGGGTATAACACGGAAAAGATCTCCAAGTGTTGGCAGATTCGTCAGGAGTGTTGCACAAACAGGGATGCCTTAATTAGGATGCAAGACTAGCTGCATTGTCACGTCCAGGAAGACGGTGAATGAGATGTTCTGACCGATCATGTCTCGTTTCCATGTGATCTCAGGCCAGATTATAATATCTGGTATTAATTAAAATGCCACTAGGATGTTTTAGCATATCTGCCTTGATCCTATAAGAGTCTATCAGATTACCAATCATTGCATGCGATTTCATGCTAACGACATCCTTGTCAGCACTAGTAAGCATGAAGTCATCTCCATATATCAACCACATCGTCCTCCTCGAACATCATCATCTGCAACTCACTCATCATGGACTCCTCTCATGGCATCTCCCTTCAAGTCACGATCTTCATCAAGCCAGAAGACCTCCCGAAGTTCTGGGAATCATTTATGCCCGTGTATAACAAGGTCATTGCCGAGCCAGAATGTACCTTTTTCGAGGTCTACCAGTCCCCCGAAGAGCCTGGGACGCTGTCATGGGTTGAGAACTGGCTTGTACCACCTTACTTTGGTATGAATGTTGCTGATACTATACTAGGACAGAGTCAACGGAATGGTTGCTAAAGGTATGCTGCGCCATGTATGCTGTGTTGTGTTGGATGCTGACTGTGAAACAAGAACCAACTCACCAAGCCGTACTACGAGGATTATTTCGCTACAACGACTCCGATGTTTATCAAACCACGAGAGGTCAAGGTTCTCAACCGTGTTGGGCTTCAATACACAATGGGTAAATAGAAAGGCTTTGTGGACTATATATAGTAAGAGCAAGATCATCCAATTTGTCATTATATAAACATCCTAACGTGCATACAACAGGATATATACCAATAAATCAATTGTTCAATGAATCAGTCCATCCATCATTTGATAACTCCTACCTCACTTCATTTCTTGATATCATGGCACTTGGTATAGGTGGTTGCATTCGCAGTCTGCTCTCGTCAGCATCATCATCATCCACAGCATCGTATTCGAATCACATACCCGATGAAACATCAGTCCACAGTATTTGGCATCGTCCTTGCTAGTCGTCTGGTAGACAACGCGATATTTCCTGGGCTTTCCACCACCGAATACCTTCCCGTTGGCCAGGATAGGGAATTCAATCAGGTCCTTATCACAGTTGGGAAAGTCGAGGTGCTCCTTGTTGTCGAATTCTTGGGGATAGCCCGCTATATAATATTAATATGAGGTCAATTTCTCTGTGAGTAGACGCATACCTGGCTGTGGTCCGTCTGGACCGGTAGTGTCGTATACGCCCCGTTGGGCAGCGGTTTGAATCTGGGTTTGGTTGAAGCGTTGTCCTCCTATAATACATTAGTATCTATATTGATATAAATGAGATTAACATACCGCAGTCAACACCAAGACTGGGAACATCAGAAATAGTTCTTCTGAAGAGCGTGCTGTGAGTGGGAACAGCAGTGGCAAGTCCCACGACGGAGAGGGTAAAGATGACTGTCTGGAAAAGCTTCATGATCAATCCCGTTCCGAGCCAAAGTAGAATTATATTAAGAGATATATTAAATCCAAGCAGGTGATTAATTAATAGCCGAGAAGAAAAGCTGTTGATGTATTTCCCACCCAAAAAGAGGCTGCTGGAGACTTCTTATAACCCTCACCTTTGTCGATCCCTTGCACCCACCCCGCAGCCATCCTCTCCCAAATGATCAGCATCCAAAAACCTCCGACCAGAACCGGTTCTTGCAGTCATAGCTGTTTTTTCTATTTTCTTGGCTTTGGGCCGAAGCCAAAACCGCTCAAATGTTGGGATTTGCCGTTGTTGCTTGTCGTCATGTTGGCTGGGCTGTTACCATGGTTGTTGTTGTTATTGTTGCCAGTGGCTGCTGTGGATTCGGGATGGCTTCCTGAGATAGGTGATATCTATCTGTCTTTCATGAGACTTGTTGTTGGTTTCTGAACAGTAGGCATAAAATGTCCATCTCCACCTCCACATTGGGCATGTTCATCACACCCCGCAAGCTAATGACGATCACTTGGCAGGTTGAGAAGGCTGAAGCTATTCCGACATGATGTAACCAGGCAGGATGCAAGTCCTTCGTGTCACAACAAAATTATCAACAAAACGCGTCAACGAACATGAATTAATCATATTCATTTGAGATGCGAAGCATCTAGTGAATGTCGCTTTTTTTCACAAGTCAAAGTTGAATGCATCTACGAATTATTCTCCAACATCACCATCCCAACTGTCACAGACACGCGTTCTTACAGAAACAAACTTCAAACTGTGCAGATATCAGCTGAGTTTTTAGGGTTTTATCTATGGAATCGCTGCTGAATTCGCCGATATAAATACAGTTCACCATACTTTTTGTCTTGCTCGCGGTGGAAGAGCTCGAGCGCAGGCATCAGTGATATTAAGATGATCGCACAGTATGACAATGGATATACTTTTGATATGCACTGGGTATATCTGATTACATGTCCATCGACAGCCGATGTCAAAGTCGGTTGCAGCATATGCAAACTGCTAGACTTGTTGCGGACGCGTATGCCATGCCGCGTAGGTGATACATGACGAGTAACTCCTGTAGGATGTCAGACGATATAAAATGGTATTTGATACTGTATACACATGGACAAATAAACACAGCTTTTTTCTTTCATAGCATACATAGAATATAACAGGAAAATACAACTCCAACCCATGCTAAATATGCCGTAGGCGCCTTGTCTCTGGAAAGGATAACAGAAAAAGTGACCGGATATAAAAACGAGAAGCAACCGAACATACATGACGTGATCAAGCCTCGTCGTCCGAAGCTGCACTCTCCTTCTTGCTCTTCTTCTTCTTCTTCTTTTCCTTCTTTTCCGAAGTGTCGACGTCGGCCTCGGCCTCGGCCTCGCGCTTGCGCTTCTTCTTTTCTTTCTTCTCCTTCTTTTCCTTCTTCTCCTTTTCGGCAGCCTCCAGATCCTCGGGTGCCACAAAGGCCTTTTCGCGCTCCTTCATCTTCTCCTCGCGCTTCTGGCGCTGTCGCTCCATGACCTCTTCCTTCTGGGCGCGGTCCTTAGCCTCCTTGGACAAGAAGTACTCGCCCGACTCGATCTGCAGGTCCACCTTGCTCTTCTCCGGTGCCGGAGGGAAAGGAGTGTAAACCTTCTTGGTCTTGTCGGTGACCTTGAAAGGTGTGTGACGCTTCGAAAGAGTGCGCTTCTTGAAGTTGGGCAAGAATCGATCCCACGATTCGGTCGCCAGCGTAGGGTCCTTGGCAAGCTCCCGCTTGATCATGAGCTCTTTAATATGGTAGATCGGATGAATGTTGGCCATGCAATCATTGATAATTCGGCGAACCTCCTTCAGTCCCTTGTAAGGTCCCATGGCGGCGACCGTATTACCCTGAACGAGGATGTAGGTGCTTGTCAAGAGCTCAAGGGCTTTCAGTGTAGAGCCCGATGGTCCGAGGATACGCTGACGACGCTTCACGAAACGGTCCTTGTTGCGAACTTGGTTGCGGATCTTGATAACATCGCATGCGACATCGTCTTCAAGGATTTTGAGGGCCTAGAAAAAAAAAAAAAAAAAAACAAACATTAGTGAATTGCCAGATAGAATCGGAAACGATGAATCCCACCTGTTGGACAGGCACACTTCTGGAAAGCAATTTGATCAGATCACGGGCCTTGAGAATAGCGGCAGGGTCGAAAGTTTTTCTAGTGGTCTTGACCGTCATGCTACCCTCGACCAAGTCAAGAGTACAGGCGATTCCATGCTTTTCTAGCGCTCTTGTAACCACAGGCCAGGCCTCCTTCAGGTACTGTTCACGGTATTTAGGGAAGAGAGTCGCAAAGGAAGACTCCTCTGCGAAACTTCCAGCGATATTATGATCGGGCTTGAACGGTTCGACCTATCGCAGATTTGCAGTTAGACACACAACGTACGATTATTTTCTCCTCTCTCACAACTCACCTCCCATTTGTTAATGTCGTCCGTATCCCAGGGCTTGTCCTTCTTATATGTGGAAGGCATCTTGGGCGTTGCCGTGTAAGTCAGTGCTTCTGGAGCAGAAACAGTCTGGATTGAATCGATAATTGTTGTTGAAGCAACTTTTTTTCCCCGCCCGGGCGGCCTTACCCAATCCGGTTACACTAGGGCCTGAATATCCAGGCCACAATAAGGCACCACTCCTCTTTGCGCCATAAGCGCCCAAGCGCCCGATCGATGAAGGTTGAGCGTCTATTCGATGTCATTTCAACGTGTCTCGTTGACAGCTTCGAGCTTAAGATATCACCAGCCATTTCTCTCATTTTTCATTATGCTACACACTATTTGGAATGGCTAAAGCATCGCCGAAAAGGGGAAGCTATACGAGTCTAGCAAAATGCGCCCGGTTACACCGTATCCCATGACAACAACCAGAAGTTAATGTTTCTTGCAAATAGGGCCTGAGATTATGCTTCATTGTGCACTTTGTAGGCTTGTTTTGTCAGTGATATGTTAGAAAATGCAGGCACCTCCAATGCAGCTACCAAGAATACGTAGGGTGCTGTCTTTCTTCGGGAGCGCCTGGTGGCAAGAGAGGTGGGAATCAGATCAGATCACGAAGGACTGCCAACTCCAATTCTGCATCATTATTTGTGTCAAATATGACCGAACCCCGAATGCTGACCCGCGATAATGGTTATGGCGCACCATGTAGCTATCAACCCGTAGAAAGACAGTCGCTGTCGAACACGCTCCCTCACCGCAACGATAGCACCTTATCATGACGAGATCGAAGCCCAAGATATGTAAACTGTATGACAGAAAGATATAGACTCTCTGATTCGTATTTGTAGTTTAAATCTGGGTGCAAGTCCTTCCCTGATTCGGCTGGGCTGATGTGTCAACGGACCATGACTCGCGAGGGCAGATTGAACGCTATCGAATCGACCCAACAGCCTGGATCTGGGTCAGCTGTCATATTCATTGGAACAGCTTACCGCATAACTAGAGACGCCATAGCAGGTCTCGTCATAGAAAACCCAAATATGGTGGCGAAAGAGACGCGATTCTGTGCCCGGCAGACAGTGGTTTTGGTGTTGTTTCCCCGTTAAGGTTCAACCTGACCCGTCAGTCTGGTTCCGGGCCCGTGACGAGAGACGGTCGTTGCCCCTTCGTCGTCCTCGCCTCTTTTTTTCTCATCGTTTGCTGGCCTCTTCTGACATCGATAGCCTGTCGAATCTGGCTTGGTTCATCATCAACAGATATGTTGTGTGTTCAGAATATCGTCCCGATTTCCGTGATCTACCTTCAACGGCTTGGGCGGCCTTAGTGTCTATCTATGAGCTTTGTTTATTGGCCTCAGCCCTCAAGCTTCCCTCCTTCCAATTAGCGATCTTGCTATCTTGCTGCGCCCGAACCATGACCCACGAGCCCACTGCCGATCGTCTATGAGCAACCTTAAATAATTGGTGTTGACAGCGTTAGTCCAGGAAAACATGGATGTGATGGATAAGACTGCTACTTGGAGATGTGGTTTCACCTAACCCCCACCACGTAGCAAGCGGCGGGCAGAGCATGTGCATCGAGTAAATTTTGACCAGGTCATGCATGTTGCTTGGTATTTCGAGTCAAGCACAACAGCTTCGCCTACAACATGCCGACATTGGTTAGCCAAATGCTTTTTCTCGCTATCCACGACCCTCTACCCCAGCAAGTTGGTTTCCTGTGGCCTCGTCCATTGCGGATATTTGGGGTGGCACCTATGCGGCCTCGGGGCCTTCTGCGCACTCCAAGTTGTGGACGGCACTACAGCGTTTAACTTCATGGCAGGATGGACAAGACTTGATGACATGGTCCTTTGCAAGGGAACACAAAAAAGAAATGAAAATAAAAAAGGGAAGAAAGAAAAGCACACATCATTGGCTGGTCACTGCTGATTTGATTCGCAAATCAACCATCGAAATCATAAAGAATCTAATCTGCTGATAGGGAAATATGTCTGAAATGCGAGCTCATCTCGAGCCAAAGTTACTGGAGAACGGAGCCTCTGCGTTCAGGGCCTAAACAACCCATTTGGCTATGGAATATCAAGCCACGTGCCCCGGCTCACATTCTAGGGCTTTCGACCAATGCAAACATACCTGTCATGTCAGATTATCGATGGCTTCTGTAGAAGATTGGTCACCTACAAGGGAAAATACGCCTTAAGACCAGGCGTGTTTGCCTCTCGTCGAGCTCTATCCGTCAAATCCTTGAACTGCTCATGGGGCATGTGCAGACGCTGGGTAAGCGGGTAGAGCCCAAGAGCTGGAAGAAGCTGTTGGATGTTTTCGCGGTTGGCCAAGCCAATATCACGCATCCTCGGGTCTGGTTCCATGTCAAGAGAATATTCACGGTTAGGAGTGCCTGGCTTACCATTAGACCATGGGCAAAGAGGGAGTGGGATCATTTTCACATCCACCTCGACTAGCCCAGCTGCCATCAAAAGATCTCTCAGTCGTGTCACCACACGAAGGTCTTTACTGTCCTGGAAGGCGCCCATAAATCGTGTGCTCCATTGTCTCAAGGCATGCTGTTCGGTGATCGAACCATTGTCCGATTGAACATTGAAGTACAGCTCAACTAATTGTACCCAGCCTCCTGGCTTCAAAACCCTATACCATCTCAGGGGTCAGCACGGCAGTCATCGGATTTTGCTCCCCATACACATTATCCAAGGGTATTGAAAACCACACCTTTTAATATCTCGAATATAGCCTGGCCACCTGGATCGATTTAGGCCTGTTGACAGGAGCCGCGAGTGAACGAATTCGAAATAATTGGAAGGGAAGGTGAACGGTCGGTTCAAATCATCAACCTATACAAATGTGCATTAGTAACAGCTGTTTCAAACAAATGTCTTCAACAACTCTCCAGTCCATTCAAAATTCCGATGAATATTATCCCACTGGAGTCTTCAAATTTCCAAAAGGGACTAGGCGGATGAATGTGTTGAGCCTTCTATGCAGGCTTGCGGAAACGGTAGAAAATTCCGAGATCAGTGCATGGCACACTCACCTGCAGCCACAAATTTTCCGGTGTATCATCAGGCTTCATATGTGGTGATATATCGATACCGATTACCTTTGAAGTAGCTGCCTGTTAGCGACTCTGGAAGAGAACAATGTGGTCGATCATCAGGCGTTCACCTCGCAGTCTGGGTACTGCTCAGCAACTTCAATAGCCCATGTACCAGCACCATACCCGCAATCCAAAACTCTTTGAGGTTCTCGGATAGGTGGGAATATTAGTCGATTGTCGAAAACCTTCTGAAAAACACGATGCTGCAGCTCGAGACGATCTGCTTCTTCCTAAGAACGACCGTCAGAATCGATACAATAGCCCGGTTTTCGGTGCCTCACATCATCCACAGGCCCAAAGGATATGCGGTGATTGACTGAGTACTTCTGATACTCGCGACCTTGAAAACTTATCGTATCGAGATATTCATCGTCCAGTTCTACCGTTTGTGTGTCCGGGTCCCTTGAAGGTCAAACGCGAAATGTCAGTCTTCTCATGCCTAGCATCGTCACCGGCGCAAGGCGTGGTACGTCATTGTTATCCTAGTGCTTTGATGGTGCTTTTTTCAACCCACGGTGTCTCTGTGCGTATTGAGCTCAGAAATCGGAAGAGGGGTGGCAAGGAGACTTCATAATCGGAAAGCGCGTTCTGTTATTGCGACGGTAGACAACGGGCAATGTGCAGTCCTTCCTCCCAAGTGAAGCGGTCAAAGGGATACGAGAAATTCCTCAGTATCAAAGATACTCTCAGACACAGATACTGTTCGGATATCTTCAATCGTGATATGAGGAAGTACTATGCGGGACTCGACGTCGTACTAAAATGTACGGACGGTGGGAAAATCCACTCACTTAACCTATCCGCTCAGCCCAATGCCGGGACTGCAAACATTTAGGTTGTTTTACTTCAGAGCGCAAAAAGCGAATCATGAGCAGTGAGGTTTAAACAACCAACATGTCTGCTGAAAGATAAAATAGGATCAGCAGCAATCCTTCCTCAGGGCATTCTCTTGTTATGTGCCAACGAAGCAAGCTTCCCATATATTTTGTGTGAAGTGTTCCGTGGCTTCTTCCTCCTAACCTTCACTACAATGCCCATTGGGCTCTTACAGCCAGGGACGCCCACAGCAAAAGGAGGGGTGGGTGCCGAGGCGGCAATCCGAGGGCTCGCCGATACCAACGTGATTGAGTATTTGGGTTGGTTATGACTGATTATCCAGCATTGGTTCCACTATCGAACTGAGAAATCTTGGGAGGCAAAAGGTTTTTACATGACGCCGAGACTTGATTCAATCTAGCGCATTGAATGCAATTTATGATGCAAATGGCTTCTTCGTGTTGATTTGGAGTAAGCTTGGTTTTTGTGTTGCTTTGAATATGCTTACGCTGTGTTTACGGGACACTAAGCTTCATCTTTCTTACAGGCCAGACAATGTTGTTGGCCCGAGAATGTCAAGACCAGGACATTACACAGCCACGAACTCGAAGCAGGAAAATACTGACAAAGAAACATCGAAATACAGAATACGAAGTGATGTAATAATCATAAGTCAGGGGAATTAAATCGCACCAGCCGGCATTGACAGAAACAATAATGATTGAGAAGGGGGAAGGGAGAGAAGGGTCAGCGAGAAACCACCATGTTAAATTAACAATACAGGAATGAACTACGAATACGAAAGGGACGCAAAGGATTCTGAAAAAAAATATATAACTAAGAAATTGGCTGAAATTAAAGCCGGCCTGATACCAGGTGCCATACGAAGTGTTCTTCATTATTGAAGCCATATTGCATCCCATCATTTATCGTGTCCGCTTTCTTTCCATTTAAGGGGCACATTCAGCTAGCAAAGAACCGAGGAAATGAATAATAAATTATAGCAACATCGCTTGGCTTGAGTGGGGAGAGAAGGCAACTTGATTCTTTGAAGACGGGTCAGGGATCAGCAATGCACAAGGCGCAGTATAGAATTCTCGAGGAGCGCCGTCAAAATTTCTGTGTCTGTGGAGCACTGGGGGTGATTTCTTCACTTTCCTCACCGCTCCTTCTGCAGTTTGAAACAATGGCACTGCAAGCCCCTTGGAGTGTGTCATGATCGGGATGGGTGGCAAGCGTCCGTTTTCGGCCTTCAAACCCTTCGAGAACGGACCACTTCGTTTTCATGGTACTTATTATTTGGCTATTACAAGGGATTACGGCCGAGACCTTGATTGTGGATTGATTCCGAAAGACCCAGGTAAAAAGTCACAGAGTATAGCCAGGCTATCTACTCATCCGATGCTCCACTGCTAGAAGAAAATGCAACATTTTTGTGGGCATTGCATGGGGTTTGTGCTACCTCTGGAGATTGCGACTCGACGCTTGAATAGGCGAAGGAAGACGCAGAAAAAGTGGGTGCAAAACAAGCGGCATTCTCTTCATGGCCATTGACATGACCATTGTGCTGCAATATCATGATGACCAGCTTCAATGTGCGGTACTTTTGCAAGCCCTTTCTTCTAGTTGGCTTCTCAATGCGTGCATGAAGTTCATGCATGTCGGGATGACCGGATGGGGCCCAAAATTGACAGCGTCCAAGCCGTCGGGTCGTTTGTCAGGATAAGAGGAATCACGACGGCCCGCACAGGTTGAGAGTGCATTGGGGCGGGTTGGTTGCGAACCCAGCGCCATGGTTCATGCGCGGGAACGAACGGTGAGCTCAAAATTCGGGGGCTACGGCGGTTGGGCCCGTTAGTGCCGGCCCACGAGGATTCTCTAGCTCGCTAACTGATTGCGTTGGGAACCAATTTCAAGAATCAAACTATCAGAACTGCCAGAATTTGACACCGTTGATGACGGACCAAGGCTAATCATGCGACTGATGTGGGTTACTTTGCTCTTTCGGTCGCTCGAACTCGTGTTGGTAAAGGAATGGTGCCTATTCGATAATCACGATGCAACAGTGGCCTGATGACAACCAGTCTATCCTACGCGGAATTTTCAGGGCAGTCTGCGTTGGGCCATGTATCGATTCCCGATAAATTTCAAGCTTTGCCCCTATGATCCCAAAAAGTACAGGGGCTCAAATAGGGTATGTCCGTGAAGAAATGTGGATCAAATCAAATATTTCATTCCAACTATGCGCAATGCGGTGTTAGCCTTCTCCTGCCAAGAACAACTGCTACGGCCACTTTGACAGCGAAATGATCTGAAGTTGGCAAATCCTATTATTAACATGATAGTAGTCATTAATCATTTTCATACTCTGACCCACATTCACCTCACTTCATCCGAGCCAGTCATATACTTGACGCTTGCCGTAACAAGTTGCATCACAATTTGGATTTCCTCCTCATTCCGCGGCGCATAGATAAATACGAACTCCTCTGGCAAACGGAGAACCTTTCCTTTGGTGATATATCGAGTAATGGAGCAGCCACACAGGGCGTGCCGTTGTCCCCATTCAGACTCAAATACCTTTTTGCCTAGAGTTCATAGCGATGTGAGTAACACTGATTTTGAAAACTGCAGAAGTTGAAAACAAAACTTGGCGGGATGATCTTACAATCAGCCGGTGACAATACCATATGAACGGAATAATCACTTGTGCCGTGGATGTGTGAGATCTCGCTATCCATCGACTTGGACATTGATGTCCCGGAGACATTATCCGTCACAAAAAGGGCAGGTGTCTGCTTTTCAAGTCGGGATGGAGACATCTTGACGAGGTGTAAATTCCGAGAGGCAAAAGCCTGGAACTCCTTCATAAGCCCCTATACTGATTGTTAGGACATGCCGCTTAGAAACAATCGCTCTCTGGCGAAGGTGGCGCATACCTCTTTGAGACCCTTATCGATAGTTTGGCTCAGCTGTCTTTGGGGTATAACATGCGGCCCAACAACAGGTCGGCCTCCCTGCCTTAAAGGCACTCCCGATGGCAGAAAACTCTTATCCTCGCCAGTGTGAATCTTGTGTTCATACGGACCTGTGCCAAACATTTCTCTCCCGAATGGACGCAACAATACTCCCGCTACAATCCACCCGAACAGATTGTTTGGCACCCCGTTTGGTCCATAGGATACGAAGATGCGGTAGTCGCGGTATGCGACGGGGATCACGAAAGCCAACACAGTGGCTGCGATCGTAGAGATGGCCAACCGTCCATGTTGCCAATTCTGAACGCTCATACTGATTCTTGATAGAGCATCTTGTGCTTGGGGGATCAAGGAGAGCACACGGTCCGCCCTGATGGTTGCAGTTAAAATCAATTGAGAGGATAGAAAAAGCTAGATGTGTAGAAACCCTTATATAGATCGAGTAGCGAAGTAAATATTTGAATCTGATGAACATCTAACTCAACGATATCTACAAGCTTAAATATGATTGATTCTCTATATGTTGCGTCGGACGTAAACTACCTAAGTCCGAGCGATTACCCCATTCGGATATCCGATTCGGAGATCGTGAGATCCCCGAATGATGGGATTGTAAGACCACGAATGGGAGACTGCCATCGCAGCTGCAGAGATATTGATGACAAGGCTATGCATGTTTTTGGGGGCCAACAGTTCTGATTATTGCATCTGCCTGGACATTTGTCGTGGATTATTACAGGATCATAATGATTCATCGGGCACCGGTTCTGGTCATGACTCTTTATCTAGAAGACAATGGCGAGAATTCTTGTAAGTATTGTAAAGAACTTATTTTTAGATGCGTCTATGAGGGCACTCTTTGGAAATGATGAATTGGGAATCATCAACAGTTCACTTCAAAACGGGATACAAAAGCATTCCTCCATGATTCACGCCGGGGTATTCGAAATCCGTAGATAAAAATAACATCACTTCATCTCTGTAGCCATCCATGCTCAGTCGTATAAAAATCTCCAGGTGGGGGATCAATTAAATAGATCTACCCAGTTCACCCCAAACCTAGGAATGGTGTCTCAGGCAGTCAGTTCAGTTGCTGATCCAAGTTGTGGGGATCGAAGAGCTACTCCATAAGCAACGGAGGAATCGGGTACGTGAGCGAGACAGATCAGAAGTAGTGACTGTTGCGGATCCTTAAGGATCCAAGTGGTTGAAGCTGTGGAGTATAATTCCAGCTCAGGGTATATGCAAGGCAGGTAGATTTCATAATTCAGATACCATGCTGCTTATTAGAGAGTATGGCTGACATTGCCTTCAGCCATCGCGGTCCATTGTGTCGACAATTTATCGTACCGAGTAATTCGACCGGCTTCAGGAAGCAGCCCAGAAGTCACCAACTTAACCAAGTGACAGTACACGTTCAAGTGCAGGAGATCAGTCTTCTTTGCTGATCGAACTCAACGCATGGGCAAGTTTAAGCAAAACGACACTCTCCGTCGCAGCAAAATAGTTTAGACTAACCACAAAGTCAGTGTCACCTGTGAGCGTCAAAATGACCGAAGTACTTACCTGTCCATCAAGATCCGCAAATGGCGGCTGAAATGATCTTCATATCTTTTCAGTGTGTCCTCTAGCTTACCAATTCGCGACGGGTCATAACCTCTTGTCTCCGAGCTAGAGGCTTTACCACCAGATAGTTCTGGGTCGGCCGTAGCCAAAGCTCGTGCTAAAGAGGCAGCCGTCCAAGATGCGAACATAGTGCAGCAAGTCATCAGCTTAGAGTGTATCTACAGTCCAATAGTTAGTACTCTTCTGATGCAGCAAGCCATAATGGTAACGAACCTTTAATAGTTTCGCCTGAGTCAACATACACTCTTTGAGGCATGTGTCCAAGAAATCAACATGGTCCTGCATCAGCTCATCGACAGTTCTGTTGACTTGTTTAGTACCATTCACGGTCACCTCCGACCCATCCGCATCAGTGCCGTTTACCCTGCCCATCAGATTCTGCCAGTTGGGCTCAATGACCTCGGCTGTGCAGAAGTACAAAAGCTGCTGAACAAACACAAGCATTTTCGAACGAAGATTCCACGCTCGCCTCTTCCACATCTCCAGTCTTCGGTCAGACGATTTGTTTCGCCAACTGAGAACCTTGGTCTGATCCAGCCAAGAAGTAACCAACAATCCCTCCAGGTGTCGAAGGGACAGAAGATGGCGGAAGATAAGTTGATACCGAAGAACAGTCTTTCGGCTAATAACGAGAGAAAGAGGAAAGGGAACCGAGTAATCCAGCTCGAGAGCATCAAACCCAACAATGTCCTTATCATCCTCCGCACCCTGCGTCGTGGGCACTTGATATCTCTCAATCGCTGCTTCTGGATTGTCTTGATCGATACCTGAGACGCTCACGACTTGCATCAACCACTTTGTGAGTCCAATTTTATTCATTCGCACCTTCACATCTTCCTTGAACGGATCTTGCGCTGCAATACTTCCTGGATGACGTAACACTAGATCAAGAAGTGATTGAAGTTTGTTTTCGTTGACACTCTTCGCTGGCTTGCGCAGCTCCGATGCACCGAGTTCGAGGAAGTAAGAAAAGAAGTCGGAGCGGTCGAGGAAAAAGTAATGCTTGAGAGAGCGGAAACGTGTGGTTAAAGAGTTCTTTGTCAAGAGAAGGTTTAGTAACGACGCATTGGCATAGGTGTAGGCCCCGTTCACGTTATCCAAAAACCGAGGATCATCAAGGGTTTTGGGGACATCTTTGACTGCTTTACTGATATCCACCCCGCCACATTCACGAACCACGTTGAGATATTTTCCAGCCAACAGAACCTTGTCTTTCACACTGTCTAGCTGCGGAGGAACCTCGTTGTCTCGAATCGTATATCGCTTCTCCCAGTATTCGTCTGTGTAGTCCTCTTCAAGCTTCTCCCGCTTGATCCATTTCTGCTCCTTCACCAGGAATTCCGCATGAGGGTCCTTAATGCCTCCGTGATGTAACCATTCGTTAAGCATAGTCATATAGGGGCGGCTGGCTTCACGTAGCAGAGTCTCTAGCAAGGTCTTGGTGGTTGGGTCACCCGAAAATGTCGCTAACCGTTCAGTGAGTAGTCGAAGAACGTTTCCTCCCTTGCATATCCTCTTGCTTGACATAGCTCCAGGAACCAGGTCTCCACCTTCTTTAAGCTGTTCAAGAATATTATCCACATCGTCGAAATCGTCAATAGATTCGTCAAGATCTTGGTCTAGAAGCCCATTACGCCGGAGGAGCTCTTGGCCGAGAGAATAAAGCTGGGCTAAGCATTGCCCCGTAGGCATGGTGTGTAGGTGAAGAACATGGAGTGTGAATGTGGGGTTGTGCAGCAGCTGATTCTCGAGTTGGGCGATGAGGATCAAATAGTCCTTTAGCAGCTTCCGGATGACGGCACACAGGGCATGGCTAACTGCGCCATACTCCGCGCGACTCTGTATTTCCACAAAGGCCTCTAGCGCGCTATAGTGTGTTGCCATCTTCAGCATAGACATGGTTAAATCCCTCAGAGTTGGGTCCAATCCTGGTGCCAGCTGAAAAATGGGGCCGGTTAAACGATCTTTCTCCACGGATGGGTCATAAGAGCTGTGGTATTGAATATATTGTCCTTCAAATCCCATGAAGACGAATAGTAGATCCTCCAGTATAGCCGCCTCTTGCGCGTCTGCGGAAAGCTCGCGAAGCGATTTGGGGTGCAGCGATTGCGGCGTTGCTGAGGCCAGGGGAGGTACCGACACGCGACAGGCCAAGGGCGCCGTGGAGTGAGGAATCAATGATACTTGCGGATTCCATGGCACTGTATAGAAAGCAAAGTTTACTATGGTTAGCAACTGGGCCACAACAAATCCGTAGACGATGTGATCACTAACGCTCCGCAGGTTCCTTTTCCTTCTTCCGGACATTGGGACTGCCTTCTGTCTGACTAGCCCTCTTGGACCGGCTCCTCTCCCAATCGCTTCTGTTTCCTGCACCGGCTGCTTCCTTCACTGGATTCCTAGACCGAATCTGGCCCTTCTCCCTTGTGTTTACTGGACGCTTTTCGCTCGTAGGATTCTGCTCTCGGGGCACTTTGCTCTTCTGGCTCGACGTACTACCGCGAAGCTGGTCCATATTGTCGGGTTGCAAAGGGGATGCTCCGTTACGTAGAGCTGCCTTCTCAGCATCGCCGGCGCGACTCGATGCAACGCGGGGTCGTGGTGCGCTCATGTAACTGGCGCGACGGTCATTGACGGACATAATCCCGCGAAGAAAACAGCGCAGGATGAGTCATCCAGTATATGACTGGGATACTGATATCTCTAACAAAGTAGTAAAAGAATACAACAATAAAAAAACAAGACCAAAGGCAGCAATTGGGCGACGGCGACACGTCGGGAGGAAAGCATCTACAGCACGTCCCGAGAACCACAGGGAAGTGACGGAGTATGTTGCCTTGTTGCCTGAGGCCGTGGTCTGGCAGTAGCGCGGTCTCTCCGCCAGGCATTCAGCGGACTTGCGTAGACGGAGCTTCACCTCAAGCTCCCACCAGAACAACTCTTAATCCATCTCCACTTCCCCTCCCCTCTGACGGCTACACTTTACGATTATTGCCTTTTGCATCTGGCCGTTCTATTTTTCCTCATTGCCTTTTTCGGATAGATCAACATGTTCATCGCGCGATCGGAATATGGTAAGCTTCATGACACCACTCTCCGATGCAGTCAATCTAACAGTTCTCTCGATAGACCGTGGAATCAAGTACGGATCCTTACGATGACTTCCTTGTAATACGACTTGTTATACCCTGTTTCTGACGATGAATCCACAACAGCACCTTCTCCCCCGAAGGTCGTTTGTTCCAGGTCGAATACTCTCTTGAAGCTATCAAACTAGGTTCGACAGCGATCGGTGTACGTTTGAACATCTCTGATAATGCTTTCTGTTGGGAAATTCTGTGAATTTTTATCATAGAAATTTGGGAGGAATTGCTATAGTTAAAGAAAGGGTAGCTGTTCTGACCTCTTGTTCAGGTAGCAACATCGGAAGGTGTCATCCTGGGTGTTGAGAAGCGTGTCACTTCCACTCTCCTTGAAGCTTCCTCCGTGGAAAAGATCGTCGAGATCGATCAGCACATTGGCTGTGCCATGTCCGGTCTGCAGGCAGATGCCCGAAACCTCGTTGAGCATGCCCGCGTCGAGTGCCAGAACCATGCCTTCCACTATGCCGAACCCCTGCGAGTCGAGAGTACCACTCAGGCCATCTGTGATTTGGCTCTGCGCTTCGGAGAGACTGGCGATGATGAGGAGACTGTCATGAGTAGACCTTTTGGTGTTGCCTTGTTGATTGCGGGGTTTGATGAGGACGGGCCTCAGCTGTACGTTGGATGATTTCCCTTAGTCTCACCCCTCCTTTCTATGGAGTTGGATATCAACCACAAGAATTTATACTAATATATTTCCCGCGACTACAGGTATCACGCCGAACCCTCGGGTACCTTCTACAGATACGACGCCAAGGCCATCGGATCCGGAAGTGAGGGTGCGCAGGCGGAACTGCAGAATGAATACCACCGCTCCTTGACGCTGGGGGAGGCTGAGACGCTAGTTTTGAAGACTCTTAAGCAGGTTATGGAAGAGAAGCTGGACGCCAAGAACGTCCAGCTGGCCAGCGTGACCAAGGACAAGGGCTTCCGTATCTACGGTGACGAGGAGATGGGAAGAGCTGTCGCACAGCTTGGCGGCAATCAATAAACGAAGAAATTAATGCACGAACGAATGAGCAGGTCAGGTATCTCACATAGAATGATTGGGTCCTGTGTGGGCTAGTATCTATTCTAGGAGCAAATAGAAAACAATGATGACTTTTGTCTAATGTTTAAGAATCTCAAAAACTTTTTCCTTTTGGCCCCTAGATTATCCACGGTGCTTCTTCGCGGGAGGGACATAAATGCAGTAGCTCAATTATATACAAAAGTCCCTCATTCACATACAAAATCGTCCTTGCCATGGTCTACCGAATCTTATAGACACAAGGCTTAAGAGCAGCGGCTTCTTCCTCGGGTGTCATGTTATTTCCCTCGGGCTGCTTGTCGATGAACTTCTTCTTTCCTGGCCCTGATCCGCCGGTACCAGTAACAGACGCATGTTTGCCCTTTGTGGGCGTGCCGTGCTTCACAAACACCATCCTGACAAACATCTTGTTGGACTTGTCCACAGACTCAGGTTTGAGGGTGAATCCACGCGTCCGGAACACTTCAACGAAAGTGGAGATATCGGTTTCATCGTTGTCAGCGGCCGGGCGGGCATCCTCAGCGTAGATGTCTGCATCATCGGCATCTGAGCCGGCATCATCGTCGGCACCTCCGCGCTTCTTCTTCTGCTTCTTCTGTTCGGCCTTGCTGAGGGGCTTCTTGGCGCCGATTTGGGCCTTCTTGCGGTTGACTTTTCCAAAGCGACTCTTGACCTCACTAACCCAGCATTCGCCCTTGCCGTCACCGCGCAGCACTCGCCATGCCTCCTCCACAAATGACACCCAGTTGGTGCCCATCAAACTAAGACAAAAGATAGCAATATCAACAGAGCCTTCTTTAACGGGGAGGTTGGAAATATCCGCTTTGGTGATAAGTTGGTTGGGGGCATGCAAGTCATAACTAAGAAGCTTCAGGTTCAACTTCTGTGCAGAGGGTGTGAGTCCGCTGGCGAGCTGGGCGTCACCACATCCAAGGTCAGCAATGGTACACAATCCATTGGGTCGGCGGGGAAGGGCCAGCGAATTCTTGTTCTTGTCGGGTCTGCCACCCTTCTTCGGGGCAGATGAGATCTTGCCTCGGGACCGAATAGCTTGGGCGTAGCCATCAACGGGGTTGGAGGGCCAAGACTCCTTAACTTGACGCGAGAATCCAGCATGGTATTCATCAAACAGCTCTGGGTTCGCGGTGAACAGCTCAAGGGCTTTGGCCGAGGGCGTGGTGTAGAGGGTTTCATTCAGATGTCGGAAACGGGACGAAATCAACTTCTGTCGCATAGCTTGCTGGAGAGGAGTAAGGGTTGCCTGGGTCGTTGGTGGTGCCACGGGTAAGGACTCATTGCTTGGGGCTGCCGTGGTGGCTTCCTCGGACCCGGGCTGCTGAGATTTGTTCTTGTTCTTCTTTTGCTTCTTGTTTGCCTTCTTTCCTTCACCCTGAGCTGGTTCCTCCTGCGTGTTCGGCTTGGCTTCCGGCTCTGCGTTTTGTTCTGCCTGAGCATCTTCGTTCTGCTGCTTCTGTTCCTTCTTGCGCTTCTTTTCCGGCTTCATGGAGTTGTTATTCGCATTCTGCTTCTTGCCTTTGGGAGTATCGTTCTGTCCTTCGATATGCCGGCGGTACATCTGATCCACATTGCGCTTGGTGACATTATCATTATCCCTCTTGCGCTTGTTCGATTGGGCATTGGGTTTTGGTTCAGATTTCTTCTGAGCTTGTGGCTCGGTCTGCGCCTTGAGAGCAGAGGTCTCGACCGACCAACCTGGGACGGCGAACATGGTTGACGGTTAGGATTAACGACTAGTTCAAGGAAAGTAAGGTTCGATCGGTCTTTCTCAAATCCACATCAACCCCCGTAGATTCGCAAATCTCAATAGGCCGTAGAAGGGTTTGTCGCGGCCACTGGAGTGCATCCAGAAAATTTTTGGCGGTGAAATCGATTTTCACTCAGCGTTACATTTAGTGGTGCGAATTGTATGGAATTGGCGTATTGATATGTATTGCCGTATTGCACGTGGTGTTTTGCCGTTTTTAAATAAAGGCGGTCAATCCCCATGGACCATCGATCGTGATGGCTTGATTGATAAGCGATTATACAAGTTTATCACCATCGATTTTCAGAGAAATAAGTTCATTTGATCTTCTATTGACCTGGTGTTAGATAAGGAATTAGAATAAAGTAAAAATGTTGCAATAGACTGTGTTGAGACTAACGGTGTGAACATAAACGCTGCACGCTTCATGTAATTCCCCAGATAACAATAGCGAAAGCAAATCAAAGCAATCTCTATTGTGCTCTTTTCCGCTTCTTCAACCTCATGAACTAAACTCAGTTTGTCTATCAAATGCAAAATAAGCATAATTGCTTGTGGGGAATATGAATTCGAGTACATCGATGGCCTGAGGCCACGAGCTGATTCCTCAGGCATCAACGATCCCCACTCCCCGCGAACCCCAGTCTGTACGACTTTACCGGAATCGTTTCCTTTCATCCGTCTTATTATCCGTCCTGGATATAAGATATGGCATCAAAGCGTCTGCTCTTAGCAACTCTGATCACTGTGTTCCACCATGGGAGACCAGAAAAATCTGTCACAGTCGGTCAATGACCCGACTTCATCTGTGGGAGCTGGTCTCGAAGTGGGTGAAACCACAAAGGGCCCGCCGACGACTAACAATGCGCCACAGAAGAATTCCAGGAAACGCACCAAAACAGGATGCTTAAGTATGTTGGATTCGAATAGCCTCAAGCCATGGAATAGAAATATCATCGACTAACTATAGGTAGCATGCCGACAACGGCGCATCAAATGTGGCGAAGAGAAACCCATTTGCGCCAATTGCATCAAATCAAAACGGGATTGCAAGGGCTATGGCCAGCGGGTGGTCTTCAAGAATCCAATTGGTCTCCATGGGGTATACAATTCCCAGCAGCTGTTGAATGCACAGATACAGCCCATGCCAACGGTAGTCCCGTTTGTCACTGGATATGAGAATCGCCCTCTTCCGCCTCAAGTTCCCCAACAGAGACCGGCAGGCAGTCGTCATCCGATCCTGGCACCAAAACCATCTGGATTCCTGGCTGTTGGGCAATCTTCACTATCAGCAACAGGTGCCACTTCACAACTAGAGCCACAAGCAGTTAACCCAGCTTCATACTACTACCAGCCGTTTCAAGCACCTGTGCCTTTTCCTTCTGCATTTGAACAAGATTTGGGGAATAGGCCACTGGTATCAGCGGCTGAAGGTTCTTCTGGGCAGCAAGATAATGGGTCTCAGCTAACTTTTGACCCAAACAATACGCATCGTGATTTGGGAGCTGCTCCCAGTCTGCCTACTCAAAACCGCCCCAATGCTTGGGAAGCTCCATCAGTAGCTGTAGATATTACCCAAGATGCGTCGCTTCCTCCCTTCCCCGTCCCTGGGCCCCAGGTATGGATAATTTCTTTCTGTCTGCTGGCTTACACCCAGTTACTAAATCATGTAGACTTCTAATTCCTGGAACCAAAATGCAAATTCGCTTCATTACGGACCTAATCAAGAGCAACAGCAATTCCATATCAATGCGCCATTTTTATCACCAAATTCATCTCTCCAATACATGTATGATGAAGAAAGTGATGACTATTACGATGTTGAGTCCGACGAGGAAATGGCGGGCCAGACACAGGCCCAGGATGCCAACCAGCTTAGCCTCATCATGGCCTCTGCATATCAAGATGACCAGCGCCTCCGCTCATTTACCACCCATTTGAATGAACCCAATATCCTTGCTTCCTATCGTCCCACCCTGGGCTCGTCCCCGCTAAACAATCCTAAAACGGCTCGCATTTTTATCCACTTCATCCACTCGACGGGGCCATCTTTATCCATTTTTGAGCGACACCCCTATGATTCATCACTTGTGTTTGGCGGCCCGGTGCCGGAAGCACAACAGGGCCTATGGACCTATACATTGCCTCTCAAGGCGTTAGAGCACCCGGCGCTGCTCCAAGCCATATTAGCAATAAGCAGCTTGCATATTTCCTTTTTGCAAGAAGCTCCTCCGACTGTGTCATTGAAACATTATCACTACGCATTAAAAAGGATTGGCACTGCAGTGGGCCTGCCTAATCGACGTAAACAGATAGGCACCCTTGCCGCTACGTTACTTTTGGGGTACTACGAGGTTATGGCTGCAGAGCACTCCAAATGGAACAGTCACGTTGCAGGGTCAGCTCAATTGGTTCGCGAAGTTGACTTTGCTGGAATTGCCCGAGACCTTCGAGCCCATAGACGCAGAGTATTGGCTCAACAGGATTACATGGCTCGTTCCGGTTCGTTGTTCGCAGATTACCACAGCTGGAACAAAGTTTCTGAAGGCGACCCATTTGCTGCGAAAGAATTAACCATCGATGAGAATCTAATCGGATCGATAACCGGCCGAGCAATCAATTATGATGAATTCGGCAAGGTTGACGATGGACAACCCCAGCACTCTTACAAGCACTTTTCCAAAAAGGATATTGAAAATTTCCGGATCCAATCTGATCTCTACTGGTGGTATTGCAAGCAAGATATCATCCAAGGCATGATCAGTGGTAATCGACTCTTGTGAGTAAAAACTTTCTCTGGAACGAATGCTTCATGGCTAACAGCACATAGTATGCCGTACTTCCAATGGGGACAATGCCCTCCACGAGCTGGCGTGGGCAGGTTAGATGCCGTTTATGGTTCTACCGACCACATATGGCTCTTACTGGGTCGTATCGCAGATTTCGGCTATCGCGATCGAAAAAGAAAATTGAAGGCGGCGAGAAATACCGGGTCGGAATGGAAACCGACACCTGCACTGTTCAAATTCATGGGCCGATTTGCTGGTGGCGGCAGGGGACCACCTCCAGGTCCCCCACCTGGTGCACCCAAACCGCCCGGCATGCCTCAGTCACAGGGAAATGCCCCAAGGCCCGGAGGAGGTCCACCTATGTACGGAATGGTTCCTTCTCGTGGACCAGTTCGCCTACCTTCTTCCTTTGCCAATGCTGGACCCAGGGCGACTGTAGTTGAGGACGAGGACGAAGAAGGAGAGGATATGACCTACAGCGAAGCGGAGAGTGAATGGGAAAGCATTCTAGCAGCATGCGACACATTCGCTCAAGCTCTCGGTCCTGATTTCCAACCTCTATCCTCTGATATCACTCCCCCGATATCGACTCCTTTCGGACCGGCACTGCAGTACCGCACCAATACAGTGGCCGTGCTGTGGGGTTTCTACTTTGCCGGACGTATCCTGTTAAATAGACTCCATCCATCGATGCCACCCGCCATGATGGTAGCCGCAGGGGTGGCCGCACCAGCAACCGCAGAGTACGCCCAAATTATCGGAAAAATCGCCGCCGGTATCTACTACCCACAACGGTTCAACGTAGAAGCGGGGAGTCTAAGCCCAACCCTCGGATCTTCCCTGACTGAGATGACTGTGTCTATTTTCTTTGCTGCGGTGCAATACACAGACCCCGCACAACGCGGCTGGACTATCGCCAAACTACGAGATGTCGCCCGCCTGACTGGTTGGAAAACATCCAATGCTATAGCATCCGGGTGCGAGAATTCCTGGGTAGTGGCTGCAAAGCAGGGTCGTGGTCCTCCATACTCTAGGACTAGTGAAAATGATCGCGGACGTGGACATTTGTATACAGACGTATCTCAACAAGGAGGTGCCGTGAACCCCGAAAGGCGATTTGTGGCTGTTAGCAAATCCGACCGTCTTCATTGGGCGATGGGAATCTTGAGCTTGGAAGATGATCTTAATTCGGAAATAGACGATCGGGTATAGGATACAGGAGAACGATACGCTCTACTCTGCTCCTTCGAAGATCTGCTTTGGATAACATGTGTTAATAAAATTAATGAGTGGTATCGTAAAACTCTTATATATGCGAAAATTATAATTACATCTCATTCCCCAGCCGTGAGAAACCGCTCTATCTTTTTTGTGAAAGAGAGGCATTTCTCATCCACAAACCGCGTATAATAGTGTGCAGCATATATTGTGATAGCTCCCATCAAAACCCCCGAGCTTATCCACGTAGTATAAAACGTCCAAGGAGATTGAATCGCCCCTTCACTACCCGGATACAGATCTTTGTGCAGAACCAGCCAAATGAAATTCTTCACGGGATCGCGCCATAAGTGGAAGATTGACTGATGAACAAGATATAGAGAGAAAGATATCCTGCCCAGGTATTGAATCGGACGGCTGTTTAGGGGCCGTTGAAGGACCTTCAAGCCACTGATGGCGAATACCACCATCAGAGAACCGATGGCTGCCCAGGAGGCTGAAATTGTGCCCCAATCGCGCCAGTAAGAGGGCTGGATGAGATTGAGGCTTTGGTATCCGAGTGGTAGGTAGCCATCATCTCCCAGGCACATAATGTAGATGCCAACGGCGAAGGTGATGTATTTCCCAATGCGTGCTAATGGGACTTTTCCGATATTGGGTAGATTCACCTCCACATATAATGGTAGCTTGTTTTCATCCTCGTCCGCAGCGCCTGTTCGTATCTCTGCTAGATACATTCCAGCAACAAAGCAGAAGATATCCCACAAGCCATAGCAGAGGAAATACAGCATCGTGATAGCAAGGGCCCAAGGTCTCAAGGCCGATCGCCAGCCAGACATACCCAGCGTTGCAAGGTAAATAACACACGACCCGCGGACTTCCATGGGCATCGTCCAGAGTTGGCCGTTCAAGCCTGTGTTGTTTTTCAGGTCGATGATGTTCATGTTGTCCATCATGTATCGCGTGAGATATTGCAAATGCGACCACGGCGACGTCCACGGCTCCACGCCTTGCATCAGAGCATTTTGGAATTCCCAGTGATACATGCCGAAGAAATACAAAAACTGTGAGATGGTCGCAATCACCAGAACGGGGAGGTAAATTCGAAACGCCCTCCGCGTGACCGACGACGACAAACGACGGAAGAACTGAGGCGTGTCTCTTCTTCTAGTCAGGGCGTATCCTGAAATAACAAAGAAGAGAGGAACCATCGCACGAGCGGCGAATAAAAGACGGATGGGAGGAAGTTGGATTAGTCGTCGATTTTCCTCGGCGGGTTCAGCCCCGAACGATCGGAATGGGAGGGTGATTTCGCCCATGAAATAGTGGTCAAAGGCGACGATGGCTGCAGCGATGCCTCGCAGTCCATCGAGCCACTGTGTGCGTTCCATCTCGTCAGTCAGAGTTGAGATGGATAATATGATGCATCAAATCTCCTGTCCAGATGGAGGAAGGTGTTGTTATATTTAAGCCAGCAGAATCAGTCGTGCTGTGGGGACGGCAGATCTATAATAGGGGATGGAAGAGGCGCTATTGCCAGCGGAGTTTAGCCCGACTGATTTCTGAGACAAAATCCACGATGATGATAAAAATAAGCATCACGATCGTCGCCTTGGATTTATGAAGCTAAAGTAAAGTGACTGGATGGAAATGGATGTTGTCGATCTGCTGCAGCCTCATCACCTGACTGCATTGCCCCATTCCTGCTGGGCCCCTTTTCCCTCTTTCTGCCCAACATCGCCCAGTCTTTGTTGCATCAAATGCAGACCAATAATAGAAAAATGCATCTCAAGATGGATAAAATACGCTGTTTGCAGGAATATAACGAGTCCCACCGCGCCAGAAAGAAATCTCGACGGATCGACCGCGATCTTCGGATAGACGCAAAGAAGCGGAAGAAGACGCACAGGATTATTGTCACAGACTTTGGAGATCAAAGAGAATCGCTTCTGCTAATGACCAAAATTGATATCGTACCTCGTGATGGTTTTTCTCGCGATCAACTTCTTGCTCATCGAGATACCGTCCGCAAAGCCATTTTGAACATGTCCCAGGAGGTGGTGATGCGCATGATTAAAAATGACTCGTACGATGCAGAGCGTGGCCGTGATGATGCCCTCAAACCCCAGAAAGAAGATTTCTATCGACATTTTCGGCATATTGAGCCTGATGGGCCCATGGATATCACGCCGGATCTTGTTGCTGCCATATCCAGACTCTACACAACCCCAGAGCTTCTGTCCTGCGTCGAGCTCAGTGCCCTTGGAGTGTTCCACTGTTCTTATCTTCCATAGTAAGACTTCTTTCATGATATGAGCCAGCTGCTAACAATAGCTAGCTTCTATCGAGATATTCAACGAATCGCTCAGCCAGACTACATCCCCACTGAATCTGACATTGTTAGAGCTGTTAGATCGACGTGCCTTCGGTTCCTTACGGGGGCACAAGTCGCCCTAAGAATTGAGAATCGAGATTTAAATCTCATCTCTCTTCCCAGACGCGGGGAGAGGAAGAAATGGATCCATATGTTTGATGACTGTACAGCGATTACTTTCATCGTGGATATGACACCCTATGACGGAATAATAGAATGCGAGCTTTTAACAGAGCTTACCATTCTCTTAGAAACAATAACCAAATCTTCATATCTTCCGCAGCGCCCAGTAATCGTGGTCCTAAACAATTTGAGCGCTTTCAAAGAGAAACTCATTCGAGTTCCGTTTAGCCAATATTGTTCAGGTTATACGGGAGACGACAACGATGTCGAGAGTATCGTTGGATACATTCTTCAGCAGCTCAAACTAGTCAACCAAGGAAGGAACAAAATTTATCCTTATCAGGTTGATTCAATAGATTCCATCAACTGGGCTTATATCTTGAAGGATATTAATGAACCGAAACGCAATTCAAGGTAAAAGAAAAAGGGAGATATGAGATTGTCATGGGAATTTCATCACGGCCTTGTGTATGAACATGATCTTGCACCTTCATGAAGATGCTCTAGCCATCTATCATGAATGTGTCCAGTTCAGCATTGGTACCTTTGTCGTCTCTGTTCGAAGAGCTATCTCAGGTCCAGGATGAATCGCCAGGGGTATTTTAAACGCATGGGTGACTCCTAGCTGGCTCGGTCAATGACCCTTCAACGCCAAATTATGGGATTAATCAATGTACGACCTGCAATCTTTTGAGGGTCGATTGATCGAAAAACATCTTTGGCCCGAACAGCCAACTCCTTGCCTCGGGGCTCTGATTCTAGACCAGTCTAGCTACTAATATTAAGGATTCGGGATCTCTATGATCTTGCTCGCCAATTGTCAACTCTTGGCGGTAGAATATGTGCTGCATGGGGTATGCAATTCGGTGGTTGGATAGTCGGAGGAAATGCTTTGGCTACCCGAAGAATACAGGCCTACCGCAATTCCCCAGCGAGATAGAGCCTGATCATGGGACCGCATAGTGGGAACATGATATGCATAAAGCTGGGGGATTAGATCTTGTTTCAGAAATGCCACGAATCATTGTCGGGGTGTCCGAAGGGCCATACATGAAATCATCAATATGACCCCGATAATCCCCATGATGAAGCTGCTGACGACGACGATACTTGGCATTCTTGATAAATATTCCAAATCCCACAAGATGTGATGGCTTAGCTGAAAAAACAAGCAAGACAATGACGCTCTTATTGCAGTGTGCCCTTGCTCATCATTCTTCCGAAGCACAACATGGGAAGCCGCATTGGAGAGCAACATTGGCATTGCGAAAAGCACCCCAACATCGGGACCTCGAAGAATGATCTGACATGTTTCCATTCCTATCTCGTCATCTTACCGACTATCATCATCCCGATTATTCTCGACAAGACCTCGAATATTCTTGAGTCTCACAAGATCTGCACGTGGAACGGGAATCCCTTCCGTCGGGAATGTCAGACTTGCATTCCCATTCCCGAGACACGGGATTCCCGGTTTTACTCAACAATATTATTTAGAGGCCGAGTGTGACTCGAATTTCATCGGCTCAATATCTTTATACTCTTCTTCTCGTTCATATTTATTCCCTTGAGTTTCTCTCTTATCCTATTTAATCCATAGGCTCTTCGTCGTTCAACCGCCAATTAATCGCCCGCTTGCCCTTTACCATCGCAATTCGATATAATATCGAGCAACTCATTCACAACATGCCTTCATCCAGTTTGTGTCAAGAGGACACATGTACTACATATGGCTTCATCGACGATTACAGTGAAGGAGCCCATCCGCAAATACTCGAGGCTCTCCTCCGTACAAACTCCACCCAACAAGTCGCCTATGGAAATGACAACTACTGCAACCAAGCCAGACAATTGATCCGAGGCAAGATCGATTGCACTGAGGACGAAGTGGACATTCATTTTGTGCCCAGCGGAACTTCAGCAAACCTCATCTCGATAGCCAGCTGTTTACGCCCTTACGAGGCTGTAATTACCGTGGATACCGGGCATATTGCATGCAAGGAGGCCGGTGCGATCGAAGCAACTGGACACAAATTGATCCTCGTTCCAGCGGTGGATGGAAAGATGACACCTCAAAATCTCCTCAAATCCTTTAATCAGAATCAATTCTATCCTCACATGGCCAAGCCGCGTATGCTGTACCTCACCAATGCGTCGGAGATTGGTACAATTTACACCAAAGAGGAGCTTACCACCCTTTCGGCCCTGTGCAAGAAGCTGGGTCTGCTACTATTCATGGATGGCGCACGACTTGGAACTGCTCTCTGCTCGAAGAGGAACAACTTGGCTCTGAGAGATATTCTTGACTTGACTGATATCTTTTGGATTGGTGGTACCAAGGCCGGCGCTCTACTGGGAGAAGCGATTGTCGTAAAAAAGAGCCTGGCTGAAGGCTTCGTTTTCCACTTGAAACAACACGGTGCTTTGCTGGCAAAGGGCCGAATTCTGGGCATCCAGTTTGTCGAGCTTTTCCGTTCGGATCTTTTCTTTACTCTGGCAGGACATGCGAACGAGATGGCCCAGGAGCTCTCTACCAACTTTGAGGAATTGGGGTACAGTTTGGAAGCAAAGACGGAGACAAACCAGGTGTTTGCCATTCTACCTAAGGAACTGGTTCGACGGCTTCAAGACAGATTCAGATTTTATATCTGGGACGAGCGAGAGGATGGCCACTCGGTGGTCCGGCTTGTGACGTCTTGGGCTACTGATGCTCTGCAAGTTGAGCAGTTCAATCACTGGGTGAAGCAATGGACGGTGGCCCATAACGACGTTAAATAATGATGCATTATGATCGCTTTTATATCCAGTACAATAATCTTAATCAAGGAGTTTGGAGATAATCTGATATATTTTTATCTTTTGACATGCGCGATCGGCATGCACACTGCATATATATAGTGACGTAGAGTCAGCAACCATCACAAGATCCCAAAATCAACGAGTCAGAATAAATCCCCCACTATATTCGCTATTTTCTTATCATCCGGCAAATAATATTCAGGTGGTTACACTGTGATCCGCCTGTTGCACAGTGAATGAAATCTTTGGTGCCAGTCTTGGCATTGGCTACCACCGCATCCGTCAGAGTTGAAGTTTTTCAACTTTCCACAATCCATCTTCAAAATCAACACAGACTCAATGAGGCTCTCCATATCATGTGAAGGTTGTCGGTAGGTCATTCATGCATCTGGATTTTTTCTTGGCCCAGACAATCTGTTCCCAGAGTCATGCCTGTCCACTGCTAACGTCCGACAGCCAGGCCAAAGTCAAATGCATTCATGAAGGGAATCCACCATGTCAACGCTGCCAAAGAATAAAAATTCAGGAATGTCTCCTGACAGACCCTAGAGTCTCCAGACCAAAGAAGGACCCAAGTACTCCTTCATTGAAGCCCTCAAGGAAGCGAAAAGCCACCTCCGAGCTATCTCCGGTGCTTGGGAGTGAACGGCGTTTGAATAACACACACCTTCCCCGGACCCTCTCTGTGTCTCGAGATGGAGCAGCTGAAAACCCCATCTCGGCATTGTCGCAGTCGACAATCATTAGTGCTTTTGAAACATATCGGAAGAAATTCCCAGTCGCCAATTTCCTTCACTATCCTTCGCTGATATCTGATATATCCACCAATCCTGCATCGGTGGACCCGGTTTTTATCGCCTCACTTTTGTCCATGTGTGTGCGGTTCATGTCCAATAGTGAGCTGGATACTGAGGATACCTATGCGGATTATGCGCGGAAACACCTCGCGCACCGGGTGCTTGAGTCTCCGTCGCTATATCTTGCGCAGTCGTTGGTGATGATCTCGTTTTACGAATGGGGGTCTGGTCGACCTTATCAAGCCTGGATGTACAGCGGTATTTCATCCTATCCCTGAAGATAGAATGTTTAATGGTGTCATTTATCGCTAATTCATTCAGGTATGGCCACATATATGATCCAATCGCTGTTGAAAATGTCAGACGACAGTATGGAGCATAACCCGCAGGAATTTCACGCCTCGCAAACACAGTACGAGCAGCTTGTCCGCACATACTGGTGCTGCTTCGCCCAAGACTGCGAGCTGAGTTCAGGAGCTCGACAGCATTTTGCTCTTTCATTTTCGCAGATCTCCGTGCCGCTTCCCATCAGTGATCGGGATTTTACCTTCAATCATCGGCCTCCGAACAGACTGATGCCGGCGAATATGAACAAACAGTTCTCTCTCGCGAATAATCTAACTATTGATCACGGTCTTACAATTGTCACTCGGGGATTTGATATATTCGTGCGAGTTTTGAGGTTTGCGAATGAACATCGTCGGGCTCGGGCGTCGTCGTCTTCTAATGCCTCCACATCACCGCTTTATTCCACCTGGCAGAGACTGAAGGGGGAATTGGATGAGTGGAGATCTCTTCAAGATGTGACGGTGAGATATCCTGCTACTAGTGCCCAGGCACATGTAGCGCTTGGATATGGTGAGCTGTTCGCGTATATCAATCTGGTTTATTACATGAGGTATGTACTTTCTCTTACTTGCTTTATATGATTTTAATGATTTGAAGCATTTTATTTCTCTATCGGGATCGCTTTCTATCCAGCCTCAAACCGCATTCCGACGTTTTTCATGACATGAGTGATGCTACGTCCTGCGAACCAGATACGATGAAACAGCTGTTTGAAGCTGCGCAACAGATCAGTGGAGTCCTATCCGCACTTGAAACCTCCGAAACACCGGTGATTACACCATACTCAGGGTTCAGCGTTTTTGTGGTTGCCCACATAAACATGTACGGAACCATCTGCCCGCAAAGATATCCCGGGGGACCTGAGAGGGCAGAGGAAGAAAAGACCAAGAACCTCTTATACCTCGAACGATTGAGTAAATTCTGGCCTGTCGGTCGTAGTTGGGTGAGTTTATTGTCCGAGGCCTCCGCCCTTAATTAACGAACGGTCTTGTAGTGGCGAACGGTCCAAGAAGCAAATCGATTCTACGAAATGGTAAAAAGCAATCAAACACATACAGATTCCGGGATACACAGTCCAAGACGCCTAGCTCTCGCAGGTAGACTGGACGAGTATGGTGATATCCGATCATCTCGACCAAGCCAGGACCTGCGAGAGCCAACTGTCGAGTCGAATGAAACCAGTTCGCATCAACCTAATGGAAGTTCCTGCTCGCCTGGTCTTGAGGGCGACCAGTTTATTCCGAGAGACCATAATAATACGGGCGGCTATCACGATTTCGAAACCGACATGTTTCAGTGGCCGTTTATTGATGGATCGTGGTCTTCTGGGTTCGACAATGGTCTTGATGGGCTGTGGCCGAGTTCTGGTCTGTTTGATCCAGGATCATCATCCTCAAGATAAGCTATCTGGCGGTAACTTGATCGTGGATTAATAATTAATGGTGAACGTTGATTATTAGTGCTTACGAATTGACTAGCGCTGACAAAGACTTCGCTTTTTGCGACATTACAAATTAAGCAAATGGATCTCCACGCTACTTTCGGAGATGATTGCAATTGGAGCTTTAATATGGATGTCTATTAATATATTAATTGGATGACAAAACATAAAGGTATGATGGGTAATATGAGGCCTTGCTTTCACGAGCAACACTAATCGACATAACTAGTGACGAGAATCCCTGCAAAGCAGAGAAACAGAGTACATAAATATGCCTCAACCCTCTCTGTCAATAGAGCCGCACAATAAATTCCCCAACAATCGCAATGTCTCACAACATCCTCATCACCGGCGCTTCAGGCTACCTGGGGGGAACCCTCCTCGCCCGCTGGGCAAGCGCCAACCTCCCCGCATACCAGAACCTCTACGCCCTCGTGCGAACAGACTCCCAGGCCGAAGCAGTCAAGCAATACGGTGCCGAACCAATCTCATTCAATCTCAACGATGAAACCAGCATCACAGAAGCCATTCTGTCGCGCAAAATCACCATCGTCTACTTTCTCATCGATGCGCTGGGAGGGGAACACCAACCAACTATGATCAAGGCCCTTGCAGAAGTGAAGAAACAGACTGGACAGGAGGTTCATTTCTTGCATACCTCTGGTGCGAAGCTGTTTAGTAGTCATGCGGGACACCCGACAGATCGACCGCTGTACGATAATGACCCGCAGCTTTATGAGATTCAAAAGAGTGCACAGCCGCTGTATCCTATTGCGCAAAAGGTATGCTTGAGCTTAGTGGACCATTTAACCTGTCAGACATACTAACCAATAAAGGGTCTCGACGCCAACAACCTCGTCATCGAAACTGCGGAGGAATACGGCGTGCGAAGTTACATCTTCACACCGTGCGTTGTCTACGGAGAAGGCGAGGGCTTCGGAAACAAGATTTCCATTCAAACAGTGGCTATCGTGAAAGCTGCTAAAGCTGCCCGTCGTGTATACAATGTCGACTCCGACTACCCTGTATGTATTTCATTCTAACTCTTACGTGGGCTAGACGGATTTCTAACCCGATCGCAGAGCTGGCCCGTCTCCCATATTCTAGATACTACAACCCTCTATCTAGACATTCTCCGAAATATCCTCTCAGGAAACGACATCGGACATGGTAAGAACGGGTACTACCTCGCCGCGAGCGGCAGCGTAGCCTGGATCAACATCTACCGCACCATGGCGAAAGGACTCGCAAAGCGCCAAGTCGTCGACAGCGAAACCGTGGATGAGGCAAACGAGGACAACCTAGAGGAGATGGCAAAGGGTTTACAATATCCAAAGGAGTTTGTGAATCTGCATCTTGGTGGAAAGTAAGTTACCTCTCCTCTCCTAGCACTGATTATTTGGGGGGTTATTTGAATCGTTGCTAATTAATTCTGTGTAGCTGCACATTTGAGGCAAGACATGGTCGCGAGATTGGCTGGGAACCACAGTATCCAGCCGAGCATATTCTCGAGGCGGCTGATGCGGAAGTTGAGTTGATTCTCAACAATCTGTAGATGACTATTTCTTGTGTTTTTGAGGCCGTCATGATACGAATACTACAGTTTACTTACTACGTCTGCCTGCAGCCGAACAGTAGAATACATACAATATAATTTTATTTTAATTAAATCTCGATTTACTGCACTGCACAATATAAACTGGAACTCAATCACGATTGGCCGCCCCATCGTCCCACCAATGCGGGGAGAGTGCCAAGGAATCCGGGGAAATCGTGAGATCATCGACATTTACAAAAAGTGAAAAACAAAGAGACGCCAAATTACTCCTTAATCCACAAACATTTATATTAGACATCAGAGATGCCGAGGGAGCCAGCGTAAAGCAACATAGAAAGCGCTGATAGTGGCATAAGTTGCGGTTCCTGCCGTAGCCCAGACTGGCTGGTGGACTTTGAAGGAAGTTCGGAGGTGGCGTGCTTCTCGTTTTAGTTTCTCTGGTTGTTGGCTTGTGTTAACAAAGAACTGGCTCTATGCTGCTAGAGATGAAGGTCTATACCTGTTGATCCGAACCGGTTTCTCAAAGTACCAACCTGCTGTCTGGAACGTCCGGGGAGGGTGAGAAGGCCCTGGAGAATTTGAGGGGATGACATGTTGGATGATAGGATAAGGAGCAAGATTTGTATTTGTGGTTATTGTCTGTATCTGTATATAGATGTAAAAGTAGAAGAGGAAATAGCATCTCACAGTGCCACCCAGACTCCTTTTATACCTGAGGGATAAAGATCATCCGGACGGCAAGAAGCAAATGTTGACGAAGGTGGCATACAGACATCCTGTATGAGTGGCGGAATCCCTTGCTCACAGATATCCATAACCATGGTCCTGAAATGGCCAGAGGGTCTGAGCACTGAGGGGAAGACATGTCAAGTGAATCTTAATTCTTGTTATAGTCGGACAGAGTTTGGATGCAGCAAGTCATCAATCATGGAAGAATACCCACTCCCCAAAAATGCGCACGGAACAGATTCCGGCTGTACTGATCTGATTTCCCACCTGTGAGGTCAAACTTGGGCCGGGTCAATTCTTTCGCTTCAGAATCCAACTCAAATCCTCGTCTTCGGCGACAGCAGCCGCATTCCACTGTACAGTGGCCAAACTTCTTGCGCCTGTCTGGATTGGTAGTTCTGGGCCTTTCACAGCACCCACAGCCATGACCACAGCAGCCCCCTCTCCCGGCACAGTCATCACGAAGCCAATGGAAAAGATGCCACATGGAATTCTTCTGATAGGAGATATACCCTCGTCGAAAAGGCCTAGACGATAAGGTGGCATCGGCTTGATATTTCAATCTTTCCTGACACCAGTATTGTTTATCCAAGTTTTGCAACTCCTTTTCCCGATCTTCTAAGTCAAAGAGTCAAGTTCGGATTTCTTCCGGAGTTCCTGACATTCCCCAAGGAGAAATGCTTCGCGCTGGACTATCTCGCGGAGTTTGATGTCGATGGTAATTATGGAGTGTATAGCCCCCAATTTGGCTCGTGTGACGGGCCTGTCTTTTTCCTGTTTCCGACGTAGCTGTTGGGCAGCTGACCATTTTCCCGCAGCTTCTAGCTTGTTTTCTATGCGTATCAGAATTGATTCAAACATATTGTCTGCTTCAAGCAAGTGTCTATGCGAGTAATATTAAGACAGAAAGTGATGGGCACCCCATTAGCCGATCCGGAAAACCTTTTCTGCAACCAAGGACGTGTCATGTCGTGTCATAGACTTTTGATAACGTTTTTACTACCAAGCCGCAAACAATTAGTGTAGCAAGCAGAAATAGTCCGAGTTTTGTGAGCTGCAGTTGGCAGAATATCATCACATTTGATGAGCATCATTATCGATAATAGTTTGAAATAGAAATCATGTGAAGTTTTCTGCCAAAAGATGCCATATGCCATTCGTTGCACCACAGTCAAAAGGGTACCTAAACATGTAATCAAAGCACCGCGGAACGTCTGCTGCAACTCTTGTGCCTGGTTGATATGAATCTCTGGAGATAGACTAGCATCTAGCAGTTGTTGACAGTATAAATAACTACTAGTGGTGAGCTAGATTGCCCACACTACCTGCCTGCATGTCGTGACGGTGACGTCTGGTGCAGCTTATCATGTGGAGATGTCTGCCGCTGGATGCTGTGAGAATGATGCAACACATCAAGTGCATACCGTCGATATTAATATCAAAATGATTGACAGACATGACAGATGACCTTTGAATGATCACGAAGAGAGATAACTTGTCAAGATGGACACTCTTACAAATACTGAAAATGACGAGAAGAACGACAGAAACCAAGACTGGTGTTTCTTTATGCCTCCATATTTGTTGAAGGCAATTGCCGAATCAACACAAGTGCCCCCGGAGAGCTGTGAAGCAGCAGCCAAGACCTTGGAATTCGACGGAAATATTCGAAATGGTCGGATTTCCTTGATAAGACAGCCTGGTCCTGCCGCTCGGGCTGCGTCCTCTTTTGTCAAGGAAAGTACTTCCACAGAGGTGGCGACACCTGCGACCTGCTATATCCATGATTGTGAAGGAAGCACCGACCTTCCAAGGAGGCTAGTTCGCAAAAATGAGGTTAGGGTAAAGGATAGACCAGCGAATAATGCATATGACGGTCTGAGAATCGCCAGCGAGTTTTTCAACACGGTATTTAAACGCAAGTCGATTGATAATGCTTCACTTCCTCTTATTGGTTCAGTTCACTTCGGCACAGATTACAACAACGCTTTCTGGGATGGCAATCAGATGGTCTTTGGAGACGGAGATGGGCTATATTTCGACTATCTGACTGTCTCACTTGAGGTCATTGTCCACGAACTTACCCACGGTATAGTCTGTTACACCGCGAGCCTCGAGACCACGGCCAATCCGGGTCGTTGAATGAATCCATGGCAGATGTATTCGCCATTATGGCAGAGCAATGGCATTTCAACCAGACTGTCACGGATGCAGGTTGGACTCTGGGCCAGGGTGTGTTCCCCATGCCGAGAAGAGGCGCTGGAATACGCTCCCTGAAGGCCCCTGGGACAGCTTATGATGATTACCTCGGCAAAGACCCGCAAGCTAGCCACATGGACAACTACGTCGAGACCCACGAAGATAATTGCGGCGTGCACTACAATTCGGGCATCCCAAATCATGCATTTTACCTCGCAGCCACTAGGCTCGGGGGATATTCCTGGGAGCGTGTAGGACAGATTTGGTACACAACCCTTCAGGACAGCCGGCTTAAACCGAAATCGACCTTTCGGGAATTTGCAAAAGTGAGTGCGGAGATTGCTCAAACCCAGTTTGGAAAGACAGCGTACGATGTAGTAAAAAACGCATGGGCGTCGGTTGGCGTTCTATGATAATAATAATAGATCTTGATATGTCGCCTACTTTGCATGGAGCCAATGAAAGAATCGTATATTTGAAACACAGACCCTCGAGAGCTTTCTTTCAGCTCGACCCGAACCTGCAGGAGAACGGTTTCGGAAGCCTATAATCGTAACGTCTTTCAGCTCGTATGTCAGTCTTTATCCATGCAGGTACACATGGAAACGCCCTAGCCAGTACACATGGCATACCGACAACCAGTCCCCTTACAGAGGGTCGTCGGTTTTCACCTACCTATCCCGACATGCTTCAATCCTGTTGGGCTGCGACTTTGCACCAGGTTCTAGCCAACTTCATTTAAGGCCACTTGTTCAAATTCCACTCTTCTTATTCGTGCACAGGTTTGTTCTGCAGAGTAGAGAACAGTGCTAACAGGTCTGAGGTGGCAGTTGTCGAGGCCTCGGAGGCTCGGAGTGAAGTGGACCACGGCAGACAGACGAATTGCCCCGTGTGGGTTGGGCGAAAGACCATCAAGGCGAGACCAGGGCCAAACGGGTCTAACACTGCACCGTTTGAAGATCGTCTGAACGTTGTTTTGCGAATCAGACGATGATTGCAGGTGGACCAAAAAAAAAAAAAAAAAAAAGAAAGATAAGACAGCGAGATGGAGGGTGTGGCGAACATGGCGATCATACATGACAATACGGATACCCGCCCTGCGACTGTTTTGTACGGGATCTTGGCAGCGTGGCTGAATAATACGGTAATACCGCTGTCCTCCGCAATGTCATCATTGCCTGGGGATTTTTGGTCTTCGTCGCTTCTTCGAGGAGCCAACCACGGCCATCCAGGCAGCTCTTTTGATCGCGCTCTTTTATATGACCTCCACCGACCTCCCAACAGTCTCCTATCCATTCATCTTCATCCAGCACGACCTCAAGACCACCTCCCACTGCTCTATCCACGGTTCCCTCTGCAGTTTCTACCCCCACCATCAGCGGCCCGCCAGTCACCCGCTCAAGTCATCCACGGTTCAAGTCACCTGAAAGCTGGAATTAGAAACACTTATTCACCCCAGTGATACCCCCAAATTACTCTGCACATGTCGCGATACGACGATTTCCGTTCCTCAACAGGAACTTTGGACAGTCGTGGGAGTCGCTGGGATGCTGATCGTTTCGCCCGTGAGCGTCATGAGCGTCTTCATTCCCGCGGCCCTCCAGTTGTCGAACGACCTCGCCGGTTTGAAGAGGACCGTTTCGAATCGCGGTTATACGACACCGATCGATATGGGCCTCCTGCCCGCCGGCCGGGTAGGTACTACGAAGATGACCACATCATTGAAACCTCGGGACCATTGATGGCCTATGACCGTCATGAGCGTCGTCGCCCGGCAGAGAGCCCTTCCCCTCGACCCCGTCTGGTCAGACGGCAATCGTCTCTTGATACATTCGATCGAATTCCTTCACGCAAACTAGACGAATTGTACATTCGCGACCATGCTCCTAGACCTGCTTTACCCGCCCGGCGGCACTCGCCTCGCCGTTACCATGACTCGGATTATTACGACGACATTGGGATAGCAGAACCTGACTACTTTGGAGATGAGGAATACAGAGGATTTCGCGAGCGTGATCGGTATGGTGGTCGCCCTCGGAGCGATTCCCGTTTCCGTGAAAGGATGGTCGAAGAGGTGGTCGAGAAGCCATATCCTCGTAAAGGAAAGACACGTATTCCAAGGAAGCTGGCCCATACTGGTGCAGTCATCGAACTGGGCTACCCATTCCATGAAGATGTGTGTACCGCCCATCCTTGTTTTTCATACCAATTCAGCAAGCTGAACTTGTCTCAGGATGATGTGATCACCCTCCAAATGGCACTGTCCAAGGATCAAATAGATGAAGTCATCAGTTTGAGTCGAGAGATCAGGCGACGGACCGAAAGTGAGTATAATCGTCACATGTAGAGTTTTCAGAAGTGACAGCCTTGTCTGACCTTGTTTCAGCTCGCATTATACATACATCACCATCTCCTGTGCGTGGTAAACACAGAGACAGACATGCCGATCGCATCATGGAGCACTCCCCACGGTCCAGCCACAATACTTTGATCGTCGAGCCGCCCTCCCGACACCGATCGCACTCTCGTCACAACAGTGGACTTAGCGAGAAACGGACGACGAGAACTGTTTCCCGTACTCGATCGATTTCGGTTCATGGTCACCGACGACATCATTCCTCGCCTGGAAGACATGAGCCCGAAAAGCTGAGCTCTGGGGCTCTTGCAATCATGGTGCGTCCTCGGAATAGCGATGAGGAACTTCGAGAATTGATGCACCTGGAACGCCGCTCTCGAGGCGAGGTCGTTCGCGACACATTGTATGATGATGGTCATGGTGATCGTGAGGAGGTTTTGGAGGTGAAGAAAGAGCGCAAGTGTAAGACCAGTCTGATCCAACCAAGCTCCAATGTCAAATGATGCTAACATCTTCATAGCGCCCAATCCTCGACTCATCCGGGCAATGATGGCGACTTTGACTTAGAGGTTCCTCGTTTCGTGCCTTTTCCTTCAATGCAACCCTTTTGTCCATTTCGGGTATTTGAATGTGTGACGATACAGACTGAACCGGTGCCATCTAGCTATGACACGGGCTGGTGGAATGTATGTGTGGGAATATTCTATGGGATATGACTTTTTGACGGCCTTCTTATTTCTTACGACGGTTTGATTGCATGAATGGGCATTCTTTCGCTGATGATATTATACCACCACTTCGTCAGTCTGCGACTGAGCTGCTTTCAATAATGTCTATATAATGATACTTACACAGTTATTTCATATTATTATTATGGTTGATTTCCCCTTATTTCTCGCTGTGGATCGACTCGTATAAGTAATACTTTAGTGCATTTGAAACGGTGGCGGTGCGACCATGGCAGGAGGCGGTGTCGGGCCAGTGTGGCCTCGACTCCGTTGGTAGGCATCCAAGCAACCCACTCCCGGAAACAAACAAACCGTCTCTCTGTGTGAAGAAAAGTCTTCTGATCCTTTCTCCAAGTTTATCAAACCCACCTTTTAGCAAGGTATTCTTTCTAGTGGTCTACATCGCTGTCAATCATGGATAAGTTCCAAGCGTTCGGAAAGAACCTCAGGTGAGAAATGACCACCCGCTCTCCCCTCACGGAGTGCAATTATCTCCCTATCCACAGTACACTTGTTTCTACGCATGTCGCATTATGACAATAATATCCAGATGTCGACTGACATGTTCTCTTTCTTTCTATTGCTTTTAGCGCGAGCTTCTCGCCGTTTGCTGTGCGGACGCAGCAGATGATCAAAGAGCAACTAGGCCAGGCTGACGACATGACCCAACTCCCCGATGAATACATCGAGCTCGAGAAGCGCGTTGATGCCCTGAAGCTGGTCCACCAGAAGCTTCTTCAAGTGACGTGAGTTACTCCTCTTCATCCCATCCGACGCATGCAAGGCTACCTATTTGATGGATTTTCACATGATTGACACAAGGCTCGATTTCCTGCAGCTCCCAATACTCCAACGAAGCCTATGATTACCCACCCAACATCCGTGAATCTTTCAACGACTTGGGCCGAACCATCAACGAGAAGGTTACGCTTCTCTCGCAGGCCGGATCCCCCGCTGAGGCCCAGGCTGCCTTTACTGCTCCCCCGACCGCGAAGCCCCAACCCAAGACTTTCAACCACGCCATTGCGCGCGCCTCTCTGTCTGGTTCTCAGACCTTGGCGCAGAGCTCTTCCGGTGAGGACCCGCTTGCCACCGCCCTCGAGAAGTACGCTCTGTCGTCGGAGAAGGTGGGCGAGGCCCGCCTTGCGCAGGACGCCCAGATCCAGTCGCGCTTCTTGGCTGGGTGGAACACGACTCTGAACACGAACTTGATGTTCGCCGCTAAGGCGCGCAAGAATGTTGAGAATGCCCGACTTACTTTGGACTCGGTCAAGGCTAGCAAGAAGGCTGCTGCTAAGGGTGATCTGGACAACTTGAGTGAGGATGCTCGTGCCGAAATTGAGCAGGCCGAGGATGAATTTGTCGGCCAGACTGAGGAGGCTGTGAGCGTCATGAAGAACGTATGTTTTGACTGGGTTATGGTTTTTTATTGCTTCAGGTTACTAACACTACGCTACTAGGTTCTCGACACTCCGGAGCCCTTGAGGAACCTGGCAGACTTGATCGCCGCTCAGTTGGAGTTCCACAAGAGGTCATATGAGATCCTCAGTGAGCTGGCTCCTGTGGTTGACGGCTTGCAGGTTGAGCAAGAGGTATGATTTCTGGCCATTTCTATCCAATAATTCTGTCTAACCGTGCACTTAGGCCAGCTATCGCAAGAGCCGGGAGGGAGCCTAAATAGCTCCTGAATCTATCTCTTTTTCGTGATCCCATCCATTACTCCTGCCTCTATCTGAATCACCCCAGTCGTCTTATGTGCCCTTGAAACGTATCCTTTCAATACCTTCGAACTGTTACTTGGTTTGTCTTGACTTTATGAACCGTAGCCCTGTGATGATTATCGTACTCAGTATACAATTACATGAACCATATTTGTCTATCAGTAGCTTTATTACCTCCGAATTGATATTGAAATGGCTGTCAGTTTTTCTGCCATACTACAACGTCGCTACGTAGCGTTCTACCCGGTGGCTGATTAGGGCTGATCTACTTGCATACATACTGACCCCCAAAATAGTATTAAAAGAATTGGGCAAATGCAAGTACGGAGCAATCGACAGTGAATCCAGAACTCAATGTACTTGCAAGTGACCTGTCGAATGCTGCTGCATATACGAGCATCCATGTCATGTCCATATGTTGGCCTAAGGCAACAATAAACATGGAAGTCCACGTGACATACTGGATTAGGAAACCGCTTCGGCTTCGACTTTATCTTTTTGTGCTCGTACCAGGACTCCATGGTGCCGTTAGCGATGCGTGAGATTCAATATCCAGCATAAGAAAGAACTATACACCTTACTCCGATAACTCCGACGCACTGGACATGTCTAGCCCAAGCAATAACAACCCCGAAATCTCCATAACCGCATGTCAGCGCTGTCGAGACTCAAAGGTAATCTATCTTCGGTCCAAGCATTTGAATTTTAGCTAAACCCATATATCTGGTTTAGCTCAAATGCAGCCGAGAACATCCCAGCTGTACTCGATGTCAGAGGGCAAAGGCGAATTGTGTTTACCCCAGCCCTCCGGACCGGAAGCGGTTAAGACAGGAGCGCAATTCCCCTCGATCAGAGCGAGCGACGGCCTCTAAGAGACAAAAGTCTAATCTCAGTAGAAGTGCCGGTGATACCAGTCCCTCTAGCGAGAATCGTTCACAAGTCTCGGCTCGCCGGGTTCTTGGACAGGAAGCTGATGCGCAACCACCGACTACTCCTATCACGTATCTACCGAGAGTCTCTGGTGGAGAGCATTCAACGAGGGCATTGAATGCGCGAGAAAACTCTCTGAATAGTCATTCTCTTTCAGCAAACCCGGTTCATTTGCCATCAGAAGTAAGTTAGCCGGGCTTGAAGAAATTAATTGTTTTGGCTTTATCTCCCACAAGATTAAGATATAAGAGACTGACGACGGCTAGTCATACCCCAATCAGCTACGAAATGCTGATATTGAAGCATCTGAAGTAGAGGTAGTTAGAGACGAAAACTCAGCTCTCCCCTCACGCGCTGTTGGTCTCTCGTTGCTTGAGATTTATTTCACGCGGGCCTATAACGCCTCGCTTCTCTTTTGCAAGCCTCTTTTGTTTCAAGAATATCTTGAAGGAAAGGTTCCAACGCCTCTACTAAAGGCAATATTTGCGCTGGCCGCACTGTATGGAAACATATCTTTATAGTTGAATGGAGCCCCTGATTGACTTTTCTAGATTCCTCACGCCTGAAAATGATCATCGAAATGTATCACCGGAGCTTTCTGAGTTAAAATCATTGACCATTTTCCATTCTCGGAGCTTACCATGGGCGAAAGCCGCCATGAAGGAGGTTATGGTATTGATCGTTGAGCAACCATCTTTGGCAGCTGCCCAGACGCTTGAATGTGTTGGATTATACTGGTTCGGGTTTGGAGACTACAAAAGGGGCGATTTGTGTCTATGTAAGTTGATCCCTCCTATGCTGAAATGGCGATATTTACCATGTCGAGCCTTGCTAATGAATTTTTGAACTCAGCACTGGCATATCGTTGCTGCGCTATTCTGGGATACAACAGCAAAATGGCTACAGCTTTAGGAAAACATGATTTAACATTGGACTCCGAGCTTAATCGCCGGTGTTCATGGGCCTGCTGGGCATCCATGTGCATAGCTGCACAACCAGAGGCCTATGTTAGGTCAGCGTGGCTCGAGATGGCAATGGTGCCATTGCCCGCAATCATTAAAAGCGCAAACTCTAGCTGGGAAGTAATTCCTCTGGAGAAGATGGACCAGGAGTGGTCTGGAATATCCATATCTTCTGAGTCAGAAGTCGATACACCTCCGCCAATTGAAGCAGCATTGGTGAAGATTCTCGGCGTTTGGTAAGTTGAGTTTCTATCCAGCTACATCCATTTATACTAATAATTTCCTAGGGCCAAGGTCCAACTTTTTGTTGACGATTGCTTGTCGTACTCCTCTAATCAGAAGATTGAAAAGTTGTCAGGCTTGTCTCAGATGTTGAAGGCAGTCTATGACAGTACCACACCAACTCGGACATATATGAAGACTATGACTGCCTCGGATTATGCACATCGGATCCTCACATTTGATGCTATTTACCATCTCAGCCAGGTGACTTTGCATTCCACAGTCGTGCCTCTATTTTCAGGCTCTCCGGTTGATCCAACAAAAGACCCTGGTACTGTCAGGACGAGTGCCAAGGAAGTGATGCACCATGCAGACTCTTTTGCGAGCTTATTAACTTCCTATCTAGAAGGAGAATCAGATATAACATATTTGTCTCCCCTAGTAGCGTATGGTGCCTTTGCAACAGCCGTTGTCTTTCTAGCATTTGAGAAATCGTGCCAGGACAAGAGCTCTGCAAGTTTTGCCATTGAAGGCTATACAGGAAGCAGTAATAGAGTCTCAACTGTGAAGGCCATTGTTGAAATGCTAGATTCTCTTCGTGTATACTGGAGAGTTCTCCAACGTCCAGTGAGTCAGAATTTTGCTTTTCTTTTGCGTTCAAACCTCATGCCCGAGATCAATTGTTTCTAACATTCATAAAACAGTGGGAGAGGTTAAGCTTTGCTCTGAAGTCTGGATTTTCATCATCACTTGACGACGTGAATTTTCAGCCTAGAACTGAAGCGAGGGGTTCACTTGACGACTATGGGCCTTCTCCAACCCAAGAGAATTCATACATGCAGCAGCCCATCTTGCATGATAGGCTTTCTTCAGATCTTGGGACCCTGGAGTCGTCCCTGTACCAGCCAATGGAGGAGAGTACAGTCACGACCAGAGACATACAAACACCTATTAACAACCTATCGACGGGTCCGATCGATATTCTAGATGATGACTGGTGGAATATGTCGCTTGCCGCAACTGACAACGGTTATCTAGTCGATTTCCAACCCCCGAATTTCTTTCGACAGGGGTGGAATTATTTCTAAGACACTACCCAGTGTTCGGATGAAATGTGTTTGGATTCCATTTATTGAAAAAGGGCCACAAGGAGAAAGCAGTTTGCTTGAGTTAAGTACACAATACCAAATTTGAGCAACTCATGATACTATCATGACTTCAAATGTCATTATTCTTTGTCTGCGAGGCAGTTATGTGGGATCGCACTCATTCCTTGGCTGGGATGATCGGGAGACTAATATAGTTGAGATATTTCGGACCAAAGTGGATATTGTTATCGCCCCGAAATACCTTTTCCGCTCTACATTAAGGGTCAGCTCCATCTCCTGGATTGTCAGAGGCTGTCTTTCTATCTTACCTGTCGACGGGATTATCATGGGTAAACACCCCGGAGCCACTGGTGTCACCCGAACTTATCTCGAAGAGTAACTGACCACCAGCTTCCACAACCACATTTGTTGGCCCGAGTTCTACATCCACTGCGTAAATATCGTTCGGGATGACCGGGAGAACATCCGTCGATAAATAATCCCGATGTGGAAGCCAGGAAGCATGTCTAGGGTGGTCTGGATTAACCTTTCTCAAACTGACTCTGAGAAATCCCTTGGTTATCGGAACACCTTCTCCCATTGTGCCGGTATAGAGGATCTCGTTTCCTTTGGATGAAATGTGGCGAAGGGTAACAAACAGGTCTATATCAGACGGGGTTGTTTGGCTATGGCGCTTCCGATTCACCGAGACATTCAAGTGAGCCACAGTATGGCCCGTGAGCTCAGTTTCCCTTTCGAAAGCGGGCGTGACGAAGGTGATGATATCGGAAGGCTTTCCACTTCCAGGGGCATTGTAGCTACTCTCTGTCGGCGCAGTCAAGAATGGCTGTTCGAAGAGCAGCTTTCCGTCTGGATTGAGAAACATTTTCGTATATTGAGTTCGGGCAATTGGCCATTCATTCTCGGATCTCCTAAGGAAAGTTCTTTCAGCAACTGGATCGTTGTACCCGACGTCTCCCTTTCGTAAAATGAGATCAACTGGAGCGATGGCCCCCTTTTTGGACCAGCCAAGTCGATCATCATCCTTCAAGAAGGCGTCGAGGAAACTTCGCTGCAGCTCAACCTCTTCCTCATAGAAAAACGGCAAGTCGTGACGTCCAACGATGAAACGAAGATATTTCAACTCAGAGCTAGCACGCATGAATCCTTCCACGTTACCTCTCAAGTGAAGTAATATACCGCCCCAATTGGCGACACTGAGAAATGGAATTTTAATATCTTCAAGGTTGTAATTCGCAGACGCAAAGCTTTCGTTGTCACGATACCGCTGAGGCGGGGCCTCATCAGGGGAAGCTACTCGATTCGCTTTGAGCTCTTCCTCGGATAGATCGCCCTCGATAGTATCTGGGCCCCAATTCCTCTCAGCCCGTCCGGGCAGACCATATTGATTGGATGCAACCTGACGAGCCCACCAAAGTCGAATAAACCCACTCGATTGAATCCCTCCATGTCGACCCGAATCCCGATATCGATCAGAGTATCCTTCCCACGGGACAGCTGCAGTCAATCCTTTCGGGTTTCGTGCCGCCGCCTGCCATTGAGTAGCAGCAAAATAGCTAATCCCCAATAATCCAACCTTACCAGTCGACCAGGGCTGCTCGGAAGCCCATTCGATGAGATCGCAAAATGCATCGATCGTCGCTGCGGATGTAGGATTCAGAAACCCGGGGGATTGCCCCGAGCCGACCTCATCGGCTCGAACGACGACATATCCGTGTTCTGTCCAATATTTCGGCGTGGGAGTTTCCCATGATGAATGCTGGGTTTTATGAGCAGGATTTATCTCTTTGAAGCTATGTGGGTTGAAACTGTGCTTGGTCAGTCATCTGCCAGGTTGGTTGTTGTGTCGCCTATGTACCTTTCATAAGGGATATCCTTTCCATAAGGCCCATAAGTTACTAACACCGGATATTTCTTCTCGGTGCCTGTTGAGCTTTTTGGACGATAAACATTGCAACGAATCACCCCGCCGTTCTGGAGGTAAACAGAAACATTCTGTTCGAAAATGTAAGGATATGACGTCTCATCGACAGTTCGTATATCGCGGAGTTGGTTCGGCATTTTGAATGGGTCTGGTAACAGAAATAGTCGTTCGGGAATTGCACTTCAGGGTCAGAGAGTGAGTCAAACAAACCCAAATGGGTGCGACAGTACTGATCTAAATAGATGTGATGGATTCTAGAGCCCCCCCGCATTGTCATCATCGGACCGAACGTTTACATCGACAGCTTGGTTGCCACAGATAATGTTCGGCCCGAACAAGAGCAAACCACTCCTCCGAAGTATCGTGGCTTATTCTCCGGAGCAGATCGGTAACTTATTATGCATTGATAAATTGAAATTTTAATGGAGAGGATCTTTTATAAATATGGCCCGTCCAGCAGCCCGTCTCTTGGCCAAAACTCTATCCATTGACATTGTTGTTTATCCAGCTGCGAAAGCACCAGCATGTCGACACTCGACGTCGAGTCTAATCGGATGGATCCCACATTAGCCCTGAATGATGGGCTCACAGAATGCGTCTCTAAATCCAGTTGTGAAAACATCAATTTGCCGACACTAGACCTTGAGGACAATCGGATCGAACACATTCCCACATCCGCCCTGAACGATGGGATCACAAAATGTGTGTCTAGTTATACAGTGAACTGGGGTGAAAATGACCCTTCAGACCCCCGCAATCTCAGCATTGTCAGGCGATGGTTCATTGTTGTTATTGTGTCTATGGGCTCGCTTTGCGTGTGAGTGCTTCGTAACGTGCAATGATCAGCTGCTGACATCCGATAGGGCTTGTACATCTTCCATCTATACCACGACGTATGGGCAAATCTTGGAGGAATTTGATTGCTCGCAGGAAGTTGGGACTCTTGGATTGTCATTCTTTATCTGGGGTCTTGGGCTTGGGCCATTGGCTTTAGGGCCGTTATCAGAGGTGAGCTCTATCCAGCTGAAACAAGTGATAATGACTGATTAAATTCTTCAGCTATATGGTCGCCGGATAATTTACCTCTGCTCCTTTGCGTTTTTCCTCATTTGGCTCATTCCTTGCGCTGTTGCAAAAAATATCGAAACCATTATTGTTTGCAGATTTTTTAATGGCTTCGCAGGAAGTGCTTTCCTGAGTGTTGCTGGAGGCACAGTAGGAGACATTTTTGCCCGTCATGAACTGGCTGCCCCGATGATGCTGTATACTGCCAGTCCATTTATCGGGCCTGAGCTTGGGCCTCTGTATGTCCTCGTGGTTGGATTCGAGTTCAAGGCTGATTAGGTTTTATTAGGGTTGGTGGATTCATCAACCAGTACACCAATTGGTAAGTTTAGCATTGGGTCAATGGTGTGATCAAGTTGCTGATATTGAGAGGCGATGGACCTTTTATGTCCTATTGATTTGGACTGCTATGGAACTCGTGATGATCTACTTTTTTGTCCCGGAAACTTATCATCCTGTGTTGGTAGCCTACCCTCAACTTTATTGTTCATCACTGACGTGATTATAGACTTCTCAAACGAAAGGCAGAAGAATTAAGAGAGAAAACCAAAAACTCCAAACATAAGGCCCCAATCGAAAAGGACACTCGCTCTCTATCATCGATGATACTCCGTTCAATGTATCGGCCTATTCTCCTTCTGGCCCTCGAACCAATGTGCCTGAACCTGTGCATATTCTCTGCAATCCTGCTGGGAATTCTGTATCTGTTCTTCGGAGCTTTTCAACTGGTCTTTAAGTTAGTCTACGAATTTGAAGTCTGGCAGCGAGGTTTATGTTTCCTCGGGCTTTTAGTGGGAATGGGTTTCGCCATTTTAACGGATCCGCTCTGGCGCTCCAATTATGTTCGACTGGAGAAGAATCATAAAGAGGCGCATGGCGTGGATGCCCCTTTTCAACCTGAATGGAGACTTCCACCTGGTATGTTCTATCGTGTACTTTTCATATCCAAAACTAACAGTTACGACGCAGCCATCGCTGGTGCTCCTCTCGTCACTGTTGGTCTGTTCATGTTTGCTTGGACAATCTACTCGAGCGTACATTGGATTGTGCCAATTATTGGCAGTGCACTTTTTGGTGCTGGGTAGATATCCGCCTGACCTTTTACCTATATCAGTGCTGATATGGGATATCAGAACAATTCTTGTCTACTCCGGAATCTTCACCTTCCTCGTCGACGCATATCCAACATACTCTGCTAGTGCGCTAGCAGCGAACAGTTTTCTTCGATCAATGTTTGGAGGCATATTTCCTCTTTTTGGCATACAAAGTGAGTGGATTCCCTAGAATGAAGTGGGTTTATATTGACCGTGTCTAGTGTACAATAAGCTGGGATATCACTGGGCAACGTCTCTTCTTGCATTCTTGACGTTGGCCATGTTGCCGTTTCCGTAAGTTAACTTGCATCAGATTGGTAAATTGAAGACAGGCTGATGAAAGCAGATATCTATTCTTTAGGTACGGTTCTCGGATTCGAGAAAAGAGCTCCTTTACTTCTTAATTTCTGATGACTCCGGATTCTATTTACTTTTATGAATTTGGTGTTATGTTAAAATAATCTCAACTATGTTAATGCTAAAAGTGCAAGATAATGACATACATATACTATATCCACTAGAGATTCTTAGCAAGATACAACAGTTTCTGCTCGTCCAGAACAACACTCCCTGGGATATCAAAAGTCTTCAAATCAAGAACAAGAGGAACATCCCCATCCACCTTCGAAGGAGCAATCACCACCCTCTGCACCATCCACACCTTCTCTCCCTCTCCCTCTCCCCCTCCCACCTCTCCACCACAACCCTCCTATCCCCCTCCTCAACAACAACCACAAGCACAACCCTCACCATCCCCCCGACATCCCAACCCACCACTTCACATCTTCCCTCAACCTCCCCACCGACCCCCTAGTCCCAACCTCAACAACAAGCACCGGCCACCCCGGACACTGGCCCGCTACACCCTGCCGACGTCTCGTCAACAAACAATTATCCGCCTGCTTGCCGCTATCCCCCGCCGTGAAGGCCGTGTTCAGCGCCCACTCAAGGTCGTCTTCGGGGACGCCGGTGCGATGCAGAGACGGTCGATTGTGGTTGAGAGACGGGCTGCAATGGCGCGGTGGGTGTATGACGGGACGAGTTTGAGGAGGGATGTGGATTGTTCGTAGGTGAGTCGGAAGGAGATGCTGGATAGGGCGGCTTTGTCGTTTGTGAGGAGATCGAGGATGGAGGGTGGGGTGTTGAGGAGGAGGATGTATTGGTTGTTGGTGGTGGAGAGGACTTTTTGGGCGTCGGTTTGGAGGGATTCGAGGGTGGTGAAGGGTTTTATGGTGGGATTGGAGAGGCCTGATGTGATGGAATGCATGTTGGATGGTGTAGATGAGTGACGTAGAAGTTGGATGGAATGGTTTCTGTGCGTGGAGCAGGCATCAACTGGCCAACTGTTTTACCTCATCATCATGACATACAGACAAGCCCATCTAAACAGACAAATATTATCATTAATCAACTATTTTAATTTCAATCAAAGAAGCAATTTAGTCATAGACAATGATCACTGTCGATCCCCTTTTTCAATTCGTTCAGAATCTCAGACCTATATCTATCTCCAACACCAAGCCTTCATCCTCTCCTATCAAGGTATTAAATGCTTAGGAAGCACCCCATTCCCCCATCAGATTTCATCCACTCTGACGACCCCGATCTGATATGCTCAACACTGTCTCAGGGAAATTCCGGGGCAGCGCCTTTGACTTTTCTATATGCCTTCTGGACTTCCTCTCGTTCAGTCAACTCGCGCAACCACTGGCTGATATGAGGATATTTGTCTAGTGACAGGCCAGCAAATCTAAACTGTCGCACCCAGGGCTCAAAATGATAGTCCACCGCAGTGATACGCCCCGGTAAGATGCTATGCCCGCCCGACTTTTTGAGCTGTCCTTCAAGGACCTCGTAGCAGCGCTCTGTTTGTGCTGAATATCGCTGTAGGGCATCTTCATTCCGCGATGGGTTATAGTGACTATCACAATCAGCATGCGAATATAAATATCATTTTGAACAGAACAGAAAAACCCACCGAAACCAATTCGTCTGCCCCGTCATCGGCCCCAGAGTCGAAAGCAAAAAGTACTCCCACTTTTCAAAATCCACCCGATCCTGCTCTGAATCCCCCACTGGGCCCAGAAGGTTGTCCTTGTCATACACACGCCGGATGTAGTTCATGCAAGCGCCGGATTCCCAGGACACCACGCCGGTGTTGGGGTCTTCCAGCGCGGGCACACGGCCGTTCTCGTTGATGCGCAGGAAAGCCTCGCCCTTGACGCCGTTTTGGGGGTTATCGCCGAATTCCCACTGTTGGACGGTGTAGGGGAGATGCAGGGCTTCGAGGGCGATGGCGATCTTGATGGGGTTGGGCCCTGTGGCGTGGGCGTGGAGGAGGAGGGTTTGCATGTTGATGGTTGATGGATTCAGTGTTAGGATGATGTTTGAAAGGTAGTTGTTGGACTTTGATGGTGACAAAGAACACGTTTAAGTAGTAGTCAGCGAGCCATTACTGATGGCCGTTGGCGATGATGAAATGAGTATGATTGTTAATATGTTGGAGTACAGGTTGGAGTATAGGTTGGGGTGTGTTGGGGTAGAGGACTGGCGTCGATGCCACCCAGATGAGGCACGTGCACAATTTTGGTCGGCACTGGAGATATATTCATGTTGATGATTCAACGCTGATGGACTTGGAATTGTTCATGAAGAATAAACACTTGTGCTTGAGGAAGTTGGGGTAATGCTCTCCTGTTGGGGTAGCATCATCACAATGAGTTGGAGTAGCCAGAAATCGATATGACAAATATGGATGTATGTAGAGACCTCAAAAGGCAATGTTCTAGATGAGAATAAACTGGTTTTGAAGGTACATTCATATCACGACCCCGAGTCTAAAGAGGTGACGTAGAAGATCCTACCGAAGCTTCCGAACATGCTGGAACACATAATACTCCAAAAATCCTCATATTAATACCTACAATGCATTTCGCATTGCCCTCCCAGACCTATCACTGTTATTATTCTTTTCTCTTTTCCGACCAGACAGCAAAATGACTGGCACACTTTTCGAACCGCTTAACATTGGGCACTGCCAGCTTCAGCACCGAGTTGTCATGGCACCCATGACCCGATTCCGCACCGACTCAGACCACAGTCCACTGCCCATCGCCAAAGAATACTACACCCAACGATCACACACCCCCGGTACACTGATCATCAGCGAGGGCACCGCCGTGTCCGAGGCGCTCGCCGGGCTCCCTCGATGGGCGGGCTGTTGGAGCGAAACCCAGCTGCAAAAGTGGAAAGACATCACCCAAGACGTTCATTCCCACGGCTGCTACATCTTTCTGCAGCTCTGCTGTGCAGGTCGCACTGCTGACAAGGGGTTCCCGAAACTATCGTCGGGCAGCATCCCCCTCGCGGCCAACGCCAGCGCCATTTCGACCGAAGACGACAACAGAAACCCCAAGCCGATGAGCGAGGAGGAAATCACAGGCGCCATCCGCGATCACGCCACGGCCGCTCGCAACGCCATCGCCGCCGGCTTCGATGGAGTGGAGCTTCACGGCGCGAACGGCTACCTCATCGACCAGTTCATCCAGGAGTCGTGTAATAACAGGACGGACAAGTGGGGGGGTTCGGTCGAGAAACGATCCCGCTTTGCCCTGGAGGTCACTGCCGCTGTCGTCGATGCTGTTGGGGGAGATCGGGTTGGTTTCCGAATCAGTCCCTGGAGCACATACCACTCCATCGAGCCCCGAAATCCAGAGGCTCAATTCACTCACCTGGTCACCGAGTTGCGGAAGTTGAACCTGGCTTACCATCACATCCCGCGTGGACAACTGGTATGACGTGGACCGTGTCAAGCCCCTCGATTTTGTCTTTGATAGCTGGAGAAACGACAAACCAGTCATCATTACCGGCGGTTTTGATGGAGAATCGGCAGCGCACGCCGTGGAGGAGCGAAAGGACTTCAAGGTCGCGATTGGGTTTGGCCGGTCCTTTGCTTCGACGCCAGATCTGGTGGCCTGCATCAAGAAGAACATCGCTCCAAATCCTTTTAATGGCGATCTGGCCTATACACCCGCCACCCCAGAGGGATACATCGACTATCCTTTTCTTTCATAAATATCCGCACTATTCTGTTGGCGCATAACTCCAAAGCACGTATATTACACGAATGATGTAACGCCTTCCCAAGTGTACGGCGGCTATAGAGTAGATTCGTAATAGATGTTGACCGCTGACTTCTATATAAATATATTATAGAAAAGAAAATCCTATTAATTCCTTTTTCTGTATATGAATTATATTCCATTCCATCTGACTACTCTATTATTATCACTTCCTTACCTAGTCCACTTCTCTACTCTTAATCCCCTTCTATTACACATAATGAACAATGATCATCCCTGTCGAGGCGCTAACACCTGTTGCTTCCCCTCTTTTACAACTTCCAAAGATGCGCGTCAGCGCTGAGAAAACGTCCATGCGGTGAACTTATATCAAGAACAGCCTTCATATAACCATTTATCTATTTCAATCCCGTTCAGGATCTCAGGCACATATAAATTTCTTCAGCACCTACCAAAGCCAGCATACTCTACCGTCAAGGCATTGCAATGCCAGAGAAATACCCCGTTTCCCTCATCAGATTCACCCTCGCTCTGGACGACCCCGATCTGCCCAGTCCAAGATACCATACAACCATCTTTGTTGAGACCGAGATCGACGGCAGCGGCTGGCTACACCAAGTCAACGGCGATATCACCTCCCCTGGAGGAATGCAGTACGATCCCAAATTCAGCAGCAAGCCTGAAGACACCGAGAACTTCTACTCGAGCGCACCGCTAGGTGTGACGGATGCATCTATCTACCCTAGTGCATGGAATGCGTTACTGAGAGGCCTGCCGGCTCCTCCCAGGCAAAAGGCATTTAATACGAAAACATTCAAAACAGAACCCTTCAAGACCTTGGAGCCCTTGACGTTCTACGAGCCGGGAGAACCAAGAAGGCCGTTGGTCAAGTGCACCGAGTGGACTTTGAATGGAGCTATCCCAGCTCTCAGATCGGCAGGGCTTATTCAGTAGGCAGATGTCAATCTTGAATATGTATACCACGAGAAACAGAGACAGCCTACTTCTATACCAAAACTTCCCTCCCTGAGTATATCATATGTAGATAACAGTATCAAGTAGATATAATTTCTATAGTTTACATACCCTACGCTCCAAACCACCGCGACAAAGCCAGTATACCCATCGATGCCAGACCTAGATACATACAAAAGTCACACCGATGAGAACACAACAAGCCTATAGCAATCTTTAGCACGCTATACGTTGTTCGAAACATGATACATGCCCCAGAATTCAAAAAAGGCAGCCCAACAGCCCATGACATCTCATGATCTATGCCCGAATCATATGCAGCAACCATAATCTGCATCCCAATTCAACTACCAATTATTTCGACCGTCGATGTCCCAGCAAATAATCGTCCCAAGAACTTTGGGCCAACCTTTGATGCAATAAAGGATTGAAAAGTGACAATCATGTCTGATCCTAGGGGCATTATTATAAATCCTGTTATGGGTACCGGCATGTTCAATGCAAAGGCTATGATGAAGACGCCCACTGACTAGAGGATCATGCTGAAGACGGATAATACCAGATCTCTGTTTGGGGCTTCGACTTTCCATTTTCTCGCCAGGAACGCACTTGTCACTGGAAGAATAACGAGAAACAGGACCGACGTATGATAGTAGTTCAGCCTATTTCATGTCAGTGTACAGCCCTACCTGAAGTCAGGAGACTCACTCGAGTGATTGGCCGGCTGTAACGAAATAATACCCATATACTCGCAAAGTTTGTCGAAACACGTGCCAAATGGAGAAAGAAAAAAGACAGAGCAAGATGTAAGGATGATACATTTCAACCATCGATTGGAGCGGGTGTTCGGTTCATCGTGCAGATCAGATACTGTCAATTGATCACTATCAGCCAGCATAGGTTGTCTTTCAGATCCAGTTGCAATCGACTCGTTTCTCACTTCCTCTCTATCTCTATCGATAATCATAATATCCGGTATGAGCCTCCAACAGGGGCAAGTCGTGGCAATCACAAAGGGAATCAAAAGTATGCAGTCATGGTCAGCATCCCTAAAAGAGGCCCAAGCAGGACTGCAATCCCGGAAATTCCCTCCAGAATAGAGAATGCCACGGTTCTACCAGACTAATTAGCTGACAAGCATCTCAAAGCTTGATATCTCCTACCTTTTCTCATATGAAATCTTCCTGTTGATGGCAGCATAGGCCAAGGCACCTATTGGCCATGGTCCTCCTCCCACCAGGACGAATACCGGCGCCAGACATAGCAATCATGCTGGAAGACTGTGCAGAGACCCTGGAACTATTAGTGAATCTTGACTTCACGACTGATGAACCCATACCAACTATAGTCACAAACCCCCAACATAGAATTGTACCGATAGCGTTGAGCCGAAAAGCCCGGCGTCATCCCTTTTTATCGAAGATAATACCAATCGATATCTACATCACGGCGGCTGCAAGATTAGTATGGACCCATGCACAAGACAAAATACTGTACCTGCTATCATGGAGCATATTGTTATCACCATTCATAGAGACCCCAGCTGGCCTTCCACTTCTGGGCTCTTACACTCACTTTCCATTGGAACATGAGTCCTCCGTGACTCTGTCCTGTCGAGATAATGTTGGCAAATCTTCTCCTCAAGCAGTCTTGGATATGGTGCGCTTAGCAGGGCAGAGCCAAATCTCGTAAAGAACAGTGAGAGGAAGCTCAGCCAGAAGTCGAGGGGATAATTTGTCCAGTTTCCAGGGGATAAGGTGAAAACGACTTGGTGGACGAAGGATTTCATGGTGTTTAGAGCTGCCACACGCAGCTCTTGCTCGTGGATCACTCAGCAACCTTTCAGTCGATTCGTTCAACTAATATCAGATATAAGATGATGGTTGATGTAGAATTTGTGTTGATGGAGTCGGAGAGGTGGAATGTGGCGATGGAGGTAATCGAATCCCTGCACGTGGCATGATTTAATTAACCAACAGTGAATGTCTCACTTGCCATCCATCTTCGTCTCTTCCCTTCCGCTGAAACATTTTGCCTTTACACTAACACTGAATACAATTGAGCCCTTCTTGGTCTTACTTACAGGTGTGAATCACTGGACCGCAATCAGCTATCTCCCACCTTGTACCACCATATCATCAAGTCGAACGTCACCAGTCTCGATATCTAAATGACTCTGGTTGTCGTGGGCGTCCTGAATGGTTCTGGGATTACGGGAACGCTCTTTCTCAGTCCGCCTTTTCCACCAGTTCGACAAAGCAATCCCGATTCTAAAAATGATGCATATGAATAAGAAGGTCGCACAAATGGTGGTTACGATCAGGAGGATGTGATTCCAGAGCATGTCAAAGTGAGGCAATAAGATTGGTACAAAGGGAACTGTTACTGAAGAGAAGAGAAAAAAGAGGGGCGTCGATATTCAAAGAACGGATTCAACAAAAACATGCTAAGGAAAGAGCAGCGGAAGTAAAGCTGCGCGTGATAGAGGAAGGAGCATCTCTATGTGGAGTATTTCCAGCACCTCCCATCTACTTTCAAAAGGAATCGTCTGATAATTAAAGTACAATTCAGCAACCTAGTCTACTCACAAACAAAGAGATATCAGCTGAATCTTCACTAGCGGTGCCTTTGACTCGAGAAAGAGCGTGTCCTTCCTGATGTAGATTGACGTCGGTGAGTCCATCCAGGATGGCATGCTCCTGATGCAATATTTTCACATCATCAAGAAAGTGGAGTCAGCTCTGTAGGGTCCTTCCTATGCTATACTAAGTGGTATCGACCAGTTACCATCGCGATCAATCTTTGACAATGCAAAACTTCATGATTAATCTGATTCCTCTCCTCCTATAGTATCATCTTTTGAGAAGGATTCTTGCTATTGCTTCGCGGATGAAGCGGTTTGCACAAGTTCATGAGAAGCATCTAGACAGCGCGCTCCGAACTGATAGCATGGTATGCACACCTTGAAACCACCATAGCAAGATTGACATACGTAGTATATACCCTTGGACATTGGGAGGGTACAAACATCACAGGATAAAGACGATCGTTCACTCGAATTGAAGTGAACTTCAGGGACTGAGATGCCAGATATCCTGATCCCTTTGTCGGTAAAAAGACGTCGTAGAGAGCTATTTCCAGTGGCTTGAATCCACCATGACAGAGACCGGCCAAAGCAATCACTTGGTTCTTCTTGAATCGGATCAAGGTTGAGAATCATACGGACTAGGTCTTCGTGACCATGCTGTACCGCTGCAAGAAGTGGGGTGACAGCATAATGATCCTTCTGATGGATCAGACCGCCGTAAGAGACGAGGAGGCTGAGGATACTTCCATGACCATGGATAGCAGCATAGAAGATCGGACTTCTCCCAAGGCGATCAGCCGAGTCAAGCTGGATACTCTCTGTGCTATCCAACAACAGCTTTGCCATTTCAACATGACCCCATTGCACGGCGATGGAAAGCGAATTGCGGCCCTTTTTGTCTTGACAATCGACGTTGGCCTTGTTGTCCAACAGCAGCCTCACCACTTCTCTTTGCTGAGCCCTGATGCGAAAAGGAAATCCGAGCCTTCCGGGGTGCTCCTCGACGGCCAGCAATAGCGGTGTCAAGCCATTATTATCTATCGATTCGGTGTCGGCATGGTTCTTAAGGAGTACACCTACTGCTTCTGGGTGAGCATACCAAGCAGCAAGTGCAAGGGGAGTCTGTCCAAAGTCGTCCCGGTGCTCAATATCGGCTCCTCGCTGGATTAACAGTTTGACCTTTGCTTCTTGACCAGCCATCGCAGCTAGACAAAGTGGTGTTCGCCCATGTCTATCCTCCGTGTTGATATCAGCATGGCTCCGTATCAGCAGCTGCATCGTCCCAGCCATGTTGACTGGCTTGGTCGGTGGTGCAGCGCAGCAGACCGAGAACAATGCCAGAGCAGTCTGTCCCTGGTCATCTTCTCTGTCTATTTGGGCGTCATTCTCCAGAAGCAACTTCACAACTGCCTCCTGAGCATTCTTTGCTGCCAATAACAATGGCGTTTGGCCATTCACATCTGCAGTCTCAATGTCTGCATTTCTCTGCAGAAGCATCTCGACTATTTCTTCATGGCCTTTCTCCGCTGCCACTGCTATTGGCGTCTTGTAAAATCTGGGGTCCTTGAACTCGATATCCGCATCATGGTCGAGGAGCTGTTTGACTATATTTTCGCGCCCGCTATCAGCCGCCACCCAAAGCACCGTGAGGCCGCGTTTATCTCGAGCATCGACATTTGCCTTGTTCGCAAGCAGCAGCTCCACCATCCCTTCGATGCCTTTCGCAACGGCCCAAAAAAGCGCAGTACGAGATAAAAAGTCGCCAGCCTCAATATTCGCTTTCCTTTCCAATAAAATATTGACAACTTGTTTATGGCCGTGAATAACCGCAAGTATAAGTGAGTTGAAGCCGTGACATCTCTCGGTGGCCTCGATATTGGCGCCGTTGTCGAGAAGTAGCTTCACGGTGGCTGCGTGGCCGTTCTTAGAGGCCAGTATAAGAGGGGTTCGGCCGTCGTCGTCTGGACACTCGAGGTCGATGATGAGGTCTTTCTTTTGCAAGAGCTGTTTTATCTGTCCCGAATGGCCGTTTGCTGCTGTATATAGGAGGTGGTCATAAATTTCCATTAATATAAGAGACATGGTTGGTCTGTTGATGCTTTGGTGAGGTTTAAACAAGATTTATAATGAGAAAGGTAATTTTCTGATAGACAATAAGAAAGAGACGTGGAATACTTATGTCTTTACTGCCATCCCAGGCAGCGATCCCGTCTGAATGTACAGCCAGTTGTATATCAAACCCTCCCGAAGCAAGGGGGTCGTTGCCTACACCATATACCATATGTAGAAATATAGCACATTAGGTATTTATCTCGGAGATATTTCTTACCCATAGCTCGTGCCTATTCTGGCTTTTACCTGCACTGGTTAGCAATGGAAATAGCCTCACAAAAGGGCGGTCTAGACATACATACTCCGCCAACACCAGGAATGAGATATGTCTCAGCGCAACTTACATACTGGGGGTCCATCTCTTGTCTTCTCTTTAACAATGTTCTTCTGACCTGACGGATGCCTGTGTGGATGCCCATGACCACTGATTTCTGTTTATTTAGCTGGCCATATCTAGGCGATGGCCATTGATCCGCGTTGTGTCATTAATTTATATGCTATGGGACCATAATTAAGCGCACACGCGACAGCTATCATGTACATGTTGAGCCGTAAAGAAAGTCCAGCCATTATGACAAAGTTGTTGAAGTCTTGAAGATTACAAGACAGTCTCGTGGATAGGGCAGTCCACCTCACGTGAAACCCGCGCCCGCCACAAACGCCAACTGCCACCGCCACACAAGCTAACCAAAGCCACACTGCTGCCTCAGGCCGCCATGCCACCTAACCTCTGTCCCTAGCTCGTCTGCTGTAGAGCTCCGCCGACGTCGAGCGGAGGAAATCCAGGTCCGCAACAGCTTCACGAGAATAACCCACGACCCGCGCCATCTTTGAAATCGGGATTTACACAAATCGTATCCCAGCCGGACCATCACACCCGCTCATTCCGTGTGACCGCTGTGCCTTGTTTCCCATCCGTGACGATTCCCTCCCGAGACGGACACGATAACGATTAGACCTGACCGACATCGGGTTATTCGATCGAATACATCAGTAGAAGGCGTGTTGTTCGACGATAGTTGTCCAAATTCCACTACTAAAGTCCTGCAAATACGAGTCGAATCGTCACGTTTAGGCTGGTCCTGATCTCCGACACCTCCCTTCTATATCAAACCGAGGATACTACGAATAAAGAACATTCAAAATGGCGAACGGGTATGTACCCCGTCAGCAGATACATACATGGAGAGGACGATATTCTAACACAGCACAGGTGGAGTCTCGTCATCGGACTGATTTTCATCGTCCTCGCTTCCGTCGTTGCCTGGGTGTTTAGTCCAAAGGGCGAAAACCAGACGTGAGTTATTCGATGCTGTACCCGGGGTGATTGAGAGCATGCTTGCTAATTTATTATGCAGACTTTGGAGAAGTACGCTCATTCTATCATTCGCTTCGTGTTATCTCATGTGGGGTAAGTGATATTATATCTCATAGTGGAAGTTGGATAAGGTAGAATGCTAACGCTGACCAGCTATTGTATTCCTTGCACAATGGCATCCTCTCATCTCGCCCAAGAGATCAGATATCAGACCTGGACGGGTACCGGAATAAGATGTTTACACGGAGTTTGGATGAGATAGATGAGAAGAGGGAATTTGAGAAGTGAAGTATGTGGCCCAGATGAAACAAACAGAGATTCGGTTTTTGTATAGTTATATCATATCCTTGTTTTCCTATTTTTACATGTTTTTTTCTCGCTTTCAGCGTTTACGGTTACACATAATCCAGTATTACTTCTGGAGTCATGGCTTTGGCAGATATGTAAGTTTCCTTGATTACTTGAAGATGAATATTATCTCAATAAATAACGATGACTACCCAACTCCCACACCACCTAAGACTACTCTCTGGACTGTCCAGCGAGCCACTTGTCCCGCAACCGCCAGCGCCACAGCACGCAGATATCCGCATCCTAGTAGAATATACAACGCCTCGATGTTACTCAACAGCGCCATATGCGTATCTGCCGCACTCAGCGAAAGAAGAGAGCCCATCAACTCCACAAGATTGGCCAGGTAGTTCCCCGGGGTCGATGCGGGCATCGTGGCCGCCAATTTCGCAACCCAGTCTTCTACAACAGACGTAGATGATCCTGACACAGCTGATGTGGCTGCTGCTGCGACTGCGGTCGCGGCAGGTGTAATTCCATTCAAGGTATCCCGGACGAGCGTTTGTTGTACAGGGACGCTCGTTGTGTCGGTATTCTGTGTATACGCGTTCGATGCGAAACCGCTACCATCTGGGCCCCAGATCACAAGGAGAATAGGGAAAAGCTTGGCGCAGCTGCTGACAAGAAGAGCCGTGCTGATGGCTGCTGGGCTAGCCGGAGACGGAGGCGGGAGAGGCTGTATTGTTTGCACCGGTGCCGTGGACGCGCGGCGCAGGGGCGGGGGAGGAGGCGGATGCGGCACAGACCCTTGAGCAGGTTGTTGATGGTCGACACCTGATGAGCTTGCCGTTCCAAGTGGTGGTGAATTGTCCTGGTAGGAGTTGCGTGGTGTGAGTTTTGGCGAACTCGTAGGGATATTAGGGGTATTTGATTGTTGCGATTGTGAATTCATAGAAAAGGAGGGGAAAATCGGCGTGGTAGGATTCGAAGGGACAAGAGTCTCCGATGGAGTACCATTATTATTATTAGTTGTATTATTGTCGGTTCCCGAGGGCTGATGAGGCGTGGGAACGAGAATTGATGCCAGCAGACGGACAGTCAGGTGGTGGGCGAGAGTCGCAAGGGCGTTCAAGCTTAGGAAGAAAAGGTATTGCACGATGATAGGGGCACGGGAGAGAAATGTCGCAGAGAGAGTTTGGGATTTTTCAATGCGCGCCCATGTTAGATAGACGTCAAAGAGAAGGAGAAGAATTCCGAGTCGAATAATCGAACGCTTCAACAATAATCAGTATCGCAAAGCCAGGCAGTCTCATGACATGTAACTTACATCGAATTGGTTATCCACTCTCCCCAGACGATTGAAAAGAAGATGTCGATAGACCTATCCCATTAGGCCACTGCCAGTAAAATATAAAGTGACAGCTCATACCTGAGGCTTGATCAGGACAAGATCGATAAACAGCACAACAAAGTCATGCTCGACGTATTTGTCGGCGAACCGCTGACAGCGCGGACATTGCGTCAGACGCACGCCCTTGCCCAGCGACCGGTCATCGGCACGGCTGTAAGTACTATACAGGTGCGAGACAGGATAGGAGCATTCGATGCAGATGGGCATCGTGTCATTGACGCATGGTCGAGGCGATGAAGATCGAGAATCTCCTCGTTGATGCCGTTGATGCAGAGAGTGTTTGATTGGTTTGGCTTGTTTGCTCTGTTTACATTCTCTGTGGTCTACAGGGGGCGGATAAATGTCATGTCAAATGGAAAGATGCATCTTAATTCGTGATATCTTCAGTCATTTAAATCATTCAAGAAACTTCACAATCGTCTCCTCAATCCTCTGTGGTGCAGCGCCAACAACCTCTTCGACCTTGATTCCGTCCTGAAAGTAGATAAACGTCGGCATGCTGCGAACACCCAATTCCATAGCGACTTTCTCGACCTCGTCAACGTTGACCTTGTAGAAAGCGGCCTGGCTGTATTTGTCGCTGTACTCTTCGAATTTGGGAGCGATGGCTCTGCATGGAGGACACCAGGTGGCGTAGCAGTCGATGATCATTAGAGGGTTCTTGGAGTCGCCGACCTCGTCGGTCGTTGCTTCCAGAGCATCCATGTATTGTTTGAAGCTATTTTCTGTCAGTTTGGAATTGGATACTGTTGATAGAATTTACTTACTTGGTGATTTCTGTGACACCCATTGTGAGAATTGTGGATTGTGATGAATGATTGTTCAGCAGCGGGGTTGAGTGAGGGGTTGCGTTCTTATATGTATCCGGGGATGGTTGCAGAACGACATGTTGCTTCACTATTGGTCAATGCTACATTTATACTCGAACTACGTGCCCAAACCACGGCTGTACATTTCCACCAGAATTAGATCGGATGATCAAGTCGTATTGGGTAGTATTCGGCCAATTGCCCCGGCATTTCGCATATTGACTGGCTTACTGTTAAGGATATGACGTATGGGGTCGTACAATGTCATTAAGCCAAGATTTTAGACATCAACATATATATTTATGCTTTCCAATACTTGTGCTAATCTCATGTATACATCCTGGAATAACTAATCAATCACCCCTGTGTTGTCCGCCCAACTAGGCTGAATGGCTCGACACACAGCCTCATAATCCTCAAACTTCTGGGAATCACTCGGCAGGTTCGGCGTGGTCCAAAACATAGTCCAATTGTTGTCTGACAGCTTCCACGTTCCCCGAGACCGTTCAAAGTACCACTTATTAACTGGGTTGTCCTTGCGACTGCGCCAACACACTCCTTCGGGGAAGCACGTTCGCACCATAGCATTGAATACGATATCAGCTACACCACCCGCGCCCTGGCTGCGCTTGAGGACAGCGAACTTGTCCAGGTAAGGCACCATTCGTGAAAGGCTCTCTTCACTACCATCGTCTTTGACGCCAGGGGGCAGTTCCCAGGTTAAGATCGCACCGCCTTCGTATTCTCCCGCAATAATTAATCCAGCAAGTCGGTCGTTGACTCGGTTGAGATAATCCTGGACGTCAAGTTTCCGGTTGAAAGAGTCTTCAATCAAGTGGACGAGGCGGGGTAAGTCGATAGATGGGTCGTCCAACTTTAACCGCGGCCGATGTTGGGGTGTCCACATCTCCACACGTGGATCAGGCAAGACGGTAAGAGGCATGCCGCGTTTCACAAAGGTTGTGTGGGAAGTGGGTGTACTGACGGTGTTTGAGCCGCCATTTTTGGTAACTCGCCTACTCAAAGGTAGAGATGAAGAAAGTAGAGGTTTGTCGGTAAGTAGATTGTGGATGAGTGGGTTCCTCTGTCGCCTAGTTCCCACGGCAGATACGTCTGGTGCGGCAGGGTGAGGTGTGTTGGCTGAGTTGGAAACCTCCAATGGCGAGGTGATTATACCCGACGAAGCGGCTGGTAACATGGCCAGCGCTTGCTGGGAAAGTTGAAGGTTACCCAGATGCCCATCGAGAACGCTTTTCTCCGAGTCCAATCCTGCTTGACTAGGGGAAGTGGAGATCGTTGAGTTGACACCAGGAGCGGAAACAGACGGTTTTTCAACTCCTGCGGACGACTGTAGCCGACGCAGCTGAGCTTCAATGTCACCATATTCCTGCTCCATGTTGATAAAAACATGGGATGACTGCGGGCCACTAAAAGACGGGATACCACCCAGAGGATCCAGCAGAATTACTCGGTCCAAGGACACCTCCTTCTGTAAATTACTGATCTTCTCGGCCGTCTGTAGCGGGTCTTCATCCGGGTGGGGAACCATTGCCAGACCAGCAAGCTCTTTGGTAAGTGCTAGGAAAGCATCATCCGCAGAAACAAAGACTGCTTTTGGCACATCCTCTGTATAGGCAATCGGGGCGATAATGACGGTCTGTCCGTCTCGCAGTGGGTTCAAAAGTGCTTTTCGCGATAACACTCTCGGCAGACCGGGGCTTGCAGGGGGAATCGACAAGACGGAGTCGAGACGGACGGATTTAGAGTCCGGCTGCGCATCCACAGCAGTGGAAATGCGATCCGCTTGTTCTATGGCGATTTTGCGCAACACATTGTCATGGCCTTTTACCCCGGGATCGACCAAAACACAACAGGCCATACCCAAGCGGTTAAGCTGCGCCAATGTTTTTGCCACGCCATCTAGAACAGACTTATCAAGCAGTTGCGGCGTGGTGATTTTAATCAATGCCGAGTGTAGTCTCTCCGATAGCTCTGGCGCGTGAGGTGTGGGAGTCGAATCCTGCCGGAATACTGGGCTATCGTAAACTGATCTCGAGGCGCCGTAGAAGGATCCCAAATTGACGCCCAGCGGTAATGATTGACCTGCGGTCGCTTGTGGTTCTGGGGTTGCGGATTTGGGATTTGGCTCGTTAGCCTTGAGCCGAGCGAGGTAGGATTTGGCCTCTCGCTTGGTGGAGGCAGAGCTCAGCAGACTGAGAAAGAATTCCTAACATTCCAAAGAATTAGCACCCACACATTGTAAGCCTGACACTATCATGGAAGCCATACCCGATCCAACAACTTTTCCTTGGCCCGACGGCCCAACCGATCGTAGCTGGAGCTGCTGCTGGAAAATTCGGCGCGGTGGTTGACTCGACGGTCGGCGGAGGACGAGAAGGAGCGCGAGAACGGCTGGTTGTGAGAGAGAGGGACATTTTGCTTCTAGAGAGTAATTGTCAGACAATTGATTCCGACCAATTGGTTAGTTTCAAAATCCCGCAGCAGGGTCGTACCTTCAGCAAGGAGGACTTAGCAGTCCGCTGCCAAGTCAGTGTCTTTGTGCTCATGTTTCATTCCTGTCGAAGACCCAAGAAACGCATGACAGTGACGAATGCATAGAAGAAGAGAAAAGCGAAAAGGGGAAATATAACGAGGCAGCAAAAGCAATGAGAAAAATGTCTCAAGACATGGGGGCAGAGATATTTTAAACAACAAACAGCGTGGAGGTTCTATTTTTCTGCATGCCGGGGAAAATTATGAGTCGTTGCGGATAATGACGCATCCCGCTCGGTTTTATCTCGCATCGCCGACAACGCTGATCTGTTTCAGGTGTATAAAGAACGGTCTAGGGCATCTAATCTACTCCATCTGACATTTTGATAATATGTTAGTGTATATCTAAATAGACAGGGTGAGTCAACATGTACTCTGTACATTATTGAATACATACTCCGTAACCGGACAAACGGGTCATATCCCCTTTTCCCTCCCAATTATTTCGACCAGATCCCCCAGTGAAGAAACGTCAAAATCAGGGTCCAACGCGCTGCATTCTGCATGATCGCCTTGTCCGTATCGACACCAGCATATCTTCCCCCCAATGCTGGCTGCAAACTTGATGTCCGCAACAGTATCCCCTACCATCAACACTTCCCCATCCTCTAGCCCCTCCACCCCATATCGTGCCTTTAAAGTGGGCACCAGCACGTTGGCAAAACTCGCCGGATCAGGCTTCCGTTTTGCTCCGGGCGTTTTATCACCGACTATCAGATCCTCGGGCACATATTCTTTAAGCCCGTTCTGCTCCAGTGCGGTCTTGACCGCCGCGATACCCTTGTTGGTTACAATGGCTGTCGGGATATTCTCCGATTTCAAGTACCGCAGCAGCCGTTCTGCACCGGGATAGGGCTTGGTGAGGGATTGGCCATGTGTAGCGTACAGCTCACGATACCTGACGACCCACTGGTCCTCTGTAGCATTGAAGACGGCGGTGTCGGGATGGAGGGCCCGCAACGTGTCTGAGATGCCGGCACCGCTGGAGATTAAAGAATGGATGTCGGCTGGCGCGGGGACATGAGTGGGGAGGAGGGACTCGAAGGTGAGCTTGACTGAATGCTCGACGCATTGGATGGTGTCAAAAAGAGTGCCATCAAAGTCAAAGATGACCAGACGGGTCATGGTGAAGGTATGATTGCTCGGAAAATGTGACGATTAAGATGTTTGTACAATGTACAGGTCATCCAGGCCAGGATATTCACGTCTTAAGAGGACCAGGCCAGCCTTGTCGCTAAACCCCCGTCTACGCGGATCTTGAAACCCCTCGTCGGTGAATGCTTCCAGGATTCCACTAGCAAGCATTAGACAAGGTTTACTCAGATCCAAATAGTTAGAGAACCAGTATATTAATATCCCCAGACGCCATCCAGCAGTCCATGGGGCTTGCAGCGCCTGGGGCGGTTGCTGCAGATGCTTCCACCTGGTGATAATATCCAATATCCAAGCACGGATCAAAGCATGGCAGTGCTCCATGTGGGTTTGCGATATCAATAATGCTATTTCTACTTTTTGTCCTTCTATCGACTTTGCATCAACCAAGTCTTCAAAAGACTGCACCCAACTGGATGCAGTAATGAGCTCTCGTCAGCTGGACTCGTGATGATCTGCAGGGGTCAAGGATTGATTGTAGTGAAACGACGAGGATTGATTACTCGAGTGAGACCTCATTGGTGTGGGTGCTACATCCTGATGGCCAGTCCCAAGTTGAGCATCGTGATGGGGTAGAAAAGATGGAGATAAGTGCTGTGATGTGGTGATGGTTGAGAAGATGCCCATGTACCGGTACCTCGAGGTACTTGGCTTTCCAGGGAAATCCCGCCCGAGCACAAGTACTGATCGGTATCTCGACCTCGCCTCGAACTCGACTTTATCGCTGCCCCGCGTTGTCCTCTCCTTTTGCTCCAGAATTCAGGATTCTGCTCTGCATCTGACCTGCATCTCTTGCGCAATCCCCCATCATCTGGATATCTGATCGATTATCATCTGTGTGTTGTCTTTCAAGTAAGTCTCCATCTCGAGTCGTTTCCTCAGCTTCCCCTTGTGGCAACCCCTCGCTTTGGCACGCACCGTAAATTCTTGAACTCTGTCTCGCAGAATAATAATCCCTTGCGCCCGACCATCCCGGTGAGATCGGTTTTGTGAACCTATCCATCCTCCCTTCGACCTTCCTATATTCATCCATCTCCCTCTCTTGCGTCTTGTACACTTATCCTAACAGCCTGGATGCAACCCCAAAGTCGTACCTTGGCCTGTTCTTATCACCCGCATTGAGCTAATCTCCACCCTTTTCTAGCCCTTCCGATTACTCGGTTTCCTCGATTCTTCAACACCCACCACACTTTCCCTGCGGTTTACTGCTCGGAGATACCTGCTTTGTCGTGCGTTTTGAACGGAGTATTCTCGATAAAATTTATTGCCAGAAACATTGAAGACTCGTCTTCTGTGATCTTGTCGCATTTTTTCTCGGAATCCTTTTTTGCACAATCAATCGCTTCATCATGTCGGATCTCAGCGATCGGCCGTCAGAAACCCTCTCTGACCATGGCAGCAACGGCCTCAAGACGTCCGACGAACATGACACCGGGCTTCATTTCATTGACAACCATGATGTCTCTAGTTTCAGCAACCGTGCTGGAATTGCCATTGCCAACGGGCTTCCCCTCGAAGACGCAGATTTAGACGAAGACGATGAAGAGGAGGTGGATGAGGACTATGTCGCTGTTGATCACGATGATATAAACGAATTTCCATACTGGTTTCGTCGCCCACCTGTTCACCACCGCACCAAACTCGAGGAATTGCACCCCTTCGTACAGGTTTTGACGGAGTCGAACGTGGATGATTGTGTGAATGTGGAAAGTGCTTTCCCGGAACAAGAGCGCTGCAGTCGCGAGAAAGTATGTTGAACCATCTAAAGAATTCCGGGTTTCTACGTTGTCTGGCGCCGACGGGGCGTGCTCCTCGTTTCGCGGCTCTTATATCTTACCCGGGAAGTTTTTGGTTTAAAAATGCTGACTATGGGCCTTATGAAGTTCCTCTACCGCCTCGGAAGGTGTCCTGAACTCACTCTGGGTCTCTTCACCCTTCCCATCCTTCAAGAAGGTCAGGCCAAACCTCGTCCAACGCTGGTTGGACATGTCGTTGCTACTCGGACCTCGGGGCCTCGCGTGACAGATGCTTCCATGCTGCTCCCGCCCAAGTGGCAGACCGAGCGGATGACCATCGAGAATGGAGAAACCCTCGGTCATGATGAGTACGGTGCTACAATCGTTATTCATTCCCTTGCGGTTCTGCCCGAACATCAGGGAAAGCAGGTCGCCAGCACTTTGATGAAGGCGTATATCCAGCGCATTAAGGAAGCGGCTATTGCGGAGCGCATTGCGCTTATCTCCCACGACAACTTGATTCCATTCTACGAGTCGCTTGGGTTCGAGAACACTGGTCCTAGCAATTGTAAATTCGGTGGCGGTGGTTGGTATGATTTAGTAAGTCCTCATTTTCGCTTCCATCCATGGGCCAGTATGCTGACGATATCAGGTTATGGAGTTTATTCAAGAATAAATACCTGCTGTTTGATTCTGCATCCTCTCGGCATGGACATGATGTTACTCGATTGCATTTGATTCCGCTTTTCTTTTCTTTTCATTTTCCGTATTTCCATTTATACCTTTATTCTCATCCTGGTTGTACTCTGGTTTTGGTCTCACACGGCGGGTTCAAGAGAAAAGCAACGGAGTTTTGTTCTGGGCTATGATGATTCTAGGGCGGATTCTTGATGGCCGGATTTTACACTTCAACACGACGGGCGGTCGGTTTGATCAGGGCAACGATATTGTGTACCGTAGTCCATGTTATAGTCAATGTACATGATCTGAGTATAGATTCTAGTATTTTATATTTCTTTATATATTAGGTATTATTCCTATATCCTCATATCGCATGAGATAGAAAATTCTTCTCGGCTGTACTGCCAAATCAAATCCCCCACATTCGCTCACCGCCCGTCGACCGCCCGCGAATAATTTTTTTTTGCCTTTGGAGAAAAGAAAAAAAAAAAGTCGAGCGTCTAAGAAGAACAACCCACCACTACCTCTACAACCTCAAGGCATCTCGAGAGTCGTCCCCTGTTATCGACTCTGAATCGGTTGCCCATCATGAAGACGACGTGGAAAGATGTGAGTTTCTTTTCCCGCAGCGATTCGACCTGTCAAATCGAGTTTTTGTTTCCGGTTGACTGACTGTTTTTTTCTTTTTCACCGCTTGATTAGATTGCCCCGGTGCCCACGAGCCAGGAATTCCTGGATATCGTCCTTAGTCGCACTCAGAGACAGCTGCCTACGCAGATCCGCGCCGGTTTCAAGATCAGCCGTATTAGAGGTATTGAAGATCCCGATTGTTTTGACATGTTGGGCCGGACGGTGGTGGAAGCAAGATCCGAAAAGATTATGGTCGGAAATTATCGATAGTGTGTGCACAGTCGCTAATGTGAGAAAACGTTTTGTCGGCGAACAGGATTCTACACTCGAAAGGTCAAATACACCCAGGAAACCTTTTGCGAAAAGTTCCAGGCCATTCTCGATGGATTTCCGAGATTGCAGGATATTCACCCTTTTCGTAAGTTTTTCTTCCGAACGATGATTATGGATTTTCGGGGACTAATAATTACCAGACAAGGATTTGATGAACACTCTTTACGATGCCGACCATTTCAGAATTGCTCTTGGTCAGGTCTCGACGGCCAAGCATCTCATTGAAACCGTCTCCCGCGACTATGTCCGTCTTATTAAATATGCTCAGTCATTGTTCCAGTGTAAGCAGCTGAAGCGCGCTGGTCTCGGTCGTATGGCCACCATCTGCAGACGTCTCAAGGACCCTCTCGTCTACCTTGAGCAGGTCCGTCAACATTTGGGCCGTCTTCCCGCGATCGATCCCAACACTCGTACTCTGTTGATTTGCGGATACCCCAATGTCGGAAAGTCCAGCTTCCTGCGCAGCATCACCCGTGCCGATGTTGATGTGCAGCCTTATGCTTTCACCACCAAGAGTTTGTTCGTCGGTCACTTTGACTACAAGTACCTGCGATTCCAGGCCATTGATACCCCCGGAATTCTCGACCACCCTCTGGAAGAGATGAACACCATTGAAATGCAGTCCATTACTGCCATTGCCCACTTGCGGTCCGCCATCATGTACTTTATGGACCTATCGGAGCAGTGCGGTTACTCCGTCCCCGACCAGATCAAGTTGTTCAACAGTATCCGACCTTTGTTCGCCAACAAGATCGTGTTTCTTGTTGTGAACAAGATTGATGTGCGTCGTCCCGAGGACTTGGAGCCCGAATACCAGCAGGAGCTTGAGGCCATCCTGAAGTCGGGCGATGTGGAGATGTTGCAGCTGTCCTGCACCACCACTGAGGGTGTGACAGGTGTGAAGAACGCAGCCTGCGACAAGCTCCTGGCCGAGCGTGTGGCTCAGAAGCTCAAGTCCGGATCCAGCAATGCCGGTACTCCTGGTGGACGTCTGGGCGATGTTCTTGCCCGTATCCACGTTGCACAGCCCATGGGCGGTGTGCGCGAGGCCTTTATCCCTGATGCTGTGAAGGGACTGACGAAATACGACAAGAACGACCCCAACCGGAGGATGTTGGAGCGGGACATCGAGGAGGAGAACGGTGGAGCTGGTGTCTACAACATCGACCTCAAGAAGAACTACGATCTGGCCGACGACGAGTGGAAGCACGACAAGATCCCCGAAGTGTGGAACGGAAAGAACATTTACGATTTTGTGGACCCGGATATCGAGTCCAAGCTGGCCACTCTGGAAGAAGAGGAGGAGAAGCTCCAGGACGATGGATACTACGACTCGGACGACAGTGTGGAGGATGCCGAAGACGCCGACACCCGTATGAAGGCGGACCTGATCCGCGAGAAGCGGGCTTTGATGCGCAACGAAGCCAAGATGCGCAAGTCGCTCAAGAACCGCGCGCAGATTCCTCGCAGCGCCAAGGCCAAGAAGCTGTCCCAGATGGAGGATGCTCTGCACGAGGCTGGCTACGACGTCGATGCTGCCTCGGCCCGTGCTCGCTCGCAGAGCCAGGCCCGTGGCCGTCCAACAACCCGCGATGTCGACATGGACGATGCCATGGACGTGGACCCATCAGACCCTCGCCAGGCTATTGCCAAGGCCAAGGGACGTGCACGCAGCCAGGCTGCTACCGATCGTCGCAACGACGGTGTGACAGACGCAGCGGCCCGCGACAAGGCGGAGCGCCTGGCCAAGCTGGGACAGAAGAAGATGAACCGCATGGCCAGAGCGGGAGAGGCCGATCGACACACGACTGCATCCCTTCCCAAGCATTTGGTATGTTCTGACATCATCGTGAAGATTGTGCGTATACTGACTTTTGATCTTTTTAGTTTGCCGGAAAACGTACTATCGGCAAGACGCAGCGCCGTTAAGGAATTCGTTGACTCTGCTGACGATGAGACGAAGTCCGTTTCTAATATTCTATATTGGTCTTGGGACCGGGTGTCAAAAAAGGCGTTGGGAGTAGTTGTTCAGTTTTTGGCCGTGTTTGATGAAGTGTTTTTCATGGATTACTCCGTAAAATACCAATCGATTTACATTACTACCTACATAGGTATAGAGCTGTCTTGAAATATATGCAGATGACTTTGGAAGAGCACATATTATGCATCGGCTTTTGAATATGAGGAATTAGATTTGTGTCGTCATTCTACATCTTGAATAGTTGAACTGGTTGGGCGCTTCATCTAGGTAGGGTTACCTTTACCCCTGCCGCCCTGGATGCAACTATCCAACCAACCACCACAAAAGCCACAAACACCATAGCTACCTAAATAATAACCAATTCAAGGCAAACTCCAAGAAATACCAAAAAGTAAAAAGTAGGAAGAAAAAAACCAATTCATCACCGCTCCTTCTGCCTTCCACACATAACACATAGCATAGCATAGCATACATAGCACAGCACAGCCTACATACATATGCAAAGCTAACGCCAAATGACATCCACCGCCAATTTCCCCGCATTTCACCCAAAAACCATGTTTTTTGTTTTGTAGAGAGTTGGTGGAGCTCTCTCCTCCGTAGACCGTAAGGTAGTATGTAGCTGTCCAACTGCCGAAAAAGAAATCGCGCAAAATGTAACCCTATCCCCTGTCTAGTTGATGCGGCTAGATGTGGGTGTACATAGCTGGGTATGTACGTACGTAAAGTAATGTCGAATCGGGATTGGATTTGGGTGGATGGGTGGGTATCATTACTTACCTATGGGTATGATGATGATGGTTATTATTTTGGTTTTGGATGCGCGATGTAAACGGTGGTTGAGAAAAGTATTGAGAGGCACAAGGTTTGGGTTGGGTTGGTTGGGTTTTCCTTTTCTCCGGTTTAGGTTGTCTATCCTTTGCCACTGAAGATGGAGGAGATTGAGTGTTTGGTGAAATCTGAGGGTCTCAGAAATCAGAAATCGAATCATGTTCTTGAGTTGGTATCAAACTGTCAATCTAGCGAAATAAAAAGCATCGGTCTATGTAAAAAGCAAACAATCTATAGTAAAAAAAAGAAACATGCAAATCCTGTTACCCGAAACATCCTGTGTCCTGTACGGATAAAATAGTCCCAAACCTGTATGCGATATTCTTGACAAGAACGAAAGAAAATAAAAACGAGAAGAGAAAAAAAGGGTATCATCAAGCGCGTGTGAATATCACCGCACGGGCGCATTTCTTGCGCTGCTCCTGCAGCGACTTTTCCAGCGTCATCAAGAGACGAGTCGTGCGGATGTATATTTCTGCGTTGTTGTTAGCATCGCCTCAGCTTTCATACACCGACGAATCAGACTCACCATCAACCTCCACCTCGTAACACACAGTCCCCTCCGTCGTAGGCACCGGTGTGTTGCCGGTGTACTTCTTTTCCTTGATTCGCATGGTCAAGCCGACGTTCTTTTCGCCGTCAACCCACAGCATCTGACGATCGCTAGGCGTGCTAGTGCTATTGCTTGCTTCGGTAGCCCGACCGTCGGAGGAAACGCACTGGCCAGCAGCATTCCGTTCCTTGAGCCAGTTCTTGAAAAGTCGGATAACGCCCTGTTCCACGGTGACGGCACTAAGCAGCAAATGGCTCCTTGGCATGACCTTGACGAGGTTGACGGCGATGCTGAGCTGCGAGAAGTCGTCGAACTGCGCAATGACGAGATCGCGCGACATGGTCATGGCCTTGTCTATCGGAACAATTAGCCCTTCCTTCAAAATAACAGCCAGTAATATGTGGCGATGTCAACGGGACTTACCCGACGATGAAACGACCAATCGCGCTCCACGAGCCCTTTCTTCCACGCATGTTTCAGGGCGGAATCGGGAGTAGACCGAGCCCAGCTTGCCTAGTTGATGAGCTGTTTCGACATCCTCGTAGAGAGATCCTTTTCCCTCATGTCGGCCGCTCAGGCCATCGGTTCCGTTGAGGTCGTCGGTGCCCAGGTATTTGCAAAAGGCCGGGCTGGTGAGTCGGGAGCCCGGGTGAAAGCACTCCAGCATGATTTGGTAGTCCTTCAAGGGAGCGGCGCCTCGTAGACGGTAGTGTAGGATGCGCAGAATCAAGGCATGGAAGCGGTGCGAGACGGTGGTGAGGGCGAGGAGGGTGTGAGTCGAGAGTGGCGTGAGGATTTGGACAAAGACCTGAACTGATTAGAGACTCATCTTGAGATCAAGTCAATAGCATCAACATACCTCATTAGGGAGTGAGTAGAGGCTGGTAGACGGGTTGAAGATGTCCATCTTGATCTTCTTCTCTTCTTCTTCGTAGGAGGCAAAAGTAACAGAATCACAAAATCAGAAATTGAACAGCGGCCAATTCATAGCCATGACCTGCTCGAAATCAACGGCAAGCACCAAGTATAAGTAGTCCCAGAGGTGCATATACAATACCACATAGGCAGTGTTTCAAGACTGGAATTGATCTTCTCTCCTGTTACTTTTTTTCTTAAAACCCCTCAGTGCGATAAGGGATCGTCGCCATCTTCGCCTTTTTAGCGTCAAGCGGCTTGACGTCAGTGGATGCCTTTTTCTTTTTTTTTTTTTTCGGCGAGGAAGTTCCGGTCGGAGATTGGATTTTTGCAAATTTTTTCCAATTTTCAAATTTGCCATCGTTTTTTCTCGACCGGAAAGAAACCGTCACTAAAGGGCAATCGAGACGAGAGAGAGAGTCGGTTCCGATGGAGAAGTGATCCATTATTATCGGGATTCTCCGAATCGGTTCACAGTGTGAGATTCGGGATAGATACGATTTACGACTGAGAAGATGCCGTGGACTGTCAGCCTGTCAGAATACTACGGAGTATATATACCCCAGATTCTATTACACCAGATACTACATATTATCATACTGATACTCACTCATATATATACTCATACTTATATATGATACATTGTGTAACTCCACCATCATTCTACCTACTACCTATGTATCCAGTATCCAGTAGTTGTACCGATTGAGTAAATTTCCGGAGTCCCCAGCATCACCCCGCGGAGCCCCGCCAAGAGAGTCCCTGAACCCCATCATCGCTTGCTGCCATCGCCACTTTTCTTTCTGTTTGTTTTTTACTCTTCTTCTTCTTCTTTATTTTCTTTATTTTCTGTAGATTCATCCAGCTGTTTATACCCCATCGCAATGGTTGAAAGCGTTCTCGATGACATCTCCCACCGGAGATTCAATCCGCTGAGGGGCTCTTATATCCTCGTCTCACCCCACCGGACCAAGCGGCCCTGGCAGTAAGTTGGATTTTGCATTTTGTGTCCAAATGGAAGCTGAATGAAGTAGAGGACAGCAGGAGAGTCCCTCCAAAACTACCTTGCCTTCTTACGATCCTTCCTGCTATCTCTGTCCTGGAAACCAGCGCGCGCAGGGAGACTCCAACCCTCAGTACGACAGCACCTTCATCTTCGTGAATGATTACAGCGCAGTCAAGGAGGAACAGGCACCTTACAACCCGGAGAACAGCAATGATGGTGTGTTGAGTCGATGGGAGATGTAGATGGCTAAGCTGACCGATGTAGACCTGGAGTCGCTCTTCCTAAAGGCAGAGCCTGTCACGGGCAAATGCTACGTGCTCACCTTTTCCGCAGCCCATAACCTCACTCTGGCAGACTTGTCGCCGGTTGATATTGTTCCTGTTATTGACGCATGGATCGAGCTCTACACCTCACATCTGTCGCCCAAGTCGCCGCTTGCTGCCGTCGCTCCCGCCACCACTCTGCCTCCCACCTCTCCTACGGTCAGTCTGGAAAAGCCCAAGGAGCAATATCGGTACATGCAGATCTTCGAGAACAAGGGCGCCGCCATGGGTTGTTCGAACCCCCACCCGCACGGACAAGCTTGGACCACGAGTTCGCTGCCCGAGGAGCCGGCCATGGAACTGGAGCAGCTGCTGAAGTATCGTAGGGAGCGCGGAGGTAAGCACATGCTTGAGGACTATGCCGCTCTGGAAAGCTACAAACAGGAGCGTGTGGTCTTCGAAAACGACGCGTTTTTGGTGGTCTGCCCCTGGTGGGCTACCTGGCCTTTCGAGACCATGATTGTCAGCAAGAAGCACAAGCGCGCGCTCGTCGACTTGAACGCCTACGAGAAGAGACAGCTGGCCGAGGCCATTGCCGAAATCACCAGACGGTATGACAACCTCTTCGAAACGCACTTCCCGTACAGCATGGGTATCCACCAGGCACCGCTCGAGGGAACAGAAGAGGAAATCGAAGCCTCGTACCTGCACTTCCACTTCTATCCCCCCCTGCTCCGAAGCTCAACCGTGCGGAAGTTCTTGGTCGGGTAAGTTATTGTCCTAGGTTTTGTTCCACAGTTGCTGACAGACCCAGTTATGAAATGATGGGCGAGCCCCAGCGTGATATCACACCCGAGCAAGCGGCGGCCAGATTACGGGGTTGCGGAGGAGAATTGTACAGGAAGAAGCTGGATGGCTGATGGACTGCGCGGAGGCGAGACATCGTAAAGATGCAATGATTTGAAATGACGTATTGTACTTTTGATATATGGGTATCTGTATTATCCGGTCCATCACCCAATAAAGGGTCCGAATGGGTCTGTTGTCAACAGAATATTCAAATATATACCTGTCCACCAACTCAAGCAAGATAAGAATCCCGCTGTGTCAACATCCACGCGAGAGTAGACGAAGCCACAATCAAGGGGCTCACGAATCGTCCCTTGATATGGGCACTGCCGAATGCCACTTCACCGACAAAGTGGCACAGGGCGATACCGAACGACCACGCGGCGAGATCGTACGAAATAGGGGTAGTGATGTTGTAGGCAGCGTACATGCGGACCACGGCGGAGAGGAAGGTCCAGGTACCAAAGGTCCGTCCAGAAAGAGCGTTTGTATACGGGCGACCGTCAGAGGTTCTACCGTTGTAGAGGCTGGCAGCGTAGTGCTCGGAGAGGTAGGCTTGAAGACTGTTGGCCGCAGAGACAGCGGAGACCTAGATGAACAATCAGAAAATGCGAATTGCTGGAATAGCTGAGAAATTGCATACCAAAAACAGCCATTTGGGCAAATAGCCCTCAAAAGGAGGGAGGTAAGAGAGAAGCTCAGCAGACATTGTCACGTTGAAGAGGGGAATCACAGGTGGTCGTCAGTCTGGTGTGCACCTTGAGGACCGCCAGAGGTTGAAAAGGAGCGACGAAGACCGAGGATGTTCGGTCTTGGCGCCGACAAGCTTCCCCCAACACTTTATTTGCTTTTGGCTTGTTATTTTCTCCAGCGCCCAGCCCACTTTCGTGGTTTCCCTCCTTCTTTTAATAATCACCTACAGACTACAGCTCATCTTCGGGTATCCTAGCAGACTAGCGCCATGGAGTTTGTGTCAAAATTCGCATCTTGCCTGTCCAAGTGGCAGCTAAACGTCGATCCGGGGCTGCAGACTCTGGGCGCGTTGGCCCTGCTGACCACCGGTGGCCTGTTCATCACCTGCAGGGCTCTGACCTTTGTCAGGGTCCTGCTTAGTTTGTTTGTCCTTCCTGGAAAGCCGGTATGTTTCAGCCCCGTCCTGCTTGGAATCAATAGACTAACCCGTACAGCTCCGTTCGTTCGGCCCCAAGGGCAGCTGGGCGGTGGTTACAGGTGCTTCCGATGGCTTGGGCAAGGAATTCGCCCTTCAGCTCGCTCGTTCCGGCTTCAACATCCTCCTCGTTTCCCGAACTGCATCGAAATTGACCGCTTTGGGCGATGAGATCTCCTCGAAGAACCCCGGCGTGGAGACCAAGATTTTGGCAATGGACTTTGCCAGCAACCAGGACTCGGACTATGCTAAGCTCAAGGAACTGGTTGATGGACTCGATGTGGCTGTGTTGGTCAACAATGTCGGAAAGAGCCACAGCATCCCTACTCCGTTCGCCCTGACACCCGAAGAGGAGATGAATGATATCATCACCATCAACTGCACCGGTACTCTGCGTGCTACTCAGGTCGTTGTCCCTGGTATGATCCAGCGCAAGCGTGGTCTCGTCCTGACCATGGGATCCTTCGGTGGTCTCCTCCCCACTCCCCTCCTGGCAACCTACTCCGGCAGCAAGGCTTTCCTGCAGCAGTGGTCTACTTCTCTCGGTTCGGAACTGGAACAGCATGGCATCACTGTCGAGCTCGTCCAGGCCTACCTCATCACATCCGCCATGTCTAAGATCCGTCGCACCAGTGCTACTATCCCTGATCCCCGCGCGTTCGTCAAGTCGGTCCTCGGCAAGATTGGCCGCAACGGTGGTTCTCCTTCGTATGCCTACAGCTCCTCCCCTTACTGGAGCCATGGCTTGATGGCCTACTTCCTTACCTGCATCACCGGAACCATGAACAAGTTCGTCCTTGGCCAGAACCGTGGCATGCACGAGTCTATCCGCAAGCGTGCCTTGCGCAAGGCTGAGCGGGAGAGTGGAAAGAAGAGCACCTAAGTTGTGATAGGAGATATAAGATGCAGTATGGTCAGGGGTATGGATGTTAGGGTGCTTCATGTAATTGAATGCGAGAAGAGATGACGAACTGCTTGGTATGTGTACTCAAAACTATTTAATGTTTTATCTTTGTTCTTGGGGATATTGTGCCTCGTTATTCTACTATAATATATTACTTTCTCGGGTCACCAATTCCCACAAACTGTTAAAAGTTATTCGATATGCCTCTGTTCTCGTAGTAATGTCACGTGCTGTTGTGAGCTGCTTCTTTCCCTGTATTTCTTTTCCCTCCTATCTTAGTCTTTCTTCAAAAACACCCCTGGACACTCAAATAATGACATCTTGCTTTTGTTTTTGATCCATCCCACCAGGCTCTTCTGGTCCATGTTCTAACCCGAGCCATTAAGCATGGTGAAAAGCCATGTCAGAGTCGAGAAATCTCGACCGTGGAGTCCAAGTGGCATATAACCGCTCAGCGCTTCAATGACCCCACGCCAAATACCTAATCAAAGGAAGAGGGGTGCGTTAGGCATGAACAGCGTGTCTTGTCATTTGCAGCTAGTCAACACATCATATTGATTGGCTATAACCTTGCGGATTTCCCAGCCTTGTGCAAAATGCTGTTTTTATCACACAGGGATTCACATTATCCTGCCAATTGCGTGGGTTAAATGTGCCCAGCAGCCCTAGGCAGCATTACAGCAAGCTTGATTGGTTTGTTTAAATGGGAAATGTCACCTATGGTGAGCTAGCCTGTCCATCTTTCGACCCCTCTCGGATCGACTCAAGATAGCGGGTGCGTGTCTATCTTATACCGGCTTGAAGCTATTGAGAGGAAGGCCATCCAACATCAAGCATCGAAATAAGGCAATGAAAGACTGTCCAATTTGCCACGACTTCCAGCCCGTACCCGAAGCGGAAGTCCCCCTGACTCGCCCCTTGGATTTGATAAGTACGCCATATATGTACCAAGGAACGTAGCTGGTGAGCCTGGAAGAAGTTTTAATGCAGGTGTCAACGAGGTTTGCCAGCAGGCCTCCAAGGGCTGCAATGGCTGTACACTTCTGTATCAGGGATTTCTTCAGTACCAATCGCCAGAAACCGAAACCTTGGTAAAGGAAGACACACTGTATATCAGCGCAGAATTTGCCCCGGGGGAGGCCATGCACTGCGAATTAATTGAGTTAACGATATCTGGGAAAAGATCCGGAGGTATGATTCGTTTCAGTTTCCAAATATTTGCTGTTGCTGGTAAGGTCCATGTTATTGATCATCGCATTGGATTCTTACTGTTTACAGGTCAGCCAAATGCATGGAAGACCCTGGTAAAAGCACCATAGTGTCCTAAATTTGTACTGACCGATGAGTGCCGAGCGTGTTTTCTTTCCTGGTTGCAGGATTGTGTTGATAACCACGAAAACTGCCGGACGCCGTCTTTCATGCCCAAGCGACTGATCGATGTGGGGGGTGACAGTCACCAAGATCTATGTCTCCGGGAGGATATGCACCAGGAAACTCCTTATATTGCAGTGAGTCATAGCTGGAAGTTCTCAGAAGCTCGGAAATTCATGACTTTGAAGGATAACTACGAGTCTCGAAAACAGTATATACCATGGCAGGGACTTTCGAAAACTTTTCGTGATGTAATCGATATCTGCCGCTGGCCGGGGGTAAGGCATGTGTGGATCGATACCTTCTGTATAATCCAGGATAATGCCGAAGACTGGGCCGATCAAGCCTCCCAGATGGGATGCATATATGAAGGCGCATACATCACCATTGCTGTTGACTACGACCCTGACGGCTCGCCAGAAGACGGTTGTTTTCTAAATTGGAAGGGCTTCAAGGAAGTTGTCCTCACCGATGACAGTTGAAGCTCGTTTTCGACGTTCATCAACGTCAATAAATGTCACAATTTGGATGATACCCGGTCCCTGATGAGTAGAGGCTGGTGTGTCCAAGAACGACTTCTGTCACCACGTATCCTCTATTTTCGACCGGATGAGGTTATTTTTGAATGCTTCACGCAAGATAATTCGAGTGCGAGTCATTGTCCTTGAAGGTTTACAATATCTGGAATCCCGAAGCGCAGGAGAAGGACCTGGCCAAGATCTTGCGTATTTCAAAGAATGAGCAGCCTAATATGGAACAACGCTGGGAATGTTGGAATAGCATCATTTCTCTATATAGTGCAACAAGCGTGACTGTCCAAACGGACCGATTGGCGGCACTATCCTGCATGGCTTAACGGATGCCTCGGCACATATTTGGCGATTACATAGCGGGTTTGTGGATTGACTCGATGGCATTGGGTATCAAACTGGGAAAACAATTGCTCCATTTCGAGTGACACGTGACTTAACATCTTATTATTGGCTGTGCCCCCCAATTTGCTAGGGTTTCTTGCTTATGCCACACTGCCTGGAAGAAGCAGAAGAAAGAACCACAGGGTAGCCCCTCTTTTAGATACTTGTTTACCAACTCTCCTGCCCATGTTCGTCTACAATGAGATACGAAATAGGAACGCGTTCTTTACTTTGTAATGTGTATTAATATCATACATAGTACTCCGTACCTAGTATGATTAGGGAACCTATGCGGGCCACGTTGATGAAATCTCAGGTATCCCAGAATATATATAATAACATAAACAAAATAGAATACTACTTGGTACTATATTCTGATATATCCTGGTTATAATTCCATTCTACTAGATTTTCAATCCGATTACAATAAATGTATGAAGTTGAAAAAGATAATACCATACAGGAATATAGGTATTGATTTCGTAGGCGACCTCTACTGTAGAAATCATCATACAGATCGTCTAAACCTTATGCAAACTGTCTAAATCATATGCAACCAATCGGATCAATTAGAGGCCTGCCCCACCCGTGGGGAATCATTTCCCTCAGGCACTCAGGCATTAACACGTGATAGTCCATCTGTATTGCTTCATCTTTCAGAGAAAGACATCATGTGCCCAATGTAGAAGTGTGCTATCTGGTATTAAAAATAGCTGATCTTGATCGAAAGCCACGATCATTTGGATAGGAGCATCCAGCATCAGCCACAATGGGAGGAATAGAGGGGCGTTTTCCACCGTGGTATTTGCATAGTCGATTATGACCTCCTGGACACACTGTGCTCTTATGCCATCTGCATCAATCCCCTCCCATCTCTCCATCCTGATCCTCTGACTCATCCAGTCAACAGAAACGAGTAAAACAACCCTCGTCATCCCATTACGATCCTCAATCCACATCCTCGCACTCACACGCAGCTGATGTATAGCCTCACCAAGCTCAACCACGAACGAAGGGAAATCATCACGAGATCTAGTCAATCGAGGAATCCAGCAATCATCTGGCTCCTTGCTGCTCCCGTCGGCCATCATCTGTCTACTAGCACCTCGAGGTTGGAGAATATTCGACCGAATCTGGAAAGAAACAAAAGTATCGCGTATCATGGAGTAGATCTCCCTGCTTGTTGTCTCATGGGTGTTTCCCGCGAGTTTCATGATGGCCGTTGCATGGCTGGGATAATAATGCACACGCATCGAGGGCAATGTGTGCTCCTCTCGCTTTGCCTCAAATGCCTGATACTTATCCTCGGGGAGGTTGAGAAGTGAGATGAACTGCGTTCCCCCGTCGTGGATATGAGCGTAGTATTTTGTTTCGATGAAGGCGATCGTGTCTTGCATGGTCGTAGACTCATGCTGGTCTGCTGGTGAGATGTGATATGCATTTGTTGGGCTAGAGATAGCATCATTGAGATCCGCCATGGTGCTGAACGGAGGGATGAATATCCTGGGGGTATCTCAAAGAAGGAGATAATGTTTCAATCACTCACAGTCACTCTTTGAAAATTCCGCCTAGCTTTAGTGAATATCGACTCTGCCGTATTGATGACATCACTCAATTCCCTTCGATTTCTTCCACATGCTACTTTTGTCTTGATTTGACATTCTAGCATACATATATGGTTCTCTGTCGATAGGGCTGTGACAGTTGGGAGTGTGGGTTACTGTTGTACAACCTTATCTTAGTTTATAATAAGCATAAAGTATTTTTGATAGAAGGAATATGAATCAGTATTTCTAATCGGCTTTTGACAAATTGTTCTACATACCTGCTATATGTATGTGCTATACTATCACAGTAGTACAACCACATATAGTCATACACAACGGCAATAAGGCTGAGATGTTATGGCCATGACCACTGGAGTGTTCTAGCGATATACCGCTGCAGTACCAGAAAAAGACTAGTATTCTAGGACGCCTGTCCTAGAACCGCTCTCACTATAAGCTTAGTGCCTTAGGCAGTCACACGAGATATCTGTTCTTAAATGACCAATTAGTAGTATATTTCTGATTCAGCTTAGATGGCATTGCTTTTAGTACTCGTCGACTATATCCCCCCAAAATGTCTACTGCAGTAACGGGTATAGATTGTATCAGACCAACTCAATCACTTATATCCTCCCTACAATTATACCACCAGAAAAGTCATCACTACCTCTCAGCTATCTAGATAACTAAACAAGACCTAAAAGACTATAAGTGACCAATTCAATAGGTATGTGAGGTATTAACCGCTGACACTGGACTCGCTGAAGAGACAGAGACTGCGTCATTAAGATCCGCCATCGTGCTGAGTAGAGAAATAATGTCCATTGCTACGCTTTGAAAATTCTATCTAACTCGAGTGAATATAAACCCTGCTGTATTGATGGCAGCAGCTGGTCGCTTTGGAAGCTTCATGTTGTAGCATTTTGGTGAGATTTACTCCAGTCGAGTCCAGTGAGTATTGGCGTGATTGTGATGGTTGTCAATTACAGTGCTGATCACTTTTCATTAGAAGAAATATGACTGTAAACATTTCTAATAAATATTGGATAAATTTTAATACCTTGTATATTCTGTCGGTGTCATCACAATATATATGCTGCCCGTTCAGTTTTCATCAAGATATCCACATCGCTTAATATGACAGCCCACTAAGAACCATGATATACAATTTGTTGGGGAATGCAACACCCCCTATGCAGTACTAGACTACTAGCTCGATGCATGGTGGGCCCAGAGCAATGTATGTAGTAATGAGTGATCACATCAATAGCCGCCGATCATTCAGCTGAACTTTGATCTTCCAGTAGCGTAAAGCACGGCCGAATCGGAATTTGACAGACGATTTGGCTGATTTATTTTTCTTTTATTTTGTGCGAAATGTAGAATCGTACGGAGTATTATAAAGCTTTGACTGGCGTCCGGAAGTTGACTTCTCGGCTCTTCGCTCAGTGACAGTGACATTAATTATCATTCCAACATGCAGACTCACATGAAAGCAGTCGTTACTCAAGGCGCTCACAAGGCTGGCTTGGTGACAGACAGACCAATCCCTAAACTGCGTGATGATTACATGCTGGTCAAAGTCGTCACGGGTATGTATTGCTTATCCCCCTTTGAATTGACGAGTACTGACTGTGCAGTTGCCCTCAACCCTACCGACTGGAAACACATCGACTTCCTACCTAGTGAAGGGTGTATCGTTGGCTGCGACTTTGCCGGCACTGTGGAAAAGGTTGGTCCCAACGTGACAAAATTCACCAAGGGCGATAGGGTACTGGGTCTCGTCCACGGCTGCAACGCGATCGAGCCCGAGGACGGCGCGTTTGGCGAGTATATCGTGGCAAAAGGCGACGGGCAGATCAAGATCCCCGAGGGCATGAGCTGGGAGGACGCCTGCACCGTGGGTGTCGGATTCACCACCATCGGCCAGAGTCTGTATCAGAATCTGCGACTCCCATTCCCCGGCCAGCCGCGGAGTGCGAACACCCCCGGGACGATCTTGATCTATGGTGGATCAACCGCGACCGGCACGTTGGCGATCCAGTGCGCCAAGTTATCCGGGATGGAGATCATCACGACATGCTCAGCGAACAACTTCGACACGGTCAAGGCCCTCGGTGCGGATGTGGTGTTTGACTACAACAAGCCCGATGCGGCGGCGGAGATCCGCAAGTTCACCAACGACAACTTGAAGCTGTGCTTCGACACGGTGTCGATGGCTGCTACTGCGAAATTCTGCGCCGAGGCTTTGACCAGCAAGACCGGCGGGCAGTATCACGCGCTGCAGGAGCAAAAGTGTCCCCGGCGCAACGTTAAATCGACCGTCTCGATGGCGTACACCAGCGTGGGCGAGGCCTACCTGTGGGGGCCGCAGAAGATGCCAGCGAGACCCAATGACTTTAGGCATCATGTGGTGTGGCGGGCGATTTTCCACGACCTGCTGCACGAGGGAAAGATCAAGACACATGCGGTGTCAAAGCAGCCGTATGGGCTGAAGGGGGTGTTGAATGGACTGGAAATGCTGCGGGAGAACAAAGTACGGGGCCAGAAGTTGGTGTATAGGGTGGAGGAGACACCGCATCAGTTTTAGTCAACACTAGAGATTCATTTGTTACAAGATCTGTATGAATCCAGTCAAGCTGCTTATATCGATATTATTCATTGTTGAGCAGAGAAATGTTAAGTGATCGTCCTGCATCTGCAGAGAGTAAATAGCTGCAACACTAGTTAGAGGATTTGCCGATTCGCAAAGACGAACTATTGATCTGACCCACTTTCGAGCTGAAAGGTGCCATGTCGGTGGAGGTCATTTCCGGCTCCACCGCCAAAGACGATCAGAATTTCAGCCCTGATGGAGACAAAAAAGCAAGCAGGAACTATTAGTGTGGCAACAAATTCGAATTGGGAAATAGAGCCACTGGATGTGCTTCGCTGTTACCGTGCATGTCATGCACGAGTGGCTGCATTCAGTATCAAATGCTCACCAACGTCAAGGGCCATCCCGATGGTGCAATTGAAAAATGAAATAGAAGAGTGTTACAAAGTCATTAGAGATACTCCATCACACAAGCCGGCAACTGCATGGATGAGAAGCATTGCTTGTGACAAGCTTCCAGTTGTTGCCGATTTACGGGGTACTCCGTGTATGGTGATTGTTCTATGGCGGGTCTCCATCAGTCCATCTGATCGGCGATGAAGAATACAGTAGATGAAGCATCGACTAGAGCCCGCTAGTTGCCTGGAACTAGAAGGCAGCATGTCGCTCGGCTCAGGAGGCGCTGCTTGAAGAGAGCTGAGCTGAGATCCGTCATGCATTGCCGCTTGTGCTAGGTCAGAAATCCACCTCCACCGAGAAAAAAGAAACAATGAAAACGAGAAAAAAGGGCGCAAATGTGAGCAGATCACACTGTCACATTCAACAATTGGGAAATCAATTTCCTTGTTGAGAAAATCCGGGCTTTCTTGTGTGTCTGGAATGGCAATCCCCATTGGTCAATTGTTCTCCAGGACTGAAGGCGCGCACTTAATGCATAATGTCGCTGAAGTGACCTGATGTGGCCCAAAGTTATATAGGCAGGCAGGTCGCAGCTGAAGTTAATTCATCTTTTCATACCCTCATGTTTTGAGTGATACACACAAACACAGCCTCACACAATGGCTTTCACCAACGAGCCCATTGCCATTGTTGGCAGCGCCTGCCGGTTCCCCGGAGGTTGCAACACACCTTCCAAGCTCTGGGAGATGTTGAAGCAGAAGAGAGACGTGCTGCAGCGAATCCCCAAAGACCGCTACAGCACAGATGCTTTCTACCATCCAGAGCCAACCCACCATGGCACCTCCAATGCACAATATTCATACCTGCTCGACGACCACCCAGCCGAGTTTGATGCCAACTTCTTCAACATCCCACCCAAAGAAGCGGAATGCATTGATCCGCAGCAGAGGCTGCTGATGGAGACCGTCTATGATGGTATCTCCTCCGCCGGTCTACCAATGGAGAAGATGCGCGGGTCCGACACCGCCGTCTATGTCGGTCAGATGTGCGATGACTGGATCAGCATCATCCAGAGCCAGGCCGATGAAGTCCCTCCATACACCGCCACCGGTTCGTCCAGAAGTATCATGGCCAACCGGGTCTCATACTTTTTTGACTGGCATGGCCCGTGCATGAACCTCGATACGGCATGCTCGTCCAGCTTGGTGGCGGTCCATGAGGCCACTCAGACCCTGCGTAATGGTCACTCCACGGTCGCTGTTGCTGCCGGTGCTAACCTGTTGATTCATCCTGGTATGTTATCTGTGTTGTTCTAATCTGATAAAAGCGTCGTTGACATGATGTCTAGCTGGATATATTTCCGAGAGTAACCTCCGGATGTTGTCCTCATCCGGTCGATGTCGTATGTGGGACTCCTCTGGCGATGGATATGGCCGTGGTGAGGGTATTGCCTGTGTAGTTCTCAAAACCCTAAGCCAGGCCCAGCGAGACGGTGACCACATTGAATGTATCATTCGAGAGACCGGTGTCAACCAGGATGGAAGGACATCCGGTATCACCATGCCCAGCAACATTGCTCAGGCACAGCTCATTCGAGATACCTACCGTCGGGCTGGGCTGGACGTGCACAGTCCACTGGACCAGCCGCAGTTTTTCCACGCCCATGGCACAGGAACCAAAGCTGGAGACCCTCAAGAGGCAACGGCCATTTACCGGGCCTTCTTCACCGAGGACACCGAGCCGGAGCAGAAGCTTTTGGTCGGTTCTATCAAGACGCACATCGGACATACCGAGGGTACGGCGGGAATGGCCAGTGTCATCGGTACCTCGCTTGCCCTGCAGAATGCCGCGGTTCCCCCCAACATGCACTTCAATGATCTGAACGAGGCTATCATCCCGTTCTACGGCGCGTTCGAGGTTCCCACCTCGCTCAAGGAGTGGCCGGCGTTGAAGCCTGGTCAGGTCCGCCGAGCGAGTGTCAATAGTTTCGGTAAGAATTGAAGAGCCCGCATGTATGCCGTGGTGAGACTAACGGACACAAACAGGATTTGGTGGAACAAATGCCCACGCCATTATGGAGGCCTACATTCCGCCAGAGAAAGCGCTGCCGGAGCCCTCTCAATCATCGACTTTGTACACGCCCCTGATCTTTTCAGCCAGCTCCGTGACATCTCTCCGGGCGATGATCGCCAATCAGCTCGACTATCTCGCCGAAAACCCCGAAACAAGCATTCGAGATCTAGCATGGACACTGCAACATCACCGATCAACGTTGGCTTACAGGAAGGCCATTACCGGCTCTAATTACGACACCATTATCGAGAGAATGGAGGCTGTTGTATCTGCAGATGATTCCGAGTTCAACAGTCGATCCACGCAAGCCTCTGAGCCTCGAATCCTGGCTGTTTTTACAGGCCAGGGTGCTCAGTGGCCGCGGATGGGTGCCCGCCTGCTCGAATCGTCCAGCTTTGTGCGCAGTAGAGTCGCTTTCTTAGACGAGTGCTTGGCTACTCTCCCTGAAGCCGAAAGACCGGATTGGACGCTTCGCGACCAGATCCTGGCCGCCGGGGAATCGTCTAGGGTCACCGAAGCGGCTATCTCTCAACCTCTTTGCACTGCTGTCCAAGTCGTGCTTGTTGATCTCCTTCATGCAGCGGGTATTAAACTCCACTCTGTCGTGGGACACTCCTCAGGTAAGTTTCTTCTTCATCCATGTTTAACCAATGCTAATTGTGTACAGGTGAAATTGGCGCGGCATATGCATCTGGCCTACTATCTCCTCGCGATGCCATCCGGGTGGCATATCTCCGTGGTGTCTATGCTAAGCTCGCAGCCTCCCCGAACGGGGCTAAGGGTAGTATGGCCGCCATTGGTGCATCAGCAGAAGAAGCGCAGGAGCTCTGTAATCACGAGGACATCAAGGGCCGGATCTCCATCGCTGCTCTGAACTCGGGATCCAGCGTTACGCTGTCCGGAGATGAGGATGCCATTCAAAAGGCGGTGGATTTTTATGCTGGCCAAGGCAAATTTGCCCGTCGCCTGCGTGTGGATACAGCCTATCACTCTGCTCACATGCAGCCTTGCGCTGATCCTTATCTTGAGGCTATGGAGCGCTGCGGTATTGCTGTGCAACAGCCCTCTGGCGACAGACCGACTTGGTTCTCTAGTGTTTATCGTGATACTGTCATGGGTGCTAGCAACCTTACCCCTGAGTACTGGGTTCACAACATGGTGCAGACTGTTCTTTTCTCGCCAGCTGTCATCACTGCTGCCAAAAAAGCAGAGTCATTCGATATCGGCATTGAAGTAGGCCCTCACCCCGCGCTGAAGGGGCCTGCCTTGGATTCCATGGGCGAGCTCGACATGCAGATACCGTATACTGGACTGCTGGCTCGTGGAAAGAATGATGTGGATGAGCTTTCGATCGCTATGGGGTTCCTCTGGACCCAGCTTGGCTCGGGTGTAGTCAACTTTGACGGACTGGAGCGTGCCTTGAACGAAGATGAGAAGCCCAAAACCCTCCTTGTGGACCTCCCCACCTACCCATTTGATCATCAAAAGCGTTACTGGACGGAGAGTCGCACATGGAGATCTATCAGATCTTCAGATGCACGTCCCCATCCATTATTGGGATCGGCTGTCGCGACCACGACGAACTCGAATAACGCGCAGTGGAAGAATATCCTCAAGCCAGCAGAGATCCCGTGGATACAGGGCCATCGACTGCAGGGCCAGCTTATCCTGCCAGCGACTGCATACATCGTTATGGCTTTGGAAGCAATCAAGGCAGTAGCTGGAGATGCTGCCATGGCGCTGTTCCGAATGACAGACTTAGTGTTGAAACGCGCTATTGTATTCAATGATGACAACGCCAGCATTGAATCCGTTTTTAGCTTGCATATTCTCGAGTCCAGCGAGTCTCGCATCATCGCCAACTTTGCCGTTCACTCTGGGTCCCAGGGAGATTTGTCCTTGAGGGTCAACGTTGAAGGCCGGATCGAAGTAGAACTGGGCCAGTCATTCCCTGAGCGACTACCATTGATCGAGCATGATAAGTACTACAACGTGAATGCGCAAGACCCTGGGATGTTCTACACCGAACTCCAAAAGATTGGCTATCAATACTCGCCGCCTTTCCAGGGAATCACCAGTATCAACCGACGTCTGAACTTTGCTCATGGCACTTTGATCGATCAGTCAGGCGAGACCTGGGAGGACAAGCTGATATTACATCCGGGTATGCTAGACACAGCCTTGCAGACCATCTTCGCTGCATACGCCGCCCCTAAAGATGGACGACTTTGGTCGACGCATGTGCCCACCAGGATTGCCTCGATCGAATTCAACCCCCATTTTATCTTCAACCAGACTTCCAAGCCGGAAAACATTCCATGGGAGAGTAGCATGTTTGATGAGGTGTCCAGCGGAATTGAGGGCTCTTTCCATCTTCTTACTGAGGACCGGAAGCATACGTTCTTGCAAGCCGAGGGCGTTGCTGTGTCACCTTTCAGCCCTGCGCAACCACAGGATGACCTCCATCTTCTGAGTCATTTTAGATGGCTTCCAGCTAGCCCCAACGGCGCAGATTTGGAGCATGGCAAGGCTGCTGGTGCTTTGAATACATCGGTGACCCAAGATGTGGAACGGATTGCTTTATACTATCTGCGCCAATTGGGTAACATGAATGCCGAGGACCGAAGCAATGCGCTGCCGCATCATAAGCAGCTACTAAGGTGGGCAGACTCCGTTATTGACCAAGTATCAGCAGGTACGCATCCTTCCGTGGCCAAAGAATGGCTATCCGACACGGAACAACAGGTCAAAAAACTGGCAAGCAGGTGAGTCCGTCACATAAATATTGTATAGCAAATGTATGCTCATTAGCACAGGCACCAAGACTCCGTGGAAGCAAGATTGGTGGAGGAAATTGGCTCAAAGCTTTCGCTTGTCATCCGGGAACAGGGCGTTCTGACCGACTACATCGACGTAAATGAGGAAGCGCCTACAATCAAACTGGCAAATGAGCGTCTGGCCAGTTTGGTTAAGCAGATCACCCACCGCTACGCGCGCATGCAGATTCTTGAGATTGGTACGTCCCGCCGATGTTGTGCTTGAAAGATGTCGCTGACCAAATACAGGAGCTGGAACCGGTGATGTGACCAATGCCGTCGTTCCGTCGTTGGGAACCGCATTCTCCTCTTATACCTTCACTGATGTCTCCGATGACCTATTCAATGAGGCTGAGTTCCGCTTCCAACAGTACGAGGATCGCATGGTCTTCAAGACATTGGACATTCAACAGGAACCTACTGGTCAGGGCTTTGTCGCCGGCAAATACGATTTGGTTCTGGTAGCCAACAAGCTCCAGACGGCCGATAATCAAGAACAGGTTCTGTCTAATGTTCGTCAGCTGTTGAAGCCCGGTGGATACCTCATCAGTGCCAATCCGGCAACCGATAACCTGCTGCGTCTCGGCCTTATCATGAGCGATTGTCCGGAATGGTGGACTGGTGCCGACTCGGGTAGATTGACCTTGGACAACTGGGGGAGCCTTCTGCGGGAATGCAAGTTTTCTGGCATCGATACATCCACTCCGGTCAACGATGCGCTCCACGACATTCCCGTATGGGCTGCCCAAGCGGTGGATGAACGCGTGGAGCTGTTGCGGAACCCACTGGCTGCATCAGAAGAGTTCCCGGAGGAGATGCCTCCTTTGGTCGTTATCGGAGGAAAGTCACTGGCTAGCTTCCAGCTGGTGGACGAGGTTGCTGCCATCCTGTCGACCAAGTTCCCTGATGTGACTCGCCTTCCCTCGGTTGAGGCCTTGAATACCACTCCAATCCCACCTGAAGCTACCGTGCTGAGTCTCACCGAGCTAGATGGGCCAATAATGAAGTCGTGGACTGCTGACAAGCTTGAGTGCATGAAGGCGCTCTGGAATCAAGCAGGCAAAGTCCTGTGGGTGACAAAGGGGGCTCGATCCGATGAACCGTACTCCAATATGATGTCTGGTATCTCCCGAGTCGTGAAAGCAGAAAAGCTCGAGCTCAACGTACAGGTGCTGGACATCGAAGCTGTTGATAAGAACACCGCGTACACGGTGTGTGAAACGTTGCTGAGACACCACTTCCTTCTCGCCTGGTCGCCAGACAACTCAACCGAGAAGCTTTTGTGGACTTATGAAGATGAAATGGCCGTCAGGGGCCAACAGAAAGTTATCTCCCGTATTTATTCCAGTGAGCTAGAGAATTTGCGGGCCAACTCTGCCCGTCGGTCCATTGTGCACGAGGTCAACCCATCAACTGCTGCTATACGGCTGGCTGTCTCGGGCGAATCCTTCGAGCTGGAAGAGATCTCGTCCTTGAGCGTTGCCCCTGAGCTACCAACTATCCGGGTGCGTCAATCCGTGCTGCAGTTCCTCAAGCTGGACTCGGCTGGGTCTTTCATGCTCTGCATTGGCACCAAACAGGATGGTTCCGAGGCCACCGTTCTGGCTGTGACCCAGACTGCTGAATCCCTCGCCCCCATTCAGCCCGAGTGGGCAATTGAAATCCCCTCATCGATCGAGTTTGGCCGTTTGGCTCTGATGACCATGGCCGCTCGCATCGTCACCCAGCAGATCCTGGCGGTGGTCCCTCCCAAGGGCTCCCTGGTGGTGCACGAGCCGGATCATGTGCTCCGGACTGCCCTGGCCGATGCTGCCGAAAAGAGCCGCGTCGATGTGTGTTTTACCACGTGCCAGTCTGGCCGTGGCGAGGACTGGACTTATCTGCATCGTGCGCTTCCCGCCCGCCTGGTTAAGGAGAAGATCCCCAGTGAGCCCTCTGTTTTCATCAACCTCGAGGCTTCGAATGGACCGGGTGCCCGCATCGCCGAGGCCATTGCCAGCTGTGTGCCTCCGTATGGCGTGAAGGCTGACGCAGCCACCTTCTTTACCAACAAGTTGTACGCCCGCGCGGGAGTAGAGCCTGATGTCCTCGGCAACCTTCTTCAGGATGCTTGGAAGTGTGCATCCTCGGCCAGTTTGGCTCTCCAACCGACAAATTCCATTCCATTGGGCGAAGTCTCGTCTCACAACCCGGTAGGAGAAGCTGTGCAACTGGTGGACTGGGATATCTCCGTGGTACCAGTTCATCTCAGGCAAATCGATAATGACCAGATTTTCCGTCGTGATCGAACATATCTGATGATTGGTCTTGCCGGAGAGGTTGGCCAGTCTCTCTGCCACTGGATGGCCCGAAAGGGTGCCGGTTTCATTGTCCTGGCTAGTCGTAACCCCAAGATTGATCCCGCTTTCATTCGCGCCGTCGACGATGTCGGTGCAACTGTTCGACCGCTCTCATTGTAAACCTTTTTTCCCCTCATGCCAAATTTGATAATCATGCTGACCTCATTTTAGGGACATCACCAGTCGAGATTCTCTTCAACGCTTCCTCCGCGAGATAAAGCGCAGCATGCCTCCCATTGCCGGTGTGGCCAACGGTGCCATGATCATGGAGGACGTGCAGTTTGACAATTTGGAGTTTGAGGCCATGACACGATCCATGAAACCCAAAGTGCTGGGAAGCAAGCTGTTGGATGAGGCCTTCTATGATACTTCTCTGGATTTCTTCATCATGTTCTCCTCCATATCGGCCGCATTCGGTAACACCGGACAGAGCAGCTACGCCGCAGCCAACATGTACATGGCTGGCCTAGCCTTCCAGAGGCGTAAGCGCGGGGTGGTTGGCTCCGTTGTTGACTATAGTGCCCTGATGGGCCTGGGCTATATCAATCGCTCCGAAGACATCACGGCCGAATATTTCTTGTCGATCGGTGTGACGCTAAACTCGGAAACAGACTTCCACTATTGCTTTGCCGAGGCTATCAAGGAGGGCCAGGCAGCGTGTCACGATCGCGCAGAAGTAATCACTGGAATCAGTCCATTGGTTCTGAGTGATATTACTCGAGACCGTTTCCGGCGTGATATTCGTTTCTCTCACGTCAATTTGGAGCGCTCAAGCAGTCAAGCGGACTCGGGCTCCGGGGCCAATGCATCTGTTCGAAATCAGCTGCAAGGAGCCGGGTCAGTAGAGCAGGTCGAGAAGATAATTCTTGGTAAGATACTGCGCTTCTATTATATGGCAAAATAACTGAGCTAATGGCTTGTTTGTTTAGATGCCTTCATCGCACGACTGAAACAACTCCTTCAAATGTCTGCAGAACAGCCACTGGATCCCAACAGCACTCTGGTCGAGCAAGGCATTGATTCCTTGGTTGCCATCGACATTCGCGGATGGTTTGGTCGTGAGCTGGAGCTGGACATGCCAGTCATCAAAATTCTCGGTGGCTCTTCCATTGCTGATCTAATCAAGGATAGTATCCAGGACCTCCCGGAGACTGTCTTTGACCTTGAAAGCCTGTCTAGCAATGGCCCAGCTGAGTCTGGGAAACTACCTGCCGCTGTCCCCGAGAAAAAGCCTGCTACGCCAGCCAAACCAGAGGTCCAACCTGTGATCCCTATCTCAGACAGCAGGGAATCTTCTTCTTCCTCTTCCAGCTCAGACAGTGAGAGCACGAAGACGCCGTCGGACGACGGATCCAGCGACACCGAACCTGATGAGGTGACCACATATGAGCCTTTGATCGATGTGAATCTGCGCCAATCCATCATAGCATCAGCCACCGAGACAACAGTACCCATGTCCTTCGGTCAAGCCAGATTCTGGGTCATGCAACACGCGTTGCAAGATCCTTCTGCCTTTAACATGGGTCTCTGCTGGCGCATTGACGGTTCATTGAATCTAGACAAGTTCAGAAAGGCCGTCTCAACTGTTGCTGACCGACATGAAGGCATGCGCACTCGCTTTTTCTGGGGTGGCGAGCACCAAGATGTGCCCATGCAAGGAATCCTCTCGCAGTCGATCATCCAGGTTGAAGCCAAGAAGGTCGCCAACAAGGGAGAGGTGTATCGCGAGTTGGATGCTGTGCGACACTATGTGTATGATCTCAACGACTGGCAGCTCGTGAGAATACGGGTTCTCTCCTTGTCACCCACAGAGCACTATACGATCATTGGAAACCATCACATCACAATGGATGGCTTGAGTGTTAGGATCCTGATTGATGAGATCAATAAGGTCTATCTAGGAGAGAGTCTTCCCCGACTTCCCAGGGAGTCACAATACTCTCACTTTGCGCAGAAGCAGCGCCAGGACTACAGCAAAGGGCGCTTCCAGAAGCATATTGACTATTACAGAACGATCATTCCAGACAACGAGCCACCGCTCGAGCTGTTCCCTTTCGCCAAGGTTCAGGCCAGAACCGAGCAGACCCAGTACCGGTATGTATCGTCTATGTGAGAAATGAATAATCGTTGACCTTGGGTCTAGGACTTATCGAGCCGATGTGCGTCTCCAGCCCAAGCAAGTTTCCCTGCTCAAGCAGGTCTCGCAAAAGAGCAAATCGACCAGTTCCAACCTCTATACTGCCCTCTTGGGTGTGCTTCTGTTCCGCTTGTTGCCCGACACAAAGCGAGTGATGATCGGACTTGTCGATGCCAACCGCAGCGACCTTGCTCTGAGGCAAACCATAGGCTGTTTGTTGAACACATTACCCATCCGGATGGACCGGCCGGACAGCAGCACCAAGCTGGATTCGTTGATCCAGACGGTGCGCGATACAGCCTACGGTGCTCTTGAACACTCGGCCGTTCCGTTTGATGTCCTTCTCAACGAACTGAAGCTAGATCGCTCTGCGAACGCACCACCTGTTTTTCAGGTGCTGATGGACTACCGCATTGGAAGCAATGAGCGGGGTGCATTTTTCAACGGGACAGGTTCCCGTGAGAAATTCCACAACGCTGGAACTGGATTCGACCTTCACTTAGACGTTGTCGAGAATTACGAGGGTGATGCCTTGGTCAGCTTGGAGGTGCAACAAAGTCTATATAGCCAGGAGCACGCAGAACTTCTCGTCAATACTTATGCGAACCTTCTTAAGCAGTTCACCACAGCCCCAGAGACCCCACTGGAGGCCGCTGAATTGTGGGCACCAGAAGACATCTCTAGGAGTATACGACTCGCTACAGGTTTGCCATTCCCATCCTCAGCTGTATACCTTGTTTCCGGCTAACTATGTTTATATAGGCCCTGCGGCACCTATGCAATGGCCTCAGACTGTTGCCCACCGTATTGACCAAATGATTCAACAAACTGGAAAGAAGACCGCCCTCAAGGATGGCAGTGGCAAGAGCTTGACCTACAAGGAGATGGGTCGCCGTATTGACTCGATCACCGAGGCCTTGCGCAAGGCGGGCGTTCCCAAGGGCGCTGTGGTTGGTGTGATGCAAGAGCCCAGCGCTGACTGGATCTGCTCGATGCTGGCCATCTTCCGTACTGGTGCTGTCTATTTGCCACTCGACCTGCGCAACTCTATCCACCGGACGAAGAGTGCTATTCAAACCACCAAGCCAGTGGTCCTGCTCGTTGATCACTCCACAGCCGGCGCCACTGACTCTCTTGATGATTTTAATGATAAGGTGATCAACGTCTCTTCGGTGGCCACTGGCATTAATCCCAAACGTACGCCGAATCTGGCCGTTGGGGACTCGTCCGCGGTAATCCTTTTCACCAGTGGTTCCACCTCTGAGCCCAAGGGTATTCTCATCAACCATGCAAACATGATCTCCCAGCTCGAGGCCTGTTCAATGCAGTATAACTTCTCCGACGCGAGGCCACTGGTCGCTCTCCAGCAATCGGCCTATTCCTTCGATCTGTCGCTCATCCAAACTTTCGACGCTCTGTGCAATGGAGGAAGCCTCTTCGTGCTTCCTGCAGACAAGCGTGGAGATCCCACTGAGATCGCCAAAACAATTCGGGAGGAGAAGATCAGCTACACCATGGCGACCCCATCCGAGTACCAGATGTGGCTCAGCTCCGCAGCAGAGCCACTTCAACAGTGCCCCAATTGGACCCTTGCCGCTATGGCAGGTGAGGGTGTCCCCCCGCGTCTCTTGCAAGAATTCCTTGCCCTTGACTTGCAGTCTCTTCAGCTTCTCAACACCTACGGTCCAGCTGAAACATCGCTTGGATCTACCTGGCAGGGTCTGATCGAGTATCGCAAGCCTGACCTTGAGCTCCCTCTAGCTGCAGGATATGCTTCACCGAACGAGGCGATGTATATTGTTGATAATGAACTTCAGCCTGTTCCGGTTGGTGTCCCTGGTGAAGTCCTGATTGGTGGTGCTGGTGTCGCCCCTGGCTATCTCAACATGGACGCTGCGACGAAGGAAAAGTTCCTCCCATCGCCATTTTCCCATCTGGATAGCAACTTCACTGAGAACAAATGGACTACCGTCTACCGCACTGGCGACTGTGGCTACCTGCGAAGCGATGGCGCCCTCGTCCTAGTTGGCCGTATGAATGGCGACACTCAGGTCAAGATTCGCGGCTTCCGAGTTGAGCTAGGAGAAATTGAAAACGCCTTGCTCGATACTGCTGGGGGTTCGTTGACCGCCGCCGTCGTGACCTTGAGAGAACAGGACGACGTCCAGTACCTGGCCGCCCACGTTGTGCTCTCTAACCAGAACTCACCTGCCAATCCCCAAGAATTCCTAAACAATCTCCGGACGCGTCTGCCCGTGCCAGACTACATGATCCCTTCAGTCATCGTGGCCCTTGAGAAACTACCATTGAACGCTCACTCAAAGGCTGACCGATCTGCAATCCGCCAGCTGCCTATCGACTTCCTCGCTGAATCCAACTTCACGCCTTCAACTGACCGAGAAATGACCCCAACTGAGACCTCTCTTGCAGAGGTTTGGCAACAGGTTCTTCCTGCCTCTGGCTCGCTGACACTTACCTCTGAGTCCAACTTCTTTCAAGTCGGTGGTACCTCTCTGCTAATCGTGAAACTGCAAAAGGCGATCAAGGAGAATTACAAGGTCGCACTCCGAGTGAACGAACTCGTGACCGCAAAGAAGCTTGCTGATATGGCCCTATTGATCGAGAACAGAGAGGCTCCTACTCAGATCGACTGGGAAGCCGAGACTGCTGTGCCCGAGCTCTGGGCCAACGAGTTTAGTGTGCCCGATCTTAACCCACCCGCTGAGCAGGATGGTCTACGGATTCTGGTGACCGGTGCCACCGGGTTCATTGGCCGACACACTCTTCCCAATCTGATTGAGTCACCCAAGGTGTCTCAGATATTCTGCCTTGTCCGTGCCGGAACTAACACGGATGCTCTCAAATCGTCAGACAAGGTGTCTATTCTCACTGGTGATCTCACCGCAGCCAATCTCGGTCTGGACAGCGCCGAGTTCAATCGTTTGACTGCAGAGACTGATCTCATCCTGCACTTCGGCGCCGTTCGCTCCTTCTGGGATGACTATGGCGCTCTGCGCAGTGCCAATATCAGTGCGGTGAAGGATCTGGCTCGTCTTGCCCTTCCTCGTCGCATTCCTTTCCACATGATGTCTTCCGGCGCCGCCGGAATCTTCAACGACTCTACCGTCCGGGCTCTCTATGAAACCGATGCTACTCTCCCAGCTAGTGGCGCGCCGCCTCAGGATGGCAGTGATGGCTATGTAGCCTCCAAATGGGCAGCCGAGCGCTTTTTGACCAATGTGTCCGAGCAGCTGCAACTGCCGGTTGTCTTGCACCGGTTTGGACCTGTGCCTGGTATGGGACCTAATACCGACAACGCAGAGCTGGAATCCGACGAGATGATGAATGAGAGTCTGGTCCTCTGTAACCGGTTGCAAGTCCGTCCCGCCGTTCACCTCCTGAATGGCTGGCTGGATCTCGTCCCAGCCAACCTTGTTGCCCGCGACATCACCGCAGCCGTCTTTGACAAAACGAACGATTCGAAGCTTATCAAGCTATCCCATGCTGCATCCACGCGCACTACCTGGTCCAGATTCAGACAGGAGGTTGAGCAAAATGCCGAATTGAAGAGTCTCCCAGAAATGTCGGCATTGGCGTGGATTGGCGAAGCCAAGAAGGTTGGAATGAGCCATGCCATGACTTCTCATCATCTGGTTATCCAGACTGAGACTGGCGATCTGTTTACCAGACGGTGATCAGATTGATTTATAATAGTTACCTTAATTCCTGTACTTAATTTGTTCGCTTGGTGCAATATATGTTTATATCTTTGAAGTGTAGCACGCATTAACCTATGCTTGTAAAATGTAAATAGAGTGAGTCCTGGCTCCTCAACGTGCAAGGGGCTTTAAGCACGAAAGATGCCTATCCTGATGCAGGGCATTGCCACGATTCTTGTGAGCCCTGGGGACCTCAGAATTCCTTTGCTTGATTGTGATGACCGTGTACTAGATGCCATCAGTGGCAAGCTCCTCCAGTGCCTTCTCATTGGCCTCCTTGGCTTCTTCCTGGGTCTCATGAAGCCGCTTCAGCAAAACATGTATCTCCATGGCGAGAATACAGCCGGTGATCGCTGTCCGAGCTCGGATTCGAGAAACTCCTCGCCACCCTTGCTGATGTGACTAGGGCAGTCATTCCAATATACTTTTCATAGCAAAAGCAGGTTGTGGCTTGCTATTTTCAGCCAGGCAATAGCAGCGGGTATTAGATGGAAGACCGCAAGCTGCTTAGTACCTCGTTTGAGGTCTTCCTCGTCTGACTCTTGTCCTGTGCAAAGTGCCTGGGGGCTTTCAAAGAGAGCACGGAAGATCAGAAGAGCAACCTGGCTCAGCCTATCCTTCGCAACACGAGCAGATGCAAGTTTCGCAAGGAATGTAGCACAATTGAGACGGTGTACCCCAGACATCGAAGCAGCGTGGTTCAACCGGAAATGGGACATATTGCCCACCAAAAAGGGTAGATCGGTCCACAGTGTCCCTTCGTTGGTTCGTGCGATATCAATCCCATTAAGTCCGCGTGAGGTCTAGTCAACGGCCCCATTCTTTGGATGCGGAGGATGTCGAGGACGAGTCCCTCGTGTTCCGGCGCTTCGGCGGAGATGTTTCACCCCAGCTCGTAGTACATATACCACAGGGTGTGAATGTGGACTTCGAGGGATTCGACGCCATCGCCAATATCGCAGTATCGGCTGGTTACGACCCAGGTCCGGTTCTGAAGGCCATGTCTCGGACTTCTCTGAAGTCACCCTGAGCGATAGACTGGTGTGTGTCTTCCTGGTCTCTGCAGGCATGGTGGATTATTGCGGTAGAAGGTGGGCAGAGAGCTCAGTAGGGAATCACGGATGTGGGTCATTTTAAGCTGGCAATGTTGGATTCAATTAAATTTTAAGGGAAATAAGGCAGTGGAACCAGCCAGGGCTTTAAATATCTGAATATGACTCGTGTACGCTGAACTATTTTCTTTGTTGGTTGTCGGTGACAGCTCACAACCCCCCAAAATGGGATCATCCAAACACGCTGGTAAACACCAGCCCATCCATATCAAATCTGTCTCCACACTCTGACCCCAGATGCAGCATATAACCCTGTATATATCTATATCTACTGCGACGCCCTCCTCATCTCAACAACCGTCTCCTCCGACCGTCTCCCCAAAAGCCCATCCGTCGACGCCGCATCTTCCTCATCAACCAGCAATGGTCCACGGACATTCAAACTATCGATGCCTTCATTCTCCTGAATACGGTATTCATTCGACACAACCCCAGTCTCCTGATCCTGCTCATCCGTGTATCGGTCGTTGTTATCGGCGTTGTTGCACCGCGGACAGACCACGGACCGACGACAGGAGAATTTGCGGATGAAGTTGGTGATGTATTTCTTCAAGACGCCTCGGGCAAATGCGTGTCCGTGGAGGAGACTGGCAGTATATTAGTCTCATATTCATATCGAATGTTGATGTTGAAGATAGTGTGGTGGTGGACATACCCCGAAACCAAACAAGCCAGATTCCCATACACACACACCATATGTTCCCTGACCGACGTCGACAGCGCCAGAACAACAATATACACGAGAATCAAATACACCGCGAAGAACGCATCGAGCAGCATCTCGGGTGCCGAGTATCGCCCATATCCGCGTTTCTTGTGGTAGCCGAGGATGAGGAGAGCGGAGATGCCGGAGAGGGTTACCTTCACGTCGTCAGTATTAGCTAGCATTTATTTGAGGCTTTACGTAGGTAGATGCATACCGGAATAAGCTGGTTGATAGACGCCGTGCGATCCCAGTCAATTATCGCCGCAGACAGGTTGAATGGGAAGGAGACAAAGGCAACGAAGAAGAGAGCGCGGCGGAGGCGCTTGAGAGGGTATTGGGGGGAATGGGGTGATTTTTCCATATTGCTGATTCGTGATATAATCAAATATGATATGCTTGATTCAGAATACGAAATGTACAACATGATCTTCATCTTATATCTGGTTTCCCCGCCTGGAATACTGTTGCCTGACTTGGCCCCCAAATCCTGTCGACGCAAGCCTTGCGGCCAGCCTATCGAAAAGTGGTTGCCTCCACAGCTTAGTTGGACCCTGATAAGATGGTGGATCTATATTTAGTTGACTTCTTGTTTTGACAGGGATATTCGAAATCAATAAACATCAAATAGTGCAGTAGATACAGCCACATCGGGGCTTAGAATAGTGTCATATAAAGAACATCTCAATCTATCGACGTATCTCATCTGGTATACACGCTATGGCATGTCCAATCGCAAAAAGAAAACACGACCAGCTCTAGTCCCAATACACAACAAGCCACCCCGAACCACCCATTTATACTGTCGATAATTCGGGGGCAGCCAAAGAATCCTCTGCCCACCAAAGACCACCCAGTGATCCTGAACGCCAATCTGTCTCGGGACTTTGGAAGATGCACCGGGATCGTTCGCGTCTGTGTGGGCAATGTTAAATATTCCGTGGTCTGTTTCTAAAGTACCATCCTCTAAAAAGCGCAACGACCTGTTGTATCGCTCGCTCTTTATACTCTTCTGCAGCGTCGTAGTGTTTATGTCCCAGACTGTAGTTTCATGGTGTGTACTGCATGCCAGCCATAGACCATCTGGCGAAAAGGCAATAGTACGGATCCAAAATTGTTTGGTTTCGATGGTGCCGATCGTTTTGTGCGCCCTTGTCTCCAACAGCTCGATGGTCCCGTATATAGAGGTGGAGGCTAGCCACTTTCCATCTTCAGAGAATGTCATGGCACATATCTCGTCGGTGTGGCTAGTCGTCAATATACGCGGGGATGCGTATGTTGCTGTTTCCAAAAGTGTGATGTTTTTCTCTTGCTGTCCTGAGCTAGAGGCCAGCCACTTACTATCCCGCGAGAAGCACACACTACTAACATGATCATCGAAATCTGATGGCATCTGTACAAATTCATCGTTTTTCAAATCCCAAACTGCAATGGGACCTTTCCACGCGCAGGATGCTATCCATCGGCCGTTCGGAGAAAAGGCAACATCCCGAATTGAACTACCATGTGCCTCGAGTGTTTTGAGCAGTGCGCCGCTAGCTGTCTCCCAGATCTTGATTGAAGGATCCTCAAGGGCAAAGGTGGCTACCTGGCAGTTGTCTGATGAAAAGGCAAGGTGTGCGACAGAACCACTATGGCCCTCAACCGTTTCCTGAGGCGCGTCTTTGGAGATGTCCCAGATCCTGACTGTTTGATCAACCGAACCACCTGCAAGTCGCTGACTATCCGGAGAGAAGGTCACGCTCTGGACTTCATTCGTATGCTCCGTGAATATCCGAAGTGGTTTTCCTGTCATCAGGTCCCAGAGTATAACCTTGTTGTCGCCACCACCAGAGGCCAGCCACCGACTATTTGGCGAGAAAGCAACACTCATCACTCTTTTTGTATGGCCTGAGAGTGTTTTAAGTGGCTCGCCCGTCACTATATCCCACAGTCTGATTGCCGTGTCATCTCCCGCGGATGCTAGCTGCGAGCAATCCGGCGAGAAAGCCACACTGCGAACATTACCAGCATGGCCCCTCAATGTCTTCAGCGGCATGCTGGTGATTCCATTCCAGAGCATGACGGTACCATCCCATGAACACGATGCTAGCATAGCTCTGCGCTCTTCAGCATCAAAACTCAGCTGTCCACTATCGCATGAGAAAGCAACATCCCAGACAATACCTGCGTGGCCATGGAGTGTGCGCAGCAAAGCGCCAGTAGCTGTTTCCCAGACTCTGACAGTATCATCAGCTCCCCCAGATACCAGGTGTCGACCGTCGGATGAGAATGCGACACTGGTAATATCACTGATATGACCTTTGAGATCCTGTAGGAATGCGCCCGTCACTGGGTCCCTGAGCTTGATAACGCAGCCATTTCCACCAGACGCAAGCTTCTGGCCATCTGGAGAAAAGGCGACACTCTTCACTTCTGTAATGCCTGTCATATTCCCGAATTCGTCAACATAGTCTTCAATTGTCTGTCGCAGTGCACCTGTGGGTGTGTCCCAGAGCTTAATTGTACCGTCATCTGAGCCAGACGCTAGTCGACGGCCATCTGTTGAGAAGGAAATGCTATTAACAGGCCTTGTATGACCCTCGAGTGTCTGCAGAAGGGCACCCCAGCTCCGTTCTACCCTTGGTAGCTGTTTTATTGGTTCTGGGATTTGATCCTTGAAAATGTTCCGCACAATGCAGGACTCTGGCACAAATATTAGGGCTGATGAATAAAGCTGCAGAGGGGCAAGATCAGCAACTTCGCGATTTTTCAGAACGAATCGCTTTGCATCTGATAGAAATTCAGTTATTGCGCTTTTATTATCCTAGAATTATTAGTTAGACTAAATGGAAATACACATGGCGTAGAACAGACTCACATTCTCTGGTAGCTCTAGTTTTGCAATGCATAGAACGGCTTCAGAAATCAACCCGAGAATGCTCATCGCTTCCAACCAGTGCAGAAGGTGTGTTTCAAGGAATTTGTGTGTCTCCCCACCATCTTTGATTACAAGGCCACTCTGTTCAAGATGATTGGCCCAGTATCGACATGAGTATTGCAGCTCGGGTGGAAGATTGGCTTGAATAGTAGCATCGTCAATTTCAGTCCTCAAAGTCCCATCGTTCGGGAGGCGACAAATATTTCTCCGCAGAGGGCTATCACTTCTAGTTAATGTTTCGAGGCATCTTGAGACCAGAATTTGGTGTTTATCCTGCTCGTTGACCCAAAGACGTATTGAAGACCCCGTGGGTTTGTGGACAATATTGCACCTGTCGGATTGAACTAGAAAGTCGCGAAAAGACTGGTGGAAAATCTTGATTGGAGACTCTGGATCTTCTGGGAGATCAAGGACAGAATATAATGGGTTCAAAGTAGACCTCACCTGATATTCTGGGATATCAAGTAAAAGCGCCAAGGAACGAATGGACAAGGGCTCTGAAAGAACGATGATCGTTCCCACGATTTGTTGAAATAGTTGTATCTGGTCATCAAGCTCGTCGTAATTCCCGCATGAAAGATAATTCTCCAAAATCTGTGCGTAAACATTGTCTAGGGCTTTCATCGAAGAGTCAGGGGTGTTGGTATCGAGAATTCTCTCCAGGCTTTTTGGAGGGTCATTGGCACTTTTCAAGTATCGGTATATCGCCGCAGCGTATACGAAAAGCCGGTCTGCTCTTTTCAAAAGCTCAGATATTTGATCTTCCCTTGGCCAACTCTCACCCAAGCCCTTTGATTCTCGAATCTCCCGCATATGATGCTCGATGTAGGTGCGAATGTCTCTCTTGGTCTCTGGTTCATGGGTCTGGTCAAGGGCCAAATCATAAAAGATTGTACTGTCTATCTGCTGGAAATTAAAGCGAATCGCAGTTTCCGGTCTGCTCGTTATGAAGATGCGATATGTTTGTCCGGGCCTTCTTTCACCTTGTGCGAAAATCTTAATGATGCTAGAAATCTCTGGTTCGACACACTCGTCCAGAGCGTCGATGATGAGGATCAGGGGCCCTATTTCCCCCTCTACCTGAGAAAGTGGCTTTTGAATTATTTCTTTCCATTGAAAGCTCAGGGATTTGTCGGTAAATCCCTGCTGATAGGTGTTGCATATCGAGTTTCGTGCATGTGGATCTTGCTCCGCCAGTTGTTTGGCAATCGACGTAACGAGCAATTTCGCATTGCCTCGATCTCCTTGGCCTCTTGAAAAGAAAAAACTCCCAACCAAGTATCCGTCTGCGTGGAGCTTCTCAGCGATAGTTCGCGCAATTGTCGATTTTCCAGTTCCAGCCACTCCCTTTAGCCAGAATATTTCCTTTTCGTCATCGCATTGCGCCCAGGCTAGAATGATTGCGAGAAGTTCCACCCGAGTATTTCCGAGGCACGTTGAATGTTGGTTGTCTCTTGAATCGAAAGCTGCACCGGGTGCGAATGGGATTGAATCCAATCTATCGCGGAGACGATTTTTGGCGTCGCGTTCGCGGTCTTCTTCGTTTCGCTGAGGCAATAGAAGAATGAGTAAACGTCTGGATGGATTTAGGCACGACTAACCTTTAATTGCTCCTGTAATGACCGAGAAATCGAGTTCCAATTGTCTGTCATTTTCTCAATATTCTTCCATTCAGTGCTGTTGATTGCCTCCAGGTCTTTTCGGATCTCTTCTTGGTTGCTGTCAATATCCTTTAGGATTCCATTCCAATCATCAGATACCGTGAGGTTGCTGAGAAAACGCCAGGGTTTCTTCTTTGACAGATACAGAGCGAAGCGAATCTCGTACTCCAGGATTCGGGCATACAGTTTAATCATGCTTTCTCTGGCCGAAGCTTCAAGAGCCTGGGAGCTGCTGCTTTATCATCAGTAGGAGTCTCGGGAAGCCTCGACTGTCTTCACGTCAGGGAAGCATACCTTTTCGGCTTTGTTCCTATAGCATGCGCAAAATAATTTTCCTCGATGACTCTGCATCTAACCAGAATTTTCGAAACACGATTGAATCCGTCGACGGCATCAGTCTCCTCAGTAATTGTCCTTGTCAAGATCTGACCACCATCAGCACAGTGTAATTTAAGCGAAATCGAATAAGCTGCTCACTCACCGGCAGAACAACGAGTATGCCCGCCCATGCCAGCGCCGCGTGAGGATCAGCAGCAACAGCGGCTGAGATGAACCCTTGCGTGGATTGAATAAAAGACACGGCCTTGACAACCTTTTCTTTGACATTGACGCGGCGAGTAAAAATTTTCACCTCGCCTTTTTTTGAAAGAGCTTCAAGTTTTTCCTGGACAATCGTTTGGAGATGTTCTGTGATGTCATTTTCAGTGAGTGGCGACTGGCCTTCTTCATCGCAATCTGAGATTTCTGAATCGTCTGTTGTAAACAGAACTGTCAGTGGCCCATTAATTAGCACACTGATTTATTGAGATACCTGTTGCATGCAACAAAGCATTTTGAAAGCTCCGAAGAAGTGTCTTCATGCGCGGGTCGTCTTGCAGCTTTTCAAGCGCTTGTTTCCACAGGTCGGAAGTAGCCGATGAAAGCGAAATCTGGTTTGCCCCATCTTGAGGTTGAATAGAGAGCGAATGGTTTTCTTCCTGGTCGTGGTTGGACGTATCGCGTTCGGAGTTGATGGTGGTGTTGAGGGAAGTTGGCGCTGGAGGGGAAGTCGAGGCAGGTGTATTGCTGCCTGAGGCTTTTGTGCGATGAGCCCTCCAGAACCTTTTCAAAGACGCCATTCTCTATCAACATAACAGAGTTGAGAAGAGTGAAATTAAATCGATTATCTAGGTACGATAATGAAAGAAAAACATTACCTGTCCACATGTATAAGAATGATATAATCAATCAATTGAGGTTAGCGCTTATCAATATGGACGAGCCCCTGTAGATTCATTATTCGGCAAGGCTGAAACAGCCTGGCTTACTGTTTCAACAACGCGCGAAAGTCTTGCATTTCATTGGCTTGTATATTGATCAATTAGAATGATCATTGTTGTTTAACTGGTGTAGGTTTAAATATGATCATATATACAGTTTATGACAGTCCCATGGTCTCTACTAAACCTACCTGACAAGGTTCGGCCCGTCCCGCTGTCGATGATATCGAAATGATATCGATTAGAGATGAACAAAGATAGCCGCTTGATATTTACTTCAACTGAATTCCCCCCGCCACGGTTAGATTCTTGCTGACTGAATCTGCTATTAAGACACGCAGATTTGAAACATGGGTCTCCATCATCTGTCAAAATACATGACAACATCCCTTTTTTTAAAATCCCCCCGACGCCTGACAAACTCGGAAATTCTGGTCGTGTCTTTTCCTTCCTGACTCATCCTCCATAGATCTTGGGCCTTGGGGCACTGTCGAAAATGTCCTAAAAACCCATCATGTGAGTACACTTTGTCTCGCAGTGCACAAGCATTTTCATCGACCCTTGAATATCTCAGAGCTTCTTCTAGAGCAATTTGACACCCACTGCAACAAACCCCATACTGGACGCTGTTACTTGCCATGTTGAGATATGGAAGAGCAGTTGTAGCCATGTATCGCAGTATTGGTGCTTCTCCACCGTGGCTCGCTAATGTTTTGGTAATATGTTTCGCTGCCAGAATCCACATTCTCTTCTTACGCGATCTCTCATCCATGGAATATATCCCCGGTATCGACTTCAACATCGGAATCGAATAGAGCACTGTCTTGGTTGGCTTGAACCACTTTTTTGCATCGGCAAGAGCTATCACACGAAGCTGTGTATCGTTCTCGACACAAGAGAAACAGCATCTCATGTGCAAGGGGAGAAAGAGAAAGCCGCCAAAGGAGCCGCAGAGATGACAGTCCCGTATACAGAGCAATTTGAACAGACCCTGCAGTTTGAATCAGGATGCTATTTTTGTCCTTAGAATAGCACAGAAAGCTCCAAGAGCATGGGTGACTGTTGCTCGATACCCACGCATTGTGCTAATGATCTGGTGGGCACGGATATTGACCTGGCGGAGTTTGAACAAAGAGTTGAGATCCAGAAGGTGGCATATTTTATGGACGACTTCCAGGGGAAGACATTCGAGTGATCCAAGTGTGGCCGAGGGGGCACGGACTGGCTCGAGTATAGAGTCGCGGATTTGCTCATCGTCGTGGGTATCAACATTGATCACAGCAAGGTCGAAATCTCGACGATGATACGAAGCCATGTGTATGATTTCATTTCCATGTGCTCTATCAAATTGATATCCATCTTCTTGTGCTCCTTTGGCATCCATCAAGTCGAACGACAAGATTGAATCCGGATGTTGAACCTTTCAAGTCCTGGAGAAGGGGTTATTTAATATCTGCACGTGATCAACGTCAATCCTGCCTCAGGCACTCCGGCATGCAGCGCTATTGGCGCCAGGGAGGAAGCCTGTACTATAGATGTGTAATATAGGAAGATATTGAATTATGGTCATCCACTACCTAGGCGCAGACACCAACATAATCTCACTCTTGAACTTGACTGTATCCTTCTGATCCAGATATGCGAACACCGCCTCGCCCTTAACATACCAAAACGTATTCAGATTATACGTCTGAAAATTCGGAGTGCACATCGCAGGAACCGTAAACCGGACACAATACGATACATCCTGATATTCTGAACGATCACGCGTAGGATAAAAGACATGATCGTCCATGTTCCGTATCGAATCCACCGTTTGCGAAGAGTATTCAATTGCATCAAAAAATAATCCCTGACATCGAACCCCAGCCACGTTTTTAAGACGAATATTAACGGATTTCAGCGTAATCGGCGGGAGAGGACAGTCATTTGGACGCGTCTCTGCCGATGTCCGTAATCGTAAAGAAAGATACGTCTCTCTCCCAGCGGCAGCGATGCTAGGGGTAGTGAAGACTGCTTTCAATCTCAGAACAGGAAAGCTGGTAAACGCATTCCTGATATTCTCTGTCATGGACCGCTGTCTGCTTCTGGCTCGGTAATATGCTTTCTGGACATTCAGCGCGACCCGTTCCATTGTGCTGATGGTTGAATCTGCGTATTGCAATCGCCGATAATCCGCTGCTGACATTCGGGCTGTTGTGAGGGCTATATCCCGCTCACCCTGTGCGAGGACTTTGCCACTCCCATCGTGTTGGATTTGTCGCGCTGCGATGATATACGCGATATACCCACCGCCTGGACTCCCATAGGCACCAGACAGCACAACCGTCCTCGTCGGAGGAAGCGCATGTCCTGCGTCCCCTTCAAACCCGTCCACCGCACGCCACGACTGACTCCACGAGCGACGATCCCTCGTCGACGTTGAAGTGTATCGCTGGACTTGGGCGGGGACCGTGAATGCAAAACGCACGCCTTGATCTCCTTGGGCTGGACTGACGTATCCGACTTGGTTGAGGAGCGATACTTGGTCGTAGACGGAGGATTTTCCTTGTCTGATATATGTCTTGCTTATGCCTTGGAGAATGAGTTCGACGGGACCATAGTTGTTTGGGTGTATGCCGTGGATGCTGCCCGTGATGACATCGCCCGGTGCGAATAGTCGGTTTTCGTCGAGGGTTATGGAGAGATTTGCGGGGGGCATTTTGAACACATGGTGATAGAGGTAGATAACTGCTGGTTGATTCAGTATTTATTTGTTGATCTGTCAGCCTCAGCCTCATACATGACATCACAAGGCTCGCAGCCGTGTACAATTCACATGGCAGCCTGACCATCAGTCGTGGCAGTGTTACAAAGGTGGACCAAGATCATCGATCTGAAAGATCTGTTAAGCATACATACTAGTTTGACTACTAGGTTATGACGAAATAGCAGATATTGTTAAAACGAGGTATCATCATTTTAATCGAGATTATATACAATCACAATACCCGGGATTTATTCTTCCAGCTTTAGAGAGCAGCCGCTCCCTGAATCAGAGTCTGCAAACCAGGAGGATTGGCCCCAATAAGCTCATTAACCTTGTTACCCTGGTAAAAGACCGCAAAAGTCGGCATCGATCTTATGCCGACTTCCTGGCTGATTTCCTCCTGCTCATCGACATCGACCTTGTAGAATGCCACATTGCTGTAATCCTGCTCATTCGAAAGCTTCTCAAAAACGGGCGAGATCATCCTGCAAGGCCCGCACCAGGTGGCCCAGAAATCAATGACAACAGGCTTGTCGCCGTTGATGATTTCTTTGAACTGGGCGAAGCTGGAAGATCCACATTAGCAGTGACGAGGAGAAGGGGATAGATCCGGTATACTCACGAGGTGATAACGGTAACAGGCATCTTGACAGGAGGGTTTTGGATGATTGGGATGAAATAAAAAGAAAAACAGAAGATGAGGGGCATTCCGCTCTCTTTAAATGCTGTTCAGCTCGAATACCCCGCCGCCCCACCTCAGCCGCAGTTCTCAGCTGAAAGCCAACGGGCCAATCAGCGGCGACAAAAGCGAGCTTTCCACTGATTACTGGTTTGATGGTGTAATGAGTCTACTGTGTGATGTCATTGAGTCTTCAAATATTATTCACATTATATTCAAGTATAAACGATAGCACACTGACACGGGTCTATAAACTCTCTCACTACAGTAGTGGTTTATCATTATGCTCTATTAACTCCACCGGCGCAGGATAATAATTGTTCAAGTCCCCTTATAGAATTAGCTATATAAAATATATACAAATACAGTTATTGCCTCAGGCCCTTTATGTTATGCGTATCTTAGATCCCTCTTATTAGTTACTATAGCCACGATAATGCATAGCCACGCATTGTGGCCATGCTCATTCTGGCCAATGGAAATGTTTTTATGCAGAGATGCCCGAGATATCAGGGATTGCCAATGCTATTGCATCAATACGAATAAAATGCCATTTAAATCAGGCTGTGTTAGTCATCTACCTATATAATGACTCTCAGCCTCGCTTGCCCATTTTCTGATGCAGCTGCTTCCATCCCATAACCCCTTCCATGTTTCGCCATGCGACCTGGTCTGTCTGCTCGTCAAATTCGACTGATGACTCTGAATCCTGGTAAATGGGATGATCCAATAAATTTCCAGTTACAACCAGCATTTCTAGACCAAAACACCCCATATAAAGCACTCTCATATGTCTGGGGATCGTCGAAAAACCTTCAAAAAGTCACCTCAGATGGACACACAACCAAGATAACAGTTAATCTGAGAAATGCATTACGGCGTCTGCGTCGAGAGGACGAACAAATTGTATTATGGGTAGATGCAGTGTGCATTAATCAGTGGAATGTGGGCGAGAGAAACCAGCAGGTGGCAATGATGCGAGACATCTATGCCCAATGTGAAGAGGTTGTTGTCTTTCTAGGAGAGTCCTGGAATCCTTTGTTCAGATGCAAAACGTCCTATCGGACAACTGAATTTTATTTTGACAACCGAGATCGAGAGAGGATGGGTGATTTCCAACATCGGAGGTGGGAATGCAAAAAACAACGAGGAGACATGCCCAGTGAAGTTGATGTCTTTTGCTTGCTTCGACTGATGGCAGAGGCTGTATCGGATCCGGATGTGCATCCTTGGTTTCATGAAACAATGCAGTCTGGTGCGGAATCCCAATATTGGCAATATCTGTTCGAGATATTGCGACTCATGATGCAGGCCAAATGGTGGAGTCGAGTATGGGTGGTTCAGGAGATTGTCGTCCCTGATCAGGCTTCGATATGCTATGGATCTGCAGTTGCACCATGGAATATGTTGGTTCAGGCCACCAGCTTCTACACACAAGATCGCCAGACACAATCTGCATCAATGCCTCATGAATATCGATGTGTACTGGATGACTATTCTCGCAAGATTATGGAGATCCATAGTATGCGAGAGAGCTGGCGAACTGGTGAAAAACCATCCCTTGTTGTACTACTGAAGCAATTCAGTGCTCGAGTATCCTCGGAGGAGTGCGACAAGGTGTACGCCCTACTTGGTCTCGCCACGGAGGAGACGCGGATTTCTCCAGACTACTCACTCTCCTTACCTCAGGTCTTCCAGAACATCGTCCTGGCAGATATCGGCCACCGGAAAAGTCTGTCCATCTTGGTTGGGGATCTCAGCCGAAAAGAACGCGATGATATTCCCTCGTGGGTGCCAGACTGGACTACTGCGTCGAATGATCTGGTCAGTCGTCGAGTCAAATGCATCAGATGTTATGGCGCGACGCTAGAGTCTTCCATTACCACTCTTCGAGTCTCAGAGGGAGCGCTTGACTCTCTCTATAGTGAGCTTTGCGAAGTTATTTCTCACAAAAACAGCTTATCCCAAATGCGCGAGCTGGAGTCTCGTTTTCTCCCAGCAATTAAGCAACATTATATGACCACCTCTGAATCTTGTTTCCCTTTTTTCGAAACTGGAGATGGGCAAGTCTCGACACTCGGGTCATATGTCGACACGGTGATAGCTGTTGGCAACCCCTCATTCTCTGCTGCAGATCTGACCAACTCTGTCCATGAATGGATGTTTCTTCATGAAAGATATGCCAGTCTCGCCGAGAATCGCCTTTATGATAACCAAACCGCGGGGGAGTTGTTTTATTCGCAGGCAGTGAGACCCCATTCATCATGCGAGAAAATGCGTTTCAGCCTCGGACAAAACCATTTTACGGCACACCGCTTTTCAAGCTCATTGGAGATTGCTATGCCCACGGCGCCATGGATGGCAGGGCGCCAGGGATAAGTATACCGCATCCTTTCGAACCATCGTCCACTTATAGGTGGGTTAACCCAGCATCCAAAATCCTATTGTATAACTGGATATCCAAATACACAAAAGAGACGCTACAGAGGGCTACCTTATCTTGGATAGAATTTGTGCAGCAAAGCGAGGCTGAGCTAAAGAAGCGCCGCCGACACCCAATCTCGGGTGATATTGCTAAACTAAACGATATGTGGCAGCGTGCAATATCTGATGGTCTAATACACGATGATGAGCGCAGGGAATATGAAGCATTCAGACGATTTCCTGAGTCTACTACGGAACCTTTAGAGGCGAACTTGATCGATAAAGCGCGTGGGTCTTATGAAGAGTTGGTTTCTCTAAACCGGGATCTATTATTCGCTCAGGGATGCATGAAAGACGCAAAATACCGTTTAAGATTAAAGCTCCAACTAGTAAGTTCTATCTAGATTTGTGTGGTAGTTGAAGCTAACTTTGTGCGACTCAAGATGGGGTTTTACACTCTAGTATAATATGGGGATATCATCAATGAAACTTCCGCGATGGAGAGTCCCTGGGGCATCCGATACACCTGCAATGGCATGTAGAAACATAAGATACCATGTTATATGACCGGCAATCGATTTCGGATGTAGATTCCAAACGCAGAAAGATATAGTCAACCTCTAGGGCCAACCAGCCGGCGTCGTGCGTGACTCCACCCATCTCGATGTCTTTATGTAACGTCCGCATCGGACACGTTCTTCGACGGGTATGTTTCTCACTACAGACGAAGCGAAACAGGGCCGTGGGCTGTCTCGCGATCAACAGATACTAGCGATCTCTTCTATCGGGGCACCGACAACCAGGTCGATAGCTCGTTCGATGGAAATGAGTGGTCCCTGCTCTTACGGCGTGGAATTCCATCGGAAAAATGTGATCAGTACCAGTATTCGATCTCTGAGATTTTTGACGATCTGGTGTTCGTTGCAAGGGGAATGGTGCACTATTGAGAGGGAATGTAGTATCTGGTTAGCATCTAGCTGGTCACAGGGAGTACATCACATAAACGTATTATATGAAATGAGGTTGAAGCTGCTACCACCGCCATGGTGAGAGCAAGACATGAGTAAAGAAAGATGTTGCAGAGCGACTTTGACAAAACAGCAAACCCAGGGGAATCCAGCCTTCCTGTCTGGGAGAATTTGTGGCCTGAGTGCCTGCATGCCTGAATGCCTGATCTCCGCTCGACCCACCTTGGGGAAAGGCGGGATTATTCTGCCGTCCGCCAAGACGCCTAAATAGGCGAACATCTCCCACCAAGCGAGGAGCACAGAACAGATTTCTATCCTCCTCGTCCATTCAAGCGTCTGACAAAATGAACACATAATACACCTGCTATCTATATCTGCCTATCTTATGAATAGGAAAACTAACACCAATGGGCCAGTATGGTTTTCTTTTAGCATAGAAGACGATCTACTCTGTCGGTCATGGCAGACCCTATAGACCCAGTGCCAGCCCTTTGACAAGGACTCGTCGAGATTTCGCAATGCGCAATTTCGGGACAGGCTCTTGTTTGTAATCTGCCAATCTAACATGTGAGTGGCATACGACTCCCACAGTCCTTTGTCCAATGATTCCTCATGACTGACAACATCCAGATTCGAGACTCCAATTCTCCCTGTGCTGGCTACAGACTATTCGCCTGTCTTCCGCCATCGCCGCCTCTCCCGTCAGGCCTCCCGCAGGCCCCAACCTTTCAGCAGCCTCAGGCACTAGCGGAACTTCCCTTATCGACAAGGTCCAGCGTTTCTCAGCAACTACCACCCCGACGATGGCCGAATGGTCTAGGGCCCTGGTTCCCTCCCTGCTGTTCGCTCAGACGGCGTTCTTCTTCGGAGACGTCGATCGTACGAATCTCGCTCAGGCCAATACCTGTTCGAATTCGAAGCCGACAAGGAAGTCTTCAGATGGTGCGATCGCTGATTCAACTCAGATGATAGACAGGGTTTGCCAGCCCGTGTCGCTAAGAAAGCACGAAGACATGGGGTTCCCGAATGGATCTTCTGTAGTTGGCCTTTTTTTGCTTTTTGTTATAGCTTTTAGTTCTAGCTGGATGAAGCTATATGGGCCCACAAAAATGCATTTTTTACAAATTCGTTGAAAAAAAAGCTCTGCAATTTCTGATTCATAATCTATGTCGATCATTCCAGCGCGACCGTGGGATTGAATTTATATGGGCAATTCAAAAGATTCCTGCAGCTTGATCTTGGGCTTTTGAAGCTATTCGCGAGCGCGGCGGCACGCTGTTGCTCCCTTCTTTCCTTGCTCGAAGCACTTCCCGCTTTCCGATCTTGACGCGCGACTGCCCATTTCACCCATCGCATTCGCGTCCTCCCTACTTCTTCATCCAGCGTGTATGAAGTATTTCCCGTACTCTGCCGTTTCCTTCCCTTGTACAAGTAAATTGGAAGTTCTTCGAAAAGCCCACCTCCATAACCATATTCCACAACTACAACATAATATTATAGAATATGTTTCGATTGACCATTCCATAGCTAAATATTTGTAAATACAAGGTTGATAGATAATTTAAACATATAACCCCGTCCTACAATGCTTGGTCGATGCGTTGGTTACTTGACGTCCAGCATGTTGCCAAGATTTATATACATTCGCCCCACCCGTCGGCCCCACTAGTTTAACACAGATAACCTCCCCCCGAAATATATAGCGCGAACCTCTACGCCACCAATTTGATCAGCTGTGTAACTAAAATAAAATAAAAAGAATAAAAATTTGCATCTGCTAGTCGGTGCATAAGGACGCGCTACATCCATGCCAAACTAGCATGGTCGGGGTGAAACGTATCGGGGTCCCTCCATTCGAATTTGCATCAAGAGAATGGACGATGAATTATTTTCAGATAATGAAAAAAGTATAGCACGATTCAACGATGAGAATACAAAACATAGAACACAAATATATAAAAAGCATAAAAACATACAACAGCAGGGATTCGCTGGTGGTCACCCACCCAACTACTAACCTGCCGGCGTGTGGCTTAAGTACGGCTGAGCGGACGGGAAGCCCTGTTCTCCACACCCTGTGGTCGTATGTACTAGAAATTAGGGGACAAGGAATTATATCTTAAGGACAGTCAGTATACCAAGTTCAAACCCGAGTATTTGTCTCCAGGGTGAGTTAGAGGGTGAGGCCGCTTTGGTCGCGCGACCACAGGTGATTCAAGTGTGTGTATAATAAACAGGGTGGGCTCCAAGGGCAAGACACGCCAAAGGCCGCCGGGATTGGGTTATAAGAATGATGCTAGGAATGTTCCATCGTCATAGTTCAGGGGGTTTCATTGCCACTCCGGGACCTTGGTGTTATATTGTTCATAGCATACATGATATTACTCAGAAAGCAGTGAATTTGACAACTGCTGTTGCGTGATTGCTTCACACACATAAAATTTAGTCGTGATGACGGACAGATAGATCCTAGATAACTCTACACAATCGGAGCCTAGACTGACCAAGAATGAAAAGAGCCATAGAGGGAAATATAACGGTCCCATCCTAAAACTAAGGGAAGATATTCCAACCCTCAAGCCCCCTTTCGTCATGGGTCGACGACTCATTTCCATACTTGGCATACTTGATCGGCAATTCATTTGCCACAATATACCCCAGCGCACAATGATCGAAGCTGACGCGGTGTTGGTTCTTGTAGAAGCTATCATATTTCGAATCCAACGCCTCAACCAATGTCTTTACCTTGCCATCCGGGTGCAAAGCTTCCCAGGGTTTCTGGCAGGTGCGGCCTTTGCATGCCTTGAGAACAAGGGTCAATGCATCTAGTCGATGCTGCACCTTTGACATTGGAGTGTTTAGAATCTTCGATGTCGAGTTGTATAGATTCTTCATTTGATGAGGGTCATTCTGGTTGGTTTAGCTCGTATCAGAATAGGAGGCTGGAGGAAGGGCCTACCGTCATGTCATAGACCTCATGATCACCCTCACACCAGACCGAATAGAAGATATTGTACCCTTTTCCAATGACACGAACGGCCTTGTAGGTGTTCACCCGGTTCCTCAAAGCAACATACTGCTTTGCAGAAACCGTCCCCCAATGCTCTACTTCGACGTGTTCCCAGGGCTCATTTGGATCAGCTTTGCCGGACTTGGGAATAGCCGCACCGTCGAAATCACCCGGTCCCTTCGCACCAGCCCACTTCACAATCGATGGAGCAATATCCAGATGGGAGGTGACGAGGTCCGATGTCTGGCCCTTGGGGATCCCAGGACCGCGGATGATGAGAGGGACGTTGACGTCCTCTTCATACGGGCATCGTTTGCCGGGCGTCAGCCGGTGCTGGCTGATGTGGAAGCCGTTGTCGCTAGTGTAGATGATATACGTGTTATCGAGGATATTGTGTTTCTTGAGTGTCTCGATGGCGGTTTCGATGAGATCATCAATCGACTGGAGGGCTTGCAAGCGAGCTCGGTAGAATTCATCATTCTCTTCGATTACAGAACTGTTGAGTTGGCGGAGTTCTCGAATCCAGCTAGCACCACTGGGCTATTTCAATATTCAATCAGTATATGGCGGTGAAAGTGAATGCTGAATTTCTTCATACCTGATCTGGGTTAAACGAGACATTCCGAGGGACCTTTGCATCCGGGAATGCGTTCTTGTATTTGTCCTTTGGAAGTGGCGGAGTGAACTTTCCTGTCTTATAATCGTAGTTTCCGTGCGGATTAACCGGATTCATGGCAAGGAAGAAAGGCTTCTCCTTCTTGACGGCATCGTCGATCCATTTCATGGATTTGTTGGCGAGTAGGTCCGTTGCAAATTCTCCCGGGTATGACTTTGGTTTGTCGAGATTGTGCTGGACGGTTGTATTCCAATACTGGTATGTCCCTGTCGACGCTGTCAGTATACATCCACTATGCAAAAGAGGGAAAAGGTGTACCTGGCTCAATAAAAAAGTCGTGTCCAGTCAAGCCCATATTCTTCAATTGTAAATCATAGTTTTTCGTGTCGTGGCCGTTCATGAGCTTGCCAGTGAAATAGGTCTCATAGCCCCCATTTTTCATCCACACGGGAAGCCATTTCTCATTGTAACCCTCGTCGATGAACTTTTTGAATCCACCTGGACGCTGTTAGTCCAGTTCTGTCTATAACAGAGCCATAAGAACTCACCATAAGGTGGACCAAGGTTCGTGATATTAGTATTGTGTGCTGCTTTGCCAGTCCACAAACTGGCCCGAGCAGGGCAGCACAATGCCACGGTCGCATAGTGATGGTTGAAGAATGTCCCTTCGTCTGTTAAATACTTCTTGGCCCGAGGCATATAGTCCAGCGAGTTCATTCGAAGATCTTGATCGTCTGTCACGATGACAATGAAGTTGGGCTTTGCTGTTTCATTTCGGCTTCCGCTTGCTGCGATGGCCCCGACGGCCACCGCTAACCACGCAAATGAATGAAAAAGCATTTCGAGATGATGTCGTTGAACAGTAAGTAGTTGGGGTATTCTCGAGACTTATCAAGATACAGATAGCTGCCAAGACACGGGATAGCACGCAATCCTTCAGAGCTGATCGGCAGTGAGGACCATCTATCATTCCTTCTTTGATAACATCTTCCGCTTCAGCCCCCTCAAATACGGGAATGGAAAGCTTCTGTATGGCTTTTTGCATGGGGCCGAAACAAACAGGCCGTGTTTACTCGTGTTCTGTCTGAATGCAAAACCCTGCACAATCGATCTGCAGCTGACGTGAGAGGCAACCTGTAGAGAATTTCTTTGATTGGGTTGTCTCTTTATATTTAGTAATATAATTGATTTCCGAATGACGGGTTCATTGCCCCGGAAATCTACGAAGGGATATCTCAAATACTATCAAAGAGCAGAAGTCGATACTTTACTTCCGTCATTACTATACAAGGGTTTTCACACAAATATAGTTAGTTACCAGCTTTCAGCCGCTTTTTCTGTACCCTTACTGACCTATCTATAAATAGAAAGTGATATTTGACTTTTATATAGCTGACGTCAACATGTGGCACATTCGATTGATATAAATACCTAGTGAAGCTTATCTGTAGCCTCAGCATATTCTGGACTTTTCCTAAGACTCCTGTTGAAAACGCACTAGCAGTGACTGTCGTGACTGTCTAGTTGAAATAGAAAGAGATGATCGCTGTCTGCGTGAATTTTATGAAGTTCTGCCATCCAACTGTACTGGCATTGTCACTATGAAGGCTGTGACAGGTAAAGTAGATTCTTAGAAATTAATAAGAAAGCAGCCATGCTGATTTGTCCTAGAACAATACAGAGGGATGTGGACCATAGTCCTGGGCCCAGCCCTATAGCTTCAACAGAGTTGGCTGATTCCAGTCAAGCAAATGAACCATGTTGTTCCTCGCGGGGCGATGTCTCATGGTTTGATAAGACTTTTTTGGGTTTTGCATTGCGACCATTTTATAGGTCCTCTTGCATCACTAGCCTGCACTTCACTTCAACAGCCGGCCATGGAAGTTGGATGGCATAAAATGTGTCAATGAAAATATACATCTGTAGAATGGGCATGCTGTCCAAAACAAAAAGGGTTCCCAGATTTACTGCTACAAGTGCCACTGAGGTAAGCCTCTGTTGGTTCTATACTATCTAGGGAGGGGGGGGGGGGATATATACTGATCCATATGCAACAGGCCGTTACTCATGCTGTAGAACAAAGCATCAACATCATCTCCATGTCTTGGACGATGAACGGGATAGCAGCAATAGTGATGATATGGACAAACTCTCCACTGCATTGAAAAACTGCATCTGATAAAGGTATCCTTATAAGGTATTTTGCTCTGCCCCTGATAATAGCTATAATAACCAGCTAAACGCACATTATCCTGTCCAATTCAGTGATTTTGTTAAAAGATTCACAATAGGAGCAACTACATTGACCTAACTTGAATTTTTAGACTATTAATAATCACCTCTTATTACTCTACTAATTTAAGGTTTTTTAAAAAGGACCCTAGGAATCAGATGCCTATTATAGTAATATTCTTAAGTAGTTATTAAATAATTAGGTTGAGAATTCGAGGACGAGAGATATTAGAAGACAGCAGGTACAAACAAGTCGCCTATGGTGCCTGCGCTTTTGCCAAAGCCACTTGAGGTCCTATCTCCATCAACAACACCGGCTTTAAACCCAAACTGCGATAAAACATGTAATCCTCAACTAAGCACTGAATACCGCCTTGTTTGCCTCGGCCCACTCTTCCAAACTTGAGGCTTGGCCGGCATACCTTTGAAGGTTAGCGGCTGCTTGTGTGTACATCTCTCCTTCGAACGGATCAAAATCATCGCCGCGTCTCTCTTTCGGTCTCAAAGACTCGACCACCCTCCTGGACACAAATTCTGGTACCCCGATCTTCAACAGGTTTTCTATTCCCTCCTTCTCATCCCCTTCAATCACTTTGATGTCTTTGCCAAGCGCCTTGCTAAATACGCCTACGGCGTCTCTTTGGGACACAAGCTTTGGCCCACAGAGAGGGATGGAGTTGCGCGCTTTCGCGCCTTCGGTAGCCTGCATTCCTCGGACAAGCAGCGTCCCCGCCGCACTCCCAATGTCCTCGGGCGAAATCCAGTCGAGTTTGGCATCCGGGTATGTGAGTTGCACCTCTCCTTCACGAATCATACCCGCCCACCAGCCCGCATTGGTGCTAAAATATGCTGGCCGAATCACTATGTAGCCGTCGCTGCCAAAGACCTCGTCCAGGTTGACCTCGACCTGTGCATGGGAATACGCGATGAAGTCTGTCTGTGGTATGCTCCTGATATCACCGTGGACACTAATGCTGCTCAGGAAGACAACAAGCTCAATACCGGAGGACTTTAGAGCTTCGATGGTGCGTCTCATGTGGTCTGTTGTGCCTTGCACCAGGTATATGAAGGCACGCTTGGCTCCAGTTGCTTGCACGGCAGCGTAAACGGTTTCGGGTTTGGTGAGATCAGCCTGGACCCTTTCGAAGCCGCCCGCCTTCTCCTGCTCCAGGCTGAGACCTGGAACCGGCTTTTGAGTGTCGCGCAGAGCAAGAACCACTCTTGCTCCATGCTGATGCGCGATACGAGCTGCGGCACAGCCAACGTGGCCAGTGGGTCCAAAGACGATAGCAGTGGTGGTAACCATCGCGAAATGATTATCGGGTTGTGAAGATGTGAATGAGAGTACAATGAATAGAACTCTTGGGTATTGAACCGGGTTATCACCATGAATAAATAAATATTTGACTCGACGGTGTTGCCTTGGCCGACGTCATGTCGGTATTCGGGCTTCTACAAGGCCGATTTCTCGTAGTGATTTATCATTATAGGCTTTTATGGCACACGGGATATATCTCAAAAAAAGACTTGGCGAGCAAGAGTTTCAGGCTTTGATTAGAAATAAATACGATCCATCGAAGACTCCAAGCGGAATTCCGAGCGCGTACAGAGCTTCTCCAGAACCGACAGAAACTACGCACTTTTCTTATGCATTGCTTCTATAAGAATATATGAAGTCAACCTGGTCCTGCAACACTTCTCGTCGTCTTGAACGCAGTGTGGGTGTCGCCTGTTGGGAAGATTCAATATGCGCATCCCGATTGTACTTTGCGGCCGCCTGGAGAAAGTGGGTTCTATTGTGATCTCAGAGCTGGAACCTGATTATGAAGGTAAGACAAGCTTGAAACCTCGCATAGTTTTCATTGATTTTTCTTTATTTGCTTCTCCTTTTCTTTTTTTTTTTTTTTTTTTTGCCCTCGCATCTCACAAGGTAATCAGTGATACATTTTGTCATGAGCGTCGAGGACGGTGTACGCAACTTGCCACTTATCCTGTCTGGTTCCACCCCAGTGAATGAGGAAAGCAGTCTCGGCTCGAAAAACTACTCTGCTCTTCCCAAGGCTGTCGTTCTAGGAGGCGGATACGATGATGATGCTCTCACCCGTCTACGTGAGGCTGTTGCGAGATCGCCAGAGACAGTAAGGATACCATGGTTGAAAGCGGATCTCGAAAAGACAAAGGGAGGTCCTACGCCTGGGTCAGAGGAGTACTGCAGGGCGGCAGCATCTCGGATAAAACATACCCTTAGAACTGTCCTGGAGGAGAGGAATTTCAAGTCAGGGTGGGATGAGATGATTTATTGGTAATAGCACATCGCTACTGTATACAGGACATAGCAATGGAAAGATACACGATTGATACGGCTCGCAACACTCGGTACACGGATGACAGGGAGGAAAAGCCTCTTGTAAACCAGTAAGACGCACGGGCTTGTTATCCAAGGGATCAGTAGTCTTTACAAAGATAGAACACAGTAGATTTCCAGGGTACCATGATAATAGCAGAGCAGAATTATCCTGGATAGGCATTACCCCAATAAGTGATGCCCACCTGCAAGCGGGTGAAGTTGTACAACATTTATAAATACGACAGGGCCAAGCTACAAGGAGTTAGGCATGACAAGGCCCTCCAGGTCCAGAAAAAGGAGCTCCACGAGAAACGAAAAAAGGGTGTAGTAGGTTTAAGGCGGTAAAGCATAGTAGGCAGGTAGGTTATACCGTAACTTATAACAGGGGCCTACTACTCATACCCCAAAGTACCTGGTATGGGTTGGCTATAATAGGTACTAGGATGCCCATAGACAGCAGGCAGTGGTGGACAGCAGATGGATGGTTTAATATGAGCTGTTTTCGGCGCCCTACTAACAGTCATAACCGACAATTTGGTTTATTAGCTGTTAGTTAATTATAGGAATACCTTATACCCTTTATCTTTTTTACTTATATCTCCCATACGCTATAGTTCTATGATTATATTTCTTTTAGTAGTTAGTATGTTCCGTGCGCCCCTAATAGGGATAATTAGATGGATCTCTTGGCAAAAGACTCGGAGTCAAGTCGACCTTATTCTACCAGGGGATAACATCGGGATCAAAAAGGATGATCGAAATCTCCGAGGATTGGACGATCTAAAAACAGGATCCTCGATAGCCACGGCCTTGGCTGCCGGGCTAGTGGCACTGATTGTTCACTGTGTTAAACTTGTTGCTCTTTACCATGAGTGCTATTAGAGCCATCTGATAGGGAAAGTGGCGGAGCGCGAGTTTCAAAATATCCAACAACATGAATACATGAAGCAAGCGTTTCAACACATCGACTGTCCCGCTAAATCTAATGACAGTTATATCAGAATTGGAGTTGGATAGTTTTACGAAAAGCTCGCCGAAAGAATTGCTGAACCATGCGAGGATTGTGATCTTTGGTAGAAGGATATCGCAGAGATGGCTCGAAGCTTGTTATAGGTAATTAGAGAACCATCCTCATCATGGACGTCCAAATTTCATGTCGAGTCTCTAGGCTGGACATCATCTCTGGCAACCTTTTGCTGAGCTTGAATGTTATCTTAGCTGTGCTCTGTGCCATTTTCTTTCCCTATTTAGAAATTATCTAAAAGTGTCTGCCTCCCCTACCATATTCAGGAACTGTAGAGTAATATTAAAATATGCTTTATTTTAATCCCTCTAAAGCATGGCTTTGAGTAAAAAGAGAAATATGGCAGATTAATCTAATCACTGTGCTGGTCGAGATGTTGCCCGGCATCCTACTGTAGTGCTTGCCAAGATTTACATACATCCGCCCCACTAGCTTATCGTGGATAACCTTACCCACAATATATATAGCGCGAACCGCTATGCCATCAGAGCTTCATCACGCTCTCACTCGGCATATCATCTCAGAGTAGAAGCGAGGATGGGTCGTATAATGCGGTGCTACCAGACCTCTACCTAGACGAGCGCAGGAGATCTTCCGTGCCAACCACTCGGACTAGTTGTGTAGCCAAGAATCGATTGTATCAAACCTAACCGTTACCTCAGTGCGGAGTATTAGAGTGCTACTTCGAAGCGTCCGGCATTTTCCATTTTAGTCTGGTGATATTTTATGGTCAATAGACTGTTCTGGCGAACAGGGGAGAAGAAGAATTGCTGTGTAAAAGTGAGACTCAAAGAACTTTGACCGGAATTCAGATGAAATTCGATATATAAACACTGCTTGTTAATACCCAATGGATATATAAACTATTGTTTAAATTCAGGCCAGGAATTGCAGTATACTGGTCATGTGACTTGTACGTGCCAGTGCCTCCTGCGACAATTAGGGAAAAGTTTCAATGGCTAATCTATCCGCCCGCTCATTCTTTGATATTGATGCCTCGGACTATATATATATATATATATGCTTGCTGTAGCAGAAAAGCTTCAATCTTGTTGACTTGGCGAGACGCAGCATTGCCATTGGCGCTAATTGTCTGCTTACGTTACGCATCTTTGATAATCATTCATGCAATGCTGCCCAACTCTTGATGTGTTTACTTATTAAGGTCACATTAAATCTTGCCTCCTATCTCTGTCACTGTAATTCCTGGGTGTTTTCAAAATCCACAAACCGTTGCCTTATCGAAAGCCCATCTCTCTTCACGCCCCAGCAAAGATGGGCGGATCTCTTTACGTTTGTTGCCAATGCAATGATGGACCTAAGCTTTGGGATAGTCAACCACGATGTGTGGTGTGTGGCCATAATGCCTGCGGTGTATGTAAAAAAAAAAAAGTTTATGTCCTTATTCTTCTGATATTGACATTCAAATAATTATAGGGATACCGTCATAGTCATTATTCTTATACTTTTACTTTACCTCGGTGCGACAAAGATGGTCTGGAATCATGCAGACAAGACTGGCTGGATAAGAAGGCCAGGCTAGGTGCAGAACATGATGAAACCCTTACTTCAGCTTTCGTCATTGGAAAAGTCTTATGCCAAGGAAGACGCTATAAGGCTGCGCTGGGATGGTACCGCTATGTATTTTTAGCGGAAATCGCCACGCATGGACCGCATGCTATGAGAACCTCAGAAACCAGAGGAGCCATTTCTGAATTGTTGACTGGCCTAGGGCGACATGAAGATGCAAAGCGTTGGGAAGTTCCCGCTGATATTGCAAACCTAGGCTGCAAACCTGTTGAATAATACTCTCTCCATTTTGATATCCCATTTTTCCTTGCTGATAGAGAATGGCATGGTATCAGGCCTATCTCTTTATCCGATCACATGGCAAGTGCATCTGCTAGCCTGCGATCAAGTTATCCAGGGCTGAGATTAATCCTCGTTACTGGCATCTGTGGTGGTGTACCATATACCAAGAAGAAGAGCATCTTGGTGATGTAGTTATCAGCAATCATATAATCCAATACGACCTTGGCAGACAGTACCCTGGGGAATTCATAATGCGAGATACCCCGGAGGATAATCTCAGCACAGCGTCCAAAAGCATACGCAGCTTTCTGAATATGTCCAATACAATTCACGAACGAGATCAGCTTGAACGAAAAACAAGCATGTACTTGAAGCATATCCAGAACAGCCCTACTCTTGCCCGGCGGGGACCAAGATACCACTATCCAGGAGCTTCACAAGACAAACTTTTCCACCCAAACTATGAACACAAACACGATGATTCTTCCCGATGCCTTTGTGCCAGTATTTGTGGAGGATTAGCTACTATTTGCAGAGGCCACGGCAGCATCAGCCACCGAGGCATTGTTGGAACGATATCAGAGATATGCCAAACCGCGTAATAGGTCTTTTGTATTTTGAGACCATCAATCCGGGAATATATATGTAGGCATTCCACAGCAGAAACCAAAATATATATCAATCGCCTTGAGGGTGTAAAGAAAATTACTAAAAAGAAAAATAAAATAAATAATCAACGCAAGGGAGGTTCATACACCTAGGCTATGTATCCGTAGTCCGGTGACTGATGGTGTCCATGATCTTACAGCCGACGTTGAAGGTTTTCTCATTGGCTGATCAAATAAGGTTAGCCAATTAGGTAGCCGTGACTTCCTAAACAGACCCACACATCTATGGCGTAGCATTAAGTTGCCAGCATACCTATCTAATCACGATACGATAGATCCCACCCTATAATACGGGTAGTAAGGATGGGGAGGCTGCCATCATCTCTACAGGAGAGAACAAGTTTTGGTCTCATATACCTTTCATAAGCTATATACAGCTACCCAAGGTGTGATTCTGCAAGCGTGGACCTTGAGATTGACAGAGTAATTACAAAATGGCCACATGAGATGATCAAAGGAAGCATATCGATCCGGTGTCTGACACAAGTCCTTCCTCAATTGACATATTCCCTATTCGCGGTAACATCATCTCCTAGATACAGGGTAAGCAACGGGTATGCAAGCGAGGAATGCAGATTGTAAACTCACTTAGGGGTCAGAGCAAACCCAATTGCCCATAGCCTCACCGGTGCAGGTCTTGTCGCCACAGCAATCATCATCAGTGGCGCAGGTATTGAAGACGTCACCACAGCGCTGGAGCAGTGAGTACAGTATTTAAAATAAGGCCATACGAAGCATTTGTTGGAAATGGACCTACCTTCTCCATATTCGGGGCAGCGGCAGCAATGCCCACCAGAGACAGAATGACGAGATTGAGGAGCTTCATTGCGACGATTGGGAGAGAGGGCTGGCTTGTAAATATGATTGCTGGATATACTTGAGTTATTGATTCTAGATGATGATAATGCGAATTACCTGTGAGCTCAATGGGTATTTATACCTTTCATTCTACCCAAAGTGGTCGTTGAATTTCCTAATGCCAGATATCCCGAGGATTCAGACTGAACGTACACGTCAACATAGGACAGTCTGAGCCTCTGAGGCGATGAGTGTCTGTCGATCTCAAAGGTGGAACTGAAGCGGCTGGCGCTGACAGTTCAGCCTTCCATGACATACCAACAACAGATTGATCTAATAAGAAACGAAAAATCGAGTAGGCAGTGCTCTACTGTCGAGTATTAAACTTCTGAAGGAATATGCCCGGGTGGGCGATCACTATTGTCTAGGCCTACCTAGAGCAATGCTTCTGTCTATCTTTCCTAGATATACTCGCATCTGATGTTGATTTACACCCTATCCAGATGTCGTTTTGACCCCACGAATACAATATACTGCTTAGACGATAGCTCCCATATGCCTGTACATATAATGGCCGGAGATGACAAGGCTGGAGTGCCAAGACTGGAAAACAAGGCTGTTCGTCTCCACAATATCGATTCCTTCTCTTTGTGGCTCTGGTTCTAGTGCTTATGGCCGATCCGTGGGGTCCTGCATGACCGACTTTATTGGTGAACACCAGATCCAGATAGCCACCATGTCGCTTATGGAATGGCAGTTAACCATATACTAAAGTGTACACCGTGTATACTTTCAATTTGGGGTAAAAACCGATATGCAGAATGCTGAAAGGGAAAATTGAAGCCAGAATGAATCCTGACTGTCTGATTACTCTTTCAGTCTCAATACCACGATCCTGACTGTATGTTGAATGTACTAATAAAAATCGCTTTAAAATACAGCTGTCCGATTACGTCACGTTAATTTGGCCTTACTAATGGACCACCGCCACTCCACCTCTAGAATATCTCCTCCACCACCACGACAAAGCTATCTTTGACAATGACCCGAGTCAATCCACGCACCAGGACGGGATGTCTTCCGTGTCGTCGGCGGAAAAAGAAATGCGATGAGGCGAAACCACAATGCCGAGCATGCACGCGTAACAAGCTGCAATGCTCCTGGCCTCCCCACATCGTCCGCATATTTGGCCTTGACGCTGAACAGACTGGGGATTCTGATGGTTTAATACCGTCTGCTGCGCCGGCTACCAACATTGCAACACCAGAAGGTGCACAACATCAGTCGAGGAGAGAAAATGGCGTCGCATCGTGGCCTTTAGAAAAGAACTTTTTCAGCACGATACAAGCCGGCATTCTACTGCCAGAATCTCCGATGCTCTTGTCGCACTATCTAGAAGATACAGCGCCCAAATTGGCACCAGCGCCGGGCATACCCTGGGTATCGTGGATATTGCCAGTCGCCAGCAATGACGAGCTCCTGATGAACGCCATTCTCGCTTTAAGCGGTGGTCATCTTCTGTATAAGCTGCCTGATAACCCAGACATCTCCCATGCCACGCATCGGCATTATTCATCGACTGTGCAGACTCTTTACCAGGTATTGAACGATGGTAGCATGTTATCCGAGCCTTTGACTCTGCTTCGGGTGGCGTTGGCTATCTTGATTCTCTTCCACTATGAGGTATGTTTCGTGATATATGCCTTTACCCGACTAATTGGATACAGGTTGTGTCTGGAAATATGGACGGATCCCCGTTTGTCCATCTCCGGGCGACTCGGCAGCTGGTCTTAACGTTGAGGAGTAAATCCCGTCAAGTGACAGCGGCCGAACAGAAGTTGTACGGATTCGTGATGGAGGTCTATTCATACATTGTCCTGTGCAACAGCATCACTCCATTCGCCATGAATCGCAACAGGACTCTTATCTATGACTCTTTTCTACAAACCTTTGATGACTTGCAAGATTTGGGCGCATTCGGTGTCATGTTCAGCGGCGGCCATCACCTCTTCGAACTCATCTCCGCAGTATCTCTATTTGCTGCTCAAAACCCAAATCCAGACCGCCACGAATACAGACAGCTCAAAGCTAGAATCAGCGCCTTGGAATCTCCCATCCCCAAAGAACCCGAGTGCCGTGCAACCCTCGAGGTATGCCGCATAGCGTTACTGGCATTTCTGGAAACCGCCAACTTGCCGTTTTCCAAATACGACACCACTCGCATGCAGCACCTCCAGCCCCTGCTGGACGTGGCAATGCGAGACCTACCCCAGATCCTGCCGTCCAGCTACTCGTGCATCCTGATGTGGCCGATAATGATTATTGGCTCGTGTCTGATGGAGGAAGAACAGCGGGCGGTAGTCTCGCATATGCTGCTTCATAACCAGTATGGGATGAAGAACACGGCTCAAGCAAGCATGCTACTCGAACTACTCTGGAAGGATCCTGATGAGCGTGCATTTGGGCCATATGGCCTTGGGCTATTGATGGATAGGCACAACTTGGATTATGGGGTTATCTGAACATAATACAACGTAATAAATTAAATATCTATAATAATATTACTTTAACTTTCCACATTCACTTCACTAGTCATACGAAGAATGCCACAGTTTGTCTGCCTGCTTTTATGACGAATCCCGCGGACACCGAGATCAGTCCTCACTACCCAGTCGGTAACATATGTCATACCTCGGTAAAAGAGACGGCCTTAAGAGTTTATTTTGTCATATTCCTACATCTTATCTCTAGCCGCGATGCTGTTTGCCACTGCTTTCGTTGATCATCTCTAACCCCACAGTGCCCTACCCATAAACATCTAATAACGCACATTGAGCGGAATGCTCGGCATCATGAATGATCAACATGTTCGATAACCGCGGCTGCAGATAAGCACGGAATGCAGCTATAAATCCACCTCGAGTACTCTAAACAGAACTGTATAATTCATCACTGTCACAATGGCAAACACATACGACGTGGTAGTCGTCGGAGCAGGCCTCAGTGGCCTCCAAGCCGCTCACTCGATCCAAGCTGCAGGCTTCAAAGTGTGCGTACTCGAAGCCATTGACCGGGTCGGCGGCAAGACGTTGACTGCCCAATCGTGCGAGAAGGGCTTCAACGACCTCGGCGCGTCCTGGATCAACGACACCAACCAGAGCGAGATGTTCAAGCTGTACCAGCGGTATGGCCTTGAGACGGAGACTCAGCGCGACTGCGGCGATACTCTGATTCAGTCGGTGGATGGGAGTGTCGTGAAGGTGCCTTATGGACAGCTGCCGGTATGCTTTACTTTGCGTCAGGGAAGGATACAATATCTAACTGTTTCAGGGGGATCCCGATGTTCTGCTACGCCTGCTGCAGGTGTTTCGGGACGAATGCGCCCTGATTGATCTGGACAAGCCGACTGAGTCGCCGCGCGCCAGGGAGATCGACCAGCTCACCTTTCGCGAGTTTTGCATTCAGAGCGTGAAGTCGGATGAAGCGGTCGGTGTTGCTGATGTGCTCTCGGTGTCTCTACTGGGGGTGCAGAGTGACGAGGTCAGCGCGCTCTACATGCTTCTTTACTTTAAGAGCGGCGCTAGAATCGACAATATCATCTCGGACGAAAAGAACGGGGGGCAGTACTTGCGATGTCGACAAGGTATCACCCTGGTAATGACGAATCCTATCACAGCGTTCACTAAGTTATACGCCAGGAAACCAAACCATTGCTCGGAAAATGGCCGAAGAGCTAGGGCCTGGTGTCGTCTTCCTCCAGATGCCAGTGACTGCCATTGATCATTCTCGACGTGGACACTGTGTGGTCCATACCCAGCGCGGCAGACCCTTCCAATGCCGCAAAGTGATCGTCTCCATTCCAACCAGCCTATACCACAAGATCACATTCAGCCCAGGCTTACCAGAGAAAAAAGCCATCCTAAGCGACAACACCACGACGGGCTGCTATACAAAGATGATCTACGTCTTCCACGAGCCATGGTGGCACAAGGCCAATCTATCCGGCGTGCTCGACTCCGACAAGGGCCCGATCATCTTCTCCCGCGATACCAGCATCCCCCAGGACAACCAGTGGTCCATCACCTGTTTCCTGGCCGGCGACAAGGGACGAGACTGGTCCAAGCTCCCCCGCGCATCCCGCCACGCACAAGCCTGGGCGCAGTTCAGCCAGAGCTTTGGCAAGTTCACCGAGGTCCCTCGGCCAGCCAACACGCTGGAGATGGAGTGGACCAAGGAGGCGTTTTTCCTGGGCGCCCCGTGTCCGATTACCACGCCCGGCGTGCTGTCGGCGGTGGGGGGCGAGATGGCCACTGCTGTCGGTGATGTGCATTTCGTGGGTACGGAGACTTCTCGCGAGTGGCGGGGTTATATGGAGGGGGCGATTCGCTCTGGGCTGCGGGGAGGAGCTGAAGTGGTGAGGGGATTGGATGCTGCGAGTCGTCTTTGATCTGTATGATTAGTTATAATTGTTCTTTCTATTATGTATGTCAGTAGGCTTTGTTGGAGCAAGACTCGTATGAAGATTTCTCACAATAGCCAAAGTATATGGTAGATTACAAGTACGGCTGTTCCAGGCCATACAGTCGTTTAGGATACAATGAATTGATTTTATTGATTGAATTAATTGCTAATCTAGTGCCATCCCGGGTTCCGCGCGTCCCGGGATGCACTCTAGTTCTTTGCTTGCGTATATGGCACCTAAATGTAGAAACGCCGAGGCTAATAGGTCGATAATTCAATGACATGGCTCGGCTCTCCTCTTACTATATTTGTTTAAGCTTGAAAAGAGAATTTAATCATAATGGACCATTTAGGCTCACTAGTTTATCCCGTGCTTATCTACAGCCGCGCTTATCGTCCCAGCTCCACTTCTCTAGCGATTGTCAGTCTCTTATTCGCCGTGATGCTAGGAGGTATCCACTTGACGGCGATCATATAAGAAGAATGAGGTCATGTCATGGACCAGAATTTAATTTATATAAGACGCTGTGGCCAGGTTGAATCCTCACTTCTACCAACTCTCCCTTGCATTTCAATGCCCAGAGTAGTTTTCTTGCATTATGGCTAATCATGCCCAAGTCATCGTCATTGGCGCCGGCCTGTCAGGTCTCACAGCTGCTTCGGAACTGCATCGTCAAGGCATTGATGTCCTCGTACTCGAGGCAGCACCCAATATCGGCGGCCGAGTCAACTCAGCCACTACCAAACTCGGGTCCCATCTGGATCTCGGCGGGCAATGGATTGGGCACGGACATCATCGCATCGCTGCTCTGGTAGACAAGGCCGGAGGTACGACATATCCTACGTTCTCGCGCGGCTTACCAACAATTGTCCGTCAAGGCCGCACTGTGTCTATCTTTTCTCCGTCGGTGCTTCTGGCGTCCGTCTATCTCGTTTTGCTCGAGCTCGTGAGCAGGATGTATGTTCCGCAGAGCTGGATCGCGGTCTCGGTTGACAAAGCGATTGCCACATGCGTCCCGTTGGAGATTGCGCGACAGCTCCTTTGTCTCCTCGTTGCGGTGTCGTCGACCGCGGAATCGGGCATGTACTCGATCTACAGCTTTGCTAGGTCGATTCCGCTATCTGGCGGGTTATCGACCATGTTAGGGACGCAAGGCGGCGCTCAAGACAGTTTGGTCGTGGAATCGATGGGTATCACTACCTCGATGCTAGCCAACGAACTCCCTGGGAAGATTCTCACCGACAAGCACATCACCAGCGTGTCGCAACACAGCGATGAAGTGACACTGCGCACAGCGTCCGGCGAACACTTTCACGCCAGCAAAGTCATCATCACGATTCCCCCGCCAATGCTGAAAGGCATCACCTTTGATCCGCCGCTATCCTCCGACCGCATCGCGCTTCACGAAAACACCCGCATGGGCGTCGTCTACAAAGCTCTTGCCATCTTCGAACACCACTTCTGGCGGGACGGACCAGGCGGAGAATTCCTCATACTCGACGATCCCGCATGTGGCGTCTTCGATTCCTCATCACCCGGAGGCCCCGGCCACCTGTGCTTCCTCGTCGCCGGCACCCCCGCACGCCAGCTCGACCAGCTCGACGCGACGGTGCGACGCGAAATGCTACTATCTCGCCTTGCGCCTCATCTCGGGCATCAAGTCTTGAATCCTGTGGACTGGCACGAAAAAGCGTGGCATTTGGATGAATTCTGTGGTGGTGGGTATCTAGGATATCCGCTTGTTGGTACCAGTGAAGGGCTGCTGCCGATGCCTCATGCGCCGATTGGGAATCTGCACTGGGCGGGAACGGAGACGGCGCAGGAGCATCCGGGATATCTTGAGGGTGCTGTACAGTCGGGCGAGCGGGTCGCTTGTGAGGTTGCTCGTGCTCTTCGTGGAGAGCACGCTGGTAGTCAAGAAAAGATGTGATAAGGATGAGTCCACCGTGTATTCTTAATCATATTAACAGATCTCGATGTATTTATAGGACGGCTGGCGTTTAACTGGAAACCATTTTTCAATCTAGTAAATCTGATATGAGGCTGCTTCTAAGCTGTTCAAAATGTTAAAAATACAAAGCAGATTGAATTGACTCGGTGATTTAGCTGAAATTAAGTGTATGTTTATGGAAATGTAATATATCCAGAAGAAAGATTGACCAGGTGCATCGCCCTAATTGAGAGCCCTGCATCGCGACGGAACTGTAGCAGTGTCTGGATCAGGTGCTATTGGGAATGACAGGCAGGCTGATCCAGTTATCATGATTCGCTCCAAAGTGCACATAGTTGTTGCCTTTAAAGACAGTTTCTGGCCTGTTGAATGAATAGTCAGCCTCCGTCACGTAATATCTGTCAGTCTTCTGTCAAGCTTACCTGTCGCTTGGATCATCATGTTGGAAGAGACCGCTCCCAGCCAGCTCAGATGCACCAACATCTAGAACGAGGCGCTCACCTCTCTGCACCACAACGTTTGTCGGCCATAGTTCCACATCCACCGTGTACACCTCATTGGGGATCACTGGAAGGACGTCGGTAGAGAGATAATCACGATGAGGCAGCCAAGGGCGATGCCAAGGGTGCTGATGGTTTGTCCGTCGCAAACTCACCCTCAGGGAGCCCTTTGTAACAGGAGCCGGCTCCCCCGTAGTCCCCGTGTAGAATACCTCCTCGCCAGATGATGCGATGTGACGAAGAGACAGGAACAAATCCATGTCAGAAGGTGTGGTCGACTGCCAGCGACGGCGACTCATGGAAACGCTGAGCCGCACCACAATGTGGCCGGTGATTTCTGTTTCTGACTCGAATGGGGCTGAGGTAAAGGATACAGAGGGATGGCAATCGTCACCGTCTCCGAAGGCATGGTACTCCACCTTGCGCATCGAATCTGTCGGCTTGGTCCACGAGAGGCCTTCATCAGGGTCGAGAAAGAGAGGCGTATACTGCGTCCTGGCAATGGGCCACTCATTCTCCTTCCTCCTCTGAAACTTTCTCTCGGCTTGGGGATCATTGTATCCCACGTTTCCTTTTCGCAGAATCAGATCAACCGGTGGGAGAGCTCCCTTCCTTGTCCATCCTTCACGGTCTTGGCCTAGTAGGAAGGCATCCAAGAAGCTCCGTTGAACTTCCACTTCTTCCGCATAATAGAAAGGGAGGTCATGTCGTCCAACAATAAAACGGAGATACTTCAACTCCGACCCTGCATGAGTGTAGCCCTGCACGTTGCCACGAAGATGGAGCATGATCCCTCCCCAATTAGCAACACTAAGCAAGGGCACCTGAATGTCTTCAAGGTTGTAGTTTACAGACGCATAGCGAACGCCATTTCGAAAATGATCCTCTCGCGGCCCGTCCATAGCGCCGACCCGATTCATAGCCAAGTCAGCCTCGGACAACGAGCCCTCAATCGTGTCATCGCCCCGGTTTTGGGCCGCTCGTCCCGGCAGTCCATACTGGTTTGGACCAATCTGTCTCTTCCAGATGGTGTCGATACCCGCGTTGCAGAGAATCCCACCGTGTCGGGTGGCATCGCGGTAGAAGTCGGAAAAGCCTTCCCACGGCACAATAGCAGCCAACCCCTTGGGTCTGCGAGCCGCGACCTGCCATTGAGTCGCGCCAAAATAGCTGATTCCTAGAAGACCAACTTTGCCGTTACTCCAAGCCTGCTCAGAGGCCCACTCGATCAGCTCACAAAAGCAATCAATCGTGGCCGCTGACAGGAAGTTGATAATACCAGGCGACTGACCCGTTCCGGTCTCATCAGCCCTGACGACAACATAGCCATGCTTGGTCCAGTAGCTCGGAGTTGGCGTCTCCCAGGCAGAGTGTTCCGTTTTGTGGTCTGCGTTAACCTCTGCGTAACTCGGGCCGTTGAAGCTACAGAACTCGGTTAGCCAGACTAACCATGATGTGCTGCCCTTGGACCTACTACTGATAGTGCACGTCCTTCCCATAGGGACCATACGTGGCGAGAACCGGGTGCTTTCCAGGGCCCGACGTTTTGGGTCGGTAGATATTGCAGCGGATGAAGCTCCCGTTTGTGAGGGGGACAGACACGTTCTTTTCAAAGATGTATGGGTATGAGGTCGTATCAACCGTGGACGCATCGTGCGTCTGAGACGCCATTCTGAATTGGTGTCGTTGGACTGTTCACTCGAGCTTCGTGATGCTGGGTGTCGACATGGGTATAGAGTGATCTATATAAGTCACGAGCAATAGCCCCGTCGACGTAGTCAAAACAGCGAATGAGATGATTTACCGTATTGTCCGTCGGGTTCGGGGTTTCGGTATCGATCAATATCGCGCCTATCTCCGCTAACGCCGCTCCCGTTTTCTGGGTTGTGCAGTGTATGCTGCAAGGATGAGATGATGTTCGGCTTGCAGGATATCCGTGTCTCCTCGAACAGGAGGCAGCTAATCCGTGGGTTGTTTTGGGTGTTTTGATTGACCGGTTTTCTCAACCAAAGGCGCTAGTGGTGACATTACGGTACAGAGATGCGGTCTGATTGACTAGCTCACTGTCATGTCACAAGGTATTCCACCGGACTGCGGAAGAAGTAAACATCATAGATGCAAGAAATCAAGTCAATACCTTGTGGGAGACCACCGGTTTGAAAGTATGGTAGATACAGTGGCCGCCACGGTATATATTTTCTCACCTGGAGATTCTCATTTTACATAGGGTTATGCTCTACATTACATAAATACCTATGAAGGGACTGGATATAGAGAAAAAAAGACTGCTTTTATGAAGAAAATACTGCGATACCCAAAAAGCTAGCTGACTTCGGAATCATTAGTTTGCTTGTACACTTAAGCTAACAGGGCACAACGGATTCATTGAGAAGTCAAGTTGTGAATCATCACTGTCACTAAATACTTCCCGGAACAGCAGGTAGTACTTTGCCTCTGCACTCCCCAAACCCAAACACCACCTCTCCAGTCATCTTGTTCCGACACCAAGCTTCCATAATTACCTCATCACCATCCTTCAAAAAGGTGTCATGTAAGTCTGAAGGCGCAGACTTGAGCATCGTCCGAGGGAGACCCCGCTCGACGAGGCAGCCAAGACCCATCTTTTCACCATCCGGGTTCGTCTGTATTGCAAAGTTAGGGGGCACCAGATACAAGGGTGGAAAACTCACTACACTAGAGGATATCGTTCCGGTTCCAAACACATCTCCTGTTGATAATCCCTCCCCGGCCGAGGCCAAGTGCGCCAGCTGCTGGATGGGCGTCCAGTACAGAGTATTGAGGTTGCTCTCACAAAGTCTGTACGACTTCTCATCTCCTGAAAAGAAAACTGTTATCCTGCCCCTTCCCCGGAAGAATGGGGAAGCACTTTGATCACTTACGGAGCAACGTGACGGACAAGTCAATGTCATAAGTCAGTGCCGCATCGTCCTGAGGCATCAGATGTGGCACTGGCAGAGGTTCTTGTTGCGTCGACCTTTCGCACTTGAACGGCTCCAGAGCCTCAATCGGCACGATCCAGGGACTCACGGATGTTAAAGAGCCTTTGGAATGGAAGCAGCCAAGAGGCGGCATTTCGAAGCCCTGGATCCGCCTTGACGACCAGTCGTTGAGGAGCGTGAAACCAAAAATGTGCTCCTTGGCCCTGGCAATGTCTACTCGCTGACCTCGTGGCACTGGAGTCGACAGCCACACACCCATTTCCAACTCAAAGTCGACCTTTGATTCGGGTTGGAAAGAAACAGCTCCGGTTTGAGGATCGGGATACATACCGTAAGGTCGGGTGAAGGGGGTACCTGAAACCGCAAGGCTTGAGGTGCGACCGTTGTACACAGACGGGATGGAGAACCAGTTGGACGACATCTCCTTCAGCTTCATGACCTCCGTGCACTTGAAAGTATTAGCCACCCGCAGAAGGAAACAGACACATCTCAGGAGAGGTAAACAAACGTTCTTTGCATGCTCGAGAGAGCAGTAAAAGTCGGAAAAGTTATATGTATGCATTGGCAGGTGGTTTTCCACGCTGGATAGCGGAACAAACGCCTTGTCGACGGTCTTGTCCAGGATACCACATCGGATTCGGGCCCTGACGGTCGCTCGAGTTCTTAAGGGCAGAACAGCAAATGCGTTCCAATTGTCCTGGACCGTGTCAGTCCCGATGGACGTCTCTCTGACAATGCTTCAAGGGACTCACGTTGGCGAAGACGTTGACGTCTAGATCTGGTATGGACGCAAAGAAGCCATGGCGGTAGAGCAGATCCAAATCAATGGCGAACTGCTGGAAAGCGACGGCACAGCGTTTGCTCGAGTTGTCGTCAGTGGAGATAACCCCGTACGGAAGATTATCGATGGTGAATGGAGTCATGGTGTCTATCTTTTCGTCCTCGCAAGAGCTGTGGGTGTCCTCGAGTGGGAGCGCTATCTGGAAGTAGGTATATAGGGCCGTGTAAAGCATGTGATTGGCCGCGGAACATCATAACCGCCGAGGCCGATTCCATTACCGGATTCGGCGATTTGCCGAACCACCCGTCCATTTCCCGAACGTTTTCATCCCACTCGTTATCATTCCATTCCCCGCAAGTCACTCTTTTGATTCTGTCATGTCTGGGAGGCCCAGACGATCATGTGATGCCTGCAGCATCCAGAAAGTGAGTCTCCGTTGTCCTACACCCACCTTGCGGGCGTGGAGTATCTGACGTCAATGCATCGTTCAGCTGCGATGCTGTGGCCAGAAACCCACTTGCCAGAGATGCAGGCGACTTGGACGGCCTTGCATCTATCGGTCTAGGAGGAGGACGACAACAGCCACAGCAGCAACTACAGGAGTAACTACAGGAGCAACTACAGGAGTAGCACCAAGCTCGCTCGCTGCTAGTGGTATCCGGCAGTCCTCCCCGTCACCTGTCTTGTCCGAGCCTTCTCTTTCGCGTCTTCCCATACCGGAAAAGCGGTACTTTGGAGTCCCAACCGCGTTGCTCCCGATATTGATAGACCTATACTATACTCACCTGAGCCATGCCCCCCTCCTCTTGTACAGACCTTCCCTGACTCGAGCTCTCGAGCTGGATACAATCCGAACCGATGTGCTGCTCAGTATTTGCGCCTTGGCTTCCCGGTATGCAAACTCAGCTTCCTTGTCCTGGTGCTCGCTCCTAACCTCTTATCACAGGTTCTACACGGACTCGAAAGGTGCGGCAGTCCTGGTCGACAGTCACTTTGATCGTGAATGGGCTGAAGCAGCGGGTCGGATGGCTCTTCGCGAGCTGGAGTCCCCCAAGGCTGACAATGTCGTTGCGTTTCTCAACCTAGCTCTCTTCTGGTATAGCCATGGCCAGTTCCAACGGTCGAATATGCTTACGGGTGCATCTCACTACACGATTCAGCCCCTAATGTACAACGCATGTACATGCTAAATTAACTCGCAATTAGGTTGTGCGTCAAACACCGCTTGGGTCATTGGCGTTCCTTCCGACGAGAAGAGCAATGGGAGTCTTCTAGACTCCGAGATGCAGCGGAGACGATTCTGGGGCTGTTATCTACAGTGCTCGTTCCAGGCTGACACTCTCTTCCCAAAGATACCCACCGAGGGCATGTTGAACATCAGACTTCCCTGCAGCGAGTCCGAGTTACAACTGGGGGTTCCTCAATCCAGCATCACGTTAAAAGATGCAGACAGCACGCAGAGCATTTATGCCGAGCTGGTAAGGGCCATGGCCCTGTGGTCATCCGTCGTCCTCCTCATCAAACAGACGGGTCTGACCCTACCAAGCCGTTTGGCTGAGATGCAAACTCTGGATGGGCGCATCCATGAGGCTTGGTCAAAGCTGGACCCGTGCTTTCACCTGGAATGCGCGCGGATGGCTGCAGTGCCCTCTCATGAATTGCCAACATTACTATTGTTGCATGTGATCTATCATCAATGCCTCTGCTCCCTGCATTCATCCATAGTCCCACTCTTCTCCTGGAGTCCTTGTGAAGGCGTATTTCCGTACGCGCAACAATTATCTGCACAAACGGCTTTTGAACACGCGAACTCTGTGTCGGCGCTTCTACATGCCGCCTCGGAGCTGGACTGGGACTGTCGAAGAATGCCGAGTTTCATCGGGTACGCTGCCTACTCCGCTTGCGCTACCCTAACTCCCTTCCTGTGGTGCTCGCAGCCACATGTCAGACAGCGCGCCATATCTAGCGTCTTGGCCAGTTTGAAGATTCTACAGATCCTGGGAAAGGACTGGGCCTTTTTGGGAGTTTTGGTGCGACCATCCTTGTTCTTGATGCACTACGCTAGCGATACTGATAGATTGCCCACAGGGAAGGTTTGCCTGCGGTCTGTACAAGGTGCACGCGAGTGCCCCATTTCCACTGACAGATGAGCCGAAAAACATGACCCCCGACGCCCTCAGGGAATTTAAACCAGCTAGTTCAAGAGCGCGACTTTCCATTTTGACACATAATTCTATCATCATCAGTGATCAAGGCTCAACCGCGCAGGCTGCGGATGATATTGGAGACCTTGGACTAGAGAATGCAGACTCTCGAGAACCCGGGCCGGCGGAAGAGAATATTGCTGGATTTATCGCCCAGATGTCGCGTGAGATCGGTGCTACAAGTAGCCAGTTACCGATCACGATCCACCCGTTTCTACCCTCGGAGACTGTCGGCTCTTGTGCCCTGGACGGCAGTTTTAACGAACCTACGATCGGGCCTGACATGGATCAGTTTGGGCATATTGATGATTTCATTCTGGACCTGATGCGGCAAGAAGGTCTGTTACAGCAGGGAGCATTATAAGTACAGGATTTGCTGTACTGCCTGTATTAAACGTAGTCATATATGCCAAGCCTGTATGGGAAATATCGTGCTGATTTGGGATGGTTCCTTTGTAAAGCAGGGAAACCACTTTCACGTATGAGCGCTGTCTACCCCTTGGAGTCGACAAACTTATACTCAGGTTTTTACAGCTACGGTGCCCTCGACTCTACGATATCATGGAACGATCAGACCATAGGGGGTTCAAAGTCAAAGTCAATTAATGAACGCAGACAGGTCCTTCATTATCATAATGAATGGGGAAGTATCTAGGAAGTGGTGCCTGTCTTGTCCGCCCTCTCAAGTTCTAGTCGGCCATCCCACCAGAGGAGACTGCATTCCTGGAGTAACCCGTGGCATTGAGAACCTTTTCTCCGATCGTGACCGGATGAGCGGCTATAATGGTCGTGTTAGATTGTGCCCATTATGAGAGCCGTGTGAGAGACCTCATACCAGAGAGTATAAAATACATTCTTGCAGGCTTATCGGAGTAGTTTGTCCATCCGTGGATGGTGCCTCGCTGAACACAAACATCGCCTGCTTTCATATCCACCCGAACTCCATCATCGAGATGACTGCAGGGAGGAAGTTGGCTGAGAAATCATCTCTAACACAATGGGAAACTCGCATGGACATACCAGGTAATCTCACCGCTGTGCAGAATCCCATAATCCAGAGATTCCGTCCGATGGAAGATCTAGAATAATACACATCGTCAGCTCAGTACTTACCAGCCGGTATCCCAACTCACTGTCTCCGTGTTCGCTGGAAAGTCGACGACTCGGAGCACGGTGCCCGTTTTGTTTGACAGGTCTGCGGTGCGTGCTTGGGCCGGATCAACCCATTCATCATTGGATGCGGGGAATTGATGCGTCTCATAGAGCACGGCAAAATTGCACTTGATTGATGTTGGGAGACAAGGAATCACATTGTCGTCCACGACGATGGCTGCGCCTTGTGGACTATGTCCGGTGACGATTCGTCGGGGGTGGGGAAACATGGTGGAAGACATCTATCTGTTTGTAAAAGTGATGGACTCCACCGGATGGGAGAAGAAAGAAATGAATCAAGGCTGCTGCTGAAGGGGATATACAGTCACCAAGCTATCGCACTGTGTGGGCACCATTTAGATGTGGCAAATAACCCGAATACCCCGAATAACCCGAGCCTCAAAGTTTCCTCATTCGGTAAATCGGGATTCACCTCAGATACAGCCAAATACCGAATGCTATAGCGGAGATACCGGAGATTAATTATCAGAGGGGAGAATCGGGAATTCGGTAATTGTTCCTGGGCCCTAACCGACAATTTACGGTTTACATTCTCTCGCCCACAGGTCAAAGGCACGGGTTGGATCGCTGTAAGGCGATATTGCCTTGATCAGCCGTTTCCCAAATCCATACTAGATTAGTGAAGGTGTAGTATGTTTTCTCCAGCGTCGAATGGGAGTCGCCCACTGGAATAACAATCCGTAGTCTACGTAAATCCCCTCCGTCATTTCTGCTTAGTATATGGGAGTTCGCCTGGACCCATGTATCCGAGGGCTCGAACATGGAAGATTCCGATACGGCTTCAATTAAGGCAAATGCGTGCTATGTCACCAGGTAATGCTGACGGATATGGAGTAATTGAGTCAACCAAGGAATGGAGAGGCAGAGTAAGGAACAGGCGGTCATGAAAGCAGTTCATACTACTGATTCTCGGTACAGTCTTCTAGCATTCTTGGTCTCTGCCCCGGGAATTCCCTCAATGATCTCTAGTTCCTTTGCTGTAAGCATATTTGCTCTCGGCTTTGCAGTAAATAGATTGATTCCCTCGCTCGCCTCTCTTTCGTCAAACTATTTGGCTAACATTCGGACAGGTTGATCCCGTGATCATCCCAGGACCGTCACTCAATCACACTAGCCTCTCCCATCGTCCAGATGATCTTCATGTTCCAGCGCTTGATCTTCCACAATCCCTCGCTATCGTCCCTTACCACATCGATGGAATACAGGGAGCCAGCCATGTAATATTCCGCACCCGGTACCTTCCCAGTACCGGGTCGATAATGCTGTGAAAGCACCGAAGCCGTCATCGATGCCACAGGCGCCCCGTCCACGACGTTGATCCGGACATTGCTGACGAAGTGCGTCGTGTCCAATTTCGAGATCTTGTCGTAGCACTGACGAGAAATCTCATCCAGACCATTCATCAGGTACCCGTCCAGATCGAAAACAGCATCAGGCACAAGGGAGGACTCGAGAAGCGCGGAGTCGGCTGTATCGAATGCGAGTACGGCGCGGTGAAGGGCATCGGCAATCGCCTCGCGGGAGGAGAGGGAAGGAAGAGCGGTTGTCATGTCGCTTTGATTTCTGTGCTTTTTCGATTTCTCAAGATGATAGGATTGAGTTCTGCTGTCGTTTGTGGCTCGAAAGTTCCGAGTGCCCTTTCTATGCTATATAAATATCCCTGGCCTTGGGGATAGCGAAGCCAGATGGACTATCTCCGGACCACCGGATTTAGCGCTCAGTACCTTTTATCTCCGGGAATCTACGCAACGTCATCAGCCACTACAGCATGAGTCGCCTGGTATCTCTGCAGCAGGCAGAAGGCTGTTCTAGTGCGTCCGGGCTTACTAGAAGCCTAAGCCAATGGGACCCTCCAGCCCGGTGTTCTTTAGTGGCGCGATGGCCAAGGCAATATCAAAGCCTATGGGCATACCACGTACTCAAAGAACCAGGATGGATGAATATTGAACGACTTTAATACAGTAGTCCCGATTCTAGTGAACTCCCATATTCGCATTGTTGACCCATAAAGAGTGAAGCCAAGGACATATCAACACTTTTCTTGGGCTGACAACAGCAGAGATTCGCCGGCACCTTGAGCGTAATCCTTCGCGGTTCGACACAACCCCTCACCAAGGCTGACGTGCCAACGTAACGTTATTTCTCAAGATACTACCAGGGTCTATCGTCAAGCCCATGCCTGCAGAAGGAGTCCACAGCCCGGCAATTGCTGCATTGAGCCCCGGTCGAGCTGAGCCAGATCGCATTTAATCTAGCAATGGCCAGTTAGCGGGGGCTGCCAGGAGCGCATCACAACCGATACTCACTTTCTTTTTGGTGGCAGCGAGTGGAACCAATATTGGCCCGGCGCTTGATCTGCCGGTATAATGGAAGTGAGCCTTGGCCACGATGGCATAATTGAGGACATTGGACCGTTCAATCCAGCTGCGAAGACTTGTCACCACCGTCTAGAACAAGTACATCTACATGTTGCAGCCGCTAGCAAGTCCAAGTCACTTCTGACTTAGAATCCCTCGTCACAATATCTCACAATAAACAGGAAGACTTGGAACGACAGTTCGGCCAGGCTCAAGCTCTCATATCCACGCATGTTGTCTGCGCTTCCCTTGCTGATATATATATATATATTCTCGTTATCTCCTGGTCCTTGAAATTACCTCTGACTACCAATCTTCGTCCCTTGGCGTTGGTAGCTCCTGGGGCAGTCTCACGTGGCCTGGCATTCGGATCATGGCGTGCATTCTGTTGCAAGACTAGACTTGTACTACCTGAAGAAGATGCTTCGCTAAAGCCCCGGCCCCAAAATATAAATACAGAGCTGATCCTCCTCCATAGTCCATGCTGTATGGGCTCGCCCATACTCTGAATCACTCTAAAAGAAGTTGAACATCTCATATCCCGCGACCCCCGCGTAGGAAAGCCCACCAACGGTGCCATTGACAGTCCCAATCCAGCGCCCGTATCCTGGCTTCGCCAACGTAGCCAGATTCGACGCCAGCTCCGCCTTCAACACTCCCAGCTCGCCACCCAGATCGACCTCAATAGTGAACCCTTCGGGGAGCGAATCATCGCCCCGGGGTGGGAAGTGCACGTCCGGCCCCGTCGGGCGCACCGTCATCTTGTTGCATTCGGCGTGCAGGATCTGTCCCTGGTAGGCGACGTAGCCGCTGGTGTGCTCGTCCTTGCTGGGGGTGAGCGAGTCGAGCCAGACGAGGGAATAGGGGCCCATGCGCGCGTGGCCCCAGTACCAGCCACCGACCGCATCGGTGAAGGGGATGACGCCCCAGTTCTATGAGGTATATTAGCAGACCCCTCTCTATCACACTCATCCATTGCAGTTCGGGTTAGGATACGCAGGGCGGGGTGGTTGGAACCTTATCATGGTATCCGGTGCCGATGAAACTCAGCGTCGAGCCGTGGACGGTCATGTTGACGGTCACGTCGGCGTCGGGGATGGAATTGGCCCAGCCCACGCCGGGAAGAACCTCCATGGTTTCGTTTGCGCGCTTGGGGCTGCAAGGATAGTGAGGCGGGGCGACCTTGGACATCTGATCAGCGTTCTATCTCGAACGGAGTGGTGAAACCACGGGCAGACAGGCAACTAACAGAGTGCATTGAAAAAGTCCCTTCGTAGCCCCGGTGGCTCCCGGCGAGCGTGATGAGATAGTTGGACAGATCAGGGCTCCCAGCCCACGAGGCACCGGTGCCATTCCACAGCCCGCTGGACCCGTCGCCCATGGCGGACACCATCGCATTGTCCGCGAACAGGAAGTCACTAAAGGCGGTCCCGTTGGGGAAGGTGCCGGAGATCTGCACAAAATCCTGGTTGGTGAAGTTCTCCGTCACCGTAAAGCCGGACTGGCGTGCTTCGACAAAGTACGTGACTGCCAGGGAGGACACGCCGTCGGTGCCAATGGCGTCAAAGTACCACCAGTCGTACGAGGAGGCATTGCCGGCGCGCACCTTGGGGCTGTCGAAGCCGTTCTCACAGGAGGTGAATCGTCCATCCGAGAGGCCCTCGTTTGGCGTGGTTGCGTAGATTTGGATGCCTGGGATGCGTGGGCAGGCCTGGTCAGCTAGTGCTGACGCGACGAACGGGAGAGCGAGAAGATATGCAGAAGACGAAAACATTTTCAGACTTGCAAAGATGATCGAGATGCTTGACCGGTCAGTGAAGGTGGATATGGCCATTTATCTTTCGCGAGAGCTCCGGGTTTTGGTATAAATCATAAAGACATACTTATTCCATGACGATCTGCACAACAGTATAGCGAACTTGAATCTGGATAGCGTAGATTTCTTACTGATCCACAGTGCATAGGCGTATTCTGGCATAAATGTCATGAAGAACCGGTTCTTTTCTCTCCTCGGTATATCGACGATCCGGCATCCGAAGAATAGCACGCAGTACACGTTGCTCAGCCCGGCTGATCATGGCTTGTTCTAGACGGTTGAGCCCAGGCGCAACCCAGAAACTGCAAAGATCGATGGCTCCGACCAGCGAAAACCGTATACTCCTTGTCGGGTTCGGATGCGCTCCACTTGCGAGTCGCAGTTTCGACGTCGCAAATGCCCCACCGGAAGGACTTCTCGATTCCCACATCGGAGTCTGTCTCTGGGGCATACCCGACTTGCCATCCTTGGGAGATTTAAGCATTCCTTTGGCAGTGTTTCCCTTATCCCATCACAGTCTCACTCACTACTATGGCAGCTCGCTCGGTACTTATCACCGGAGTCTCCGGATATATGTAAATATGAACCTCTCCTGACATCGAGAAAGTGTCTAACTCTCATGATTACAGTGGAGGCACGATTCTCTCTTCACTGCGTGAAGTTCAAGGACCATGGACAGCACGACTAGAGCTCGCAGCCCTGGTGCGAAGCGACTCGCAGGCCGACACGGTGCAGAAACTAGGCGTTAAGCCGGTCATGTTTTCCAGCTTCGATGAGACAGAGTTGCTGGAGAAGATCGCCGCCGACTTTGATGGTAAGCGTGCGTATCCCCAAATCACCGCCGCATGCAATCTAATCGCATGGTGTTACTCGGCGCAGTCATCATCCATGCCGGCGCAGGCTGGCACACCCGCTCGGCCAAAGCGCTCATCACCGGCCAGAGCATGAGGAAGACCAAAACCACCGGTTCGGTCCACTATATTCAGATCTCCGGAACGTCCAATCTCAGTGATCGACCCCACACAGACGGCTATACTGACACCCACTGCTTCTCTGACGAGGAAGATATCTACTCCTTTGAGAAGTACCGTGAGTTCCGTGAGGTTTATCACCAGCGCACCACGGATACTACTGTGATTGAGACGGGTGAGGCGGTTGGAGTGACCACATATATTATTATGGCGCCAACGATCTACGGCCAGGGTACCGGGCCCTTAAACACCTACTCGATTCAGCTTCCTGCGATAATTGCGGACGCTATTCAGTCCGGTGCGGTCAGTCTCGTGGGAAAGGGAGACACGATTTGGAGCCATGTGCACGTCCAGGATGTGGCGGGATTATTTATCACTCTTCTCCAGAAGATCTGCACCAATATCACGATCCCATCTGGCCGTAAAGGAATCTACTTCTGCGAGACCGGTGAGCATTCACACCGTGAGTTCTCGGAGCGGCTCGCCAGAGCCGCCTATGAGATAGGGGTGCTCCCAACGGCAGATGTTAAGGAGATTACTCTAGAGCAGGCAGGGGACAAGCTGGCCCTCGGCAGTGTCTCCAGAGCCGAGCTGGCCTTTGCCGCAAAGTAAGCTTTGCCCTTGTCTCTCTTAGGAGAGGTGTTGCTGACTATATTTCCTTCTTTGTAGTGCTCGCACGAAAGCCGTGATGGGACGTAAGCTGGGTTGGACTCCACTGCATGGCGAGGAGTGGGAGAGTACGTTCCGCACCGAAGTCGAGGCATTCATAAAGAGCCCCCCTGCTCCAAAGGAGGTTCCAGAGTTTCTCAGGAAGACTTAGAAGTGCCTGTTGTCGTATATGGGCCTTCCCTTTAAATGAAATTGCATGGGGGAGCTGCACACACTGTCGAATCAATACACTTGTGTATGCTTCGGAGGGCTTATCGAGAATTGACCGTGCGAATATGTGGCTTAAGAAGATACAAAGGATAGATAATTGCAATCAATGCCCAGGCCAGTATTATCTTCCCTGGGGACACGGAGGCCGAATATCGAATACATGGGTTAATTCTGTTGGATATATTTCCGGTTCATGCCATTATGGATGACAGTCTTCCCTAGTGCAGAAATGCTCATTTGGTATTATCTCACAGAGCGTAATGTTTCCTGTGGCTAAATACTCTGAATGCTAAGGTCCTAAAAAGAGTGATTGTACTGGATTTATTCCTCTACTGAGATCAAATATCAAGGTAGCTAATACAGTCACCCAGGCAGCAAATCGGGTCTATCGCCAGCGATATCAGCGAGCCTGATAAACGAATACTGTCCAGATTCATGACCAAGTACAGCAAGGTTGCCCTTGATGGCCACATTGTTCGCACGATACTCGGGAGGAAGCCACAGAATCTTTTCCTTGTCATACTGTAGCCAACTCTCATCTTCCCGTACTTTAATATGGAAACTAGTCTCTGAAATAGAAACAGACCCCCCTTCCTCATCATAGTCAATGGAGTATGGCTTTTCATTCGTGTTGAGAAGTCTTCCATCGTCTGAAAATGATACTTGCGGCACAAATTTAAGGTAAGCGTCTCTCCAATATATCTGGATACCGGAAACAGTATCCCACACTCTCAGAGCCTCATGCGCGCCAGCCGCCAGGAGCTTATCATCAGGCGAAAATGCCAGTGAATTGAACATATTATACTCGTCGTCGAGATCCCGGAGTGTTCTCGGCCTTTCTCTAGAATCCGTGTCCCATATTCTGATAGTGTCGTCATCGCAACCAACAGCTAATCGCTTGTTATCGTGCGAGAAGGAAAGCGAGAAAGGTGAACCGCCTGGATTCTCCATCGTCTGGAGCAGTTCTCCAGAAGCCATATCCCATAACTTGACGGTGCTGTCAAATGACCCGGAAGCCATCAGTGTTCCGTCAGATGAGAACGCCAATGAACACACAACGTCGCCATGGCCTTCAATCACTCTCGTCAGCGTACCGGAGCTAGTAGACCATATTCTCGTGGCACTATCCCTAGACCCCGACGCAATGGTTTGGCTGTCGGGTGAGAAGGCCACTGCACCCTCGTACATAGTGTCCAAATCAAGGGAGTGCAAGCGTTCCCCGGTGGATGAATTCCAAAGAGTAGCTCCGTTGCCATGTACCGAAGCAACCAGACTCTGGTCAGGCGAAAATATCAAGAAGGGAACCGCTTGCGGCTCGCGTTTATGATGTTGCTCCGGGATGCCCTGGGAGATATCCCACAGCCTCATAGTCCTGTCATCCGAGCCCGAAGCTAAAAGTGTACCATCACCAGACAAGGACACAGAGCTGACCCAATCTGTATGTCCCACGAGGGTGCACTTCTCTGCCCCCGAGGAAATATCCCATATTTTGATTGTTTTGTCCCAGGAGCCGGAAACAATAGATTGTCCATCTGGTAAAAACACAACTGATTCGACAGACACACAATGTCCGGTGAACGTATGTTTCAATTCGCCCAGTTTGATATCCCATAGTCTCAAGGTTTCATCTCTAGATCCTGACACTAGAAACTTGCTATCAGGCGAGAATGCGACGGATCCCACCAGGCTGGAATGCCCTTTGAAAACGGCCTGTAGCCTGACTGGGCTCGAGCCTATATTCCAAAGCCTCACAGTCCAATCGCTGGAAGCTGATGCAACCATTTTACCATCGGGTGAGAACGCCACAGACAGAACACCTGCTGTATGACCTTCAAGAGTCTCCTCTATGCCAATCTGATCGATATTCCACAATTTTACCTTCTCATCCTTGGACGCTGAAGCCAACTTCTTGCCATTGGCTGAAAATACCACTTCATAAATGTGGTCCGAATGCGCCTGAAATGTGTGCTGTAGCACGCCTATACCTGAAGTCATATCCCACAGGCTGACAGTACCATTATCGAACGCTGCAGCTATCATTTTTCCGTCGGGGGAGAATTCAACCGAATATAAATTCCAAGATTGGTGGTCAAGAGTTTGTTGAAGGCTGCCAGTTGCTGTATTCCATATCTTTACACCATCCCCCCAGGAGGTTGAAGCAACTAGTAGACCATCGGGCGAGAGGGCAACTGTCCTGAAATCGCCATCCTTTTGCTTCTCTTCGAACGTCTGCAAGGCAGCTCCCCAGTTCGGACTCACCAGCGGTAGCTGAGTAAAGCACTGGGGCCGGAATCTCTGAAATGCCTTTTTGACTGTACATTCACTGGGAGCAAATATGAGTCCTGATGAATATAGTTGCAGGGGTGCTTCCTCGGCGATGGCTTTGTTTTTGAGAAGAAATCGCTTTGCATCATACAAGAATTTTGACAGGCTGTCTTTGTGCATCTAGTTGTCGTCCATCAGCGGTGTTGTTTTAGAAATACCCTTCGATATGAGTAACCCACCTGAACGAGAGACTGCAGTGTATCAAGAGTTTGCACAGCCTCGTGAAGTAACCCCAGAATGCTCATTGCTTCAAACCATGGTAGCAACTTGGCGTTCAAGAACGAATGAATCATCTCCAGATCGGAAGAAGAAGGCCTCGATTGCTGTAGATGATCAGCCCAATGTCGACAGGCATACTGCAGCTCCCTTGGCAAATGCGAAGTGACTTTATCATCATCAATATCAATGCGTTCGGTCCCGTAGCTCTCAAGACGACAGATGTTTTTTTCAAGCCACCATTTTCTCTTTGCATTATCTTGATACAATTCAATGTCATCCTTTCATGCATGGCAGCCTCATCAACACCGAATTGATCTCTGTCCGTCTCGGGGTCAAGAAGAAAGTCTCGGAAGGATTTATGAAAGACTCTCACCGGGTCATCTGGCTTCTCGGGCACTTGAAGAACAGATGACAATGAATTGACCCTTTTCTTGACGATGAGGCGTTCCATGCCAATAAGCTCGGCGAGTGGACCAACGGGCAGTGTATCTTCAAGAATGACAATCGAGCCCACGACATCTCGAATCTGCCGAGACACTTGGACCTTTTGTTTCAGTTTAAGTCCCGAAGTGTCTTTGTCAAAACGGGGAGGTAGATTGCAGCGAGCTTGGACGTTTCGTTCCTGTTGTCCAGGATTTCGTTCAAAATGTCATCTGCGCACAAGGCAGGAATCTTCAGCTCACGATAAATAGTCGCCGCAGAAACGAAAAGCGGAACGGTCATTGTGACCAGCACTTGGATTTTCTCTTGTCCTGGCCAGTCCTCTTCGAGCTCTTCGTCTTCCCTCTCTTTTTGTATTTCGCTCATTTTATTTTGGAAGAACAACTGAAGGTCGCGCTCGACGATTGATTCGTCAATGTTATGCAAAACAGCCTTTTCATCCTTGTCTGCAAGGTCTTTGAGCAAAGAACCGATAGGCTCCTCTGGTCTGCTCGTCACAAAGACCCGCAAGTCTACAGAGAATCGAGGGTTATGGAGCCGTGGCAAGAGCTGGAGGAGTGCTTTCAGGTTTCCATCTTCGCACTCGTCCAAAGCGTCAATCACGATGACCTGCTGAAGCCTTTGGCCTGTGGCGGTGGTGAACATTGACAAAGGCTTGCAGAGAAGCTCATTAAACTGGACTGGGATCTCGGATGAGGCAAAGCCCGCTGCATCCATGATACTTTTTCGAAGACCAGGCAAAGCATCTGCGAGCTGTCTCGCGATCGTTGGGATGAAATGGATTAGGTTTGCCCGATCAGTCTCATCTCTTTTGAAAAAGAAGCTTGCTCCTAAGAGCCCTCTTTCTTGCATTAACCTAGCAAAGCTCCGTGAGATTGTTGACTTTCCCGTCCCGGCCATACCGTTCAACCAGAATAAACTCCCCCCAGATGGACTGTCGATCCAGTCAGTGACTCTTTCAAGAAGCTCAACTCTGGTGCCTGGGAGACATTCATCCTCGGGGAAACGGTCATAGCAGCCAAACACTGCGCTGCTAACCCAGGGCATGTTCAACAATTTAACATTCTCATCAATGCCGTGAGCGATTCGTAGTATCTCGTCACCACGTGCGTTCTCATTCCACTCAAGATACTGTTGAATACTAAGCCACCCTTCCAATCGAGACTGTTGGCTTTCAATAGAACCCTTGATATTATGCAGGGGAAGATCATTCATAGCCGCGATGACTTGCAAGATTCTCATGCCTCTATTGGATTCATGAATCGCCATCACCTCTGCAGAGTAACGTAAAATTTCGACATAGGTTTGAATCAAGGCATTTTCCACCCCGTCTTTTGTGGCAGGGTTTTTGCGACGGTAAGAAACCTCAATCAAGGTCAGGCGAGAAACAGTATCGGATAGAAACGCGGATGCTTCAAGCCAGCTCTCCTGTTGTTTGCGGTAATTCTGCGTGATCTTTTTGACGGATCGAAATCTCATTAAGATAAACTGGTTGGTTTTACTATGACCAGGATTCGGAGCTACTCACATTCAATCCAAGGGATATGACAGTCCAAGCGCTTGATGCAAGGCCTGTAGGGACCGCTTTCACCACCTCGGAAATAATCCCTTGAAGGCCTAACGCAGCGCCGAGAATCTTTCGTGGATAATCATGCAACCTGCTTTTTTCTTTTTTCTGCTTGCGAATATCGTACTGCTTTTTGACCGTCTCAATGACTGTATCCAGAGCAAGCTGAACTAGAATCTCAGAGCCGGCAGTGTCGTCATTCTGCTGCTGTCCAGTGCCAGCGCGGCCAGTCATCAAAATCTGTTTCTGCTTTTCCTCCAGCAAATCAAAGGCCGCTTGCCAGAGATTCGGGGGGTTATATTCCTCGGGGTCGACCCGTAAGCCAAATCTTGCTCCACAGCCTTGTTGCAGACGCATTGCGCTTGGCGATCTTCCCAATACGAGGGCCTGATGAGTCATGCGTATCCTGTTAACTTGCTGAATCTGCTGTCTTCTTTGCATCATGAATCCCTTGCAATATTGGCTCAGGTCTTCTATAGGAAGAAAGTCCTATTACCTTTTTCAACCCGAGTGCCATGGCCCATCAGACACACTCCCTTCCGTGGCATACGCTTGCGGCCAACTTTGAACAGCGGCGCGTAGGCAAGCACAAGTATCTTCTGGTGCCAATGAATAGGCCGCACCAGGGAAAGCAGATCACACATTTCACTGTGACATTTGCCCATGCCTTGGCCGAGTTCTCTGCCACGGAACGCCGCAAGTACTCGCCACCCATCAACGTGCGGATGAGTATCGACGACGACGATGACGTTGTGAGCAAGAAGGCTGTCCAGCGTCTCAATGAATACTTCTACCAGGTTAGAGAGGAGATGCGAGACGCTAAGATATGTAACGTCGGGGCAGATAAGCCCCCCTTTCCCTTACCACAGCGTTCGACCCGGAGCTATTCCACAGACTGGGCTGGGAATGTCATCCGGACGGAGGAAGAAATTGCTACCTACGACAAAGAACTGCAGAGTAAAAATAACGCCCCACGCTCTGCTCGTTGCTGGAAAGGAGTAGACTGGCGTTGTCGCAAGGAGACGACCGACGTGTTGACGATGTGGCTTATCCTGGGCGAAATGGAGACCCTGTTCAAGATCGCGCGATACGCCCCAGAGACAGTCAAGGGAATGTGGTCCTGGAATGACCATTATGACCACTGTGGGCTCAAGCAGCTGATGGAACGAACGGTGGACTTTTATATTGGCTTGAACGTACTCTACTGCAAACCAGAGTGGTACGCAGAGGGTGCGAATGCATGGCAGTCATATTTCAGTCCGCAGATGGTGGAATTATATCAGCCGGAAAGAGAGCTTGGAAGATACCAAACTGGCTGGCCCTTTAGCAATCCCAACGGGCCCCTGACGACCGCAGAATTGCCTCCCGCCGAACAGGTGCCGATAAAATTTATTCGACGGAAAGACTACCGTTCCACGCCGATTTACAAGTCAATGCTATCGGAGGAAAAGAATTGTCATTCTCTTGGGCATTACTGCCCCCTAGACCCAGGATATGCTTGGTGTATTCCGCACCGGCAATTCTTTGGCTTCGGTGCAATTATCGGCCATGGGGGCTGGCCAAATGCTACTGAGAGCCCTCCCGTCGATCCTTTGAAAAACGGTGGTGGGCAGGCTCTGAGGAATTATCTAAAGATATGCTGGGAGCTTCTCGTGCGACTGGACACGCTCATGAGGGAACTGAATGTGTGTATTGACTGGCAGCAGGTTGCATCGCAATCAATTGCAGATTGGTATACGTCTGAGCCTATTGATAGGGACAAGTGGTGTATATCAATTTGGCATCCGGGCTTGGGTGGAGACCTTGACATGACCAAGTATGGATCCACGATCGAACGTTTTGTGTAGCCATTCATGTAGTCGATTTTTGATAATCTAGTCTGCAATTGAAGTCTTCCTGGTCTCATCCGCAACATGTCAGCTGGATTATATAGATTATGAGTATAAAAATATGTGCAGGACAGATAACTCAATGATAGATTCCTAAGGATCCAAGAGAAATCATGCCGATTACTTGCGGTGCATGGAGCCTAGTTGGCATCTCGTGTATAGATGTGTGGCCTGGGGATGAAAAGATACTCTTATCTCTCCATTCTGGGCCACAAGATTAGACATTAATTATTTAGTTATATCATAGCATCTCCGTAGAGGTGGCGGGTATAGTGAACATAAATATATACAAAGAATAAGAATAAGCATAGCAGATCAGAGTAGCCCCTTTTCGGAGGTACTGCTCTTTCTCTGGGCATAGCTCAGTCTCCTCACATGCTTCTTGTACACATCCACAAGACGTCGAAAGGTATTAATCTTGGTCATGGTGAACAAGGCCTGGAGAACGGCTATACAATTTCTCGGTTTGGAAGGTAGCACGTCCGAGTTGATGTAGAGGAGATAGTATACGGTCATGGCTTCGAGGGTAAGTGTCAACCCTTCAATGGTGATGGCGGAGCGGTAGACGTTGGTCAATCGTTTGCCTCCGTGGGGGGACGATCGGCGGAGGATATAGACGACTCGGGAGAGGATTCCTAGGATACAGGAGAAGAAGACTATACAGTTAGATTTGTTGTTTCTAGATGGGGGTAAGGGGACATACTCCAGAAAGAACAGACATCTGCAGCCTTTAGGTATTGATTCATCTTCTCCGTTCCCTGGAGAGGCATAGAAAGTGCATTGATTGCAAAGCCTTGGAGACCCAGCAGTGACCCGACATGATGAAAAACGTACAGCGGACGCAGATTCTCATCATAGACAAGCTCGTAGGCATTCAGCGCGATGACAAGGGTGGAAGAGCTGATTGCTGAATCTTGAAACGTGATGGCCGAGTTGCCAAAGAATGAATCAGACCATTCTCTATTTCCCAGCACGACTTGGAATATCGGCAACGCGATAAACGGTAATGCGATCAGATTCAGGACAGGCCAGGTATTGTGAAGCCGAAACTGACGCTGGTCGCGAGGGGAGAGGGAGGTGAAGCTCTTCCCATAGATGCCGGTAAGGATGGAAGGGGAGAAGAAGAACCGCGTCACAAAAACGCAGACGAGGACGAAGATCCCAAGCAGAGGACCGACATAGGTGCCGATTCTGGTGAGAGTCACACAGTTTTGATACGCGATACTGGTTGTTTCGTTGGGAAGGAGCAGATCTCTGCAGCCGATGGCGTAGAACTGGTCCATCTTGAGGGCTGAGGGGCTGAGACAGGCTTTCCAGTATGCAGTCTATCAGACAGTCAAGTCATCGTCTTATTTATTTTTTCAATGTTACTTCCCCTTGCTGGGCTGAAGATTTGGATAGACACGTTCGTCTATTAGCGAAATGACTATTGTGTCAGCTCAACCGGCAAGCAACCCTTTGAATAGCAAATTTTATCCCTGATTGGAAGAATTCATCTAATCCCCTATTGCACGGTGATTGAGTTAAGATTATCAATGACTATCCATCAATAGTCTATCGTAAATACGAAATGTCGCGCGCAATATCTCCCCCATCGGGGGGAAGCTCCACTGGGATCGGCGCTCCCAAAGCGTAATTATTGACAGATTGATCTAAACGAATAAAAGTCCTGTAAATAAGCCGTGATCCACACGGGGTGAAGACAGCGCAACGGTTGATCGCGCTATTCAGGGATCGGCGTTAGCTGTGGGCTTGGGAAATTGACCCTTCATAGAGACATATTTCTGATGTCTCCTTATCTTTCATCTCCTTATTCATCCATCTTCAACAATCATGTCTGAAGAGATGGAAAAGAAAACGGAAGAAGTTCCAGGGCAATTTGCCCATGGACTGCCTCTCTTCCTGCAGGGATTCGGTGTTGGATTATGTCTCTTTCTGCCGTGTGTCAGTGCCAGCATCATCAGCACTTCGCTGGTAACCATCACCAGCGACCTACACCAGTTCAGCCAGAACAGCTGGGTCATCACTTCCTATCTCATTGGCTATACCAGCTTTCTGATGATCTGGTCCAAATGTGGTGACGTGCTTGGAGTCAAATCTTCTTTTCTTAGCGCGTTGACCATTTTTGTCGCCTTTGCTGTCGGCTGTGGATCTGCTCAAACCATGAATGAACTGTTAGTCATCGGAAGAAGAAAGAAGAAGAAGCATACTAACTGACAATAGTATCATCTGTCGTGCCTTTCAGGGCATTGGCGCATCTGGGGTCAATACACTTGCCTTTTTTACCTTCATCCGTCTGGTGCCTGCCAGTAAATACGGCAATGTCACCACCGCCGCAGCCACCGTGATGAGTCTCGGCTGGATCCTGGGGCCATTGCTCGGAGGCGCCATCTGTGTCTCGGGCGCATGGCGATGGACCTTTCTCTTCAAGTATTTATCTTCTGTCCCATATGAGATCCATCTAACATGATTAGTGCCCCCGCCGGAATCATCGCATGGCTGATCGTCTACTTCATGATCCCCAATAACTTTCCGCATCATTGCGATCCGGTAGAAGGAAAAGAGCAGGAGAGCTTCTGGGATGCTCAAATGACACTACTGCGTCGAGTCGACTGGCTCGGTGCGTTCCTAATGCTCGTTGGCTCCCTCCTGATCACGGCTGCTCTGGCAGAGGCCGACGTCCGATTCAAATGGTCTTCTGGTCTAGTCATCAGCTTTATGACTATTTCCGTCATCGCGTTTATCGCTTTCATGGTCTGGGAATGGGCAATCAGTCGACGAGCCTGGAAAGTCGAACCCATGCTTCCGTGGCGGTTTCTGTATAACCGTGTCTGGATGGGCGTTTTGAGCGGTTTCCTCCTGGTAGGACCGTCTATGACAATTCTGGCGATTGAACTCCCCCAGCGGTTCCAGACGGTCAATGCCTCGTCCCCTCTGGGAGCTGGAGTGAAGCTGCTGGCCTACGCCGCCGCGCAACCGGTTGGCTCGCTGCTTTCCTCTCTGTCGTCGTCAAGACTTCAAATCCCATTTATTTATATCCTCCTCGTTGCCGCTATCCTCCAGACCGTCGGGTCGTTTCTTCTATCATCACTCCCAACCACAGTCGACTTCTGGACAGGCCAGCTTGGATACATGGTCATCGCAGGATTAGGGGTTGGCGCGTCCACCACAACCCTTGCCGTGATGATCCCTCTGACCGTGGAAAAGGCAGATCAGCGTAAGTCACCCATCTCGCTGACTGACTTCATTCTAACAAGTGTAGAAATCGCCATTGGAATCGCCCTCCAACTTCGAATGCTGGGAGGTGTTCTGGGTATTGCCATTACAAATAGCGTTCTAAACGCATACACCAAGTCCCATCTCCCGAGACTCATCCCCGCAGCCGATCTCAGCGCCCTCCACGACTCAGCCAAAGCGCTTGATTATTTCCCGCTGGCGACGCAAGCTGCGGTTCGGGCTGTCTATGGGGCAGCGTTTAATAAGCAGATGCAGGTTGTAGGGGGGTTTTCGGCTGCACAGCTCGTGTTTACCTTGATTATGTGGCAGAAGCAGCCTTTGCATATGATTAAAAAGTAATTGAAATATAAACAGTGTTGTTTTGAAGGCAGTGCCAAGCCATGGGCCTGTAGGGATCGATAGGGCTAAACGCAGTCACATGTCTTCGTGACATGGGGTCAACTTCAACTCATCCAGACACCAACACACTCACAATACACCATCTCATCAAAGGTTCCCTGTGAGTCATTCCCTAAGAAGACCATATTTATTGAGTTATCCAACTAATGAAATGTGTAGATCAAATCACAGGCGAGGGTCGACGACGCGTGTTGAACTTTCAGATGCCAATAAGGCAATGAAATATCCCCTCGACGACAACATCGCTGAACAAAGATTGTCTACTGAAGCGAACGTTTAAAATACTATAAAAACTTACACAGTCTGACCCCGACTTGATAATCGATAGGGGACAGTGGCAACGCTTAGATCAGATGGCGAGGCGGGAGGTACAATGGAACTTGCCAGGGGTTGGCGCATACTGTGACGACTCGTCCCATGATCCAAGCGGCTCAGACTGTTAAACGCTATCATTGTCAAGGAGGTTGGAAGAGTTAGGCCCCATCTTCTTGCTATCGATAACGAGCAAATGCAGTGGCAGACGTTACTCACCTATAGACAACAGCTGCGAGCAACACTTGAAGGTCTGGCCTGTGATTTTTAGTCATATATTTATATATATATATATTCTGGGAAGGCTCGACATCCTTCATGATCATATCAAAGAGATTTAGTGCTTCAACACGCTCTTGATCGTCCAAGGGCTGGGGTGCGGGAACGATGACCCGTCGGCGATCTGGACAGCGATCGAGAGCAGCCATTCCCAATTCCAAGAAATGGGCTGGGTGAAATCTAGACCTATTCTGTTGTAGATTTTCTTCCTTAAAAAAAGAGGGTTTGTTCAAATCAATGATGGATTCTAGATACTTAAAAGAGAGGGTTCCAGACACTGTCGGATCCGGCATTAATATTTTCCGCATCATAGGCATGGAAAAGAAATGCAAAAAATGGACTCGCGGGGAATCGAACCCCGGACCACTCCCATGCTAAGGGAGTATTATACCACTAAACCACAAGCCCAATTGCTTGAAAGGCGGCACAATATTTGACATCATCTTGAAGCACAATTTTCGAGGGTACATCTATGCGTATCCAGGTTATGGGAAGAAGACTTGACTATGCCCTTCGATAACTCGAGGTACAGACCGACGAACGACATGAGCTGTAGACTCTTGGCAATCTAACATGCTACGCCGTCGCCCCAATTTATTTTTGGCATTTTGTTAGAATCAATTCAGGGTTGAAGGTTTGACATTTGTGGATTCTTTATTTCTCGGGTCTGTATCTATGATGGACCTCAGGTAACACTGGAGATCAAAGTTGCTTCCACAGTCTTCTATATCTATCCTCCGGGCAGATCTCTGACGCTTTGTCTGGTTTGCTTCTTCATTCTCTTGATGATTCCATTCTTTTCGTCTTCTTCTCCCTATTGGACAAGGGGAGGTAGGCAGGCATACGCCTGTTCTTTTGAATACTCGTGCTTTGCCTTCAGATGATACGAAGGACTTTCTGTGTGTGAAAATGTTTTTGACGGCCCTCATCTGGACATCGGTTGGGTAAACCACCTGTTCCCTGAGCAGCTCCTAATCTTGTCTCTCATAGGAAGGAAGGACGTATGCCTCGGTCTGTGACGGTTTATACTCGTGTTTCGACAGCAAATGAGCTCAAAGACGAAAATTGCTATGTGAGTATCCCTCACAGCCCTCAGGACAGAGACTCTACTCCGTCTGGCTTGAATCGGGGCGATTTATTGGATAAGTGAGGAACTCGATTTATGAATCCCCGAAGGTGATCATACAATTGTTCACGAGAGGTGTACACAGTATTTAGACGAACACATTGCATCCTATCGGTAAATGGACACAACCTTGGACTAAAGTCCTTGGGATGAGCTGCACTCTGGTGTCTTCGGAGCTCTCAGCCTGAGCTGTAAATAACTCTTTGATCTGAGCATTTCGCGCATGGGCGTGGATTATATTGGTGTATATAATCCACATGCCTCTGTAAATTATGTTTCTGTATCAAACATGCATTCACAATTGTCAAATTTGCATGCGAATATTTGACTTTCTTATCAATTCCTTTGCAATTGGTAATTGAAAGATGACAGAAACATCTTGCAGGCATAAAGTTTGGATTTGTCGCGACATGCTGTCGGTCAATTATCGACCACCACTAGTCGACCGATCACAGTTCATTTGGCATGCTTGCCATATCGCGGAGGCAGCAAGCAGGCTCGCGGCACTGCAAATGGTCTTAAACGTCGTCTCTTGCGATGTCATTTCTAGCATGAAGCAAAGCTAACGACTGTTGAGAATAGATATAAAAGCAAAACAATGGCCAATGTCGTCTAGGCAAATGACTCTCTTCATCACTGACACAGATGGGTCAGCCATTCTTGGAAAGTGTAAGCCATAACGAAGCGAAGGGCATTGTTCCATGCTCAATGACCGTCTATATCGGAGGATGACAGAAAATTCATTTGTGCCAGAAGGCAGCAGTATTCTACATCGTCTATTGTCTCTCGTTGAGGAATAATTTCGAAAAGCTCTCTTTATCAATCCAACAACGGCAGCTTATCCGCTATCCAATAGCAACTGGGCTTGTGGTTTAGTGGTATAATACTCCCTTAGCATGGGAGTGGTCCGGGGTTCGATTCCCCGCGAGTCCATTTTTTTGCTATTCCGATCTGTGCATTCTAGCATCAAATATGACTTTTTGATCATTGATCAGCTAAGCATCTCCCCATGGAGTTACTGCGCGGTATCTTTTTGTTCATAATGACTGGATGCGCATCGCGCATATGTATGGCCACAATGGACCTTCCTCTGTAGAGCGCATTGCTCAAGCAGGAAGTGAACCATTTATTAGCAAAGGCTGACTGCTATAAAGTGCAAGGTGACTCCGTTGTAAGTGTGGCAACATGCACATTTTCCGAGCTGGCAGTTGACGAGATCAGACAAGGGCGAACAGATTTCCTTGTTTGACATTGTGTTAGCCAATGCCCTTTTAGACATATCGAGACCGTCATTGGGTAGTTCTGAGTCAAACGTTGCCGGTGTCAAATCCACAGCGATCATCGAATCGGCAAGCCATTCGGTTAGGAATGATCCTGGCTGGAACTGGTCTCAATGACTTCTTCGAAGATAGGGAAGGTACCTCCCGACCGAAAATGTGCTGTGGGTTTGAGGATAATAAGTCATCCTCTTCTGGAAAGACACCATCTTCTTCCCATTGAAAATCAGGGCACAACGCCGTAACAGTTGAATCCATGATTGAACGGACAAACAGACTCTTCTATTGGCTTCATAAAGAACGCTGTGAGGAACGTTTTTGGCCATATGATTTTGGGACTCGGAGAGGAAGTGTGTATGCCTCGATGAGAGCGCAATATCTCTTTTTGAGATGACTCGGTCCAGGGGAACCGAACAGAACACAATAGGCAAAGATTTCAGGTATGGGAAGTCCTGCAAACGCGTGACATGGAACCAACCCAGATGTAGAGCTGGTACTTTTATGGTCTCGATTGAGTGAGAGTCTGAAAGTGGTTCTTTTATACGTTCAGAACAATTCAGAAGCAGTCTTGGCCAGTCCATTGTTGTATACCATAAGCCATTAAATGGCTGCGACATGGTATTATAAACAGTGTATGCATGGCATAACTGCAATATCTTCAAGAAAGAATTCTCTGGTTTCGATATTAATTAGCATCATATAATTTCAATATAGGTTGATTGACTCACAAAACTTCTTATAGAAGCGAAATATCGCGATCATGCTGAAGACATTTGTATATATATGAGGGATCGGGTTGCGTGATGTCCTCCAACCTGTCAGTATTCATGGGGTCAGCTTATAACGCCTTGAAGTAAAGAGATATCGGAAGAGGGGATCGTACCTTGGCGCTTTCGATTATACTTGGTGCATCACTCGATGCAATGCTGAAAGTACAAGTATAGTGTAGTGGGTCGTAGCCACTTCCGAAGTCATAGTGCTGATGCTGATGCTATCGTCGATCCTTTCATGGTATGCCATGTCAGATGCTGAAGGTATATGAAGTGGGTTTAAGAGTGTGATACTTAGCAGGATATATTGTTGTCATCCAATGATGACTACTTCAGTCATGATTGTTGCTGGAGTTGAACCAGAGAAGAGATGAGAAGAGATGATGATGATGATAAAGATAGAAAGAAGAGAAGGAGGAAGAGAGGAAAGATGGAGGTATATATGGACGAGAAATGGCCAGGCAGCAGTGGCAGTGATGGTTGAGTGAAGTGGGAAGAAGCGATGGTAGAATGAATGAGGCAGGATACCTCCTCGATGAATGAGAAGAGAATGACATGAATGCAATGAGTGATTCATCAGGCTGCAGGATATCACTGCAATACAATTACTATTAGTCGAGAATGTCTTCTGCAGTATGTACTACTATGTAGTATGGTATGTATGCACCACGTGGGCATCTTATCATATACATCTTATCTACTCCACATCCCCATATTCTCTCCAGTCCCTGAGTATGGCTGCATCGATAAGATCGCCAGTCTGAAAGATGGGATACAGATCATGTGAATTGCCCTACACCACGTGGCCCATCACTGACATCGGGTTTGCTGCATACAATCTCGCAGAGATTCTCTACTCTGCATTCACCACTCTGTTCTACAATCCCTGTCACCGTCATCCAATCCAATTTGGTTATGCTGTCATTGGCAATTATTGATGGCATGGCGATGTCGAGCGATGAGTGTACTTTCCGGCATGGTGTTTCTACTATATCGAGCAGCATTCCATAGTTTCATCATTTTCATCAGTAGAAAGAATAAGTCAGGGCAATCGAGACGATTATAAAGTGGAATCATCGAGTATTCAGGGGTGTGTTCAGTGTTGGGTCGTGTCGTACGCGTTGACCAGTGCTATGTTTATCTTGATCCATGCGGATCTACAAACAGCTGCCATTTCAGTCGAAGCGTTCGTCTTTTCAATCAGCTAAGCTTTCATAATCCGTGCATACTCTCTGCATAGAATATATAAACAGCTGGATATGCTACGGAGGGAACACTCCCTTTATATGGACGGCAACGGACAACCACCAAGGTACCGTCCAGTGCGTCCAGCGCGATCCTTCAGCTCATACGATAGAATCAGTCTAGAGCAATCCTATCGACTATTTTCACATCCATTCTTTATATAATTTGATCGTTCATCGTGCTTCGCACAGTATACAGAAATGCTTGTTCATGCTCCATCGGATATATATATACAGCGACCGTGATACCTTCATTCGTAGGAAGAGCTTTTACGCGCCATTCCATCATCATCCGAATAAAAAAGAAAAGAAACCTCGTTGAAACGACACATGCGTAGAAAACCCCAAACAGCCATCGGTGAGTCGCCGTTACATTCGGTATGCAAGCTGTCTGCAACTCTGCATGCAAGACCGAATTCGGCTCTCACATCCGGGCTACGGTTTATTTCGGCATGCCTAATACTCCGAGTCCTCCGAGTATTCCTCCGAGTATGCCCGTTGCTTACTCGGCTTCTACCTACATGTGGAATAGATTTGTGACTGAGTTACAGTTAACGTTACACGATATGCAGCCGTCTCTGTGTTGTCTGATGGTCAGACCACGAGTCAAGATTCGGATGCAGGCCGTGGTTGAAAATTTTCTTATCGGTGCGGAATGTCGGCCAAGTGTTTCAGGCGAAATGGTGTGATGATGATCTAGACTAGGCGGTTTCGTAGTCGGTTGCCTGCCTGCCATATTTTGCTGAGCATCTATCTTCATACTATGTAGTATGCATCTTATGATTCTGTAAACATATGATCTTATTTTCTTCTCTTCTCTGCTCATCATACCATGTCTACAGAGGACATGAGGTCTGTATTCAGTTCATCTCAGTAAACTCAGACTCAGACAAAGTAAACTTGGCAACAAAGGACAGACCCACACGAGTTCACCGAAAGCCTAAAAAGTGAGTCGGCCAAGTTCCGAAGATTCTCCTGGGACGGTGAAAAACCTGCGCCGCTAGTGCAGAATAGAAGTGATTGTCGTGGCAGGTCGATCACGGAGCCATTCGGGAGACTGATTTTTGAGATGCCGTACACAGTGTAACTGTCTGTCGTTCGATTTTACCTGTCTATGTTGTTGCTGTTGTTGTTCTGTAGAGTAGAGTAGAGAGAAGAGTAGAATAGACAGTAAGCAGTACACAGTACTACTCTGATGTCTTATCATTCAGGTTATTAAAAGAAATACATAATAGTTAGCAATAGAATGGCCTGGCCCCACTCTCGGTGTATCGAAACGGGATGCGCAGAGTTTTCCAGCTTCGAATCGGCACGCCGAGAACGATCCCGAGTCGTCGACCATCCCGATTCCGAACACCGGCACGCCGAAATGTCTGGTTTTTCGACCATCACATCATTTCTCCTGCTTTTTCTCCCTCCTATCTGTTCGTATCATGGTCAGGATTCCATCCTATATCAACCCCCTTCCCTTCCTTCGTTTTGCAACTCTTTTTCCCTCTTTCTTTCTCTTTCGGCATCCCAACTCGGGATCGCCGAGACAGACAGACTTTGTGCGGTCCACTTGATCGACTGAGCCAGAGAATTAAAAAGGGGTATTTTTGGTGTGACTGGGTGGAGCTCTTAGTCAAACTTTTATTATTATTATCATGCTGTTTTGATTGTTATTATTATTCAACCACTGGCACTCTCTAACAAGGGGGAATCCTTGCGTCTCTTAATTCCCTCATGCCGTCAGCTTTAGTTCCGTTACTGTGCGTGTGGCAACCGATCGACTAACCGTTGTTCCCTAACGTCTTCTGTCTGTGTATTCGTTGTCTGTATACCTACTGTAGAGCTTCAAACAGCCAAATCATCAGCAAAATTATCACAATCAAAATGAGAATCGTAGAATATTGCAATTCCGTCAATAGTGCGTTCATGTCAGTCGGCAGCTGCCAAATGTCCGAGTGATCCCTACTCAATCCAGAACTCCAGGTTCTCCAGACTCGACTCCAGACTCCAGATGTCAGCGGTATACTAAGTCTATACAGTATAGAGTCACATGAACACCACTGAACACCACCCTGCTCGTGGAATCAACCAAAACCACATCCAATCGATCATCATCGGACATCCTCCATCTCTACCCAACAACTCCTCAGAGGTTCAGTCCTCTCTACTCTCCAGTCCAAGCTGCAGACTCTGTTCGCTACCGATCTTCTCCACACTCATCTCCACCTTACCCTGGCATTTTTCCCCGAAGCCTTCAAGAACTGTCTCTCTTAGTCCCTCTCCAGGCTATTTCCCCCCTCGCTTCACAATCCCTTCATTGGGCCATTTTGCCTTCCATCCCGCCTTCCATCGGCCCCAATGCCAATTATCTTCATTTCCCGCTTCCCAACGATGTCATCCGACTTCTCTAGCCTCCCTCCTAGATCCGGGCCCCCGTCCTGTTTGCCCATGGTTCTACCCCGAAGTCTGAATCCGTCTTGGTCTCCCGGTGCTGTACGTTGCTTCTCCATCCATTTCTCCGTTAATTCCCCTCGTTTAATTTGGTTCTATTTTTTTTTTTTTTTAATTTTTTATTTCTTTTTAAATAAAATTTTTCTCTCCACGAGGGATTTATATTCGAGGTCTTTCCCGCCTTTGGTTTCCTTTCTTTCTCGTAAATACTTCTTTTTAATCCATCTTCTATAATAATATTTCTTTCAGAACCGTCAGCATCATGGGTGTCGGCAATCTGTTCTCCAAGTCTCGTGGTGAGGAAACTCCCCAGGCTCCTACTCCTGCTAGATCCGACTCGACTGGTGTGGAAAAGGACAATGGCATCCTCGATGACAGCCCCGTCCAGTACCTCACATGGCGGTCTTTCATCCTTGGTGTCCTCGTCTCCATGGGTGGTTTCATCTTCGGTTACTCGACTGGTCAGATCTCGGGTTTCACCACCATGCCTGACTTTAAGACCCGGTTTGCTGAGCGTCAGCCCAGCGGCGAGTATGTCTTCAGCAACGTCCGTAACGGTTTGATTGTTGGTTTGGTATGTCTCTTCCTGTGCTGTGTCGTCTAGCCATATAGGTGACTGACTGGTGTAGTTGTCCATCGGTACTATGATTGGTGCTCTGGTTGCTGCTCCCATTGCGGACCGTTTTGGCCGCAAGCTCTCCATCTCTTTCTGGTCTCTTGTCCACATTGTCGGTATCATCGTTCAGATCTCCACCCTTAGCAAGTGGTACCAGGTTGCTCTGGGCCGTTGGGTTGCCGGTCTGGGTGTTGGTGCTTTGTCCAGTGTTGTGCCCATGTACCAGAGTGAGTCTGCTCCTCGTCAGGTCCGTGGTGCCATGGTCAGGTAAGAATATCTCACACTCACCTTGGTCTCCTCATACTGATTTCAACAGTGCCTTCCAGTTGTTCGTCGCCTTTGGTATCTTCATCTCCTACATCGTCAACTACGGCACCAAGAGAATCGACGGCCCTGCCTCGTGGCGTATCACCATGGGTATCGGTTTCGCCTGGCCCCTCATCCTCGGTGTCGGCGCCCTCTTCCTCCCCGAGTCCCCCCGTTATGCCTACCGTAACGGCCGTATCGAGGAAGCTCGCGAGGTCATGTGCAAGCTGTACGGTGTGCCCTCCAACCACCGTGCCGTCGCCCAGGAAATGAAGGACATGAAGGACAAGCTCGACGAGGAGAAGCAGGCTGGTGTCGCTGCCTGGCACGAGGTCTTCACTGGCCCTCGCATGTTCTACCGTACCATCCTCGGTATCACCCTGCAGTCCCTGCAGCAGCTCACCGGTGCCAACTTCATCTTCTACTACGGTAACAGTGTCTTCACCTCGACTGGTCTCAGTGACAGCTACGTCACCCAGATCATTCTCGGTACTGTCAACTTCACCATGACCCTGCCCGGTCTGTACGTCGTCGAGCACTTCGGTCGTCGTAACAGTCTCATGGTCGGTGCCACCTGGATGTTCATCTGTTTCATGATTTGGGCTTCCGTCGGCCACTTCTCGCTCGATCTGGAAACTCCTTCCAACACCCCTCAGGCTGGTGCTGCTTTGATCGTCTTCACTTGCTTCTTCATCGTTGGTTTCGCTACTGTAAGTTGTTTTCCCCTCGCATTGTTTACATAATCCGTTGCTGTCCCCGCTCCTCCCCTCTTATTGATCGGTGCCTCACCGCCCGGCAATATATCCGCACCATAACACCCACGTGACTGTATCTTATACTTGACGACTTTATGGCTTCACGGCCTCCCCTTTTCGTCTCTACCTCAACCACAACCCCTCAGAATGATCGCAGAAGCTAACCGGCGCCTGAAACACAGACCTGGGGACCAGTTGTGTGGTCAATTTGCTCCGAAATGTACCCTACTCGTCACCGTGCCGTGTCTATTGGCATTGCAACCGCTGCGAACTGGACATGGAACTTCTTGATCTCGTTCTTCACCCCCTTCATCTCCAGCTCGATCGACTTCGCCTACGGCTACGTCTTCGCCGGATGCTGCTTCGCCGGTATCTTTATCGTCTTCTTCTTCGTCAACGAAACCCAGGGCCGCACCCTCGAGGAAGTCGACACCATGTACGTCCTGCACGTTACTCCCTGGAAGAGCGCCAGCTGGGAGCCCCCAGCCGGCATTGTCGAGGACATCCACGGCCCCTCCGACGAGAGCAAGCGTTACAGCCGTGCTGAGCACCATGACGAGCCTACTGAGATTTCCGAGTAAACAACTACAACAACTCAGAAACCTCAGATCTTGGACTCAAGGCGAGTGATTGCGAGGCAATCACCGCTGTTTATTCCTTGTGTATATTTGATATGATATATATCGTTTATTGATTCATCCAGCACATCTCTACTTTATTCCCCGGATGAATTGTGTTGAAAGATTGGCGTTTGGGTTGGGATTGGGATATACATACACTCACTCATTGATTGATTGATTGCAAATAGATATGCATTATAGATAGCATGACTGAATACATAAAGGAATGATTTATGTGGCTGTTTCATCGTCGATGTTGTAGTAGTATACTGTGTAGTCTGAAGACTACAAGTAAACAAATTACTCTATCCCATCTCAATACCTTTGAACTTCCATGAATCAGAAAGGTATCTGATTGTGTACTTAGGTGAACGGGGATGCTAATCGCATTCCTGTCTCAGCCAAATTGCCCAATCAGGTAAGCAAGCCCTAATCTGCCACATTATGGCACATCAATGATACTAACAATGCTGGACATTGACGTCTGCCAGAATTAGATTAAACACGATCAAAATAAGCTCTCTCTCTGTGTAGCTAGTATTGGTACTATTCCCAAGTCATCCAGTCTTGTGATGTTGTCGAGGACCCCATTCAACGCAGTCTTGAAATGTCGATACCCTTTGACGAGATTGATGTTCGAGACAAGAAAGAATTTACAATAGGTTTCTATATTCCATGGCAGAAAGCCGTGTTGCTGGTTTCGATTTGTTCATAGACATTGAATAGCTTGCCGAACTGTACAGATAGAGGGAGAGCAAAGGCTGATACTGCCATGTTTCACTGTTCGGCTGTGCTCAAGGGCTTATCTAACTGACAGATGCAGCCAAGTACTAGTCTTCTCCACTTGTTGGGGAAATGCAGAAGCTCGTCGGTGCTCCCCACAGCTATTCATCACTTTACAGGGTCTATTTGCCCCATTCGGCAAGTGACGTGATGGATCAGCCCAGCCACCTCGGTGACATCCTTGCATTCACTTGCTATGCTCTCGACATCTTTGATTGCATCGATTTTTGAGTCCAGAACTGCACATTCAACCTGGATATGGGCTGCTGCCTGCGTGAACTGCTCTGGTGAAGCTTTCTCGGATCTATTCGACTCCTTGACATGACATTCATCGTTATCATCAAATCCATGAGAGTATTTACTAACTGCGTCATTATGGCTATTGTACTCACAGACCCCAGGCAGCAATTCCAGATAGGGTCAGTTCTTATAGACATCGTTCATCCTTCTCGATAGGTATATGGATCTCGTTGGTTGAATAGGGCTGACTAACCTGATTGGGTGATTTTGCTTTTTCCTTTATCGTGATGTTTTTATGGCTTTATATTTTGCCTGATGTTTACGAGCTACCTAGACAAGGTTGTATGCCTACTGCTTATCATATTAATACTTGAACATCGCCATGCTTGGTATCTCCATAGTGGAATATCCCAAAGGTGATGCTATATAAAGAATGTTCCAACGTGGGGGCCAACCAAACACAGCCATATTTGATATCTTCACTGCCTCAGGCTGTGAGCCAATCGTATCTGCCTTCCGGTCATGTGAGCAGCCCCATCATCTTCATCGTTGTTAAACAACTTCAACTTCATCTTGGTCGGCTTCATCCATCAGGTTTCTATCAATTCATCTCTTAGTCCTGACCCAGTGAGTCAGTACCGCGATGATCAAGTATCGCATGCTAACTAACAGCAGACATGGCAAGGCGATCACCGGCACAACATCCTGGAGCTCGACTCTACCACAAAAAATCCCGAAACGGCTGCGTGAGATGCAAGGCCCGACGAGTCAAATGCGACGAACAGAAACCAAGCTGCGGCAGCTGCACTCGTCATGCAGTGTCCTGCGTCTACAATGCCCCAGTCCAGCGCGGGGAAAAGCAGAACCAGACAGACAGCCTCAGCCCGCATGATCATCACAGTTCGATGTCATCACCCAGTCCCGGTATGGGGTCTAAAAGTTCTCAAGTCTCTCAAGACAATGAGAATGATGACATCGAGCCCCCCGAGTCCGAATCTCGACGGCTACTCGAACTAAGACTTTTGCAAAATTATTTTGTCAGTGTTTTCATAGCAACACCGGCAGTTTGGTCTTTCAAGGAGGCACCACGCATAGCTCTCGAGCCAGGAAGCCAGGATTTGGGTATGCTGTATGCCATCTTCTGCTACTCGGCTACCAACATCATTCGCAAAGAACCAGGGAACGTAGAGATGGCCAGCGCTCAACAAAGATATCTAACGCTAGCGATTCAGAAGCACCGCAGAGCCGTCTTGGAGCTAGGTAGCCACAACGCTGCCCCTGTCTGTTTCATCTCGTTAATGATACTTTCAACACTCTTTTCAAATGAGAGCGGTCGAGAGATGGTGCCTTATTCCCCGCCAATGGAATGGTTGCGCATGGGCAATGGTGTCCAGAATGTCTTTTCTGTAATCGTCGACAATATCACCAACTGGGATATGTCTCGAGTCGGAGAGATGTTCGACAGTACACACTGGCTTTCCGACTTGTCCAGGTTGTTCGTGGAGGAGAACAGGAAAGACTTTCTATACCTGCTTCAACCAGATGCCTCGGGCGACCAATGGCAGGGTGAACTCCTCGATCCTAGAGTCCGAGAATCCTATGAAAAGACTTTAAGTTATATCGGGTCTTGCTATAATGCGTTCAATGATGCCGAGTCCGCCGTGCAACTCTGTCGAAGGCTATTGAGCTTCGCGATCATCATTCCTTCCTCATTTGTCGAATTGCTGGCCGAACAAAGGCCTCGTGCATTGGTCATTCTTGCTCACTTTTATGCTCTTGTTGCTAGGTTGCCGTACGTATGGCTCTTCGGAGATACTGGTAAGAGAGAAGTTTCGGCGATCCAGAAAGCTATATCACCCGGATGGCAACAAGAGATGCACCAGTGTTTTATAATCGCTGGTATCGATACTTCATCCGAACAGGATTATTCGATATTCCCTCTCGCATTGTCTTTCAAACACATTAACCAAAGCGACCGGAATGATATCGCGTGAGAATAAATTCCCGTGAAAGTCGACCTCCTTAGGTGCTTCGATGTGTGGAAGGAGCAACCACCAAAACAGACCAACACTTTTAATCGAGCCCTCAAGCCCTTAAATATGACCCCGTTAAACTAATGAAGAACCGTTGCACTAAATGCATGCATTATGCATCCAAAGTGGGTATCAACGCCAAAAGCATCAACCGACGGCCGATCGGCATCTCCTTCCGACTGCGGCTGTCGGCATTCCAATCCGGTCAGCTGTCGGGATCAGTGACAGACACAATAGGCCAGCGAGTCAGTGGCTGTCGCTTCTGTGAGATGCTATCTCTATTTTCATCGGCATTGGCCTGTTTGCGACACTAGACGAGTGCTATCTCCATAATACTCCCCCCGAGGCTAAGCATTTCTACAAATGCCAGGCACCAGACCCCAACCAGGGATCCAGCGCACCTTGGCTATTGCCATCTCAAATTATACATATTATTTGTGATTTTGACACTGAATGAATGCGTCGAGTTGGAAATTCGCCATCTGGAGTTCTTGACCAACAGAGATGAAAAGGATTTGGACCCCAGTGGCGAATGAGAAAAATTAAATGCGATCATGCAAGGCTTTGAATGTCTCTGATTCAGACCCGCCGAGTCTTACGAAATTAACAATTTTAATTTCTGGCTTTCATTATTATTATTAGCTTTTTATGCAAGAAAGCCGTTGGGCTTCCAGAATTAAACCGAGGCTTGTTTCGGTTGCGTTTTGATATTGCCGGCCAGATTTTTAATCTTTTTTTTGTCTTTCATCCTGGTGAATATTTTCTTCCATACTTTGACTTTTATTATTCTTGGTTTATCGTATATAATTTTTATTACTTTTTTGGGGCTACATCAGATCAACTATACCAACGTTGTTACACTGCAGATCAACTCAATTATTGTCTCGCAGCTCAAGGTGGGTCTCTTCAAAAAAGCATCAATATGACGATCAAATCTACAACGGGCAACCTGCTGATCAAATACAGCAATAACTGGCATGACAGCCGCCACCTCTGGAGGCGAGACCCCTCGCATCTCCAAAATTCCCTACTGGCGCATGGTCTTCGATCAAAAAGTCGTCACAGATGAAATCATCAACTATCCATATGTCGGGTCAGGCACAGAGGATGATCCCTATGCCGTCGTCTGGATCCCCAATGACCCTCGCAATCCAATGAACTTCAGCTCGCTCAAAAAATGGTTCATCACATTCATCGCCTCTTTCACAACCCTAACCGTCGCGCTGGTCTCGTCGGCTTATTCGGGCGGCATGACGCAGATCGTGGAGGAGTTTCAGGTCTCAGAGGAAGTCGTCATTCTTGGAGTCTCCTTGTTCGTTCTGGGTTTCGCTTTCGGCCCCCTTAACTGGGCGCCTATGAGTGAGGTGTTCGGGCGGAGGATGGTGTTTACCGGGACGTATGCGATGCTGACTGCGTTCAATGCCGGTGCGGCTGGCTCTCAGAATGTCTGGACTTTGATCATTCTCCGGTTTTTCGCGGGCTTCTTTGGGTCTTCGCCGTTTGGGAATGGGGGTGGGACGATTGCGGATATGTTTCCTGCTGCTCAGCGCGGTATTGCGATTAGTTGTTTTGCTGCGGCGCCGTTTCTAGGTCCTACTATCGGTATGTTTTTTTTTTTTTTTTTTTTTTTTGGTAACTATATCCTGAGGTCGAGGATGAAATAACTAACTCAACTCAGGGCCAATCATCGGAGGATTCCTGGCTTCAGGAGCAGGCTGGCGCTGGGTGGAAGGCTTCCTCGCTGCCTTTTCTGGCGTTATCTGGATCATCATCTGTCTATGTCTGCCCGAGACATACGCCCCCGTTCTACTCCGCCAACGAGCAGAAAAGCTTTCTGAATTGAGCGGCAAGGTCTATCGCAGCAAGCTGGACATCGACCGCGGACAAACGACATTAGGCAAGACCTTAAGCACGGCAATGTGTCGGCCCTGGATCCTCCTCTTCCGAGAACCCATCGTGCTCCTCTTCAGCATCTATATGGCCATCATATACGGCACTCTCTACATGCTGTTCGCAGCATACCCCATCGTCTTCCAAGAAGTCCGTGGCTGGAGCGAAGGTATCGGCGGCTTAGCTTTCCTCGGTGTTCTAGTAGGCATGGTCCTCGCACTCTGCTACAGCTTTCCCGAGAACATGCGTTACGCCAAAAAATGCACCCAAACTACCGGCCGCGTCGCACCCGAGGTTCGACTGCCCCCCAGTATCATCGGCGGTATCGCTCTACCAATCGGCCTGTTTTGGTTCGCCTGGACCAACTCGCCCTCCATCCACTGGATGGCCTCGGTTGCTGCCGGCGCGCCCTTCGGTTTCGGAATGGTTCTTGTCTTCCTAAGTGTCTTCAACTATCTTATCGACTCATACACTATCTTCGCGGCGTCTGTCCTAGCTGCAAACTCGGCGCTCAGATCGCTCTTCGGTGCTGCTTTCCCTCTCTTTACTACTTACATGTATCAAAATCTCGGTATACATTGGGCTTCGTCTATCCCTGCCTTCCTTGCTCTGGCATGTGTCCCCTGTCCGATTATCTTCTACATGTACGGTGCCCGGATCCGCATGCGCTGCACCTTCGCCGCCGAAGCAGAAGCATTCATGCAGCGTCTCACCGCAAAGAACCAGGCTGAACTCCAGCGTGAGGAACAGGCGGAGGAGAAAGCGGACGCTGAAAAGGAACCTGTGGCTCGCTCGAGCAGTGATAATGAGAGTGAGAGTGAAAGTGACAGTGACATTTCTACCGTTCCTTCGCGGACTATGAGCAGACGGGCGTCGAGGGCATCGAGGGTATCTAGACTCTCTGGTCGTTCGCTTAACCGCACCATCACTGCTACTCAGTATGAGGAGAATCCGTATGATGTTGACCTGGTCAATACTCGACAATCGGTTATTAGTGGACATCAGAAGAATTGATCTGGTGGTCTGCATATATACCGACGACAGTCAGTTGGTACATAAAAAATATATAGACTTAATGAATAATGATATGTACAAACTGTTTGCATTATATACTTTTCACCATAATCAAACTAAAGATCCGGCATATAAAACCCAAAAAGCGGATCTGCCCCAAACAACGGAGGTATTCCTGCCATATCCTGCCAATTCCACGGAAGTCCAGGTTGACCCGCATCCTCTAAATATTCACCGGTAATATTATTAACACCAGAAAACTGAGCTGTGGCAGTGTCGGTTGTAGAGTTCCATTGCATCGGAGTAGTATTAGAGGCCACCCCCGGAATATTGCTACCGCTTGTAATATTCCCAACCGACGCATTCACCGGCTGCTGCCGCATTTGGGTAGCTGCGACTTCGAAATTCCGACAAAGCTCTAAGAGGTAGTCTGCATACGTGTCTTCCTCTTCGGATGAGACCTGTGTGAGAAACTCGACGACTTGGTGGATCATTTCGAGGTCGGGTTGGGCTTGGTCGTGGAATGGGTCCATGAGCAGATGGGCGAATAGTGTTGGGACTGCGGCGGCGGGGAAGTATAAGAAGCTCCTATTAGTTGTTTGTTAGTAGATATTTAAGGATTGTTACATGATAAAAGATGAAATACCAGGCAAAAGTCGATCCAAAAGATTTGGCCTGTTCCAAGAGCTCTACAGATGCTCTGGCAGCTTCAAGCGCAGTAGTGGTTGACTTCTCGCAGCGCTCTGCGATGGAAATATTCCCCGTGACAGTATTATCAGAAGATTCGGATTGCTGGTTCATTGATCGTCCTGAGACAGTAAACATACGATGCAACTTCGCCTGGCAGCTGTGAAATGCAAAATGAAGGCGCAGAACATGCAAAAGCATTGGTTCTGACGGAGCGAGGAAGTTTCGTCGAGGCCTGTAATCTGATGGAATGCTCATCTTCCATGCTTGTAGTTCTTCTTCGCATGTTGTAATGTCGTGGAGAAGTTCTGCGGAGGGTTTTCTAAGACCCCGGCTTGTATAGATACGATCGTATACTTTCCGCTGTAAGAGGGCGAATCGGGAAAGGGAGTTGAAGAAGTTGAACTGGACGCTGCTGTTCTTCAGATGGAGAACACCTTTACTATTTTCTGGAAATTCGCGGGGTAGTTCGATATCATAATCGTCGGCATGCTGGACGGGTGGACGACCGGTTCTCTGGCAAATGTCGGCATCAAGAATAAATGCTATCCAGAAGGTGTTGCGTCTCTCTTCAATTTGAGAGCCAGCCAGACCGAAACTTCCGGATTTATGTAAACCTATCGATTGAGCCATGCGAATCGCAGCTGCAGAAAACATAAACAGGGGCTGTGGATTCGGTGTATCCTGGAAATAGAGAGCCAGGGCCACGATGGCTTGGACAGCAAGCAACTCTGTCTTTCTGAGAAAGAGTTCGACAACTACATTAAGTGCATTCTTGACGTATCCCAGTGCAGCCTGTCGTCCATCACTATGTTCCGGATTGATGTCGACTTTCCGTCTCTCAGAAAAAGCCAGTACGACGTTGAATGAGGCCCACCAAGCGGGATTATCGTCTGGGTTCCACGAGTAGTGTTTTTCGATCCGTTTGAAGAAGCTCTCTCTGTTAAACAGAGGAAATGCAGCGTTGGTATGTTTGAAAAAGTCCTCTACCAATGCCAGTGCTTCTGCTTTGGGTGGGATAGAATGAGTCTGCCGTCGGCTGAAATCATCTTGCAGAGGCCGAGGGACCCAATTGGTCAGTTGAGAATGGCGCATAATTTTCTGGGCAGTGTGTCTATAATTTCTGTTTCTGGTCTGATGTTCTACCCATCGAACACCTGGATCTGAGATGATAGAAAAGCCAGACGACGGACCTACATTTCTGTCAGAATAGATGTTAGTTGAGTCGAATTGTACGAACCAAAGAACCGCATATCCCCATGAGGATTGGTGACGAGATAAGAGGGATCAGAGCCCTCCCGTGTGTTCTTATTATCAATCTCTGGGATAGGCTCGGTATTGGGATACCTCTGCCCATCATCTCGACCATATGGAGAACGAGGGCTTCGTTCTGCGTCCTGTGGATCTGCTGATGAGTCCCTGTTGGGCCTTTCCGACTCCAGCTGACCTTCCAAGTCCTTCAACCGTCCCTCTAACTCTCGAATATATCCATGGCTGTTATCGTATTAGATATCATTGTCGACGTCCAGAACCTGTCGACTCACTTTGCTCGACGTCGTTTACTTTTGACGACGTCATTGAAGCTGCAATCATCGCCAAAGGCACTGCACGAAGAGCAAACAGGACGACGACCATCGCATCTAAAATCATCAGCTTGTTGACTGATTTCGTCAAATTGATGGAAATACCGGGTCTTCTTTCTCCTGCAGGGATTACATGCCTGGTTGTGGAGATGTACCACATAAATATATTGATCGTATAATGCGGAGTAAATCAATCCGACATACCTTCGCGTAGCGTATCTCCTGTCTTGTATTTGATCCATCCATATTCAAGCTAATTGATCCATCTCCATAAACCAAGGGGATTTGACAGGAAAGAGAAATTGTTCTCGTCGCTGTTGCTTCAAAGCGTCTTGCGTTGCCGGTCGGACCGAGTTGCACGTGACCTGCTGTTTACCTTCACTGCATCGATCTTTTGTTTCTCTTCTTCATCCAACACCAGCTTTCCATCTTTATATCCATCTAGTTCTTGAGATAAACAGTTCCCTCTATTAGAGATCATCTAAGGTCTAATATACTCGTTCAATTCCTAATAAAGTCGATTATTCTGGATATGTACAGGCATTTGATTGCTAATATCTACAGCGACAATTTTAGACAATAACACATCCTACAACCACTGGATGTTTCGATCGTGGTAGCAGCTGGGCACCGGGCCTGTCAGCCATTGAGGACTTGCTTTCTCATCTCCAAGTCGAACGACTGGTTTCAGCAGGTCAACACGACCAAAAGGCTCCGTTTGCTCAAATGTTGTCATGAACGGGGACTCGGGCACCAGATACTCGGGAAACACCTTTTTCCAGCCTTCCACAACGACCATGAGAATCTCAGTCACATACTGCATTGAGTTCATGGGCCCCCACTGGAAGGTCTCGGCGTTCTTCTGTACGACTTCGGGGGAGTACAGGCCAACTTCGGGGTGCAAGGCGATCGTATCGGCTGCGACCAGCGAGCTGATGACATGGTACGATCCTCCATGCCTGGAACGGTCCCTTAAAGCCATCATCGTTGCTAGAGCACCGACCAGTCCTGTGGTCATGTCGGAGATAGGGAGCGGAGGCAAAACAGACTGCCCGTCAGGCAGGTTGAGAGATCTTCCAGTCACATATGAACTACCCGAAGCAGCGTCTCCGATTTGTTGCCATCCGGGACGTTCGCTGAAGGGGCCGTCGGGGCCGTAGGCGTTTTCTTCGACATATACGATACCCTTCTGACGGTTTGCGGCCTTTTCTAGGAGGCTTTTGAGTGCCAACCCCTTTCTTGCTAGAGTTTCAGGGCGGAATCCTTGGATGAACACATCTGCGTCCTCTAAGAACTCGTTCAGACGGGCCATGTCCTCTTCCTTGGTAATGTCCAGGTCGATGGTTCGCTTTCCTGCATTCAAGGATAATGTAAGGACCTGTCATTTTACAGTTAGCATTGAAGAATGAGAAATAGACGGAATTCATACACTCAGATCTATAAGACGACTGCAGTTGACGCGAATTACGTCCGCACCAAATCCGGCCAAGATATTTCCAATGACAGGTCCTGCAATGATACGGACCATTTCCACCACCTTGATACCTGCCAACGGCCGATGATCGGATGGAGTCTTGTGCAACGGAATAGGCGGAGTCGGGATGGCGTAGGACTCTCGTGAGTAGTTGACAAGGGGATGTTGAGCCAGATGCTTGCCCATGGCAGTATTCAACCACCCTTCGGGCGTGTAGCAAATACTGCCACAAAATCCGTGTTTGACATTATGCATCTCCAGCTCATCTGCACTCCAGGTCTGAACATGCTTGCTGATATACTCGTACGCTTCTTGGGGAGTCTTGCACGGAAAATGGGGATCGATGCCCATCGACTCCAGAAGTTGGGGCGCGTTCAACGATCCGTGCAGCTGATACCAAACATTGGGAGTCTTGGTCGGGTAAATTGAAGTCGTCCGGAGCTTCATCGGAGTTGCCAGCACGTCTCTATCCAAGTCCTTCTCGAACAGGGAGTGGAGCTTCCCGGATTTCGCCAGTTCGGAGACGTCGGAGCCATTCACGTGGGGAGCAAAGACAGAACCCAGCCAAATACCAGCATGGTCCGTGTTTACTGTCACTTTTTGCTCGTGAGCTGGCTGGCCATCTCTATCTTCGAGTAGTTCATTTGCGACAATTCCACACATAGCATGCAGAGCAGCCGCGACGACGGGGGCTTTGATCGGGCCAGGGATCATAGGGTCCGGACGACCCTCGAAGCTGACCGTATCCCAAACACGTTTATCTTTGTTAAATGCGGGGGTCGAACCGGCGATGAACTCAAAGACGCGGCGGGCATCTTCGGGGACTGGCAGGAAGGACTTGTCGACGAAGGTTCCGGGGCCGTAAATTTGGGGGCTGGGCGTAGTTTGATTCATGATGACAGTATACAGTCAATTTATCATGGAAAGATCCATGTTCTCATATGGGATTGCCTTATTTATAGAGGCAAGGCTGTGGATCGACATGCATGATGCAACCGACCTCGGATGAAGCTTTGGGCGGAGTTTGCAGATTCCGTGGAAACTTAAAGGTCCGGTTGGGATTCATATTCTGAACTCGGGTAATTTTATTGTTATTATTATTATTATTATTATTATTATCATCATTATTATCATTATGTTTCATGTTCATGTTTTATGGATTTAATTAGAAATAAATATCCACTAGGCAAATAAGTGTTATACCCTGTAGATGTGCTGCAGCTCTAATGCACGCTTAATTCTACTTCTCCGCCAAATCAATATAGGATGCCAGAACATTTATCTGACATTCATGTATGCTTGACAAAGAAAGAATAATAAAATAGTCATTATACTGATTGTTTTCTTGTATTTTGATAAAGTGGTTGTTCAGATTGTACACTTCGAGATATCTACAAACTGGTCGAAAGCAACCACCCAAAACAATATTCTGATAGATGTAGATAGATTGGATAATGTATCAAGAATAAAAGTAATTAATGTGGAGGGGATTCCCGTAGTCAATGTTAGTGGTTGCTTGATGCTTTATATCAATATCCAGACAAAAGAACCATTTTTCACTGATCGATCAATGTCTTCCATTCATTGTTGCAACAAGGGAAATTTTTTCCTCTTTACCAGCTTATTTAAATCCTCTAAATCCCATTCTCTCTTGCCTTTTGTTGTCCTTTTCTTTCATATCTCTTTCTTTTCAACCTTCATGTCTTCTTCTGCTCTTCATCACAGTCATCATAATGAATCAATCCACCATCCTCTTCCTCACAAACAGTGAGCTTGGCCAATCATCTATAATCCTAGCTGTGGCCCATGAATTCATCCTTCGTCCCTCATCCTACTCGGTCCATATTGCATCGTTTTCTCCTCTGCACGATGCAGTCTCTAAGCTCAACTCCCGCGCCGTCTCCCTCTCTCATTCCTCTCACCCTATCGGTGCGGTTACCTTTCATCGCATAGAGGGGAGTCCATGAAAAAGAAGAGCGAGGAGAAAATGGGTACAGGCTGTTTCGATGTCCATCGGACTGGGTTCCGTGGAGCACTCGAGGCGTGTAAGAACGTGTTGCCTGCTCTTCTGGCTGTGTGGAATGGTCCCGAGTACATGGCGATATACCATAACTGTGTGGACATTATCTCTCAGTTGCAGCCGGCTATCATTGTTGTCGGCCCTCTTTTCTATCAGGCGATCGATGCGTGTCGGGTGTTGAAAGCAAAATATGTGGTATTGTGTCCTAATACTTTCAAGGAACACGTTCCACAGCCTCGGTTGGCGAATGTGTGGAAATTCTCTGCGTAAGTCTGGTCTCTTCTCCCCGTCTTTGTTTTGTTTATATGCTGACAAAATAGAATGTGTTCTGGATATTCATATCCCTTGCCATGGCGGCTGGTTTTACCGAATGCCTACCTCATCCTCAAGTTGGTCTATTCGGTCCATACTGCGACGGAATACAAGGGCCTCCGAAAGTATCGCAATGCACATGGCATCCCCGGCCCTAATCCCAGTATGGCTATCATGGCTGGGGATAAAACCCCGCACCTTCTTCCCGGCAGTGTCGACGCAGAGTTTCCCTGTGTGCTGCCCGCTCACTTTACTCTCTGTGGTCCGATCTTACGGCCCTGTCTGCCAATCTCCGAAGAGAATCCAGATCTGGCTGTCTGGCTCTCACAGCGACCAACGTTTTTGATAAATCTAGGTTCGCATGTGACGTTCAACAGCACGGTGCAGCGACAATTTGCAGACGCGTTGCAGCTGCTCTTTAACCAAAGACGGGACATTCAGGTGCTGTGGAAGATGAAACTGGCAAACGACACCAGGCCCGACATTAAGGCACTCAAAGGCATATCTGATTTCATCTCAAATGGCAGGGTGCGAATTGAGACTTGGCTGTCCGTGGACCCGATTGGTGTCCTGCAGAGCGACCGGGTAGCGTGGGTGGTGCATCACGGCGTTGTCAACTCTTATTATGAAGCCATTCGGTAAGTCCATTCCTGTCTGTTATCCGTTGACTGCGCTAAATCTCTGGAAATGATAGGGCTGGAGTCACCCAGATTGTGCTCCCTATATGGTTTGATACCTTCGACTTCGCCGCTCGCGTGGAATGGCTTGGGATAGGAACGTGGGCCAATCGCAAGAACGGCCCAGGGGTCGATGGTCAGGAGTTAGGTCAGTCATTAATTCGCGCGATTGCCAGTGACGAGTCGTCTAAAATGCGACAAAAAGCAGAGGCGATCACGAATGGGGAGTCGGAAAGAAGGCCGGGTGGTGGCATGCGAGAAGATCATTGAGATTCTCCAGAACAGCTAATACGACCACGTGTAGGAGAATATCGGAGAGTGTTTGGATTGCGTGTATTTTGAAATAGATTTGGCTGGGATAGAATATCTGGTGGAGCAAGTCTTAAGTCTTGAGTGACTCAAAAGCGACGATGTCGAAATGCCAAAGGAGACTTACCCGATTCGGACTCGGAATCTCCGATTTCCTGTTTGGGTTCTGACCGGCGATGATGTATTTAATGCTGCTCGATTCCCACTGGAAATAACGAAATAACCCATCCAATTGAACAATTGAAGAGCATCTGGAACGATCAGAGTGCGCATCCCACGAAGGCAACGTCATCCAGTGGATTCTCTGTTGGATTCGAGTCGGATAAGAACTGAACCGCGTCCTTTCTCCTGTCAACCCCGCATCCCCTCATCACCATCTAAAAGCATCGCATCACTGCTGTCAATCACAGAGTCGACAATTATACTACATATCACGCAGAGAAACAAACAATTCAGGCACACTCAGACACCATGGCTAGTCAAAACGTTGCATTCATCGGAGTGGGCAACATTGGACGGGTACAACAACCCCTCACCCCATACAGGAAGCGAATACTAACACAATCCAGGGAATGTGCAAAAACCTCGCCCTCAAAGGCCCTCAAACCTCCCTCGTCCTCTACAATCGCACTGAATCCAAAGCCACCGCGTTCGCCAACACCCTCCCTCCCAACAAAGCCATCGTCGCCTCCTCCATCCCCTCCGCCGTCCAACAAGCCGACATCATCTTCATCTGCGTCGGCGACGACCCTGCCCTCCACAAAATCATCTCCACCATCCTCTCCGACACAGAAACAAACCCCGACCTCTCCTCCAAGATCATCGTCGACTGTTCCACCGTCCACCCAGATACCTCCCGTCGCGCCCGTGATGACCTCGCCGCCCGCGGTGCCTCCTTCGTCGCTTGTCCGGTGTTCGGTGTCCCCGCCGTCGCGGAAGCAGGTCAGCTCATCGTCGTCCCTGCCGGCGCTTCCGAGGCTGTGGAGAGACTTCGCCCCTTCCTCGATGGTGTCGTCTCCCGCCAGACTATCAACGTGAACAGTTCGGATCCCGGCAACGCCACTGCACTCAAGTTGATGGGTAATACCTTCATCTTGAACACCGTCGAGACTCTGGCTGAGGGAATGGCCGCCGCGGAGAAGACGGGCGTCGGTGCTGCTGCTTACCAGGAGTGGGTGCATGCTATGTACCCCGGGCCCATTGCCAAATACGCCGACCGCATGGCTCACGGTGACTATCACCGGCTTGAGGAGCCTTTGTTCGCGGTGGATCTGGCCAGGAAGGATATAGGACATGCCAGGAACCTGGCTGGGGCGACGGGAATGCGTCTGCCCACTGCTGAGCTCACCGATAAGTATTTGCAAGATGTCAAGGCTGAACGTGGGGAGAAGGGAGATCTCGCTGCGATTTATGGTGCTATTCGCAAGGAAGCTGGATTGCCGTTCGAGAACTAGATTACCCAGTCTTGTATGATGAGGAAAGCAAAAAGGGGTGAGTACATAGATCATTTTCAGGATATCCATCAATTGATTGTACGTATCATGAATAGAATAAAATAGAATCATTGCATCTTATCCAAGTACATCATAACAAACCGGAAACCATACTCTGCTCAGAAATCAAGATTCCGCCATCCCAATGTCTACTCTCTTTGTGCAATCTCTCCCTAATCCCATTAATTGCTGCAACACTGCTTCCAGTGCATCCTCTGCGCGATGAAGGCCTTGTGTCCTCCAAGCGACGTATCCATCTGGCCGCACAAGAGACGTACCATGACCAGTTGAAGACCAACCCCAGGCTGTACGGAATCGCACAATATCATTCACGAACACATCCTCGTTCACCTGGACAGTTTGCACTGGAAGAGACCAGTCAGTTCTGTTCTGCACAGTTGCGAGGACCCGATGCCAATCCTCCGACTCGAATAGTAGAACCCATTCACGACCAAAAAGATCCAGTGTCGAGATTGAGGTTTCGCCAAGTTGTATTTGGAGATGCGGTGCTCGAGTACCTGGCAACCCAGCCCAGCACTCTGGACGCATAGCCAGGGGGCGCTCTAGCGGACCATTGTCACATGAAGTGCTGTCACACTTGTTGATGCTATCAATAATAGCGCATGAGTTATATCGTTGGCCAAACTCCATAGCCACGTCATCAAGAACCACTTTCATACCATCAATGTCCGATTTATCGGCTTTGCGGTGCTCCTCAAAGTCAGCTCGCGCGAAGATTTGTTCGTGTCGAAGCCAGGCAATGGGCTGGCGCTCGCTATCGTATGTGTCGAGAAGATTTGTTGATGCTGTGCCCCTCAACACATGTGCTAATTTCCAAGCCAGATTGTGAGCATCTTCGATGCCCGTGTTGACCCCATATCCACCTCGATTCGGAGGGAGGGTATGAGCAGCATCGCCTGCCAGAAAGACCCTTCCAGATTGGAATGAATCTGCCACCTGCGCGCTCAACTCCCAGCGGCCGGCGGTGATAATTTCGATGGGTACATTGTCGCGGCCAATTGCACGACTGATCAGCAGTCTTAACTCGTTGTCATCTCGTTCAATATCGTCAAAAGCTACCAGCATCCAGCGGCCATCTCGGTAGACTGTCAAGAAACACTTGAAGTCGGCCTCCTCGACAATGAACTGGGTGATTCCCCTGTTAAGGTATGTTTCGAGAGGAGCACGGAATACGACGCTGCGGACTGTCTGCATTACTCCACGTCCACTGCGTGGTATGGCGAGTTCCTCACGAACCGAACTGCGATGTCCATCTGCTGCAATCATATATTCTGCCCGTAGCCGGTATTCCCTACCAGTCCGATCCTTCGCGACAGCCATCACGCCCTTATCATCTTGCTGGAATCGTACCAAATGGTTCTTCATGCGTACATCGGTACCTAGTTCAATCGCACGCATTCTCAAAACCGGCTCCAGCTGGTCCTGAGACATTGCGCTCCCGGAACAGGGCGAGTAGGGTCTCAAGCACGAAGAACCTTTGCAATCGGTCCAAGGAAGCTCGTTAAACCAACGACCTGCCAAACTCTCGACGCGAGCACGGCGCAGACGAAATTCTGGTGGTAATTGTGGAATTTGCGAATCTAATCCGACAGACCGGTAGATCTCCATGCTTCGCGGACTGACTCCAATGGCCCGAGGATGAAGCCCACTGCTGGCATGGCGCTCGAGCACTATTGTGGGCACCCCATGATGAGCCAGACAAACGGCAGCGGAAAGTCCAACAAGACTGCCTCCAACCACCAAAACTGAAGTTTCTTCGCATGTTTCGTGGGAAAATGACATGATTGCTCACGCTCAACTGAGTACCGGAGATGTACAAAAAAAGCCCCTGCGATGAGCCGTGGGCTTTTTACATGGCCACATATGCGGGGTCGACAACATATTCACTCATATTCAGAGACGATATCTTGTTGTTTACCCATCTAGTTGTGCACCATGGCCGCATGGGTCCCCTTCTATATGACCGCATGCGGCAGTCTTGGCAACAACAACCCTGAAGGCACTCCCGATAATTGGCTGATCAACCCTTGATCTGACAGCCTCTCTTAGCTTGGCCAAGGCAGCACAGCCCTCTTCATGTTCGAAAAGAGTAAATGGAGTCAAGCTTGCGTTGCCTTTTCTCGGTTCTAGATCCCAGTGGAGTATCCATCCTCGATCTTCTCCATCTCGCTACTGAGATACCGCCAGAACAAGCTATCTCTCGACCTTTCTTGTGCACCTCTCATTATTCGGACTCACTTCGATAGAATATTGGTATTGAAGTTGATTATTGCACAAAAAATGACATGGTTTTTGCTTTCGTTATGTACCTGTCTAGGCATTGGACACAAAAGGATGGTCATGAGCAGATTTTGAGCAGATTTGAGAAATTATGCAACCATTTAGACCTACGTCCCAAAAAATAAGTGGGAGCTTTGAGCAGAATAAGCCACGTTCCAGCAGTCTTTCTGTCAGCAAGATCGGAGTCTTATGGTCTAGGACGCATGTCCACATGCGGCGAATACTATTCAAAGGTCGGGTGTGCCGAGTCAAAAAATATCCATTCCGGTAGTAGCAAAAAGGTTAGCGGCTCTCAAAAGCATCGAAACCATAAGTTTCTTCATACAAAAGGCTGGTATAGCCACCTGGGGTAAATGTGTCAAGGTCCAATACCCCAGGAACTAATCCCATTCCATACTCCTGGTGACGTATCAATTGCGAGTTTCAATCCGACAGATGAAGTCATGACCACCTTGGCACCTAAAAAACAGTCGACCATCATAATTTCAGACTGAACGCATCTTGACACGCGGTCTGATCTCAGATCGGGGGGGCCTTTGCCGGATTAGGGCAATGAACATGCGATGATCGATGATATGATCATAAAGTGCTCTTTCCTGGCAATTACGCTTTGCCAACGTAGGAATGAGCCACCAAACCTTAAATTGGAATGTAACTTCCTCTCCACGAATCTCCCTCTTTTCGTCATGGGGATATTATTTATCCGTAAGGGGTATTCCGTAGAGAAAAAACATCCCGCTGATAAGGATGTTGCCACCACGGTCAAGAAAGTCATTACTGAAATCCAGAGAAATAACAGTTATCTTAGGTTGCATTCCAAAATTATGTTTCTTCATTCTTTGAAACTTGATTCTTCTTGTTTTGCTTCGGAGAGCCTGACCGCGCAGCAAGTGGACCAAATTCGAGACACGTTCCCATGTTTCACTTATGACGTGGGGTGCCGTAATCATAATTATCTCAAAAGAGCTCTTAGTTACGAAGAGAATAGATTCTAGCCTCATAGGGTCTCAGCGGAACCGTCTGGGGAAGAGGTGCGTCGTCAAGGTGGTAGTTTGCGATGAGCGGCACAGCCAGGTCCACGTCAATCTCCTCGGGAATTTCAAAATCAGTGTGCGTATCTGACCAATTGCAGAATATCAAGCTGCGATATGGGCCTTGGGTCCGAAGGAAGGAAAACACTTTTGGATCAGTCGGGTTGACTGGCACGTAGGCTCCGTAGAACTGATTCCAATTGTTAGCATCCGCAAGAGTATAAATCTAGAACACATCAATTACCATGAGGGGATGTTGCTTGCGGAGATGTGCCAGCTTTTTGTAGTAATTGAGAACCGAGTCAGGATCGCGTTCCTGGGCCTGGACGTTGATGTCGGCATACTGGTCGTTCATCCTCATCCAGGGTTTCACATTCGGAGAAGTAAACCCTCCATTGACCGAGTTGTTCCACATGATCGGGGAGCGCGCATTGTCTCTTCCTTTCACTTTGATGACATCCATAACTTCGGACATATCAGGCTCCTTTGAAGGATCTTTTTCCTTGCGGATTTTATGCTGACTGTTTGGGATTAGTGGTGTCAATCTCAAGACTCCGGTCACTAGAATCGCTTACGCTTTGTAGTATTGCTGTGTTTCAACATCCTTATAGTCTTCAATTTTCCAGTTCTGTGGATGAGGAGTTCCCAACTCCTGGCCTTGGTAGATAAAAACCGTTCCTCTCAGCGCAAATAGAATCGTGGCGAGCATCTTCGCGGACACGGATCGATACCGGGGATCACTATTTCCGAATCGTGACACAGCACGAGCCTGGTCGTGGTTCTCAAAGTATAGCGAGCTCCACCCTATAATAGGCCATATCGTTACGAAAGAGCCACAAAACTGATACTTGCATGAATGCTTACCATTGTTTCCAAGCATGTGCTGCTGCCAAATCCTCAGCACTTTCTCAAATTCCCAAAGCTCCCACTTGCGAGGCTTCCACTTGTCTCCGTTCTCGCCGTCCAAATCCATATGATGGAACTGGAATACCATCGAAAGTTCTTGTCGCTCTTTGGCAACATACTCACTAGCCTCGTACTCATTCACACCGCATGGCATCTCTCCGACAGTACAGTTGCTATACTTGCTCAGAACCTTCCGGTTCATTTCATGCATATATTTATGAATGTTCGGACTTAAATTGTCAGCAGTTACATTCCACTAGACACACTTCAAGTACCTACCCATTTGTGAACATCTCAACGGCTGGCTGCTCAAACTTGTCTGGGTTCTTGATGGGCGCATCTGGGAGACCAGGAACCTTGGAGACCAAGTTTATGACATCAAACTAAAGCATCAAAATCAGTCATTTTCATTGGTTCGAGTGTGCATGATAGCTCACCCGAAATCCATCAGTTCCTTTCTTTCCCCAGAAGTCGATCACGTCGTAAATTGCATTACGAACCTCTGGATTATCCCAGTTCAGGTCAGGCTGGGATGGCGAAAAGAGATGCAAATCTATCGGCGCTTAGTTTCAAAAGATTGGAAATAGAATGAAAAAGCAACCTACACCATTCCTCGGTTTTCTCGTCATATTTCCACGCCGACCCTAATCTTGCGTGAGTGGGAAATATTCCTATATTGCCTCCTTCGTTGATTGCTTACCCCCAAATAAGCACTCCCAGTTGTTAGGAGGTAAATGCTCCCCGTTTTTTCCCACCTTTCCTTTTCGCCAGAAATACCAATCTCTCTTTGGGTTATCTCTACTTTGCTTCGACTCCAAAAACCATGCGTGCTAGACAGCTGTCAGCCCCAGAATGTATTTTTGCATGGGCTAGGGGTCGCATACCTGCGAGCTGGTGTGATTAAACACCATATCCATCATCATTTTCATGCCCCTTTTGTGGACCTCTGCGCAGAGCTTTTCCCAGTCTTCTATTGTCCCAAACATTGGATTGATCGCCTTGTAGTCTGCGATATCATAACCCTGGTCTTCAAGGGGTGATTCATAAATGGGTGTCAACCAGAGCATATCAGCTCCAACACTCTTCAGGTAGTCAAGCCGCTGAATGATACCCTGGAGGTCTCCAATTCCATCATTGTTGCTATCCTGGAATGACTGCACATAAATCTCGTAGATAACAATCTCACGCCACCACACGCGATCCAAATCCAGAATTAGCGGTTTGAAAGTGTCAGAAGTCATGTTGGATTTCGCTTGGTTCGATACGTGAGTGATATGTTGTCTTCTGATACTCGTTTGTAGGGGTAGCTGAAGCCGCTGAGGTTGGAGAAAATATCTGTTGTCAAATGGGGAAGAGCGTAGCGTTTGCAACCCACGTCGGCAGACTGTATGAAAAGGCGAATTCCTCAGGTGAAGCATTCTTTTCGCGCCAAATGACATGTCCTGGGAAGAGAATGGCCTTTTATAGCAAATGGTAACATGTAGAAAAAGGATGAGGAATCATGACCGTCAGTTCTTGCCACCCAGGTAAACATAATGCATTGGTTATATCAAGCGTTTGATCCAATAATGGCCTTCAATTCATATGCGTGACGGAACCTATATCCCATGGAATGTAACTCCGTCGGGCTAGGTTGTTGATACATTACCATACTATGACCTCAGGGGTGCATAGCTGAGAGGTTCAGGCTTCGGACATTCTGAATCCATACGAGGGCTCTGTTGTCCAAATTCATAGTACAACGTGCTCGAAAATTCTTTTCTTATCTTTGCACAGACACAAGGATACCCGGCGATATCAGTTAAAGCCTGGGACGGAATGGACCCAAAAGCTCAGCAGATTGATGATACAGGCGGGTGCGAATTTAACACAACGGCAGACTGTGGAGAGGTAGACAGCTTGGACAAGTTGCGCTGGTGGCAGAAAGCAAGCATATATCAGGTATTGATTCAAAGCTTTCAAGATACCAATGGCGACGGTAAAGGAGATCTCCGGGGTATAGTTGATCGACTCGACTACTTCGTTGCATTGGGTATCGATGTTGTCTGGGTCTCCCCCATATACGAGTCACCAATGTTTGATCTGGGGTATGGACATAGCCTAAAGGATAATGAAGCAGCCTGGTAGCTAAGCAACCACCTATCAGATATGATATTAGCAACTATCGAAAGGTCAACCCGATCTATGGAACCATGGAGGATATAGAGCTGATGGTTCGAGAAACCCACCGAAGAGGTTTGAAATTGATTCTTGACATTGCCTTAAATCACACCGCCACCAAGGTTAGTGCTGATGTCGAAAGAGGATGGAATAGATACTAACAACCCACAACAAGCATGAATGGTTCCAAACTTCAAGGCGAGCACGAAAGGACCCTAGTCTCGGTAAAAGAGATTGGTATTTCTGGAGTCAGGGAAAGCTGGATGAGCATGGTAACCGAGTGCCTCCAAACAATTGGGAGAGCACATTCACAGGTATGTTTCAAAATGCTTTGATTCTAGTGGATCCGTGCTGACGCTGAAATTTTCATCGCAGGCTCGACCTGGGAGTTCGACGAAGTGGCAGACGAGTTTTGTAGGCGCACCTTCAATACTCAAACTCCGATATGTTGCTGATCATTATGTCAAGACCTGCATATCTTTGGAAAGAATCAACCAGATCTAAATTGGGACTGCAAGGAAGTGCGAAAGGAACTGTACGATGTGTTGAGGTTTTGGTTAGACAAAGGAGTCGACGGGTTTCGGGTGAGGGAGTCCAGTCCCCTTTCCCTTTTGGGAAGTCCCAAGACATGCGGCTGACTCTCGCTTCTCTGGGCGCACAGCTCGACACCATGAACCTCGTGTCAAAAACCTCAGATTTTCCAGACGCTCCCATCTCTAAAGAGGGCTCACCATGGCAGCCCGCCAACCATTTATTTGCCAATGGGTAAGAGATTCAGCAATTATAACATGCCTGGCGTCGGCGAATAATCAAGTTTTGCTAACACGCACATATAGCCCTCACATACACGAGTACCTGCAGGAAATGTATGAAGAAGTTTTCTCCCATTATGACTGCATGACCCTGGCAGAGATGTCTTGTGGTGTTGCCCCGCATCAAGCAGTGCAGTACACCTCGCGCCACAAACCTCGACCGGAGCTGGACCTGATAATTCAATTTCAACACGTGGAGTTAGATTGCTATGACGGCGATAAATGGATGCTGAGGGAGTGGGAATTGCCGGAGCTGAAACGGATTATCAACGAATGGCAGGAGATTTTGATCAAAAATGGTGGGTGGAACACGGTGTGGATGGAAAATCATGACCAGCCAAGAGGAATTTCACGTTTCACCACCAACAGTCCGCGATTTCGAGCGTTGTGTGCCAAAATGCTAGCCTTGTGGCAGTTCACGCTCCAGGGAACGAATTTGATATTCCAAGGACAAGAGCTTGGGATGGTCAACCCGGGGCTTTTCTCGGAGGAGATGAACCGGGACATCGAAACTATACAGTATTGGAATGCGTATGTCTTCCCTGGTTCAGCATCTTCTACTCCGTAGCTCCTGCTAACATTGAAAAAGAGCACGAGAAGCTCATCAAGGAGCTGGGGACTCGCACAAGCTTGAATTGGCCAAAAAGGCAATCATCCAAAAGGGTCGCGACAACACCCGTATTCCTATTCCGGTATGTTACTTCGGAATTTCATGTCAGTTCTCCGCATCAAATGTGCTGAGAAAATGTACGATAGTGGACCGAAGACCCTCACGGGGGATTCACCGCTCCCACGGCGAAACCTTGGCTTCCAGCCTTTGACCACGGGCGCGAATGGTGCCATGCTACCCAGCGGGACACCCCAGACTCAGTATGGTCCTTCTACCGATCCATGATCCGACTGCGGAAATCGCATCCTACTTTGGTAAGTTAGCCGTTTTGATGAACAACGCAAATCCACCTGTTCTCATGATATTTTCCTAGTACTACGGCTCATACGAGTGCCTGGACATTGACAACTCATTGGTCTGGGCTTACAAGAGACGGTCTAAACACAAGTGCTATCTCACCGTTCTCAACTTCTCTCCTGGCGCCACCTCTTGGAGTTATGTGAGCCATGGAGTGAACTTGGCCACATCTAAATTACTCATCTCAAATCATATGACATGCGAAGCACAGTCGACGCCAGATGTAATTTTGTTGAGGCCATTCGAGGGGCGACTTTATCAACTCTAAGCTTTATTACTGAAGAAGTATCGATCATCCATGAGATACATATTTCTGTGGACATGTAAGTCGACTTAGTCCTATTGAGCATATGCAATTGAATAAATTTCAATGATTTATATATCATTGCATACAGCATGACAGAAAATCAGCGGCTTAGTAATGGCTCGAGCTGCTGCCCCGTTACACAAGATTGAGCCCAGACTTCAATGATTTGCACAGTACCCGTTTTATGTGTATTTTCTTTTTCTTACCCCTGTATCAGGTCCCGGGTGCTGCTGCTGCAGCGCTGCTATCAGCCTATCAGTTACTAGACTGAAAAACGGTGTCACGAACCATGGTCCAGCGCCTCTATTTTCAAACGGATAAAGCTTATGTGGGGTGGACCCTTCCACTATACACACGCCGATGTCCGCCAGGCCGAGGGAGGAAGCGCGCGCCCGAAAATCAAAACACACTGATTGATGGAGTGCTTCGTATGAGTTTCAGATCACGGTGATAAGTGACAACCATACATGTGGAATACACCATGTATAAACTATTGAGTACACTTGTCGGTCGCTGAACCGCTCATTAAGGAGTCAGGACGGCAGCACGTGGAGCTACCTTTTGTTCTATTTGTGGCTGGAACAAATGTACTGGAAGGATGCATCAATAGAATAAGCCACGGTGATGGGTCGTTGGACTATGTTGGGGGCTGTGATCCATAATCCCAATGCTTTTCCATCGTCTGGCCCGCGGAGAAGACCACCGATCCGATGATCCGTCAGAAGAAGCATCACGTCTCTCCAGATCCGAGGCGAAAGGAGCTCGGGAAGTTTATTGCCAAGCGGGCTCGAACGTTCGCCTTGCCACACATGTCGAACGATCTGCAGAGCTTCTTTCGAAGGAGTTCTGAATTTTCGGGTCTCCTGAAGATCTGACTCAGTACTAGTTGGGTTGTTAATCATCTATACTAGTAGGCCCCCAGTACATAAGGATCGACTTCTATTGACTATGTGGCAATTAGAGCGCACACTGAGTGGAGAGAAGGATGAAATTCGAAATGACTTCATATGATGGTCGGCGACGAACAGAGAAAAAACGAAAAGAAAAAAACGACCAAGGTACATAGAATTCTGACCTGACAACCTTCCTGAATAATAGCGTCCCGGCGGCGTTGAGTTATGAGTGATCCGGGGAGGATCTCCCGGGATTCGCCCCCAGTGGCACCGAGCGATCATTGCTGTTTCAGGCTTCAGAACCCATGGAACAAAGCGGCGGTTACCAAGTCCGGCTGATCGATCTGCATGCTTATAACGCCATTCAAGCCAGGTGAGTATATGGCTCATTATGTCACTGGAGATGTTTGGAGATATGGTTTTCAATGTACTCTAAACTTCAGTCACGGAAGATATACTGACATTGGAGATGTTCAGATTTGACAAGACGGACTTTGGAGTTTTTCCCCACCTCCTCGACCATACTTTCAGAAATCGAAGATTCAGGGCGATAAAGCTCTCACAACGACGACTGGTTGGAAATTAAAGTCGTATCTTTGTTCCAACCCATGAGAAAAGCATGGCGACATAGGTCACTGTACTTCTGACTTCTCATTGGTTTCGACCTAAACACACACATCTCGCAATCCATCCACACGCCCGTGACCCTCTTTTATTTTTTTTATTTCGAATTTTTATTTTCAGAACATGGGACACGTCAACCCACCCCAGGGGGCTCGTCAATTGTGAATCATTGTCATACTTCCCCAATGACTTCCTTGGAGACAAACCAGTCCTGCCATAGCAACTTATTGGCAGGATGGTGGGGATGATGTGATTAGAAAGGGGGAGCTTGCACGTCCCCGAGTTCCAGCAGCTGGCGGCGGATCATCAAGTGGAGACTTTTCTCAAATGATCTGTTGTCCACCCGAACCCTCGAGACCCAGAGGACAGAGGGGGGAGCTTCTTCTGATGATCGTCAGACACTGATAAGCTAAAACCCATGGGCATTGTGTAATACCATACGGTAGGATGGAGCAGATCACCATGCAAGGGATCGCAGCTGGCATCGTCATTGGCGTTGCTTGGTCTGTAGTTTCAGATGCAGTGAGGTTATTCTCCATTTGTCTGGATCCGTCACTGTATTTCAAGTGAGTTTTTAGAAACCAGGAGATGACCTGGAGAGGGGGCAACAAAAGAAAAAACTGGAGACGCATGAATATCAAAAATAATTTTCTTTTTTTAATAAAAAAAAAAAAGGAGGAGCGGCTGTGGTGGCCAGCAAGGGCCAAGCATACCAGCATCGTCAAGCAGAAAGTCCTCGCTGTATGAACGCGCGTTGCCTGCCAAAATGAGAATGTCCTCAATAATAGAACACTTTTTTTTTTTTTTTTCGTTGCTTTACCCACCTGGAGATGCTGCCTCTGGATAAGTATTTCTATACCCATGCTTTGCTGCTTTTCTATTATGGAATTACTTACGATCTCTTAACTCTTTCTTCCCCTAGTCTCTACTCTTTTTCCTAATTCGCTTGTCTGTGTGTGATTATGTTGTCCCCAGACGAAATGTCAAATCGCCATGGTGCCTCTCTTACTCCTCTCTCCGAATCTTCCCTCGGAAGCTCAGAGACTCTTGGGGAGAAGGACATCGCCCACGTCGAAGCAGCAGTGGTCAGAGGCGTTGACAGCAACTCGGACGCAGGCGACTCTTCTCAGGATGAAGGCGAAACCATCGTCCACTGGGATAGTCCCAGTGATCCCCAAAATCCCATGAACTGGGCTGATGTCCGCAAATGGTTGACTATTGGCCTCATCTCCGTCAGCAGCTTCAACGTGTATGTACCCGACCGATTCTCTCCGTTTGACGTCCCCGTGGATGCTAACTGCCATTTGCAGCTCAATGGTGTCAACAATCTTCGCCCCCGGTGTTCCCCAGGTCTTGAAAGAGTTTGGTACCGACAACTCTGCTCTCTCGTCTCTTGTCGTCTCTATTTATGTGATGGGATCTGCTATCGGCCCTCTTATCCTCACTCCCTTGACTGAGATGAGTGGACGGTTGCCCATGACCCACGTGGCCAATGTCCTCTTCTTGGTTGCTTCTATTGTCTGCGCGACCAGCGTGAATATGCCCATGTTGATTGTCGCTCGGTTTTTCATGGGTGTGGCTAGCTCTGTCCCTGTTACAGTGGGAGGAGGTTTCGTCGCAGATCTCATGCCCATGGAACGACGTGGTGTCGCAATGACCATCTGGACTGTTGGTCCTCTTCTTGTATGTTCTCTTATCTTTCTATCTACTTCATTCAGGTTACTTACTAGTTGACAGGGTTTCGTCATCGGTCCTATCTTTGGTGGATACATGGTCGAGACCATCGGATGGCGATGGACAATTTGGCTTGAAGTCATCGTGGGTGGCATCGTTGTAGTCGCATCTTTTGTCTTCCTCCGCGAGACATATGCTCCTATCATCCTTCAGAACAAGGCGAAGAAGCTCCAAAAGGCAACCGGTCGCCCACACACGACCAAGTTCGAGTCGAACCAGACACCCGGTCAATTGATGCTGATTTCCATGACTCGACCGATCAAATTCCTTTTCAAGTCGCCTGTTGTCCTCATCGTCTCTCTTTACAGCGCCATCACCTACAGCTACATGTACGTGCTGTTCACCACCTTCACAAGCGTCTTCGAAAAGGTGTACCACTTCAACCCCGGTCAGGCAGGCCTGGGATACCTAGGTCTTGGTCTTGGTTTTTGCGTCGGACAAATCACGGTTGGATTCTTCTCGGATCGCTATGTCAAGTACCAGGAACGCATTCACGGAAAGATGAAGCCTGAGGACCGTCTTCCCCCTCTGGTTCTGGGATGCTTCTTGGTCCCCGTTGGACTGTTCTGGTACGGATGGTCTGCAGAGTACCGATTGCACTGGGTCATCCCCATCGCAGGAACCTTCTTCATCGGGCTGGGCATCTACTACGTCCACCTCGTCACTCAGGTGTATCTGGTTGACTCTTACACTCTCTACGCGGCCAGTGCTGTCTCCGCCGAACTGGCCATCCGCTGCGTCTTTGGAGCCACTGTCCCCTTGGCTGGACCTGACTTGTACGCCAAACTCGGCCTCGGCTGGGGCAACAGTGTTCTTGGTTTTATCGCACTTGCATTCGCGCCATTGACTTTCTTCTTGGTCAAGTACGGAGAGCGAATGAGGACCAACCCCAAGTTTCAGCCTAAGATGACATAATTCTTTTCTTCAACCATTACTATTACTACTTTCGATACTGTGCATATTCTGGGCATATTTACAGCGGCGTTCTTGATTTTGGATATAACGTGACACGGCCAACATAGCAGCTTTGATTTGATGATTGTTTAAATTTGGACTATAAATGGGTCAATATTTGATTATTTGGGCTTATGTGATTTGAACATGGATGTGATAGTTATTAGCAAGTTTACTTTTGGGAGGACAAGAATCGATTATTCCCTGCTTGTACAGGTTGAGATACTCTGATCATGCCAAACTATTCAACTTCAATCATATCATATGGAACCAATAAGCTGTTAGGCAAATCAATAATATAGTCTTAGCATCTGCAAGCCCATAAATCTTGTTATTGTTTGTTTCAAAATGGTATGCTTGGCTGCTTGGCTGCATTGACTTTGATGAAAGCTGCAGGCCAGGATGGGTCCATAATTCAATGCGCCACCGACGACATTTAGGAATAGCGGTATTGGATGGGTATAATCCCGGGTCAAAAATAGCACTTCTAAAACATGGAATAAATAGATAAATATATTAAATAAAAATATATCGCCATACAGTACTATACTAATAACTACGTAATCCCCTCATCATCATGAATTCGGAAGAAAACCACGTTGACACCGTTACACAATGACGGAAGAGCCAAATAAGAAAAGAAATAACCAAAAAAACAAGCTTAAATTGATATCAGATTCCTGAAATACCCTGCCAAGAACCCTATGCAGTATGCAGTTCGTTATATGTATGAGGGAAATAATTGTCATGTTACATCTAGTGCAGGTAGGTAGACTGTACCTGAATATGCAGTGTCACCAGGATGCGTAAGCTTTAATATCCTGTCGTTGCTTTTTCCCCCACAAGCATTCCAGTTGACGCATCTAGCCGGGAATGAGCTAGCTTGTCTAGACTACACTACGTAGGTGGTATTATGTCATTATGTCATTGATGGGGTGGTTGCGTTTACTCTGTATGGTAACTGGTACTTCCAAGGCAGCTGCATGGTTACTATATATATATATAGACGACAGATGAAAAGTAATAATAAGAATAATTTGGAATAAACCATGAAACAGAAAGAAAACGATGAAGTTGGGAGTTCTCGACAGGGATTGGCCAGTAAGGATTTTGAGGCTAAAAGTTAGTCTTGGTGCTTATTTTCTCTTGGAAAATGTTTAAATTATGATTGTCCATGCAGGTATACCCAGGGATGCAGGTATTTTCATTCAGAGAAATTGAGTAGGCTTATGTGGCCTTTTATTGTATGAAGTCAGTATAACAAGGCCGGCTGGCCCAATGGCAAGGCGTTTGACTACGAATCAAAAGATTGCAGGTTCGATCCCTGCGTCGGTCAATTCTTTTTTTTGTTTTATTTTCACTCGACTTCGATTATTTTATCGACTTTGCAGAGTGAATAAAATAAATGTTTTTTTAATTTTTATTTTAAATCTAATAACTAATTCTGCTGGATAAATAAATATATAGCATACTGTACTCCGTATGCCAGATAAATATCATTCAACGTCAATTTATCTTCACGCCGATCATCCTGAAGACTTACATTGATCGCCGGTTTTGACTCTTTTTTTACTTGCAGTTGCAGATGGAAGATTGGCGATCTCAGAGATCATCGCGAACCAAACTGACGGGACAGCTGTGGCAGTGCCAAAACATGATAGGCTATACAAACCAGGATGCAGAATATATAATCCAATCCTCTGCAAGATTTTTTTCTTTCAATTTTTCCACCAGCGTGTTCATCACTCCGAGCTGAATGTCCGATTGTTAAAACGACTTGTAAATATCTGACTTCAAGGGCGAAACTTAAATGGATCATTCGCTAACTCTGTGTCCATGGCCATTTTAGCATCCCTTTGGCGGAGAGTTAGAAACATGGACGAAGCTTAAAAGTACGTTGGGCACTAAGGGGCTTTGGATTTGATACCAGAGGACCGGTTCTAAGCTTTATCCCATATAGACCTTGGCTGATTTTGAATTCAGTCGGTATAATGAACTTAATGATCGACTTGGATAAGCCCAGACGCATGTGATCATTGTGATTTGGTTTATATTTAGTAGTCCGAGCTTGCCTTATATAAGTGTAATCTTCCTTGTTTTGACCATATTCCACCTGTCAATTGTCCGGTCTTGAGATCCAGGGAATCCTCCAGAGCCAGTCACCAATCCAACACGAACGTAGACATTGGGATTCTCAGGGCTGGGCTTCACAGCTATTGCTGCCCAGTGATGAGTTACCCAGTATGCAGATGTCAACAGTACACATTTGACAATATCACCCTCATCAACCCACTTCCATCTGGTCATGGCACACCTACTTGGGGAGTCTGTTTTCGTGGAAAGGAAAACATCGGGGTAGAAAGGAGCATCTTGATCAAGGCCAGCACCGTCGTCTTCCTGGAATAGTTGCATTTTGTATACGACACCTTGTGAGTAACTCGCAATCAAGACCTTTGCGTGCACCACCTTCGTTTCAAGAGTAAGATGCCACATATCAACAGAACAAGGGGGATAGAGGATCATTGTTCTGTGGTCTGATATTAATGAGAGATCTGGCAGATCCCGTATTCCAGCATGGCAAGTGACACCAGAAAATTCTCTGTAAAAGTCAAATCCCACTGGATATTTAGTTGATAGCCAGGACCAAGAAGGTCCCAATGCTATGTTCTTATCATCTTCTGAAGTAGAAGATTTCGGATCTAGTTTTGCGGACCAAGTCATATGTTCGACAAGGTGTTTTTCCCAGAATCCAAAGTAATATTGACCGAGGTAGAGCGTTTGAAACTGCCGTGCAATGCCATCAAAAGCCATGAGCTTGTCTTTGAGGAAAGTAAGCGACCTTTGGCTATACTGGGTGACCATCTTAGTCCATATTATCTCGGGCCTTTGGGAAGAGCTGGAAATCTGCCCCTGTAATGCATTGTGGAAGTCTAGTTGATAGTTGTTGGAAGACCATCCTGTCCCACACTCACACCAAGCAGCTTCTTTACACTCCCAGATCATCTCCTGGGCTGTGAGATGAACTGCTCGGGTTGCCAACAGGCGCTCCTGAAACGCCCATGCACGAAATGCCAGTGGATTCATTGCTGGATCGGGGATATGTGGGGAATCCTCCAAGTGATGAAACAAAAACTCCCGAACATGCACAGTTTCGCTTGTAGATGGTCCGGTAGGAACTTTGAAATGCCCTATAGAAAAAGCAGCTGGATGCGAAGGCAGGTCGCGAAAAGTGACTGGTAGTCGTGGGCCAAATATCCCCTGATTTGCATTTGCAGAGCGAGTTGCAGATATCACCAGATGGGCACCTTGGTAATATTCTGTCATCTGCATTGCCTCGCGGTCCCAGTCCTTGGTGTCGTTTTGAATGATGCACAGCGCGTCGATCCAGATGTAGCGGATCTGGAGTCGTCGCGTGAGCTGGATAGCATCTTGCATTGTTGATGGGATGGAAGCCCATTGGATATTGCTTTTTCGAGCTTCGATATTCTCATTGGTGGTGGTTAGGTTTCCTTGTCTTCCCCAGCAGTAGCTGAGTGCTATATATGGCGCAGAATCTGATGGTGTTGGCTCATACAGATAAACGCTGTCTGAATCAAAGCATCCAATATCAAGAACACGCGTTGGTAGAGGTGAGTTGGAGCTATTCAGACATTCAGAGTGTCCTTTGATGCATCTCTGCATCCAGCTATGTATCTGGACAGCAGCCCCTTCCAGATCCATTATCTCTTCCAGGTCAGTCGCCGTTCCCAATTGAGGCCATGAGGACTTGGTTTCTGGTATAGTTAGAGTGCCTTCTATTGGAAAATGGCAGGTGAACATACCTGGAGAGGTGTAGATTTCATAGCACAGGAAGGTGTTTTGATAATCAACACCCACTTTGAGCGTAGTTCCTTGCTTGAGCTCAATATAGTATTCACTCACATTGTCTTTGTTATAACCACCTCGTTCCATGGTGAAATCCACACCAGTCAGTATAGCATGGCATATATTACATTGTCTTGCTGACCGGACCAGCTCGGATCGAAGACATCGAAACTTATACCTGGAAAGGTCATTGCACATAGGACAATTGGAATTTTCTCTCCTATCCGATGACAGTGTCAGTATGGAAAGGATAAAAAGGACGGTGAGTGAAGGGACCTTTTTTTCATCAGAGGCATTGTGTAGTAATCCAGTTAGCGACTCAGTAATCGGTGGTCGACGGAGGGGCAAAGGCAGCAACGGAAGAAAGAAATTTGAGTCGTATATGCAGCCTTATCACATCACAGTTGCACAGACGGTGATCGGCCCAGCCTTCGTATTAAGCAAACCGCCTTGGTTCGACATGGAATGTGGACGCGCTTCTAGCGATTAACTAGTCAGCAGGCTGATCTATCTCAAGCGATTAAGACCAAGAAAATCTCGCATTGTGCATAAGTAGTTTTTATGAAGAACGATTTGGAGGAGGGATTTGGGTGTCTCTGTCCAGGGCCTGTACCTCTCGGGTAGCACAAATACTGCGAGGCATGGATGAACAGGGTAGAACATTCGATATCAGAACGCTTCAGAGGCAAAAAATCAATCATTATCCTGACTGTGTAATTTAAGTTCCTATATACTTTCCAGTTGATAAAGTTATGATAGTAGTGTGCCACGAGTCAAGTCCTATTTAAAATACGGTTCGACACGCTCATGGTAGTGTCACACGAGTGTGTAATATTACCAGCGATACATAAAATAGCGATTAAGTAGTAATGAATCCGTAACGAGTCCGTATTAATCACCATCGAGTCGAATTCCCTTTAGAAATTCAGCTCGACTCTCTATGATATAGAGACCCTTTATATACCTTAAATAAGAGATCCTCCTGACTATTAGTAAATAGGTAATTATAGACTAAGAAAGAGGATGGATAATGAATATTAGAGTAGTTAAAGCTACTATTTAGTTTTCTATTGAGACTAGGAGACTTGATAAGGACTAATGAAGTAAGAAAATAAGAAGTATCTATCCATATAATTATCTTAGGATAGACTATTTAGAAGGACACATACAGCACAGCCGCAGAAAGCCAGAGGAATTTTATTATCATTATCATTATGTGAAAGAAAAACACTATCAACGCAATCTAAGCCTAAGAACAATAAAACAAGAAATAGAAGAAAGAAGGAAGAGACAGAACATCTAGCAGAATCCCAATCGCTGATGTCTTCTCATTCGACGAGCTTTACACTTGCTCATAGGCACAATAACAGGCTGAACCATGCCACCCATAGGCATGGCCATGTTACCTGGCATACCCCCCATGGGCATACCCCCCATAGGCATACCAGCCATAGGAACAGCATTGACTTGCGACTGCTCGGGTTTATGCCTGGATTGGTTAGCTTTATTATATGGAAAAGATAGGCAGAGACCTACAGCTTATGGTTGAGAGCATTCAAACCAAGAGCTCCCAACGCAGCACCACCCAGAGTTGACATCTTCCCACCCATCTGATGGCCTAGATATCCACCAGCGGCACCACCAATAACAGTCGATCCCAGACCCTTTTCATCTTCATCCTGGGGAGGTTGAGGAGAGTGGGAGTGTCGTTGATCAGGGGCGCCAGTGTTGTAATAAGATGCGTTCTCGCCCATGGGTGGGTATTCTTGTTGAGGTTGAGGAGGGTAGGGAGCACTGTTGTTGTATTCTTGGGGATATTGGGGTGGTGGCGGGCTGTAGGAGGGGCCGTTTGGGTATGGGCCTGGGCCTTGGGGAGGATAGGTGGTTTGTTCGTAGGGTGGTTGGTTGTAGTTGTTCATGATTGTTCGAGATTTGAATATGGAAGATAATATGAGAGATGAGGATAGATATAAATGGAAGATTGCTTATTCAGATAAATTGCTGTTTGATGATGATTTCGAAATCGCAGAATTTCTCGAGGATTATATACCATCGTCATCATCATCCATCGCTATCCATACCGTATACAGCATCAGCATGGCCCCCACCAACACAGCACCGCAAAGCTTGCCCTAAACGGTTTAGTCTCATAGATCTCCCAGTTAAATATTTTTAGAGCAGAAGACACACCAATAAAAACACAACATAGAAGCAGAACATGCATCATTGTGCAGGCGAAGGATTGATTTGACGCCACACAGTGGACAGCCCGACAGTGATCAGCACTCGGTGCAGGGCTTGGCCTTTTTTTTCACCCTATCAGGCTAGATTATTTCTATACAGTTGGTACAGTTGTACCTCGTTGCAAGGTTTAATTCCAAGATCAACGTTTATCTGTCTGTTATATTCTCATAGGTAGTTACTATAGTGTATATAGGTATCTTCTAGAATAGCTAAGAAATCAACTCTATTACTTGCTTTTTCTGTAATAATATTCAAAGACAGGGTTCTCATGTTCCTTGAGTATTATATCTAATTCTATTCACTACATGGCTACTTACCATCGCTTTAAATCATTCTCATATAGTATAGAGCCAGCCTGTGTTTGTGATTATATTGCGCTTGGCAAAATTGTGACTTTTACCATTAGCTTCAAGCACCAAATTCCCCTCTGCATCCAGTGATTCTGGCGGCACTGATAGCATTAGTAAATCCTTATCAATAGGTGCCACATTTTCTGTCCAGCCAGGCAGTTCCTCTGGGGTAAAAGGCGGCCACGGGTCTCCATCTTCTTCGCGATAAACATGCGCTCGATTTCTCCGCATCCCCAGACTCAATCGCCAATTGACTGCCTCGTGCAATTCATCAACAATGGAAGCGATAATCGCATAACGAAGCGGATCAGGATCTCTCGGGTCAGCTATATCTCGTAGCGTCCAGCCTCGCCGATAGAAGAAATATTCCGTCTCCCATCCCATCAGCTCATAATGATCGGCGAGATGGAGCTCATACAGTCGGTAAATCGAGCGCAGAGGCGTGTCGCGCATGCGCCAGATAGGAACCGCGCGGAGATTATGGATCTCACCAAAATGAGACGTGATGATGCCCGTCTCATTCTTCGCATCTTCGATAAGCGCGCGGAGAGAAAACGGTCCGGGGATTGGAAAGAACCACCACGGATAGGGGATGGACATGCGCAGGAGGGCGAGCAAGGGGTACTTGTGTTGATGGTTAAGTCGAACGAGACTACTACGTAGTCGGAGGGGTGATTCTGCGTAGCGAAACCACGTTCGAAAACGGGCCCAGAGAGATGGCTTGGGACGGCGACGTGGAGGCATTATTTGATGGCAAGCTCGCTGAGGGGTGGTGAGGCAGAATAAAAGGATGCATCCAAAGTCAGTGAAACTTGACCATTGCACTCGCGAAGTCAGTGGACCGGTGGGATTAGCATCCACCTCCCCAAAATTGCAAATGTGCGAACATGGCCATCAGGATAGAGTCACTCACCCAGGTCGACTTCACTCCTAGCCATGTGGCTTAAGGCGGTCTCGCCCTCTAACTCAGCCAAGAGACATTCATGCTTATTTTTACATCCCACACTCTAATATACTGCTACTGCACTCCATATAGGTGAGCCTTTCGAAATACGTAGGATTTACCCCATTGGTTATATTACATGGAGACCTTCGCGATTTTTTTAGAATTCAAGAATCTTATATAAATCTCTATATAGCCCCTTCTTCTGTTGCGTCTAGTACATACGACCACAGGGTGTGGAGAACAGGGCTTCCCGTCCGCTCAGCCGTACTTAAGCCACACGCCGGCAGGTTAGTAGTTGGGTGGGTGACCACCAGCGAATCCCTGCTGTTGTATGTTTTTTTGCTGCTTATATGTTTGTGTTCTATGTTTTTATTTTCATTGCATACAGACCAGCAGATAATGTTAAACGTGTCGTAGAATAGCGGGAAATGTAATATGCATCCAAGCAATACCATGTAAAACCGAGGGTGTTGGACGCAATTGTGTGGGTCTTGAATGTTCAGTGTTCATTATTCAAATGACCTCAACCAGGAGCGGTCGTTATTCTTACTGCTGTATAGAGACAGATGAGAGATCTATCTTTACAGTAACCTTTACTGAGACTTGAGCCGTCCCAGCATTTTAGTAGGAGTCTTCCAAATACTTACTAACATTTTCTGACTGGTGTCTTGGTTTGCCTGTTTAAGCAGCTTACTTCAGTCAGGGAAGAAAAAAAGACCCATAACATATTAAAAATTGTTGTAATTGTCGCCATCGTAGTAATCATCCCAATCACCATAGTTAGAGTTGCATACCCAACCCGCGATCCCCACCCCTAACCCGCACAACCTGACACATGGGGCACATGGAATCTTCACGGAAGATTGTGGAATTGTTTCTCTCCTGGGTTTGTTTCCTCCCATTCTTGAATCTCTCATGTGGAAGTTACTGACATGAGGAGCAGAAAGAGACTGCTATCTCGGAATCTGAACCAGGGATGAAACGAGAGATCTCGCACTTATCCCGAGACTATTAAAAGTGTTATTCATAACTGTAAAGAAATCGAAGCTGATTATAGATCCAACGTTCGAGGAACACATATCGTAGCTGACTGAATCAGTATATGATCGAAAAGTCACCCTTTCGTAACAAGTAGTACTGTATTCCTCCCGTGTCGAGGTGGGTCCTTTGGAAGAGGGAAACAACAAGGGCGTTTGCCACCTAAAGAATTCTTCTCCCACTCTTCGGCGAGAGGGCCATGCAGCTATTTCTTGCTCTCTCGTTGGACACGTGGCCCCCGAACACGCCAGACAATGGACGATAGTTTAACCAATAAATCGTGCAGCATAGCAAGGCTGCATATTCAAAAAAATGATCGCATTAATGACTACCTTAGGGATTTGACTCTACATCACTTGAGGCTAGTTTGATAACGACAAAATTGCAGCAACCTGCGATTGCGAACTGAGCTTGAATATAACAGGAACTGCCCCATCCCGTCTTCAGAACGACGATCTCAGTTGTACGTCAAGGAGAGTTCGTGAAATCAGCCGTTGTCACTCGTGCAATGATGGTACTCTGTGCTTAGATCTTCGGCCAGCGTAGAAGCAACGCAGCAGCAATGACTGGCAACACACTCACCAATTCTCCTAGTCCCGCAAACTGTGGAGGAATTCTCGCATTGACAAAGGCACCCGTAGCGAGAAGGATTGCAAAGGTGTTGTACACGAAGCTCCATGCAAAATTAAACTTGATGCGGTTGACAGATTTCCGACTGGAGTCCATCATGGTGGGGATGCCAGCCAGAGAAGGTCGCATGAGAACCACATCCGCGGCGTATTGCGCGACATCTGTGCCTTCGTTCATGTGAACGCCGATCGTAGCTTGCGCGAGAGCAACGGCATCGTTCGTGCCGTCGCCGCAGAAAACAACAACTGGTTTCTTGCGGTCTGCACCTGTACCAAGGAGCGTCTGGATGTAATCCCTCTTGTCGGTGGGCGAGCTTCGAGAACGAACATTGTCGCCAGGAATGCTAAGCATGGACGCTAAAGTCTGAACAGCTCCGTCATCGTCGCCAGAAACCACGTGTACCGAGATGCCACGCTTCTGCAAGGTCTCAATCGCCCCCGCAGCGTCAGGTCGAAGCTCATCTTCAAGAGCATAGACCGCATGCAACGCATTGTCGATAGTAAAGCAGAAGACAGTGTATCCTTGAGCAAGCATTGGTTGAACAAGTTCATGTTCCGTTAAGTTCTGCCAGCGAGAATTGCCTGCTCGAAGTTTCCGGCCGCCCAGGGTGGTTTCGACACCTTTACCAGTAAGGCTCTTGGGCTCAGGAACAGGCGAGGCCATAACTCCAGTATCCTTGAGGTAAGCAGCCACAGAAACTGAGACTGGGTGTCGACTGTTTTCGATGAGGCCTAGAAGAAGTGGCAGCCTGTCCTCGTCGACGCAGTCCTTCGCGACGACGGATAGCCTTCCCCGAGTCAAGGTCCCAGTCTTATCAAACACGACGTGCGATGTCTTATGAGCCACTTCAATAGCATCTGCAGACTTGAAGATGATACCCCTTTCCGCCGCGACTCCGCTAGCAATCACAATGACCATAGGAACGGCCAGTCCAATAGCGCAGGGGCAAGAGACGATGAGGACAGTGATAGCATATGTGATAGCCTGAATTGTAGCTTCGGACCCATCATCTCCACGAATAGTCAGGCCCACTGCAACCCAGATGACGAACGTGATGATCGTCAATGCCACCACAACCGGGACGAAGTAGGATGCTACCCGGTCTGCTAGATCCTGCAGCTTGGGCTTCGACAGTTTAGCCTCATCGACCATCGCAGCGATAGCGTTAATAGTATTATCGCTAGGCAAACGGTTCAGTTGAACAGTCATAACTCCAGGGCCATTGATAGACCCAGCTATCACTACAGACTTGGGATATTTCTCCACAGGTCTAGATTCACCAGTAAGCATGGATTCGTCAACCTCAGACGACCCATAGATGACAGTGCCGTCGGTCGGGATTCTGATGTCAGGGAGAACTTTGAAGGTGTCACCGTATTGAAGAAGTCGGGCGTCAATTTCCCGTTCCGTTCCGCTCTCTTTGTCGACAAGGATAGCTGTCGATGCCTGGAGTGACCGGATAGAAATGGATTCAACAGCTCTCTGACGAGCAAGACCGGCAATCCATCGACCAACCATGATTAAGGTGACCAAGAGAGTGCTCGTTTCAAAGAATTGACCAGTTGAAAGGGGGTTTTCTGCAATGAGGTACCCGAAGGAGACCACCGAGAATATGTAGGCAGTACTAGTGCTCAAGACGATCAAGAGGTCCATCTCGATAACCCTCGAGAAAATGAGAGCCTTCAGGGCCTTGGGATAAAAAGGTCCTGCTACAACAACTTGAACAAGAGTGGCCAGAGTGAGTGAAGCCGAGGAATATGCCACCTCCCTCTCAGGAAGCGGAGCCAATGCTATGACCAGGGTCGGAATCGTCAAGACAACGGAGAGAAGTGTCATGTATCCGACATGACGAACATGCTTGCTGCCAGCCTCTAGTGAGGGGTCACCGCGCGGAGGAGCAAGTTCAATTGGCGGACCCCAAATCTTCTCGCTGAGATCTCGAGCGCCCACGATCTTTGGATCAAACGCGACTCGCACGATCTGCTTGTCCACAGGCGTCATGTCAATAACCCCGTCCGGCCATTTCTGACTAATGAATTCTGAGGGCACATCGGAGATGATAAAGTCTAGGCTAGATCCCTGGTTCTGGACTCTCTCGCACTTGAACTCAGTCGTTCGCTCCAGATGTTTCATGACTTCCTCTACTGAGCCAAGGCAAAGATCAATGTTGAACTCGGCTCGTGAAAGAACCAAACTGGTTTTCAGGTTTTTGACGGCGGCGACAGTAGCGAGAGTTCGGTTGAGTTTTGTCTCGCATCCGGTACAAGTCATGCCAGAAATACTGAGAACAACATGTTCCTGGCCGGTACCTTGATTCTCTATGTCGGTGATAGCCTGAATCGGAGCTTCCTCAATCTCTAAACTAGGACTGGAGGTAACGGAGCAGCAAGCATCGGGGCGAGAAACTTGAGGGCTGACCGGCTGTCTTTCTGCACAGCAAGAACCCGCTGAATTAGTCTTTGGCGTCTTCACGATATCCTGCGTCGGTAAATTGCAGCAAGAGCCAGAGAAGGCGGTATTGGGCGGCTTTTTCATGATCGTATTCTTAGCTGCTCTGCAACTAGATCCAGCACACTTATTAGTAGGGGGCTCAACAACGGGGTTGACCTTTGAACAGCACGAATCCCCATGATTGCTCTTGTCATCAATGTCTTTGGCACGCTGGTCTCTGAAGCAACAAGATCCGAGACAGCCGGCCTTGGGAGGGGATTCTCTGACATGGGAAGTCTCCGAGCAGCAAAAATCAAGGCTCCCAGTCTGGGCAGCTGGCTGCTTCTCGGGTTTTTCGAAGGAGTAGCAAAACTCGGCGGATGGAGACGTAGCGGCCGGGTCTTCGGAGCGGCAAGAACGGGAGTATTGGGTTTCCTTTGGGCCATCCTCTATAGCCATGTTGTCCATACAGCAAGAATCGGCGTAGTTACTCTTTGGCCGAGGTTCCTTGACAGGTTTGCCCTCAGAACAGCACGGCTTCGAGCACTTACTTTTCACGGGCGGCTCTTTAGTGTGCTTGTCCTTCGAATGAGAAGAGACAACGCGGGAATCCGCGGACGGCTTCTTGGTAGACCTGACAACTCCACCAATGTCCCTTCGCATGCGAAGATGCCTCTGGGTCGCCCCGTCTATGATGACGGAATCATTGCGACTGCAGGAATCCAGTGAATTGCGATTAAGGAAGTCAACAGATGACTTTTTGGAGCACTGCTTCCCGTCTAAGGAACAGCGCTCGCGGATTTCACAGCAGCTTTCCTGGCCAAGGGCGATGAGCGTACGGCAGATACATCCCAGGGCTTGTAGAATAGCGCCATAGCGGTCGAGGACAGAGAGACCATGCTGGCTGCATGCCTTGGGGCCGGCAGCTCCACCGCAAGCTGAGGGGGTTAGCAATCTTTTAGGTGTCATTCTAAAGAGCGGTTACTCACTGGTTGGCTGACCGTCTGGGCGGTGGGCAGCCCCAACACTCACCTCGCATTCCCGCAAAGCTAAGCGGTCGAGGCAAGACGTGTCGCAGCATGGGTTGACTTTGCCACGGCAACAGTCAGGTGCGTTGGTATCATTCTCGGTTTTATTGTCAGTGAACTCACCGGGAGGGCAGCCATCATCTGGCTTCTCCAGAGTGGGCCCTCGTTGACCCGGCGCTGTGGTGTCGAGAGACGCGGGGTCGTCGCTATCGCAGCAAGCATCCTGGCAACTGCTTGTCTCCTCCTTAATTGGAACCGAGTCAAAATCAGGCCCGGGGGCAGGTGCCGATGGGGAACAACAGTCGCATCCCATTGTTGAATTGACTTTTGCTTTCGGTCCAATTTGTATGAGTTGAATGTGCTATTGAATTTGAGTTGCTGGAAATCGGGGCGTTGTGGAGTTCCATGATCCTCCTTGAAGATCCTCCGCTGTTGTGCATAGCTGACTTTATAATTACATAATAATTTATGCGTACATAATCTCCTCTCGGGATCAAGAACGAGGCACTTTCCTTGAGAGAGCTGATTGAGCCCTCGCGGCACATACCGACGATGAGAAAACTCCTAGAACTTTGTTGGTCTGATCTATTTGAGTAGATAAGAGTATGAATCGATTCCATAGGGGATAAATATATATAGGAGAGTAAGTAAGCGATAGTTATAACAGTATTATTAGATAAGACTACTATATAGTTAGAGGGGTGATTCTGCATAGTAAAGCCACGTTCAGAAACGGGCCTAGAGAGGTGGCTTGGGACAGCAACGTGGAGGCATTGATGGTAAGTTCACTGAGGGGTGACAGTGCAAAAGAAAAGGTTACAATAAGTCAGTGTAAGTGGGCCATAGCACTCATAAGCCAGTCAACTGGTGGGATTATCATTAGAAACCATGTTCCAAATCCAATTATGAAGTCATTGCTTTGCGTTGGGAAACTTCAGTTCTTGGCTTACATAACCACTTGAAGTCGCATTATTTAAATCTACGGGAGTACCATAAATTTGGAACCAGGTTTCAAAAATGATTCATTTGGTGCTACAGTGAGTTAAAGGCTTATAATTAATTCCAGTTCTGATCACTAACTTACCTTAGCTACTAGGCAAATTATTCATCCTACAATTCAATTCTTCATGTGATTAAACTGGTTAGTTATTCCACAACATACTGAAACTGCATATCACTAAAGCACTTTTTAAATACAGGTAATAATTGTTGGAAAGCCATAGTTAAGCACCGAAGAATTCAGTTGAGGGATGAATCATAGCGAGAATCTGTAATTCCATGTTTTTGCTCTGTTCAATGGCTTTTAAGCCACCTTCATCCCGGGCTTAGGTAGCATCAAATGAATCATTTTTGAAACCTGAAATCGTCATACCAAGGTGATGAAAGGACAAGACCATTCCACTTGGTGGAAACGTTAGCAATTTTTCCACGCTCGCCAGGTAGACACACCACCACTTCATGAGATCTCGACGCCAAAGATAGCCTGCTCTATAGCAATGCTTGCTTTGCTATTACAGCCCGCCAGTGTGTCTCTGGAGTGGGATGTCCGAAATTCTCATACCAGGAACCGGTCTCATCCTTCGGCCATATTTGGTAGCGAAACTCCTCGGCGCCAGGTATAGTCGGATGTACCATTTCAATCCTTGCGACTTTGGGCCCGAGTTTTCCCTTCAGGATTGGCTCCTCGATGGTTTGGTAGTTTGATCCGCCGTATGGATTGTATTGGTCCGGGGGTGGTGGTGATAGCACAGTGACTATCCCCTCGTCTTGGGCAATGTGATAGGCATACATAGCTGATGCGCCTTTCATATACCTACTCCACCATTTGCTTGTTTTCCCTTTCCTTGTTTTCCGAGACCATAAACACTGCGGGTGGTCATGGATCATCAAAGGCCCCATGGCTGTTGTTAATGTCTGCATGCCATGTCTATCCGCCCAAGCCTGTACCAGTTTACGGGGCACCCCACTCCACATAACCTGACCTCCATGTTGCCATTCGGCGCCATGAAACCGGTTGCAGATTGGGGTTGCTTCCTCGAGGGTAAGGAACCTATGTAACTCATCGACGTTCTCCGACGAGCACATACGGATATAACTCGTTATAGTCAAGGCCACAAATTTGGAGAAATATCATGGATTGCCCATAACTAGGGTAGAACGTGGATCGAAAAACTTTTGACTAGAGAAATCCATCACACTGCTTTAAGTAGTGTGGAATAAGTACATCATTAGTACATCATGATATCAGCTTTACGTGAGCTCTTAACCCTAGGGAAATAAGACACTGACACTTTGATCGGGGAGCTAATGCATAGATGGCTAGACTAGACTCTTCCCACCAATCAACTCTATTGTTTAAGGATCTATGAGGTCGAACTTAGCCTGTTATAAAACTAGCTTCCGGATTTAGAAAGAGTTAGCGAGTGAAAGATCCAAGAACCAGTTTTGTAATTAAGTGTGCTTAGATGAACATCTTGAATCCGCTGAGGCAGTAATTCAATCGACCTATAAAGGAGATTTTATGGAGGTTGTTATTAGTAATTTGATTTTCATACATACAGGCCCATTAACTGCAGGAACATTATATTTAAATAATATTGAGACTAAAAAGATACGCACCCATCTGGTTGACTGCTCTTAGAGGCGCTTGCATCTAAATATACCATGAGTTCATAACCTGTCTAAGGATAAATAGAATCTTCATATAGTGGGGTTTACAGGCAAGGTAAAGAAAGAATTCTATAATAAAATCCACTATCTAATGCTTGATTACTCTTATCCGGTCTACTCATCCAAATGCACTGACAGAGTAATCAATAGTGTTGAATACAAGTAGAAAGATAACTAGTTAAAGAAACCAAGCTTATAAATCAATTCCTTTGGTAAGGGAAAACATATTATGGTAAACAACGACATGAATAGCTTGCATTCAGGCATTCTGTGTTTTGATGAGACGCCCGGCTTTAAGAGACAATGACTTTTTTGTGGACGACAATTTTTCAAGTAATTAGAAGGACGAAAAGACACGGAATTTTGTGGACTCTCATCAGCACATTCCACGAGGCCATTTGGTAGGAGCTCGATCATTTTCACGCTGGTGGTATTGCCGTAAGTTCTTCAGGGAGTGGAGGGATAATGTTTTCAAGTTGTAGGTTGCATTGTCGAAAATGTCGCTGACAAGCAGCTGACAATAATCTAACTGGATAACTCCTGTTGGAAAATTGTCTGCAACAATTCTGGCACCGTGTTTCTTCCTTCAGGCAGCGAGCTTCACATGCGCGCAATCCGATTATACAGCCTTGTCCTTGTCTTTCCAGGCCCAATCGACACTCTCGGAGTTCTCTTTGATTTTCATAACAATGCATGAGACATGTCAAACCGATAAGACCGGGCTTGATGTCACACTTGGGGAAGCACGCCCCAAGCATCTCAGAGCATTTTCTAGTTGCCTGACAGTTTGATTGCGCGGTTAAGAACAAAAATACCAGTAAAACAATTCTTAGGTCCATAGTGCATGCGATGGATTATCTGCCTTAGCATCCAAGTAATATGAGAGTATAAGAAAAAGAAAAATTTCTGTCTGGCGAAGGAGTAACTCCTGAATTTGACGTTGTCAGTCAGGTTTGGAGGGGATTTTTTTTCCCTGCTGATATTGCCTCGGATCACTTGGTGAAAGAAAATCGGTCTTTCTCAAGCTACAAGCCTGAATAAATATATCTTCGGTATAATAAAAGATTAGTTGAAAGCTAGCGAAGGGTAAAGTGAAATCTTTATGATTATTCCCTGGCTCGATTTCGTCAATGAGTAGATGCTGAGGTCACCGCCAAGGAAATAGAAAAACAAAAGTCTAGGAAATCGCGAAGCTGGATTTGTCTGAAATCTACAAAACCATAGGTATAGACAATCTAGAGCTTAGCCATCTGAAGTTTATCAATCGAGTTTAAAGTATCACAAGACGTGCAAAATCTAGAAGAATACCTTGGGGCGGGTCCTTTGGTTTGATCACCACCATCATCTATTCTAGACTATTTAGGTTGCATGGTACATCATCCTACAGCACCACAGTTTACAGCACCACATTTAAGTGAAAAATTTTACAGACAGGATTTCACTTGTTCTAATCATTATCCTTACATATTGATCCATCTAAACTTGTGCTGAACATGAGTTCGGTCTTTCATATGATTTAAATACCCAAGCCAGCCGCAAAGTTTAGTTAGAATAGAGTTAATTATCTCTCAATTATTTGGTGCCAAAACTTAATCTATTCCAAAATTGCTCGACTCTTCCTTTTTTTTTTTTTTTTATTTTTTTCCTTTCCGGCTACAGTCCACTACCATGTTGATTATGATTTCTATCAACAGGGCAAAACCATTGTCATTTAGAGTATACAAGCCGATAGGTTGCTTCAAAATATCGGTCCTCGGATAGCAATTTTGAAAATAGTTGACCGCAGACAGCGACTCTAGATGGCTATGACGGTTTTATGGTTTACAAAGTCACCACAAGGTCCTGGTCGATTTAATTGGAAGACGCATTCCATGCTTTTCGGTCTGCACAGATTTGACCAAGTGGCTGTTATCCTCTGGGTCAACTTGCTGTTCGATGTCAGCAGACAGGAGGAGCTGGTTCTCGAAATCTGATGGATCCAAGTCTGTTTCCAGTGTGACAATTAGAAACGCAGGATTAGGTGTATCATCCGACGTACAATTAAATAATACCGGTGCAATATCTCATAATTAGCCTCCATATAGGTGACTTGGTGACTTGGAACGATATGGATATATGAATTCCAAAGATAAGAAGAATGACTCTCTAAGATCTAGCATAGATGCTGTGGGAGAGAACACTCCATGCTGGAAGATCATCTGCTGCACCAGTCCTAGGAGTGAAGCAAGACTCAGTACACATCAGTTGGTTGGTTGGTTGGTTGGTTGGTTTCTCTATCATAGCCTGGCGCAGCGCCGGAACTGTTATTGGGCGCTATGCAGACTTCTTTAGCTAGATACAGGCGGCAAGTCCCTGTGTGTAGGGCCAATAGAAATCACAATTCTGTCTCGCTCCACCTGAGAAAACACAACCCTAGTGGGAACACGCAGTACACATCACAAGCCCACATAACGATCATGATGTGGCTTTGCTGGCAGGAGACCCTGCATCTTTGAACACATCGTATAGTTGGCAGCGGAGAAAGGCATGGGCAACGCATTTCTACATAAGAATGGGTGACGGTCAAGCCTTCGCGCCTAGTCAGTCTGGACATCTAGACATTCTCTTTTGGGTATTCGTTGTAACATGTACTGCCCGTACGTTTCAGTATGTAATGTAATCAGACAGCGGGCTGCGCAGGACACTGAGCTGGGTGGTGGTGGGCAGATGGGATCAATTTCCTGTAATCCTGATTAAGGGATAGTGAAATTAGAAGCATTCAAGAGACAGTTATCACACCCTAGGGTCTCTTATCTAGAAAACCTAACCTATACACCCCATGAGCCTGGACTAAGATATAACAGCTATAGTACTGTAACTGTTTTGATGTGAACTAATAGGGTGCTCCTATAAGCTGAGAGTGTCCAAAGAGTAATGGTGGCTGTTCTAGAAGAAGCAAGCAAGGCTAGAGAAGTACATATACTTCGTCTATTTAAGCAGGTAAGTGCGAGTAAGTATAATGCAATAAAAAAATGTAGTTATAGGATTGTGCATATAACTTAATAACTAATTAATCAGAAAGAACCATCTATAATATGAGTATCTTTATATATCCATCCATGATATATGATGAATCCTTTGAATGGTATATCACCCTGTTTAGTACCTAAGATACCACCTTATAGACAATAACGTTATGGTCGTGCAAATGGTATGTTTGCCAAGATATGGTACCTATATACTATAAGACAGTCTCCAAAGCAACCCTTTTATTTAGCCATAAAAAATGTCAGTTCTCATCACCATCTTCCACGCTGTGTTTCTTAGGCGGCCACTTATACTCAGTGGGCAAAAATATCAGGACACCCCCTCGGCTCACCCAGCGACCTCTTCATATGCGTCACGCCCTGCAGGCGAACATACTCCTGCGTTACATTCTTCGCCGAGTCCAGCGAGGTGACATTGAAATAATTAATGCCAAACCCATTATTGTCAAAGAATCGTGCTGTACCGGCAACGACATAAATCGTAAACGCCTTATCGGCCGGGTAAATATTCTTTGTCTCATGTCGATGACCGACGAGAATATGGCGCACACCGTACTGGCGGATCAGATCAAGATACCGGCCACGAACTCGGTTTGGGAAGCTCCAGTAATTGTCGGGCTCATCCTCGCTGACCTCAAAGGGCAAGTGGTGGTGGGCGACGATGATCTCCGCCTTCTCCTTCGCGGCTTCGGCAAGCTGTTCTTCAAACCAGGACCACTCCTGGGTAGTGTAGGGTTCAAACTCAGTGAGGTTGCTCATCAGTGTGATTGAGTCGAGCATGATGAAGCGGTAGCCGTTGTGGCTGAAGGCACCGTGGTCGCTGACGTTATAGTCGACGGAGAACTGCTTGAGGGTAGCGACGTTGCTGATGTCGTGGTTCCCGGGGAGGAGATGCACTCGCCCATTGAACTCGGGATAGACACTTTGGAAGCTTTGGACTTGTTCAGGGGTGCTGGGGAAATGAGATTAGCGGATGATGCTGTTGACTGCCAGTCTGATGGACGCGACATACCGATCATTCGTTAAATCCCCAACAGCGATACAAAAGTCGAAACCCTCCTTTTTCACCTGCTCAGCAGCCAGGTGCATCCGATAGGTATCATTCTTGTATCCATCCAGGCCGAAACCGAGTTGGATATCGCCCAACTGGCAGAAGCGGAAGGGTTTGAAGTCGGCCCAGACTATTATTCAAACAACAATGTCAGAATCTTTGGAGAACATTATCCCATATTCTAGACAATTTTGTGACAACCTACCAGCTGGAATTCCGAGCACAAGGCCCGCCATAAATGTTTGAAAAGATATCTTCATTTTGATCGAATTTGATAGCCTGGAAAGGGTATCAAATAACTGCACATTGAGTTGGCATGAAGATCCATTCTATCACCTTTTATAATCATTTATAAGTCGTCTTCAATCAGTATTTCCATATATATATGCTTTGACAGCAGCAAGCTTCTGTGAACCACCGCATTGCGCACGTGCTATGTCAACGGCCATTAAAACGCGCTGGAAGGGTCACGTGTACCACATGTCTGCAACATTAATATTACCCGTGCATTAGGTTAAGGGTCGGCAGGCGCGGGATTTAGAAGGTACTTGGCCAAATTATCCTGATTATCCTGATAGTAACTAATCAGGCCAATAGAACATATGCAATGTAAACCTATCCTATCTTAGATACTAATGATCAGAGTCTTAAGGATTCGGTATATAGCTATTTAGTTCAAACCAACAGCAAGTTAGAGCCTATCTTTTTAGAGGATTTTTATTGGTGTTCAGAATGAGCAGCTGCCCTGGTTGTTGATTTAATACTTCAACAAACATTAAAATTTGTATAATATATATACAATGCCACTTTATAAAGAATAATAAAGAATCAAAAAAGGTAAATTTAGACATAGAATTTTAGCCGTAAGACCCAGACCTAAGTTTCTCATCACATCACACATATCACACATCCCCGAACTCTACTCCAGAATAACAGAGCCACCTCGCAAAATATTCACCTCTGTACACCCCCCCTCGAACTTTAAAGATACCTCCGATAGTATAGTCGGGAGAGTGCAACGATCAAGACTAGCATCTGGCGGTAATGGCCATTGGAGCCTCCAACAACTTCAATATCCGGGTTAAAAACCTGGGAGGTATCAAGTATGATTCAACCCAGATGCCCCTGTGTCTTCGATCAAGGGAATTAATGGGGCCCCCCTTCTCAATATGGGCATGGTAGGCTGCTATGAGTAATATAACGCAGAGAAGACCCGCTTGATGCGGTGAAAAGCAACGATACTGCAATAACTTTTGTGAAAGGAGCCCAGCATGGTATCTACGCTTGCACCGATTGAGAGAATCTTACCCCGGTAAATTTGATGGTACCGATAAATTCTATCTCTACTACGTTGAGGATTGGTTGGCCAACGGCGGCTGGTTCTTGTAAGCTCTCTGCAAGAGACCGATTTGGCTTTCTTTTTCCAATTGTATAATACCAGTAGAAGCAGAATAGCTTTAAAAGTAAGTACTTTAGCTTGCTGATATGGCCTGGTTAAGGTAGCTTTAACTCAACGACTTGTGTGACACACAATAGCTGAGTCTCAAATTATGACTTGACTTGTTACGTAGAGTCCAAAAGTATGGTTCAACTCAACTCATGTGACATGCTACTTTTACCTAGTAGTCCTTAGTTTAGACATCTTTAGACAGGTATTCAAGAGATAGAACAATATGATTTATTAAATAGGATAGAACCTACCGCTCTAAGTTCCGGGATTGAGGATGTAATCGAAATTCTTATGTTCGCACCTAGGCTTCTCCTACAGGCGCATCTGCGATATCTTTCAGAAACATGATCTATTTATTTGAACTATACTTGCAGCATCATCAATATTAAAGATTAAGTTTCTAACTCCTGACCAGATATTCTGATTCAGCTGAAATAATGATAGTAAATCTTCACCTTTGAGTTTCAAATTTTGAAGGGATTCTCAACAAGTAGTTGCTAATGAAGATAATCTTAGGCGCGAGCGTATTGATACCTGGGAAGCAAGGAAGTTACCAGCTGGAAGGCAGGCACAAATAATCCCAAGTGTAATTTCCGCACAGGTAACAAGATCAGTGCGCTTAGATGTCCATGTCGTATCAGTTGAGTTTTGATACATAATCACCCATACTAACCGGACAATGGTCACAACACACACTATACCACCTGCGGCCAGGATAAGAACAATTTTGAATTTCTTCATAAGGGGCAAATGAAGAAGTGGAATCAGTATTATGGGCAGAGCTAAGATAACCAAATCAGTGATCACACTGAATATTGTGTCGCTAAGGAAGACCTTCAGCACATGGAGACATGCCCCACTAGTAGCTTCAGTGCCTTGCCAAAATGCACTAATAGGCATGCAGATGCGGATCTTAACAACTGTTGCTGCAATCGTGTAGGCCACTAGCACCCCACTGAATATGTAGATAAAATAAACTGGCACTGGATATGGTGCGAAGAATCGTGCAAGCATAAAAAGAATCGACAGCTTGACTGTAAGAATAAGTGGGCTGTAGATGACATTTATTATGTAGGAGGCCTAGGTAGGAAGTTCAGTAAACAGTCTGCATACTCCCATACTTCACCTACCTTCAAAAAAAGAACCATGTTGTCCTTTGGTATATCCCATTGATGATTTCCACCGCCTGCATATGCCGCTGGCGAGACAGGTCAATTTTGTCACCGAGATTTATTCTCGAGAACGTACATAGTAGCTGAAGTGAAAACCATGTTGTTGCTAGGATCTAATTGTCGCAGTCAAAACAACAACTCTAATAATCCACCATAGGAAACATGTCCTCATACCCAAGATATAAGACACATCCCTGATCCGATCAATGACTATAAATATCAGGGAATCTGGGTAACTACTTACAGTCCTCAACAAAAAACACATGTTGCATGAATATCTTGACATATAGCCTCATTATAACAACGCATGCGACAACAGGGATGCAAATAAACTGGGTAACTTTGACCCATATTTGAAACCCTCCGGATGGATTACTAAAGTTCGGTATAATATTTGGCGGTGGTGGAGCAGCTGGCTCTTGCGACATAGCAACAGTTGAGAAATCATACTACCTCTTATATTTAACAGAAGCAAAACTCATTTTGAATTCGATACAGAGGAGCGCCAGAGACAGAAGGGCTTGAGCGGATGACTCGAACTGTCCAAGTGGGTTAGCCGCTTTATAGTTGACATGTGGTTTCTCGGCGGAATCGCTACACTCCACGTCATCGAAAGGTCATCAATAAATCCACATATTCCACACGAGCTACCTACCTCTGTATTGAATACTCGAAAGGCTTTTTTAATATCTCCGTATCTCTGTCACAACAGATCTGGGGGATCTGAAACCTTAAAGAAGAGTGGTCTAATAGTACTCTCCGATACATTAACCTAAGGTCTAAATAATGTACTCGACATTTGACAGGGCTTTCTGTGAGAAGATCACAAGCAAAAACTGCTTCATCTAGGATGGCATTTGAAAAGCACTCAACTGTTTGATCATCCAAAGTCTCAAAGAGCTGGCCACCATACCAAAAGAGGCTGGGCTTTTGGGCATAGAGCAATGCGGTGCGTGCGATTTATCAGTCTAGAGATCCATCAACTAGCTCTTAAATCTCATAAGAGTAAAATCCAGGCAATAAGCCATGGCCATCCTATAGATCACATACTCGTGCCAGTAACTTAGCATCACCTTAAAGATCGGGCGGCATCAGAGGATAGTATCGCATAGTATATAGCCATAGCAGCCAGTATTCAAGGTCAAACCTTTCCAAACTGCCTGCGTATGCTGCCCGGAAGGTATTCTCCATATCTAGATAAAACAGCTGTCTCTTATATCCGGGAAAGCAATAAACAGCTCCATCATGGCATAGATAGACTCTTTCAGAATACTGAAGAGATGCTTTCAGCTTTCCAAGTATTTAAAGTCCTCAAAGAAGGTAAATAAAGAAGCCAACAGTCCATTAAGCCGTTCCAGATACCCAGATGGCCGCTCGCCTATCTTGAATAATGCAGCAAAGACCTGGCACCTTAGGACCAATCCCTTTACCACTTTGGCATCACTGCAGGAAGTACCGGGTACAAAGGCAATCTACTCTAATAAGGTCCTATATATAATAGAATTGTCACGACTAATATATGCCATCTATCATGCTGAACGCAGCGAGAACGATACTAGTCGAGTTGCCTGTTGGTACGGAGCGAGAATGAAAATCCGAGGTGAGGTTATGAAAAATATTATTTCCAAAATACGACAGCAGGGCTTTGTTCTTGGTCAGTTATACCTTTATAGGTATGATTGGATTATCTTGATTCTTTGCAAACGCTCGGACTCTTGGTATCTGCGTAAAGCCACCACAATCCCTGCTATTGACATTTGATTAGGGAGTTTGAAGCCAATCAATTCCATATGCCAGGACACATAAAGTGGGGGGAACATTTCACAAAGATAGCAAGTTTTGCGTGCTTCGCTGTCCTGATGCCATAATAGTATAAATAACTGACAGAAGCCCCAGGGAACAATAAGGACCAGCCGCAATATAAGTCCAGGCAACAACCAGCCAAATGCTTTCCGTATTATGATGAAGCCTGTATATTTGCCTGAATATGGTGGTGTGACTCCTGGTGTGTGCGTACACCTCGTTTCTACCATCTCTGGGATGGGTTTTCAGACCTCATTTTTGCCTCCCACAGGGTATTCGGAAAGAACAGCGTTAAGCCAGACCATCTATGGACCAAGCGCGGATGGAGCGGTAGCCATCAGTCAAATCTCACAGGCTTGTCATCTGCGCGGATGAGCAAGACTGGAAGGTGAGACCCCGCCATTCTCCCGCAGTGAGTCTCGTCATGTCGCTGCCGCAGCAGATGCATAGAGCTAGTCATGCAACTGACTGTGCCATAATACATGTACTTGATCACGGGTATCATCTATGATTGCTGTTCCTTGTAGCTGTTGAATGCGGCGTTTAATGATTGGTTGTAATGCCGTTTTTGAGCGAATCAACACCAACTGCCCGCGCTAGGCACCAGAGAGATGCTTTTTTCCAATTTTTAATTTACGCTGATCATGCCTTGCCACAACAAGGCTGGATTCTACCAACTGTAAGTGGGCGGTTCTGTTGGCTGGATAGCCTTGCGGCAGACAGTGCCTACAAGACCGGAGATTGTTATTTTAGAGACCGCTAAGCCTTTGATCCATCTATTTCATTCAGTATCCATTCTCCCATCTCAATATGAACCCAGTAGATAATAAATCCTCCCATCCCAACGCAATCATCGCCGCGTATCTAACGGAGCACACGACGGAATATCAACTCCTCTCCGAGCTCAGACAGAGAGTATTACTTCTTGCACCCTTGAAGTGGGCGAATGCTAACAAGCCTCCCAGGGATGGAATAATCCAGAAGGCGACTTGTTCTTCCAGCGCCAGCGCCAGAATGCCGATGAAGCAGATAGCCGTACGGCCATTTTTTTCTTCCGTATGATGAAGAATATAGGTCAGGAGATGCAGAAGTGCACAAAAGCTCTTCGAATCAACCATACATACCAACCCCGTATTCTCGACCTGTGTTTTGCCCCAGGAGGCTTTCTGGCCACCGCTTTACGCCTGAACCCCAGTGCGTCTGCAATGGGATTCAGTCTGCCACCCTCGCAAGGAGGCCACCGTGATTTGCTACCCTCCCATCCAAACATTCAGTTGAAGTTTCTGGACGTCACGATGCTGGCGGAAGATATGGGTGCAACGGAGATCCCAGCCGGGCATCCAGACGCGGAGCGATTTCTACCCAGACAATTCGCCGACGAACAGACCTTTGATCTTATTTTCTGTGATGGACAAGTCCTCCGGACCCATGAACGGGCTGCATATCGTGAGCGACGAGAGGCGGCACGACTGTCAATTTCGCAGCTGGCCCTTGGGTTGGAGCATATCTACCCTGGTGGGACAATGGTTGTCCTCTTGCACAAGGTGGAGGCATGGGATACTGTCAAGCTTCTCTATCAGTTCTCGCAGTTCTCTTCTGTGCGGTTGTTTAAACCGAGAAAAAGTCATAGCAAGCGATCGTCGTTTTATATGATCGCGAGAAATATACAGAGAGAGCAACCCGAAGCTATTCGCGCGATTGCGCAATGGAAGAGATTATGGAAGGCGGCGACTTTCGGGACGGATCAGATGTATCTCGAGGCACTGAACGAAGACGGGCTTGATCCTGCAACTCTTCTTGAGGAGTTTGGGCCAAGGCTAGTGAAGCTGGGAAGAAAAGTCTGGGAGATACAAGCGACTGCGTTGGAAGGGGCGCCTTTTACTCAGGGTTAAAGTGGTACTTATCCTTCATGATAAGCCACCATTATACAATAGTCACTGTCGATTTTCGACCCAGGCATACCCAGGCGGTGTGAATGAAATTAGATATGTTAAGGACAATGACCAGGATTAAATCTTATAATGAATTTAATATGGGGATTTCTCCTAGCTTACACATAGTCAAATTCGATTGGTTCGCACATTACATATCTCTCGATTTGTACGAGTACAATGGCTAGCTGCCGGCTTCTTCTATGAAATATCGAATTCCATATTTTCTACACAGGCTTCCATTTCTCACATCGCCTGCGGTGGAAGAGTTGAAAGACGGGGCTGGTTTACAGCGCAGCAAGGATAGCTCCATAGGCATCCTTAGCTTGGTAGTTGCCATCGAACAACAATGGGCTCTCATCCGAGCGCCATGAGTCCTAGATAAGACTGTTAGCTCCTAGCTATACACCGCAATGGAGAGAGGAAAAGTACCTTGTCAGAGACACCCCAAACAGTGATACCGATACACTTGGGTACATTCAAGCACGCATTGACAACCTATATTATCTTTTAGCACGGTTAATTCTAATAAACGAACGATATACGGACATTCACGTAGTCGTTGGAGCCGGCTCCTGCAATGTCAAGTTCGGTAATAGCCAATTCCGAGACACCAGTGGACGCAAGGGCCTTCAGGGCGTCCTGGGTTCCTGAAGTTGGGAATCCCCCAGAGCTGAGAAATAAGGTCAGCAAAATACATCGTTGTTGAGCAGCAAATATTTCACCTGTAGTGAGATTGAGAGCCTAGGATTTATTAGTCGAGTTGCGTTACAAGGAAACTCAGGCAACTTACCGATTCCATCAATAGGAATTCCTGCAGCAATCCACTTTTTAACCTTGCTCACAAATCCCTGAGTCTTGGCGTAGGAAGCGGAATCCAGGCTGGAAGAGATATTTAGCACAACTTCACCTATGCCACGTTGGTAGATCTTACTTGTAGTCATTGATGTACAGCTTGGCGTTGGGATCAGCGGCACGAGCAGCTTCAAAGGCGATTCGGACAAAGTCTTCACCAAGAACCTTTGAGAACACGCTGTCGCGAAGGGATCCATCCTCAGCGAAGATTTCATTCACCACATCCTGTCACGGTCAGTGAGACGAAAATTCGAGTTTACCTCGTGACTTACCCAGGCGTAGATCTTCCCTTTGTATTGGGTCATGACCTTGGTGACATGGTCCTGAATAACCTTGGTAAGAGTGTTGGGATCATTGATCTGCTGAACCCATTGTGGGAGCTGAGAGTGCCAAACTATGGTTTTATCCGTTAATGCATAGCTCCAGTACTCATAATGTGATGAGAACCTACCAAGGGTATGTCCTCGCATAAGCTTCTCATGTTGCTGCGCGTAGTTGACCTATATCACTCGAGTCAGATTAATCCGGAGCAAAACAAGAAAAAAAAAAACATACAACAGCGTCAGATCCGCTGAAACTGAAGCTACCCTGCGAAGCTACCTGAGGTCAGCCTTTGTAAATAATTGACGAACAAAGAGACACATACGCTCGGTTGCATCCCACTTCAGGCTATTCTCGGGAGTCAGGGCGCTGAAATCAGCAGCAATGATAGCCTCATTCTGGCTATTCTGCAATGATTGACCCTCCGCAATGGTTCCGAAATACTTCTTGCCATGTGCCTTGAAGGCATTGTTGATGCTCTGCGGCGCCTGGCGACCAGTCACATATGCGGATGCGACAGTGGTAATAAGGGCGCCATACGCGAGCGAAGAGAGTTGGACCATTTTGAACAAATGACAGGAATAAGCAATTCAGTATCAAAGAAATGTTTGTTGTCGAATTTCAAGGTTTACAATAGCAAAATTGAGCGTGATCCAGGTTGATATTTATATGTGTGAGGCCTTAACAGCTTTATGCTATGGTGAGTGAATTTGATAGAAGTATTTATAAAGTAAAATATATAAAACAGGGATGGTATATCCCTATCAGGAAGGTCTCCGTGACTATTCTAGTGTCCACCATGCGATTCACGGCTTTGTCTTTCATGCAAGCATGATTGACAGTATGTGGGGCTTCATCGGCAGTTTAGAGGGGTAATGATTGCCGGTCTATGATGGTGTAATTGCCAGGAACAAATGCGATGATACTTAGATTGTTTTAGAGCGGGCTGGGGTCGCTTGGCTCTTGGAAAAAGAAGTGGTCGACAAGGGACTAGAATTGAGTGCCAGAACATACGGAGAAAATCGAATGTTCTCTACCTATAGACCAGTCACAACGCCGGGCTGGAACTCGGCCAAGACAACCGACCTTGAACCATGCAAGCCTTCATTGACAAATAGCCTATACTGTACAAATGTATATGCATGTGCACTGCCTAATTTCACCACCGTTTGTAATTCATACGCCCAATAAATTTGCCAAAATCCCTTCATTATGCCTAAACTTCCTACTGGTCGAATGAGCGCTCTTGGGACACGCGATTTGAATCCCAAGTTATAGCGTTTTATGATGTCGGTTTGGATTGATTAAGTGATTGATTGCACTACCTCCCAAGTAAGAGCTTTGAGAAAGTTTCATGCGGCTAATACATCTAACAATGGTCTGTAAATTTTCGGAATGCGTCCTTCACATCATTTGACCAATATACGGGACAACAGTAAGAGCAAGGTGAGCACGTTCAATGGGAATATAGGTGCTCATCATCTGAGGTGGCTCGGGAGGGTTGGGGCTGGTTTTAGGTAGGTGGGACTATCCGCTAACCCTACCCAGATTTTGGTCTATCCACCAGACCCTGACTTAAGCCTAACAAAGTTTAAGGGTCAGACATTGTTCGTCTGCACGCAGAATAGAAGGGTCGGTTAATCAACTCTCTTCAGGCTAAGGAGGTTAGCGTAGAAGCCTATGGGCTACTCAAGGATCCATTTAATTAATTATACAACGGCATTTGGTAGCTCTTCAGGTATTCAGCATTGTCCTTTGGAAAAATCACATGTGTCCTGAGTTCGCTTGAGCCGTCGTTAATTAAGGTCTCCGAGACATTCTTTGGGCTAGTCTGTCTCAGGTTTTATCCGTCGATCAAAATGAGGGATTACGGTGAGCAAGAAACCAGGAGATAAAACGTAGTTAATTAATATTCCTCTCGACTTTCTGCAATAACAATTTCCATTTGCTTTTCTGCTATCTCTCGTCTAATACATAGCGTTCCAATGTGGGGATCAAAGGCGCCAAGATTGGCGAAGCCCTGTCTGGGACTGTATTACTCACATCTGAGTAAGGTGTCATGGCGCAGTACCAGCTTCTGTTAAGAGCCAATCATTTACTGGTAAGGTAAGTAGCAGCGCGACCTAGACTCATGATATGAGCTACAGCGATCTGGTTTGCACTAATCCCCATTAGATAAGGATCGTGGATCCATGGAACCTGGAATAATTTCCGTGATATGATAGACAGCCGACTTGGCGGCTAACCCCGCCTTTGGCAAAGGTGGAGGAAGGCTGCAAAAAGAGACAGTAACAGCAATTTAGCCTAAATCTTCCAATCTGTATGAGCTATTAACAGATGCTACGTCCTCATCTACCATCTAAATAGGGTTGGTTAGTATGCCAAGATCCCGTCGGCAATCGAGCTTCATTTCTCACTGCCGAAAACAAGCTTTAGTCCCCTATGAAAGGCGCTTGTATTAGGGGTTGGATCTAGTTTGATGGAGACTAGCTTACTCTTTGAGGGCCTTGTCCACCTTAAGTAGCGTCTCCGCTTGTTACAGATAACGTTCATTTGATACCATTTGTTCCTAAATGAGCGAATCTCTCTAAATGCCTCGGGGGCTGGCAAGTAGCATAATATCTTTGTCCATGTCTAACGTGCGTAGCTGAGATCTAGGGGTGCCAATTTCCTGGGGCCGGCAATGCACCAACTGCTTCGGCATGGGAAGGATATCCCGGTCATTTGATCCTACTAAACTCATACCCTGGCTTTGAAATCTCCGATGTTCTTCCGATTGAACTACATCCTAGTATAATATTAAAGATACTGTTAGATATATATTAATGTTCCTAAAGAACGGTATTAGTCCGAAGATCTATGCCTTAGACAGGAGTATTTCCGAAGAGGAAGCTGGACCTGAAGTAAAGTCACGCTATGTGCTCAAGTTGAGACGTGCCAATCATGGCTAAAGATGGATTAGCCGGTGCTTCGGTCCTGTAAACCGTGCCTATGTAGGAGATTTACTGTCGATCCCGACAGATATTGCTGATACTGAATATTTCGTGAATTCGGAAGAAAGAAGACACCATATAATATACCGGAAATGCGTTAATCTTCCGTCATGTCAGCAGCCTGCCCACTCCGTGCTTTATAAACAGCGTTCGCCGCCAGTACTCCCAGGCCTGTATTCTCATCGATCAGACTTGAAACACCACCTATACTCTCACTATGAAGCTCCCCTTGATACTTTCCACCCTCGTAGCCACAGCGTTCAGTCAAAAGGAGCTGTGTGCGCAATATGATTCTGCCTCAAGCCCTCCATATTCCGTGAACAACAATCTCTGGGGAAAGGACCAGGGAACCGGCTCCCAGTGCGTCTATGTTGACAACCTCTCTAGCTCGGGCGCTGCATGGCACACTACCTGGAATTGGAGCGGTGGCGAAGGCACGGTGAAGAGCTATTCCAACTCCGGAGTCACCTTTGAGAAGAAGCTTGTGAGCGACGTTAGCAGTATCCCCACCAATGTGGAATGGGAACAGGATAACACCAATGTCAACGCTGATGTGGCATATGACCTGTTTACCGCTGCGGACAAGAATCACGCCACATCAAGCGGTGATTATGAACTGATGATTTGGTACGTATCAGCTGATTACCCCTGCAGCCGTTTCTTCTACATAGCTTGTACAGCAAGGAAAGTTCAATAAACTGACTCCGTCGGATTTCTACTTCTTCCAGGCTCGCACGCTACGGTACTATCCAGCCAATTGGCACCAAAATCGATTCACCTACAATTGGAGGCCATACGTGGGAGCTGTGGTACGGCACCACCACCCAGGCAGGCGCTGAACAGAAGACGTACAGCTTCGTCTCGGCAACCCCGATCAACTCATGGAAAGGAGACATCAAGCCATTTTTCGACTACATTACATCTAAGCAGAACTTCCCTGCTTCTAGCCAGTACTTGACCAGTAAGGATACACAAAATTAACCCACACACAAGCAAAATCACTAATAAGAACAATGTAAAGACCTGCAGTTCGGAACTGAGCCTTTCACTGGTGGCCCAGTAACTTTCAAGGTTCCTCAATGGACTGCCAGTGTTAACTAAGAATATGGAAGCCTCATGATCTATTCCTCAACGGGCTGGTGGCCCACGGTGTAGTTGGCATGTTCTGCTTACCCCCACTACCTATGGATGTCTTCAATTGCTTCAGAACATGGGTGATTGTGACCGATTTTCCTATAGGTTGGACTTTGGCTTGAAGAACATATCCAGTGTTTTTATACTAGCAGGAGGAATTTAGGCAGTTAGCAATCCTGTCTATTCATGTTATCTAGTTTTCTGTATTTGATCTGGCCTTATAGCGATCTGCTGCCAATCTGACATTGTCTTTGCTTGGTATTTGTTCACTGCTCTGACTTACTTCTCTGCGTAGTCTTATGTGCAACCTCACCTTTATCATTCAAATGTTTACATCTATATAGTCCTCCTTTATGGTGTGTCTAGTACATACGACCACAGGGTGTGGAGAACAGGGCTTCCCGTCCGCTCAGCCGTACTTAAGCCACACGCCGGCAGGTTAGTAGTTGGGTGGGTGACCACCAGCGAATCCCTGCTGTTGTATGTTTTTTTGCTTTTTATATTTCATTTTTGTATATTTTAGTGCTCTTCTTTATTGATAGCAATTTCCATTGCATACAGACCAGCAGATAAATCAGGAAACATAATATGGTTCCATATCGTGAACCTCAATCTTTATCCGAGAAGCCAGCCCCACAGTTCAGCCGCAGCTGAAAAAAATGACGTAGTTATAAACCCCATGGAGCAGTGATCTACATAGAGGGGTAATATTAATAGACCTTGAGTCCCGAGAGACAGAAAAGACGATTGTAACCATCCTGCTGCAGTCTACAGCCCAGATAAAACAACATGTCTGACACCGAAAGAAAGGTATGTACTATAGCATCCCTAGCCCTGTCCAGAAATAGAGCTAACATAGTCATCAGAGCGTTAGCATTCGATTCGATAACATCGAGGCATACCAGGAACATGATGCCACTGTTAATGCGTGAGTCTTGACTATATCTCCATGGTCAGGAATATATTTACTGGTTATAAAAGCATAATGACCAAGGATGCTTCAAACGGGGAAGAATTTATCATGCAGCCAAGCTATCCCCCAATCTACTGCCCCCCGTAAGTTTGACTTTGCCTCCAATTGAGTATGTACGTGCTAATGTACGTTCGTATGCCAGACCGATGTCATCGGATGCTATTGAAAAGCTGCAAGCTTTGGAGGGGGTTCAGGTTATCGTACACGACAACTAAGACGAACTTGCCATGTTTGAATGATGGTGGTTCCCCAGAATGTATTAGATAGACTCATGTGACCATCCTTTAGATAACTGAAATCAGAGTATTATTTTATGCAGGACCTAAAACTCATCTGGCGCGGGTACAGGGTAAAACCCTTCAATGGGGTTCAGCTGGAGCTGTACATAATATTCTATAATGTGGGTATGGTGGGGTTAAGATACCGTCTCAGCTGAAAAATGTGTGGCTGAGCTGTTCCTATGGCATGTAGCGCTCTGTGGTTGGATATAACTAGTGAGGGGTATGGCTGAAAGGACAATCATTATTAATAATACTAATTAGCTGAATATGATTATTCAAAGCTGCCCCTCCTTCTTCGACTAGTTCCATCCCTCATCTCCTTCACTCTATTGGAATCACATCACTCCTCTGACAATCTGTACAGTAAGAACCTTTACTCTTTTATAGTGTTTCTCTAACATGACATTAGAGCCCGCGGCAAAGTGATGAAGAGAATAAAATAAAATCCGAAATCCCGTATGCCCTATTCCTACTGATCATAGCCTTCGACGAGGATCTTAGTCGCGACTCGTATACCTCATTTGTTATTATGTTAAGAAAGACAGTCTTCCGAATGACAAAGGCTGTAGCCTCCAAGTCCTATCTCCAAAGTCTAGTTCAGGGAGAGTCATTGACTGAGAACCTGCAAATCTATCGATCAGAGACATATGACCTGTTAGATCCTGGTGAAAGGAAGGGTTTCTTAAGGATATTTCTAGGCCTCATTCAGTATCTCAATATCAACACCATCGACACGAGAGTTTAGAATTTCTATGGGGATATTTAATTATCTATTTCCAGCGGCACTATCTTGGTATGCCTTCGAGGGAGGGAAGACAATATGTCTCGCGTCTAATTTAGATCCTATAGGAACTTGCATTTATCAATTTTTTAATTAGGGTTACAGTAATCACTGAACTATATTATCTCTAGATGTATTACTGACTTAGTATAGAGAGCTCGCTTTAAGCTTCCTGAGGCCTCGTCTGGCCCTCCAATAGTTACTGTGCACCAAGATTTCTGGACAGCCCTTGATGACCCACGACCACTTTTGAACAAACAGCTGAGAGACTTCCCAGCTCTGCGGAAGCCAGGGGTCACCCCATACCATGATCCCGACATCACCGCTGGCGGGATCCATGATATCCGTACACAGCTCGCAATCGTCGAATGACTCACTGGCATTGACGAGATTATCGCGCATTCGCGGAAACGGGAAACAATCTAGCCAGGGATGATGGGGGGTTGAGCATTGAGTCGTGGTGGGCAAGAGACTCGCTGGAAGGATTTCTCGGTTGTGTTTGTTTGTGGGGATATTAGTATTGAATGGGGAGATGGCGTCTTCTTCTCCAATGGCCTGGATGCTTAATCCCAGGGCGGCCATGTTATCCACAAAGGCCCGCAGAACGTTGAATTTGGATAAAGTGAATAAATGGTCCAGGCATGGATTTGCAGCGTAGTATCTCTCATAGGCTACTGTGTGAAAGCGCGTCATCATCGCCACGGCCTCTGCGAGCGTGGTTGGTCGTCGTGGCCCTTGGACTGGGTCTGGCCGTGGAAGAATCGATGCATATGAACGGGGCAGGTCGGCCCGGCTCTTCTTGGCCTGCGAGATCAGGGCTTGTTTTTCATGGCGTTTTCTCGCTCCTACGAGAGGGTTAGTGTGCTGTGGTGACAGCAAGGGTGTCGACGACGTACGCAAAGCACGTTGATTGAGTTTATTCTGCAGCTTCTTCCGGAGAGCAGGATCTGTGACTGCGGTCCAATCCTCGTCAAGCCGATGGATCCGCTCTTGCGACATTAGACAAGCCAGGTGGTTACTGTGACAGAGAAAATAGGAGTGGTGAAGCAAAAGGAGAAGTGGCGATGATGCATTGCAAAGAGTGGGGCGGGTCAATCGGATGACGGATTTTCAGCCAATCACAGTCAAGACACCATAGATACCTTAGTATCAAGCAAAGTGGACCATATATATACACATAATGCATAATTATGTGTCCGGGCACATTTTTAGCTTAGTTGTATGGTCATTTTTTGACTGAGAGATAGGATGACTCCGATGAAAAATCCTGACTGGTGTTTCCCAACAGCCTGGGGTTTGCCACTGACCAGTGGATCTCTCCGAGGTCGAGGCGAGGGGATCTACTATAGACATGAATGGCAGATATGCAAAGGATAGACAGAATATCGATTAAAGCTTAAGAGAGAGGATTCGAATAGCATAACAATATACGACTAACAATATACTCATGACACAAATGGTAGCTCTACTCAATCGTCTCGACATGTCCTGCAAGCTCGCCCTGCACCCATCCAAACAATTCCTCCTGAAGATCGCGATTCTGGGCGAGCTGAGACCCTGATTCTGCTTTCCCAACAGGCCCATAGTACTGACCGTGTTTCGCCTCAGGGCTCACCGCCACAAAAATCTGCGACAGCGCGCCTTTCTCCACGGGGGTTGCAGCGAGGCAGACCGCAGCATAGAGGAAGGGTTTGAGGAACGTACCCGTCGAGGCATGGTGGAGGTTCGTCGCGACCATCCCGGGGTGAACGGGGATGATTTTGACGTTTGTTTCCCTCTCCGCCAACGCTTTGGCATAATGGAGATTGGCGAGTTTGGACGTCGTATACCGTTGAGTGGTATGGCGAAGGGGCGCGGTGGTTCGAAGCTCGTCAAAATTGTAAACGTCACTGGGCGCCCGGGCATGAGCGGCAGATGAGAGCATGACCATACGGGCCTGGCTGTTCAGGTTTACCGTGTTGCGGAGAGTTGGGAGGAGAAGCTGAGTGAGGAGCGCTGGGCCCAGGACGTTTGTTCCAAATTGGATCTCGTATCCGTCCTGGGTGACGCCTTCTGGGGTCATCATGATGCCGGCATTGTTGATCAGGATGTCCAGACGAGACTCTCGACTGAGAAAGTCTGCGGCGGCTGCTTTGATGCTTTCGAACGATGCAAGGTCGAGTTGTAAGAAATGGATGTTGGTGAGCTTTGGATTGGCGTGTTTGAGCTCGGAAATGGCTTGTTCGGCCTTGCTTTGGGATCGAGCAGCGAGATAGATACTCGCTGGATTATTCTCGCTGAGCTGGCGGATAGTCTCATAACCGAGACCCATGTTGCCTCCGGTGACAATGATGACCTGGCCGTGGAGGTTAGGAATATCCTGACTGCGGAATGTAGGCATGGCGAAGTTCTCTCCGTTTGTCGGGAAGTCTGGCAAGAAGAAGATAGAGGACTGAAGCAAGGTTGGGAGATGGGGTTTTTAAGCCACTATTTGCCTTTTATATCGGTCCATAGTACTCTCGACACAGAATCAGGCACTTTAATCAAAGTTAGTATATATACACAATTATAGTGTTTGTCCTGATTGGTTGAAAAACCGTCATCCTGCTAGTTCACTATCAATCTGAACAATGATTGGATAAGATAGAGTGAGTGGGTCTTAGAGTATCCGACTATTCCATCACCTAAATTGTCTCACCCTCTTATAGTATTGTGTGGGTGCGCCTTTCACAGCAAGTAGCAACTCTGCCCATCAATTATCTGTTTGTAACATGTTTACTATCCATATACTCCTCTCTGATGTTGTGTCTGGTACATACGACCATAAGGTGTGGAGGTTAGGGCTTCCTATCCACTCAGCCATACTTAAGCTACAAATAGCTAAACTAATTCTTATATCTGTAGGTAAAAGTACTAGTAAGCATAATACTATGTCATGGGTTATACTTGACTTTGTTCAGAATTTGAAGTGTCGAAGACTGTTGGTTTGGTATTAAACTTTCCTTGTTTTGTCCCCTAGAAAGATCACGTGGTAAAAACGCAAATACAGTATTAGATATTATTATAGACTAGTGCTAGCTACACATATTAGGTACATGGGAATATTCATGCTTTTGACAAAATTCTTTTTCTTCCTCTGATTCTTCCTCTGATTCTTCCTCTTTTCCCTCCAATAATTCCAATTTAAAGCAAACAATGATCCTCTTAGCCCATCTACAATGCGATTCTATACCAGCCCATTCGTTGTACACGAATCCTGTTACACTTTTACCAGTTCAGCCAGAGGAGTCTCAGGACTCTTAGAGAACACTTCAATTGTACGGGCAAGCCGCTCAGCCAGACTTTCCGCAGCAGGCAGATCCATCATGTCCTCGGCAGCCATGATCATGATGCCCAGGTGTGGCCCGCGCTCAATCGTAACCACGCCCACCTGGCCTTGTGCCAGTTTGGAGTTGGCCCAGCTGGAGTTGGAGATGGAGCACACACCATCCATGTCCAAGGGCTCGTCGAATTCAACGCCTTGGTGGTGGACAAGGCATCCAAGCTTGGGTTTGCCGGACCAGCTGGTGCATTTTTCCACGATGCTGTCAAACGATACGTAGTCATAAGTGAAGGTTTCCAGCTGCTGGGCTTGCACATGGTAAACCAGATCCTGTACTGTCATCTCGTGGTCGATCATGACTCGAACAGGGAGCAGGTTGAGACAGGGCCCAAGGACTTTATCGACATTGGGAAGGGGTGCACCACGGCCATGAACGACCTGACCTAGAATGACATCCGAGCTGTTAATCTGTTCCGATAGAACCCAGGACAGAGCGGCCTTTGCCAGCGAGGCAACAGTCACATTGGGCAAAAGCTGGGGATGTTCGACCTCCCTTCTTGCGCTGGTGTGTTTTTCCGACCTCACGGGGACGCTGCTAATATCGAATGGATCGAGTATAGCCGGGTGCACCCCCTGCAGGTAACTACGCCAGAAAGAGTAGGCATCCTTATTGTCATCCCGGAGCCGATTGTAGACCACCTCTCTGAACTGCAACGTCTTTGGGAGAACCTCTCCTCGATAGGCGATCGCCACCGCCTCCCATAGCAAAGGTAGGGAGGTTCCATCGTACTGAGCATGTGATACTCTGAGGATAAGTACGGAAGCCTTCTTGGTGGGGCTGGTGACGAGAGTGAACCCGACGGGAAGAGTTCCTCGATCGGTAGAGCTGGGCAGCTTTTCTTGCGATTTCTGCATGATGTAGTCCTCTGGTTCATCATATATAATGTGTTCGAATACTGGATCCACCTCTCCTAAGACGACCTGGAAGAGAGAGTCGTTGAAGTCCACAAAGACTGTTCGCAGGATGCTGTGGTGAACCATCGCCCGCTTACATGCCGTTCGGAGTCGATCTACATCCAAGGTATCCGGGAAAACGTGGGCGGTAGAAACCGGCGAGGAGTGCGTGATGTAGAAATTTTGAAAGTCGAGAGCCGGAAGAATATCTGCTACATTCTCTGGGGTGAAGGGATGTTCCCGTGAAAAGTGCGAAGAGAGAATGGCAACACGTTCATGATCCTGGATGAGCGAGAAGGGGGCATGTTGCCCAGCGTAAGATCCGGTTCCACGATGGCTATCGACAATGTTGGCCCATTCCGAAATGGTTGGATATCGAAGAACATCATTAGAGCTGATCTCCAGGCCCTCAGCTCGCGCGTTGGCGGCAATCTTCATGGCGAGGATCGAGTCTCCACCAAAGTGGAGGAAACTGTCATCTGCGTCGACTGCTTCTGGGGGAATGTTCAGGAGCCTTGTCAAAATGGCATGGAATTTCTTCGCCGTATCACTTGCCAAAGCCTTCTTGCTGCCTTGGATTGCAGAGTATACGCTCCAGTCTTCCGGTGAAATGGACCGCAGAATCTTGCGCAGCTCGGCCCTGTCCGTTTTACCAGAGGCTGTCAAAGGCACCTGGCTGATGGGCATCATCAAGTCCGGAACCATGTAAACAGGTAGAACATCGCGGAGTTGTCGTATACATTCGGCGGCAGCCGCGTGAAAGTCTTCTCCAGGGATTGGGAGAGCTTTGCGTTCTTTGGACATACTCTCATCTGTATCACTGTTCGAATCGATTCGTACACAAGCAACCAGTCGAGGAGCTACTGAGCCTGATCCGGGAGTAGATGATGGGCCATTGGGGACCATGACTTGCTCGACCAGCACTTCTTTATGACCTGGAAAAGTCTGCCAGGTGTGATACTCGATATCACCGAGTTCAACGCGCTGTCCACGTACTTTTATTTGTCGGTCTTTCCGGCCCTCAAAGCGTAGAGATCCATCTGCTATTTCGTAGCGAACCAGGTCTCCTGTTTTATAAAGTCGCCAGGATGATGACTGTCCCGGGTAGAGGTCTTGTAGCCATTTTGGCGCGTGGATGAAGGCTGCAGCTGTTCTTTCTGGGTCGTTTAGGTAACCATGCGCCACGGACGGGCCGCTGAGAATCAACTCTCCAATGGCACCGACAGGTAGAGGTATACTGTAGTCGTTCCTATCAACAACCCAGCAGTGGACACCCAAGGCACAACCAATGTCGCAGGGATCATGTCTGGGGCTAAGGGGTGATGACATTGTAGCAAAAACCGTGCACTCTGTCGGGCCATAACCGTTCACAAGACGACACTGTTCACTCCACTGAGTGATATGTACATCTGACATGGGCTCGCCCTGAAGAACAAGGGTCTGCACCCACGACGAGGCCTTGGAGGCGTCCAGCCCGCTCGCAGCTGACGGCGTCAGGAAGGCATGTGACACTGGGAAGGGACATGCGCCATCTAAGAACATCTGACTCTGTTCGGGCTCTGTGAGCACGCAGACGGTAGCACCGGCTATCAGAGTAGTTAGGATCTCCGTCATCGAGACATCGAATGAATATGAAGAGAGCTGCAGGACTCGGGACGAAGGGTCCAGTTCGAAGCCAGTGATTTGAGCCTCCGCGGCGTAGGTATATGATCTGTGCGATACCATGACACCCTTAGGGGATCCAGTGGTGCCGGAGGTGTAGAGTATATACGCCGGCTGTTCAGGGTCCACAGGTTGCGTAAGGCCAACATCTTCCCCAATACCATTCTCCACGCCGGTATTATCACCGATCACCATCACCTTTGGTGCAAGCTCTCGGCTTTGTAATGCCTGGATGACCGATGATATAATCAAGTCAGCGTCAACACGACGGCATATGTCCTGTAGCCTGGCCACGGGCTGGGCAGGGTCAAGAGGAACCAGAACGGCCCCCACTTTCAGGACTGCTAGCATGGCAACAATTGTCCATCGCGACTTCTCAAAGCAGATGGGTATTCTCTGAGATGCAGTAACCCCATGCTGAGTCAATGACCTGGCTAGCTTTGCTGCCAGCTGATCTAGCTCCCTGTAGCTCCAGTCTCCCTCTGCACCTGCTACCGCAACGCATTCCGACTGCTTCTCTGCTCGCTGTCGAATAGCCTCATGCACACATTTACGGGTAGGATCTGGTAGAGTTTTGTTCCAATGCAGGAGTCGTTGTTTGTCCTGGACGCTGAGGAGCTGCAAATCACCGACACAGCCGTCTCTGTTCTGGAGAATAGTTCCCACGGCTAGATCGAAATACTGGGCTAATTGAGATGCCAGAGAGGAGGACACCTGCGATGGACGGTAGGTCATGGCCACCTCTATCTGACCATTCTCCTGGAATTCGGCATACAGCATGACGTCTTGCTGTAAGTTCACAAATAATCAGTATGTGATATAAGCAACAGAGGAATCATCGAAGCCTACCAGAATCGGGTCTAACCCGTGCAACAGAGCCATTTGTAGTGCGGTGTCCTCTTCCGCATCAGAATGACCAGCTGACCTCTTATATTGGACGTTGACGGCCGTGGAGGCCAAGTCTCGCATCGATGCTCCGGCAGCCCGAGCAATATCGACCAACGGGAACGTCTGATATGACAGAACGTTGGAATAATCCTCTTGGAGGCGCATGGCAGCCTGGTTGAGGGATAGTTGCCGTGCCAGGCGCACTCTGCAAATGGACTCATTGGCAAATTGGCCGATTGCCTCATTTATGTGAGGCACAGGCACTAGCCTGCCCGACGAGAATGTCCCAAAGCAAACATCATCCGAGCCAGTGAATGCACCAAGTGTCAGAGCCCAGGCAAAGTAAAGGACATTCGACGCGGTCCACTCGTTGGAGCGACAGAAAGACTCGATATCAGACCCACGTTGCGTGAGCGTGATGTTCAACAGCTCCAGACAATTATGAGATGAAGGCTCTGAAAGTCGGGGAGCTGGAAGTTGAGAGGTTTGCATGTCTTCCAGATATGAGCTCCAGTACTCACGTGCCTGCTCTTGTGACTGTTGTTCAACAAAGGTGATGTATTTCTGATATGTGTCGTTTTGCGAAGTCACCAGAGCCGAGTCGCTACTGTAAGCTCGACCGATATCCCGCACGAGAACAGCCAAGGACATGGCATCGATGATTACATGGTTGATATCCAATCGGCAAAAGACACGGCCTGTGGGGGTTGTGCAGATAGTAAGCTGGTGAGGAACAGCCTGGCCGTCGTGGCGAGTCACAGCGGCGGAAGATGTACTGAGCACAGTAGGCACCCCTGGTCGGTCCTCCTCCATGTCACACTGGACCATCACTAGCGGGGGGTCGACATGACGCAGCAGTATCTGCTCGAATTGACCATTTCCAGATACACTTGGGCGGAAGCCAGCCCGGAGTGCCGGATGCCAGGCCACGACCTGCCTCCAGGCTCGTGCCAGTCGATCTATATCAACCACCGCCGTGCCATGCTGGGAAGCCGATGCTAGATTCACCTGCCAGATGAAGTGTGTCACATAGCTGCTGCTGTCTCTGATCTGGCTCACCAGGATGCCTCTCTGGGCAGGGGTACAGGGCAAGACCATCTCCACATTCGCTTCCGAGTCCCGGTCCTGGGCGCCGAGAGCAAAGCGCTTGGTGACTTCTAGGATGGTCCGGAAGCGGAACAGGTCTCCGACCGAGTGGTCGATTCCTACGGCACGAGCTTGGGAGGTGGCTTGCAGGGCAGAGATGGAATCGCCTCCCAAGCGGAAAAAGCTATCATCCACGCCAATCTGTTCTGCCGGAATGCCCAGCGCCCGCGCCCAGATTCGCTGGAGGGCCCGTTCGACGTCTGTCGCGGTAGCACGCTTGCCGTGGGATTTGGGAGCAAAGAAGGACTGCAGCTGGTCGCGTGTTACTTCCGCCATGGACTCTCGTAGCTTCGTCCGATCCACCTTCCCGCCGATTGTTTTGGGCATATGTCGAAGGGGTATGAAGGCAGTTGGTATCATGTAGTCTGGAAGAAGGTCCAGCAGCTGCTCTTTGGTATGGGCGACCTTCTCTTTGATATCTGTCGGTGCCACGATGTCCAGAGTTACCGTGGGTGAGGGTTCCAGTGCAGGTGCCGTCAGCCCTTCTTTTGGCACAATAAAGACAACCAGACAGGGGGACTTGATGAGTGCTGCCGGGGTGACTATCTGAGCAACGACATCCTCCACTTCCCCGGGGAACGTCTGCTGGACGTGCTCTTCTACTTCGCCAAGTTCGAAACGTTGGCCTCGCAACTTGACTTGGAAGTCTCTTCGCCCAACGAAGGAGAGAGACCCATCTTCCTCGTACCGAACGAGATCGCCTGTGCGGTACATGCGGTCGTATTTTCCTTCCATTCCAAGCTTCTGAACCCACGGCGGCTCAGAAATGAATGCAGCAGCTGTTTGCTCTGGGTTGTTCAAATAACCCCGACCAACAAGGGGCCCTTGGAGAAGAAGCTCACCAACTGCCCCGGTGGGCACGAGTCGACTGGGGTCTCGGCGATCTGTTACCCAAACTGCGCCTGCAATCGGGAAGCCAATGTTTGCCGCTTGGGAGTCGGGGGTGATGGATGGCTGCATGGTATAGACTACCGTGCACTCCGCAGGCCCGTAAGTATTCAACAGTCGCACTTTTCGTGCCCATTGCTGGACGTCACTTGCACGGACGGGCTCTCCAATAAGCATGATTGTATGCACAGATGGCAGGTCATACTCAGTCACCACACGCAACACAGACGGTGTCAATACGGCGTGAGATGGTTGCAGCTTGGTAACGGCTTGCGCTATCTTGTCTCTACGCTCTGACTCTGACAGAACACATATGCAGGCACCGGCAAATAATGTGCCCAGAATCTCGAGGATGCTGACATCAAAGGCATAGGAGGCGAAATGAAGGATCCGAGAACTCGGTTCAAGACCCATGATTCGAGCCCATGGAACAGCCATCGTCGCAAATGACCCGTTCTCGACAACTGCACCTTTGGGCTTGCCGGTGGAGCCAGAGGTGAATACTGCATACAATGCATGATCTGCATTGAGACGGGGCCAGCTGCTGGCTACCGGTAAACCCGAACGATCACTTTCTTCAGCAATCAGAACATTCGGAACGAGAGACTGTGCAGTCTCTTGACTTTCCACTGAAGAAATGATGACAGAAGCATTGACTTCCTGGCAAACGGTGCGAAGCCGCCCTGGTGGGTGCAGAATGTCAAGAAGCACAAATGCCGCGCCAGCCTTCATGACTGCCAGAACCGCGACCACAATCCATCGTGATCGGCCCATGTATATGGGTACGAAATCATCGGGTCCAATACCCTGGGATCTCAGGAGAGTGGCGAGGTTTGCAGAAAGAACATTTAGTTCGTCATAAGAAAGGTCCCCATCCCAGGCACAGACAGCTGGAGCCAAAGGTTGCGTGGTGCAGTGCTGGCGGATCACATCAACTATCAGCTCAGACTCAGACTCAGAATCGATCTTGGAGTTCGACTGCTGCAGCCTCTGGACATCATTGGGGTTCAGCGTGGAAAGTTCTTGGATTTGCTGCTGGGGCTTCTGGTGGACCTGTTGCAGAATGTAACTGAACTGGTCCAGGATACGCTGCATTTCCCATTGGGGCACAACGTGCTCATCAATGGCGGCTTCGACAACCAATTGGTCTTTTTGTAAGATGACAGTCAGCTCCACAGCATACGCGTTAGATGCCCCGTCTTGGTAAGTCGTGCCCATGGGCCGTGCAATGTCTATACCCGATAGCATGTTGTCAACCTCACCGCGTCCTTCAATGAGGAGCGTCTGGAAAGAGCAAGCCCTCGCAGCAGCCGGTCCTTGGGCAGCGATCTGGGACAGTCCGACGTGTTCGAAAGGAATCATTTCCAGAGTCCGCTCCTGTAATTCCGCAAGTGATTCGGATACGGTTTTGTTCTCATCAAGAACCACGTACAGAGGAATTGTAGCAATTGTTGGACCAGCCATGGTCTCAATTCCACGGATGGGGGCTGTACGTCCAGGTGATACCATACCGAAGAAGACCTCATCGCTGCTTTGATACTGGGACTGCACCAGAGCCCAAGCCAGTTTGATAGCCGTGCTTCGACTGACGCCGTCATCCATTAATTGACCCGTCCAGATGGAGCGCTCAAACCGTGTTGTCGTACTTGGCCGGTACGCTGGGGAGGGCAAAGAAGGGAATGGATCGGTGTTTACATTTTCAAGCTCCGTGCGCCAATGCTGTAGGGCCGCTTCTTTTTGGGACATGGTATATTCTATGAAGGCCTGGAAAGGCAATGATACCAGCCCGTCCGAGTTGAAATCATTGTAGGCCAACTGTGCTCGCTGCAGGAGAAGTGGCAGAGCCCAGGAGTCATAAGCGGCGTGGTGTGCTGTCACCACCAGCTCCATCTGGTTGTCTGATGTTGGAATAATTTCAAAATGCACCAATGGTTGTCCGAACAGAACCTCCCATGTTGGCTTCTTCTCTTCCCTTTTCTCGCCGGTCATCCAGTGGAGCCGATTGTCCTTGGTTACCACCTGAAGAAAGCCCAGTTCCGTTTCAATCATGCGGGTGCGTAGGATGCTATTTCCAGCTGACACCTTTTCCCAAGCCTTTTTTAATCTTTCCAGGTCAATTTCACGAGCTAGTTGAAACCTGTGATGAGCGATATATGATCCTGGGCGTTCCGCTGTCAAAGCTACGAGACCAGCCTGCAGTGGAGTGCACGGATAAATATCTTCGATCTGGTCCTCTGGAACATTACACTGTGCAACGGCTTGTTTGCACACGTTTTCATGATGTTCCAAGGGAAGAAGAGTGAATCGTGGTTCGCTGTTCTTCTCTTTTGCTTCCACTATGGTTGAGGATGGCTCTTCTTCGGGCAAAGAATGCAATCGTGCCAGGTCTCTGAGCTTTGGATGCAGAAATACATCCGGCACAGATAGTTGCAGTCCCTGAGCACTCGCTGTAGATGCCAGCTTCATGACTGCGATCGAATCTCCGCCCAGACGGAAGAAGTTGTCGTCCGGCCCAATCATCTCAACGGGGCGACTTAGCACCTGGGCCCAGATGAACTGCAATCTTCTCTCCACTGCCGTCAGATTTTCGACCTGTCGCACATTCTCCTGTCCTCCCGACTGGTCCAACTGCCGCTGGAGACCTTGCGATGCGTTTTGCCGTAATCGATGTCGGTTCATTTTGCCATTCACCAGTCGAGGTATTTCCAGCACGGGCAGGAAAGCAAAAGGAATTAGAAATGAGGGTACTTCCTTTTGTAGACGGGTTCGGGTCTCTACCACGTCATCCTGGAAAACCTGCTCGTCGTATTTCTGCGACGGCAGAACAATTGAAGCAACCAAGTACGGGTTATCGGAGGTCAACGGGGCCACGAGATCCACAAAAACCTCTGGATTGCTTCCAGGATAACACAACTGAACGTGGCGCTCGATCTCAGCCAGTTCAATGCGTTGGCCTCGCAGCTTTACTTGGCGATCCTTTCGTCCTACGTACCGTAGAGTCCCATCCACTAGCAGTCGGACCATATCCCCAGTTCGATACAGACAGCCCTTGTCGGAGCCACGAGCTTCACTGAGCCAAGCGGGATACGATAGGAAAGAAGTGGCCGTTTGTTGTGGACGATTGACGTAGCCCCGGCCGACAATCGGCCCTTCAATCACCAGCTCACCGACAGCACCAACAGGCATGAGTTTATTCGGGTATGATGGATGCACGACCCAGCTCACAGCCGCTTCGGGATGCCCGATATTCGACGGGTCATTCATGAGGCATTCTGTGGACGGTTGAACCGTAGCAATCACGGAACATTCCGAAGGGCCGTATCCGTTCATCAAATGGACAAACGGTGACCATTGTCGGATGTCATCGTTGGTCATGCCTTCTCCTGCAAGCACGAGTACTTCCAGTGTATCTGACATCTCCTGAGCATTGAGAGTCCGCGCGACGGAAGGAGTCAACATCATCCAGTTTACATTCAATTCCTGAATTGTCTCGGCCAGTTTGCTTTGCCGGTCACTCTCGCTTGGAATGCAGACGCAGCCACCGGCTAAAAGCGTAGTCAGGATTTCCAAAATGCTGACATCAAAGGCATAGGAGGCAAATTGAAGTACGCGGGAATGCTGGTCAAGCTGAAAGACCCTCTGGTGGGCAGCTGCGGCTGAGCGGAAGGCTTGATGCTCAACGATTGTCGCCTTTGGGTTCCCGGTGGAGCCCGATGTAAACACAGCATAAGCCGCACATTGCGGTGATTGTGGTGTTGAGGGCGTTGGCGGTTTGGGATGTGACACCCATCCATGGCTCGCAGCTTCCACCACGACGACCTCTGGTGCAATGCGGGATGCATTTCCCACGAGGCTAGTTGATGTTACAATGACTGGAGATTGAAAGTCTTCTTGTATCATCTTTTGCAACCGTTCCACTGGGTGTGATGGGTCCAGCAAGATGAACGCGCCACCGGCTTTCATGATAGCCAACATCGCAACGGGTATCCATTTGGACTTTTCAAAACACACAGGGACAAAAACTTCAGGGCCGACACCGCGATCGGAGAGATGACGGGCAAGTGATGAAGAGAGAAGATCAAGTTCATGGTGTGAGAAGTTGCCGTCCCAACTAGCCACTGCGCAACTCTCGGGAGACATAAGGCTATGTCGACTGATGTCGCTGTGGATACAAGACTTGACTGTGTCTGGCAGGCTTCGATTCAAATCCAGCATCCATTCTTTGTTCTTCGGGCTGTAGAAATTCAGATCACCCAGCCGGGTATTGGCAGGATCGATCAGTTGCAAGGCAATATGACCGAGAGTGTCGGCAATCAGCTCTGCTTGTGCATCAGACAAAGCGTGGCTCCAATATGTAAGATCACCATGGATAGCGCTCTCGTTGGTCGTGATATTGACAGTCACATCATACTTAATCAAACTTTAGTCTTTCTTTTCGCCTTTTTACGGGCTGGTGAGCTTACCTCTGTAAAGTCAATCCCACCCCGAGAGTCTAGTACAACATCTTGCTGTGAGTCAAGCGGCTGGCCGGCAGTCTCCTTTTGCAGAGACATGGCGGTGTTAAAAAGAGGTTGTCCTTGTAAATCCAAAGAATGCATGACTTCTGCCAGGAAGCAGTGCTGGTGGTCAATGCTCCGTGCGTGGCTGTCCTGGGCTTCCATGAGGGCTGCGAGCAACGGCTCCTCATTACCCAGAGACAGACGACAAATCAGTAGATTAATGAGGGGGCCACAAACCTCTCGGGCCTCTTGTAACGGGATGTCCCGGCATGAATGGATGTACCCGAAACACACAGATTCCGACCCTGTATAGGCACGAAGCACAAGCCCCCATGCCAACTGAAACAGGCTCGATACGGTGATTCCATGATGCTGGCAAAAGGATCGCAAACGTCTTCCAATGTCAAAGTTGAATGGCATCGATTTCAGACTGGCGGGCTTTTTGCCTGCAGGCTCGGTGGTGAGGAAAGGAAAGATGCTCGGGCTGACACCCTCCAAATACTGTGTCCAGTACTCCTCCGAGCCTGACTGGCGGTGGGATTGCAGATATTCGACGTATTTGCCGTATCGGCTTACTGTTTTGTTGTCAAGATTCCCATCATACGCGCGGTGGAAATCAGTGAGAAGGATATTTTCAGTGACACCGTCGACAAGCATATGATGGACTGTCAGGTTGCAGGAGACGCTGCCATTCGGTTGAAGGGTTACCGTTAGTTGATGCGCTGGTCGTGCTTTTTGGTTGAACAGAGCTTGATCGGCCAGCGCTTGATCTTCGCTATCTTTGCTTGATTCAGGCTCTGTTACAATCTGGATGCCTGCCTGAACTGCCTTCAGAACCACTTGCACCGGGTGGCTATGGTCAGTCGTGCTATCGGTAAAGACAGTACGCAATATAGGATGACGGTCCACCACTTGCTGCCACGCCTGCTGTATTCTAGTCGTCTCGACTGGCTTTGAAGCGCCCGGCAAGGGATGGAGTGACCATCTAATATGGGACCAGTAGATCTGCGGGTTCTTCACCTGGCTGAGCCACATGCCTAGTTGGATAGGCGAGCAGGGGTAGATGTCTTCGATTGCAGAGAGCGAGACACCAAACTGGCCGGAGATCTGTTGCAGCAAACCCTGGAGCTGGTCGTCGTTCTTCAGTGATAGGAGTGGAAAGTCGGAAACTGTAAGCCAGTTGTCTTGTTGTAGTTTCTTTGGCAAAGCTTCCAGGGTCTCCAGGCATGTATCTATCCACTTCTGCAGACGGTCCTGATTCCTTGTCTTCTTGTTGAGCACAAATGACACGTTGAGAGACCCATGCATCACCGTGGCCGTCACATCAATCAGAGAAATCCGCGGCAGATCCTCCGGCATCGGCACAAGGCCTTGGTCAGGCACCGATGCCAACTGGAGCAGCGCACCGGGGCGCTCGAGCTGTTGGAAAAGCCCGGTATAGTTAAAGAGAATCTCCATCGGAGAATGGCCCTGGCAGTAATTCATGCCTTCGGGGTGGAGATAGCGAGAGGCAAAGTACTCCCACCCGTTCTTTGGAATTGCACGCCGTCCATCCTTGGTGAGCTTCAAGAGTTCGGTAATGTCCTGTCCTTTCTTTGCCCTCACGAACAATGGTGCGATAGTGGTGAACCACCCAACCGTTCGGGAGACATCAATGTGTGCCTCCCATGGCTCACGACCATGACCCTCGCTGAATATGGTGGGCGACGGCCGGTTGTCGAACGTTTGAGCAAAGGCATGGAGAATGGCAGTGTGTATAATCTCCACCGGCCGGGTGTGGAACGCATCATTCGCTGGTCCGAGAATTGCTTCGGTTGTCTCCGGTGAGACTGTGATGGACTTCTGCACCGTGTCTGCCCAAGTGTTGGAGCCCCAGGTCTTCCGCGGACCCCAATAGCTTAAGGGGGGCGCCGGGATAGGGGTCGCCATCGTGACCTCCGGATCGAGAGACTCTTCGGCATATGCCTGCTGCAGGCGTGACCATTGCTGGAATGACAGCGAGGTCGGTTGCAGGGGTCGACCAGTGGTGAGAATATCCTCGAGATCCTGCAGCACCACACGCCAGGAAACCAGATCGATAGCCAGGTGGTGAGCCATCAGGCCCAGGTACTGTTCCTGCGTTTCGGTCTCAATCAGATCCACCACCAGGAGGATTCCCTGCTGGATATCCAACACGCTCTGACTGTCTGAGAAGATCTGCTGCACGGCTTCCTGATCCTCCAGAGACGGCAGCCAATGCTCCCTGAAGCGAAGGCTGCTGTTCACATCCCGGCCAATCATCTGCGTCCACTCTCCATCCTCGTCCTGCTCATAACGAGCTCGAAGCATCGAATGACGGGCTGCCACTGCCTGGACCGCCTTACGGAGCTTGGACACCGACGTTGGCCGTGTGACTCGGAGGAGGAACTCCTGGGTAAATTTGTTGTGTCCGTCAGGCACATGTTCGAACCACAGCTGTTGCACTGGAGTGAGGCCAAACTTGGTCTCGATCGGGTCGTCCTCCAAGCTTGGAGTGTGAAGTTGAGGGCCATTCGATTCTTGAATCTTCTGACTCAGTTTTCCGATGGTTGGGAAGCGGAAGATATCAGCCACCATCACGTTCAATCCAGCAGCCTGGCAGCTGGCAGCGACCTGCATGGCACTGATCGAATCGCCACCAAGGCGGAAGAAGCTCTCGTTGACCCCGATCTTCTCAACCGACTGGTTCAGTGTCTGTGCCCAAATTTGCTGCAGCTTCTCTTCGTGCGCGTTCGAGGGCCGCTGAGGTTCCGCCTCGGCCACGCGGTATGCTCGCATGTTTCCCCATGACAGCAGGTTGGCCTGGTCACGGAGGTACCGACGGTTGGTTTTCCCAGACGGGGTCAAGGGCATGTGCGAGAGAGGTAGGAAGATTCTCGGCACCATAAACGCCGGCAACACGTCGGACAAACGAGCTTCCGCGGAGGCACAGGCGGCCCGGAACTCGTCGTTTGGCGGGAGGAACAGATTCTTCTCCATCTCCTTCTCTTCCTCGGGGGTCAGTGTCATGGGCAGACAGACAAACGCCGTGAGTATCGCGTCTGGGCGACTGTCGCCGGGTTCAATGTGAGTCGGCCGCAGCATCTCGACAACCGCCTGGCGGGCATGTGGAAACGATCGACGGAGATGATGCTCGATCTCGGCCAGTTCCAGCCGCTGTCCGTGTAGCTTCACCTGGGTATCCTTCCGTCCCAGATAGCGAAAGCTGCCATCGCCAGCAGCCTGGACCAGGTCACCGGTTTTATACATTCGTGGCGTGGACATGGCCCCAAACTGCCGGCGCCAGACTGGGGCTTTGATGAATGCCTGCGCGGTCTGTTCGGGGCTGGCGAGATAGCCATTGCCCACGATCAAACCCTCGATTACCAGCTCGCCGGGACATCCCACCGGCATGAGTATCTGGTGGTTCCGGGGATGCACCACCCAGCCAACGCCACCCGTAGGGAATCCAATGTTGGTCGGCTGGCGGTGCTGGAGATTGGGCTGCACACTGAACACTGCCGAGCATTCTGCCGGGCCATACGCATTGCGAACCTGCACAAACTCCTTCCAGCGGGCAATGTCACTGGCCAAGACCGCCTCTCCAACAAAGGCAAGGACCTTCAGGGTGGACAGTCGATCTGGGCTCAGGATCCGTGTTACAGTCGGTGTGAGGCAGGCCACGCTGACTGCGAATTGGTTAATGGCTTCCTCGAGATTGCTATGACAGTCTGCAGCGGACGGAATGCAGATACAACCGCCCATCATGAGGGTGCTGAGATGCTCGATTATGCACGAGTCAAATGCTGGCGATGCAAACTGGAGCACCCGTGATTCGGGCGTGAAATGATATGGCTTTCCGTGGGCCAAGGCACTGGCGGCATATCCTGCATGGGTAACAATGACGCCCTTGGGCGTACCTGTTGACCCGGATGTGAAAGTCACATACATATTGTCTGAAGGGCCGACTACCGGTCGAGGGCTTTGTCTCTCTTGGCTGGTTTTATCCAGGTCAAGCTGGTCGACAGCTAGAATCGTGGGCACTCCAAGCTCGGATACGACTTGAATCTGCTGCTGCGAGGCCACAATCAGCCGCGCGTTGACTCTCTGGCACATCTCCTGCAGCCTGGACATAGGATAGGTCGAGTCCAACAAGACAAATGCACCGCCGGCTTTCATCACACCAAGCATTGCCACCGCCATCCACTTGGACTTTTCCAAACACAGTGGTACAAATGCCCCTGGGCCGACAGAATGCTCGACCAGGCGTGCAGCAAATGCCCCAGACAGATCATCGAGCTTCTGATATGAGAGGTCTCCATCCCAGCTGCTAATCGCGGTTGAGTGCGGCTGTTGGTGTGTGCGCTGGGCAATCAGTTGGTGCACGCACGGTGGCGTAGCGGAAGGAGGGTCGAGCACATTCCAAAGCGCAAGCTGCTCTCGATCCTCCGAACTGACGGATTCGATCTCCGACAGTCCCCGGTATGGTTCTTTTTCGATCTGCTGGTAGATATGGATGAACTGAGAGAGGATGCGCTTTGTCTGGTGGGCCTCGATGACGGCCGGGTCGAATCGGAGCTCAATCCACATGCCACCCGTAAGTGGACGGCACCTGAGAATCAAGGAGTAGAGATCGTACGCCCTCTGAACTGATTTGGGCTGAGAGAAGAGGGCGGGAACTTGGTGGCCGTCCCGGGGCTCCACAGAAAGCAGGGTTTGGAATTGACACGCCGCCTCAGGGCCCGGTCCTAGGTGCAGAAGATTCTGCAATCCCACATGTTCAAACTCCATGCTGGCTGCCCATTGCCCTTGCACGGTGGCGAGGGCATCAGACACTCGCTGCTCTGGGTTCAGCTGGACACGGACCGGGATCGTGGCTAGAGCTGGTCCACACAGCTCCTGTGCTCCAGGCACCGAAACGCCACGACCGGCGCTCACGGCACCGAAGAAGACATCGTCGGAACCGGTATAGAGGGACTGTAGCAAAGCCCATGCCAGTCGCAGCTTGGTGTTGATGGTAAACGCAGCGCTCGTGTCAGCGGGCATGGCAATGGTTCTCTCGAGCCTCTCCGTTGGACGGGGAACGTACCCCGTCGTGGGTAAAGGAGGGAAGGCCTGCATGTCCACTTGGTGGGCATCGCGAAACTCTGTGGCCCAAAATTCGTTCGCGTGAGCGCGAGTCCTTTCGACGTAGTCGACCAACGGCCGAAAAGGGCGGTCGATGAGGGACTCGCCGCGGTAGGCCGCATCAGCCTGGCGCAGAAGCAAGGCCATCGACCAGTCGTCACATACCGAGTGATGGAGCACCACTTTCAAGGTCATTCGAGTGACATTAAGGATAAAGTATGCGAGAGGGGCTCCCGCTCGCCACGCGATGCCGGTATCACTGGGCATCCCGTCGTTGTCAGACTGAACCAGCCATGGAATCGTGCCGTGGAGGACGACTTGAAGGCATGCACGCTGGCTAGTTGAGATGATGCGGGTTCGCAGGATCGGGCTGGCCCGCGCAGTCTGCTGCCAGGCCTCGTGGAGACGCTTGCAGTCGATGCCCGAGGGCAGCTGGTATTCGTACTCGATGGTGTAGGCGGAGGAGTCTTTGAAGGTGAGGGCCATCATGCCCTCCTGCAGCGCAGTGCACGCGTAGATGTCTTCGATTTCATCAATCGAGCAGTGACACTGGGCGGCTGCCTCGTGCAGCATTTCGTCTTCGCAATTGCCGGTGCTTCTTGTCGGGGAGGGAGGCTGCTCAGCAATTGAGATTGTGGTTTTTCTATGTGTATTCTTTTTGGGGGTGACAACAGCAACGCCGTCTCTGCTCGTTTCGGTGTCAGTCGAAAGGACAGAAATCGTCTTTGTTTCCCGGATGGGATATTGGAAGCTGCTGGTCTCCATGATTATGGATAATTAACTATATTTTATGATTAGTATTATTAGTAGAACAAGTAATAATAAACTGCTGGAAGTTGGGATGGATCGGACTAATCTCCAGTCCTGTTCCTGCTTTTAACCCCTTATTTTACACTTTCCCCTCTTCTTGTTCTTTTAGTCTCGATCGCAATCGCACAATCATACTTCTAGTCATTGAATCATCATTTAGCTCGTGTTGTTTGTATTCGTGCTCTGGTTATACTTGTGGATCCACCAACCAGGTTACATTTTCCGCAACCGGAAAGCTAAAATCGAAATGATCGACAGTCAAAGCTTGACAGCCGTCAGTCAAAAGAACGGTTCATCTCCACCAGAATCGCTGGTTACTATTCGAAAAGGAGGGTGCAAAATCTTGTTTGAGGACCTAGACCCCTTGGCTGCAACGTCGCGTGATGGCATTCAGTCGCCAGGGACGTCCATTGCGTTTCTCAGGGACCCGTCTATCTAATATCTCCAGCGCAGCACAATGTGAACCCATTCCTTCGATCCAGCTGCATCGTCAAAATGGATTCACCTTCTCAAAACCGTTCGCCCCAAGGGGACCAGACAGTGTCTGTATCGGAGGCGTCAGAGCCCAAGTCTGCCTCTCTCGGATCTAGCTATTTTGTGAGTCGAATCCTCTCTTTCCAACTCATCCTGACTGACTCAACTAGAGAATTCTATCCTACGGAGCACGAAATGGCGGCATCTTCGCCATCATCCTTGGCCTCGCATGCGCCATGGGATCAGGCATTGTATGTCTCAAACCTTCCGGTTGGATAAAAACTCACCATCGCAGGCTCTTCCTTTGATGAATATCGTCTTTGGTCAGCTCGTGGGCGTCTTCAACGAGTATTTTGTGCCCAACTCCCGCGTGACTGAAGAGCAATTCAAATCGGCCGTCAACACAGACAGCCTTTACATTGTCTATCTCTTCATTGGCAAATTCGTATTGACCTATGTCTCCATGGTAAGACATTGCTTAGCCGTCCTCTTTAAAAAGACATGACTAACCGTATAGATCTGCTTTCGTCTGGTGAGCCTTCATGCCTCGTCCATCCTACGCCTCGAATACACGCAGACTCTGTTTTCCCTCCCCGTCAGCAGGCTGGATGAGATCTCGGTAGGCTCTGTCACGCATGCCATCACGGCCTTGTCCAACACGATTCAGCAGAGTGTCTCCGATCGGCTGGCTGTACTGTTCCAGTCCATCGCCCTGCTCATCGCAGCGTATGCCATTGCATTTCGATACTCGTGGGCCCTCACACTCGTCGTCAGTTCGGCCATTCTCTTCGTCATTCTCGGTTTCTGTCTCACAGTGCCATTCCTGGTCAAGGCGCAGCAGCGCGTGGATCAGGCAGATACAAAACATGCCTCTATCGCTGCGGACGTCTTTGGCTCCATGCGTACCGTGCTCTCGCTAGGAGCGGAGGCTCCCTTGTCAAGGAAGTATTCCTCGTGGGTAACAGAGGCACGGAAGCGTGGACTACGAATGTCGCCCGTCACGGGGATCCATATGGCGCTCTTGTTCTTTTCCATGTATGTCAGTTTTGCACTGGCATTCTGGTTCGGACTGAAGCTCTATCGGGAAGGGCATATTGCGAATATCAACACGGTCATCACGTATGTCCCCATTTACTCACTAGCAAGAATTTCGCTGATCATCCAGGGTGTTCTTTTCTGTCCTGCTGGTTGTCTCCGTATTGGGGAATATCGCATCCCCCATCATGATTATCTCCAAAGCCATCAGCGCGTCTGGGCCTTTCTTCGGGGTCATTGATTTCAAGGTCCCTTCGCTGTCCGGCTTTGGAGAGGCAGATGTGTCCGCACAGGCAGATATTGTCTTTACAAACGCTACCTTTGCATACCCAGCACGACCGGGCGTACCGATTTTAAAGAACTTCACCGCGCGTTTTCAACGCGGAAAGACAACAGCTCTTGTAGGACCCTCTGGGTCTGGCAAAAGCACCATCGTAGCGTTGATTGAGCGATGGTATCAACTGCAGGAATTGTCGGATGGAGCAGTCCAGGGCGAGATTCTTGTCGATGGGCGTGATATCAAGCAGCTTGATATCAAGTGGTGGCGCTCCCAGATCGGACTGGTTCAACAAGAGCCCTTCCTTTTCAACAATACCATCTTTAAGAACCTTACTTTCGGCTTGATCCGGTCGAAATGGGAGCACGAGTCGGAGGCTGTCCAGATGGAATTGGTCAAGGCTGCGTGTAGAGAGGCATTTGCGGATGAGTTCATCGAGCGACTTCCTCTGGTATGTATTTTCATTTTATTCCATCCCCCTCACCCCTCCGTTTCATAATATCTTACTGATCTTCGCAGGGCTATGATACAGTCATTGGGGAAGGTGGCATCAACCTCAGTGGCGGTCAACGCCAGAGACTCGCCATCGCCCGTAGCATCGTCAGCCAACCGCCGATTCTTATTCTCGATGAAGCAACGAGCTCCATTGATGTTCGAGGTGAGAAGGTAGTCCAGGCTGCTCTCGACCGCGTATCCAAAGACCGGACAACAATCATGATTGCACATCGGCTCTCGACAGTTCGCCGGGCAGACCATATCATCGTCATGCAGGACGGGACGAGCATTGAGGAGGGCACCCATGATGAACTCACTCACAAGCAAGGAATGTATCACAGTCTTGTCCACGCGCAGCAGCTGGCGCCTTTGTCTGAGCCTGCGGGAAGTGAAGGCAAGGAAGCTGTTCTCTTGCAAAATGCAGAACTGCAACCACAGGATCGTCCAGCGGCGGACGATACGGATGAGGAGAAACAGACGAGCACAAAACAAAAAAGGATTGGTTTCTTTCACAGTTTTGGTATCTTTATACACGAGCATCGTCGCCGTTGGATCTTGTTCGTCCTGACGCTCGTGGGGGCCATCGGGGCTGGATGTAGGTTTTGCTCTCTTTAACCGGGACTGAAGCTGACTGCTTATAGCGGGATTTTCACTACAGAGCTGGCTGTTTGCACAGCTCATCCAAGTGTTTCAATTCAGAGGGCAGAAACTCGCCGATGCGGCCAGTTTTTGGGCGTTGATGTTTTTCATCCTTGCGCTGGCTATGGGGGTGTTTTATTTCCTCATGGGGATGTCTTCAAATTCCCTGTCCATGGTAAGTCTTCTTCTTTCTTGTATTTATAGAGTAAGCTAATAGTTAGTTTATCGTATCCTCATGTCGCACCGATTACTTCTCCAGCCTCATCCGCAAGCCCGTCGCCTACTATGAACAGGACGAAAATGCCTGCGGCAGTCTGATATCCCGACTGTCGACGGATCCAAAACAGGTCCAGGAACTGTTTGGGCCAACCGGGGTGTTTCCTCTGATATCGGTATTCAATGTCATGGGATGTGTCGCCATCTCCTTTGCCTTTGGCTGGAAACTGGCCGCAGTCACCTTCTTTGCCGCAATGCCGTTCCTCTTCCTGTCTGCGTACATGCGCATTCGGTACGAGATGATGTTCGAGTCGATGAACGCAGAGGTGTATCGAGATAGCTCGCAGTTCGCGACAGAGGCCATCCGGGCATTCCGGACCGTCACTGCTCTCACCATGGAAGATGTCATCATCAAGCGATACTCGGATCTACTGACGCAGCAGAGGAAAAAGGCCACGCGCAAAGCATGGTATGCTACTCTCATCTTTGCCTTTTCGGACAGTGTCGAGCTGTGCGCGATGGCCCTCACTTTCTGGTATGGAGGCCAGCTGCTCGCCTCGCGCGAGTACGGAATCATCTCTTTCTTTGTCGTGTACATCGCTCTCATCCAAGGCGGCCAGTCTGCCGGCCAGTTCTTCAGCTTCGGTCCCAACATTGCCCAGGCCAAGGCGTCGGCCAGTCGTATCCTCAGCGCCAGACCAACAGCAGAGGAGATGCTGCTGCAGAACCCATCCTCGCAGCCGTTACCGCCCTCTCATTCCAACGCCGACATCGAGCTCAGAGACGTTTCGTTCACCTATCCCACGCGTGACATCCCAACCTTTGTCAACCTCAACGTCTCCGTCCACAGCGGCCAGTTCGTCGCCTTCGTCGGCCCCTCAGGCTGCGGCAAATCCACCATCATCTCCTTGCTCGAGCGATTCTACGACCCCACCCACGGCTCTGTCCTCTTCAGCGGCCAAGACATCCGCTCCATCGAGCTATCCTCCTACCGCCACGCCCTGTCTCTCGTAGCTCAAGAACCCAAACTCTTCGACGGGACAATCCGCGATAACCTCCTCGTCGGCCTCGAAGACACCGAGCCCCCCATCACCGAAGACCAAATAATCCAAGCCTGCCAAGACGCCGAAATTCACGACTTCATCACCTCCCTCCCGGACGGCTACTCCACGGAGCTCGGCGTCAGCGCGCAAACCTCCCTCAGCGGCGGCCAGAAACAGCGCTTATGCATCGCCCGCGCTCTCATCCGCAACCCACTCCTCCTCCTCCTCGATGAAGCTACCTCCAGTCTGGATTCGCAGTCGGAAAAGCTCGTCCAGGGTGCTATGGAGCGGCTGGCGGGGAAACGCAGCATGACTATTATATCGATTGCGCATCGGCTCGCGACGATCCAAAAGGCGGATATGATTTTTGTCTTTGGCGAGAGCACAACGGGCCCGGGTTCTGCGATTCTGGAACGCGGGACGCACCATGAGTTACTGAGAAACAAGGGACCTTATTGGCAGATGGTATGTTTTCCCAAGCAGGATTTGTTTGCAGTCGCTAACAGGAGCAGTGTCAAGCGCAAGCTCTGGATCGACAGGTGTAGGCCATTGGCGTTTATAATATCAATTCGGTAGTTAATTTAATGTATAATTTATCTTATCAATGATCTATATATAATATTCAGTGGATGCAGCTTTATAATTAATTATAATCATAATATAAACATCAGCGACCTTCACTGCGTATCCTAACCTTGTCATTGGACAAAACGCAAGACTCTATGGTTTATTTGCATAACCCTCGAGAATATGATACAGCGTCAAAGGGGTAACGTCCCAGAGTCTAACTTCTTTGTTTGTAGATGAGCAGGCGAGCTGCCTGCCGTCGGGCGAGAATGCAACTGTCTGATGAGGCACATCGTGTTTGGAATCGTGGAGTATAGACCCAGTAGCGACATCCCAGACCTTGACTGTGGCATCACCAGACACGGAAATCAGATGCTTGCCATCGGATGAGATTGCTCTTCCAACGCTTGCTTCTCAGATTGGCACGTTTTCTCCGCCTCCTGCTTGAGCCTCTGCTCCATGTCGTGTTGGGCCTTGTTACATTCCTGGGATTGACTCGCCTTGTCCTGCTCGCATTGGCTCAATCTGGTGTCTAGAGCCCGTTTCTCAGCCTGGCATTGGTCTGCATCGGACAGACCCCCTTCTGCAGTACTCTCCTGTGTCGCTTGACGAGCATCAACCACTTTTTACCAGGGAGCTTTCCAAGGTTCTCCTTTGTTGTCGTGTAGCACGCCCGGGAGGTATATTTCTACCAACTGGCCTTGCAGGCAGGATCTTTGGCGCATGTCTCCACACAGGCCGGGGCACTGTCGACACCTTTCACCACCGTGTCGATTTGTGTCGGGAAATAATTGCATAGATACTCAAAGGTGTAGCCGGTGATGGAGCCCTGGCCGGCGTGGTTTCGGAGCAGCTTGGAAGTTCAGGTCTGCGCTTGCGCTCTTCGGGGAGAAACATGACGCCTGGGTAGCCTGAACAAGGCCACCAGAGAAAAGAAAGAGAAGGGGAAAATGCCAGGCTGAGAAAATGCGAGCAGGACAAAGTCAGTCAAGAAGAGCAATGCGAAAAGGCGCAACAGGAGGCGGGGGAAAAGTGTCAGGCTGAAAAGCACGCTTTGGAAGAGCAGCTGGAAAGCCGCTGTAAGCAACAGCAGGCAGATATCCAAGCAGAGCTCAACAAGTGCCGGGCAGAAAATACCATCCTGACTGGGAAGCTCCGTGACTCACAGGCTCAGATAGTGGGCGTCACAGGATGGAATGGAACGCTTCGCGGCCATATACTCCGTGATATCCTCAGAGTATATGATCCCACCGGTATTGCATTCTCGCCCGATGGCAGGCTGCTCGCAATCGCATGTATAGATGGTCTGAAACTGTGGGAAGTAGCCACAGGGACGGTGGTAGACACCAAGATTGAACAGCGTGCTCCCTACAGAAAGCGCTACAGGCCCATCAAAGTTGCCTTCTCGCCCAGCGGCAAGGAACTCGCGGTTGTTTCTGACAATGGAGACCACTATAATGCGGTTAACCTCTGCCGAGAAGAAGCCATTTTTCAGCCTGGATGGGCATGCTGGCAAGACGATCAACGGGGTTGTATTCTCGCCCAACGGCAAGATACTTGCATCTTGGTCTGAGGATCGAGCAATTCAGCTCTGGGACATGGCCAGTCTGACGCCGTATCGCGGTGTCATGGGCTATAAGGACGAACTCTAGGCATGGAAGATTCAGTATGTATAATACATTTGGTTGCAGCCGTCAATAGCATGGTTATCCTGGATGAATTAGAAGCATCATAAAGAATATATTCATCTGACTGGATAATCCCAATTTACTTTTAGGTATTTGCTAGAATCCAGTTCTACTTTCTTCCATCTAAATCGCGGATTCCAAATATTTCTGTCTAATATTACCTGAGCCATGTTAGAGGCTACGGAACGTCTTCCCTTTTTTTACGAACTAGTTATACATAAGTGGATAAATGAGCTATACTGGTGAAAAGCATTCTTACTATTAGCCGATCATTCCACACTGTGCCATCATAGTGTAAATACATATACCACTTGTGCCTCAAAATGCCCAGCCCATGTGATAGTCCACCAAGGTTGCATCCTGCAATGTGTCATCGGGTGTCAGTGCATCGCTGGTTATATCCGTAAAACTTAACTTAAAACTTAAAAGGTAGTATTAGAGCATTATACAAATTAGGAATAACTTCAATTTTGTCTCTTAGCCCTGCTCAAGGGATAGACAGCATTCCCCTTAGCCCCTTGCATTTATCATCGCTCAGCGCGGTTTAATTAAACTTGCAGTAAGTATTACACTTGACATAAATGCAAATAAAAAATTCCCTGGCTGCATTATCATTCCATATGATAGATAATGAGGGAATGTGCCAGACACAAAAACAGCAAGAAACAATGTACAAAATCTACTACCTCCCTTGAACTGAATCCTACCCATGCTGTCAAAGGGACAGAAACACAAACTCTATTGAGAAAAGGAATGTCACTGAAAGGTATGAAGGGATGAAGTCTCGTCCTTAAATTCGTCGCCAACACCACCCCAGACGGTCTCTCTTCTTCCTCTCCAGTCCAGCCAAGTCCAGTTCATCTTACTACCCTCTGCCAAGTGCCTTTGTATGTCTTATGCCATCAACCCAATTCCTCAATACAGACTAACAAAGCACAGCCTACAAAATGGTCAAATTCTCCGCTCTCGTCATGGCCCTCTTTATTGGAGTCGGCGTTGCAGTGCCCGTCACCGTGCGTATCCCCCTACTCACATAGCAGTTCTCGAATGAACTAAGAGCTGCCTAGATACTAATGATAGTATCTATCAGACAAACACAAACACACAAGCCCACGAGAACCGAGCCCGTCAGCTCCAGGGCGGTACTGCCCTTGAAGCTCTCGCCAACTCCGGTGGTATCACCGGCCTGACCAAGTCGGCGGGTTTGCCTATTCTCAGTGACCTGATGGGCAAAGACAAGGACAAGGACGATAAGGATAAGGACGGCAAGGACAAGGATGACAAGGACAAGGATGACAAGGACAAGGATGACAAGGACAAGGATGACAAGGACAAGGATGACAAGGACAAGAAGGGAGAAGAAGATGAAAAGGAGAAAGAAGGCAAGGGGGAGGAAAAGCCCGAGGCTGATAAGGACGAGGAAGAAGCCAAGGATGGTGAATGAATGATTGTTTGATGACACCATATTATGCAGTGACTCAATTTCCCTAACTATACTAAACCGAGAACTAAAACGAATGCCAGAGTTTATCCAGCTGCTGCAATGTAAAAGGAGCGTTGATAACAATATCGTATAGAGCATGACAGACGTATCCTAACCACAAGTCCAAGAGTTCCCTGTCTCCATCATAAAACATAACGGCATTAATATAAACATTGTACAGTATGTGCAAATCAGCGAGAGTATCCAGTTTGGATAATAAAACACGAGAGCTCTGCCCTGTCAGAGACCAAGAGTAACGAACGCATCTTCAGGGGTATCAAATATCTAAACAGCAAAGCACCTCCCATCTAGAGTGATCTTGCTTGCTACAGCAGCACTCACTCTAATCCTCCATGTCATACTCGTCCACCTCGATCCGCGTCCCCAACGCCTGCTTTCCCTCTTTGATCATCGCCTGGAGCTGTCGGTTCAATCGACGAAGGCTGGCATCTTCTTCTCGCTCCATGCGGCGCATCTGGGCAACATGTCGTTGCGTCTCAGCCGATGCAGGACTTTCTCGCGCTTTCGTTGGTGGTGACTGGGCTTTCGGTGTCGATGGCCGGCTGGACGACTGACCCGTCCTCTTACCCAGTCGGGGCATCACTGCGGACCTTCGTCGTGTATGTGATGGACCGATGTTTCTTCGATTGACTCGCTTCGTCGTCATAGACGGACTGGCATCATTTCCCAAGAAGTCCTGTGTGTTATTCGAAACCACAACCCAGTTTTGTTGGATATCGTTCTTGTCATCATCGTCGTAAGGGAACTGCCCAGGAATAGGCGTCATGTCCTGTCGTTGGCCTCGGTCTGCGGAAGTATTTTCTCCTTTTTCAGACGCCTGTTGCCATGAATGTTTATCGATCTGCGGCGACGGTCCGGCCGTCATCTTATACCCCCGACCTCCTCCCGCATAGAAGCCCCCAAAAGCACCGGACCAGCAAAAGTCCAAAACCTTACCAACTGCATTGATCACGGTTCGGCCCCAGCCGGAACCCCCTGGTTGAGGCTGTTCTTTTTCATCCGGGAGTGCCGTGGTCGCAAACGAGTCTCGTCGCGTGCGCTTGCGACTTTGATTCTCATCTATCTCTCTAGACGGCAGCGACTCGACACTACCATCGACCTGAGAAATAAGAGGCGCTTCCCGATAGCGACTGGGACGATAGTCGAGCTCGGCAGAGACTTCATGCGGCTCGCGCCAGGCGTGTTGTTGAAAATCAAGACCACCACCTGCGAGGCGATAATCGGTGCTGACAAGTGGCGCAGGACTGGTTAAATCGGCGTGCGACTCGGACATACGGCGCTTTTCAGACTCATAGCGAGTTCGTTTGCGAGGGAATGAGATGGAGCGATAAAGAGAAGTAGACGCAGACGGCGTTTGCGGAACCTGGAAGAGTTGGGATCGAGCGCCGGCGAGGTCGAGCTTAGGGGGAACGGGGGAGTCGAGAAAGAGAGAACCAGGCATGGTGGAGTCGGGGTGCCCTGCTGTGATATTACTGAAGTGAAAAAGGAGCGATACAGTATGGAATGATGGATGAATAAATGGATCTGGATAGATCGACAAGATCCACCAGATGGTGAGGTGGTGAGGCGAAGAAAAAAAAAAAAAAGTAAAAAAAGAAAGTGAAGCTGAAGCGGGGAGGCACTTGTGTTTCTATAACAACGGGAACTTTCCCTCTACAAGGCAGAGACAGAAAGAACACCACATCTTGAATACTTCTTGCTAGAAGAAGTCTATCTCGTCATCAATCATCTAAATAAGTAATTTCTTACAACCTCTGGCTGGTCCAGTCTACTCCGGCAGCTGCCAGTCCTTCATCGCCGTCTACCAGTACACACCACCCCTCATATCCTCGTCCGCCATCGCCTGCAATCACTGCCTCGAAGTTCTGGCGAGCAAAGTCCAACACAGAGTTATCAAACGTTCCAGGCTGTAGCCAGACAGCTGGAATTCCCGCCTTGTGAGCCTCCTGAAGCAGTGGGAGCGTCACGGCGGGGGGCGTCACGACGGACAATGACGTCTGGGAGGGCGACGGCAGGGCGAGGGGTGAGGCGACCGTATCGTAGGCTTTGGAGGGGAGGTTGATTTGAGGCGCACGGGGATTCAGCGGGGTGACAGGCAGGGAGTGTTGGTGATACCACGCGAGAACTGTTGGAGTGTCAGTCAATGGAATGATGAGTTGTCTTTAGATGCGATGCGACCAGCACTCACTCTTGTAGCCAAACTTGTTGGTGTCATTGCTGGCACCAGCGACAGCGAAGCGCGGCGAGGAAAAGAAACGCTTGACGGCCTCCATTATGGTATCGATGAAGATGAAGATGAAAATGAAAATGAAAATGAGGAGGGAAAGAAGTTTGGAACGCCAGAGGGCTCGAGAATGATGGAATCAGAGGCGGAGATTATTGCGTCGATCGATCGACTTCCTCGGCATCTTCTCGTCCTTCTCCATCTCCAACTCCACAACTTCGACTTCTCCAAATTTATCCAACAACGTCATCCGTCACCACCTCCCTTCAAATCCATCCATACAATCGTAATTAATCAAACCTCTATATTTCCCCATCAACTGCATGCCACCTTTCGTCCCCCGCAAGCGTGTCTCCTCCGAGGATCCGCCCAGTGCCAAACGGCAGGCATTGCAAAATGCGACCGTTATCCAGAACACGGATTCAGAATCCTCCCTGAGCGATGCCCCTAGCTCCGATGACGAAAATGACAAAAACGAGACTACGAGCAAGAACAATGATAAAGATGAGGACGAAGAGGACGGTTCAGAAGACGAGAGTGTTGACTGGGAGGATGCCATAGAAACAAAAACACCCTATACGACAACCCCTCTAACCCCTGCATTCGAAGCGCAGGATCTCGAATTGACGCTCGACAAAAATGAAGTGCATATGGCCGACCTTTTGGATGGGAAGAAGGGGCCGTCCAAAATTGAGCGACAAATTCGCATCCAGACTCATTGCATGCATGTTCAGTTTCTCCTCTTCCACAATGCTGTCCGCAATGCTTGGGCCAACGACTCGAAAGTTCATGATATTTTACGAGAGAAGCTGCCTGCGGGGATCCAGAAAGAAGTCAAGAAATGGAGGATTGCATCGGGTCTAGAAGCACCGGAAGAAAAACCGGAAGAGAAGAAGAAAAAGAAAGGAAAAGGGAAACAGAGTCAAAAGCAAAATCGAGATTGGGGGGAAGGTTCATCGCGCCTGGAGCCAGGCCAACCAGATATGAGTCGGGGCGATCCGATAATCACTCTGCTCAAAGTCCTGGCAGCCTACTGGAAGAAGCAATTCAAGATCACTGCGCCAGGTCTACGAAAGCATGGATACAGACCCATGTCTCAGCTAGAGGCCGAAATATCATCGTTCAACAAGGATGACCCCAATCCTGAAAGGCATGGTGAGAAATTCGCTAATGTCGATGAGTTCCGCGCAGCAGCAGAGCATATGGAGGGATCGAGAGATGTCGGGGCACAGCTCTTCACGGCTCTGCTTCGTGCCCTGGCGATCGAAACAAGACTGGTTGCCAGTCTGCAACCTCTTGGATTTGGCTGGACCAAGTCGGAAACTTATACAGCCTCAAAGCCCAAGGCAGACGCTGAGACCAATACAGATCTTCCTGATATCGCAGAAGAGCCAGAGCCTGAATCAGAAAACAGCGACAGTGATGAAAACTTGTCTGGACCAAACAAAAACAGTAAATCCTCCAAAGGTTATGATAAGGACCTTCCTTTCCCCATATACTGGGCTGAGGTAGCCTCCCCAATCACCCATGAAATCATTCCCGTGGACCCATTGGTATTGCCAAACGCCGTGGCCACAACTCCGGAGCTTCAAGCAGCCTTTGAACCCCGCGGGGCCAAGGCAGAAAAGGCCAAGCAGGTCATATGTTATGTCATTGCCTATAACCAAGATCGAACCGCAAAAGATGTTACCACACGATATCTACGTCGTCGGACCTGGCCAGGTAAGACAAAGGGCTATCGGATGCCCGTGGAGAAAATTCCTTTGGGTCATCGAAAGGGCAAGTTTTATGAATACGATTGGTTCCGGGTAACATTTCGAGTCTACGAGCGACCAGAGAAGCAGCGAACGATGGTGGACGACATTGAAGATGTCAAAGATCTTCAAGCCAACCAACCTGACAAAAAACCGGCCAAGGAAGGGGACACATTGCAGAGCCTACGTTCGTCGACCGAATTCGTCTTGGAGCGCTTCCTACGTCGGGAAGAAGCCCTCCGGCCAGGGGCAAGGCATGTCCGTACCTTCGTCTCTGGCAAAGGACCCAAAGCCAAGGAAGAAAAAGTGTACCGACGAGCCGACATACTCAAATGCATGTCCTCCGAAAGTTGGCATAAAGAAGGCCGACAGATTAAAACGGGTGAAGCAGCCCTCAAACACGTCCCCATCCGCGCCGTGACCCTTCTCCGTAAGCGTGAGGTTGACGAGCTGGAACGTGCGACGGGCGAGAAACCCAAGCAGGGCTTGTATGCCAAACATCAAACGGAGTACATCATCCCTCCGCCGATACGCAACGGCGTTATCCCCAAGAACGACTACGGGAACATCGACTGTTTCGTACCTAGTATGGTACCACAAGGCGCCGTCCACATTCCCTGGCCATATACAGTACGCATCTGCAAGAAACTCGGCATAGACTACGCCGAAGCCGTAACAGGCTTCGAGTTTGGATCTAAAATGGCCGTCCCCGTCATCGAGGGAGTCGTAGTCGCAGCCGAAAATAAGGACCTCGTCAAGGATGCCTGGCGGGCAGAAGACGCAGAAAAGCGAAAGAAAGAGCAGCTCAAAGCTGAAAAACGCATCTTACAAACCTGGCGCAAATTTCTTTTCGGTCTACGTATCGCCGAGCGTGTCCGTGAGGAATACGGTGACAGAGATACCGAGAGAGATGAACACAACCCATTTACAAACAGACAGTCGAATCGTAATCAATCCCCGCCGCCGCAGGAAGACCAACGCGAATCATCCGAAGATCCAGCCGATCGTGGTGGCGGGTTCCTGTTACCAGGCGAAGATGACGGTGACGATGGAGATTTGATTGTTGAAAGACATCAACCGATACAGCCTCCCCCATCTGAGCCGCAGATTCATTCTGTAGATGATGACGAAGATGAGGATGAGGTTTCAAACTCCAGTTCCATTGAGGAAATACCTCCTCCGTCTCCATCTGAGCCTGAAGATGATCCTGCTTCCGTCTCTGATTATGCACCGCCCAGGCGCAGGCCAACTCGGCGTACAAGAGGTAGGGGTAAATATTAATTCGGCTACACAGGTAAAAAGGGAAATGGAAAATAGAACAGGAATTAACGAGGAAAACAATCTGTATACATTACTATGTAACAATAATTTATCTGAGCATAGGAATACCATAACAGCAAAACAGCCTCAGCTTCAGCTTCCTTCACCGCATTGTCTACCACAACACTCCCCACCCAAACCAACTAACCACTAAACCTGCATCTGAAGAACACCCTCATAATCGCAATCAATCAGAACATGTGGCTCAGGGTCATCCCTGCAAATCCACTTCGTCCCAGGCGCATGCCCACTCTTATTCGAATCCAACAAGACCTGACCCTTCTCAGGGATCGGCCCAGAAACCCGCTCAAGTCCCAGCGTGAACCGGTTGAAGTCAACGGGCCCGTTGGGGAAGCTGATATAGTATTGGCTGTTGTTGCATCGGGCGCTCTCCTTGGGCTTGGATCCGTAGGACCTAAATGATGGATTTGTTAGTCTCTCGGATACAGGGTGAAGGGGAGAGGAGGTAAAGGTTAGGCATGGACTTACCAGATCAGGTTGCAGTCAGTGGGAGTATCGTCTGGGTAGTTTTTATCGGTCACGACAAAGTGCATGGTGGCGCCTACGGTACTGGCTCGGGCCCGGAAGTCGCTGATTTGGAGATAGTTGGTGGTTGTGTTGGTGGGAGCAGCGAGGGCCGAGCTGGCGGCCAGGAGAAGGGAGGCGATGGTGAGCTTCATTGTGAGGATTGGGGTTGATTCAGAGAGAGGGTGGATATGTGTTTGATGGTGTAGTTGAGGATTGGGATTATGATGGATGTCGCTGTCTTGTTGGGTTGAATCCGTGAGAAGAACGCGTTATTTATACCTTTTCCGTCCTCTGCCTGGTGCTATACAATTCCTGTGTTCCATGAGGCATCGAGCATCTGAATGAAACATTGCAGCACAAGTGAAGCCAAACAAGTCTATGATCGCCAACATCGTATGCACCAAGTGACAGGTCTTCGAGGCTGAGCAGCCACAAACTACAATACTACGGTGAGCTCGATGCATCCCAGATGAGACATTGAATTAGGCGGACCACCTGTTCGTGGATTGTATGGTGTTCCTGTACATATCTGTCTCGGATTTCAGTAGTTGATGCTTTTTTTAAGGGCTGGCCTAGTGCTGACGGCTTGTTCTGGAGATCCTTGCTTTAAATAGACTGCCTGAGCCAATCCCAGATACCTTGGCCTAATTCTGCTGGCTGGCTCGTATTTCTATGTTCATGACTGGGTGATCGTGTTCGATTGGATTTTCATCTTTCATCGTTGTAGGCCTTAAAAGATCTGCCTGCCCAGTCACCGGACAAGAGGTACGCTTAATTTAGAACCCAAGAACTTTGCGGATGAGAATATTCAGGTAATGTTGGCAGGGACTTATACGAATTCACCTGGCAATGTTATGTGATTTGGTGGTGAATATGGTCTGCTGGATGACCAAGAAGATTCAAAACTATGGCTCCATGACAGTCATGTGTTGATAAGTCAGAATATTCAAGCTTGGATAATATTAATCGACGCTGTACATTGAGTACGTTGCATATCATAGCATGACATTTCAAAATCAACATTCGTGATATTAGAACCTGCGACGACGGGACGGGGAATTCGTCAGATCCAGCTCACTGTAATCCCCGTTTGCAGCCCATGAGCTTCTCGCCTGGTTAATATCCGTGTCCGCATTCAGGTCAAAATCATCCATTGGACTGAAGTGAACCGCTGGAGAAGCAATAGGGCTGTGAGCGACACGTGGTCGAGATTTGAAAACGCTGGAATAGTCCGCCTCCTCTTTAAATAACTCATCCTGCGGGGTAGATGCCCTGGAGATGGAGTCATATCGATGTGACCCCTGTTTCTGCGGCGTTTCGAATTGGTTCACGGGGAACGAGGCACGAGACGAACGAGGTGCAAGACTTTCCCTTGAGCGAGTAGTAGGCATCGGGGGAACCAATGACATGGATTTCCTCGTGCGTTCAACCAGAGTAAAGGTATTGGATCGAGTGCTTTTATATCCTTTGTCAGGATTCACTTCTGAAGAAACCTGCACAATAGGAGAGCTCGCCCGACTGTATGATGTAGGAGATTCAGCTATTTCAGAGCCAGTTTCTTCTGGAGAAAAGGTGTTGGGTTCGGGTGATGCCAAACTGCTTGTGCGACCACCGGTGTCTGTTTCCACGGCAGGTACGCGCAATGGAGGAGCAGCCCGGCCGGACAGGTTGGATTTACCGCTAATGCGAGCGAGGGCTTCGTTCATGGAGGACAGAAGCTTCTGGTCTTCTCCTCTTAAACAAGTACGATTTACTGGTTGTCGAACCGCTCTGGAGATGCTGGCAATGTTTAGAGCTTGATGATCTCTAAAAACCAATGGCGTACTGTTTGAGGTAGTTCCTGATGACAGACTTCCGGGATCTTCTGCATTTTGAATAGATGCGCTAAATTCACGCCATCTATCCAACCGATCGCGCTGCCGTGAAACACGAGACTCCAGATCAACTAGCAGATCCTGAGCTGAGCTGGCACTGAGATCTTCAACCGAAGACTTCTTAGCTCTGGACCATGCCTCGGAGAAAGGAAACTCCAGAAAAGCATCACTACTGCTCTGAGAGCCACCGTAAAGCAAAGTCTCCGCCCATTCTTCACTGCCCAGCCAATTTGATCTAATCTCCTGGGCTAGCGTATCAAAGTTTTTCGGATCACCAGGGATAGTGGAGGAATCATCATTTGCCCGATTGGCGAGTTGTACTTTCTTGCTATCCAATAGCTCAGAAAATTGGTCGTAGGTCAGGCGCACATGAGCGCGGCGATCTCCCATTGCACCAAGAGAAACGGTATGGGCAAGGATAAGAGGTACCATCAGCTGATAGTCCTCGGGAGTAATGCCTTTGGCTGTCGATAGTCTGAGTGCGGGATTGGGGAGCTGCTCCGCAGTGGCGGTCAAGGCCCGACGAAGGACAGCCGTTGAGAAGACCGCAAGTAACTCATCGAATCGATCCCCCTTACAATCGTCCAGCATGGATTTCCGCAGAATAGTTTCCCTCCCGAGATCGCCATTCTTTTTGAGCTCGGTTAGAACTCGAAACAGAGCTGCGCGGAGGTTCACCGACTGTAGTGGTTCTAGCGGGGGGAAGAACGGGCGGAGTTTCTAATAATTGTCAGCTAATTGGATTGTGCGCTGATAGTGAGAATAAAATCATACATCATGCGCGGTATTCGGGTCCCAAATAGCGACGAGGTTGTACAGAGCCCATTCGACGACCTTGATGCGCTGGCGCTGGTTCTGCGATGAGGGGGAAAGCGAGCGAACGGTGATATCCGGCCAGTCCTCTTGCGAATCCAGCCGCAACAATTTCAGATTGCGGATAAAGACGGTGACGTGCGATGAGGGCGTCCAGTTCAATGCCTTGGAACGGGATGGAGGTCTGGAGGACTGCATGGTTGGGGATGATGCATCATATCTCGATCCATCGCCGACGATGTATGGAGCACGTCTAGTATATAAACAGACGCTGTTTGCACTGTTTGCATCGGGCCCCTCTTTGGGTTGTTGATCTTCGGGGCTTTTCTTTCTTTCTCTTCCTGGAAGAACCCCAGAACTTCTTCTTTTCGGCCGTTGTCTTGTTTCTTTCTTTTGCACAGGCATCTGTTATACCCTCTTCCTTTCCATATATATTTTTTATTTTCTTTGTTCGCCGTTCGCTTCATATCTGTTGAAGAGATTGCAGCCGTTGCAACCCCTCATCGCAAGCCATCGTCACCACCGCAACCACCATCATAATGGGCTCCGAAACACCAGTCTGGAGTCCCCAGACAGGTGAGTTGGAATTTCCAGGATATAGATTTGATGAGTTAATGCAGGCCTAACCCTTTCTAGTCTTGTCTACTCTGCCTCACCCCCCAGAGGAAAACTCCGCCTCCCCCGTTTCCTTCTTCCACCTGCTCGAACGACTCAAGACTACCAAGCGCGAGGGCTGGCGCCGTTTCGATATCCACCATGGCGAATCGATCTCGGATCATATGTACCGCATGTCCATCATGACAATGTTCGCTCCTCCGTCGTTGGCCGCGAAGATCAACCTGCCCCACTGCACGAAGATGGCCCTGGTTCACGACATGGCCGAATCGCTCGTGGGTGATATCACACCGGTGGACAACGTGAGCAAGTCCGAGAAGGCTCGACGAGAAGCAGAAGTGATGGACTATATCTCCAAGACTTTGTTGGCCGGTGTTCCCGGGGGCATGCTGTCGGGACAAGAAATCATGAACGTATTCCAAGAGTACGAAGAGAACAAGACTCTCGAGGCTCAGTATGTTCACGATATCGATAAGATTGAACTGCTCCTGCAGATGGTCGAGTACGAGCGTACCCATGACGTCGATTTGACTGAATTTTGCCATGTCGCTCCCCGGGTTCAGCTGCCCGAGACCAAGGAATGGGCCGCTACACTCATTAAGGAACGAGAGGAACTGCAGAAGCAAAAGAAGCAAAAGGCAGCCAATGGTGTGCAGGCATAAATTATGAGGACGGTATAAGTGTTGACTAGCACATACCAGTAGTGGGAGTTTACGTGGATATTCTTTCTTTGTCATGATTTATACCAACTGGAAGGCGTTCGGAAAGGGTTCTACATCTAGATAGATAGCATCGCGCGAGTCGATGGGTTCCATGAGCCAATGGGTAATATGATTATGCATGTGTGCATTTCGCTGTATACTTCATGCAATATGTATAGCATCAAATGCGTATGGTACATAGGATTACGGATGACCAGCATCAATCCAGCGGCTCTTTCTCCATCTCTTTCGCCAACATCTCTGCTTCGGCTTCCATCTCTTCCAAGCTCCTAGGCTTCCTCTCTTCGTTATCGACAGCAGGAAACCTCGTTCGCCGCCCATCCCCATTCTGTTCCTGCCGTCGCACCTGCTCTCGAATCTCGCCCTGCAATCCGCCCTGTTCTTGCGATAACTGCTTCGGCGCCTCACCATTCACAGGGCGCTCCTCGGCCAGATCCGCGCAATGAGATTCATGGAACTTGCCCAAATCCCCCTCCTCCCCATCCAACATCTCATACACCGCATCCGTCCCACCCCGATAATCCAAATCCGCCTTCTTCCTGGGTATGATATGCGTGTGCACATGCGCAACACTCTGACCCGCATCGACCCCATCCTGCACGGCAATGTTGAGACTCGAGGCCCCGTACACACGTTCAACCATGCGGCCCACCCGGCGCACGGTGAGGAAAAGATCGCTTGTTTCGGCGGCGGTCAGCTCGGAAACGCGGGGGACGCGCCGGCGCGGGGAGACGAGAACATGGCCGGGGAGGATGGGTTTGAGGTTGACGAGGGCGAAGGTGAGGGGTGTAAGGTGGAAAACCTGGTTATTATAATTAGTTTACTGCCAGCTTCAATATTTAAAACACGGTGAGTGGGTGAGCGTACCTGGGAAGTCACGAGGAATGGGCCGAAATGGATCGGGACCCCTTTGAGGGCGAGGGACATGGTAGGAACCGGGGGCGGGTTTTGAGTGGACATGTGTTTGGGATGGAATCGGATGAGATATTAGAAGAATTTGATTGCACAGTGGAGGATGCGCCAGTGATGGTTGCAATATTAGTAAACTAAGATGGGTGAGTTGATTTGGTGAGGTTTTGGCGCTGATCGGGGATTTATATCCAGTTATCCACTCCCTTGACCACGCCATACAAGACAACCACAGGAAATAGTACCTAGGATTCTTACAGTTAAGAGAAATATTCTGGCATATATGATTTTTACTGTGATATCGAAATTTCTTAATCTACACCGATTGGACTGCTTCGTTCTTAATCGATGTTATCAAGAAACAATATATTCTGGCTAGAAGACCCCGACTCAGATATAGAATCGAGATCGAAATTCCCACGGATTTCCACAAATCCAATTGGCCACTTCCGATCTTTCATTTTTCCTTTTCCTTTTCTTCTTTTATTTGACATAAAATGCTATTCACAGTGCACATAGATTTGAACCGTTGGGCCACAGTCCTTAAATGTTAAAACACCAATTGCTATCCGTTGAAGATGGCATTGGAGCAGATCATCTGGCTGCACTCCATAGGGAAATGACCAATAGCTTCATATCAATCGCACCAGGTGCCTAAGGATTCCGATTCAGCCTCGTAGAAATGCACTGCCATGATCCGAATTTCACACTGAACACAATGTTGACATTCCACATAGACCGCAAACCAACATAGACAGGTTTTTGGCAAGCAAAGTCAAAGCTGTTGCTGAAGGTTAATTCGTGTGTAGCATCAAGCTTATCGGACTGCTTCTAGGAAGCAATCCCAATCTTCCCCCTCCCAAGGCCATTCATCGGGATGATTGCCATGGATCGTGATTGCCATTTCTTCTACCATGTCTATATATGGGGAAACCTGCCATGGATCACCCCAGCTACTTGAAGGTGGGTCGTCCAATAATGTCCTGTATCAGTGAGTTGGGCAGTTTCTTGATTTTGGCCTCGATAGTTGAAATTTCTTCCTTCATAGCGTCAAAGCCGCCCGGTCGTAGCACTCGCAGACTCTTTGAGCCAAGATGCATCACCAAATAGAGCAAAATAAGCTGCCTTATACTCGCTTGTTCATCTGCAAGGGAGCGTCTTGCCCCATAGCTTCCGTCCACCTTTTCTCACCCAAGAACTTCATTGTGGCCGCAATCAAACTCCATTGCTGATATGTATCACGCTGACCGGATCGGCGATATTCTTCAAACCATGGGGGTAAACCCACTGTGCTGTCGAATGCCATTCTGTCCGGTAGGCAGTCGATTAGAAACTTGAACCGCGTTGCGCTTGACAATGGGGTTATAGCGGGCCGCGGGTCATCATAGATGGCTGATATGGAATGGTGAAACAAGTCCCCGAAGATGATCCAGTTGTAGAGGGCAATTTCGGTATCATGGCAGATTATCATATTATCGAGAATTTCACCATCATCGTCATACGAGGAAGGACCGCATATCATATCAATTTCCTCACTGAGAGGGTTTAGAACATCCATTTTGTATTTCCACGCCTGACGGATATCGTCCAGAGTTATACCATCATCGACCACTTCAATTGCAAGGCTGAGGAGTGACTGCATCCCCCCACCGAGGGTTTGATGCAACTTCTGCTTCCGTTCATTGCTCTGCACAGCCCAGTCCGCCACCCTGCGAGCAGTGAAGGCCACGAGGAAATGGGGAGATGGCTCTAGCAAAGGGGATTTGACGGCCAGTCGAAGGACGTGTTTGGATGTATCCTTGTAAATGTAATACAGTCTCTTGGAGGTGAGCACCAGCGTATAGAGATCTTTCAGGGAATAAAGGTGCCCTGACAAAAGCAGAAGAAGCTCAGTAGGGAGACCGAGCAAGGAGGGGGAAGTCATCTTGCTGTTTGCTGTTGCTTCTGAGGAAGAAGGATGCTGGGGTGAGGTGGATGAGGAGGAGGGGGGGTGAGGAAGAGAGTGAGGAGAGAGAAAGAAGAAGAGGTGGAGGGGAGGGATGTATGAGGGATGTCGAGGGCAAGGTGAAAAAGAGGAACACCAACAACACGCAACAGTGAATGTCAACCTTAGGGCATAACACACCAAGTCTCATCTCCCCTCAAAACCTCTACAAGATGAGACACACCAGTCTTCTATCCTCAATACATTTGCTGCAGCCACTTCCGCAGAAGGAATAAACAGTCCTATCTCTTTCCTCCCCAATGCTGTACTCAAAAGTCAGTTTAGAGGCCAAATGGTCGTCGAAATTGTGTATCCATGCCCTAGAGTATTGAAGAAAGCTTAATTCGGTTGCTTTGGGAGCAGCACGAGATCGATGCCCGTCAAAAGTTGCTGGCTGTCGATGACGGCAAAGACCATACGGGTTTGAGAAATATCAAGCCTGCTTTCGACAGATTCTGAGAGACAAATTCGATTAAATACCAGCTGCAGAAGGGCTAGATAGTTTCTTCCAAAGAGCAGTCAAACTCTACGGGTATATCTGCAAATCATGGGTATCATTAAATAACAAGACAATCTCGAATCGTATATTACACAACAATTAATGCAACTCCTTGACAGCGTGCTTCATGAGCCAAAGAGCCATCATCACAATGCAACGCATATTACAAGCATAGTCTGACACCCTGGGGTTGCAGAAATATTAAAGAAGAAGGAGAATAGAAGGAGTGGAAAGTGAATAGAACGGAAGATGAAACAGATCAAGTCAGTATTCAAGACTCCTTGGTAGGCTCTTTTTCTTCCTTGTGCTCTGCCTCTTGTTTCGGCTCTGATGCCGGTTCTGCTGGCGCCGCGGCTGGTGCCTCTGCCTCTGCCTCTGCCTCTGGCTTTTGCTCAGACTCAGGCTCAGCCTCCTTTTCTGGTTCTTTGTCGGATTTTGGCTTCGACTCTGCTTCCGGTTCAGGCTCGGAGTTTTGAGCAGGGGTATCTTCCGTCGACGGGGCTGCTTCAGCCTCACTCTCCTGCTTGGCTGGTTCAGGCTCTGCATTTGTCTCTGCGGGCTTGGCTGGCTCTTCAGTCTGTTCAGCCTCTCCCGACTTCTCGGGCTCAGGAGCTTGCTCCGGCTCTTTCGTTTCCGGCTTCTCCGGTTCCAATCCCTGCGGGGCTGTCTCTCCTACTTCTTCAACGGTAATATTTGGCTCGACAGCCTCAGCTGCTGGCTGTTCCTGTTCCTGTTCCTGAGCTTTCGGTTGCTCTTCAGCGGCTTCAGCAGGTGCTTGCGGCTCCGGATTTTCAATAACCGTGGTTTCCTCGGGTAATAGTGGGAATTGTTCAATATCCTCCGCACTTTCACTAATGGTTGTAACGCGAGACCCCGTCGACGGGGTGTGCTTGTGTCGTCGTGTGGTGGCAGCGGTGCCGAGTGACGAAGCGTCCAGATCCTGCAGGGACGTAGGGAAGGGGTTCTCGTCCTCCTTACGCAGTATGGTCAACCGGCGCCCGTCGACCGGTTCCTGTACGGGAGGCTGCGCATCCAAACCCTCCGCCTCCGCAGGAACAGTGTAGTTGTCTTCCGGAATAAGATTGTACATGTCGCAAACCGTCTTGAAGAATATGTAAAGACCATCATGGCCCTCAACCTGCCAGAACACCTCCCGATGTTGAAACCAAGCGTGGGCAAAGATACGATAGAGCCGACGGAAGATATTGGTCAGATGTCTCATGCTTGCCTGAGGACCGCCGCCCGCCTCCGAACCAAGAGTCAACCGACTGGGGAAGTACTTAGGTGAAGTGAGGATATTGGTAGCCCAGTCGAGGGTATGACAGCAGTAGTCGATAGCGCAGCAGGATTTGGGCGGGTCATGAACAGCGCAAAGGTATTGCCATTCCGAGGCTCGCATTTCGGGACACGTCTGGGAGGTACAAGGGGGAGACTCGGCGAAGAAAGCGATGATAAGATTGTTGACCTTCATGGTGAGGAAGCGACAGAGCTCATAGAGCCACAGGGACCGGTCGACGCCCTCGGGAGGCTCCGCGAGCTGGATAGCAACATTGCGATTGATCGGAACGACTGTATCCGAACCTTCGGGTCTTGTGTAATGATGATAAAGAGCCTTGAGGTGCTCCTGGAGTTGGAATGGGGAATCGAGCTGTCGGGGTTGGTCAGTGGGTGATTGATTGATTGATTAATGCCAAGCTGGCGGCTTTGTTTACAAACTGACCTGCGAGAGCGGAATCAACGGAGGACCAAACGCCATATCGTCAGCTTTTGTTCCTGGTCTGATCCTCCTTGTCGAGACATCTTCGTCTACATTCGAGTTTCCGAGCAATCCTTCGGCATCCTTGCCAAAGGACTCGCCGACCGAGGGCGACTTGGGCCCGATTTGAACTTCCGTAAAAGGCGGAGGACTGGGGAGCCGCGGGGAGCTGGACGGGGAGGCTCCCGCAGCAGCCATGGCAGAGAAACGAGGGAGAGATAGACCGCAGCTTTCACTGGGTCTGAAAATGTATAAAAAAGTGAAGGAACGTATCAAAGAATCAAAGAAAGGCCGATTGGTTGACGATGAATGATTGCCAGCTGGAGCTGCAGCTGAAGCCGACGCTGGACGGAATGGAAGCCCCCAACGTCAAGCAGCATGACCCGAAGAGCCCTAAACCCTAATCTGCATCCGCTCTGGGTAACGTCACTCGATCGCCGCCGCAACGTCTGGATTCTGGATGCTATATTGAATTCTCGACTGCGTTTAAACAAAATACAAGAGGATAAACTCTTCAGTTTGATAAAGATGGCTTCATATATGGATGACGATGACGCCCCCCCCGAGTTGATCGATGTATCTATGCTTCCTGACTCGGAGAAGCAGAGCTCTACTACTCCAGCCACAACTATAGATGTCCCAGAGCAGAATCGCGTGCCTATAACACTGGTGACTGGTATGATTTAACTAACTTTTTTTGTTATTATAAACAAATCAATTTGAATCTGCGCTGACATGAAGTCAGGATATCTGGGTGCGGGCAAGACCACTCTGCTGAACTATATCCTCACTGAAAAGCATGGCAAGAAGATCGCCGTGATTATGAACGGTTTGTTTACATATGAATATATTTGATGATTATTGCTAAGTATTTGTAGAATTTGGAGACTGTAAGTTGCGTAGAATGAGGGCATTCAAATATCAACCTACCTCACCTCAAGCAACTCAACTAACCGAACCCAAGCAACGGACATTGAAAAACCCTTAACAGTTAACCAAGGAGGCCAAGAAGTCACCGAATGGATGGAAGTCGGCAATGGCTGTATCTGCTGTTCTGTCAAGTAAGCCCCCAACTGGGTCATATCCACATCTCACCAATATGAATGTAATATCTAACGATAACAGAGACTCCGGCGTCATGGCCATCGAATCTCTGATGGAACGCCGCGGCACATTCGACTACATCCTCCTCGAAACCACCGGCCTCGCAGACCCAGGCAACATCGCCCCCATCTTCTGGGTAGACGATAACCTAGGCAGCTCCATCTACCTCGACGGCATCGTCACCCTAGTCGACGCAAAGAACATCCTCCGCCTCCTCGACGAGCCAGCACCCGAGGAAAAGGTCAACGCTCATGAAAATGAGGACGCACACGATCACGCCCACTCCGGACCCGTGCTCTCCATGGCGCATATGCAGATATCGCACGCGGACGTGATCATCCTGAACAAGGCGGACCTCGTGACGGCGGATGAACTCGAGCACGTCAGAGATCGGATCTGTGCGATCAACAATGCGGCGAAAATCCACGTTACGGATCATAGTAAGACGTCTCAGATTGAGGGCGTCGTGCTGGATCTGCATGCGTATGACCATCTGGCTAGTATGGATTTTGGTGAAAAGGGTCATAGTCATATTGACCCTGTTAGTTCTACCTTCCTTCTTATAAACATTAGCTGATGGTGTATTTAGGCAATCTCAACCATAGCAATAACCCTCCCCCCAATCTCACCCTCAAAAGTCTCCAGCGTCGACGCCTGGCTCCGCTCTGTCCTCTGGGACTCGGAAGTCCCATCAATCACCTCCCCAACGAGCCCCCAGCCAAAGGATTTCGAAATCCACCGTCTAAAGGGTATCCTAGTCCTAGAAGATGGGTCGTCAAAGATCATCCAAGCCGTTCGGGATGTATTTGAAATTCGGGACTCGGAATCTCCAGCTGATCCTAAATCGCAATGTAAGATTGTGTTGATTGGAAGGGGACTGGGTGGTGATGTCGAGCCGTGGAAGGAGAATTTTGAAAAATTCTTGACTCAGGATGATTAAGCGCTGGGTCAAAATGGAGAGATGACTTTAATTGTGACCCTTCTTACGCTCACGATTGAAACGCGATGAAGATTGAATGTGTAGAATGCATGATATGGATGTCTTGGTTTGATATAAAAAGCAGTAGCAGTAAACATATAAAATAAAATGCAATGATATAAATTAATACAGCCCTCAGGAAAAGAATATTATCAACACCAATCAATATACATTTGGAAGATCACGAGGGGGAGAAAAAAAACGAAAATCAGGAAGAGGACATTCCTCCATTGGTATGTCATCAAAAAGTCGTTAAAGAGTGCCAAAAAAAAAATCAGTAAATCAATCAATCAGTAAACCAAGGACACGCAGCTGATTAACAGCAAACGTAATGGGGCCTTTCTTTCAAGTCCTTGGGGGAAGGGAAACAACAACACTGCCAAATTCAGAGGAAGAGGATAACGCAAAAGAGAGCAACAAAAATCAGAAAACGGACGAATTCAGCCCAAGAACATCGAAAAAAAAAAGGATAAATCAAGCTAAAATACGAAGGAAAAAGAAAATCCGAGATTGAAAAGTCATAACTCCAGTTTTCGCCGTGAAATCTGCTACCTTGCAGATGCGTTACCATCTTCTCCCAAGTGAGGCGTAAAACACGTTAGGAAAAGTTAAGTATACAGCGCAGTTAAAAAAAAAAATGGGGGACGTGGACAAAAAGAAAAGGGGCAAGGCAGGGAAGCAGAATGATTGTGAAAGGGTATCGAGCAGCAGTAGACCTCAATGTTGGGCCTTCAAATCAAGATAGCGTAAATCAGTGCGGTTGGATGAACTTTTTTGTTGGGAGGGAGAGGGCTGATAAGGTCAAGTGAGGGTTCGTTCATGTAGAAAGCCAGTGTCATAGGGATGGGAGAGCCTTGTCACTGAATGCTGGATTTATCGGTAAATGAGAGTCGCTCAGGTAGGGTGAATGGCTTTGGAAGCCCGGTCTTGGATAGTTAAGGGCAGAACGGATGGTAAGAGGCGAGTGGAATGGATTCGGGTTCGTGGATATCAATTTTTGTTCTGAAGGACTTAGGGCGGGGTTTATCGGTAGTATTGAATGTAAAAGGGATGAAACTGAGTGTGAGGGCACTTGTGTTGACCAGTCCGGGTACGTGGCATCTTCGGTGGGCATATATGCTTGTCCCAAATCTGTCACGGGTGGTGGGTATGGCTCAGTGGACTGGGTTGATGCGGAGGATAAGGGAGACTCTTGGTATTTCACAGAGTCTGGAGACGGGTTATCGGTGGGATTTTGATTCAAAGAACAAGCTGGGTGTCCACCAACGCCTGCAAGTTCTCCAGGCAGAGCGTCTCGGAATGGTGGCAGGCCTGCTTCTTGATCTGTTGAATTGCGAAAGAGAGGGTGTATAGTAGCATCCAAGTCGATTTCGTGAGGATTGCTCTGAGATGTCAGGTTTTGGGTGTCTCCCAAATTGTCCGGGCGTAATGCTTGACTGATAGATTCTGAAAAGCCTGGCTGGTCATCCAATTCATCAAGGTCCAGGCGTGCAGGCGGATTGCTGTCTACTGAAAATGCACGAATCCTCGAATCGTCCATTGTCTCAGCTGTTCTGGGTCGGAACTCGTCGGCTTCAAGCGACATGCCGCTGTTTCGTTCAAGATATGGCGGTGCAGCCGCGAGATTCGGGTGATATTGGCTCATGGAGTAGCCGTCATCTAGATCGTCTTGTGTGGGAGGGTAGTAACCTGTGTTGCCATTTGGCGGTCCACGCGAATTGGCAAAGGCCACGGAGGCAGGAATCGCACGGGCGTTTTGCAGGGGAAGAAAACCGTTACGCAGTCCCACACCAATGCTTGAGTGTATGTGATGAGGTTGAGGGCGTATCATAAGAGGAATAGGCTGCTCCATCGGAAGCTCACGCGGGAAAAAGCCCAACAACTCCTTGGCTGACAGCCGGTGTCGAGGGTTCGGGCTGAGGCAAATATCAACAAGCCTTCGATAATAGTCCGGCACTTTCGCGTCTTCATCCAGAAGCAACGGGCGACACTGTCGTTCCGGTTCATCCTCCTGCATCGCCAATGCCCACAGGGTCATTCCCAACTGATACAGATCCGTCTTCACTCCAATGTACATGGATATTCGTTGGTTGCTTTCGATCTTGGCCGCAATTTCCGGCGGCTCCCATCCTACGGGACAACCGCGTCGATTGATGTCAATAATTTTGGCATTGTCATTGGCGTCCACGACAATGTTAGAGAGTGTGAAATCGCCCTGTACGTAGCCGGATTCGTGGATTTCGCAGAGACCTTGGATGATCTGCTTGGCCCACCGTTCTCGTCGCTCCCAGGTTATTTCGCCACGGTTTTCGTACAGGATGTCGACCAACGCTCCTTGCTCGGCATATTCGATCAGCAGACCTTTTACCACCTCCTCGCGGTCATCGACCACAATTCCTTGCACCTGAATCACACTAGGCGCGCCATTGAGCGCATTCAGCGCATTGATTTCGTAGAGGAACTCATCCACCGTGTCAGGGCCGGGGATTTCCTTTTTGATAAAATTTCTTCCACCCAGTCGCACATTGTAGACGAACCCAGACAAGTGCGCATCGAAATGCAGGCGATTCTCGGGGACGAGGCGAGCGTTGGGCAAATGGCCCACGCAGGAAACAGGAGGATAGGGAATGATTTCGTTCACGTCTTCGGTCACATGGACATGCAGGCGGCCATCGCGGGTCTCGAGCTTGAGATTGGTGACGGTGTCGTAGAATTGGATGTCGAGGAGGGATTCCCGGATGGATTCGTAGATGCGAGAGCACTTATCCCGCTGGTAGCGCAATTCCTTCAAGTCCTGCTCGAGCGAATCTGGGGTGGCGTTGCGGTAATCGCACGAAATGGTGACTCTGCGCCAGCGATTGGGGGCTTCGGCGTAGGTGACGAAAAATTTCTCCCGCTCGGACCGGTCGCGGAAGTGCATGCTCAGATTGAGAATCCATCGTTTGTCCAGCTCCATCTCGATCATCTCGTCCGCTGGTTGCTCTTCGGGAGCATCCGTCACGTCAGGGCCAGGGTTCCATTCCGATCGGAGATCGCTGTCATCATTCGTCTCGGGCGGTTCGTCAACCGTGGTCTCAGCAGCCTCCTCCTCGCACCACTGGACCTCGGGAGCGGATAACCTGGGGCCCACGGCGGGCTGTGGAGATCTGGTTCTCTGGGCGCTCAGCGGGCGGCGACGGTCGGCGGATTGGGCACGACGGGGCTCTGGGTTGGCAGGAGCGAGCCGATCTCGACGTTCCGAGTCCTGGCGTTTAAAGGTGGTGGAACGAGGCAGGGCGACGCCGACTCGCTTGGACAGTTTGCGGGAGAGGTGATCGTGGAATTTGCTGGCGCTGAAGGAACTGCTGTTGTTGGTATGGCTGTGACTGTGGTGGTGCTGTCGCTGGTGGCTGGGAGAAGAGGTCCCGGAGGAGGCAGGCGAGTGGGAAGCAGAATCTCGATCATCACGACCCAGCAATCGACGAAGTCCCAATCGCTGCCACATGCTCTGCTTGCGAGGAGGGAACTTTTGCGGCTGCTCAGGAAGCAGATCCAAGGGCCTCGTTGGGCTACAGGAACTGTCGGCAATGGAGATGGCCATACGGCACGACACTGTGTCTATCGCTCGTCGTCGGTCGTGTAAGAAACGACTTGGACACCCCGCTGGCCGGACACAATCCCGATGTCCATAAGAAATTGAAATCGGTCACTTTGAGGATTCTAACTATTTTCTGGTGTCTAGTTTTTCTTGATTTTTTCTTGTTTTGACCAGATAGAAGTTTTTTTTTTTTTTTTTTTCCTTCAGAAAGACAAGGGGGAGGGGAGGAGTCGGTGAAGATCGGATTTGTTGTCAAGAGAGAAAATCGTTTCGAACACACAGCGTCGGGTATCTAACACTACTAACTCTAAGGATTGAGGGCTGAGTCAGAGATGAAACAGAAAAAGATACCTAGACAGGCAACCAGGGATGTCGTGGAGGGAATGGGATAGAGGAGAAAGTAAGAGGTAGTGAAGATAGGAGGTTGAGCTGCAAGGCTACTCACTCAATTAATATCCAGTTCTTCAAACAACCTCACATTCAGGGATTTTTTTCACCGCCCAAAAGGACACAAGAAGAGACTGTTTGATGGAGTCCAATAGGAAGAATGAATGCAAATAAAAAAGATTCACGTGTAAGAGAGAATTGGAGTCAGAGACAGGAGGACCAAACGCACAAAACTACGCCAAAATAAATAAATATAAAATTAATAAAATAAAATAAATGATATCAATTAAACATTCCCCAAATGAGCCATAATTAATGCCAAACGCAAGCAATAAAACACCATATTTTCTTATTATTTTCTCTATTTTCTTTCTCTCTAGTGGAGCAAATCAAAATGCACTGCGGCCTGACAGTGCCTGATGCCACAGACTCGGGTCCATCACCACAACAGCCTCCCTCATAAACAGTTTCACATCCACCTTTTTGTTGTTGGACTCGATGAACTGCGATGATCAAAGACATCATTCAAAGAGGCGGAGAGCATCAGTCTACTCCATCGTATCTTACAGCTGGTTGAGGATCTACATGCTATGATGATATAATGGGGGGGGGGGGTGACGGACTCCAATTAACAACACTCACTATAGACAGTACAACAAACCGCGCATATTGCATTCGTGGTCACCATGAGAAGACAGAATCACGATGGGGTCGATGGAGTCTGTCAGTGTCAGTGTGGTATAGAATCGGACTGATTTCTGATCACTTGATACTATACTCCTTCAATACTTACTAGTATACTGTACTGTATACAGTCGAGATATCAACTGTCACTCCATCAACTCCATCTTCCGATCCACTACTGCAAATGCACAGCCCAAATCCTTCTCGAAGCCCGGTTCCTGTTCGCCCTGCCGGTTGGGTCGAGAGTCACTAAATAATATTTATATTAAAATATACAGAACTAGACGGACTAGAGGGACTAGATGGAGAAAAAGGAAGATAAATAACTTCAGCTCTCCAACAATCTGGCATGCGTTAGTGTCCTCCATGCGTTGGCTCCATCCAGTCTCCTCCATCCCATCTCTTTCTCTCCATCATCACCACAAAATCACCAAAAATGACGATGAAGAAGAATACTCGAGCGTATCGCTCTAACCGCTCCATTCTATCTTGAATACTACATCATAAAATAGAGCCACGCCTTCATGTACTCCATAATCTAGCTACAGTAACATCTGTGCCATCCCTACCGGTCGAAACGCAATAATACTATCCAAAAGCAAAGAACTGCAGCTTTTAGTCTCCCCTCCATTTCAAAGTGATGCTTCCATCCATCGACCAGAATATTCCCATTCCTCCAATCAGATGTCGTTGATCGATTCTGTTTTCTGGTTCAGTTTGACACTTTGCTAGGCTTTACTGGGAGTTTTTTTCCTTTTTTTTTTTCTCGCTGCACTTCAGCATCATTGCTGTATTATTAACTACATATACTGGGATCTTACTGAACCCCTCGTTGCAATCGTTGCTGATCGGACTGTGACTTGCGGAGAATAACGGAGGTGTTTGCTCTGCGTGTCTCCTCCTTTCCAGTCACCTACATATTACATTGGCTGCTGCTTCTGCATCGTGAGGCTCGACCGGGCGTCATTATTCACGGCCACTCCAACCAAAGACAGCGCATACAATCGCCGAATAGCTCCTTCATCTCTTCAACGCTTAACGGCTTCATTCAATACAACAATACCAGGCGGACAAATTACATATTCCAAGACCTCATATATACATACATGTCGCAATAGCAAAGGTATTATCCATGGGTCTCCTCTATCTGTTCAACCATCAATCATTATACACGGCCAGCGAACTGGACACACACTTCTTTGGCTTCCCCCCATTTTTTAAAATGAAAATCTTAGAGTGGAGTTTGGTTCTGTTGTCTTTCTTTTCCCCCCTTGTCTTCCGTTCTTATCGCTCATCCGTTGTCCAGTTGTCCCTGCCAGCCTTTTCATGCAGCCTGCCCACTTCGACAGGTAGGCTCGGGGGATGATAAGACATCCACTGCCTGGAAGCATAAGCTCTCAAGTCCCACCTTGGGTAGTTCTCTAGACAAAATCCTCGAATAAAAAGAAAAGAAAGAAAAACACACAGAACTCCGGGCCATGCATTCCGCAATGAAACGCCGTGTACATACAAATAGACCGACAGACGTGACCAAACACAAGATATCAAAAATACACAGGGCCATAACAAAAGTGTCAAAAGTATATACCAAAATTGAAAAGGAGATAAAAATAAAATAAAAAATGTTAGCTTGTCATAAACCACGAGCGGTACATTCAATCATCGTCGTCTTCGTGGCTCTCCTTGAGTTTTTTCTTGGACGATGTGTCCGCAAGCGCCTTCGACCACACCTTGTTGGCGGCGTCTCGGTCTAGGTTGGCAAAGAGAATGTCAAACACCTCCGAGTACCAGCCGGCCGCATGGCCTTCAATGCCTTGCTTGATGTTCTGTACCAACTTATTAGACAATTGACTCGCAGAAAGCAGATAAAATATGAGATTAAACTCACCTCAGGCAGCTCAAGCCAGTCGGACATGTTATCCGCGGGGAAAATAATCTTCTTCGCTCCCGCACGGCGCGCCGCAACTGTCTTCTCCCGCAACCCTCCAATGCGCAACACCTTGCCAGTCACGGTCAGTTCTCCTGTCATGGCAATAGTTGGGTCGAGAGGGTGGTCCAAAGCCAAGGACAACAGAGACGTCGCCATGGTAATACCAGCAGATGGGCCTAGCCACGTTAGTCCACGCTAAATGAAAAGGAGGAGGGGAACAGCGCGGTGATCATGGAACATACCATCTTTGGGCACAGCACCCTCAGGGCAATGCATGTGCAGCTTGGCCTTTTCAAAGAATTTGTTTTCCGGGAATTTCTTAGCCATCACCGACTTGGAGAATGAATAGGCAATGTGGGTAGATTCCTTCATGACATTCTGCAAGTTACCAGTGATGTCGATACCCGGTCGCGACTCAGGTGTCAGGGCATTCTCCAAAATAGATTCAACGTAGAGAGCGGCGCCTCCCATACTGGTCCATGCAAGTCCCATCGTCACACCGGGGGGGAAAGTGTCGTACAGGCGATCGGCCGTGAAAACTGGTGGCCCAACATAGTCTGTGAGGCTGTCTTTGCCGATGCTGAGGTGCACGCTATCAGGTACCTTAAGAGCAAGTCGGGGAGTTTCCGTGGTCGATTTCTCTGGGTCAGCAGGGGGGTCATTCGGATCGGAGGTCTCTTCCTTCTTCGACGACTCCTGCGCAGCCTTTCCTTCATCGGTAATGGCGTCTTCTTCCGCAAAGACATCCTCTCCCAAATCCTGAACAATCTTGAAAGCGGCCTTTCGATAGACCTTTTCGATCTGCTTCTTCAAGTTGCGGACACCGCTTTCGCGACAGTATGATTTGATGAGCTCTTCGATGGCATCCTCCTTAAGAGTAACATCGACTTCCTTGAGACCAGTCAGCTCTCTTGCAGCGGGAGCCAAGTAACGATCCGCGATGGCCTTCTTCTCGTCCGCAACGTAACCCGAAAGCTCAATGAGTTCCATACGATCCAAAAGTGGTCGAGGAATTGTGTCCGTGATGTTGGCAGTGCAGACAAAGAGAACCTTGGATAGATCCACCGGAACATCCATATAATGGTCCAAGAACGACGAATTCTGCTCAGGGTCGAGGAGTTCGAGCAAAGCGGACGACGGATCGCCCTGGTGTCCACGTCCAATCTTGTCTACCTCATCGATCAGGATGAGAGGGTTTTCGGTTTGGCACTTCTTGAGAGCTTGGATGATACGGCCAGGAAGAGCACCGACGTAGGTCCTTCGGTGTCCCTTAATCTCGGCCACATCAGTCAACCCACCAACAGAGAATCGGTAATACTGTCTGTTTAGTGCACGAGCGATCGACTTTCCGATACTGGTCTTTCCGACACCTGGTGGGCCGACAAGGCAGAGAATCTTTCCTTCCACTGTTCCACGGAGCTTTCCAACAGCGATAAACTCAAGAATACGGTCCTTGACATCCTTGAGGCCGTAGTGATCCTCATCCAGAACGGTCATCGCATTCTTGATTCCAAAATTCTCCACACTCTTCTGGCCCCAGGGAATCTGGGTCAACCAGTCAAGGTAGTTGCGGGTCACGTTGAATTCGGACGCAGCCGGTTCCAGGTGAGCCAGCTTGTTGATCTCCTCGTCAAACACCTTCTTTACAGCTTCTGGCATGGCAAGCTTCTCTGCCTTTTCTTTGAACTTCTCGACAAGCTTGTCCTTTCCATCAGATTCAATGCCCAATTCTCTCTTGATGCCTTTCATCTGCTCCATCAACCAGTACTCGCGTTGGCGCTTCTGAATCTTAGCCTCCACATCCTTGGAGATCTTCGACTGCAGTTGCGCGTTCATCAACTCCTTTTTCAAGACCACAAGCGCCTTAGGAAGTCGCTCTTCAATATTCATCATCTCGAGGACTTCTTGCATCTCGTGCAGCTCTCCTGCGGAAACAGCTGCGGCGAAATCGGCCAACTTAGCAGGCTCATCACTTAGGTTTCCGGGAAATTGGTCTGTGTAAAAGGCAGAAATCTGATCACGGAACAATGGGTTGAGGGAAGCAATCTCTTTGCACACGTTGACAATCTCACTTGTCACTGCACGGATGATAGCACTCTTCTTGTCATGTGCTTCTTCCACCAGGTTTTCCACGTTGACCAGACTGACTGGGTATTTTCGCAAGAAGGAGGTCGGCTCGTAGTGATCTTTGGGCGCAGGTTCGGCGGCGCCTTCTTCAAAGCTAGCAACAACATCACCCCGTTTTTCCGTGGCCTTATCCTCTGTTGTAGTCGCAGTAGCCTTGGCCTGGTCGCTGGGCGGTAGTAGCGAAGAAACCTTGATGCGACGGTGAGGGTAGAGCACAGCGGTCACACCGCTGGATTCTCCACGGAGTGGGTACGCAGCCGTGATCTGGGCAAAGACACCAACATCATACACGTCATCCAGATTTTCAATCACGTCGCCATCAGCGTTCTCGTCCTTGAATAAGAAAGCACCCACGTATGGCTGTCCTCGCTTCATCATATCCTGGATGGCCACGGCCACATTAGGGTCCCGAATAGTAATTGCTTTGTAGAATCCAGGGAACAGGGGGCGCTTGGCAATTGGAATCGCCATCACTTGAGGATACACCTCGGGAACCGAAGGCTTCTGCAAAGCCTTCTCGTTAGAGCCCTTCTTGCCTTTCTTGCCACCGTCTTCATTTCCACCGTTGTTAGCACCGCTAGGTTTGGAGTCCGACGAACTCCCGCTGGGTGGAATCGGTGATGGATCGGATGAATTGCCTTTTCCTTCAGCTGCATTATTGTCCTTTTTGGAGTCTTCTTCCAGTCCACGCTGCTCCTTGTCCCCAGTGGACTTGTCCTTCCGCCGTGCGGAGCCCGATGTCGGAGCTCCCGGTTCTAATGACGATCCATGCTTGCCCGAAGAATCGGTGGGTTTCCGTCGAGATTCGGAGCTACGGTCAACATCTTTCTCTTCGTTGGCATCTTTCTGCTCCTTTTGTGGCGAATCTTCTTTGTCCTCCCCCGGTGGAGGCTTTTCTTTCCGTCGGATAGAGCTCGAGGAAAAGGTGCGGGGAGAGGACGGAAGAGGACGGGAGAGGCGCGTAGACCTTAAGGCTGATCGGAAATTGGCATTGTATCTAGGAGAAGCAAGGAAAGGCCGAACGATTAGAGGGCGCGGTGTTTGATGGAGCGCGGCTCTCCAGGGGAGGGTCTGGCCGCGGAGCATGCTACTGTGTAGACGATGCTTTGATGTAGAGAAAAAGGGAGAGGATGGGAGGGATTAGGAGGGATTGAGAGGGAAATAAAAGGAAATATAGACCCTTGATGAGCTGTAGATGAAGATGAAGCTAGACAAGAGACGAAAAGGAGGAGATGCAGAGGGTTGGAAGGTCCCAGGTGGTGGAGGTGGTGCCAGAGGAGCTGGTGGTAGAGTGACTGCTTACCGAAGCAGGCGCTTTCATCATCACCGCCCGGCGCAACGTTTCTCCGGTCGGGAAACTTTTTTCGAGCCGAAAGAAAGACTCGAAGCTTCTCTGATTCCTTCATCAGGAGTCGGCAAATCCTGGATAGTCTCGTTTGCCCGACCGCCTTATTCCATTTCAGCTAGCGCCGGTGGTTGCTAATCACCTTTTTTTCCTTCGTTCTCACCAAGTCATTCTTTCAATGCACCTTTGTTTTCCATGATGAATCCATCTACCGCCGCTATGCCCAAAGCCGCGGCTATCCCCGCTCGTCTGCTGCGGACTTCGCGACAATGCTCAAGCCAGAGCCCGGCGACCAGTATTCGATCATCTACCCAGACCCGGGGTTATCATGTCTCCACAGGCTCTTCCCCCTCGAGGTGCCTGCGTGATGGCTCTTCTAGCAGGAAATATCCCGTGTTTCAATCGTCGAGGGTAGGTTATTGTCTGTGTATACAGAATGTACTGTTCTATCCGGACGGCCATTGACCTCTTTTCATCTATAGGGCTTCCATACAACCGCTCCTCTCACCGCCATTGCCGACCCTTATAAGACCCTCGGAGTAGATAAGGGTGCTTCCGCAGGAGATATCAAGAAGGCATACTATGGAATGGCAAAGAAATACCACCCGGATACGAACAAGGAACCAAACGCTAAGGAAAAGTTCGCGGAGGCTCAAACGGCTTATGAATTGCTCTCGGACGCCAATAAGAGAGCGCAGTTCGATAAATTCGGTGGTGCTGCATTTGACCAGAACGGTGGCTTCGACCCCAGCGCTGCGGGTGGAAATCCGTTCGCCGGCGCAGGAGGTTTTGGCGGAGGAGGTTTCGGCGGATTTGGCGGTGGCTTCGGTGGTGGACCCTTTGGAGGCGGCTTTTCGCAGGATATCAATTTTGAGGATCTGTTCGGTGCTTTCACAGGTGGCGCTCGTCGTGCTGGCCGGGGCAGACGCAGCCCGTTCCAGGAGGTGCTGGTTGGTGAGGATATTGAGGTCCAAACCAACATCTCCTTCATGGAGGCCGCAAAGGGTACATCGCAAGATATTGTCATCAATCCATTGACTGAGTGCGGCACCTGTAAGGGTGACGGGTTGAAGAAGGGTGCTAAGCGTACCCAATGTCGACAGTGTAACGGTACCGGAACCCGTGTGCACATGATGCAGGGAGGCTTCCAGTTAGCAGCCACTTGCGATGCCTGTGGTGGAGCAGGGCTCAGCGTTCCTCGGGGATCCGAGTGTGGCTCGTGCAACGGCAACGGAGTGGTTCGGGACCGTAAAACGATCCAGGTTGATATCCCTGGTGGTGTGGAGGATGGCATGAGATTGAGAGTGGCCAGCGAGGGAGATGCACCTCCCACAGGAGCAAACGCACCCCCCGGTTCTCGTACCCAACGAGGTGACTTGTACGTCTCCATCCGAGTCGCGCCCGACCAACGATTTAGCCGCTCTGGATCCGATATTCTGTACACGGCCTCCATTCCTCTTACTACGGCAATTCTTGGTGGTGAGATGACGATACCGACTCTGGACGGCGAGGTCAAGGTCAAGGTTGCTACCGGTACGGGTACTGGCGACAAAATCACACTGTCCGGAATGGGAATGAAGAAACTCGGCGGCGGCCGGGCCAGGTTCAGCCCTACGGGTGACCTGAAGGTCGAATTCAAGGTTGCCATGCCGAAATACCTGACGGGCAACCAGCGAACCATTCTCGAAGTTCTTGCCGATGAGATGAACGACAAGACTGCCCGACGGATCATGGACGTTGGTAAGGATGGGTAAGTCGAACATACACTGCTATCATATTCATTTTTACTAAATACTGACACTCAATCAAGCCCCAAATCGGCTTCTGAATCCAGCTCCGGATCCGGTGACTCCAAAGACGAAGGATTCCTTAAGTCCGCATGGCACAAACTCATGAACAGCAAAAACGCCGACGCCGAGAAAGAATCCGGTACCGACCAAAGCACGAAGGGATCGAGTGATTCCAACAAGAACAATGACGAGAAGAGCGAGAAGAAGTCCTCGGGCTCGACCTAATAATGGCGACATGTGCCTTTTTGAATACCATATTATATGTTTGGGCTTTCTCGGGTTGTATTTACTTGACACACATATCATAGCGTCGGCGAGATCTGGGGGTTTGTTTTTATCTACATTCTGAATGCTGGGATGTTTCAATGTACCTTAACTATCTATTCCGACCGCTTCTGGACGGTTGTTGTACCCTGATCTTGGAGAGAGAAAGTGTGTGAGGGATTGTATTTTATGTACTGTACCATTAGATTAGCACTCCACGAAGCCATCTCTACTTTTCTTTTTAGTTTTTCTGAAGAGTTCGATCAGGCCGATCTCCTGTACAGCTTCTGCTGTATGATTGGGCGTCCCCGAAGCGCGGCGGCGGCTGTTCGAACATCCATGCCGTCTAGTCGCGCCCATCGTCATCAATCATCTTCGAGGCAGCAACCACACCGCTGATCGTGGAGCAGACAGGATTAATTCTGTCAGTTTTCTTCTTCTCTACGGATCGCTGTCTTCCACGCTCTATATAGCACCATCTCTTGGTATATTGCGGCTCCCAGCCCCCTCCACCATCTCACTAACACCTCTCACAGCAGTTACGTACCCAACCTTCCGCCTCCCTTCGTTACCCCACAAAGCCCGCCGCCGATAATCTTCCCCTCTTCCACCGCCCAGAACCACGAGAGCGATTCGATTCCAGGAGCTTCTTCGACTAGCTCTACAGTCTTTCCTTGTTGCTTGAATGGGAGCTTCTTGCTCCTGACGACCATCAAAATGGTTCAGTCGCCGATGCTCTCGTGTCCGCTCAAGCAGACCAACGAAATCGATTGGGTCCGGCCTCTTAAGGACTACATCAGGCAGAGCTATGGGGAGGACCCAGAACGATATGGACAGGAGTGCTCGACTCTTCACCGGTTGCGCCAGGATATGAGGGGCGCTGGGAAGGACAGTGCGACAGGGCGCGATCTGCTGTATCGATACTATGGACAGCTGGAGCTCTTGGATCTGAGGTTTCCTGTTGATGAGAATCACATTAAGATTTCTTTTACTTGGTAAGCTTACTCTGTGCTTGGGTTATCTGTGTCTTTCTAATTCTTCTCGATTATAGGTATGACGCCTTCACCCACAAGCCCACTTCCCAATACTCTCTGGCCTACGAAAAGGCATCCATCATCTTCAACATCTCCGCCGTCCTCTCGTGTCATGCTGCCGACCAGAACCGTGCGGAAGACTCCGGTCTCAAAACTGCCTATCACTCCTTCCAGGCATCCGCCGGGATGTTTACCTATATCAACGAGAACTTCCTACACGCTCCGTCGACCGACCTGAACCGGGAAACTGTCAAGGCCTTAATCAATATAACTCTCGCTCAGGCACAAGAGGTTTTTCTGGAGAAACAGGTGGCCGATCAGAAGAAGCCTGGGTTGCTTGCAAAGATAGCGAGTCAATCGGCTTATCTTTTCACGCAGGCGGTAGAAGGGATACAGGAGTACTCCAAGGGTGTCTTTGAGAAGGTGTGGTTGATTGTCGTTCAGGCAAAAGCGGCGCATTTAACGTCGGTGGCTTCTTATTACCAAGCCCTGGCAGACAGTGAGAGCGGATCGCACGGAGTGGCCATTGCCAGGCTCCAACTCGCTGAGAAGCATTCCTTGGCCGCACTCTCGTGGGCCAAAACATTCCCGTCATCGGTTCCTGTCAACTCGAATCTGAGCAGCGAATCCGGGTCCAATCTTATGGATCTTATCAAGTTCCACCTTGCGAATGTCCAGGCTACGACTGCGACACTCGTCAAGGATAATGACTTTATATACCATCACCCCGTCCCGAATGAGGCTGGCTTATCCGCCGTAGCAAAGTTTCCAGCAGCGAAAGCGATCCCTGTCAGCGAGCTCTACCAAGGCCAAGATATCCAACGTATTATTGGACCAGATATCTTCCAGAAGCTTGTGCCCATGTCCGTCACGGAGACGGCAAGTCTCTACGATGAAGAAAAGGCCAAGTTAATTCGAGCAGAAACCGAGAAGGTCGAAACAGCAAACGGCGAGATGGCGGCTAGTCTGGACTATCTCAAGCTCCCTGGTAGTCTGAACATTCTCAAGGGTGGAATGGACCAGGAGATGACGGTCGACGACGAATTCCGGCAATGGTGCCAAGAACTTGCAGGTCATCAGCCGTTTGTCAAAGCATTTGATAACCTGCAAGATCGCAAGTTGGAAGTGACAACGCAGCTTGACCAATGTTCCAAACAACTAGATCTGGAGGAAAGCGTATGCGAAAAGATGCGCTCCAAGTACGGGGCTGACTGGAGTCAGCAGCCCAGTGCTCGATTGAATACCACCTTGCGTGGAGATGTTCGATCGTACCGAGACACAGTCAATGAAGCGAGTGCCAGTGATTCTCAACTTTTATCTACTTTGCGGCAATACGAGGGAGACTTTGATGAGATGCGCTCTGCTGGAGAAACAGATGAGGCCGATGTCCTCTTCCAGCGGGCTATGATTAAAGCCGGTTCGAAGAATAGCAAAGGAAAGAACGGAATGGGAAGCCCATATGCCTCAACACCAGAGGGAAGTCTGTTGGATGATGTGTATGATGAAGGTAGCATCTCGGTGGCGGATCAAATAGCCAGAGTCGAGTCCATCCTGAAGAAGCTCAATTTGGTCAAACGAGAACGTTCTCAGGTCTTGAAGGATCTTAAGGACAAGGTAGGCTTTCTTGAAACCCCATGCCATTTGGATTTTGGCACTTATACCATCGCAGGTTCATAACGACGATATCTCGAACGTGCTCATCTTGAACAAAAAGTCGATTACCGGCCAGGAAAGCCAGCTCTTTGAAGCCGAGCTGGAGAAATTCCGGCCACATCAGAATCGGCTACTTCAGGCAAACCATAAGCAAGCTTCTTTGATGAAGGAACTCACGAAAATATATGGCGACTTGCTACAGGACAAGCGAGTTCGATCCGAACAGTCAAAATATGAAACCATCACCCGTCAGCGGAATACCGTCATGGCCCGGTATAAGAGAATCTACGATTCATTCAACGGTCTACTATCCGGGATTGAGCAAGCGCAGACCTTTTACACTGAGATGGTTGAGACCGTGGATAGCTTGAAAAAGAATGTCGAGACCTTCATCAACAACCGAAGATCCGAGGGAGCGCAACTGCTAGGCCAAATTGAACGCGAGAGAGCCAACGGATCATCGGATCAGGAAGACCGGGAACGAGAGAAGTTAAGGCAGTTGATGGAGCGTCTGTCCACCGAACCGAAGCCATCACCTACCCCATCTTCGTCGTCGTCGGCTGCCGGGTCCAAGGCCAAGGCCAAATCACCTCCACCTCCGGTCCAGATCGCTGGATACCCAAGCGCAGCCGCCATGGCATCTCCGAAGATGTCGCCGCATTACCCACCTGCTACTGGACAACAACAACAACAACAACAGCAACCGCAACACGGTGCTCCTCTCTCTCATTCTCCTGCACCTTATGGACAGTACATACCTGGAACTGGTAGTGTACCCTACGGTCAAACATTCCAACAAGGCGCCGCCGCACCTCTATCGGAAGGCTACAACCCAATGGCATATCCATTCCAGACACCCGTCTCCCCTCCACCAAACCAGCAATTCTTCTCGTCAACCCCCGCCCCATACAGCGGGACCGGTACCCCCGCACCTTACCCTGGCTACCCTGCTCCCACCCCACCAGCAGGCTCCTCCCAGTACATGCCACAAGGCTACGTCCCGCCTCCGCCGCCACCACGGCCCCAGCAGACGACATACCCTACGTCAACGGGTCCCTTCCCCTCCGGCCCAGGAGGCTACGCCCAGAGTCGACCATACGGAAGCAGCCAACACCACAAAGCCCAGTCGCAGTCTTCCTCAGCTGATCCCTGGGCTGGTCTGAACGCCTGGAAATAAAATCATACAAATTGACCCTATGCGGGAGAGGCAAAGTTCTAAAGTATGATATATAGACTTACGGGGAATGTCAGTTGGTTTTTTGTGCACTTTAGGCGTTTTTTCATGACTTATCTTTTTTATCTATTTATGTTTATCTTTTTTATATGTTCTTGTCTAGCTGGTTATGGTTTGAGTCAGTCAGCCTTGAGCCATGGTTTTTTGACGCCGTTGTAATGCGAGTATGTGTGATAAGTTAGCATGACTCAAATATATGTACAATCATACAATCACTTTAGATCATCATTAAGTGGGCTGATAAGCAAGCTCCTTGCTTCATGCCAGGGATAATATAAACTGTTGACGAACCGCAGATTCCATGGTTTGGATATAGGTACTCCAAACAGGATACATGCATGCATTTATTCCAAAGTAAGCCACGCGGTCTATTTTCTACTAATTACAATGGGATGATCCAACCCAAGTTGATTTATATTTATACATCGGACAATCCCCAAACAAAGATATTAAAAGTACAATTCCCGAATCCCGCAATCAATGTACAGCGCATAAAATTAAAAAAAGGAGAGTAAAATCGATATGAGCAAAAAGGAGCCCGAGAGCGGTCTATATTAAGCAAGAAAAGAAAACAAAAAACGCCAATGGGTATCATGACAAAGGGGTTGATGAGTTTGTCGGGGAAAAGGGAGCCAGTCACTAAACCTGAAAAAAAAAACGCCAATTGAAACCCCCCCCCCCCCCCCCCCGGGGAAGGCGGAGAGTTGATCCGAAAAGAAAGACTGTCGGATATCTCTAGACCGAAAACCGAAAAGCCCGAGGATATATAGATCAATATATAGAAAGAAAAAGAGAGAGGCCGAGGCTAAGGTTGAAACCTCAATCGGAATTGTCGTCCTCTTCCTTCTTCGCGAACCTTGTATAGAAACCGAGCGATAGCCTCCTGCTCAGGGATAATGGCATCATTGAAATGTCTGCGGACAGCCATGGCAAGTTGATTCTTGCCCACGCGTCCCTGGCCATGGATGTGATTCAAGGAGTTCTTCTCCGCTGACCTGCCAGCGGCTTTTCGATGATGGTTATGGGGGCCGCCGGATAAGCCTTTGCCGCTGACGCCATTCGTGCTGGCCGAAGTTTTTTTCGCGGCGGACAAGGGACGAGAGCCGTTCGTTTCTTGATTCTGTTGAGATAGTTGGGCACGCTGCGCAGCGATAGATGTAGGCGATCGTAGACCGATTCCCTTGGATAGGAGGAGGTGGGAGTATTCGGTAGAAAAGGCGCTCGGGGCGGGCAATCGGTAGGCGTGTCGGTATGAATGGAGGAGATCATTAGGCATGTCGGACCAGGCAATCTAAAGTCATAGATAAATCAGTGATCTGATGTGATAAAGAACGATCGGATTAAGCTGGGTTGCCCGCATATCGAGAACATACCTTGGGTAAATCTTCAGATGGTTCACCCTGACCAGCGGGGGCACTGGTCACACTGGTCGCATTGGCCGCAGCCTTGTTCTCACGATTTGAGGCTGAATTCCCAGCCAACGAGCCATTAGCCGCCTTGCGACCCTTGCCTGTTGTCGTCTTTTCTCTGGTCCCGCTGGAAGCCTCGGAACGAGAGTCGTCCACGACAGCGGTCGTCCGCTGGCGCGGGGGAGCCATGACCGAGGAAGAAAAGTTCTGAAAGACAATGGGGAGAGAGAAGAATGGGAAGAGAGGAGGAAGCCGTTCAACGAACAGACGAGTGAACCAAGACAAGACTGTATATAGAATCGGGTTTATAGAGCATGCTGGATCGTCTCCACGGGCAATCAAACGATAATGGACGACAAAAAGAATAAAGGCTTCCGCCGTCTGCGGGCGGCGAGACGCGGCAGAATATCGAGGCGCGACATTATGTCCGGATTAGGCTTAGTGGAGGAGGGCTACTGGCCCTAATCGGGATTGCATGTCAGCTGTCAGATAGATCAGATGGATAGAGTGGATTGAGATGTTATATGGATATATGAATAAAAGATAGATGATTCGATGAAAGATTTCATATTGAACGGGTTGAAATAATAACCCGAATAAGACTGTCTGATGTGGTTGTCTAACGTGACTTGATCTATTCGTTGCTCTCCAAGTCAAACTGTCAAGACATCAAAATATGATACTGGCAGATCGCTCTAGTAGCAGTCTAGAAAACGCAAGAAATCTTCTCCCAAAAGAGAGTGCGAGATCACCTCGGATAAGACTTTCTTCGCTTCTTCCATGACTCCGGAATACGGTGTGTCCTCTGGACAGGAACACGCTCACCGCTAGTCCATTTCATCTCCAAGAAGAAAGTCAAGGCGAGAAGAAATCGGAAATCACAGCAGGGCTGATGGGGCAACCGATCTGGTATTTATGTATGTTCGTGGGGTGTGACCGTGATGGTAAAAGGGTTACCTAATGGGGTATATAAACTCGTGATACCAGGCCATCTGAGGTTATACCTGATGTTACTAGCTTAGCCTCGATGTCGCCTTGAACGATCTTGGGTTCATATCGAGCCAACTGCTGTCCTCTAGCTTATCCAGTGCATTGACCTCCTCGAGTCGTTGAGGAAACCCGGTGCAGCATTGGAGCTCTGCAGTCATTCGATTCGAATATTCCGTATCTCCTGATGCTCATGCTGTCAGTCTGTAGTAATTAATACGAGATCGCACTACAGAACACTATGTAGGCATAGGCGTCGCGGAAAATCGGCACTGAAAAGAAGAGTACACCAAGCAATAGTAGAAACTGCCCAAGTAGGAAGTCTCTCCATCTTCAAATCCAGGCACAAAACCCGGAGACTCCCCGTACGTGAGCCACCCCCTTCGCCTCTTTCCCCACTATCACAGGTCTCAGACTCTCAGACCACACGGGATCGGGACAGCATCGGGACACAGAAAACCGGGACGGGGATGCCGAGGGATTTTGTCCTGCTTTTCTGGTCCTCACCACCAAAAAAAAAAACTGGCTTCCCCAAAAAGAGAGGCTTCACCGAAGAACCCCTTTTGTAGTTGTCAGCCAGTTTTAGGTAAGAAATTAAGAGATTTTCTCCGCAGTCCGCTGGTATTGCCCGTACGGTAAGCAATACAGAAAAACGCCGGTATTCTCCCGAAATCATCCGATTCCAAACCTGCCAGCGACAATCCCCGGTTGTTCCTGGTCTGGAACTTTTTTCTCTGTCTTTCTCTGCTTGATTCGCTGTCCCCAGACTTGTGCCTGATGAAGTGGCAATCCCCAACAGGAACAACAAATGAATTGTCAAGGCCAGCACGGGAGATTCTCCCCTCTAGTCGATCCAGTCACACCAGGGCGCCACTCAGAATCGTGTTTCGACTCCCGTGCTGTCCATAGTCCATACACCGATACATACACTGATACACTCTATAGGATAGATACATAGACTAAGTCACTCCGTATGCAAAGCATATCATCTTGGGGTATGACGCCATCAGCGGGCATTCTCCGTGAAAAAAATATTTTTGTTTTTGGGCCTGCCCCACGAGAAAGGAATTATTGAATTGAAGGTTTGTGTGTGAGTGTGCGTGTACTCTGTAGGGTGTTTTATTCTTATGCAGGAAAGTGAGGTGATTGACAAGTTTTTTTGGCTCTCTTATCTTGGGATCTACAGCATGTGCATCAATAGTGGGATGGATGGGGTCAAGGACAAGGGCATTGAAGACTAAGACCAACCTAACCCAGGGCCAGGGGAACAATTCAGGAAGGTCGATGATGCAGGGGCACGTGATGGATTGGGTGGTCAGTATCAGAGGATGAGGAAGTATGAGTTAAATAATGCTAATCCTAGGAGAGAGATACTAAGGAAACGGCAGATATCTTAGTTCTTGAGCATCACTATCTTACATTTCTCACATCTTACAAGCCGATCTCTTGGCTCTCTCCATATTTTCTCCCCCAGGTCCATCGTTATCATGCCACTCTCCACATACCGGAAAAACAAACACCAATGCTTCATCGTACATTCTTCAGTGCATAATCCTAGTCCATACATGAATCCTCAGTCAGGGGGGGAAGGGGCCTGTGGTTCTGGAAGCGAATAGACAAGACCAGATACAGTAGTAGTTTCAAGAATCACCATGGGGCGATGAAACCTCCCCTGTTTTCGGGCGACGTGTCATCATGTTCTGGCGGGGGGCAGTGCCAAGACCCTGGTATAAGAAGGTGGTAGTAGGAATTTATTATGTACTCCATATGAGGGATATGTCGTATACAGGGATTCGAGACGGGTTGACTGACAGCTGCAGAAACTGAGAGAAATACGACTCCATAATAATATAATAATATGAGAATAATAAGAGTAATAATATCTTTCCGTGTAAAAATCCAGATTCAGAGAAAGTGGAGTGGAGGGATTTCTCACCGGAGCCAGTTCCGACGGATCTCAATTTGCCCCTGACTTACGACTACGTGCTGGATGCTGGCTGGAAATATCGAATTAATTCAAGCACGCCTATCTAATAACCCTTCATCTAATATTTTCATAGTATATCTATCAGAATTTTCCGTTGCTGATAAACCACCCCTCCCCAGGCCCAGTTTCCACCAATCACACGCTTGTCAGCCGGTGAATCCTTGAGATAATCGCGCCCGACCTCCAGAAACGCGGCCCCGCATTAACCTGGGGCGGCGGCTGTGATATCAGTGTGATATGCTGCTGCCTCTCTGATTGGTCTGATGTGGCGATTTCCAGAAGCTGTGGAGCACAGCCGGATCGTCTGGCTTTGGGGCTTGGCGGGCTGTGGAGACTCCGGAGTGCGTGTCTTTACGGACGGGCTTGTTGTGTCAGTTTGAATCCCCGACTTTTGTCCGGTTACACTGGGGAATAATATCAGGTGGTTTTTTCCCCGCGCTTTTCTTGTACGGAGTTGTTGATCACTATGGTAGTATGGCTGGGGACGGTAATTCAAATTCTTATCATCCATGCTTTTGGATGCTACATGCTACTCCAATATTACCTTATCCATAAGGTAATAGGCCTCAATTTACCTTTGCGAAACTTCCCCGGATTCCGGTCCCCGCATACAATGGAGTTGTGCCAAGAATCAGCAATGTGACGATAATATCAGATGCCGATGCCGATACCGATTACAGGATGGAATTTATCATATTGCAGCGTGCCTTCTGCCTACTATTAGAAACGATATCACATAATAAGAGTAAGGAGTAGTGTAGTGTAGCATGTCATCAGATGCAAACCGTCCGGACATCTCCAACGTCATTGACTGATATGTACGTAATTTGACACCAGACTGACTTAAACATTCGTCATAATAATTGTTTCCCGGGGCTGGACCTTACTTTTTTGTTTTTTTATCTTGATGCCTGTTGTGTGACTTGTCTGACTTGTTTTGGGGTTTCTCTTGGCCCTATCGGGTGATGATGATATCTGATATGCGGGGTGTGTGTTGACATCAAGACTTGTTATCTCCTAATGTACGGGTTATGGTGGGTGGTAGGGTAGGTTCATCCAGACACATCTAGGTTCTCTTGTCTGGGGGAGGGAAATCTGGACTCATGCGTAACGGTGATAGTATCCAATCTCACGTATAATACCCCACACAACAATAAATATCTGTTGGTCTATTCCGCCGAGGTCTGGCGGTCGATAGGACTCCAATATGCGAAACCGGAGGTTGATATACCAGATAAATGAATCCAGCGATGTCGGAAGTATACAGCGAACGATGACGATCTCAGATCAAGAAAGCAAAAGAAAAGCAAAGAAAAAGAAAAGGCGACGGTGATCCCCCGGGAACACTGCCCCGGAGTCATGTGCGCCTATACATATATGTAATGTAGGTGTGTACAGCATTCGTCTGTAGATTTGTACTGAGTAGCATTATCCCAAGACGGTACAGCGCTTCCCAGCCAGACCAAATAATGATCCAAACATACGTTTTCTGTCATTGTAGATCATCTTTTTTGGATCATGAGATGGTGTGATTGAAGTGTTCCATGCTGTGTGGGGTAACAAGACGACACAGTTGGCCGGAGGGGTGGCAGGAATGAAGATCATAGATATAGACTACGTACCCCATTCTGCGTCCCAAGTTTGGGAACGGTGATCATCTCCAGCCTCCATCCAGCTTTCTCCGAGGGAAACACTCTCGCAAGCTCGCAAGTGGGCAATGAAGAGATTTATCAGATTTATCATCCACTGTTTAGTATATCCCACGCTCGTGGTGTGGGGAAAGACAAGCCAGCCACTTAGTCATGGCTTGTCATGGATGACCCTGCACAACATCGTGTTACATCAGAGGCTGAGCTAACCAGATAGGATTTGATAATAGAGTCAATTGCTCATTATCTCTTCTCCAAATAGAATAATAATAGAATGAATAATAGCAAACCTTGATCAGCACAGCTTGCAGACAGAAAAGAAGGAAAAAAAAGCGGGGTGGTGAAAATTCTTCCATTCTTTGATGGAGTTGGACTTTGCCAACCCTGTCTGTCTGGTGTAGATCTTCTGTCTGCCCATCGATCACAGCGGGGAAGATCTCCCTGTCCAGACAATAGTTGTGACTTCGCCTGCAGAATGAATCAAGGAAGAGAGGGGAAGAGTCTGTGTGAAGCCTGAAGTCTGAACTCTGATCATCATCAATAGTCTGAAGAAAATCACTCATGACCGCATATATTTTGCACAGTAGTCGGAATGCCCTCAAGTCTTGACATTTGTGCGATCACCAATACGATACAGTAGTCCACGATGCCGCCAGATCCGTGCAACAGCCAAGTGGTAGATCAAACAACGGACAGGTCGGTAGAATGCGGGTAATAAATGAGTGTATTAAATATCGCTCTCAGTGACTCAGTCAAGCCAAAAAAGGGCGACAAATATAGCCCTCGGTACCTGCGTGCCAACTCGCTGTTTTATGTAACTATCTCCAGTCTTCGGGGGACGCCGGTGGAATTACCAAATAAAATACACGTACAGGGCCGTACCAGGTAAAATACGCAAAAGTACGAAACACCGCATCTCGGCAATCGACCGGCATCATCTGCCCGGTGAGTGTGCATTGCTATCTCTCCATGGGGATAGCCCACGGGGAAAATTGGCCCTCCATCATCATATCAGATGCATGTGCAAATGTGCAATATATTCGGAACTTTTGCCCATATCCTTATCTCGAGAATCTCATTAGCTGGGAAGTGCCCACCCTTTTTTGGGGGGATTTTTATTAGATGGCTCATCCACGGTATCATCATGAGGACCTTGACCTTGACCTGTCCTGACCTATCCAAGAAAGGGTCACGATGCGAATCCGCTGATCGCCGGAGTGCCGAGTCTATCCTATCACAAGCGGCAGGGCCAACACGATATCATATCTCCAAGGCAATCCGTAGCCAGTGGTGGGAACTTGCGGGGATAACATCTGATTACGCAGTCTTGCTCATCTTATGATCTTTCTTTTTAGAAGACTACCTAGCTACCTAGGTATATCTAGGTAGGTATCTATTATTTTATGGCTGACTGTATTACAGCGTACAGACCCTCTGATCGACCACTAGAACGGCTGAGACGGCTTCATGCAGATTCGCCAATGCCCTGGATCTCCGTTTATCCATTGCTAAATGCTGAGTGTCGCAATCCCGCCCTTGCATTATACGATATATTTATTCCCTGTACTCCCATCACGCTGATGATGCCATATTGTCAATAAACTGGAACTATTCAAATACAATCACATAATCATTACCTATTGAAATATGGGGCAGAAAATGAGAGTCAGATGTGGCGTTGCCGGCTGGCGGATGGCGTTACCAAGTCCGTATCTTTCTTTATCCCCGGTGGCGCGCCAGTTCTTTCTCTTCTGGGCAGATTATGAAGACGTAAATTAATATCCGAAGATACTCCCTAGCAATTCAACTTATCAATGGGTCGGGGAAACTCCACAATTCGCCTTTTTGGAGAAGCGATGTGGTAGAGTCATCACTCTGGGGATTTGCACATGTCGTGTCTTTTTTTTTACTGTGGATCTGGGGATGGAATGCGGAGTCTGCTTTCCGTTTCTTCCACGGCACAAGGCACTTGCTGGGCATATAATTATCAAATATATGGAGTAATAAAGATAGATGAAACAATGCAGGGTGATGGTGTCTGATGATGACTGCAAGGACAAGTGGTCGTGTCTGATCACACCGGCGATTCGAGTGCGCCAGGTACCTTGTGCTCTAGGCCTATCACCGCAGCGGAAGCAGTGGTTTCGTCACCCAAGGGGGGAGGGGGTAGTCGTAAGTCGAAGATTTCCCAACTGGGACGAATGATCATTTACGGACCTCAGCCTGGCTGAATCGAGTAATTAAGGCGCTGTCTGTCTTGACTCACTCGAGAAGGCAGCGTGAGTGAGGCTGATGCAATGCTGGCGGTTCTGTTCCACCCCACAGTTTGACTGCCCGCATTGGGGCGTCATCCCGGGTCTTTTTCGTTTGCGCCCGCGACCAGCCAAACTGTAAGACCGCATCTTTTTTAAACGAAGTAGTCCGATGATGGGTGTCATCGTATGACTTCCATGACTGGACTTTTAACATCATGGACTCATTTGACATCCTTGGGTGGCCTTTTTGAATCATCCATCATCACAGTGCTGTTGTTGTTGGTGTGCTGCAGTCGTTGGTCGATCAGCTGGTCTGGACTGGGCGGTCTTGTAAAACTTTCTGTCCATTTCCTTTTGGCTTCCCCCGGTTATTGCCCCGACGGCCTCATTCCATCATATTATCCTCAGCGGCATCATCAGCATCATCAAGATGCCATCATCACTGTGCCACATTGAGTTGTAGGAATGTATCCATTAGACCGTGTGTTCACTCTGATAGCCAGAAAAGGTCGATGCGGGGTTCTAGAGCTCGATCATATGTCTGTTGGCTCTGTCTGCCTTGTCTGGTCTATTCTTACTGCTTAATATAATTCTTCTGCGCCTTACGATAAATCACGTAATCCCCTCTATTAGTTACCTTCTGTAGCGGTTAGCGAGGATTATTCTCCAGATCACCCGCGATAGCCGGCGATTCCCCCTTGGCTTAACACCACGCACCGGCGTTGCTTACCGCCACCCCTTTTTCTGCAGTTCCATTTTCTCTGCTCCGGAATCCCTATCGACTTTAGTCTCTGCCCCACATTCCTTTTTTTTTTTTTTTCTGTCTAGTGAATTTTTTACACACCGTGCGTGGTCGAACCAGACGGAAGATACCCCGAGATAGGCAACAAAGGACCAGGTTTTTTTGTATGGAGTGTAAAAAAAAAAAAAAAGAAAAGAAAAGAAATAATAATAAAAAAAAAACCAGGGTGCCCCCACTGCCGCTGAATCTCTCCCCCAAAGACTCTCCAACCAGACGATCCAAGTCAACTATCCTGAGCACGTTCTTTTTTTTTTTTTTTTCGCTGTCTTGTCTTTTTGCCCCCCCGTTTTTTCCTTCTCCCCACACATACAATATTCTTGTATCGCCTTTACCGTACAGTCACCTTTTTTTTTTTTTTTTTTTACACCTCCCGATTCCGATACTGCCAACTCCTCCCCTCCCCCCGAACGGCCTCTATTATTTCCCTTCTTCTTCCCCTCCATTCCTCCATTCTTCCCTCTCCTCCCTTTTTCTCCCGACTCTCTTTTATTTCTTGTCTCTCCCCAGATCGTCATTCTCCAGATTCTTTTCTTTCGAGATTTCTTGCCTCGACTACTTCATTCCATTCCTCCTTCCCTTCCACTACTATCACCACTACTACTACCTGTCTATCAATCCGGGTAGATCTCCGGGCTTTCTCTTTCACAAGATCCATCGCCATTCCATATCCCTACCCCTGGGACAGCTTGGTCGTTGCTTTCTACCACTCCATCGCAAGGCTTCGTTTGCTCCTTGCGGTATTCCTTTCGACTTCATCCTGTCTCTCCTTGCCAAGGTTAAGCTCTGGGGTTGACGGTCTTCCGGTGTTGATCGACGCTCCGGTTTAGCTCTCACCCCTGCTCCTGCGACCACCTCGGTTCCTCCCTTCGGATCTTCCATCTTAAAAAAGCACCCTCCCTCGAGCTTCACATGCCACCACCGGCTTCTTCAGTGGATTTTTCCAATCTGCTGAACCCTCAGAACTCCGCTGAACAAGACTCCCCGGTTGCTCTTAACAACTCGGCCCCCTCCACCCCCACGGGCCAGCAATCAGACTCTACCATGGCCTCCTCCGTGAGCTTACTGCCGCCCCTGATGAAGGGTGCTCGCCCCGCGACCGAAGAGGTGCGACAGGATCTTCCGCGACCTTACAAGTGCCCTCTCTGTGACCGCGCCTTCCACCGTCTGGAGCACCAGACTAGACATATCCGTACCCATACCGGTGAAAAGCCACATGCTTGCCAGTTCCCGGGATGCACCAAGCGCTTCAGTCGCTCTGATGAACTCACCCGTCACTCGAGAATTCACAACAACCCCAACTCGAGACGGAGTAACAAGGCTCAGCACCTGGCTGCTGCTGCGGCCGCTGCCGCTGGTCAAGAAAACGCGATGGTCAACAACACGAGCTCCATGATGCCCCCTCCCAGCAAACCCATCACCCGATCTGCCCCTGTCTCGCAGGTCGGCTCCCCCGATGTCTCTCCTCCTCACTCCTTCTCCAACTATGCCAGCCACATGCGTTCGAATCTGGGACCGTACGCGCGCAATAATGACCGGGCTTCGTCGGGGATGGATATCAACCTTCTTGCCACCGCCGCCTCTCAGGTAGAGCGCGACGAGCACTTCAACTTCAACGGCACTCCACGCGGTCACCATGTTTTCAATTCGCGTCACCATGGCAGCAGAGGTCTCCCATCGCTCTCCGCATATGCCATCTCGCAAAACATGAGTCGTTCGCATTCGCACGACGAGGAAGACGCCTACTCGCAGCACCGAGTTAAGCGTTCAAGGCCCAACTCTCCTAACTCTACCGCTCCCTCTTCTCCTACTTTCTCCCACGACTCCCTCTCTCCTACTCCCGACCACACACCCCTGGCTACTCCTGCACACTCTCCGCGCTTGAGGCCCCTTGGCACAAGCGAATTACATCTGCCGTCGATTCGCCATCTGTCGCTTCACCACACCCCCGCCTTGGCCCCAATGGAGCCGCAACCGGAAGGGCCCAGCTACTACAGCCCTGGCCAGGGTCACGTTGGTCCTAGCATCACCGACATCATGTCGAGGCCGGACGGCACACAGCGGAAACTCCCTGTGCCTCAGATTCCCAAAGTGGCAGTCCAGGACATGTTGAATCCCGCCAGCGGGTTCACCTCTGTCTCATCGTCGACCAATAATTCCATCGCCGGCGGTGATTTGGCCGAGCGATTCTAATTGAACCGTCGACACACTTGAGACATTCCATGTGTACAAATGGTTGTTTACAAAAAACAAAAGCAAGAAAGAAAAAGAGGAAAGCCCAAAAAAAAAGAAAATCTTACAATTTTCAACTTTATGCGCGCCACGAAACGAATAGACTTTTTTCCTGTGCATTTACAGTGTTGTTAAAGGGCATCATTGGTATCGGATGGTTGGTGTTTTTTTATTTATTTTATTCATTTCTTTTGCAAGGCGTCACTACCGTATAGATGGATGGGATATCTTGTGTCTTTTGTATTTTTCATCACTTCCACTTCTCTTCTACCCATTTAAATTTGAACCCGCTCTTCAGCATTTGTTCATTGTGTTCTCCTCTCCAAGGTCATGACCGATAATCTCACTCATGTTTCCTTTTTTCCATTACCATTCTTCGGGCCAGGATAGAAGGCATTGCAGGAAAGAGAAAAGCAGCTTATTAGGTACAAATTGTGTTGTGCTGTGCTTATAGACTGATGGGTTGGATCTGCCTGGTACTTCATTCTTGGCCTGTTTATACCATTAGACTTGTTACCAATACCACTTGAATCGAATTTAATTATTGAACTGGTTTTATCTCGCGTAAGCCCTAGACTCGAGACACCTGAGATACGATATCGTATGCAACCCCGCATCGCATGGCATGACCTCGTAAACGATGGGAGCTGAGTCGAGATAAGGACCAAAGATAGACACACCTTGGAAAAAGATGCATGATGCAAGAAATCAAAAGGATTACATGCTGCTGCTAGCGTTTGTGAAAATGAGGGTTAATTGAGAGATTTAATCCTCTGATCTTCTCTGGTGTGGGTTAATCCTGCATAAATCATTGTTCGAAATGTCCCTCAAATTCCCTCCCCTCTTTTTTTTCGCTCTTCCTTTTTCCTTCCTTTTTTCATTTTCTCCATCGCACCAAACGTGGCTCCAGTGATGTTATCTATTGCCTTTTGTTTATCCTGACTAGGAACTTTTTCCCGGCACACTTATTTTCTTCGATCTTTTTTCCCTTTCTTTCTCTTTCTTTCTGTTAAATGATCTGATCTGTTAACGTGAACCGAGGCTGATATGATGGATGCTGATCAACCATTCATTTCATCTTGAGGAGGGTCTAATGCGAGTGTCGAGTGTGTAAGTTGCATACATATTGTACTCGTAATGCCTGTATGCATGGCTAAGAACCCCTCCCAAAGCAGACATTTTTGATTATTACATATTACATATATCGCTTTATTAGCTTGATTTAGAATATTAAGGTAATTGGATTACTTCATTTGCATTTTATCCTCGGTGGATTCCGTATGATATAGTTATTATGGACAACAACCCCGCTAAAGCAATAGAACAGGATCGCATCCCCTCCATCCACGACAACCATGAGAATGAGAGGAAGACGCCCAACCATGGCTTCTATCATGGCCGTGCCATCGCTTTCTAGCGACTCTCCTTCCTCATCATCTACATCGTCAGTGGATACGAGAATCGCGTCCGAACTTGGCCTTGCAGCCCAGAACATGCTCGAGGATGACGGCACCGGTCTCCTCATCGTCCCCTCCTCCTCCACCCACCACCTTCACCACCAACAACGCCAACTCGCCCAACTCCAACTCCATCACCAAAACGATTACCCCTGCCTCTTCCACCTCCTCAACTGCCACAAAACCTTCACCAACGCAGAGCACTGGAAGACGCACGTCCTCAGCCACTTTCGCACCCACGCCCCGCCCAAAACCGCCCGCTGCCCCCTCTGCCCCAAGCCGTTTACCACTTCTTCTAACTCATCCGCCCGCACAGCCTGGGACGCAATGCTCGACCACCTCGACGTGGCGCATTACCAACACGGCCAAACGTTGGCGGGAAGCCGGCCCGATTTCGAACTCATGCGCTACCTGTTCCAGATGCGCATCATCAGCGAGGACCAGTTCAAGGTGCTGCAGTTGTCGCCGGCCAGGGGCAGTCCGGGGTATCATCGGTCGCAGGACACGGTGAGGGCGAGGGTGGGTTCGTCGGATGAACCGTTTTGTGCGCCGTATAGTCGGCGCAGGGAGGAGAGGAGGAGGGGACAGAGGAGGGGGATTGGGGTTTTGTAGTTTCTTCCTTTATCTGTGAGCGTGTCTGTTCTGTTTGTCTGTGTGTGTTGCTGGGGATAAAAGTTGGATATAGATTTCTTTGTATTTATCAATTTGTATAATGACTGATGTGTTGAATGAGAGTTTATGGAGATCGATTGTTCTGCTGGATGTCTAGATATAGACGACAATACCATGCAAGCCCGAAAGCAAAGTATCAAGTATGACATCGACTATCTTTGCTAAATATAACTATCTTTTATCCTTTACTAATAGCGTACTATAGACAGACTGACAGACTGACTACGAGGCGCATAGCTTGTGGCACTCCCTGGCCAAGTGAATGAGTGAATGCTTCTGCCACCTGCACAGTCTTCGCTTATTTCCCACTGTCGACCTGCTTAGCGCTTTGTAAGAACGACCTTTTTGATTTTATCTCCCGTCCTTTTCTCTTATAATTACCATCCCTTACCCTGCTACCTCCGTCTATCTACCCCATGGAAGAACAGACAAAAGACGACCATCCTACTGGCCAGTTCAAATACTCCACCATAACCGGAGCCAATTCGGCCGCACGATAAAACCATTCCTAAGCCGCGTGAGCAAAAAAGAGAATGGAAAAAAATTGAGCCCAACCCGATTTGAACGGATAACCTCCCGATCTGGAGTCGCTGTTATACTGTTAGTTAAATGTTGCTAAACAAGCTGGTTCAAAGTAGAACTTACGATGCGCTGCCGTTGCGCCATAGGCCCAAAGGATGATTAATCCTAAACTAACATAAATTATGGACAAATCATCAACTAAAGTGCATTCAACCTTCTAACTAGTTACGGACCCAATGCTTTTTGTAGACCTCTGTATTGTACATGAATAACAAATTCTGAATGGATTAGTCATGAAGGCTTGCAACTGATGCTTTGAAGGAAAAGGAAATGAATTCATCCATTTTTATAGATTCCGTGGATGGCTACCATAAATGGGAGATCTGGACCTCAGTACCTGTGATTCTTACGTCTTTCCTCTCCTTCTTTATCCGTTCATAATCCCTCGCTTGGATTTTTTTTTTTTTTCTCCTGTGTAATCCTACAGAGAAACTCGAGATTCCTGATTAGTTGTGGGGTCTTGCGTGAGTTGGATAGGTCTTGTGCCCATGCTTGGACTTTAGCATGATTGGGGTGATTGCGATATCTGAACTGCGTTAAGAAGGTATATAGCTTTTAGTTAGCTTACAAACTGGGAATTATCCAGACTTTTCTTTTTTTCAACCCACACCCTGAAATGAACCCAGATATCTGTCCGCGTCGGCAACTGCGCAGGGTTTCCAATGAATAAAGTGCCGCCATTTGTTCTCCTTCAGACATATCCATAGCAGCCAGTTTCATCTGCTGGCTTTGGCTGTACTCTGTAGACCTTTAGTTTATCTTCTACCCAGTTTGATCGAATAAGCTCAAGGCTATCGCCAGCGAAAAAAGCTTGGAGGGAAGCAATTTTGACCCTCTGCTTCGGGGCCTTCCTGATCTCCAAGAGATAGCATGGCCGTCGTTTGTTTTCCAGTCTAGACCTGTCTCCAGCTCCCATAGGCTGACAAGCTGGTCACAAATCTCTGCTGTCTCCTGGCATCTGGAAAGACGTGTAATGAGGAAAGTAATTTTACTATCAGACCCAAGAATCCCCTCGTCTACCAAGCATGGATTGCCAGTTTCATCACGTAGATCAATGCCATCTTTGTGCTACGATCTGAGTTAGTAACTAGAATTTCAAGGTTTTGCAGTAAATGTTAGAAGTATCAGGGGTCGAACTGACACTGTATACTGCTTCAGGAAGCCTGCTGCTGCTAGGAGATCATCATCTTCTGCTTTGTACCAAGGGCACAGATCTACAAATGGAAAGACCCCTGTAGAAATCAGCTGATCAAGGCAGTCCTTGGTAGAGAAAAGCGGGCTCTCCCAGGTCCAAAGCCTGCTGAGGAATGACTTGATTAACTTTGCGGAGTCACTGGGACCTGTGTAAAATGCCTGTCTTTCTCGATACCCGACTAATTCCAGCGCCGATAGTCAAAAGAAAGTACGTATTTCTCCATCAAACGCCGCAGGTGTCGCTTGTTCCATGACCATGTCTTTTAACGAGCCAGGGAAATCATGACATCTGTTCCTGAAAACGGAAACGGGACGTCGATTCTCCCTGGCGTAGCGTTGAATGTCATCTGCCCAGGTTGAGATTGTTTTCCGTTGGGGAATGGGATGAAAGCGTACTGGATCTAGGCATGATATCGCATGAGTCCGTATGCCCTGGAATCTATCACGATGGGATTCATCTGGGGCGAAGCACCAGTTCGCGGCACCAGTTCGAGCTTGGTTGGGAAGGGAGGGAAGGCCTAATAGAGAAATAGCGGCCTGTTCTTTGATTTCATCAAACTGGTGAACGCCCGGGAAGCTTTGGGCTTCATCGTGTCGGAACAAATAGAGTGCCGCCGAGTCTATGGAAGTTGGGCACGTTCTTTCCAAGCCTGAGAGAAATTTTGCGAGAAAGTCCGATCTTTGAGTCAAAGATCCTCGCTGTGGCGTTTCAAAGCCCCTCGTGTTGTTCTTCCAACATATCTGATGTAGATGACCTCCTCAGGCCGCATGCCTTCCACACACTGTAGCCACAGTCTCGTTTTTGCATATTGGATCCCAGTGTCATGAAACTGCGAGATAACATCCCTGAGTTGGTTCACGGTCATTGAAAAGGATCGAACATAACAAATTGCCCGTTGCTCGCTCGGACTGGCGAGATTCGTCTCTTTTTCGAATTGCAGCCCTAGGATATATACCAGCACGCAATCCGGGGTTTGCAGTGGTCTATGTTATAGAAGCTCCCAAATCTTGCTCTTTGGGATATCTGGGAGGCAGTGGTTTAGAGTCTGCGGCATGACTGCTTTAATATCCACGCCTCCTTCCGCAAGACGCCCCATTATTGTCTTTGAAACAGCTTTCCGAAGACCTTCCACGCCCTTGATATGCGATAGGCCTAATGAATCTTCTGAAAATTGTCTTCGACGCGGCTCGTACGCACGGCTCTGAGGCTATTGGAGGCTCCATGAACGCTATCGAGGCCCTATTTTGGGTGGTATCATCACCTACTGCGAGTGTCCGAGAGAATTAGTACATTGGGCCACAAGTGATCAAGGATAGGTGAGCTCTGCAGAATACCAGAGTGGATGGTGATTTTCCTTCTAGCCATTGAGTATGTATTTTCTAACTAGTACTGATGCTATCCAGAGGCTGTATGGGTTTGCTCTGTTAGGGGGAAATATTGATCTGATTAATGTCACCATGGAGACTGAGTTCTGGGCTTGGTACCAGTCCTAACCTTGTAGGTGCCCAGTCAACGATAAGTTCTGTCCAAGATATCGCCTCTTCATACTTACTCAATAACCATTCTAGTTCTTGTTTCTACCGTAAAAAGATGCACTATTGTCTTCGAAGGCGCTGGATGTACCAAACAGGATAGGGCTTATTTTAGGGTGGGTGGTCGGGCCGCCACTAATATACATAATCGACTATCTCCTTCGTGCTGAGCCTTCTAGCGAAATTCTGGAAAATGCAGGCCAACAGTTGGGCCTATGGCGCAACGGTAGCGCGTTGTAAGTTCTACTTAAGAACAGCTCTCAAATAGCATTCAACTAACAGTAACAGCGACTCCAGATCGATAGGTTATCCGTTCAAATCGGGTTAGGCTCATCTTAATTATCTTTTTTTATCTTTATCTTTTTGACTTTCTTATTTGAAGCAAAAGTCCAGCTAGCATTCATTCATTCATTCATTCCTTGATTATTCATTCTTGATTTTATTTATTTCATTTTCTGAAGTTGCCTTGAATTCATCTTTCATATAATCCTTTCCATTATGAGACAAAAGTACAGCCACATTATCAACTATTTGGGCCTATGGCGCAACGGCAGCGCATCGTAAGTTCTACTTCGAACCGGCTTGCTTAGCAACATTTAACTAACAGTATAACAGCGACTCCAGATCGGGAGGTTATCCGTTCAAATCGGGTTGGGCTCATTTTTTTCCTTCTGGAAATCTTTTTAATTATTTTGTTAGCTTCTCTGAGTTGGCTTTAGTTATTTTTATTTTTATTTTTTAAAATTTATTTTCTTCCCTGTTTATCATTATCTATTCCAGTATGTGAGTACGCTTGGACATGGATCGAAATGTCAATAGATACCTAAGGTAGTACCTAAAAGAGTTAAGGTACTCAATAGGTGTAGTGCTGTACTAATTACCAATTAATGCAATTAACTCAAACAGGGAATACTCATTTTAAATATTCAATATATTATCAGTATCCTCTATAACTACTTTACAATCCTTATGGAGCACTCGATGCTACAGAACTTCAGAAGGCAGTTCTTGACTACATATGAAGACAAACAGAACAAACATAGCAATAAAGCATCCTCCCTCACTCTGATCCCACCACACGTTCTACCCCAGCATCATCCTCCATCTTGCAATCAGCAAACCTGATTGTCAATTGCTTCCTAAGATCCTCAAATTTGTTCACCTCAGAATGACAACGTCATTGTCGCCATCTCTCGTCTGAATCCCCACACGAAAAACTATTCCTCCCCTTCCCGCCGCAACCTCCCGCTCCTCTCCCCGCCTCTCCGATCCTATCGCACACCGTTAACACCTTACAAGATGGAACGACTCTCGATCAACGATAACCCCGCCCCACAAGGGAATGCGCAGCAACAGTTCCCTGCGCAGAATGTGCTGGGCCCCTCTGCGCCGATGGTAGTGCAGGGTCCCCCGCAATTACCGCCCCAAATGTTCACCACCGCGGCTCAGTTGCTGGATTTGACAGATAGTAAGTTGTCTGGAAACCGGGGGGCTCGCTGGAGCAACGTATAAAGGAGGAGTGATATCATCTCTTCACGGCATGCTAACGCTGATATTTTAGAGAAACTCGTTCTGGTTCTTCGGGATGGGAGGAAATTGGTCGGCGTGTTAAGAAGTTGGGATCAATTCGGTATGGATGATATTGCGCGTCGTCATGGAGGAGCCGATGTATGATGGGTCTAACGCTTTTCAACTGCAGCCAACCTTGTTCTTCAGGATACCATCGAAAAAGTCTACGTTGGAAATCTTTATGCCGACATCCCTCGGGGTATCTTCATTGTTCGCGGTGAAAACGTTTTGCTTCTCGGAGAAATTGTACGGGTATCTCCCTCTATATTCGGTGATGTATGCTGATACACTCGTTTTTCTAGGATCTGGACAGGGAAGATGATGTCCCCACGACTGTCCAAAAAGCTTCGCCCCAAGAAGTCTTTGAATTGAAGAAGAAAGAAGAGGACGCCCGGAAAGCCAATGATAAGAAACGCAACAACAAGTTGCAGGGACTTGGATTCGAGGCCGAACACAGCGGAGAGATCCTATTCTAACCATTGACTCGGAATTGCTATTTACGGTATCGCTTACCCGCATCATCTGGGATGTGAGAAGCGAAATATTTTAATTTTGTTTGCAAGAAGGTTCTCCAGGTTATTGTTAGGTCGGTCGAGACTATGGAATACCCTTCAGAAGATCGCAAGAGCCAGATGCTGCTCTTCGACAGTACGACGATTTCATGAGAAGACAAGAGACGGACAATCATAGCTGAACAGCTGTGAAGGTATTAGATGTCTCCGAGTGGTTTCACTACTGGAGTGAACACGACAGATGGATGATGACCCGGGAGTCCTACTTGTAGGATCTGTGAATGGGATTTGGTCCACGGATTTGGAGCAGGAAGAAAAAGCCTTTTGACGATTCTGATGTCTATATCAAGAAGTTTTCGGAGGGCCGTGGAGTTTTACTGGCATTATTTGTTTGTTCTTGGTTTCTGCTCGAAGATGTCACGGTTGAAAGACCCTATATTTATACCATCCTGAAGACTTGACATGATCCAATAAATAAATTTCTTAACACTTTGAATACGAACAAACCAAAAATAATAATACTAGATCAAGCGAACCTAGATCTGTTATCGATAGGCCCGCCAAGAATTGTTGTTATCCAAAAAATCGTTCGGACCACCAAAAGTAAAAAAAAAAAAAAATCTCCGCATCCACACTTCTTCACTCTCTATCTCCTCTCTCCTCACCAAACAATTTCTGGAAGACTTCTCAACTGCCGGTAGGTCGATCCCGTCATCATGGCGACCCTGGCGGAGAAGCTCGAGAAGATCAAATCCCCCAAGCTGCAGAATCAGCACCATGTAAGTTCCGTCGAATTCCCCATTGATTGATTGACTGACTGACTTTCTTATCACCATAGACTGCCGTGGTGCTCTCCGCAGTCGAGGATACTCTTCGCGATCAAGGGGCAGACTTTTCTGCTACCGCATATTTCGCAGCTCTGCTCGCTCTATTGTCACAGTCGCTTTCTGCTTCCCAAGGCATCGTCAATAAGGACCTCGCGACCTCGGTGGTCTACCTTCTCGACATCACAACCGCCTACGTCCCCCACCCCATTCTTCGCTCAAAATTCGCCCAGATCCTCTCCAGTCTTGCTCCCGCTCTTTCGTTGCCTGAAGTCGAAGCCCCGCTTCTCCGACCGTCTATTGGCTGTCTCGAATCCCTCCTCATCGCCCAGGATGCCGCTGCTTGGAATCTCCCACACACCCAGGTTGGTCCGCGACGGGCGACCGCGGGATTGCTGAGTCTGGCCGTGGACCACCGCCCCAAGGTGCGTAAGGGGGCCCAGGAATCGCTCGTCAAGGTTCTCAAGTCTCCCCCGCCTAGCCCATCGCTCGATCACCCAGCCGCCGATATGTGTGCGGAAACCGGATTGCGAACTCTGGGAGATAGCATTGCCGCAGCATCCAAACAGAAGAAGGGCCGTCACCACGATCCCAACGGCCGGGATAACCATGACCCTCTCGTCATTCACTCGCTGCAACTGGTCAAGACGATTGCGACCGCGTCGGGCGGCTGGCCGAGCAAGAAGATCGAGCCGCTTTGCGAATTGCTCATGAATGCATCCCGCTCCACCAACGAGTATATCACCATGGGCGCGTTCGAGGTTTTCGAGGTTATTTTTGCTGGAATGGCCGATGAGTTCTCATCGTCGAAGCTCCCCCGTCTCTTAGATGCGATCTCCGAGTTGAAGCCCGCCCAGAACGACTCTCAGCTTCTTCCCCCGTGGATTGCCGTCTTGTCTCGTGGTTACGATGTGTCCGCTCAGATTAACCCCGAAGATACTTTCGAGAAACTCCCCGCTTTGTTCAACCTGGTTGCTAGTTTCCTGGTGTCTCCCTCGAGCAACATCCGAGTCTCCGCATCCGAGTGCCTAATCTCCTTCCTGGCCAATTGTATTCCGAGCAGTGTGATTATCGAGCCGTCGATCTACGATGAAAAGATCCTCGAGAAGCTGGCCCGGGCTGCCACCGATCTGCTTTCCGTCAAGTACCAGATTGCGTGGGCTGAGGTGTTCAACGTTTGCTCTGCCATGTTCGATAGCTTCAAGTGGCGGTCCAGCCCGTATTTGGATGACATTGTCAAGACTGTTGGGGAGTTGCGCAGCAACGAATCTTTCCGCGGAAAGAAGGAGGCGGATTCGGTTCTCGCAAGTGCCGTTGAAGCCATGGGTCCTGAGGCGGTTCTGAACATCCTGCCTCTGAACATCATCGAGCAGAAGGCTGGTCAGCCAGGCCGTGTCTGGTTCCTTCCGGTGCTTCGTGACAGCGTTACCAACACAAACCTCGCTCATTTCCGCTCTGAACTCGTGCCTCTGAGTGAAGCTCTATTCCAAAAGGTCATGGACTACGGATCTGCGGACAAGAGCGTGGAGGTGAAGATCTTCGAGACGCTCGTTCAGCAAACTTGGGCCGTTCTTCCGGGATACTGTGAGCTGCCTTTGGATCTTATCGAATCCTTTGACCAGGGCTTTGCCGAGCTTCTTTCCAACGTTCTCTACAAGCAAACCGAGCTGCGTGCTGATGTCTGCAGGGGATTGCAGACCTTGGTCGAGTCGAACCAGGCGGTTTTGGAGGTTGAGAGCGAGGGCGACGATCTGATTCTCCAGAGGAGAATCACCAAGGCCGCAGCCAAGAAGAACATTGCTCATCTGGCTGGGTTTGCCAGCAACCTGCTGGCCGTTTTGTTCAACGTGTACAGCCAGACTCTACCCCACTACAGAGGTTACATCCTGCAGTGTATCAACGCCTACCTGAGCATTACACCCGAGAAGGTCAGTAGATCTGTGCTTCAAGTATGAACTCGTATTCATGACTAACTTATTACAGGAGCTCAATGATACATTTGCTCGTGTCGCCTCGATGCTCGAGTCCTCTGTGGTTTCGGAGCAAGAGAAGGCCACGCAGGGTAACCAGCAATCGTCTGGTGACAAGATGCCGCCTACTTCGCACACATTGATTGATCTTGTCATTGCCATGTCGATCTACTTGCCCCGCTCGAGCTTTGCCAACCTATTTGCCATGGCTGCGGCTATCCTGAATGGTCAAACTGGTGACCAGCAGCTGATCAAGAAGGCCTACAAGTTGATTCCCCGACTAGCTTCGACAGAGACCGGAAGTGCTGCGCTTGTCGAGCGGAGCGCGGAGCTTCAGACCCTCTTCCTTTCCACAGCAGACAAGACACCGGCTTCCGCTCGTCGGGACCGCATGCTTGCCATCTCCGAACTCATCTCGTACCTACCGACCTCGGATCTGCACTTCATTCCTTCCGTCCTTTCCGAGGTTGTCCTTGGCTGCAAGGAAAGCAATGAGAAGGCTCGAACCGCCTCGTTTGACTTGCTGATTCACCTCGCCAAGAGAACCGTCGACTCTGAACGGAACCCGCCAGGCACCAAGATCCGCAACTCCTTGGTACCCCATATGCCGGACGATGCACCAGATGCACCAGCTACGATTGAGGAGTTCTTCACCATGGTGTCAGCCGGTCTGGCCGGTAGCTCGCCGCACATGGTCGCCGCCTCCGTCACTGCGCTCTCCCGACTCTTCTTTGACTTCCACACCGAGCTTCAGCCTGCAGTGCGGTCCGATTTGGTGCAGACAGTCGAACTGTTCCTGACTAGCAACAACCGCGAAATCGTCCGCTCCGTGCTAGGATTCGTCAAGGTCGCCGTCGTGGTGGTTTCTGATGAAGAACTTCGCCCGCGTCTCGACTCCATGGTCCCTAACCTGATGGCATGGAACAAGGAGCACAAGGGCCGTCTCCGCAGCAAGGTCAAGGGAATTCTGGATCGCTTGATCCGCCGATTCGGTGCTCCTCTCCTGGAAAGCTTGGTGGGTGATAACGATCGGAAACTGGTGGTCAATATCCGTAAAGCGCGTGAAAGGAGCAAGAGAAAGAAGAAGGAAGCCGGCGAGGCCGGCGAGGATGATGATGAGGAGGAAGAAGCCGACAAGGGCAACAACAAGTCCTTCGGCAACGCCTTCGACAAGGCCGTCTACGACTCTGACTTCTCGGACGACTCGGACGATGACGCCAGCGAGATCGACGTCGACGAAGAGGGTGTCACCCACGCCAAGGGCAGAAAGGGCAAAGGCAAGGGCAACAACAAGCAGTCAGAGCAGTACATCCGCGAAGGATCACCCGAAGACAACCCACTGGATCTCCTGGCCCCCAACGCCCTGGCTAACATCTCCACGACTAAGCCCAGCGTCCGCTTCCTCAACACCGGCCCGGGCTCTCGGAAACAGCGCAATGCCAAATTCGGACCCGACGGCCGTCTTCTCCTGGGCGGTGACGACGAAGACGCCGACATGTCCGGTGGTCTGGACGCTGACGCCAACGCCACACCGGGCGATGGCATCAACGCGTACCTCAACGCCGTCAGCGGCCCCGACGCCGCCCGCCGCGGCCAAAAGGGCAAGATCAAGATGTCGCAGAAGAACAAGGGCGGCGATAGCATGGATCTGGACGAAGAAGACGAAGGCGTTGTCTCCAAGGAGGACTTCCGTGCCGCCAAGGGCCCCAACTCTGGTCGTCGTGGTTTGGGAGCACCTAAAGCCCACGGACCCGGTGGTGGTATTCAGAAGCCTCGGAGAGGTGGTATGAACAACGGCCGAGGAGGCAGAGGCAGGGGAGGAGGCAGAGGAGGAGGCCGGGGTAGTTTCCGTGGGAATAGAAGGTAAACAACGACCTTTTCAGCATGGAAGTTGAAAGTTGATGAGAGATTTCCTTTTCCCTTTTCCTTTTTTACTTGAAATGAAATGAAGTTTGTTCTTTCCTTTGTCTATCACATTTTTACATACATAACACGCAAGGAGCTATTATGAGAAAGAAAAGTTATTTATTCTTCTTTGGCCATCAATCAATCATCAAGAAAGATTGAATATATAATGAAGTATGATCTGATCTGGTCTAACTTGATTTGATGACTTTGTTTATCTATGGTATCTATATACCCTTTTGAGGTTGGGTTTTGTTGGTAAAAAAATTCACTTATACTGTTTATGTTATTCAAAATTGACATGTCGCTTTTGCATTTTACTTAGTATTCTATAGGTTGGTCATGCAGGATAGATGAAATCTTGCAATTCTAATTCTATTCTTGGTAGGGTACTTATGGCAGGAGGTAGAGCCTTGTGGATGCGTCACTCAATTCCAGCACCCAAAGAATCGGACAAATAACATATCATTTTCGGTCTTTCAGACTGAAGAAAACCAAACATCCCACAGAAATTAAAGTTTAAAACATAATCTATGTTTATTTTATTTTATTTTAATTGGTAATGGAAATATAAAATAAACAAAAAAATTTCCTTAATGTGGTCCTGCCTGGGTATCGACACTGCGCGTGATAAAGTACATTACAAAGATCTACCATGATTCCCTGGTGACCAGCAGAATTACTTTCCTTGCCAAAAACGCTCTCGCCAAAACCAAATCCATCCCAAATACCGTCAATAATGATAATAATCCAACGCCATCAAACCTCACCGACCAGAGACTCCGTTGCAAAAAATAGAAATATCTTCAAAATGCCAAGAAAAAAAAATCAAGTCATTGCACATATCCAAAGCGTTGGTATCATGGTCAACACGAAACACAAAGAAAAAAAAAAAAAGACGAACGAGCTAAGTTGCATACGGGGCATGAGCGAGGATTAGGCTGGTCATTAGGAAGACAGTTTCCTGGCCTTCCCTAACCATCGCTGCCACCATCTGCTCACGCCCAGTACGGCGGCCCGACCGTCATCTTTGCGTTCTGTGCCATCGGGATTTCCCAGAATCATGGCGAAAACCCAGAATGATGCCGCAGTCCAAACGAGGAGGACGAACGCTATGGATAGAAGCGATGAGAGAAGGAGGACCGCGATTAAACCGCCGATCGAGTAGTCGTCGCTAGGGTCTGAAGGTGACGATCGATCTGGGTCGTTGTAGATCCATTGTGATGAGGATGAACGAAAAGAGTTTGACTGTCGCAAACAAACTAACCGTTCGTGCACATGTAGCGGAGGCGCGAATAGGTCGCAGAGTTGTGTTCGGAAGGAGTTTGAGCGAAGGTATGGAATGCAGGAGCAAAGACGAAGGGGGGAGACGAGGATTACGAAGAGGAGGCCGAAGATGGTATACAAGGAAGCGCAAAGGGAGAAGAGAGGGACGGGGATTGAAAGTCGAAACTAAGGTCAAGATCCCAGGTTAGCTAATCTACCCAGTGCCAGCAAGTGGTCCGAGGTTTCTTACCAGCATCAAGAGAGCATCCTGATTGTCATCCTCAAGAAGATCGTCATCTTGGATGGTTCGCTTCTGGACGCGGGAGACACTGTGGGGATGATTGTCGCCAGACATGTATGATGAATGGTCGGTCAAACTACCACGGATGCGCTCTTCTTTGCGCGCGGCCCCGCTACTATTCGAACCCCAGGTCAATATCGAACCGTTCTCGAAATGGGGCGAGGAAATAACGGACGTCACCGGAACCGCCACTGACTGCTCAGACTCGGGACGATAAGACTCGGCGGGTGTCTGGGGAGGATGACGGGAATGACGGGATGGAACCGCCCCCGAGTTTGGGCGAGTATCGCTGTCTCGAACGGAGGAAAGGCCCGGTAGAGGACGGTGGGAAGAGTCGTCGTGATGATGGTGTTGATGACGATTTAACGATGAGTCCGGGGGTAAATGTGCCGCGGAAGTCGATAGGTCTCGGGGATATGCGGTCACGAGCTGACCACTTTGCTGATAATAAGCAGGGGAATGGGACATTTCCGGCTGCCGCATGACGAAGGAAGGGAGGAAGGGGAGGGAAATAGCGAGAGTCCTCGGAGATAAGCAGGAAAAAAGAAAATAATGGCTGATAAGAGACGCTCAGAGTTTGGCGCAGGGAGCACAAGCAGTTGTACAGCAGCGCACAGAGAGCGACAAGGACAGGCCTACTGCATCTTCGAGTGTGCAAGGGGGGGCGATAGTCCGACGGTCAGGCGGAGGGAGAGAGCAGAATGGAGAGGGCGAGGGGGGACGGAGGAGGGGAGAGGAGCGGAGACAGCGAGATCTTATAAGACAGCCATGGGAAGGAGCAACGGCGAATGGAGGAAAGGAAGCGATGAAAGTCTTGGGAGAGCGGAAAGAAGCAGCCGCCCAGAAAAGAAGGACAAGAAGCCAAAGCAGGGCGACATGCAGCGGAACAGAAGAAAAGAAGAGATGGAGAGATGGAGAGAGACCGACGAGGCGCTTTTGCGTGCTCTGCTGCCAAGACGCCCAGGTGCCGAGCCCTTGGCATCTATTGTCGTCGTCGCATTGGGGATGGGTGATGATAGATGACGTCCAGTATGTACCAAGCCAGTGGATAACGCGATGTTGGGCTATTGCAATAGAGGGGGTGTTTCCCAGCAGCCGCGCATGATGGAGATATTGCCTCCAGGTGCTCTCCCAGAAGCAGAGCAGTAAGGCTGAATCCATTCTTTCTTTTTCGCTCCCAGGGCGATGTTTGACATCAACTAAAACGGCCTGCTTGGCCCCTTACCGTATCGGTTGCCAAGCCGCCAAGACTCTGCGGGGATTTTCAGTGCTTTCTGGCCGCTCTTATTGGCCAACAGGGCATGTAAAGACTCCGTGATCCGCGTTCGGAGGATGCTGGTCGGTCTTGGCGGTCTTACATCCAGATCCTGCGGTGGCATTGGTGTGCAGGTGTGCAGCGTTGGAGTGCGACAGGGAATCTCCAAAACCGCCCAAAGTGTCATTCTCGTCGCCGTCATAAGATTCTCGTCGCCGTCATATTAATCTCATGTCGTAGAGGTTCGGATCGGACAAAGGAGCCTGGGAAGGTTAGCAGTTCCTAGCCAGCAACGCTAACGCCGAGCCAGACTGCCCAGCCCTGCCGAGAAGATTGGCAGAGGCGATTCGTGACTCCATCCGAAGCGGTACAACGTTGGGCCAATAAATATTAGGTAATTCCTCACCCATATTTGTCGTCGTTTCCTGCTAACGGAGCGTTCAAGATCAGATCAGTCGAGTTTCTCGTCCGAGTCGACATTCCAGTTGATATTCGCTATCCTGGAGAATGAATGCTCAATCCTCTGATCCACGGAAAGGTGGGCTCTTGAATTCTCATCCGCCTTAGCTATATTACCACCAGTACCCGGCCGAGAGGTTTCCAATCTCCGCACTGCTCACATGTGGCTTAAGGCGCTGGAATTGAACAGTAGACGGCAAGGCAATGCGATCCGATCTTCTTAGGGAGTCACAAGGTCTAGCCTGTCGTTTCCCATGTGTTTATCAGCCAACAGGCAGACAGTCGGCCTTTTTCGCACCTCGGTGACGGATATATCGGTAAGGCAGGTAGTATTTGCTCCTTCCTATCTTGTCCAGCTCATCATTATTTTCTTGGCCGCCCAGATCGTCTGGGCAGTAGAGGAGAAAAAAAAAAAGAAAAAAAAAACGCTGACGGTCTGACATTTATCGTGCTTGGCTGGCTTTCTTTCTGAGACAACAACGGCTGTTCTTGGCTCTGGTGAGTGTGACAGCTGTTGTGCGCGTCTCTGCAGTCCACCTGTCATGGTTGACTGGTCATAGGAGCGAAGATCGCCAGATGCCGATAATAATGAATAATGATATACGGGTTACGTCCGCATGATTCTGTTGCAACATCGGAAGAGGCTGTACCTGAAAGTATGCGTACAAAGATCTAATCATTCTCTTTTATCTACAGGGTAATACAGCATAGTAGTGTGTCAGATTTACAGAAACCTGTTCAACCATACTGTCTATACTACATCTTCATCACCAGCATAAGATTGCATAATTCATAAACATCACCCCAAACCAAGACCAAATAGAACAACAAATAAAACAACAAAAGAAACTCAAGCCAAGCATCACGGGTAGATACTACTCCCAACCTACCTAGGCACTCTGTATATGCAGCAAGTCCCAGCCAAGCGTCGCACAGCATCTATAATGAAGATCGAAAGCTGCAAGGAGTCTGGATAGCTCTGACATATACTCTGTAGTCCACACCTCCCCTGCTTTTCTGACTGTGCGATGGCAATTAATTACGTATCCAGAAATCGAGTCTGGGGATATGCACGTTCACTTCACCTCCCTATTGATGTATGTATCGGGGTCTGGGGTAGTAGTTGGATTGTTGGATTGTTGGAATGTTGTGTTGTTGTCGGCCGAGTTTGAGTTGATGTGCATTCTGGGCTGTATGGTGAGATAATGAATTGTCATGGAGTCGATGGAAATATGCTGTTGATGTCAATATTTGTATATCATGGAGAAAAAATGCCTCCCCCTGTCCATGTCGACTGCAGTCATGCTCTGACTACAATCCAGCTTTTCTTCTTCTCAGTTTCTTTTCCTCTTTTTCCTCACTGTTTCTGTAGCCCGCCAAACGATGCTTTTCATTTTTATGAACCTGTTGAGTAATGTGCAGTCTCACTCTCACTCTCAACTTATTCTCAAAAGACATGCCTTGGGTTTTTCGTCCCGGTGAGCTGGACGGCCCTGGATTTCCTGGATGACAACGTGAATTCCGCACCAGAAGCCGTATGAGCTCCTTCTCAGATGTAGCCTTGACCTATGTAGGTAAAGTATTGATCATCACTGGTAGAATGGAACTTGATGATATGGTGTTGTGCACGTCCCAGGATAACAGCCACGGTGCTAAAGTGAGAGTATACAGTCATTATCCTAGCTATCTGTATCATCCCAAAGATATCTCATCCAAAAATATTCTTTCTAGAATTGACGATTTCTATCAATAAGTAGCAAGACCATCTCGAAGCAGCAATTGTTTTGAGCTTGTGTTCGTCCTTTGGATGATCGTACAAAGAGGCATCAATGACATGAAACTGCATCTTCATTGTTCAACAAAGATGACTTGAAACTCCATTCACAGACTGTCTTACCTCACTGTATAATAAAGATGAAAGAATAGCATTCTATATTGACTGATGGATAATTATATTAGGGCATGGCGAAGTGGTGGACTTGTACAATGTCGAAGCCATTTCCTGATAGTACTAGCCTGGTGGCTTCTGCGTGTTATTGCACAGCTTTGGACAATCTATTGTCGTTTATTCTTTGGTGATCCCTTGGTACAGTGTTTAGAAATATGTAGGCTGATGAAAGTAACGACAAGCAGAGTACCTATCTACATAGTAACGACCTTGACCATGCAATATTAGGTGTGATATTCCACCTATGCCATGTATACCACTAAAAGAGTGTCTGGGGATATGAATTAACAATGGAAGTATTGATTGTAGAAAACCAGGTATAGTAAGTTTTTATATCAAGTCAATCGCCTCATCAACCAGTGATTAAGACAACTGACAGATTCATCAAATTATCCATAAACCATGACTCATTATCAAACAGACGCAGTCATCTCACAGAGCACACTGCATCTCACAACAGCCTAAACCAGCTATAGCTGTCAATTATCTTATTTCCCCATTCCCATCCCATCTCCCCTATAATCCCCTTTTCCCACCAGCAACTCAACAATCCCTCCAACTCAACACCTTCACACTCCCCGCAATCTTCCTATACGCAAGCTCCATAATCTCCCTCACGCTCGCCTCGCCGACCACCTCGACCTCAATTTCGTAGAGCCTCGCGCGGAGGTTCTCGTCGCGCTCGGTCTGCACGAAGGCCTGGTACTGCTGGAAGGCGGCTGTGACAGCTTCGTAGAATTCGACATCGTGCAGGTGGTTTGTGAAGGAGCCGGGGGGGAAGCCGTTTATGTAGACGTAGTAGAGGCGGGGCTGGTTTGTTGGTTGGGTCATTTTGTCTTTGGATGGATGGATGTGGTGGATGTAGATGTAGGCAGAGATGGTATTTGTTGGTGTGGGTGTAGATGTTATGTTATGTAGAATTCAATGTAGGTATTGTAGTGTAGGTGTAGAAGTGGCGTGGTGCGAATGGAGTAGGATATGTAGCTGGGTGTTTGCTGGTTATCCATGGTATATATCTGTGCATGGTATATTTATACTGATAGATCATTGTGGTGATATCCTTTGATTGAAACAAGAGCACAATGGCCTGTTTCAACGTGGTCGATTCATTGTTCAAGTTGAAAGTTGAAGACTTGTTGATGCTTTAAAACATCACGACGGCCACTGTTTCATCCTTTGAGTCTTATGGATGATATTCCGTTGAATTGATGACCTCTGTACTATTTTAGTGTTCAGTCTGGATATATAAAGACATGAAACTGCTGTTACAGTGCACAAAGCAGAATCAAGGGCATTATCAATATGACCAGCATAGAATTAGAAACAACCCACTTAGAATAAAAAGCATGCAGTTTCAAGTTGTGAGGTAATCCATAAAAAAGAATCTCAAAATATCATTCATCCTGAATCAGACAAGATAATACATAGTCTAGTCTAAAACACAGAACCCGAGTTGAGCCTCTAACAGCCATTTCATTATTAACTGGGATGGCAACACCATATCAGCGATAATGCAAGACCTTGTGTCCCGATTCCTCCCTCCAGATGGAGTATTATTGGAGCAAGTGATGGAGTACGTGGCCCAAGCGCGTGTGATGGAATGACAACCAGCTGCAGCTCTGATCAGGGTGATGGTGGAGTTGCATCAAATCCCTCGGTCGGAGTAAGGTAATCGTTGCTGTGTTGGGAAATGCATCCCAGTCGAAAGGAATCAGGGATGATATATGTGATATGATAGGTATGAGATACTCCTACAGAGCACAAGCCTACTCCGTATGGGACTGAGGTAAGAATACATGATGCAAGGAAGACAGATAGCATGTGGGTATTTGATTATTATTATTCATAACCCACTGCAGAGCAGAGAGGATGCATTGTTCATGCATAACCGTACATGCGTCTTATATATTGAAAGGAGTTGAATAACTGGCGGTGGAGCATTTTTTGTCATTTTTTTTTCTTGCCAGTCGGGGCTGACTCGATATATATTATTGTTATATATAAAATATTGAAACAATAGAGCTGCAAGGCTGCAATGCACGCCACTGATCGAATTGGATATACGGGGGGGGGGGATGGCTACCAGGAATGTTCAGCTATGCAGCATGGAAACAGGATAGGATATATTCTCAGTCTGCACAGAGGGCAGCACAGTATACCTAGACAGACAGAGAAATGCCCAACTCTATATGGAGCATTCCGATCAAAACTCGGGTGGAGATCTGATATGGAATGGATCGCCCTGATGATCGCTCGAATATGCAGAATAAACATCCCATTCCCATGATGATGACGTTGTTGACATGCGACAAGTCAGAAGGGGGAAAAAAGGCAAAAGGCAGAGAGGTCAGATGCAGGCGACGTTGTACAACTGCTGGTCGGTACAACGTGAATTCTTCAATTACTCCGTGATCTCATCTGAGCACTCAGATGAGTAGTAACTGACTTAATAAGGATAGCACTACATCCATCCTTGATATGTAGTGGTCGGTAAGCCTTCCCCTAAGATCAACGATACTCCGTACGGTCGCATGTTCTCGTGCAAAGACCACCAAGAGCAATAGTCTCGAATTAGAGTCACCAAAAACAAACCGACTATCAGTCGATCCGAGTCAGTAGCAGTGATCGGGAATTTGCAGCATCGTTGATCGGTCAATGCTGTTAATAGTTTGTAGTTCGTGCCGGTTTCAGTGAGACTGGGTGTGGACTGCAGTGGTATGTATGCAGGAGTCGTCCATACGTGTGTATGGAATAAATAAGATGACGATCGTCAGTCTACTTGTAGCCTACTTGATCAAGGTCAAGAGTGTGAAGTGTCCAGAGCCTGACCGAAAATGTCCAATCCAATGAGACATTATTTCCCCTAGATCGCGAGATGCAGAGGAACGCTAGAGGGTGGACACTCCACGCTGTTGTGTAACCCACAATCCCAAATGGCCCATGACAGACGGAGATCGTCTCATTCGTGTTCTCGAGGGGAGGGGAAAAAAAAAAAGAATAAAAGAATGGATAGATCATCTATCTGCGAACAGCGAATCGAGCCATGGCCACTGCTCGGAGGAGAGATACCACCTATCATACTGGCTGTCAGTGTCAGGCAGGCCGTTTCACCCCCAAACGACTGATTCCGGTCGAGTGGAGGAGAACCGAGAAGTGGCCGCAGTGGCGGCTCAGTCGGCTAGGATCCCCTGGATGGTTATGTAGACAATAGTTAATGTCACTGCTCCGTAGTCTGTCTGTAGGCCGGACAATGAACACCGACACGTCGGTTCTAGAGTCTCCTTTTACAGTTTACTGTAGGTCAGAAGGGAGCAGAACGTGCTTAATTAATTCAAAATCTAGACTAAATAAACAGTGGAACAAAAACAAAATTAGATCATTAAACGAAAAGGAGAAAATGGGAGTTGAATAGCGCCAAAAAAAAAAAAAGTTGGGCTACTGAGCCTACTGGGGGCCATGGGCAGTTATGTCAGAGTGGGTGTGTTGGTCGGTCGCATTTTTATTTAATTCTATTTTGTTTTTCATTTCTTTTTTTGTGGGAAAAAAGAGGGCGACCCACAGTGATGTATCAAGATCATCAACCACAGAAAAGCCGACGGATCAGCATCGGGAAAGGCCCCACTGGATGGAATCCGTTAGGGAATTGTGGCTCGTGGCTGGTGCGTGTGGCAGAGGCACAGGAATGGGCTTAGCCGGCGAGCCGCTTAGTGCCCGCGGAAGAAATGCCCTAGAGATCATGACGGAAGGGGCAAAATGCAAATCCTACTAGTCCACCTGTCAACTTGTCCTCCCTAGTGCTGCACTCTACTGTACGGGGTAGACAAGTACTTCAGAAAAGGATGAATAAATATGAGCTGTATTCTGTATTCTGTAGAATGCTGTATTACCTGCAAGTCTGCACAGACATTTTTATGCAGAATCCCTTGAAATTGATGTACCCATCAATATCCATTTTTTGGTGGACTAAGACCGACTTAGAGTGGGGGAACTTGGAAGAGGGGAAACGGACATGGGAAGTTTAGCCGTGGGAGTCTGGGAGACTTGACTGGGAAAAATGATCAAAATGATAATAATAAACACCGATGGATGTAGTCATGATGGAGTCTGTCCCCATACGGACGTAAAGTTCCAGTCTAACCGTTTAGGATTGGCGCGACTGCAACATTTGCAGGTGGCCAGAGTGGAGAACGCCTCATGCCTAACTAGGCTGCCGGGAGCTTAGGTGGTTGAGCTTATGGCCGTACGCCAGTTACGGCCACCAGCCGCTGCCCCATTAACGCAGTTCTGGTGCAACTCCATCAATCCGTCCACCAGAACTCATCAATGGCACGGGGAGAGAGGGACCCATGGTCCACCTGCAGCCTCTCGGCGAGTCACAACCAGGGGTTCGTGCTAGGCTGCCCCCCATCACGGGGGTACTAAATCCCTAGGTGTACTTTTTCTTTTTCTTTTTTATTTTTTTGCCCTTGTTTTTTATAATTTTTATCCTTTTTTAATTTCTGGCTCCGGCGCTTGCGCATCCCGGTCCTACTCAGAAATGCACACTAGGAGCGCTTCGACTCCATACAGACTAACTTTTCGTCTTAACACCACTATGGATACTAGTCCTACTTCGTACTGGCCTAACTGATTTATGACATTGTGCGGCTAACTTGAGTCGTGCTAATGTATCGCTTTGGCCCCGCCCAACCCGACACTATGTAATTACGTTCCCCCCAACTTCCAAGAAATGCCTACATAACATCAAACACGCGAGAAGTGGCGAGACGGCGCTGACAGATAACCAGCATCGGGAATAAATAGATGTACAGTGTACATAGCTTCAACAATCTACTATCCAGCAGAGTATATCTATAATAATTAATAAATATTTTCAAAATAAAATAAGATAAAATAGATTAAAAAATAAAAAATAAATATTACATAAGCTCACTGGACAGTGCAGCCTCGACCCGTCACCCGGAATCCGGAAAATATTAACTGTAAATACCCGCGGACACGACTCCAGATCGTCCCCACCCACTAGACCGTTCCTGGCCGAGCAAAGCTGCCTGTCGCTGGCTTGGCGCTGGTCGACCTGACCTTCTCAGCTTCTCAGCGTTTCCGTGCTTTCCTCTGCTTTCGCTGACTGCTCGAGAGCTGCACAACCACTAGCGCGCCTTGGCAAAAATCACCCTCTGCCACCAGCCCCTCGACCCTTTCCTTTCCTTCCCTTCTTTTCCTCTTCTTCTCTTCTCTTTCTCGCTTTCTCCTCTTCTTCCTTTTTGTTCCTTTCTTGCGGCTTCCCCTACTTCCCCTTTTGACTCTTTTTTTTTTTCTCTTCCTCCCTGAAGCGGTCCTCCACTCCATCTATCTGAACCCTGCTTCTTCCGCCTTTTCTCTTCCTTCTTCTTCCCTCGTCTCCTTTGGTTCGCTGCGTCATTTCCCCTCTTATTTCTCACCCTTACTTTGTCACTTTCAATCCTTGTTCCGCTTTGTTTTTTGCTACCTTTCATCACCCTCCCCTTTGTTCTTGCATCTACTTGTCGCCCTTCCGTCGGCACCTCATCTCGACCAACGTGTGTCGCGGCCGTCGGCGCTTCTTTTCAAAGGTGCGACATCGCCGTCCGCATCGCGTCACGTCCAATTCCCACCCACCAGTCGGACGGGATCAGCTTATATTCTCGTCTTCTCGGGGATAAACTATTGCTTCACCGCATCACACCATTGGCATAGCAGTCGGGTGGGAAATAATTTGGCGAATTGTCGTACAATCTGTGTTCCCTCCAGAGGTCATCGGGTCAAGGGTTTGCGCGACAACTTGAATCCTTGAGCTTCTGGGCTGTGCGACTTGACAGTAACACGGAGACTTGATTGCATCATTGTGTCGCGAAAGACTTCTGGGGTGCAGCCTCAAGCCTGTCCTATTTTGGCTGCGTGTCAACTTCCGTAATCGACCATGTCCCATACACAGCCCTCACCCACCGGGGCTGTAACGCCTCATCATGGCCACCTGGCCGCTCACCCGCAGGTCAATGGCCACATTCCTTTGCAGGCTCAGGGCCAGAAGGCTCCCACCCTGAACACCGCTCAGAAGATCGCCGCGCTTAATGAGCAGGTCTGGCTCCAAATCGGTATGCGCTTTTCACGCCTGCATTGCGACTGCTCCGTAGCGTAACACGTACTGACAATTCCCTTCAGGAAGCCTGACTGAGCTGATGGGCGATCTCGATGGCGCCATGAACGCATATGAGCAGGCATTGCGACACAACCAGTGGTCCATTCCTGCCATGAACGCCATTTCCTGCATTCTGCGGACAAAGGAACAATTCCCCAAGGCTATTGAATATCTCCAGAATATTTTGAAATTGGACCCGACAAGTGGGGAAACCTGGGGTAGCTTGGGTGCGCAGACTTTCATTGTCCCATTATTAAGAACAGTCGACTAATCCGCTGTAGGCCATTGTCATCTGATGATGGATAATTTGCAAGAGGCGTACACTTCCTACCAACAGGCTTTGTATCATCTGCGCGATCCCAAGGTTAGTAATTTTCACTATCGCTCGTGCTGTCGACGATTCACTAATTTGCGACCGCGTCTGTAGGAACCGAAACTTTGGTACGGCATCGGTATCTTGTATGACCGCTACGGCTCCCTCGACCATGCGGAGGAAGCTTTCTCGCAGGTTATGCGAATGTCTCCCGATTTCGAAAAGGCCAACGAAATTTACTTCCGACTGGGCATAATCTACAAACAGCAACAGAAATTCAACCAGAGCTTGGAGGTTTGTGCTGGGATATGCTCTATGGTTCCAACTTGTTGCTGACGATTTTTTTTAGTGCTTCAAATACATCGTCAATGACCCCCCACGACCTCTCACAGAGGAAGATATCTGGTTCCAAATTGGCCACGTTCATGAACAGCAGAAGGACGTATGTAATCTCAGTAGTATGCAGAAATTGCCTGGTGCTAACAGTCTTCTAGTTTGATTCTGCACAGGCAGCGTACAGGCGAGTTCTGGAGCGTGATCCCAACCATGCCAAGGTGTTGCAGCAGCTTGGATGGTTGTATCACCAGCAGAGCAACAGCTATGCGAGCCAAGAAAAGGCTATTGAATACCTCGAGAAGTCCGTTAGCGCAGGTAAGCAACAGATTTCAAAATTGATAAGTCTGCAGTACATGATACTAATGGTCTTCGCTTCATTCAGACAACACTGATGCGCAAAGTTGGTACCTCCTTGGTCGCTGCTACATGTCGCAAACCAAGTATCCCAAAGCCTACGAAGCTTATCAACAGGCGGTCTACCGCGATGGACGAAACCCGACGTTCTGGTGTTCAATTGGTGTGTTGTATTACCAAATCAATCAGTACCGTGACGCGCTTGATGCATACTCGCGTGCGATTCGCTTGAACCCTTACATTTCGGAAGTGTGGTATGACTTGGGCACTCTGGTAAGTTTACGATTGGACCGACGGATAGCGTTGACAAATTCTAACATCCTTCTCAGTACGAATCCTGCAACAACCAAATTGCGGATGCTCTGGACGCCTACGGACGCGCTGCTGATTTGGACCCGACCAATGTTCACATCAAAGCACGTCTGCAACTGCTTCAGAGTCAACTGTCGGGATCCAACCCCAGCAACGGACCCGCCCCTCAGCCACAAGATGTCCATCCCCAAGCTTATCAGGCTAATGTTGGAGGACCTCCAGCTCCTCAATGGGGCGCACCGGCACCCACTGGTGGTCCCCCACCTCAGCCACCGGCACCCCCTAGGCAAATCGCCGATTGGAACCGTGGTATCAATGAACTCCAATCCCAGGCCCAGGCCCAGGCGCAAGCCCAAGCCCAAGCTCAGGCTCAAGCCCACGCTCAAGCCCATGCTAATGCCCAGGCTCAGGCTCAGGCTCAAGCTCAGGCCCAGGCCCAGGCTGCCAATGGATTTGATCATCGTGACGCTGTGCGTGCTCCTGTTTCTGTCCAGCAGAGTCCTAGACAGGATCCGGGAAGGGTGTTCCCTGAGGCTGTGCGTGCTCAGCCAGCCCGCTCGCCGAAAACTACTCTTGTCGGGCCGAATGCCTATGCGCCAACGCATGCATTGCCCCAACTCTCTAACCCACCCGTTTCGGGCCACGAGCGAATCCCCAGCGGCGCGAGTGCATTTGCATCTACTACTCGCGGCCCTCTCCCCCCTGCTCCTGCTGCAGGTGGTCCACCTGGGCCTAACGGTGCTCCATCTTCTGCGGGACCTCTCCCCCCTTACAACCACCGTCCTTTCACACCGCCAGCAGAGATCAGACCGATCCGAGATGAGCGACTCCCCTCTCCCGGCAGTGGATACCCCCACCAGCAGTATCACCCTGGCCCAAGTTTGCCCCCTCAGGCTGCCAGCAGCACGGGTATCGCAGGCGGCGCTCCTCCGCCTGCATCTGCTATTGCCGCTGCTGAAGCTGCTGCCCGGGAACGTGAAGATCGCCCTGCATCTGCGATGAAGCGTGGTAGAGAATGGGAGACTGAACCCGGTCCAATCAAGAAGATTGCCAACGAAGAAAGCCGCGCTCGTCTTGACGACCAGGTCAGTCGCCGTGTGACCCCGCCAAACCGTATTCCTTCGCCCCGGGAGATGCAGCGTCGTAGCTCTTCTGAGGCTCGCCGTGAGGATCAACGTCGTGTAAATGACAACTACCACCCATCGGAGGCGGCGCACCACCCTCCAACGCTGCCCTCTATCCAACACATGCCCCAGCATGCTTCTGGCTCGAGTCTTCCTCCCATGACTGATGGCCCTGCTCCCTCCAACGGACCTCCATCAGGCCCACCGTCCGCTCAAGCGCAGGTCAAGGAAGAGCCCGCGCGCAATGAACAGCCTCCGTCGCATGAGCCTGCCGCTCGGAAAATGGATGTTGATGAGAACTATGACGATGATGGTGATGATGATAAGAGAGCCAGTGTTGTCGCAAAGGGCAGTCCACATGGTAGTGGATCGGGCAATCCCAGTAGCAGTGGCAATGGGGTTTTGAGCGGTGGCAGCCAGACATCTCAGTCGAAACAGGAGCCTTCGGCATAAAGAGCTCGACTTCTATTTATATTCAGTTGCACTGCCAAATGGGCAATGTTATTAGGCGTCTCGATTTTTGGGCGCGAAAAGCGAAAAAGCTTGAATGAATTTCATCTTTATGAGGAATACTTGCCTTCATTTATCTCGTGAAATTTCCTTTCTTCCCCTATACTTTTCATTTTCTCCTTGTTTATCTTTTCCCCTACTTCATTGTCACTCCGACTTTCTGTTGTTTTAGCACCTGGGTTTTGTGTACTTTATGATTTCGAGTCGCCTTTGCGATCGAGCACATGGTCGAAGTGGCTGACCTGCTTGTCTGTTATCGGCCCTAATGACCCTTTTTGACTTCTCCCATTTTCTTTTCACTATATCTTGTCTTACTTTTCCTGTTCTTTTGACTATTTCTGTGTGAATGGTTAGAGTTATCTTACTGGAAACGACCAATTTACTGCCTACTAGTCATCTATGATTATGAATTTGTCCCTTGTAGTTTGCAATTTTACAAGGCATGTAGATTAGTCTAGTAGCATTATCTTTCATCTGACACTTTGTATCTCCAATTTACTGATGATCTATTTGAGGTTCATCTACTCCGTAGTAATTAGTACGGAATGACTCCCTTGTTTTGATTTTGACAGCGGTCGTTTTCTGCCTTAGGCCGCAAGATCTTAGTAAGTGGGTCGCTTACCCGCAAAGGGAATACTGCGCCAAGAGTTCGCTTAGGTCAGCCCACATTCGTTAAGCGTGCAAAATAGGATCTCTGGTAAAATCCGAGTCGACTTTCCAACCACTTCGACGACTAACGACAACAGGGTCAAGATGTGAGTATACGCCCTTGGATATAATCGATTTCACAATGAAGAACGAAATGACTGATAATTTCTGATAGGTCTCACCGCAAGTACGAAGCGCCTCGCCACGGTTCGTTAACCTCTCTGCTACGGCTTCAAAATTCGTTCTCGAGTGCGTGGGTGTGATATACTGATACAATTTCGAACAGGTTCGCTTGCGTACCTTCCTCGCAAGCGTGCGTCCCGCCACAGGGGTAAGGTCAAGAGGTTAGTGAAACAAGAAAAAAAACTGCATTCGCAGTCGAATTTGGAAATTTTGAGATTGGTATACTGATTTTGCGGCAGCTTCCCCAAGGATGACGCCAAGAAGCCCGTCCACTTGACTGCCTCCATGGGCTACAAGGCCGGTATGACCACTGTCGTCCGTGACCTTGACCGTCCTGGTGCCAAGATGCACAAGAAGGAGATTGTTGAGGCCGCTACCGTCATTGAGACTCCTCCCGTATGTCCCACCTTGCGACGAAGAAAAGAAATTTTCATGGTGGGGGAGAGATGGCTAACGAATTGGTAATAGTTGATCGCTGTCGGTGTCGTCGGTTACATCGAGACTCCCCGTGGTCTCCGCTCGCTCACCACCGTCTGGGCTGAGCACTTGAGTGACGAGGTTAAGCGTCGCTTCTACAAGAACTGGTACAAGAGCAAGAAGAAGGCCTTCACCAAGTACGCCAAGCAGCATGCCGAGGAGAGCGGTGCCTCCATCACCCGCGAGCTCGAGCGCATGAAGAAGTACTGCACTGTCGTCCGTGTCCTTGCCCACACCCAGGTCCGCAAGACTCCTATCAAGCAGAAGAAGGCCCACTTGATGGAGGTCCAGGTCAACGGTGGTTCCGTTGCCGACAAGGTTGACTTCGCCCGCAACCTCTTCGAGAAGCCCATCGAGATCGACTCCATCTTCGAGAAGGACGAGATGATCGACGTCATCGCCGTCACCAAGGGTCACGGTTTCCAGGGTGTCACCAGCCGTTGGGGTACCAAGAAGCTTCCCCGTAAGACTCACAAGGGTCTGCGTAAGGTCGCCTGTATTGGTGCTTGGCACCCTAACCACGTCCAGTGGACTGTTGCCCGTGCCGGTCAGATGGGTTACCACCACCGTACCTCTTGCAACCACAAGGTCTTCCGTGTTGGCAAGGGTACCGACGAGGGCAACGCCTCTACTGAGTTCGATGTCTCCAAGAAGCAGATCACTCCGTAAGTTTCACTTGAATTTCCACACATGAATCAAGGCTAATCAGACTACAGCATGGGTGGCTTCGTTCACTACGGTACTGTCAAGAACGACTTCTTGCTCCTCAAGGGTTCCGTTCCTGGTGTCAAGAAGCGTGTCATGACCCTCCGCAAGACCCTGTACCCCCAGACCAACCGCCGTGCCACCGAGAAGGTCGAGCTCAAGTGGATCGACACTTCCTCCAAGTTCGGTCACGGTGCTTTCCAGACCGCCGAGGAGAAGCGCGCCTTCATGGGTACCCTCAAGAAGGACCTCGTTACCTCCGCTTAGGATGTTTATGTGGACCATGGGTTGGTGTAGTGCTACGTATTATTTTCAATAAAAAAAGCGAACAATACCTCTTCAAGTTTTATGTCTCAAAATGATTTTCCTATCTTACGTAGATGGTGTGGCGATTTATTGTAGAAATGGTGTAGTTGTATGGTCATTGTGAGTCCAAGCTTTCGAGTCTGCGGCGAAAATTTTGCCAGATTTCTTCCTCCACCCTTGAGAGATTAATTCATGTCGTCACCTTCGCTTCAATCGAATATTTTCTGCATCTGTATTAATATCCATTTGTTTACCTTATAATTTAATCCTACTCTCCATAATCTCTTGCCTTGTCCGGAACATGCCGTCCAACCGCAGTGTACATTGCGTCATTGCCCATCTGGACTCCTCGTCTTGGGCTTCACCTGCAGCGGGTCTCATTCGCCTTCGCCTTCTTCCTCGCTCGACAGCGTTGACTCATAATTCTTCCATCATACAATCCCCTCCACGTCGCTACCATCACCAACGCCATCTCCCACAACAACAGCAACAACCACAACAACCCCATCTAACCAAAACCCCCCTCGTCTCCCACCGAACACAACCACACCCCGCGCAAAGACCCAACAACCCCACCATCAGAGCCATGTCTTCCGACGACGCATACATGGCCTTCCTGAACAAGGCAAACGCAGACCTCAATGCCGGCCGCTCCTTACAGCCCGAACCGACCGAGTCCGCTGTCCGCACTGAGACTGTGGATGTGGGCGTGCGCGTTCCCGCCCCGCTGTCGTCGGTCGATGCGTATTACATTTCTGAGACGGATGAGCCGTTTGAACCGGTCGTGTTAAACTGGGAGGGCGCGAAACGGGGGATTTGGCCTGGTTCGAGTATGTCCCCCTTCTGAGATGTAGTGTACAGGTGCAGGTAATGCTAACGATCCATCCAGCCCAACTCTCCAACCTCATCTCCCCAGACGCAGACCTCTCCCCTTCCATCGACACCATGTCGCCTGCCTCCTTTGATCCCCAGAACCAGTACGCATCTGTTCTCCGTGCGGTTCGGGCCGCGGTCACGCAGTCGGCGGCTGGCGGGATTGACGAGTCGGATGTGGATGTCAAGGTGTATCGGGTGCAGGTTGGGACGTCAAGAGCGGAATATTATGTTTTGGGATTGGATGTTGAGGGAGGGAAGATTGTGGGGTTGAAGGCTAAGGCTGTTGAGACTTGATTTGTATGTATGTATGTATTTGATGTATATTTTATTGGGATATTAAGTATCATTGTAGTTTATGTCACGGTTTGGATTAATTGGATATGTTTAATATTATCTTGGGAGTAATATATTTGAAAAGTTGCTCTAAATAGCCATGCCTACTATGTGATGGTTATATATAGCCTCTGGCTGCGTAAAGAAATAGCAGTCACTATTATTGTGAGTTCATTGGATAATTACTACTATAAGCGACCTGGAAACGATGCAGTGGATATGTTGAATTGATTGTATACCATTCTAATATAGTATAATTCATTGTGGTTGGAAAAGTTGACTTCATTCACTGGCTGGTGTTATGTATATTGCAGTACCACCACCATTTATCATCATATCTATATAACCCAACATATTGATATTCCATTGCAGATTATGATATCTCATTTTTCAGTTTTAAATTTATTAATATATAATGAGAACGATTTATTCTGCTAATAAATAATGGTTGATACGGATTGGGACTATCTACCTTGGGAAGATACCAATCGCAGCTGGAAAAGATATTGTCATTGTCATCAAGGTGACCTTTTATTAGACGGCTGTCTTATGGGTTCGTGGTATCCAGCCAGGACCAAAGCTATATATTAGTGACTGTGTCCCAGTTTTAAAGAGTTTACACTACTTGACCATCGAATTTTATCAACTATAAAGTCGAGCAGCATATAATGATATTTCCAAGTTTGCAGTATACCAGATACCTACATACGATGACTTCCCTACTCAACACGAACAGCACCACCACATTGACAAAAATCTACAGGATAGAAACTCAATGATCTGGCCAGAACAATCCACAGTGAAGAGACTATTGTTTACAGGATGCGTTGCGTGGAATGAAAAAGGCCGGTGGCTGGTATGTGTCGCAACTAAGGGAATGCCGCAGGACAGACAGGCTGGGCTGGTGCAGGGATGGGCTTTTTTTTTTTTTTTTTTGTTTTTGCTATTTCTGTATTGGGTAATTGATACAGATTTACATTTGGGCTATTTGAAAATATTTACAGGAGGGAATTATCGTAGAAAGGAGGATTTTGGTGTTGACTTTGATGGTAGTACTCCGTAAGGTAGTTAGTTGGAGGTTGACATTGAGAATGCAGACTACGAGCCGGTCATTACACGGTATACCAAAAGAGGCGAAAGGCAACAGGCAGAAGATAGAATATAGTAGACAATTTGACGCGTGTGCTGGAATGGTAAAGATATAAGACTATGAGGGAGAGAAAGGAGAGAAGCCAAAATAAGATTGCCACTTGGAATTAAGGCTGCTGCTAAATGGATCGCCTTGGTCTGTGTGAGGGTGAGACAGATACACCACTATTGTTTTATACAGAATGGTTAAAGATCGAGAGCATAATAAGAGTAATAAGATGGAATAGTACAGTTAAAATAAAATAATATAATACTATCACCAAGTATAGTGAGAATTATACTGTAGAAATACTATCGAGAGACCCACTTATCAGATGCCTGGGGATTCCATAGAAACCTTCATTCCATCCACGAATTCCAATATTTCAGGATAATACGATACTATATTATAATACTAGAGATTATATTGTGCAGAATGGAGAATACAATGCAATTGAATAAATTATAGTGTAGGTAGAAGTAGGTGCATGCATGCAGGTACTCCGTAGTAATGGACTGAACAGCTAATAAGACCGACTCAAAGTGTAGATATACTGTTTGTTTATTCTGTTCCAAGACCAACTGCAATCCTGGTCTTTATTGGTCCAGTTCGAATTAAAATCGAACAAAGAAAAGAATACCAGGCAAAACGCCGTGTTTCGCAGGGAGTCGATGGTGGCATTTTTGTCGTGTTGCCCCTTCGCTGGCCTGTCAGCTTGTTTGCCCATTCTTTCCCCTCCCTTGCGCTTCTTTTTCTCTCTCTCTCTCCATCTTTTCTTTTTTTCTCCTCTCGTGGCTCTCTCTCTCTCCTCTCATTTATCACTAACTACTCATAATAGGTAATCTGTCTTATCCTTCGCCTGTCATATCCTTGAGGGACATTGTCTACATACACCTTGTCCTGTCCATTCGTTATATCTATCTTTCTTGAATGAGAGTCTTTGGCTACGACTCATCCACTCACTCACGCGGGGAGAAGTTTTGATTACCTGACTTTCAATTGATGCGTTGGGCATCGGTTTCAGTCCCTACAGTACCTGGAGGAAATTTAGTTTGAGATCTTGGAATTGACACTGGGTTCGCATCGGTTGAACAGACGAGACAGTTAAGACATAACATACAGGAAAGACAAGAAAAACTTCCAGTGTGACACGAAACATTGTCTATCCAGAGCAGCTTTGGAGCAGCCAGAGCGCGTCTGCCCTGGATCTTTTCGATTAGGACAGAAAATTCAGAATGGCTGAACATGAAGACGCGAACCTCCCTCACATTCAATTGAACTCTGGCCAACATGATCCCTATGTCGACGCACAAGAAACACTGCCGCCAACCCGCGTCTCCTCGATTGGTCGAGCCTTGACCCCAGGACTTGCGCGATCTCCCTCGGAAGCGACCTACCATACCGTATACGGGTCTCCCAACCCGGTAGCAGAGTCGTCGGAATTTCTGCTACCACCTCGACCATACCTAATTCAGGAGGAACTTGAGCAACAACGTCGATCACCGAGAGCTTCGTTATTGTCGTCACGACGGGATAGCTGGGGGTCGTTGGCAAGCCTTGAAGGGAGCAGGGCATATCCGTTTAGCCCATATGTGGATTCACGACCTGTTTCGCGTGCGTTTAGTGAGGATAGCGACATCAACACGCAGACAGTTGCGGAAAAGTATGATATCGTGCCTGTGGAGGGGAGATTCCCCGGAGATCCAGAGGACGACGATGACATCCACAACCCAGATCCCAATGATCGAGAACGGAATTGCGACATATGGAACCGGAGAGGCGTCTTGAATGTTGGGGGCCTAATATTAATAAGTGTTGGGTTTTTGGTGCTATTTGTTGGGTATCCTGTCATGTAGGAATCACCTTTTGGCTTCTGACGCACGCATGTTTGCTGATTTCTGGTTTCACAGTACCGCTGTCATAGGAGTCACAAAAAAGCATGATCTCTGTGACCCAGGAGACACCCTGTGCCTGGATGTTGGAAAACGTGAATTGCTTTCGAACATTCGAACCGGCCTCATTGACCCAGATACACCCAAATCGGCCCTAACAAAGACAGCCGAGGATGGTAAGGAATGGAAGTTGGTGGTAAGTTGACAGTCGGGGATACTTGGCCTATCATGTATTTTTTTTTACTCACATTTAACCTAGTTTTCGGACGAATTTACGAAACCCGGGCGAACATTCTACGATGAAGATGATCCGTATTATCAGGCTGTGGATATTTGGTATGGTGTGACACAGGATCTTGAGGTAAGTCTAGTCCCAGACATCCTACAAAGAAAGTAGAGCGTTGACTGTTCCTTTACAGTGGTACGACCCGGATGCGGTTACTACAAAGGACGGAGTACTCGAGTTGCGATTCGATGCGTTCAAGAACCATGACATGGATTATCGTTCTGGAATGCTTCAAAGCTGGAACAAGATGTGCTTCACGGGTGGTCGCCTCGAAGCAAGTATCTCCCTTCCAGGTTCTGGCGACGTATCTGGATTCTGGCCGGGTTTTTGGGCAATGGGAAACCTTGGCCGGCCTGGCTATGCTGCGACAACGGATGGCATGTGGCCGTACAGTTATTACGATGGGTGCGATGCTGGAATCACTCCCAACCAAAGCTCAACAGATGGGATAAATTGGCTCCCTGGAATGCGACTACCGGCTTGCACATGCGACAGTGCAGAGCACCCAACGCCTGGAAAATCTCGATCAGCTCCTGAAATCGATGTTATCGAGGCCAGCGTTCGTCCTCTAAACGGTAATCCTAACGCGGTCATCGGGTCCGTGTCTCAGAGTTTACAGATGGCACCATTTGATATTTGGTATATGCCTGATTATGGTATGTTCCTGTCAGCTCTCCTTGAAGATATATGTTAACCCTTCAAAGAATTTGCCGCAGTTTACGATCCCACAATCACTGAGATTAACGATTACCGAGGAGGAACTTACCAGCAAGCAATGTCGGGGCTGACCAACTTGAACAATGACTGGTACGATGGAAATGAATACCAAGTGTATGCATTTGAGTATTCTCCAGGGGGAGATGGGAGTGTTACATGGTTCGTTGGAGACGACAAAACATGGACACTTGATGGCAGGGCAATTGGACCCAACGGAAATGTTGGCCAGCGGGTGATCCCCATGGAACCGCTGTCCATTGTCATGAACCTGGGCATGGCTACCAGCTTCGCACCAATCAATGAATCCATCGCGAACTTGATGCCTGGTTTCATGCGATTTGACTACATTCGGATCTATCAAGACCCAGACAACATCAGCGTTACTTGTGATCCCCCTGGTTATGAGACAACCGACTACATCGCCAAACATGGAGAGGCCTATAACAATGTCAATAAAACGACATGGTATGTCCAGTGCACATTGAATCTGCCGTATCTCGACTAATCTTTCTCTCAGGCATTCCGCTGGTTATGACTGGCCGCAGAACTCGTTCATGCATCAGTGTCAAGGATAACATTTACTGCCATTTGATCATATAGGGTGGCTTGTGATGGCTTGTTTGGTATTCATGAATAGTTAGCGGCATTTTGGTTTGGCGTTTGGCGCATATACTCTGAGCATTTGCTTTACATTGGATTCAGAGGCTTTGAATCTATCATATCTTCTTTACTCAACCCCCATCGTGGGACTATTTCTCGTTCTTCACCCTGGGCAATGTCATTGCACATTGTCTGTCACACATATCCAATTTTGTACGATTTGTTCACTTTCTATCTCTTTACGCCTTGACGTTTTATGCCTTAATCACATTTCCCTCCATGGTGTACCAAATGTAATATTCCATGAACCAGGATCGCAGTTTTCAAGTAAAAAGAGGCAGCTTCATTCGACCCATCTGGCACAATGTACAAGTTTCATGGTGGTACTCATCAGTGTCCAATCAATTCCACTCACGAGAACAATGCATTGTTCATGTGAATGATGACTAAGCCGACATGCATCACAACGCCGTACATGAAGTTGTTTTTGGACATCAACACATTCATCCTCAGGACATCTTAGGGAAACTACAGATACCATTTGGAAATAGACTGGAGGATTGATCATTTGAAGCTGAATTACTGAGTCTGTTTCACGAGTTCCCTATCATTCGCCACCCCACTTCCAGTCCAAGTCTGCGACTTGTCGATCGACTGTCTATCGTTATCACTACAAATCTGTCATTTCAGCACTGGGACGAAACCACAGAACAGTCTATTGCATTTTTGAATTACGACTTTGATATCTTTCTTACTCGAGTGACGTTGAATTTAAGACGTTTTCACGACCCCAGTCGATCACGATCATTCGTATTCGCACGCCACCAAATCATATCACAGTTCACTGCTGGCTAGAGCTTTCAATTTACCGAGACTGGCTTTATCTGGAAATTTCTTGACATTTTCAATCTGAGTCCTGCATTCCACTCTTTACATACGTCTATCCCCATCAAAAAAACTACAGCAAACCAAACAGGCGCAATGTCCCACCGAAACCACAGATTCGACCCCATCGTCATCGACGACGACGACGACGAAGACGACGAAGCAGGAGGCATGCAAGTCGACTTTTCCCACCAACAGCGCCAGCGTGGGATGTTTGGTATCTCCCCCACCCACCTACTCTTACTCAATTCACAAAAGGTGATATCGTTTACTAATGGCGTGTATGCAGGCTACGATACACCAGATCACATCCGCGGCTCTCCATCAATATACCACACATCTATCGAGCAGGAGAAGAAAGTCCGTAGCCGGCTCCGCGAAGAGAGACATGCGGCGCTGTCGGTGCTTATGGATAGGGAACTTTTGATGGTTCAGGCTTTGGCTGCTCAGGAGGTATGTCATCCCGTCCCTACATCTTTAACTCTAACCATCAGTTAAATTGGAGGATTTAAGATGTGTCAAGTTTGCTAATAAGTGCTAGACCCTCCCCCAAACCCGCCGCCGCTTCCTGACAAAACTCATCGCCCCCGAAGACCCCGACATCGCGGCCTCAATCCGCGCAGACCGATTCATCATCCAAGCTCAGCCTCAGTATTCGGCATCTTCGTCGTCGTCGTCGAATACCGTGCCTGTGCCTGTGTGTAGAAATATCGTTGATGTCTGTGAAACCGACGATGCGGGGTGGATGAAGCCGAAGCCGAAGACTAGGGAAATGGCTTCCTCCTCACCTGTGGGTGGGGGTGCGAGTGGGTCTGTGTCGATGTCGTCTTCGGCTAAGAGTGGGAAGAGTAATAGTCGGACGCCGGATCGGGGGAGGATGGGGAAGGCGAGGGCGTCGAGTAGTCGGCATCATCATCATAATCAGCAGCAGAATCGGGAGAGGGATCGACGGAGGAGGTGGAGTGGGGCGGAGAGGGATGATGGGGGGTTTGCGGTGCAGAGGTTTTCGCCTTGATTTCTCTTTTTCTCACTCAATTACACATACTCTTTGACTTGATGTTTTGTCTACGTTGATTATGCGGTAGACTGCAGAAGATTGAATTTCCATTTTGTTCATTGAACTATATAGACTCGCTTATAACATGGCATGAAACCCAAAGATTCGTGAAATATAATACAAACATACAAACCTGAAAGAAGAAAGAGGTAGATAGATACAGATTTCAGCGCCAAGGTCTGCATCAAAGGTGATGTGGATGGGTATCAACAGAGCATTTTGTTATCTTTTTTGCTTTTCTTTTTTGGTCGATCAATTTGGATGACAGGCGTTCGACAGGACGCGTATCAAAGGTCGTGACGGGAAAGTGTCTTCATTCCGAGAATGCTTCTCAGATCCACTATGCATGGTGTGCATGCATGGTGACAGTGGTCAGGTTGCGAGTCTGCATAAAGTAGACATGTACAGCATGCTTGCAGGTGCAAGTAGATGCAGTCCTTATTTTCTCCATCGCTCAGCATTCATCATACTTTCTGCATCGCCAACTTGTTTGCGTTCAGAGACTTCCCTGTTCCGCATTCGCGCGCGAACGGCTTCGATGTTCATGGGCGTCAATCCTTGGGGTGGCCGCGGATCGGGTTCTGTGTAAAAGGGGTGAAGCCTGTGGGAAGTGGAGAACCGTACGCTACCATCCCTCATGACTGGTAATTGTCATTGCAGGGGTTCCGAACTCGACGACAGTCGGTTCAGGTGAAGATAGACATCAGTACCGTATCTGAAAGCCGTATTAGCTCATATCAATCAGAAGCCTTCTCGAAAACTTACCCTTCCATACTGATCATCTTGAGATCACCACCAAAGTACCGAGCGTAAAGTCTACTGATTGGAAGTCCATAGCCAAATCCAGCCATAGGTGCTTTGAAATCACTCTTGTCAAAGTCCGGGTCCAGATTGGGTGTTTGTTCGACGGTGGTGTACATGTAAGTCCAGACCAGTGGGATAGAGGAACGGGGAATGCCACCACCCTCGTCGGAGATTTTGATCGTAATGTCCTCCTTTCCTTCGGCAATGATGACCTTGGTGACGGGGAAAGATTCCTGGTCGGCACCATGGGTTTCCACCACAGCACGTAGGGAGTTCTTCAGAGTTTCAAACAGCATGTGGGAAAGGTGCCCCGGAACGTACATAAAGTTCAAGTCATCTTTGCAGACAAGCTGAACCTTGGGCGCGTCAAAAAGACCATAGTAATCTTCGCAAACAAACCGAGCATTATCGATGGCTTCGAGAGCCACTTCGCGGACGTTGGTTTTGGTGCAGATGATACCGACATAATGTGGATGGCGTACGTGCGTTTGCTCTGTCAAGGCTATATGCTGGCCGATTAACATTCGTATACCAATTCGGGACATGTAGAAACGATCAAGGAAGGACTGAACGGTCGGGTCGATTTGAAGACGCTGGCGTTTCCGCTTCCATTCGAGAATACCCTGAGCCACGGTGGTCACAACACTGTCATGTCGTCGTTTGATCTGTTGGAGTGTTTTGGCGAAGCGTTCGTTGTAGTCATTCAATTCAGGGGGCCAGTTTCCATGGTCATCTGAAGGAACAAAGTATCTTCTAGCCGCGGCTGCGGCTTGCTTGCTGCCATTGGTGTGACCATTTGTTGCGGACGTGGGAGAAGACCGGTACTGTCCTTCTTTAACACTGGGGTTCTGGGTAGCTTCGGAGAGGATTTTGGAGTGGCTGCCATTGATCCGCCCGGGCCGTAAGAGACGAGCTTTGACTTCTTGCGTAAGAGTGGGTCGAGGGAGATTGATGATTTCCTTTAGGGGCACGTGAGTTTCTGGAAGAGAATACAGCCGCTGGGGAAAAACGATGACTCATACCTCGAAAGACTGCGCATACCAATCCTGGACTTTTTTGATCGAGGGCATTTCAGAGAGTCCATCAGGAAGCTCTCCAAGGTCTTGAACACGGTGAGCTAGACGGATCGGGAGCTCTTCGGAGAGAAATTGCGAGGCGCGAAACAGGGTACCTAAGAAAAATCTCGGTGTTAGTCGCCATTGTCTGGCCAAAAGACCTCGTAGAAGATAACATACCAGTTGATGGTCTATCTCCAAACTGGACCATCTGTCGGAGAGAGACACCAGTAGCGGGGAAGCTGGCATAGTGCCTGATGGTTTCCATCAGCCTCTCCGACGGCTTCCACATGATGCCTTGGGGAGTTCAGGCCAGATGGGCCTGCAAAACGGTATTGAATTCAGGTGAAAGTCGAGAAGCTGGTCAAGGAAGAGGAGGACGTTGTAGCAATGATGAAATAGGGTGAGCAGACGGTGGAAAACCGGAGGAGCGACTAGAGACAAGCACTCTCCACTACCGAGGTTGCGAACGACTCCGCTTCCAGAGCGTTTTTCTGCAAGGCGGGAGGGGAAGAGGAGGGGAGTCCAAGAACGACCAAACGAACCCGCCAGAAGCTGACCAGCGTTGACAAAACCAATCCAAGAGAAGCTTGACTGGATGGAGACGGACCCGTCAGGAAAATATATACACGAGCAGCACCCGCGCGATCGTAATTACTCACCGGCGAGAGGCAATTGTAGCGTGACTCTTTCCGGTGCGGACTGCGGAGGGCCGATTCCCGGGGAGTCACGTGTGGGGGGGGTTTTGTGCTGCCGCCCGTGGCCGAGGACAGACGATCAGAGGCTATGTATTAGCCGATCTTCATGAGATCACACGGTTAACGATGGACAAGACGGTCCATTCGATTGCGTCTCTGCAGGTTATCTGGGGAAAAAAGAAGAGTCAGAGAATGATCTAGCAGGTCTGGAAAAAGCAGATCTCCTCTGGAATTCTACCGAGTAGTCACTGACAAGGCTGATGGAGTCTCTTGAATAGCCGATATTGGGAAGTCGGGAAGACGTCGATGTTGATTTTCTCCGGATTTCCCCTTCGCCCGAAAAAAAAGAAATAAAAGCCAAGAGGGAAACTGGAACGAAGCTCTCTGGTCGGTGTGACCCAAAGGCTGGTAGGCGAGGATCCCACGGACCACAACGTCCTGTTGTGCTGATGATCCAAGTCCTCGCTGCCTGGTACGCAGGCGGTCGTGTCCTCAGTCGGAGAAGCTCTTGACTTTCTCCAACAACAGCCTCCTTACCTAAGATGGTCGAGGTCTAGCTACTCCATCTCGTCGGAGTTAAATAATCGCGTCGATGAACTGCAGTCTGTCGTGGTTTTAAGGCTATTTTTTGAGTTGGATGACATACGAGTCAGTTTGGTAGTGAGGTTGAGTATATTTGAACCACCGTTTTCCCCATATGGGAGACCATCATGGTGGATCTGGGATAGTCGGTCATTCATTATTGATTGTTGTGATATCACATTGTCAGACCAACTGTCTTGACATGATATGATGACTGCCATGGTGCAACAGACAACAGCTCTACTGACACGACACGATGATTAAACAAAGGAGCACTGTGTAATCCATGACAATAGCATTGGGCTAATATGAAGAAAACAATACTAATGGTAATCCACTCTGGCCATGAAGGATTGTCATCCCGTATCCTATTCCCTGTATCCCGTAGTGTCCATCTGCCAGAGAACAAGAATGACAATCGTTTCTCTTCCAGTCGCCAGGATGGATGCAGGGTATCGTCCTGAATGCTTATCATCAGCCAGACCTTTCTCCCTGATCCCTGTCGATAAATGTGACCATATTGACAGAATAAAAATGTCAACACAAGACTCTATTTTATTTTCAAATCAAATCCCTTCAATGCCTGTGAATCTGTGACAGCCTGTCTGAGAGGGGATCCATTCGATGAGGATAAATGGAACCCCTCCTCTCTCTCCCCCTCTTTTGGTGGCTCCTTTGGGGATACCCTCATTCCTCTCTCGTCCAGGTGCTTCTACTCTCCAGAGACCGTCTCTCTCGTAAGTTCGCGATCTTTTCCGCCCGAAACCTTTTTGGCTGGTGGAGTCGTCTATCCTGCTTGACACCTGTCGCTGAGTCCACCGACAAGAAAAAGAAAAGCCGAGAGAAAATAAACCAGAAGCCCAAGATGAACCCACAATGGGCCATGATGGATTACTAGTGAGTCTCTTTCTTTCTTTCTTTCTTTCTGGCGTGGTGATAATTTTCTCTGACGTTCTGCCTGGCTTCGAAATTCCCCGTCGATTGCAGATCCAAATTGCATGCAATCATTGATATTAATTCTTCCCCTTTTTTTTTTCTCTTTCTCTTCATCTTGCCATTGCTCCTCTCCAACTGGAAAAGGCAATCAGCCAAGGTCACCAAAAGGTCAGTGAGTAGTGATGGATCCATCACAACCGAACAGTGTGTGAAATCATGGATCGAGTGGTATGAATCTTTTTTTTTCGCCCTTCTTTCTTTTCTGTCCGTCCAATTAGTTAATTCCCTTTTTCGTCTGATCCCGCTGCCTTGTGGATTCCCCTGTTGTCCATCAATTCCATATTCTGTCGTTTTTCTTTTTCCTTTTTCTTTCTTTTCTTTTTTCTTTTTTTTCTTCTCTTCCTGTTATTATTTATTTTTTAGGCGTAAACCGTTGATCATAGATGATGCAACCTGCGCGTCCTTTATAAAATTTTTATTTTTATTTTTAATCGCCTTTTCTTTTTCTTCTTTTTTCTTTTCCTGCCCATCATATTTTTCTTTTTTTCGGTTGTGGTGCCAGTGACAGTCACTAATCAATCAGCCCGATAGTAGAAGAAAAAAACGAGATCCGCAACTTTCAGGATTCATTAATTCCCATTTGGCTTCCTCGCGGTTGATGCCAAATTCACGCCTGTGACTGGCTCGACTTCATCCAAATTCGCCCCCTCTTCTTCCTCTACTTTCTTTCTCCATCTCTTCCTCTACGGTTCTTCTACCTTAGTCTCTTTCTCTCTCCTCTTGGCTCTTTCGTCTGGCTGTGCGTCTGGTGAGGATCATTCTTCCTTGATCCCCGAGGGCCTCGAAAAAAATAAAAAATAAAAAAATAAGGCCCAAACAAGGAAAAAAAAATAAAAAAGAGGAACCCACGACAATTACGATTCAAAAGAAAAGAGACACCCCTCGCTCTCAACGACTCCATCGACTTCGCCCTCTTTCTTACTTCTTGCCCCTCCAATTCTTTGTCCACTATTTTCCTCTTTAGGTCTTTGGGAGAGACACTTAAATACCAGCGGCGGAGCAGAGAGGAAACACAAATCCATTCCCCGGCAGATGCATTTTTCTCAGCTGCCAGTCCTGTACTTTTGTCAAATCTGCACGTTAGGGTAAAAAAAATCCATCGGAAGGAAAAAGAAAAAGAGAAAAAGACAGAAAGAAAAAAATGTCTCGTCGTCGTACCTCTCACAGCGAACCATCTGCCTCGTCGATGAATGAGTCGTTTGCCTATCCGTTTTCCACTATGCAGCAGCAGAACACTCAGCCTCAGCGGCGTGGCCCGATCGAAGGGCCCAACGGGCGGAGGTTGATCCGTCGAGTCACCTGGCGCTCGTCTACTTACAAGCTCATGGCGTCTCTTTGGGTGTTGGGCGTTTTCTACATTGTCTGGTTGATTCGTGATCTCTTTTATCTTCCTTTTTCACCTACGCCCGAGGTTGAATCGGTGCCTTTGAATGTTGCGGATGAGTTAGTGCCCCTGAAATCTCTTCGTGAATAATAGTACTTATCAGATGTGGGTGAAATATCAGCTTTTTGGCCCAGTACGTTGGTCGTCAAGAGTGCGACATCTCTTTTAAATCTCTCTACAATCCTCCTGAAAGTGGTGATGAGCGGGCGTTAAGCAAATCTTACTGTCAGACCCGATCCTCGCTACTCGATGCAATGAGCAGCGGTGGCCGTCATGGCTTCGACGCTGCTTACACTTCCCAAGGCAAGTCATAGGCTCTTACTTTCTGTAGGTCTGTTTCTCCAACTGACCGTTTTAAAAAGGATGTTCTTATCGATGGTACACTACTGCGCAGATATGCGATATCTTACGAAAATTTGATGGGATCGCTTTTGTTGGCGACGATTCGCTTGCCAGTGTTTATGCCGGGTTCAACATCCTCTTGCGTAAAAACTTGGCCCTTGGCTCCCTGAAGGAGTGGGAAATGAGCCAAGAACAGGGCGAAATGTGTAAATGCAACTCGCAGTTTACTAGCAGCTCTTGTGCATCACTACGGATCAGTTCAAGTGACGAGATACACGCTCAGGACGGCAAGCCGGCAACTCAAAGCCCTTATGCGTGCTCAACTCGTGAGCATCCTTGGCCCCCTTTCGCCTTCGGCTGAATCGTTTGGTTTCGAATAGTAGCTAACCAGTTCTGTTTCAGAAACCCTTCATGCTTTCCTCGCAGCCACCGAATCGCCTGCGTTGAAGAACAGCCACGAAAGGTTCCGTCAGTTGATTCGTCAAGCGGGACAGAAGAAACCCATTCCCATCATCCACAGTCTTTCGCTTTCTACTTCTTTGTCAGTGCCCACGGCGAAATCCAGCATGGATGAATGGATTACACTGGCTCAGGCTACTGGCCGGGATATGCCGTTTTTGTGGGTGGGTCCTACGGCCCCTGGCCATCAGAAGGTCGACGGACAAAACAGCCCCCATGCAAACAGTGCCGTGTGGCAGTACACCATGGATACTGCTGAAGCGGCTCAAATCCGAGACATGGATGTCCTCGGTATGTACAATGCCACATTACAGGCGGAAAGTTGGGACGGTATGCATTATGGCGAAAAGGTGGCTTTGATGCAAGCCATGATGGTAAGTTATTGGATATCCAGCTGTCCAACCTTGTTCTAACGCCACTCTCTAGGTCATCAATTGGTTGTCTACACTCGAATAACCGAGTCACACTCCACATCAAGATGACGTACGCTGGGAGACATGTTGATCTTTCGAATGACGGATCAACACCTTCCACGTAATACCAACAATCAACGACGCGGACACTGTACAGTGTCCATACTCGACGAATCGAGTCGAGTTCGGTCTTCCAGATACTACATGAACGATCGGGAGCCATTTATTTCAAAGTATGCGGCATGAACAGTTTTCTTCTTTTCATATTTTCCTATATTTATCCTCATTCTGGTCAATCAAATTAGCGTTTAGATAGTGTTCCATGGCATTTTCTCAGGGTTTAGGTCGAATCGATTCGGGGGCTCTTGCATTTATTATATCCTGGTCTTATTCTTATTTTTATTTTTTTATTTTTTATCTTTCCTCTTCTCCAAAACGGCGGTGATTAATCTGGCCATTTATCTTCTTATTTGTGTTTCAAATCATTTATGGGTCAAAAGGAGCATGCCCCTTACTCTCAGCCTGTTAATCACACCTGACCTTCTGTTTTTAGATAGACAATGCCTCTCAAGGCACCTCAATACCATCACCACTCACAGGAACTAGGTACTCTATATTGAACAGACCAAATGAAACTGCGTTGAATAATGAATACGTGCTGTAAAGACCTTTACACGCTTTGGACAGTGGAGTCCACGTGGTTGGGGTTTAAACTCAATTGGGAACAAAACCGCCAGCTGAGCGGATCGACTATCCAGTAGGATGATTTAGCTATGACACCTAACCAGAATCTGCTCGAGGAGGTCTGTGCCCTAGTGTAACTTGGATCCTGGGACCAATAAGCGCCAAGATGTTATGCAGGACGTCTAAAATGGTTAAGGTGCTCTACTAAGGCTGGTAAGATCAGTGGGTCCACAGTGGATCTTGTCATCTCACTATCAACACTGCCCTGTCATAGTCCCAATCAGGAAACATCGCTGCCTGAGGTGTCGACGGACGCAGTTAGCCCTGGTTTCTCATCGCTCCTTCCTGATTCTATTCCTGTTCCTCCATCTTCGGTGGCTTTCGGGTTGGGCTTTACGCGGTTATGCTGCTCTTGCTTTGTACTTCTGCAGATGTGTGCCAAAGCTTGCTTTCTTCTTTTTTAACTGCCATCCTCGGTAATGGCTGGACAGCCCTCTGGATTGGAGGCTGAGCTTGCTGGAGGTTCTGGGCTGGGAATACGAGGGTCCTAGCGCCCTAGCAATCCTTCAGTACCATCGGAACCAGAGATGGAGGAGGCCCCATGGTTGCTCTCCATCGAGTCCTGACCGTGGTTAACTCGCTGCTTAGATCGAACCATCTTCTGAACGGTGGTTCGGGTTCTGTGGCGGGCCGGTATGTGCTCGTCCTCGTTTTTTCTGCGTTCTCACCTCGTTCGACTGGGTTTCAGGTGCTGAATTCTTTCTTTTCTTCGTGGTAGTGTTTACGGATGAGTCGGAGTCGATGGATGATGGGTTTGTTTGTCTGTTGGGTGGTTGGATGAAAGCCACAGGGACAGAGCAAAATTTTTTCTATCTGAAATTACCTTGCCTCTATCTTTTCATAACCCCTTACATTACAGAAGTTCTCTAGGAATAATGCCTCGAGCATCGATGTGAATCTCCTCGATGATACCTTCCTGGGAGCGCAGCCCTCGATTTCGTACCGCAACCTACGAGCCCAGCTTGATCGTCGCTATCGGATTGTCACCTAGGTCTATAAGCCCCTTATAAGTGCATTTTGGGAGATTCAAAGAGTTCGTGAGGAGGAAGGTATCAATACTTTAATGTTGGGTGACTGGTACGGGTTGGCCAATAATGACACGTTGATTTGTGACCCGGATTTTCCTACCCGCGAAGCAAAGCAAAAAAACAACGGTATTTATTTAAGTTATCAAGTCGCTAATTGTTTAATTTGTCGAGTCAGATATACCTTTAGCTGCCTATATCCTGACGCATACTGCATGTACTACGGAACCGCGGGATGTCGCTGCATCGGCGCAGATCTGAACCTATGCACCAACATCGTACATCGTGCATCGACTACGCCACCCCATGCGACTCTAGCTGCTAGCTCAAATGCTTTATCAGTTGATCATTTCATGCAGTGCATCCACTCGAGCATACATACTGTGGAACTTGCTTCTTGGAATCCAAGTCGGCTCCTCGCATGCCTTACTACCCCGAGTCTAAGCCTTTCCGTCGGCATGCATACATCATTACTTCCTCCAAATACAGACGGGCTATACAAATCTATATAATACACTACACTGTCTGGTCGAGACGTCTCCGTGGCAGACATTCCGGGTGAGAATGTCACATAGCAGCAATCGACCAAGGTCTCGGTTCCCGCATTAAAACCAAAATAACGACCAGCAGCTCTACTACTACTACTACCTCAACATTTGAGTCCGAAAAACTTCCTCACAACTTTCTGGTGGCGCAGTTGCAGGGATTGTCGGCGTCGTGGCAGTATGCGCTGCATTGGTCGTGTTTCTAGTCTGGGTTTCTGCGTGGAGAAACAGAAGGGCCATGGCAGGAACGAACTAAATCTCCACTTACTCCAACCCCCTCACATGATTGCGACAACAACCACCATACAGACAGCAACTTGCGAACAGGGAATATATACATGGCCTCAGACAAGGCGATGGTCTGATCCTAACGGCGCGGCGACCCACAGTAGCACTACAACACATTGGCATTAAGACACGGACAACCCTTGCGTTTTTCAGGCCCTAGGGAATATTCGACTCCCATCGCTCCCAAATCGTCCGAACGTGCAGAAGATGCGACAAATGCCCTGATAAGGATGCATAATAACCATGTAGATACAGCTTTAGCTGGAGTCGGGGACCATCATACCACTAACAGTGCAAATAGGGCCGGCGCCGTCGTTGGCTAGACTAGGGCGATGAATGGCAACAGGCACACTTACGCCAAATCATTGACTATTCTGCTTTCTTACTCACCAACTAAGGCCATTTTTTGGTACTATTAACCGACAAAATTACCTACATCATAGATTTTTATGAAGTCGATAGGGAGGATTCGCATCAAGTAGCGAACAAGATGGCGTAGAAGAAATAGTATTCCATGTCATCAATTAATATTTACAACCCAACACCTGGCCTATCTAGTTTTATTCCAAGACAATTTTTTTTTTGCCTGCTCTCATTTCTCATCAGACATTTTGTAACCCGTCGAAATTGCATATCTCCAAACGCTTTTTGCCTATTCCCAGGATATACCTAATGGGCACTGGCCAAAAACATGAGCGAAATTAGACGTGCAGAGCAGAGGTCTCAGACTTGAGAACGTGAGACTCGTAAGGCTTGATGGCGTTCTTGACCTCGGTGGAGGTGAACTTGGCGACCTGCTGGGGAGCACGGCCGACGAAGGTGCTGGGGTCGAGGAGGGTGTCGAGCTCATCCAGGATCGGGGCGAAGAAGGCGGTCTTGCGGACGCGCTCGATGAGGTCGTTGTCCTTTCCGAGCTTCTTGACGTTGTCGGAGGCTTGGTGGGAGAGGACACCTGTGGATTGTTATTATTAGCTCTGAAGAAGGGGTTGACGCGCTAGAGGTGACATACGGATTTCCTCGTGGGCGTCCTGGCGGGAGAGTCCCTTCTTGACGCAGGCCATGATGATCTGTTTTTGCTTTTGTCAGTATTGAGGTTCTGGGGGTGTGGGTGTAGTAGCGTTGTAAACTCACGTTCTCACTGTAAGTAGAGTTAGTAATGTTATATCATTGAAAAAAGGGCTGGTAAACTTACGTCGCCATGAAGGGAAGCTCATCGTTCACACGTCTTCTGATGACCTCGGGGTAGACGACGAAGCCGGAGGTGACGTTGTCTGGTGAAGATATTAGCATTGAGGAGAGTTTTTGGTTAATCGGGCTGACTCACTCAAAAGGATGAGACAGGCGTCAGCGGAGAGGTAGAGCTCAGGAATGCTGATACGGCGGATAGCGCTGTCATCCTATTAAGGGTTAGTATGGTGTGCTTGATTAGATTTGACTGTGAAATCATACCAGGGAACGCTCAAACCACTGAGCAGAGTAGGTGTCCAAAGCATCCTTGGGGAGGTTCTGGAGGTGTCTTCCGAGGGAGCACAGACGCTCGGAGCGCATAGGGTTGCGCTTGTAGGCCTGCGTAATAGTCAGATTAATATCGTCCATGCTTCAAGGTAACTTTGGCACTAACCATGGCGCTGCTGCCAATCTGGTCCTTCTCGAAAGGCTCCTCGACCTCCTTGAGCATGGCAAGGTGGCGGATGTCGATACCAATGCGCTCGCAGGTAGATCCGAAAGAGCCCAGGGCGTTGGCAACGTCGACATCGATCTTACGGGAGTATGTCTGACTGGAGATGATGAAGGCGGAGCTGAAACCAGCCTTTTCGGTGACGAGCTCGTCCAATCGCTCAACCTTGTCGTGGTCGCCGTTGAAAATCTGGAGGAAAGAGGCCTGAGTACCGGTAGTACCCTTGACACCACGGAAGCGCAGGTCGTCACGGGCTCTCTCGAGGTTTCTCAGGTCCATGAGCAAGTCCTGAATCCACAAGCATGCTCTCTTTCCGACAGTCACGAGCTGGGCGGGCTGTCCGTGGGTGAAACCCAAGCAAGGCAGGTCCTTGTACTGCTGGGCGAAGGAAGAGAGCTTGTCGATCACAACGGCCAACTTGGGGATGAGAATGTCCAGACCGTCACGGAGGAGGATGAGGTCGGCGTTGTCAGTGCAGTAGCAAGAAGTAGCACCCCAGTGGATGATTCCGGCAGCTGCTGGTGCGACCTGTCCGTAGGCGTGAACGTGGGCCATGACATCGTGTCTTCTGCGCTTCTCCTCCTCGGCGGCAACCTTGAATTCGTCGTCCTGGATGGTGACGTGGGACTTCATCTGCTCGAGACCCTCATCGGGAATGGGGAGACCGAGTTCTGAATTGATCAGCGAATTGAACAGAATTGAACTTCATGTGAAGAGAACAATTGAGGCGAATGAGAGGCGACAAGAAGAAAGGAGAAAACGTACCCTTCTGGGCCTCGGCGAGCCAGAGCCAAAGCTCTCTCCAGGTGGAGAATCTCTTTCTGGGAGAGAAGAGGTATTTCATCTCATCGCCTAACAATTCAGTATCAGTATCAAACGGCACCGTGTATATAATCCTCTGCAGGAAGACTTACTCGCATATCGCGAGTTGAGGGGAGTTTGATAGACATCGTTGCTGCCCGACATTATGCCGAAAAGTGACCTGAGACACCTGAGAGACGAATTGAGGGGAAAATATGGGGGTAAGTGAGGATCGATGAGGATGTGTGCGTACTCGAGGGGAAATTTTGCTTGCGGCAACACGGACTTTAGCGGGGTCTGGAGACTCCGCCTATCAGTCACGTTATCAGGCGGGACTATCAGTGGAATCACGTGGATCTGTCGCCATCCATAAAAGAGGCTTGGAAAAAGAAAACATTATGGTATTATGGAGTTGGATTTATATCAGCAACTGGATAGTACATAAGACATTATTTCCCGACGACACAATGTAATGTGTCCTGTACAATTACCTGCGGGTGCTAGAGCCATATATGCTTCATCACATTGATGCGAGCTGTGCAGACAGGCTGCCTTTATCGTACTTGGCATACTTGCCCCTCCCCTTGTCAACTTCATGATAGCGGTCCCAAAAGCGGGCATATAGAGGCTCAAGGACACCTTGTACTTCACGGGTGAGCACACCACGCACCTCCCTCTCCATGTATAGTGATCTTTGTCGCGATATCAACTCATCAAAGCTTGCATTGAAGGATTTGAATTTGTCCTTGATCGCATCCTTGTCTTTGGAAGAAAGAGATTTCACGATAGCGCTAGAATCTACAACGCCTCCAGAGGCAGGGCGGTTTGATGCTCCGGCAACCCGGGAGGTATACTGCACATCGAGAAGGTACTGCGAAGTCTCTTTCCAGGCATCCAGATAAGTGGAAGTCGCCCGCTTCCGGAATGTGTCAATTCGCGCGATGCTATCTGGCGAGCCAAGATAGCGTGCTAATTCGGGACTTTGTCGAATAGAGCGATCAACGATACAGAAGACATTTGACAGAAAAACACCAAGAGCAGCTTTGGAACGGTGGAACGCCCGTCCTCGGGCCTCCAGCGCAATCATCAATGCCTCAATCATATCGAGAATAAAGTGGGACAAGAGAGTTGAGCTGTCAGGGCTGACATCCAAAGGAGCGGTACTCGATGTGCCGGATTTGGAGCGCCAGTTGCCATCTCCTAGGGAAGTCAAAATGGATGCCAGCGGGCCAGAATAGCCAGTCAGCGTCGTAAGAGAGCTCATCACTTCCTCGACGAGAGGAACCGTTCCACCATCGGGTGGAAGAACTTGGATATTTGCAGCTTTGCGCTTTGTCTCTTCAAGTAGCTCTGAAAGCGAGGACTTGGCAGTCTCGCGGACGGGTCTGAGAGCTTCTATGAACAAGCTCTTGAGCTCTCCCGTTTTTGAATCAACCCGATAGGACATGGCTGTCACAATCTCAATAATTTCGAAAGCGAGAAAGCAGTCCGTCATGAGATTGGCCCTGATATATTGATTCAACTCACGTAGGGTTTTCGAGTATTCAGCTAGCGCTGAGCGGCATGTCGCTTGAAGGGCCAGTCCTCGCTGGTCACCCGTGAAAATCTGCACGACGATACCCTGCTCAGTAGATACGAAACCCTCCAAAGCATTCGAATAAATCCCGATTCCGTTGGTTCCCTGTTTGTATGGTCCATCGTTGGCTCTCCTTTTGACCGTATTTAGGGACGCCGTGGCCAGATTCTGCAAGCTTGTAGTTATATACGGTCCTCGGATATCGGCGTAAATCTTGAGGGCTGGATTGGTTCCGTCACCCCGCTGCGGTCCCTGAGTGGCTGCCGCACCGATGGCAGCACATATCGGCGCCAGTTGTGAAATGATATCTTCGGGCATCGATGGAAACGGAAGCTCTATGCACAAAGACGTTAGAATGTCAATTACCTGGTTCTGAAGATCGACAACATACCTTTTGTAAGATAGTGAAGTGGTTCTACAGGCGTTATGTGTTGACTTAAAGTACTGCGGAACATCTCCTGGAGCTTTCCACTCCCAGTGTTCAGAAGGGAGGTGAATTCGGAGATTGCTTTCTGGTTTGACTTTAAGTTGGTTGCATTAAGGTCCAATAGAGCCTTTTCAACCCGCTTCATCGCCGAAAGGTATTGAGAGAGCTCTACGCTTTGAGGCCTGTACAACAATCAGCAAAACAAACAAACCCAGTAGATGTGGGGGAAGCAATGCTTACCCAGCACGAATTATGCCTTCTTCCCGACCTTTTGCGTCGAGAGGCTTGCGAAGACGTTCTATGGCCTCATTGACCTTGTCGATATTGCTATTTGTGATCTGGAGGGATTGCGTATTGCTGTAGATGGGTCCAATGGCGTGTTTCACGACATTCCCCCCGGTCTCAAGGCGGACAAGCGAACCTTGTATCTTCTTGGTGAGCAAGTTGAGCTTGTCAAGGTTGGCATATAAAACCTCCACCTCTGCGCTCTCCTCTGCATAAGCAGCATGCCTTGGGGCGACCATGGTGAAGAAGACTCGATCGGCAGTCCCACAATCAATAAAACGATTTGAATTATTAAGAAGTCGGCAATAAACACTCTGGTAGTGAAATTATACTAACAAAGAGCGTCATATCTCAGGTCATCAGCCAGTTAAACATAGAAAATAATGAAACGTTGACGGAGGCTCCTGGCCTCATGGTTCAAACAACTATCATCAGGAGAGCTTTGCCCCGGACGAGCAGCGGCGGCGGGCAGTTGATGGCATGCCCATTCTCCGCACCTGCCGCTAGTCCCCAAACGGACAATCCGGTCCGACAGACAACCCGAGGCATGCCCCACGTGACATTTCGTCATGTTCGCGTCCATAATCGCCGGGATGCCCAGTTGAAAGCCTGTTGTTGCTGCTGTTGCGAGGATCGCCAGGTCTGGTCCACTGCACAGCCGGCATGGAAATAAAGAGCGCATGCTTCCCTGTTCTTCACACTTTTCGTTGCGAACCCAAGCCAAAATGGGTGCTGCGGGGGCTTTGCGCCTTCGCTGGACCGTTCCTCCTGCCACCCTAGTTTTGCTCAGTGGTGGCATGCTGTACACAGGAGAACGTGCCCATATCAAAGCTACACAATTATCATTACAATCGGAACAAGCAGCGTCTTTCTCTACCTCATCGGTTCGATATGCAGCCAAAAGGCCGAAAGAAAATACTTCCAATGGCTCAAATGGGAACGATTCGGACAATAGCTATGAGGATGCCGGATCTGTCTGGACAAACATCATGGACAAGTTCTCCAATGTCACGCAGTCTGTTGGCTCGACTGAATGGATGGAGCTTGGGGACAACATAAAGAATTACATAATCCCAGACTGGACTCGATTGCTCCCCGACACAGTACAGAAGCTGCGGCGTGAGCTCTCAATGGCTCCGGGCTCTCTTGCTGATGACATCTGGAAGGAATCTCACGACGCGCATGCCAACCCAGAGATCTTGCGAGAAGCCAAAGTGCGTGTTGGGGAAGATCTCTGTCAAGAAGAGGTTGCGTTTAGACGGAAACGACAAGAACATGCAGTAAAAGCACTCGCCTCCTACCTGAACATTTCCGAGGAGGATATCAATCCCCAAGACGTGCCTGTAATTGCCATGTGTGGCTCGGGAGGAGGATTGCGTGCCCTCGTAGCGGGGACTGGATCGTACCTTGCTGCACAAGAAGCTGGTCTATGGGACTGTGTCACGTACACCGCAGGTGTCAGTGGAAGCTGCTGGCTGCAGACGCTCTATCATTCGTCTATTACTGGGCGTAATTTTAACAGAATGGTGGATCACCTGAAAAACAGACTTGGGGTGCACATTGCATTTCCACCCAAAGCTTTGAATCTGCTCACAACTGCCCCGACGAACAGATATCTCCTCACTGGATTGGTCGAAAAGTTGAAAGGTGACCCAGGCGCTGACTTTGGCTTGGTGGACATATACGGAATGTTACTGGCCGCAAGACTTCTCGTGCCTCGGGGAGAACTCGGAATTTTGGATCGCGACCTCAAGCTGTCTAATCAGAAGTATAACCTGGCCAATGGGGCCCATCCACTCCCGATATACACGGCCGTTCGCCATGAGATTCCGGGTATCGATGGCGAAGACGGAGAGCATCGTCAACGCCCTATGCCGGAAAAGAGGATTAAAGAATCAAAAAGCGAAGCATGGTTTCAATGGTTTGAGTTCACTCCCTACGAATTCTTCTGCGAGGAGCTTAGTGCCGGTATACCGACCTGGGCTCTGGGGAGGCATTTCAATAAAGGAAGAGATGCTATTCCAGACGGGGAGCTTCCAATTCCTGAGTTACGCGTTCCGGGTCTGATGGGGGTTTGGGGCAGCGCATTTTGTGCGACTTTGTCTCATTATTACAAGGAGATCCGGCCGGTAATCAAAGGTGTTGCAGGATTTGGTGGCATCGATTCTCTCATTCAAGGCAAGAATAGAGATCTGATTCGAGTCCATCCGATCGATCCTGCTACTATACCAAACTATGTACTTGGAATGAAAGATCAACTGCCGTCCTCGTGCCCGGAGTCAATATTCAAAAGTAAACATCTACGGCTTATGGATGCGGGGATGAGCAATAACCTACCTATATACCCGCTCCTCCGGCCAGGGAGGGATGTCGATGTCATTGTTGCCTTCGACGCTTCAGCTGATATCAAACGAGAAAACTGGCTCTCCATCGTCGATGGCTATGCGCGACAGAGAGGGGTCAAGGGCTGGCCAGTTGGAGCAGGTTGGCCCAGGAAGGAGGACAAAGAGAAAGAGACCCAAGACATTCTCCGAGAAGCACAAAATATCAGCGAAGAAGATCTAAATGCAAAGATTACAGCGGCACAAAGCAAAGATCAGCGTTCCCGAACCCATGGACCAAACTTCCCGAAAGTGACGCAAGCAAATGAAGAGATCAAACCAGATGGGGAACATACTGTTTCCCAAGACACAGAACTAGGCTACTGTAACGTCTGGGTTGGCACAATGCAGGAGAGGGTCTCTGGTGAAGAGCCACCCCCGTCAAAGCGCTTATTCCATCCCCATCACAGTGATCATTCAGAGTCCGACTTTCACTTGATGCGCCCAGACGCAGGTATGGCCGTGGTTTACTTCCCATTGCTTCCCAACCCGTCTGCCCCCGAACTACCCTCTACTTCCTCACTTTCCAAATCTCGAATCCCATTCCGAAGTTCAGAGAAAGAGTCTTCAACTAAAGTTTCCGATCCCGCACGACCTCTCGCGCCACATCCGGGCAACATTGACCCCGACGTGGATGATTTCCTATCCACCTGGAACTTTGTATACACCCCAGAACAGATCGACTCGGTCGTCGGACTTGCCAAATCGAACTTTTCCCAGGGCGAGGAACAAGTGAAGCGTGTCGTGCGGGCTGTGTATGAACGAAAGAAAGCAGATAGACTTCGACGAGAAGAAAAGGAGGATCGAGAGCGAATGGCAGGATTCGTGCCATTGTAATTAGGACTTCGGTACAAAGGCAGCCTACAGCCTACAATATCTAACATTGAATCGAATCATGTATAAGTTCTTGTTTGATATCTACTGGATATACAGCATCTTTCTCGAGTTCACTAATAGAGTACTATTCATTATGTTGCCTTTTCGCCCATGCTCCTTAGAACCCCTAGTCTTGAATATGTTCCTTTGTTTCGTTAGCAACCTTTTATAAAGAGCTATTCAAGGTATGCCTGCCTAATCTACTAAATAAAGAAAATGCATTAAAAAGGCCCAATGCTCATAATCTTTAGTGCAAAGTTATAAATGGGATATGAAAATTTCTGATATTCGACAGAATGCAACATTTATGTGCAAATCTTTTTATGTAAAAAGAAAATCAAAATTACAATGGTCCCCAAAACCAGCCAGTGAAGAGAAATGAAAAAGGCTCTATCGGTTCTACCCAGCCCCCCAAAAAAGCGCATCGAATATAGATAGATAGATAGATAGATAGTCCAATGGAGTCATGAACCAACAGGCCAACACAAAGGGCGGAAAAAAGAAATCTATGACTTCTTAGGTGCATTATCACTAGTGTTGTCACCCGACGATCCTTCGCCATTTCCTTTGTTTTCGAAATAAGGCTGCACGCCTTCGAGATCCCCGTTTGTATCATCCTCTTCTTTCGTGGGTTCCGGATCTGGTTGGGCTTCGGTGGGCTTTTTGTCGAGTTTCTTTTTGTGGATTGATGGGGGCCGTGCTTCGTCTTCGCTGTTAGCGAGACTGACGTCTTTACTCTCGACTGTCTGTTTCCGGAGTCCTAGTTCTTTTCCTAGGTCCTGGATTGATTGCGCTGTGGCTGACGCTGCAGTAGCGGCAGTAGTGCTGACGCCCGTGCGGATCGGGTGCTCCGATTCCGATGTCAACCCTTTGAGATCTGGCTGGTGTTCTTTCCCCTCTGCGATTCGGGTGGGGATGTTTTCTTGATCCCGGAGGCCGTCTACGGGTCGTTCCGGGTCATGCTGCGCGTCTTTGAGATGCCAATCGGCCGGATGGCTTTCGGGGATGGGCTCGCCTGGCTTGGGCACATTGATGGGTTTTCCGAGGACTGGTGCGCCCTCTTCCTTGCCTGGTTCTTCCAGGCCGAGCTGGGATGGAGGTGGGTATCGCCAGACGACCTTTAGTCGGTCTAGTGCCCGGACGCCCTTTTTGGTACTTCCTTTGATACCGTCCATGGCTTCCCACTCTGCTTCGAAGACGCCCGAGTCATACTTGTCTCCGCCTTCAAAGTAAGGGTTGAACCAGATGTGTGCGATTGAGGTCACCATTGCAAATCCAGTATACGGCGCTTTGCTGCGTCGTTCAAAGTCAATGTTCACATCGGACGATGGTATGATGAGTGGTTTGCTAGGTCGTAAAATCATGCCTGTGATCCGCTTGCTCGGCTGCCTAGATAAGACTGGCGTTGTAACGGTGGGATCTGTTGTAGATCTGGGGGTGGCGGCAGTAGAAGAGCCCGATGTATCTGACAACAGCTCCGTGGAATTGTTGTTGCCATTCTCGTCATTCTTTTCCGAAGAGAAGGTCTTTGCGCGGTCAACCACTGTCCGCTCACTGCGATGGAACAGGTGGAAGCATTTGATTGTCTTGCCCTCATCGACAAAACCCTCCACTGCAACCTTGACGCCATCTTTCAGGCCCCAAACGTGCAGTTCGAGAATCTCCACCGGCCGTTCCACGTACTTCTTTTCCAAATGGTTCGCCCAGCGATCCACATATCTCACCCATCGTAGCTGACTTGGGATGCTCACGCCAGCACCGAATCCAACCCTCATTCGCCGCTCTGTAAATCGCTGAAGCGCATCTTCTAATTTCCACCCCTCCTGGCTGATCAAGTAGCTGCATGCAACTGTCCCACTGCGCCCCTTGCCGGCCTTGCAATGCACGACGGCTACTCTCTTCCCTTTGTCCTTTGGTTCCTCCTCACCGTCCTTTTCGTCGAGTCGATTTAACCAGTTCCGCATACTCCCCATCATCGCGGGGATGAGCGCAAAGGGCGGTGGGTGATGGTCCGGCCAGGGGTAGTGGTGGATTCGCCCATAAACCTCCGAGTCGGGGTATCCAGTGCCTTCGGCACGGAATTCCCAGATGCACCAATCTCTATCATGTTTCGAGTCCAGAAAGTTCACCAAGGCATCCAGAGGATTACGGTAAGCCCGCTGAGGATAATTCGAGGATGGACCCGACGTTGCTATGACTGCAGCAGACAAAAGGGGCAAAAGGCCGTCAATGATGGGGAACGTTGTGGAAATTGTCGCCGGACTTACTGTTATCAGTGACGTAGCAAAGATCCAAGCCAGCTTCGGGATGTTGCAGTCTTGGACCAGCAACGATTTGTCGGAGGATCGACGCCTGCATTTGCACAAGAAGCCAAGCAAGGCGGCATGTCAGCGCTCGGCATTCTGTACATCATACCCCTGTGTGATAGACGCGGAGAACGGGGACTACATACCATCACCGACCAGGAAAATGAGCGCAGGAGTATCAAAATAGCGACCCAAATGGAGTCTACAAAGAAAACTAACTCTTAGCAGATGATCACTGGGAAAAACATGCGACTGGGTCCTTACCATTTGTAGGGCCTTGGCTAGGAAGGAGCTTTCTCCAATGGCGGCGCAGGACTGTGGGTTGTGTTGGTTAAGTCGGGGTAAGTTGGAAGATCAGACAATAAGACACTGTGAGGTAGATAGATTGATGCCGTGTGACTTGCGATATAAATAAATGGGTACAGCCAATGATGGATGATAAGACTGTAAAACTGCAGAGCCCCTTGCTGAAGATGAATGGAGTTGAGTGTTGACTTCCGTCTGATTATTTTTGTCGGGGGAAGTTCAGCGACGGCGACAATTGGCGGGGATGATGTCACCGCCACTTGAAAAAGGAGGCGATTTGCATCCAGTTTATCTACAACACACGTGGGACAGATTAACAATGAACAGATGAACATAATTTAGAGAATAAATATTTAATATGAATTTGATATTGGTTTGTATTGAACATGGTATTATCAAAATCGTAGTGGATACAAAAACAGATCATAAAAGTATGTATTCATCCAAAAATAAGAAACATAAAGAAATAAAACGCCCATTATCGTGTGGATGTAATCGATATAGATATCGGTCCGGTTCCTATGTATACAAAGGCATCGTCGTCTTTCAATTGACCCGATTCACCCTTGGTTGTGATCGCGATCGAGGTATATAAGTATTCCATAGCCAAACTCATCCGTCCTTCTCGTCTTGTGTGTATTCATTCGATAGTATTTTCATCACATCGAGAGCCGAATCATTAAATCCGATTGAATGTATTGAAATGGTATATAGATAGTTTAAGCGACACCGTACTCCTCAGTCACCGGGACGGTGAATCTGGCAATCGGGGTGGTGATGTTGGCATTGCCCTTAGCCCAGAACTCGGCGCCGTTGGGGGGAATTCCCTGAGTCCAGTAGTGGTTGACTTCGAGATTCCAGTGCTGGTTACCCTTGGGGGTCAGGGTAGTTGTGATATTGACGAGATTGCAGGCGTTGACGTCTTCTGTGTCGTTTCCAGAGCAGGTGGTGTTGAAGCCGGGGGTGTTGGGAGTGGCAGCGCCGAAGATATTGAAGTCGTAAGTGCAAGCAGCGGGAGAGCAGCCGGTTGTGAAGTTGGTGACCTGCCAGTTCAAGCTGGGAGGAGTGCCACCAGGAGAGGCAGCAGTGCCATAACGGCGAGAAGGAAGAGCAGAGGTGAAGCTCAGGGAGGAGAGGAGGGCGACGGGGAGGAAAGTAGTGAGTTGCATGGTAGAGTATGTGTATGTACTTTTTTTTTTTTTGACAGAAAATCGAATAGAAGTATATACGACAAGAGAAATAAGGATTAGAAATTAACTAGAATAGATAAAAAACGAGGTCGACAGAGGTAGTGGAAAGGCGATTGTCAAAAGGGGAATGGAGGAGGAGGAGAGCCGCTCCTAAATAGATAGTAACACCGTCGAAAGAGAACCACGGATGGAGCAACGCAATTGCAGTGGCAACCCCAAGTGCCGGTGGAGAAAAAGGATCAAAGGAACACAGATTCAATTAACAGACAGCCTGACTTGCAGCTGGTCATTGCCTGCTCTAGCATAACTGGACTGTCGATCTCTCGGAATCCGAGCGACTTTCGCTTCCTTCTCCTTTCCAAGCCCCATATGTGGATCCATAGTTAGCAAGAAAATACCCTCAATAGTCTGCCAATGCAGGCCGATTCTTGAGCTCAAACCCAACCATCTCACTCTGCATCGTGAACTGTCTCTTCGCAATGGTTTCCTTGAACTTCTTCTATTGGAGATAAACAGCATCAAAACTAGTTAGGGTACGTACTCCATCTTTTTCCCCCATGCTGTTGTTCGACGATCCCAATTTCCGACTAATTATAGAATTCCATTCAATATTCATCCAGGGTTGTCAAATTCAGAGAACAAATAATAGTAATATAATGGAATCCCCTATCGAGTCATCGGCTCTGTGCTAACAATTCATCCAACTGTGGATTGTGGATACACTGCTGTTCCAACGTCCTACGCCAAGGTGGTCCAACGCATGGTGGAACGCACCATCTACTATCGGGCCATGCGGGCCTCAAAAACTGGGGCACAGCCGGTGGTTTGAGAAAGATTGTTTGTATCCTGTTGTACTCGATCCATGGACTGCATGTCTTGGAAACGAACGATGCAGTACAATCCAAGAATCCACACACAATCAATTCCCTCAATCCATTGCAATTCTTACCGAGGAATGTTTGTGTAACTATCCCGATGTCGCAAAAGAAGGTCCGGTCAATGCTGAGACGTTCAATTGTGCCCCGAAGTAGGGATCGGCCTGCTCGACATGGAGAATGTACATCGTTACATCACGGCTGCTTTAGTTCAGGAACAGCCTTTTCTCCTGATTGTGTGATTTGGCTGAGGAAGGTCCTGCGATGTCTGAGGTTCAACAGCAAGACCATTCCTATCATGACAATTGAAATGCCATCGTCTTGAGGGTATGTATTCAAAATATTTATTATACAATATTAATCTTCCTTCAGCTTTGCACTTAATTCATCCTGCGGTACAAGCCCCCCTGGCTCATACTCTAACCATCCCTCCTCCTCTTGAGCCCGGGCAATCGCTTCCCGTCTTCTCTTCTTCTTTCGCAGTTCCTTGGTCTCCGCCCGTCGCTCCTCTTTCGAGACAATGCGATGAGGCGCTCGGCGTTTGAAGTTCTGGTCTCTGTTCGAGTATTCTTCCGGTGCATCGGATGGAATCTTTTTAATCAGCGGCATCGGTCCCGAAGCCGAACCACTCTCATCCACGCAGCGCACCGCTTCGCCCCGGATTTGCGAATGATATCGTAGCTGTATCGCATAACTGTCGCTCGATCCAGAGCACAGATCCCGGATTTCCGCCTGTGCGTCTTCTCCAGGTGTGAACTCTCGTTCAAGCAGATCGTGAAAGTACAAGTAGGCCGATCGGAAGTTTCCTGCCTCCAGGCACATTATGGTGAGATGCTCAAACGTCCGCGCATTGGGAACCACGCCAAGAGATGCCATTTCTTTCACGATAAACATGCCCGCTTCCCGGTCCTTGGCCCGGCGACACATATTTATCAGTGAGTTGTAAACCGAGACGTCCGCTCCTCCAGGACACAGAGCGTAGAGCTCCTTGTATAACCGAACCCCGTCGTCTACGGCGAAAGGGTCATATAGAGCGTTACGCTCACACAGTTCAATGATGACCTTTGCACAGCCGAGTGGAATGTTGTGCTTCATCGTCTTCAACTGCTTGAGCATCTCCCATGCATTTCGGGGATTCTTCTTTTCCTGTAACATAAAAGCCAGGATGGAACGGGTGGAGCTCTCCTCTAACGCAATTCCCGACTCGTGCATGGTGCAGAGAACCTCGAACGCAGAGAACAGGTTTCCACGCGTAACATGGGCATCAACCATCTTCTCGTAATCCTCCAACTTAAGAGGATCCCCGTGCTCGGTCAAGAAACAGGCTACCGAGGCCGCAAGGCCAACATCCCCTGTGCGAGACGCGACCGTCAAGACGCTACTGCAAATAGCGTACGAAGGGCGAAGATAACCCAACTCGACCATCTGCCTCCACGCATAGATAGTCGTTTCATGATGAATGGCTTCGCTCGCCACCTTCAATACATACGACCATAGATCCAGCGTCATGTCGTGACCCTGACTTGTCCGAGATCGTATCAGTCGTAGCACCTCGTCAAACTCCCCGACATCGCAGAGGCTATATATGAGAAGGCTATGCAGCCAGTTTTCAGCCATAATACCCTGTCTCTCCATATGCGCAATGTGATCGATAGCCAATTCGAATTGCTGCTCTCTCAAAAGACCAGCTACCACCCAATGCCAACCGGCAGGACTCAGAGGGACCCATCGATCTCGCAGAGTTCGGACAATCTCTTGACGTAGAAGGTAATCTGGGTGAACCGCAAGGGCCTGAGCGTTTGAAACCCCCTGTTAGCAAATATTATTTTGTGCAATCGCTGTCAAGCCCACGTACCTGTAATGCGGAATGGAGGGTACCAGAATCCGCCGGTATCCCATTCGCTTCCATCTCTGCAAGTAATTCACGAACAACCTCTGGCGATCCACGCTCTGCATCCGTGTTGGCGAGTATCAATGCCCGGTAATGACGCACCTCCGGACGAACATGACGGTCTCTAATCAGGGTTCGTAGAATCTGCGTCGCACTCATGACCTTTGGCGTTTTCGCAACCAAATCCTGAAGCCTCACTTCCAAGCTCGCAGTCGGTATTTTTTCAATATGCTTAGGTACCCCGGGCGAATGTCTGGCGAATTGTCCTTCGGTAGAGCTTCCCGTATTCCGCGACGTGTCGGCATCTTGTCGGGGGTGTTGGTCCTCGTTCAGCTGGTGTGAAGCTTGCTCCCCGGTTTCCGATTCAAGATTTTCGGCTGTTTCATTTTGCGTCTTGCCTCCGTTCCCAGCTCTCGTAAGATTGTTGTTGTGGCATCTTTGCGGGGATGCCGATATCCAACGTGCGGAGGTTGGTGGTACACTGCTTCGCTTTCTTCGGATGAAAGATACGCCTGGGCGATTTATAGCGGTTAAACTGAATGATGGACAAAGGCAATACCAAAGTCCATCGAGAACGAGAGCCTGTCGTGGCATTTCGTACCGTTGGAGAAAACGAAAATGTCTCTTGTCTCCGAACCGCAAAGGTGCTTACATGTTCACGTGATTACACAGGTACAAGGCCATAATTCAATGGACGGCGAAAATACAGATATATCGAACACAAGGACATCTTAGAAAACCACGTTTACCAATCGTAATATTTTTGCGCAAATAGTCATCATTCCCATTGAAAATACAGAGCCAGATACGCCAAGGCCATGCTCGACTAACCCGCCAAACGGACCCCCCTAGCGAACGACCTACAAGACCTCCCCGGGGTATCTTTCCTCTCTTCTCTCCATTCCATGAACCCAATTTCGACTTCTGTTTCTCTAGCTGCCACCCCGTCCTCGGCCCCGACCGCGTCCACGACCACCACGGCCTCGATCGCCTCTTTCGCCTCGGTGTGAGTGGCCACCACGACCGCGGTGCTGTGGTTGGTTCTGCTGCTGCTCCCTGACAACCTCGACTATTTCTTCGGGGATTCGTAGATATTTAATCTGATATTCATTAGCCAAGGACATCATAAGGCAACCATAAGCAACTGCGCATAAACAAACATACGTTGTTTCCTCTGATGTAGACCTCCGGTAACCTGAAGAAGCGATCACCCTCTGGGCTTGTCTGAACAACCTCCTTGAGTATTAAGTTCATCCAGTTATCGCAGTTGACCAGATGTCCGTTCAGTGTTTCGCCATTCTTGAGTTCAACAAGCATCGGGTGGCCTTGTGCGGCCGTGAGGAGGCCCAATGGTAACTAATAATTGCGCAAGATTAGTCGCCACATAATCAAAGCCTAGTGCATTATCCGAAAGGAGTAGCACTCACCATTTTGGCGTCTATTCAGGCGAAGTGAGCTATGGTCGAAGTGTGTTGAGGGGTCAAGAGCGCACAGTCAACGGGCGCAGCGATACGAAAGCCTTCCAACGTCGCAAGACAAAACGGAAGAAACTCGAAATAAAAAAGAACCGCAAAAAAGCCGGTTTTCAAAGTAGATCACCTCAGCTGGTGGGAAATAGGACTGGGATGACAACAAACGAGCTCGCAACAGCTTCAGCAGTGATGATCTCGCCTGGAGAAACCCGGAAAAAGCCAAGGCCCGAGATAGGCGGGTTTATCGCTGCTACGGAGGGCCATTGAGGAACAAAGCGTATCTTACTGCTGGGATCATGGCCCATCCTTCGCATGGTCGTTGTTTTGTATCTCTTAGTATAATTTACCTTGATGCTGGGTCAATCGTTAGGTTTTGAATTGAACTATTTTACTGTGTTTCTTTCAGAGACAAAGTGTCCTTATTTTTCTTGCCATGCGATACTGACCCCGCCTCATGCTGTTCAGCAGGATGCGCTGGCCGTTACTGCTCCCCTTCTTTCTTGTTGACTCGTTTGCTTTATCTCATAGTACGAGCTCATGTGATGTTGAACTCATATCATCTGAGCTTCATGGTATGCTGCTGCGCCGAAGTTATTCCAACCTCATGGTGCCCGTGCCCTAATCTAAACACCTATAGATGATGAAAGCGACATTGTGAGACCCCGAGCAGTATGCCCGGTTGGTGAAAATAAACATGACATTGCCCCGAGCACTCGAATAATATCCAATAGAAGGGTTGATTGTCTGGATGAGGGTGAAACAATTTATGCCCGGAACGAAGTTCATGACGACCCTGGAAGGACTTCTTCGATCCCCAGTGACATAAAGGACATAGAGTCCCTTGTGAATTGGCAGACGATCGACTTGTCTCTACTTTCGAATTCCAAAATAAACCAGCACTGGCGCAACCTGCAGATTCTCAAGTCAAAGGTTGATGATCTACAACGACAAATTGAAGAGGAAGAGCACGAAATACTCAATATCCTTACCCAGGAGGATCAAGGCAGCCAGCTGGCATCCTTCACAGTTCTTCCCAGCAGCTATCCACAGTATGGCTCTACATACTGGCTCGGGGTTTGCGCACTGGTTCTTCTCGTTGGCGCACTTTTTACTTTTGTATCCAAATTTCTTTTCGACAGCACAAATTGCCTCCGTCGCCGAGTCGATAGAGCCGCACGTCGGGAAGAAAGAAGAACCCGTCGTGCTTATAGAATCGCCGCACGGCATCTGAAATGGAGGAAGTGGTGGGAAGGGAGCTCTTTACAGTCCATGCCAAATCCATCTACCGATGACACTCTTGGAGAAGTCCAACAAGACCAACAATCCGAGACTGGATCGACTCTTCCAATTGAACCGAATGCTATTCAGACTGAGATATCGGGCTTCATACAAACTCTCAATTAAGTAGGAGGGCTGATTGGAGGGTCAGCTGTCAATTTGGAGACATCCCGCGTTCCTCTGCGAGATCCAAGATATGCAGTTACGGAGCTTCACAGTACGAGAAACCTATATGGAAATACAGCACCATCTTCGACAGCTGGTCTGACGTCGATTATCTCACCTAAAACTGGCCCCGTCATGAGTCTGGAGACGTTTTCGTCTTCCACTGTGGATAGCTTGGAAACAATTGACACTGGTCCCCCGAGCTATCATCCGTGAATCTCTGTATATAAGTTAGCCTAGCCCTACTCCGAATCTGGTTATGGTATATATGACTGAAGAACTGTATATAAATCAAAAGGGAATCAAAACGTGTTTTTGAGATGTCTCATGGGAATTAAATTACATTGAAACTTCCACTGAATGGATAGTTGGAAAAGAAAACGAAAAGGGTACACAAGCTGTCGTCTACACCTTTGCCTTTTTGGCTGCCGCTGCTTCGCTCTCATCCTCATCCTCATCCTCATCTTCATCGGCTACTGTGAACTTTCGCTTGACTCGCTGGTCCTTTCCAAGTGCGGTTGACCCAGCGAGTTCGGTGGCTTCTTCGTCTTCCTTGGCTTTCAGGTCATCTTCGCGCTGAGTGAAGGCCTGGAGCAGACCCTCGTAACCTTCCTCGACATTTGTCACGGTCTCTTCGAGTTTCTGAATACGATCAGTCAAGTCCAATTGGATCAGCACATCCCGAGAACGCTTGTAAAGGCGCTGCTTAATGAGCATGCGCCACCAGTAGTATCGCCTTTCGTGGGGGTTCTCTGTCTTGTGCTTCTTGACCAATAGTCGCGCCATGTTTGCTCCACCAGCGTGGCGGTTCTTCAACGGGATCTGGCTAAGGAGAAACATCTCCAAGATGTGCGCAAACTGGGTCGGGGCAATCTTATAAGACATGCGGATGTCATGGAGAAGCTTGGTGGGGATGAGGGCAGCGGTGGGGACCAAGCGCGGCCGTTGGTTCTTGGTGTGTGCTTGGTAAGGGTCGGGGTTGATGTTGACACTATGCTTGAGGAATTCAGGGCGAAGGATGTGGTAGTCGGTGGTGTCACGGAGAGCATCAAAAGCTTCATTGGGATCTTCAACGGTCAACTCCACGATGGTCGAGTCATCGACGCATGCGGAATGGATGGTTGTGTAAAGATGGGTGCCGTGGCCGGAGCTTTGGTGGGGTGGGAGGATCAGGAACTGGGCGATCCGAAGTCGAGATGGTAGCTCCCCGGGGCGAACTGCGGGTGCTGGAAATGTATCCTGACTGACGGTGGGCGCTTGCGACGAGTCTCTGTTGTAGTACCACCAACGATAGGTTGTTGCGTATCCCACGATGGAATATTGTGAGGCGGTTGGCGCCGGGGGAGTCACTTTTTCATACCTACAATTTGTCAGCTTCTCTGCATTATATAAGTTCAGGCCGTTCACATACACGAAGTAGACTGTCCATCTTTCGAGAGTCCACTCGGGGTCATCAGTTTCCAGGGGAGTTCCGGCTTCGATGAAGAGGGAAACGAAAACCTGGGCGCGATCCAAGAGCTTTCGGACTTGCGGGTCAGCCAGCGACCCCGCCCAGATCTCATAGGACCTATCCTGAGTGACATATGAATGAACGAGCTTTCCCGGGGGCACAAAATTCTTCGCATCCTCATCCTCTTGAACGGCCTTTTCGTACTCGGGGAGAGTGGTGAACGCCTCTATACGTCGCCACGATCCGTCAGATTATATAACACATCAGCAACAGTGAGAATATACAGACCTTCCGGGACCCAAGGCTTCAATGTGCCCAGGAGGTCGAGTGCCTCCGTATCTTCTACAGGCTTGAACTTCTCATCGTAAGAGATATGGACATGCGGGCGAAGATCGTGGGCCGCAAAGCGCAGGCGGATAATTAAGCCCTTGTAACCAAAGATGCGCTCTTCATCGCCAAAAATCGGGTATGTGAATTGAGGATGGAAGCTCGAGAGGGTCTTGGGTTTCTGTTCGCCGGTTTGAACCAATGTGATTTGGACGGCGTCATTGGCGTCACAGGACCCTATATGAAGCATTCCGTGTTAGTTGCGCCGGTTATTTCAGGATGAAAGGGTGGGGGAGTAGGGTTAGTAAATACAGTCGCCTTCGTTCTCCATGCTTGCTGACAGGCCTGCGCAGACAAGATAATGGGGCAAATATTGGTGGTTAGATGAAAAAGGTGTAAAGGTCTTTTTTTTCTGATGGACTCTTCTCCAAGGGCGCGTCGGAAGTTGAAGATCGCGCGTTGCGCGGAGCAGTATGACCTAATTTGTTTTAGCGCCGATGCATGACAGCAGCTGCATTTCATCATTGATGGCGACGGATTTAAAGATCAACAGTCCAACAATTTGACGGCTTGACTTTGCCTATATTGATCTGTCGAGAACAAAGACTTAAATCTACTGTTGCTTCGTCGTGACAAGACTAGATGCCCTGTCGGAGTGCTATTTGGAAATGGAGGGTGAACTTCACATAATTCGTCCTATTCTGCTGAGCAATTTTCCCAAGACTAGGCTATTCCCCAGTCCTCGATTCTTGCATGATCTCTGGCCCGAAGATTGCGATCATCTCAGGTTCATAAATGTTCCTAAAATCCTCTGCTGTAATACATTCCCCAATTGACTCAAAGTCGACCATTGTCACAGTCTTTGACTCTACTGAGTAGAGTACATTATGCATCCCTGAATCAGCAAGCCAGATGGATAATGATCGAAGGATTCTGACGGCCTTACGGCACTGGTTGCGAATGAAGATTTTCTCTGGGGCGCCTATCTTGTTCCATGAATTGTAAAGTGGCTCACTCCCCTTGGACCTTTGACAAAATTAGGATTTGCCCTTGAGGAAATAGAGATGAGCAGACAATCTGTCCGTATGAAATCAGTGAAGGGAAAACATCAAATCCCTCTTTTTTCTTTTGATGAAGTGACTTATACACCCCACATTCAGTAGTATAGCTGGGTAGATTTCTTTAGTGTCTAATTCGTATTTTGCTGAGAACAGAAGATGGTCTATACATACCAGTCGAATAGCTCAGGTGCCCAGCACTTAGTAATGCATCTGATGCCTTGAAATTCCACTTCAAATACTGCTTTTTTATCATTTTCTGGCCTGTGACGCGAGATTTGTGAGACACAAGTAACTGAGGACCATGCAACCCCGTCGCCTCCAAAAACGACTTGAGTGTTCTAAAAACGTTTTGAGTGTTCTGTGATGTTAAAAGGTCTTAAATCGTATGCACCCCCCCCCCCCCCCGAGGCAAGGGTGGAATGGAAAGGTTCGAATTGGTATGAGGGTTGAAATGTGAGTACATCTCGTACATCGTTCCCTTCTACATACTTGCTGTCTGCTGCAGAAAGGACCGAAAACCCAGCGAAGCATTCACGGAGCGATGGGTTGGTGGCGGTCTGATCGATCGGGGGCGAGAGATGGTAGCAATAATCGCTCATCCTTTTGATAAAAACCGTTGTCTTATACGTAGATATGAACCCATATTTAGGCATATGACCCCGCATATAGGATACAACTAACCGGTTCTGTGAGATGTAAGCCATAGAGCCCTGGTGTCAATACTGCCAGACTGTTGAAACATTATGCTTAGATATTGAACAAGTAAGTCTTGACCAGGAGACGTACCGATGTGATGTTCCAAGTTACGGCGGCGCTGCAGTGAGGAGGTGACAGTAATTCTCCAAATTGACAGCCCACCAGGGCTTCAACTTCCCAACCGCGAGAACCTGACCCTGATCCGTGACACCTGAACTCTCATCTGCATTGGCTCGAATTGTGAGTACGCAGCTTGGGAAGACTGGTTTGTTAAAATCGATATCCTGAGCGTCAACAAATCGTAGCTGGAGAGCTGTAACAGAGAGAGCTTTTGTAACTGCATCACAGGTATTGTGTATAAAGCGAACTGCAAGTCCAAGCTTATTCCCAATAATAATCTCACCTCCTGATGAATCTGTGAGACTCACCTGGCCATCTAGACCAAGTAAGTGATGTGCAGCAGTTATATCCTGGATGAATTCAGGCCAGAGATACATATAGCTAGCGGACAGCCGCTCAAATGACACTACACAGGGCTCATAAGTTCCACCGACATAGAGAAGCCGAGGGAGCCTTCTAGCAAGAAGGCCTCGGGCAGGCTCCATGATTAAGAGTGGCTGGACAAGGAGGTGAGTATAGAAGGTGTATTGGATCAGAAGTGGTGGAGGTGATGATGATGAAATCTAGCAAAGGCAGGTCTGATAGCAGAGTGCTGCCTAAACCATCCATCCATTAAGGCCAAAATCTTCAGTTTGTCCAAACTAATCTGCCCTTAGTATTAGTAGGCTTATATTCTGTGTTTAATTGTCCAATTTAAGAATGAGTCAAGATGGTTAGGAACACACTGCAAACAGCTGCTTCTTCTTACTATACTCATACTCAATATAGAGTAGTAAACACTTGATTTCTTACTCCAAATTATAAAGTACTAACCGTTAAAGCCAATATCAGAGGTGTCACATTTTATATGCATCTCGAAATGCACTGCACGTGGTTGTTCTGAGTTTTAGATAGGTATGATTTGACTTCCCCTGGACAAAAAGCCACTTGTGAAATCAATTTCCTGCAATGGAGTACCTAGCTATCTAGACAATCTATCAATATGCCCAATAGTAATAATCAATCACTCCATAACCCTTAGTCCATTACTATATATACTCCGTTTGCGATGGATCCGTTGCCCCTGGCGGACTTGTGCTGTGGGTCCTACCGGCCGTTGCGCTGGTTCCCTGAACCCAACTCGTCCTTGCGTATCGCAATCTGTCCGTCCGCCACCATCCAGCCCTCCATCTTTCCCAGTCCCTACCCTATACCGATATATCTCCTGGAGAACCCAACGCCCAATCCTACTCTATATCCAGCAAAGCTCAAAGTCTCCGTCCAAGGAAGATTGGAGCTATTCAGTGAACATTTGCCGTGGAATGGGCATCATGATTGAGGTTCTGTAAAGCCGATTACGAGTGCGACGCTCAGGAACGAGACGCCAACCATGGAGGGACTCTTCACTTTGCTCGCTTTGAGCATTGTGATGGCAGTGACGTGAGCTTCCAGGCCCCTTTTTTTATTTCACCATATCCATTTCGTCAAACGAGTGGGCTAACCTGTTCCTGGAACCTTCCAATAGATCCTTCGTCGTTGGCTCATTACCGCTTGCATTTGCGCTTTCTCCTTCTCAGCTGAGATTAATATCATCGATTGGCATGGGAGTTTTGGTCGGGACGTCTTTGATTGTGATTATTCCGGAGGGAGTCGAAACACTTTATAGCGCAACAACATCACCGAGTAATCGGAAAGCCATCAGTACTCGTGCGACAGTTACATGGCAGCACCAAGATATGCCGGCTGTGGTTTCAACAAAGATCCCACTTGCAGATATTCCGGGGCTTTCATCCGCATCTATAGCCTCGCCCGCAGATTTATCTTCGAACGATGAGACGGTGCATGTCGCACGCGATGCGCAACCACCATTGCAGACAAGGAAAGAAAAGACTACAGACGAGAAGGAAACTGAGCATCATGAAGAAGAAAGCTCCCCCCATGCCTGGATTGGCATTGCACTTGTCAGTGGATTTATCCTGATGTATCTTGTCGACAAACTCCCGGAGTTTGCATCTTCTTCCAAACACCAAAGGCCGCCGTACCATATTTCTCTGGACAACCTGGGTTCTGGTTTGCGACGAAACTCTTCGCCTTCCCGGGATGGGGGCTTGCTAGATGCTGCCAATACCCCCAGACGCAGCCATAGCTTTGCTACCACCACTGGCCTTGTGATCCATGCCGCTGCTGACGGAATTGCGTTGGGGGCGTCCAGTTCCGATACCGGCTTGAGTTTCATTATATTTTTCGCTATTATGGTCCACAAAGCACCGGCATCCTTCGGGCTTACGTCCGTCCTGCTTAAGCAGGGTCTATCTAGTCGTGCTGCGAGAACCCACCTGCTGGTCTTCAGTCTGGCAGCTCCTTTGGGCGCCTTGGCCACCTTTTTATTCGTACAAATTATGGGAGCGGGAGGCAGCGTTGACGAGGTAGGGACTCGATGGCGGACCGGGATGCTTCTATTGTTCTCTGGCGGCACTTTCTTGTAAGTCTACATTAACCAGTCCATCGCCGATCGCAAATCCGTGTCTAACGATCTCCAGGTATGTTGCGATGCATACCATGCAAGAAAACAGCCCCAACTCGGCGTCGCGTGAAATAACCGTGAACGGATACGGAGACCCGAGGGATACTACATCCAAGTCGGACAAGTCAATGAGAGACTTGATCGCCTCTGTTATTGGCATGGTCTTGCCGCTGTTTCTGCAGATCGGCCATGCTCACTGACATCCCATCTAGAATCTGCTTCTTGTTTTATCACAAGTTTCTTATTTTTGTTTTATTTCTTGTTTTTATCATTTACTTCGATACACAGTTTCATCGGAGCGAGTTCTATATCTGGGATAGAAGGTTTTCGCATGATTCAAATACCCCATTCCGAGGAAATCGTGAAACAAAAGACCTTATTGCTTACACTGGAGGAAGGAATTTACCGGCCCGAAACCGGGTTCTGCTGCAAGTTACATGTCCATGAAGATTTTGTTTATTATTGCTCGTTTCTTGTTGCAGACAGCCATGGAAAAGACATGGTGAAAAAGTCTCGACAAGAAACCAAATGTCTGCCTTGTATAATTGCCTGGGAAGTTGGTCATAATTGCATGTTATTTCACAATCACGTTTACGTAGAGTTCGTCCCCACGATATAAAAGGATAGGTTCCCTCTTTACTCCAACATCTCTGGCAAGATAAGCCTCTGAGATCAGAGGAGTTCACATAATCACTATGTCATCTCTAATGATGAAACAATTCGTCAACTCTGACACAACCTCGGACACTGGACTGTTCCATGGTCGGATAGTGCATCCCGTCTGTTCATCCAGGGACTCGGGGCAACTGTATCTCCAATCGTGGAATCTGGAGAAGCGCCATCTATCACTGGGGCTGGTACCGATGTGTTGAATGTTGCGGGGGCTTTTTTTTTATAACTCATTTCCAGAACGGGCACACGATGTGATTGAGGAGAAGGGCACTGTAAAATGGTCACTTTTATGAGTGACAAAAGCCATAGCCTACTCAAATCAGCCTGCAACACTCCAAGAATGATTCTAACGGCTTCTCCGATACATTCTTTGCCTCCCTTGACGAAAGACTTGCGACCACCCTTGCAGCAACCTCGTGCTGATAGTGCCACAGCACCTCTGCACGAGGTTGAGTAACCAGACAGCTCCACCACCACCACCCCTTACTGACAGAAAAGCACTAACAATTCTTTTAATTTCTCTCTCTCTTGTAAATAAACTTGGCCGTGTGTCAGTAGCGTTGAGATCGATCGTTGAACTGACAGACCGGATTGGGACTATTGTACGGCTTGGCGGCACCTGACTTGCTCCCCGTCACGACATCGCATGATCCGATCGAGACTCTCCAGTTTCTCCGCCGCTTCTGCTTTGCTTTGGGAATGTTCGGCCTTTCGCTTCTTCTGGCATTTGGTCGGCCCAAGTCGAGGTTTCTTTGAACCACCACCTCTGTTGTACTGTTCTATCTCAACCGTCTGAGTATCTTCTTTCTTTCTTCTCTTTATCATTCTTTTTTCCTTTTTTTGCTTCTTCATTTTATTATTATTATTATTATTTTCTCCTCTCTTCCGACATCTCCACCTCCCTATTCCCCAACCATACGTGCGTTCGTTCGGGCCTCCATCATCTCCCACTTGCCCCCCAAAATACCCGCCGAACAGCAAATAATCCGACTCTTATCTGGCTTCCAACTTTCTTTCCAACCTGCCTCTCCTTGACCTTCTGACATCCCTCTATGAATGAAATCGGATTCCGAAACGGTTGTGCGAAGCCATATCGATAATCTCGAAGGTTGGGTGGAGGAATACTAGTTGATGACAAACCGCTCTACGTCGCCGCCGCACTCCATGACATCTCGTCGAGCATCTTTCGTTGAACCGCTGGACAGTGGGATGAATACACAAGGTGTGACCGAGCAGCTGGCGATGGCACAGGCCCGATCATCTGCTGGCAGGGGTTCGGTAACTAGTCTTTCGAGTCCTCAGTCGAGGTCTCTGGCCGCCTCCAACCACAAAAGCGTCACATCTATTCCGTCAAATCTACTACCATCTGCGCCTGCGTCACCTCCGACTCCGGCCCCGAGTCCCACGCCTCATCAGAGACCCCCAAACTGGCAGTCGGCCGACGAGGAAGATGATGCGTTTCTGCTGAATGCCCGGATTCATTTCAGCTCGCTGTCCAACGCGAAGAAACAGAAATTTTTGGTCGGTATACTTGGCTTGTGCGATAGTCAACATCTCAGCTTTGTCTCTAGCTATGTTAGTCCACGCTTGAGAAAGGATCCGTTCCAAGTATTCCCTAATGAACTATGCTTGAGGGTAAGACATTTTTAGCTCCCCCGTATTGAGGAGACCAGGCCGGGAAGCGCTGACTTGAATGTTTCTTTTTCTCTTGCAACAGGTCCTTTCCTTTATCGATGATCCAAAAACACTTGCAAGATCGTCACAAGTATCGAGGCGTTGGCGTGAGCTGTTGAATGATGATATCACATGGAAGAACCTCTGTGACAAGCATGCATACGTATACCGGAGGATGTCCGAGGACGAACGAGACTTTGTCGACCCTTTCCACAGTCATCCTCTACAGACTGTTTCCAGTACACGCTCTTTGAACACACTTCAAAGAACCTCTAGTATATCGGACCGCCAGGCTGCGGATAGGCTTCCCGATCTATCTCGCACATTCTCTGGCAACTGGCTTCCGTCGTCAAATTTTTCGGCTCGGAAACGGCGGGGTCGGCCAGCCTCCTACCGGTCTCACTTCAAGAAAAAGTACATGGTTGAATCTGCTTGGAATAAAGGCGGACGATGCACCCAGCGACACATCACTCCAGATCAGGGCGTTGTCACAAGTCTGCACCTTACTTCCAAGTACATCATCGTCGCTCTGGATAATGCCAAGATCCACGTTTATGATATCAACGGAGATAACCAGAAAACGCTGCAAGGCCATGTGATGGGTGTATGGGCTATGGTTCCGTGGGACGATATACTCGTGAGTGGTGGTTGCGACCGAGAGGTTAGGGTTTGGAACATGGCTACTGGGTAAGGAAATAACGGGCGCTTTGGTCTTTTATAAAGTAAAGGGACTGACAACGAATTTTTCCAGGGCTGGAATCCACCTATTACGTGGCCACACATCGACCGTACGTTGCTTGAAGATGTCCGACAAGAATACTGCTATTTCCGGGTCAAGAGATTCCACGCTGCGGATTTGGGATCTGGTGTCAGGCACTTGTAGAAATGTCCTGGTCGGGCACCAGGTGAGTGTCAGATGCCTTGCCATTCACGGGGATATCGTTGTTTCCGGAAGCTATGATACAACAGCACGCATCTGGAGTATCTCGGAAGGGCGATGCCTGAGAACCTTATCAGGCCATTTCAGCCAGATCTATGCGATTGCTTTTGACGGTAGAAGAATCGCGACTGGAAGTCTTGATACTAGTGTACGAATCTGGGATCCGCACTCTGGCCAGTGTCATGCTATCCTTCAAGGCCATACTTCCCTGGTTGGACAGCTGCAGATGCGGGGTGACACTTTGGTGACTGGAGGCTCAGATGGCTCCGTTCGAGTCTGGTCGTTGACAAAGATGGCTCCCATCCACCGCTTGGCTGCCCACGATAATAGTGTGACCAGTCTTCAATTTGACAGTAGTCGCATCGTAAGTGGTGGCAGTGATGGTCGGGTTAAGGTCTGGAGTCTACAAACTGGCCAGCTCCTCCGAGAACTTTCCTCACCTGCAGAGGCTGTTTGGAGAGTTGCGTTCGAAGAAGAAAAAGCCGTGATCATGGCCAGCAGGGCCGGTCGCACCGTGATGGAGGTGAGTTGATGCACCCCCGCATCCGAGGAATAAACGTTGGCTAACCGTATGCCGTAGGTGTGGACCTTCTCCCCACCCCCAGAAGACAGCGACGATGATGATGCGATTATTGAAAGCACCTCAAGCACTCCAGGACTACGCTCTGCGAAAGAAAGTAACAACGATGACCTTGCGCTTGCAGCTCATAGTGGCCGACACAGAGCTCTCTTCTCGGATCCCCCTTCAACGATACCCCGAGGCAGCGATGATGACCAGCTGATGCCGGATGCCTCTTAATGTTCTCTTACCCCGCCCTTTTAACGATGTGAGCTCACATTCACATTCACGGAACCTTGTTCATCTCTTCTTATTTATTTCTCTCATCAGCCTTTTTTTATTTTACTAAGCACTACGGTCTGCTCTCGATTTATTTTCTAATAATCATGGACCAACGAATCTACTTGTGGGGGGTTTTTTCACTGGCAGCCTCAGGGCCACGCTGTCCATCTCAACTGGTCGTCAAACATCAGCATTTGCATACTGGGTGTTGGTTCATACATACATACTATTCTCTTTGCCGTGGTCGTTTCTACCTAAATGATTAACGTTGCGGAGTTGCCATTGGAATAGTGGGCTTCGCGCCACACATTCCATGTGCCTGATGGTGTCTTTTTCTTTTATACTAGTACTGTGGATTTTCGAGGGTTCAATGATACCCGCCTCGGGAGGTAACATATTTGACATTTGGGATTTTCGATTTCAGTTACTTTTCTTCTGCAGCTATCACCCAAAAGCAAGGAGAATACATCGATAGTCATGGCATGTCTTTGCAGCATATAATTGCATACCACAAGCATTTCCCAGACCAGCCACATTTACCTTGAACATATTTCAGTAACCATCGTAGTTGTTTTCTTGTAAACCGCCGTGTAGAGCCAATTTCTGCATCCCAACTTTTTGTTGGGAAAACGAGATCAGGCCATATGGATGACTAATCGTAACGATGAAACAGGCACGCTTGGCTTCGACTATCGATTCACAAACATCAAGTGACCAGCTGGATCTTCATCTGGTCGATTTCATTCTGATTCGCAAAGGGGCTCGCGGTGGATGCGGCCTTTGTTTTCCTGATAAACTCTGTTGCATTGATCTCTGGACAGGGTCTCGACAATAGTGGAGGGGAACCAGGAGGCCACCACCATCGGATACATCATCCATCATGTACATGTGCTTCCGAGTGCTATCAGGCAGACAAGATTCAGTGTGCATTAATCCGAGAGTCTGACCACGTTAAAGCGGCCTTTTTGAGGATACGAGATTTTTTTTTGTCCCCAATTATCGATTGATTGATTTCGAGTAAGCAAAGAGAGTAGGTGAACATGGTATATGGGGGGAAACCGAGCACAGGATGCTACTTGTGTCGCAAACGGAAGATCAAGGTGAGAAAAGACCCCCCACTGCTTGCATATCCGTTCTGTATGCATGATTTTTTTTTTTTTTGCCTTTTCGTCATTCTGCACACATCACATTTCATTCGGTGTCTCCACACACAAGCTAAAAAAGGTGACATGTCAAGTGCGATGAAGCGCTCCCCCAATGTCGGAATTGCATTGTGTATGGCAAACCCTGTCCGGGGTACCGCCCAGATGCGATATTTCGAAATGAAACGCAAAAGGTGGAACGAATGGTGAAGAGGATCAACAATTCCCCTGAAAATCAATCTCAATCATCGCGCCACAGTTCGCGGGAGTTGTCTCCCCGCAGTCATGCTAGCAGCAGCAGCAGTAGTAGCAGCGGCGGCAGTTCTAGCCAAGGTTCGCCGCTGACGCTCTACCGTGTTGCGGATTCCACGTGGGATGAGCGCGCCATTTGCTATTTTTTCGACCAGTACACGACCTATGGCGAGTCAGATGACTGCGTGACACATCTGGGGTTCTTGCCTTCATTGTACAGTCTCTGTAAAGAGACTACTGGGAACGATGGGCCTGCGTCCTGGTGTTTACGACAGGCGGTTGATGCAACGGCCTTCCTCGCCCTTGGGAATGAGGTTAAATCGCCAGCGATGACTGTCAAGGCAAGGAGTAGCTATGGGATGGCACTCCGAGGAGTCCGACAGGCGTTGCAATCTCGGTCTCAGGCGGTTAAAGATGAGACTTTTACAGCGGTGGTTCTGCTTTCTTTATTTGAAGACATCACCGGGGAGCGTAACGGGATTCTCAGCTCCCATACCGAAGGGTTTCAGTTTCTGATGAAGCTGAGAGGTCAAGAACAGCTGGAACATAGGCGGGGTCGGGACTTGTTCAACTTTGCTTATACACACACTGTCAGTGCCCTGTGTTACATTCTTTCTACTTCCGCATCAACAACTAACTGACACGTGACTCTAGCATATTGAAATTCTGGCTATGGGAGATAAACCTCGATTCAATACCGAGTGGATTCTGAGTATGCTGAACGATTCAGACCCGGAGCATCGATTGATGGTGACTTCATCAAAGATCAGTGACCTTCTCATCGAGGCAGCTGCAGCTGCACGGTCAACGCAATTCGACTTTGGCACCCTAGGCAAAATATCCGGATGGATCGAATCCGGTAAGCTCCTAGATAGAGAGCTGGTGGAATGGAGTCGCAACCTGCCGGAAAACTGGCTACCTTTCGTCGTCTACTCGCAAACAGGCGAGACCTTGATCACCTATACAAGGATATCTATCGGGGCGATCTGGAACTACTATCGCGCATTACGGATTGTTCTCCAGAAGCTGATCCTCGTAATCCGCCGAATCCTAAAGTCTGTTTCTCGACTGTTTAGATTTTGGTGTGGCGATACTTCGCAAGAAGATGCCACGATGCGGGGGGTGGTTCAGGAGATGATCACAGATGTCTGTCGGAGTATTCCTTTCTCTTTAGGCGACATTGATGCCTTTGGGAACCCGGTCAGATCGCTAGATGGAAGGCCTCGCAGAATGAGGGCTTTCCACGGATACACTCTGCTGTGGCCTCTATGGTATGTTTTAATATGCGGCATGGCAACACCTGAACAAATCCAACAGGTTCGAAAAGTCCTCGATCATGTTGGCTCTGTCCAAGGAATTAAATTGGCCTCGCTACTTGCGAGCGAAGGTGATAATCCCTTTACGCTTGCTGGGTCATTGCCGATGGACCTTTCTACGATGTAACTACTTTGGGGGGAAATTGGGATTACTGGCGCACATTTTGACACTTTCTTTACGATTATATATTACTTTCTTTTGATGTATATGAATACTATCTAATAATTGAACATGATCTCTGCCATCAAAACCGGTAGTGAGCGGAAGTAGTGACGTCATCGGTATACAATCACCAGTGAAGCATTCCCATTCTCAAGGGGGATATTTGGGAATCAATTTATTTTTATCTAGCAATGCTAGTGAAGATCAAATAAAGCAAAACAAAGCAAAATGCTAAGCAACAAGTTATGGACTGGCTGCGATCGACCAATGCCGGCTTATCCGCCTGTTGTTTCTCTGTACGGTAACATCATAGCCATGCGACACTGCCGTATCTTCCATGGCTGGCTGCTCTCGGGCCTAAACTGGGGTCGATCGAGGGACTGACGACATTATCTGCGTTGGTTAATAAGAAAGGGTATTCTGCCTGTTTTGTGTCTTGTCTTGTGTAACATATTAGGTGGACAGTCGACTGTTACTTGCTTATCTTTTCGTTTCTTTTTCTACTTATCATCGTCATTGAGGGGTTTCTTTCGTTGCTTTTCTCTCTTTCAAAGACAGGCAGTGACGAGGGAAATTTTTGAGCGTTTCTTCATCTTCGACTCTATATTTCATCGCTGATTGTCGATACCTTCATATACTCAACAATGGCTAGACAACAAGAGAGAAAGCTTCCCTTGGGGAAGATAGAGCCCAATTCCGCAAAATACTTCTACAGCTGTGCTCTGGGCGGAATTACCGGTAAGTCCAGCTCCAGGGCATCGTCCATCAACGAGAAATATCGAGGCTGACAATTTGGTCTGGAATTGAACAGCATGTGGTAAGTCCATCTTGGTCAACGAGGGTATCATCCATCGCGAGCATCATCCTAACCTTTATCTACGATAGGCCCTACCCATACCGCAGTAACACCCCTCGACCTCGTCAAATGCCGTCGTCAAGTCGACCCCAAGATCTACACCTCCAATCTCTCCGCATGGCGCACAATCTTCGCAAAAGAAGGACTGCGCGGCGTGTTCTTTGGATGGGCACCAACCTTCGTCGGATACTCCTTCCAGGGTGCTGGAAAATATGGCTTCTATGAGTACTTCAAGAACCTATACGGGGACAAGCTGTTCCCCAACATGAACCGCACCGTTGTGTTCCTGGGTGCCAGTGCATCGGCCGAGTTCCTCGCAGACATCGCGCTCTGTCCCATGGAGGCGATCAAGGTTCGCATGCAGACTACATTGCCGCCGTATGCTCGGAACCTGCGCGAAGGCTGGAGTGGAATTGTAACCAAGGAGGGTCTCTCTGGTCTGTACAAGGGTTTGTATCCGCTCTGGGCTCGGCAGATTCCATACACCATGACCAAGTTTGCGACCTTCGAGGAGACGGTTAGCATTATCTATAAGACGCTGGGCAAGCCCAAGGAGAGCTACAGTGGGCTGCAGCAGACTGGTGTTAGCTTCCTTGGTGGTTATATTGCTGGTGTTTTCTGTGCTGTTGTCAGTCATCCTGCCGATGTCATGGTTAGCAAGTTGAATGCCGACCGTAAAGGTATGCTTTTGGTTTTTTCCTTTCTATAGATCTCGATGAGAATGGAAACTGATCGTTTTCTATAGCTGGCGAAGGGGCAATGACAGCCGTGTCGCGGATTTATGGCAACATTGGATTCCCTGGTCTGTGGAACGGCCTGCCGGTCAGAATCGTCATGCTTGGAACCTTGACGGGCTTCCAATGGCTGATGTGAGTGCTCTTGTATCCCATCCTTAACTATCTGGACACTGACAATGAGTAGCTATGATTCTTTCAAGATGTTCCTTGGTCTCCCAACAACTGGTGGTCATTAGTGTTTCCCGCTGTAACTGGTCAATTCTTTTTTCTGCGTTGATATAATCCTGGATATAGTCTGGAGTCTCTGTAATTATCCATTAGCGAGTAAATGAATGCAAAACATCGTGAAAAGCCTCTGTTGCTGGTGGATTGTCCGTTTGTATGGCGCAGTTCGTAGACCTCAAAGCCCGCTGACCGCCTTTGATAACCACCCGGCAGAACGACTCCAGCGATCACCAGCAATCAATCTCTCGATCGAACCCATCTTCGACCTCACGCCCCGGCGATTGCTGCAACGCCTTCTCCCGCTGTATCCCTTATTGTGCTTGACCAATCCTTGCTCATCAAACATCATCCTAATTCTCGAGTAACAAGGATATACCCCGTCATTCGAGCACTTGACTCCAAGATACCGAGAAAAAGGGATCGATCCACTTTCGCATCGCAGGACAAAAGACCTCGATCGACTCCGGACTTCATTAGTGCACGGGATTTTCCACGTCAGCTTCTCAACTAGTGAATTCACCCACGTACTCGGTCTAGACCAGCTTTAATTTTTTTTTTTTTCGTCGTCGCATTCCTTCACCCCACTCGACCCTTCCCATACATCATACAAAGCACGCATCCTCCACCCTTCTCCTTACCATCATCACCTCCAAGATTCCACAATGGATCCATCCGCAAAGGCGACAACGTCGCTGCCTTCTACCAACCCTCCCAGCGTCGAGGTAGCCTACAAACGCAAATGCATCGCGCTGAAGAAACGTCTGAATGAAATCGAAGCCGAGAACGAGATGATGCGCCTCCGCAACAGACGCGGCTGGCAGTACATCCAGAAGATGCGCTTGGAGTCTTGCATTCTGCTGGAGCGATTGTCCAAGGTTACTGGTATGGCAGAGGAGGCGCAAGCTGGCGTCAACCCGGAGCTGCGGGCTCGCGCGGCTGCCATGATGTCTAATGCGGCGGCGTTGAATGGGATGGGTGGAGGGATTGGAGCTGGTGAGCCGATGACTGGGAATGGGGCTGGGTATTTTGAAGATGAGACTGAGGGAAGCTCGGACGAGCAGCCTCCTACTGTGAGTTATCGTTCTTTCTCTCATGTTGTTGGTAACTCGTTCTAACTTCGTTCTAGCCCCAGGAACGACCCCTTCGTGTGAAGCGATCTCGAAAGTCGAATATCAACGACGGAATGGATGACGAACCGGGTGCAGACGTCGGCCCCGACTCCAGCAGAGCCGGATCTGCATCTTTGCCCCGGTTGGCTCCGGCTCCTACACAGGAAGAAATGACATCCACATTCCGCATCCAACCTGGCAATAATGGCTCTGGAAATGAGCGAGATAGCCACCGACCCGAGGAGCAAGAAAACCCCGAAGCTCTTTCGAGAAATGGGGCTGAGCATCACCCGGCCCCGGAGCCTTCAACGACACCAATGGACATGGATACGAAGGAACCGAAAGAAGAAAGTCAGGGGTGATGCCTCTCGTCTTTTCTCTTTCCTTTCCTTTCTCGCTTTCTCTTTTCTTCTCTAGTTTCTCGGGTCTTGTTTCGATTATCCTCAGATTCGAACCTCTAATCTTTTCTCATCCTGTTTACTATATTTCTTCAATATGTTATCTCGTCTCGGGAACAAAAAAGAGAGACTATTCTTGTTTTCTTCTTCTTTCCTCTTCTTCCTTTCTTCCATCTCGTCTTCCAGAACTGTGTCTGGTTTGCTTCAAACCAGCTACTTCTATGGAGATACACCGGGGTAAACCACATATCATCCACGAAAAAGAAAAAAAAAATTCGGAATTCAAAAGCAGATGGGCATTAGGAAATGGGAAAGTCATGAAATGGTATGTAATAGATGGATGCATGTATCACTATAAATTTCTATTGATTTATTTGGCTCTTCTCCTATACGGGTGCTCGAGCGTAGCGATGAATAGAGAGGCTCTCTTCCTCTGGAGAACTACGCAAAATGCGTGTAAAGAAATCCCAAGGCGGGCTATCACCTTTCTCAAAGCTGTAAAGTTTAGACTGTCTGATAACCAGTGCTTCATCATCCATGCAAGCGTAGAAGATGCGTCCATGCTGAGGCCCCAGGAAAGATAGCATCAAGACCTAGCATAGAAAAAACATGTAAGCTTTCGGCAAATGTAAAGCTTTGGGGACTGGGGTGCCATATATGATCATACAGGGAATCTCCTTTCATTCTCATACTCAAACGTTTCGGGATCAAGCGCCCCTCCATCTTCATCAACCTTGCGCTGGTTGGCACGATCCTGCATTGCGGCAAGAATCAATATAAGCTCCCCCAAAGACATTGAGTCACTCTTTCCAATGCAAGATTGAATCGCCACAAAATGGACATGAGGGTGATAGCCTCTGCCACATTCTCTCTTATGTTCAAACACTGGCTGAGAAGCCCAGCGTTGGCCCTGCATATTGCCGCGCAGGTAATATCTCCAAAATGGGTGCGGTCGACTAGAATCAGAATTCCTTTTCTCAGTCCAAAGGTAGAACAGTACGAAAAAGTAAAGATTGGATAGTATTTACCAGATTGGTCGTGCCTCGAGTGGCAGAAACTTCACCCATGTTTGGCCAACTGTGGCATGGCATATGCCCAAGAATGCATATATTGCGCTGTGAGTCTTGCACAGGCCTCAGTATTCCAAGCTTCTGCTTCAAATCCTTCAAGATCTGCAGGAGGGTCGTAGTCTCGAAATTCCAGCTGTTCTAGATCTTCGGGATCTTCGTATTTTGTGTCTATAGGATGCTTCTCAGCTATCTCAAGTGAGATTGGACGAAGGAGAACAGGTGGATTGAGACTCTGTTTAACATGCTCATCATCAAGTGACTCAAAGGTGAAGGGGATACGCTTTATTTGGAGGGTTTGTAGGACGTTATCTCCCCGTGCACCATCAGCTGATACGTTGAAGGTCTTCGAAGTGAGAACCTCTTCAAACAGGAATTTATCCTATTTTGTATCCGAGTACAGCTTCGAGTCACGGGCATTGTTGTCTTTTTGAATAAGCATCAAAGTGGTGATGTGCCTCGAGTTGGACAGAATTAGGGCTAGAATGCCTCAGGCGCCGCCATGTGATCTGGACATATTTATATAAACCTCCCATTTTATACAAGAAGAGTGCATGCCACAGAATACTATATAGCCATCTCCTTGTAAAGGACCATCTAGTGTTTGCCTAAACCGAAAAAACCTGCAGATGATAAAGAAAAGGCTTCCAAAAGTCCAGCAGGAACTTATATTATTGAAATAAAGGGACACATCAATAGTCATCGAATGCAGCCTAATATGGCAGCAAATGATTTAGAAGTCTTTTGTTCGAATGTCTGGAAGCCTGGGATCCTACAAATCTGTTGGTAGCCGAGAGCAATTCACTACAGAGAACCTCCATACTATTTGCTGAAATGATTAACAGCAGCCACTAATTCGCTCAGGCGAGAGCAGTGAATGAAACGGCTTAAGCGAGTTTGTTTTGATTTGACTGCATACTCCTAAGCGAGTGCGATCTTCTTTCCTTTATTCCCCTCTCTTCCTGTCTCTCTCTTCTCTTCTCCTTCCCGGCTTCCAGCTTCCAGCTTCAACCATCCGTTCCCTTTCATCTTCTCAAGTCTAACCAGGTACTCTCCCAACCCTCTAAAACCAATATGAGTAACTACAGAAGCAGCAACAGCAACAACGGTCCAATGGCCGCTGCTGCCCCTCCTTCCCCTCCTCCTCCTGGTCGAGGTGGTCGAGGTGGTCGTGGTGGCCGTGGTGGCCGCGGAGGCATCACGAAGGTACATACACACCCTATGCTAGAAGCAGCAGCATGAACTACAGGTTGATATCTATGGCCAGGGATGTAGCCGCGTCAAGTGCGCGAAATGTCACAAATGGGGACACGCCCAAGCCCACTGCTGGAAGGAATGGGCTGAAAATCTCAGAGGCTATGACTTCATGATGGCTAGTCAACCTATTCACTTGATACCTATAATGCCACATAATTCTGATCTACAAACAACAGGCAGTACGCACAAGAGGTGCAAATCGGGCTTTTGGTGGTTGTGGTGGTGGGAGGGGTGGTTATGGCTCACACCATGACCAGCAAGCCCCTCCTGCCCCCGATCATCAGGTGAGTCCTTACAACTGGTGATAGTTGCCATTCGATATACTGATATGATTTACAAAGCAAGTTCAGGAGGCTTCCCATGCCCAGCAAACTGCGGGCAATAACAGTAGTGTTCCCCTCCCGACTAACCTGGCACAGGAACAGGCCAACCAGCTTCTCGCTGCCCTGGAAGGCATAGGCAACGAAAATTTGTATCCAAGTTCTTTCATCCTATACACTCTGTCCATCCCACTAATATACCATCTGCACTCTAGGGGACATGTTTTTCTCTGGCTTGGAAGGTAAGCAATGATACCATAACCCTAAAAGCAGAAAGACAACCTCTAACAAAAACACATTATGTATCGAGTCCGCAACGGCCGGCACCAAGAGCAGGCAGAAGGCTCGCATGGCCAAGGGCATGACGACCTCATTCAGTGATACCTTTTTCCCCCACGAGGGTTTTTTTCTCTTTTTTTTTTTTCAAGACTGAGCCTTGGATCGTGCGGTGATGCGGGGTTTCATACCCATGCTGAGCCAGAGAAGCCTGGATAGGAGTACATTCTTCTTGATTGTACATTCTTCCAGAAGAGATACGTCAAAATAGCAGATACGCAATGACAGCCACAGGCTAGTTTGTTCTATTCCAGTCAATTCTTCAACTGTAAAATGTGTACTCCGTAGGTTCCTTATAGAGGTATCTCGGACGTGTCACTTCTAGCTACTCATCGTATATAAACCAATGAAGCATTCGAGGAGGGCACTTCACAGCAATATCCTTCAACTCTATTCCGATCAACCAGATTGGAGCCGACCGAATGGCTCAACTATAGGTGACATCTCTTAAATAACAGAATTTCTACAAATGAAAACAAGTCAACCTTGACTCTTATTTCGGTTTGCCAACGTATGAAGTAACATTAGGTAGTCGTACAGTATGCGTAGCTCTGTGATAAACTTGATAGTTTCCTCACGCCCAACGCCTGTACCGGGAAGTCAACATAAGGTATGAATATCTTAAATCCAATATACACTAGAAGCAAATCCTACACGTATATACATACACACGATTCTAGTCGACTCCGGCGTACAGATCGACCACGATATTGATTGCCGCAACAAGAATTTCAGCAGCAATAAGAACGATAACTGTACCTGTTAGCGATACTGACATGGCAGTTCAATAAGCTCGAGAAACTTACCAATCCATTCCAGGTATTCACCATGTCGGTGAGTCAACTGTTCCTTCAACACGGCCAGAAGATCCGCTATCACATCTAGTCGTTCCGTCAGTAGACTGACTCGCTGGTCCATCTCGAGATAGCTGCGGACGGCCTGGTAAACAGGTTCCAGCTGCGGCTCTGCCCACATCAGCTCCGGGCTGTCCAGGACAGAACCTTGCAGATGAATGTTAATTCGCAAGATAAAAAGCTCCCCAATTTGCATGTTGATTTGGCGTCGTGTAAGATTGACACTGCCTGTTTGGGCAATCTGGGCCGGCAACGGTGCAGTGCTTGAAATGGTTTCTGAAACAAGGTCTTCGAACAGGGATGTTTTAACAGACTGTGCCACGGCATGGGAAATGGCAAGTTTAATCATATGGTTTCGTGGATCACGGAGAGAAATAAAATCGTTGTATATCCGAGCCTGGTACTCACGGGCATAGTAAAAGTTGAAATTCTCGATCTGGGTATCTTCGGGGCTCAAAATAGACGTCGCAAATTTAGATATATCAGACAAGAACCTTGACTCCTGTGCAGGCGTCATTCCCCAAATGACGACAGTACCATAGTCGAAAACGAACACTTCGGGTGTATGAATCGTGGTGTCGAAACCCGGAGTCTCATCTGAGTGTACAACAGCGCTTTCAGAAGTATCTATCGCTTCAGAATTATGGGAACCAGGTTCTTGAAGGTCAATTAAATCCCCACGTCGACTTTTTGCGTTATCATCGATTTCAACCGCACTATCTGAGAACCTGCGCTCCGTAGACGGACGTTCAGGTCGTTGGCTACCTTCTGCTTCCAGCCCACCACTAAAAATTGCGGGTTGCCTTTGTTTCTCCTCATAGTTGTAATCGTATGGAGAGTACGCACACTCGTCGTACAACTTCGGGTTTGCCCCACGGGTTTTCGACCGTGACTTGAGAAATCTGATCACCCCATCCAGTCGATACGAATTGGCCGTACAGTATGCCGTCACCCGCGGCAAGCGTTCTCTGTCCGCCTTTCCCAATCTCGCAGCATGACTCCTAGCAGTCGGTTCCTTGATCCTTGTAATCTGAGAATAGACATCTCGCGGGAAGTCGCCCTCAATGCCCTCTTCTTCGGCCGCCGTCACAGGGTCTGGGAGAAGCTTCAATTTCTGTGCCTTCTTCGTCGTTCTTTGTGGGCCGACTTTGGGCGCTGCGTGGATCGAAGGAGTTATGGTGCTGAACGGAGATCCATGGCTGTTGCGACGTCGAAGCTTGCTATTCAGGGCGGACAATCCGGTTGGTTTTTGGTGACCGTCGGGGGTATTTTGAACGGGAGGAGAGCCGGTTTGCAATGGTCTAAAGGTAGGATCTGTAGCTGTCGCATTGCCGCCGTATGTGCTGATTGTAGCCAATGGGTTGAATGTAACTGTTCGTGGCGGTCGATTTCCTCGCGGTGACGTATTAGGATGTTGGCTGTGCTGGGGAAGAAGTGGTGATGATTCTGTTGTTGAAGCCATATTGTACCTGACAGAATGGTACAATTAGAGAATAACAAGAGTCGCCATCCGTAGACGAAGCAATGAAACGGGCCAGTCTCGAGGGGAAAGGAGAGTGTGGAGGAGGAAAGATGGACGGAGCAGAGCTGTGCTTGAAGCTTTTTGCACGTGCGCCCGCCAAAGGTTGTCGTCTGCCCAAATCCGGTAGATTTATTACATTGAAGAAGAGAAAATTGTCAAGAAGTGCCTGTAATCTGTTTGCCAGGGATTATGGTGATCTTGATGATGTTTGGATAATAAATTCGTGCCAGAATATTCTACAGAAAAAGCAAAAAAAAGAAAAGAAAAAGAAAAGAAAGAAAAAACGGTTCTTATCCCTTGCAGCATTTTCAACACCATTATTTCCTACACTCTAGACCGACTGTACAATTTTATCCAAACCACCCAAAATACCCACGCCTATACTATGATTGGTACGATGTACAAGGTTAATCCCTCGTATTCATCGGGCTCGATGCGATCATTCAGCTTCGATCCCAATCTTGCTCTGCTTGCAGAAACGATGCAGGCGCGTCCACAAAGGAGCTTCCAAATAGATGTGAAAGCCATCAAATCATTTACTTTTCAAGAGGAACATATGTATAATAAAACCAAAACCCATGCCACAATCAAAAAGCAACCGGGAGACCGAGATAAAAGTGTATGGGGATTGCGTCGGGTATCAAAAGTAGGTGTGATAAGTGACACCAGTCCGCTTCGGACCAGTCGAATATAGACCAGAAGTCTTTGTCAGGATACTACTTGTCTTTCACCGCAAGTAACCCTGAGGCGGAGATCAAAATGATTGGATATAATGCAGTCATTCATCATTTGCGCACGAATCCCGAGGAGCCGCCGGTGGTCCTTCTCAGACCATTGACGTGTGCTGTGCTGCGACTCCTGTTGAGCCAATTCTGCTTGGAATTGCGTCCAGCCTTTGAAGCCTTCGGGGGCAAAGTTGTCTTGGGCTTCTTCTGAGATGCCTCTCCATCCAATACACGAATGGTCACATCGCCCATTTTCACATCCTTGGGGGCATGCTCTGCCTTATCGAAGAACCTCATCTTATTGGGTTTCTTATGTCCGAAATTGAATTCTTCTGCGGGTGGTGTCGGGGGTCTTGTATCGGGTGCCGCGCTCAAAATATCATCAGGAAGCAGAGCGGGGAGAGCGAGTCGCCGCGCATCTTGTGTGGTCGAGCCTTGAAGAGTTGCCGTACTTTCTGAAAGCAAATCATCTGGGATAGCACCAGATCCTGGTTTGGGTGCAGCAGCCAAGGCTTCTTTCTTTTTGATGGATTTCGCTTGCAACTTGCGGCGCTCATCCAGTTGTTTTCGCTTCTCTTTCTTCAATTGCTCCTCTCTATAAAGAAGTCAGTCTATGCTTTTAACCAGGCGGAGCGGCGTAAGGTTTACTTACACCTGTCTAGCAGCTTCCTGCTTCTTAGCCTCTGATTTGATCTTCGACAATTGAGCTGAGTTGTCGATAGTCTCTGGTGCCTCATCGTCACTGCTCTCTTCGTCGTCATCTTTCTGGTCCTGTTGGGGCTCGGGAACCTCCTCTTCTTGCACAGGTTCTTCGGGCTCTTCACTGCCAAACCTCACGTGGCCAGCTTTCGCAGGAGCAGCTGGCTTATCCTCGACCTTTGGCTCTTCATTCGACGACTCTGCCTCTTTTTCTTCAGCTGCTTCAAGGCTGCTTCTCTTCCTTCGCTTGTTGATCGGGGTATCTGCTTTCCCGGCGTTCATAGATCCAGACTTCCGCTTTCCTTTCGTAACAGGGGAATTATTATTGCTGTGCTCCGCCGCTGCCTTGGTGGCGTCGATATTTCCTCGCCGAGTAGCCGTCACCATCTTCGGTTTTTTGGTACTTTCGTTCTGCAATGATCGGGTAGTAGCGGGGGTGCTGGGCCTGGTCGGGAAGGCTTCGTCGGAATCCTGTCGCTTAAAAAGACCCTTTGCCGCAGTGACAAACTGGGAAAACATAGAGGATCAAAAGATTCTTCTATGAATTCTAGCCAGCAGCTCGAATGGAGAAATGTTATCGCGCCCAAATTTTGGTGGAGCGCCGATGAAGAAATTCCGCAGAATCAAAAAATCTTTCGGTCTCATGTTGTTCCGAAGACGGCATTCTTTGGATTTGGGGTAACTTGATAGGCATCACCAGCATTAGAGATTATATTTAAATTTATTTTGATCATGAGATGTGTATTTGAAAATAGAATTATATTTTGTGAATATAAATAATATGTATTCAAATCCGTTGAGGATGAAGGGAAGGAGAAGAATACTAAGTCAGATATTGTATCTGAAATATATTCCCAAATATGATTATAGTAGACAACCAAACACCATTTCCCGGGCCCATTTGCCTAAAAGCCGTAAACTCCAAACCACGGTGCCGAAGTATCACGCCTTGAATGAAGATATTATAACAACCGGCCAAACAAAACTACAAATCCGCCGTCTCACCTCGCGGTGATCATTTGGTTTCGTTCCATGAGCTCCTCATTTGCACTGATGAAATCGTCCTCGCCAATATCGCTAGCCTCATCCCAGAATCTCCCCTGCTCATCGCCATCATCCCCACTCACTGCCCACATACTTTCTCTGAGCCGTTTGTTTCGTTCGCGGTCCTCCTCAATTCTCTGCTCAATCTGTCTTTTGTCCAGACGCATCCCATTCACCGTGTAACCTCGCGGAGTTCCACTTTTTGACTTTCCATTGCCATCTGGCTCTTCGGTTTCCAAATCAAGATGAGCCGGATGAGTCTCACGATCCTTGAGGCCAGCATCGATCTCCGCTACGGTTTCGGCGGAGAGAATGGATTTGCTCTGTAAACCGTTCAAAACTCGACGGACATGCTTGACGTTTGCTCCTCCTGAGCCATCTGGTGGTACCACGGCGTCGACTACACGGAGTATGTCTCTTTGCATCATTCGGATATATGGGAGGTGGTTTTCTTTGGTGGCCATTTCGCAAAAGTGCTCAATAAAATACATGATGTTTGCTCGGTTGTTCATGTTATTCTGTAGGAAGGGACTTAGAAATTTACCGCGAGAAATCGATATAAAGTATATACATACTCGTTCAACCTGCTCCAAGATACAAGAATGGAGATCCTCATCCATGTCACGGTATTTGAGCGCATAATGGGCGGCTTTCTGGGATGAAGTGATAGAAGCACTCAAATGTTGCAGCTGCGCTGTAAAGCGCATGCGAACTTCAAACGGATCTGCCATCATAATGCCTAATGTTTGTTGGATTTCTCAATGCTTGCCAGACACTTGGAAGGAGAGGAATGTTGATCGCGATGAAGAGCGGCGCTTTTATCAATCATTGGATCAGCAAAAGGCGGTCTAGTTATGTTTAGACAGGCAGAAAATGTGGGGTTTGGCGGTCAAAGTAGCCTGGATATAACAGCCCCGATTGCGATAACTGGCACTCTTTTTCATCGACTTATGGGCATTGATCTGGTGCATTCAGTTGATATTGTACCATCTCTACATCTCAATATGCCAATGTTTTCAAGAGCTTACCCGCAAAGCACTGGAGTCGAGGCTCTCTACTCGCATTGTGTGTTGGTTGGACTGATTACGACAAAGGTTTAGACAACAGTGAGGTTTTCTTCGGCCGTTTAAGAGACCAGAGCCATTTACTGCGGTATAGGGGAGGTAGTGACATAGATAAGAAACAGAACTAGGACTACAGCGCATATAGTCACAATATTGACAGAAAGGAAGAACCGACTCCGCTGCGGCTGGCAGGAACAAGGCAGCCCTGAATAGCTTCTAAACAAACAGACAAAGCAAAAAAAGACGAGGCATAGGCTTGGCCTGCAAAGCACTTGCAAGCCAATTATTCAGTACTCTTCCACTGGAGAGCTCCGCAAAATGCGCGCGAAGAAATTCCATGGTGCAGTGTCAGATTCGGTTCCTAATATCGCATGGGAAATTATTGGAAGCAAAATAAAACTGACCCAGACTGTAGAGGTGGTGTAAAAATCAGTGTGACGTGAAGAGGATGCCTAAAAAAAAGGATACACCCACGATCATCGAAAATTGGGACTGACTGAAACCTTGTAAAGGTTTGGTACCCATGAGCTTTTCATCAATAACTAAGATACTTACCAATGGAATAGTTTTCGTTGTTGGATTCGATATACATTACGTCGCAACCACCCAATTTGGGTCAAGCTGGGAAAAATGGACATATCAAACGCGAGTCCATAAACTCGGCTTTCAGAAATGACATGATATCTACGAGTATACGGGCTGAGATTCAAAGAATCAATAGCAAAACGAGAGCGTTCGTTGATAAACGCCAAACCAAACCATAGACGGTCATATATATGTGTTCCTGTATCCAATAATGTCCCAGATAGATCTAAAATCTGGAACTGAAACTACATTGCGCCAGAATATCAAAGTATAATCCCCAACCCAAAACAAAATCAATGATATACAAGATGAAAAGCAACAGTGGTACCAAAAAAGTTCGTAAATCCACGCGTATTTGACATCAGAGGGACTGCCGTCGTTCCATGGAACTGGCAAGACTCTGGCTGTCGTCACCATCAAGCAACCCCACCTCTTCTGCTGCGCTTCTTTGCGTGGAATAACCGTCGTCCAAATTCTTGCCCTTGTTGAGTTCAGCTCCGTTCATGATAGACCAAATGTCTTTCTTTGTCAGTAATCCTTGAAGAACGCCCTTATTGGAGAATAAGACGTAGCGCAGACCAAGTCGTTGGAACATCTGCAGTACAATCAAGAATGTTGTGTTACTATTGAGCGTGATAGGTGTTTGGTCCATCCAGGGTCGTAAATCGACGGTCTCCACGGGATCTGCAAATGGTTGATGCGCGAAAAAAACCTGCGTCTCTCCAGACAAGTTGCGATTCGAAGAGGATGCCGAGTTCTTGAGGGCAAATGAAAGTTCATTCCGCGAAATGTATCCCAACAAAATAGGATTCGAGGTATCAGTGATGACCGGGAACCCACGATATTGAGTGGTCACAAGGAGGTTGTGAAGGCTATCAATGGTATGACCAACAGCAACTATGGATGTGATATCGTCGACGACGGTCATCACTCTGTGAGCGGATACATCCGGCGGAGTTGTGTCTTCGCGATGATCGAGGAATGGATATTCATTTAACTGAATCCATGATTCATAAATTCCGCGCTTCCCAAAGATATCGCCGCACCATTTGGACAACATGACGCCAATCATGATTGGGATTACATAGGTCAAGGCTCCTGTAAGCTCAAACATGATAACCACTATCGAAACTGTCATTCTCGTCGCACCACCAAGGGCCGATGCAGCCCCGATGATTGCATATATCCCTGGCGTGACACACGGAATATCTGGTTCACAGTTGCTAAATATCAAGGCTTTCGGATAAGACTCTTGCCACATCTTCATAGCCGTTCCTAGACCGCGCCCATAAAGGGCACCGATAGCAACAGAAGGAAGAATGATACCCGCAGGCACATCCAAACCAAAGGTTACTGATGCAAGGAAAAAACCGAGAAGTGCAGCCCCAAGAAGAAGAGCTATCGTTCCAAGCGATGCAGCGCCGGTTTTGCAAAGCCCGAATGGATCTGCCTCCCCAGTTCCGCATTCAGCAAATAATGAATGAACAAGCTCCGAATTCTGAGCCCTCATGAAAAGGTTGGGGAAATTAATTAGTGCAGTCAAGAGAGCTACAACCACAACTTCTGTCAGCGGGCGAGGAACACTTCGAGATCGTCGCCACTTTGCAATTCTCATATTTAGCCGAATGAGGAATGCACCGTAAAGACCACCTACAATTCCGAGGAGAATGAACGGTATGATCTCGAAGCGATGCCATCCCCTCGTGTATTTCACCTGATAAAGAACGATTTCGCCTGTGCGAAATGGATTGACAGCTTGTAAAGTTACAGCGGCGACCATAGCACAGACAAAACTCTGCCACATGGCTTTATCTGGAAAGTAATATGACAGTTGCTGGGAAATAATGAGCTTAGAACCTCACGGGGATATTGTTCTTCTACCGGTGCCATACCTCTAAGCTGAACAAGACACCTCCGATAGGAGCTCCGAAAGCAACAGATATTCCTGCGGCTGCAGCCGCAGACAAGACTTCTCGCTTCCGCGCTACATTCTCAGTATGAATTGCGAAGAAACCTGATAGGGACGCATACCTTCATTGTGATTTAAACTGTCAAATGGTTTCATCATTATATTGGCACAGCAGCATGCAACGTGCACTAGCGGACCCTCTTTACCTAGCCAAAGACCCGAAGCAACGGATAGGCACTATTAACGAGTCAGTAAATCAGTAAGCCCTAAGCGTTTTCAAGATTCATACCAGTCCCAAGGATTTGATCGCAAGAGTCCAAGGTCCCATAAAGTGTCTGATCACGAAACCTCCAAGCACTGTCTTAATCTCGGGAATTCCACTGTGTCTTGCAAATATAGCATAGCTTCTGACCAAGAAGCAGGCGCAAATGGCGAAAAGGACCTATTTCCCCATATGTCAGTCCATTGCCGAGCAGGGGGAAAAAAAAAGAGGAAATTTACAGAGTATAGAGTGTAAAAGATATATTCGACCGTATAACCACCTCCGGTGGAATGGACACCTAAGGCCTCCCTCCAGGGTGTCCAGTCCAAGCATTCGGATAAGTCTAGGCGCAGATTAGCGGACCGGTCTGAATATTGGCGGTAAACAGCCTACCATCATGACCCCAACAGCAGAAATTGCGATTCAAGTAAAATTTTCCTCCTCCTCTACCATTCTTGCAATAGCCGGTTTTGAGATCCCCTAGCCAGTCACTTGCGACGTCGATGGCTGCTGCGATGATTCCCACAGAAATACCCGTCGCAATCAACACGAGCCAGACGTTACTGGCGTCGAGAAGTCTGCGGACATACCCAACTAGACCTTGACCGCTTGAATAGAGTAACCTCTTCCTTTGACGCTCCTTTGTATACTCGAAAATCCAATCGATTGCCGTGAGGTTGTCATAGCCGACTCGTCGCCCAGGACCTTCCACATACCAATCGAGAAGACCTCCCTCTTTTTGTACATTTAGATTCCCACTTCTACCATTTTGTCCAGCAAGCCTCATAGGTGAACTATCTCCTGAGAGTTGACCATCTCGGGTGCCTGAGGGGCCAAAGCGGGCGTCTCCAGCATCGTCACTGGAAAATAAACTTGATAAACTAAACTTGGAGCGCTGTTTTTGTTTTCGTTTGAAAGTTATACTGAAGAAAACGATTTGTCAGTAATCTGCGATTCCAAGTGAAGATATTCCACCTTACGGTTCATGGGCTCGTTCACTTAGAGAATCATTTACTCCGCGTGGATGTTGCGAAAGGCTATCACTGTCATAGTGATCCAATGGGCGCGCAGACTGCGAATGGCCATCAAACTCCGGACCGGGTGGTGTCATAGACATGGCTGATCATGAAGGCGTGTCAATATCCGCATCGCAAGACGACACCATGGTCTTTGTCTTTGAAACCGAGTGATCTTCGTCCTCCAACACCTGGACATAATCTCGGAGATGTGGCGCAAGCTCCGTGATTAGGTAAAGGCGGTGACACTGGCATTGTGGGGCTGCGCCACATATCGCGGCAGAAAACGAGCTTCGGTGGGAAAAAAAAAAGAAAAAAAGTGCTGCAGTCCGCAGATGGAATTTTCATCTTTGTTAAAATCATCACAGGAGTTCCTCTTGCGGCAGGGTTAATCATGGATGTTAGACCTGCCTATGAGGGGACTCTCAATGAGTCCCTGCTCTTCGAGCAGCTCCCGAATGAGATCGTGGACCTCATTCGCACTGCTTCGGGGACTCAGTACCTTAACGCGCTTGCGGTTGGCGCATTGAAGTCGAAATGTACAGAGGGGTTTTTTAACCTATACGAACCGATTTTTGTCGACTTAGCGGCACGATGGCTGCTGTCGGATCTTCATGCCAATCAAATCGAAATTATATCCGCCTTTGCACGGATTCTACCATTCGCACCATATTTGCGATCGTTTGCCAGCCAATATGCCTTATCGCGAGCTGGACCTCTATCGGCATTGGCAGTGTCGAAGGAACTAACTCTCCTGCAGCTAGATGAAAACACCATTCGCACCTTGCTCTTAGCGATTTTCAGACTTCTCTCCTTTGATCTCGAAACTTTCTCGAAGGCCGTTTCACCATTACAACTTCAGTCACTCTTCCAACACCAAGATCGATCGATAAGATATCTAGCAGTACGATGCTTCGCTTTATACATGCATACAGCCGATGCGGCCACGGAGAAGATGGTTCGGGGTAACACAGGAGATGACCCTATTGAGGGAGAGTGGGAAGGCATCCGAATTGACTACCGCTGTCTTGGTCTGTGGGAGGAGCGCCGATGGGAAACCCTGGAACAGCAGGTTCGGCATGCAAGGTCATTACGGTCTGACTCAGAGATACTATCGCAGTCTGAAATGTTACGGGAGTTTTTTACCCCAAGAACTGCAGAGGTTTGCGGTGTTTTGATCCCTAGACTGAGTGATGCGTCAATTCCACCGTCCTCTATTGTGAAGACACCGACTACGGTAGGAAATTTGCGAAAGGTTGCGACGGCCTTGCTTGACCCGGAGCCTATCCTATTGGTGGGTTTACCCAACTCTGGGAAGACATCGCTTGTAAACGACATCGCTGTAACCATGGGACAATCGGAATCCATGGTCACACTTCATCTTAACGAACAGACGGATGCGAAAAGTCTTCTTGGCATGTATTCAACCTCTTCTGCTACAGGTTCATTTGCCTGGCAGCCCGGTGTTTTGACCAAGGCCGCCAGAGAGGGCCGCTGGGTGTTGATTGAAGACCTAAACCGTGCCCCGTCCGAAGTTATTGGTCTTATCCTCCCTATTATTGAGAAAGGGGAGTTGACTATTGCTAGTAGGAAGGAACGCATAAAGTGTGCTGATGGGTTCAAAATTATTGCGACAATGAAATCTTCGTATAACATAGCAGGCGAGGAGGTTGCCCCAAGCACCACCATTCTTGGAAGCAGATTGTGGCGCAGAGTGCAGGTAGACTCGCTTTCCGTGGATGAGATTCGGGAGGTAATCATGCAGAAGTTTCCCCTGCTTGAGTCTCGAGTCCCCATCATCATGGATGTTTATCGGCGACTTTGCTCGTCCTTTCACGGAAGCCTTGCGATCAAGAGCTCCCAGGGACGAACGCCTGGTTTGCGTGACTTGATCAAACTTTGCAGCCGGCTGCATAGGCGTCTGCAGCGTCTAGGTGCAAAGACTGGTTACGAAGCTACGCCAGAAGGTGCCGAGGATGAAATATTCCTAGACATTGTTGATATATTCCTGAGATACATCCCAGAGAAGTCCTTGGAGAATTCTCTTTCATCTGTCGTTGCAGAAGCACTTCAAATTTCACCCCAGAGAGCACAGTTTTGTCTTCATGAGCGAACTCCTGCATATTCGGACCAAAGCAATAACCTAATACTTGGAAGGGAGAATTGTCGAAAAATCAAGGTACCAAGCGGATCGGCATCGAAACTCGCCGCGGCCTCTTCTCGCTTTGCTTCTACCAGGTCTGCCTTGAAACTCATGGAACAAGTCGCGGCTGGTGTGCAAATGGCCGAGCCGATTCTTCTCGTCGGAGAAACTGGTATAGGAAAAACAACTGTGGTTCAGCAGCTTGCTACTTTGATGCGACAGAAACTTACAGTAGTAAACCTGTCGCAGCAGAGTGAAAGTAGTGACTTGCTGGGAGGTTTCAAACCCGTGAATATTCGTACAATGGCAGTCCCGATGCTCGATGAGTTTAATACCTTGTTCGAGTTAACATTTTCGGCGAAGAAGAACCAGAGGTTCTTATCATCTGTTTCGAAGAGTGTTGCGGCAGGAAACTGGCCTCGTCTTGTCAATCTCTGGCATGAAGCTGTTCGTTTAGCCGACGGCATCTTCAACTCTCGTGGCAGCGCGGATGCAGAAGAACAACCAACCAAGAAAAGGAAACTGGACTCCCCCAAATACCAGCATTTGCGACAACGATGGGAGCGATTCTCCTCACAACTGGGAGACTTTGAGGCTCAAGTATCTCAAGGAGATGCCAAATTTGCTTTCGCCTTTGTTCAGGGAAAAATTGTTCGTGCGTTGAGGAATGGAGAATGGGTTCTTCTCGATGAGGTCAACCTGGCCTCTCCGGATACTCTTGAGAATATTGCCAGCCTTCTTCACCACGGCAGCGAAGGGTCACCTTCAGTTCTACTTTCGGAAGCTGGAGACGTGGAAAGAGTTTTTGGACACCCGGATTTCCGTATATTTGGTGCCATGAATCCTGCTACCGACGCAGGGAAACGAGACTTGCCCCCGGGTCTTCGTTCTCGGTTCACCGAACTCTACGTTCACTCGCCCGACAATGAGTTGGATGACTTATTGTCACTGATTCAAAAATACCTCGGCGACCTGACATTGCCTGACTCGAGAGCAGTGCCGGACCTTGCACAGCTATACATGGAGACAAAGAAACTCAGCAATGAGAATAAGCTTACGGACGGAGCTGGGCAACGACCACACTTTAGTATCCGTACTTTGGTCCGTGCCCTTATCTATGTCACTGATCACGCCCATGTATATGGATTGCGTCGTGCAATTTTCGAGGGATTTTCCATGAGTTTCTTGACTGTTTTGAGCCAGGACTCAGAAAGACTTTTGATGCCGCTCCTCGAGAAGCACATTTTTAGCAACACAAAGAACGCAAGAGCCCTTCTCGGACAAACACCCAAGCCTCCTGCCGATGGGAAAAGCTACGTTCCGTTTAAGCATTACTGGATGCCATGTGGAAATATGACCCCCGAGGAACAGCCCCATTATATCGTTACCCCCTTCATCGAGAAGAACTTGAAGAATTTGGTCAGAGCAAGCTCAACTCGCAGATTCCCAGTTTTGCTACAGGGTCCGACCTCCGCCGGAAAAACTAGCATGATCGAATATCTCGCCAAGGTATCCGGAAACAAATTTGTTCGAATCAACAATCACGAGCATACGGATTTACAAGAATATCTTGGATCTTATGTGTCTGGTGATGATGGCACTCTTGGTTACCAGGAAGGTATCCTTGTAGAAGCACTCAGACATGGATACTGGATTGTCCTTGATGAGCTCAACTTGGCACCCTCGGATGTTTTGGAGGCATTGAACCGGCTTTTGGATGATAACCGTGAACTTTTCATACCCGAAACCCAGGAAGTCGTTCGACCGCACCCGAATTTCATGCTTTTTGCAACTCAAAACCCTGCCGGTCTTTATGGTGGACGAAAGGTGCTGTCCCGTGCCTTTCGAAACCGTTTCCTTGAACTGCATTTCGATGATATCCCAGAGAGTGAACTAGAATTTATCTTGAAAGAGCGTTCTCAAATTGCCCCTTCTTTTTGCACAAGAATCGTTTCAGTCTACCGGAAGCTATCGTTATTGCGCCAGGCCAACCGTCTTTTCGAACAGAAAAACAGCTTTGCTACATTGCGTGACCTCTTCCGATGGGCTCTACGACAAGCTGATGACCGTGAGCAATTGGCAATCAATGGTTTCATGTTGCTTGCTGAACGAGTTCGGAACCCACAGGAGAGAGCGGCTGTCAAAGGCGTGATTGAAGAGGTGATGAAAGTCCGGATCGATGAAGATGAGATATATGGCCAATCTCAGTTGGAGAAGGCCGCTCCTTTCCTTAAGGAATTATCCCCGGGTATTGTCTGGACAAAGGCAATGAGACGTCTCTTTGTCTTAGTATCGAGAGCGATTCAGAACAACGAGCCGGTTCTTCTAGTAGGAGAAACTGGCTGCGGAAAGACACAGCTCTGTCAGGCAGTAGCAGACCTTTGCAAGAAAGAGCTTTTCACCGTGAATGCTCATGTGAACCTGGAGACTGGCGATCTTATAGGAGCCCAGCGACCAGTGAGGAATAGGTCGGCGATTGAAAAGCAATTGCTGAGCGATCTCCAAGAAGTGCTCAGCGAAGAAAGCATCGAGTTTCAGTCGCTCGAGGAACTGAAACGTGCTTTCAGTGCAATGGATCGGGAACGGTTACAAGCCTTTGACCCGGAGTTGGTGCGACGGGTTGAGCAGAACATCACTCGATCCAATGCGCTCTTTGAGTGGTCCGACGGTAGCCTTATTACCGCTATGAAAACCGGGCAATTCTTCCTTCTGGACGAAGTTTCTCTCGCTGATGACTCTGTGCTTGAAAGACTCAACAGTGTTCTAGAGCCTCATAGATCGATACTTCTCGCTGAGAAGGGCCCCATCGACTCTATGGTGGTGGCTGATGATGGCTTCCAGTTTTTGTCTACGATGAATCCTGGAGGTGATTATGGCAAACGTGAGCTTTCGGCTGCGCTTCGAAACCGAATGACAGAGATATGGGCTCCTCAATTATCTGAAGATGAAGATATCTTGCCCATTCTCCAGATGAAGCTTGATTTGAAATTGGACAACATCCCGAGAGCAATGTTGCAGTTTGCCAAGTGGTTCAAATCAGCATTCCAAAACTCTTCAACTACTTCTCTTTCGATTCGTGATCTTCTTGCTTGGGTCGATTTTGCCAATAAATGCCAGAGTTCGGATCCCTTGTTTGCCATAGTGCAGGGTGCTGCAATGGTTTTCATTGATACGTTGGGAGCCAACCCCGCTGCTATGCTTGCAACTGGACTGCACAATCTTGAGGGCAACCGGCAACTATGCTTGAATAAGCTCCAGGAATTGTTCGCCGTGGACGCTTCGAGCATTTACTCGCAGAAATCAACGATCACCATCGAAAATGGATCTCTGCGTGTTGGACCTTTCTGCCTCCCCGTGGTTGGTGATGCAACGCCGGATCCTGAGTTCATAATGGATGCCCCTACCACCATCGCCAACTCGGTCAGAATCGCTCGTGGTCTTCAATCATCGAAGCCAATCCTTCTTGAGGGAAGTCCAGGTGTCGGCAAGACCACGCTTGTGACTGCTCTTGCGAAAGCTCTTGGAAAACCGCTCACTCGTATCAACCTTTCTGAGCAGACAGACCTCACAGATCTTTTCGGATCAGATGTCCCTGTGGAAGGTGGTGACGTCGGTCAGTTCACTTGGCGTGATGCGCCATTTCTGCAAGCGATGCAACGCGGTGACTGGGTTTTACTCGACGAAATGAACTTGGCTTCTCAGTCTGTACTCGAGGGTCTGAACTCTTGCTTGGACCACCGCCAACTAGTCTACGTTGCTGAACTTGATCAAACTTTCAAGAGACACCCGAACTTCGTTCTCTTTGCCGCGCAAAACCCTCATCATCAGGGTGGTGGGAGAAAGGGTCTTCCTGCCTCCTTTGTCAACCGTTTCACTGTTGTTTATGCTGACAGTTTCACCGACGCTGATTTGAAGAGAATCAGTGCAAAGCTTTTCCCTGGAAGTCCTGCAGCACAAACTGAAAAGTTGGTGGATTTCGTATCTTTGTTGAATCGGGCTATCGTTAAAGAACGACGGCTAGGAGTCGTTGGTGGGCCATGGGAGGTCAACTTGCGAGATATCCAACGATGGCTTCAGTTGGCGGATCGGGGAAACGTGCAGATACCAACAAACAATTTCCTCGACATCATAATTTCCCAAAGGTTCAGAAGCCAGGAGGATCGAGAAGTGGTCTCCCAACTGTACCAGCGGGTCTTTCACGACACGCCGGCTAATGCCAAAAGTTATTACCACAACCTCACCCCGGAATATATGCAGGTTGGACTTGGTATAATGCGAAGAGATCCTCTTTTCCAACGCAGCCTCGAACCACAGATGCAAATACTGCCAGGGGATCTTCCCATTCTCGAGTCACTTATTCTGTGTATAGAGCAGTCGTGGCCAAGTATTTTGGTTGGATCAGCTGGTTGTGGCAAGACTACTTTAATCCGAAAGGCCGCAGCGATCAGCGGCTCAGACCTTGTCGAACTAGCACTGAGCGCTGACACCGACACCATGGACTTGATCGGTGGATTCGAACAGATTGACTACAAGAGAGAGATCTCATCTCTTGCCCAAGAGATTTCCTATTTCCTTCAGCAGCATATAATTTCTGCCCACTCATCAGGAGAAACTTCAGAGGCAATTTCCACCTTCCTCGACCTCCATGAATTATTCCAGGGGCCCGATGCATCATTGGATACTATCTGCTCGTCACTCTCAATGCTATGCCAGGCGTATTCGCACCCGATTCTTGAGGAGTTTTTGACTCGATCTCAAAATCTGTTGAATGTCTCAAAACAATCCGATAAGATGAGGGTTGGTTTTGAGTGGACCGAGGGTGTCCTGACGCAAGCTGTCCAGCATGGCCGTTGGGTTGTACTTGACAATGCAAACCTATGCAATCCATCTGTACTTGACCGACTGAATTCTTTGACGGAGCCAAACGGAGCCCTCATACTCAATGAACAACGGACCGAGGATGGATCTGCTCGGATCATTAAGCCGCACCCGAACTTCAGGCTCTTTTTGACAATGGATCCTCGCCATGGCGAGTTGTCTCGTGCTATGCGCAATCGATGTGTTGAAATTTGTTTCTTGCCCCAGGAAGTCGACGAATCTCACAGCCTTCTTGGACCAGCTTACACTAGCGAATCTTTCTTGTATCGTCTTCGACCCGTCTGGAATGCCAAACCATCATTCAATGCTGAAAATCTGGCGAGACTTTCATATGAAGTACGCCTAGATCATCTATCCATTCCAGACCTGGCCTATCTCCAGCGTTCGTCGACTGTTCTGCCTCCACCCAATTTCGAACACTCACAGGGTGAATCATTCTCGTCAATCGTGCAGCGTTATGCTTCCATGATACATGAAAATTCGTCTTGGAAACCACTTGATCATGTCAAACAGGAAATCCCACTTGGCGGTGCTTCGATGGCTGTCCAGGGATACTTCCAGCCCCTTCACCCACTTGTCAATGAGCCGTTGGCCATGATAGCGGGAGCAAATGTGCCTCTGTCATGGTTGATTATCCTGGCACAATTGCAGGAGTGCAAGCTGGATCTTTATCGCTTACGAGAAGGTTTGATACGAGCAGATGAATCCGGAAAACTCCTTAAGCCAAGCCAAATGACTCGCTTAGAACGCTCGTTGGCATCAGGACGGGTGCCCGCTTTGATGAAGGACGCAACACAACCAGTTGGTTCATTCTTATCTGATTGTGGACAAGCGCTTTACGACTTTATCCAAGGCTTAGACCAGGATGCTCTTCAAATCCCTGAGTTGGTGGCTGCTCTTCGGGCCATTGTCAATTTCTGCGCAGATATCTTCCGGGTTACAGAAGTAAAGCAAGTGGACGAGGGCGCATTCCAGATCTATCTTCAAATTGGTAAAGAATTGTGCGTCTCCTTGCAAGACTCATGGCCGTTATTGGAACCGTTGGCTGTCGCTTTATCTGAGTATCTCGGCCGGTTCCAAGCGGGATGGGCCTTGACCACGGGACTTAGCATGCAAAAGCTTTGGGAATCATGGAGGCCAGCAACCCCCGCTACCCAGGAACAGTTGAAGTCTTTGATGGAATTGGAGTCTGTTGTTCTTGAGTTCACCGATCTTGCTACCAAGACACGCCTGGAATTGTCTCAGTTGAGTCAAGTACGGTCATCCTTGATTGACGCACAACGATCCATTCTTTTGGACGGAGCCGATGGAGAATTTCTTGTACAGGTATGTTTTCTTGTGTAGCTATTTCTTCACATCTCTTCTTGAAACTTATCATAAACAGGGTGTCAAGCAGATAGTCGCGGAACTGTCGAAGGCCGTTCAGCATGCAGATTCGACAGAAAAGCCTTACTTTTTGACCAATTTTGAAGCCCTGTGTCAATATCGCGATATTTCATCTTTCTGGAAATCTGGACAAGCAAGCGATCCGGCAATTCAAAACCTCCTACCGCTGTTGGCTGGTCGCCCAGCTCGGCCCTTGGACGCATCCAAACTCAAGAACAATGTTCCAGATATTCTCCATAGGATTTCATTGTTCTCCGGGTGTGGGGACTCAAGCTCTCCGAATGCCATCGGTGGAATTGTCTCCCTCTCCCTCTTACAAAAACTGACATACGTTGGTGTTACAAGTTTGGGCCAGATCAATGCCTTGGAAGCTGAAAAGAAAATTCTTTCCAAAGCCGTGGCTGCAACCAGTGAGGAGATTGCCGTGGATCAGACTAAAATTCTGAGGCAAATGCTGTCAAGGCTGGCTATGGAGCTAGTCGTCCTCCACGGTGAGCTATTTGAGCCACAGTGCTTGGAACACCTGACCGCGATTCTTCGGTCGGTAGAGGAGAAGGGCTCGTGGACCGGCCCGCCGTTGTATGAAATTCAAGTGGAGAAGAGCTTACCGGGTGATCATTTCTTCAGAGCCTTTGCCAAGCAAGCTCTCCCAAGTTTGATATCCTCTTTGACATCGAATGCACCTGATGCAACGGGAGAACTTCGAAAGACTGGGCTGGCCACGGTGCAGCTGGCAATCATGCTGTTACGGCTCTTCGTGCCAGACAAGCCCTTTGACCCCTCTCTCGGCCTCGTCGTTCAAAGAGAAAGACATGCGCAACTTGCTCATGACCTTAGCACGAAATCCGAGGCTATATCTTCGTTCGAAATCACCTTTTCTGGCCAGTCTTCCAACATGCGTTACAAAATAGTCCAGGGTCAATTGCAGGATCTGGGTTCCGCGCCGCCTCCTTCATCTGTAAACCGACCACAAGACTCGGAGATCGGTCTTCTACAGGGCGAATTCTCCAATCTTATCAACTCTGTCCTCAACAGGAACCCTGAGGACATGGTTATCGCAGCACTGGACAAGAACCCGCAGTCTGTAGAGATGGTCAAACTTCTCCGTGACAATGTTCAACAGCTGAGCCATCGTCTAAGTACTAATTACAGATCTTACGACGATATCACGGTTCCCGTTGTTCGTTTCCTCCAAATCTTGGAGCTGGGACTTTTCATGACCTCAAGCCAAACCCAGGACTCGAATGGTGCTCAGGATATACTGGCTATCAGTGAGACCACACCATTCTTAGGTGGAACCATCCACCCGATGTCCGCTTCCAACAATCAGGACACTTCATTCGGGTCAAAGTATGCAGTCGATATGCGATTCCACGAGTTGTCATCTCTCGGGGTGGCCCAAGTCGCGGACTCTACCCTCATCCACACTCGGGCAGGACGTGATACCCTTCGTCGAATCTTGGAACAGTTCCATGTATTATGGAAAACAAAACTCCGAGAGGACCAGGAAGACGAGGCTAAGAGAAATAATTTGTACCGTTATCGAGGGTCCTGGGAGGATAGTGAAGAGGTCGATGAGAATGAGCTACGCGAGCTTTTCCCCACGTACGACAATGACTCTGCCGAAGAAAGCAACGAACAGCCTCGCTTTGACCCCAAAGCCATATCTGTTCGACTCTCTTCCCTTCACGCACAGCTATTCGAATCCCAAGACCCCGAAAGAGCTCTCATCAGCTTCGTCAAAGAATCTTCCCGCTTGTTGGGATCGATTTGGTCGGATTGCCAAGGCTCGGTATCATTGACACAGCCTAAAGAACAACTCCCTGGTGTTTTCCTGCTACTTGAAGATGCCATTAACGGAGAGGCACAGCCACCAGCAAATAAGTTCAACTTCTATACTGATTCGAACTCTGCTGAAGCCAAAAGGCTTATGTCTCTGACTCTTTCTGTGCAATCTCGGTTTATTCAGATTCAAACAGCCTGGCCAGAACACGCCATCCTTCAGGATGTCATCATCTGCTGTAAAGAGATCCTTCAGTTCAAGCACACAGAGCCAGTGGCCAAGTTCATCACCAAGGTGGAAAAGCTCTATTCCCTTGTTCACGAATGGCAACTTGTGGCTAGCCGAGAATATTCTGCAGCTTCGCTTTTCGATGAACTCACCGGCCTAATCATAAGCTGGAGGCGCCTCGAGTTGTCGACTTGGGCAAGACTTTTAGACCTCGAAAAAGAAAAGTGCGATCAAGATGTCAGCTCCTGGTGGTTTGTTGCCTACGAAGCGATTATCGCAGCGCCTATTCAAATGGCGGAGTCTGACCAAGCTGGTCTACATGGCCATATTCAAGAGGTTGTTTCAACACTTGAAAACTTCTTCTTATCAACAACCCTAGGCCAATACAGTGAACGTCTTCGACTCGTTAGCAACTTCCGCTCTCTACTATTGCTCTACGTTAAGGATCTCCCTGCCCTGCAGCAGCTTGCTTCAGCATTGGAAAACTTCCTTCAGCACTACAGACCATTCGAGCCTTTGGCACACAAACTTCTGGTTGATAAGAGATCAGCTCTGGAGAAGGACATCAAAGAGCAAATTCAGCTGGCGAGCTGGAAGGACACCAATATTGTTGCTCTTAAGGAAAGTGCACGGAGATCGCATATTAAGTTATTCAAGCTGGTTCGAAAATACCGCGAAATCCTGGCTCTGCCTGTCCAGCAAATTTTGGATCAAGGGATGCCTGATGACAACGAAGATAAGACACAGTCTAGCTCCGCCCAGAGAGATGTGGCCCTAGCCTCGATTGTTTCTCCTGAGGCTCTCGCCATGTGCCAGCAAAAGAACAATGAAATTTGGCTCAACAGGGCGCCTCGTTTCCAAAATCCAGATGGCACAGCTACCAACATGATGAGTGTCTACTCCTCAATTTCTACCGAGTTTGATATATCAGAAGATCTCGAGAGCTTCGCAAGCTCCGTGGTCGAGGGTATCAAGGAATTCAGGTCGCAGACGCCAAAGGTCTTGACCGAAGAAAATAAAGATGATGTTCAACACCTCAAGATCCAGAAACGTCGTCTATACTCAGACACTTTGCGACAGCTTCTGGAAATGGGCATCAAGCGGAGTGCAAGTACCAATCTGGTAGAAACACAGGCATCTATCGCACAAGTCCTTACCACCAGTCCCGCTCTAGAAGCTGGATCTGTTGTCTCGCGTTTGATCCACAGTGCCGACTCTTATTTCCATAGACTGTTGGATCTGCTTCCCCGTGTTCGTGAAGCATCAAGGAATTACTCCGAAGATCTTAGCAATGTTGAAGTTTCAAGAAGTTTAGGGTCCGTTGAGCATCTCTTGTTCCTAGCAAGGAAGCAGAGAGGCACTATCTCCCCCGCAATTTTGGATCTGGGATCATTCGAGTCGACTCTCGTCAAGATGTCCAACCTTTGGAGTTTTGGATCTGGTTCGCTTTCCAAGTCTTCGCCGAGATTCCCAGAGCAAAGACAGGATTTGTCAAGGATGGTGGCGTGGCTGGCACCTATAATTGGGTTAGCCGCCATGATTGTCGAAGTCCATTCTCGATTCTCCGGTGTTGACTCTTCGCCCATCTCCAAAGCTTTGCATGCCTGGAAAGATACCTTCAACCGCTTAAGAAAATCATTGGAGGGCCTCCCGGAGCTGCCAAATGGAATTGTTTCAAACCTTCATAAAGCAACGGTTGATGAAGCATCAGATTCAATTGCCCGATTAAACATGGATGTGATGAGATGGTCTGAAGATCGTCCGGATCTACTTTTCGCATTAAGCCAGATAACACCTTGGGCTACGACCAGGGCGGATTCGACCGTGCAGATTGGCGAAACTGATGCTTTGGCTGTTCAAGAATTCGACGGGGCTCTTCTCACTGCAGTCGACAAGATACTCATTAGCCTCCAAAAACTGAAGGAGATTCCTGCCTCGATCATATCTCCAGGTGCAATTTCAAGGAGCGACGAGTTCTTTACTCGGACAGTGAAGGCTATTCGTATCTCTGATATTACATCATCTCTCGAGTTTGTGTTGGACAAGCTGCAGTATCTTCAGAGTCACACATCTGGCGGAATTTCTTTCGCTTCCGCCTTGGTGGCCACTGTGCTCCCGATCACTAACAAGTATTACCACATTTGCAAAGACCTAATCGACCGCTTCATCTCCGTCCACAGGGAAACGTGCAAGATGTCCTATCTTCTCGCACAGTCCTTCACGCAGATCGCGTCCCAGGGATTCTGCAGCCCAAGCGAGGCTTCCACAGAGGAGGAAAGCAAGTCTGGCAAGCTCGAGAGTGGTACTGGTCTTGGCGATGGTGATGGTGCTGAAGATATCAGTAAAGACGTCGGGGACGACGAGGACCTGTCAGAACTGGCGCAGCAAGAGCAAAAAGAAGAACCTACCGAGGACATGGACAACTCTGCAGATGCGGTTAACATGGACCAGGAAGAAATGCAGGGAGAGGCAGGAGATCGCAAAGAAGGCGACGAAGAAGAGGAAAACGACAGTGGTGAAGAGGGAGAGGACGATATAGACGAGGAAGTTGGCAGCGTCAATGATCTGGACACCTCGGCAGTGGACGAAAAGATGTGGGATGGCGATCATGACGACAAACAGAAGGAGGCCGAGAATGAAGAAGGGAAGGGTGAGACCGAAGCTGATCAACAGACTGCAGCCCAGGAGCAGGAGAAAAAGAATGAAAAGGAAGGAAAAGAGGGCGATGAAGAAGGGGAGGAAAGTGAAGAGGATGAAGAAGCTCCTGAAGACGAAGGCGAGGCTGTTGGGCGTGAGGATATGGAGGTAACAGATCCACATGCCAAGGAAGAAGATGCACTGGACCTTCCCGATGAAATGCAGCTGGATGGCGATGAAAAAGAAGGGGAAGATGATCTTGGAAGTGATGACGGCATGGACGATGGTCTTTCGGATATGGGTCCTCCTCCTGCCGAGGACGAGCAAGTTGGAGACCTTGACAATGCCGCTGAAGATGAAAATATGGATCAGCAAGGAGAAGAGCAGGATGGCAACGAGAATGGTGAAGAAATGCCTGAAGAGGGAGATGCCAATGAGGCCGAGGGAGAGGATGAAGCCAACGAAGCTGGCGAGGATCAGCCGGAAGAGGCAGAGAAAGAAGATTTCCTAGCCCAGCGTGACGAGAATGAAGCTGATGGAGAGAATGTTGCTCCTAGCGAAGCTGTTAACGGTGGACTGGGTGCTGAACAAGACCAAAACGATGAAAAAGGTGCATCTGGCGATGCACAACAGGAAAACGGCTCTACAGACCCTGCAAACACAGAGCAACAGACCGGCGCTGCCAACGAAGGCGAAGATAGCAAGCGGAGCCAAGACGCAGGTGGTGGGGATGACGCGAACCCGCAAGATCCTCAAATGCAAGCGTTCAAGAAATTGGGCGATATTCTCGAGCAATGGCATCGCCGCCAGAAGGAAATTCAGAATGCATCATCACAGGAAGAGGACCAAACCCAGCAGCCCCCTGAAGATACCGACATGGGTGATGCTGATTTCGAACATCTCGCGGATCAAGACGATATCGCTGATACCCAAGCCCTTGGTCAAGCTAGTGAAGAACAAGCTCAAGCTCTTGACCAAAACAAGGCTGTGGAGTCTGAAAATAAGCCCGAGGAAAGTCAACACTTGCCAGATGTGTCCGACGACCAGCAGGATCTTCTTGACAACCAGCTGGCGGATGAGATGCAGCTAGACCAGGAAATGGCTCCCAGAGACGGAGAAGGCGCAGGGGCTATGATTCCTGGCAACTCTCAGACCCAGGAACGAACGAACGATGCCCATGGCCAACAGGAAATTAACGAACAATTGGATGAGGTCGACGCTCATTTGGAGGCGATTCATCTATCGTCCAGCCTCCCGCCGCTTACTCCCCAGGACGAGGCTCGACGACTCTGGGCACACTACGAATCGGCCACGAACGACCTTTCTCTGTCACTGACAGAGCAACTGCGTCTCATTCTGGCACCGACGCTTGCAACTAAGCTACGTGGTGATTTCCGAACAGGAAAGCGACTGAACATCAAGCGCATTATTCCATACATCGCTTCGCAATACAAGCGTGACAAGATCTGGATGCGGCGCTCCATTCCCTCCAAGCGCAACTACCAAATTATGCTTGCCGTCGACGACAGTAAGTCCATGCTTGAGAGTGGAAGTGGCCAGCTGGCGTTCGAAACCCTTGCCCTCGTTGCAAAGAGTCTTAGCATGCTCGAAGCAGGAGATCTGTGTGTCCTCGGCTTTGGCAATGAGGACCATGTCCGGGTTGCCCATGAATTCGGCAAGCCGTTCTCTTCGGAGGCCGGATCGCAGGTGTTCCAGCATTTCAGCTACCAACAAACTGGAACCAATGTGCGCAAGTTGATTGCCGATTCCATTGCTTTGTTCCGAGAGGCCCGTTTCAAGCGTTCGCCAGGATCAGGCAACGCCGACCTCTGGCAGCTGCAACTCATCATCTCTGATGGTATCTGTGAGGACCACGCAACTATCCAACGCCTCGTGCGCCAGGCTCAAGAAGAAAGAATCATGATCGTGTTCATTATCGTTGATGCCGTGAAGGGAAGCTCCATCATGGACCTCAGCCAAGCGACCTTTGAACCCGACATGGAGAGTGGTACTGGGGAGATGAAGTTGAAGATGAAGAAGTACCTCGAAGGATTCCCATTCCCTTACTATCTGGTTGTGCGTGATGTTCGGGAGTTACCGGCTGTATTGGCCACGGCGTTGAAGCAATGGTTTGCTGAAGTTGTTGATGTTTCATCTTGAAAATACTTGCATGATGATATTTTGGGTTAGAAAAAAGCGATGATTTATCATGTTTATGTTTATGTTTATGTTTCTTTTTTATATTCTTATCTTGTATATATCAAAATCAGTGTACATGAATGCATCTACGATTCTACAATTACTGAACTTCCATAAATGATCTGTAAAGCACTTTCGAATCAGACGATCATAAAGGTTCATTATTAGAAACTCCATCTTTTAAAATGCCAATTTAATTATACAAACGTTGGTATCCAGAGTAAATTGTACGTTAAAAGCGAAAACAAATTGACAACACAACACTCTTCACCATCCATACTTGGAACCAGCTTCTTTCTTGTTTCTCCGTCCAGTTGCAAAGCTTTCCTCCAAGGCGTCTTTCTGGGTGCTTGCAGCATTGACCAGCTGTTGCAAGGTGTGCTTGCCTGGCGCAATTGCCCGGACTGGGTTGTGCTGAGCAGCAGCCAGATCGGTTTGACGTGCCGCTTGTTGATTCGAAACGTATTCTGCATCTGTGTTGAAATGGAGGACTTGAGATTGAGAGTCGGCATTGCGGCCAAACAGGTGACGTCGTTCGGCGCGCGAGAGGTTCAGATCATCAGCAATGTTACCGAGGGTTTGAGACGACCCTGCTGTTTGTTGTGAGGGAATGGACGCGGCTTCAGGATCTGGTTGAGGACCGGCTGGTGGAGCTTCAGCCGGGGTACTGTATACCAAGGGCTCGTAAGTTGTTCCTTGGGTTGAAGCATCGGTTGTGCTGGGCTCTTCTTCTTTCGCCAAGGAGAAAAGACTAATCTTGGGCTTCGGTGCAGGAGGAGCTGGAGCTGGAGGAGCAGCAGGCTGAGCAGCAACGTGCTCCTTGGGCGGCTGTGATGGTTCCTTCGACTCGACTGGTGTGGGCACAGGAGGCGTAGTCTTGGGCGGCTGCTTTTTCTTCTGCGGACGTCCCACGGATAACGGTTTAAACATCATCGGATTCCCTTTCAATTTGGTTTCTCCATCTTTCTTTTCCATCACACTTCCTGTCCCGGCAGGCTCTTTCTGAAGACTTCCAGCCTTGGGGATAGTTTCATTATCAACCTCCGCAAAAGCCTGGTCCTGCCGCATCTCCGCATCTGCATCACGGTCAAACCCAGGTCCAGCCCCTGTTTTCAGATTGAAAACTTTGCGCGCAGGCCCAGATGGCTTTTTGGCCTGGTCCGCAGTGGCATTATTCCGCTTAGGAGCCGGTAAAAACGAATTGAATCCAGAAAATGCACCTCCGCCACCACCTATCTTGGCCTTTTTCCGTGCTGGGCCATCTTCGCCTTGGTCGCCTTGGTCACCATCTGTAGAGGTTTCGGGTTTGATTTCAGGGAGAGCGACGCGAATCTTGCGCGGGTTACTGCGATCGACGATGGACTGGAAGTTGGCACCACCGGGGGTCGTGGTGGGCTTGGGAGGATTGGCTGCCGGGGGCCCTGGGACTGGGGTGATTTTCTTATCGGATGGTTGTGTCACATTCTCAGGCTCTGAATCTGATGCTTCGGAATCCGAATAAGACACGAGAGCCATGTTGGGTGATGGAACTGCGGGGAGGGATGAATGCGAAGTCGAGAAAGGAATTAAAGATGTCCGACAGCTTCAGGATGATAATTACCATACGCGTATTGCCACGGTCACGCACAGACCACTATCCCACTCTGCGATACATTTAGGACAAGTATTGTTGTAATATCAATACGCAAATTATCTGGGTGTTTCCAACAATAAAATGCAAATAAATCGTAATATTCCATTTTGATTCTTGACTTTACGACTTTCAGATATCATTTTAATTATTGAATACTAGGTAGGCTATCGCAGAGCCCTGTTTGAGCGTCTTCCATCTCTGGCTGTTTGGTCAGTACTACATGTCAAATAACCGTCACTTTCTTCTTACTTGATCAGCATGAAAGAAGATATACGCCGCTGAGTGCAGAACAGCCTCTTGGTTCTTTGGTGTCTGCAGTATAAATGACATCATTGCAAGATAGCTGATGATCAGATAAGATAAGAGCTGCTGACTAACACAGTTCTTTTTGTTCCTGCGATCATCTTGAATAATGTCGCGACAGCGGACTTTCTCTTTAACCTCACTTCTCACTCATTCGCACCTTACAGCACTTCTTTCCAGAACTTATAAAATGTTCTAAGGCGATCAATACTGTTTCCTCACCTGACCTGTCGCAATGGCGAGCAGCGCTGACCGGGACACCTCCCCGCCTGCTCGAGAAGCCAACGAACACAACAGACAAGAAAGGGGAGACGAATACTCGCGCTCAGGAAAGGGAAAGTTCCGATTCAAGTCATCCAGTTCCAGATCAAAATCGAAACGGGACGGAGAGAGGGAGGAAGATCGCCACAGACGACACAGACATCATCGCCATCACCGCGACAGCCACCATCGGTCGAAACGCCACAAATCGAAGCACGACCGTTCGCCATCACCGACACTATTTGAGGGGCAACCGCAGTTCTCGCCGGATGCAGCATTTCGGGAATCGCTGTTTGATGCGCTAGGGGACGATGAAGGCGCTGCGTACTGGGAGTCTGTCTATGGACAGCCGATCCATAACTACTCGATACCGTCTGTTCCGACGGGGCCGAATGGGGAATTGGAGCAGATGTCGGAGGAGGACTATGCAACATATGTGCGGACAAAGATGTGGGAGCGAACGCGCGAGGGCATGATAGAAGAGCAGGAACGATTACGGCAAGAGAGAGCCAAGCACAATCGGCGGCAGAAGGAGCAAGAAAACGAGCGTTACGAGCGGGTGCGGTTTGAAAAGGCGATGGAAGAGAGTCTACAGAGAGGTCGACAGCGAAAACGACTCAAGGCCTGGAAAACATTATGGGCGGAGTATCTGCAGAGCTGGGAGGACATCAACAAGGAGGTGGCTGCGAGTAGAAATGCCGATAAGCCGGCAGATTCGAATGCCAGCCAGGACCAGAAACATCTTCGCAACCTTCTTTTCTGGCCTGTTGAAAGTGGAAAACGGAGAGATATTTCGCAGGAAACGGTCGAAGAGTTTATGCGCCATGCTCCAGCACTTGAACCGAACGCAGATGAGAAGGATACATCGGCAGATCTCCTCACAACCCTAAAGACTGAGCGGGTTCGCTGGCACCCCGATAAGATCCAGCATCGTTATGGCGCATTGGGAGTGGACGATTCCGTGATACGCAGTGTGACTGAGGTTTTCCAAATCATCGACCAAATGTGGAACGACTTGAGAGAGAAGCAAGGTTGAAGGCTTGCAGCAGCTTTTGTGGAACTGTTTTGGTTTCATCCTGTTTGTTTTTCCTGTTCCACGCATAGAGAGAACTTGCATATACGGCGTTTGACTCGTGATACCCTATTTTTATGAATGAACTATTTAAAGAACCTCTAAGCCCTGTTTGATTTAGAGAATTGCAGTGGAATACACATTATCCACTTCGTCCGAGGCTCGGAGATACTAGATTCATCTTAGATTCTTCGATGACGAAGCTTCAATTCGAAAATAACATAAATACCCCCTCTCCTCCCTCTCTGCATATCAGCAAATACAAACTATCCAACATGTTCTCCCTCCTGCAATACATCTATCTCAAACTACGTGCTATCCTCATCCGCACCATTCTCGACTTCACCCTCGGCCGCCCCAAAGCAACCCCCGACGAGATCCTCCAGATTCCCTCCCGCGATCCGATCCGCACCATTAAAGCCCACATCTACCATTCATCTTCATCTTCACCATCATCCAAAACACCCATCCTCTTCAACTTCCACGGCAGCGGCTTCGTCCTCCGCCACCACGGCTCAGACGACGAATACTGTCGCTACATCACCAAGAACACACCCTACACCGTCTTCGACATCCAATACCGTCTCGCACCCGAATACCCCTTCCCCGCGGCCTTCCACGATGTCGAAGATACCGTGACCTGGGCACTCTCTCAACCAGAGCGCTTCGATCTCTCCCGTCTCGCGCTCTCGGGGTTCAGCGCCGGTGCTAATCTCTCGCTCGCTGTGTCGTCATCGTCGACGGCTCTCCCCCGTGATGCGATAGCAACTACGATGGCTTTCTACTCGCCCACTGAGCTGGCGGAGGATCCGGCGGTTAAGGTCGCGCCGGATACCTCGGGGAAGGTGATTCCGGCTGGTGTGTCGCGGTTTTTTCATCAGTGTTTGATTCCGAGGGGGGTTGATGGGCGGGATCCGAGGATTTCGCCGTTGTATGCGGACCCGGGCTCGTTTCCGAGGAATGTTTTAATTGTTACCGGGTCGCAGGATCCGTTTGCGATTGAGGCGGAGGCGGTGGCTGAGAAGATTAGGCTGGCTAATGTGCAGTTGAAGGGTGAGAGACGTGTCGTTTGTCAGAGGATGGAGGAGTGTCCGCATGCTTGGGATAAGCATGCTATACCTGGAAGTGTGCAGGAAAGGGCCAAGTTTGATGCTTATAACCTAGCTGTGGAGATGTTGAAAAGGTAGAGATAGAAAGAGTATATCATAGAAACATGGCCGAAAATCATTCAAGTACACATAGATACATAGGTAATATTCAAAGCTGTTCATACCTTCAAACCGGTTTGATATAACATCGTGAATATAGGAAAACAAATGCTATGCAACAACGCAGACAGGAAGAAGAACAAGATGGAATTGTCTTTTTTCTTTTTACTTTTTACCTCGCTCAGAATCTCGAGTAGCGCTGCTTGGCCCGGTAGGCGGTCCATCCCACGTAGCCGCCGCCAATGGCAGCGAAGAACAAAACAACCTTGAACAAGAACCATGTCCAGCTTCCCTTCTGCTTCTTCACCATCGAGGCCTTGTTGCGCCCCCGACCACCAGTACCGGCCGAAGATCCCTTGGAGCTGCTGCCGCCGCTGCTTCCAATACTGTACAAGTTGTGGGTCTTGAGGGAGATGATGTCGTGGTTGTCAGTCACCTCACCGGTGTGAGCGGAGAGACCGAGGTATGCAACAGATGGGATGGCAATGTTGGTTTCCGGGTGGGTCAAAGTGAAGCAATTCTGCCAGCTGTCCTCGGACTTGTACTGGAGATCCAGGGTCAAGGATTTGTCGTGGAAGTAAGTCAAACGAGCCTTAGTAGGGATCGAAGCGCCGCGCAAACCACGAGCCTAGTCGATTAATTAGTTCATACCCAATGCTTGGAAATGTTTTTTTCAACTTACAGAGCAGCCAGCCAATTCATTAGCCTTGCCATCATGGGCCTGGTCATAGGTGGTCTGACCGTCGCCCATCATAGCCATGACGTAAGGGAAAGACGTTCCGGGGCGGTTGTTCTTGTACGTATCGAAGAAAATACCAAGACCCTCGAAGTTATCCGTCGAACCAAATACAGGGCCCTGAGTGGCGCGCTGTTTGGTAAGCCACAAGGCGAATCCATCACCGTGCAAGTTACCTTCACCGTGGAACTTGAATTCGAGTTCGATCTATACAACCATGAGAATCGCGAATGAATATTTTTCAGAAGAGCGTGGAAAAAAACCAACCTCCCAGTTTGTCGCGGTGAGCGGTACTCGAGAGAAGATCCATCCCTGCTGCGATGGCTGGTCGGACGTAAGACGGACGTATCTATTCACTGGTCAGCCGAGGTCCAACACTCAATACACACATATTCAAAAGGGGGATATGTACTTGTCGGCCCGCACTATGGTATCTCCACCAAAATCGAACCAGCGGCTTTGGAAGTCCGAATCCAGATAGGGCTGTCACAATTGTCAATGGCTGTTTCACAGGGCTGATTTCGAGCTGGCAGGGAGGGGACCCACCGAGTCAAGGGTGTGAGTTCGGAGCTATATATTCATTGTCAGCACGTCGCTTTCCTATAAAACTATCCTGAGTGGAATATGGCTCTTCATACCGGAATGCTCTTGACATTCTCGTCGCCATCGTAAGCGTTGGCCACGGGGAGAGTCGCGAGACCGAGGAGGCCAAGTAGAGACGAAAGCCGCGGGAGCAGCATTGTGACAAGCAAGGAATAAGACGGCTAATCAACGGCGATAAGAATGATGGTGAAAAAGACAACAGATACGAAGAGACGAAGGATCGACTGTAGCTGGCGAAATGGCGTGTAGAAGCTTATATGGGCAATATGGCGGGATTTGTGTTCGAAGTGTCACCGGGACATCAGCACCTTACAAGCTTTAACCTCTCAGAAGAGAGAAAACCAAGAAGGGCAATTCAAACGGACAGCTGTATCAGAAGGAAGAAGAGAAAAATAAAAAGAAAAAAGAAAGAGTGAATAAGATCAAGGTGGCAGTGATTATTGGCAAGAAACAAGCGTGGAATGGGTTGGCTTGGATCGACTTGCATCCCGGCTGTAAACATCCAAGTGTCCACATCGCCGCGGTGGCGCAGGCGGGCGGTCTTTTCTGCGCCTCAGCCACACTCCGGCCCCAGCTCCGACGATTCAAGAATTAAGAAACCTTTTCATCTTCATCGATCTTCTGCCAACTAACGACACCATTGGACATCCTTGTTAACTAACGACCTACATACTCCTTCCATCAACCTAATCCACCACATACACACACAATGGCTCTCTTCGGTTCCAGCTCCAGCGGTTCTTCCTCCCCCGAGGAAGTCAAGACCACCATCGTCAAGCAGCTTCAACAAGAGTCGGCCATGGCCAATGCCCGTGCCCTGATCTCTGTACGTTAATGCTAATCTTCAGCATCACTTATGCACCCTATGCCAAAAAGTTGCATATTCTCTAATTGCTTCGCAACAACAGAAAGTCAACGAGCACTGCTTCGAACACTGCATTCCCAACCCCGGCGAGTCCATCTCCGCCAACGAAAGCACCTGCCTGTCCAGCTGCATGGAGAAGTACATCTCCCTGTGGAACACCACCAGCCGCACCTACATCTCCCGCGTCGGCAAGGAGAGCAAGAAACTCGGCGGTGAAAACACCATTGCCATGAATTCGATGGCTACCGGATCGGATTAAGTGAATCGAATCGGATCGAATAGAATCGCATTGAGCTGAATATGGAATAACTACGCTATGCTGTATTTGTTGGAAGTTGAGAATGAGGAAGGTTATTTTTCTTTGTCTTTTGGTTCGAATGGGATGGAATGGATGGATGGATTCTCGTACGGGCGTTTCTTTTGCCGGAGAACTTGTCATGATCAATAAATGTACGATATGGGCGGATACAGAACAGACCTGGTAGATTTATCTATTCTACATTTCAGGAAAAGAAATACTGGGAGTATAGAGAGGGGATTTACTGCTAGAGTAGGCAGACAGGCTAATCATACCACTTTGTATATTTGACGAATGATCCATTTGTGCTGGATGGCAGTTTCAACTTTGCTAGTAGATTCGAAAATATGTACATTAAAACAGATCCGAAAGTAGGTTCAATCAATATCGAGAATAACCAACGAATCCGAGTACGCTTTAGTAAACGACAGCCGCCAAAATGAAAGTGAAGAATATCAGAAAGTTGCTGCACATGATGGATAGATAGGTCTTTGATATCAAAATGAACGGCCATGATCAACAAAGGCCAACCACGATGAATAGACCAAAACAGACATCGCAAAGACCGCCAATCTACGTGAAAAGGCAAGTCAATCCAATGCAAGCAGCAGAAGTTCTCAGTCAAGTCCTCTTGGATTCTTTAGATTGATTTCCCATAAAATTTGCATGCACCAACCGACCAGCGCAAAACACCAGAAAATACCATGAGCGCGATTTTTGATTATAGACACTGATGCACCTTCACCAGGTATGCAAAATCACTTCGGTGTGGGCCCCGACTTAGATATAGTCAGAAGATCGAGTCGCTGGGCGACCATAGAGATAGAGACATGGGGAAGTATGATTGGATTTAAATGTTTAATGTGAGGTTCAGTCGGAAGAAACTGGGTAAGGTAGGTTTATTGCGCTTGACTTGCTGCGGTTGCCTTGCTCCTCAGGCAACCCTTCGTGCAGTGGCATCATCATCACATCATCAGTCATACAGCAAGCGCCTAGAAGTCAGGGAAGAGGTGGCCATGGCTGCAGTAGAAAACGGTGGTTAGCAAGATAGTACAATAAAACAAGGCAAACAAGGGAATACGCACGCATCTTCACCATCAAAGCCATAGTGTTCAGTTTCTTCAGGGTATCGATCATATTGGCTAGCGTCTCCCTGGCCACCCCTGATTGGTGGCACATAGGGAGCATCAATGTCCTTCCTGGCAAGTCGATCCCAGGTGACCTCTGCAAACCATGGGTGGCTCTTGACATCGTCTGAGCCACCATGCAAGTTACCCAGGCGTTTAGTGAGATCTGCTGTGATAAGCTGTGACAGCAGGTCAACAGCATCTGGGTGGAGATACGGAGGGTACTTTATTCTTCCTCGCAGGATGTTCTCGTAGATCTTGACTGGGGAACCGCTGTCCCAGAACGGTGTGAAGCCACACAACATTTCAAAAATCAGAATCCCCAGCGACCACCTTGATTTCTGTCAGTTGAGCCATAAGTAGCTTGGAGAAACCGTTCTTACCAATCTACGGATTTGTTATAACCCTTCGACGAGACAACCTCTGGGGCCAGGTAATCGGGCGTTCCGCAAAGAGTCCAGGTGATATCGGGAACCTCCTTGGCGAATCCAAAATCGGTGATCTTCAAATGGCCGTGTCTGTCTAGTAGCAAGTTTTCCGGCTTGAGATCACGGTAGATGATCTGCTGAGAGTGTAGATAGTCCAACGCCAAAGTCACTTCGGCTGCGTAGAATTTTGCGACGGGGTTGGGAAAGCGCTTATCGACCACGTCAGTACTTCATGATAGCGAAGAGTGCGGTGCGACACTCACTTGAGACTTGCGGAGCAAGCTAAACAGCTCTCCTCCCTCCACAAAGTCCATGACCATGTACAGATTCCGCGAATCCTGCCATGTACCCCACAGCGTGATGAGGAATGGGTGTCGAACGCGATTGAGCATCCGTCGCTCGTCGTTCGTGTGTTCAATCTGCTTCATCTTGACGACCTGCGCTTTCTTCAACACCTTGATCGCGTAGAAACGGTGGTTGTGCTTCGATTGCACGAGGTGCACTCGGCCAAAACTGCCCGTGCCAAGTGTGCGCTGGAGGGCGAAATCTTCCAGGGTGTACTTCCCCTTGGTCGTTCGGGCACTGGCCTGCGCCGCCTGCTGCTGACCACCAGCATTTCCGGCTTGCGAGTTCTCATGCTGGGGCGCATTTATGATATTATGTATACTGGCGGCATTCTGGTGGCCAGAGCTGTTGTGGGCCGGCGACGCAGCGGATTGCATGGAGGCGACCTCGTTGGATCTATTGGTACCCGAAGACCGATCTTGCTGGTTTTTGACCGACGACTCCTCCGGCTGGGCGGGATTGTTGTTCGCAGTCGTGGGAGTAGTCGTGTTGGTGGCGGCGGGGTGGTCGGCCGCGTTGGGTGACGTCTGTGTTTCGGCGGGAGGTGACGAACCTTGAAGCTCTTTGGAGAGGGTCTGCGAATCCTTTGTTCGCCGTTTTTTCAACAGACCTCCTAAGCTAGGCATCGAGAATGGAGGTAAGGTGGTTAGGTGGACAAATTGCTTTGCAATACACACAGACCATCAACGGGAGTGTGTGTGGACAAGAGAGCGAGAAAAATTATACACAAGCCGCTCCCCTCTTTCAACTGAGGGGAAGAGATTCCTGGAAATCGTAGATGGTTCTCCGGCGCGGATACAACGGACGCCCCGAAGCCACCGACGAAGCAAGACCCAAACCTCAATTGGAGAAGAGAGGTCAAAGGGCCTGACGGGGGTGGGAGGGAGTTGGAGGAGGGATTCGAGAGCGAACAGAGATGAGCGAAACCCAGAGAGCAAGTGGATTAAGAGAATCCAGAGCGAAAAGAAGAGAAAGAGAGGAAGACTGGGAGAGAAGAAGCTAAGAGGAAGATGGGGGGGAGAGGCCAAGATGGGTGGATGAGCGGGGTTGGAAGAGGTGAAGAAGAGCAGCGAGAGTGAATCCAAGGCGGTCGAGCGTCCCACTTAACTGCAACAAAGTCACCAAAGATGACGATGATGTCGAATAAATAATAATATAATATGCTGGTAATATGTAAAGAGACGAGAGGGCCTTCCCCCGCACAGTTTGGGATTAAATTAATCTCGCTACAATACGTGATAATATAAGAGGACAGCGACAGACTCTCCAGACGCTTCCGGAATACTGCAGGCCAGATGATGCGACCATGTCGGACACTTCGGACAGACCCAAGATGGAAACGATTATTAGTTTGCAAACCAACTGGGAGACAGAGTTCCAAGCATGACGACAGGATACAGGCTGATCAAAGGCTGTACCCTGGGTCGAGGCGGAATGAATCACCACTCTGCCGGTTTTCCAGATGCACCAGATGGATCAGATCGGGCATGCTGACGGTCGTGATAGATGCAGATAGATTCAGATATCCCCAGTGAATCCAATTCCATCCATCCATCGTCTTTCGCGTACAGTAATCCTCGTCCATCCTCGAATTCAATTGTGACTTCATCGTGTGGATCGCCCCGCTTCGGGCTTTTTCCTTCTCGTGCACAAACCAGCGGCAGTGGTCAGAGTCATCATGTCATACCCGAGATATATGGAACCCTATGTCGATAGACTGGGAATAATCCGGATGTTGTTGGTTGGGGTTGGATGAAACTTGAAGCTGTGGTGTTGAGGTCGAATCAGTCATGTGATTGTATCCATGGCTTCATCTGCCATTTCACATTTGAAACAACGCAAACAATATCCAAACATCTTCAAACAGCATTAATTCGTATCAGGCACAAAAGGAGATAACCAGTTTCAGTGTCAAACACCATGTCTGAGATGATTGTGGCTGTGATGGTGAGACTAAATCCGTGTCATTCGATGGCATCGGCAATATACAGTGGTTATAGATGCTACAAGACTCATAGCATGAATATCAGTCTATATCAGAGATATAGAATGTGTCATATTAGAGTGGATTGTCACTATGCAACCTCCTTGCAGACGATGTGTATTTATAGACAGCTGCAGATGTCATATTGATAGACTGGATTGCCAATATATTGATAAACAGCATCCACTATTGCCTAGATATGCTAAGCGACTAGTTCACGCCATCTGGAATAGCAATTACGCCTTGGCTCTCATTGACAAAACATCCGAATAGCATCCACCTAAGAGATGACCATCTGCAATATTGCAGAAACATCTGAACACTGATACAAAGTACAATAAACATGTCTGAATATAAAACCCAAGTTCAAGATGTGAGTCATCTCCATCCATCCACTATACACATCCTATATACTAACAAAACAGCCTCATCTTCGACTCTTAATCACCTATCCACATTCAAACTCGACACTTGTGACACAGATTCTTCAGAACTTGCCTCAATGCACAGTAACCAGTACTCCAGCTGCATACAAATTGACCAACCCAGTCTTCTTGATCCAAGACCCAGTCTGTGTCTTTGCCAACTGGAAGAGTCATGGATACGATGATCTGGGTGCTTTCATCGTCTGCTATAAAGAATTCCATCAGATGATTAAGGATACTTCTGCTTCCAAGATTATTGTCTATGAACAACTCATCCCCGACACCAAAGGGACTATCGCCAGTCTATATGATCACTGGGGCATTCAACCCCCCCAACACCATATTCACTACACCAACAACAACCCACTCGAGAACGATACATCCCACATGCATCTCTCCACTCTTGAAATAGAACAGATCGAAAACCAACTCGGCACTCTCTACCTCAAATCATGCAGCCCATACCTATCCACCATTCGATCCGCTCTATCATCCAAAACCTGGTTCGGGTTCGACCTCGACGACACACTGCATGAATTCCGCAAAGCGTCTTCCCACGCATCCTCCTCCGTCTTTGAGGCAATCCACCAAGAATCCAATATCAGCATCGATACCCTTAAAGCAACCTACGCCGATATCCTCCGTTCCAAGACCGCGAGTGCCTTTTCCGACGGACGAACCTCAACAGAGTATCGCAGAGAACGATTCTCCTGTCTCCTCCAAATACATAACCTACACACCACAGAAGAACGACTATTCCGTCTTCTATCCATATATCAAGCATCCCTCCAAACGGCCCTAACACGCAAACCACACGCCTTCACTCTCCTCGAAAAGATAAAAGCCCTCAATAAGAACGTAATAGTCGTAACAGAAGGTCCGCAAGACTCACAAGAATGGACTGTGGAGCAACTCGGACTACGCCCGTACATTGACATCATCGTTACAACGAATGAGGTTGGAAAGGCCAAGGTTGATGGTCTGTTTTCTGTTGTGTTGGAGAAGTACCATATCTCGGCGCGAGATATCGTCTATGTTGGTGATAACGCTGTGCGTGATATTCTTCCTGCTCAGGAGGTGGGTATACTAGCTGTGCTTTATGATGAGAAGCGTGATTGTCGGTTTGATGATCCTGGAGTGTTTCGTGTTAATTCGTTGGGAAAACTGGTAGGTTTGATAGAGTAGTTTTCTCATCAGTTAGTGACATATAGTAACTTGTTACCATGGAAATAGAAGATAGAACATAACATAGTACTATAGGGTTTAGGTATCACTAGTATACCATCATGTTTTCCTATATCATATTGATAGTGTATATTGTTGTTAACATGGTAAAAGTGAATAGTAAAATGGGGAAATATATATCGGACTCCCAGTTCATGTACACTTCACTATTCTTTTTAGAATTAGTGGTGGTGAATACAGGAACTATTCATTTACTAAAAGTGCAAGGAAGATCGATCATAGAGATGTTCAATTCAAAATTTTACGGCACATACAAGTCAACCATCAGACTCTGTGCGACTACCAACCAAAGGCTAGTAAATTAATATAATAATGAGAACAATCCCATCAAAACACCGAGACCTAGATCCGATAATGGGCCATGTTCTTCTTGATCTCATCGACAATCTCAACCGCTTCAAGAGGATTCCGTGCCTCAAAATCATACCGCTTCTGTTCGTTGGCATCGTTGCCACGGAGGACCACGACGCGGAAGCTCTTGGGGTGTCGTCGACTCACTTTGCATCCAACAACGTCGTTGAAATTGATCGAGCGCGTCTTCGCGTCTGAGCCTGCCTTGGTGGTGTCCCCAGGCATAATGTGCATGTAGTCATTGTCAAAGGTCAGAATCTTATGGTTGGACGCAGTAAAAGACATGGATTGTTTGCGGAATACGTGATAACGCCGGTAATATCCTCCAATAAGATCCTGTTTCTGGGTGAGCGGGGAAAGAACCTGTTGCTGGCTTTTCTTGCCCTTCTTGGTCGTGGCGCCGCTGGTGGCGTTGTTGTTGCCGTCGATTTGAAGAGGTGCATTGGGTGATGAGCTGCCAGGAGATCCGGTCAATGTCAATGGACCTGCGCCAAATCGCCGGCGCACGAGGTCTAGCTCCGTGATGTTCTTAAGAGCTTCCACCATGCGATCCAATGGCGCAATTGTATTAGATCCCATCACCTTTAGCAGGTAATTGCCCTTGTCCAAGCCCCATCGTTTGCACACCGTGTCCAAAATCTCTGCAATATAGCTATCGGTGGATGTGTTTATGGTCATAACATGGGTAGAAGCCTCCAAATTGATGAACCGGATCTTGAGGGTCTTTGAGACTCCCATGCGGGGCGTGGCATGAGAAGTGGGCACCGCTGGCCGATCGGCTGGGGTGAGGGTACTATCATTCAAAGCGGATGAGAATGGCTGTCCAAGAATCGGGTTCAGTCGCGTAGTTGCAGCCTTAGTCGGCTGAGCCTGCTGGTGTGTCGGGACAGTGGGCGTCGTGGCCTGATCGCCGCTCTCCTCCGCAGTAAGATCGTGACTGAATTGTGGGAACTGGCGCTCGTTCTCCTCGAATTCTGATTGAGAGGCTTCCACCAGAGCAAATTCGTCATACGGTTTACCCCTCGACCGCCCTCTGGCGCCAGCAGCTCTGTTATTGTTCGAAGTGAAATCAGTAATAGTCGACGTGCGTCCCAGAGCTGGAAAATCATATTCCACTTCGCCATCCTCTACCATCCTAAGGGTCCACCTGTTGACTGTCAACTTGCTGCGCTCAATGGCCGGCTCACAGCGCTCTTCGGAGTATTTCCAGAGGGCAAGCCCAATGGCCTCAACAACAATGACCGGGGCCGGCTGCTCTGCAAGTTTAGATTCTCGAGCAAGCGGCAGGTCTAATGGCTCTTCAGGATCGGAAGAGAAAGGCACGTAAAGTTTGATGTTCAAGGCATCACCCAACCCTTCACCGGAGAGCACTGCAAATTTCTCAACCGGGTTGGTCGGCACTTTCTTGCGCGCATTCAGCGCTGTCGAAAGTAAACTAATAGGCTGTACCGTGCTAATGGGCCTAGGAGGAGGCAAGTCTTGTAACTCTGGTGCTGGCGTTTTGGGTTTCCTCGGGGATGCAGATTGAGAGCCTGTTCCATTTGGCAACTTATGCATCAGCGCCATTGGCGATGAAGAGTCCAGGCTGCCGGTAATACCGACGACACCTTCAAGAAGCGAGCCAGATCCTGCCGTGGCATCGAACTCGGAAGAGATCGCTGATCCCACAGACTCAGCGCCAGAGTCTTCACCGTGCCCATTAATATCCCTAACGCTGATAGATTCGGCCGTACCCCCAGCTCCATGATGTCTTTTCCCGGGATGATGGATGATTTGATCTTGACCTGAAAACTGGATCTGTCGGCTCTTGTAGGAGGTATCCATTTCATTGTCAGATGACAAGTCGCTACTGGTCGTTGTGTCGCGTCGCGGACGCTGATGATGATGATGACTCCCCGAGACAGCAGTCCCCAGGGATCCTGTACGATAGTGACTATTCGCCTTCGAATGATGCGAAGGAGCTGTGACCATAACTTCCGGTCTTTCCTGGCGATCGGTTGCGCGTATTGGCGAGGACCCGGATCTAATCCGTATGGGCAGCTTGGGGAATTTCATCTTGTTGCTGCATAATGTAAGAATGCGGAAATTTAACCACAAAAAGATGAAGAAAGGTATTTGGACGTAAAACAAGTTTCATATACGTATATCACTGACCTTGAAGCGGCTTCCCCATCATCGTCACTTTCGTCACTCAGATCACTGCTATCGTCCTCATCCACCTCTGCTGGTCTGTGATCTTCATGGTGTTGGCGGTCTCTCCGGCGTGTCTTTTTCGTACCCCGTCCGTTGTGCCTGCGCCCAATAACATCTGTGTTGCTTTTGCCAGTAACCATGCCCCCTTCTTCGTCTTCTCCCTCGTACCCGAGTCTAGATCTCCTAGCTTCATTCGCGTCTCTTGAGGCACCAAGGCGATAATATTCAGACGACACCGCAGCGGTGGTAGGAATGGGCGGGGAGTAAGTGCGCTTAATGTGGGCTGCGGCAGTTTGCGTATTGATATTCGTAGAGGGCGAAGACCAGCCGGCCGCGCGAAAGCCGGGGGTGTTAAGGACGGAATTGTTGACATTGATGAGACGGTCGCCTATCCCATCTTTGATCGTGGATAGATAAGATGTACGTAGCTGCCATATTGCAAAACTAGAAGCCATTAATTTCTTGATCCATCTCGTGGAGGCTTTCAGAAGGGGAAGAGAGGGGTAAGCCGGCGGAGGTGCTTAATCTGACGTACTCTTCGTTGTGAAGGAGAGACATTTTCAGACGACTGTAATGGATGGTTCAGGAAGGAATAGAATGATGAATGTCCTTGATAATCATAGAACAGTACTCAGTTGGGGTTGGGAAGAAGCGCTGTGCTGTCAATAGTTGAATAGCATCGTCGCGGTCCGCAGGTAGAATGAATAGATGCGCCGAGGGGTTCCAACGCGATCGATAACAAAAAAGGAGTGCTTCAGTCTCAAACAGGGCCAGCCCGACAAAGAAAAAAAGAATGTAAAAGTAAGAACTGTGAGAGAAAAGTGGCCCAACTGCACCGCACCGCTGGTTGAGGGGGAGGATGGAAGACGAGGTGAGGCCGACGGCGGGCAGGAGATCGTCCGAGTCGATCAGCCAAGCCACACCGAAACAGAACGATCGATGCGATTTCAATCAACACGACCCTATTTGATGACAGCAGATAAGAATAGTGAATGAGAAATGGCTAGTTCAATAATAGCAATAACACCTATACTAATGCATAATACACGGAATCTGGTAATACATCAATGCACACTACATGCTGCAAACACGGTGTGTCTGTCCTAGTTGTCGTTCATACTTCAAGATATTCGCCACAACGTCGGTCCAACATCCTCACTCAAGCCTTGGCTTTGGGTTTTCGACTTCGAGCCTTCTTTGGCTTCTCGTCTTCATCTGCTTCGCCATCGTCCGCAGCCGCCTTTTTGGTCTTCTTTCCCTTGGCCGCACCGCCCTTGGCCGACTTTTTAGGCACCTTGACATACTTGTCCTTCTTGAGATCAAGCTCTTCCTCCTCGTCTTCTTTGATTTCATCAACGACTTCTTCCTCATCTGATTCGTCAATGGCTTCTTCAATGTCGGGCTTCTCCTTCGGCATTTTCTTCGGAGCGACAACACTGCTAGCCTTCATGAAAGGTAGAGGATGCGAGCGCTGGTTGTAGAGACGCGTGAATGTTGCTTTCGTTTGTGTCTCCAGCTTGACAGTGGACTCATCCATGGGACCCAGGCCCAGCTCGAGCAGAGCATCCCAATCCTCTCGGGTAAGGAAATAACTGTCCATAAAGTCGATGACTTCCTCCACAGATTCCTTGCCTTCTTTCTGTAGCCTGCGGACCAACTTCTCCCATATCAGTGGAAGATATTGCTGTCTGATTTCGTCGCGATCTCCAGTCGAACGAAGGCGCATATGGCCTTGAATCTCCTTGATGTAACGCCACATTTTCCCTATAACGATCAGGTTAGTAAAACACATAAGATACAGTCGACTTTAGGGGTGGACGTACCTTGCTTGCTGTTTTGCCCCAGCCAGCTAGTGAACCCGGGACGTTCCATCATATTTCCATAAGCGAAACTAGCCGGACGAACGAAGCTGAAGGCGGCATGGGTTGGCATCAGACTCCATTGTTGTTGTGTGCCATGAATCATCTTGTCGACTAGATCACCATCACTAATGCTAGAAGCTGCATTATCTGCAAGTTCAAGCATTTTCAACTTTTGCTCTTTGCCTTGATAGCCGTTTGATAACGTTGGCCGCGTCTTCAAGTAGTTCTCCTGGAGCATCAAGTAACTAAATTCGTGGTCGTTGAAATACAGCTCGATCTTGTCGTTCAGCGTAGCCTTTGAGCTAGGTGAAAACATTTGGGCGTTAAGGATCTTGCTGACGATATCCCATGGTTTAAGGATAACATGCTTCTCCCATGCTTTCGACATTTCTCGTCCTTTGTCATAATCCAGATTCTTTTGGTCCAGCTTCACGGTCGACAGCATGTTGATAACCTGTCGGATATCGGCGTGCGTTCCTTCAATTAGACCGTCAAGAACTGGGGGTGGGATCTTCAAGCCCTCCCTGAAGCAAATGGTTGATAGCCGGGCTCGGATCTGGTCAGCAGTCGGGCGTCTGAATGGTAACTCATAAGTGACACCATCGAATGGCTTCATTTTCGGAAGCCTTCGCTCATTGCAGATCAGAATGAGTGGGATTTGTGTCTTCTTTGCAATGGAGGCTAACGCTCCAACACCACCTCGATCTCCAGCCGACATTCCGTCGACTTCGTCCATTATCAGCACCATGTTCTTTTTCTCACTCTCGACCTTCTTGCCGGCGCCGGAGAAATAACCTTGCAGGGACGTCGTGTCCAAGACGTCAGAGAGACCTGCTTCCACCATCTTCTTACTTCTGGTGTCACTTGCATTCGTCTCGAGAACATCATAACCCTCGAGCTTTGCTACCAAATGCGCCGCTGTGGTCTTTCCAACACCAGGTGGTCCGTGAATCATAACTGAACGATACGTTCCGAAACCATCTCTTCCAGGCTTTTTGAAGTTATCCTTGGCATTCTTGCGCCAGTTGCGAAGCCAGGCCTGGATCTTTTCTACAGCACCTTTGTTTCCACAAATCATATTCATTGACGTTGGTGCGTATTTGGTAGTCCAGAGCCGGTCATCGACCTTGGCGTTCTGAGAGCTTGAAGGCGTTTGAGAGCTGGTGGGAGTGTTAGCCGCCGCGGTGGCCGCGGCCTTTTTCTGTCGTTGTTCCTCCTTCTTTCGCTGTTGCTCTTCTCTATCCATCTGAGCAGCCATTTCGCGGATTTTCTCCTCGTCAGCCTTTCTCTTCGCTTCATATTTCTCAGCGGCCTTCCCATCGCCGCCATTTGCTGGAAGCCGCCGAATCAGCTCGAAAAGACCCTCTTCATTGATGGTTTTCAGATTGTGCTGCTGGATTGTTTGGAGCTTCTTAGGACCAGCATCATCTCCCAAAACAACGTAGCTTGTTTTTGAGCTCGGTGCTCCAGTGACCTTTCCACCGTATTTCTTAACCAGGTTTGATCCCTCATCACGGCCCAAAGTGTCAAGAACACCGGTAAAAACGAAAGTCAACCCGGCAAGGCAGTTTTCAGCCCCGACAGGTAATTCATTGCTTCCTCCCCCAGGAGGTGTTCGTGACCGCTGTGCTTGAGCAGCATAATTGAATTTCTTTTTGCCATCGGCCGGCGGCGGTGGTGAAGGTGGCTTAACCATTGGAATATTATCAAAGATGTCTTGGATCTCCTTATTTTCGGGCCGATCCTGTTTACTGGGAGATGCTCGTGGTTTCTTCGGTGCTGGTGCCGGTTTGGATCGAGCAGTGGTCTTCTTAGTCTCTTTTGGAACCTCATAATCTTCATCCTCATCCTGGAGCGCCTCTGACTTTCGTTTCCTAGCGGGTCGCGAAGCTGCCGATTTCGTAGCTTTCGAAGAGGGCTTCGGGATATCTTGCATGATCACATCGTCATCCGACTCAGGTGAAGCTTCCTTCTTTTTGCGTCCTGATGTTGCAGATGCTGCCTTTGCTGGTTGTACCGCGAGTTCTTCAAAGTCACTATCGTTGTCGCTGGGGGCAGCTTCTTCCACGTAATCGTCGTCCGCTTTGCCTGGCTTTCCGTACTCCGAAGCGAAAATATCGTCACCCCCGTATGCGTCACCTTCAACAATTGCCGTGGCCTTCTTCGTAGACTGGCGACTTTCCCTTTTAGGTCGCTCCGCCACAATTTCCTCATCTTGACTCTTCTTTGCTGCCGGGGAAGCTTCGCCTTTGCGACTAGTGGCAGAGGTTTCGTCGGACTTAACGGCGGGAGCCGCAGTGGTAGATTTGGCAGGTCTTCCCTTCTTTTTACTAGAAGCGAAATAATCCGAGGTTGAAGTGGGCTCTCCTTTGGACGGTTCAGGCTTCCTTTAAAAAGATTGATCAGCAGCTGCGCGCGATCACAGGCTCAAATGCGAAACATACGGTTTAGCCGCGGGTTTTGCCTTCGGTGCGGGGGCCTTGACCTCTAAAACTTCTTCATCGTCACTGTCGTCCACAACCTTTCTGCTGCCTATCAATCGGTTAGATAGCTATCGGAGAATATGTATAGAATCGCAATCATACGCTTCTTTCTGGCCGTCGACGAATCCTATAAATTTGGTTTCGAATTAGCACACGCTGAATGCCGAATCTAGCATAATATAATTCCGAATTGACATACCTCTTTTTTTGCGGGCGTCTTCGCGGGAGAGCTATTCGAGCCCTGGCTCGACTTGCCTCCGAAGAAGCTCCTGATGTCAGCGGGCATGATGATTTGACCAGTCAGAACATGCTCTGCGATGCAACGAAGAAATCTCAGGTATAATGCAGTATCAGCGGAGCTCTTCGAAGCAGCCTTGAGGTCTTTTCTTTCCCTTTCTTCTCAACAGGCACCAAAATGCATTCTCGGCAGGGCGACGCGCTTGGAGCCTGTTCGGCGACGTGATCCCGCGGGATTACCTAAGAAACACGCGTGTGGCACGTGCACAGCACTTTCTTCCCTTTTGGGACTGGGGATCGGACTTGCAGATACGCCGATAGCCAGAAAGTCTTCGAGATTCAACCAACAGCCACTTTATTCCGCACGATCAGGGGCCGGCCTCAACCATCACAATGGGTCCGCAGTTGAAAATGTTTGCCGGGCCTCAATTGGCCTACCTTCGGCCTACCAGTACGAATTAGCAGGTTCTCGAACGGAAGAGTTTTGCTGCGGAAAAGCTAACACTTGGGTTATAGGCTTGTCAACATCATTCACAGGCCTTCCGCTCTCCCGATGCTTCTCTACTACCTCTCCGGCCCTTGACTGGCTCACGCCAAAATTTGCGGAAAAATCGAAATCGCCCAAAGGTCGTCCGCATGTCGCAACTGGCGGTTCGACTCGGGGTACGACTGTTGTTTGGGGTGACTATGGTTTGCGCATGAAAGACCATGACCGTCGAGTGCCCGCTTCATCGCTCAAAATTGCAGAGGAAACTATCAAGAGACGGCTAAGGGGTATGAACTATACTCTGTACAAGCGAGTGAGCGCCAACATCGGTGTTTACACGAAAGGAAATGAACAACGTATGGGTAAGGGTAAGGGAAAGTTCGACTACTGGACAGCAAGAGTTCCCGTGAGCCGGATTGTCTTCGAACTTCAGGGTAACTTGCACGAGAAGATTGCAAGAGAAGCATTCAGACTGGCTGGCCACAAGCTGCCTGGTAAGTTTGTTTTCTACTACAATGCACTAGAGGAAACGATTGGTACTGATCCAATTATACTAGGTCTCTGGGAATTTGTGAAGAAGGGCGATCCCCCTGTTGTTGGTTTGACAAAACTTGGTAACGGTGTTACCTTGGAAAGCCTCAAACGAGCACGCAGAAGCCCAGCGTTGGGCGCAGACAATTCCGCCAATCCTCCGAAGTCGACATCATCCGACCCATCTGCTTCTCAATAAAAACCTCCCACCATCACGCCCGACAACTCATTCATGTATTCAGTATATGATTTCCCCGACAGTTTAAGCTCCGACGCCTGAACCAGGTCCATACCCTTGTTGTCTCCTGTTCTTCGGTACACCATCTTGGGTTTCGAGGTTCGGGTCTTGTGTACACTATCGTCAGCTTTCGATTTCACCTTTTTCTATTTTGTAATTTCATCCAAGTCGATGTTTCCATATAAGGAGTTAAATAGAGGGAAATATCTACCATACCTTTACTACTATTACCACCCTGGATTTCGGTGTCGAGTCTCGCAGTTCGGGCCAGTTCACTATCTTCAATTGCATCTAGAGTATCGCCATCGTCTGGGTCTGGGGTTGTCCATTTTTGACTGGTTGTATGTGTAGAGTTGGCTAGATCTCGTCAGCTACGAATCGAATGAGTCCTGCGGCGAGAAGTGATGTACCTCCTAACTGTCCTGTTTGCTTCGCCGGGGTTTCCGTAAATTCCCGAATAGACTCATACCTGCATTTTAAAGCTATTTGTTAGAAAAGAAAGATCAAGCCAGTGTATAGCTGGTGGCAAAGGCATACTGGGTGTTTTCACCACCAGGCTCAATATCAAGAAGCTGCGAGTTGGACATGATGAATCTGATCAGGGATAACAAAAGTGAGTTGTTATATCAATTTGTGACTCCGAGAAATTCAATGAAAATGAATGAAATTCCAGAATACTTGTTACGATGGAGTTTAAGTCAGAGTGGCCAGTTCCAAACTTCTTCCCAGTCGAGAGCGATGGGGAAGTATGACGTATCCGGGGGCGTCACCTTCGAGGACCAAACATCATCCCTGTTGAACTACAAAGATTACCTGATATTCGAATCAAAATTTCCTTTCAAGGCATTGCAAGATATCTTTGAGTGATGTAAATGATGACAAATGGAGTTGATGTCCATCAGAAATGCATTGAGCGCCCTCTTAGTTTTGAGATGCTGGCTAAATAGTATACAATCATTACTCGTTCAATTATTTTCTCAATATTAGAAGTCCATGCCCATCAAATAGCTGGTCAATATGTTAGCAGTTTTTTATATTTTGACAGGCTAGGTTTTCGTACCTTTCATAAATGCGCATGAATTTGGCGACAAAGGCTTCGAGATGGAAGATCACTTTCTGTATGGCGCATTAGCGACACTACTGGTTAGCTCGTGGAATCGCTAGTATGCACTTACACTGCCTTGCTTGACCCTGTGCTCGTAGAAAGCAGACCATTTAATCACGTCTGGCTTGAGAGTATCATCAACCTTGGCAACAAGCTTGAAAGTTAAGGTCTGGAAGATCAGTAAGTATAGTGACATGAACATCTATGTATTAGATTGCGTACCTTGAGAATTGTCGTAGGGGGTATGCAATGAGTCAAGAGGTCATATAGCCGTGCGCGAACTTGTAGCAAACGGGCAGGTGACCGCTCACCCAGAATCTCCTCTGCAACCAAAGCAATGAGGGCTTCCCAGTCAGGAGGCGGGATAGGGGTGGTCTCTGTCACTTTCTCGCTAAAGGCAAACCCGAGTCAGCCTAAGGTTATCCAGATCCGGTGAATGCGATGAAATCTTACCTCTGAGCATAAATAGCCTCAAACATGAGTAGCGCTCGTCGGAGATTGCGTCCACTTTCCTTCGCTATCCTCTTGTTTAGACCCTCTACCACATTCCAGCCTTCCTTCTCGCCAGCATTTTTCAAAACCGAGCAGATTTGATCCTCAGTCGGCGCAGCAACCCTGACCAGCAGGGTCCGGGAGCGGATAGGCGCAATGATATTCGAGGTGCTGTTTGCCAAAAGAATCAACCTAAGATTGGGACTGTATTTCTCCATCGTCCGTCTCAACGCTGCCTGGGCGTCCCGAGTCAAGTGGTCTGCTTCATTGATTACAACAACCTTGAACCGTTGCTTTGCGGAGAGGTCAACCTGTTGAGTTTGCGCAACCTCCTTGAGCAATTCCTGAACAACGACGCGGTCATAGGTTCCAACATCCGACGGTGTGATCTCAAGGTGGTACACTGATGAAACGATATTGAACTCGAGTTTGCGATTGCTTGTTGTTTGGAAGACTCGGGCGTCGATCTTGATCTTCTCAACTCCGGGACCGTACAGCTCCTTAAGTGTCGCAATGATACGGGTTTTTTTGCCTGCGCCTGATGGCCCGTATACGAGAAGGTGAGGAAAATCTCCGCTTTGAGCCTGGAAAAAAAGTGAGATTGGGAAACTTCGTTTTCGCGAGGTGTTTCAGCTATTTCTTACCAGTGATTTCAAGCGATCGGAAAGCTCATAGTGGTAAGACAGGGACTCAAGAGTTCGTGGTCGTAGCTTATCGACCAACAAAGCCATCTTGGAGGTTTATTATGCTTCTGTCAGTTTCTAGATATACAATCGCCTTTGAATATCCGATGATCTTTGAACGTCGCGGACCGGGATAGAATAATTGAAGGCGGACGCGTCGTGTGGAACGCGCGCTTAATTGATGGACCGTGCACTATGCTGACTACACTGTACATAATAACTAGTTAGTATGCAACACCGTTGAGGTTGAGAAAATTATACTAATTTTTAATGTCATAGCCCAATGTATAATTATATCATTCGCAAAGGCATATTAATTGTCATAAAAACATTGGAAGGAGTGAGCCAAGATATGAGTGTTCAAGTGAAGTTGGGGATATTATTGTGGCAATCCACGTAGATACTATCTTCATCAAGTAGAAAATTCCCAGCCTTTAGATTCAATAACCGATCTAGTATGTACATATACGCTGGTATGGTACAAAAGCAACTTTTCCACATATACAATTCAGAAGCATATAATACATCCAAAATCCCTTTATAAGAGAGGAGAAAGACCTTCGCTGGAGATCAAGAAGTCTCCAACGAGGAAGGCTTCATAAGGCCCTTTTGCTTCACGATAAAGGGCACGGGCCCGTTGAAGCCTCACATTTATCCAGAGACATCTGAGCCCTAATAGACCAATTCATGTCCCAGATTCCGGGTTGATATCCTGAAACCGGCTGGCAAAAATGGGTGAGGTTGCTATCATATGCTTTGTCCAAAATTGGAGGAAGAAAGCATCCAATTGCAATTGTTTCTTCAGTTAGACGGCATGGGCTTGAGAACGCCATTGTCATCGTATCGGGCCTCTGTTTCAAATGGGTTAGCAACAGAGACAGTATTTCCACATAGCCCAATGCTTACTGAAAAAGGTGTAAGAAAGCGTGATAGTGTCAATTCCCTTCATGGCAGGATCCTTTGCAAAGTCCGGATCAATAAAAAAGAAAACCGGCATATCCACCGATTCTCCGGCATTTAACTTCTGCTCCTCAAAGCAAAAACACTGGATCTTGCTGAAATACTGGGCAACCTGGCCGGGCGTAACACTGTATGTTGCCACACCAATAATGTCGGCCGGGCCTTGATTTGTTGCTGTGAAGAACGCAAGGGCGGTTTCTCCTGGGAGGACCCTGACCTCTCGTTGTTGCGGCGTAAACTTCCAAGGTAGAACGTCCGAGACCGAGCCATTAAATGTAATACGAAGGCGACGTGAGTCCGTAACAGGAGTCACGCGCGAAGAGGTATCTTCACCCCCACCGCGATGAGTGGTAACAGGCTGGCCACTCCAGCCAGTCTGTTGGCAAATCTGCAGCAGCGCAAAGACCTCAGTTTTCGTCCAAACCCTGCAATTGAAGATAATCGGCGAGCATACTAACCATTTTGTAAAGAGGGACTGAGCCATAAGCAAGAGCGACGGTTCCGAGAATCACACTAACTGTATAATACCTGGGATATATTAGCATGAGAACGATCCAGGGCAAACAAAATAACAGAGGGAAATGAAAATACGCAGGAGCAAGCTTACATAGCGGACGCATTTCGTTTTTGAGACTGTGGAGTGTTAAACGGCGCAGAGGCCGATGAACTCCGCGCATTCAAAAAGGATTTCCGGGAGAAAAATCGCTGGTCGAAACGTCTCACATTGGAGTATACCGATGGCCGGGGAACGGCTCTAGCCAACGGGAACCTGCCCAATGGGGAGACAAAACGAGAGAACATAATGATTGACTTGATGAGAGCATGGATGCAACGAGCAATTGATTGCATCCATTGACTTGGAGAAAGTACCTGCGGCACGTGATGGTCCCTTGGCAAAATCCTTATCGATAACGCATCTCCCCGGGCATCGGGATCTGCTCAGATCACCAAGTGGGCTATGACCGGGGTCTTGAGATTTGGAGATCTTTGAGATTCTTATTATCAGGCATTTTATAATTATATATTAAGTACAGAAAAGTCCGAAAGTGTCGAGTCCATAAACATAGTGTATTTGCTTTACAATAAAAATGCCATGCCAATCAAGGTAGATGGGGCTAGTGACTCCGTAGTGATAATGCAGTTCATCCTGTTGAAACACTGATCGAGAAAGCCGCCAGCCTTTCCGAAACGCCATAGAATGCTGGATCAAAGGGGAAAAGTTATAATTTCGATCATTTCAACACGCTTGTTCCAATCTTGCCGAAGACTCCTCTGACCACGCTGGGCCGCTCCTGCAAGCAAGTAAAAACAATAGCAGCACTGACTGCAAAGGCAATGCGCTCCCGATATTGATACTACATAGCAGATGATAAAAGTCAGCCATCAATTCACATCCAAGAGATCACGACGCTTGGTTAAGCACCGAGGGATGGGACAGTCCAGGAGGTGTAACCCTCCTCAACTCTGGGGGATGATGTGACGTCGTCAAGTTAATCAACCATACCTTCTTATTATACAACCTTGGCAAAACAGTTGCTGCCGCTCTAGGTGCCACAAACAGTGCAACTTCCTGTCTCTTTCGAGCTTTCTCAACCAGAATACTCCAGCCGCACATGAGACATCCAGCCCCGACACAAAGTCCAGAGTCCCACATCATCGGTGTGACCGTTTTGCGATCAAAAAGCTTCGGGCCAAGCCTCGTTCGGGCAAGGCAGACAGAGTAGTAGAAAATGCTCACAAATGAGGAAAGGAATGCGGATGACCTCAAGGCGTCGGTCAAAGTTCGAGTAAGTGCTGACATCGATTTCATTCCGCGAAGGCGAAATGCGACTTGTAGTGGGATATAGGTTGCACAGGCGAACTTGAAAGTTCGAAGAAAACGAATTGCAGCATGCTTTTCGCAGCTGGGACCACAGTCCATGTGGACCATTTCGCAAGGTAATGGGATTGTTTTAGCTGGATCACCCCATTCGATTGGCCAGCCATAGTCCTTGCACATAGACTCAAGGAGGGGTGCTTGACCGGTGTCTTTTCCGTATACCCATGAGCCCCATCTAGCCCGACGGAGTGCTTCGACTAAACGTGAATCCACCTGTGCTGCCTCCCCAATCCATTTTCCATATGATTTAGGTAGTCTGTCGCGTTGGTAGAACCATGCCCACATTACAACTGCAGCACTGGCGGCAAATACACCCGCGTCTGCAAGCTGAGGAAGAAGATCCTCTGCTTTGGTCCAACGATTCTTGGACTTACGCCGATGACGCCAAGTAGACCAACCTATACAGACCATGGAATCCACTGCTCTGGTAAGTGTAAATAATGTGAGATCCATTGTCCTACCAGCAAGGTCAGGAGCGTTTAGTGCCCCAAGCTTGGTTTCAGTCTGACTCTCACTCGGGTCATTTTTCTTGCCCGTAGTATCTTGGCTTAAACTGTTATGACTTCTGTCCAGACTAATGGGCTTTCTGTTTAGAAGCTGGAAACTGAACCAAGAAGAGAAAAGAGCAGAGACGAATCGAATGAACCGTGCGAGCCCACGAGATTCCAATAATTTAGGCTTTGAACCAAGGTGACGAGCTATAAGCCCACACAATCTGAGAAACAAAACAGGAAACACTGTTGAGCCCCCGACCAGAAAACCGCAAAAAGTTGCGAAACTATTCAAGCGAATGGCACTTGTCAGTGCGCGAGAAAGCTACATTGAAGTTGATATTAGCTCATGATTTGGAAACCATTCGGTCGTCGGATTATTTGAAGATAGAGATAAGTGCGGGTGAAGATGATAAAGATTAAAGGGCAGCCATACCTCCTGGAGCTTTTCCTTGCAGCTCAGCTCATGGCCTCGAAGTCGCCGAAGGCTTGCGATAACTTTTGGTGTCGTTGAAGAAAGATATCCAAGTGCATAAGCGCGTAGGATGCTACAGGAGAAACCAAACATGAGCTTCAGCAACATATCAACAAGGCACCCGAGCATGTAACACTCCCGAGGGACACGCCCTACTGTGAGAGGCCATGGGGAGATCTGGATGACTTGGAACTTACGGTTTAATGACCCGAATGTTGTTGCTTTGCCCGCGCACTGCTGTAGAAGCCATGACGCCAGAGGCTCATTCAAACCATTACCAGTTCACGGAGAATATGAGTATCACCAATACAGTCTGCCTCAGGCAACGTCAGAAACGAATGTTTCATGGAAGAATCATCAATCACGAAACAGGCGCTGAAGCAACAGAAGATGCCATGCCAGGGTCAAATCAGCTATAGAAAGCCGGCATGGATGGTCGTCGGTCTCCAAAGGAAGCCGAGGACAATACGAAAAAATGGGATGCAAGGAGGGGATGTCATGCAAGTGTAGAGCAGTTACAGTATCGGGAAACTAACGCAAATACCTGCCGTGCAGCTACTGCTACTGCAGCAGAGCACTGGAGTGAGTCTACAGACTCTGGCAAAGCTCCGTGCAATTGCAATTATTCGCCGTGGATCCAGTGTAACATCGAGTTTTTTTGACCTCGGTCCTAAAAAGCAGACTTATGGCAAAGCTGGTTCAGGGGTACGGACTAAACGGTTCAAGGTGACGATCTTCCGAAGCAACAGTCACAAACCGGGGCTACTGACATCGCCCGTGGAGAGAGGGGATTCGTCCTCGAAACCAAGTGCGGAGCATCGAAAGGCTATTTGATTAAAAAGACCAGAAGAAGAGTCAAATGATGCTGAAAAACGCGCACAGTTCCACCCTCTGGATCAAATAGTTAGTTCGATCAGAGTTGATGCAGGGAAGAAGAAAACAAGCTGGATCGAGGTTGGCAGCACAAATCAGTGCCTTTTCTCCCTTAGGTAATTGGTCCGAGAGCATTCCGGACAGAACGTTACCGCCCGTATCGTGTGTTTGTAAGGCCGAGCCCGCAATTTTCGGTACTGCCGTTACATCACGCGACCTTGCCAGGCACTGCGAGCAGCAGAGAGAATTTTTGCATGTGATCGCCTCGAAAAGGCCGAACGGATGCCATGCCATCTTCTCTCTCCACCATCGCTTGCTATCTCCAGATTCCATCATCGTTCTCTCGCCTTCTTTCTCCCCAGTAATACACATGAACCAGATACTGGGGTTTTGCCTTCGTCCAAGCGCTGTTTGTGTTCCTGTTAACTCTCCGAGAGGCTTTGCCCCGCCGTCCAGTCGCATACACATTTGTATTATTTTCTGTCGGAAATCGGACCGTATCTGGAAAAAAAAGGTCGTCGATCCCCGCGCATAATTCGGTTTCTGACCCAGATGTCAAAGTATATGAGTTTCTGAGTCAAACTTTCTATCACGACGTTCTTCCAGAATCGAGACTGCTGGTCTTCTCATCTACAACAACTTCCTGGCCAGTCAAGGCATGTCGGCACTGCCTCAGCAATCAGAGCAGTAACAAACGGTGGCCAGCGTTTGCCACGATTCTCACCTTGTCGCTCCTTTCAACACAATCATCGCAATGAATATGACTGGACCCGAAGTCCATAATGGCCAGGCTGCCTCTCAGCCTGGACCGTTTGGCTGTAGGTGCCTCAAAATCGATTAGCCATTTCTTCATCTCTGACAATAGCTCCAGACTCTTTCCTTTCGCCCATGGATACTCCCTACGAACCTGCACCAGCTCCTCCGCCTGGTCCGGCTCTTCTTGACGACAACGAGTCCAACATGCTGGATAATTTCTTTACTACAATGAATTCGAATCATTTCTCAAACGATCTTTGGTTGCGTGGCCAGCAGAACAAGCATCTTGGTGGTGGCTTCAACAACTTCGAATGGTCAAATGAGCTTCCCCCGACGTTTGAGGGATCGACAACATCACTTTCACAGCCGACACACTCTCATCGTGGTCTAGAGAAAGCCGGTGGAGATATTATGGGCAACAATGCGGGTGCGAGCTCGGACATTCTTGCGGCTGCATCGATGCTCTACCAAAACGGAATGAACGCACCTGAATTCACCAACCCTTTCAATCACCAACCTTTCGCTGGAAATACCTTTTCCGAGATGAACGGCAACAGCTCAAATATGAATGGACACGGCAAGAACCTGCAACATAGTAACCATGCCTCATTCAAGCAACCAAACGCACCGTTCCGTGCACGTCTACCGTCCGGGTTCCATACTTCGGAGATGCTTTTCGATGTGCATCAACCAATGTCTGCTGATCAACAAGCATCGGCAAAAGTGCGACCTCTTCATTGGGGATCGGACATTAGTTTCATGGATCAGGGCTATATCGCTCCAGCCGACCAGCCCAATGAAGAAGAGCGAACAAAGGAGTTGCTTGACAATCTGGAGTGTCTCGAGCCTCAGAGTAGCGCGGCCAATACTCGAGCCCCCAGCCCAGATCGAATGGCAACTGGTCACCATATGCACTGGGCTGGGTCGAATACCAGCGTTTCGCAAAATGACATACGGAATGGGTACGGGAATACTGTGGAAGATGACTTGCAGCCCATCAAGAGACGGAAAACATTGGTAAAAGAAGAGGATGACGAAAATTCAGATGCAGATGGCAACAGACCAAAGTCAAGAAGATCAAAGGGCCCCGGTTATAGCAAAACCAGACGGGGATCCAATGATACATTCCGAAAATCACGAATGTCACAAGGGGCAAAATCTGCGCGAGAGAATCTGACTGAAGACCAGAAACGGAGTAACCATATTCTCTCTGAGCAGAAGCGCCGGAATCTTATCAGGCAAGGCTTTGATGAGATGTGCTCGCTTGTGCCTGGACTAAGAGGTGGAGGATTCAGCAAAAGTGCCATGCTTACCCAAGCCGCAGACTGGTTGGAGGATACAATACGTGGAAATGAGATCCTCAGGGCACAGCTAGCGGATCTAAAAGCAGTGAATGGCTTGGTGATGCCACGATGATTTAGTTTTCTTTTTACGTGACCACGATATTTCCTTCTTTTCCACTTTGCTGGGGGTGGGGGGTTGATCTGTCTATACATCGTCTTGACTTCAAGCGATTCAGCGACACGACAGGATATGCATGTACAGAGATGGGGCGTTTTGATTTGGTGGACATAATCTCTCTTGACGATTCTTCATCCTGAAGAAATGTTTGAGGATTCTTTTTCTTTTGTTTTCTGTTTATGATCGACGGATCTTGATACCTCTTTTTATTTTTTATATCTGTCTCGGGTGGAATGCATTGGATTGGTAGGTATTTACAGATTATCACGTAATGCAAACTTGCCTGATGACCTGATGTGCAGGTACATATGTGCTGCCCGGGCTCTGGTAGTCCTGTCAGTGCCATGCTCCCTGACTTACATACTTACAGCCTTATATATAGTTTCAAAATGCATGTATCTAATTCCCACTGGTAAAAGCACATGTATCAGCTGCAATCAATAGATCTGAATAGCATCAATTTCAAACTATGAGCAGCATTTAGTAATTAGCACAATATGTTCCAGATGTAGATCCACTTCATGTGCTAACTTAGTAGATCTGACAATGATCAATCACATGAAAATTCAGTGATAGATAATAGACATGAAACTTAAGACCCTGAGACATTCTGACAGCCAACGGGCGCTATTGCATGTATTGCATATTACCTTACGATGATGGGGGGAGAAAATGGTGGATGATCCGGTGCCGCTTTTGACCCCGCAACCCCTTAGTCTCTGGCATGTGACAAGATCTCTCACCGCCTTAATTAGATACTGCCATGCTGACCGACGATCCATCTTTCAGACAACGGATTCAAAACAGGCACATCAAGGAACGAAGTAACTTTGACTCTTTAAGTCGATTGATTCTCGATTATTTTACTGCTTTTCTTGCAAGCAGCTTCTCATTACCACCACAAGGCTATACTTCCCAAATATGCCTCCTAAGCGAAAGCATTCCGGAGATGGGGATGAACAAAACAACAACAAAAACGCGCGCAATAAGCAATTCGCCTACCTGAAACCCCATATTCGCCATGTATCCGAACGTACTATCAAATCGAAATGGACTACTCTACCAGAACCTGTTCAGGATAGGGTGCGCGACATGTTTCGAACCCTCGAACGACCGGTCATCGTGCGACAGCAGAATGAGCGCAGACGTATTGAGGCGCAAGCCGCTGTCCAAGTCGTTGTGAAAAAGTATGGGCCTTGAATTATCAGTACTTTATTGAAGGGTCGTTTATTTGGATAAGACTAACTTGTGCCCTCTAATTAAGTCTCGGAAAGCGACTCCCCCGAATGCCATTTCCGCCGGTAACAAAAGACTCGAATTTCGAATATGAAGCGGCGCTTGATGAGCATGTGGGTGGCCTTCTTTAATTTGTTCTGAATATACTCTGACTCTTGCTCAGCGTTCTTTAGAGACTAATTTGGCTACCGTCACGGATAGCATCGATCTCCTCAAAGCTGAGGTTGAAAAGGAAGAGGCTTTGCTTGCCAAGGAGAAAAAGCAGTTGCAAGAAATGGAGAAAAATGCGAAGCGAGCAGAGACAGAGAAGAAGAGGCAGATGAAGAATGTGCGTGAACTTGATACTGATACTACGAGCATTGCAACTAATATTTCATTCCCCAAAGGAACATCCTGTACTTCGAAAACTCGACAATATACCCGATACCCAGAATCAGGCTAGGTCTGAGTTTACAATTCCGAACTTGAAAAATATTGAAGTAACACTTGACGAGGTATGGCTTGGTGCTCTGTTGGTACACAAATTTATACTGATCATTATTTCTTAGCTTGAGGCGGATCCAGAGGCTCTGGGACTGATAAAACAGCTGAATAGTCATCTACAATCCATACAAAATAACACCGCCCCCCTTGCAGGTCTCAGGGATGCAATCACACGATCACAAGCAGCATTGAGCTTCGTTCCCTTGCCTGAGGACTGAATGCTCCATGGATAATGGATAACAACGCATACAAACAACCTTCGAACTCTCATGACATCACCTCGGTCACTAATGCTGTATTTTGTGGCTACTGCTTACAGAGGTGACATGCCAAGGGCACTTCATTAGCTGTCTGCAGGATAGTCACGATACCCTTGCCTTAGCGCCTAGATCACCGAGCCCTACTGCACCAGACTAAATTAAAGCGCCAACCTGCGTGCTTTTCCTGCTGTGCAACAGTGAATAGCAGGGGAGACATTAATCAGCCACCCAGTTGAATAGCTTCCCTGTCGAGTATGGGCACGTGAGGGGTCTGGAGCCTTCCAAATGAGTGTCATGACACAGATGACAGCTCATAGCTAGACCTGTTGGCTATTGTTGAACGCGAGAAATCCCACCATCGGCCTTAGTGGAAATACGATTACCCCGACAGGTTGCTGATATATGTTATCATGGATGGATGTACATAGTACTACTGTTTAGTTTCATTACTAGATAATATGTGCCTTTTCTCTCTGTGTCTGTACTCTTCTTGGTATAGAGGAATCGGCGACGTGCATCGCATTGCTGATCATGTAGTCCCAAGCAGCTAGCGATAGAATATCTGTCGATGGCATAGGCCTTGTACAACCCTTTGATTCAGACCGAGGTACCCCTGTCACACATGGAGCAACTACTGTACATAGCCCCTTCCCGAGGCTCTGGGACTAATTAATTGTCTCATACTGTCAAAAAGCAGTTATTATAGACGACCAAAAAAGCTGGCAAACCCTGCTGTTCCCCAATATGCGGAGACGTTCGGCAAAGATGAGCCCGCCCGATAGTCCCGCAATTCTCGTTGCAGCGGGGAACCTCGTACGAATTGTTAATAATTAATTATTACTTACCCTTCCACGCCTGCGACCCGCAAACCGCCTTTCCCTCCCAATATATGCATTGCTATTATTATACGATCTGTTTCCTGCAGAGTCTGATCAGTCGATGCCTGCAGGTTGCCATCGAACCTGTTCCGTTGTATTTCCTTATCCCGCGACAGCAGCGAGCCGGACTCTGCGCAACAGCTTTGCGCGCAGCCTAAATCGATGACAGAGAAAAGTACAGCGCAAGCGGGCGCAGTCCCCGACAATTCGCCCAGAAATGGGACAACTGAGAAGCTGAACTATAACGCGAATGAGGCCGATGTCACTGGGCAGGAGTCAGGCGTCAAGAACAACTCGCAGACCTCGCCATCATCCAAACCTGAAAACGCTGCTGTGGGGGGTCACTCCAGTCCCAAGAAGCGTCGCAAAGTTAATCACGGTAAGAAACCGGCTCTGCCATGCATCGTACAAGGATGATGGTGTAGCGCATTCTCGCTTCTGCTTTATTCGAGACGTCAAGACCACGTTGCTAACCTGGTTGCCACGCTTGCAGCATGCGTTTACTGTCGGCGATCGGTAAGCCGCCTTTTCTCAAACATCTTTCCAACTGGCTTTCCAGCTCGACGCCTGAAAACCACCCCGTTTTTTCTTCTTTCAATATCTCTATACCAAAGTTTCATTTGCTAACGGAAAGGGCACTCGCTCGTGTGGGACAGCATATGACTTGTGATTCGGTACGACCCTCCGATAAATTTGGCTCGCACAGGCTGTCTTTGTGAAACATGTTGCTTTCTGCAAAAGACTATTACTGACAGGTTCTGGAATACCACAGGAACGCCCGTGCACTCGTTGTATAAAGCGCAATATTGGCCACTTATGCCACGACGAGCCCAGGGAACATTCGAAGCGGTCACGAAGTGAACACGACCATTCAGTTCCGGACGACGAGGCTTCCTCGAACAATGAGTTTTCGAACGTCCAAGGTATGCCTAGAAATGTCGATGTTCAAGATGCTGCCGGTCAGCAAATCCTTGCCGATGGGACCATCGGACTCCCGCCTTCGTCTGTGAACCCTGTGCAGCATGGGGATATTTCTTCATCCCCGGGCCAGGGTCTCGGTGGTAACTCCCAACAAAGTAAGATCTAGGCTCAGCCGTCTGTTGAATGGGGCTTTTACTGACATGGATTCCTCATAGTGCTTGGTTACAATGAATGGCTTGGGGGACAGAGTCAATTTCAGGATATGCACAACTTCCACCCCTCGTATATGTTCAACGCACCCGAAGTTACGAACGAGTATAACTTGCTCGGTGATTTTCTCAGCAATAGCTTGCTTGACGATGGCAATATGTTTCAGAATGATGGCATGCATGGGATCTATTCTGATCCGACATTGATCAACTCCATGGCCACCTTAGGTGGGCCCAATGCATCTCTCCTTCCGCCATCGCAGCTCCCACCACCAGCACAGAGCCATCCGACTCAGAATGACGCCATACAACAGCAGAACTCCACGGTGGTAAATGACAAGGCCAGGGAGACATATTACATGACGGCAGCAGATCCTTCGGGGTCTGATCCACCAGAAGAGCGGATGAACAAGCTTCTCAAGGCAAAGTATGACGCTGGCTTGTTGAAACCATTCAACTATGTCAAGGGTTATGCAAGATTGAATCAATATATGGAGAAACACATGCAGCAGGCATCACGGCAGAAGATCCTTCGACAGCTAGACAAATTCCGACCGAAATTCCGCGAGCGCATGCAGAGCTTGACCGATATCGAGCTTATCCTCGTGGAAATGTGGTTTGAACGGAGTCTGATGGAATATGACCGTGTCTTTGCCAGTATGGCCATTCCCGCTTGCTGCTGGAGACGAACCGGAGAAATATTTCGAGGAAACAAAGAGATGGCAGAGTTGATTGGGGTTCCGATAGAAAGTCTACGAGATGTGAGTTTACGTCTACAGAATCTTATTTCAAATGCAACCAGAGATACTGATATCCATATCTCTGCCAGGGAAAGCTTGCCATTCATGAGATAATTGTGGAAGATCAGCTCGTGAGCTACTGGGAGAAGTTCGGCGCTATTGCTTTCGACAGCACTCAAAAAGCGATGCTTACCAGCTGCACATTGAAAAACCCAAATTCAAACTCTCCAGGGGAGGGAATTAACTGCTGTTTTTCATTCACGATTCGACGAGACACACATAACATGTAAGTCAACTGTGCAACCTATCCTAGCCTTTATATTTGATAGTGACATATTTTTTCAGTCCGTCACTCATTATCGGAAACTTTCTTCCATCACAACGCAAGAACAAGTGATTTCGGGTCTTCAAAACGGCGCAAATTTGGTTGATATCTCTTAGATAGATGTGAGGGCACATTTTGGTACATATATCCGTTTTCTGTCGCTCCTTATTTTGATCTTTTTGATTGAAAATTGCCGGGGTACTTTTTTTTCGATATCCATTTCCTTAACTACATACTGTCAAAACAAGATGTATCATATCTTTTCTCGGGTCTGTTTAACGGGGAATTAAAAAGGACAGCTACCGCAAGGAAGTTCTCCAGTAAAGCACCTAGGTACCAGTGTTGCTACTTGCTAAGCGTAAGTTGAATATGGAATAGCCTGGTCAGGTGAACCTCCTTCCATCTCCAGACAGGCAGACCTCTTGGCTACACCCACCTCATCAACCACCAGAATCCCATCCTTCTACCTAGACTTCTTCCCAACGCCCATATTGCAATCCGCTGGGGTTTATGCAATCAGCAACAGCATCTCCATTTCGACTAAACCGAACAGCTGATAGACAATGGCGTCAATGGCATGGACCACAGCACAGGAGCAAGCAGCCGCTGTTACAGGTAAGTCATCGCAATTCGTACACCAGCCGTGCAACCCAAAAGACATCATTGCCCCTGACTCGTACCACGGACAGAACTTGCTGTGGAATTACAGCGTCATATCTCACAACCCCCTGATCCTGGAGCTTTTATATCGAGCAACGATATCCTTGCCATATTGGACAAACACCTTGATAATTTGCCTCTACTCAAAACCAACATTACGGCTTTGACTCGTCGTCAGCTTGACTCGGAAGGGACTCGGCTATGGAATATATCCACGAAGTTGATGGCAACTCGTGGCGAAGGAAATGAGTCGGTATGGTTGGCTAAGGGTATGACTCGCTGCCTCGAATTTTGTTGAGACTGTGTCTTACTCAAAACAGCAAAGGCTTTGGCTTTCGCAATGATGGACTGTGTTGCTCCTAGCCATGGCCTAGGTATATATAGACTGCTGTTGGGAGAAAAAGAGCGCACCCTTACATAGGTTTAGGGAACCGAAGAGCCCTCAATGTGGCCCTCAAGACAGCGAGAGCTTGCATAGGTAACTAAATCTCGTGTTTGGTCATTTTAAGCGTTGCTAATATAGAATAGAGAACGAACAACTTGGGTTAAGCCTGAAGATACTTGGGATGGCAGCCGCGAGACTGGAGACACTGGATAAATCAAGCCTTGATACTGATAAGACACACTTACAATCGGCCACTACCGAGTATTATATGCTTCGGATTTACTTGGTAATCACTTCATTATCCCCTGGCGAAATCTAGACCTTACTGACGGTTTATACCTAGTCCTGGCTTCAAGAGAGACCTGATATTGCAGAGCATCTATTTTCCAAAGTCCCAAACGTGAGCTACGAGACAGATCAATTAATAGTCTTGGATATATGCTATACTGTTGGAAGATCAGCGCTTTTGATCAACCAGTATGATCTGGCGGTCAAATGGCTGGATAGGGCATTGAAGTCAACAGCCTCAACAACCCAGCAACCTGGCGTTGATGTGAAAGATACAAGATTGCTTGTCTTTCACGCATTTGGTAGGGTATTATTAGGTCACTGGGATTATGGGGCTTGCTGATATATCTAAATAGTTCGAGCAAATCTGCGCATTAAGACGGCGGAGGCAAAAGAACGGCTTTTCAACGCACTGGAATCACTGAAGACTGTGAGAAAAGATGGTATAGCTTATTTCCAAATACTGATTTGGCGTAGGACTATGGGAGTGTGTTCGCTGTTCTTGTGGTTCACCTCGAGGCTTTCAGCAGAGAAGAGAAGCCAGACTGTAAAGAATATTGGGAAGGTAAGTTTCAACTTCCCCTCGCTAACAAGTTCTACAACGCTAATAGTTACCAGTTATCATATTGACTATTAGGGCAATGGAATTCACGGATACAAATTTGAAAATGTAAGTCGGAAGTCATTGTACACATTATATGACTATGAAAGCTTATATCAAAAACAAAGAGTATTCTATTACATCCAAAAGCTCAAATATTGGAGGTGAGATTTCCTGTCAACTTCCGGGTTCGTCAAGCTAAACCCTTCAACTTATAGTGTAGAACTTTCTGTGAAAGCACTTCAGGCACTTTTGCATGGGCTCGCCCCCTCTGTCAATGGATTCTGGGTCGAGAAAGGCTTTGTCGCCCTTATATGGGTATTGATGACCTCAGACACATGCAGCCAGAAATCCTTGGATCTCATCAAAGAAGCGGTGCAAAGACTGGACGAACATGAAAATGGACCGCTGAGTGAAAAAGCCACTAATGCCGTACTTATTGTAAGCTTCTTTATTCTATGGCTAATTCTCTCAATTACTTATAAACGTATAGCTTGTTTGGAAAACAATCGACAGCGAATTATTCAAAAACCATATATCCAATGCTGAGCAATGGTGTTGCTTTATGCTCGAACAATCAATATTTCAAAACTGTTCTTCAGACAATAAAGCCAAGCTTCAGAGGTTAGCATTGCAGTAATTATTGTATTGGCGATGTCTAACCAATTTCTAGGAAACTCATGGCTTGTGCATTGGAAAATTCGAATACTCCTTTAGCTCGAAATACACTAGGGCTAATGTCTGAACAATTGAGATCCAACCCCTCAACGCTATACTTGATGTATAAGCTGGCTGTGCTAGAAGGAAACTTTGAATTAAGTAAGAATTACAGCATCACTGCTCTTACACGTTCTTCCTAACCAGCATCAAGGGAAATCCTGCCATGAATCATTGCATCATCTAGGCGCAACTGGGACCACATACCTTCTATCATGTGCAGCAGAGTCTCGACGCTTGGGGAAACCTCAAGAGACAATCAGAATTCTCCAACAAATCATTGCTTCCCTAAATGATGAACGACCTGATGGAGTTTATATACCAGCTTTGCTTCAGTATGATGGTTTCTTAGACTGGATTTCTTCTCATACTAACGACACCAGATCTGCGATATGTCTTTTGCTCGAGGAACTGGAGATTCGCAAAACGGATGTAAGGGGCTTATTAGAACAGATTTGTGGTGTTTTTGACGTTGGTAAGGCTTATTCCTATCTAACAATGACCAGCAGGCTGATCAATCCAAGCCCTAAAAGAAGCAAGCAGACAAAGTTCGTCAAAGGAGAGTAGTGCTGGATTTTTGGCGGTTGAGCTCGAATGGTTCTTTCATCGTAGCTACAATACAGCTCTGCATTTGCTCCAGTCTTCCTCATTTGAGCTAGTCATATCGTTACTGGATTTATCGACCAAGGTGAAGCAATCTATACATCGATCGACTTTAGACTCATTTATCTAACGCCACCGTAGTTTACAGATCTATACAAGCAGATTCTCAGCCCAGATGAACAGTCCAATCTATCGCGGCATTATCTCACCTGTGACTTTCTCAAAGTCATCAAAATCATCAGTGAAGCGCGCCATAAAACCGACTCTACTGAGAAGGTTACCCGATCCGCTCATGACGCACATGGAAACAAAAACTAATCCATATATCCAATTTCTAGAAAAACTACTATCATAAAATTCGCCACTCTATCCAGCACTTCCGAACACACATTCAACCCGAGCTACAGAAATACAGCACAGCAACCGAATGCCATGAATGGCTAGACAGATACCGAACCATGCTCTCATTTGACTTTGAAGCCGCCGTCTATCTGAAACAATGGGACTATCTACCCTCTCTCGTCGAAGAATCGAAACCACTTGTAGACGACAAACTTAGTTCCATGTTCCTGGACTCAATGCTGTCTTCCCAAGCTCCGGAAAAGGATATTATGCTCGTTGTCAAGGTCTGTCATGTGCACCTAAATATTTGGAGTAGTTCTATCCCATTGAAGTCAAACCCACGAATACTACACAAACTACTATTACAAGTAACTAACCAACTATACAGACAATAATATGCGCCTTTCACGCTTCATCCTCGCCTTTCTTAAATAGGGCTTCCTTCCGAGCCAATCTCCCCCGGTACCTCCGCTGTCTTTTCCAACTCGCCATAAGCGCCACAGACACGGCCCTGGCTGAATCAGTGGTTCATCAGGTTCTCGCTCTAGCACACCAGGCTAGAACAAAGAGTGGTACCCCTTATCCGAATGAAGAGCTCGAGTGGTTGGCAACAATGGCATTTAACCGTGCAGTTGACTTTTACCTCGGCTCTGCGGACGGGGATTTTCGACGGTGGGCTGGGAAAGCCATTGAGATGGCTGATCTGGTACGGGATCAAGGCATACTGGGGAGACTGTTGCGACAGAATTTTGTTAAGTTGTCGGGGGAGGGTGTTTGAAGAGCTTAGGGGGAATCTTTCGAGGGACGGGGTGCAACAAAGGTCTACGCATCACGATCAGAGTATTACTAGTGATGGACTAACGGATTATAAAGGTAGTGAGAACGTATAGAATAGAACAGAGCAATATAATTCAATCTCGAGTATCAGGGTCCGTCGTCCAGTATAGGACGCTCACGGACCCGACGATATAATGCGGGTATCATTTAGAAATTAGCTAGCAAAGCTTTGAGATCAGCAAGGAAAAGAGATACCAAAAACGAAAGATAACGAAGGCAAGATGGTCGGTAACAGACCAAAACAGATGCATCTGAGCAACAGATCCAGATGGCATAAGAACAAGCATATCCGCTACCTATCCAAGCACGACCGGATGCAATGAAACTAAAAGAAAAAGCTCAATGGGCGAGCAAATTGGTCCCCGACTCCCCCAAAGACTCCACCGGTAAAATATCAAGAACAAAAACACACAAAGGCCTGCGCCAGCAATAGCTAAAGAAATAAGACCATCTTGTTAAATCGGAGAGACCAGGCTCATATGCGGAGTAAATGTCAACTGCAGTCTCATGAAGTCAAACATATCGTGTATCTCCACGGCCAAGAATAATGAAGAAGAAAGCAAAGAGAAAGAATGTGAAGAGAGCAAAACTCGAATAGACACGACTTTATCCCTCGCCGTCTGCATCGAGAGAATGACTCCTATGAACGTGCGCCTGGTTCTTTTCGTTGAGACTGGAATTCGAGGGCATCCGTCGCGGGGAGTGTACTGTTTGGTTATGGATAGAGGGAATTGACAGCCTTTCATTTTCTTTGCCGCTACTGTCAGTTTCCGTCTCTCCACTCTCTACACTCTCTCCACTATAATCGCTAGTCTTGCTTCGAGAGTTAATAGCACGGAGCGTGAGGTTCAGTTCACGCTCCAGCTCCTTTTGGCCATTGGGTTGCTCAGAGGCCGCGTTAAGCTTCTTCCTATACGCCCGTAGCGTGCGGCACACCTGCTCAGTGGACATGTCCAGACTTCCAAACTCACTTTTTTTGGAATGTTTAGTGTGGGGACGATGATCCGATGACGGTTGCCGAGCAATGTGGCTAGTATGTGCAAGTCTTCTTCCAGAGCGAGGACTGGGAGGTGACGGCGATCTGCGAGAATGCTCCCGTGGCGTAGAAGGAGTGGGAGAGCGGTGGCTCGACACGGAAGGAGACGGTGAGGGAGACGCTACACGACCGCTTTTCAGGGAGGAAGGAGTGAGTGAAAACTTGGACAGCTTCCTGCGTACCAGCGGCGGTGAGTGACCACGTGCAGGAGTGGGACTGGCCGCCAAAAGGTCCGGTCGTTGAAACTCCGCAAGTTCAGACCGAGACAAAACGCGGCGCAAAGGAGGTTTGAAAGCTGTCACCTCCTTCGTGGGCGTGTCATCATCCTCTCGAGCGTGGGTCTGCACCACATCGTGAGCCTGCAGGGGCTGGACTGACAAGTCCCACACCATGACAACTCCGTCAATACCGGCACTAATTAAAGTCCGCTTGATTGGTTTTTCTGAGTTGTCTGGTTTGTTCTCCAATAGGAGCAAGGCGCTCATTCCTTCGGTATGCCCAAATTCGCCAGTAAGAAGTACTTGTCGCTCAAGGTCATACACGCGAATTGACTTGTCTGTGCTCGAAGCCCCAATGAGCAAATTTGGACTTTGTCCTGGTGTCTCAGCGGCCACCGTCAAGGTGTTTATGACCACTGTGTCACTTGATTCAACATCGGTGGCTCTAAATGAGTGGATGGGCCGACCAGAATGGATATCGAATTTGTGAACACATCGGTCCATGGTGGAAACGATCAGGATGTCTGGGTCGTCGGGTGAGATGGCCATTGACATAGGTGACGATTTCAGCGTAATGACTTTAGATACCAGATAGGCAATTGCTGTGGCACCATCTGCCTCTCGAGTAACCCGTTCCCTGACAAGTACCGTGCGGTCAGCGGAACACGAAAGTAGCTTTTCTCCATCGTTGATGAAAAGAAGCTGTCCCACGGATCCGACATGATCATCCATCGTCTGAATCAGTTGAATCGTGTCATCACATTTTTGAAACAGCTGCACGATACGATCACGTCCACAACTGGCCACCAAAACTGATTCCGGGCTAGAGTGCACAGCAATGTCGGTTATCTCTCCTCCATGGGCTCGCACTTCGTTGACGCATTCCCATGATTGCCCTGAAACAACCCTATATATTCAAGATTAGCAAGTTTGTCTCCACTTCATAGAAAGGAAAATATGGTCGTATATACCTTAAGACACCAAGCTTATCGCCCGAAACAAAGCATTCCATGTCATCCACGGCATGTAGCGTTCTCATTTCATTTGGCACGTTGTCATTGTTCCCTGAAGACTGCTCAAAGGAGATAATTCGGGACTCTTGGCATTTTCCTTCGGTATTCCAAAAATTCACAGAGCCGTTGGAAGACCATGTGTAAAAGTCGGCGTTCAGGCTGTTTGGGGTCTGGAGTGGACGAATGCCTAGTACGGAATCTCCGTGAGCAGGTATTGTCTTCTCAGCCTGACTTTGCTCGCCATCCTCATCCAATGCATCGATCGGGTAGAGCTGAATCCCACTGGTTGCGTCAACAGTGACCAGATGGGAAGACAGAGAGCCCATGCAGGCGATAGAAGGCCCTTTGTACTTTTGCTCGGCCGAATTCCTCCCAGTGGAGCCTGGTGAGGATGGAGCTGATCCTGAAGATGATCGCAAATATTCAAACGAAAACCTTCGCATTCTCTTTCCACGGCCTCCAATCCATACCGAAGCTTGGTCTGAATCGACGGCCAAGGAAGTAATAGTAAATCCAACGAATTCAACAGAGGATAGCTTTTGGCTTCCCTCGCTATCATTCAAAAAGCACAATGTCCCTGAATCGGTACCTAGCACGGCCTCATTTTCTGAGATACTCGCAACGCATGTAAACGTATTGTCACCCAAAGAGCCCAGAAGGCAATTTCTTCCCGAAAGCGCCTTGGGGGCAACATTCGGGGAGCTGGGGGTTGATTCCACATGCAAATGAGATTTAGTTGGCGATCCGGGTCTGATCTCCGGGAGCCGCCAGACTTTCACATGCCTGACACCTGCACTGTAAAATGGCTTAGTTCCGGTTCAATTGACAATAAACACACACAACAAAAGACATACGTGATCAATGCTTGACCCATCCAGCACATATCACGAACATATGTAGTGCACTTGTTGGTCGAGTGAAGCCGCGCCGACCCATTTTTGGGATTGACAGCCCACACGAAAAGAAATCCGTCATTGACATCTCCGAGCGTAGCCAGATACTGAGAGCTGGAATCAAATGCAAGGCCACGAACTCCAAACGTGTGCTCGTTGATAATCGAGAGGGGGATATCGGACGGGGAATCTTTCGCCGTGGAGAAGATCAAAGCCCTGGGATTGTAGCCAGTCTGGCAATCTTGTCAACAGATGTTCTGGATATTTTGTCGCCTGCCACAGCTTTCATTCTTACCTCTCCCACCGCAAGGAAATTCCCATCGGGACTAATTGAGACACTGGTAACCGCCTTGATTCTCTCTCGCGACGACCATGGGCGGGGACTGCCAGTGTCTGCCACCTCACTAGATGGAGAGTTGTTGTGGCTATTTCCGGTTGAGCGTAGATTGGACAGGGACCTCGCCCTAGCATCAGGGGTGGCTGGAGGAGTCGACTGGCTATAAAAGGAGGTGACTGGATTGATGCTGGTCGCGGAGGGACGTGCTTTGAAAAATCGCTGTCTCATGTTATTCTCGTCGTCCAGCTCCGACAGGACAGCCGCGGATCCAGCGCAGAGAGCGAACGATTTGCTCTGTTGGTGGCTGGAGAAGCCATTGGGTGAGGTCGTCGTTGTACCAATGATGGTCTGGAGGGACAATGTCGATTGATGCTGCGCTGGTTTGTTGGGTGACTTGGCCGGTCTCAGAACGGGGGAGTTGGAGGGCGTAATCCTGAGAGACAAGCCCGGCCCGGTCATTTTGTGTTTCGCACTCGAAGAATGGCTCGCCATAGCTTCGAGGAGTGTGATCGCAGATGGTAGTTTGTAATTCCCCTCAAAATCCCAAGTTTTTCACTCTTTTCATTTCAAGTCGTGGTCGCATTGGTCGCGGGGAATAGAATCGTCTGTCGGGACGTGTAGAAGCCCAACGACCTTAATTTATGGCCATCCAAAACTTCAAGATCGACGAGATGCAAAGAACGGGAAATTATGACAGGTATATTCGAGCGGATTCGAGATGGTGGAGGCGTTACGAGTCGCTGCGGTCGGCACTGTGGGAAGAGGGTACGGTGAGGGGAAGGAGGAGCTCAAGGACAGGACAATAAAGAGAGAGAAGGAAAGTAGACGAATTGGATTGAGAGTGAAGAAAAGGGAGTTAAAGGAATGACTAGAATGATAAAAGGAAAACAGAGGGAAGAAGGGAGAGAAATGAGATTTGAGAGTGTGAAGAGAAGAGAAGAGAGGAAGAAGAAGACGAGCGACAGAAGGTAAACACACGAAAGGGCGAAACGAGAGATGCAGGCTAGGTGCATTCCACAAGCCACCAGGAGTTCCCACTAGAAGAGCGCCATGATGTACAAACACCAGGCCATTTTACGGAGCAATTTAGGGGATCTCCAAAGCCACTACGAGATAGTCGCTAGCAGGTTAACCTTGAAGGTCATCCAGCCGGCTGGGATCAATTACGAGGGGATGCGTGATCAAGAGACTCGATGGAGAATAAGAGATAGGCAGATCGATAAACCTATACAGACTATCTTCCATGCTCTACAGTCTACACATCCATTTGAATGACAGTGACAGGTCAATAGTCTCATTATTTCCATCACATCCATCCAGAGTTAATCTGAATCTCAACTCAGCCGAGAAAATCCCAAACGAACCTTTGGTGGATCGGACTATCAGGGCACCAAGTGGCCCGTCCGGAGCTGCTGTGGGGATGCCAGGAATGACGGGAAATTGGTGCATTCAGGCAGTTTCAATCAGTTAATAATAAATGATCAGACGGAATAATTGAATATAAGATTCAGATGTCAATAGTTAGATAAAGAATGTAGGGATACGTCAATTATTAACTGTATTGTCTGTTCATGCCCGATTCTATCCACTCTTAGGTATTAAGCGACCCGTCCAGTGCTATTTCGGGCGTTGATAGCCATCACTGCGATTAATTAGTGAATTAGAATTATCCATCTATCATATCATCCTCATCTATCTCTACATCAAGGTTTTGTTTATTCCTTGAAACCATGGAATGTTCAATATGGCTTGAGATGTGACATCATGTTGATCACTGCCATCTATAGCCTTATCAGGTGAACCTCATTCATGTGTTCAAGAGAACAAGTATGTTCAATATTATAGACCATCTGGCCATGTAATGTGACATTCTATTGTACATGGATTGAAATTAGTCGAAGATACAGATAACAAGTAGAGCTTTTCCATACCCTTTATATGTTCAAGAACGGTGCATGACTCTCCTCCCATGGATGATCAATCTCAATCGACTGGATCAGTCCCTCATGTGCCAAAGAACGTAATTGGACGTTAACTTTGAATGGTTTAGGATGACAGATGAACCCGGGGAGGAAGTCAACTTTGAGCTCAGCCTCCTTGCCATCGTGAATCGGTTTGCTAATTTTAAATACAGCAAGAGATTGCGCGATGGTCAGGAAGATAGTTGAGTCTGCTAGAATTCGGCCTGGACATACGCGACGTCCAAATCCAAATGCGACATTATGCGGGTCTGGCTCGGGAATATGGCCATCGGTGTCGAGGAAACGTTCTGGCTTAAAAGCCATCGGATCGGGATATGTGCTAGGATCATGCATAAAGCCCCTGTCAAAAGTCAGTCCTGGTGGGAAAAAGCCCAATTGCAATAGTATTTTTTTACCATATATTAGCAATAATGACCGATCCCTTTGGAATAAAATATCCTTGATAGATGTCGTCGGCAATTGACGCGTGTGGGACACCAGTTGGCGCAACTGGCTGCCATCGGAGGACTTCTTTGACCAAGGCGTCAATATAGGGCAACTTTGCTCGGTCGTTAAAGGAAGGAAGTTTTGTGTTTCCAATGACTTTGTCGATTTCGTGCTGAGCCTTCTGTTGAATCTCTGGGAATAATGCCATTGCGAGGAAGAAGAACGACAACGAGGAGACAGTCTGTTTAGGTGAGCACTTGCGTTGATAAATAATGGGGGAAAGAAGTTACTGTATCAGCACCACCAGTGTATAGTGATGAAGACGACAGTTTCGCCACATGTTCCTCCTCAGAACCAGGAATTACTCGTGCATTTTCGAGTAAGCTCGCTAGGACGGACGGTTCATGAGCGGCGCTCTTCATCTGCTGCTGTACAAACGCGTAGGGAGTGTCTATGGTCTTCATCAAAGTCCTTCTCCACTCGATGGCTGCTTGCTTAAACCCAGCCCCAGGAAACCAGGCTGGTAAGTATTTCACTAAAATCATTAGAGCCCCCTCATCCTAAAGGTAGATTATTATATCAACTCACTTAAGGGAATAATGTCCACTAGCCAAGCACCCGGGGTTGCCGCCATGGAAAGCTGCGTCATGGCATCGTTGGCAAGATCAACCAGAGGGTCGTTCGTATGCGGTTGGATTGTGTAACCATATGAAATTTTCAAAATCACTGCCCCCACCTCACTGTCATGACACGTTCAGCCCAGCTTTAGTCCAATCGAAAGGCTGGGAGAGTGGCAGGTTACTCACGTTCGAATATGCTGCAGCAACGCATCTGGTTCTCGCAGCACCCGCAGCAAAAACCGACGAATCTCAACCTCCTGTAGAGAAGTGAAGCGAGCGACGGCAGAGCTCGTCCCCAGGGCTCGATGCAATGTCTTGCGATATGTGCGGAATCGATCCGAGTATGGTAGCAATCCAAGAGTATCATGCCAGCCAATCCTAAATAGGTTAGAAATGACAGTATGTCATACACAGTGGATGGCAATATTTACATTTCCCCTGCAAAGGCCATCTTTGGCCGGGAAGAATATATAGCAGATCGCTTTTCCATGAGATCGATGGTCGTTTGGACATCATTGAGAATAATTATTGTTTTACCAAGAGAAGTGACTGAGCTTATGGGTCCTAGTAGCCATTCCGGACCGTTTAGCGATTGCTTTGATAATGGTACTGGTATATCTATGCTCACGAGACATACCATAAAGATCCTTGTGCTGTAGCCAATGCAGCCATTCCTGTCCCCCTCGTCGTGGGAGATCAGCAATATTTCCCACCAAAAACTTTGGTGAAGGTCCTGGTGGAAGAGGTACAGGAGGCTTTCTCAACAAAAGTCGGACTATATACAAGCCGACGATGAGGATGAGAGCAAAACTTGCAACTGTTGATGTCGACATGCTGCCTGGAAATGTGAGTTGCATCTCTCATAATTATTCAGATTCCTGGGACAAGATGCTGCTATAAATACCCTGACAAGTGACCACTCGAAAACGTAACTGGCAAGGCCTGCGAGACTCGCAATAAACGAGGTTCTGGCAACACCCACTGGACATTTCCGTCCAAACAATGGCCAGTACGCACGGCATCATGCATGCTATTTCATCCAATATCCCTGTAGCTATGTGATACCTAATGCGGGGTCGATGGATTAGCGGTAAGTCTCTTTATAGAAACGAATAGGTCTCTTTGTCCTGGACAAAGACAAAGACAGATCCCAGGGGGCTCAGAATGTATCTATCACTTGTTTCGAGGGTTAGATTTCCACCATATCAGTCCATTTCTGTGAGACACTTAGGGTCCCCCTTGGCTATCCCTTTTCCTGCATCTCTTCACACGAAATAAAGAGTGAAAAGGGCTATCTCAGGTGCTGAGGTGTCCTCGCAGTGTTTATCTGTATGTAGACAATATTAGATCACGTGTTGCTGCCTCAGGCCGCCGTGCATTCTAGGCCTTTTTGGGTTTTCTCCAGACTCATATTATTGACATTCGACATCTTTCTTCTTTTCTTTTTTTCGTCCTCTCCACCGTCTCCAGCAGCCGTCAAAATGCCTTCTTTTTGCGCTGCATCATCGAAATTGGCATTTTCCACAGTTATAAAAAGTGTCTTTCGCGCAGAAGTTGCCCTCGAGCGTCGATTCCCCGGCTCTCTTTATCACCAGAATAATTCTTTCCCTCGCCACCAACTCCAAACCAAGCGACATTTTTCTCACATCCCAACCCTCCGTTTCCCAGAATCTCATTTCCAACCCTCCCAGCCTGAATTATCGTCCGCTTCGAACGCCTCTAGCGCACAACGTCCACGCAGTGACCGACCGAAGAGTCCCAAAACTAGTCTCGATAAACCTCCGATAACCAAGAAGAAGAAGCCAGAGGGCTGGCAAATCCAGAAGGGTGCTTTGAAAAAGAAATTTAAGGAAGGATGGAACCCGACCAAAAAGCTTTCTCCGGATGCTATCGAAGGAATTCGTCAGCTACACGGTGCATCGCCCGATAAATTCACGACGCCTGTTCTCGCGGAACAGTTCAAGGTCTCCCCAGAGGCTATCCGCCGGATTCTGAAAAGTAAATGGCGCGCATCCGAGCCTGAGATGGAGGACCGACGCAAACGATGGCAGAAACGTCATGACCGGATCTGGAGTCAAATGGCTGAGCTGGGTCTCAGGCCAAAGACGAAGCGAACCAATCCTCTTTCCGATTCCAATATATTGTACGATAAGGATAGGACGGAGTGATTTGGTGTTGCTCAAGCCACTGTAAAACCACTGTATCATAGAAACCACCCTGTATAGAGTTGCATATGCATTCCTGGCGTTGTCTTAGTTGAATCGGCATTACAATTTAGTCCGCATTAATCTCACACTTATCTGATCTAGAATACATTAGAAATTATTCGTCCTCTAAAGTAATCATCAAAAGTAAATCTTGCAATTCTTCAGCCACAACAGCGGTTTTCTGCGCCACCGGATCTCCATCCTTTCTCCGGGCCACGAGAGCACGACTCTATCTAATGCCACCGCCCAACTCTCCGGCAGGACGCATCAAGGCAGGACAAACTCTCTGACTGGTTCAGACAACTTGCCATTATCCAACTTCTCCCCAATCGATATTTGCCATGAAAATGGTCCGTTTTATCTGACAGAATGCCCAGGTCGGCGTATATATCTTCTTCTTCTTCTCCCCAGCGTTGCGCTTGATCCCATTATTCCAACTCCTGAAAGTGGCGGCTGGTACCCACTCTCTATCTACCCCAAACTCCCCGACATCTGCTGCTCTCCTGCGCCCACATGGTGACCTCGCGACCCTCGCCATGCCATCGGACATCCAGGTCTTTGTGAGATGGAAAGACCAAACCATTTTTGCGGGGGAGGATGTGGAATGTACAATTACCTTCAAGAACGTTGCTGAGAGCAACACCGAGTCCAATCATGGCCCTCAGTCCCAGCAGCAGCATCACCAGCGAAAGCAGTCTCGCGTGGGCATGGTCAATTCGACTTCCGATTCCTTCTTCTCCCTGAAATCGCCTCAGAACCTCTTCAGTCCGAGTCGCCGCTCCTCGTTCGCCAGTCCCCCAAAGAGACAATCCCACCGGGTCTCTTCGTCGGTCAGTTCCCCAGTCACTGGGTCGCATAGCTTTCCGCCTCCTTCGACCCCTCGGATTGGGCAGTTTCCTGGCCACAAGCATAAACGCTCCGTATCGATTCTGTCGATTGATAGTGAGGGAGGGGGTGATAAGACACCAGTTTCGTCTTCTCCATACAATAACCGGCCCAAACCGACCAGGGGTCATGGACGCTCTGCGAGTCTCCAGATATTACCGAGGAGGACTGAGAGTCACGATGAGCCTCTTTCAAAATGTACAGCAGTTCCCGTTGCAAGCTTTAAAATGTTTTATTTGACTAATGATTTTTGATGTTTAGCAGCGCGAAGTCCCCGGGGCTTCCCACACCCCGAGTCTCCCATCACCGCATCCCCTACCCATTTGAAAGTCGACGTGGATCGGCCGATGAGAGCCGGCCGCTCTGGACCGGGTGTATCTAGTCCTATAAGACAGACTGAGTCGCCGCGCACCGCTCGACGAAGACCTCAACTACCCCCAATAGACTTCAAATTCCCCGCAGCACCCCCTCCTGCAAACGAGACGAACAATAACCCATCCATGACTCCAGTTGACGAAAACCCTAGCTCCGCCATATCAACAAAATCGAACGCATTACCTGCGCAAGGTCAAATACCTCAACTGGCGCGAATTATTTCTACGTCAAGTTTGGCAGGAAGCCACAGGAGCAGTGGGGAGTTTTACTCTGTCAGCGACCATTCATCGGAGACCCTTCAATCCGAATATACAAACTATTCCATGCAGGGGATGCGTTCTGGTCCTTTTCGTCACGGCCGACATCATTCCAGTGTAGAGCCTAGTGTGGCTTTCGTTAATAGCCAGACGCTTCTCATGGGATATGCCCAGGTCAGCGCTTCATTTACTGTTGATGGCTCATTAATCAACCAATCCATATTCGAAGATGTCAAGCGGAAAGGAGTGGTTGGTGGTCAAGCAAATGGAGCTGGAATGTCTGGTAGTGGGGCTTCTACGGCAAAAGGACGCAAAGCTGGTGGCTTTTGGGGAGCTCTGAAATGGAATAACATCGAGGAGTCCATTAGCAGTCTCCTGTCCAATAACGAACTGGATGGCTTGCGAGACATGAGGGGTGTTTCCTCGTCACGGTCTATACCGCTATTGTCAACATCACAGTCTTTACTGTTCGTTGATCTCCGGCTGGCTCCTGGAGAGGAACAATCCTACTCGTTTTCCTTCACTCTACCAAGAGGTCTTCCTGCTAGTCACAAGGGAAAGGCCATCAAGATATCTTATAATCTAGTCATTGGCACCCAGCGACCCAGTGGCTCTAAAGAGCCTCAGCGTGTCAATCGAATCAGTATACCCTTCCGTGTGTTCAGCGGTGTGAATGGTAGGTTCCTCCCCTCCAATTGATGTCTGGTCTATGTCTAATCTTTCTTAGGCCAGGGTGATGTTCTGGGACATGATTTAATGTCCCCTTACGTTCTTCTCCGCGACGAAGCCCGGGTACAAAAGGTCGGGTCCAGTCCCACGCCAATCGCGAAACCGAAAAGCATCGGCGGACCAACATGGACATCGGCGCCCGAATTCTTGTCGTATGTCGATGAAATCCTCGACCAGAGCTCACGGGCAAACTCTTTGCAACCCCCCGATACTCCATTAGAAAGGCAGGTGAGCCACGACGATCTACCTATTCGCTCGATCTCCTGCAAAGATGCAATCGACCTAGCGATTCTCCGGAGCAACCAAGCTATTCACTCATCGCGCAGCCCTAATAGATTTGAGATTGCGCGTAATGGAAAACGGATTGCAGTCGTGGTGCTTAATCGCCCAGCTCATCGACTAGGCGAAACCATTATCGCAACAATAGACTTTGACGGTGCTGCACTTCCTTGCTACGCTTTACGGGCGACTCTGGAGACGTCCGAGAAAGTCGCGCCTCACCTAGCAGTGCGGTCGAATGCTAGCATCCACCGTGCTACGCACCGTGTTCATGCGTCCTTTTTTGAAAACACACTATATTCCACCCGTGTCGTCTTTAGCCCTGCAGTTCCTATCTCTGCCACTCCCAGCATCCTGACCAGTGGGATCAATCATGAATGGGAATTACGTTTTGAGTTTGTGACAAACAGTCTGCACAGTGAATCTGGATCCCGGCCATCTGGTGTTGAATTACTTGGTGCAGTTTCCGAGGACGATCGTGGGCGGATCATGACGGCCTTGGATAACCTGAGCTGCGAATCTTTTGAAATCTCGATTCCTCTCACTGTGTATGGTGAGACTGTTCGAGAGCGACTCCCAGAGGAGAACGAGGGCTACTCTATATAATGTGAACTTGTTTTTGTGAGCTGCCTTGATGGTTGAAGCAAGCGTGCCTCTTTTTTTCCTTCTTCTTCCTGTGTGTTAAAGTAGATATCCATTGTTTTCCCATCATGATGGGATATGTATTATGTCCTAAGTGCCATTTCCATTCCCTCCAGACCCCAACCACATTGCTTGTAACTACCTAAACCATCTCTAGTGTAGCAGCCCCTGTTATTCCCTGTTTTCCATGAAATGCAAGGCATACATACGCGGCCCCGATTGAGTTGTCGCTAATCGCGAGCATCGGGCGGTGTTGTTGGGGCAACGGGCCTTTTGCCACTCTGGATGGGTTCCTCCAGCATCATCCATGGATCACGACCTTGGGGGAGGTTCCGCTTGAGCGATCGTGGAGATAGGCGATCGGAGCTTAATAGCTTTGATATTACAGGGAACAAACTCTTTGTTTCTTTTCTTTTTCTTCTTCCCTTCCCTTTTTCGCGTTTCTCGTCGACTTCAACTCCTTGCTGTTATTGTCTTCTCGGTAAGAGAGATCCTCCCCTCCCTGTCATCCGATCCGTGATATCATTTCTTCCCTCCAACCCAGTCCCATCCTTTCTAACTCTTGGTTTTCCGGCATTGGAATGTTAGGCGCAGTTACAATCCGCAGCGCATACGAACCGAGCTCAAAGCGTCACATTCCAGAATCCTTGTGTCAACCCCCGATAACCTAAAGAAAGGAGGGGCATATTCAACCTCCCGTCGTCCCCTCTGACGAAGGAAAGGAAATAATGGCATCATTTATCACCACCATGTCTGTCCCCGTTCCCCCTATCCAGTCTTCTTCTCACACTCCTGCCCCGCCTCTACGACAACCCCTCCACACCTTCCCCCCATCTCATGACTCCAATACTATCAACCGTTCCTTGGGTGTTCCCCTCGCTGAACCCCCTTCTTACCTTTCGCCGGCGGTTCGCGCTATCAAACAAGGCTCATATGGACTGACACCTCCCAGCAATGCGCGCACCAGAGCCCCGTTCAAGCCGCGTTCTGCGGCTAGGGGAACGAGTAGCTATCAGCTGAGACAATTTGCCGAGGCGACACTTGGAAGCGGAAGCTTGAGGAAGGCCGTGAAACTTCCCGAGGGAGAGGATTTGAACGAGTGGCTTGCGGTCAACGGTGCGTCAGATTGATGAATGGTGGAATGGACGTGTTTGCTCATGGTAAATTGTCTGCAGTGGTCGATTTCTACAACCAGATTAACCTTCTCTATGGTTCTATCACGGAGTTTTGCTCGCCGACGTCATGTCCAGAAATGAAGGCCACAGATGAGTATGGTTGATTGCGGAAATACATCGGGGCAATATAGCTGACGGTGGATCAGGTTCGAATATCTTTGGCAGGACTCGGAGAACTACAAGCGACCGACCAAGATGACCGCCCCGGGATATATTGAACATCTAATGAGCTGGGTGCAGAGCAATATCGACAATGAGCAAATGTTCCCTAGTCGAATCGGTAGGTTACACGCCAACTTGGACTTGTTCGCCATCGTGAACGACGACCAGATTTACTAATTTGATGCGACTCAACAGGTGTCCCCTTCCCCAAGACATTCTCCAGTTTACTGCGCCAGATCTTCAAGCGTTTGTACCGAGTGTATGCGCACATTTACTGCCACCACTACCCCGTTGTCGTTCATCTTGGACTGGAGCCGCATCTCAATACCAGCTTCAAGCACTACGTTTTGTTCATCAACGAACACCGATTGGCAAGTGGGAAGGATTTCTGGGGGCCTCTGGGAGATTTAGTAGACAGCATGCTGCGGAGTGACTAGTAGTCGACGGCAAAATCTTCGTCCCAAAGGAATCTGGGTTTGTTAAATTTTTTCAGGCATGAGCTGGGGGCGAAAAAAAAAAAATGTCTGGGCCTTGCTAAGAGAATAATATCGGCGTTTGGGGTGTTGGGCAATGGGCATTCCTATTAGCATAGTCTCTCTAGAGTGGCCGTCTGGCGTTTTTTGTCACGGTTCCGTTGATGTACACGATGACGATCAGTATATGACGTATCAATGATAATCTGAAGCAAAAACTATCTGACTGTAGACTGTTGTGTTGGAAGAGAAGGAATTAAAAGCAATAATAATATGTCGTAGTCGTCGTGGTCTGCCGTAGTCGCTGGAGTAGCCGAATTCTCGGCGTGTGCGGAAACTCACGTGACCGCCAGGCCGGGAGAAGTTGGACGTCGACTCGCTTCATCGCAGGGAAGCAGACCAACGGCCATTGCACCCCTCCGAACGTCGTTCGCTCGTCTCGCATCTATCCATCCTCCTCCCTTTCGAGGCCTTCCGTCACATCTCAGTCATCATGATCTCTGCTCGAGTCGCCCGCGCCGGCCTGCGTGCCTCCACCCAGCAGTTCTCCGTTCCTCGCACTGCCGCTCTCAATGGCTTGAGGACCTATGCCACCCCGGCCCAGGAGGTCAAGCCTCCTGTTGCTCTCTTCGGTGTTGACGGCACCTATGCCACTGCTCTGGTACGCGCTTTTTGATCGAGTTTTTTTCTTTCCCTCGCAGTCTCGTGGAATACCACCCCCTTCTCACCCGTTGACCCGAGTTCGTTGAGCCGCATAAAAACGGGAAAAACTGGCGGACAACACACGCAAAACGGATCCTACAGAGACAAAACAAAGGGTAATAAAGCTAACTAGCTCGTGATAGTACACTGCCTCCGCCAAATCGGCTGCCCTTGACCAGACCTCCAAGGCTCTTTCCACCCTCGGTGAGACCTTGAAGGCCGACCGCAAGCTGGTCACCATCCTCGGTGCCCCCACCCTCACCGCCAGCGACAAGCAGCAGATCGTCCAGGAGCTCCAGAAGGTTGCTGGCGGCGCTGACAAGGGTGACCTCCTCAAGAACTTCCTCAACACTCTCGCTGAGAACAATCGATTGGGCTCTCTCCAGGGTGTCTGTGAGAAGTTCGCGACTCTCATGGGTGCTCACCGTGGTGAGGTTGAGCTGAACATCACCAGTGCTCAGGTACGACTACTGCCCTTGAATATATATGCGAGGGTTAGAATTGGGCAGTTTGAATACTAACTGTACTTTAGGAGCTCGACAACAAGACCATCTCCCGCCTCGAGAAGGCCGTCTCCAAGTCTGAGTTCAGCCAGGGCAAGAAGCTCAAGGTTGTCTCCAAGGTACGTTATACCACCTTGGCAGGTATTATCCAATTGCATGCTAATTTTTTTTCTACAGGTCAACCCCGACCTCGTTGGCGGTCTCGTTGTTGAGATTGGCGACCGCACCATCGACCTCAGCGTTTCGTCCAAGATTGCCAAGCTCAACAAGGCCCTCACCGATGCTTTGTAAAATAGATTACTTATTATTTGTGCCAATTTTGTCATGAACCTTCTCCGCCGCGCGGAAACTCGAGTTCTGGAGGTCATTTGAAGGAATGATAGTTTCTTCTCGAGAGCGAGGTGAATAAGGATGTAGACAGGAATTCTTCTTTTTTTATTCTTCCTTATTCCAAGATCCCTTTCTAGCAACCGTTTGGAACAAGGGAAGGGCCAGTTCTTACTTTTCTCGCCTCTTGTCTCTTTTGTCGCGTGTGCTGTAGAATGGTTTGGTCATTGATTGTCGTCTGTCCGATTAGAGAGAATGAACATAGCTCGAACCCTTTTTTTTTCTTTTGTTAACCCTTGAACTGCAAAAGTAGATTTGATAAACTTCTATCGATGGTAGAAACGTAGATTCCGCGGAAGCGCCTTTTGACGATGAGATAGATGCTGGTTCATACTCCCAATGAACCATCTAGTATGCCTGTCCAAGTCTATCACGTAAGGAAAAGACTTTCATAGAATTTCAGTCATCTAAAGGATTACTACTTTATACCAACTATTGTTTTCGGAATTGGCTGAGGCTGTTCACGGTTGATATATATAACCTCGAGTGAGCACTGACTTAACCTTGAAATGAGAAACTCGGTATATTATCCCTAAGGAATCAATGATTTCGTTAGTAGTGGCTTAATAGTAGCAGGCGAGAATATAATATCCAGTGTATAGGTAGTTAGTAGATATAAATTCAGCATTACGCTCAAGGCTAGTATTCAGGGTCTTTCTGGTACTTGAATACAGAAGATAAATACCTTCAAACACCTCGAATAGCATGCTCTTTTTGGCTTAATTAACACGGGGATGGATATATAAGCATGTGCTATCATGGCATATGCAATCTGAACAATGTTATCGGTTCATCCGAAAGCGTGCTACATATGTATACAGTGGCTTGGGCAAAGGGGGCGGTTATATAGAAAGGCAGTGAAATATGGAATGCAATCAATATATTCAACTCTAGAATCTAGGTTATAACTGGACAATTACCTATATATTCATCAATTCCCCACTGTGTCCTCGTCATTTCTGCTCTCACACCGTGATATCGTCTCACGGCCTTAAGCCGTGCCCAATAAACAATCTAATGTCCGTTCGGGGTGCGGTCGGCTTCTGTTCCAAATTCGTCTTCATACGCCCCCATAGATACCTCACTCCTCACCCGTTGCAACTGACCTTCGACGTAGTTATTGACATGCTCTTGTGTCTGACTCTCCGAGAGATCGCGATCTTCCTCCCCATCTACGGCTGACTCAGGCCCAGGTGTGTAGCCGTTGAACGTGGAAGCAAAATCACTACGATTTCCGATGGACCGGCTGGTAGACGACCTTCGTACACTAGGTCGGCTGCTGGTACGTGGCCTTCTAGAACGAGTGAAGATATCGTCAAAGTAATGGGACGCTGCTGCGAAGGGAGACCGTGGTGTCTGAGGCAAACGGCAATTGACACTACAAAATTGTTAGACTTGATCAAAATGACAGAGAGTAGACTTACCCAGTATCGTGAATCACCTTGGCAATCAAACCAGTCCAGCCGCATTGATGGGAAGACCCAAGCCCGCGTCCAGTGTCTCCATCAAAATATTCATGGAACCACATGTAGTCCTTCCAATGCTCGTCAAAATCGAGCAGATTGGACCCGTCGTTGACTGCCCGGCGTCCCTCATCGTTTCGCGCAAACAAATGCTGCCACCGATGCTGGATTTCCTCTGCTACATGACCCAGATGCATGTATTCCCCAGAGCCCGTGGGACACTCAACCTTGAACGAGTCGCCATAGAACATGTGGAATCGCAACAGTGATTCAACCAACAAGAAATTTACGCACAGCCAAACAGGGCCGCGCCAGTTGCTGTTGCCCCCGAAAAGTCCGCTGTCAGACTCACCGGCCACGTATCCAACCTTGAACGTCTGGCCGTTCACATCCATGGAGTACGGATGCTCTTCATGATATTTTGACATTGATCTGATGCCGTGCTTTGACAGGAACTCGGTTTCATCAAGCATTCTTTTGAGAATCTTTTCTAAACGATCTCTACTGACCAGGGACAGCAGAAGTCGGTCGTCCTTTCCACGGCGTTTCATGTTTGCAATATTGCGTTCTGCAACGTCCTGTTTATTCTCGACAAACCAGTCCAGTCTCCGTTTGAAGGACGGAAATTTGTTGATCAATTCGGGCTCCAGCGTGAGAACAGCATAAAGTGGAATCAACCCAACTAGAGACCTTACTGGGAGCTGTTGGATCCACGGCGCTCCGTATGAGATGGCATCGTAATAGAACCTACCCATGTTAGTTGCTGAGCTTATAGAACAGAACCTGGGTTGACATACCCATCCTCCTGGTTCCACAAAGAGGCTTCCTCGTCCCCAGCTCTAAAAGTCATAGCATCGCTGATGAGAATGAAATGCTCGAAGAATTTCGACGCAACTGACTTCTGTTAGCACATTTGAAAAATTTCAGAGCGGAGATAGTTGCACTTACTATCTTCATAGATCCGTCGATGCTTGGCCAGTTCAAGAGCAATGTTAAGCATGGTCAGGGAGTAGAAAGCCATCCAGCCAGTGCTATCGGCTTGCTCCAGGACACCACCTGTTGGGAGAGGATCGGACCGATTGAAGAGTCCAATGTTATCCAAACCGAGGAACCCGCCCTCAAAGACGTTCTTGCCTTCTGAATCCTTACGGTTGACCCACCACGTGAAGTTCAACAATAACTTCTGGAAGACACGCTCCAGAAAGTCGAGATCTTGCCGACCGTACATCTTTCGCTCGATCTTGAATGTTCTGAACGTGGCCCATGCATGGACAGGCGGATTCACATCACCAAAGTTCCACTCATAGGCTGCGAATTGCCCATTGGGATGCATGTACCACTCCCGGGTAAGGAGGTCTAGCTGCTTCTTTGCAAAGTCTGGATCAATCATCGCGAGAGGGATGCAGTGGAAGGCAGTATCCCAAGCTGCAAAGAAGGGGTATTCCCAGGAGTCCGGCATTGAAAGAATATCATCAATGTACAGGTGCTTCCACTGCTGGTTACGGACGTTTTTTCTTCCAGGGGGAGGGGGTATCAAACCCGGGTCTCCGTTTGTCCACTGATCCCAGACGAAGTGATAAAACTGTTTGGTCCACATCATGCCTGAAAACGCCTGCCTTTGGATATTTTTCAAGTCATCGCTCATTGGAAGCGGGCTGATACGGTCGTAGAATTCGTCGGCTTCCACCTTACGCTTCTCAATAGCATCGTCAAGAGCTTCTTCATCAAAAAAGTCTTCTTGCTTCCGGGATAGTCGGAAACGGATTACAGCACACTCGCCAGGAGGGATTCCTTCACCCTCATCAAAAGCATACCATGCAGCAAACTTTGTTCCCTTATTGTCAGGATTAACGGCCCCCTGTTCCTCTTCGACAATGTGACGGTGGAAGGCATCCTTGACATATGGCTGGTCGTTCTTGGTGTTCCAAAGAAGCGCGTTGTTGCTCTCATTCTCGGTGAATAGCATCCGGGGAAGGACATCTTCCTCGCTATCACCGAACGCTGGCGCAGGTGAAAAACGCACAAACCTTTCTCCCAATTTGCTGTGCGTTGATTTGGCCGTGAGTGAATTTACCTTCTCAATACAAGGCTTCTCAGACTGGTTCTCGTAGCCCCAAGACCAGGTGTTTCTGAACCAGACCTGAGGAACGATGTGCAAAGGAGCGGGCTCCGGACCTCTGTTATAGGCGATGACACGGAACATGAGCTCTTCCTCGTCATCATCCTCCTTGGCTGTTTCAATGAAGATATCCCAGTATTTGTTCTCGTTGAATATACCCGTATCCAAAAGTTGATATTCACGCTCCAGTCTTGTACGTCGGGCATTTTCATCCACAAGTTCCTGGTATGGAAATTTCTTTTGCGGGTATTTGTAGAGGAATTTCATATAGGAATGCTACAATGAATTTAGTTAGCCAGAGTGTAAGATGTACTCTTATGGATCCACCTACCGTGGGAGTGTTATCGAGATGGAAATGGGCTTCTTTGACACTTTCGCCATGGTTTCCTTGGGGGTTGGATAACCCGAACAGGCGTTCTTTCAAAAAGTCGCTGGTGGAGAGGGTTAGAAAAGCTCTTAGGAAGTCGACTCAATCGAGACAACACATACTCCTTCTCGTTCCAGAAAGAGAACGCAATATTTTGCAGATTGTGGGTATCCGAAACGCCAGCAATTCCATCTTCTCCCCAGCGATAAGTCCTGGATCGTGCATGATCGTGCGAAAAGTCTACAAGAATGATGATACCAAGTAAGCCATCGACCCCGCATGGCATCACATCCAATTTGGGGATGAATTTACTTACAGCTCCAAGCATCTCCATCTTCTCTGATTGTAAGTTAGTAAAAACCCGAACAAAAAAGCAGATCAAATGTTAGCGTGGTAGGAAACTTACGAGTAATCTTCACGAACTGCGGGGAGACAAATGATGATATCATCAGTATACCGGAAAGACGAATCTCTTCATAGACGAGAAACAACACGGGGATTCAAAGGCACGAAAAAGAGACTCAGACGAACCAGTAGCCCATTGCCTCTCAGCGACATAGGGACCCCATTTTTTCCAGTACTTGGTGCGTTCACGGTCCTCCTTCAGCCGTTTCTCCTCCTCTGTCAAGTATTCATGCTTGTCGATTAAAACCATGGCGTATTGAATGGATGTGGGAATCAATTCAATTCACCATGAGAGAGCAAGAAATATAGAAACAGAAAGACGAGAGAAAAGAGAAAGAGGGAGAGGTGAGAACAGGAAAAGGTTGAGGGGAGAAAAGAGGAAGAGGAGATGCGGAGGGGCCGGGCGAACCAGGAAAGGCAAGCTTGTATGTCGCAACGAGTCGCAGCAGCTAGGAATAATCTACAGCAACAGCAGCGGAAGAGAACTCATGACCAGCTGCAGGCCGTACAACTCAGCGCCGAAGTATTTCATTTTCGACTAGTTTCACTGTAGCTGTGCTTATCACCTTGATCGGTAGCAAAGCACGGCCAAGGTCGAGGGCGATGGACGACGTCTGGACTCGCTCGGGCGCTTCTCTGGGGGGAACTTCCAAGGAAGTGGAACCCCTCCATCTGCGGCCCCCGGGAATGACAGGAAGATGCGCAACGATAGATACACCAGCCATCCAGGTTCGTCTGCCGTGCCATGCATGTTGCTGTCGTGATAACAGTTAGTGTAGCATGTAGTTGTATGTATTGTTTCCCAAATAGCGGGGGGTTTCGCTATGTCCGAGTCTTGGGAGAGAACCAGGGGTGTGAATATACCCTGCCTGTACGGAGTGAGACCCCTAAAAATGAACAGAAACCAAAGATAGAATAAAGCATCAACACCTGTGTTCCATAAGCCCCGAATTCAAACACAATAAAACTATTTAAATAATATTATTACAACTCAACACGGCGACAAAAAAACAAATGTCTTCCCGGCTGGCTCGTTCGTGGTCTGACAGATGCATACAGTTTTCCTTGCCAGGTATACCAACCAACAAAAGCAGCAGCCATCAGAAAAAAAAATACCAGTGTGAGCTCAAAAGATCAACAGAAAGAAGATCTGACATCTTCCAGTGCCCGGTCGACGCGGCGCTGGATGATGACAGGGTAATAAAACAAACCAAACGGAACCCGGATTTCTTCAGACATGTCCGCCATATAATAGTAAAAAGTCCGTGAAACACCCCTCCATCCCTGCCCATGTACAGATCCATTCAAACACAACCCTAGCCTGCGGCTGCAGTCTTCAGTCATGAGTTACGCGCCTTGCCATGCATCCGCTGCTGGTCGCTGCGGAAGTACTGGCCCGCGCCGCCTGATGGGGAGCTGGAGAAGGTTGAACCTGCAGCGAGGGGACGGCTGGTCAGATACACTAGATCGGTGACCTTATAAGTTAAAAACGTCTCTCACCAGTCGGTCGGTATTCGCCTCCCCGCTGTCCTGCAACGCCGTTTCTGGAGCTGCTTCCATCCATGACTACGGACTGTCGCGCCTTCAAACGCTCTTCAGCCTCGCGGATCTTCTGCTGGAGCTCTTCCAACTCTCGGTTCTGGATAATCATTTGCTGTCTCCTGGTGGGAAGATTGTCTCGTCAGCCCAACTGCATCACTTCTCTTTTCATGGTTTGTATTCATGGATTGTCGTAGGTTCATTGATTTGTTGCGACAGAACCCCCCGCAGTAGTGTGTTTGGCTCTATATCGTGATACCTACTTGTGATCTATAGTTTGAGAGAGCTGGGGAACATCCGAGTCCAGCGAGAAGGCGCTATCCAGCGCTTCAGAGAAGGCCTGTGCCATGGTCCTGCCATGTCTTGGTCAACGCCAATGTCTTTAGTCTCTTAGGGGAGCAACGGGAAGACGAACGACTGAGGCCGACCGCTTGGCTTCCAACCCTGTTCCGTGTCCGACATTTTGTTTCTTTTTGACTTCTCTAGAAGCTCAACTGGAGTCACCGGTAAATTGCGGAAATAACGACGAGTTAAAAGAGGGGCTGACTCTTAAACCGTCGTGGAGTGGTACGTGGGGAGCAGCGAGCGCGTCTGCGACGGGCGGCAACAGTGTTTCCGATCGGAGAGGGGTAAGGAGGACGAAAAGAAGATTAAATGATTAATATATCTGTTGAGACCAGGACCAGCTGTGAATCTTGAAAAAAAGAGGATTGACCAATAAATTGATCACAAAGGGAAGACAGAAAGGTGGGAAAAAAAAGAGGATGGAGATGCAGTTGTCGCACTATCCAGCCAGGAGGCGCGACGGTTGTTTATCAAGGAGGCGGCAACACCAAGAAGTTGATGGTGATAGCAATTAGTGTTAGGCTATACGCAAGAGCCAGGGGTTTGAGAGACTAAGAAAGACAAAAGAGAAGGGCGAGATGGAGAGGTCCTCTTGGACGGAGAAAAGACAGTGTGCAAGAAGGGGAAAAGGAAGGAGTGAATGAGTGAGTGACAATGGATAGAAGGACTGAATGAATACTCTTTAAGGATGGAGAAAAGAGAGGAGAAGAGAGGTAAAGAAGAGAAAGAAAGAAAGGCAGCAGAAGAAAAGAAGAGCGTTTACCACTGGAGGTTTAGTTGCCAGTCGTTACTATTAGTTAGGAGAGCAAGACGACTCCATCAAAGTTCCATCTGGGTGTCCACAACAACACATGGAAATATTAAGGGCTGCAAGGAGTATCAACTCTGATTCTACTGCTCATCTCTACACATCCATCCAGAACGATATTATTATTCTTCCACAATGCCCCGTCGTGGCAAATTACGGGTGGATTCCATGGTAGTAAACAACGCGCCATTGATGCTGGGCTATAAGGAGAGCAACGGGAGGGGAAAAAGATGTAGGGAAAGGGGGTGACGATTCGGAGCCCCTGACAGCGTGGGGTTCGGGTACTTTCTTTGTGATCCTCTTCAACCTCGTCATCTCATTTAGTTTCGGGTTTTTAGTATTTATATAGATGTGACTGATGACAGTGATCAGTGATCAGATAGGCCCAGAGGACTGGACTGTGTACAAAGAATGTTCAACCTAGCCACCCTATCGCCAGTAGTATACCCGGGCAGAGGACAGACTACAGACTGACTCGAACAGCGCTAGGACACCCAAGATACCACTTGAGATAGAGATGGATCCAACGTGGGACTGGACAATTAATGAGAATGGACAACAGATGATGATCATCCACTCCTTTGGTCGTTTGTTCCTCCGTTGCAGCCCGTAAAGATAGAGAGAGAGAGAGATGAAGACCCTGTCTGCAAATCAATGCACGTAACCTCTTTTTCTTTTTTTCTGTACATCCGCCACCCTCCGTACGTACTAGGCTGACTATGTTCCTGCTTTTGGACTCATCATCGTCATCATCATCTCCATTCCTTTTTGTTTGCCCTGGCAACTATTATTATTGATCTCCATCTGTCATCGTCTTTCTGTGGCCGCAAGCATCGCGTGTCGATCCGTGGACCCGGCTCACGTGATCCCAGCCCTCTTTTTTCTCTTTCCTCTTTTTTTTCCTCTCCGAGAAGGGAAAAGCAAGAAATCATGAGGCCAGATCGAGCGAAGCTCACCATCACCGCTTGACAGCAAGAATCATCGTCTCCTCCTCCATCATCATCATAATCATCTAATATCGGTGTCATGCAATAGTTAAAAAATTACTCCCATCTTCTCCATCGTTTTTTCCTCAATTTTATTATATTTTTTTTTCCCTTTCTTCTTCCCCCTTTCTTATCCCCCAAGCTACGCGTTTTAATTTTTCGTGTTCTTTTTTTTTTCTTGCGCCCCTTTTTGCACTTATGGCCTGAAAGGCTAGGCGTACTTCACCATCGCGTTTTCCCTTGTCGTCTCCCAACAGAACCACCATCGTGGCCCCAATCCCCAGACTTTCCTCCCCCAGTGGCCAACCGGACGGGCAATGGGGGATGCCTCCACTGTCGGATTATACTCCTTTTGAATCGCTGTTATTCTTTCAGTCCCTCGCCACTCTCGATGCCCGCCCCGCTAGTTTCGTCTCGATCTCCGATGTCTTGCGCAACAACCCTTTTATCCGGCATAATGTCGCCTTCAACGCTGACCGCCTTAGCCCTGAAGCTTTAGAGGATCTGTACTCCACCTTGATACGTGATGGACTAGAGTCCGCCTCTGCTGTTTCGTCCTCTGAGCAGCAGAATGGTCATCGCGCGGATAGCCCCGGCTCTAGCAACCCTAGGAAGCGCAAGATTTCGAGTCCCCGACCGGATGGATTCGTCGACAAGGGTGTGGCCCATGCCCGGATTGTTCCGGATTTGGTATCCCATCTCTACGCGAAGTATAAGGAGCTAGTAACCCGGGAGATCAGGAGTGAAGAAAGGAGATACAAGGATATCCGTGATGAGATTGAACGACTACAGGAGGAGCGCCAGGTTCCTGAACCGATCCCGGTCCAAGAGCCTGCGCCGCCAGTAGTTCAGCAGGCGAAGCCGGAGCCAGTTGCAGCACCAGCGCAGATACCAGTACCAGCTTCAGTGTCAGAACCAGAGCCGATGGATATGGATGTGGATGTCAAGGAGGAGAATAAGCCTGTGTCACAACCGGTCAAAGAAGTCACCAAACCTGTTGAGCCTACGCCGGCAATCGTTCAGCGACCCCCAGAGCAGCAACAGCCTAAGGTAGCTGTGCCTCAACAACCGTCAAAGACAACGCCGCCAAACGCAGCACGGGCACCGCCGCCACCGCCTATTCAACCCGTTGGACAGCCACATGGTGCTGCTGGGGGTTTTCAGCAGCAAAAGCAGCAGCCCCAGCAGAAACAGCAACCACCGTCGCAACCGCAGCCTCCTCAACCTGTTACGCGCATGAGCACTGACCAACCACCCCAGCCCCAGCCGGTCAGTGGGAAACCACCATTGGTACCTCAACAGTCCAATATTGCACGGAATGCGCCTCCAACCCCCGGAACGAACGTACCTGCAGCACCCCAGGTTTCATCTCCCTCTGTCGCGGCCGCTGCCGATACTCCTGCACAGACTCCTGCGGTTCCGCTTCCGCAAGCCCCGCCAAGTGCTAATGTCCCAGTTCCTTCTGCTCCGCCATCAGCCCCGACCGCTAAACCAGCTGTCAAACCAGTTGCCAAAAAAGAACCGCCAACGGCTGCACCGGCAACAGCTCCTCCGAAACCTACACCTCAACCAAGCTTCCAGCAATGGTCGCTGAATCCCCCACAGACACCACGCCCCTCTGCACCTCCCCATGGTGCTGCACAGCAACAAAAGCAAGCCGTTGCTGGGCAACCTGTCCCGTCTCCCTTGCCTCCGCAAGTGGCTCAGGCCAAAACTGGAAAGCCATACCAAGGACCCTATCCTCCGGCGCCAGCAACACCCGGTCCTGGGCCTGCAGCAATTCCGCCTGCTCCTGGTCACGGCTTTGAAACCCCGATTGGAGCTGCTCAAGCTCTGCTCTTAGACTCACGCCGGAGCTCACGCGCCCCCCGTCTCTCGATCGATACACCAGGCTCTGTCACTCCGTGGAAGAGGACGCCACGTTTGAGCATACCACAATCCCCTGGGTCACCCGAGCGACCGCGACCGGAAGATGTTAGCCCCATCAGTGAAAGGGCTCCGTCACCGTTTGAGCCTCCGGAGCCAGTTGAACCACCTGAACCTCGTCGCCGAAAACGCCGGCCTACGGAAGAAAAAGGGCGGAACGCAAGCAGCGAACGGAGTACGGATAAGAAAGCAAACAAGACGGAGAAACCCACCCAGTCTACTCGAAAGAGACGCGCAGGTAGCACAACTTCTTCGAGAAGCCGAGGACGATCAATTCTTTCACGTGATGACGAGGATTTGCAAGGAAGGATCAAGCATGAATTGCCCAGTACACCCGCTGGTGTTCCTGAAGTCCCCGAATCAGAGTATCGAGCTACCTCGGGTCGCAGAGGGGCGACAGCGTCATCTCAAACCGAAGAACGACCAGGGAGGGGAAGACCCAAACGCAAACGCGAGCCGAGCGAAGCACCAGAACCAGACATCCTTCAAGCTGAACTCAGCCGCCTTGATTCGACTCAATATGTGCTATGTGCGCGTAACTTCCCGCGGACTGGTGCACCGATCATGAACGATGTCACTATGCACAAGCATGCGTCGATATTCACCAAGCCCTTGACCGAACGTGACGCTCCGGGGTATCGAGACCTCATATACCGACCCCAGGATCTGAAATCGATCAAATCTTCTATCCACCAGGGAAGTAAAGGCGTAGCCGCTGCCACTGAAGCAGCCAACACACCTGTTGCGGACGGAGAATCTCCCGTACCTAATGCCGGGACACCATCTAAGAATGCTGTCCTCATCCTGCAGAAGACGGAAGACGTCATTCCTCCCAAAGGAGTTGTGAACTCAGCACAGCTGGAGAAGGAGTTGATCCGTATGTTCGCCAACGCCATCATGTTCAATCCCATCCCTCAACGCGGGTTCGGACCTGCTTTCCCGATGATCAGTGACAGCGGATCTAGAGAAAGCACACAGGTCCCCGAAGTGGACGAAGGCGGCATCATCAAAGATACCCATGAGATGTTCGATGATGTTGAACAGGCAGTCACACGATGGCGGGCAGCAGAACGGACGGCAGATGAGTTGGCCAGTAAGAGTGTTCTATCTCTACGGCGAGGAAGTCCCAGTGAATTCAACACGGACACTCCGGATGAAGTGAGAGGGTAATGCCGAGATATGCTGCCGTGACGAATAAGGAAATCTTGTATGTAATATTTAAATAACTTCTTTTTTATTTTGCCTTGTGAAGAAATGAATTAAATTCACAGGGTATATCCATTTGGCAGACATTTGGTTGTATAAAACATGATCAAGAAAAAAGAAAACCCGCTCACCTAACGCCCAAGACTCAAGGTTCATGATGCATATCCGTCTAGATGGACTTTTTTTTTTTTTTTTTGTTGCAAAATATACGATCAAGCAGCACCACGAATTGCCTGCTCAGGCTTTGTCCTCCCCAATCCATCCTTGGCATAAAAGTCCATCGGGTAGATGCCCTTATTGGCCGTGTCCCAGTTCTCCTTGATACCCAAAGCGATCAACGCCTCGTACGGCGTAAGCAGCGGCCGCGGGAACGCATACCCCCAATCGATACTCAGGCGCGGACAGGCAATCTGCACCCAACACTCAACATCCGACATGGAAGCCAACTTTCCGGGGAAGATTTCACTAAGCAGGAGGTTGACGAAGGGAATACCGCGGTCGGTGAGATGATTCTCGATCATAGCCATGGTGTTGGGGTTACCCTGTCTGCCGAGGGCACCGAGGATGATGCCCCATTTTTTGGCGCCTTTGGCGGCGGAGATGGCGTCGCGGCGGAGGGTGTGCATTTCGTCGTGCTCGTAGGACTCGCGGGAGAGGGTGCGCGAGTACGGATCGTAGCGGTAGGCGGGGAGAGTGGGGTTATGGATCATGGCGGATTCGAGGTGGAAGCGGCCGTCGCCTAGGTAGAGGAGGAGGTCGATTTCGGTGGAGAGTTGCGGGGAGGTGCAGCCGAGGATTTCGCCCTTGGAGAGCGGGGTGATTTGGGGGATGACGACTTTGAAGCCGGCGCGTTCGAGGACGGGTTTCAAGCCGTGCAAGGTGGCGTTGAATTGGATTGTGCCGACGGTAGCGATTGTCTTGCCTGGTTGGAAGTTGCGCTCGAGCGTGGCGATCAGGTGCGAGGTGTCGATGCTGATGTCGACGAAGATGTAGAGGGTTTTGATCTTGGTCACGTCGACGGGGATGAGACAGCTGTGGGCGTAGTGGACGAGGAGGTCACAGCCCAGGGCTCGGGCTGTGTAGTCGTCGATGCAGCAGGCGCCGTAGGTGACATCGCCCATGATGAGGGTTTCGATACCGGGACAGAATTGTGTCAGGATATCGGAGATGGTGGTCGCGAAGATGAGAAGACCTTCGGGGAACTGGAGAGCCACTCTCTTTGCGCCAGAGCTGCGCACGCGGTGGATTGTCTTGGGGATTTCAAACGAATAGTTTTTGGGCAGGAGTTCGATCGCGGCTTGGATTTCGGGGTCTTCGAGGATCTCCGGAGGGACCTGGTTCAGGGTTCGGGGGTTTCTCCTTGGAGCAGCTGTTGGGATATCAATATATATTCTCAATATGCACCAGTGAGTTTTCACTGACCTTTCTGAATGCTTGTGGTCTCGACATCTTTTTGCGTTGGAGAAGCCTCTTTCTGTGCCTGAGCGTCGGCTGTTCGTCGTCCAACAAATCTCTTCTTGGGCTGCTTAAGATTGCTGTTGGCAGTGGGATTCGAGTCGTCCATATTGTATGTATTAAAGTGTGAAATGAGCGATTCAACGACTGTCTGCGAAAGAATTCCTGGTCCAAACGAATATCAAACGGTCTTGGTGGGATGAAATCCATTTCTTCCTGACTAAGAGGGGTTAAGTGGGGTTCTTATCTCAGCATCGATAACAGATCGACAGGAAGCGACAACTTCCTAGAAGAGAATCAAGAGGATCTCGAAGATCGTCAGATTGCATTCTTCAAGGAATGAATTAGCTGATATGGGTATATCGATTTTCTATTCCTGGAATGATGAGATGGATCCCCCGCCCCCTGCCGTATCCAAGCATTGAAGGCGCAACAAGTGACCAGCATGAATTGCTCCTACGAAGATGGACTGGGATATTCAATGCTCTGGGCTTCAGGCTTCCTTGTGCTATACAACACATTGTGCAACGTGGAGAGATTTTTCGCTCATCGCAATGAATCCGGCTCTTGCGTCACGATGATCCACCGAATGCGGAGGGCATAGAGGGGTACATGCCATAAACTTCTGCGTCACTCCTCTCTAATTATTGCTTTGCACCATCTCAATATGGCTGAACCTGAAAATGTGCCGAATTGGCAGAAGATCAGCCAACAGAAACAGGCACATCGTGACAGTCTGATTCCCCCTGCATGGAAGCTCAAGACATCTGATTTCCCTCGGGGCAATAATGTCCTCGACGTTCCCTTAACATGTGGGATTCTGACAGAGGAAGAGATCGACATCACATCAAACTACGATGCAGTGGATCTGGTTAAGTTAATGAAAGATGGAAAACACTCCGTTGAAGCTGTGACTCTTGCTTTCTGTAAGAGGGCCGCAATTGCTTTACAACTGGTCAGTTCGATCGCTTTGATCCTGGTGCGAAGCTTGGATTGACACATCTCAGACAAACTGCCTCACTGAAATCATGTTTGACATGGCTCTTGAACGTGCCAGGTATCTAGATGTCCTACGCCAGAATAATCCAACAGCACTAGGCCCCCTTTTTGGCTTGCCCATCTCGCTGAAGGATGCTTTTGAGATCCCCGGCTTTGATGCCACGATTGGTTACGTCGCCTTCGCAAACAAGCCAGCAAAATCCCCCTCCGCACTTGTAACTCTTCTGAGTGGCCTTGGAGCTGTCTTCTACTGCAAAACAAATCTTCCCCAGACTATGATGACGGCAGACTCGGATAACAATGTCTGGGGTCGCACGCTGAATCCCCACAATACTAGCTTGACTGCCGGAAGATCTAGCGGTGGTGAAGCAGCCTTGATGGCCCTACGTGGTAGTATCATTGGGATCGGCTCAGACATTGCCGGGTCAGTCCGCATACCGTCTGCGGCGTGCGGAATATACGGGATCCGTCCAAGTGCTGGAGTTGTTCCGTTTGGGGGTCAAAAGATGCCTTCAGCTCCAGGCCTGCCATACATCACTCCTGTAGTGGGGCCGATGGCAACTTCTGCGCGAGCTTGTCGTTATCTCCTCGAGTGTATAGTGAAGGCGCACCCTGTAAGGTATGACAGCCAGTGCGTCAACCTGTCATGGCCAGAGGGTGCTTGCAGAAGAATGATGGATACTGGCCGTATTCGAATAAGCGTGGCCCAAGATGATGGGCATTTGACTGTTGCCCCTCCGCAACGGAGGGCTTTACAGCAAGCCGTCTCAGCGCTGCAAGATTCTGGCATCACAGTCATTCCGATCCAACTTCCTGAGGTCGATGTCATAGCACAGAATATTCTGGCAAACTTCACAATGGATGGCACCAAGGCATGGCTTGCATAGCATTACGACTACTATAATCTATGTTGTACAGGCTGACTCTGTTTTTAGTTCTTTCTGGACACTACTGTTAGGGCCGGCGACCCTCTAGTGCCATCTGTGGTTGCCCTAAATTTAGTGAAAGAGAGTCCGACAGCCACACTAGACGACATCGCACGCTTCAATGCCATCCGTAACGAGCACAAAGAGCAATACCTCAAGATATGGAACGACCTTGAGCTTGATGCAATCATCATGCCCAGCGCACCTCACACTGCAGTCCCACATGATAAATGGACGTCGCTTAACTATACAGCGATATGGAATTACCTAGACAACCCAGCGGCTGTTATCCCCATCGACACTGTAAAACCAGGTGATATCCCAGACACCGCTCATAAATACGGAGCAGATGATGCAGCCTACTCCGCCTTATGTAGGTTAAATACTTGTTTTCAAACTGAAATTTAGTTTGTACTAACCACCTATGATTCTATTAGACACCGGACCCGAGGCATACAAAGATGCACCTACTTCTATTCAGGTAGTTGGACGCCGACAGGAAGACGTCCAGCTGTCTCTTATAGTGGAATATTTCAGCGATATTATTCATGCACATCTTAACCTCGAACAACTCTGAAAGAATGATCATCATAGAGCTTTTGTCAAGGAAAGCTACGCTTTCGACTGTCTCGACGTAACTTCCAGCCTTTTATTCTCATAAAATTCATAAATTGTATCAAAATCTCAAGACTACATCATTACTCCAGCTACTTATACGCAAAAATGAAGATATATCGATCACATCTCAAATAGGCTTAGTCTGTAGGAATGACCTCACATGATCTTCTGTCAATTGCATCCGTGGATTTCCCCACTCTTTGCTTCTCCGCATCTCGGCTTTCAGATCATCAGAGGCCCTCCAAAGCTGTCACGAGGCTATACTTTTCCTAGGTTCCGTTCCAGGCTCTGTGAAATTGACATTATTCATCATCCTCAGCATCTTCAATATGATAGCGTTCCGACCGAGATTACGCATGTTTTCTGCTCTTCGAGCTGCCCCAGCTGTTCGAAGCTATGCGACGGAGGCGCGGTTAACTTCGGACCATGTCCGCATCGTCGAAGTTGGTCCACGAGATGGGCTGCAAAATGAAAAGAAATCTATCCCACTTGAGACAAAACTCCAGCTCATTAAGAAGCTGGCAAATACAGGCGTGACAACAATTGAGGCTGGCTCCTTCGTCCCTGCGAAATGGGTACCACAGGTGCGTATTCTCTAGCTACAGCCTTTTGACAGGGATTTCGAAGGCATGGTGAATTAATCGTTTCTGCTTCTTAGATGGCTAGCACAGCGGAAATTTGTGAATCTCTCCTTCAGACCCCGCCAGAGTCACGCCATGCAATCGCATATAACTACCTAGTGCCCAATGTCAAGGGGCTTGAGAATCTCATCAAAATCATGGACTCGACAGGTGTTCCTGCAGAGTCGACCGGGTCGGAATCAAAGCCTCCCACTACTACAGAGGTCTCGCTTTTTGCTGCAGCAACAGAGGCATTCTCCAAGGCAAATACCAACTGCACTATCGACGAGTCTTTACAACGCATTAACCCTATTGTGTCGCTGGCAAAGACGAAAAATATCAGAGTCCGAGGTTACGTATCCGTCGCCCTCGGCTGTCCATATGAAGGCCCCGATGTTTCACCAGCGAAGGTCGCTGATATCACAGCCTCCCTGCTTGAAATGGGAGCCGACGAGGTGTCCGTTGCGGATACCACAGGCATGGGAACGGCTCCCCGTACACTCGAGCTGCTCCAGGCACTCAAGGCGGCCGGGATTCAACCCAATGATCTGGCACTCCATTTCCATGACACATATGGCCAAGCCCTGGTCAATACAATTGTGGGTTTAGAACATGGGATTCGGATATTCGACAGTAGCGTTGGTGGTCTTGGTGGCTGCCCATACTCTAAAGGTGCGACTGGGAACGTCTCGACAGAAGATCTTGTCCACACTCTCCATGGTCTCGGTATGCATACCGGCATTAGCCTAGAGGAGATGTCAAGAATTGGTTCCTGGATTAGTGGCGAGTTGGGCCGCGTTAACGAGAGTAGGGCTGGTAAGGCGACCCTTGCAAGACTCTAGGGTAGGCATATGCTGGTTTTGAATGCTTCTTATCTTGAGAGCTGCGCCTATTTTGTCTGCAGTGTTCCCAAGAAGGATGCATGTTGTGACTCTGTTTGAAAAGCGAATTCGATGTGTTCGATAGGTTCAACTAGTTCCTCTCTTCTCCATCCCCAGTCAAATATCAACTCATATCACTTTTGCGTCTGATATGTGATCTGTGATTTACATGTGTATACGAATCGTTGTCCAATGTTGTCGAAGTATCACAGCTTATTATCCCAAGTATGGTCCGTATTGGAGGATATTCCTCGCCACGCACGGAGTAGAACTGCCAATCATATGTACTTTGTAGTCTTATTGATATACATAGCTATAGTTATAGCAAAAAGCAAAAGACCATCCAAGTTTCGCCCTCTGAATTTACTAGCTAATCATTTCCAGAAACAGTTTGGATTGTTCTCCTGCACTGCTTTGCCCACCTGATACCAGTCGCAGATATTCAAACGCATCTTTTGTTCTCGAGGACTCGATGTCTTCGTGAGTTACCTCATCTACTATCTCTTATCCATCCAACAGAGTAGATTCAATCATCATGACACAAGGTATACCTACCTGCCTACCAGGCAGCAGCCCAAGTCTTCCCTTATATTTTTACGTCTTCCCTTACTAGATAATGTAACCACTCTGTGGCGTAGAGGGCAACATCTGCACTGCAGTGGCCAACATTCCCAGTTCGAACCGCGCCCAGGGCAGTCCCAATAATACTGGCTTTAGCTGTTAGGGTATGTGTGTGGCGTTAGCATAGTTGCTATACTGTCCCTCGTAGAGTTCGTTCGCGGGTTCTTTTTTTTTTTTTCTTTTTTTAATTAGTATTCTTTGCCTAGTAATATTACCACCACCTTCCTGTACCCTTTCCCCTTCCCTTTGTCGAGAGATGCGCTGTAAAGTTGGTGATTCGACCTTTCGAAGATCTGGGATTTCTTCAAAACAGAGCCCAGTGGATCATATAACCAACGCCATTTTATGCCAAATATCAACTCATCTCCCTCGTAGATTCGATAGATCCATTGAATTGCACACGATATCGACACGGCCATCAAAAATCGGTGACACGTCCGCTGTAGCTCCAGTCGCCCTCAGCACCCCATCGTAGCGGCTCGTTCTTGGGACCTCCAACTTCTCCAGTCTTCGGGTTCTTCTCGCCCTCGAATTCAGGCTGGACGCCCATTCGGATATCCGGGTGCAGTTCCTCGCCCTCGCCTGTCTTGGTAGCTTCGGAATGGGGCGATTGGTTGATCTTAGGGGCTGTTTGGGGAGTGCTGAAAGCCCCGGTGGACTTTTTCTGGAGTTCTTCGAAGATTTCCTGTTCTTCCTTGGGTAGGCGGGGGGGAGCTGGGCTACTCTTGAATGCGAAGGAGGGTTTGTCGTCGTCTGCTGGTCTGCGGAGAGCCGTGGGGGTAGAGAAGCTCCGAGCGAGGATTCGGGATGAGAAAGAGGGATTAAAAGCCCGACGAGAGGCGAGTGAGAAGGCCATGCTTGCTTGTTTTTGAGACCGAGGCCTAAGCTTTTCAGAAACTATGCGAACGAGAACCAAGGTTGACGACCAGGGGAGAAATAAATGAGAAACGAAGAAAACGAGGCAGTGGCGGAGATGGACGCAAACCCGCTCGGCGCGCGATAAGCGGCTTGCCCCGATATCGCGGCATTTCTTCTCTCCACTCGCAACTTTTTGGCTCCCACGACTTTCTTGTTGACATTGTTCCTTTAATTTCTGCTTCTTGCATCTCTGGTTGTGGGGGTTGCTCTTCTTTCTGGTTAAATTGGCCACTTCGATTCCTTCAATCCCACCAACCAGTCCCTTTCTTTTCTAATCCGCGATGTCATTCTTGCGTGTCGCTTCGAGGCGAATGCCTCTCGCAAAGCGAGTCATTCCTAGCATTGAGTCACCGATTCAGCGACGATTCGCCTCGGTCGCTACCAACATTCCTCAGGATGTGAAGAAGCAAGTCAAGGTGGGTGTTTACGAAATGGTATCCATGTATAGTACTAACAATAATGATAATGGCAGAAGGAGGCATCTTTGCCCAACCCCGACCCTGCTGCGGATTCGGCGACAATGGCTTTCATCGAGGAACGAGCCCCATACATGGTCCCTACCTATGTCCGACCGGCTCCTATGATGATGAAGGGACAAGGCTGCTACCTGTGGGATATGGAGAACAGACGCTACCTGGATTTCACCGCTGGTATTGCTGTCAACTCTCTTGGTCACTGTGACACGGAGATCGCACAGATCATTTCTGAGCAGGTGTGTACTTGCAATGCTGGATTGATTACTTTTGGAGATCTGATGCTGATTTCAATTGGTTTATCTAGGCCGAGACTCTTCTTCATGCATCCAACCTTTACCACAACCCCTGGACCGGTGCCCTTAGCAAGTCGTTGATCACATTGACCCGGGAGTCCGGTGCTATGCGCGACGCTTCGCAAGTGTTCATTTCCAACTCAGGAACCGAGGCCAACGAGGCTGCCATCAAGTTCGCCCGCAAGGTCGGCCGCTCTATTGATCCCTCGGGCGCAAAGCATGAATTTGTCTCCTTCCACAACTCATTCCACGGCCGTACTATGGGCGCTCTCTCCGCTACTCCCAACCCCAAGTACCAGACTCCCTTCTCTCCTATGATCCCGGGTTTCAAGTACGGTGACTACAACAATGTCGAGCAGCTCCAGACTCTCATCACAGACAAGACCTGTGGTGTGATCGTGGAGCCCATCCAGGGTGAGGGTGGTGTTAACATTGCTACCCCCGAGTTCCTTGTCGCTCTGCGCAAGCGATGCGACGAGGTCGGTGCCGTTCTGGTCTTCGATGAGATCCAGTGCGGTCTCTCCCGTACCGGTTCTTTCTGGGCCCATGGCCATCCTTCCCTGGCACCCGCCTCTGGTGAGGCAGCCCACCCTGATATCCTGACCACCGCCAAGGCTCTTGGTAACGGTATCCCCATCGGCGCTACAATTGTCTCTGGTAAGACTGTCGCCGAGCACATCAAGACTGGTGATCACGGAACCACCTTTGGCGGTAACCCCCTTGCCTGTCGTGTTGCGCACCACATTGTCTCACGTCTCGCATCTTCCGAGCTGCAGAACTCGGTTGAGACCAAGTCCGCTCTGTTTGTTGCGGGCTTCCAGGACCTGCAGAAGAAGTACCCCGATATCGTCGGAGAGATTCGTGGTCGCGGTCTCATCCTGGGTCTCCAGCTTTCTGATGCCTTTAAGGCCAACGCCGCTGAATTGATCGGTGCCGCCCGTGAGAGAGGACTCTTGGTAATCACTGCTGGCGATGGCTGCCTCCGCTTTGTTCCTCCCTTGAACATCACTGAGGAACAGATCAAGACTGGTCTCAAGATCCTCGAGCAGGCCCTGGAAGCTGTTGTTGCTAAGCAATAGACTTTGATTTTAATTATATACAATAGAATTATATCCCATTGAAAGAGGTTTTCGCACGACAAGTTAATGGGTGTTGTATAGTTTTCTCAATTTTTGGATTTTATCGTCAGCGGCTTCTGGCGGGTATTGTCGATCCATGCCCATTTTGCTGGTTTCTATTTTCTGTCTTTACTAGGGATTCATTAGAAGTTAAATAGACCAAAAGCGAGTTCTTCAAGTGATATTTACGTTGGTATTTTTCTACTTCACTTCCAACATCGAACGTAGCCTATCAATATGAGGCACCAAGGCATCGATGTCATCCGGTCACGGGTTGTCCTCTATCTTATCTGACACGCAACCTGCGACGATCCAACTCCTGATGCTCAACTTCTGCAAGGCAATTATTCTATCAACTGATATGATGCTCATGGTTTCTCGTTTAGATTGACTGTTACTAATGCTATTGTCTTCTGAGACTGTCCCACTGACTGTAGCATACTAACTACCCTCACTCTCTGTTATGCCTCGGGCATCCGAAACAGAGGAAGCACCCATGTTACCTCTCCCAGGAGCACCATCTTCCTCATGGGCACTTTTTCGCGAACGGTTCAAGGCCATATTCAGCGGTGCTGACCCGAGAGTCTGCATCGCATTCTGGCTGTTTGGTAAGCCGATCGATGGATTGCCTTGTGACGTCGTCGCATTCAGAGTGTCTTATCTTGACCGCTAACAACTTGCGACGCTCTGAACAGGCTTAATCAACAACGTCCTCTATGTGATCATTCTCTCTGCGGCCCTCGATTTGGTCGGGCCTAGCATTCCCAAGGGCCTCATTCTTCTTGCCGATGTCATTCCCTCGTTTCTGACAAAGCTCGTCGCCCCGCACTTCATCCATGTGGTACCGTATTCGCTTCGGACCTTGATCTTTGTATTTCTTTCGGCTGTTGGCATGCTCGCAGTTGCATTGAGCCCTTCATACGAAGACGGTGGCGCTATATCGAGCAAAATCGCGGGAATCATTCTGGCCAGCTTATCAAGTGGCGGTGGAGAACTGAGCTTTGTCGGATTGACCCATTTCTACGGACCGTTCAGTCTGGCAGCTTGGGGAAGTGGTACAGGTGCAGCGGGACTGGTTGGAGCCGGGGCATATGCACTCGCCACCACGTCGATGGGATTGAGTGTTAGAACAACCCTGTTGGCGTCGGCGTGCTTGCCTGCTGTCATGCTGGTGAGCTTCTTCGCAGTGTTGCCACGATCACAGCTGCTTTCGATAGTACCTAAATATCAATCCGTCGGGGAGAATGAACAATTGGTACAGCCTCGTGAGCTTGGTGGCGAGGACGACCGTGAAATGCACGGTGAGCATGACGGATTGCTCGGATCCTCGGTTCGCGAGGCAGAGGACCAGAAATCAATCCAGTCCGCCCGTGGTGCTCTCGGATGGGAGAATATCAGGATAAATCTGCGTCGTGTTCAGGGACTTTTCTTTCCATTGTAGGTTTTCTGTGTTTCCAAGTACCCGGGACAATGTGTGCTCACAACGGGGATCTAGTATGCTTCCACTTCTGCTAGTGTTTATCGCAGAGTACACCATCAATCAGGGAGTTGCCCCGACTATGCTCTTCCCGCTTAAAGAAACGCCATTTGAGCACTTCCGTGCGTTCTACCCGACCTACAATGCGATCTACCAGGTTGGCGTCTTCATCTCACGCTCATCGACCCCATTTTTCCGTATCCACAACCTGTATCTGCCCTCCATCCTTCAGGTGGTGAATCTGGCCGTGTTGACCCTGCATGCCCTATTTAACTTTATCCCCAACGTGTACATCATCTTTGCGATCATCTTCTGGGAAGGGCTTCTGGGAGGACTAGTCTATGTCAACACATTTGCGGAGATTGGAGATCGCGTTCCCATCGAAGACCGCGAGTTTTCTCTTGGGGCCACGACAGTCAGTGACTCGGGAGGCATCTGCATTGCTGGGTTTGTTAGCATGGTGTTTGAAGTGTGGCTGTGTGATTGGCAGACTGCGCATGGGAGAGATTACTGCCGCAAGCTATAATAATGTATAGTCCAATGAGTATATAGGCCAATGCTGTACAGCCTGTCCATCGGCGTCTGACTTGTTCAGGTGCATGCGCTTATGGCGTCATGGGATTGACATGTGATAGTGTACTGGACTCGATTTGGATAGATGGTAGTACTCGATACGGGAGCTAAATGGCTTAGTAGACACATTTATTACTTATTTCAATTACAGAGCAAAGCAATAGTTCTGCTTTTCCATTTTAGCAATCATATTAATTAATTAATAATATCTGCCCTTTCATCTGTTGCGCTTCTTCTTCTCTATTTCCAAGTGGGGACATTCACATGCGCACTCCCAGCATTCTCCCGCCTTGACCCAAACACTGCTCTTTACTTCTCTTCCTTCGCTTTTGTCTCTTTCGTTTATGAAAGAAAGACGATATCCACATTATGGATACTGTCCCTGGCACTATTGACTGCTGTTTGTTCGTGTTCAGCCACTTGTGATTGATTCTCTTAGTTGGAGTCCGCCTGGTTGTTTGCCGCCGATTACTCTGGATAGCATGGCTGGCTGACGCCGCTATTTTTCTTTTTTCATCTATTCTTATCCTCTCTGTTCTGGCTATATATTCTCAGATCTTATCATCTTGAGATTTTGTCGGTGTTATTACTGTCAGATTATCTTGGATTGGTCTCTAGCTGCTATCGTCTTACTACATACCCAAGCCTTGTGCAACAACCTGGTTAAATCTGGTTAGGCATCAAGAGCTGTTAACAAGGCTGCTGGAAGTCTTTTACCAGAATAATGATAGGTAAAGTCTCTGTCGTCTTCTTTCCCATAACGATACTGACTTCGCAGACCACGTTCTAGGAAGACCGTCGACCAAATTTCGCAAAATCCAGGTCTTTGCGGTGGTGGCATTTTGGTCTCTTTATCTCTTCAGGTATTTAGATCTTCTTGTATATTATCAGAATGATTGTTTTGCTAATGTCTACAGAGGAAGCAAGCATGGCCCTCCAGTCCTTCGCAACCTCTCCTCCCATCTTTCTAAGAAAGTAACCGTCTGGCAAACCACAGTTGCCATATTCCTATGGCTCTACATCAGCCGGAACTTTGCAAAGATTGTCGGCTTGGAATGTCCTGAGCCACTGGCGAATCTTTACTCTCGTTCGTTCTTCCGGGCAACATGGATCACCACAGCGCTGGATGCGGGGTTTTGGACCGCAATGAAAATCAAACCAAAGTGGATTCGAGATATTGCCTCGCTTATGTTTACGGTCTACTATCTTTTTGCCGCGGAGCAGGCTGATGAAAAGGTTCGTCGGGTTCGAGCAACATTAACAGTCGAACATCTGCGAGTTTCGTGGAATAAAGGAACGACGCCGTATCTCTGGATCCTGGCAGGTCTCGCACGGCCACGTCTTACTCGCTACTCTCCCCGAGCAATCCGAATTAAACGTCCCAGGCAGTCGGTGTATGATGAGCCCACTAATGCATGGCTCTACTTTGACGGCCCTCTGAGTGCGCTGCGGGAACAGACCTGCATCGTCCTGGATATTCCGGGAGGAGGATATGTGGCGATGAACCCCAGAAGTGCAGAGGACCGACTTCTTTCCTGGGCAGGGAAGACCAAAGTGCCGATTCTGAGTCTCGATTATAAGAAGGCGCCCGAGTTTCCGTATCCGTATGCGTTGAACGAGTGCTACGATGTCTACTATACCATTGTCACTACCCGTGGTCGCTGTCTGGGGTTGAGTGGAAAGACACGGCCGAAGATTGTCGTAACCGGGGACAGCGCGGGGGCGAATCTTGCCACTGGGATGGTTTTGATGGCTCTGCAGTCTGGTAGCACGGATGCACCACGGTGGCAAGGCGAGATTGTGATCCCACCACCCGATGGTCTGGTTCTGGCGTATCCGTCGTTGAACATGCGTGTTGAAAGCTGGATGACAGAGGAGCAGATGTCGTTGATTCAGGAGAAGAGTACACGCCAGAGAAACAAGAACGTCCTCCGAAGAAAGAACCAGGAATATCACAAACTAACTCCATTTGCCTCCCCGGCCCCCTCAGAGGAGTACTTTGGCGATCTGGCGTATGGACAGGATCTGGAAGCTGGCAATGTAGCGGAGGAAGCATCAAAGGCCCTTGCAAAGGATCTGCAACAACCAGAGAACCTCGCGACCCAGACAGCTACTCTTGCAGAACATCAACCGAAACAGATCCGAACCCGGTTGGCAGTCTCTTCGATGATCTCATATGTTCACGATCGAATCCTCACGCCCGAGATGATGAGAGCAATGATCATCCTTTACATCGGACCTCACAACCGTCCCGATTTCAGCACCGACTTTCTACTCTCTCCCATCCTAGCACCTGAAGCTTTACTAGCCCGATTCCCCAAGACGTACTTCATCACCGGCGAACGCGACCCACTAGTCGATGACACGGTCATCTTCGCAGGCAGAATCCGACAAGCAAAACTGCACCAGTTCCGGGAGCGACAAGAACTAGGTCTGGAGAAGTCGCAGCGGATGTTCGATGAAAAGGAACATGTGGAAGTATCTTTACTTCCCGGTCTCTCTCACGGGTTTATGCAGATGGCCAACTTCTTCCCGGACAGCTGGAAACATATCAATAAATGCGCAGTGTGGATTCGGGATCTCTTCGAAGTAGCAGAAGCAAAGAGGTCGTCTTCCTCAGCGAGTCTCATGCAATCATTCTACAATACCCCCAACGTCTACCCCCAGACAGATGTCAACAACAACAACGACAATGAAAACAATAAACCACGCAACCACAAACGCACCCTCACAGGCGAGTCCTCTGCAGACGAAGATAAACCCCTCGAAATGACCCACTCCCCAACAGAGGACATCGATATCAAACCCAAATCCCCTACCAGCACCAACCAAGCAACCCCCACCGGACCAAACCCTCCCAACCCACCCCCTTCATCCCAGCGCACCAAACGCCCATCCAGAGGCAGAGCACCCAACACACTCAGCCGCCGCGACCGAATCACCCCATTGAAAATCTCCCTCCCCCCAAATGACTACTTCACAAACACACCCGGATCCGGGCCCGGGCCCGAGAGCCCCTTTCCCGTACGTAAAAGGGAGAGAAGCCTACACAGTCTTCCGAGCGAGGAGGATCTACTCGATCGCAGGATGAATGGGCTTGCGGGTGGTCTAATGGGGATTGGAGAGGGGGCGCAAACGCCGTGATTTTTATGATTGTATGAGATGGACTTACTTTACTTTACCCTTATGATAAACGGAATGGTGTTCTTAGTTTATGTTATTTCGATGATAGATAGAATGAATGAATAAATATGAATGATGAGAAGAGAAGAGAAGCTTGTGATACTGATTTTGGTTGCATGTGATTATTGTCTTGTTATCAGATTGCATGTGATGTGGATCGCGTCATACGGCGTTGGATACACTTACATACAGCCTTGATAGAACCAATTTATACATAGAGTTACAGGATAACCCTTTAAATAAATAAATAAAATGAATTAGCCCAACGTGTAACCCAATCTCAGCAATAACAATAAAGTTCCGATCTGTGCAGCAATTGTGTAATCCCGATTACTGAGCATGGATGGAAAATCGGCCCGAATGGTGAAAAAAATACAACGGTACCCCGAGATGTAATCTTCGGCTCTCGGAGTACGCAAGAATGAATGGATTCTGTATTATTCTTGTGTGGGTAATATAGTATGATTTGCTTTGCACTTTACATGTGATGATATCCACTTGTTTGAGGGTAGGATAAATGTGTATTACAGTTGTACTGGCTGTATCGAGTGTAGATCGATCGTCTGAAATCTGCAGCCTTAGCTGTCATCGAGTTTAGTGAATGGTTGGAGATATTTATGCTGATGAAGCTATGTCTGGCTCTTAAAGCTATCATACCAATTATAATATAGGTTCTTAGACGAGTTGATAGCCATATCAGGCATCCTCTGCGCTGCCAGTTAGATCACTAATCTGCCTCGGCATACCGAATATATAGCATAATCGGGCCACTGGTGGCATGCCACTTCGCTGTCTATTGGTACAGAGTACGGATTACACCGATTTTTATATCCACTTGATGAATATATATGCTTATGGTATCCACAGTTGCCAGCACTGAAAGCTCTGGTTCCTTGGCAAGGCGTGGCATGGTTGTTGACGGTCCGAGTTGTGACTGACTTAACAAGGCTGGCTATGTATAGCGCGGCTTATGCTATGTGCATAATGTTAAAATTGGATTGAAGGTCGTGGGACGAAGAGAAGGGTTGGGGAATAAAATCTGTTCTCTGTCCTTTGTCTTTTCTCCTTTCTCTTGGTATGCTGATTTTGGATCTGAATTTCGCTGTTAGTTCCATATTGTGATATCAGGTCAAAATGTCACTGGACAAGTATGTCGACTTTGAAGGTCCTGATGACCCTCTTAACCCCCTCAACTGGCCCATGAAAAAACGGTATGTGTAACCCTAGTTGCAAAAGACAACTGATTGAGACATATAGGGTATACATCTCAGTATTACTAGGCCTCACCACCATGATCGTCGCAATGGCCAGCAGTATCTATTCTGCCGCTATGCCATCCCTTATGGTCAAATATAGCATCAGCCAAGAGGTCTGCACGCTGGGTATATCGCTGTACGTCCTCGGTTTCGCGTCCGGTCCGCTAGTCTTTGGCCCCTTCTCCGAGCTCAAAGGCCGATACCCAGCACTGGTTGTATCCATGTTTGGCTTCACGGTCTTCTGCTTCGCCACCGCCGTTTCAAAAGATCTTCAATCCCTCTTCACCCTTCGTTACTTTAGCGGATTCTTCGGTGCCGGGCCCCTGACTCTGGCGGGTGCCGCATATGCGGACATGTTCTCGCCGGAGCAGCGTGGTATCGCCATTGTCATGTTCTGTCTGACTGTGTTTATCGGACCGCTTGCGGCACCATTTATTGGTGGGTTCACCATTATGAATAGTTCGCTAGGCTGGCGGTGGACGGCATATATACCCGGTATTCTTGGAGCAGCCGCACTTTTGCTGCTGGTCGTTTTTCTCAATGAGACATACCAACCTATAATACTGGCCAGGAAGGCAGATCGATTACGCCGTGAGACAGGTGATTGGTCAATCAGGGCTCAACAAGAGGAGTTGCGTCTTGATCCAAAAGCAATTGTCACAGATTATCTCGGTCTACCGCTCAAGATGCTCGTCCGAGACCCTATCGTGCTATGCATGAGTGTATTTGCGTCCTTTGTGTACGGCCTTTTATACCTTTTCCTCACAGCTTATCCAATCATCTTTCAGAAAACCCACGGAATGAACCCTGGGGTAGGTGGATTGCCGTACATCGGGGTCATCGTGGGCCAGCTGTTTGGTGCCGCTGGAGTGGCCGCTACACAGCCATGGGTTATGCGAAAGATGGAGCAGACTGGGGGCGTGATGATGCCTGAATGGCGGCTTCCTGTAGCTATCCCCGGGGCAGCAGCATTTTCAGCGGGATTATTCTGGCTGGGGTGGTCGGGATATAAGCAGAGTGTGCACTGGATTGTTCCGACATTGTCGGGATTGCTGACAGGATTTGGGCTGTTGACGATGTTTTTGCCGTCGTTGGCATACTTAGTAGAGGCTTTTCCAAAGAGGTGAGCTTCATCATCAGGGAGTTTGGGGAGACCTGGCTAACTGAAGAACAGAGCCGCATCGGCAGTGGCAGCACATACCTTTCTTCGATCTATTGCGGGAGCCGTGTTTCCTCTTTTTGCAACCTACATGGTAAGAATGATCTCCATGGTATTGAGATCGTTATGCTGACTTTTCAGTTTGATGGATTAGGCGTGGAATGGGCTTGCACCCTGCTAGGGTGTGTGGGAGCTCTTTTGATACCCATTCCGCTGCTGTTGTATATTTATGGAGCACGGATTCGTAATAAGAGTAAAATGTCCCAGTGACGGACTTGGAGGGATACATCACAAGTATCGATTGAATTCAAGTCTCCACTATAGACATGGCTCAAAAAGCATCGGGAGTGGAAAGCCTGTTGGTCGCATTGCATATATTAGCAACTAATAGATAATAGATAGTTCAAGCAAATACAATAGTCAAGTTCGAAAACCTGGTATGCAGTAGTCTCTCCAGTATGAACTGATATCAGACTGTCCAGTCCAATCAGAGTCCATTCCTCAAATGATAATCTTTATTAGTGGCAGTGATCGTCTGATCGACAGCATGAATCAAGTCTGTGTTAACGATCTTGTTGAACCCAGAATATGTGAAATCATCGAGTTACGCATGACTTTCAAATTGACAATGGCATTTCAATATTTTGATGACGATGTATAGGTAGTTGAAGAATCCATTGAACAGATGATTATATGATGTCGATTGAGGTTGAGGAAAGAGAGCCGAGATGGTTATCGCATGAGCACGTGACGTGTCTGTTTTGAGTAATTCTCCAGCATTTGAGACAGTTCGAATTTTCACGGCTCAAAATGAGACAAAATGTCGTTCTTTTCCTCCACAAAAGGAGAAGAGAAGATATCTAAGAATGGTGAAGATTGTAGAGATGAAGATGTCTTGGACAGCCTTGGGTGTCTTGAGGAAATGAGCCCCTGTGACCGGAGTCGACTAGCGATGGGGCAGCTCTATATTTGGCGTCATTTTGTACTGCCACTTTTGCAGATTGAGTTGGTCTATCGGAATTACTCTTCTTAGTCCTCGAATTGAAATGACAATTCAAGAGTGGATACAAAGAGTGATTTTGGCTATCCTCAATTGAGCATTTTGAACGGCGATTTTTGTTGATGAGAAAGAGGGGGAATATTCCGAGGGATTACGAGCATTGCGAGCATTGACTGATTTGGTGACTGGATGAGTGGGATTATGGGAGACTATGGAAAGATTGACATGATGTGATCAGGTAGAGAATCCACTATGAAGCCATACGCTTTGATGCTTAGAATTAAGAATTAAGCTGTGAGGCTATTCAAAGATTGCTCCGTAGCGCGCTTCCTTGGGCGTACAGTAGCAATAGCATCATGCAGCTAAACTCTTGTTTCCAAACTATTCCACTTTAACTCAACTTGGCATGATTTGATATCGTTTAATTAATCCAATATGATGTCTCTAATCTCTTCCTATATCATGACTCTCTTATAGCTATTCTTACTCGCGTGTCTCACCGCTAAGATGGCGCAACTCCACCGATGCCTTTGTTCATCCCGATCGTCCTCTGATTATTGCGTCTTTCCCTCCTTTCTGCTCGACCTTCAATTTCTCTTCGGTTAATTATTTTTATTAGCAAACTGCAATCTGAAATTATCTCGAATCCCCCAGTATCGCTTCTGAGATTTATGCAGGCAGTGCATGCGATTATCTTCACCTAATTAAGCGCCAGAGGCAGTGCAAGGCTAATCGCCCCCAGGGCCCCCAAACGAAGGATTTAGAAATCTCTTCCTCAGTAGCATCACAATAATAATCTTCAGCAGAGGAGTTAGATAGCAACTATTTCGTAGCTAATCATTGCCCTGTCTCAGTCCCCAATGCCTCAAACTAGAGTAGTAGTCTGCTCCGATCATCAACTCTGAGCCCATCTTGTCCGCTAATTGCGTGCTTCCGAAATGCGAATAACGCCTTCTTTTCGGCCCCTCAACAGCTCCTCTTCTCTGGAGCTTTTAAGAATGTCGCACGGCGCCATGGGCTGCGCCGCATCAGTCGTCTTTTCTCCTCGCTGGGATCATCTCGTATTTGATCTGTCACTCGTCCAGTCTTTTTCTTTCTCTCACACGCTCTCCTCCTCCGTGTTCCAACCTTAACTCCCCCCCTCTAAACTCACCATTCCTGCCCCTCAAAGGCTGACGATTCGATGCAATAATCTTTCCTTCTATCTAAACATCTCAACTGAGCCGGCCAAGATGGCCTCATCACCTTATTCCGACGAAATCGTGGAGGATAACTACTATGATCCTTGGTTACTCGAGGACCATCCTCTCCGATCATACCCTACAGAGTGCTGCCCCGGATTGCTCATGTATCTTCAAACCTGGTACGCCGCCGTGAGGAAGAACTGGGGCGAGCGTATCTTTCGAGTGGTTTGTCTTTTGTTGATGGCATTGTATGTATTCTCCTTCTTTATTTTGTCTGGATGTCGATGGCTAACCTGACAACAGAGTGGCACTCCAATTCCTAGCAATTCTACCATATGGAATCACCTATCTCATCCCCAAATCGAACTGGGACCAATTCGAAGAACAAACCTACGTCGCCCGTTGGCCAGCCGAATTAGAATCTGGCGATGGCCAAAGTACTTGTCTCTCGGTCAACCCGAGAGCTCATGCTGGTGCCATCCAGCAATCCATCGCCGCTGGCTGTACAGGAGCCAGAGCCAGTGCTTGGCTACACAGTGATGAGCTGCTCGTGGGGAGCTCCCTTTCACGCCTGGACGCGAGACATAATCTAAACAGTCTATACCTCGAACCACTCCTTGAGAAGCTGGAGACTAGGAAGGCGAATGGACTGGATGCAGAGGGTGGTTTATTCGAGGACCCCGCCCAGTCCTATCTCTTGATGGTGGATATCAAGTCCTCCATTGAGGCGGTGTGGCCGCACCTCATGTCGCAGCTTGCGACACTGCGACAAAAAGGATACCTGTCGCACATGAAAGACAACGAGTTTGTTACCAAGCCGGTGACTGTCGTTGTCACTGGAAGAGCTATCTCAGAACTCGAAGGGCTGGAAAACGCCCATAACGATATCTTCTTTGATGCCTCGCTGGACGATCTCGTGCTGAGTGATTCCCAATCGGACTTGCTGGAACGCGACAGCAATGACGCTGATGAGTCGAAACGGGCACCTGTCCAGACGCAGGAAAACCAGCCATCCACCCAACAGGGCTTCTACAGCGCTACCGCCAACTTTATCACCACCGTTGGGTTCCCACACCAAGGCCGATTCTCTCGACAGCAGATCGAGTTGATCCGGGCGCAGGTGCAGGCGGCACGTCAGAGGGGCTTCAAGTTGCGGTATGAGGGGATTCCGCGACGAAAGGGCAAGATGCGGGATCTGATCTGGCATGTGCTGGCACGGGAAGGAGCGGATCTGATTGAGGTGGACTGGAATGCAAATGGCAAAGGATGGTGGCGGCTGTTCACGACTGGGACCGGCTCTGGGGGGAAATATGTATTATGAAATAACCCACATGAAGCATGCACATAATGAAATGATGCCAGATATCATACAGCAGTATCTTGTAGACTGTGTCTGTAATTCCGGAATGATGTACAGGGATATTTATAACCCTTCTGTAGATGAGACTCCCATACAAGACAAGTTATGAATGTGGGCATCTTGGCGGGATGACTCTATCCTGCAGATGGGCTGCACTCAGCAATGCATCGAATATGTATGTCAGTCTCGAAGGTCGGTGGCTTGTGGGTTTTTTTCCCCCTCACCGTTTCGCATGACACGTCGATGGCTGCATGGGATGGAACAGTTGGAGCCCAACCTTCAGGTTTCTTTGAGTCAATCACTCTGTCTATTTTCCCAATATCCCTCTACCAAGCCTCTAAGGTAGTGCAAGATTGGGCATCTATCACCGTCTGTTCGCCCCTACATACAAAATTGTACTGCACAATAAACAAATCCAGATCCACCCCCGCTGGACTAACCGGCCGGCCCCATCGACCATTGGACCACCGCCGCCAATCCCGCCCGCTGATTGGCCCGTCTTTTGTTCCGGCGCTTCTCCTTCTCCAACTCTGCTTTGGCTCTGCTTTTCTTCTTCCCTTTCAAACCCTCACCGTTTTTCTCTTTGGCTGACTTTTCTTTCTCCCTCTTTCATCATTTTTGGTTCATCGGTTTGGATACTTCTGACTCTCTATATACTCTCTCGTTCTTGGATTAATTTCGCTTTCTGGTGGGAATTTAATTTGACCGAGTAACTACTGCTGGAGGCTGTTGTTGACTGCAAAGCTTCCACCGCTGTTTCGCAGACGGTCTGAACCCAGTCCGTACGACTGATGCTTTGATCTCGAATTCTTCTTCGACCATTCATATCCCTCCCTGTATTTCATAATGATGGATTTTCAAAAACATCCCCCTCAACCACAGCAATATCATCGTCCTTCTGCTTTGTTTGTCGCTCCCCACGACCCTCGTGTTGTTCCTGCACCACCGCCTCGCCCTTACGGTCCACCACATCCTGCTGTCTACGATCCTTTCCCCCGCCGTGAAACCATCTACAGCTTCCCTTCATCATCATCGTCGCCATCCCCGGTTACTGCCGCTGCTTACGTTCATTCTTCGCTTCGTGCGGACTCCAACGCATATCACGCATCATCTGCGAACCACGGTTCGGTCAAGAAGCATAATTTGGACAAGGTCGGGATGAAGGATCGTAATCATCAGGTTTATTATAATCAGAGACATAGTTTGGCGTATCCTGAAGGTAGGATTTTTTATTTCTCTCTCGTCTGTTTTCTATCATCGTCTGTTTTTTGCCTGTTCGTGATTTTTTTCGATATGTTTTCTTTCTTGTGTGATCGACGGGACTACTGGAGTTTGAGTGGGAGCTGTCACATTCTTGGATTGTCTTATCTCTCGCGTCGCGATGTCTCAATCCATCCTTCCATGAGCAGTATTTCCATCGTCTCCATCTCTCAGTCAGTCAGTCAGCGTCTTACAGAAAGAAACAATATCTCTCTCTTCCCCTTCCATCCGCTTGATTATTTCCTGCTCCCCCTCATATGTCATCATCAGCCAATCAGAGCTCGTGGCGCCAGATCGACTGCCCAGGCGACAGCTCGGGAGCGCTAGTCTCCATCAGAACTAGCGTGTTCAGGGCGCCTTGTCCCGACCTGGACTAGCGCCGGCTGAGCTCCAGAGTCACGGGTTCAGCCTCCGCGTGGCTGCTGACTGGCTGCTTTTGCCGTTCGCTTCCTTTCTTCCTCTGTTTCTCTCTCTTCGCGCTCTCTCTTTCCCCTTCGTCGTCTCTTGCTTCTTCCCTTTGCCTTCTCTGTGATACCCTTCCAACTCCCCCTTCTGTCCGCCTGGATACTGCGCGCGACATGAACCCCCCTTCGCAGTCGCATGACCAGGGCCGTCGGATTTCCGGTGGCAGTGGCAGTCCCGTGTTTCCTGGTGAGTGTCAGCCAGCCTCGGCGTGGATACTCGTGCCCATGTCCCCATATCTGGCTCAGTTTGACTGTTCTTTCTTTTCGCGATATACTTATTTTTATTCTGGTGTTTGTCTTTGTGGGTTTCTCCGTTACTAACAGTCGGTTTATTAGGTCAACACGAACAGTCCGCGCCTCCTACGTTGGGCACTCGTCAAATGCCGCCTCCATCCCCGCCTCAACACTACCCATCGCGAGGACAATCTGGAAGTGCATCCCATCATGCTCTATCCAACCCTTTCTTGTCGCGTGAGCCTCCTAGCAATCCGGCTCATCGTCCTGGTAGCAGCATGTCGATATCCGCCATGCTAGGCTCGGACGCTGACCGTCCACCCCGGGATGTAGGATCCTCGTCGATCTTTTCGCGCCTCCCCGTTTCCTCAGCGCCCTTTGCCAGCGCCCCGCCCCAGACAGCCCCCGGCGCCATGTCTCCGCCCACCGCACCCGCTAGAACCTCCTCGCTCGAATACCCGCTCTTTCGGCGATCCCAGACCCCCGAAACGTCGTTTGCCAAAAGCCAGTCGGCCCGTCCCTATCGCTCAAGCTCCGGGGGTGTTCCACAGCCACCAGTATCAGCAGGTTTGTCGCGTCCGCCGCTTACATCGCAGCCCACGCACCCATCCCCACAGATGTCGACCGCAGACTCGTATAATGAGCACCGCCGCTTAAGCTTCAACGGACCTATTCCCCGACCGAATAGCCAACCACAGCATATTGACCCTTCTGCGCGTCCGTCAGTATACAGTCCGCTCTCGCGACCGGCACCCGGGTTGGCGGAAGGCTCGTTGGGTGTGGCGCAGCAGCGGCCACCTTCGTACTTGGGTCTTGAGTCGCAGCATAGCAGATTCGGTGGTTTGTATGGGGAACGTCAAGCGGAGGAGCAAGCACACAGGGAAAGGGAGCGGGAAAGAGAGAGAGAAAGGATTATGGCTCACGAGGCGGAAGCCAGGGCGGCCCATCATCAGCCCGCGCGCTACGGATCACACTATGGAGAAAGAGAAGCCGGGGCCAGTCGCCATCCCAGTGCATCTACATGGGAGATGGGTCGGTCGCAACCACCTTCGCCTGAAAGCAAGCGCTTTCCCGCACCCGAGCCTGGCTCAGGATTTGGCTTTGGCGCCATTCAGAGCTACACCAAGTCTCTGGGGTCTCAAATGGGAGGGTCTCGACAGCCTTCACTGTCAATGCAGCCCCGACAGGGTCAACCCACCCCCCCTCCTTCTGAACAGCCTTACTTGAGCAGGTTACAGACCGAGCAGCCTCGAATCTTTGCCTCTACTCCATCCGCCGGGCCTTCCCCCTTGATCCACTCTGCGCCTGATGACCAACGAAGAAAAGGAAGTGATGAACTTTTCCATCACCGAAATCTCCTTGCCGTTGGGGCAGAGGGAAAACGTGGTGGGCGAGCCTCACCGCTCCCACAAGCGGTGCAGGGTGCCCAGGCCCAGATTATGGGACCTGCAGGGGAAACTGGTATCAAGAATGAGCTCGGACGAGTTTTCTCCGGGATCGGCAGTGGTGTCGGTGGTGTCACTGCACCAACAGCCGTAAGTGGGCCTTCAACGCCCATGACTGCCAGCCCATTCAAGCGCGAGGGCGCCACCGCTCGATCAACCAACAGTGAGACGACAACAGATGAGACTAAGATCGGTCGCCCTGGATCTACGACCGGGAAGCGATCGAGGAAGTCGCGTGAGGACGAGGGCCAGCTGGATGGTGAAACAGGCGGTAGCGATTCAAGACTTGGAACTTCTACACGTGGTCGACGAGGTCGCCATGTTCACCATCATCACCATCAGTATGTTATTGTTTACCCTTGGAAATTTTAGACGAGTCTAACTTTCCCAGCAGTCACCATCACCACCGGCACAAGGCAGACGAAGAAGCTGCTCATCGGTCTCTTCCATCGATGAACCCCTTCCACCGGACCTCTACGCCGGCGGAAGCTGCCGCGCCGGGAACGGCCGGACATCATCACCACCACCATCACCATCACCACCATGCACCCCGACCGGCGATGCACATTGCTGCCTCCCCCATGCGTGAACCCCGCACGGTGGTCAACATTGAGCCGGTGCTTTCTAATGTGGCGCATCTTCCCAGGCATCACCTGGGGTCGACGCTTTATGCCCCTCGCATTGGTGTCCCCACATCCAAAGCAACACTGGAAAGTGCCAAGTTTGGATATACTACGACGCCGCTCCCGCTGCCTCGATTTGAAGGCCGGGAAAACTGCACTTTTACTATTCGCGTGCCCCGCTTCCGGATCGATACAAGCCACCGCGAGGAGATCTGCGCCCGGCGCGCCCTCTGGGGCACGGGCATTTACACAGACGATTCAGATCCTGTCGCAGCGGCGATCCACTCCGGGTTCATTCGTGGAGCCTGGGGCGAGGATGTAGACGAGACGATGCTCGATCTTGAGATCAGGGATACCTATCAACATGCACCTAAGAGTGCAGATGAAATGAGCGCGGACTCGGAGGCCACTGCAGGTGAGCGACCGCGCGTCCCACCAGCAACACCGTCGGACAAGGACTTGCACATTACTCTTCAGATCCTACCGAAACTGGAGCAGTACGAATCGAGTGTGATCTTTGGGCTCAAGTCGCGGCCGTGGGACGGCATGCACGACGGAATGAGCTTCCGTGTCCTTCGCGTGGAGTGGGTGGAAGAAGGCGTGGGCCGGGGCGAAGAGCGCAACGGTGAAGCCCGGCGAAAGCGACTGCGGAACCTGATGCAGACGGGGCGTATTTGCACCGGGCCCGGTGTTGTGAAGCTGGAGCAGCTGCGCAAAGGAGTGATTGAAGTGCCACGGCGGAAGATTGGAATGGACAACCAGGAACGGTCAGCACCGGTGCAGACCGTTTCGTAGGGAAGTCCATGGTAATTATCAATACTGGTTATTTATTGATCATCTATTAGTATTTATTAGCTCGATCTGTTGTTCTAGTGCTCGGTTACTACTAGCGAGGCGTGGTTGCGACATTCTCGGTTGTTTTACAGGATTGTCTTTGAACGCAGTAATTACTTTTATTCAGCGAATATAATGATCTTTATTCTATCATGTCTCTTGATGCAATTCGTACCTTCAAAATTAAATGGCCTGCGGGGAATGCGAGTACCTTAACAGAATATGCGTGTCTCACAGCATCTGCAGGGGTGCATATCCCAGATGCAGCAAGTCCGAGGAATATTTCAAACCCCTTGATCTCAGCTGGTCATCCATCAAGGTCATGTCGTTTTCCGAGATAGCGTCAAACACCATGTTTAAGCTGATCAGTGACCGGGTGAGTGATTCTCCCTGCATTGCTGCTCTGTGGATCTATAGCGGTAGCAACAACAGGTTTATCTGTACTCGCTGCGAAGACTTGTAACAGTGATGAATCAGGGCTACCACTACTGCTGCTCCAGCCCATCCAGGTACTATTTGACTTGCAATCAAGGCGAGTATCTCAAGTCGAGTGGCAGTCTTTCAAACAGTGACTGATCTCTAGCAGACAAACAACGCTCAAGAGCCAACTTGGCTTCAGCACGTGAAAGAAAAGTTCCTATCTATCAACATCTGACCTATAGCGAAGAGGAAGTATGATACATCAAATCGATGATGACCGGGTCAGCGGGACGGATGAAGGGAGAGCATGACGTATGCGGGGTGAGATCCATGTGGGCTGTCCAGATCACCAGATGGATGAATGCTTTTTCTGCCAGATGGACTCATCATTGATCATTGCCAGCCTGAGTCTAATGGAAAAGCGTGAATTCATAAACGTTGACGCGAAGTCCTCCGGTGTCCCGAGTTGAAAGGCGTGAAGCTTCCCCGCATTCTATACATACGGCAGCAGTACGCAGTGCAGTGCATCTAAAGGCATTGTTATCAGATCGATATACGGATATAAACTACGCCTGGTGTATTATTCCAGACTAATTCTGCCTAATTACATAGTCTAAATCATTAGTTTCTGCCCATCACAATCTGTTCTTCTGTGCAACAAACCGAGGCTTTCTGGGGGTCTGGGGGAGGCGGAAATCATCGTTACAGTACCGGTATGTAATCTATATGACTGTACATGACCACGAACACACACTATTATACCTGTAATAAATACTGTATTACCATACTGTACCGTCCGGCGGTCGGCTGATACGCTGTCGCTCCAACCGAGGCAATTCTGCGTGCCGCCGTCATTCTTCCTGCTTTCTTATTCTTCGACCTCGCTGTCTCCTTTTCTCTTCTTCTTCGGTCTTCATCTTCTTCATTATTATCAGCTTCCCTCTCCTCTCCTCACCTTCCTCAAGATACCCATTTCTCTCCTCCCTCTTCTTTCTCTCCCTGCCTAGAATTATAAGTCGAGAGGGATGTTCACGGCTTCTGCTCGAAGCCGTCTCTCCACCACCCTTACACGGCCACGTCTCTCTCCCACCTCTTCTCTCCTCAACAGATCTGCTGTATGATTCATTGGATCTCCGACCATATAAAAATGAATGGAAGAAGCTGATTGACTGTAGCAGACTCCCATCATGGCTCGACGTAAGCAATCGTCTGTCCCTGAAGGTATGATCACATGCAATCTCCCTGCTGCATTTCATCCTCTGACTGATTGATTCAGGGTACACAGAAGATCTCTCCAAAGGCAAAATGCTTCGATTCGAAGAATCCCTTCCCCGTCTGCCGGTCCCCTCTCTGGAAGAAACCGGCCGTCGCTACCTGAAATCCGTCCACCCTGTTGTCTCCGAAGCCGAGTACGAGCGCACCAAGAAGGCCGTCGAGGCTTTCATCCGTCCTGGAGGTGAGGGCGAGCCCTTGCAGGAAAGACTGGTGGCTCGTGCTGCGGACCCCAAATGTCGGAACTGGTTGACTGAGTGGTGGAACCACGCTGCCTACTTGGCCTACCGGGACCCCGTCATTCCTTATGTTTCTTACTTTTACTCGTACCGTGATGATCGCGCTCGTCGGGAGCCTGCTAAGCGGGCTGCAGCTATTACTACCGCTGCGCTGGAGTTCAAGAGCCAGGTTGATGCGGGCTCGTTGGAGCCTGAGTACATGCGCAAGCAGCCTATTGCTATGAGCTCGTACGAGTACATGTTCAACTGCTGCCGTATTCCTGGTGACGGCAAGGATTACCCCCAGAAGTATGACGCTAAGGACAATGAGCACATTATTGCTGTCCGCAAGAACCAGTTCTTCAAGGTCCCTCTCGTCGTGAACGGTGAGCGCCTCAACGTTTCCGAGCTGCAGAAGCAGTTTGAGCGCATTTACGAGATTGCACAGCGCGGTCCTGCTGTCGGTGTGCTTACCGTCGCGAACCGTGACCGCTGGACCGATGCCCGGAAGAAGCTGCTGGCAGCCAACCCGGCCAACGAGCAGGCCCTCCGTGAGATCGAGTCCAGTGGATTCGTCGTCTGCCTTGACGATGCTACCCCCGTCACCCTGGAGGAGCGGGCACGCCAGTACTGGCACGGTGATGGTAGTAACCGCTGGTTCGACAAGCCCCTTCAGTTCATTGTCAACGATAACGGTACTGCTGGTTTCATGGGCGAGCACAGCATGATGGACGGTAGCCCCACCCACCGTCTGAACGACCACCTCAACAGCCTCATCTTCAACAACAAGATCGATCTCTCGGAGAAGTCCGTGCGCTCCAACCTTCCCGACCCCCGCCCGATCAGCTTCGAACTCAACAACGAGGTCTTGGAGTCGATCGAAGCAGCATCCAAGGAGCACCGCCAGCAGATCGGCTCGCACGAGCTGGTCGTGCAGGCCTACCAGGGCTATGGCAAGGGTTTGATCAAGAAGTTCAAGTGCAGCCCCGATGCCTTCGTGCAGATGGTCATCCAGCTGGCCTACTTCAAGATGTACGGCAAGAACCGTCCTACCTACGAGTCGGCTTCGACCCGCAAGTACCAGGAGGGCCGTACCGAGACTATCCGCTCTGTCTCCGACGACAGTGTCGCCTTCTGCAAGGCCATCCAAGACTCCAACGTGCCCCGTGAGGAAGTCATCCGTTTGTTCCGCACCGCCCTGACCGCACACTCCAAGTACACCGCTGAAGCCGGTGATGGCCGCGGAGTCGACCGACACCTGTTCGGTTTGAAGAAGCTTCTCAAGGAGGGCGAGAAGCTTCCCGCTATCTACGAGGACCCAGCCTTCGCATACAGTGGCTCATGGTACCTGTCCACCAGCCAGTTGAGCTCAGAGTACTTCAACGGCTACGGATGGAGTCAGGTCATCGATGATGGATTCGGAATTGCCTATATGATTAACGAGAACAGGTATGCTCACCCCCCTTTCCCTTATCTAATTTAGAGAATTAATGCTAACGTTATCCAGCCTTAACTTCAACATCGTCTGCAAGCGCATCGGCGCAAATCGTATGAGTTACTACTTGAACGAGGCGGCGGGTGACTTGAGAGATCTGTTGATGCCCGAGTTGGCTGCCCAGAGCGAGAAGGCCAAGTTGTAAGATATACAGTATATATTATTTAGAGGGGGGTTGATTCAATTGCAAAAATTTGGATACAAAGGTCTTAAGTGTTGTAGTTGTATTAGTGATGTAGTGGTGTATATATCTGGGATAGATTTTGAGGTTGCAGATAGACTAGAGTGAACGTTTTGCATTGGGGATTCATTTGGAAAATCTACAAAAGCTGCCACAGTCCAACGGTCTTCCAGGCTGTTAGACAAGGCTTACAAGTATCGTTCTTGATTGGACGGACTATGAAGGTGCTTTGAAAGGTTGAATTGATTGACTGTCTGCCTAGCAAAAATAGAAGCAAGTGACCAACAGAATCTTAAAAAACCCAATAACTAGCAAGGCTGATGGAGCAAATGTGATTGATTCTGCCTATCCAGATATTGACCGATTATGACCCGCAAGTAGGACAATAATAGTAAGCTCCATCTGAGAATAGACCCCTTCATTGGAATCGTGATCGATGGCACAACCATATGTGCATCGCAGATGGTAGCCAAGGACGCCCCATGTTCTTGTTCTGAAAAACTCTGACACGCGGCTGACTGGCTGAGCTGGGTTGGTGTATCCGTCGCTTTAATCTTCTTCGTGGGTGTGTGAATAATGGAAATGAGCCGGAATATCATTGCGTATCGTGCATTCGCACACCAAGCAAGGCTGTGGTGCTGAGAGTTTGAGAACACCTGGCCCGATGACCTGTATGTCTGACATGGATATAGGCTGCATGGGGCGAATCTGGGGTAGAAAAAGAAAAAAAACCTGGGGCCAAAGCCAGGATTGAATGTGCAGTAATTGGAAAAAGAGCATTCCTCCAATCAGGTCTTGTTGGCGGTCTCGTTTGTCGATCCCACTCCGGTAGATGCATGGGGATCTGCGGTTTCGGCCGCCTCTGTGGCGGCCCCCGACCCCGATTGGGTAGTAGAAGAGGTGGTCAGCTCACCGATGTGTCGTTCTGCAAAGAGTCAGCATGAACAAAACCCAAAATTTATGGAATTGAAATAAATTTAAAATTAGAGAGAAAAATGCCGCACTCACCCAAATCACGAATGCGCTGCCGGAGCATCTGATTCTCTCGGCTCAACATAGCTGCCTCTGTCTGGTAGAAGGCACTCTCATCCCTGCCACTACGTTGACTGTCACCGGTGCCTGTGAATCCTTCCAAGCCATCTGGGCCACGCCATGACTCAACTGAAGCCCGCGGTCGGAGGCTAGGAGAGGCATTCTGACTGGAGGGTCGTGACGGTCGCCGGCTGGAGAGAGACAGCTGAGAGATAGACGCCCGGCTACCAGCAGGGGGCATTGGAGGGATCGAAGGGAATGAATTAGATCTTTCGTCCGAGGAATCATCAATGGCAGCCGTTTGGTGTGGCTGTGACGAAGACTGTTGCTGTTGGAGTTGTTGGAGTTGCGTCTGTTGGCTGCGAATCATCTGCAGCAATCGATTCTGTCAAGCATCAAACTGTCAGCAATAATTTCTTCCCCACACCCATCCACAAAACCATACCACTTGAGCTTCTTGTTCTTGCTCCAACTCTTGATGCAGTTCCCCCAATGAGGGGGCTCGATGATGATGCGGGTCCCCGGTCAGGATCGGACTGCCCCCTAGCGTGCTACTCGTGGGACTTGCAGTCCGAAACGCATGGCCTATGGAGGAGCGATGATCCTCGGAGTCGTGAAGGTTTAAACTTGTACCGGCTGCAGACCGACGGCGCTCCGACACCGATGGAACCGTGCGGTGAGAGCTGCGAGAGGGGTGCGAGTCGGTCATGGTGGAAGCTATTGACTGAAAAGGCGGGGTAGTGACGGAGCTCTGTCGAGCGTGAAAGATGAAGATGAACTGGACAGAGGGAGAGAATTGAAATAGTGAGGTACTGATCTAAAGAACAGAATTGAGTCTATCCTGTACAGGGTACCCTTGTGAAAGCGAAGATGAAAATGATGAAGATGGACTGACTGATGATGGTGATGTCGATGAGGGCTTACTGCCTGGACGAAAAGAGAAAGGCGGTGGCTTTGGCACTGGCCGGAAACAAACAGAGCAAACAGAACAAACAGGGCGGAATATGGCCGAGGCTCTTCTGGGAACGGCCATCAGCTGGCCACACGTGATGCGATCGAGCCCCAGGCATCTCGGGGAATTCTTCACGATCTCTAGTCGATCGATGCATTTCATCTTCCATTCTCTATCCACCCATCTATTTATTTATTTATTTATCTCTCTATCTAAGGAGTTGAGATTCCAAATGGCAGCCCCAACATGATTACCAACTGACTCAGACGACTCGAGATGCCCAACCGTCACACACGCCACACGCAGATCGCCGCTTGGCAGCCGCCTTGGGGGAAGTTTGGCTGGGAACGGCCCCTAGAGAATACGAACGAACAGGCCGTGGCTCAAACAAGCAAATGTTAATTTCGGCCCTGGAAAGCCAAGTTTCCCGACCATGTAACTCTACGGTAACGTAGGTCGATTTCGAATGGGATCGTAGGTTTGTGTACCTGTCAGGATGACTCGGGATGTCGTAGAGGAAACCTTGAGTAAACCGGTGTGAGGAGATGATTCATCTGACCCTGACAGAATGGATGTTTTCTGGAACAGAGAAACAGGGAACATCCAACAGTGGATGACGATCTTCTGAGCACACGAGGCCGGCGGGTTTTTTGACGTCACGCCCCGGATTCCCTCATCTCCGGATTCCCCGTATATCTGTATAGACACAGCCTGGCCACACTCACTTCGGGATGCACGTATACGGTCGGCAATGAATCCCGACTCCTTGCATCCAAGCCCTAATATCTACTTGACTATAATAGTCTACTAATAATACTGTGTAATAATTATAACAACAACAACAATAATAATATTCCATGATCTCCTTAACCATCCAATTCCCAAACCGGCCATTCCTGTCGGCCCAGAACGGCTGCCCATGGACCAACAGACCTATCCCCGGTATCCACTAGCGGCCTCTGCCCGTGGGGAGACATTATGGATTCATTCATTCACTGTGACCGTTTGCCCCCCCCAAACCCCGGACAGCCCGATTTCTCCCTGCTAGCCTGGCTGGAGAGACGCAAAACCAGCCAGTCAGCGCCCACATGGCCCATCGCCTGATTCGGCATCCCGCTGCGACGGGGGCCTGGATCTTCCTGTTTGGGCGTTGGGAGAGGTCTTTGACCCTCCGGCGCTGCCAGTGAATGGGCCCGGCCAACCAGCGCTGGTGGAGTTATACTGGCTGCCCAGAGTCACATTCGAACCGCTCTTGCCTGTTCGAGCAGTCTATTTCTCTTTGCTTCTCTCCCTCTCTTTTTCTCTTCTTTTATTCTTCTCCTTCTCTCTTTCTCTCCTCACCTTCTTTCTTCTTTCTCCACCATTCTTCTCTATCTTATTGTCTCTTTCTTCTTCTTTCTCTCTTGCTCTACATCCTCTTCAAGCAAGTGTCAAGCTCCCCCCTACCCCTTAGAGGCCTCTTGTCATTTGCACCTTATTTTTTTTTTTCTTTCCCCTCTACCCTGATCGACTTCTCACCAAAAATATCTCCTCCCCCTTGGTATGTCTCTTTATTTCCTTTTTATACCTTCTTCCCTCTATTACATCTAGTCTAACACTGTGTCTTCCAGTGACTCTCTTAGGGGCCAAGTCACAATGACTTCCCCTCCTGACAAGGTGGTTTCCACCGACGAGAAGGTCCATGAGTCTGAGGCCTCCTCCTCGACCTTCGCTGATGGCATAGCGTATCCTGCTGCTGAAAAGACTCATTTGGCGGTGCCCCCTCCCAAGGCTACTTCGCCCGAGGCTGAGGCTACTCTCGATCAGTTCGAGCATACTCCTACTGACGGCAAGATCGAGCTGACCGAAGACGAATGCTACGATCAGTTGGGCTATTCCTTTCCTAGCTGGAAAAAATGGACCATCATCTTGGTCATCTTTCTCGTTCAGACTTCGATGAACTTCAACACCAGTCTCTACTCGAACGCTCTCACGGGAATCTCGGAGGAGTATGGTGTCAGCATGCAGGCTGCCCGTTGTGGCGCCATGATCTTTCTGGTGTTGTACGCCTTTGGTTGTGAACTTTGGGCTCCCTGGAGTGAGGAAGTTGGCCGAAAGCCAATCTTGCAGCTCAGTTTGTTTCTTGTCAATATCTGGCAGCTTCCTGTCGCGCTGGCCCCTAACTTCGCCTCGATCATGGTTGGCCGTGCCCTCGGTGGTCTTTCGTCTGCCGGTGGCTCCGTCACGCTTGGTATGATTGCAGACCTTTGGGAAGCTGATGACCAGCAGTATGCTGTGGCCTGTGTAGTCTTTTCCTCTGTGGGTGGCTCCGTCCTTGGTCCAGTCATTGGTGGTTTTGTCGAAGAGTATCTTCCCTGGAGGTGGAACATCTGGATCCAACTCATCTTTGGCGGATTCGTTCAAATCGCCCATTTCCTTTTTGTTCCGGAAACCAGAACCACCATCATGATGGACAAAATCGCCAAGAAGAAGCGTGCCAGCGGCGAGAACCCCAACATCTACGGTCCCAACGAATTGGTTCCCTACAAGGATCGCTTCTCGATGCGCGAAATTCTCATTACCTGGATTCGCCCCTTCAAGATGTTCTTGACTGAACCCATTGTGCTCACCTTGTCCTTGCTCAGTGGTTTCAGTGACGCCTTGATTTTCATGTTCATCCAGTCTTTCGGCCTCGTCTACAAGCAGTGGGGGTTCACCACCGTCACTCTTGGTCTGTCGTTCTGCTCCATCCTTGTCGGTTACATCATTGCGTGGGCGTCGTTTATCCCCGTCATCAGACGCAACATTGCTGAACGCCGCGCGAAGCCTGATGATGAACGTGCCCAGTACGAGTCCCGTCTCTGGTGGTTGCTTTACACTGCGCCATGCTTGCCTATTGGCCTGATCGGATTTGCATGGACCAGTCTGCCCAATTGCCATTGGATTGGAACCATGGTCTTTGCGGCCATCATTGGTATCGCCAACTACTCCATCTACATGGCCACCATTGACTACATGATTTGCGCCTATGGTCCCTACTCGGCGTCGGCGACTGGTGGAAATGGCTGGTCCCGAGACTTCCTAGCCGGTGTTCTTACCATTCCTGCGACACCTTTCTTTACCAGTAAGCAACCTCTGACCCCTTTGCTTCTTCCAATACTGACCAAATTCATAGACATTGGCGGCAAGAACCATCTCGAATACGCATCTACGATTCTTTGTACGTTCCGACTGCTTTCACGCTTTTGATAATCCTCCACTGACTTGACTCTAGTCTGTATCTCGTTCATTTTGGTTATCGCCGTCTACGCCATCTATTGGTATGGCCCGACCCTCCGCAAGCGATCGCCCTTTGCCCAGCAGCTTTCCGACGCAAGGGCTGAACTGCACGACAACCTTCATGCTCGACAGATTGGTCGCGTCCCCGAAGGTTCCAGAGCCAACTCGTTTGCAAGGTCGCAGCAGAACCTCCGCATCCGACAGACACTCGGCAGCCGCCAGGGTAGCTACATTGCGTCTCGTGGTAACTCTCGTGTCAACTCCCGCGTTAACTCGCGCGCCAACTCTCGCAGGAACAGTGTTTCTCACTGAGCCCTGCTTCTCACGCCTTTGATGACCGGTGTGGCGCCAGCTGATGACGTCACCGACATGAATGATGAAAGCTATGTGTTTTCAGAACCTGAAGAAGACGGTGTTGTTTCGAAACGGTTGATCTGTATTGGAGCACGACTTGATCTCTGCCATTTGTTCTGTTTCACATTGGCCCGTTTGCATTCAGGACAGTGCGGGTCATTGTACTTTTATCTTAAACACAATTTCACTTCTCAGTGTGCCTCGGATGGATGAGGATGTGCAGTCTTCGACATGGAGCCAGCACCTAGATCTGGCGTGGGTGGAACAAGCTCTGGGCCTTTTCTCTTTTCGTGCTGGATGTGAGAGGGTGGAGACCGGGATTTGTACTGCGACGTGGACCTGGGTACTGGGGTTTATGTGGGTGCAGTGGGCTATGGAGTCTATGCACGAAAGGGCTGCGTGGTCTGTTCCCATCTTGATGGCTTTACTAATTTCATTTTCGCTTTGAATCTGGTTGTGGTTTTACTTTTTCACTTCTTGTACCAAACAGAGGGCGCGGCCACTGTACTGTCCGGCGTTAGACTGGAAGCTGTTGCAGCTGTAGCTAATGGATAATAATTCTTCAAGTTTTCCACTGTTCTACTGTAGGATTGGGTCAATTGAGAAGATGCAAGTGTAATGGCGATGTCAGAGGGCCAGGTGGGCACGGCGGGTAGACCGGACGCGGGGGGTGGAGCGGACGATGGGTTGCGGAGAGCATGTGATGGAGGATAGGATAGAAATCATAGAGTACGTAGAAGGGAGTCGGAAAAGCCGGATGGAGGTAGATAGGACGGGGTGGTATTGACGACGTCATAGGTGAGACATATGAGCTCAGAGGGAGAGGGCGGAAAGCAGTTCCTGGATCGATCGATCGAGGAATGGAGACGGGAGTAGCATCCGATCTGAAGTTGTTACATGGTACATACTAGTTATCGTACTTAACAGTATGGCGGATGGAGGAGTGAGATAGAGTCATGTGACCTGTCAGTGATCAGACCGCAAGTGTCCAGCAGTTCCTCGGTTGACGCAAACATCCAACCATCCCGACCAATCCTAGAATCCAATTGACGAGCCATACCCATAATGCGGGCGCAGGGAGCAGCTTGCCTTGCTCGACTTGTCAGTCACCATCTGCAGCGCCCAGTGTTTCCTGTCCGACCAATTCTCCGAGGAACAGGGGCAGTGACAGCGACAGCATTACGACCTCTACGATCAATCCAACCATCCAGGATGGCATCCAGCAGTACCAGCAGTGTTGTTCAATTCTCAGAGGGAGAGAATGATCTGCCCGCGTTGCAGGATGCGATGGATGGATTACTGGAGCAAGGGTGGGAGGTGGATGGGGAGGGGAGGGGGTTGAAAAAGACGTATTATTTCAAGAGTTATTTTAAGGCTGTGGTAAGCATCACATACTAAATATCGGATAGAATGATGATGATGATGATGATGTTGATGAATAAATAGTCCTTTGTAAATGTGATTGCATCCGAGAGTGCAGTGAAAAAGCACCATCCCACCATGACCATCGTATGGGCTTCACTTTCCCTCCTTTCGAGACTCAACTAACCCATACGATAGAGAATCGGCTCGGTAGACGTCCACTGGACGACGCACCAACCCCGCGGCCTCTCCAGCAAAGACATCAACATGGCCCAGCACTGCGAGAAAGGCGCCGAACTGATGAGTGCCGTGGTGAAGGAGGAGGGCAAAAAATGTAAATAACCATCTACCAAGGTCGACAGAATGTATTTCTAGACGTGTATAATTAAGGATGATCAAAAGAAAACAAGTGGATAAAGTGTCACGGCCAAGGCTTAACGGGCCCTCGTGCGCAGTCGATCGTTGCTGTTTTGGTTGACCTCGTGTTGGAGAGTTTGTATAGGAGGAGTAGAAGGAATAGGGGTTCTGGTGGATTCTAGATGAACTATATTATATCTATATCTATATTTATTATCTTTATCTTTATAATATCTATATTATAGCTACCTTAGGTTACAGAATAGAAGATAAGGCTGTAAAGTGATTGTCCAGGCATTCGTATTTCACGTCGCTTAGAGAACGTTGAGTGCTTGGACAGTGGGGTTCAGGAGACTTTTTGCTGACAGAACGGAATTGTTGATTCTTAAGTTATTTAAAGAAGAAAAACAAATAATAAGATGAAAGAAAGATGAAAGAAAAAAAGAAGAAAGCATTGTCTAATTGGAAAAAGCAAAAAGACACAAAAACCAGGCAGTCTGGCTGAATCTTTAATTTCTGCGTCTTCTTTGCATCTCCACTTTTTCCGCGCCTTCAGGGGCTTTTTTTTCTGTTTCGGGCTTCGTTTCAGATCAGCAAAAGAAGAAGAGAGAAAGCGAGGATAGAAGAGAAAGAGGACGAGAGGGGAAAACACCAGCTGGTCTGTGATCAGTCGTCTTAATATCTCTGTCTTCATCTCATCTCTTCATCTCATCTCATCTATTGCCTCTAGTATCTCCACCCTGCTCCAACATCGCAATCTCCATCTCGCCCAATTTTTTCTTTCCAAAAAAAGAACTCATCGCTGCTGCATGAGGCCTGGCGACATCCTTGCTGTGGGACATTCACATCTCGACCTTTCGCTCCTTTCTCGCGCGTCTTTCTTTTTTCTTTTCCTCTTTCTCTCTCTCTTCTTCTTCCTCTTCTCCTCGTGCGACTCTTCCTGCCATGACGTTGGGATCTCCCCATTCTCCTATCCTGTCAGACTAACTTGGACCTCGCGTTCAATTTCAAATGCTACTCTCTTTTCCCGATCCTTCCGGTCCTTCTTTTTTTCCTGTTCAGCGTTGATGTCGAATGCTGCTATCCCCTCATCTTCACTGCGCTCGCGGACTGAAAGATGACCCTCAACATCCAACCTCACCCCCCTCAGCCGTCCGTCAGCGAACGCAGAGGCCAGCGTCTAGCTCCCCTCCAGACCAACTTCAGTCGTCCCACTGCCCGTCTGTCCAGTCTCCCCGTTGCTCGCACCCAGCAGCGTCCTCGTCCCTCCGATGCGACTGAAGCGACGGGCGAACGAGTCCCGCTGCAGCCTCCCCCGGTCAAGCGCCAATCCTCCAAGTCGGGCCTGCGCAGTCTCTTTGGCCGCGAGAAAGCAGCCCGCAAACCCCATCTTAATCTCAATAATCATAATGACTCCAAGCTGGCCGAGATCGACGAGGGCCAGTCCGTTTCAGTCTCGCAGACCGACTCCGCGCTGGACGCCCCCGTATTATCGCCAAGTCTCTGTGCCACCCCCAAGACGGCTCTCACGACACCCACACTGGTCACCTCCCCGACGGTAGCGCACTCGCAGCGAGCCAAGATCCAGGCGAAGAACAGCAACCCGCGCTCAGCCAAGTCCGGTGAGGATAAGCCGCCGGCCAATGACCCCAGCTGGAAACCGCCTCCGCTGTTCCAGGCGTATCCGCAGTCGATCAAGCATGGGACGTTGTCTGCGCCGGCTTTGTCGGCAGATTCCATCTTGCGCATTCACGCGACTTCGTCGAGGGGGAGTAGTTCCCGGGACGAGGAGATGCAGATCCACAACAGTCAGGTGCAGAATAGTAATGAATCGGCAGATGCCAATGCTGCCCGGAAGAAAAAGGAGGATAAGGAGAAGAAACACCTGCGTTCGTTATCGGAGACGATTGGGAAAACAGACTGGACGCAGAAGATCTATGTGCTAGCGACGTCGGGGTACATCTTGCAGTATGCCGGGTCTGGGAAGCACGACCGACTCCCCGAGAAGATGATGCAGTTGGGTCCCAAGTCGGTGGCCTTTGCGAGTGACGCCATCCCCGGAAAGCACTGGGTTCTGCAGGTGTCACAGAGCTCCGAGGAAGATGGCACGACTGCGTTGGAAACGCCCAAGCCGCTGTTTTCGCGTTTAGGGTTTCACCGGTCTCATACGCGCAGGCTGGCCCGCAGCTTTCTCATGGTTTTTGACACCCCCGACGAATTGAGCTATTGGCTTTTGGCTGTTAGGGCAGAGATCGAAGCCCGTGGGGGCAAGAAATATGTTTCCGAGCGGGTATTTGACGATGGGATGGAGTCGCAGCTGCGCTCCAAGCCCAGCGTTCGGCAAATGGTGACCAAGGATCCCAATCGGTTTTCCAACTCGTTCCTGCAGCCCCAGCAGACTGGTGCAGGTATTGCAGAGGAACACGAGCAATCGATCGCGGGGATGAATTCCCGCCGCAGCTCGTACATCTCCGTCAACCGTCGTTCGATCGTGAATCAGCCGACTCCCGATTCTCGCTCCGGGTCGGTGTCCACGACTCAGACTGATGCGGTAGCTTCCCCCATCACCAGTCCTGGAAGTGGACGGTTCTATTCTACCATTTCTGCGAGCAGCTCGCCGATGGTGGGAAATGGCGCCGCCCCAGCGCCTGGGTCAACGTCTCTGGATGCGCCTCGAAGCCCGACCTTTGCTAGTCCGAGAAAGCGACAATCCATGTACATGTACATCCCTAAGCCGTCAGCAACGCCATCCATGGAAGCTGCAAAGCTCCCTCGCCCACAATCGACCGCGCCGGATCCCCTCGTTCGAAGCACATCACCCCCGGCACCCAACTTCAGCGTCCCATCTTTCAGCAAGAGATTCGCATCGAGAACCCCCCAGTTATCACAGATACCCCAGATTCCGATCCACCCTTCTCTTCGAGATTACGATGATGACGACGAAGACGACATCAACGCTATTGCCTCCTTCCCTTCCCCTCCCCAGTCCCCCAGCCGGAGCATCTCCAGCTCGGGCCGAAAAGAATCCACTGACCAACACATAATGACGCCCCGCGAAGCGGTGGCCAGAAAACAAATCCGCGTCTCCAACTCCGAGGACTCTCTGGCAGATCCTCAACGGAGTCAGGAACCGAAGATCCAGTCCTTTCCGCGTGCTCCTCGAGGCAGCATGATCTCTCCCTCCAACCACAACCACACCCCGCGTCCCATCAGCTTCGTCGCTGAAGACGACCCATCACCATCAACCTCATCCAACGACCTCCCTCAACACCCACCTCCACCCGCAGAGGACCGCCGACAACAGCAGCCGCAGAGCGGCCGCACCTCAATCCTCTACCAAACCCACCGAGCCAAATCCCCGGCCCCCCCCAAGATGGCCCACCGAAAAAGCATGCCCGGCTTATCAGCCGGTCCTCCTTCTGCTCCTCCCCCCAACTGTCCTTTACCCAAAATCCCGTCTCCAATCGATCCCCCTTCTACCGAAGTAGCCTGGGAAGATCCAGCTTCATCAGCAGCTCAGTCTTGTAAATCACCACCCCCGAAAGCCGGAAGAGAACGAAGAAAAAGCTCCGCTGGCGCCGCTGCACCGCCGACTTATTCTTATACCCCGAGACCTTCCATGGCGAATCGTCGTCCGAGCATGCCTAACAGGATATAAATTAATGATCCGACCTTGATCTTTCTTTTGCCACTTATATTTCTTATATTTCTCTATTTTGTCCTGCATATATGGAGTCGTCGGCCTATTTGTGTTTTATTTAGAGTACAGTACCCCAGCATTTCTCTACTTTACCTTTTTGTATTATCTACCTATCATACCATACCACACCCCAACAAACTCCATCAGATCAAAGAAGCAAACAAAAGTTGAAGTCAACATGTTCTGATCAGCGCTCTCTCTCAGCGACCTTTTCTTTTTCTCTTTCTTTTCTTTCTTGTTTTTTACTTGTTTGATGCATTCATTGATTGATTGATCTATGCGTGCATGCTGCTTCATTTTTGAAGATACCTCCACTTTACTTTACTTACCTTTTTTTTTTTTCTCTCTTTCTTATACACCATCTTGACTATCTTGCAGTTGATGATTTTGATGTCCCTGCACTCTTGTACAGCTGTCATCATGTCATGCATTTTGTTGATATCTATTTCACTATCTATATTTACTATACTATCTGGTTGAGTGATTGATCGAGTGGATTGGTGGCTTGTATATACTATCTTATTCAGTTGTATTAATATTGATACCTACCGTTGATACTGAATGTTGGAATATACGGTTATCATCGTGACTACAAAACATCTGACTGAAATATTTGACTGAAATTCATTACTCCAACTCTCACTGTATCAACATGATTTTGGCCCATGTACCCGAACAAATAACCCTGAGAACGCAAAGGAAATGAGAAAAACGAAATGAAAACGCGGTGCACAGTACAATGCAGATGTAGAACGATGATGGGAATGATGCAGAGGAATAAAAAGACCAAGTCGTACTAATTAACAAGTCGTCCTGAGTGGCTGATGCATGAATTACTCATCCGCCTCTTCAACCTTAGGGGCCAGATCGCGTTTAACAGCGCCTGAAGTCTCTGGGGCAGGGGTTGCGGTTGAAGTGGCCGTGGGAGTCGAGTCGTTAGCGGGAGTGTCCTGGATAGGCTCCTTCTTGGACTTCTTCTTCTTCTTGCTCTGAGAAATAATTAGCTGGTGTACATTAGAAAAGGAGGGGGAGGGAGTTGCTCACCTCTTGCCAGCCCCACAAAGGCTTGAAACTGTCAAAGAAACCGACATCCTCGAATAGGTTAGGGAAGAGCCAGAGACCAGGCGGCACGGCAAAGACAGTGATGCAGAAGAGAATAAGACGGAAGATCGACATAGCGAAGAACAGACCCAACAGTCCCATCATGCCAACACTCAAGTACCAGACTCCTTGTCTCATGAACATGGGCCACAGAGGGAAGAGGACGACGGCGAAGATTCCAGCAACAACAGCTGCTGCCATAGCCTTCTGCTTCCATTGAGGTCCTTCATAAAGCCAGACGTAGTGCATCATCGGGTCGGTCTCCTGGTGCTGTTCAATCTTGACGGTCCAGAGTCCCTTGACCCGGTTCTTGGGCTTCGCGTGGTTGTGGCCGGCATGGGGGTCGACTTTGTTAACTCGCAAAGCGAGGAGGGAAAGAGGGAGAAGTTTGAAGACGTTCTCTGCAGAGGCACGATCCGTCACAGGAGGGAGAAGGGAGTTCTTCTTTGAGGCGGCTTTGGCGTAAGCGGGCGATTCAAGGGCACGGATAGCACGTTTCACTGTATCAAATATTAGAATATTGCATTCGTATTACCACTCCAGAAAGTCGAGTTTACCTTTGAACATATCCTTCCGCTGTCCGTCCATAATACATGTTCTCGACTTCAGATTCTGCGATCGCAAGAACTGCGCCACGGCAATCGCCTTTGGATCCGGAGGGTTCGACGGGTTCACTGGAACCTGGTGCATCTGCTGTTGCTGTTGCGGTTGCGGCTGCTGTGCTGGAGACTGTCCCGACTGCTGTGCTTGAGCCTGTCGTTGGGCTTCGATGTGTTGTTTCTGTGCGGCCATAGCTCGCATTCTCATCTGAGTAACATATTGCTCTGTCGTCATGCCCTGCTTGGCAGCCTCAGCGTTAAGCTGCTCGCGTTGCTGTTTGGCAAACTCCTCGGGGGTCATTCCTCGTCGTGCTGCTTCTGCTGCGAACTGCTGCTGCATGGCAGCGAGCTGCTGGGGGGACGGCTGGCCGGGCGCCGCCATTGTGAGTAAGGTAGAAGGGGGGAAAAAAAGGAAAGAAGGAAATGAGAAGCAGTCGTGAATTAAACCGTCGTGCCAAAATGGATGGAGATGGAAGGGTGGTGGTGAAGCTAGGATCGCATTGCCGTCATATCGGAAGTGGCCAGATCATAAAAGAAAGGATGTTTGGCTGTTTGTTCCGCCGGCCGAAAAGGGAAAAGGCCAAGACCGCCGCTTCTCCGCAACTCGAACATCGTCACTCTTCATCCTTTGCTATTATTCCTCAACACAGAGGGTTTATACAATAGAGTATTATCATCTAGTTCTGCAATGTCGATTCCTTTCATTCCCTAGTCGCCTATCTGCTGCCCGTTGCTCAGCACAGCTCCATGACCGGGTTTCATCCCGATAGCTCCCCTGTAGACACTACATGGGCGGCTGTCTTGCTTGTGAGTTTCTTTGCGAAACAGGTTATTAAATTCTTACTTACTATCTATCTAGAGCGAGAGAGATGTGGCTGGCCAGGTTCCTATCAACTTTGTCACACACCCGGTCGTGTCTCTGAGGGCAGCGTGCTTTGGCAATAATGTCTTCGACTATAATTCCGCCGTGACCTGCATATCGAATCTGCTGGCAGTGGGATACCGCCGGTTTGTGGTGGATCTGTACTGGTGTCCTGAACGGCAGTTATGGACCTTTTGCCCTGTCACTATTCCCACGAATGCAGATGTTGTCACAGTGTCTTCGACAGTTTCGGCGACCAGCACACCTGCCCCCTCATCTACTGCGACATATGATTCCGCAGAGAGCAAAGTCACAGTAGTTTCCAGCTCATCTGGATCAAATCTGTACGAGCTGGGCCCGTATTTCTGTTCAAAAGATCTCGATGTGTCGGACTTGGTCGATGTCTTCGTCGGGTATTTTCGGGAGACGACTTCTCAGATGAGCGTGTATATGGAGTACCTTATCTTCAATCTCCATGCAGCCGCTAGTGCCTCTACACCTGATGAGCCAGCAAAAACAGTGACAGGCAGCTGGCTGCCAAAGCCTTCAGATTATCTCAGTGCCTGGCTGGAAGATCCGCTTAACATGTATATCTATGGGCCCGCCCAACTAGCCGACGAGCGCAGCAATCTCAACAATTCCTGGTACCAAGTTGAAAATGGATACAAACCTATCGCTGAATACTTCACCACCATTGAGGATTCTGATGGAAAGCAAAGCACGCCCGACGGCTGGCCGTGTTCCAAGTACGTGCAGCTGGCAAGGGAACGACGGATCCTACTCGGATATGGAACCATCGATTCGCAGCTAGACGGCTACGATGAAATCAGTGACAACGAAGTATTGTTTCCTCCGGGCTACCTCACCCACATCAAAAATGTCACTATCGCCGAGAGTGGGACTTTAGGCTCATGTCTGTATGACCCAGATGCTACTCAGGTTTCCCAGGCCAACTCCTCCTGGGCAGAATCCGGCAACATTCCAATTCCAAATGATTTAAACAAAACAGCAACATTATGGCAAGTAACAGACATGATCTCCAATTTGACAGCCTGCGGATTATCCCCAACGGTCAACGACACTCTGTTCGGCGCAACGGCCGACACCGACTCCAATCCATATCGAAACGTTTCACTTTCCACTTCCTGGGCATGGGCTATAGGTGAGCCCAAAAGGGCAGATTCCCATGACGACCAGCCTAAAATGGACCGATGCGCTATCATGGACTTGTCATTGAAGGGCCGCTGGCGAGCCGCCAACTGCTCCGAAACCAACCGTCGCGTCGCCTGCAGAGTCAACAATAAACCATTCACCTGGGCCATATCTAGTGATATGTCCACTTACGACGGAGCATTTGACATCTGTCCCGACGACAGCCACTTTGGAGTCCCACGCACAGGACTCGAAAACACCTATCTCTACCGTCACGCACTTTCGCAGTCCAAAGATATCATGGATCCCGCCTCGACTGATGCCGCGATGCGAGAGATATTGCTAGACTTCAACTCGTTGGATATCGGGTCATGCTGGGTTAGCGGAAGCCCCCGGGCTAGTTGCCCGTATGCCTCCGATCCGGAGCAGCTGGAGCGACGAACTGTCATTGTTTCCCTTATTGCTGGTATCGTAATCTTCATTATTACTGCATTGACACTGTTTGTAAAATGCAACGCCAACCGGAGAAACTCGAGAAGGAGAAAGAGAGTAATTGAAGGATGGGAATACGAAGGTGTTCCCTCTTGATGCTTTATAGTACTTGTAAATATGTTATGTTCTTTGAACTGTAAATAGAATTCAATATAATCATTCTTCGATGACAAGTCAATATCATTAGACTTAGGCTTGAAAAGCCGGAAATATGAAAACAAAACTACTTGACTACCTACATGAAAGTGCAAAAAAAGAAAATGGGGAGTATCTCAAAACATGCCAGACATTAAAAAAAAAAAAACATATCGCTTACACATTCCATCATAAAAACCAAAACCACATAGACAAGAGAACAAATGGCTTTTCACAAAAAGAACAATTCAAAGAAAAGAAAAGGCTTTACAACCCGGCAAAGCGTGCCCATCCAGCAGCCCGGACAGGAGTCGTCTGTGGTTGCTTGTCCTGGGGCATTGTCGCACCACTTCTGCCCTCCTCGGCCACTTTCCCACTGACATCTCGCCTTCTTCCGACTCCGAGACCAGCGATGTAACTTCCGTACGACGACAAAGCGGCCCCAGGGCCCGTATTGTGTCGAGCACCATAATCGGCGCCGGAGTTACTGACGACACGGCCCTTGCGATCGCCATCGACCGTGACAGGCTTGGGGAGTGGAGGTGTGCTGTTTTCGTCGGCATCACTGTCGGCATCGTTCTGTCGGAGAGGGCCATAGGAGTTCATTTTCTGGCTTTTGCGTTTCACTAGTTTGGTTGGTTTTCTCCCCAGACCATCGATATAGGGCTTGTCCTGACCACTGACACCCCGGGGGACGGAGAGACCCGGGTTGCCTTCGAGTTCACCGTAGAAACGTCCCTTTTTCTCAGGACTGTCAATTTCAGGCACCGCGACTGGTGGGGTGGGGGAAAGGTTGGGAATGTCAGCTAGGATGTTGCGGCCGGTAGCGCTAATGTTGTCAAGAGGCTCGTTGGGCTGCGGTGTAGGTGGCTGCGGTGTAGGTGGATTCAGCCCTAGCGGATTGAACGGGAGAGAGTTATGATGGTCTTCTTCGTGGTCATCGTAGTCGTGGAAGATATTAATGCGATTCTCCCCAAGGTCTTGTTCGATCTGGTCATAAAGCCTGTTGTGTAGTGGGAAATCGTGAATGTCGTCGTCGTTTCCATAGTATTCATGCGCGGCAAGTGATTCATATTCCCCGTGAACATCCTCCGCGATCGGACCACCAACGCCCCATCCATATCGCTGGGCAGAACCGAGCCAGTCTCGACCGCCGCTGTTTGTAGAGGCAGGGGTTACGGTTCTATCGTACACAGAGGAGGGGTCACGACGAGCAAGATTTTCGTTCTGAGTCGCCTGGAACTCTTCGATAGGTGAAGGGGAACGCGATGGATACACAATCCAGTTGTCTGATTCGGGACTAACACACTGGGATCTGTCAGGGATCGAAGGCGAAGGTTCCCGTATCGGAGTATTGCGAGACATATTTGAAGGTGTTTGGATTTTGATATTTTCCATCTCCTGTACTGGCGTCTGAGGTAGGAAGTGGTCGGCCTGGAATAGATGGGCCGGTATCTCAGGCACGGGAGGCTCCTCATATGGTAGATAATCAGGGTTATGTGACCCTTGCGACTGTCTTTGTTCATTGAATTGATCTGAGTAACGCGCTGAACCGTCTACAGAGGACCTTTCTCGTGTGTGCATAAACGGCACGGCGCGAGGAGACCCAATCAACGGGTCAGAAGAAATGGCCGTATCCATTGTAGATTGGCTCAGATGCTTTTCAGCCATCTCGGATTTGTTTCGCTTGTGGGGACGAGCAGTGAGGTTATCCTCCAAGGGATTCAGATCTGGCGGCAGTTTGGTGATTTCACGGAACAGGACGGCTAAGAATATCGAAAGTCCAAGAGAAATCGCATGCAAGCCCCCGTTGGCGATGCTCAGAATGAAGGTAACTTTGGCGATCGGCTCGGTGATCTGGGCATTGTCGAAGAGCGTTTCCCAATGATAATAGTCGGTAGTGTATTGTTTGTAGGCTATGAATGCTGTAAAGACGTAGAAGGGAATGAGCCCTAGATCGAAAGTCGCAGCAAATACCATGTAGCTGGCTTGAGAGCCAGTTGGCCTACCGATGGGCGAGCGGGAAAGATGGTAAATGCCATAGAGGGTGTGGAGAATCGCAACGCAGGGCTAGGACTTTTAGTATCGACTCTCATACCGGAAATTAACTCCGACTTACTCCAACGCGAATAATCCAAACAATGGTCGCTGCGACGTTTTTGACAACAATTGCGCAGAAGAGAGACCCAAGAGCGCCTAGCAGCGCCAGCACTCGCAAAGCAAGCTGTCCCTTTCGTCCATGAAACACCCTACCCTTGGTCTTGGGGCTCATGGGGGTCCAACGAGTCTTGCCATTTTGGACAAGCGAGAACTTCATGATACAATTAGCATTAATGCCGATTCTTCAGAACAGCACACATACAGAATCCGGATGTTTGTTGAAATTGATAAACGGGCGCTTTGACTTGGGCTTGGGTGACTCTCGAGACTTGCTCGCTTGGGTCGCAGCTTTTGGATTGAAGGGACGGTCCGTTGGACCCGTGAAACTATAGGTGGATGGAGGGCCATAAAGGAACGGAGGTGACGATCTCCCCATGATCGCGGATGGAGGAAGCTTATCGAGGCATCCACGCGGGGAGGAAGAATGTCGCAATCAAGCAGTAATGACAGACGGGCAAGAATGCTGGGAAAGGATAGAGATTGGCAAATGAAGAAGAGCCACAAAGAACCGAACCATGGATGGAGGACGGATGGAGGAGTGGAATGGAATGGATGGAATGCGCCCTCGTGCGGGCGAGCGAGACATCACGATGTGTGCCTGGCGGATCAACAGGCGATAGTCGACACAGCAACGGAGGGTCACGTGGCGATAGCGGAACAACTAGCATCCGATGTGAATAGAAGCAGAAACAACTGACTCCCAGTTTACATTACTCCAGTTATCGTTACTCCATCACGAAATGCCTATGGACAAGGCACTTTCTGTTTACATCCATCGCTTGGAAAGCCCTTGGTAGTTTTGTTGGCATCTGAACGAGGTCATCCGACTCATGCTCCTCGTGGCATTCACTGAGCATTGTTGAATATTTCCATGAGATGATAAAGAAATGATATGAACTTGATCAAATGATGATTTTCTAATTTGGCCTAAGTTGACACTGTGGCTATATTTACAACTAGACATGCGTGCTAATTGTGATCCAATCATAACATTGAAAATCTCGCTATAGTAGACTAACTGGCCAATGACAAGCTGTTGTGGTAGATCTGATAAAGCCTCAAACAGCCTGGGAAGAAAGGAAGGCATCTCTACTATATATAGTCCAGTATATATATCAAGAATGATGATATCGAAGGAATAATGCTTGACCAACTGTTATTCTTTCTGTTCATTTAAATAATTAAAGAAATTCTACCTACAAAGTGCGTAGAGGTAGACATCAACAACTGACATCATGCTTATGTAATCATAACTAGTGCGGCCGAAACAGTCATCGACGATCGCCGACAAGCGGAGGAAACGAAACGTTCTTGATATCGAGCGATTGCCCACGTTCGACGATAGGCAGGGAATCGGAAACGATGAATCTTAAACGCACGCCCTACGTATGTGCCCAATGCACCGCGCAGATCGGCCGCCCGCCGCTGCGTCGTCCACATGGCCTGGTGTCGTCACGTTTCACTATGCAACGACGTTATAACAGCCAGACCACCGTTCAAACGGATCGACCTTTTCGTGTTGCCATTGTGGGATCGGGTCCGGCAGGTTTCTATGCGGCCTATCGATTGCTAGGGAAGTCGCAGGATGCGGTGGTGGATATGTATGAGAAATTGCCCGTGCCTTTTGGGTTGGCGAGGTATGGGGTCGCTCCAGATCATCCGGAAGTTAAGGTATGTTAGCGTTTATTGAGCGATATAATGGAGCATTTGCTGACTATTCAATGTAGAACTGCGAAGAAAAGTTCACAGAAGTTGCAGCATCTCCCCGTTTCAATTTCATCGGCAACGTCGAACTGGGCGAGACTCTTCCACTGCAAACGCTCAAGCCACACTACGATGCCATTCTATTCGCGTACGGAGCACCAAAGGACAAGGAACTGGGAATCCCTGGAGAAAAAGCTGTTCGGAATGTCTACTCGGCTCGGGAATTTGTGGGTTGGTATAATGGTCTCCCGGAGCATCGTGATCTGGCGCCTGATCTTACTGCGGGTGAGGACGCAGTGATTATTGGACAGGGGAATGTGGCTCTGGATGTTGCCAGAATTTTGCTGTCGGATATTAATACCCTGCGCAAAACTGACATTGCTGAGTATGCTGTGGAGGAATTGGTCAAGAGCAAGATCAAGCGAGTTCGGGTGGTGGGACGTCGAGGGCCAATGCAGGTGAGTTGGGTACCGATGTTAGATGACGATCCGCAATGCTGATCATTTATAGGCTGCATTTACTATTAAAGAACTTCGGGAATTGCTGCAACTTCCGGGCGTGTCATTCGACCAGGTCCCTCGGGAATTGCTACCCCCAGAAGATGTCATGGCATCGCTTCCGAGAGCCCAGAAGCGGTTGATACAATTGCTCGCAAAGGGTTCGACTAACGACCCCGCAAGTGCAAACAAGTCATGGTCGTTGGATTTCCTCCTTTCGCCCGAATGCTTGAACTGGTCCCCTGTCCATCCTTACCGCATGTCGCATGTGCGGTTCGCCCGCAATGAGCTTGATCCCGCAGACCCTTTCAGCCCCAGCGCAAAGGTTACGCCAAAGCATCTTTCGAGTGGCAAGCGAGCAGAGGTCGACGTTCCCGCCAACACGTTCTTCCGCAGTGTAGGGTACAAGTCGCACCCTCTGCCGGGCTTGGAAGATCTGGGCATCCAGTTTGATGACAGACGGGGAGTGATTCCCAATGACGGATTTGGCAGAGTAACAAGCCCGTCGAATACTGGCGATAACCAGCGGCTGCCTGATGGATCGCTCATTTCGCATCTGCCGGGACTTTACTGCGCTGGCTGGGTCAAACGTGGACCAACCGGAGTGATTGCAACTACTATGACTGATGCATTCAGCACCGCTGACACTGTGGCAGCAGACCTAGCCCAACAAAATAAGCCAACCTTGCTGAATGCAAAGGGCAGTTCCGGTCTTGGCTGGGAGGGAGTGCGTCCCGAGGCCGAGAAGCTCGGAGTACGAGCCACGAGCTGGAGTGATTGGCAGCGCATTGACTCTGTAGAACTGGAACGGGGGGCGCAGAAGGGCAAGAGCCGGGATAAGATTGGACGAGTGCAAGAGATGCTGGATGTTGTTTTGTAGACGTAGACTTAGACTTGTATATTAGAATAGAACATGGTCAATTCAGATTATGAGTAGCATTATCAATAAAACGTAAGGAGCGTATATGCATATATCCAGTATCCATCAACATTATCACCACCGTTCACCGACCACCGTCCATCATCCTGTCTTCAACTAAAACCCACACAACGCTTTATCAGCCTCCGAATAACTAACATCCACTCTCCCCAACTCAACCGCCCGTCCATCAGTCAACTTGTTCATTCCCTGTACCCCCAGGTTGAAACCACCCGGCGCCGCATCAACAGCAATAACATGCACCGTCTGCGAGCCGTACGTAACCGCATAACATTTCCCACAGTTGGGGCTATTCCAGCCCGCAACGGTAGGAGCACCCCCGATGAGCGGGAATCCCGGCAAATCGCCAAAGGTGGGATACTTGGAGACGAGGCCGTTGACGCCGTCGGAGCAGGAGACGGTATTGAGGGAGGTCGAGGCGTCGTCGAATTTGGTGTCGTAGGAGACGGTGGAGGTGTCTCTGGGCACGAGGAGGGGGGTGGCGAGGGTGGTGGTGAGGAGGGAGAGGATGGTGAGGAGTTGCATTTTGGTTGTTTATTATATATTAGATAGAGTAGATAGAGGAGTTTTTAGATTGATTGATTGATTGATTGATTGTGGTGAGAAGGATATCCAGACACTGGGCGATACAGACCCTTATATAGACCAGCTCCAGCAACCAAAGTAACATCAAATCAACCAAGTACTACATCGTATCCCAACCCAAAAATAACCCATCCAGCAAAGAGGAGGCCTAAAAGCAATCAATCCATCAGTCCACCACTCCATTTCCATCCGAAATAATCCATCATCCAACCACCGAGTCTGAAACCGGATCAATAAAATGCACGTTGGTATACAGCGCAACTGAGACATGATCCACGCGGGGATGCCATAATCCCCGCATCGCAATGTGTCCGACCGAGGCAGACCAGCACAGATGGTGGCAGCCGATGAGGAGATGGCTTTTTAGGCCTGAAATGACTTGAGACATACATGATTAGATAGATAAGTGGTGTCTTGGTGACGATCATGGCTGTGTTTGGAGGGGATATTATGATATAGACCGCTATAATATATTGTGGTGTTGCATGGATGGCTGCATTATGGATATGCAGGGTATTTATAGCCTGCATGGTGTGACTTATTCGTATCTAGGGCCCTTATTTGTATAAAGTACCATTCTTGTGTAACTGTCTCATTGAGTACTAATATTTTCGTTTAAATAACTCTTAGACAAGTGTATGACTCGCCACTAGCCTATCTCCACTATATTGTATCTTTTCATAGGACAATCTATCAGTCTATAAGGCATCAAGATAATTGACCGACGATAGCGGAATGGACCTTCAGGATCAAAAATAACGATATCATAGACCGTACTTACCCACGGACTTGTCCAGGTTGGCAGGCTCGAACAGCCAGACCAAGGCATGACGCCGTATACTTCCTTGGCCCTCAGCTGAGCATCGTAGCCCACATTCAACCTCACCACGTTGCCCTATAATGGCTTCAATGTGCTTGATGATTCCGAGGCCTCTTGCCCGTATCCTGTTACTTGGGCCAACGTATCTGTAGCAGATGATAGAAACGGAGAAGCTGGTCTTTGCAAAGCATCCTTCAGGTCTTCAAACCAACGAAACATCAAATGATGCAGATGCACCATCAATCTAGCAGCCGACGGATTCTTGACACTGAGGAATGTAGCTCTAGAGTCTGAACAACGGCCCGATTTCGCTAATCTAGCCATATTCAGGGCCATTCATCTTGTATGTTGTAACATCGTCGATGTCTTCAACATGATTGCCATCGATCACTTGAAGCTTCGCTCCCCAGAGGGCAATCACAGTAGCTGATATCTTTGGGGGCTCAACGCCATCAGAACTTGCTCAGTGGCAGAGATCAGCACTGGACAGCTTGCTTGGGAACGATAAGAGTTACCGCGAAAGGCTGGTTCAGATGGCGACGGACCAGTGCACCGTGGAGCGCGAGATGATCCAAGACATTTACCCGTGCACGCCGTTCCAAGAAAACACCATGGCCTTCACGATGAGGAAACAGTGCCTCTTCGTCGCGCGGGCGTATTATACCCTACCAATAGACGTGGGAATAGAGTCAGTTGAATCCGACGCAAAAGATGTTCCCCAGGTTCTATCAGAGGGACAGATGCGCGATATTCTAACTCGAGGCGGCTGTATTTTGGAGCAGGTTCTCCCTCAGCGAGGACAGTTATCCGACATCACGCAAGGTCAACAATGTATAGATAGAGTAATGATAATCGATTCGGCATTCTAGACACATGGCGTCGGAAGCAGAGTTAAGGTAATTAATTGGTCAAGTATTGCAGCGTAGCAGAAATTGCGTATCTTCGGGCCCTCATTGTATTTTGCGGGGGAGGCGGATGGTGCAGATTGTTCTGCATTCCATCGTCAGGGCGATGGATGGGGGGGGGAGGAATAGCATCATGTAATCGAAGGCAGCCTTGTCTTGTTAGTAGGTCATCTTTAGCTTCAAAGCGGCTGACTTTCACTTACCCCGCCATGCCCTTTTTCTTCGTCTTCCATCTTCAAACAACGCTGTAAACAACCAGTAAATTAGAAAATGACCTCCAACATCCCCGAAATAATCCTGCTCTGCCTGGTTCCATCTTCCACCACGGCCTTTAAAAATGCCCTCACCTCCCACTGCCCAACGCTGACCGACAAGATCAGCATCTCCCACTTCAACAAACCCCTCGACGAGCTCGATGAGCACATCAAATTCGACCTGGTGGTTTCCCCAGCCAACTCATATGGCCGCTTGGACGGCGCATTCGACCATGCCATTTCCGTCGCTTTCGCCCCGGAGGATGATTATCATGCTCTGACTCGGGCCGCTCAGGCTCATCTGTATGAGAAGTATCGTGGGTTCGCGCCTCCAGGCACTTGTACCCTCGTTCCATTCCCCGAGAAATTAAGGAAGAATCGCCGTGGATGCAAATGGGTGGCGATCTGCCCGACGATGAAGAAGCCCCAGTTGATTGTATGGGATCGCGAGGTGGTGTATGAGTGTGTGTGGAGTCTGCTATGCGCGGTGGAAGGATGGAATCGGACTGCTGGGAAGGGCGAGAAGATTGAGAGGATTTTGATGACGCCGTTGGGAACAGGGACGGGGTTTGTGAGTGAGGAAAGATGGGCGGGGCAGACGGTGTTGGCGATGAAACATTTTGTCGATGCGGTGGAAAGACCAGAGAGATGGAGTGCGATGGAGTGGAAGGATATTTCGGAGGATTGCGTGGAAGTTGGGACGACGTGGAGGGAGAAATAGAATATCTGCAATGATGACTGACGTGTGGATGAGTCGCTCTCAGCTCACGTTTAACCCTCTTCTCTTCCACTCCAGCCTCAAGATTAACAACTGCAAAATGGACTCCCCTGTCGACTATTGCTGCGTTTGCACTGCTATCCTCGACTACGAATTTGGAGCTGATCTGGCACTTGCTGAACGACCAGAATGGCACAGTCGAACGGTTTCTGCTCCTTGCAGCATCGAAACCTTTCGAAAATGGTATTTCAAGACGCCATGGCTGTGGGGTACCTTTGTTCGACTGAGTATCTCATTCTTCTACCATCTGATGATGAAATATCTAGCTGACTGGCTGACAGTTATCGACAACGCAACCCGAAAAGATATAAAAGTACAGCTTGAACCACGATTCCAGATCTCAGGAGTTTTCCAGGAAGGAAACTGGTCCTTGCCCGGTGAATATCGAGATATCGTCCCCAGAGACGCCGACATCGTCATGGTCGGCAATCCACTCACCAGAAACCGTAAGGAGATGATTCCTGTCTTCGGGGTGGGGGTTTTGTATCAAGACGTCTCATTCCAGGATTTTCCATATCAAAAACCGCATCTCTGGCCACTGGGATACAAAATCCACGAGCGATGCTGGGGATTGTCGTTGCGCGTTTTTGGTTCCGCCAATATGGAGCGACACTTGGATCTGTTCATCGAGGCAGTCAGACAAAGGTCCAGAGTGATCATGTCCAAACGACATCCTTGGGTGATGCTGAGGTCAGAAGGGAGGATATACGAAACTGCATATAAAGAACTTTTCGTTTTTGGCAAAGTCAATGAGATTAAGACTTTCGCTATCATCCGTTGAAATACATGGGGAAAGGGATCGTGGGTGCTTATTTTCGCCGAAGTTGTCGTCGTAAGGGGAGTGGTATTCCTCATGATCCAGTGAATATTGTCGAGCTGCGTGATCTCATATCTGAAGCTATTCAACGCCGGGGGAGTCAACGAGAGCAGAGAAGACCAAGGGTCATCATTCCAAGAATTGCTCTTCCAGTTGAAATTCAAATGGTCATCGTGAATGCTCTACATATAGCATCAGACATCCAGAACACTCTTGCGGCTTTCAATTGGCAATTGCCTGATACATACTGGCGCACACGGTTTCCAAAAGACATCATCTTCGAATATAAAGACTTGATGACTGTCAACTTGGATTGGAAATATCTCTATCTGGGCTTGGAAGGTCTGTTCAAAAGCTCACATGGACTAGGCCATCGAGTACGAACTCTGGACAATCTAAAGGAGATTCACAGCATTTTCTTACGCCTCTTGGAGAGACGAAATGATCAAGAACAGTTGCACTGAGCATGAACTGGCCAATATACGCTTCATCCAATCAAAAGACTTGGAACTAATATCGTCTAGGCGTCAATCACCTCATTTAACTACAATGTAGCTGCACATCATTCCCAACGTCGACACGACATCCGATCAACATCAACCCACCCACCCCAGAGTCAAAGCAAATTAACAAAAAGCCAGAAACAGACTCAGCGACATGATCGACCCGGCAAATGGCATGCTCGACTTTCTCCGTATTATGGTATACATGCATACACCTCGCTCTTCTATCTCAATCGGGTATGTCCACCGTGTCATACAAACTCAATAATCCGTATCCGATCCGAACATTTTGGAGACAAATGATAAAGTTAAATTTAAACTATTGGACTCGCTGAATCGGTTTTTATTTATTTGTTGGGGTAGTTTACTCGCATACTCTGTGCGGGAACAGTAAGGGGGGATACCTATGGATTAACACTACGAATCAGCAACTACGTCATGTATATCTAGCTGAAGATCTTTAATGATCATAATTAAACAGTAACGGCATTAATACAACCGCATATAACTAGTCATCTCTAGATACTAAATAGACTGTCTGATTGATACTAAGCACCGATGCCAAGTAGTAACAATACCAAATCAGGAAGGTCCAGATCGAATCCCCCATCCCTTCCTAATACAGCCTAGCGCTTGCCTCACGTTCTCCCCGGACCACATGCAAACACATGCTTTACCCCTTTTAGAAACAGACCCATCCACAGAACTCTAACATGTAAACAGGCACGTGATGCGCAAAACACGCAATGATCTTCGTCGAAGGAATTCCTACTAGTTGATATACTTTGTTATTTCTTTTTGCTTTTTTTTTTTTTTCTTCTTCTTCGCTGGATATCTTGGCTTTGATACTAATTTATACGCAATATGATCTATCTACTATTTTATTCTCCGGATACGAGGCTACATTCTCTGCAGTAGTTGTTAACCCCATCTACATACTAAAACAAGTGCAGTGGACCCTACCAAGCTTTGTATGGGTAACTTCCCGTAAATCCCAACTCTGGGCACACGGAATGGAAAAGCTTGGATCCAACTTCGGATGTCCCGATCCAGCGAGTCTTCTGGTTCAGGTTCAGGAACTGGGGCTCGATCTATTGGCCACGGGCCACCCGCTGTCCATGACGAGTCGTCGTCTCGTGCGAGAACCGACTGATCCATTCCAATGGTTCGGTAACCCTTTTTGTCACTACCGATGGAAGCTGATGTAGCTGAGCTTTTGAAGAAGGAAAGAGTTGTGTGTGGTATTATTAAGAAAATTCTAGCTGCCCAAGCCGTGGTATTGCGCACCATCTTCATGATGACCATCAAGTATGTCGTTAAGTGTCAAAATGTCACAAGAGAAAAAAAAAAAAAAAAAAAGAGAGAGAGAAAAGAATGTACTGTATGTCCCAAAAGATTGAAATCAAAACCCATCACTTTCCCGCATCCACATCATTAGAATTATTATGTAGTTCTTTTTAACCACTGTGTCGGTCCGTATGATGGAATTCGCCTTCCGCTTCTTCCACCGGCTCGTGCGTGATCTCAATGGTCGTTTCTTGGTACACGCCGCGGGCCAGGTCACCCATTTCCATATCGCCCTTCCGCACAATGTCTTCGGTGGAGTCGTCTCGGTTGTCGTTGGCTGTTTCGTTCACGCTCTGTAGCCCTCGGCGGAACCGAGATCCGACCCGGAATTTCTTGCCGTCTCGTCCGGCTGTGCTAATGTGTGTTTGGTATGCGTTCGAGTTCGAGTAGGCATATTGTTTGTCCGAAGTACTGAGCTCGGTTTCAAGCAGCAAGTGTCGGCGTGTCAAGGTGTACACGGTCACATCAACCAGTCCAGACAGGGCCATCAACGATCCTGCAACAGCAAAGTACGTTCGACTTGGAACAATACTTCTTGCGGTAGACATACGACCGGCGGCTAGTGGAAGAGACAAAACCAGGTATGCAAGCGGGTAGATAACCATGTAAATGACAACGCGGTTCAGTCGGTTCAGGTTCTCTTTGTGGTGTTGCCGGAGCATCGCAGCCTGCGACATACGTCGGCGCAGATAGAAGAACATAATACCATAGATGACGACAGTTCCGAATTCCGCAAGGAAAATCCAAATATAATGAACCCAAAGACGTTCAGTCTCGTGTGCCTCACTGATCCAGCACTAAAATATAAAGTCAGCGTGTTTGATCTTTCCCATTTAAACTACCATGATCGAGACTCACCCAGCCTGCTTCGGAGATGACAAAGGTTTTGGAGGCAAACATTCCGACAGGAATCAGACCCAGAATAATGATGAATACCCATAGCCCAACAACACACCCGACAAATGGTTTGAATGGAAGCTGCCGTCCTCTGAAAACAACCGCACAAGTATGCATCGCAATTGCCAACACGAATAATCCACTGCCGGGATCCCCAACCTGAATCCACCAACCTTGCAGAACGCAAGCTGCACTTGGATAGTTGACACTGCCCCGTTGAAGCCAATGCAGACATATTAAGAACGCCGTTGCTTGTTGAAGATCGATTAAAAGAAGGTTGTAAATGAGAACGACATATTGATTCTCAGCGAGAGGTCGTTTGTAAAAGCGTTGCCAGAAAACCATTCGGTATGTAAGGAAAGACAAGAGGCCCAATGTGGCGACCCAAGAGAAAGCAGCAATTACACCCATGGCCGCGAATTCGGATTTGTTACTGCCCGTGAGGGGCGTACCTGCCGAGGATACTGAGGCTGGATCATCACGAGTGGCGAGGTGCATGTCGCGAGCATGGTCGCTGAACAGCAAAGGGAGCGCTCGTATAAGGGAAGTCATATCTCATCGCTTTGGGACCGGGATCATTTGCAAAAGAATGGACTAGGATTCGAAAACGAGCGAAGGGCCGAAGGTACAAAGAGGGGAGGGCCTAGGTGGATATTTAAATGGTCAGGGCCAATCTCCCTGAGTCAGTTGTCAACTCAATCGTAAAAATGCTAGGACCAAGGTCGCCTTGGCTCGAACTAATATTCCCAGCAAAAGCTTTTTTTTTTCTTGTTTCCCTATCAGGCTTGGTTTATGAAAAGGAGGGGGGGGCGCCTATTTTTTTCCCTTGGGTTTGGGAGCATACCATGGCTCAAAAATTTCCTGGGAGTGTTGGGGCCATAGTGTATTGCTTAAGAGGACATAGTCTGCACTATTTGCTGAGATCCACTGTCGGAACAGTATGATTCAAGACTCAAGAGGGGTTTCAGGGCACCGCGGAGTGACGGAATCCTTCGACCGGCTTGCTGGCTGGCGAGACGGGTGATGCCTCCAACTGCATTATGAACACTGCCGATCCATGCATTGTCTGGGTTAAAATGATTAGTATAACAATGTGGGTTATTGGCACCTCGAGTCAATGGCCACACACCTCGCAAACGATGAGGGTGTGGAACCGGGCCACTGCCGGTTCCAAACCAGTCATTGATGTGGTAGGTGTGGATAGGCCCTGCCAGGCTGTTCGCACCGGGGTGAACTCTTTTCTTTGGAGCACGATGTGACGATATCAATGGCGCAAACAATTCTCGATCTGCACCGCTATGTGATATGCAGCGGATCATTGGCCACATGTTATGCATATTAGCGCAGGATTCAGCAGGAAATATGTCCTCATACGGAAATCACCCGTTGGGTTACTTGGGATTTGCCACGACGCCACCAACAACAAGAATCAGTTCAGGGGCCTGGTTTGACACGGATCAATTAAGCTAGCCGCTTAGATCAACTAGAAGAGACTAGAAGTCATGATAGCTACCCCGAAAAATAGGTTGCATCTCCATGTGTTGTGTTGGAGACTCAAATCCAGCCAGCTGGCTCAGCCGCTCAGGGTGAAAGCGGATCGTCCGTGTCTCGCTCGGATTTCCCCCTTTGGACAGCAATTGAGGCTGGGGCGTCATATCCGTCGTGGAGAAGAGATTCCAGAATGATTCGATGATCAGTATCTACTGTATGATGAACCATCTAATTGTTAATATACCTGATGAAAGGAGAATAATGGGTGAGGGATGTTGATGTTGGTGGTGATGCCACGCAAGAGAAGAAAAAGACTGCCTGAAAAGCCTTAGGCAGGAAAACTTATTTGGCATCCTCAATTCCTCGCCAGACAGTCTTAACCATCACCATCTCTTCTTATCGTTCTTCGTTTCCTGTCGCGACATTAAACTTCTTCATCTGGATTTCATTATTAGAATCTGCAACACTATTCTGCATTTCATCCAATCCCTTCTCCCAAGTGAGGCCCCCGAAACTTCTTTTTCGAGACGTTTTCCTGCTTGTTAACCGTTCAGACTATCGTTACGCCATGGCATAGCGTTGCTCCAACCCGGAAATCCGAGGAGCAATCCTAACGATATCCCCCGATAATCAGATTATCAACTTCCCAGCAGTTCAGCTCTTCTAAACTCAAACTAATGCACCATGATCGATTCTCCGTTCTCCGCTCTCCGTCCCCTATGCATACAAACCCAATCAACCCACCCTTTGGCGGGTATATAGTGTACGATCTTCAGGGGGATACGGCTTTGAACTAAACCTGAGCCTCTCTTCTACTACATATGGAGTTTGACTTCCACCAGCGTGCTGCGGATTCGGATCACGGCGTCTAGCCCTAGTTAAATCGTGGCGATGTCGGATGTTTTCACATTCATCTTGAACAATTTGATTCTCGCCGAGGTTATCGCTCCAGTGGATGGTCTATTGAATTCTCCTGATCGACCGGACATGGCACGATGTCTTGAACACCACTCCTGATTCCAGATACCTGGAATGGGTTTATTATTGTTTATTGATGGCCGATACTCGACAATTGAACTTGATGGAGCATCTGGTTAACCACTGGTCGTAATATAAGTGTACCAACCGCTGCAATAGACATGACAGGTTAAAATTGAGGTCGAACCAACAACACCCTTCTTTTGGTACAGAGCAGCAAGATGACATTGATTTGAATTTTCACGCAGTTAATAATTCCGAGTCGCTGGGAAAACGATATTTACCGAGAGGCATTTGGCCTTGACTGGCGTTCCAAAGTTGAGGATTCACGGAACCCGAACTTGGACCATGGGATGGCGCGATACTTATGGACGCGATGGTGGAACCCATCCGATCCCCGCGGCTTACTCCGCCAGTGGATCGAGGGGCTAATTGGCAAGGTGGGTGATGCTATTGCTTAGCATCTGCACTAGTTGCAGCTTGGACTTTGGGGTCGTGAGATTTGAAATCTGATTTTCGTCTTCGACATGGAATATGAATCAAGGATCGCTACCGTCGCCGTGCATCCAGCCTCCTATCCAATCCGAAGCAATTCAATGACGACTTGAACCCAAAGCAATTAGTTGCATGTCTGTTTACATGCGCAGGCTTTACTGTCACGTTTGAGCGTCTGTAAACTGGACAATATGAAAACCTTGATCAGCAGAGCGTTGAGCGGGACTATTAATTACAATGCAATGCATTATCAGGATCAGCAGAAGAAGCTTTCTTGGATTCGCCATGGCTTGTGATCGTGCTATTTATACCGAGCTTGGCGATGTATGAAAGCACCATCGGGCCATACCAAGCCTCATCGCTGCGAAAATCGGAGATGCCAAGCTCTACGTCGGGCGACAATTTGATTGAATTGAAAATATTTCCGTTCTGGCTCTTTGCTCTCCAGACCATGACGCAGGTGAGACATTGGTCTGAGAGCTCAAATAAATAATGACTGATCAGTCAATTTCCGAGAACCACATTGATATCCATGAAATCGCTGAGATGCACTGGCCAATAGCCATGGATCAACCAGGGATTCAATGATCTAGGCCTGCTGGGAGTCAAGCCTAATGGATATACCCCGACAAATTCTCCTGCTCAACAGAATCCCTTGAAGCTGCAGCATGGAGTGCATCAACTCACCTGTGCAACATGAGTTGGAATTTCGAACGGATTCTATAGATGCAAGTACTTTCATTCTGGCTGCACCAGACTAAAATGCATCGGAAATGGCACTCTGATACACCTGTTGGCTCAGTTCATTCCTTTCAAACAAGCGCGTGCGACTTCTAGAAGGAGAAGAAACCAAGTCCACAGCCTCTTGGACTGGCTTTCTGTCTCCAGTCTCTAGACAGCATGAGACCTGGTCCAGTACCAGCCTTTATTTCTACAAGTCGCTGAGCGACCTGAAAATGGCCAACAGTGTAAATCCAAACAGTTCCGGGTGCAACTCTGCTAGTGAGAACACACGAGATGCACACGTCTCGGAGGAAAAGGCTGTTTTATCTTATTTCAAGACAGATGAATTGGGGGCTTGGGTATACTGACGCGGTTTGTGTGAGGTGCCAGGAATGCGATATCTAAGGCTGAAACGCTCCGAAGAGGGTTGGAACTTGGATTCAGTCAGCATGACTGACTACACTCTGTGTATTACTCTTGGAAGGATTTAAGGGTCTAATGCAATATTATTGTCGCACATGCGCATCGTTCAACTCACCAGTTACAGTCAGGTGCTGATTTATCTAGCCACTTCATATCTGAGCTGCATCTGGGTGGGCACTCAGCAAGATTACCGGTCAGCCTCACCATTGTGGAACAACACAGAGTGCCTTATCGCTTCGCTGGCGGACCATTATTCATCATGCAAGGATCTGGGCGCGTAGATTAAATCCAGCGGTCTTGATATATCCTCCGCGATCTTCTTCTTTTCTCTCAACAGTGTCAACACCAAATTACCGACGCAAACATGATCGGGCGAGATCCTCCCACACACGAAACTACACCGCTGTTATCTATTCATCAACACTCACAGACAACAACCCCACCATCAAGACATGGAGCAAATAAATACCTGGTTTTATTCATTATCGCATTCCTCGGTCTTGCAGCCGACTTGAACGCATATATAAGTGCAGCTCCCCAAACCGAAATCTTCGAAACCATCATCTGTCGCAATCTCTTCCCCGATTCCAATGACCTTTGCAAATCCGAGCCAGTTCAGTCTGAACTGGCCTTGGTCATCGGCTGGAAAGATACTTTTGATTTAGTCCCAGGTCTTCTTCTGTCTCTCCCTTACGGTGCGCTTGCAGATCGATACGGCCGCAAACCGGTCCTTCTCTTGGGGGTATTGGGCTACTTGCTAGCCGATGTTTGGGTAAAGATTGTTTGTAAGTTAGAAGTTCCTAATCATGCAACTTTCAGCTGATTGTAAGGCTACTATTCAAATGTACTCCCCCTGCGACTTATTTGGTTTTCTGGGCTTTGGAAATTCATTGGTGGAGGTGAAAGAGTGGTTGCTGCCACGGCTTTTGTGATGTTGTCAGACCTCTACTCAGCCACAGAAAGGTTACCATAAATCTATTCTACGATGAATGCTTGCTAACAATGCCAGAACCAACGCGCTTCTAAGTATGGTTGGGGCGACTATTCTGTCAGAAGTAGTCGGTTCACCGATCAGTGCGATTTTAATGCAGTACGGTCCATGGTTTCCGTATGCTATCGGACTAGGATTTGCGCTCTGCGGTGCTAGCAGTTCGTTGCTGCTGCCAGAAACCTTGAACGCGAATAAAGCTGCAATTTCCGAACCGGTCAGCGATGATGAGGGGACCTTAAATGTCTCTATGAAGAGATCGGTGATCGGGAAAGCCGTCCAAAAGATCAAGAAATTCATAAGCTCGGCTGACTTCATTTGGAAAAGCTCACCTGTCACGCTATGTCTGTTCGCGTTGCTCGTCAGCACCATCAGCAAACAGTCTTCCAATTTGCTCATCCAGTACGCATCCAAGAAATTTGATTGGAGCATCCCAAAGGTCAGTTATGTCTGCCCCATTTTATCCTTGCTGGCCAACTGATTCTCCCAGGCGGGTCTTTTGATTTCAATCCGTGGCTGTGTCACCCTAGGAAGCTTTTTCGTCCTCATGCCTCTTCTATCCTACTTCGTGGCCGTAAATATGTCCCATCAAAGACCATCACAATGGAAGGACCTTGTCCTGTCCCAGGGCACCAGTGCACTCTCGGTTATTGGATATGTGATTATGGCTGCTGGTGCTGTACCGGCAGTGCTGATTACTGGACTCTCGGTCTCCTCGCTGGGTTCTACCTCGGCCGTCACTTTCCGCAGTGTAGCCACCGCATTGGTGACCCCAGAGCACTTTGGGACTCTGCATGCAGCTGCTGGAATCTCAGAATGTGTTGGAGGGCTCGTTGCCGGGCCCTTGTTGGCGTACAGCTATAGTTTCGGGCTGCATATGGGCGGGGCCTGGCTCGGTCTGCCATTTTTGGTTGCTGCTTTTGTTTATGGACTGGCTCTGGTGGCAATTTCTTGTGTTCGATTACCAGAGGAGTCGACTGACGATGGGGACTCTATGTTGTATATGGATCCTGCGGACTCCATATGAATAGTTATGGTTGCTTTGGACTTTTGATATGTGGACACGACTTGAATGAATTCTTCCTAGAATTCCTATCCAGCAGGGGCACTGTCTTGATTATAGAGTACTTTGATTGATGTGGTTCAGCGAGAGCAAACCCCTTATAGACGCCTTGGACCATGTGAGAATGTTGCCAGTTCGATCTTTCCAAAGATCTCCCACCGGATGCTACCACAGCCATATAGCCAGGGAAGGGAAGCTTCCCCAGTACAGCAAGTATTTGGCTCAGGGCTATCATCGAGCGTTGCTAGACCAGAAATACGTTCCAAAATGCAAGTCACCTTGCCCAGGCGTTGGATGCTGGCGATCTTGAGACAGACGATGATTGATTTAAAGGACTACTCATCCATACAACAGACAGCGAGCCATGATAACAATGCCACAGCAACCCTCCTTCTCAGATACTCTGTCCTCAGGTCTCTAAAGTTCATCGATATTTCCATGCAGCCATGCAAATACCGTCTGGATGGTCTCCATTCTGCGATTCTTCGATTTCCTTCATGTTGGTTCCCAATCCACGTTCCTATCTATCATTGAGCTGTAAATTGGCCAATTCAATCGTCCTGGTTCTCCAAGAATCTGGCCAGGACTTCGACGACCCTGGCCTCCCAGCGCTCTTGTTTCTGGACTTCTTGGGTCAAGTTCTCCAGACAGGATGTCGGCCTGGAGGGCATTTAACTCCTACTAGGCTCTGGTCAGCCAGTCATGTCTGTATACCGAGGATATGTAGACTTACTGCCTCTCGAGCCAAAGGCCGAGCCCCCTTCACCCGTTATATCTGGTTTGTATTGTGCTTGGAAATACAGTCACTCTTCCAGTTAATTACAGATTGTCACCAATTCCGTCCGGTATTTCACCAGGATATTTCCCCTCGATCCAACCAATATCGAAGTCATTTTGCTCAAGAAGTTCCTTATCCTTGACTCGTCCCTCAGCAATCATCTGTTCACCTGGGTCGTCGGCGCAGGCGAATGACACAACCAGCACAGGTTCCCGCCAAAACATCACGCGCAACATCAGAATTTGGCGCATTGGCGCAGGAGCAGGCACAGCGGACACGGAGGGGCAATAGGAGGGAAAACGACGACTACCTCTAACAGTGCCAAACCGGGTTAGCCCACGCTGTTTTGCATACTCCTTGAGTCGCTTCTGGACTTCAGATTGAAGCTTTTGAATCATAGGAAGTACGTCCTTGTCGATATGACATGGTATATCAACCACTTTGTGCAGAGGAAGGATGATCATTTGTTTCCCAAACCATTTGCCGTCAGTCGTTCGCCGCATATATCCCAGGCTGTAGCTTTCTTGCCCGTGTAACGCTGGGTCCCTTCCTTCGTTGTACCACCCTCACGAGGATTCTGAGAGTCCAATGACATCTTGGCTTGTGCTAGCATGTTACTGTCCCCGAATGTGATCCGGCACGATCTCCATTTCGTGCAATCGTCATGCAAATATTTCGGACAGTCCCTGCCCTGGGCCGTGTCGAGTCTGTATAAGTTAGTCAATTCATCATAGAAAGACAGGCCTTTTTTACTCACCATGATGGTCGCCTTTAAGAAGATAGCACTAACCAGAGAACTGTCTTCAGCTACATTAATGGCGATTGAAAGACAGTCGACCCTGCAACTCTCTGGCTGGTCTCCCAGTCATGGTATTCATTGTCACGCTCATTGCGATGGTAGGTTTTGCAGGGGCCACCCTTTATATCGCGAAGCGAAAGGCACTCTCGCTGGATGTCGTCGACCTTCCTCCCCAGTATGTATGTATTCCAAAGTGTTCTGGAATAGTTATCTAGAGTTGGCACCATGATGGATGCCTAGCTTCTTGACAGTAGCAGCAGTATATAAGCCGATGTATACACTTGAAGATGATCCATTAAATTGGAAATGGTGGAAAAGAGTATATATAAGAAGGTTGATGGGCTACGTTGGAAATGGGAGATGCAGTATTTATATCTTCATATCCCAGGCTGCATTCATTGCAGAGATAAGACGCTTTCACTATCGTAGGCAACATGCATATGTATGTTTGCATATCCAAAGAGATTTGATTGAATGATTCATTGATTGTCGATAGATCGAATGCAAATATTCATTGACGCCTGTTTGATGCCAAGCGGGCATAGCCCAGTTCGAACAAAACATATAAGAGGCATTAGATAGAAGAAAGAAAAGAAGCCCATGCAGAATCAATCATAAACACCATCATCTAAGTCCCAGGGTAAACAGGTGGTGGAGTGGGACGTTTCCTATGCAACCTCAACTTTTCCGCCGCGCGAGGAAGAAGACGCTCCTGGGTCCTCTCATCCACTTGTTTCTGGAGCTTTTCATGTTCATCAAGGCCCTTGCCATTTTCCAAATCCTCGCGCGCTGCCTTGTCATGATCAACTCCTGCCTCGCGCTCGTTTTGAATCCGCTCTTCCTCCCGTTTCCGATCCAGGGCTTCCAGAGCAGCCTCCTGCCGAGTCATTTCCTGAGAATCAATGCTTTCCAAACCAACTTCGTTGAGAATTCTTCCAATCAAGTGCTGGTAGCGCAAGTGTCCACTGATCATCTCACTCATGTCGAGGTTCTCAACCCCCGGTAGACCCTCCACGGCCTGTAGTCCGGCGACACCTAGCTGGAGACTGCTGGTTCGATACAACAAAGCAAGCACTGAATCATTCGACGAGAAAACATTGACAACTCGTCCACTCACAACGCTGCGCATGCGGCGCCAATGCTCGGTGTTCGATGGTGTCGGTGATCCCATGAAAATCGCAGATTCCACCAGACCGTATGCGCGTCTCTTGGCCAGGCTCTGAAGGCAAGAGAAAATGACTCGAGACCCCAAGGAATATCCAACCAAAGTCACAGATCGCTCTCCTTGTACCTTGTTGATTAACGCATCAGCGAGGACCTCTCCAGCCTTATCAGCTCGTGCTTTAGCTACACTGAAAGGATTATCGGCGACGCTAGCGACTTTGAGAATACCGAGAGGAAGGACAACAGCGCTCATGAGCTGTGCAAACATGGTTCTCGCCAGAGTAGAGCTTGCAACTGACCATGCAGCACTGGTCACCAAGGCATTGATGGCATTACCCAGGTTCAATAATGACACCAATTCCCAGCGAAGGCCAAATACCTCAGAGTCGGCGCCAATGACACGCCATGGAATGACAAAGTTCTCTTCTTCAGTTATCCAACCACTGATACCGATAGTCACTCGTAGCCGGTGGTCTTCACGAGCAGCTTCTCTCTCATCCTCCGACCTGTTCCGAGAACCACGGATAGGGATAAATGCAAAGTCTTCCACTTCGCGAGCGTACTTGTGCATCATCTTTCCGGTCATGCGGCCACCGTAGGCTCCAAAAAGACCCCCAACAATAACACCACTACCAGCAAGGGCTCCTAGGTATCCTGCAGCTGCCGTGGCACCAAGTCCAAGGCCTCCCATAACAGTTCCGAGCCCCGCCGCAACCAATGGCGCAGCAAGTCCACCTGTGAGCCCGATGATAGCAGCACCAGCTACGGAAGCTATTCCGACCTTCCATTTTTTACTCGAGTCGCTCTTTTTGACTTGGTCCTTTGCTTCCGGATTCGATGAGAGCTGGAGGGCCGTATCAAGCAACCCCCGCGCAACTTTGACCTCATCATCATTCAGGATGTTTATGTCCAATTTCAAACTAGACACAACATACATCATAAGAACTCGGGAATACGCATTGTAATGTTCGAGACTCAGCAGTAGCAGCAGTAGTGAATGTAGAATAAGAAGTTTGGTGGCTTTAGGGAGTTGAACAAGAGCGGTTTCCACGGGTGGATATATTTCATGTAATTTTTTTAAGGAGTTCTCGTCCTCATTCAAGGGCAACTCCTTTGATTCGAGTTCAGCCTGGATGGTGCCATTCTGCTGACCCTCGTTTTCGCCATCTCTATTAACAACCTCGCCGATCCGGAGAAGGACAGTATCTCTCCAGTCATCGAAGCATGAAAGTGTACTGGCTGCAGCTTTTTCGTATTGGGCCTTTGAGGCCGTTTCCTGTGGCTTCTGGTTGTCCGCTGGAGCTGGAGCTGGAGCTGTTTCTTTTGGGGTATCTGTAGGTGGAGATGAGAGACTAGCAGCTCCGCCATCTTTCTCCGGCGCTGGTTGGTCAGTTGGGGGATTGTCGTTCTTCTCAGCTGCCGTGCTTTGGAAATTCTGCACAATTGAATCCCGCATATGTTGGGTGATCTCAGCAACGAGCACCGTCAGGTCTCCGCGTTGAGACCGGTCCATGATCGTGGTCAGATCTTGTCCATGGTCGTTTGGCGGCGGATCGGGCGCATCGGATGGCCCTGGGCCAAACATGCGGTCCCGTTGCTCTTTTAGAGACTTAAACATGGATGAGCGAGAAATTGACACCTGTACAATATGGATAATGGAGAAGAAAGGGCCAGATATCAGGCGTCGATGGAGTGTTGGTAGAATGTTTACTGAGTCAAGGGAAAAGACAAGGCTCTGAGCAGGGGTGATGAGGTCATTGGATGACTCAGCCGCCCAGAAATCTAGGCGGTCATATTATTGATATCACAAGCTGGCCAGGGAGAATTGGAGACGATACAAGCATTAACGGGACTTGATTTGGCTCGAAGAATGGGGGCATTGCTTGGATGTGGATCAATTGCCCGTCTCGACGACGAAGAATTTCCCCTTGGTCTTGGATGTGTGTCCAAGAGCATTGCCATCCCATGCAGTCCCATCCGGACGGTCATTTTTCTGTGTTTGGATACGCTGTATCCTCTTATTGCGCCCGACAACCCTTTCCTTAGACATGGCCTCCTGAAGTTGTTCTAATCCAATTGTGCTCTCTTTCACTCCCTCCGGTGTCTCATCCCGTATGCTTCGAAGAGGCTCAACGCCCGTAACATCGACACGCTGGATTTCTTTCACAAAGTGGATTTGGGACTCGAGGGTCCTGATCATTGAGGATTCTTCTTCTTTACTCTTAGGCTGCGGTAGGGCTGACAGACGAAGAAGATGGTGAAGCTGTTTCGAGGTGACTGACGGCGAGGAAGCTTTTGCCGCTTCGTCGGGGAGCAAAGCTCTGACGGACCAACTTGGTTTCGCGAGGATGGATTCTATATCCACATTTTCGGATTTGGAGGAAGAGTAAGATCGAACTGGGCTGGCATTGAATTGTCGCAAGTTTCCAAGATATACCGACCTGGAGAGTCGCGAACCGGTGCGTAGCCAAACCATTGTGACTTGTGTCGTAGATTAGGGTATATCGACAGGCAAGTAAAATAAGACAATAATATCGGATTCAAGAGCAAGATACAACAGAAATAGCAACCTGTTTCGAGAGAAAGAGACAATGATGACACTGTCGACTGTCGGGCGGGTTTTTCTCTGCGCGGAAGACGCAGCGGTGCTTTACCGCCCTGGAATGCGGGCTTCTCTTTAGCAGAGCATCAGAACCATTTGGCCACTAACTCACTGCCAGCTATCCCAGCACACCACATTTCTCCTTGTTTTCTCTATAGACACCTGGATCTGAGTGGCATTTTTCATATATCATCTGTTTCGACGTCCTTCCTTCAATATGGCCCAAGACCCCCGTGTTCTGCTGCAGAAAGTCAGTCATGCACCTCCCCCACTCTGCCTATCCAACTACAAACATGACGATATGACGATCGCTGACCTTCCATCCGCTCATTTTAGGCAGATAAAGCTCTTCAAGGCGCCTCCAGTGGCTTCAGTTTCTTCGGTGGACGAACAGAAAAATTTGAAAATGCAGCAGACTTGTATTCCCAGGCTGCGAATGCTTTTCGAGTGCAGAAGCTGAGTAGGCGCAGCACCCCCCACTGCAGTTTTCATGGCCAAGTTTGGTTGACATTTATTTCGGAGCTTAGACAAGGAAGCCGGTTTGGCATTTGAGAAATCCGCTTCGATTCAGAGCCAGAATCTTAATGAACCTGATGATGCCGCCAATACGTTGACCGAGGCTTTCAAGGTCTATCGCAAATCTGACCCGGAGGATGCTGCCCGAGTTCTTGACAGTGCTATCCAACATTACGTATTAAAGGGAAACTTGCGCCGAGCCGCCACACAGCAGCAACACTTGGCAGAGGTATATGAGGTGGAACTGGGTGATATGAAGAAGGCTCTTGCCGCGTACGAAAAGGCCGCCGAGTGGTTTGAGGGTGACAATGCTGAAGCGTATGACCCATCTTTCATTTCGTATTGGCCTATACTCGTACTAATCGTTATCGGCATCAAACAGAATTGCCAACAAGCATTATCTCAAGGTGGCTGACTTGGCTGCCCTTGAAGCCGATTACTACAAGGCCATCGAGGTTTACGAGCGGGTCGGACGGTCGTCTATCAACAATAACCTAATGAAGTGGTCTGTCAAAGACTATTTCTTGAAAGCTGGTATCTGCCATCTTGCTACAAATGTATGCACACCACGATGAAGAGACCTTTGCTCCATTCGTAACTAACTCTGCTTTCTCTTTCAGGATCTGGTGGGAGCTAACCGCGCCCTTGAGAGCTACGGCGATGTCGATCCTACTTTCGCTTCTACTAGGGAATGCCAGCTGCTTACGGACCTGCTTCAGACTATCGAACAGGGTGACCAAGAAGCATTTGCCGACAGGCTCTTCCAGTATGACCAGCTCAGCAAGTTGGACAAGTGGAAGACCACTATCCTACTGCGGGTCAAGAACAATATCGAGGAGGAAGGAGAAGACTTCTCGTAGATTCCATGAGCATTTGTTTTGTTTTGTTTTCCTCCTCGAATGAAGAAGAGATGATGATGTCACTTGTTTTTTGGACTAGCCGAGAGTTATGTTACATGTTACGTTGCCATTATGATTATCCCAACTATATCATGCGTTGCTTGACAACCAGCTGCTGAGTTGAATGGATCCGGTCGTTTTGTTCATAGTTTTCTTTTGCTGATGATTAGATCTTACCGAGGTCAAATATATAACAGAATTTGTCCTAAGAGAGTAGAAAATCGTAACTCATTAAACCTAGCCTAGTACTTTGTGTCTATGTATATAATCTCGAAATGCTTTTTGAAATATCATCAAGAGAGCCATATGAATTCGTCAATTCATCAAAGTGACTCTGTGGTATCATATCATCCTCCAAACCTTATGCCAAATAAAGTACCCCCTGTATATTCACAAAGAAGCAAAGATACCTCATCATCTCCCAACTTAAGCGGAAACATCTTCCAAAGCCCGAGATTTCCTGGGGAAGACTCTCTTGTACAGACTGAGTCCAATCGAGTCCTGCGGGTTGATCTTGGCATCGAAGGTAGCCTTGAAGTACCCGTGAGTACCGAGACTCTCCTTGATGAATCCGCTGCGGCCTCTCCTGGTCCACAGCTGGATGGCCTTGAACCAGTTGATGTCCTCGGCATTGAAGAACATGTACCGGACGGTAACGACCTTCTTGTGGATCTTGTACGGGTGACCGGTGAGAATGGCACGCTTGGCAACGACACGCGCCTGGTCGGGGGCAACGACGGTGCCTGTTCCAATGAGCTCGAGGTTGTCGGTCTGTGGTTGGTTCTCGTCGTCGTCTGCGAGCACTTCGGGGTCCTTGGTGGGCATGTTCTTGAAAACAAGGACCGGGACGGCGCCCCATGTGAGAGGGCCGATCCAGCTTGCGATGGCGCTGCGGCCGGGGTGCAGGTATCGGTCGTATTTGTGCACGTTGTTGGGGGTGTTGCCTCCGTCGGAGAAGATGGGGTTGACAATCAGGCGGCGTGGTCCGCATTGGACAACGAGCTCTTCCTTGGCCTTGAGGGGCTCCTCGATGTCGGAGTTCAACACCATGTTGACGTTGACCACGGTGTGCTTGTGTTCATGGCGAAGCAGGGAGAAGAGCGACGCGGGCTGGGGACGGTTGCGGAGGGCAGATGGCACCGCGCGGAGGTGAACGTTCACACGGGTTCCGGGAGTGACACCGCCAACGAGAGCTTCGTTGATGGTTCTGTTCTTGGAACCCTTGTAATCGGAGAATTGGAGCAGTCGGCGCCAATCTTCCGGTTCGTGGGGGCGATCTTCCGATGTCTCCCAGGTGCTGAGCTTGAAGTTCTTCAATCCTCTGAATCGTGCCAATCGCTCTCGTGCGAGGACGTTGGGATGGAGCTCGATTTCGTCAGGGAACTCCAGATCTTCGTTGGCTTCCTTTGCTTCGGTCTTTCGGCTAGCCCGGTATTCCTCCAGTTGCTGGGCCTCATCATCTGGTGACTGATCGACGAACATCTCGGACTGGGGGTACTCAGTAGCTCCAGCTTCAGTCATGGCATCGGTCTTGTCGGCAAAGAATCCATCTTCAGGTGCTCCTGTAGTGTCCATCTGCATTTCCTCCTCGTCATCGTCCTCCATATCAGAGCCGGAGTATGAAACATCATCCAAGAACCAGGCGGATTGGTACTCTGATGTTCCCTTGGGAAGCTTCTTAGGCTTGGCTGGGATGTGGGCGTCATCGTCCGAGAAGTAGTGGTGATCATCCAAAAGGACACCCTTTCGTTCGGTCTCGGGCTCAATGTCGGATCCCATATCATCATCCATTTCGATTTCTTCCGGTGCCACAATAGCCATATCATCACGATCCGCAGTGGGCGCGTCCAAAACCTGGGGGCCTTCGCTGTCATCAACGTTCATGGCATCGTCGCGCTTGGGTCGTGCACTGGCCAGCGGGGCAGCTGTGATCGAGTCGATTTGGAAATCACCCCAGCCGGGGATGTGAGTGATACGGTCCGCCTTGAGACCCTTGCCACGAACGACACCAGTCACAACCACATCGTCCACCACGTCCGATGCGGCCTCTGGCCACTGGACATTTTCAATGAGCATCCAGCTCCGCTCATCACGCCAGCGGATTCCCTTGGGGGTTGCGGTGCAAATAGATCGGATGGCATTGGAGCATTCCTGTCTCGAATCCGCGGAAAGGACCTTGTCGATTGATGGGAAGAAATGGTTCATGAACGACTTCAGCGAGGAGACCACTTGCAGGCGTTTCTTGGGCGGGTTGATTTTCTCGAGACCCTAGTACAGTTCCAGTCAGCAAAGCCAAGGACCAGTCTTCACGGGGGAGAGCATAAGCATACCTGAACCACAGCAATAACGTTGGAGATACCCTGGCTCTCAATCGACCGCAACAGGAGCTGTCCCTGTTCCTCAACCTCCACCTCGGCGGACAGAACCAACACCACGAAATCGGCCATGCGGGACACATCCAGGGCGTTCATCAAGTCGAATTTCGCCGGCATATACTGCACACTCTGTCGGAATCTGTCCACGCGCACGCGGGTAAGGTTGTCGGAAGAAACATCGCTGGAAACGTCCACACTCTCGTTCAATGAGCGGATGACCGAAGAAACATCGATATCGACGGAAAGCGGCACAACTGCGACATGACGGGGCGCACCATTTTGTCCGGCGAAAACGCTGAGGGCCTGGGCCTTCTCCTGGTGCTTGACTTGTTGCTTCTGGCGAGCCTGGTTTCTGCGATCGAGTTTCGACTTGAGCTGCTGGTGAGGGGTCTTGCGAGTACCCCGCTCGACCTTGCCTGTGGAAAAAAAAACTATCAGTATTTTTTTTCCCCTCTTCTTGGCCACTCAACGCCAAAATAATAATTCTGCTTCATACCCTTATCCTTATCCTTCAGCGCACTCTTGGAGGCATGCTTGGTCTTGTACGGCTTGTGGGTTTGCTTGGTCGTCGACCGGTGGTGATGCGCAGTCTGGGTGGGCGCCATATTGGCACCGCTAGACCCTTTGAATCGAAAAGGAAGAGAGTCCAGTTTTGCAGTAGAATAATCACAGGTAGAAGAAAACGACAGCAATCCAACGCAAGACCAAGCCGTCAGCAAAGAGCGATAGTAATTCTCAAGAGCGGGTCTGGTCTCTCTCGCTGTTAAGGAAAAGAGAAAAAAAAATTAAGCTGTGGTGGACAAGCGAGCGTGAAATCTTGGCATGAATTTTCCTGCGAGACCCGCAAAAAGCTCGACTCGATCGAACCCGACAAACATCTTCTCCGAGCCAGCTTTTCTGCTGTTTTCTTTTTCTTTTCTGGTCGGCTGGGCTGATTTGTTTCTTATTTGATTTATTCCTTCTCTCTTTTACTGCCACCAATCCCTACAGATGGCTGAAAAAGCCCCGAAAATGGCGGTCGCGCGGACCGACGACCGCGAGGAAAAGAAAAGACTTGCAGAGGCGCAAAAGACCTACGGACGTGGCAAGGCAATCCATACAAAGAGCGTTAGAGACAAGAAACTGCGAAGCAACCTCAAGGCTGTTGAGGAAAAGAACAAGGCTGCTGCGCTGAAGGCTAAGGATGCGGAGATTCTGCTTGAACATGATGCCGGATTCCTCGAGCCCGAAGGAGAGTTGGAAAAGACATACAAGGTCCGCCAGGATGAGATCAAAGACAGTGTTGGAATCGAAACGGCCAAGAAGGGATTCGAGCTGAGGCTGGAGGATGCAGGACCATACCGGGCAGACTACACGAGAAACGGTCGCGATTTGCTGCTGGCCGGGCGAAAAGGGCATGTTGCGACAATGGACTGGCGAGCAGGAAAATTGGGCTGTGAACTTCAGCTGGGCGAGACTGTCCGCGATGCTCGCTGGTTGCACAATAACCAGTACTTTGCTGTTGCCCAGAAGAAACATGCCTATATCTACGATCAAGCCGGTGTTGAACTGCACTGTCTGAACAAGATTATCGAACCACTCTTCCTCGATTTCCTCCCATACCATTTCCTTCTTACCAGCGCTGTGAGTAGATCTCATTGACACTAATTCGCCAAATTTCTAACATATATTCTTCTATAGCAAATGAGCGGTCACCTCAAGTATATCGATACATCGACCGGTCAACTGGTTGCGGAGCTGCCAACCCGACAAGGCGCCCCGACATCGCTCTGCCAGAACCCTTACAACGCTATCATGCATGTCGGACACCAGAACGGAACAGTGACCTTGTGGTCTCCCAACTCTCAGACGGCCCTTGTGAAAGCCCTCGTCCACCGAGGCCCAGTGCGCTCGATGGCGATTGATAGACAAGGACGGTACATGGTCTCCACCGGTCAGGACCAGAAGATGAACGTGTGGGACATCCGCATGTTCCGGGAAGTACACTCGTACTCCTGCTACCAACCAGGCTCCTCAGTTTCAATCAGTGACCGTGGCCTGACAGCCGTCGGCTGGGGTACCCAGGTTAGCGTCTGGCGGGGTCTGTTTGACGCGGCAGTCGCCGACCAAGGAAAGGTCCAAAGCCCGTACATGTCATGGGGCGGAGATGGCCAGCGCATTGAGAACATGAAGTGGTGCCCTTACGAAGATTTGCTGGGAGTCACGCACGACAAGGGCTTCGCGAGCATCATTGTCCCGGGAGCCGGAGAGCCCAACTTCGACGCACTCGAGGCCAACCCGTACGAGAACACCAAGCAGCGCCAGGAAGCCGAAGTCCAGTCCTTGCTCACCAAGCTGCAACCGGGCATGATCTCCTTGGACCCCACCTTCATCGGTCAACTGGACACAATCAGCGACAAGAAGAACAGAGAGGCACGCGATCTCGACCGCAGACCCGAGGACCCGATGGCGAAGCTCAAGAACCGCGGCCGTGGACGCAACAGCGCACTCCGCAAGTACCTTCGCAAGAAGGGCCGTGGGAACGTCATCGACGAGAAGCGCGTCAAGGCGGAGCTGTTGCGCAAAGAACACGCAGCTCGCGCAAAGGACAAGCTTCAGCACCGGAAAGAGGAGTTGGGACCTGCACTCGGCAGATTTGCCAAGAAGGACTTCTGATTATGTGTGTCGTTGCTCTCCTTGTTATCAGTCGTCGATACAGTATTTGCTTCGTTTATTGCTTCTTTCTCTCTTACTCTTTTTCCCTTAGTGGGTCGAGAAGGGAGGGTAGAGCATTCGGATACCCAATTAATCAGAGAGAGGTAGATGCTCTCTCAGTCTGTCATTATTAAGATCTCTGCATTTCAAGGCGTTGGATCAGGCCAGGGATAGGACAAAAGTGATATTGTTGCAAGAGTCAGAATCTGTACATTCATCCCTATAAATATAAAAAATCCCAAATATATCATCCAAAGTACGCAGTAAGAGAAAATTATTTTGACTTTCAAGTATATATACCGTAAGCTACCATTTCCATAATCATCCATCATAATAATCTACTCATCAACGCTTCCAGATCCCCTCTGGGCTCCGTTCTTCCAACGCTCCAAGCTCAACTCATAAGCACCGCTGGCCTTCCAGGCACTCAGAATGAGGTTAACAATGTGATCCATTCCCTTACCATGCTTCACCACCGCGAAGACAGTCGGGCCGCCCTCTCTCATCTTGGCCGCATCGCGCTCCATAACCTGCAAATCGGCACCAACAATCTCGGCCAAATCGATCTTGTTGACAACCAGCAGGTCCGAGCCGGTGATACCCGGTCCACCCTTTCGGGGCACCTTGTCACCTCCAGCGACATCGATAACGTAGATGATGAAATCGGCCAACTCACGTGAGTAGTTGGCGGCGAGGTTGTCACCACCCGACTCGATGAGGAGGAGGTCGGTCTGGAATTGCTTCTGCAGGGATTGCAGAGCGAGCAGGTTGGCGCTGATATCCTCACGGACGGCAGCATGAGGGCAACCACCTGTTTCGATGGCGCGGATTCGGCTGGAAGGCAGGGCCTTGTTGCGAGTGAGGAACTCGGCGTCTTCTCTGTATGGCAGCAAGATTCGGCGGTTAGCAGAAACTCCATGGCGAGAAAAGAAACGAAGAAGGAATGATAAGATAAGCCTTACCTTGTGAAAATATCATTGGTGACAGCCGCAATGTTGTACTCATCTCTCAGGCGGCGAGACAACGCCAGCATCAGAGCTGTCTTTCCAGATCCAACCGGTCTGTCAACGATTACAGTCAGCTGGTCAATCCCTACAAAGCTAAATCTGATGTTAATACCCTCCGATTCCAATGGTAAAGGCACGGTCTTTCCAGTCACGGCCTTCGATCAAAGGCATCTCCCGCTGCAAGTACGAGCCAGGTCCATCGAGGATCTCGTGGGAGTGGCCATGGCCTCCAAAGGGGTCTTCCTGGTCGTGGGAGTGGGAAACTCCGTTGTCATGAGAGTGGGAATGAGACATTTTGATGAGGGTGATATACGATTGTGATATTCCCAATCGACAAAGATGGTGGTTGTGTGGAGGAGTGGAATCCTAGGTAGGTCGGAAGTGGGCGGAGGGGTAAATGAACTATCGGCGGCCGATAAGAGTGGGGGAGGAAGAATGCCGCTGACAGGGAGTCTGCCGGCGGAGATCGCCGACTGGGCGGAAATACATATAGCGCGAGGGGAATGAGGGGAATAGCTTCAAAGCACGAATATGACTATTCTGTTTACTGGGATTGGGCCTGACCTTCATGGATCAGCTGCCATCATCCACTTGGCCAGTGGAGCCCCGAATTAGATTTGTTACGTACATACCCTTGGGGTAGATTGAGGCTTGTAGATCGTGGGGATCATGATCTCTTGATATTAACGGTCCGGCCTTTTACTGTATCTTTTTTATTTACCTGCAGAGCTCAGATGGGTGATCATGGTCGTGGCGATCATGATAGAACCAAGAACAGTGGCTACGAGCATAGAATGCCCGGTAGTTGACCACCCTCCCATACAGCAAGAGCAACACGGTAAGAACTCGCTCAAGCAAAGAAACACCAGATCAGGAATGAAAATGCCATACATTGCAGAATGGGGAATAATAAACAATTATGATCCCCTCCACGGGATTCAGTCATAGTGGCGATACGAAACCACTCTTCCCCGTTGGAACTCAAGACATACATGAAGTAGTAAAGAAAAAGAGAAACCAGAGAATTATTTCCAGACAAAGAAAGAAAAGCCCAACGCCAAACACATCAGTCGCCAATTGTAAAACAACACGGATATCAAGAGCAGCGGACCAGCATCGTAGAGGCGAACCGGAAACGCTGTTGGGAATCGAGCTCGATGACCAGAGAGATCAATTAACCCGGACAGGTGGAACGTAAAGCCATAAGACATGCACTCCGAGGATAAGGCATAATAGTTCCGAACAGACCAGTCGGAGGAAATGGTGATGAAGGAGATAAATTACACGGGGCTGGGCCCGGCCTGTGCCACGGACAAACGCTCAATTTGTCACAAATACCCCTTGAGATATCGTGGAATAGCCGCGGAAAGGCAGTACCGGCCAATCTTCATCAGACATATGCTGCGTTGTGGAATCGAAGACGAACAATGAATAAAAGCAGACCTTCCGATATGTGCAGCGAGAACGGCAAACCCTCCCAGATATGAAATAAGAAAAAAAAAAAAGTGAAAAGCCTCGCACAGGTATCCTGGTACGCCAATTCCCCGCCTCTTGAGACTGAAAAAAAAGAGATAATAGCTCAAAGCAAACCAAATAATCAAGGAATTTCTAATATTAAGAGGTTCCCTTTTGTCTCTTACCACCTACTCGGGGGCTGGCCTTCACCTTGGCGGCCCCTTGAGCGGCAGCTCCATTGACATCAGGGGTGTCATCATTCTCTATTTTGACGGTACTTGCTCGTCGACGTTTTGTGCTCACGTTTGGGCTAGCGCTTGCACTGGTCTGGACCACATTAGGCTGCACTTGACCTTGTGGCATCATACCTGGTGGAGCGGATAGGTGACTCTGTGCTGGGCTAGGGTGAGCTGAACCACCAAGGTGGGGCGAGCCCTGTGCACCTGGGAGACCTAAATGTGCCATGGCAGGGGATGCGAACTGAGACGGCCCATTCATACCAGGTCCACGTGGATTTTGGCCTTGAAGTGCTGGATTCATGGGTCCCGGCATGAATCCCAGGTTCGGATTCTGATTCTGTAGCGTGTTGACTAGGCTCCGTAGTGCTTCAGGTGGAGACAATTGGGGGTTTTGCTGAGAGAATTGAAACAGCATTTGCATTTGCGAGATGGTCTCGGCCACCTATAAGAGCAGGTTAGTATAAAATAGAACCGGAGACACTCGGGAAACTTACTTCTAAGAAACTCATCACCGCGGTAGGAACACCGTTTGCTGTTACCATAGACTCGGGCAATGTGAAAGCAGGCTGCTGGGCCTGTTTCGCTTGGGCACGTTTACCGGCCCCCTTGGTCACCTTGGGACTCGGTTTCTGCTCAGACTGCTCCAATGCTTGCAGCTGGCTCCTTGGAAGGTATTCAGTATGGTTCATGACAACAATGTCAAGCATTTCAATCTTGTTGTTCACGTCAAAATGTGCCCTCATGGTCCCGTTGGTGAAAAGCTGCATTTCGTTAGATCATTTGTACACATAACTAATCCACGAAGAAGCAAACCAACCTGGGAGTCATTTGTAAACCAATAGATGAACGAAGTCTTCGCACTCTCCACAATGTGGCCACCGTTTGGCGAATCCCTTTCTCGGGCACCCTCCACAACCATTTGAATGTTACGGATTCCGCTGGTGAACTGAGTCAAATAGTAGCGTGCTAGAGCGGGGGTCGAGATTTCGAATTGCTTGGAGCCGGCTTGGGGGTTGTATACACCTTGTCGCAAGACACCACCTGGGGAATAGAACCTATCGACGAATGACTGCCAGTACAAGATATCCTGAGCCTCGCCTCGACTCTGTCACATATCAGTATTATATCATGTGTTTTAAACGGCAGAATAACGTACGGTAAAGTTACTCAAATGCTCAGAAAATGCATTGAGACATAAGATTGCCGCACCCTTCATATTCATTCGCTGCTGCATCATCATAGCGGCGTTGTTTTGCTGCTGTTGCGCTTTCAACTGAGCCTCCTGGGCAGTCATTGGTGGCTGAGGCTGCTGGCCCTGTTGCTGGCCCTGCTGGCCCTGTTGCTGTGGTGGTTGCGCTTGTGGTTGCGGCTGTTGAGCTTGTGGCTGTGGCCCTGAAGGCTGGGATTGTGGTAGCTGTTGTGGGGGTGGATTCGGAGTGGGCTGTGGTTGAGGAGCTACACCTTGCTGCGGCGGAGGTTGCGAGGAGGGCGGCTGTGGCGGATTCGACTGCGGTGTACTGCTTCCCTGATGTGGCGGCGGACCAGGTTGAGGTTGAGGAGTCACACTCTGGGCTTCGTGTATACTCTGAGGTTGTGCAGACGCACGCTGCTGCGGCGTGTGTTGACCTGGTTGCCCAGCATTGCTTGCCTGTTGTTGGGCCTGCTGCACCTGATGCGCCTGTGCTTGATGTTGGGCCTGCAGAGCAAAAAGCTGTTGCTGTTGCTGGATATTCTGCGGTTGTCCATGAGGCATCTGTTGGAGGTGCATTTGAAGATTGACCGGTCGCATCGGATTATTCGCTTGCATGGCAGCCATTTGAGCCGCACTGATATTTGGTGTACCATTGGGTAATGACACCGGGAGTCCTCCATGCTGCTGCTGCTGCTGCTGTTGTTGTTGCTGTTGCTGCTGCTGTTGGAACATCATTCGCTGTCTGAGGAGTTGTTGGTGTTGGTGTTGTTGCAGTAACTGTGGGTTATTGGCAACTAAACAAGAGGTCAAGTCAGTAAGACAAACTTGCTATAAGAAATGATTCACACAAAGTAGAGGCTCAATTCTGATACACTGTCGAAGAGAACAAAGAAACGCCGATCCAACCGGGATAGCAGGAACAACAGGAACATGAGACAAACTAAAAGAAGGAACAATGAACTTACACTGCTGGGCAAACTGCGGTTGCTGAAAGAGATGCGCTTGCGCAGGACCCAAGTGGGAAAGAGCGTGAGCATTCGGGACAGGACCTCCAGGCCCAGTCGTTCCAGCACCAGGAGGCATCCCACCCATCATCGGGCCAGCCTGACTGACTTGAGGCCCTCCCGGCGCCGACACACCAGGGTGCACCTGCTGCATCATCCCAGCACCGGGATGTGCAGCATTTGGATGCTGAGCGGCGGCAGCCAGAGGGTGCCCCGGAGGCAGGCCAGGATGTTGCGGGATGCCTTGATGGGCAGGGAACGATTGCGCCATCATCATCGCTGAGCAACGAAGTCACCGAGAACGGGACTCCAAAGAATTAAGAATAACAGGAAAGGAAAGGAAGACTACTAGAGACGAGGGCGGACGTCGGACTCGAAGAGCGCGCCTGACGTGGAGGACAACAGGCCGCTTTTAGCGTCGGAGCGGAGGCCAAGACGCAGCAGCAGGACGGGCGACTGAGCCGGCGGCGATAGATATGAGATGCAGGGAGGATGGGGGATCATGGATCGAGACTAAAAATAAGAATCGCCTCTTCCCGCCAGGTCGTTCGACTCCTAAATCCTTAAAAAAATCTCAAGGTCAGTGTCGGGGACGGCCTGGGCGGTGGGAAAATGAGAGACACGGAGAGAAAGACGTGAGGTTTAGGAGGACGGAGGTGTGGAGGGGCTAGGGGCCAACGAAAGGCAGACCGGCACCTGTCGCGATCGCCAGGATCTCGCTGGGAGGAACAACGAGCGTGCTGGGGGGGGGGTTTGGAAACACACCACACAAACTATTCAACGAGACTGGAGAGGCCACAAACTGAAAGGGTCGAGGGAGAAAGGAAAGGAATGGAGAGAAAAAAAAGAAGGAAAAGAAAAAGACAATCAGATGAGCCTCATAGCGAGAGATTCTCTTTTGAGGCTTTTCGTTTTGCTGGAGGGCGACTGGCGGTCCAGCGCGATTGATGCGAGGCGCTAGGCCGTATCGGGCAGTGGTCACGTGAGAGACCACGGGAAAATATTTTCGGTGCTCGTCTTTAAAAAGATTCTTCTTTTCTTTTTTCCTCACAACTCTCTGCGCCGTCCACATTCTCCTCCCAGCAGCTGGGGATTCGAGAATATGATGGCTCCAATGCCACTGGCATCCATGCCAGGATCATGATGTTATCCTGCAGCGGGAATTGTCTTGCAGCATGGCTTACAATGTCGGTGATCGTACCACCCACTCACAAAATCAGGAGGTTTTCAAAGGATCAATCTCAAATCACAAGGTTAGTCAATAATTTTTTTTTCTTTGTGTGTGTCTTTTCCACAGTCTCTCGAAGATGATAAACATATTTTTCTTCTTTTTTTCCCAAATCGCCCATGAGGAGACAGGACGGACCTTACATTCCCGTTTGGTCTGCTACTTGCCAGTATATTTTGTCTGAGAGTTACAAGACTGTTTTTATTTATCGTTATACACGTTCTGTGTGGAACATTCGCTAACGATCTCCAAGAATAGGAATCCCTCTGTCGATACCAGATACTAGTACCATAGCTTATGAACATGAATACATATTTTTTGCACCGAATCTTATCATCTCGTGCTGTAGTTATGCTGTAGATACGCCATCCAACGTAGTTGATGTAGCGGTGTACAAACCCTGATCTTGACTGCATCAATAATGAAGCTCACCGTTGCCTCCAAAGCTCTAACCTTGAGTCAAATGTCAAATTAAACTATGGATGCCAACTGATGATCATCAACCGTCCAATTCCCATTAATCTATTCGACATCTTCGTAGATCCTCTGTCGTCCTGCTGCAGCGGGTCATGTGACATCAAACTCTCCGCCATCGCTAAAGCAGGTCTCCCCGACAAAGAATCGACATCGAATCTCCTGCCCTTTCATCATTTCACTTGATGCATACGCTTGTTGTCCATTGTGTCAACAGCTTTTGCATATTCTAATTTCGGTGGCTGTATTTGCCCCGGATGTATTCGTCAATGCAACAAACCAGGTTGCTCTCGTCCTTTGCCCGACCCTGTCGTTTCATTGCACATCGCCGCTATCCGGCAGGTTTCGCCTCCCATTCGCGTCGTTTCCATCTTTCGCGAAGATGGCTGTCATCGGTGCCTCCAGACCCTCAGGACCCGACGCCTGAAAGCGTTGCCAACGATGTTTCGCCTCTCAATGCCGAAAATAACCTTTCTGCGAATGACCCGACATCAGCGCCATCCACGGAGCGTTCCGTGAAAAGAGATCTGGGACCATATGGCTCAGCCGTTCGAAGAGCATGGAGGAATAGGAAACCAGTGGAAAAATGGATAGCCCCTGCCGCAACTATCCCTGACTGGTTTCATGAGCGGAATACGGTGCTCAACGATAAGGACCAAGCGCAAGGAGCTACACAATCGGTCCAGCAAGTCAAGATAGAAAAGCCGGGATCGGAAAGGGAGAAATCCGCGACTGGTGATTTGGCTCATGGTGGCGATGGAGGAGACCCGCCGGCGTCCACCGAACATACTGAACCTGAAAATCGATACGCTTTAACGGGACCGTTATGGGAGGAGCTATGTGCTTCCGCCAGAGCGGGAATGCGACTCCCTCCCTCAAAATACGCAACGGAGCCTTCGGCAAAGAAGTCACATCTTGTTCTACAATACCCAGGTAACGATGGTATCTTGTTCCTGGATGCGGTGGTAAAAAGGTTATCTCAGGAGCTTGGTGCCGACTTGGTAACGCTGAATGCCCAGGATATTGCCCAGTTGTGTATTGAACAGGACTTGGCAGACAGCGGCACAACAACATCGATCAGATCTCTTGGCTATGAAGTATACCAACCTTCCGTCTCGGATTCCTGGCAAGAAATCGATGATGTGCACGAGGGCGACGCTGATGAGAGTGAAATGCTTGAGCCTCCGCGAAACTTCAGGCCGAGTATGAAGGCACCCAAGTTCATCACCATCGAAAGCTCCAAGGAAAATGGCGCTATTCCGCTTCCCAACTTGACGGGCTTGAAGTCATTGGTTGCTTCTTTCAACATGCCATATGACAACTCGGCTGGCTCCGCGTCACAAGGCAACTCTGACAGAGTAGAAGATAGACGGCTTCGACTTGTCAATGAGTTGATCGCCTCGCCCGGAAAACCGTCACAGCAACCGGTGTCTAAGGAAGAATCACCGGCGACAGATGAGGCCTCTACACAGAAGCCTGAACAGGCTCGTGATGTCATTGTCCAAGTCCAAGACTATGCCGATATTCAAGGCACACGTGAAGGTGCCAAATTTATCCATTTCCTTCAGAAAGCCATTACGGACCGTCGGAAAGCCGGTTCTCGGGTTTTGTTGGTCGGAAGTGTAGCCCAAGATATTGCACCCGAGCCACAAGATGACGATCACTTCTCACAGACGCTTATCATCACTCCAGCCATGGGATTGAAGGATGCCGAAAAGACCTTTACGGAAGACCGCAAGAACCGTACACTGGATATCAACATTCGCCACATGCAAGAGATGCTTCGGACTCGACTGAGCGAGCATCCTTCGGCTATCAAAGACGACATCTTCGGGAGCCGTGCTTGGCCATTGGAAGCAACTCTCGTGAAGGAATTGGCTCTCAATGAGCGTTACTGGTCATACAACCAGATACACTGGGCTGCAACTCTTGCACTTGGATGCGTCGAAGCTGATGCGCCTTTTGGCTTTGAACACATCCAGCGCGGAATGGAGATGATGCAGCGAACAGACCGTATTAAGAATGACTGGCTACAGGAAAAGTCGCCCAAGGCTAAAACAGAGCCTGTTGACGACAGAGAACGCTTGTTGAGCTCACTACGAAAGACCTGCAATTCACACGAAAAGAAGCTCTTGAATGGCGTTGTTGATGCCAAGAACATCCGGACCACCTTCAATGATGTCCATGTACCCCTCGAAACCATCGATGCTCTGAAGACGCTTACTTCTCTTTCGCTCATTCGCCCTGAGGCTTTCAGCTACGGTGTTCTGGCTACAGACAAGATCCCCGGTTTACTCCTCTACGGCCCTCCGGGAACCGGCAAGACCCTTCTTGCCAAGGCAGTGGCGCGTGAAAGTGGTGCCACTGTTCTCGAGGTCAGCGGATCTGAAGTCTACGACATGTATGTCGGTGAGGGAGAGAAGAACGTCAAAGCAATCTTTACATTGGCCAAGAAGCTCAGCCCTTGCGTCGTTTTTATCGACGAAGCAGACGCCATCTTCTGTTCGCGGACTGGGGCCAGCAGTCGCACGTCTCATCGGGAACTTATTAATCAATTCCTCCGGGAGTGGGACGGCATGAATGATCTCTCTGCCTTCATCATGGTGGCTACTAACAGACCATTTGATCTCGATGATGCCGTTCTCCGGCGTCTTCCCCGGCGACTCCTTGTTGACCTTCCACTTGAACAAGATCGAGAGTCCGTCTTGAAGATCCATCTGAAAGAAGAACAACTTGATTCGTCAGTAGATCTAGCCGAACTCGCTCGTCGCACGCCTCTCTATTCTGGCTCGGATCTGAAGAACCTTTCCGTAGCAGCAGCATTGGCCTGTGTCCGGGAAGAGAACGCCCTGGCAGCGCAGCATAAGGGCGAAGAGCCCTATCAGTACCCTGAGAGGCGCACCTTGACTTGGAAGCACTTTGAGCGTGGTATGGAAGAAATCAGCGCCTCGATCAGCGAAGACATGTCGTCGCTGTCCGCGATTCGGAAGTTCGATGAGCACTATGGCGACCGGAAAGGCCGGCGCAAGAAGAGTCCCGGCTGGGGATTTATTCCTGGCGCCACTGATGAGAATGCGGCCGACTCAGCACGCGTCCGAACTTGATTTGAGTCTTCTGTCTTTGAGGTTTCAATGGTTTTTGCGGGGGGGTATTCAATGGATTGGCAATTCTGCTGGGCTTGTGTAATTTTAGCGATACGATAGACATGTACCAATAGCAATAAAAAAGTATATACCCAGAAATCATGCAAGAAGTCAATCGCACCATTCTAATCCTGCTGTCCGTGTGTGCTGCATCCAAGCACAGGCTGGCGCTCGGGTGGAAACAATGTCGTATCCTGGCGGTTTTTTTTCCACCCGCACATTTTCTTCCTTCGATGACATCGCCGAATCCTCCTCTTTTCGCTCGACCACCTCGCACGCATCGCCTCTGCTTCTCGCACGCATTTCCCTAGAGCTTGAATGCCTAGCCTGCAAGGGAGATAGAGGGCCAAGCGTTCAAACCAAACCCCGAAAAACAACCCAAGATCAGCCCACACCCTCCGCACGAGACCTCCGCATTTCCCATCCATTGCCCCCCTCCGACAGCCGAATCAAATCAACCCCTCTCAAAACTCACAGCCACCCAAACGCAACACACCATGTCCAGCGATTCTCGCGACTCGGCCATCCGAGACGCGAAGCGATACATCCGCGAAATCGTCCGAAATGACTGGGCCTTTGAGCCGTCAACTTCCGGCCCCGACGGTTGCCGCCCTGCGTCTTCAACACCCGCGACCCCAGAGCAGCAGGTTGCAGAGTGGCGTCTGCGAGAATTCGACAGCTCTGGCTCGGAGCTGGAGCCTGTTTCATCGCCTGAGATCGAGCCAGTGAGTCCCACTGCGGAACCGGAGCTGGATTACGGCTTCGTGCTCGCTCCGCAGGATGAGGGGCGGCGGAAGCGGCGCAGGCAGATGGAGGAGGAAATGAGCTGGAATGAAGGATTGCGAACTTGGTCGGCAATGCGGGATGCGTGGACTGGGGCACAGACGAGACGCCAGATTCGGGCAAAGGAGAAGAGGAAACAAGCTGCGCGCGACGGTTCTGGGGATAGTGAGGCTACTACTACTATTACTGCACCGTCTCTTCCACCCAACGTTGACAATGACAACACCCTTGCTGCAAATACGGAGGCTTCACTTACCATCGCCGAGAAAGCGAGCGCTGAAGCTCCAGAGCAACCATCCGCGAATGAGGAGCAAGGTGAAGAGCTGTCCGCAACTGCAGACCAAGCCGAGGAAGAAGCCAAAGGGAAAGAATCCACCGAAACAGCCATCACGGAGCCCGATTCCATGCCTACATCTCCATTGTCCCCAACCACCGACGGCCCCAAAGAATCAGAGGATCCTTTCATTCCTGTCGTCCCGTCTCTCCTCTCCACGACTAACCCCATTCGCGCCTCCATCACCCCATCCATGTACCCCTCCATCTACAGCAAGGTCGTGGTTCAGGGCCTCACCCCAACAGTACCCATAAACCTAGCCGACGTCACCAAGGCCATGGTCCAGGGCTGGAAAGCAGACGGCCAATGGCCGCCCAAGCCCCAGAACATCGTCCTTGCTGATGATGCTACAGTGCCGAAAAGCAGTGCCGCCAATGGAGGAGCAGCGCATGGTCATGAGAGGAAGAAGTCCGGTGTCGCCAGTGCGGTGCGGAAGGTCCTCAACTTCTCCGGCTTCCATCCGCATCCATTCCACCGTCGTGGGTCGAATAGTACTAATAACAATAATAATAATGAGCAGGCTGGGGAGGCTGCCTCTCCAGTTTAGCATTAGGGGAAATACAAAGGGGGGAAATAAAAATTAAAATGAAAATGAAATCTACTTTGTTTATGATGATGGTTTATAGCAGTTATGTTTGTATGTATTGTGGCTTGGATATGCAATCAAGTTCGAAAGGAGAGTGCATGCTTTTCTTCTCATTTTGGTGGGTGTTTTTGGTTATTATATTGAAACAATGGTCCATTTGAGTATTGCTGGTGTTTTCTCTAACCTAATGATGCATATTACAGGAGGTTTGATTGTCTTGCAATTATCAAACATGAATTAAATCAGAGCTTTCATCATTATTGCCATCATTCAAACATAAGTTATTTGGGGTCATGTCTATGGAAATGGATCATCAAACAAAATTCCAACCTGAAACACCATACGCCTTGTTTGGAGTATCATCCTGTATCCTTCCCAGATGGCTTTCAGCTACTAGAGACAGATAAGGTCTCTAGGGAGCATCGTCGAATAGATCAAGGGTTTCTAATGTACTCGAGAAAACCCCAACAGCATCTTCGAATGCTGCTTCCGGCATGTGGTCCAACTTCGAAGCAATGGAAGGATCTATGCCAACCTCCTGTGGCTGATGGCAGCCACGGCGGGTAAAGTAATATCGCCCATTGTGCCGGGACCAGCTCTCATTGATATACGTTTGGAGCTCTCGGGAAGCCGAATGGCGAGTTTCTTGGAAGAAAGGAGGAACTGTAATGGTTGCCGTATCTGCCCTAGTCGCAGTAAAGGCACTGGACAGTTCGGTGAAAGCTGCCAGGTAGTCATCATCTGCCAGCAGTTGGTCTTTCAGGTATGACACGGCATAAAGAGCAAACAGCCGAAAAGCTTGGACTTGCAGGACAGTTTTCTCCCCCATATCTGTGACTCTGTCTATATAATCAATTACCCGTAACGCGGAAGTAATCATCTCCGTAAAGGCAGTGACAGTGACTAGAACAGGAGGCTCTTTGAGCATGTTGACGTCTTCTGCAATCAAGTGGAGGGCTTGATACGACGATTGGAACACCGAATTGAAAACATTCGTGACTGATGAAACACAGCTTGGATCTGTTGTGTCTATACTGAAAAGCAAATCCTTAAAAACCAAGGAAATGGTTTGCAAGATCGGAAGAGTGAGAATCCACGCGGCTGGCTTGCTGAAAGCTATCTCAAGGTAAGCTGGAAACACGCACTGCAGCAGAATCGCACGCAGCGTAGGTTTGTTGGGATTTCCTGCTTCATAAGTATTTTCCATAGATGCATGCAGCTGGTCAACGAGATAGCTCTGTTGGCCGTCGATTGCAGCTCGCTCTGAGACACCTTGTATGAACACTATCAAGGTCTTTGCTACCTTTTCAGTGGAGAGTTTAGGTTCATAACTCTTCAATCTGGCCACAATGTACGTTGGGTCGGTTGAAGGCAGAGGGAAGGAGGTGGGGTCAGTAAAGAACGGATCAATAGGGCAAATATCTCTCGAGTGCTGTTGCAAGAATCCCACAATGCGGTGCACGAAATTCACATAAGCTCCTTGAATAGACTCTGAGCCGTTTCCTAGTTCTTGATAGTTGGATTTCATGGACGACATGAGTCTTTGAATAAGCTCTCTGTACTCCTGTTTGGTGATTGGGAGGTCTCGGTTGTCAGTATCCTCCATGTCTTGAAGATGCTCACGCATGTTCGACAGAAGACTTGAGATGAGCGATAATCTTCTTTGACTGAAATCTTCCAACGTGATGGAATACCGCTCACTCTTACGGTCTCTGGAGAACGGCAAATTATGCAGGAGAGGGTTGGCGCGATCCTGATGTAACAACGCTTCTGTTAAGCGGTGTTGAAACTTCAACATTGACGCCCTTTCCACCAAAGTTGACATCCACATCCCCAGAATTTGGACTCTGCACTCGGAGATGAAATGGGAATCCTTTTCAATGCAGCTCGCTAAGAATTGGGGTGTGAATTTTCTTGTCTGCACAGTTGACCGAAGTGCTGTCCATGAATCGCCATCATATGGGCTAAGGTAGTTATCCCAGTGTCGAAGTTTATGCGTAACAAGTGTCTGTGCAACGGAGGTCCAACAATCCACAACAGTAAGAAGAATTGCATCTTCCGGGCAATAATCTTCACCAAAGCAATTGGACACGAGGCGGGAAACAGCCGGGTGAAAAACAGCTTCAATATGCTCTACTGCCTGGCTTGTTGGAGTTGGAGCTGGAGCTGCGGCGGATTCGTCTTTGTACATGTCTTCGAACTCGGTCCAGTCTCCGTATTCTTGACTGTCTTCGTCTGCAGAAGCTTGAACGGCGACGACAGCAGCAGCAGCAGGTGATTCACACTTCTGGATATACGCCAATATTATCTGCAAAGCCTCCGATACAGTGGTGTTCACACGAGCAAGCTTAGGATTGAAAAGCCCCAGGACTGCTTTCACGGGCATCTTGGAAACGAGTCTCTGAGAATGCTCTATCGTCGGTGATAGTTGGACACTGCTTCGAAGACCAGCCAAGGCTGTATTTAGTAACGATTCAATCTGTCTTTGATTTTGTGAGATTGTTCGCTCAATTAATTTGTGGGGAAATTGGTTGTCTTCACCACTTTGGGCCTCTACCTCTTTGCGAGCAAGGGAGTGCTGCTTCAGTAACTCGGTCACAAAGTAGCTATGCCAATCAGCAAAGGCATCTAGTCCAGATACATCTTCGTCTGTCGATATCTTGAACCGAGCAAGTCTAAGCCATGAGCGAATGCTAATGTTGCAGGCTTCACGATGAGAATTACCGGGATGCACAAGACCCCTGATCGTCTCAAGCCGAGGGCGACATCCTTCAGGGACAGCGAAGTACAATGTGCAAAGAAGATCATGGTGGTTTCGTAGGGCATCCAAGTCTTCTTGGCGAACAGATGCTTCCTTCGGGTAAACTCGACCATGGTTTGGCAATAAGCACCAGGCAAAGTTTCGAATCTTCTTCTTGTCGTAAACCGTAGACATAAAGCGTAATCCACTCCCTATAATCTTTAACAGGATATGGAAGCATGGGTCCCCAGGTATTACATCAAGAGAAGGATTGCGGTCAAGGTCATCGAGGAAGGCCGGAGACCCAAAACTTTCCTCATGGCTCAGATTGTAAAGCCCTGTTTTCCTCGCAAAAAAGTCATAGAGTGTATTGAGAATCACTCTGCAATCTCGCCATCCCCAGCCGTTGATGAGATGGAAACACCTATGGAACAGGACCCGACAGTAATTATTGAATGAAAAGGGCTGTGTCGCAGAATTGCCTTGATAATCATCCAGAACCGGGCTCAACAGTCGTTTCACCATCTTCCAATTGTCGTGAGACTCCCTGAACCGAGACCCAACCCGACCAATTCCGAACTGATCTACTTCACTGAGAGGCAGTGTCGTAAATAGACTATGCCATCCATTTTCTAATTGCGGGACTTCCTTTGGTTTGCTTTGATCGTCAACCCCTGGCTCGAGGAGATTTTCTGCGACGAAGTCCTCAAAGCAGCCTTTCAATTTCTCCGTGTTGCGCAGGACACGTTGGACAATAACGTAGGCTTCAACAGTCGCATGATGATCACTGACACCTGTATCGCGCCGCTCAGATATTTTATTATCGTTGAGGAATTTTCGGATCTCCGTCGGTCCTTCTTGGTTCGATATTAATATCAGGATTTGCTTCGAAACAGATTTAAGGAGCTGCAAAGCTTCATTTGCAACTGCATCGTTGACGATATTATGTGAAGCGACTTGGCATATCTGGTTTGCAAATACAACATCATAAGAGGCTATTCTGATGAGGTAATTCCTGTTCCGGTCATTCGTCGAAACAAATGCTGTCAGATTGTCATTTAGTTCTGAAACAAGGCTATGAACCCTTGTTACAAATCCTGTTCTATCGATTGGGTCGATGAATGTCAGGGATTCAGTAACATATTTAACCATGGACCGGTATATGGTGCAGCCTTTACTGATGTTACTTTCAACGTCCGTTTCCATAGAAGCTGCGCCGTTCTCAATCTCTTCGGTCAACTTTTCGAATGCTAGCCCGAGTTCTGAAGACACAGTATCATTCCAAGCACTCCAGCGAAAGCTCCGGTCCCCGACGTTGAGATGGAAAAGGCCAGCATCCTTGTCCAAGTCACGCGCAAGGACATCAAGAGACCGCGCAAACTCCCCACTTCCCACAAATGTAGATTCATGGAAGAATGTTCCGGGGCTGAGGGGGGTAATGTTGAAATCAACAGGATACGAGCGTTGGAATGAGACTAGTCCACCAGCGACCTGGTTTGAAGGACGTGAGAAATCCGGGCGTGGAGCGGGCGACTCTATAGCGGGTGATAAGATCGTGGGCGGTTCTTGATGTTCAGCTGCACCCAGGTCAAGTCTCTTCGGAGGGCGCTTCTTCAGTTGACGGGGTCGTGCCTGGAATGGTGCCTGTGGGCCTGCATTATTCACTGCATTTGCCTGTCTAGCTGGAGGTGGTTGCCGGCTACCAGGCGGATTAGCAGATGAAGCACTGTCAGAGAGGAATCGATCCAGCGTTAAGCTTTGATTATTGGTCTGAAATGTGCGCTTCTGCCGATAATCTTGATTGAGGGCAGAGAGTGACCGTTGGAATAATGTTGGGGATGCAGTATTACCACCGGTGTTTTCTATCTCTGGCTCTGCGGGTCTCGGAGTGTTTCTCTTCAAAGACGAGATAGCAAGATTTCTCCGAATAACCCATTTGTTACCGCGCTGCTCAAACTGCGGTGCCCTCTTAGAAGCGATATTTTGTTTCAATGTCGGTGTTGATGTCGGAAGGTTCGAGCTTGAGACGGGCTCCGGTGTAGTGCCCCTACCTTCAGAGCGGACTGTTGGTTCAATATCGATTACTGTCGGTCGACTTGTTCCTTGAGCATTGCGCAGGTCGAAGGAATCGCGCTTGTCTGCGAGGAAATTCATCAGTGTCCTTCGCTGACTAGGTTTGGGTCGTGGCTGTGCTGATCTCTTCTGTTGTGAAATTTTCCCCTTCCGCCATTCACGCAAGGACGAATTGGCATCTTCCGTGTCTAGCCTTGAGCCCAATTTAACGAACTTGCGAGTTGGGCTCTCCCTGCCCTCATCTCGGCGCGAGCGAGCTTGTCGAGCAGCAACTCTGAGGAACTGCGGCTGTTCTTTTCGAGGCTGCTGAGCAACCTCTGGTGCATCTAGGATACCAAGCCTAGGTACCTTGAAAGAGGATCGTTTTGCCTGCTGTCCTCCATAGGCGGAATCGGTTATCCTAGTCTGCCGCTTAAGACGAGCCCGTTTCCGGTGGCTTTCACTCCGCATGCTATCTTTCTCAGGCCTCTGTCGTTTCTTGCCGGGTTTGGGTTTCCCACTCCGGGAAGATGAGGCGCGCGGTACCGATGGAAACATGTAATCGATTCGGTTATCTTCTGGGAGATCATCGCCAATATCTTGGTCATGGAACGGATCGTCAAACCCGACTATGCTGGCTAGTACCTCGCGTGTGTTATCTCGAGCAGGGCTATTATCTCTTCTATCATCATCACTGTCATCGTCATCAGCGAGATGACTTAAAGCAGCCAAAGGCCGGTTAGGGCTTCGTGCTCTGGTAGAATCGCCCCTTCTCATTATCTTTTTGGCGACACCCTTCCCATTCTCTGCTCTCTGTGCAGCTGCCAGGTCACGATGTCGCTGTGTAGAACTTGGGAGTTTCTGAGTCTGTTTTTGCTGGTCGAGTCGAAGCCATGATGCTGGAAGAACGCCCTTTATCCTACGCTTCATTGCCTTAACAGCAGCTTCGTCGTTGTCATTTCCATCCTCTGCATCTGAATTCGCCTGGCTTTGAGAAGATATGGATTCCACATCTGTAGGATCCTGATCACCATCACCACCATCCTCAGACAAATCCATAGCATTAGCATCGTCGGCATTCGTCGTTTGCAACCTCGACTCCGTAGCAGGCGTATTAGTTGCCGGCGGTGTAAATCCAGGTGGAAATCTGAACACCCCTGAAGGTTTTATGGTTTGCGTTGAAGAGATACTTCCCGAGCGTGGCGGGGTAGAATGAATGTCGAAGATAGAGGTCGGCTCTGACCCTCGGGGGGTTGTAGAGTTATCAATGACCACTCTGGGTTTTGGCGAATTCTGCGGCCCATTTTGTTTATTGCGATCAGGGTGTGATATTTTCCGACGCTTCGGTATATGAGCTCCTTTGCCCGGTGAGGAAGGGCCCGAAGGTTGATGATCACGCCGACGTCCAGGTGTATGTTGTGTTCGTTTTTCGAGTACCTGACGAGGGTCTGCAGGAGACGAAGGTAGAGATTGAAAGTCTGGCACAGGGCTACTCGATGGCGGTGCAGCACTTTCGAAAGAGTTCTGGTTTTGGCTTTCTGCTGCTTCACGGTCACGCAAAGCTTGCTGGTACTGGGCTATACGTACAGGCTTTATGCCTCTTGCTTTCATAAGATTTTGATATTTAGCATCTTCGAGCAAATAAGGATGCATCTGGATGGGATTGCGCTGTCTCAACGACCTTCGCATCGGTTGGGCCAGTTCTTGTAGTATATCCTCCGGAATCTCGAGGGGAGGAAGCAGCTCCTCGAGGTTCTGTTCCGATGCCGTTTCGGTTCGTTCTTGGTCATTTTGGTCGTTTTGAGGGCCCTGGTCGTCGGTGTGAATTCGATCGTCCTGGTTATCCGGAGCCTCCTGAGTATCATCATCCGAGCGCAAAGAATGAAGAGATGACAATGGGGAAGAAAGAGGAGATAAATCCATATTCTCCCTTGGTTGTGTCCCATCTTCTTCAACCCTTGATGGGTGAGTCACTGGCTTCCGGACAGGTCTGAACTCGAACTGCAGCTCATCTGGAGAGGAACTAGGGACAGCCCACACATCCTTGTTTTGCTTTGCTCGTGGAGTCGATGGACTAACATCTGGAGCATCTGGGGCATCTGGTAAGCCTGGGGATGAGCGTGACTCTGCCTCCTCTCCTCTCGCAGACGGAGTCTGTGATCGAATTTCCTGCTCCTCAGTCTTCCCATTGAGTGTTTCAATGCCGGCCTCAGAAGTGTCATCTGCTTCCTGCTTTCCTTCCTCCTCGGACTGCGCCACACTCAGAGTTTCTTGTCCATCTTCAACGCTCACATCCCTGTCCACGGTAGATTGACTAGGAGTATCATTTTGCGAAACTTCGGCATCGTCGCCACTCGGAGAGTTATGAGCTTCCTCCTCAACTCTATCCCTCTTTGAAGTCTGGCCGGTTTTTTTCGTAGGGGTTGTCGCAACATCTTCAGTCACCGGTACACCAGCCCCTTCATCATCCTTGCTCGTCAACGCCTCGATATCCTGACTGCCAAATCCATCCTCTGATTCTGAGTCTGAATCCGGTACATATCCTCGCTCCCGCCATGATTCCATTTGTATCCTTGGCGCTGATGGCCCATCGCCCTAGATGTTCATCACTTCCGTTTGCGTAGAAGGGGGCGACTGCCTGCTAATTCGAATTAAAAATCAGAAATAAAATTTTCGACGAGGAAAACAATTTTACTAGATGGATGTTGAGGGAATCTGACTCTGCTTGATTGGTATGCGTTATCACTGCAGCGCTTGTTCTCGCCCATCCGACGCGTCGAAAATGTGGGGAGACGCGACGAGGAAATTTGGCGATGCTTTTTAACTAACCGTCCGCCATTAGTGATCCGGTCCGCGGGCTCGGCGATCCCTCCATCTCGGTCATTCTCAACGTCTGTATTCTCTTTGGCGTGGAATATTAATTCGATTACACTCAGCTTGAAGATATCCTTCTACTTATTATTCTAATCTTTATTATCTTTATTATCGCTGTTGTTTGCGGCTGCGTCTTCATCATGGGTCGAGGTTTCTTCCCCGCGGTTTTGGCCATCGGAATGGGCGTCTTCACAGGTACTGTCAGCTACCTTCACAACCATGACTTTCTTGCCATGAGATCTATTCATAATGACATAGAGCTAATCATCTGGTGAACAAAAGGCTACTACACCTTCCAACCAGCCTTACGAGAGCTCCAATACGAAAAATCACATGGACCGGGGTACGTCAACTTTCTCTTCGATTAATCTGACCTCATGCGAAAAACACCAACAACGCCCTACAGAACATATTCCATGATCATCATGCTAACTCAAATCGATGCGAAATAGAAGCGCATTTCTAGGACAATCGACAGACCGAAAAGAATCTCCACCTGCTGCCGGAAACGACTCCGGCGCTGCGTCTGCGTCCTCATCGCCGCGGTCTGCTGTGCAGGAAGAGCAAAAATAAAAATGATGATATAGTTGAGAAATGCCAATATAGCAGGATATTATTGCTAGAGACTTGAGGCTTTCGCGATGCCATTTTGCGTCGACTCTCGCGGGGGTAACAACTGGTCAGACAGGACAGAAAACCGGAAGCCAATGTCAGAGCTCAAAAGCCTCTGGACAAGTCGACACAGACACGAATGCAGACGACAATTCCAATGCGGGTCAATAATGTGGGTGGTGGTTGGAAAAGAAGCACTTTGGTCTTGCTTTCTGGGCCACATTTTGTATAAAATACATGAAGGCGTTGGACTATGGATGTATCATTATCCCGCCAGTATATATACTGACGAACTATTGGGCTGCAGAGGCCTGTTCTTTATCTTCTGGATAACGTTTCCTGGCTAGTCCAGCTCATTGTGTTTGATTCTGTTGAAAATATCTTCCCTTTGGAATACATGATGTAAACTTCAAAAATAATACATAGTTCGTTTCCCCATTGCAAATAAATAGCCGCCAGATTGAATCTAATTACCATATTCCCGAATGCGCCTTGTCCATTCCCATCCATCTTGGAAAATCCTCATACTTCCTCGACAAGTTTCCTAGAGCCTCCCCCAAGACCTCCAAAGACACGTCCTGAAGGGTTGCCAAGCCATTCCTCTGGAACACCGACTTTGCTGCCCTGTTGGCCACTGACCCATCGTGTCATTGTTGGATCCGCCTTTTCAATCTCTTGTGTCTCTTGATCGGCTGGAGTGGCATCGGCAGTTTCACCAGCAGGAACTCGGCCGCGACGTTTCGGGGCTTGCTTTCTCAACAGTCTGTTGATTGTGTCCATCTGTTGTTTTCGTGAGCGATACTATTACATACCTCAATTAATGGAATCAAGAGGTTTCCACTACTTACCTTTTCTTCTTCGTTTCGCTTCTCACTAAGGTTTTTTCTTCGGCGGGCCATCTCAGCTCGGCGCATAGCACGTTCCTCCGCCGTCAGATGTTTCTTGACTTGGGGTTCTGTCTTCTGATCAGATCTCATGTCAATACACTATAATATGAGAAAACTCACCCATAGGAAGCTGTAAAAAGTCATTTCCTAGGTTTCCTCGTTGTCGTTTGGTAAGCTTGCTCGGGTCACCATTAAGTGCGCCGTCTTCACTGTCAATATCCAAGTCATCATCGTCAAGTTCCTCAGCCCCATTTGCGTTGCCAAGTCCGCTTTCATCCTGGTCATCTGGTTCCCCCTCGGCGTCTGAGTCCAACTCGGATAGCTCCTCATCGTCTTCTTCGTCATCATCATTTAGGTCCATTTCTTTAGCTTCCACGCTTTTGACTGGCTTTCCGGTAGCAGCCTTGGCATGTCGTTTTGACACTGGTGGTTGAGGAGGGGCATCGTCCATGTCCAAGTCCCCATCCGCATCCAAATCATCGTCTTCACCGGGAGCGTCCTCGTCGTCAACTTCGTCCTCCTCCTGGTCATCTAATTCATCTTCATCGCTCGTGTTCACCTCGACGAGCTTCTTTTTGGGCCTACTAGTCCGTGGCCCCGTCACAATAGGATCCTCGGTGAAGACATTGATGGACCGTCTTGATCCACCTCGCTGGTTGCCACTGGTAACCTCACGAAGCTTGCTGGACGGCATTTTGACAGTCAGTCGAATGGATCTCTTTCCGTCCTCTGGCGAATCTGGTGGAGATCGAAAAACTGTCACTGACGGCTGAGACGCAACAGCACGGGTAAGTCTCGTTGTAGGCCTTGAATTTAAGTTAGAATCGATTCTCGGTAAATCATCCCGCGCAGCACGAGAGCGAAGAGTTCGACGTGGAGACATGGCAATATGTACGATAAAAAGACTGGACTGTAAAGGGGATGCGATAGAAGTGTGGGGGGAACAAGAAGGGTAATAAAGGCAGACACGAGCGGATGGAAGGATGAAAAAAAAGAAATGGGCTTGAAACGTGGACGAAGCAAATCCAAGATAGAAATGTTTAACACATCGAGAAGATCGATAGTCAACAAAGAGTCACGATGTTGGTGTCTGACGCCAAGATGGCGTTGGATATTGAATAAATGAGTGAATGCAAAAGAGGGGTGTGAATGAAAAGGGTCTGTCAGAAATGAATGGACAACGACCTCATCACAATCAACAAGCAAACATCGATTGATAAATAACAATTCTAGGTCTTTGGGCCACAGTGGACAGGATAGGCCACACGGTCCAGAAAGACACCAGGAATCAATCCCACTCCATATTTGGCATCGCCAGAAGGCATAAGCAGGCATTGGAAGATCAGTTTGAGGGGGGAGAGAGACGATGGAATATTAAATATGGATACTAAGGTATACAGGGAGAGGGAGAATAAACGACAGGCAGGCAGAAATGCATCATTTGTGCGTGATTTAGTGACATCCACAATTGGCAGTTTTGACAAGGATGCGACGATGCGATGTGCTTGGGGATCGAGACAATCTTGGGAGGTTGAGCAGGCATAGCAGCAGCCATCCGGGATGCAGAGGGAAGAACAGGAGGAATACGAGTGGATGAAACTCACCGGACAAACACAGCAGTGTTGGGCGTGGGGTAAAGAGGGCTGTCGTGGCCGTACGGGTCAGTCTCCAGACGATGAAGTCTTGACTCTGTCTTTCTTTTCTTTTGTTTCTTTCTTTTTCTCGCTGGAAATAATTATTTGGATGGATTGGGATTCGCGGCGATGCTGGAGGAGCACCATTCTGCCGGGCGGTGGGCGCTTGGCATTCGATGGCATTGAGATAGAATAGCAATTAATGTTTATACTTATTTTTATATTAGAGTATTTATTAATATAAAGAGTGGATATGACGTAAAGACTAGAAAGATGGCTATAAAAGATGATATATGAAAGATAATTGTGTTGGAGTAGACGTTATGCTGGATAGATCAGACTGACCATAAGACAGACAAGATAGACAAACGACAACATTGTGCTCATTTTTAATCATAAAACATGCACTCTATACTATTCAAATAATATGGCATGAGGAAAAGATCTATAAATGTGACGAATAAAATGATGTACTTCTAGTTTGAAGCCATTCATGATGTATCGGATAGAACGTGACAATACGTGACAATACAGCCGAGGTCGGGGACGGCCGACTCCAACGGCTCACATGGAGTTATCTCCCATCGCCATCACCACGACCCTCACCATCTCCCTCTTCTTTACCAGTCACTTCAACTCTGTCACTATACTCCTCGACGATCAACATGACGGATCCCAAACCAAAGTCTCCCTCCATCCCGCAATGGCAGCAACCTAGTGATGCGGCTTCCAACACCTCCACTTCGGCGCAGAACTCCGAACCACGATCAGCTCTCCTTGAACAAGCCACCAAGTTCTTACAGGATGATTCTATCCGTGATGCCGCGACAGATCGCAAGATAACCTTCCTAGAGTCAAAGGGCCTACGCTCTGACGAAATCGACGGTCTTCTTGGTATCTCGCGCAATGCGGAGGCCAGCGCCAGCTCTACAACCGAGGAAGCTTCCCCAGATACCCCCAGTTCCGCTTCGAAGCCATCTGAAGAACCAACACCAGCTCCTGCACCAGAAGATCCATCGCAAAAGCCCTTGGCCTCATCTCCTTCTTCCTCTTCCTCTCCAGTCTCATCGCCACCATCGTCAACTACCACCACAACCTCTACACCGCGCGATGTACCCCCCATCATCACTTACCCAGAGTTCCTCGTCAAACAATCCAAACCACCGCCCTTGGTATCGCTCCAGAGCATTCTCTACACTCTCTACGGTGCAGCCGGATTGGGGACTACCCTTTACGGCGCCAGCGAATACTTGATAAAGCCTATGATCTCAGACCTGACAGACGCCCGTCACGACCTAGCTCAAACCGCCAACGACAACCTGAAGAAACTCAACGAGAAACTCGAACAAAATGTCTCTACGGTCCCTCCACAGCTCACTGCCCAGGCCAAGGCCGAAGCAGCTGGTGGTTCTTCCGAAGACACAGACTCCGTCACCTCCGACCCGACAGAGCTCTTCCACAGAGACGTAGCTACACAGACATCTGGAGACATCCCTTCAAACACCCCCACTCCTGGAGCTTCAGACACTGCCTCGGACTCCACAGACCCCGTGGCAACGGTATCAAGCCACCTGAAACGCCTCGAAGTCATCAACTCCCACCTCCGCGAATTCAACGACTCCGAGAACGAATCCAGCTCCCTCGACAACACCGTCCGAACCCGTCTCAACGAACTACACCACTACTGCGATAGCTTAATCTACAGTAAATCCGGGTTTTCTCCCATTGGTACATACGGTTCCTACAGCACCCCAGGCATGGACAGCGGCAGAGGCTCCGCCACTGGCGTCGGCAAGGGCGAAGAGGAAGCTATATCCGGCTTCAAGTCTGAAATTAGAGGTGTCAAGGGGGCGCTTCTCAGTGCTAGAAACTTTCCTTCTAGTCGTGGGGGTAGAGTGGGGGGTCTCTCTTATGGGAGGTAGTATGACTTCTGTTCTGATGAGATGATATCGAGAATTATATTTTTGCAGGTATCAATAACCAGCATGGCGTTCGGGTATGATTTAACTTATTGAATAGTTTTATGTATTTGCTGTATTCCGTATATAGTTCAGTTCTCGGCTGTTGGCATATATATATTCGGAACGAGGGTGACATTCAAACCCACCCACGTCTGCACCAAAATGATTTCTATTTCTTTCTTTCAAGGAAAATGACTTGATTCAAACTAAACTACGAATGAATTCACGCTAGGTTATATCCGTTACAGTTGTAGTGATACTCTAAAAGTTCAAGTCAATTTTCGCCCATGCTTAGGATATATCGTCTTTTTGAAACATGATTTTGAAAACTTCATAAAAGGACTAACAGTGGATATCCCACAACTGCAAACATTATAGTAAAAATAAACATATGAAGAAGACTCCTGAATGGAGCCAATACAGGGACACATCACACATCCAAACGAGGAAGATGGCTATGACGAGTATAGGACAGAACAGAAATCAGTCCGCCCAAACACCCCAAAACTCACGATCCCTCAAAAGAGTATTCCGTCACTTTTCACTTATGGGGTAGCTCTGCTCATGCTAATAAGACGCTTCACACCAACCTGTTTTAATAATATTAGTCTCATTCGAGTCATGTTTTATATGAGGAAGATAACCTACCATCCAGTTGCCGCACTCATCTGTCCGGTTTGCCATGATGTTGACATGAATTGTTTGTGCTGACGCATAGTCACGAGCTTGGATGGCGTGCGCCAATTGGGTCATGTCTGCAACAGTGTTTGGCCGAAGCAGATCGTCGTTGTTAAGGTGGTCGAAGAGAATGTTCAACCGGCGTTCTGCATCGTCAACCTGGGCCTTGAAAGAGGTTGGCGCACGGGACTTGACGCGTTGCATTTCCGACGAGAGGACCTCAAAAATGGGCATTGCGTCAGACGAGATGTGGGAGCGGTCACCAGGTGCTTTGAAATAAAGATTAGCGTGGTTCTAATAAGAGTAGGAAGACATTACTCACGGTATTTGGGAGGTGCCGGTGCAGTCTTTCTCTGCGAGGAGGCGGTGCTTGGGCGGGAGCCAGGACCCTGAGGGGGAGGCGGCACAGCTTGCGGGGCCGACGGAGGAGGGCTAGGAGCATATTGATTTCCTACCATCGGCTGCAAAGGCTGCTGGGGCGCATATGGAGAAACACCTGCCTGGGGCGGGGGAGGCACAGCTGCCCGAGTCTGGAGCTGCGGGCTTGGCGCTTGGGCTGCCGGGCTTGGAGCGTATCGGTTAGACGGCGGTGGCATTGACGGTGGGGCATTGTAGGGAGAGGGTCCGCGAGGAATTGGTGCTGGCACACCCATGGTGGAGGCCATCGGTGGGGATCCTGGCAGAGAAGCGTAGGGGTTGGCAGGGGGAGGAGGTCCTTGCTGGATCGAAGAGGGCGGAGGAGGGACCACTGAAGGCGGCGAAGTCATTCGCGGGGGAGGCGCGGTGCCCTTTGGCGGAGGTGGAACGGAGGGTGCCCTCTGGGTGGGAGGTCCGGTTGGCGGAGGCCCTTGAGTAAGAGTCGGGGACTGGTTCGGGAAGGGCGAGCTGATGGCAGCAGCAGCAGGGGTTCCTCTGCGTGATGTCGGGGGCTTCGCTTTTGTGAAGTCCTCCGGCAAGTCATTCCATGCGGGGAGGTTTGTGGCAGTGGTGTATGTGGTGACAGTAGCAGCAGGGGATTGGTTAGATGCACGAGGGGGAGGAGGAACAGAACCACCAAGTGGTTGAGCACCATATGCTGGCGCCTGTGTAGGCTGGTATCCTGAGGGAGTGTAACCGCCGCCGGTAGCGATGGAGGCATATGGGTTTGCTGGTGGTGCAGCGGCAGTTGGAGGAGCATAAGGGTTCGTCGGCAACGGCGCCGCTGCAGCTGCAGCCGGGGCATAGGGGTTGACTGGCTGGGGCGGAGAGGCAACCGAACGAGCATAGGGATTCTGGGGAGCAGCAACTGGTGCAGCCGGTGAGAAAGTTGTCTGGGGTTGGTATGCGTTGGGCTGTGGCAGAGGCTTGGAGGTGGTTCTGGCCGCAGGAACAGCCGCCTGTTGTCTCTGAGGTGCTGCTTGTCTCATTGCGAGCTGGATGCGGCTTCTTGCGATTTCGGCCTCGGGGTGCTTCTCGGGAACGAGGTCGAGGTATTTCTGAGCAATTTGCAGTCGTCCATGTGTAGCAACGACATCAGCGTACTCAATGTACTTGTCATACAGGTTACCCAGCTTCCAGTCCGCTTCCTTGGTGCGTTCCGTGTCTTGGAAGTTGGTGACCTGGCGGAAGATGGTCACCTTCTCGATCAAGCCTTGTAGGGCACGAACATGAATTGAGAACGAGGAGTTGTCAGTAGCAGTCTCAATGCCTTTCTGCTCATTTTCACGGAGCTCTTCGATCCAGATACCAACCACCTTCTCCAACTTAGAACCAGCCAAGAAGCAGAAGGAGGCATCCTTGCGGGCGCTCTTGTCATCCGAGACCCGAATTTGTTCTTCTAACCGGTCACCAAGAGCGTCACAGAGGTCTGCAAACTCCTTGTCGTCAGCGAATGTGCACAGGGTTGCCATAACTTCCTTCCAGTTGGACAGATCAGCGTTGTGGACAACATCCCAAAGATTCTTGCCAACGATAGATGCGAGCAAGCGCATGTAGTTAGGACCACCGGCCTGCTTCGCAAAATAGTGCTCTTTGGCCTTATCAATGCATTTCTGGCCTCCGGAGATAGCAATCATGAAGGCATCGGACATCCGATCCTCCTGCAAAGCCACGTCAAGAGCCCTTTCGAAATCTCCGAGCAGAAGGGCCCTGGTGATTCCCTTCTCGGCTTCAGATTCGGAACCGTTGAAGATCTGGAACGGATTGTTGGTCTTGGCTCCTTTTGATGCGGCTAGGTCAGACAAGAAGCTGTCGGCTTCAGGGTTGGTATCAAAAATCGATTGTATGCGTTTGTGCTTCTTTCCTCCCGTTGCGCGGGGTTGGGGTTCTTTCTCCGATTCTCCGTTAGTTTCTTCCTTGGTTTCTTCCTCCTTGTTCAAGCCCAGTTTGGCCAATCCATCAGCAGCCTCATCGGCAGCCTCATCCTGGAAGCCAAGGTATCCCACAAGACCTTTCCTTGGGTTGTCGGAAAGCAATGCCTCAATAACCTTCCAGTCAGCCTTCTCCTCGTCGCTGGCCGCATCTGTAGCTCGTGCTTCGCAGATAGTTCGGAGATCGCCTTCCTTGAGGGCGTTCTCAAAGGTCTCGGTGGCATTTCCTACGGCCTCGTCGGCTTCAAATGGAGTGATCTTGACCTTCGAGGCGCGGCTGCCCTTTTCGCCTGCGCCAAAAGAAATCACCCTACCACCGAAGCCAAAAGAGGCTCCGCATGGTCTCTCAAGCCATTTAGGTGCCTTCGGCAAGGAGAAGTTGGAAACCTGAGGCTGACTCTGTGCCTTGGCGAAGAAGTCCTCACCATCGAGTGCCTGGTTCTGATCGGCAATGGCCTGGGCAGTTTCAGTGCTGGTGTTCTGAATAGTCTGGACCGAAATTCTTCCGTCAAATGAAGCAGTGGCAAAGAAGTTGGGATTGTGAGGGTTCCAGCGAGTCTGGAAGGTCCAGTTGGTGACGACAGGGAATTCTCCATAGGCCTGTCCAGTTTGGGGGTTCCAGCAAAGCGTACGGTTATCCTTTCCGGACGACAGAAGGAGGTCGGGGTCCTGGTCACACCACGACAGTGACAATACGCCGGATTCATGGCCTCTAAGTGTCTATATGCGATCGGTCAGTTTAGAGATACCGTCTGTTTTATCGTCGAAGGTTCGGGCTTACCCTTTCTGGGGCATGGGAATTTCGGAGATCCCAAACGCAGATCAGAGGGTCAGATTCGAGGGGTGTCGAAGTGACAAGTTTTGTTGGCTATACCAATGTCAGAAATCTAGCAGGTCCTATAGAACGTGTAAGAAGTCTTACCTTTTCAGGGTCCCAAGCAACAGCGCTAACGGCTTTCCGGCCCATGTTGTTGAGAGTCAAACTCTCCTTCTTTGTCTTGACATCCCATACAGTGACAAAACCTGCACTGCTACCAGTGACCAAAATATGCGCGACCTTCTTGTTCCAGTCCAAACATTCGATGTCGTCGGCCCGGGCTGCGGCGCTTCCGAGACGGAATGGGTTTGCGATATTGTTGAGATCGGAGACGTAAAGCTGTGGAAGATGTAGGTTAGATAAAGACATTCCTAATGCTGTCTCATAAAGGAAAAGTTACCTCTCCCTTTGCACCTCCGGTAGCAAGGAGGTTGGAGTGCTTGGGGTTGAACTGGAGAGCTTTGATTGCCCCTGAGTGTTTGGTTGTCCTCGACATCAACGCATCACTTTCAATCCATCAGTCAATTGAACATTATCCTTCCAGTATTGTTGTATATGACGAACCTCGAGCCACCGATCAGCTTGTCAGCATCCCACAGATCCAACGATCCATTTTCCAAACCACCGGCGATCACTCCGCGGGAGTTATCTTCGGATTCTGTCCACGCAAGGTCGTTAAAGCTATAAAATTTATGCAGTCAGAATCCTGTTGTTTGTGCATGAATGACCAGTAAGTCTCCAGTTCAAAGACATACCCAGAGTCGGTGCCAATCTTGGCCAAAGGCTGCAGCTCCTCACTGGCATCCTGGCGACTTAAGTCCAGATCCCAGAGCTCAAGACATGTTTCGTTCGAGAAATCGACATCAACGGCGCCAGCTCGAGTTCCGGTAGCAATCAATGGCGATTGCGCACCAGGCGACCAAGCAAAGGTGGCCGTCCGGGGGATCTCCCTCAGACGCACCATGCTGATAGCAGAGGGAAATAAATGAGTATAGTTTAGGAGATATCCAGACTCAAGACAGTCTGACAGAGGGGCTCATCAAAAGGAAAAAACAGTATAATAAGATGAAAAAGAACAGCTTCCCTCTCTAATCCTGAACCGAGAGGTACATGCACGTAATGATCGAAGCCCTCGACGATGAAGCAACAGCCAAACTGCGGGATCCAAGCAACCAAGTGTCCTCCTGGCGGGACTGGGGGGGACCGGCCCTAAACCCAGTTGGGCCTCGCCAAAACCACCCCCGAGGCCTGATCCACGTGATATCAGGCGGGCGGTCCCAGAAATGGGAGAAAGAGAGCAGAAGAGAGGAAGACAAGATGAAAGCTCGTGCTTCCACCGAATAGGCCTTTTCTCCCTGGTCTTTTCTTATCTTGTTTCTATATCTCTATGGCTCGGTGAATACGTCAGCGGTAATCCTATCTGCTCTACTGCGACATCATGAGCGAAACAGCTCGCCTGAAAAGCACCGTCTATGTGGGGGGTCTCGACCAGGCCGTGACCGTCCATACTCTGGCGGAGGCTTTTGTCCCCTTCGGCGAAGTCGTTGATATCACGCTCCCCAAACCCGACGTTCCCGGTTCGGCGGAACTGCATCGCGGATTCGGCTATGTGGAGTTTGACCTGCCTCAAGATGCGAAGGAAGCGATCGATAACATGGATGGAAGCGAGCTTTACGGGCGCACGATAAAGGTTGCTGCGGCCAAGCCACAGAAGGATAGCAATGAAGGATTGGGTAGCAAGACAGCGATCTGGGAACAGGTGGGCATACATTTACGAGGCTTATTGTTGGCACTGGCAGAGTTCTTACTGACCTATGAATGTAGGAGGGCTACTTGGCCAAATACGCAGTTAGTGAGGAGGATAAGCTTGCGGAAGAGCAGGCTAGAATGGCAGCAAGCGACCGTCCTCAAGACCCAATGCAAGGACTGGAAGAGCTGGATGTTGCAGGACCTAAGCCCGAATAAACACCAACAGAGAACCGAATGAAAAAAGCAAGAAAGAGCACCAGGCGACCGTAATATTGCAATATTACCCCATCAGAACCCTCCATTCAAAGCCGTACTATATACACGCGCTCCAATTCCGAGCCTGATTGTTGTTCTTTTCTCTTTTATTCCACGACACCCGGCTTTTCCGTGAATAATACAGATCCCTCGTACAATTTCCGATGAAGGATCGCCCATTGCAACTCAAAGAAATGTCATGGTACATTTTAGTGCTCGCGGTCCTCAGGCTTGTTGCGGTAGAGACGCAGGGTCTTGTCGGTCATGAGCTTCTTGGTGCTGGAGTAGATGGCGGCTCCGACGGCAACGCTGTAATGGTGAGGTCAGCACATGCACAAATTATTGAGACGCGAGAATTCCATGTCTGATCGCTCAAATAGATGCAAATATTTAAATAACATACCCAAGGACAACACCTGTATTCATGAGATAAACCGGTTAGACAATCGTAGTCTTATCTTGGATGGCAAAGGCCTTTAACATACCGAGAGGAATCAACTCTGGGGGAATACGCTTCAAGGTGCGCAGACGCTGGGAGATGGTGTGCGCTGGTCATGGAGATCAGTATAATTGTCAAGCATTGAGTGTAGCCTCATCATCAATTGTGATTCTCAAAGGGCTCATACCACTTTGGTTCTCCTTCTGCAAACAGACGTTAGCACTGATATTCCTGCCAAGCATTTTCACACCCGAGCCACGGGGCATAGGAAACTCACAGGAGAGGGGTGGTACAAAGGACGCGAGGCCTGCATCCTCAAGATGGTGGTGGGATACATGGTGAGAGGAAAGGACGTTTCCTGGAGGTAGGAGTGGTGGTGGGATGGGAATCGGACGTGGCGACGGGAGCTCGAGACGTTCAAAGGGAGGTTTCAGTAGTTCGGGTGTTTAGGAAATCTTGCCGCATGAGTGGCTCGCTAGACCGCCCGCGGCCACTTCCGGCTTCACAGCTTCACGGGTGAGCGCAAACCTCCCATCTTCCTTTCCGAGCGACCTCTCTTCCCTCCACCCCCAGTTTGACCTCATCCCACCCCGCGTTTCCCTCCAGACTTCTTTTCAAAGGCTTTATTGTTCTATTCAGCCAAAATGGGTGCCATTCCTGAAGCCGACCCCGATGAGCCTATGGAGACCAAGCCCTTCAAGTTCGTGACAGGTGAGCTTTCCTCCACTTATCTTTTCCAGGTCCAATGGCTGCAAATTAGGGACAATTGCTAACTTCTCGTAGCTGGTACGTATTGTCTAGGTTTTTGATCGATTACATCGCCCGCTGTGCCTTCGTGGTCGAGATTTTTGTGGTCGGTGGTGCCCACGAATAATGTTGACAACGTCTGCCGTATCATAGGTTATGACGCCCGTTTCCCCCAGCAGAACCAGTATGTTTCCTTCGTCCCATTGCACTCTATCCCTTGCGAGAAGATTATCGATTACTGACTTTCTACAGGACCAAGCACTGCTGGCAGAACTACGTCGACTACCACAAGTGTGCCACCGCCAAGGGTGAGGACTTCCGTCCCTGCCACCAGGTATGTCTCTCCCAATTCTCTGCCTGGAATTATATTCCAAGAGGTCACATTATATGGATTTGAATGCCCTTTTCTAATAATGTCCCAGTTCTACTACGCTTTCCGCTCCCTTTGCCCCAAGGCCTGGACTGACAGATGGGACGGTCAACGCGGTACGTGACTTGCCTGAAATTTGATATTCCATCAATTACTGACTCATTTCCTACAGAGGCCGGCAACTTCCCTGTTCACTTGGACCGGTAGATGCTTCAATTTCTATTGTTGATTGACTTTCAAGTTTTACTGTGACAACTCAACATGTACTCTACCTGATCAAGCGGGAATACAACCCCATTCATCTTGATTTCTTTTTTGGGGAGGCCAAGGGTGTGGGTGTATATAGACTCGCCGTATTTCCAAAACAATTGAGCACGCGATTTGATTCTGTAAGCATCAATTTGTCGTAGTCGTGCCTCAATCTCATCTTATATTGGTGGTTGAGTCACATGATTTTCTGTCGACCGTTATCATGCAGTCGATCATGTAGAGTCGATCTCATAAAATAAACACCCACAACCTCCGAATTCATTCTCAATGTATATTCCCAGACCACATTTTGATACGGCTTGAAATTTCAACAATCGCCATGATTTCAGAGTAATTTCATGTCGATGATCACTACTCCATGTATCCAAATATTCCAGTAACAGACACGATATATCATGCCACGTCCAAAAACACTGCCAACACACCTAGTCCACGTCGTAGAAGTGTATGTGTCAATCAATATAAAAATAAACACAACAACCTTAGACGAAAAAAAAGCTCGCAGATTCTTATGCAGATTCTATGTATCAAAGTCTACTCTAGATTTAACGCATAACCAACAAGAAAAATAGCAATGAAACACAGCATATGTCCACTGCTACACACCAATCCCAGTCCAGATCACGTTGTGCAGAAAAAAAACACACGGCAAGTCTAAACACACATAAGATAAAACAGAACAATCGCAGACTGCCTGTCCCATGATGCGGATAAGAAATATTCCAATGACAGGGTATCCTGGCGCTGTTCAACAACCATCGCAGAAGCTGAAAGGGCCAAAGGTGACAAAAAAGATAAACAAAATAAAAAGAACAGAAACCCCCCAATGTATATAACGTATGTACAAAAAAAGTAAACTTTTGATGCCCTCAATATGCTCCGCCAGAAATCATGTACATCAAAAAAACGAGAAGGAAAGAAGAACACATCTATCGCTTCGGGGCATCTTCTGGAACGCCCTTCAGTTTGCGGTAGATCTTCTTGTGTTCCTCCAGGAAGAGGAATGTTGCAATTGTGTGGGGTCCCAGGCGGATGAAACTGGGCACCCAGCCCCGGAAGACCCATTTGAGGCCTTCCTTGCGAGTGATGTCTTTCAGAAGACCCAGGAGACTGTGGCCACTGCTCTCTGCAGAAGATGCACTCATCACACGAGTCTTGATAACGTCCACGGGGCTGCAAGCCGTTGTCGCCACGAATCCGGCCATGAAAGACGCGGTAAAATGTGTCGTGAGGTTATCTGACATTCCCGCCTTGTCAATGCAGATGCGCTTGAAAGTGTCGTATGTCGCCAATTGCGAGGTTGTCATGAGCACAGCTCGAGTAGAATTGGGCCACACCCCGCGAAACAAACTCGCGGCACCCTCATCGCGAGTCATCTGAACCAGTCCGTGAAAGGCGTGCTTGTAATTGCGTCGCTTCTCGATAGGGAGTGCAGCATCGGACTGCATGCGCACGTTGAGAACGTCGGCCGGGTTTCCTGCAATTCCTCCAATAAAACCAGACGTAGAAGCCATGGCAATCAATGTGAGAGTACCAGGGGGTGAAGATGACGATGTGAACTGCGACTTAAGCTCTTCGTAGATTCCGAATCGCGTGGTAGAGTAGGTGATCTGTCGCAAGAGGGCTGCGGAGAGCTACATGATCGGTTTGTGAGCGAACGATTTTTCCAAAAACCCGCACCCCTAATCAACAGGTCGCGGTTTTCAACGCAGTACATACCCCACCGTACAATCCAAAGAAACCATCATTTTTCAGAATATAGCCAAACGTGCCTACCATGCTCGTAGGAGCACCTGGAGCGCGCGTTTGCAAGCGGACCTTTTTTCATATCGAGTCGTCGGTCAGCGCCACAGAACAAACAAGGGAAACGCCACTGGCAAAAGGGCAGCGCGAGATGGAACACGAAAATACCTTCACTGTAACATCATTGTTAGCACCGATTTGCGTTTCCCAAGAGGGTCAATGGCAAAGAGGATCGGGAATTGGGCCTTACCAAGATCCAACGGATGTGTCACTGTTGCGGCAAAGCACGAAGCAGAACCACCAAACCAAAAAGGATAATGCAGTTTTTTCGACGACACAGCCCGGGGAGGCTGCGACGACGAGACTTCTAACTTTGCGCTGCTTGCCATCTTGTATAGCAAGATGTGAGCATTCCAGCTAGGAAAGAGAGCGGAGAGTTTCTTTTTTTTTTTTTTAACCCCAAAGGCGGAGAAGAGACAGGGTTGACGATAGCGAAAGACTTCAGGTTAATAAGAATCCAGACGGCCGGCCGGAGATAGATCAGGGCTCCGAGTGCCCGCGGTATTTCGGCTGGTCTAGGCCGCAGAGCCAATCAGAGGCTGCAGCGGGGGATGGTGGCTGACGATGAGCCAATCAGAGCCTCGGTTTTTGCTTAGGCTGTATCGGTAATACGGTTATTTAACGGCGCACTGAGGCCAATGACAGCGATGCAAGGGCTGGGCTCGGTGTCTTTTTGTTGGGGCCGAGATGACGATATAGTAGATGATATGAGATATATATGTATGATGTGATGTATGAGGTATTTACGAAATGATGAGAGTCAGATGGTGTTGTTATGCAGACAAGCAACAGGGGACGGAGTATATATTTTCGACCGAGTAGATCAAGGGACGGCATTCCAAGAACTACAATGTCATTGAGATCATAATTTATTACCTAGGCAATTAGATAACCATAAAATAGTATCAGGAAGCATGAGGCAAGAATGATAGCCAATCAACAGTCAAGTATGCTTCTGAAGGCAATAGCCGCAGACTGATAAGAGCTTCAACAAGAAAGAAACATCTCGCCAAAGTATAAGCGACTAAAATGTAAAGAAAAACGGACTTGCAATGATATCAAGTTCCTCGTCCTTGATCAGATACAGTGCCCTCCGCTGTGAACGTACGCCTTGCCACCATAGAATCCACAGTGCTCCCCATATTGGGACCATGGTGAGAAACAAGGCAGAACCTCTCCATACCCACTGTTCAGCTTGAGTGGGAAAGAATGAGTTCCATGCTGCAAGATGACATCCACCGTATAGGACTTTGAAAAGGACATGGACGCCTTTCCCCAGAGAAGGCCCATGCTTGACATCACGGCTCCAACCACCCCATATTGTTCGGATGGTGAAGTTTTCGGTGCTGTTTCGCAACAGCTTCAAATTAATCCCATGGATTGACTGGAAGATACAACAGCCTGGGGCCTCTAGTAGATTCAACCTCTGACCAGCATCTCAACAATGGGCCGTAGAATATGTTTATCTTTCCCACTGACCTTCAATCTCGACAGACTCGGAGCCATAATTCTCTGTCAGCTGAGTCAAAGCCTTCAAGACGGGAGGCCTCGGAGGTGCACCGTAACCGGAAGCTCCCCGAAATGCTTGGATAACACGCTCTTTCCAATATTCCATACGTTGTACCCTGTACTGATCACACACAACTTGGGATAGAGATCGCGGCAGATATCATGGAAGTTGAATAGAGCACCAATATCGTCGGTCTTCGATCCAGTAAGGTATCCGGGTCGATTGTGTCAGATTGTAAGGTTTGTTGAACCAGATCACGTAGACCAAAATTGCACAACCGACGTGAATGGCAGTGTGCGTCTCAAGTGGCGTTACTGGAAGCCTCTTGGCGAGTCTTCCTAACACTTACAATGCAAACCACAGGATCTGCAATACAACAATGCTCTTGGCAAAGACATCTGCATTGCTTCGTTCCTCGATATCTCTCAGATCAAGAGGAGGGAGATGACCAGCCTTGGCCAGAATCGCTATGCCTTCAGGTGTGAGAAGTCGACGAAGAATATCTTTTCCATTATATTTTCTCATGTAGGGCGTTTCAATGACAAAGCTCCAGGCGTTGGGCGTGAGAATTATATCATGTTTATCACAGAGATACGCATACTGTATGACTACTTAATGTTACTGTTTACGTTGGCAAATTGAAATAACAATAAAGGTTGACTTTTTTTTTTTTTTTTTTTCATTTGCAGCAATTCTCCTAATGTCGAAGAAATGTAAGCACTAGTTTTGTGCCCTACTAAACCATCTAGTCAGCCTAAAGCTGGTTGATCAGCCTAGGAATGAAATATTCCTGGCTTCACCTAACCTTGTGAAGTGCAAGGTTGGCTTAGGTCTGCAACTGCAAAGCAAGTTACAGAAGTCAGTGTTTCTCTACCTCTGGAGAGCTGAGCAAAATGCGCGAGAAAAAATCCCACGGTGCGCTTTCTTTCTTCTCGAAGCTATAAAGCCTTGATTGTCTGATTATGAGTTTTTCGCCATCCATACAGGCATAGAAGATGCGTCCATGTTGAGGGCCCAAGAAAGATGTCATTAAGACCTAATGAAAGAAAGAGCGTGTTAGCCTTTTGACACACATAAAGATCATGCATGGGCTGAGATATTATGTCCATACAGGGAATCTTTTTTCATCCTGGAATTCGTACTGTCCAGGAAGCTCTTCTTCATTCTCATCAACCTTAAGCTGACTGGCACGATTCTGCATTACCGCGACAATCAATTTAAGCTCCCCCAATGCCATACTGTCTTCTTTTCCATTGCAAGATTGGATCCCTGCAAAATGGACATGGGGGTAATAGTAGCCTGTGCCGGATTCTTTATTATATTCATATAGTGGCTCAGGGACCCAGCAATGGCCGTGCATGTTAACCTCCAAGCGATGTCTCCAAAATGGGTGCGGATAACTAGAACAATATTTCCCTTTTTCAGTCCAAATGTAGGGAAAAAAAAAAAAAAAAAAAAAGAAAAGAAAAGAAAAGAAAAGAAAAGGCGGACTGGATACTAACCCGATCTGTTCACTTTCGAGTGACAGGTACCGTGCCCAGGTTTCGCCAGCCATAGAATGGTTAAAGGCCCAAGCATACAAGTAAATCGCGACACTTCTTGCGCAGACTTCAGGGCACCAGGACGGTTTTTTTTAAATTCCTGGGATTCCTTAGGAGGATTGTAGTCTCGAAATTCCAACGTTTTTTGATCTTCGAGACTCTCGTATTTTGGGTCTATAGGGTGCTTCTCAGCTATCTCAAGTGAGATTGGACGAAGGAGAACAGGTGGTTCAAGGGAAAGCTTAGCATCTTCACTATCAAGTTGTTCAAAGTCAAAGAGAATGCACTCGATCTGAAGGGTTCTTAGAAAGTTATCACTCAATGCACCCTCATCCAAGAGCTCAGAGGACTGTCGACTGGATATCTCTGCGGACAGGGTATTCAGTCTGTCTCTCAGAGCTAGGGTTGGATTTTGAGTAGAACTTTGAGCCGTAACAGGCATTTTCGTCTTGTTTGGTCCCTTTGTTAGTATCGCCTGGGTGGAAAAAAAATCCGAAACTTATAGTTTTGTCTTCAAATATCTCGTGGGAAACCGGTAGTGTTGAGATAAGTGTGACGTGAAGAGGGTGGTGTCTGGTGGTTAGAAACAGGGTAGAGAGGGAAAGAACCCCCCTCTTTCCCCCAACAGATCAAAGGCTCGTGTATTAGGGCTGGGCACCTACCTTACTTGCATCTGGCATTCTAAGCAAAAGTCTGCTAGGTACTACCTTACAACTGTTACTGGCAATTCTCTGGAGGATTTTGAAACCAGGCTCTTTATGATCGACATCCTATTAGGTCAAATATTAGTCCATCTGATTCTATGGATAATGTATACATCTGGAATTTGACGGTACCTAGATAGTGACTAGGTGTCTTACACTTAAAGACGCTGTTCGGTAGGTATATTTTACCTAACTACCTACTGCCCGTTCAAGCCTTTCTTTCTTTCTTTCTTTCCCTTTTATTTATTTATTTATTTTTTTAAAAAGTAATAAGTCCACACTACCTTCAGGTTCCTGGGGTGCAATTTCGAGACATACGGTGGCCAATCTTTGGCCAATGAGACCTGGATATCCCGATGGATCAAAATATTCTCTCAGTCCAGCCCTGCCTGTTATTGAAGAACTTCCAATTTGGGATGTTAGGGGCCTGGGTAGCGTTGATACATACTATCCTCTGGCTCACCGGGTTCTGAAAATACCTGAAGCCTGGTGGCTGGGCGGCTAACTAGATACGATGCTACGTGGAAAATAAAGTCTAGGTACTACTAGCTGGTAGATATCTACTCTGGAGTCTGGACGGAGTAAGTCTGACAGTAGTAGACAGGGACAGGGACCGGATCGTGCTGAATTTCCACCGCCATGTGCTCCGTATGGCACTTTGTATGAACCTCACCCCATCTATTGAAGTACTTGATATGCTATATATTGTTTTCACTACAAAGGCTTTGCATTATCTTCCGTGTAGAAAGATACATAGAAGCGTAAAAGAACAAAGACAGAGGTCTAATATGCCAACAGAGACTTCTCTCTTTCAGATATCTGGAATCCAACCTGGACAAGCCTGGATCCAGACAGATTTGGCCAGTGTGTGAGAGCTTCAATTCACTACACAAAGCCCGGATACTATTTGATAAAATAACTTACAGGGTATCCACTAATTTGCTCATGTCTCCTGCTTGTATGCAGCCCAGAGCAGTGAATGAAATGGCCTAAGCGAGTGTGATTTGATTTGACTGCAGAGCTTGATTTGATTCTAAGCGACCTGAAGACTTATCTTTTCTCTGTTGTTACTTCTCCTTTCTTTCCCTCTTTTGTCTTTTCCCTTCTCTCTCTTCCTCAGCTTCTAGCTATCTGTTCGTTCAAATCTCATCTTCTAAATACAACCAGTTAAGTCCAATCCTTTCCCAGACAAAACAAGATGAATAACAACAATCGCACCATGAATATGAACGCTCCTGCCCCTCCTCCCCCTCCTCCTGCTGGTCGAGATGGTAAGGGTGGTGGTGGCGGCCCTGACCGCGGAGGCATCAAAAAAGTACGTTTACTCATGCTAGAAGCAGCAGAAATCAACACGGCTAACCTTCATGGTCAGAGGAATCGCGGCCTGAGATGCCCCTGCTGCAAAAAACGGGGACACAAGGAAAACCAGTGCCATGAGTACAGGTACCGCCTCTCTGCTGGAAAGCAGTACATGCCCGTAAGTCAATCTCTTCACTTGATACCTACAACGCGTTCTCATGTTGATTTACCAATAACAGCAATACCAAGAAAGAGTGGCCAATCGGGGTCGCGGTCGTGGTCGTGGCGGTCGTGGCGGTCGTGGCGGTGGTAGTGGTGGTGGTGCACACCACGGCCAGCAGGCCCCTCCTGCCCCCGGTCACCAGGTGAGTTTTACGACTGGAGTTGATCATTATTCAGTATACTGATACTATTGAAAAACAGGCCCCAGAGGCTCGGACTCCCCCAGCCGAAAACGCCCAAGAACAGGGCAATCAAGCCCCGGCTGGCCCGACTCCTGATGTGGAGGATCAGGTCCTCACTCTCCTGGAGGGGATGAGTGACGATGCCAGGTATCTCAGTATTCCTACCCTACATGGTCATCATGTCACTAATACAATCACTCTAGATCCCGCCTCATAAACCGAATCCAACTGGCAGTGTAAGTGCTGATGCCAAAACCCTCAAATTAGGCAGACAATCTCTGACAAAAATCAATGATAGGCTGCCAGGCAGGGAGGCAAATAAGGAGAGCGACCATGCCATGGGCTAATAATCCTTTTTTCTCCAACGGGGGTTTTTTTTTTCTTTCCAGTCGATGCTGATCATGCGGTGATGCGGGTTTTTCATAACCACGCTGATCCAAAGGGAAAGCCAGTTTTTTTTTTAATTTTAATTTTTTTTTTTTTAATACAACTAGGCTGAACCAAGGCAGGCTTTTTAAGCCCATGCCAAATGCGTGATCGCCTCGGTAGGGCTGCATTCTGTTGAATGTAAACCCACCGAGATATAATACGGCGGTTTTAAAATCGGAGATGTACAATGACAGCCCCGGTTGACTTGTTCTTCCCAATAAATCCCCCAACCGTAAAACGCGTACCTTGTAGATAGTCATCGTAGCCATATGCTAGTTCATGCAGTACATACCGTGAGCTCTGCATCTAACCTTGTTTGTGTGCATTCGTAGATTAAGATCAAGGATGGAAGTGAGAGGAGTATATGAGAGATCTGCATGATTAGTTTTGAATAAGTGCGTTGGAGGACATGATAGTGATATCCCCAGACCAAATTTCAATATATGTATTCTTTGTGATTAGAAACTGAGCGATTTCAATCCTTCGTACTTCGTCAAGAGTTGAAGTGGTTCGTTCAAAGGAAGGTGGAAGGTCTTGGGGCCCAGACGCTCTCTATATCGGCGACTCATTTCACCGGCCCGGGGCTGTTTGGAAATCATCCCGAAAAGGTCATGCAAACCATCAGCTATTTTTGCTGGCATACCTCGCATCGCAATCGATATACGCTCCATTGGAGCCAGAACCATTCAAAATGCGCCTCTTTGCCACCGGCAGAGCCCTGCGCGTCAACAGTGCTAGATGGTCAATTGCTTCGCCCCGCAGAAGCCTCATTCGCATTCCGCTCTCGCATCGCCCGGATGCTCTGGCCGTTCCCCGAAGAGCCTTGAGCTCTACAGCTATCCGCAGGACAGACGAGAAAGCTACCGGCGCAAATGGTACTATAATCAATGGCCAGTCGTACAGAAAGGATGAATGGACCAACACCCCGGAGACGATTCTGTCTCACGTTGGTCGCCGGTTGTACTTGGACGAAAACCATCCTCTCGCGATCACACGCAAGCTCATCGAAAGCCAATTCCCTACACCCATCTACGGGAACTACTCCGAACAAAACCCAGTTGTTTCTACTGAGTTGAATTTCGATGTCCTGGGCTTCCCTCTCGACCACCCCGGCCGCAGTCGTACCGACACGTACTACATAAACGATAAAACGGTCCTGCGGACGCATACGAGTGCCCACGAGCAGGCGTACTTTCAGCAGATGAATCGCAATGAGAAGACCCGCCCCGAGGAGGTTGGATATACCTTGGTTGCAGATGTGTACCGGAGAGATGCGATTGACCGCAGTCATTACCCGGTCTTTCACCAGATGGAGGGTGCTAGGCTGTGGAAGCGCCCCGAGACTGAGCCATTGAAGCACTCGGCTGAAACTGCCGCGGCGATTATGAAGGATGTAAACAGCATTCCGGCTCATGACGTTGCCGTCGAGGATCCTAACCCCACCTTCCACCCGGAACGAAACCCGCTCCAGGACGGGCAACACAGCGTAGAAGAGACCGAGGCCATGGCCGCGCATCTCAAGCGATCGCTGGAGCAGATGGTCATTAAGATCTTCACCGAGGCAAGCAAAGCCGCAGCTAGCACAGCCGGCGCTGAGCCCGAACCCCTGAAAGTTCGATGGGTGGAGGCCTATTTCCCATGGACAAGTCCGTCCTGGGAGCTCGAAGTCTTCTGGCAAGGCGACTGGCTCGAAGTCCTAGGCTGCGGCATCATCAGACAAAACCTCTTGAACAACTCAGACGTACCGCACCGCATCGGCTGGGCATTCGGACTCGGTCTCGAACGCATTGCCATGCTTCTCTTCAACATTCCTGACATTCGTCTCTTCTGGTCTCGCGACGAGCGATTCCTCTCGCAGTTCAAAGCCGGCCAAATCACCCGCTTTGAGCCCTTCTCCAAATACCCAGCTTGCTACAAGGACGTGGCGTTCTGGTTACCCTCCGCGAGCGTCAGCAGCGGTAGCGCCGCTGGCGGCGCCATGCCCGTCCATGAGAACGATGTCATGGAGATTGTCCGTGAGATGGCGGGTAATCTGGTCGAAGACGTCCAGCTCATTGACGAGTTTACTCATCCCAAGACGCACAGGAAGAGCATGTGCTACCGCATCAACTACCGGAGTCTGGAGCGGACATTGGTTAATGAGGAGGTTAATGATTTGCACGAGAAGGTCCGAGGAAAGTTGGTCGATCTGCTCAGTGTAGAATTGCGGTGATGATCGACTGTACAAGTGCGATGTGTCTTAAAAATATGTAGAGTATTTATCCTTTGTAATTATATGAACGTCATCTCAACTTTGATCTACCTCGATTTACTCAAGAAACATTGTAAAGCCGTCAAGAGATCTATTAATCTGAACATCCTATACGACCAGGTGCCAATCCAGGGCAATCCATTAAGTGACGCAAGACGAAAACATGATGCAAATTCCCATGCAAATGTCATCCACGCCTGTTCCCATGCCAATCTTCCAGAACAAAGACCACTTTTGGGGGATGAAAAGGAAAAGACGCCAAGAATTGCGTTATGATATACAAAATTGGGAGGTGAGAGTTGGGGCAATTGCCCAGGGCACAAAACAGAAACACGACAGGAAGACAACCGAACGCCTTCCGTCACAGAGAAAAAGAAAATATCATACACACGCGTTCATAGATGGAGGTATTTGGTCAGGGAAAAGATCAAGACGAGATTCCCAAGAAAAACAGACATCCCATGCCCAATCGAAGTTCCGTGAGTTTGATTCTCGTCATAAAAATAGTGTTTGGTATATTATACAGGTAGAACATGATTAGAGAAGATTCAGGAGGGTTGAATCGAATGCGTGGCCGGTCTATGGTGACAGTTCGGAGGATATTGCGGAGATTTTTAGTCGTTCTTGACAACACCAACCTTGGCGGCCTAGAAAAAACCAGTTAGGACAGGAAGACTTATGGATATTAGATAAAGAAAACGTACTCTCAAGACCCTTCCGTTGAGCTTGAAACCCTTGCTCTGGACGAACATGACATCGCCGTTCTCCAGACCTTCGACCTTGGTCTGGAAGGTGGCCTCGTGCATGTTGGGGTCGAACTTCTGCGCCTTGCCGTCCTCAGTAGGGACGCTGGGGTCGAACTGCTCCAAGCCGTGCTTCTTCAGAGAGCTCATGAGGATGTTCTGGGTCATCTTCAAGCCGGTGACAAGGTCTAGCAAGTCCTTGTTGGCCTCGGTCTGAGCGGCGCTGAGCTTTTCAGCGGGGACCGCGAGCAGGGCACGGTCGAAGTTGTCAAGACTCTCAAGGAGGTCGACGGCGAACTTCTGGATAGCAAAGTTGCGAGCGTTGTCCATGTCGCGCTTGGTGCGCTCCTGAAGGTTGAGGAAGTCGGCGACGGAGCGGACATATTTGTCCTGAAGAATCAATTAGTACAGGGCATTGCATTTGTAATTGAGTCTTGAACGAAGACAATGGGCGCCCCGGATCAAACTTCCGAGCAGGCCGGAAAAACTAATGAGTAAATACCTTGATGTCAACAACTTCCTTCTTCTTCTCCTCCAATTCCTTGCGAACGGGGTCTTCAGCGGTCTCAGCCTCGGCGGCTTCTTCGCCTGCCTTCTCCTCGGCCTTGTTCTCTGTAGAGTAGAAACGGCTGGCGGGCTGGCGGACAACTAACCGGGCGGACTGAGGGAGCTGTGATTGCAATCGTGACGTACGAGCGGCCAATGGCGCTGTGGATGCATAACGGAAGGAAAGCGAAGACCGGACGGCCTGGCTTTGTCTAAGGAGAGTTCTCTGGAACATTGTGATAGGGAGGGAAGGGGATTGTGGTGTAGATTAACAGGGGAGGGTGGTGACGATGGAGTGTTGGTGTCAAGAGAAGCTCTTCTTCCGATCCAAAAAAACAGAACCTTCGAGTATTCCGGCATCACCTGACCGCTTACCCAATTGGGTTGGGGAACAACGCCGGGCCGAATACGATATAGCTTCATCTTTACGTCGTTAAGTTGACCAAGTCTTCTCAGGTCTTTTGGTTTATCTCATTGAATTGTGATTTATAAGAATACTGGATATCAGAGTACAATGTACTCTGCACTGTCGCTTGAGATCATGTGTGCCGCAGATTGCCGATCGATATGCAAGCAGCATACGGACAGACGGATGCAATGAGAGACAAAGAACCACCAAGAAAGAGACCCAAGCCAAGAACGAGAATGGCCGTAAATCAAAGAAATCGAGATCAGACCTCAACATAGCCTTCCATTACCAATCCATCTGACTTTCATGATGCCATCCAGAGCCGATAATACTGGTTCTTTCAACCGAGGGGGTGCACCTAACGGGGTTTTGCTTTCAGCCTACCTGGTGACCTGGTCATGGAGACCAGATCCGAGTCATTCCACTGCAGTCCATCTGGAGAGGAACAACAAACCATGATGAGAGCTAGCATGGATCCTTAAGGGAGATCTACTCGTCTACTGGCGAATAATAGGGAACAGTATGACCCATATCAATCCCCTCGTCCCTCACTGCCTGGGCTTTAAGTTCCCCTTGCTTGGGCTCTCTGGGCCTGGAGGCTCACAGCCCACAACATCAATCTAAGCCTCAGTCATCCCAACAACTCCTTTAGAAGAATAGTTGTGGGTTTATAGTTATACCTAACAACCAGATATTGCCCCCCTCGCACTTCCCAAGCCTTTTCTAGCAACTCCACAATGCCTCTCAGCTGGGACCCTGACTTCGCCAAAGTTTTTGTGCCGTTTCAGGCCCTTAAACCTCCAAAGCCGGCGGTGCACGATGTCCAAACGCGGCGGCATAATCTCGATGCCTCCTATGGTGCTTTGTTCGCAGCACTTCCTGATGTCTCCGACGTGCAACACACTATCCACCAAGTCAAATCGAGCGATGGGCATACCATTTCTGTCTATCGCTTCTTTCCCAAGAGCTGGACTCCTGAGGCTGCCCCGGGCCCCGCCCTTTTACACACCCATGGCGGTGGTATGATTCAGGGCAATGTCAAACTGTTCATCAAGCCTATGTCCCTGATGGTGCAGGAAACGGGTGTGCAGATATTTTCGGTTGACTACCGATTGGCCCCCGAACATCGTAATCAGACGGAAGATGCCTACGCGGGGCTGGTTTGGCTGCACGAGAACGCCGACAAGTTTGCCGTGGACCGTAGCAGAATCGCTACGTATGGTGAAAGCGCGGGCGGGAATCTTGCTACAGCGTTGGCTCTTCTGGCCCGGGATCGAGGATTGTCTCCGCCGCTGGCCAAACAGATACTGATCTACCCCATGTTGGATGATCGGAACACGATTCCTAACCCTGAAGTGGAGCAATTCGCGACTTGGACGGCCGCAGACAACATCACTGCCTGGTCGGCTTTGCTGGGTGAAGATGGCATTGGCAAGGACGATGTCTCGCCGTACGTGGCGCCCGCTCGAGCGAAGAGCCTGGAAGGATTGCCACCGACGTATATCGATGTGGGCGAGTTGGATATCTTCCGCGATGAGAGCATAGCCTACGCAGCGAGAATTGCAGCAGCCAACATCAGTCTCGAGTTTCATGTATACCCTGGCGTGAATCATGGCTTTGATGCATTGGCGCCAAGGATTCCAGTGACCCAAAGGGCTCTGGAGAACCGTTACCGGGTTTTTAAGAGCTTGTAAATGAGGCGAGACGTTAAACATAGTTGGAATGATTACACAGTTTCATCCTGTCGGAGGGCGGATCCGTTGTTCCTACCAACTCGCAAGATGACAGCTCGAGTTGGGATGACCATGAGATGAACGGGGCTATGTCTCGGGGTGAAGGAATAAAAAAGCAAAGCATGATAGCATAAGCAGGCAGAACCATTATCACGATGGACAAAAGGAGAATATGACCCAGTTCCATCCATCTAGACGACGAGATGAGCCCTGCTCTCGCATTCGTGTAGCGACGAACCGAATAAACTTCATGCAATCATCCTCAACATTGCATAACTGCATAAACTCCAAGCCCTGTCAAGAAAGAAGCACCGACCAAGCGATCAAATAGACAGCAACATTCCCAGCAACACAATTGGATCGGAGATTAAACCATGAGGGAGGCTGAGTGGGATGAAGATATCCAAGTGCCAAAGGCATCCGAATTCAAAAGAGGCTTGGAAGGTTAGAAAAGAAGTCATCGACGCCGATACATACGTAGGTGCGACGAATCAGCCACAGGAATTACTGGATTAGGTGGCCATGATCTGAGGAATATCCACACCAGTTCGGATGTTGAGGCCGCACTTGCATCCACTTTAAGGGGGCGGAGTCGAGTTTGCGGAGAGGCCGACCGAGGCATGGATGGAGGATTCCATTCTCACTAAGGAGGAGTCCGTAAGGTGTCTAACTGTCTATGCTGGATCTATGTTGGATAGGGTTAGTCTGGAGGAGTTAATAGTATCAATGATTTGGATTGTTGATAGATGACGCAGATGTTATTCTGGTCGTTCTATTCTTGTATAGACCACAGTACAACACATCTTCTAGTAAATTCTATCAATTACTACTAATTAATATAGAGCATAATTAATGAAAATCCGGAATCATCTAGATGATTCAAATGAGTGGCAATAGTGGCTAAGTCGTGGCGACTCAAACCGACTCACAGCAAAGGCAAAAATGAAGCCAAAGAAGAGACCCGATCGTCAGGAACCAACCGCCATGATCCTCAACCCTGGCTATGATCTGACTTATCCTGACTATTCCGACTGATCCTAACGACTAGTGACAACGTGGAGACTCACAGGCAGTGCAGAGCCAGCGGAGCCCAGGCCGCGTTTGCGTTTTGTTGAAGCCAAAGTGATTGCTGCGCCTCAATACCTGGCCGAAGACGGTGAGAAACAATGCTGGGAACAGCGACCAGGGTTAGCTTTTGTTTAGTCTTAAATATCAGTTCTTCATCTCCAGGATTTCCATCTTCATTATCATCAACTCCAACAGCAATCAATCAATCAAAGCATTGAAGCGCTGAGCATTAATCATTCATTCAGCTGGTGCTAGTGGCAGTCATCCGCCTCTCCTCTTCTCCTCTGCTCCCACATTCCTCTCCCAACCACCACCATCAACTCTCATCCTCACCACAACCATCCTAAAATCATCTCAAATATCAATATGGCCGGAATTACCGCCTCTCCTCCTCGTTCTCCCTCGTTCAGAGCCGGCAAGTCATCGCGATCTTCGTCTGCTTCGCGCCCGAGTCTCTCGCTTGATGTCTCCAACCTCCCTCCTCTCTCCCAGCCAACCCCACCATCCAACACTCTCCTGATCACCGGCTTGCACGATCTCGTTCTCTTCCAACCGGCTTCTCTCGATGCCCTCCGCAGCCAGATCACCGCTATCGCGCCCCTGAACTCTTTCTCCCCACTGCCGTCTCTCCGCCGCATCGTCTGCTCCTTCCACTGCGAGGCCGACGCAATCGAGATCCGCAAGCTGTTCGACGGCCAATTCCTTCTTAACCGCGACACCGTCCGCACAAAGATCTACTTTGGTGAACCCACCCCGATCCTCGACGAAGAGCATGGCCCCAAGTTGCTCCAGGCCCCGCAGTCCGACAAGCTCTTCTTCATCAGCCCGCCGCCGAGCCCCCCGCACGGATGGGTGATGCGCACTGAGGAACCCCCAAACAAGGAGGTGCATGCCAGCGATCTCGCCCAGGCCTTGGCTCAGCTCAAGACCGAACAGACCTCCTTCAACGACGCTCCTGCTGACCCGGACACTCCCATGTCTCTCACCTCGGACAAGAGAACCTCCAGCTGGCCCGCCTCTTTCCCCCAGCAGCGCAGCCGAAGCAGCACTCTTATCTACCACCCCGAGGACCACGGTGGTACTCCCGACCTCCCCGCTGTCATGGTCGAGGATACCAGTGCCGGCCCTGATGACTCTGACATGGAGATGAGCCCCATCGATCTGCCCGTGAAGAAGAGTCCTCCCAAGACATCTCGTCCTCCCGTCGAATTGATGGAGTAATTTTTCCTTCTTATTTTTTTTTCTCATTCTGTTCAATCTTGTATTTCAGCGTCTGTTTTTGTCTCTGCATTCATAGATCATCATCATTGTCATCATTGTCATGACCCAGCACCTCTCATCCATTGGTGTCTTTCTTGGATTGGTTCTTGTTTTGTTTCATCATGCAAGGTGTTTGGATGGAGTTTGGTTGCATCAATAATGGGTTATTGGATTGGGTCTATGTTTAAACGCTTTTTCTGATGCTTCCGAGTCTTGGATGTGGATTGGTCTGCTCTACTTATTAGATTGGACATGGGTATAATGCACAATACACAATACACAATACACTTTATAATCAGTCTATCTATCTTTTTTCTAGTAATAGTTACTTGTCAATACTATCAAGCTAAAAGGAAAGGAATTAACCGAATTACTACTAGTCTAAGCATTCTAGTAAGTGGACCAGATAGATTGTGGGATTTATGCTGATATCGTCATCTATGTACGGTAAATCGATCTAGATACAAATCTAATCAAACAAAACCACAGCACTCTCACGCACCATTCGAGCCCCCAGAACCGCAGCCAACTCGGCCACGATCCCCTTGACTGATTGTGGGTTATCAAGGGCCATTTGTTCCCAGCCTCTTAGATCCTATACATGGAAGGTGTGGTTAGTAGGTTATTCATTCTTAGTTTTGGATAAGGATCTGAGCTGGATTTGACTTACAGCCATGCTGAAGAAAGATCCATGAACGAGGAGAGGCCAATGGTCTAGGTCTGCTGCTTTGGTTTCTTCGAGTGTCATTGTACCGGGCATGTTGAGGGCAAATAGCGATACCTCTTCGTCGTTAATTTCCGAGTCGGCGGCTTCTGTGTTGTCTTTTTCTGTGGGGTTTGCTGCTTGTCGTCTGTCGTGGGAGAGGGACACGTAAGACCGTTTGTCTAGTTTGTCGGACAGTTCACCGTCGAGGGGATCCCAGGCGTAGGTTTCTGGGTCTGTTGGTTGTGGATTAATTAGCATTTGACTTGTTGGATATTGTTTTGGCGTGGGAACTTACCCAGGACGTATTGGGGTCGGAATGTTCCCTTGTACCGCATCTTCTGGCACGTGTGGATGTAGTAACCTACATGGTTGTTAGAAGGTGCGCATGATCCGAAGCAATGTGTCTTACCCATGTAGTAATACTTATAGGCTCCTTCGATCGTGAGCGCGATTTCCCGCAACGCACTGATCTTTCCAAACTCCCATGCTTCGTAATCGGGATCGTAGCTAGACTGTCAGTTGTGTACTGCGAGTTGGAGGCCACAGCTCTTACAAGATATACACGGAGCTGACTCCGTTGGGCATAAGGTCCAGAACAGCGACAGCGATGAGCTTCCCATCCAACCGGTAGCACTGGTGCCAGGATCCTAGCTTGCGTTCTGCCGAGTTTGCATTGGCTGGAGATCGTTTGATACCCGAACAGAGGAAACGCTCAAAGTCTTTGGTCTTCCATTTGGATACATCTTCCTTGTGAACCTTTGTCTGGTATTTGACGAATAGATTGAATCTTCTAGGATGAGCCCTGTCATGCATAGCAGTTCCATGATACTTACTTGGCTTGAGAGACGGAGTCTGCTTCGAAATTCACTTCAAAGCGATGAGCTGGTTCCAGCGCTCTCTTGGTTTCTGGATCAATAGGACGCTTGACGTTGCTATATTCAGTTTCGTGGACCGCGGTAAGGAGGTCAAAGTTGCATTTTCGATGCTTCTTCTCTCTGATAATAATGAGCCAATGAGATATTTCTATGAGTGAATCCCACTTACTCCCGCGTCTTCGGACACAACCGAGCTGCTTTGCGAATGTACTCGGGACCCAGAACGAACTTGTTCCAGCGATTGATTGCTTTTCGTTGATCCTTTCTGGATTTGTAGGCCGATCCTTCAAGCCTGCGTTTTCGCTCAGTATCAATTCAAGGGCAGAAAACAGAACGACGATGTGTACCTCAATGTGTAATAAGGACAGCATGATCGCTGCAAGTTCTGTTTGTAATAAAGTGTCCCGGATCTAGATAGAGGTCAGCATTGGTGATGGGCGCATGCTATGATGGGACAACCTTCTCCAACCGCGATTGACAAGTTCCTCATAATGTCTAGGCTGTACAGCAAGTGAGCTGGTGTAGTAGGAAGCACCTAGCGAATTTATCAATAACTGGTTGAAAATGAAGTTATTCCCGCGGGGGGGTTTAAGGTGGGGTCAAGACTCACAGCCATCCTCAGATTTACAGTAGCCGCACGAGTTGCGTTGATAACCTGAGTAAGTGGGAAGCCATCAGCAATTAGTCATGGCATACCGTCATGAGTCGAGTATTTGGTGGACAAGGAAGTATCCGGGGAGTCGGAAGAAAACAAATGAATGGGGAGCAAGTGGGATAGTGAGTTGTACCCGCGGAGGGGCAGAGAGAGAGAGAGAGAGTGATACATCATCACGATGGGGACTGGAGGGGCAGCCAGCACCAAGTGGGATGATATTCATCGTGAAGGAAGACCGGAGGATGAGGGCAGAGAAAACTGAAGGGCCAGTGACAGCGGCACGAGGCAACAGACACCTTTCTGACTGGCTGCTTACCTAGAGGCCGGAAGAGCGACAGATTCCTTGCTTGTTCGGCGTCGACGACGGGTTCCATGGCGGAGTAGAGAAAAAGAGGCGAGGATGATTTGTCTGCGGCCCAAGCGGGAAAAACAAGAAAACGAGAGATGCAGCGAGGAAGACGGACTGTTTTTAAGATGCAGTTAGTGTTGAGGAGGTGTTGATGGATGATGTTGATGTCGTGGTGGGTGAAGATGCTTACGGAGGGAAAACGAGATTTGTGGATCAACACGACATCAACAGCACAACAGCAACAACACAGTTTCTCATATTCATTTATATTCAATTTAATCTGTATAAGAACTTGATAAGATGCATTGATTGAATTACTAGAGGTTAGATGCCAGTATGCTAAGTAATATCTGTAATCCGAACACTCCGTAACTATACCTAATCCACGCTTCTAGAAGACCCGGTATCATGCACCCTGCAAGGCCCCAACAACCGTCTTTATATCTTCAGTTCTTTTGGCTGAGAATGCAGCAAGTGAATTTGCCTGTTTGCCTTGAACTGTACAACAACAACATCACACAGTCTGACTCGAACTTATAGCCACCCATTGCTGCACATGCAGGACTGGACAGATCCATACTAATGCATGTACAAGCCATCAAATCCACTCTGAAGGAATGCCCATCGACTAATGCTTTTATACTGACCGACTGTCTTTATCGTTGATATAGAACTATACTGTACGGTACTGTATGTAACCGTTACCATACGCGTACCTGATACTGGACGCTCGACAGGGCAGTTGAGCAGGTGTCACTCACTGACTGTTGGCTTCACTATTGACAATATCGAGGCGACGGTGGAGGGTGGATAGTAATGATATCCAAATATCAGACATGCGTGGAATGCCCAACTCCAGCAGCTAGGATCTCACTTGCTGTGTTGTCGCATCCCGACCCAATCGCCATCGCAGGCCAGAATCCCCAGTGGTGAGTCTTGCAGCAAAGGCTACATGGTTATCCAAGCATCAGTAAAGTTACTATCGACGGCACTTGACTAGGATGGAAAACTAGATGGTCATCCATGATGCTGATCAGTGACTTCATCTCCGAAACCATCGTCAGATCCATGATAGTATGCAAGTGTACCGAATCCGGAATATCATCGTCCTTGGTGCCCCGCATTTTCCACTTCTTTTGGGATATTGCCTCCAAATGATGATATTTGCATTGGCATATGTAACGTCTTCTCTGCTATTTGACGGGAAAAGGGACCAGGGCGGATCATCGCTACCTGAAGGACAAAATCCCAACCGATATGCAGACCAAGTAATCCAACACGTCGATGAGAGACATCATCATCATCATAATCCTTGAGTCCGTGCAACTCGATCCCGAAAGATCTCCAGGCTGGTTCTTGGTCGAAAGTTCCTCGTGGAGAATCGGGAGGCAATATTGCTCTGCTTACGTTGCACGATACAACCAGTCTTGGAGTTGAGTGGATCTATTGAATGATTCTAAACCATAGCAGTACTACTAATAATAATTAGGATAATATTAACTACTGCTAATAGTGAAACTAATAATGATAATTGTAAATTGATATTGAACCCTGATGGCACTAGTAAATCAATTTTACCTGTATTAAGCCTGTATTGATACGTAAAATACCAACGGCGGGCGTTGATGTGTTTCTCCCCGGACGAAGAGGAAGGACGAACTGGGGTGGAACAGCAGGAAATGCAGGGGCGAGAGAAGATTCCAGTAAAAACCATACAGGGTAATACTGCGGTAACATACAGGCCAGTAAGATAAAACGACTATTGATTTGAACGGTGAACCAGATCCAGGTACAAGAATAGCATCTATCATGCTTATATAGGGCCAGATTAAGGCGAATACTCCATATTTCCTGCCAATAATTGTTGAAGAGTGTGGGTAATCGGAGCCACATCGGAAGACTCAGGAGCAGACGAGCAGTTCCCTGAAGAACAAGAAGGCTCACACGGTCGAGCCACCAAAGATGGTTAAACGGACACACGACCATGGTTCTGCTTTAGGCCCCTCTGCTCTAGATTATTTGGCCATGACGAGGTTGTGGGAAAGTGGACAAAGAGAGCGATAGTTGACCGGAGACGAGATTACCGTACTTTTACACTCTTCCTTCTCTCTGGAGTGGTACTTTGTAGGCGTTAATTACCATTATGTATCATACCATACCATACCGTACATACATACCGTACCACCGGACCGCGCCGCCCATAATTTTTCTCCTTCTCTCCTCCCAGAGCGTCTCCCCCTCTCCGACTCTCCCCTCTCCCTCCCTCCTCCGTTCTTCTTCTTCTTTTCCTCCTCCTTCTATCTTGCTGCTCTTATGATATCCTTTCCTTTACTATGATGCCTCTTTCCATCCTCTCTTTACCTTCCAGGTTCCCGTCCGCCACGGGAGTGAATGGGGATACCTGATTTTCTTTTCCTCTCCTTCGTCCATCTCCGCAATCTATTTCCCACTTCGCCCCAGAAAAAAAAATTCCCTTACCTTTTCCTCGACCGCCTCGCGTCCCATTATTCCACATCACCGCCCCTCCGAAGAGAAAAAAAAACTATACCCTCCTGTTGAGACCTAGCTATCACCACCCGAGCCTGGTCTTTTCCCCTCTTAAAAAATTAAAAGAGGAACCATTGCCTGAAGGACTTGCAGACACATTCTGTGTGATACCAGCCTGCTTTTGAGTCATTGACTTTATTTATACCGGTCCTTCCATTCCTTATTTCTATCTTCGCGTGTAATACAGCTTGAACTGTACACCACAGTCTATATATTTTTCTTTTGGTGGCTTTTTTCTGGTTTTTTGGGGTGCCTTCGCAGAGCTTCCCTTTTTATTCTATATACTTGGGCTTCACATTATCATGATGACCCAAACCCGCTCGATGGAGGCCCGTACAGGGCGAATAAACCAACGTATGTGGGATTATCTTATACTCATCTACCCCGCAATCCACGAGATCCCGCTAGATTTATCTGCGCGCATCAATCTCGGAGATTTGTTGAACTAGGCTAACGGGTGTTTCATGATAGGCTACGGATCCAAAGGCGAAAGACTCGTGGCCGGTGTGGTTCCCTTGTCTGCGGACAAGACCAAGGTTCTTATGATCCAGTCCGCAGGACGGGGAGGTTGGGTGCTGCCTAAAGGTGGATGGGAGACAGACGAACCCAGTGCCTCGCAGGCTGCCTGTCGGGAGGCCTGGGAAGAGGCCGGGGTGTCATGTACGGTTACAAAGGATCTGGGGTTGATCCCCGACATGCGCCCCTCTACAACATTGACCTCCATTGCACCCAAAGCTTCATACCAATTCTTTGAGGTGACAGTTGATCGGGAGGAGGATCAGTGGCCTGAGATGCACAAGCGCACCCGTCAATGGGTTTCATATGCGCAAGCTGCAGCTGCTCTGGCAAGTCGTCCAGAGCTTTTAGAGGCGTTAAATCGCAGTTCTTTGAAACGATAGCGATGACGTTCTCTAATTTCTTTTTTGATACCTGTCCTTTTTTGGGCTTGGAGATCATTTGCTACGTGGGCTTTTGATCTTTCTATGACGACTTGACACGATTTTTTTGAGCAAAAATCAAAAAAGAATCTCTCTTCTTTCCCTTGGTCACTGTGCTTTGATTAGTTTTTATTGCTCTGCATTTTGCGTTGCATTGTCCCTACCCATGTTGGACCTCGAATTCCCTTTCCCTATTCCTTGCTTGGCCGGATTGCTAGTCGGCCTGACGGTTTGGCGCGAGACTCCAAATCTACGCACTCACCACCATAGATTTCATGATTCCTTCGTCGGATAAAGACAGGCGCAGCCAGGTCTACAGACGGATGCAAAGGACACCGTCTATCGCTGGAAACTGCTCGATTATTTGGTGCCACGGTTATAACTGGACGTGGCTGCACTTTATTATCGAAAGAAAGGACAGGCCGATTTGCTCAGGGCCTGCAACCTCCATTGGACCAAGATACCGGATGACAATAGTCGATCAGGAGACTGCCTTTTTGCATACATGCAAAGTTAGGAATCTGAACCACAAAAGAACATATCCTATGATTCTCCAGACTATGACAGTTGATCTGGTCGTATGGTTACGCTTAAACTCATCAACAGGACTGCCATGAGCCATGTAGACTCGAACGTAGTTTGTAGACGTTGGGTGTATTGTAGGGATATGCAAGTACCGGTGTTGGTTGAATTAGCTATAGAAATGAAATAGAAATAGAAATAGTTACAATTCATCTTCTCGTTCATTGAATCACTTATTGTTTTCTTGTAGTCATTTTAGACTCTTTTGCATGGCATTCCCAATCGGGCAAAGCGCCAAAAAGGATCACTGTTCGGAGTTGGACCAAAAGCTCCTCCCAGACTGTCTGGACATCCCGCATCCTGCTTCCCCATCAGTCTTTCTATTGACAAGCTCCTCTATCTCCATTCAACTAATTGCATCTCTTTCCCCTTTTATTACATGATCAGAAGATAGTCCCCGATCAATACCAACCAAGTCAGGTGGCGGCGAGCGCGGTCCTAAACCCAGCATGGATTACGAAATGGACATTGAGCCCTCTGGGCCCCAAGTGACAGTGCGAGAGGTGAGTCTAAATCCACCAGTGTCGAAGCAAAAAAAAAAAAAAAAAAAAAAAGAACCGAAAACACAATGGAACCCGAAATAGAAAGACAGAAGACCTCTTCTAACCCACCCTCAGGCGGAACCGTATCGAGTCGACTTCAAACTCAGCTCCGTCGACCTTGCCTTTGCCAACTCCCTCCGCCGTGTCGTCCTCGCCGAAGTCCCTACCATCGCAGTCGATCTAGTGGAAGTCGAAAAGAACACCTCCGTCCTTGCCGACGAATTCCTCGCCCACCGCCTGGGTCTGATCCCCCTCAACTCCAAAAACTGCGACCAGGACGTCGAGTACACGCGCGACTGCGAGTGCGAGGACCACTGCGCGCGCTGCAGTGTCACGCTCGTGCTGCACGCGCGGTGCTCCAGCGAGGATATCATGACTGTTTATGCGCGAGATTTGGTGGTGAGCGGGGAGCGCGCGAATGAGTGGGTTGGGAGCCCTGTTATTACCGACCCCGAGGGCAAGGGTCCTATCATCTGTAAGCTGCGGCGTGGACAGGAGGTCAAGATGACCTGTATTGCGAAGAAGGGTATTGCAAAGGAACACGCCAAGTGGGCGCCCACCGCTGCGGTTGGATTCGAGTATGACCCGCATAACAACCTACGACATGTGGATTACTGGTACGAGGAGGATCCGATTAAGGAATGGTATGTTGTTATATATTGCAGAATTGACAATAGGGACGACCATGCTGATGTGATGATAATCAAGGCCCGTCTCTCAAAACGCCGCCTGGGAACACGCCGCTACCCCTGACCAAGCCTTTGACTACGACGCCGTCCCTAACAACTTCTACTTCGACGTCGAAAGTATCGGTAACCTCGACCCAGACATGATCATCCAGCAAGGCATTGTGGTTCTCCAACGCAAACTCGCCTCCGCCATTTCCGCTCTCTCCGGCGCCGGCGACGACGGCGTCGCAGTCCCCGGTGACGAGGAGGACATGATGGGCGGCGTCCGCAGCCCGGATGCCTATGAGCCCCCCGAGGGCATCGACGGTGGCTTCACAGCCTACGCAAACGGTGGCTCAAGTGCCTGGGGAGCGAGCGCTGCCACTCCTTACGGCGCAACACCGTATGGTGCTGGTGGATATGGATTCTAGTTGGCTTGATCTTTGATCTTTCAGATGGGAAAATAACGGGGATGAACATGAACATCCATCCCTCAAAACCTCAAAAAATGGAAATCATAACACAACAAAAAAGCCATCAAGCATCCAAGGGAGTTTACGGGTTTGTTCCATGCTTCTGTCTTTATTTTCTTTTTTTGATTTCGTTTCGGTCCGGCGCATTTTGCAATTTGGGTTGAACCTTTTTTCTTACTTACTACTTATTATCGAGCCAAATCACTTACTTTATGTATTGTTATTATTGATGATGGCTTTTGGATGAGATCATATTTTCCAGGTTTCCTTTTTCTTTTGAACGGCCATCACCACGGGAATGGATGGGTGATGGTGATGGCGATGGATGAATCTATACAAATCGAAAATACTACATAGTGAAATTACAAATGTCATAGACTAGACGGAGTGCTGACTACCTGCATGCATGCTACTTGCATATCTGTATCTTTCAGGACATTTTAGAACTGTATATAGAGTAGATTGGTTGAGTAGAGTACCATACAAATCCGAAGATAAATCGAAGATGATGATGAAATGCTATGGACAAAACACAGAGAAAAGTTTCAAAAAAGAAAGCCACACCATCCTTCCTCCCTTACCCCTATCGCTGCTGAAAAAGAAAAAAAGGAAAGTAAAAGTAAGATCAAGTTATGAGGAAAAGGAAATCCGAAACGTAAGGAAAGAAAACACTCTTCTATCGCTTTTATCTCCACGTTCGCCGATGAATGCGAAAGAAAGAAAAAAGCGACGAGTCTCTAGGGGACGCCAGAAGCCAGAGAAGCCAGAAGACCAAACCAGACCAGACCAGATGATGATGATGATGATGAAGACGGACCTGTAGAACACCAATCCAAAGTTGCCAACATGAAGACGATGAAACGCCGTATCGTATGATGAACCAAGTCCCACACTTCTCCGATAAACAAAGGAGAGAAATTAAAGAAAACAAAACGTATGTGTAATGCATATATACTGTGCGCTCTGTTTTTGCCATTTTTGTCAAACCCCGTCGAGGGTATCTGGCTCCATGTCGTCTGGGATTCCTGCTAGCATGGAATTATGGGGTAGTTTGCGTCCTGATCCGTACACCATCTCCATCAGTTTGGCCTTTTGTTTATCTCGCACGGTGCGAAGATAATCGTAGGTTCCTTCCAACCCGCGGATCTGGCCGTCAATCACGGCTTCAACTGGTCCGAGCATTCGGCCATTACTGCGACTGCTGCTGGCCTCAACAGAGCCGGCGAAGCTTACTGAGTCATTGCGTCGTACCAAAGGACTGACGAGTTTACGACGTAGCGTCTCAAGATTGACCTTGAGTGTTAGTAGACGGCCGCGGTGGTCCATCAGAAGATGCTTGTTGGCGACTGTTCGGCTGCGGACGTTGGCTAATAATCTCTTGTTCTTTTCATACTTACGGACCACCGCAGCGTCGGGTCCTAGAACACGGGTCCAGAGTGAGCTGAGCATCTCACCCTCGGCTCGCTCCTGGGCATCGGACTCCCGGACCACGGTGCGCTGGAGGTTTAAGAATTGCCTGTCGATTGACTCAAAGAGGGCAAAGAGGGCGGTTGAGTGTGTTAGTTCGCTGTTAATAGACTCTTCTAGGACCGACAAGAATTCGGTAAAGGTACGTGTTAGGGTCGTGCGTGTGCGCTGTGCAGATGTCGGGCCAAGGATCGCCATGACAACATTGCCCAGGGCGGTTGGTGTGGTTGCGAGCTCGCTGCTGCTCCCGTCTGTGTCGCTACTAGGGACTGAGATCCGTTCTAATGTGCCGAGTCGTGATAACAGGTCATGAAAGTTGTCAAATACGATAGATGGCAGGGTACTGGGAGGCTGCGATGATAAAGTTTCCAGTTCTCGTTTTGCCCAATCCATGACAATGAGAATCGAGTCAATATCGGAGTCGACGTTGGCAAAGAAGCGCGTCAGTTCTAGGGAGAGCGACTTCAAAGACTCGGAAAGCTCATCGAGCTGGCGCACAATGATGGGCGCGCTAGTCATGTTGGTACCGCGCACAGATTCACTTAGATCCCAGACCGCCACGCCAGTCTCTTGGAGTGTTCCAATCTGCTGCACGCCATTCTCGGAATAATAGATGAGAGGCTCGAAAGATCGCGCAAACCCCGAAAGCTTGACCAGATCTGGGATGGCGCGTGGTACACTGGGCATAAACAAGGCGCGCATGAATGCGATCGAAAGGAGGACAATGAGGACTGAGACGGTGGTGTTAGATTTGGAGCTGGTGATGCGATCGAATTTGGACCGGAGATAGCGAAAGAATGCGACAAAGGGTTCGCGATGCTGGACTTCTGCGCGCACGGCGAACCGTATATCTTGAGACAAACGATTCACCCATTAGTATCCCAGGCCAGCCAGCTGGACAGGGGGTCAAACCAAGGTAGAGAGCCTACAATTACTAAGATTCTCTGATCCAAAGTCCTGTCCCTCGTCAGGGCTTGCCCGTGCTGCAGGGCCAGGACTGGGGGATCGGCCCTTCTGCGGGGAATCCGCATCAGTTGGCAATGGCACGTTGGCCGCAATGGTAATACTGTCTCCTGTTTCGGTATCACTCCGCTTTCCCACCGTGGGCGACTCTAGCGCATCTTCGTACTGAGGACTCGGCTCTCGCGATTGCGACGGGCTAAGCCCCACAGTTGGCTTCAATGACAATCGATCTTGGTCGATTTTGCGCAGGTAGGGCTGGTGACGGTACCATCCGCTACCTTGCACATAGTCATATCTTCGAAAGCCCGGCGGGGACCAGCGTTCGCCGTTGGGTGTTAGATCTTCTTCCTCGCCCTCTGATTCCTCTGACCGAAACCCAGAATGCTGGGAGGGAAGGCCAAACATGGGGGAGCGATGGGCATTGCTGTTATTCTCAAAGTCCTCCAGCGACGCATCCAGCGACGGATGGTCATCGAAGACGTTATCTAGCTCGTCCAGCATCATGGACGGCGTGTCGCAAGGACGATACAGATATTGTAGGGCCACTTCAACCACTGCGACGCCTTAGCGACAGCGACAGCGACAGAGGGGAACACAGTAGTTCTAATGGAAGAGAGCTTGTGGAGGGGTTAGTCGCAAGCGCTAAGACCGAACGTTCGCTGTATGCGCTGTCAAACGGCCGGATAGAAACAACAACAATAATAGTAATAATCGCAAGCGATTCCAAAGACAAAGACAAGCTGCCTGCAGGGTCAAATGCGAAGGTTCAAAAGCAAGAAAAATGCGAGGCATGAAGCTGCTGCGCGCAGGCAAGAAGGACGAGAGACACCTTGATTGATGCCTGAGGACCGACACGGACAAGTCACTCTTGGGGAATGGTATTTCAGAGCGCCTTCATTCAGATCGGATTCGCCACCCAGGGATCTGTCACGTTAGTTCTGAGGATATGAAGCTTGAAGAAAAGAATAACGGATGGTAATAATAATAATCTATTGTATTTTCTTTCTTTCTTTCAAACTGTCTGATTGTCTTTCTGTGTTTCCTCGTCCCAAGGGTAGATGGTTCGGATGGATGGTTGGTGCCCCTCGCATCTTCCGGACTTTGACTTATCGGCAGGGGGGATTGGTGGTGGCTGGGCCAATCAGCGCCGCTGCTGAGAGGGTCATGTGCCGTATTGTCCCAGCCGTACTGTTCCGTACGGCCGCCGTGGTAGATCCCAGCATGTATCAGATCAGCTTCTGGGTACCTCGAGCGGCATCGAAAAACCGGTGACAGGTGATGTACTTGGTACTTCGGGGGTACTATCGGCTGGCTCAGGTTGACAACTCAAAGGGATATCAGACGGGCAAGGATCGTCGCTCCGATTCGTTTCACAGCGATGGAGTTGACGAACAGCACGGCTTGACTCGAGTCGAATGTTGGGAGTCGAGACCTAAAGGTGAGTAGGTAGTAAATCTCCTTTCAAGGGAAGGATTCAGAATCCGAAACATCGGTCGACAGGGACAGTCCAGGACAGCGTGGAGCCGAAGATCCTGTTGGGAAGTTTCCTTGCCGCAATCGCAAGATAGAAACACGTGACATATGACGCACGTGGAAGAGAGATCTGCAAGTTAGACAAAAAAAAAAAATCATCGGAGGAAAAAGATGTTCATGAGAGGAGATCTCTGAATTCATTACTGTCTCAGTAACCCAAAGTTAAACATGATACACCAAAAAATAATAAGGTCGAAAAAAAAACCCATGACCATCAGACAAAAGGAAAGAGCGTTTTGGTAGGAAACATGACTCTATGGTATCCGTATTTTCCAGCGCAAAAAACCCGGTCTATTGCGTATGACAAAAGAGATAATATTACATGCCCTGTCCATCGGATCGCGCCAAAACTGCTGTTACCACAGAGCGCTCCGCGAACGGGGTCGAGAACATGAGAATAATTTTTTATGTAGACATAATCGTTTATTTGGTGGATTCCTGGAGGTAGCTGTTGGAAGAAATCGGTTAGCCTGCACTCAAAGCGCTATCGGGTAGACAAAACATACGTGATGAGGTCGTTTCTCTCCTTGGGCTTCTTGAGACCACCGAAGGCCATCTTGGTACCAGGGATGTACTTCTTGGGGTTCTCGAGGTATTCGAACTAGAAGACGACCGAGTCAGCAAAGAATCAATTGGTAGAGATGTATGGATTTACATACCAGAGTGTCGTTACCCCACTCAACACCGGCCTGCTTGTTGGCGTCGGTGTAGGCGTAACCCTCGGAAGAGCCAGTCTTACGGCCGAAGAGACCGAAGAGGTTGGGGCCAACCTTGTGAGGGCCACCCTGCTCGACGGTGTGGCACTGTGCGCAGCGAGTCTGGTATATGTTAGCTATCTAGCTTTATGATATGAAGGTATCAAGGGCAATTTTTCTTACCTGGAAGAGCTTAGCACCCTTGGCGGAGTCACCTGAAGGAAGTAACATGTTAGCGGTTTGTTTGGCCTTGTCGAACGCCTCCAGCTCAGCCTCGCGCACATCGATCGCAGGGAGGAAACAAAGAGTATCGACGCTAGTCATCCTGTGGCTATCTCGATTCCTTTAATTGTTCTTGTTTGGTAATGTTGTGGAATAACGCAATGACCGTAAAAGTACCTCGTCGCGACGAGCACACGAGAGCTGGAGAAAACCAATGCTTTCCACCGGAGACAGCCATCATCCAAAAGCCCTGAAGCTCTCCAGGCCACCGTGTTGGCGGCCGTAAATGGTAGAAGACCTCCGGGTGGTGAAGCAAAGGGAAACAACAGGGGAAAATAAATCCTTACCAGGAGCGAAAGTAGCGGGAGCCTTCTTGCCCATTGTGAATGTATAGTATTAGAAGATATAAAAAAAGAGAAGAATGTACAGAGGAATTGGGGTCGCAGAGGAAGTCTGGAGAAGCAATTGAAAGGGAGAGAAATGGAGAGTCGCAAGTTTTTCTGGTTTTCTGGGAGAATTTGTAGATGAGCGCCCGGCCTTGCCCCCGACGGGCTCCCGTGATCCGGGCAGCCGCCAATCAGAGCGCAGATGATTCAGCGCGTAGCGGGCGCAACCGGGAAGGGCCATTTTCCCGGTGAGAATTCGCTCTCTGGCGTGGCAGTAGGGCGGATGGCAGTGGCAGTGGCGGTTTACAGTGGGGATGATGCTGCGATTTCTATTACGACGCACAGCTGCAAGAACGTTGAACCAGAATAGGAAAGGCTATTCTATTGTACCAAACACCGATATGGAGTCTCCATGGCTTCACAGTCTACATCAAGAGTACAATAGAGGGATTAATGAATAGAGATTGAGATTATATCAAGACTGCCATTGTATCATACTGACCTTCTCCTACAGAGCCACTACTCTTACAGCATCATGATCTCATGTATACTGTCATCTCAACCTCTCTCCAGAGCCACCCCAATCATGCCAATTGTCAACCTACCTACTCCGGATTCTTCTCTGACCTTAACCTAGGCAATACGGAGTAAATTCCAAGAATAACTCGGTTGAAATGAACGTGCGTAGGTGGCTAATTCCCACCCGATTCCGATCTGGCGGTCTCTTTCAAATGCCTTTCTCGTGATTTGCTCTTCTTTTCGTCCCATTATCCCGCTGTCCCGAGTTTGGCCCGATGCCGTGCAGCCTGAGATTTCAGGCATGCGTAGAATCTCTAGAAATCCACGTGATATCGACTCCGCCGAAAAAAACTATGGATCAACAACTCCGCAGTCCGCAGGTGCCTCAGCATCATCGGGGTCTTGTCCAGTTTCTAGTGTCCCACCATTAGGATAGGCTCACTTGACAACAGTCAAATACAGCCATCATGCCCCCAATTACAATCCCCCACTTCCTCCTCCCCCGGGGCGCCCCCTCGGCAAGAACCCTCCAAGCTCTCACCATCGCCCGCCGGAACACCACCAACCCCCGATGCACCTTCACCACCTCATCCCGCCTCTCAGCACACAAAGATGACAAGACCCGCGTTCTCGAAAAACCAGACAAGTTCCGTCCGCCGTCTCACCCCGCGCGCCGCGTCGTGCAGACGCGCAATGGCAAGATCACCCCGGGCCCGATGAACTATGGACCACGACTATCGGAGAAGGAAAAGGAGGAGCAGAAACGGCGCGAGTATCCGAATATGTTCCCGCCCGAGGGCACGGTTATGTTTAAGTTTTTGACGAGTCGGTGGATTCATATCTGGATTGCTATGGTATTCCTCCCCCATACAATCTGCAATATACATTATACAAGAAGCCGATGCTAACATGCCGTTTCTAGAGCGTCCTGACCACCCTCGCTACGTTCACCTTTACGACAAACTTCAAACGAACCTCTCCATTCGCCCATCTCCTCCCCGCCTGGTCGGATCTCCTTTCGTCCCCCTTCTCCACCATCTCCCAGGCTCTTTCCGTGTACCGGATGCACGTGCAGCACACCTCCATGCAAACACGAGAGAAGAGACACAAGCGCGTCGAAGATGCCGAGAAGAGACGCCAGTACCGTGTTGCGCATGGTCTGGAGGAGGAACCCGCTTCCAAGGATGAATCGGCTGAGGCCGCTGTCGATGACCAGTCGCCTATTGCTGCTGATGCTCCTGCGCGGGAGGGAGAGTATGTTGATTGGGATGGGAAGAGGAAGCCTGTTAAGAAGTGGCTTGGGATATGGTAGTTGATATCAACTGAGGTGTGGTAGGCTGGAGAGCAGACATGGGACATTGAAAGAGGGGGCAAGGTGAAGAAAGTACGAGGGTTGTACGAGTAGCTTTAGCATAGCGGTACTTTTTTCTATTCATGTATTATCATTTCATTATGTACAGTACATGTTCCTCAATCTCCAACACTTCATGACAAATCAGATCGTTTTTTTGCACCTGCGACGTGGATTTCCCGGACCCATACTGTCGCGAGTTTTTGCATCGGCAGACGTATTCTTTATCCGTAGAATACCTGCACTTTCTCTGCTGTAGTATGCATGTTCTGTCGCGAAGATCATCCTCTAGTTATGCATGACAAGCATTCGACAAAACCTCGTCATACAATAGCACTAGAGGTCGAAGCACCAGTGCATAGCAACCTGGTACTCACCAAATGGCCAAACCCAGTGAAATCAACCAACTCGAACACCCTCCAGACCCTCCAGAACCTCCTCACCAACACCTCCACTCCGGAGAACCATCTTCACCATCCTCGCCATCGTAGTTCTCTTCACACCGCCACGTCGCGGCCTCCACACACCCGCAACGTCCTCCTCACTAGTCGAATTCATCACCTGCGTCCCATCAGAGGTAGTGTTCAGCGTAGCCGCATTCTCCGAGTTAGGAACGCCTGGCTGCGTGAGACGAGACGGGGGATCGACGGTTCGGATAGAGAGCAGTTTCAAGCCATTAGCTTCGCTGTCGCGGGTGACGGAGATGGCGAGGACGGCGTCTGCCACGGCGATTTCCTCGCGGTTGGGGTCGAAGATGATGTTTTCGCCGACGGAAATCACGAGAAGGGTCACGGGCGGTCGGACATGTTGCGACAGGTGGGGGTTTGCGCCGAGACCGTGTTGGGTGCGCGGGTAGAGGTATTCAGCGACGCCCCAGTCGTCGTCGAAGAAGGGGTCTTCTTCGCCTTGGGATCGGAGTTTGGGGAGCTTTGTCGACAAGAGGGCGAGGTGGGTTGTGAGGGAAAGCAATGGGAGGGGGTAAGATAGAGGCTGGGAAAGGAGGAGAACCTGTGCAGAAAGAGTGTCAGTATGCGATGAACAAGAGCAAAGCAAGCAAGACAGAAAGAAAGACATACATCAATATACAACCTCCAATGCCAACGACGATTAATCACCAACCTCCCCTTCAACCCCCCAGCCATCCTACCATCCTTCTGCCCCCCATCCGACACAGACCCAACCAAGGGCTCACGCATCATCTCCGACAAAAAAACCGGCAAGGCATCATCATCGCGAAACCCCGGAATCTCAATCGACATCTGCACCCACGATCCATGACCAGCCGTGGCCCCCGACCCCGCATCTTTCCCTTCCCCGTCTTCAGCCCCTGTCAAGTCATCCTGCAGCTGTTGCGCATCGGCAGCCAGGACCGTTTTTTCCACCTCGGCCTTCACACCGACGATGGCTTGCGTGCCGTCTGCGAACCCGATCCGCGCGCTGCCGTTCGTGCCGGGGAGAATGTCTGTTTCTGCGGTCAGGGGTCGGAATTGGGTTGGTGAGCGGCCGTCTGGTCGGATTGGGCTGTTGGGGAGGGCGAGAGAGGTGTACAGGTAGGAAAGCTCTGCGGGCGATAGATGTGGGGTCTGCGAGGCAGACGATGCCTGCCGTTGGGCTGACATTGTGGGAGAAGTGATAAAATGAGAGATAAAGAGAGAAATACAAAAGCAGTCGGTTCGTAGAGATGGATATATCTCAGATGCGACCAGTTTTTGGTCTGATGAGTGTGTTGTAGGTAAAGTGAGTGACAGTAGGCGGTTTGTCGGTTGTCCACACCTGATGAAATGAAATTTCTGAGATCAAAAGCCACCAACAACAATGCAAGTTATGAATAAGCTGCTCGAACAGCAGAATACCTAGGCCCAAATTCCAGGCAGATAATCTCCCAGCGACAATCTGACCAAGGAAATTTTAATGAAGTTCGACTGGCATTGACGTTCTCGATTGGGAAATTCTGGTAAACGCGGGCAATCATTGTTCCCCCGCCGGCGTATATCAGACCACCTAGCACTACAAGTCTAAGTAAGATATTCGAAATGGAGAATTATGCTGCAAGATTGGATTTAAGGAAATGCAAGTCAAATAAAGTGAAGTACAGGCAACTCATTGTCTGTTCTCATTAAGTGTATGTATAAGGTACGGCTTTTGTGCCGACAAAGTCTATATTACAAGGTTTTAAACCCAAGAACCAGGCCACCTCTGGTCCTCCCCAGTATAAGCAAGAATTGTACAAACAGTGGGAAAAAAGTCCACTGGAAAAAATGACGGTACGCCTTCCCTCCAGGCGCAATGAACAGGCCAGAAAAATGAATGACAAATGAAGAAAGTCCCCGAGAAATGTACAGAGGGGTAAATTGAAAAGCGAATGTGTGACAAAAGAAAACAGGCAATGTAGGGAACAGATGCATCAAAGATGAGTGTATATATATATAAAGGAATGATAATAAAATCCCGCGGCTCGCGCACTTGGTATCGAAATAGATCGAAGAGAAAAATGTGCAAAAATCAAGGCTGATCGGAAGGAAGGAAAGAAAGATAACAAGATATGCCGAAAACAGGATGCGAGGCCGACTATATCTATACAAAGGCCTTTGGGGGTATGAAGACGAAATGAATCACAAATGAAAAGAAACCCAGGCTAACCCATGCCCCCAGTCAAGGAAAAAAGGAAAAAAGAAAAAAGAAAAATACACGCAATGGCACCTCCACCAATGATAAAATAAAATAAAAAAAGAACATAAAAGACACCAAATCCAGTACGCCTTGCTCGGTGATGTTTCCGATTTTGAGCGATATCAACTCGTTTTGAGTTTGTATATGATAAAAGAAATCAGAAAATAAGAAACCTGTTTAGCAAATGACCGTAGATCATCTACCTGCAGGTAGCTCCGGCAGAAAAGAAGCTGGAGGAAGCTGGGTTGTTCCACTCGCCTTCCTCGTAAGGAGGGGTGGGCCATTGGCGAGTCGAGCTTACATGGGCTGTTTTCGCATCCTGCATTTGGTCCCGCCTGCACGGTGTGGCATCGTGTTGACCGAATGAAACGCCGTCACACTTGGCCGATGGAGAAGGAGTGGGATAAGGACTCGGCAAGGGACGGGTGTGGTCGTTTCCCATTACCTGACGGTTCATCGACTGATCCGACGACTTGTGGTTCTGCGCAAGACGGCGAGCGGCTTTGCTTGCCGAGTGCAATACCTCATCCAAGAGCTCGTCTTCCTCCTCGGGAGTCTCATATCGGTGAACAGGGTGCGTAGACATCTGCATTGCGCGTCTCATTCTGCTGGAGATCGGGCCACCAGTACCGTTTGTTGAAACGGGGCTGTCTCCCATGGAGCGGATAGACCCTTGGGGCATCGATTGGCGCTTAGTGCCATCAACGGGAGAGGTGATCTGAACGGGAACGTTGCCGAGAGTCGACGTATCGAGGGAGTATTTCACGTTCTGCAGGGCCTTATCCAGCTCGGAGAGATCAGCGGGCGGCTTTTGTTCGGCGGCGTTGACGGAGTCCAGAGCCAAAGACGATCGATTAGACCACGGCATACAGCCAGCATTAGCCTCGACATCATCGCTTGATGCGTTTCCCGGAGTTCGGCCAGATAAGCGGCGGGCGCGTTTGCGCAGATGCGAGAAGAAACTCTCCTTCTGGGTGAGTGTAGAAGTTCCATTTGCACCGCCGTTAAGTGCTCTCTCTGCTTCTTGTCTGTGCGCGTCGGCATAGTGATTGCCGTTGGAGTTCACAGACAATTGGCGGCCGATCTTCTTGCTAGCCTTGGAAGCGTCGGAATGGTTTGAGTTGCCGCTGTAGGCAAGAGTCGAGTTGGCCTGTGCTGTGACGGCATTTGACAGGGGGGAGACAGGGCGGATAGAGGGGAGGATGGGCATTGGTGCTCCGTTAGCCCACGTAGCACGCTTAGTGGTAGCCGGCTTTGCCTTAGTCTCAGTGCTGTGCGAGACAACAGGCGGTCTGGAAGCCTGCTCGGTTTCCATGGTCTGAGCAGGGCTGTTATCCGACTTTCCGATCAATGACCTCCTGAACCACGATGACTTGGACGAAAGAGTGGGGGAGTCGCTCGGTTCACGGGTTGGTGATTTGAAACTCTTGTCAGATTGCTTCCGACCAAGCAGGCGTGCGGTCGATGACTTAGGGCGCATCGGGTCGACTGCGTCAGCAAAGAATTCGTGGTTCAAAGCCTGAGTAGAAGTCGGTCTGGCTTTAGGATCCCACATGAGACACCATGTGACAAAGTTGCTGAAGGCGACGGGCCATTGAGGAGGCGGGATAATGCTTTCCATCGAGTGGGGTGCCATCTATTCGGGGATTAGTATCATGTCCTTTAATTTGGAATAAAGTGAACTGTACCTTTGGGAAGGTGAACCCCAGCTTCTGTGCCAAGCGAGTGCCGTCTCTCCACTCGCCACCACCAATCTTTGCACCGGACTTGCTGTACCAGTTACCCGGGCTACCCATGATCTCACATACACGCCAAACTTGGTCAACCTCGTTACCACCGGGGAACAATGGCTTCAGAGTAGCAATCTCAACTGCCATAGCACCGACAGCCCACATGTCGACTGGTGCGGAATATTCTCCCGCACGCAGGAGGACTTCAGGGGCACGGTACCATCGAGTAGAAACGTATGTTGTGTAAGGGGATTTGGAGTGAGTCTCTCGTGCAAGACCAAAGTCAGCGATCTTGACGGTGTAGGTGGGCGGGGTGGAAGGAGGGGTGACGAGGTTGGAGTATCGACTGAATGCAGAGTCGTTAGGGGCCGAGGTGGACACCAGAATGTTCTCCGGCTTGATATCGCGGTGGAAGAAGTGGTGGGCATGAATGTGGTCAAGGCCACACAGGATCTGGTAGAGGATGCTCTTGACATGCTTTCCGTCCAGACACTTGTGGTCTCGTGCCTTCATCAGCTGGTAGAGGTTGCCATCCATGTACTCCATGCAGATATGCAGTTTTCGGGAAAGAGGGTCGAGGAAGATGTCGAGGGCAGGGACCAGGTGGGGGTGGGTAGGCAAGGTTCGAAGAAAGATGACTTCTCGCAGTTCCAGGCAAGGGCCTAACGAGTCGAAAGTCTTCTTCATCGTCTTCACTGCAACCTGTAGGCAGAGTCAGCAAGTGCATCCCCAATAGATCTCACGTCACAGCTTACCATCGTCCCCCTTCGGGCAATGTTGGAGCCGGCTGTCCGCACACGAGCGACAGCGACACTACCGAAACTGCCATCACCGATTTCCTTGATGACCTCGAATCGGTCTTCGAGGGTAGCCATTGATGTAGGAGCAACGCTCCGCGAGGAGTAGTCGTAGGAGACGGTCATGGTGGCTCTTTCGGTGTTCTGCCAGCAGATCACTCAGGAGAGTTTAGACTGCATGAGGTGGGTTAGTCTAGACCCTCGCTGAAACCCTGACGAAGGAGAAGCTCACCCTTGGTAAATGCTGCAAGGAGGATTATATAATGCGTGTTGAGGGAGGGAAGTTCAATAGAACCAGGTGTTCATCATTCAAGGAATTAAGCGAAGTCGAGGCCGCAGAAGGTAGCGAGGTGGTTCACTCCCATTGACGGAAAGGAAGCAGGGTGGGATAGATTAGATGTAGAGGCAGGACGGAAGATAGATCGAGTGAGGAGAAGAGGGAGGGAGGGGAGGGGGGTGGTGGTCATGTAAGTAGTTCCCTGGGCAGAAGGGAAGGTGGAGGAGGGAGGCAGATCTGGAAGCAAGATGGAAGACCCAGAGATTCGGACGTGATCACTGTAGTGATACTAGGCGCGGACCCGTTTCGGTGGGAACTTTTGCAAAAAAGAAAGGAAAGATCGGAGGGTCTGGGATATGAGAGAGACGAGAAAGCGAAAGCCCCTGACGCGGTGACAGCTCTGCTCCAGACGAGGCTTGGGACCGGGCCGTGGAGAATGGAGACAGACTTGAACAAGCGGTCGACGGTGGATAATTACTGTCTGTGTGGTATTTTTTTTTTTTTTTTTTAATGGCGCAGATCACGGGAAATGCAAACAATCCGAGGGGTTGAAGCTTTTTGCAGAAGTGGTCTGGTCTGAGCTGAAGGAGCTGAGATACGAAGGGGGGCAATAGTTAGAGTAAACAGATGGAAGAATTGCGCAAAGAGAAGGAGGGGATACAAAAGGAGACGAAAAGACGACGTGTAAGAAACGAGGTTGGGAAAAGGAAAGGCAGGGGAGAAACGACAGGATCAGTTGAAAGAGAGTGGTGGTGTTAGTTAGGAGGTGTGAAGTGTATGTGCGTGTGTAGACAAGCAGACAGCCAGAAAAGCGCGGGTGATGGAGGAAACGCGCCAGACTCCAGACAGACACCAGAATGGAGACAGCCAGACGCAAAGCAGCGCATCAAATCATCGTCAGCAGCCAGAATAAATTGCCTCCGTTCGGGGACGGCGTCGACGGGCCTTTTTTTGGTCCCCCACAGGAGAGGAAGTGATTTGGTCGAGGACGGAGGACGATCCACAACGCGTCTGGGAGAGGAAAGGAGGTATTTTTCTTACGCAGACAGGAAAAAGGCCCAAAACAGCTGAGTCATAAACAGAAACATCGGAAACAGCAGGATTCATTGGCTTCAGTTCCGCTTACAGTACAATAAACAATCTTGGCTAGATATTTCTTTTTGTGATGCAGTTGCAGCACTTGTATTGGCAGATAAATCTCACCTGAAATTTCAGAAATTCAGATTCCCGACAATTAATAGTGGGAAATTTGCCTGCGCTACTCCAGGGCTCCGTATTCCGCACATAACGGAGGACACTATGTATCCACTAATAATTGCTCCATTCTACGGTACGGTATTGATATCATAGGTACGATTAAGTACTCCTGTTATTTTCCTATATATTCTGTATTCTCTACCCTGATCTCTGCGGAGTGCTCTACAGACGGAAAAAATAGGAAGAAGAGAAAATGGCTCAAAACCGTTTGAAGGTTAAAAAGGTTATCCTTCTTCTGCACTGTTTGGGTGCCAATGCAGCCCAATTCCCTGGCCTGGGGACTAGCAGCCTTAGGCTGTCACCGTCACACACTGAACGGGCCAGCCTTAGTGAGGGGCCACTCGGTCTCCGCCTCTAGTGATCGTTAGACGGGCCCTAGCAAGGAAGGCCAGGGGTTTGCTTGGGCCTTTTGGTCACTTGCCGCGTCTTCCCCTCTCTTTCTGACTCTCTCTCTGGCTCTCATTTCATCCCACGCCTGTCAGGGTCTGGCTGCAGAGAAAAAGAGGCTACAAGTCAGAATGGATATCTACACTGGCAATGTGACACGTACATGGGCGACAAGGGGTTGAATTTTACACAGATAAAATGGGATGATAGGTCGTTGGGCTAAATCCTTCGACGGGCGCTTCTTTGTTTGGTCGCCTCAAACCATTGATATGCATCGGATTTACCAATCAACGCTGTCTATCAATGTACATTCTGTACGCTGTAGAAGTACATGTTTACTCGGTTCATGCAGTTTCCATGGTTCATCGCATCTCCTGCCCGTACATATGTCTTAAACTATATCTCTTCCCCGCCAACAGTGGCTGGCCATGTAACTCGGGTGGCTTCTGCCACTTCACTGCAAGATATGTCTGTCCTCTGTGCTGATGTGCTCAGTCTTGCGTACAGGAGTCGTACCCCTCTTGATTATCTATTCTTTGTTATGTCACTGGAGTCGGGTGGACACCGGTGGGAATGTGGCGTGTATGATGATGTAGTCTCATCTCACTCAGGGGACTGTCACTGCCTGTATACCACAGGATATGTTTCTGTTTCTCCACGGCCCTACATTTATTCTCTATAGTAGATACAGAGTACTCCTGAGATAAACAAGATAAATGATACGAGACAGAATGAGGGGCAAGACATCAGTAAAATAATTGCTTTTGTGTTGCGATCGCAACTGTCTGATGAAGATGGGCTGATCCGCATGGCTTAGCGCCGTTTATATGGGACTGGCACTGTCGCTCATCATCAGCACTCTAAAACAATGATTCTGCTGCCTTTATTATGGATTCTTTCATTTCACTATTTTGGATATTTCTGCGAGCATCAGATAGATCAATTACGGTAGATTCAGGACTTTTATCCTCCGATGCATGGTAAATCAGGAGCCGATGTATTATTATTATTATTTATTATTTTGTTATTAGGTATTACTGGGATACCCCTATACTACAAGGCAGTCAAGGCAATCGTTGTCGCAACGGTCGGCAACTCTCGTATTTGCCTTTTCTGTCATTTGAATTGAATTAGTTAGTTCCAGCTGAATCTGTTGTCCAGAAGAGTCCGCGTGACAATTGTACTGTACAGATTTACTGTCCAACTAACTGATTTTCTTCTCATGCAAGATGATCATTTTTCCCTGCTAAGCCTTTTCCAGCCAGGAAAATCCTCCCCCAAGAATTAGAAACCATTAACCGCAGAAAAAAACCATGTGCTGATTTGCAACAGTGCGGTGTGTAGTTTTGTACGACATAATCGGACGGGACTCACGGGAGGACTTGCGCAGTGTCTATCTATCTACCCTAGTTCCGCTCAGAACAGGGCAAGTTGGTGGAGTACAAATGTACAAGTAGTACATACACATTACACCTACATTCCTGACTATGTATGGAGTACATGCTGTGTGTGTATTTCAATAATATCTGCAGCGTGCAGACAGATAGAGGGGTTGGAAAAAAACAAATGGGTCCCTGATTGATGTATGCACGCGTCGCCATATCCGCCATCCGCGTTCTTGATGGAAACGGTGAACAGCCAGACCTCGACCGCCAATTTCACCGCAATTCTTTTTCTCCATTTTACATACTATCTACTATCTTACTATCATAGCCTACGGAGTACTTGTATGGTGTAGTCTATCACTATCGTTTTTTTATTCATTGTTACTTTTTCATCTGTTCACCAGTATTGTTTCGATTGTTTCGTGTTTTGGTATTGCTGGGGTGACGGTTCCCCTTTCTTTTACCCGACCGTTCCTGGACCGACCCGACGAACCATCAAATCAACAATTACGCACTGGAAACGGCAAACTACCAGCAAAAAATAAATAAATGAAATGAAAATAAAACAAAAGAAAAGGAAAGAAAAACAAATCAAGTGGCTGAAACTAAAAAGTTAAACATCAAAAACACAGGATCAGAGGGAGGATTCGTTAGTCGACCGCCGGATGCCTGAACTACCGCCATTGGTCACACCCCACCAGTGGAGCCTGGTTCCGGCCAGCCGGGAAGAAATGACTGGATACTGGATGCGGGTTTCTGGTGGGGTCTGCTGATTAGTGATGACGCCGGACTCGGGGAATGCGGTAATGCCCCACTCCGTCTAGGCCCGTCCCAGATTAGTACCCGAGGGGCCGGCGGTGGCGCTCGCCTCCTACTGGCCAGCTGTGGGTGGTGGGCTCCACCCCTGATGACGGTGAGCGAGAGGGAATTAATATTATTGGGAAATGGGGGGGAAAAAAGAGGAAATGGACGATGGATCATGGGGCCAACACTATCAGAGCGGCGCGGGAGTCCGGGAGACACTCCAGACCGTCGGGAAGGGAGTGGCGATATCCATATTCCATTAGACATCGAGGGGGGTCAGCTCCAGCTATTTCGAGTCTGATGGTCAGATAGTCAGATAACTAGTCAGATAGTACAATTCCCTTCGAGTTTCGAGGGATTCTAGAAGGATCACGGAATGGAAAGGAGAACGACGAAGAGGGTCAATTAATCTCTCACACCTTGACCTCTCCTATCCCAGACGACACCAAGAAGATTCATTTCAAACCAATTTCCACCGTTGGAAATGCTAACTGGGCTAGACTGTTAGTTACAGGCTTTACCGTTAAATGATCAACCGCGCAGGCCCTGCAAAACACGGATAGACATGCTTCTGGAAGCACACTAAGATCCTCAATATATTAACATATTATTCAGCGCCTGCAGCTCCGATGCTCCCGTCCCCATAAATCCCAAAGTACCAAGTATGGAGTATCTGGATTAGTCCCGTATTCACTACGGAGTACTCTGGTGGACGACGGCTTCCAGAATCGTAGTAACTATGCAAAGTACGTTGGATGGATCGTCTGCAGATGACCCCTATTCCTGGTTGTGATGCATATCGAACATGTCAAAATGATCTCACATCGTATTCTTTTTTCTGTACCTTGCGTGGAATATGGATTGACAAGACGTTTCTGCTGCTTTCTGTGGAGTACGCAGGATATCACGTACTTTTGATGTTGATCAGTCTGTCTATTGTATCTATGGTGTCTTTGTTGCCTCTTCTTCGGTGAAGTTGTCGTTTGATACCCGAGTGTTCTCCGGATACTCCGCCATGTTCTGCTCATGCTTATGCTCTCCTATTGTCACACTATAGCCTATGGCAAATGGTCTATATCTCTGTTTGTCTCGTCTAATGCTACGGTTAAGCTCACCTCGTGCGTTCGTTTCCTGTCGAATGAAGGGTATCTGCAGATTCCCTCATCTATCCATCTATCCAAAATGATGCGTTTGCAACGGCATGCTTGTCACTGCTACTGCATGAAAGGCAATCAGATCGTGTTTGTCTAGAGCGACAAACAACATGGCAATGAGATATTCCATGATATTCCAATATGAAGGATTAAAACCAGCTGTATGCCATTGTCCAGCCTAAGTTGGTATAGAGAATCGCCGAGAGAAACAGCCTCAGTCTTCTTTCTCTTTCTGTCTGGACTTCCACTTGTCGAGACAGGAACTCACCAGACATTCTGTCTTTTTATTCTTTGTCTCTTGTCTTCTTATCCGGAGATCTCCAGAATCAAAGCCTTGGTATTCTCTGATTTGTCTATCCGGCCTTTCAGTCTGGTGGATCGCTCTATCTGCTTGAATTCCCTGGTCAGGTAGTACAGAATACTCTCAATTCACTGTAATAAACCTCTCTTCACTTGAGGATCCGCTTTTCCTTGCAGTCCAAGGTGAAAAGAAGTATCCGGAAGTTCAAAGTCAGTCTGAAGCGGGGATATTTCAACCTGCTCTGTCCTGCTCCTGCTTCTTCTCCCCTTTCATCCTTTCCCACCCACAGAAAGATAGGATTGCTTCTACCACTCTCTTTCAAGTCGTTCTTTTCATTCGAGTTTTCTGGTCTCTTTCCACCCTGACCGACGGGAGTCGGGCGACCGTCAGCAAGATGCCTAAAAGCGCCTATGCCGGGGGCTACAGTGAGGCGATCAGGAAGAAGTGAGATACTCCTACTTTTGCTTTCTGTCATTTTAGCTGACGTCAATGATGCACAGGTTCGACAATGTCGTCATTCCCGACAAGTGAGTTTATTCATATCGAGGGGCATGCGGGGTATCGCTCACGATATGTATCTAGGGTCAAGTGCGACACGTGCAAGAAGGTCCGTATGCAGAGTGCTTTTTCTAAACGCCAGCTCGATTCCCTGCGTAATGCCATCGTCCTCAAAGGCACCAAAGCCCTCGCCATCTCGGGCCATGGCGCCAAATGCCGCCAATGTGTTGGTGGCCAGACCGTTGAGCTTAAGTGTTGTATCTGCGATAAAATCAAGGGCCTTGACGAGTTCGCCAAGTCTCAGCGCCAGAACCGTGACTCGGCCGTATGTTTGTCGCTTTAACTTGATAACCCTAGCTAACGTGTTTGCAGAGATGCTTGAACTGTGTCCAGAACCATGCCGAAGCAGACCCGGTGCTGGAAGAGCACAAGCTCCTTACCGAAGGCGAGTTTTCTACCATTCAGGATACCACTGTTACTGCTGTTAGTACTGTATAGTACCTTGATCTCAGGTTAGGTGCTGATTGAATCGCAGAGCCAGATCGATGACGGATCCTTGATCGAATCCCGCAAACGCTACAACAGCGTCACCCGCGATGGTTCAGACGAGGACGACGATGATCTTTCCGTTGGAGGAGGCGTCTGGGTTGAGACCGAGCGTGGGGATGAGAATAGCACGAACAAAGGCAAGGGACTCATGTTCACGGCTTTCGACCCCCAGGGCAACGCACATCGCCGCACCACTCAGTCGGGCCCTGGTTCCATCCATAGTGGATGGGCCTCTTTGGGCGTGACTCCTCGCACCCTCCCTCCTCCTAACCAGCAGCAGAAGAAGCGGACTTCCAACTTTGCCAAGGTGCCGGTAAGTGAAGCCAACTACCAAGCTATCAAGGTTGTCCGTTAATTATCTTTAGGGCAAACGTTTCGAAAAGCATGAAGCGCCTACCATGCGTGTCCCCGAACCTGCCGGAGAAATTATTCCTTCTGACGACGAGGATGAGGATGAGGGGATTGAGGACTTCCTTTAGGGAGGACTTGGTGTCCCGTGGGCTACCTGAATACATCTGTTATGCCTTCCACCTTTTATGAGGGCATATTGAGCAATAGTTGAGACAAGAAAAGAGAAAAAAAAAAAGCATCGGCTCGACATCATTGACTTAGTCAGTGACATAAGCAATCCATTTCATCTACGTTTCTTACTTCCTGTCTGGTAATTGTGTAGTTATTTGCCGTCCCACAGTCGACCCGTGGTTGTCACAATCTCGGTTGACGCTGTTGATTCCCCCACAGTTCCAAAAATTGCCCATCCATAGTTGAGAATTGCGTATCCGTGAGTTTGTTTCATCGACAGCGTTGACTTGAGCAGATTCAAAGGATGTATAAGGAGTAATTCTTCTGGATATGTCATATTATCCTGATTAACAAGCAATGCAGACTAAAACACTTGATGGAGTAGCCAACAGCGTCAGTGGCAATAGCATGACCCTGATTGAGGTAATCCTTTCAGTTAGCCCAGGTCTCAGTTATTTCTGTCTAGCAGATGGCAATAATCATCGATTATCATCAAACGGGGCCATTTTTTCCTGTTGAGAAAAGCCTAGCAATGACGTATGCGCACCGTTGGAGGCTCAAAATTAGCCTACGGTGGATTTTCTTACCCCGTGGGCTTTCTTTTGATGCACACCACATCTCCCTCATGGATGATCTTCCGTTGTGACTGCTATCCTTCGATCGATCTTCTCGAACATATCTGCCTCGCATTTTAAAAACGTGCTCAAAACTCGACGCAAGAACCGTTTGGGACTCGGAGTTCGTTTCATATCGTCTTCAAAAAGCCCCTCCGCCCGCGCCCCTCCGCATTGTCTGTCACCTGCACAAATCGGCCTCTGTTCTTTGTTGCGTTCGGCGCACAAGGCTTAGGGCTTTTTTTTTTTTATTTTTTCTACCTGCTATCTTATTTTTCTTTTTCTACGGCTGGTCCTCTGCTTTTTCAACCCTGAGATTGAAGATCGAACACATCAGTGCTGCTTACTCTCGTTCCCCTCATGGCATACGATGGCTGGCAGAACAGCCCCGGCCCATACGACCACTTGGGCAATGTCAATATAAATCAACCGCCTCCTCACGAGGATCCTCATCTACAGTCCTATCAACCCCCGTATCCATCTCATTATGGTCCTGATCGGGTCAACATGCCTTATCCCCAAATGCCCCCTCCGCAGATGCCCCCTCCCCCGCCCCAAATGCCTCCAGGCTCTTCCCCGCCGACGCAGAATCCAGAGCCGTACCAGGACCCTACAGCGTGGCATCAGCAGCCTCACACGGGAAGGATCAACGAGGCTGTCAACTCGGCGTTTGGCACTGCTGGTCCTTCCTCCTATGTGCCCCCGGAAGTCCTGTCTCAAATCACCGCCAATGTCATTCAGCAGCTCAGAGCAACCGGCTTGCAGGGTCAACAGCCCCAGGCGCAACAACCACCACCACCACCGCAACCGCAGCCCGCGCAGCAGCCTCAATGGCCTCCTCCACCTCCCCCACGTCCTGCGTCTGCCTCTACGCATAGCTACACCGAGTCGCCGACGGTAATGGACCCGAGAAATGCAGAATCGTTTCCTCCGCCGCCTAGTGCCGTCCCGGAAAACGCTGGCTACCAGCCGCGTCCACCGTCTACCGGATATTCAGGCAGTCCTCGGTCTGGGTTCAGGCCCTCGCCAGTCTCGGTGCCTGATAGACGGGAATCACCGGGAAGTCAGAACGGCGATCATGGTCAGAAGATGGAAGGCCGTCCTCACCCTCCGTCGAGGAACGCTACTGTTATGGAGATGACGACATTGGAAAAGATCTGGGGGAAGCTTTTTGTTGATGGGAAGCCTACCAAACGGCTCGGTCAGTTTCTGCGGGGAATTGCGGTTCATTTGGTAAATAACATTGCTAAGTTGTTGGAGCTGGCTTTGATCGCTGACTCAATGGCTAGATTGAGGATTACCCGCCGGACAATACCATCGTTATTGTACCAGAGAAGCTGCAGAAGTTCTACGAGGACACGAAGGTTCCCTCGGACCCTTACCCTTGGCAAGGTTCGTGAGATTATTCCCACTTGGTGGTCATGTTTCTGATTTATATATTCTAGACATCTTCGATGATCGCACATCCTCTATATCGAGACTATTCCGCGAAGTGGAAGCAGAGCACCACCTTGTACAGGCGAAACTGAATGAAAGACCCGATATTCCAGGCTTGACACCGCGAGGCTTCGAGCGATGGGCCACATTAATGATCCAGGCTCATCCGGAGAAAGAATTCAAGCGATTGCAAGAGGCCGTGTTGAACATGCCCATTAGCAATCCGGACGATAAGAAGGAGAGGTTTCCCAAGGAGATTCCCAGACGGCTGTTTCCTGAAGTTCCAGATCTGTCAGTGAGAGAAAATCTCGACCAGTTTATCAGCAAGCATTGCGGTGTCGATTTGCCTCCAATCACTGAAGAGGAGCTATCGCAGGCTGCTGCACACCGTCGCAAGGAGTCTGCGAGCTCGACCACGCTCCCATCAGAGCCTTTGCCGGTAAATGAACGAGAACGCCAGACATATTCGAGACCGACTTCCGCCATAATAGACGACGAGGACGAAGAACAGCTGGCATCACGTCCTATTGAGCGCGAGAGAAAGCCATACACCGCACAGCCCGGCGGAGGCAAGGTTTATGAAGAAGGTGGAGATAACCACCGAGGACATGCCCACTCATTCTCCACGGGCTCTAGACCAAGAATATCTGAAATCTCTCCACAGGAACCTCGCTATCCCCGGACAGGAAGCGCAGGAGCACACCGTCCTATTCGGAGAGTAGGAAGATCCCGGAGCTCGTCACGAGGCTTCAACCCCGGTGGCGACTACAGACATTCCGACGGCGACTTGTTGGGCCATGGCCATAGCCATAATGGTGGCCCTAGACATGCGCGAATGTCATCCATGAATGATTACTACCTGAACTCTGGCCCGGGAGGTATATCCGAAGAAAGTCGACGGTATCGAGACGAGGACCGCGAGAATGAAGAGAAGAGACTCTACGACACACTACGGGAAAGGGAAAGAGAACGCGAAAAGAGCAAATACCACGATCATCTTCCTCACAGAGGAACCTGGGCTGTCGATGATGAAGATTACTACCGAGGTATACTCGGCAGCCAAGGTGGTGGCAGTGGTGGTCCAGTCGGTGGGGCTTATGACTACAAAACATATACCTACCGGTGATATTTTATAGGGCGTACGTACGCAGAGGGAAAATCATTAGGAGGGAAATGGTTAGGTGCATTTGCTTTGCTTGTTTGCTTTGGTTTGGCGCCTGTTTACAAAGGAAGGAAGGAAGATATCCATAGCGTTCGTTTCTTTTGGTGATGACTGGTGACGACTCATGTATCATGTTTAGCATGTGCTTTCTGTATAAAATTGATGGTTTAGAGTCATTTATATATCATGCTGTTGAAAGGATATATCCCAACGCCACGCAATGCTAGAAAAACAATATCAAAATAAGAGGCATAAAAGGCAGGGAGTGAGGTCACATCTCCCTCGCGCGTTTCCTCATCTCAATATCCCGCATAACCCTCAACCCAGCATCCTTAACCGAACTTGCCTCCTTCTCCCTCTTCCTCTCCTCAGCCTCCCACATTCTCTGAATCCGCCTCTGATCCTTCTCCTCCCGCTCCGCACGTCGCCGCTGCCTTTTCAGCGCCCGCTCCCGCTCCCCCTCGACCCTCTCTTCCTCTTCCTCCGCCGCCAAGCGGAGCTGGTCGATCTCCTCGTCGCTCAAATACCACGGCGTGGAGAGCACATCGACGAGAAACCGGATGCGCTGATCCAGGAACTGCATTTCGGCGTTTGTGTCGGGGACGGCGAAGAAGCGCTCGAGTTGGAGTTGCATTGCGGATCGGAATGTGGAGAGTGTGCCTTTGACTTTTATTACTGTCCCTGGGTGGAGGGTGCTGATGTCTAGGTCTGTTTTGGTGGTTGATGCTAGGTGCATTTCTGTTTTTGGCTGCGTCTGCTTTGCTGCTGCTGATGATGGGGTTTCGTCATCTTCACATACCCGCCCTGATCCCGTTGATACAGATACAGGTGCGTCTTCCTTTTTCAGAACGACAATGTCGACTGTCGCGCCACTGCTATCGTCGAGTGTGAGCACAGTCCGTCTGGGCACTTCTGTTCTGGCGACGATGATGCCTGCCAGTTGGACGAAGCGGATTGGATGGTTGTAGTAGAAGAAGATGTTTTGGCCTGGGTGGGTTAGTATTAATCTTTCAGGAATATTTCTTTCTTCATATTTGGATGAAAACAGGGTTTGTATGCAGCAGGGGTAAAGGAGAAGATGGAAGAGATTATGCAGAACATGCAGTGCATTCAGTCTAGTAAACGAACGAACAAGAAGGCTTTCAACAAACAAAGAAACAACGAAAGATAGTGCATGTAGATCAGAGTATATTTATATAGACTGCAAATGACAAACATGCGTATTCCAAATGCTTAAACAAAAATTGAAACGCAAATCTCAAATAGAAAGAAAGAAATCTAATACCCATACCGTCAAACCCATATCTCTTCCTAAGTCGATGCACATCTACAGCCGCCATTTTTACCCAGGCGAAATGCGTTGGCGACGCCCTGAAGCAGAAGGCCGGGTAGAAGACGAGTCCGTCATTATCGACTGTCGCCATCGGATCATTTTTCTTCTGTGACTTGGTGGACTTGGATGAAGAAGAAAGATGATGAAGATGAGGAAATCCAGAGGGGATCTGCCAGCGGATCTGGTGTTGATCATGTGATTCGTTGCTTTTGGTCTTGATATGTACATCAGAGTAGGTTGGTGGAGGGGGTAGTTTGCCATCATTATATTTTATATTTTTATTCCGTTCGCGATCAATCGGGCTGATAGTCTAGTTGGAAAGCCCCCCAATCGGAAGTTTTTTTTTAGCACTTTGGCTTTCAGTTCGAATCTGCGCTGCGGCTTTCTTTTTTTCCTGGAAGCAATAATGCCAAGGGAACACTGGTAGTGTAGTAGATATGACTTTGAATTATTCCATGTCTTTCGCTCTGAATACTCTTATAGCTGTTGATCTGATGAATTAAGCTGGGTATTTGGTTTCCACTATGGTTCATTCTATGAACTTCGCCGAGCTGATGCACGAATACATGGGAACGATGAAAAGCACAAGAGACAACTGAGCTGAACTCCCTTGTCATTCCCATGGATCCTGTTCATAATGTTATAGGTCTAATAGACAAAAACGAGCATTGGATGATGATGATGATAATGATGATGATGATGAAAAGAACAAATACCACACAAGGCGGGTTACGAATACCAGAGCAAACTGGAGACGTTTCCGCATGATAAAAAGTATAAGAATACAGAGTTGAGAAGGAAATAATCGAATAAAATAAAACATCCCACCATTTGTGCCATGCAAGGAAAGGAAAGTAGTGAAAAAGTCGTTAGCGTGAATAGATCTGTCATAGCACAGCTCTTGGTCTAATCTTTCAGTAAATTGTCGTGAGTATGCTCAGTCCACTTTAGCCATGGCAAGTTTCTTGGGGGTCGTCAAGTTATTCGAAAGACGGATATGACTGGTTTTCTTGTTCTTCGTCTGCTTCTTGAGTTTCTTGCGTGCCACCATGACAGGAACAGAAGAGTTGGTGACAAGGTAATTGGAAAAGGAACCGAGGAGAACACTTCACAAGTCGTTAGTATGTTTTTTCCTGTTATAAATCAAAGTGACATACCCTTTTAGAGCGCTTCGACCTCTAGCTCCGACAATAACAAGAGTAGGTGCAAGTCCATCAATCTAGAAGAAAGTCAGCAAAGAAGGTCAATACAAACGAGTCGTAACACTTACAGCCTCAGTGATCATATGCTTAGGACTCTTGCAGTGGATGACCTCTACCGCAATTCTAACTTGGAGTGCAGTCTTTCTCAACAGTCGGACGCACGTCTGGGAGATAACTTCCGCAGCATGGACACGGTCTGATTCCGCCTTGGACAGACCGCGGGCATCGACAGAGCTGGGTTTACTCTCTGACCCAGACCCCAAGCGACCGAAAAGTGCACGAGGCAAATGCATGGACGCATCGCCTAGGGACCTCTGAACAGTTTCCGTCTGAGAACCAACTACTGCTGCTGCATCCTCCATCGCTTTGGCGCCCTCTCCAATCTGCACGGAAGATCCCGCAGTAGCTTCTTCATGGACGGCACAGACAGCGAACATGGTATCTCCATCCCGAAGGATGGTACCAATAGTCCATTCTAAAGCGTACACGGATTCCTCGCTGAGATCGGTCGCTACAAGGTACTTTCGCTGGCGACGACGACCCCCCTCTTCCTCTTGCATGCTGGAGTAATTGCCACGAATGATGGTTCGAATCGCTCTGTTGTGAACGGTATTGTTGATAGTCGACATCTGAATGCTGAGTTTCTGGGCTCGCTTGATGTCCGACAATTCTGCCTCGTCATCGGATCCAAATGGCGTATTGACTGCTGATACCGATTCGAAACTGGTCTGTGGATGAACATCTGGTTTCTTGGCCGGTTTCGGCGGGCTAGGCGGGGCTTGCTTCGTAGTAGTAACGGGTTTTGGTTCTGAGATAGATGTGGCACTCAGCTTGTCCTCAACCATTTGACCTAGAAAGATTGTCAGGTTGGGTATGACGATGGTGGGGGGAAAAAAGCAAAAACGTACGCTCTTCTTCAGCTGCAGCAAGTTGGCTTTGAGGTTCTGACTTTTCAGAAGACTCAGTTTCTTGGGGTTGAATGATGTCGAAAGATATCTTTCTTCCACGTCTTGTCTCGGTTCCAGAACTAGCTTCATCGTCGCTAGAAGAGGTTTCCTCATTTTCGTCTTCACTGGTGTCAATTGGATTATTTTCGCTGTCGTACATGTCCTTTTCTAGACGTTCGTCCGCTGGTGATTGAGCAGGCAGTCCATCGCCCTCTGAAGACGTACGACGAGAGGCAGGCTTGGGGAGCGAAGCCAAACTGCCCGTCGAGTTGGCGAGAGCGGCATCCGAGAGATGCTTGTAAGCGTTGTCCATGTCGATCACCTTGCCCTTATCCGTAACTAAAGTGCCCGGTTTTGACAGATTCAGCGAATTGTTGTTGCTGTTGCCGTTGTTGAGAAGACGGTTCTTGGGGGAGCTGGAACGTCCAAAACGGGAGGGGAACCGGTCGAGCGACGTGCCCCGCGTTGAGCTTCGTCGTCCGGAGTCTCTCCCTCTGGCAAAACTCGGCAACCCGACCCTAAGATCGATCCCCGACATCACCGATGCCATTGCACTCTTGCTTTGCACTGCTTTACTAGGAGGTTTTTCCTGCGGCTGCGCGGCCCGCTTGGAAGAACCATGATCGGAGACGTTGGGCGTTGACGACATATCGAATTGGTAGCCAGAGTGAGGATTCACACCGGACTTGGCATTGGTCTTGTCTACTAATTTCTTCCTCTCTTGGGACATTTGATCTGTACCGTCTGAAGACCTACGAGGAGGACCCTCGGAATCGCCATGGAATGTTGATGATGTCGCAGAAGAACTCAAACGCAACGGAGAAGACGCAGGCTCATTCCAGACACGAGCACCAGACCCCGACTCTCGTGGGGAGGGGGGCGTCACACCCACCCCAATCCCGGCGATGGACCCATGGCGTGGAGGCAGAGCCCCCGGAGAGACATCTAACAGGCTGCGGACCGGGGCCGTTACGGTCGCGCTCTGGCGGTGTCGCTGGGTCGTCCCGGAGGACTGTCGACGGCTATGATTTAGAAGCCCCAGGATCTCCAGTCGCTCTTGTTCCAGCGCAGCCTCCAGACCCAAATGCTTTCTTGGTTGTTGTTGCTCTTGCTGCTGCTGTTGCTGCTCTGGCTGCCCTGGGTTATTCGACATGGCGAGTGGGCACCGCCGGCGGCACTTGATGACTTGTGGAGAATTATCACTAACCCACCCAGCAAAACAAAACACTCTCAAGAGCCAAGCGGGAAGAAGAATGTGGAGAAATCAACTGTCTGATGACGATTAGTCCAGTCGTTCTACTGGCGTATTGGAAAGCGTGGCACGAATCTCGCTTTGCCTGCAGCTACCGAAGATCAGCAAACAGTTATTATGTATGGCTTGAGAAGAGCAAAGTGGCTGTCGCTTTAAAGTCTTTTTGACAATCCGGGGATGCTTTCGCCCACGTGCACCAGACCTTTGCCAAGGAGGTCGCGAGATGAGCTTGATTATTCCGGATGGAATGCAAGACAAGACAAGACGAACTCAAGGGGAACCTTCGTACCTTAGCAACAAAAAAGATCCGATTGATGATTCGATGCGGGGGGACGTTGCCAAAGCTCCTGCAGGGGAACCGACCGCGGCAATCGGGGCAGGAATCACCCAGAGCTTCAACGGTGATGGAGGAAGGGCGTTGGAAATGGCCGTGATAGCAGTTGATCTGGATGGAAGAAGCTGACTGGAAAGGGATTTATGATGACAGAAAGAAGAAGACAGCCCGGTATTAAAAAGAAAGGAGTGAAATTCCCCAGTCACATTTGAGTCGGGCACAAGTCTCAAAGGCTCGGCATGGCGGGGCAGCAAATCCTTACCAGATGAATGATGGAGATAGAGCAGGATTTGCAGTATGAGGGTTTTAAAAGAGAGGAGAACATCTTGAGGGGTTCATGCATTCCTGCGTTTGAATCACAAGGTCTGCTTATTATGGGCCATTCATGGGCTCATGCATGCTGTGAACCTCTGCAGTAGTAGGTAGTATAGAGGATTACACTAGAGTAGACAGGATTGAAATAATTACGAATGGATCTGTAGTCTGCAAGCACCAGAATCCCCAGCATTCCACTGTCTTTGAGCTGGAATTCTGGGGAAGTCATACGCAATTGTGCTGTTTGCAGTTGGCGCATTCTTGTGAAAGCTTGAAAGGGGGTGCTGCCGTGCTGATCATCTCCATTGAAGCAAGGCAGGATAGAACACAGTTCATTCAAAGTCATTTGATATCTAGCATAAAATAAGTAAATTACTGGATAGAATAATGCAGCATGATGTATGCGCTTTTCCAATGCTTGTCCCTAATTGCAAAACATGTTGGTGTACGTCGAATGCCCAAAACTCCTGGCTCAAGGATAACAATAGCAAAGTAACAAAGACTCCGTTTTCATGACTTTGCCTGCTTCTTCTTCTTAGATGTTCGTCGGTTCGCTGCGAAAGCTTCCTCTGATGGTCCATCAAACTCGGCTCCCCGTTTGCTGCCTGGGGCATACTTGTCTTCCAATCTGTCGAAGAACGACCCAACTCGATCAGCCTGTCGCTGTTTGATCAAAGCTGCCAGATCACCTAGTCCGTCGTCCTTCTTCGTCTTTCGCTTTTTGCCCTTGGCTTCCTTCTTGTCATCAATCTCCTTGGCCAACTTTTCGGCTTCCTTCGCCTCCTTTTGCGCTCGTTTCATCCGCTGCTGGCGCTTCTTCGCTGGCTCCTCCGAGTATTTTTTGTAGTTTTCCACCTTTCCATCAGCAATGGCCTTGTCAATAATACCCCGAAATCTCTCATCATCATCGAGCACACTGCAAAGCATGACCGACTCAAAGACCCGATCCAAATCGCCCCTGGCTTGCTCAAACGCAGCAAGCACGTCGTTCTGCTCCTCCTCGGAACCCTGATATTCCTTCTTTAATTCATCGAGCGCATTCGTATCCACCGAGCTTGAGAATTGCTCTCTGTAGAAATCCATCCAGTTGAAATCGTCATCCTCGTCAACCGCTTCCGCCGTGCTGCCCGTCAGGTCGAATCGTCGTCGTCGTCGCTCGTCGGACAAAATGGCGTACGCAAATGCGATCTGCTGGAACCTGTGGTTTGCTTCATCTTTGGAGCCTTCGGGAGCCTTGTCTTTGGAGTAGTCAGTATCACTGTCTCAGGTTAGAAATTGGACAGGGGCTCAATTACCGGGATGGTGTCTCAGAGCTTGTTTCTTGTATGCGGATTTGATCTCTTCAAGAGTTGCACTTTCTTGGACACCGAGAACCTGATAGAGATCGGTCTCGAGGGGAGGTTCTTGCGGGATGTCTTCTTCCTGTGGCTGCGGCATGGCGAGAATTTCAAACCAGTAGAACAGGAGAATGGATAAAACGTAGAAAATGTAAGTTTCAAAAGACAATTCCAAAAAAATAATGAACAGAATGGGCAGTAACTGAAAAATTCGATAATTCGGAGATGTCAAGCAAAGCTGTTGTCTGGGTCGGAAAACGCGACTGGACGCGACCCCAACGGGGTTTAATTAAAATGAAGGACTTGTGCCGTCATCGGTGTTGCTCCCCCACGATGGCCGATCAGCTCTGTCGGACAATCTCCCACGACTTCATCCACCCCTCACCAGACCTCCACTTGGGCTTACTGAGATTATAAAAGGAGACGAGCAGTAAGGTATTTTTTCTCTTGTGTGCTTCAATCCCTGCTTTGTTTAAAGGCACATTGGCTACCCTCGACATTGCTACCTCACAGCTCCATCGACAGCAATAACAATAACAATAAAAATGCCTTCAACCTCCCCTCACCATCGCTATCTTCAAGAATGTCTCTCTCTGGCAGAGAAGTCACCTCCACGCCCTACCAATTTCCGAGTCGGCGCCATCCTTCTCTCACGCAGAGATGACGACCCCGCATGGACCTACGATCGCATTCTCTCAACAGGCTATACCATGGAGCTTGCCGGCAACACACACGCCGAGCAGTGCTGTCTCTCCAACTATGCCTCCGTCCACTCCGTCGCAGACGAGAATGTGGCTACCGTATTGCCCTCCGAGCCAGGCCGGAAACTGATCATGTACGTGACGATGGAACCATGCGGGCAGCGACTCTCTGGGAATGCGCCCTGCGCGAAGCGACTTGCCGGCACTTGTGAAGGCGGCCGCAGTGGAATCTCCAAGGTATATTTTGGTGTGAAGGAGCCGGGGACTTTTGTCAAGGAGTCAGAGGGGTGTAGAATGTTGACCGAGGCCGGGATTGAATGGGAGCATGTGGGTGGCTTGGAGCGAGAGATCTTGACTGTCGCCGTTGCAGGACACGAGAACAAGGAAGAAGAGATCAAGGCTGCTTTGGATTCGGGGACGAATATCGATGATATCAGTCCAGAGGAGAGGCAGAGACAGGACCAGCTGCCTCGGAACCCAAAGAAGAGGATGATGGAAGGTGAGACTATCATTCAATGATCTTGGATGATTCAGAGTTATAGACAAAAGAATAATGAAGGTGCAATGATTGATTCTTTGGCTGGGACGATTGAGTGCCGTTGAGTATGTAGCAATAAATTTACACTCAGACAAATCCTTTATATTAAAACGCGATGAACTTGATGCTGTCTTCTACTCAAGATACTATTATCAAGAGAATAACCCACCGCAAAAGCATCAAAGCAATTCCCAATCCAAACACCAGCGGATTGCCTCGCGTTTCCATTATCTCCGTCCAGCCTCATACAGACCTCGAGCTCTACAATTGTCTATCTAGGTATAGCCCCCGTCGTTGTCCTCGAACCTTCCTAAGAAGAGTGGCCGTCGATATGGTGGGCCGATTTATATGGATCACCCTGATGTCATTTGACTATACTATCATCCAGCGAAACTCGCATCTACTTTATTCTAAACACATCTATGCCAGAACAGCCACGAGCAACAACAATTCAAATGGTGCTGCTTCGTGGGGCGATAATGACTTCCTCGAGGCTCCTTATTGCTACATATGCGGCTACATCTTCACGGCCCGGTTCAAAGTTGCAGACCGGACATGGAAAAAGAACCATCCTCACCCAGACGTATATACAGCCGACGAGCTGATAAACATGAAGTTTTGGCGCGGTTCATATTGGTGGAGTCGTTACCGCATGAGCAAGTCAGATCCTATCTGGGGGCTGCTGGGCCAACTAACAGTCACAATAGTACTTTTGAATCCAAGCAATAATAGCTGTCGACTATCAGGCGTGGCATTCTACCACTCAGAGGGTTTTGATTCACTCGCAGTTCCGTGGGATACGGATGAAGGAGTGATTGGATATGAGATGGCAAAGGGCTATCTGGCTACGCCTACTGTTCTGGAGCCGTGGGAGGATCCGTCAGATGAGGAATTAGTTGGATACCCTATTCATGCTCGACATTGGGAATTCCTCTGTCGCCATTCAATTGGGGATATGGCACAGCGTAATCTAAAGGGGATATTGGGTATCCTTCGACAGAAGCACGATGAGTGGAAATATGGTACAGATCGTAGTGAAGCGACGGAGTATCTTATGGAGGCAGCAGATATTGGTTCTTTCCAGCCCATCCAATCACTAATCAATCGAGCTCGACGAAGAACAAGCAAAAGGTCCAAGTCAAGAGGCCGTCTGGATTGTAAAAGTCGGTTTTACTATATCCTAACAGAAATACTGCATATGATACTTGATAACCTCCCCATAGCGGATGTCGTTGCAGTGCAAAGGGCCTTGACCTCATATTTTGGTGATTCTTATTGGCGTTCTAGAACCTCGATAGGCATTTATCATGAAGTCAGAAATGTCATTAACGAGACACTGGACTGGGAATTTTTATGCCTGGAGCTGGAGAATCTCTCCAAGACATGGGATGGGGAAGAGGGGCTGGTCTGTCGTCGATATCTTTTGAAACGCTTAGATGAGATCCAGGCTGCTCCTACACTCTTATAACAGATTAGTAGATCGAACTGTTGTACTTATTTCATTTGTTTGATCCTCGTTTGATCTGATTATACAGATGTCTGTCTAGATTGGACGTAGCTTTAGCCCCACGTAAAGTCATTGTATGATCAACGCCAACCAATAGCGTTTCATTAAGAAGCATTGCGAACTCGCAGCAGCAGCAACGGGAGTTCAGCTATTCCACAAAGATTCTGTAATATAGATCTGAAGTGAAAAAAAAGAAAATACAGCAGCGATGATCAAGTTATGCAGCCTCGTTGCAGATGGTGCAGCTACGATAGCTCCGAATCACGTGCGTCACCGCCGCGGCGGAGAACATCCCCAGTAGCGAATCGACGTACGTACTTGGCCCGACGTCGTCTGTTCTGGATTCAATCACCTCCCAGGAACAGCTTCTGTCCTGTGCTTTTCTCCCGAATCCCTATCTTCCTTTCCTCTCTTATCCTTATCGTCCTCTCGTTGAGGCCCCGACAATCATGGCCGAGTTCGTCGACCCCCGGATGACCAACATCAAGCCTCGCATCCGCTACAACACCATCGGAGGTATCAACGGACCGCTGGTCGTCCTTGATAATGTGTGTCTTCCTGGGACCCCACGCAGGACAGGCTCTAGGGATAGGCTAACCATGGCTGATTTCAGGTCAAATTTCCCAGATACAATGAAATCGTGTCCCTGACGCTCGCGGACGGCACAGAACGGTCGGGCCAGGTCTTGGAAGCCAGAGGTATGCTTCCCTTTGGAGGGGTTATGGTTCTCCCGGCTTTGATCGCCGCAGCTTGCTGATGTATTCTCTTGATGGATAGGCAACAGAGCAGTCGTTCAGGTGCGCAGGCAATAAGCGATGGTTTAGATCTACTCGTTCGTGATGGTTAACCCGATTTCTGCGACTACTAGGTGTTCGAAGGTACTTCGGGTGTCGATGTGAAGAAGGTACGATCATATACAATGTGAACCCACACGGAGGTCTGAAATATGTGCTGATTTCTTATCAGACCAAAGTCGAGTTCTCCGGCCACAGTTTGAAGCTGGGTGTGTCCGAGGACATGCTTGGTCGTGTCTTTGACGGTTCTGGACGTGCGATCGATAAGGGCCCCAAGGTTATGGCGGAGGACTATTTGGATATCAACGGTCAACCCATCAACCCTTACTCCCGAGTATGCTGGTTTTGTTTTCCCTGGTAGCTGGCCAAGCAAGCGGGCTAATGGACGAACTAGGTCTACCCCGAAGAAATGATCTCGACCGGTATCTCTGCCATCGACACCATGAACTCCATTGCCAGAGGACAGAAGATTCCTATTTTCTCCGCCGCTGGTCTTCCCCACAATGAAATTGCTGCTCAGATTTGTCGACAAGCCAGTTTGGTCAAGAAGCCGACAAAGGGTGTCCACGATGACCACGATGAGAACTTCTCCATCGTTTTCGCTGCCATGGGTGTCAACATGGAGACTAGTCGTTTCTTCACTCGCGATTTCGAGGAGAACGGCAGTATGGAGCGTGTTACTCTCTTCCTTAACTTGGCTAACGACCCCACGTATGTCTTCAGCACTGACATCATTTCCTGGTGTAGTTTGTTAACATTGAATACAGGATTGAGCGTATCATTACCCCTCGTCTCGCACTGACCACTGCCGAGTACTACGCCTACCAACTGGAGAAGCACGTCCTCGTTATTATGACTGATCTATCAGCCTACTGTGATGCCCTTCGAGAAGTCTCCGCCGCACGAGAGGAAGTTCCCGGTCGTCGTGGTTACCCCGGTTATATGTATACTGACTTGGCCACTCTTTACGAGCGTGCTGGACGAGTGGAGGGCCGTAATGGATCCATCACTCAGATTCCTATTTTGAGTATGCCTAACGACGGTATGACATTTCTCAGGCACCTTCTATGGCCTTTGCGGTAACTAACTTGTTCACAGATATCACCCACCCTATTCCCGACTTGACAGGTTACATTACTGAAGGACAGGTTTTCATTGACCGTCAGCTTTACAACAAGGGTGTCAACCCCCCTATTAACGTCCTTCCATCCCTATCTCGTCTCATGAAGTCTGCCATTGGTGAGGGCCGTACCCGTAAGGATCACTCTGATGTGTCCAACCAGCTGTACGCCAAGTACGCTATTGGACGAGACGCCGGTTAGTTCATCTTGAAAATACCCATGAAAGACTGTTCGAGCATGCTGACACTGAAAAACAGCCGCCATGAAGGCAGTCGTCGGTGAGGAAGCTCTGTCCTCAGAAGACAAGCTTTCCCTTGAATTCCTCGACAAGTTCGAGCGCACTTTCATCAGCCAGTCCGCATACGAGTCGCGAAGCATTTTCGAGTCCCTCGATATCGCCTGGAACCTGCTCCGCATCTACCCCAAGGAGCTGCTCAACCGTATCCCCAAGAAAGTTCTGGACGAGTTCTACGCCCGGTCCGCCCGCAAAGTCCCCAACAAGGACACCCGGGACAACTCGGGCGCCCCGCAGCAGAGCCACCAGCAGCAAGGCGGCTCTTTGATTGATGCTTAATTTCCCTCCTTTATTTCCCCCATTTGATATCAAACCAGTCAAATCGTCACATTTTCTGGACCTTTGTAGCTGTGGTGGTGGTTGTGTGAAGGGGACTTTTTAACTTATCCACGAAGAGAATGTTTTGCGTGTTTCCCTAGCTAGCTTTCACGGCTTTCTTTTTGCATATATACTCTTTTAGCTGTGTCTTGTTTTCTTCCTCATTCCATCTATATGAACACTATGAAAGTGTGGATTGTATTATTTTGGGTTGGAAAATTCTACCCACGTAGTGATTGTAAGAGCTTCAAAACATGGCAGCTACGTCTTCAAACTTGATAGTTTAGTTCAGTCCAATTTCCAAATGTGAAATGAAGATTTATTTTCTATTCGTGTATTGCTTGCTTCTTTGCAATGCAAAGCTGTAATGCCAAAGCAAAAAAGATTAGTTCACCAAAAGCTTTTAGAGCACATGTATGTAAACACCAGTCCAGGAAAAAAAGAAAAGAAAAGACAGAAGAAATTATAGCAAAAAAAGGCACTTTTTTTCCTTTGGTGGAACAGTATCCAGAAAGTTTGCATGTGGCAGAAATATAGGTACTTGAAAAGTAAAATATGACAATTTTCAACGCAGTAATAATAATGATAATAAAAAACGTCAATCATAAATTTTGAGAACAAGCCTCCCTGCTAGTAAATAGAATATCTTATGTCACAAGATTCCAAGTGGTTTAGAATCTCAGGTCCCAGCCGATCTTGGGTCCCAGTTTGGGAAGCTCCTCGGCGACGCTTTGCACGTCCTTGTCTCCTCTACCGCTAAGGTTCAGTACGATGTTCTCGCCCTTCTTCATGGTCTTAGCCAGTTGGATAGCGCCGAAGACAGCGTGGGAGGACTCCAGGGCAGGGATGATACCCTCTGTCTGAGCGAGCGCACGGAAACCCTCAAGGGCCTCGGCGTCAGTAGCGGCAATGAAGCGAGCGCGGTCACTGTCCTTCCAGGAGCTGAGCTCGGGTCCGACACCGGGGTAGTCGAGACCAGCGGAGATAGAGTGGGTCTCGGAGACCTGGCCGTGCTCGTTCTGGAGAATGTAGGTGCGGACACCGTGGAGGACACCCTTGGTACCACCGGACAAGGTAGCAGAATGTCTGGCTGTGTCGACACCATCACCACCAGCCTCAACACCAACAAGCTTGACGCTTGGGTCCTTGGAGAAGGGGTAGAACATGCCAACAGCGTTGCTACCACCACCAACACAGGCAACAACTGCGTCAGGCAGCTTGCCAATCTGTTCCTGCATCTGCTGCTTGGTCTCATCACCAATGACGGACTGGAAAGTACGGACAATGGTGGGGAAAGGATGAGGACCAATGGCGGAACCAATAATGTAGTGAGTAGAGTCCAAGTCGACGACCCAGGCGCGGAGGGCCTCGTTGACAGCGTCACGCAGAGTCTGGCTACCAGCATCGACAGCCACAACGGAAGCGCCCAGAAGCTTCATGCGGAAAACGTTCAAAGCCTGACGGCGGACGTCCTCAGCACCCATGTAGACAACACACTTCATGCCAAACTTGGCACAGACAGTGGCAGTGGCAACACCGTGCTGACCAGCACCAGTCTCAGCAATGATGCGGGTCTTACCCAGTCTCCGGGCAATAAGGATCTGACCCAAAGCGTTGTTGATCTTGTGGCTACCAGTGTGGTTCAGATCCTCACGCTTGAGCCAAATGTTAGCACCTCCAGCATGCTCAGTCAGACGGTCGGCAAGGTGGAGACTGCTGGGTCTACCCATGTAAGGGTAGTATGAGCGGAATTCCTCCCAGAACTTGGGGTCGTTCAGAGCCTTTTCGAAACCATTCTCGAGTTCGGCCAAACAGTCCATGAGAGACTCAGGGACATACTGACCACCGAACTCGCCGAAGCGCGAGGGCTGCGCAGCGGGGTTTCCAGTGCCGTTGAGAGCCTCGAGCTGGTCAGCCAAGCCAGGACCAGACGGGGTGTCCTCATCAGTGACGATATCCGTAGGCTGGGAGATAACAGTGGGCTTCTTCTCCACAAACTCCAACACGTTGACCTGGCCTGTAATGGTGCCCTGGGCATCTCTCTGGAGCTGGCGGCCGGTAACGCTAGACAGGTATTCCTGGGCATTCTTAGCCGCCTGACCGGCAGGGGCCTCACCCAGAACGGTGATAATCTGACTACCAATGACAACACCCTCAGCCAATCCCTGGACCTCCAGGAAGTGCTCACGAGTGCTAACACCGAATCCGAGCGCGGCAGGCACATTGCCGGACCAATTGTGAACACGGGACAGGAGTTCGGGCAGGTTCGAGCTGAGCTTTCCGGTGGCACCGGTAACACCCATTCTCGAGACGACGTAGATGAAAGAATCGGCAATCTGGCACAGAAGCTTCATGCGGGACTCGGATGTGGAGGGGGCAATGAGGGGAATGTAAGACAATCTTCACCAAATCAGCACGTTGATCTACAGTACATCATGTAAAAACCAATAAGGAGGGTGGCGGAAAACTTACCCAGAGCTAGTGCAGAGATCTCTGAAACGGACAGCCTCCTCGGGAGGAAGATCGACCATGATGAAACCATTGACACCCGCCTCCTTGCAATCCTTGAGCATACGCTCCTCACCATAGCGCATCATAGGGTTGTAGTATCCCATCAGAAGAAGAGGTGCTTGGACACCCTTGCTTCTGGCTGTGCGGACGATATCGAGAACTGTTGTGACTGTGACACCGTTGGCAAGAGCCTTGGTGTTGGCTTTTTGGATGGTAGGGCCATCTGCAATGGGATCGGTGAAGGGAACACCCAATTCGATAATGTCTAATTTGTGAATGATATTAGCATGAGCCGCGGAGCCAATGGATGGAGATAAAAATAATCAAGGATATGAGGGGCAAAAAAATCCTGGTAAAGGGGAATTACGTACCAGCACCTCCATTCTCCAATCCGATGATAATGTCGACGGTCTCTTCAACGGTGGGGTAACCAGCGGTGATGTAGGACACAAGAGCAGCACGCTTCTGCTCCTTGCACTTGGCGAATGTATTCCGAATGTGCTCCATGGTGGTGTGGGGTGTGGGCAGCGATCGGAGGGGAAATAGAGGGGGAGGAAGTGAATTGAGGAGGGCGAGATTAAAGAAAGATTGATGCCGCCGGGCAATGGAGAGACAGACAAAGGATGGGCTGGATGAAGAAGAAGGGCGGGGGGAAGAGGCGAGATTTAAACGCAGCTGAGGATATCCAGAATCCGGTCGAGACTGACTCACGCCGATTTCGTCCTCCGTCTGCGGCCCCGCGAAGTCACGTGCGCCGGCGATAAGATAAAGGGCGCTCCGTCGTGCATATTGTCTCAGTCTCCAACTCTGCTGGCAAGAATAACCTCATGTTGAGTCCCTCTATACGATAAAACGGTATTGAGTACACCAACAAGGCTTAGGTATATTCAATGATGCCTTTCTTTCATGGTATCTTCCTACACCCGGATGGATCATTAAGACCGCCCTATACCAATGATCGATGAACACTGTGTAGCTTAGGTATCAACCATCACCATAAACCATGCCCACGAACTATGATCACAACTGTAGCTATAGCTTCCTTACTAGTATTTCCGTATAGAATAAGCCCACTAGAGTAGCTCATTTAATAATTCTTTCAAAAAAAATATGGTAGTTCTGTATACTCCGCTGTTCGATACTTGGAACATTCGGGGTGTGGATATGCGAAGGGGGGTGGATGTGGATGGATCAGTTTCCTTCGATTATAAGCAGAGCTTTGATTGCTTAATCTACCTCGATTTGAGGCAGTATAGCTAGTAAGCATGGCTACGGCTCTGCAATAAGTCCATTATTATCACCCAGTCAACAGCATCTCCTGGCCTGCAACCCAACTTAGATAATACCTAGTTCTGATGTAACAAAAAAAACATACTGGCCAGCTATTCCACTACGACTGCGACCTGGACATCACCTCAACATCAACGACGATAACACCGTAGAAGAAGAGGCTGTGTAGGGAGTAGGAAGACTGCGACTACCTTAGGTCACTCTTCCCATGATAACCTACTGTTTACACCCGGGCTTCTTTTCCTGCAGCTGCAGTGGTTCTTTCCTATTCTCCTGGCAGTGCCAAAATATCCTCCACACGCCTCGCCGAATCCAGTTCCTTCAATTACCATATCTCCCACTCACAATCTCATAAAACTCCTTGATCGAGTCAAAATGGACCATTTCATTGAATTATCTGGCTTTTCGAGACTTCAACATAGACGAAATATGGCGTCCAGATTCCACATTGTTGCAGCTCAGCCATTCAACCATTTGGCCATGGCTGAAGTAGTCGCAGTCGCCGCCGCTTTCCAAATCGCTATCGATCTTTTGAAGACACTTAAGTCAGCAGGATCTTAATCTTTGACCGTCTTCCCAGCTCCTAAACAGCTCTATTAGGTCCTAAAGAGGGCCAAACTCCCATTCTCTGACAAGGGAGGATGACGAGGAGAGCAGCAGACTTCAACAGAGCTAAACAAACAAATGTAGTCGGGTCATGGACATGGATGAATGTTGGCGTCTTTGGCAAACACACATGGTCCCTGGCAGTCCAGTGCTGTGCTCAGCTCAGCGAAAACATCAATCGAATCATCAGTCTGAATCCAATATTTGACTTCGTTACATTATGGTAAATAACCCGCTGGAGACGGTCAATTCTCAAGACCACACCAACACTACCCCAGAGACAGAAAGTATGAGCCGGAGTCAAAGTCGAAGTCGGAGTTGCAATCAGAGTCACAGCCAGAGCATCGCCTCGCGACGCAGCGTTAGCATCGAGCCAAAAATTGACACTGAGACGACGTGCAAGGCTTTTCACACCTTCAAGAACTGCTAAACCCCATGCTACTCCAGAACAAAGGAGTTCCTGAGGGAGATCATATACTGATGAAGGTCAGCCATTGCACTTTGATAATTCAAGTTGAGAGGAAATTCATTTACCATATAAAGGTCTCTTGACGGGATGGTGTATGCAAAACGACGCGAGATAAAACGCACGAGGAAATGCGACTTTGTTTTTTTATCATTTTAGATTTACGTACCGAAACCCCCTTCATCTGCTATTCGTTCATCCCCCTGATGCTCAAGTCATTCAACCATGGCTTTCCTCTTTCTGTAGCAGTCGTACCTAGTGGGATAGTTGGCCAGCATGTTCTCTCGTTTTCTACATCAGAGCTGCCTAGGTAGCGATGCTTACTACTAATAGTTACTGGCTCAAATCGAGGTAAATCAAGCGATCAAAGCTCTTCTTATAAAGAAAGTCCAGTATAGCTAGGTAGCTACGCTCTGCACGCCTTTGGCGGTTCCCACCCAGCCCTACTTACTGAGAAAAATAGCTGGGGATTTGATGGCACCGTGCCCCCTAGTTAACTAGCTGGTTCTTGGAGACAGAAGGTTGCGCCTTTCTTCAAGTTCTAACAGATAGATACCAGATAGGTAGGTAGTTTCTATAGCCTGTTGCCTCGAGCTTATTAGCTAGTCCTACTTACGAGAGGCTGGACATACGAAATACAGTAGAAGAGAAGGTTCAACAGAAGAAATCACTATTAAGATGGGTTCTCTAGATACTTGGATAATAAGTCACAAGCAAATTAATAAAGGACAAGTAACTAAGACATCGAAGAGAAAGAGAGAGAAAAAAAAAAACTATTCACAAACGCCAAAGCTATGCATATATAGTGAAGCTGGAGGACAATGTATAATCGAACAAAACACCCCGAGAACAAGAACCGGATATCGCAGGATTTCCCATCCTGTCTGAAGATAAGAAACAAGAGAAAAAATAAAAAAAGTACAGATGATTTTTGTCCTTCGCCAACCCAGATGTCCGCTGCATCTTTTTTATCCCAAAATAACCAACCGACCTGCAAAATAAGTAAGGAATGACGGCAGCGCCATGCTATGCCAAATAGTTGTACAGCCTTCGTAAGGAACGGATATCCAAATGCCCATAAACAAAATGCAAAAACTGAAAAGGAACGGACCGACTTCGTCGAATGTGAAATGAAGGGAAAGAAATCAAAACAATAGTCCACAAGGGCATCAAGACATGAATGTTGCAAAGGGAGAGACGTAGAATCGTGGAAAACCAATTATAAGCAGATAAAATCACCAAGATTATAAAGGCTCAAGGTAGATAAGACATTATCGGTATGAGACCCAGCGCCGTTGCTTATTTTCGAAAAATGAATGGCGAAAAACAGAAAAAAAATATCACGACCACGGGAAAAATGGTTAGGGGAATCACTTTGGATGCAAAAGGACAATAGATCGAGGAGAGCATCAGTTTGACTTTGATGTCAAGGATGCAAGGAGTAAAGAAAAAGGAAATATAGAGACATCAAATGCCAGCCTGTGTGGGAGTGATGATGGCTCGGGCTATGAAGGTGGCACCCGGAAACCGGATGGCATCAAGTGGCCATCAGACACTTCATAGATTCAGGGACCATGAGGCTGGTCGTGGAGAGGATAAGGCACCTGGCCCATATAATTGTAGGTGCTCTGGGGTGCGCTGGCGGGGTGGTTGACAAGGGAGTTCAGATCCCAAGAAGCCCTGTTGACTGATGCAGTGAGAGCAGGAAGACTTTGCTGCTGGCAGACGGTGGGATATGCGTAAGGCGCGGGGACGGAATGGTAGGGCTGGCTAACGGCTGGCAAAACAGTCCGCAGCTCAGGGGCACCGTTCATCGGAGGTACAGAGTGATCTGTGTGAGGGGAATATGCGGGTGTTGCCATGCTGGGTCCATAGGTGCTCGAGGGGGCTGTGTCTGACATGGACTGGGGCGATCCAGCGTTGTGTTCGGTTCCAGAGTCCGAACCAGTTCCATTGCTGGCGTAGTTCGAACCGATAGGTGTCGGCAAAGCGGCAGCGGTAGAGGAGTAGCTAGCAGACTAGATGACCGAGTTTGTTAGTACACAACTGAGATACGTTGAACTGGAATACTCACGTATTTGCCAATGATCTTCTTCAGAGCATGGCTCAGAATTTTCCATGGGAAAACCTTGACATCCTTCTCGATATTCCTGGGCTTTGGTGCGGGAAATCCCATGATAACTTTGAAGAAGTCCTCGCTGTCTTGCTTGGCCTTGGAAACAGTGAGGGGTCGGAATCCCTCCAAGTTTCGTCGAATTCGGTTTTTCTCTTCGACGGTGAATCGAACTCCGACAAGCGACTCGAGCAGGTAGATGGTATCCACGCTGGTCACGAAGCATTCGTCCTTGCCATCCCAGTGGATGCAGCTAATGCAGATGCTGTTGGGTGCTCGATCCTCAGGGGCAACGGGTTTGAAATCTGCGTGAATGGTGCTGCCACTTTGCATTCGGGTGAACTGAACCAGGCGCCGTTTGGCGTCCCGCTCCTCTTTGCTCCAGTTCTCGGTCATTGAATCGAGGTCGCCATTGAGCTTCAAGATGGCCTTGGAAGGATAGATGGCGTATGGGTTGAATGTTTGGGTCTGACCAATGCCGTTGCCATGCTGCAGTGTAGATGTCCGGATCAGAGTGGGGTTGTGGCGTCCGGCCGGCGAGGATGGCTTCTGTTGACGGAGACTGTGGGCGATGGCAAGGTTAGAGTTTCTGACATCGCTGCTGACCGGGACAAAAGATGGGCTCCACGAGGGGGTGAGAGGAGATGGCGCTCGAATGCTGGGCTGAGGCGTGGCCGACACGGTCGAGTATTGCACCTGGCCAACCCTGGGTGATGGAGCCGCATGGTAAGGGGTGACGAATCCACCATTCATTGTAGGAAGGGACTGGACGTAAGGTGAGTAAGAGGCAGAGCGATGATCTTGGTATTGGTAGTTCTCTGGTGTTTCGTTGGCCGGCATCTGTTGCACAGAGCATCTCTTGGATGGTCTGGGGACGGTGTTGTCCGAGAAAGACTCCATGCGTCTCTTGCGCGATTCGTCCGATGGCGAAGGGTGGGAAGGCTGTTCGTAAGTATAGACGCCAACTTGGAGGGTTGTAGCGGCACATTCGTCTTGGCTGCCCATTGCCACTTGCAAGGGAACAGCAAAGGAGGGGCATCCAGTGGCAATGAACTGAGGAGCCTCGACAGACAGGGCGTATGTGAAATTTGGGCCGTTGAAGCCGACAAAATGGGGAATGCATTCGCATTTCTTGCTGCCGAAAACGAGGTAGGAATGGGCGTACGGTGTGTTGTGAAGATCATACGGAGTCTGAATCTCCACAAACACTTTTGTTCCTTCGGGTCCTCTGATAGGAGAATACGAGTTGATCTCGGGCAACTGACGGGACTCCGCATTCAACATGGGAGACGGAGCCTCCCCGTAAGAGCTAGCATACTCGTGACTCGCAAGATATGAAACACCATCGGATATTTGACTGGCCTGGTCTGGCATAGGAGATGGGACGAGCGACGAAGTCAGATACGACCCCTGGTAGTTGGAAAACGAGCCATCATTCAGGGACCGAGCTGAGCTGTAGTCTGCGTCAAAGTTAGCAAAGAGTACTCTCCAGAAAAGTAGACCCAGATCTGAGATAACTTACCTAGCAAGCCTGCCTGTGGGGGTTTCTGAAAGGCAGACATGGACAGGATGGGTTCAGACTTGGCCAAAAGGCCGTCTGAGAATGCACCGGCGAATCTTGACTCTTCAGGATCAGAGAAGTCCAACGACTCGTCTAGAATTAACGGTGTTTGGAATTCGGGATCGAACTGTGTGATACCAAAGAGTCAACGGGAGGCCCAAGGCAGAATAGGCAGGTAGTGCAAGTGCAATCAGAAAGAAACAAGTGCAGCAAGTTGGGCAGCAAGAAGAGAAACAAATGTTTGGCTTACCAAAACACCGTGTGCCTTCGAGTAAGCCAGTTTGAAGGTGTTGCAGAAACTGCAACGAGACAGGACACCCTAAGAAAGCGAATGACTGGGAATTTATCCTTGAAAACGACAGGAAGCCGGAAAGTCACCAGGGGCTCTCCGAGACAAAACGAGTGACGATACGAAGCGGCCGTCAATCTCAGAAGAAAAAGGGAGTTTGACAAAAGACTTCGAATCAATGAGCAACACTGAACGAACCAAGGCTGAAACCGGTATAGGATAGCTGCAGGATCAAGACCAGATATTGGCAACGGTACCGAAGGCTTGACAAAGACCAACTAGGAAAGATCCAGTTGCATTGGAGGAATGCTGCGACAGGTATAGGTAGGGTTCGACGGGGAGAAACGGGGCAGATATCCAGATGGCTCAAAGGGAGGTCTTTCTTGGATATTCTGGATCGATACGGGAAGATGTTTGGCTCTCTTTCTTCCCTTCTAGCGAACAGAGTCTCAGACAGATGAATTGCTTGGTGAATGGGAAGACCGTCGGGCCACGAACTACTCATCTAATGAGTACGAACCTCGCGGAGCCAGGAAACGGCGGCTTGCTGCATAGACTAGCAGGACTTACCGAGTGAATAAAGAACAAAGGTTGCAACACTGAGACGTTTTGAGAACTAATATGGGAGAATCTAGGTCGGAAAAAGACTGACGAAAGAGCCTGGAGCATCGAAAAGGTCAACAACAAACACCCACACCTAGGTGACGAACAGCACAGGGAAATGACAAGCTCATTGAAGCGTCATAGACCCTCCTCCATCGTG